AACATGCCCGATGAGACCGGCCTGGACCTGGCCTGAGCTTTGGGTGTCCCAGATCAAATAATCAGATCTGCATGCCCAGCCACAAGTCTAGTCTGGAACTTGCGATTCGAAGGGAAGAAAAAAAAAGGATAAAAAAGGATTAGGAACTGCTCATTTGGGCGCCGACAATTCTAGACAAACTTTTCTTGCACACCGCATTCCCGCCTTTTGATTGCGATCATACGTACTTCGTATTCCGTCCGCAATCCGGACGATATTCTAGATTGCTATTTTCGAGACGCCTTCGAAATGGTGCGCCTGGATTCGTTCTCATGCATAAAATGAATGGGTGGCCTTCTGAAAGTGGTAGAGATCTTTGGTGTATCCGGTCAGATAAGACCTCCGACAGCGGCCCTCCTTTACGAGTCCTATACCATGCATCTTGCCCTGTTCGATTTTACTAGTCCTACGTTTTGATACACATTTTCCGAATACTTACTCCCTCTCGCGACGAGATCTACTTACAAATCCTCTTAAACTTGCCTCTGTACATTTCAATATCGTCACCGGCTTCGCAGGATATGTCGAAGCGTGAAACTTCCAACCGCACATGGCAATGCTCCAAAACCTCTACAGTCGAAAAGGTGCGAAGCTCTGTCGCACAAGGGGCAAACTCGTCAGCCACGGTTTAAATGTTTGATGAGCTAACTCCTGCAGCTTGTATGCAGCAGGATTGTGATATGTACCCTTAGGGCATCTTGACTGGTGGTGAACATGTAGTCGCCTCTGGGGGCGAAGCCTTGGGTCTGCACGTCTTCCCGACCTAACCGTGTCGCTCGATAAAAACCCAACGCACTTATTATTATTCTCACAATTTATTTAAATTTTATTTCATCGTTCCATTAAGAACGTGATTTTATAAATAATCGTTAGATACCAGCAAGGAGCCGCTTTACTCCGATGCAGGGACTGATGAATAGATCCCTTACTACATGAGACCATTGGCTAATGCTATGGGAAACAATGCTACTGGCGGCATGCTAGGATCCTTAGGAGTATGGCTGAACTTGTTAGTTAGGAGGTTTTGTGATTGATAGTGGCTCTCTATTTATATGGATATACCAACGGCCATTGTATACAGCGTCATGACTAAATATATACTATACCTATGGCTGTGAATGACTCTCGGTACAATTCAACTCGTCTAAACATCACAAAAAACACCTAGGTAGACATTGCCATGGTAGGTCTATAGGCAATGTGTAATCTAGATGTTCTTACTGATCCATCGTCACGTTCAATGACCTGTTTTTTCTCCGACGGGTCTTATTATTACCCCCTCCAGTTTCTCACGTGGACTATATCTTACGGGAAATCCGGACGAGCCATCTGCGATGATACAATAGGAATGAAACATGACTTGCAAAGATCGACGGCTTAGAAGCTATGTATAGATTCAACTACATACAGCCCAGCCCTGAGTCCCTTTTTGCAGCAACTCGCTTCGAAGTGGGGTTAGGGGGTAAAAATCTCCAACATCTCTGAATCTCCATGGGGTTTCTACATTAGTCGTAGACAACTTGGCTGGTTGGTTAGAGGCAATTTAACGACGTCTGGTTACGGCGGTCTAAGCTCCTGACATGAACCATAAACCATAACGGGAAAAACGGCCGCGACTGGAGTGGAACGGCACGGTGACAGGGGGTGCTACCAACGTTCGGGGTGTCAATAATAAGTTGAAAAGAGGTTTGAAGCTCTCACCAACCGGGTATTTCGACTCTTTCGCATAGTGGACTCCTCAATTGCCGCCATCATGTACGTGATATATCCTCTTGACACTATTATTCAGTTCGTAGCGTTAGCGAGCGACTAGTTCGCCATGACACACAGACGCCAAATCTCCGTGAAACGAGTCCAATGAGATAACCGGCGCGTTTATTTCCAACATACTAATACTAATATAACGTAGTTAGCAGTTTGACGAACGTAGTTAGTTCAATTGGAGGTTGCTTGACCTACTGAGTATACCGACCTAGGCATGTATATTCCTTATTGCCATTTAATAATCCAGTTGCATGATCCTGCTGCAGCCCCCTCCCCAGTTAACTACTGGCTTCGTGCTGGTGCATGGCGCATTACGTCCCTGTCGCCTATAATTTCTATGTACGAATACAACTATGTATGAATACAAAAATGGTTGGATTGACCAATTGTCCGAAACATACATAAAGTAACACTATACTAGTACATATAATACGTAGTAGGGGGATAAAATCAAGGATTCTCTTTCTCTAATACTCTCCCCTACGTCATAGTGATACTCTATGAGATGGGCTAAATAAATTCCTACATGAGTCTATATCCTCTTCTAGTTCAGCGTCTCAAGTTCGCGCGGAAACTAAGCCCCTGCTAGTTCCCTAGTTTGCTCTAGCCTGCAGAGAGCCCCATAACTGGTCCCATGGGTCTAAGTATCTAGGTATTCCTGCGGCTTAGACAGTAAGCTAGCCATGCTTTGGGACTGTACGTGACCAATAAACTCGACGTTCGATTACCTAATTTAGTTAAGCTCGCTGTCCTCCAGTCTCTAGTTGATGTTCCCCCTCTCCTTCCCACTCCTTTTATCTACATATGCATGTACTTCATGTATATGTATTTCTTGCAGGTGGGTGGTCCCATCGTTGTTTGATAGTGTACTGCTACCTAGGTAGACATATGTAGATAAGTCCATGTTAATGGCTCCATTGTACGCATGCATGCACTTTTAAATGTCAAATGCTTTTCCTTCCGTTGATATTTTCGTATAAAGAGTTGGCAGTAACCATAGGAGGTAATAATTATGTCCGAGAAAGTACGCCTTTCTCCGACGCTAGGTAAAATAAGATTTAAATTTGTAAAGGGAAGTATCTCAGCACTATTTGCACGGCGCTTACCTACCTAATATACATATATAAGTCGATGGAACCTGCCCACTCTTATGTGTATTCTTGAAACTATGAGTTACGTAGTAAAGATGTAAGTCCGCATAAAAACTGATCGTGATGCCTAATTCGAGTTGAGGTGTTTAACTGACATGTTCATTGTATGGATATCATGTGTCGAGATTGATGTAAATATGTGTTTTTTCCCTTTCCAATTCTTTTCTGTTGCTGGTCGTGATTTACGTACATGCAATCTGCATACAAAATTACTATACCTTAAATATTGTGCATATATCCAGGTAAGTTTGGCACAGTGCGGGTTCTAGGTAGGCAATTCCAGGTAGGTGTAGTGCGTGTAATTATCTCCTTATGGTGTTATCAATCCGTCGGGACCCGCCCCTCCCCTATTATCCTTGTTCCCCCAATGAAATACTGAAATGCTTACGACAAAAGAGCCCCTCCCCCCCTTCCAATTGAGGATGGCCCATGCTCCTGAAAAAAATAAAAAAAACAATGGGTCACTCTTCCCTACCTTCGGCCGTCGGCCATCGCCCCGTAACCTGACTGTCTACCAGGTCGTTGTGGGCTTACCTACATGACCTAGTTGCACTTGAGGCACATAGCGGCATGGCGGCGCATAGCGGGCGACAGAAAAAGTAGGCTAAGGGCTTACAAGGGTCTTCGCAAGAGTCAAGCTTGTTAAAACCCCCCAGTAGTTCTTACCTAGGTAGTGGGTACATACAGTACTAGAAAGAACCACTGTTACTACGTGCATTAGGTACTTGTAGTACTCGCAGGCGCACCCCGTCCCCCGGTCGCCCTTGTCGCCCCAACATTGGCCACTGGCCGCTGAATGGAATAAACTTTAGCTACCTGCCAGCCCACACTTCTTTCCGTCGTCGCCGGTTTTTTTTGTGCCTCTCTCTTCCCTAAACTCACCACCTCCTACCAAACTTCCCTACAGTTCAAAGGCAGGCCTAGGATTGTAGATAGCTTCATCCTCAATTCCTAATTTCTCTCTCTGTTGCTTTTCGCCCTGCCGAACAAGAGAAGAAACGCCTTTGCCCTAGTTGTGGATTTGGACTTTTTGGATCTGGACGTCGAATCGGCCGAGCTGAGTAAAACTGTCACAGTCGATTCCGTCATATTCGCATTCCACCGCTGCAGCCTCGACCGGTGATCGTCCCCTCCATCCTATCCATCGCCGTCATAAACCCAAAGATCGGGAACTGCCACGGGACAAGGAGACCTAACAAGAGATCAACGGTACGTGCTTTCTGGCCTAGATTTTGCCAATAGACAAAGCCAATTGAGGTTAACAAAGAATCGTCTCACCACAGTCCTCTCCCCATCGGCGATTGCCAACAAACGAGCTATACATATATGCTCTTTGTGCGAGTATTTTGTTCTGCTTCTTGCGTTTGCAGGTCCTGACTAGAACCTTTGCCGTCCTGGGTCGCCCATTAAACACCATTCCTTCCCCTCCTTGGTTTATGGTGATATCTGTCCGAGAGCCTGGAGTTGTCCCAGTGCCGACCATCCTCAGTCGATTGCTTTTTGCCGAGTCCGCAGAACAGGTAAAAGAGCTAAGCATCGTTGCTGAAATATTGCCTTTGCTTTTCTCTTCACTTCCTGCCTCGACAACTTGCTCTGAGACGACACAGATCTATGGGTTCTCCCTGAGCGATCACCGTTGCGCTCTGCCCAGTCAAGTAAGCCGAACTTTCCTAAAAATTTCACTTTCATATCCAACATTACCTAGTTGGGGTTGTGGCTTCTACATGTCTGTGAACCACGTGGAGTTGTGAGACTCCAAATTAGTAGAGGGAATGGGTTAGGTATGCGGAAGGTTTCTGCTCGGTATCATCACCTCTGACAACATTACACACCTTATTTTGTCTCATTCCATAGTTCTTGCTCTGTTTCTTTTGTGACTGCTTTAAAACATCCTGTACCGCTCGGCGCTCCTGTCATGTACGGAATCACTCTTGCTTTGGGAGTTCATCACGGAACAACCGGACGTCATAACCAAGAAAAACATATTTGTACCATGGAAACTTGTACCAGATTGAACAATGCTGATAGAAACTTCCTCTTTCCCAGGTTTCCACGAGTGTTTAATCGCTCCTCCAAGTCCAGAAACCGCCGGTACTACTATTTCTGTCGCTTCTAGCTCCGACTCGTGGCTTGAGGCTTGGTGTAGGAAAATATTTCCCTGTTTTTCTCGCCTAAAACCCGCCCCCCCTAAGTCCAGCGGCTCCGAACCCGCGGACGTATACCTTAATAATACCATCCTCACATCTCTCCAGCGGCAGCCCCCGTTCTTGGGAATGCCTTACACGCCCCCGTCTCATCGTTCCCCCGCCTCCTCCGCTCCTTCCTCACCCGACATCAGTCGAAGATCCTCTTTCAACTCCCCGAGCTCAAATTCGCCGAGGCCTGCCTTGCCGCGATCTGCTTCCTACCTCTCCAGACACCGACGCACGTCTTCCAGTGGCAGTATAGCCTCTATCGCGTCTCCTACCACCGCCGATGGCCCGACACCCGATATAACCCCTCCGGGGACGTCGGATAATCTGAAGGGTATGGTAGCTTCCCACGCAACGCCGATCAGGCAATCGCCGCCTCCAGTGGCCGATGCGGGAGTTATGCCTCCAGGAGCTTTGATCTCGCCCCCTGACTCGTCTAGTGAAGATGAAGGGGCTGGCGAGTTAGAGGAGCGGGGAAGGCAAATCGAAAACATAAAAGAGCTAAAGGAGGCTATCAGCTCAATACCGCAGCATCGCGCAGCCTCGCCGGTCCGATCGTCGCCGGGCGATATCTTGTTGTTACCAGGGCAGGCTAAGAGTCTGGCTGGAGAATCGCGACAAGCATTGCTAACCGCCAGCCTACCTGCTTTAAGCACCGGAGCCCGCAAGATATCTCACTCGAGGTCAAACACGGATTCTCATATTTACATGTCAAAATCAGCAGAGGCGTCAATAACCACGTCGGAGGAAGGGTCTGAGCAAGATGAACCCCCGAGGAAGCCGCAAATGGTACGGAAGAAGTCGGGAGAACTAGTCCGGCCAGCATTACGAGGGCAAAGGAGACCGTCGAGCATGCCCGGAACGCCGACTTTTTCCAAGGCTGTCCATTTCGATTCGCATCTCGAACACGTACGGCATTTCCTCCAAGTCGATCGACCTCTTGCCGTCAGCGCCGGTACTTCCCCAGCGGATAACTACGAGAGCGATAATGAGTATCCGTTCGGAGCGAACGGAAAGGCCGTCCCGCGGTCGCCGCCTTTTGAATGGGAATTGGTTGCTAATAATTTCCCCGCCGAGACGCCGATACGCAAAGCCCTTCCCGTCCGATTAGAGAGGGTATGGATGTCGCCCGATCAGAAATGCTTAATAGGGTCGATAGCCGTAGCCAACCTGGCCTTCCAGAAGTCCGTGGTATGCAGGTTTACGTTTGACTACTGGAAAACGACTTCTGAGGTCGCTGCCGAGTACCATCACGAGATCCGACCTCAAGGGACCGAAACCGGTTTCGATCGTTTCCAATTCAGCCTCAAATTGTCCGACTTTGCGAATCTCGAAGCCAAGACTTTGTTCTTTTGCATTCGATATAACGTCAACGGCCTCGAATACTGGGACAACAACGATCACATCAACTTCCAAGTTGACTTCCGAAAGAAGATGTTACCTTTCAACGGCGGAAAGGGCGTTCAGGGTACATCTTCTCGACCTGCCAACGGACTACCGCGTAGCACACGTCGGGCGAATCCCTCGACGGCCGCGCGCCCGAGGTCTATGCCCGTTGGTGCGTTGGATGATTTTGGACACGATTCGAAATTTGCCAATTTCGATCAACCTCTTCACGAAGTTCTTGGGGAGTCCGGCCCGGCTGGTCTACGTCTTAAGAGTTCAAGGTCTACAACCAGCCTGCCGAGTGACAACTTATCGAACCGGTTATCGGCCCCGAGTGGTCAAGCTTTTGCCAATCGGTATGACTTCGGAGCCTCGCTTAGCGCAGCCAAGCAGGCCCAACGAGGGTCAAGCCCACGTAGCGACGGCCTGTACATGAAGCCCAATAAGAAGGCTTCGTTCACCACCGTCCCCGTGCCTCAACCATCGGAAGTTTCGGAGGCTACCTCGAATTCTTCCGTGCCTTCCGTATCATTCACTCCCACATCGGGATCGCAGACTTCTAGTTCTACGATTCCCGGAACCAGTTCTCCTTCTTCGGCTAGCATAGCGTCGGCTTCGTACGAAGAGATCCTCAACAAATATTGCTTTGTACGTACACCCGGTGCTACCCTGACCTCTCATCGAAATAAGAACCACGACCGGAGGCGTGAAATCTCTTGACATTCAAACTAACCATCTGCAGTTCAACGGTTCAAAGCAATCTAGCCCCCAGATGAAGGAAGGAACCTTGCGCAGCGGACGATACGACGGCGTCGACGATGTTTTAACGCAGGGAACGAACAGTACCGATTCGAGTTCGAACGGCAGTCCAAACATGGCCGATCAATCATACCCTTTCCATCACAGCAGCGCGATACATCATTCTTTACGACAAAATCTCAACCCGTATTTCGGAAACGGGTATATACCAGCGATAGGCGCTTCTCCGGCGGAGTCACCGCTGTCGCCGCATTCCCTCAGTCCAAATAGCTCTAGTACCCCAACGGGTAGATCGACGTCCCCGGGCTCGATGTCTAGCTTTCTTCCTCTTGCTGGTACGTCATCCATTGGGTCCCCTGTCGATCCACTTCCATTTCACGCCCAATGTTTTCAAGATCGTTTTCCGTTCGCATCAGATGCTTATAATGCGACAGCGATAAGAGGTTGAGCATCTCGGCCGAAATGTGACGGAGTCTTATCTCGTCCGGCCGTGTCCTTCGGGTCCCCGGACATCACCATGACCAGCGGACTTCCCCACCCTACACGAGCACTTGCGGTTCGACTGGGTTTGTCCGTGGTCTATCCTACGATATTGTGCGAAGCGTTCGGCGCTTATCATCTATTCATACCTGTTTTCCCCTCAACCTTTCAGCAGTACATGTTATGCATCTTCTAGTTTTGGCTTTGGCGTCCTGGAATCGAAATCTGCATAAAGGCGTTTTTTGTGATATTTATGATACCACCGAGTACACGATACGGTTGGAAAGGAAAAAAAGCGGATACATATATAGGCACTGACAAAAGTTCGCACCTCGCGATCCTCGATGTGATGAGAGGTGTCGCTATGCGAAGGGTCGGATTGGCGAGGCGAGTCGGGATTTAATACGTAATCCTTGTATATCATCGCCCGACCTTCGTATCGGTGCCACTCTCATCTCGGCGGGATTGCGGAAGCGATCGAGGAGTTTGTCGGGTTTTGGCAAGGCGCAATGGACCTCGACGAACGACGAACCATTACTTTTATGCCACCACGTTGGCGTGAACGAATTTATGTTTACGGCAGGACGGGAGTTGTGGCCCGAGATGGATGTTATCGTTGCTATGAGATAACAATTCAATACGTTAGACTTTTATCTTGCAACCCAGTCGTCCTATTAGAAGGAACCTCGTCGAGTACGTCGTAGCTCTAGCCTCCTAATATATTGGCGAAACTCATGCGCTGGGGGAAGTACGTTTCCCCGTGCTGCGGAGCCCTCTATCTTTTTAGTAGCTAGAATCGTGCCCGTGTTGGTAGGGGAGCAAGACGTAGATTAGTAGGGGGGTTACCTGTTAGGTAGAAAGCGACAGAAGTATAATGGATACACGAATAGGTTACGATGCAAAGTTAATAATTACCTACGGAAAGATAAAAGTTAGGATACCTTAGAATTGACTACTAGTCTTGAATTCATTGTGATGTCTTATTTGAGTGTTTGCGCCGTAATGTTAGGGGTGGTTTTGTTACTGGGCTACTATTTTCCTGATATCTACGAGTTAGAAGGCCATCAAAATTACTTCTCGTGGGTGCTTTTCGCGGGCGAGTTATGACCCTGGGAGTTAATCCTATCTAATATCTAATCAAAGTCAACTCATACAAGTACGGAATATGTATTATTAAGTTTAGGTGCTCCGTGAACTTATCTATTCAACCGGGGCGTAGCCTTGAGGCGGGTGTTGACCATCGGGTGTTTCCAAAACAGGCTTATAATATACTGGAGCAGCATTTCCCTGCCATGCTTCCTTAATCTTAGGGAGCACAGTACGTTTGTGCAATGGAGTCGCGTCGGCGAGGTTCGGGCCTGCGTAGCGCTTGTTACCACCATCCTCATTCAACGGACCGGCATATGAGCTGTTAAAATACATGTCCTTCAGGGCAACACGGCCGCACCAGGACCTGATGGCATCGCCAGTCTTCTCAGCTACGAATTTGAACACGTTAGCGCCGACATCCCAACGTCCTAACGTGTGCAAATCCCAGTTGGCTTCGGCCGTCGCGACTTCGCTGTAGTGGTTGTAGTACGTGTTGTCCGTGGTACCAACTAGGTCGGCGGGAACGGCGTCACCGATTAGAATAGCAAGAACCTTGTTCTGGATCGTGTATGTCTCGTTCTCGTCGAAGGTGATGAGAACCAGGGTGTTCTTCATGAAACGCGAGTCGGAGAGGAGAGGTTCTAGGAAGGTTCGCGTCCATGTCCCGGCGACGGTCACATCTGTGTCGTGGCCATCGCTGGTCATATTGGGCGTGATGAACATCCATTGTGGTAGTGTCTCGTTCTCGAGGTCATTGTAGAATGCTATAATATTTCAAATTAGCAACTAAAACATTCGAACACTCTATTACAAATGGACGTCTATCTATCCAACAAGGCAACAAAAGAAGGGGTGACATACTCGTCAGGTTCTTAATTACGGCTAAACGGTCAATCAGACCGGCATTGGCGTTATAACTGATGGCAGGGTTGTGCTTTCGGACGTAGTCATTTTTACCATTCTTCTGATTGACATACGCGAGACCCTCGAAGCCGCTGTAGGGCATATCCTCTTGGTAGTGACCCCACGAGATACCTTTATCCTCGAGAAGATCTATAACGGTGGAGACGTTCTTATCGACCTGAGTGAAGTCGTCATGTTGCATCCCAAAGTAGTCGCCACCAATAGAAGCAATGTAGTTGGGTTGCGACGGATGCGTGACGGCGTGGTAGTTGGAAAGCGTTATGCCCTTCTTTGCTAACCACGCTAGGTTCGCTGCCGGTAGATGTTAACCACCTTATCCTGAGTTCTTTCCCATCTGGACACGCGACAGGTGAAGAGCTACTTACGATCGCCAATTGCCATGTCGTAATCCGTGTTCTCGAGCCAGATGATGGCGAGTCGGTCGAAAGCCTTTCCTTTGACATTGCTAACGGGGCTCAGAGTCTTAGCCGTAGCCCTAGCCTTCTCGACATCGCTAGTCGCCGTCGCGGTATATGTGTTTTCCGCCTGGGCGGCAACATGGATCGCGAAGATCGCGGCCGGCAAAATGAATGAACGCATGATTGACCAAGTCGGTTGAACTCGCGGCGGCTACAGCAAAGCGAACAATGCAACCCGACGAGCAACCGAGGATCGTCAGCCTTTTATGATTAGAATAAGCGTCTATGGCAACAACGGCACAAAAGAAAGTAGCAAGGCTAACTTACCAAAGGAAGCTTTTATGGAGTCTACATGGCTACACATGTGCGTGGACTATTGTAGTTATTGGTGGGCAGGCAATCCTGAGTGGAGAGGGTCGAGTTCTTCCTAACGGCCATAACCGGGCAGGGTTGCATTCGTCTCTTCTACTTGGGAAGGTGACGGACAAGGGCCCCGTGGAGGAAGGATGGGCTAGAACCTGACATAATATGTTGAGTTTTTAGTGACCTCGCGATAGGTCATATCTTCGCCGCGCCAATTACTTTTACGATACTTCTCAGAATGGTAGAAGTGATGTGATAAGTATGAAGAAAACGGGCATCTTGTTGTCTTTTATATCTCATGTTTCAATGGCATACCGCGACGAAGAGTGGTATTGCTTAGTAGCTAGAATCGCAAGAATTACAGCGGGGTTTCCAGCCTCCAGGATACCGATGATCACTACTAAATATAGTGCCAGGCCGACAGGGGTCTCAGCAATGATGATGGGTTAATCGGCAAGAATACTTCTAGAAGCCATCTAATTCGTACATGATTAATACAACCGCAATATATATTCTGTATAAGTAATTAGCTTATTATTTCAAAAAGTGTGTTATAATTCACAACAGATTTTCAGCAGCCAAGACAAGTTCATCGTAGGTTTCTCCGATAAAATGCTGCACGTATTATCACGATAGTGGCGTGGATAAATGGCAGCACGTGTTGATTTGAGTGGCCAAGCATTGGCAGCGGTGGGAAAGTGGCGCCAGGGTGCCAGGGTGGGCGCTATCAAGATGCTAAGGATGCCCCTGTCTCTGTCTACCTGGTATTTCATCCCGGAACAGGACGCAGCTGACAATATCTTTTCTTTTTACTGGTCGTTACGACTATTTTCACGTCATTTAAAAAACCAATCCAGGAGCTACAATAACTTGCTTACTCCCTTCCAAATAATTGGCTCTATCCTTGCTCATATGTTCCTTCGACGTCAAAGTGACCCACGACTTCTTCTAGAGTTAGACGTATTAGGAAGTTCTAAACCAGAAAGCTTCCAAACCATGCATAAAGAGAAGCCGAGTAAGCGCGACTACGATAATATTAGTTAACTTAGACTCTGGGTAGTTCTTGTAAGTCTAGTCGCGTGGGTTCCTACAATACACGATGGGTTGAAAGTGTACGCACGTGGTATTCCATCGTCAACGCCAAAATTGTCGCGGTGTTCAATATCATTCAGCATCGTTTCAATTAGTATTCCCCTCTAATTCATGTTGTCTATAACCTACGTTAAACATGAAAACCAGTCATATTTGGGCATTCTTCGTCCGGCTAACCGGGCAAAGCCAACAGAACCAAGAGACCCTACCCGCTTATTCCACCTTAGCTACGAGCCCCAAAGATAGCATTGGTAATTCAATAGATACCGAATCCCTAGGCGAAGATTCCAGCTTCGATGGCTGCCCTATAGACCGTCGCCAGAGCGCAGTCGTGCCCCGCCTCTCGCAATTCCTTTCCCATTTCACCCTAGGCTTTGCCGATGGCCTCACGGTACCTTTCGCATTGACAGCGGGTTTATCGTCTTTGGGCCAAACACAAACAGTTATATATGCTGGTATGGCCGAGATATGCGCGGGTTGTATCAGCATGGGAATCAGCGGGTATCTTGCGGCCGAAGGAGAAACAAGCATGGAGATGAATCTTGATAACCACAATGAGAAGTTGAAGGAGGCTGATGAAGATGCTATTCAAAGATATCTTGCTGTCATGGACCTTCCTCCAGATCTTCTTCAGGGTGTTAAAGCCCATATCGACTACCACCCCTCTGTCTCTCGGCGGCTGTTGAATAACTTAAAGTCGACCGGCGACGACAAGGCTAGAGAATTTCCGCCTTGGGTAATCGGGCTATCGATATCTTTGGGGTACCTGATTGGCGGCATGCTTCCACTGTTCCCATACTTCTTCGTTAACAAAGTTGGCGATGGCCTGCAATGGAGTTTCGTGGTCTGCCTCTTGGCTTTGTTCGTTTTTGGATTTGCCAAGAATTACCTCCTACACAACGGGTCCGTGGGGGATGGTTGGCAACACGGAGACGCGAGAAAGAGTGTCGCGAGGTGGAAAAGATTTCAAGAAAGTTGGTGGGAAGGAATGCGAATGGTTGTCATGGGAGGATTGGCTGCTGTTGCGGCTGTTCTGTGCGTCAAACTTTTTGAAGGAGTTATGTCCTAAACCGCGAAAACACCACCCTGAGAAAACCTAGGTTTCAAAGCTCCGTCTTTATTATGGGATTATTTCCCAGGATAGTCGCTACCTCGGCCGCTTAGTCCGTTCGAATATATCAATTACCCGCGAGACGCCGATTTAATAATGACTTGTTCTAAGAATGTCCTGATGATAACACCGCCCCTTACTATTCCCTCTAACATCATCGCACGGGGCCAAATGCGTACATCTCTTCACAGTTCACAATTAGAGTTCGAAGAGTTATCGCATGGCTCCGGGATGCGCTCCACGACCCATCATAGGCGGAGGCCCACCCCGACCAAGAGGAAAACCCATACCCGGCGGCGGCATTTGTCCCATTCCCGGATTCGGTTGCGGAGCAGGTACTGGCCACCTTCCGGCAGCTTGCGGTGGCATCTCCGGCAAGTGTTCCACAGGAACCGGGCCTTGTTGATTCCACTGGTTCCCGTCTATAATCTCACTCGCGGCGGATCCTACACTCCTTCCACGCCGAGACGAGTTATTTGATGTCGCTGACTCGCTAGAACTACCCTTACTTGGAGGGCCCGATCCTCGTTGCCGACTTGAACGTCTTGAGTTGCGACCCTTGAAGGAACCTATTCAGGGCAATCAGCCGTACATCCATTAAGAGAGACAAAAACTCGCTTACTTCGGCGGCAACACAACCAAACAACCAGTACTAACACTAAGAACGCCACGATACCACTTAAGATTGGGCCAACGTTCTGACCTCCATTTGAAGTCGAATCTGGTGCTGGAGCTACCGTAGCTGGAGTCTCCGTCGGGTCAGAATCGCCCCCTAGAGTCCAAGTGGTGACAAAAGTCGACGTGGGCCATATTATTGTCTGCGTGCGAATCGAGACGTCCTTAGCTTGTAAGCTTCCCATGTGTTTGGTCTGTTCAACCGCCATGTCGTTATACACTGCTAAGTTGGCAACGTAAGGAAAGAAACGAGGTATGTCTATGGGCTTGGAATCAATATTTGTCTACCTCGTGCGACCGACTCCTGTTTATCGTAGAAGGCGAAACCGGTATCGACTGCCCCGTAAAGATGCGAGGTGATATTCGTTCATCTGTTTCGCTTTCCCGAGACATACGTGATGTATCAAGCTACACAGGTATCTAGCTCGCTCCACATAATTCATATTCTACGTTTCAACATTCATCTTGTCTATTGATATGTCACCAGCATTGCTTTACCGTATCCCAGCCTACTTCATCAAAAGATATCTACTAGTCGAAGTATTCCATTTATGTTGCAGAATATTCATTAATATCCCATGTTCACCGCGCCTGTTTAGACTAGAACTGTAACGGCGATTCGCCGCAAGGCTCTGCAAGTAGCCGGGCCCACCGCATGAGCATCGCATACCGGCATATGTAAATTAAGTTGCCTCGAATTGACGTGTTATTGGCATCCCACCTTTCTACTTAGGTATGACCGGAACACTACAGCTTCGGTCAGACGTGATTTATCGGATACCTCGAGGCAGTGTAGCAGTCAATGAAATTTTCTTCCATTTGATCCTGTGGGTAGCCAGACCTCGGAGTCGCAAACATACTACTGGCGAATCGATCTTTGAGGTCCTTTAAGCCTAGTACTTACCTAGGTATATGACATCTCACGATAGACGGTAGTTCTGGACCGTCGCCTTGGCCTAGGTTACGATAAGAATGGTTTCCAGGAAAGTGGAGGTTTGTTCGATGTGGGTCATATATCTGTAAGACATCAGTTTCCCGACCGCTGCGCTCGTGTAATAAAACATTCTATCTCTATTCACAATGATACACAAGCGCTTATTCCAACCTTTTAGTTCAACCTTTAGCTTGTAGGTTGATACCTAACCCGTGGTTCTTAGCCTTTCAATCCGAGCATTTGCTGGAATTACGTAAATCATTGCACGATGCTGTAAGTATGAACAGGTCTGATTTCTGCCTGTGCGCACCCGAAGCGGGATTCTAATTCATGCAGATACCCTTTCTACATAGGTATGAGCCACGCCCCCTCTTGCTTACGAATCTTAATTACCCTCCCAGGTCTACCTAGGTAGATACATTACCTAGATATGAATTGTAATATTCGTGTGCGACAAGGTCACTAGCCGCAAACGATAGATGAACAGCTTGGAGATCTGGAGGCGGGCATCAGAGCGATTTCTTCCTCTTTAGCATTACGATCCCTAATGCTTTTCAAGACATTACAGAGTAATACTGAATCTCCATCGCTTAGTGAGGCTCTAATTCGACTTAGATCATTATCTCGCCGTCCCCGCCTAAAAAAGGCCCCTGACCTGTAGCTATAAATACCCAAGGCACTCTAAAGCTCCTCCCAAGGGGTTAATGTAACCAGGAAGAGTCGGATATACTAAAGAATGTTTTATCTCGCTAATTTTAACTCTATCAACGTTCCATTTGTTAAGCTCGATCATTCGGAGATATAACATGTCGTGCCTGATGATTGTGAAACCCTAATTACCCACCCTTTCTAACGTGTCCCTTGAACATGCAGTAGTTAGGAAGGGTCTTGTTAGACGGTTTCTGTTCTGTATGCCCTCCAGATATCGCGTTAGCCATTCCGTCAACACACTGGCCTAGAATTAACGATTAAGCACTGTTTTGAGAATTGCTCAAATCTCTATCAATTGCTATTTCTCGAGGGTTATGTGCGGCGTATTGACGGAATTCTAGAACGAGCTAATTCGATAAGCTGATTCTTAGGTACTTACCATGAGCTGTTATACTACCGCCGGCAAGATGACCTGCATCAAACAGAATAGGCAGCAGTATAACGGGGAAAATGAAAGAGGAGAGCCGACAAGGCAGCCGTATTTCGGCATAGCCTAGGGAGCGCAAAAACATCCTCTTAGGTCCCAACATTTACCTAGCTATGTGGTATGAGATAAATTGTAGAATATGGAGCAATCGCGTGTTATGTGGACGAACCGACACCTGTAGCACGATTTTGTCCCTAGAATCATGTTTTTCTAACTGAGAGTTTTATCAACTTTTTCGGAAGATATCGACTGGGGATATTGAACCCATAAGTTAGCAATGGCTAGGGAACTTTGTCGATTGAAACATTATCCTTCCTTCCGGAAGAGTACCTTTTACGACACTTGGTACGACCCCACCTACTATACGATGACTGCATCCCTGAAGATGGGGCTTTTTTTCCGACGGTAGACTCGGAGTTGATGTGTTACACCTCGCACTATGGAAAGGTTTTGAGTCCGATCCATAACGACGTGTAGTCACCCTCAGCGGGAACTGGAGTTATTTCCCTCGATATAGATAGTTCTTACCGGCGAGTTAAGCCGCGGTATGCCTTGACCATGAGGCACTTACCTCCCTTGGCGTTGACCGAATTCAGTAGAAGTTGTGGCACAGATGTAGGCTATTTTGTTAATGGGACATAAATCTAGACTGATTAAGATGGTATGTACGCCCTTTTCTTGGTACTGAAAAATAAAAAATCGGCTATCGATCGTGATGGAATTAGGTACTCACGACCCCGGGACCAATGACGATGATACTTAGACCCCAGGAGATATAACATCCATGTATGAAGATATCGATTCCTTGAACACTAGCTACCTTAGTAGCGGCAGGGCGGGTGAGAAGGGCAGGTTTAATCATATAAATCATGGATAGATTGCATGGTTGGTATATAAATGAATATACAAGTTAAATTGAGCCATATTAATCATTTGAGCGTCTTCATGAATGGATGGTATGAAGATGTTGTGATATGATTTTGAGAAAGTCCGAGATGTAACCCGAAAAGGGGGGATATACGTTACGTCAGCGTGGCTAATTGTGGACCCAAATCCCTGAAAACAAGCTAACGCCCCTGGATGAACCGTGCTCCGGATTACGGCGGTGCAATCCGGGGGGAAGTTGCGAGGGCTCGTTCTCTTATTGGACCAATCGTAAGTCTTGTACCTAGGTATTTTCAGACTTTTATTCCACTCGATCCAGGCAGCAGCGTTTTCACCTCGTACTCACTTTCAATCCTAATCCGTTACCAACGTATGGGAATGGCCTACCAATAATCCTAGAGCACCACGAGCTCTCGTCTAACCTAAACGATCCCTAGCTGGCACTGTATCATTGATGGATCCACTCATACAGACTCACGCTTAGGCACCGAAATTATTCTCACGCATTGCCTCTCGTTGAGCTAGCTCAAGGCAGCTGAATTAACTGCTTCGTCTGTCACACAACGTGAGCATCTCGACGTTTTATGATGCGAGGAGTCTCGCATTGTGCGCCTGGAAGTTCCTTGGGGCGCTTTCGCACATACCAAAACTCTTAACCCTTCTTCGATTCGTTAATATTTCTTCGGGGTTGTCTTAATATTGACTGCTTCATCATTTATATGGATGAGCGCCACTTTTACGTTCGTTGCCTAGCGCCACGCCACTCATCAGTGTTAGATTCGTTGGTATTGTGCTGAAATAAGACGCAATATATTCCAATTTCTTGGGTAGATTCTATGAGGATATATGTTTGTTATGTTGACGAGACATTGATAAGACGTTTATGAGAAATTTTCTACTTCCTATTTTCCATTCTCTACACTACTCAACTCTGCAGTTTTGTCTACCGGGAAGCTCTGCTTAGCTAATCCAGCTTGAACGCCTTCATCCGGCAACCGTCTACCATGGAGTCGTTTCTTCCTAGGGGCGGTTTCCAACTGCCTTTCCAACGCCGACTGAGCAGGCTCTACAATGACACGAAAAAGTCTTCCGACTTTGTCAAGGAGTCGGCTCCGAGCCTTGACGATCCCGACATCAAGGCTTTACACCGAAAGCTACGGATTCAGAAGGACCGCTTGGTTAGTTGGGGTTTGGAATGGTCTGATCCGAATCAAGCTGCCGAGATCGACGAGTCCCTTTCCAAGGCAGGCTTAAGCGATCTCGTGGGTAGTATTATGGCCACTATCAAAGACATACTTGCGGAGGCTGAACCCCTGTGGCTGGCCTCCCGGCAAACCGTTGGAGGTGAAAAGAGGTCCGAAAAAGCAACTGGTGACCGAAAAACCCCCTTGATTGTTTGGGATAAAGGAAGATTTGAGGACCTAGTTACGGACTTAACCGCATCCATCGACACCCTTTGCGAACTATCTAGGACGCGTTCCTCTGCCGCAGTGTCTTCGAGAGCCAGATCGTTTAAGCCTACTGCCTCGACCGAAGACTTGCGGCCTTATAGCTCTACGAGAATCCAAACTCCGCAGCAGATCGATCTTCAGACGCTGACAAGCCTAAAGTCGATGCAAACCATGCCCATATCAGAATCGGGAACGGGTCGCAGCCGACCACAAGAAATATTCTTCATGGGCAGGCAAGCCTACGTTGAGCTAACGAATCGACAAGGGCCGCAGCCTTCGTCCCCTTTACTAGTCGAATATGCACCATTCGATCCGATATACTCGGCGACCGGCATCATGCCGGACATGTCTCGGTTCGAGAAGTTGAGCGCTGGTCTTCAAACGGACTCGCATAGATCACCAGGCTCGTGGATTGGCCTTCCCCTTCTTTTGGGCTATTATGAAGACATGAGGGAGTCAAGGCTTGCCCTAATATATCATTTCCCTCCTGGATTCAACCCAGTGACCTTTGAGAATTTCACTCAGAATCCTTTAGACAGCCTCAACACACTTGAGGAACTTTTATATAGACCCGACTTCGAACCGACGTTGGAGGCTAAATTTCGTCTCGCTCATAATCTAGCGAATACGGTATTCGATATGCATGCTAGACAGATTGCTCATGGGAACCTTAGCGCATCTGCAATATCATTCTGCAATACCGTCGGCAACGATCCAGGATTACCCGTAGGTGAGGTAGATATCAGGAGACCGCTCGTTTCATCCTTTGATGTCTTTCCCGACGAATCTTCGCATACCGACTCACCGTCTACTTTTCTCTTACATCGCCATCCTCTTGACCCCCGGACGACCAGCCAATCGCCTCTTGCGTCAAATAGCGATACTCGGACTCTAGATTTATATTCATTAGCTATGATGCTCGTCTCCATTGGTCTCTGGACTCAGCTCGACAACCTCGTCCCGGACCGAAATTCTCCTAGTATCTCCGAGTCGGTGCTCCAACAGCTAGCGATACGTTGCGGTACACCTTATATGCGAGCTGTCCAGGCATGTTGGAATGCGGTCGATCAAGAACTCGTTCATCCTGGTTCTACCGAAGAGATTTTAAGCCAGGTTCAGATCAGGGTCAGCCGTTACTTAGAAGCTTGTTGTATATTGGACGGGTTAAGTGGGTTAGACGAGCGATTGAGTGATGATAATGATAGATTTTCTCCTAAGAGAGAAGTTAAACTCGAGCCTACATCTGAGCCTCTAGCAGGTCCATCTGCGAGCACGCGATCTAGTCATAGTAGAATTGCTCGGCAGACTTCGAGTAAAGAAGTGTCGGAGACTATCGCCGTTGATACCAAGCAGGGACTACAAGGTATGTCGACATTTTTACTGGGTATTTCATTTAATATTGACCGAACGCAGACAACAAACCTCGGGAAACGACATCAGAGCGCTCACGGGGCGCACGACCAAAACTCCGCCTATATCCTCAAGTACCCCTCTCGGCTGAGACAATTGAGCAATGGCATAGTACCCTTATGCCACAAATCAACATGGCCTTGCGACATTTCTATCGTAAAAACCCCGAATCTGTCGAGATCTCGCTTGAATCCATCGGGGAGTCACCCCAGAAGACCCAACCGACTGTGTTAGTCGTCTGCACCTCAGTGAGTACGGTCCGGGCTATTTTAAAGAAGAAACTCGGTGTATTCTTCGATGGGACAACTGGTTTTTCTCTTAAAGTCTGTCGCGGCTCCATGGTACGCTCTCGAAAGGGACCGACGAGGAGTATGGCCAAAGGTCAGCATGCCAACTCCCCTAGCGATTATGGTAACGAAAGCGAAGGTGAGACGGATGACCCCGAGGCCGCGAATCCTGGTTTCCAGGAGAAACCGCAAAGTGGTGCTAGCATTGGTTCGTGGATAGGTGACAAACATCTTCCACCAGTCAGTTTTGGCGGTCTGATCGTCGTTGATGATAAGGCCTATGGAATGACTGTCCATCATATGTTAGATGATCCAGAACAGGCTATGCATTCGGTTCCTTCTGAGGAGGCCAAGAGAGCTAATGCACCTCCTCGAAGTAGCGCCACGGCGGAACGCATAGCATCCTTCCAGGAAGAAGATTCATCAGCCGAGGATAGCAGCGACGACTTCGCCGGAGAATTCTCAGATTCCGAGTCGGAATTTTCTCTCACAGATATCACTAGTGATGATGAAGATAGCGACGAAGACGAGGAGGAAGAATATACCGATCCCGGAGATATCCCAGGTGTCGAACCAGGTTGCGGAGATGGTATGTAAACTTCCTTCAAATACGCACCAGACAGATAATATGAGTAAATTCCCAACATCCAAATCCCATGGAAAGCGAGCCTTAATAATTAGAGCCACCTTATTTATACATTACTAAACAAAACCTATAGGATATATAGTAACACAGCCCGCTCTTGACGACGTGCCCGATGGATTCTATCCCTCGGAAGAGACGATGGATGAGGTGAGTTAACACAATTCAACAATTTTGCTTTTCCATAGTTATCAGAAGACACTAATTGTCCAGTCAGGATCATATTGACACATACAAACTTGGCGAGGTTTATGCTTCTTCCGGAATACGTCGGCGTAACGAAAATGGACTGATTCACGAGATTGACTGGGCCTTGTTTGATTTCCAAGACGAAAGGTTACCACATGACAATCTTATCCCCCGCGCTGCGTCTGGTAGCGCTCATTCTACTACTTCGGTAGGAAACATTCATCCGACAGAAGTAGTCCCGGCAAAGTCTCTACCGGGGTTGGAAGTTCAATGCATTGCGCGTACAAGTGGTCTACAGGTAAGGCATTTGACTATTTTGGATGTCCTTGTGAGATTAGCTAACATCCCGGTCTTCACCAGATGGGTCATATTCTACCTGCTTTAACCTCTGTCAAAATATACGGTCGGACATCCCCAAGCCACACGTACCAAGTCAGCGGTCGACGATCCAGCCCTCGTAGATATCCTCTTCCTGCTACGGAAGACCCACCTAAGGTGTACCCTCGCTCGATTCTTCCTTTAGGAGTGCCTGGCGACTCGGGTGCTTGGGTAGTTGACCGTCCGGAAGGTCGTCTCTGCGGACACGTCCTAGCCTGGAGCGAGCGCAAACAAGTAGCCTACATCTGTCCAATGGAGGTCCTACTCATCGACATCGCAGAGACGTTAGAAGCAAGAGATATCCGTCTCCCAGGTGGTAGTGCCATCATCAGCTTAGCTAGAGGTCATCCTGAGGAAGTTGTCGAAGTTTCTGATTTAGAAGATTGGAGCGAGCAAGGTAGTATGGTCTATGAGGAAGAGAGGGGGAATACCCCCGCATTACACGAAATTCATGATGTTGGCGATGATCCCTATACCGAAAACCCTAGCGGATCCAAGAGGCTTTCGGCTATGAAGCGAGAGCAGCGGTTTAATCGTCGAAGCGGGTCTAAAGGCTTAGCTTCTGATATGGATAAGATGCACTTATAAATGATTATATGTGTGAATGATGGGATATAGGAGTTTGGGTGGAATGGAATGAGGTGGTGAGATACCCCTTAGACACATTGGTTACTAGCTAAAATAGATGTGAGCAAATGTATCACAACACTTGGCTGGAAATCTAGCCGGTAACCATTTTATCTTCATTGCCAAAATACGAGTTCTTGCACATTGTTTCTCCCTGTTACAACCCTTTGTATCTTCTGAGTTACCCTGGGTTGACCAATCATACCAATGGGATGTTGTGTTACCCATCGTGATGATAGCCACGGTAGAGTGGGGTACGAAACCCCACCACTAACAATCACAGGGGGCGTTCCACCACGAAAAGACCTTACTAAAGACAAAACAAATCATAGGGAATACAACTCGCAATTCGTTCTGGGGTATCTACCTATATCATATGAATGGTGAAAAACAAAGCAACCTGTGACCTCATTGACTGCCACCAAGTGCTACCGAAGTGTGTCAAGCTGCATCTTTGATAAACATCGCGAGATTAAAGCGTCGCAGAATGAGTCGAAGTGTTACGCGAAAGGAAACCCGCCGTGCCTGTTAAACTCCAAACCCCATCCATTTCCTCGGGTCTCAAATCACCAAGAATGCACCCATAACAACCATTAAGCCGGCTCCAACCATGCTACCAAGGACGTGGTACGTCTCACCCTTACTCGAGACACCACCGCTAGTAGCATGCTCCGACGAAGAGGGGGAAGGGGTGCCTAGCTCGGCAGTCAAAGCATCGTCAGTAGTGTAAGTAGCCGTGACACCGGTACCGTTGGTGCAGTTCTGCGAGGCCGCAGTGATCTTTCCCTTGACGAAGTTGACACCAGCACACTAGAACGATTTGATTAAAAATATGCTTTACGGAGATGTGGTTCTGAATGAGTGCGACATACCTGGTAGAGCTTTCCGTCAACGGCCTTGGAGACGATACCAAGGTAACCCTTTTTACCGACGAAATCCTGGGGGACGGTGACTTGCGGGGCACAGTACTTTCCGGCGCCGTCCTGCTTGAAGATGGGGAAGATCTTGGTCCAGTTGCCGTTTGCGCCGGGGTCAGTGGTGACACGGTAAAGCCAATCACCCTCGGGATGGGTGAGAGTAGTGGCGATGTAATCACCATCAACATGGAAATCGGTGATGGCGACCTTGGTGATGTCAGGATTGTAACCACCGCAAGGGGCGGTACCCTCCTTGTCGTCATCAAAGACGCCGACAACCTCGGGGTACTGGACGGTAAAGTGAGCCTGGATGCCACCCGCAAGGAGTAGCATGGCTGTCGCGAAAGGTGCCATGGGAGACATGGTGCTTGTTGATCTTGGTGTTTATCTTGGTCGATTGATTATCTAGATAGCTGGTTAGGATCACGAATAATGTAAACAATATGGATGCTGAATTAAAGATACAAAGAGGATGATCAAAATTGGACGAAGGGAGGGGGATATACACTACCTGCCGATGCAACGTAGCGTAACCTGTAATAGATAGGTGAGACAAGTCGACGGGTCGGCTTGTAGTAGAAGTAGGGTCGCGTCGATTCAGGAAGAACAGGGCGGAAGTATGACGGGATGCGATACTGATAGGTGAACTTGATGGTAGTGATTGTGAAGTTCAGTCAAGAGTGAACGAAGTTGAATGAGGCAAGAAAAAAAAAAAAGAGAGAGAGATACATGGATTAGTCGGGTGGGAGGTGAAGATTAAAGGGTTAGGTTACCTTATCAATTAATTTTTGAGGTGTCAAACAACAAAACCCTTGCGCTTTCCCATGTACCTGGAGAGAATTATTGCATAGCAAATGAGAAGCACTCTTCGAGGTTACCAAAGTTGGGAAGGAAGGTTGAACCCCCTAGCTTCAGGTACCTAGATAATCTACGTATGTAGGTAGATATTAGGTGCAGGTAGGCGCTACGCTGTATGTTAAGGGTTGCACAAAGAAGGTCAGGCCGAGGTACAGGTACACTATTATTAAATTGGCAGCGACATTATTTTAGCAGGTACCACATTACAACATTGAAGTCTACGGCCGTTGCTCCGGAACGTGTTTGTGGTAGTCCAGCCGGAAACTTAAAAACATCTCTACCTACCTACCTACCTAGGTAGGTACCTAGGCAGGCGCGAAACACATGTGTTCCCTCGATAATACACGATATTTTACACCTGCGTAACCAACATAACCCTACAATTAAATACATGTACCTACTACATACCTTCATAAGTACATAGATATATTTGGACAAATATTTTAGTTATTCTGTACCCTTTGTGCAAAAAAGATAACATCATCGTAGGTGTATGAAAGAAAGACATGTAGTTCTGGAATCGCGATAATTGGTTGCTATTTCCTATTATTCTCGTCAAAAGTGTGGGGTCTCTTCCGATCCTGAATGGATAGATCTTGGTTTCTAGGGTCTTCTTACAGGGGGCCCCCCTGCCCATCTACTCCCCAGCTCCCTATGCATACCACGGCTACCAGCCCCCACCTTGTTTCTTTTACTTCTAAGTGGTTGGGGGCTACCAATTGAGGCTATTTGAGCAAGTTGCAAGATGGTAGCGTTAGATTTAGCTCACAAAGAAAGAATCCCTACTCTTTCTTAATCGTTCTAGCCTACCTATTCAATCTCCCTAAATTTACATAATACCAATAACAACCTGAATACATAAAGATATCAACTCCAACTTGATGGAGAAGTATCACAGATGGATCGCAGCATTGTTTCAAATTTCGAGGTGTTACATTAGTAGACCGCTCTTCCCAGATACCGGATACGAACACAAGAGGGGGCTTTAAAACAAGACATATCGAGGTACCTAGGTGTCTTTAGGCTTCTTGCAAACATCGGATGTTGCACCTCCAATTATATCATACCAGGTGGGTGATGTTTGCAAGGCACTAAATTCTACGTATAAGGATCAAACCAACAATCAATCCTGTGGTGCTCAATCGCGCGCATGTGAGTCCACCAGAAGTACTCAATGAAGTAGTAGGTACCGACCTTATCTAATCCATCCCGCAATCACTGCTATACCCGCTATGAGGTAGCCCTAGAGGTACCTACCCTACCTATATCTTAGCCTAAGTATGAGGTTGCATGCAGGGCTAGAACCACCAGTTCGCCCACCTACCTGGTTCTGAAACCTGCTCGCCATTCTTCTGTACCTAGACTACCTAGGTATTTCTTTGCATGGTTCCTCCCTTTCAAGTTATTCCATGATAGTACCCGCTTTACATTCATCTCCACTTCCACTTCCACTTCCACCTCCACCTCCACCTCCGCAATCTTTACACTTACATCCGACATCCCTTGACTACAACTTCAACTCCAACTTTCAAGTAGAGTGACTCGCGCTTCGGGATCACAACGAAAATACAAGAATAATTCGCATTATCCCACTTCAATACCCGACGAGATCGTTATTGGCAGAATAATCCGCGACCAAAGAGAAGTCTGCAATGTCTGCCAACATCTCACCCGCATCGAACGCCGTCAATTCAGGATTTCACCTTCGTTCTCCGATTTTCTAAACAATTAGTTCGCTACTTTCGCCTGTCCCGTGAACTTATAAACCAACCAATTCAATAATAAACGAGAATAAGTACGCAAAGATGGATATGGATAGTATGAGTGACATGAGCGGAGATGACACCGGAATCAATAAGTCGTATGCCAAAGGGTTTTGGTATCTCATCTCGGCCGCCATCGCCTTGTTCCTTGCCATCCGCGCCGTTAACTACATCATATTCTGGTCAAGGTATGCCGGCCCTATCAACGACTACTGACCCCGCATCGAATCTTTGGTCAAGCCATCATGCTGATCACTCTACGTATAGGCTACGTAGATCCAGAACCCGTTCGGTAATCTTCCCTACGAGGCCAACAAACCAGTTCTCGCGATTATGGGCCACGTTGACTGCTGTTGCTAGGGAGATGAGTTACCCGCAGTTTTATGTTTCGATACGAAATTTGACATGGATGACGCCACCACCTATGGGCTGTATTTATATTCTTATGGTTTACTGGGCTGTGGTTGTTTACATGATATTCAAAGATTCCGTGAAACAAAACCTCGAAATCCTTGCGTATCGTAACGCTTGGGTGACCGTTACTCAGGTACCGCTTCTTTACCTACTGGCATCTAGGACCAACGTTATCGCACTGGTTGTCGGTACAAGCTATGAGAGGTTAAATTGGCTTCATCGATGGGTAGCCCGCACCATGTTCATCACTGCCACCGCTCACGGCTGGGTTTTCTGGTACGGTTGGGCCAAAGCCGATATTTTGGATATAGAATTTGATATGATGGGTAACATGGTCAATTATGGTTTGGCAGCTTGGGGAATCCTACTTTGGATGACCATTACATCCTTCAAGCCTTTCAGGTCTATGGCATACGAGTTCTTCGTCATTCAACATATCCTCGCGGCCATCATGTTCTTGTGGGCTGTCTACGTTCACGTCCCCGCTTCTGCTCGGTATAACGTGTGGTTCGCAATCTCAGCATTGTGCTTCGATCGCGCTTGTCGCATTGGCCTTCTCATTTGGCAGAATCTCAAGTTCCGTCCGAGACGTTCTTGTTGTGAAGGTGGACAATGGATTGGTCATCAGACACAGCTTTCCCCGATCGGCGAGTCAATAACCGTACTTACCATCAAAGATGTTCATTTCAAATGGAGAGCGGGGCAGCATCTCTACCTATGGCTACCAAGAGTAGCGCCGATCGAGGTGCATCCCTACACGATAGCCTCCGCTCATCAGATGCCGGATACTTGCATCTGCAATAGCATTCAATTGGTGATTCGCTCGCATTCGGGCTTTTCGAGGCGGCTCAACCATTTTGCGCGAAAGCTAGAGGCATCTGGGAGGAAGCAAACCTTGACGGCTATGGTTATAGGTCCATACGGACATCCGCCCCGATGGAACGTATTCGAAACGTTAGTCTTTATTTCTGCTTCGACTGGCGCATCTTACACGCTTCCTATTCTGGAGAGTGTATTGAATAATAAGGCGCCATCGTGTACCAAGCGAGTAGATTTCCTACTAGCAGCAAGGCATGGGGAGGAAATTGGGTACTACCATGAACGTCTGCTTGAAGCTATCGAAAAGGCTAAGTCAGTTGGCATCGAACTAGCCGTATATATCGCCGTGACTGGTGACGGGCAACTCGGGGCGCTGGGCGCCTTGTCATTCCCCGCATCTTTAGCATCATTCGCGAGTCATGAGAAGAAAACCGTAGAGGAAGAGGTTAGGGCTTCAGCAAATACCGAAGGAATCGCTCAGCCACTTATGAGCCAGTCACGAAGCAGACTCTCGGACGGCTCCGAGCCGCATGTTCATCGTTCAGCGACACGACCTGATGTGTCAGATTTTATAAGAGCGGCGGTCGAGGCCACCGGAGGGGAGACGGGCGTGGTCGTGTGCGGCGGACAGTCTCTAGTTGCGAAAACAAGGACGAGTGTGGCTAGGATAAGTGATGAACGGGCCGTACATAAGGGCACCGGCGCCCAGGGAATTTTCTTGCATGTGGAGGAGTACTGCTTTTAGTCAAGGAACCAAGAGAAAAGAGGTATTGATAATACGGATAATACCAGCCATAGAATTAATTGATTCGGAATCAGCTCATATGCCCGTAGTGACTTAGATCACATATCACTATTATCTCTCCAAATTTACAATTAAGTGTGTCGCTATGATTGGCGACCAATGAGGAACCAACGACAGCACTTCTTGCTACAAGTTGACAGTTCGCCTTCAAAGCCACAGCGATGATTCGGTGACATAAGAGGAGAGAATGCTGTGCTAATGGATCATGTTTGTCTAACATTGCCATCTTGGGCTCATTGAGGCTACCTGAACAAGTCGGGTAGTTCCGGCGGTGGTCTTTTTGTCTCACTATGATGTCGGAAGCGAGGTCTCGAACAATTTTCTGCTTAGACATGCAGCCCTACAGTGGCCTCGTGTTACCGCCACTGTCCGGTTAGTAGAATGATGCTACTACGCGTCTAAGAGTACGGGGGAAACATCAGCCAACCTAGAAGATAGCAAGTAGGCAGGTGTCTATCGCTTCTTCTTCCAGTATGATTCGCCTTGCTTTACCAACTTGTTTAGTAGGGATGCGATGCCACTTACGCATAATTGCAGGTATACTCATTCCGGTAACACGAATGGTGACTATGGGTGTCAGCATTTGCACTTTCGCAGTGTGGTAGTTCTGGCTATCTCGGCGAGAAGAGGGTCGATTCTTGTAAGATATTCGTTCAAAAACCGGTGCTGACGATGGCGAACTCCCACGGCTTATCCGGGATTGTAAGGAGGCGAGTTTCCATCACATTTCGGATGGCTCCCAATGATGAATCTTGGGGAATTTCGTCCCCCGCCGCGTAAAGTCGTCAGCCTTTCTCAGCTGACCGGACTTTTGGTAGCTGCAAGACACCTCATTGACCGATGTCCACGAACGTGCGAAAGGTGAAATGATGATCAATGAGGCGTAACCGATGAGGGGTTACGGGTCTTAGCTGGTACAAAACCTCGCGGCTCGAGAAATAAGCAATAATCTGATAGTTCTTGTTCATCTGAATACCTAGATCAGCGTAGGGCTCTACAACCTAGTTGTAGACCATCAGAGCCTCGAGTAATCCCGAGATTTATAAATTCCGTAAAATGAGGGTGGGGGACGTATTCTCATGAACAGATGTTGCTGGCAAGATTGATGTTCGTCTGAAGATGCGATGCTCTATCACGCGAGCATCCAAAATACAATTAGGTATCTGTAAAACTCCGACCTCCGATTTATGATAATGTTCACCGGTGTAACTAGTTCGCCGCCGCGACCGAGCTCGGCTTAGAAAGCTGTCATATCCGCGCGGGCAGACCTAGGTACATCTTAAAACGCAATACGCTGGCCTCGGTCAAATACTGATATTTTATATCGCCGACAGCGGAGATTGTACATCTTGACGCTTCAAAACATACAGGTAGCTTCAAGTTGATCAAGACATTGAGGGCGCCAAAGCCGTTATGGATGTCGCAGATCTTGTGATACGACGTATTCCCCGTATAGAGGCTTGACAAGATATAATGAGATACTCAAGGCATGACGAAGGGTATTGATTGGTGGCGTTCCTGAGCCGCTTACGAGAGGAGCTGAAGATACGGAATTGGAAGTCGTGGGGCACCGACCAGAAGCATATGCAACGATGTTCCCTGGTTGAGGTGCATGTTGAGAATCACGCGGTAGATTCCGGGCGGCGAGGCTGGTCGCCATACCTATCTGCGGGTAGGTATCACCTTTTAAGGTGATAGCCAAGACCTATAGCTCACGATCATCTTTCACACCGTCTTAAGAAATGAAACGAACTTCTCACCCGAGTAACTGGCTAGATACCTAAGTAAGGACGATACGGCTTTAAGTCCATCGGTGCTACGCGAGATCGTCTCTCGTTTATAGTTTACTCTAACTTGAATTAGATAACCTACCGCGTGGGAGGGTGTTATTAAATGATTAAATGATCGTGACCCAAGTACTTGGTGCTCTGGCCCGTGCTCTGATCCCGTGTATTTGTATCGATGTGGAAGATCAGAGCCCACTAATTACCTAACTCATCTAGGTGCCTCACAACTGCCCATACAAATAGAGATTTAGGTCCCTCCATTTGTCTACTTTTTCTTTTCTAACCAGCCTCGCATGCCGTTCCGTGTGGGGTTTGTCTGAAGTTTTCCGTCCATCACCGAGACTACTCGTCGATGCCTGCAAATGTACGAACTAATGTGGCAACATCGAGCCAATATCGCTGTGCATGCTCCGGAGCTCGTTCCTTAAGACTCGTCCAGGTCTTAGATATCTACCCACCTAGGTGAATACCTAGGTACTTATTTGATTCCAGGTACCTACCTAAAGCCACAACATCATTACCCCATATAGATTATCACGTATAGGATCTTATCGACTGTGAGCATGACGACAACGTTGATTGTCCGAGTCGTCTATTGATCTCACATCATGTCACGATATCCCCTATAAGTCACAAAAGTGCCCATCTAAGCCTTGGATATTACCGCACATGGAAATATATTCGGGGCCATCATATTTCTAAGCGAACGCCAATTGTCCGTAGGTTCGTCCACACCATCTTCAGTGGGGATTGTTTCATATCAAAGAACCTTGGCAAGTCCCTGAGAAACTACCTAGCACGTGTTGGATCTGAATCGGTACATACCTTTCATCGTAGGATCTATTGTTCTAATCTTACGCCTCTTAACTTTTCATGTTTTTAGTTTCGTCCTGCGCCGACAGCAACGCGATATGAGCTGAGAACTAACGAAAAACGTACCCAAGGTATCATTAAGGTGACCCCTCCATGAGGATATTCAAAACCTTCCACATCCAATTTAAGGTGCTCTATCCCTCCTATAAAGAAGATGGAGGGGAGAGAAAGGATTCTCCCCCTCAGAAGCAGAATTCTGAGTGGTTCCAACATGCGCGAGTTCCGGCTGGGTGGGGTTCGAAGTCATGAATTTCATCTTACACGGCATCCCTTCGCTGTGATCTCGAAGCTATATCCCGTGTATTGTACACTTGGCAGTGGCGCTCGTGAGACAGCACTAGATCAGGCATTCCAAATAGAATGCCAGAATCGATCTGATCAGCTCATTGTGGATGCATGGGGGTCCCTCCCTTGAGAAATTATATCATTGAAAGGTAGAATGATCGCCAAGATGAACGGCAAAGTAAGTTATCTCATGAGACCAAATGAGAGAAGAACCTTAGTCCTAGTTCTTAAGCTTCGACCTCCCTAGACTTCACAAGTCTTTTGTTATCACCGTTACGCTATAGTTCGCCTTTACGGCAGCAGTGATGGCGGTTATCACTGGGATTCTATTCTCGGCGTTGTTACTCTGCCTGGTATACTGGAAGAGGCATGTACGCAGTCAAAATAGAGTCCCGCCGGACGCTCGACCACTCCCAGGTCCAAAATGTGAGTCATAGAATGCCCCTTTCACCCTTCGTCTTTGAGAGACCTCGCCTGCTAACAATCGCAGCTTACCCTATCGTCGGCCGCGTACACGATATCCCGTCAAAAACATCATGGCTAAAATTTTACGAGTGGAGTAAAGAGTTTGGGCCGATATATCAGACGGAGATGTTTGGTACGGTTCACGTATGGATCTCATCAGAACGAATCGCGAATGATTTGCTTTCGAGACGAGCGGCAAACTACTCCGACCGGCCGCAAATACCAAATCTTCCAAATAATAAAACGAGCGGCGAATATCTCGCGTTGGCGGGAAGAAATGGTATGTGGGCACCGAATGGAGAAAGAGCTCAGCACTAATACGCGCCAGACACATGGAAGCGACAGCGGAAACTCTGCCAGCAACTTATGGCTGTATCAGCCAGAGGCTCGTTGCATGACTACCCAACAAAGGAACGAGATCGGTTTATATACTTACTGTCGCGTGACTCATCACAATATCGAGAGTACATCGAGCAGTTTACATCACGTACGGTATCTCGTCTCTCATGGGGCAGTCCCCATCCGGCTCATATCCTACGAACAACCACTTTCGGCCTCCTTGAGACCATATCTCCATCCGGCGCACTCCCAAATGTCATATCATGGCTTATGCATGTCCCAACATTCATGAGCCCGTGGAAGCAAAAGGAGAAGGCTCGACATGAGCTTGAAGCAGATTTACTGAAGGGTAATGTACAGTACGTACACGATCGTATTGACGAGGGAAACGCCGAGCCCAGTTTTATTCACACTTTCATCAACTCTTTAAGCGACGAGAGTAAGAAAGATAAATGGGGTGATGAGTCCGAGGCTACGTATGTCGTCGGACAAATGGCCATTGCTGGAGCCTTGACGATCGGCAGCCCGATCCAAAGCTTCATACTTGCCATGTTACACTATCCGGACTGGCTCAGAAAACTTCAAAAAGAAATCGATGAGGTATGTGAAGGGAGATGCCCCGAGTGGGACGACCGCGAAAGGCTACCCATGCTCCGAGCCGTCGTTAAGGAGGTGATACGGTGGAGACCACCAGTCCCAACAGGTAAGTCACCCCGCAGGAATTTTTGATAATTAGGGGATGTGATTTACCACCCCTTGATTCGTCGTGCTTTTTTCGTTAACAATTCAGCAAGGGATTCCCCACGCGATCGAAAAGTCTGACGTGTATAATGGTTATTTCATTCCCGCCGGTGCTACCATTCACGCGTTGGAATGGTAAGTCAATTCGCTTTAATCCATGACTTCATCGCATTCTCAAGCCACCCTAACCACATAACAGGGCTATTACCCGCGACGAGGATGTGTACTCTGATGCTGACACGTTTAATCCCGGCCGATGGTTGGATCCTAAGTACCCGACATATAAGGAGCCATTGACCGTATACCCAACTCTTGTCGGCTTTAGTCAGTTTGGCTTCGGTCGTCGCACATGCCAAGGCATCCCGATCGTGGATCAGGATCTCTTCCTAGCTATGGGAGGCATGGCATGGGCGTTTGACATTCGGAAGAAACGTCGGGCTGACGGTAGCGAAGTACCAGTTCACTGGAACGACTTTACGCCACTCCTTATCGCTAAGCCGGCACCGTTTGAATTCGATGCTGTGATACGCAACGAGGAGATAGAAGCAGTCATAACCCGGATGTGGGAAACTGGCAAGGGCGAGGACGACGAGGAAGAGGAGCAAAATCAATCGTTAGTGCAAATGGATAGGAATGAGATCGCAGCGGTAGTAGCAGCCGCGGCAGCCGAAAAGCGGGATGACGACGCCGGTAGCGACCGTGGCAGTGATACAAGCGCCGCAACATGTTCATTAGCGGGATCGGTCTCTTCCTCTAGCATCGGATCCGATAGTGACGGGGATAGTTCGCCGTCGGGATCTCCACTCAGTTCGTTAAACGCAGGACGTTTGTGTCGGCGGATGTAGATTAGGTCAGTACCGTGTACATGTCTTCTAAGTCGATATAGCATGAGATGTGGAGGTGTGGCATTCATGAATTCGACATATGGGTCTACGAAAACTTGATTATGTTTCGCATAGCAGTGGCCATTCACTTCTCTCTTTTTGTTCATTAGTTATGCGTGTTGGACGGGTCTTTCTTTTTCTAAGCTATATAGGTACCTAGGTAGCCAAAATTGTACTTCAACATATACATCAAAATAAATTTTATACTAGAACCGAATGAGAGTTAGCAGAAATCGTACTTCGACTGTGATGACCAAGTTTATCACCTTTTCTTTTCTATTAGCACTTCAAATCTGCTTTCTATCATGCTTACTTCGTCGTTGCGAATCAGTCGCTCCCGACTCCTCACAGCAGCCAGATCGACGGCAAGCGGAAGCACTCCACTACGAACGCCCCGCTTATAATGTTTCTTATCTTTATGATGCCTAGAAGAACTAAGGTCTGATGATACACCCTCTCGGTAATACTCTCTTTGCGCCTAGGGAAAGACGAGACTCCCAGAGGAAATCATGAGAGTAGAACGTGTATCGAAGTAAGGGGAGCCAAGGACTGATATATATTCGACAAATAGCCCATGTCTCTTGGCTGCCGGTGAACGTTCGTACAGAGTACTGGGAGCTGAAAAGGGGTGTTTTAGGATCAAGGGGATCCGTTCGGAAATAGCCATCGGGTCAGGGATCTTCTTCGAGGTAGGACAGATTAAAATGAAATAGTAATTAATAACAGGGACGAGGGTACCTGGAAGCCAATGGATTTAGTATATACCTCTATAACCGTAAGCATATCCAATATGCTCTCTCGCAACTTGGTCCTTCACCTAGAAAGTGATGAGTTTCGATATCTCGAGGGTTTGTTAGATTACCTAGGTATCGAGCACTCATGTAGTGCTTAGGTAGATACTTGGGTACACAGCAGATTCTCTCAATTCGATAGGCTGTGAAGTAGTATTTAGAAGATATGTGAATGCCGTAGGATCCGGCAAGGTGAGGGTCAAGAGGTTACATGCATACGCCATATTGTTGGATGCTGAGTGGTGAAGTCGTACTAAGGATCTGAGACTTATAAGCATAATTGAGATCGCGATGTCGTATGTTAGTTTGCCTATTCCGGGATATGCGAGCTTCCTATCGCTGTCAAGTTGTACCAATGGTTCTCGGAGAATGAAGAAGGGTTCATAGGAGGTTATACATAGGTTCGGAGAGTTTGATCTGAGTCAATGATTATTAAACAAGTCGCGAGTAGATTTAAAAATAAAAATACAGAAATAGGGGAAACGCAAAGTGATACCATCGCCCATGATGGTGTGTAATGACGGTGAGCCGGAAGCGATGGTTGTCGGTAGCACGCAAGATTCGCGTGGAAGCAACCAGGATCTGACAATCGCTACCATCAGATAAGATGAGGCGACGGCATGAAATTGGAGAGCGTATCGCTTTTGATTGGAATATCAAGGAGAAAGAAATAATAAATAAATACAAGGTACAAAATAATATAAAAAGTGCATGGAGGTGTGGTAGTGGTGTATGTAGGTACTAGGATAAGCCCGTCTACTGTTGGTACAGCACATGTATAGGTACCTGTATGTTTTAGCACATGCCATTACTCGCAGGGAAGAGTACGACGCTGGCAGAACCCGAGATAGTGACCTATAAAAACAAGGGATGAATATTGCACGGTTTGCGGGGGAAATTCACCTACTATTGGCTCATTACGCCTATTATGTAACCAGTACATTGACCTACGAAATCATCATTTCCTCGCTCTCTTCTGCGAATGCTTCATGTTACTTACAAAAGTAGCAGATCAGCGAAAAATGACAAGTCGTTTTTTCACCACCTTTAGTCTCATCCTTCTACTAATTCTTCTGGGAAAGATACATACATACGTCAAGTAAAGATGTTGCACGTTTCTTCGATTATGGAGAAAGAATGGTCCCGTGAAATTTCGTGACCAAGCCACTCGATGCCTATCGCTCTGAACGGTAGGTAGACAGACGATAAAAGCCATACTCACGATTGCGCGACGTGGCCGAACGTCTGGCCCTGGTTCTACGGGTGCTCCATATTCATGTAGGTAACATGGTGGTGCCCCTCTTACCGGGGATCCGAGCACTTCGATATCTCGCGTGCGATGGCCGATCACACTCATCAACGCGGTCAAAACGTCAAGGCATGTCATGGTAATTGGGCGTACGAAGCGCAGATAGGAATGGTTGGTACGCAAGTAGCACCACCCGGTAAATAAAAAAGATCCATTTGCTAGGGACAGCCCTACTCGTGGCAGTGGACCTTCGTGGGGATTCATCCCATCAACGACCAATCGACCCTCGTTCGCCCTTTACCGAGATAGATTAAAGGCATTGAAATTAGACAAGTGCTCAACGCTAAATCTAACCCAGCTGAGTTTACATACCACATAGAAGGATTATTACGATTGTTACAGGATTTTAAACAGAGAGCTGAGCTCCGCTGCGGTACAGACTCAACGCGGCCGGCGGACGCTACTCGATTATCCCTGTCCTCCGTCCAGAATATTTCCTGATTTATTACAGACGTATTCATAATCCTATGGATCTATTCCATCTACTTTACCAGCCCACCTCTCGTGTCCCTGATTTGCCTGCATGGGCCATGTTGGACCAAGCATGGGGGGGTTGAACATGGCGCCTCGGCCATCACGAATCTCAACCCCTCACCCCGATCCAAGGACGTTAGCTAGTTCTGTCCATCTATTCGTCCGAAAAAAATAAAATAAAACAAAATCCACCGATCTCCTCATTAAATAGAAAAGAGGAGGAGGTGGGAAATTTTACCATCCCATTCGATTACCCTCCCCCCAGTCCCTAGTATTGGATACCCCTGTCCGCCTACATCGTCCCGGTTATATGTATGCTAGGTGATTATGGTAATAGTTTCGTTACCTCCCCTTAGCTACGTTGGTATGAGGTAGCTAAGCAGATAGGTATCGCTACTTACTAATTACCAATGTACAGTACATACATACCTCTCCCTGATTCCCCTGAAAAGCCGCTGTTACCGGAATCTCCATCTCGGATCTTCTTTACACGCATAACTCCCGGCTTTTGAACTACTGGATTTCGTGATCGGATTTTCAACGTGTTTTTGGAAACCGATAATATTAATCTACGTCGAAATTTGTTATTCTTATCATCCCTAGCGACCTAATTGTGAATAAGACATTGATACTGAGCTTGAGTCGTCTTTACTTGGCATCCATCATTTTTTTTTATTGAGCTGGGTATCCTCAAGCAAAAAAAAAAAATTATAATACCCTAGTGCGCGCAGCCTGCTTGCTTAAGGGGGGCACTGGCTGGAAAGAGACAGCCGTCATCGTATATCCCGGGTTGTGGCAGTAGTGGCAGCTCGAGATCCAATTGGTGTTGTCGCCATTGACCTTTCGATGTCTTCTCTGCAATTCTTCACCCACCCACCCTACTACAACAACCTAGGACTTCGTTTTCAAAAATTTTCTACAGTTTAGAGTCGCTAGTTCCCTCCTCCTTTCCCTGCTCTTGCTTCTTAGTCGCAACAGGACAGCGATTCTAATGGATTCTTACCCACACCCGCGCGCCGTCGCGCCCTCAATGTCAAATGGATCTCCAACCGAGCTATTTAATGGCCTTGGCTCGGATATACCCAATCAGCCACCCCACTCAACACCGGTATCCTCTGGTTCGGGCGCTGTCGACTCACGGACGCCTCCGAACACTGTGCAGGCGGCTTGCCTTGCTTGTGTGAGTCTCAACAAAGAAAAGAAAAATTAAAGCACTTCCGCGTAATGTTTATATTTGCTGACTATAATCTAAACGAATAGAGGGCAAAACATTTGAAATGCGATGGGAAAAACCCATGCGGGCGATGCCAAACATCTGATTCCGGTGAATGTGTCTACGTAGCTTCTCGTCGTGGTTACAAAGGCCCCAGGAGAAACGCAGCTCCAAATCCAAACAAGCGACATGCATCTGATTCTGAATCTCCGCCCTCCGCTGGTGGCGATAGCTGTCCGATGCTCCTGGGTGCAACGGTTTCGTCCGCTGCGCCCCCGAGCCTACCGACTTTTAATCCGGGCCTGGTACTTCCTGAATCCCCCGCTACGCCTTATACCCCTTCTGGTATAAATAGCCTTCAACTCTACAGAACTCCTTACCTCAACGGTACGAATGGCGCCCTGGTCGAAGCAAATTCCCGACCCCAAACCGTCCCGGAGCGGTGTATCGACGCTTTTTATTACTACTTTTACCCCGGCCATCCGGCTGTTTTACCAAAGGAACAACTGCTGAAGACCGCAAAGGATGGGAAAATCGATCACTTACTAGCGGCCATGAGATGGGTTGGGTCGTTGTACATCGATGCCGGCCCGGCTCGCGCTACATTTTTCGAAGAGGCCATGCGTTTGTCTTACTCTCGGGACGTCCCTAAAGACGGATACCTAGTGCAAGCCATGGTCATAATTCTCATAGGACTGGATGGCAGTTGCCAACAGGAAAAAGCACGTGAGATCCTATCCGACGTCGAGCGGATCGCCATAGAAATCGGCCTATATACTAGAGCCTTTGCGACGAACCACGGTGGTGCCATCCCGAGGCTGGAAGAGAGCTGGCGACGAACGTGGTGGGATTTGTTCGTGGTGGACGGAATGGTCGCTGGCGTACATCGTCAGACGAACTTTCTCCTCTTCGACATCGTAGCCGACGTGGGTCTACCATGCGAGGAGCACGAATACACGTCAGGAGTATGTTTTCCCCGAGTGTGCATTGTTTGACAGATGAATTGATTGACGACTCCCTAGATGATTCCACGTCCAATGTTCCTGGAGGATTTTGATGATCAGCTTTTCTCTGGAATAGATCGAGAATTCTCTTCGTTTGCGTATCGAATCGCTTCCATCCGGAATCTTGGGCGGATGATGCGACTTCCAAACAGCGGCTTTCCGAATGAGGAAAACGTCAATAGAATCGAGTCGCTACTATCCAACTGGAGGATGCACTTGCCGCCGTCGAAGCGAGACTGTTTGAACAAGGACTGCCAGCTAGATGAGATGATGTTTCAGGCACATATGATCAATCACGCGTGAGTTCTTCCTTCCACGGTCTTTTGGGTATTCCAGACTGATAAGGCGGTACTCCAGATGCTCGATAATTCTTCATCAACCCCTCTCACAACTCGACTCGTCACCTGCGCGGGAGGTGACAGCTTGTGCGCCTCATCGAGCGGTACAAAGCGGCGATCGCTTCAACCTACACACCAAACACATCATTACGGCGGCCTGTGAGATTAGTAAGATGGTGACATATAACGTGCCGATAACAAGCCACACGCACTTCTTCACATGCGTGCTGACACTATCCTCAATCGTCCATCTTAGCAAGTGGGCCCTCGAGTACTTTATCCACGACGAGGACGACCTCCGGCAGCAGATCCGATTGAACATTGGGGCTCTTAATAAGCTTAGCGGCGTCTGGAAAGCGGCCAACAACGCTTCGGGCCAGGTCAAGGGTGTTGCGCAAGAGATCTATCGCGCCAAGAGAGCGCAACAGAGCAACCCGTCGTTCTGGGTCGGGTTCACGCAGGAGGAGATTATCAGCAGTATGGCAGCCGATGAGGGTATAATGTCCGAGATCGACACCATGCTTACCAGCAGTGCACCCTGAGGTGCTGCTAAGTGACTATCGTCTGCATGATGCGACGAGACTGTGCAGAGCAGTCAAGCGGTGCGATATTTCGTCGGAGACGAAGTCGTGGAGCCATCACTTTCCTTTAGCTTGGAGTTTGGGCTAGCTATTAGGAGAATATGTCTTTTTTCCATCTAATAGTTGTGATGTATAGCTGAGCGTAAGATAATCTCACGAAGTAGGCGGACTTCGGCGGCAAATGGCGGGCTGCAGGTAGCACACAACAGACGACAGGACGAAAACAGGAAACCAGGTCTGAGACCGAATAGTCTAAGTGACAATTTGGATATAGATGTACTTACGAACACTCTTTCTATCTTCCCAAAATCACCCGATTTCGCTTCGTATACGTTGCTAAATTGATGGGAAAAAACAAATGTGGACGGGCATTGTTCATATTATATTACTCGACCTCTAGTTGTACCATACCTATTCAGTAAGCATTAATAAATAATTAATTGTATTTCCACTCCCTCGGACCCTTCATTCCTATTTGAACATGATTTTATAAATATAGTATAGATCTAATCAACGTACTAGCGTTAGACGAAATGGATAAGTCCGCCATTTTACCAGGTTGTTGGCGGCAGCGAGAGGGGCGGAGCCGTAGCAGAAGCAGGTCGCCGTCCATATATCGATCATGCGTGCGTTAGTCGCTATGATTGTTGCAGATACATTCCTAAAACTGACCTGTATACTCGCAATGGGCCGCTATTATATGGGGCTCTAACCGTCGGGTTTCTTTTTGTTCTTGTCAGATAAGGTCGACGAACGGCCACATGCTAACCACGCTCCTTCGTATATGAGGATCATAGGATCCCAATAACACGTACAGTAGGTCCCGATAGGATGGTTAGGGGCTTGAAAGGGCGGCGCCCAATGGGGTCCGTCTGACCTTAGCATGAACTAAGATCGTCATAAGGAGACGCTGGTAGGGGACCTGCTAGCGGGTCTGTGCTATGTCGCCGACCCCTAAGGGCTTACTACTGGTGAGCTTACAGGTATGTACGGCGACTATTGTATTTCTACCCCGCTATGGACGCCGACTCGTATGTAAGTCCGACAATGTCTCAAAGAACTTGAATTCCGGAATGCTGTTATTATCACAGGTCACCGAATAGCTCAAGAGTTCCTTTCTCTTTCCCTCTAGTGAGACTTGACGCCTAGAGATTAGTTATCCATGGTTACTCACGTTTACCAACGACTTTACCGCTAAGCTCTCGCATAAGAATGGACGGCGATAGACGGGGTCAACTGAAGATCCCAGGTAAGATATTAAATGTCGTCCGTCCCAACTACGGCTTCTTCTCCGCCCTAGATTCCTAGATTAGGACATTCCCGCCGTCTTGGCATTTAATATTTACAGCTTATATGCCCAATGAATGCCGAAGGCTCCGACAAGCCTACGTAAAGGGTCGCCGAGCGTGATGCTACAGGCCAAATAACCGAGTTATTGTGACTTCGCCGTTCTGTTTTTACACTTATCAACTAGAATTTCACCAAGTGGCCGATATATAGGTCGCCGAACTCACCGTGTTTTCTTTAAAAGGATAGAACCAAGCCATCATCTTCGGCGATGTTTCACATGTGTGCTTTGCCCTCGCCGACCGTAAGGCTGATTCTAGAAAATTTCTCTATTACCCGACCATATAATGGCGATCTATTATCCGATGAGCGTCATTTCATGCAACCCAATTCACAGTCATCCCCGCCTTTTTCAATAAATCACCAAAAACACCATATACCCCTCTAAACGTCGCCGACGATAGAACTCTGGGTCCCTTTCGCGTACTAGTTATAGTGTCGCGGAGTAAACCGTTCGGGGGATCAAATTATTGCCCTGGGGTATTTGAGGCTTCATGTTTGTCGAACGGTCGGCGTTATTCGAGATTCGGCGATTCTCCAGCAGCCATCGGCGTCCCTGCGCCTAATATTCTTCAATAGATTCGAACCACTTCGCCGTTTATCGTTCCTGATCAGGATTAACCATTGGAATACTTAGAGCTTGTGAGTGTCGGCGCCGGTTCCTGTGGCGGGATATAGTCGCCGATGAAGTCGGCCATATGGCATCCTTATGAAATTTACGTGGAGTACAAGTGTCATCGGGGTTTCCTTTTCAATTCGGGCGGCGATGCCTATACATACGGTTGCCCGTCCTTAGGTTGCGAGATCCGCAGGAACCAGTCAGAGTCGTAAACCGATCATAACCCTACTGAAAAGATATCCTAACGGATTGAACTAGATGATGCCGAGGTTTGTAAGTGTAACAAATATTTTGAGGAATATTTTATTCAATGACGATGGGTCCGGGGCATTATAAATATGTCTAATTCTTTAAGGTGCTGGGACTAATTTCTTCCTCCCTATTTTTTCAGGTTCAACATAAAATAATGCTGTCTTACACTCACGACGCCGGACGCCTTGCTGAAATTTGAAAATATCCAACCAGTCCCCTTTAATCCCATAACCCTTCTACCAAATGCGTTTCCCATGGGCGTAATCATTCCCAATACTTTTGATGCCGAACACCTTTTAATATGCAAGAGTCATGTTCTGCAACTGAGCAAAATACCACGGGGGGCTCGAATTTGGCTCTCCAAGTTTGCTCTTCAACCAACACTGATAAGAGCCATAGGTATAGCCCCAGCCGACGCCAACGCATCCTTCGCGCTCGCCACAAGCATTAATACAATCAGCCATGTTGGAAGTTTCTATATTAGTGATATCTTCCGCACCCCTATCAGAATTATAATCGCGCCCGCACTGTATGTTGAACGGTTTTGATGTACCTTCTGATACGTACACCGTATTGTTGTTCTCCGGACAAAGTATGAGACCTGTAATCAAAGTACCAGTGAAGCTCGGCGTCGGCGCCACCTTAGTTGGGGTCGTTGGGACCGTTGCTGTTGGCGTAGTTGGTGTCGGCGATAAGTACGATGACGAAGACATGCCACTACATAACATTACTGTTAGCGAACCCGAATCGGCGTGGGCGATATCTTTTTACGCTGATGTGAGCTCTTTCGATTTCGCTCATGGCCGCTGACATAACACCAGCCCTATCACACAGCCCCCAACGTATGACAACAGGGCCACTTGAAACCCCCAACTAAGCTACCTGCCCAAGTAGGTAGAAGATGCAGGAAAAAAAGCCTCAAACGGAACGTACCTCAAACTTTCAGCTGGAAAATCGGAAATGGTGTTGCTTCTCGCACCCAAACCCACACCTAAACCGACTGCGATGGCGACAACAAGACCAAACAATCCTATGGCCAAGACGATAAAGAAGAGGCCTCTTGGTAGGCCGCATACCCGTGCGCCCTGTTTTTTATTCTGTGGCGGCATCGTCGGAGAGTAGCCTCCGGGTACGTGGTAGTCAAAAGGGCTACCAGCCCATTCGCTTAAAGGTGTGTTACCCATCGTCGTCGGCGATATGGCCGACGGTTGGTTAGACGCCCATGTCTGTGTACGCGAAGATCTGTCGTGGTAGAACGGTGTTGCTGGATAGGCCACCGGGGAAGGTAATTGTGGCTGGATTTGCATCATCTCCGGCTGCTGCCCCGGCTGGGCATGCGTATAGGCCTGTTGGCCGTAACCATCCGTGCTATAGGTGTTATATTCATCTTGCCCCCCATCCTCCTCCCGTTGTTTCTGCTGTTGTGGTTGTGTTGGGCGCAATTGGTACGACATCGCTCAACTTGCGATTTACATCTATCCCCTCGAGGGTTTCATGGTGGCGCTGGTCGAAAAACAGGAAAATCGTTGAACAGTAGGTAAATGAATACGGAAAGCATAAAAAAATGGACTGGCAAGCTTTACATATCATTCTTTCTCGAAGTATACCAACCATGGCAAAAAGAGGTCCTTGTTTCTTACATGCAGTTCTGACATACATTTATACATGGCATTCCGCTCCACTACCAATGGTGACGTTCATGGGTCAGGACCCCTGCGTGCCGTAGAGAGTGGCAGCTTCATTGGCACCAGATAATAAACTACGCCTCTTTCAACTTCCGTGTTGACTCGACCCCAGCTTTGCTGACCGCATGTGATGGCCACTTACCGTTTGTTTAGGTAGGTAGATAAAGAGAGGTTACTGTTAAACTTAAGCTGTCTTTTCCATAGTGGTGAGACCATCTGACAGAATAGCTATGATTTTGCATTAAGTGGCACTGTCAGATCTCTTCATTCCGGTTCCCAATCGGCTGGTTATACGTCTATGTCACAAGATCTAGAGATGATTCTGTGTGATATGAAAGAATACCGCGTTCGTATTTCGGTCGATTATCGTACGAAGCGAAAGAGCGGCCTTGTACTTCTTCTGCGCCGTAGTTTAGTTCTAAGTTGAGATAATTATTCCACAAAGACCAAGTAAGACGTGATCATATTTTACCCCGGGAGCTCAGCCCAATCAACTTTTTAGCGGCCACCCGGACCACTACCTCTACTGAACGAATCCCCTTTGGCCAGTGCGCCAAGCAAGCTATTTAGTTGCCCTCGGAAGCTGTCTTTGCCGTACCGCAATAGCTGAGGCTGTGAGGGGCCAGTCGGTGAGTCTACCGTCAGATAGTGAACCCCTGTAACGCGCAAAAAGCTTCCCAGTTAATTAATACCCCAGTCTACCACGGCAAGCCCGAATTTTTAACCCTCCGATTATTTTCAAAATCGTGAATTCTCCCACCTTGATCTAAAACCTAGGCACTTTGGTAACTATATCGAGAACCAACTCCATAAACGACGAATACACCAAGCCACCATTCACCCAATGAAGAAAGTTACCCTTGAACTAATGTTGTTTTATCGTCTTGCCATTCGAATTATGGGCCCTTAGGTTTCCGAATCCATTTTCTTCATCCAAGTCGCGCTGTGTTGTATTGTCCCATACGGCCCACATCGCCATTAACATTAGTGTAAGAGGCACCACCACCACAGCATATATCCAACCATCTTGTCCAGCAGTGAAACTGGCCATTATTCCTTTTTCGAATGGTGTCACTATAAATGTGCCCGGAGAGCGTTGTCTATAACGGCGAATATTTTCGTATATTTGGAATCCTTGTTCGTTTCCCCCGCCGATCTGTATGGTAATGCGGCGTCTCGTTGTCTAGTAAGGCCATAAAGTTAGATGCCATAAGTCAGAATCGAGTCGAGGTAAGCCAAATTTGATGTAATTGCAGACTTGAGATGTATATTCACGACTGTTGTCCGACTACTTATTCTCTCTGGGAGACCCTTGGCGTGTAATTTGCGACGCCCTGACGACCCACCATATATATTTACAAGCTGGCCTCGTCGAGAGTCATCTTTTGGAGCATCTTGGAGCACGCTGGTTTCGATACCCGATGAATCCTTCACCATGGTGAATACTACCTACCCAAAACCAGAATAATCCGTAAGACTGGTGCCATAACGGTCGCACGACATCCGGAATTTCATTTTCCTTCCCTAGATTTTCGTCCAACGGATCATTTTGTATAAGATCTACCGTCGCATTTGCTATTTAATGGTGCTTCGTAATCTCCATGTGGCCTTAAGAGTTGTAATTCATGGTTCCCATCCTCTTGATCCGCAGCGCCAAGTCTGGGCAGCCCATCAATGAAATATCTGGGGAGATTGCCTTCACCTGCACGACTACTATTTACGTAAATTCTTAAAATCACAACTTCAATAGTACGAAAATACCGTCTAGAGATTCGTGAATTATACCATTATTATAAGATTGTACGCTGACAGCTTCCCTTTTCCTTTGAGTAGTTAATTCCCCACTACACTTTTTACCATGTCTAGGTTAATTGGGCGTTGAATCACAACCTCTTGAACTAGTGAACTAGCAGAGAGATCGCTCGCGGGACGGGTACCCAAGAGGATCGCCTAAGCGGTTCTAGAATGAAAATTGAGGAATCATTCCATGGATACCTAGGTATCTAAATGGGTATTGGATGAGAACCCCAGGATCCCGAGGGCTTGGCGGGATGATGATAAACATGGTCCAGGATCCATCCCATCGTCTTGGGACAAGAAGGTATATAAAGCAAAACAGCATACGATTCTCCCACATACGACCATAGAATCTGGAAAATTCGGGGTCCCGTCTGCTCCCCCAGAGACAAGCCGGATATCGCTGAACTAGTAGTCGGGTCGGTGACGACCGGCGAATCCTCAGTGTTGTATGTTTTGATCTTTATTTTTTCTTACCGGTGTAGAGAATGTGGTGTGGTCCCATCATCGTCGCCACCATTCATCGACGCTTGGTTGGGGGTTGAGTGTATTCGTTTTTATCCTTGAACCCAACGTGGATTCTTTATGTGCCATTCGACATTTGAAACATCGCATAGCGGCAGGTGATTTCGGGTTGGGGAGCTAGGTATTCGGAGCGTGAGATGGAGATTCCGAGTCAATGGCTGTTTGTTCTGATATAGTATCTGGGTGGAAAGAGGTATATCTGCCGATCTGTGATTGTAGCATTCGTTGAGTTGCCTCCCCGCTATATTTGCGTGGTGTTTAGAGATCGGGGTACTATGGTATTAGGCATGTTGGGTCGCTATACGCCTTGCGTGTAACGGATATAGGGCGCTGGAAGTCGGATTGCGGCCTTTTAGTAGCGCCTGCCTAGGTACTCAGGTGTCTAACACCCTCAGTGGGTATAGGGGCTCTAGGTGCTTAAGGCGCATAAGACCAGGAGCGAGTGGGCGTATCGGCGGCCTACGGGATGTGTCAATTACCTGTTCCCCCAGCGCGCATAGTGACACACGTTTGCACTGGGCCTATGAACCTCCCACACTGTGGCGTATGCTAGCGGTGCTCGTACTCAGCCAACCAAGACCACGATCCATGATATACTTTAACTTAAAATTTATTCTATATTTAGCTAAAGATGACGAGGAGCAAGGCTCTAATCATACTCGTCTATGCGATATATAGGTAAGTTATCCTGTATGCCCTCTGCGACCGTAGCCAACCTTCAGGCAGCTTGAGAGCCTCTTTAATCCACTGGATTACCTGGTTATTCGGCTCAAATTGTGATCCCCGTTCATGTCTGATCGTGCTGTGCCTTTAGTTCAATTATATCCTATGATTCCTTCCGCAATAGGATCTACTGCATGCTGTGACCATATAGTAACTCGTCGACCAATGATGCCGTCGCCGCCGACCTCAATCTTCATCGGATGACTAAGTGGCACTTCTATCGACCGTTCCTGCCAGCTGTCTTGGGAAGTCGGTCGACCTTGAGGTATGCTGAACTTGTAGAGAAATGGACTTATTATGGCAGATTTCGTGAGGTCGCCAGTTTCGCTATTACGGGTTTATTGTTAGCTCTCCTCGACCTAGGGGGGTTCGAACAAAACACTTACTGAATGCCCACAATACATGTATCTATATCGGAAACGCTACTGCTAATACTGCTTTCGTCCGGTGTAAATGTAGCGTGGGTCGCAACTAAACCTCCCTTTCCACAGTCATGGAAAACGAGTCGGCCTGCCATAGTTTGCGGTAAGAAACGGGTGCTTCGAAGCGGAAGACTGAGTACAGCGAGGGCACCACCGCAGGACTGTCGTGAATGATCACCACACATTTTCCCTTCGTAGTGTTTCTTGATGCGCCTTTGTTGAAGATAGATATGATGAGTTGTAAGAATGATGTATATGGATATTACAAGATAACTTATGTTGCTAGGTAAGGGTATATGGTATATTCAAAAGAGAGAGAGAAAAACAACCAGAAATTTCTATTTTTCATCTGCCAAATAAGACATTTTCAAGGTGGACTCTAGTCAGGAATTGGTTGATGTGATGAATGACAAGGAGGTTTGTCCCTCAAGGTTCCACGATGCGGCGTACTAACAACGGCACCAATCCATCTAAGGCAACTGTTTACCCGCATTGCCGTTTTTGATCAAACGACTTTTTGACTTTTTGATTCAGAATAATATATATGTATGTAGATTCATGTTGAACAATAGGCGACAATGGCCGGGTGCGGTACATGTTTGAAGAAGAAGTGGTTACAGCTTTACACGCAAAGTGAGCAAGTTTGCGCTTTTTGAGGCCGTTTCACGACCCGCTTACAAAAGAAGGGTCAAAAGGTAAGTTTAGTGGGTATTAGGAGGTACCTTAGGTAATATGCTCATAGTCATGGATATACATGGTAAATAATAGAGGATAGCACCTGAAGAAAGTAAAGACGCGGGGGGGAAGAGCAACATTGAAGGAAAGACAACCTTGATGGCCGTCGGGTACCTACCTTCTTCATCCCTCTTAACCTACTTCACTTAGCAATCTTGCGTTTGTCATCAAAGTGTAAAGAGCTTCCTACCGTCCCGTAGCACGTCACTTCTCCTCCCGGTCTCCTCTCATTCCTAAGGTCCACTTCCCTTTCCCTTACTTTTCTTCATATCTCTTTTCCTCCACCTAAACCTATCATCCCAAAACTACCTCCTTCACACTAAAGAAAAACCACCCATCCAGGTCACACCCGTCGTATCTACACCGGCTTGCTTTCCTAACTGCGGGATTACCCTTCCTTCGTACCATCTGTCACAGCATTTGTCGAAAAAAGGAACGTTTCTAAAAACATCCGTGAAGATGGCCGCTACTACGTACTCCCTCCCCCCGCTGCCGTACGCATACGATGTGAGTATCGCCTTCCCAAACACTTGCAATGTTTCCGGTCCTCCCCTTCGGTCGACATCCGCCTTCGCACCTCGGTATGCCCGATGCTAACATGCATGTGACTCGGATAGGCTCTGGAACCTAGCATTTCCAAGCAGATTATGGAGTTGCACCACACCAAGCACCACCAGACCTATGTAACCAACCTCAACAAGGCACTCCAGACCTCCGCCAAGGCGCAGTCCGAGGGCAAGCTCCAAGACGCCGCAGCCCAACTATCGGCCATCCGCTTCAATGGTGGCGGTCATATCAACCACTCATTATTCTGGGAAGGTCTAGCACCTGCCTCCTCTCCCGACTCCAAGATCAATGCTGCTCCTAAGCTCGCCGGCGCTATCAAGGCTACTTGGGGTAGCTTTGATAAGTTCAAGGATACCTTTAATGCGGCCCTGCTCGGTATTCAGGGAAGCGGTTGGGGTGTAAGTATTTTTTCCAATCTTCAACTTGCTCTTTTTATGATCTGCATCTTGGAATTATCCTGGGAACCATGTTCCACACAATTGAATGTCGCCTCTCTTATGTTGATTATAAACTACGTCTAACTCTTGACATGACAGTGGCTCGTAAAGGAAGCGGTTACCGGACAACTCCGAATCGTGACGCTGGCAAACCAGGAAGCGGTCGTGGTTGGCGACACTCCCCTCTTCGGTGTGGACATGTGGGAGCACGCGTACTATTTGCAATACCTCAACGGTAAGGCAGCGTACGTTGACAACATCTGGAAGGTGATTAACTGGAAGACTGCCGAGGCTCGATATGGTGGAAGTCGGGATGATGCCTTCAAGACTCTCAAGGCTCAGATCTAAGGCTACCTATTCAAATAAGCAACAGGTTCTCGAAGGATATCTCGCACCGCTAATTGAAAGAGGCGTGGTTTATGAACGCGATAATGAGATCTATGGTGTTAAGTACCTATGGCTTCGGTAGTTGATCGATTGCGTTCTAGTTAAATGAAATGAAAAACATGCCACTCACGGCGCATTGAAACGCGTATTTCATGTTCTGAATCAAGTCAATTGCTGTTCTGGAGCTAATATAGCCGAAAATGAATTGGGCATGATGGTTTATATATGTGAGAAGAGAGTCGCTCTTCAACAGAAATTAGATAGCTTTCTTGCTAAATCGAGCGAACTATGATGTTAATTATATGATGATTGAATTAAGAAGAGGAAAGAATCATCTCCTCACAGGGGTTTTATCATGGAGGGGTCGGTACCTAGGCCGCTAGGCCGGGACCCTTTTAGAGCATGTCGATACCCGTAGTTAGGGCTGGTGGGTGGTAGGGTAGGAACAGCCCAGGCACCTTTTAGCGGCTCCACCGGCCCAAGCTAGAACTACAACTCCGCTGACCCCGCTGCTCCATTTTACCTACCTAGGTATTTTGATTTCCCATTTAAAAAAAAGTCGCCGGGATGTTTCGTCGCGTTTTCGATATATTCACGCGTCAAGATATAGAGCCGACGCCGAACTCTCCTACAATGCCTCCCAAGAGGATTCCTCCTATATCATCACCTCTTTCCTCGCCTGATTCATTTGCCACCGCGACCGAGTCTCCGATAAATCCATTGGAACATCTAACCACCGACATCAGCAGTCCTGTTGTTGATACCCCAGATGGCGCAAACAAACCATTCAGTAAGGCTAACCAGCTACCACCAGAGTTACAGCAACATTGTCAGATATACTTGGAAGAGAACCTATGTATGTTCCACTTATCTTTCCATAATACACCTTGAGTTGATCTTAGTAACTAAACATCATTAGATCTAATTACCCTAACCCTATTGAACAGCTTGTTATCGTCGATCCGAGATGGTCCGAATGACCCCAACTACTGCCCTCCTCCGAGCCAACTGTCCCTACTCGGCACTGCCATTATGCACCCAAAATTTACAACTAGGCCAAGGGAAGAAGGCTGGTCCGAAGTATCCGCCGAATCTCTCGTCTATCTTCGCAGCCTTCTCTCCCGTCTCGGACCTATAAACACTCGATTCAAGGAAGCCTTTCGTTTCATAAACGTCTCGCGCCACGGTACGCCAGAATTCTATAACGATGATGACCTTGATCATGAACATAGCGAGGATGGTGATGGAAGCTATGCACAAATGAAGCGTTCATATCATTTGGACGGTATTTGGAGAAGAGGACAAGATTTCTTCCACGTAGCTGGTTGGGCCTTCAACTGCAGCGTTCTATACCCGAATCGATGGCGACATTGGAAACTCTGGCTTCAATTCATGTTGGACGTATTGGAACAGGACCTCATCGAGCGTAATAGATTGGATCAGGAAAATGGTGAATCGGATTCTCCTATGCTTCGGGGTTCGATTCTCGTAAGTTATGTCAGCCAACGTTCCGGCCACTCTGTGGGAGGATTGAAGTTTATCGTGGATGCCATATTCGCCGATGGTAGCGTTGCTGCTGGTTCCCGCTTCCAAGAAATTTGGGAGAAGGAACACAAAGAGAACCCCAAGAACACTGTAAAAAAGAGGAAACGCGAGGAAGTAAATATCGAAAAGGGAAACTTCGGAGGTTGGCTCGACGACGAGTCGGTATATTCGTCTCAAGCATCGGAACCTCCAACACCACAAAAACGTAGAACGAATTCGAGCGATCTCGGTGACCCGGATTTCCAGGCGCTGGAACCTGCCTATGTAGAGTCCATCCCTCTGCGCCAACGTCTCTTCTCTCTAGTAAGCTAACACTTCGTTTCCCAATACGCAAAATATGGTTGTGAACTGACATGACTAGTTATCATATATCTGCTACTACCTACCAAAACCACCGTTGGACCTCTCGGATCTCTATCAAAGATACGAAAATACGGTGAAGACTCTACCTTTACCCCTCTTCACCGCATTTGTGAACCATCATACATCTACCTTGAAGTTGGAATCACAAATATCGACACTACAGGGTGTTCTATTACTCTTAATGCCTACATCGGCCTTGTCACCTGCCAAGGTTGATCGTACGTGGGAAGATGCGGATGGCATCACAGCAGAAATCCTAGAACGCTGTTTCCTCCCATATCCTGCTAACACCATCGCTGTCGAGGATAACGCTAAGGTTTCTGTACTCCTGGAAAATCTACTCCAGATCGTATGGAGCGAGGGAAGTGAATCATTTAGCAAGAATTTGAGGGTTATCGTCGAAAAGGGAATTGACGCAAGAGAGGCAAAAGTTAAGAAGAAAAAGACATCAGCGCGAGGACGAGCGAATGCCCAAGATACAGATATTGAGGCCCGCATGGTCCTGGATATGTCTGGACGCAGGTTGGCTATGCTGGTCGATCTTATCGAAGGAGACGAAGCCGAGCCGATGGACGTGGAAGAAATAGATGAAGATATGGGTAATGAAGGTTGTTATACCGGTGTCGCTATGGTATCTACCATGCTAATTTGGCGTATAGGTGATGTTGATGCCACTTTTATGACGGCTGTCGATAATATGGACCAGGACGAAGACGACGAAGATGAAGACGAAAGGATACATTGTACATGTCAGCACGACGAAGCCGGTAAAAGGATTACTTGTGACAATGACGCCTGTCAGTATGAATGGTTTCATTGGAAATGTGTTGGTCTTAAGTCAAAGCCTAAGGGAAAGTGGTTGTGCCCCGAATGCGAGAACCCCCCGCCTAGGAAACGAAAATAGTTTCCGTGTGCTGAGCCACGGGACAACGACGAAACACCGGCTTGACACAAGTCTGCGGCATTTATGTTTGAGCATAAATCTTTGCAATAGCAATATCGATACATTGACACAGATTTTCTTGCCGCTTCTTGACGCTAATATACGACATGATGATACACAACTATTGTACAGATATGCAACGCTACCACGGTCGCGACAATGCAGAGATTTTCACCGTTTTCTTGTCGATGCTGGACTCCAGGCTTCTGGCTGCCAGGTCTCACCGGGGCCAGTACTCCTAGCCTGCTTCCAGGGATCATCTTTCTGTTGTGTCACCTCATTTTGTTCGTTTCGTGTTGGAGACTCCCTAGCGGCCCGCTCTTGAGGTTGGGTCTGGCCTGTATTTAGGGCTGGCACTGGTTGGCCCTTTTCCCGACCCGGCACATCTGACAGTCTCGGTTTGGCTTCCCAGCGGGCGTCCGCCTCAGCGGCGAGAAGCTTCATGCGCTCTTGTCGGACCACTTCGGAAGCTTGCTCGTCGAGTGTAGGCGCTTGTTCGCGTTGGTATCGTAACCATTGGTGCCATTGCGGTGGAACTTTCACCTCGCTGTAATGTATCGACCGCGGATATTTGACGATGCGGCGGAATCTAGAATCGGGTAGGGAGGGATCGCCTCGGACAAGTCGGAATTCCCAATACGTGTTACCGTGAAGGTCGAGACCTGCGACCGATATGTAAGGAATAGGGTTACGAAGCTACAAGACGAGCGAGAATAAATGAAGTGATGCGAACACTAACCGATTAGGAAACGTTTTCTCCACGGAAACCGTAGAGCCTTCCATTGGTACCACGCCTTTCGTATGGGACTTATTGGTTTTGCCGTCGACATTGAGGCTTTTACTGACGCACATACATAGGGGTTGGACGGGACGTGGGAATTACGTGAATTCGGAACAGCTCACTTTAGAAGCTCGAAATTATAAGAAAACGCAAAAAAGCCTACGTCAGAATTATTGAAGATGCGATAAGATAAGAAAAAGGGAGCACGGCCACATATTGCTATCTCTAACTCACGAGCCACAGTTAGGTTTAAGCTTGTTCCCCGCCAAGACTTGCTTACGTACATACGTAAGCCCCATCCGTCCTAATTTAAGAAATGCCGGCGGGCTGGGAACCAGCGCATCCTTGTCATTGGAAACTTGAATCGATTTAATTATGTGATCCATGGATGGTGGGGGAAAGAAGGAAGAGCCCTGCCACCTCCAATTCTTGTTGTAAATGGTGAATGGTTTTATTTCTTTAGACTTTGCGCGGTGCAACCGTAATCTTTTTTACTTATTCAACTTTACAAATACCTAAGTACAACATAGTTGTCGTCTCTTTTTTTTTTTTTTTTCTTACTAAAGTTATTTCTCTTTCGCCAGATCATGATTGGATCGAGTTGAATCCTACCAATCAATTCTACGGTTAAATTGTCATTGTGCAATCGCTATTCTATTTCTACTTCTGCTTCAAATTCACATACCAACACTACCAGTGACGTCGTCTCATCTAATAATCCTAGGCACCCTCCATTCCACCCAACAAAATCTCCGACCTACGAATTACACGAATCACTTTGCGTACCAACAACCAATATTCGCTGGATGCCACGCTATACATTTACATATAACTAAACTACTTACCTCTCTACACCAACCGGCAAGACCTACTCGGTAGCATATACACCGCTACCTACCTATCTAGCCAATCCGAGCAACATAATCAGCCATCATGGCATCGGTCACGTCCTTAGACAAGGACTTGCGCAAAATGCGCCTTGATAAATACACACCAGCAGCTGCTAATGAAGCGAGATCATGGATCGAAGGTGTTTTGGGTGATAGGTTACCTTCTAGCGATCTTCTAGACGGACTAAAAGATGGTGTTGCTCTTTGCAAGTATGTATATACAAAAATGGCTACATTTTAGTTATTGTGACTCGACTAACTAGCTACTCGCCCTAGACTCATCAACTTGGCTGTCGGTCCGCCGGGCGTCAAGTTTAAACAATCCCCCATGCCATTCATCCAAATGGAGAATATTTCTCACTTCCTCCGTGCCTGCCAATCGCCGCCCCTAAATCTACAAGATCACGACATATTTCTCACCGTCGACCTCTACGAGCGGAAAGACCCCACCCAAGTCCTTCAATGCCTCGGCGCCTTTTCACGCGCCGCACATTCTGTCAATCCTTCCACGTTTCCGTCACCCATCGGACCGAAAGCGAGAGGGGCTACCATGAGCCCGCAAAGTACAGGACCGACAACACCGAGAAATCGAGGCATGTCTAATGTCAGCAATAACTCTTCTACATACGGGTCGCGGTCCGGCATAGTTCCCGCGAGAACCGGTGATTCTGGCTCCGGGCGATGGAGTCCTACCAAGAGCCCAACTCCCACTAGCGAGCGAGTCGGTTCGCCCAGTGTGTCAAGCTGGAGCAAGAAAAACCACGAAGGGGTTACGAGCCCGGCGTGGAACATTGCGCAGTACGGCTACATGGGCGGCGCGAGTCAAGGCAACCTAGGTATATCATTCGGAGGTCGTCGACAGATTACTACGGCCGGTCCTCAGGTACCCAGCCTAGCCGAAAAGGAGCGCAAGCGTAAAGAACAAGAGGCTGAGGCTGAACGCCAAAAATTACAAGCAGAAGAGGAAGAGCGCGTTCGTAAGGCGGAGCTCGAAGCTGAAGAGGAACGGGCGCGGTTAGAAGAGGAGCGAAGGTGGGAAGAAGAAACAAAGCGGCTTCGCGAGGAAGAGAAGCGCAAGGCGGAAGAGGAGAAACGCCGATGGGAAGAGGAAGAACGTCAATGGAAATTGACAGAAGAAAAGCGACGAAAAGATGAAGAGGAAGCCGAAGCAAAGTTAGCCGAAGAACGTCGTCGCTCAAGAGTTCAAAACGATAACCGATTGCAAGGACAATTTCTTAGTCAATACCAGGCCGAGCAAGGTATCGTACCACAGAAGAGTGGCGGAGGCGGAGGTTATAGCGATCGCATTAAACAATTAGAACAAGAATTAGAGCTAGCGAGGCAGCGGGAGCAAGAATACGAAGAAGAGCGACAGAAGCGCTCACAGAACCGATTGCGGTCTCGCAGCCGACCGAGAAAGCCAGAGAGGCCGCCCAGTCGCCAAGACTCATGGCGGCCGCGAGATGAACGCGAATTCTTAAGTACACAATGGAATCGGCACCAAGAACAAGAGCGCGAGCGTGGACGAGAGCGGGAACAGGAGGAACAAGACATTGCTCCACCACCCCCACCGCGCCCACTGCCTGTACCCGGTGTGCCGGTGAAGTCGCAACGTACTGGAGAGGCACCACCTCCTCCGCCCGTGAAACCTCAAAGGACTGGTGAGGGTAGGCCCCTCCCCATCCCGGACCGGGTTAAGAACCAGGTCTCCGGCTCAACTCCGCCGTCACGGCCCCTTCCTATCCCGTCACCGAACCCCAACAATACCCGCACAGACCGTTTCCTTTCCTCCAACCCCGCTCCCGCCCCTGCTCCACCGCAGCAAATATACTCCCGAGAACTCGGTGCTACGGCGGAACGAGACGCCGAAGATAGGAGACGGGCGGAGTCGCAGACTAAGACCAAAGCTGGTGGTTGGGCTAGCAAGTCCCTATTAGAACGTGAGATGGAGATGGAACGGCAGAGACAACGCGAATGGGAAGAAGCGCAGAAAGAGACAGCAAAAGCAGCTAAGTCAGGTGATGGTGTAGATGGCATAGGTGGTGGTATCGGCGGCCGTTGGGATGTTAGTCAATGGAGTGGATACACCGGAGGCGACAGCCAGAATAAAGGAAATGCAGGTATTGGGGCTGGGAGGAGACAGATCGTCGGTCCGAGGCCGTTGCCTAGTAGGCCCGGATCTTGAGACGCCGTTATGTTAAAGGGGGGAGTGGTAGTAATAGGCAGCCCTCCACTTCTATTCTAGTTATGTGGTTTAATAAGCCTACGGAATAGAGAACGAAGATTCATTTAATCACTAAACTCTATCTGTTCGGAGATTCGCAATGCTTGATCTATTGGTGTCTTCGCCGTGTAACCATTTGTCGCAGAGTGAGTTGTAATTTTCTTTGGACCAAGCCGTATTTCATCCCTACAAGCTTAGCTGTGCCTACTCGAGACGTTAGGCTACTCGTCACTGTATTATAGAGCCTTCTAGGGGTCGAACTCGCTTACTTCTCGATTATTATAGGGCCTATTTTGATATTTAGCAATTATCACCCCTCACATCCCCTATCGTGTTCCCTAACTACCCTGCCGAGCTATTTCCCCAAGTCCTTCAAGCCAGTGATTTGCTGTTGTGGGTGGTTACGCCACCATACTAGGCCACTATATTCGTAGCTTTCAGTTGCCTAGGCGCTCGATATAGGTATTACCTCGCCCTGTACAATCATTCTTATTACAACTTATTTGTGAATATTTGCGAAGTCGTCGCAAACTTCTACCAACTTCGCAAACGTTCCGGGTTCCTATATATCACCGAGTTAGCAATCTCTTCCGGCTACTGACTTAATAGACGAGCAGACATGCCCAAACGCTATGTCCAGCATCCGGTATCCAGTGTAGGATAGAATTCGGCCACGCCTTGTGCAAATCCCATGCCGTCTGAGGCGGCGTTACAAGATCATATCGGCCTTGAACGATCGCACCTAGGAACATGTTAGAAAGAAACGTCAACGTCCTTGAATGAAGGAAGAGTGATGATATGAATACGTCGGAAACTATTCACCTGGTATGTGTTTCATCTTCTCGATATTCTTCTTATCCAACAGATGTCCTTCTTCCATGAAGCAGTGATTAAAGACGTAATGTGCCTCCAGCTTTGCATGGGCAAGACACCATTCCTCGTCTTCCAACGCGTCGTAAACCTTCGGGTCCAGCCTTAGACTTCCAAGCGACAAGTCCCATCTATTCCATTCTCGAGCGGCAGCGGAAACTACTTCCGGGTTATCCGATGTAAGACGCTTGTAGTACGCTGCGATAAGATCATGTCTTTCGCCCTCCGGTATAAAATTGACGAATCTCTCGCGCATATCAGGATACACCCTACCGGGAACACTCGAATTCCCCCTATGACCTTCGAGCTCCTGTTCCCGAGCCGTCCACACGCCGCGTAAGACTAGCGATCCTACACGTTCAGGATGCGTCTGCGCGTATAGCAAACCTAGTGTCGCGCCCCACGACCCGCCGAATACCATATGCCATTTCGAAATAGCGAGATGTTCACGGAGGGTCTCTATATCTGATACTAGAAGTTGAGCAGTGTTTTCCGCAGTTTCCGCTCGGGGACGGGATCTTCCTGCCCCTCGCTGGTCGAAAAGCACGACGCGATACACTTTAGGGTTGAAGAATTTGGTGTTGGAAAACCCAGCTTTGCCTCCTGGTCCGCCGTGTAAAAAGACGACTATGAATAATCCAGCATCAGTGACTGATCTCAAAAAACATAAAGTATGACGAGGAGTTACCGGGAAGACCAGTTTTCAATCCATACTGTTCGTAGTATAGTTGATGAATTGACCCGACCGGCAAATAACCAGAGTCAAACGGTTCGCTATGAACATATCCAGCAGCCATAGCGAATTCAAAACTATGTGAGCCAATCCTCTAGTCGCAACTCTGCACGTTGAGGATTTCATATGGTGCGAGTATTATAATCCATTTATGGATAAGCGGATACGTACGTAAACACCTACCCAGGTAGGGAGAGCCCCGAATCCGAAGACGGGAGTACCCCTCTACGCTGCAGATATAGAAGCCAAACTACCTAGGTACTATTCTGGTTACGTTACATCAAATGCCGATTCGATTTCTAGTCCGAGCGGATCCCGTATCCCGGAGTCGGGGTAGAAGGTAGTGGTACATAATAATTAGGCCTCTTCGCATGACAGACTAAATCACACCGATAACAAGACCGAACGACTATGGTATCGCGAAGGAAAATGACAACTTTACGGTCTTTTCATTAGACCGGTTTGGATACATATACTGGCTCGTATTAGTAGAGCGATACGCTGGGATCTGAACGTGAGCTATTACCTTGACCCCTTTCTGCCCATACTCTTTCGAAAACCCTTTTCACCCTCTCCGATACATCTTGCTCATTCTGATATATCTGGTAGTGAATGAGAAGTCTCTCTCCTTTTAGTCGTAACCCCTCCTCTTAACCAATCTTATTAAATCGTGATAGGGAGATCCTTAGCCCTTTGAGGTCAAGCCAGACAACATTAGTATCGACAGGGTATTTAGTTTCGCCCCCTATTTCTCTCCACATCTTCTCGACTTTCTTTGCTGTAGCGTGGGAGAATGGGAGCAATCCTCCTTCACCGTTGGGCCCTTTCCCGAAAGTCTCATCTAGGGCTACCCTCGCTGCCGCTGTAATGAACCCCGGTTGACGTAGTCCGCCCCCTATTGCTTTTCTTAGATGTCTTGCAGTCCTAATCGTTTCCTTGTCTCCGACAAGAATGCTCCCGACCGGGGCGCCGAGTCCTTTCGAGAAGCAAAGGCTCACTGTATCAAAACAAGAAGTGAAGTCTACTAAACTAGCAGTGCCAGTAGCTACCGCTTCCCATAGTCTAGCCCCCGCGCAAAATCTGAAATGCGTCGGACTTCGTTAAGGGGCATAACGGTACCGTATAAAGTATTCTCTAGACTAATAACTTTTGTTGGACATCCGACTATGTTATCATCAGATTGGAAATTCTCCATAATATCCTCTAATGTCAGATTAAGACCGTTTTCTGGAACGACAGGGTTAACCATTGCGCTGGTCAGCAAAGCAATTCCACCAGACTCGCTCTTGAATACATGTGAACGATGGTCACATAGCACAGAATGGGGCGGTTGTGTTAAAAGAGATCGCAATGCCAATTGATTACCCATGGTTCCGGAGAGGACGAAGAGAGCTGCTTCTTTCCCTGTGAGGGAGGCGCAATAAGTTTCAAGGTCATTCGTCGTGCGATCTTCTTGCCATACATCGTCAAGGAGTGTGCATGTCTGGATTGCAGCAAGCATTGATGCCTTAGGGGTTGTCGCTACGTCACCTAAACAGAACAGTTATTACATAGGTATTTGAAAACTGAAATCTTCATTAACCTACTCCTGAGATCATAAGCGTCAGGCCCAAGATGGCCAACCCATGGATTTTGCTTGGTCGTTGAACTCATGATGTACAGTAGCCTTAACACATGGAATGGAGGTGAAACTAAAACCCTACGATGAATCTATTACGATAGTATTCAACTCATACTCATCGAATATCTAGATTGGTCTACTACTATGCCAAGTGGAGATATTTACCGGTCCAGTGGTTCTCCAACAGAACGAATGTAACCTGCTACCTCCTTGAATTCCGATGCGTCTTTATTCCGACTCGGAGTTCACCAGCCCACTTTTTCGAATATGAGAATTCTAAGGCAGATATTATGATGCCTCAATAAGACCTATTCCATTACCCCTTTAAATATGCATATTGATTCGGGTTAGTTACATAGCAAAGCTTTATTGAGGATCCTTAGGCTTCAAGGGTCCCCTTTTAGCTTTGTTATACCAAGAAATGAAGATTAGGAACTTTTGATCAGGTGGAGTACTCGTCGTAACTTGGGAATTTAGTGTTATTAATAGTCAGGGGTTCGCCATGTGCCACATAGCGGCAGAATATATATCCACTTGAACTTCTGTACCTCATATGATCCTTTTCGGTAGGATGTAATCTTCATATGTGTCAGCAGTCAACTCATAAGTCTGGACTAGGCACAAAAAATAGCAAAATGATAAAATAAAACATACAACACCGAGGATTCGCCGGTCGTCACCGACCCGACTACTAGTTCAGCGATATCCGGCTTGTCTCTGGGGGAGCAGACGGGACCCCGAATTTTCCAGATTCTATGGTCGTATGTGGGAGAATCGTATGCTGTTTTGCTTTATATAGCATAACCCCTGACTTAAATCCGAACCGAAGCATAGCAATGATTCATCTAGCACGGATGGAGGCGTTGTGATCTCGCTTCACAGATATTAAATTAGGTATGTACTTGTTATTTTTATAATAGTACTGCTGATTGCGCGTCTTTTGTGCTTTTGAGATCATCATCCATCGTACTTTTCAGCCAACAGTAGTTGAGATCGGTCCCTTGTGGCCCTGCGCTGTACCAGATAACCCCAACACATTCCGTATTCTTAGTGCACATCGATATGCATTCTTCCATGGAACTGGCCTCATAATTATCGATATCTTTGCCCTGGTGCGCGACATCACATTCGATCTTAAATTGTGACCCTGTCCCAGGGTCTGTATAAGTACTTCCGTCTTCAGCCAGACACTTTCCCTTCGAACTAGCTGATGTATGGGTAGCCGCAGGCCCTGTACTCGTCTTTGAGGCCGGCGCAGTCGTTGCGGTGGGAGTCGTTGGAGAAGCTGCGGACTGGATGGGGTTAGTAGTGGACACCGACTGAGTTTGTACAAGAGTCACAGTCACTTTCTCCACGGAATGACCCCCTTCGTCCGTCGAGGAAATAGTGACAGTAGATAGAGAAGACTCCGTCTCGACGGCACCTCCCACAGTGTTGAGATCTGAAGACAAGACACTTGCAATCACCGAGTCGGTAGTCATAGCCCCAGGTGCGTCCGTCCTGAGAATAGACACAGTTTCGGTCGCCATCGAGGGCGAAGGTAGGAAACTTCCGCTTACTTGATTGTCACTGCTCGCGCTTGGTGAAGTTGCTGGTACACTTTAAGGGGGTTTGCCGTCAGCATATGTTTTCTTTTAGGGATCCGGAAGCTCCGGGATATTACTCACGAAGCTTTGGTGGAATTATTTTTTCGCGTGACACCCACCGCCGCGCCGATACCCGCTCCAACGAGCAATGCTACCAATATACATATTAAAACCAACCAAAATGCCCTCTTTCGAAGTCTAAGAATAGTAGGTGGGGGCGAGCGAGTAGCGATGGCCTCTTTTTCTTGCTTGGTGTCCCAATTTCGTCCTTCAACCTTATAGTATATATCTTCCGGACCTGTAATGCGTGGCCCCGTAAGAACTTCTAACCCGGGTTGATTCTTCCGTGGATCATGGGGACTGAGTTCTAGCCCGTCTGGCGGCGGATATACTTCTGGCGCTGAGAAATGGCTTCCAGCAAATGTGCTACTTGCTGGTGAATTGCTGCCATTTATAGGGTTGAATCCATTCTTTGACATTATATAACTTTCTGATATTGGTGGGTTTCCTCCACCTTGGTTAAAGTGTCCCCCTTCAGCACAATCCCAGCAAATCGTCGCGCCCTTCCCGTATGAATGAGGACAAGTAAATTCTGGCTTAGACTCGAAGGCCGGAGGATCTTTCATCGTCTATCGATACGAGGGTACCGTATATACCGGCGAGGGATCCCCGATTCTTGCGCGATGTCGGGATGAGGAGGTATACATCACCGGGTATATCGTGGCATCGGGAAACCTCTAGGTGAGCTATCAAAAGCAAGTAGATGGGTTGGACAAGAAGCTGAAGATAACGGACTACTCATTCGTCGTGAATCTACGTTAAGATGAGAGCCAGGCATAATTACCCTTGTCCATCTAGACCACTCACTGCATCCTTCTCTATAAAAGGTATGGTCGCGAAATATCATAGTGCCATTGGGTGGAGGATTAAGCCTAATTCGAAGAGATAAAGTCGTAGTGAATCCCGCTAATATCTTGACCTGTAACCCTACTTTTTAGAAGAAGCAGTTGATAGGACAATGCGTGGTCTTCACAAGCATCAATTCCGCACTGCTAGTCTAAAATTGATATAGCTTGGTCTTTATTAAGTATCAAAGGATTGCACCTAGCTAGGCGGCTTTTACAAAATGAGAAAAAACTTGTTTCCTAAGCTTTGGCAACGAAGCAACGGCAACATCTCGTTGGACTGTAGCTTCGCAATGGCAGGCTTTCCATCGGGAATAAAGAAGGGAATTAAAATTGGCATGTCGCGACGGAAATGGTTCAAACATCCGCCTAGAAATACTCCGTACGGTTTCTAGGCGCCCCTTAGAAACTCCGAATTCCGCTGGCTTAGGGCTCGTATGGTGCCTAAAACCCTTGTCTTCACTGCCGATTTAGGAGATAATATGCGAGCCATTAGGTACACGAGGGCTTTGCTTTTTAAGTCTCATATATAATACCGCATGTGCATACCAAATAAGTGAATTTCCTAGCAATTGCAAAAAGCTGTCAAAAATATCCATTATCGCAAGTTACGATACTCTAAGAGCTAGACAGCATGATTCATAGGTTGCGATTTATGAAGGAGCCTATTCTAATGCGTATCAAACTCCACAAGTAGCTCTGAGCTCAATCACTCGAGGATTAGGACGCCGAGATTGCGTTGTAACGTGCAAGTCCATACCTGGCCACGTCCTATACATCAGCTCTGAACTCATAACATTTTTATATAAGGGGAAAAAAAGATAAGCGATATCTTGAAATCTCGCGAGGTAGTCTTATGTCGTGCAATGGTTTGAATTGAGTTTTATAATATGGTTGCTTGGGGGCGGCGGGTTCGGTCTGATTGATAAAAGTGTATGGTTCGTCAGCAATACCTACCTGGGTAGGTACCATATAGTGAGCTATCACTGATTTTGGGAGCTGCTTACGACTGCTAGAGCAGCATTGAACCTTCGAGTTCAACGTTCGACACCCAAAAGCCGCCGTACGTCCGATCCATTTATTTGCATCGTGATATAAGATATAATATGCCAAGCAAGCAAGTAAGCGGTTAGTTTCGTTCAACCCTCATGTTAGGTATCGAATACATCGAAAATTGAAATTTAGTTGAAGAATACTCATCCGCGACAGTGCGTGGTTCACGCCTTTAACAAAGCACATGGGAAAGTCTCGCGAAGACGTAAGTTAGTCTGGGATGTTGCGAAATAATACAAAAGGGGGCAAATGGTTAGAGGTACTGTGGTCGGTAACTTCATTTTGAGCCTATTTACGTTACCCAGTCCCGAAACACCTATGATACCTACTCAAATACACCATAGTGTCAATGTGCGGATAATAGGTTCATATCTATTGCTAACGCGAAATAGGGGGCTGTATGGCCGTCGAAATTACTGCTATTTAATGCAACAATATAGGTTTGAGAAGTTGGGACCTGTAATATTTCGGGATAAATACTAATATTAGTAGATTAGTACGAGAGTTTTCGCCGTCTTCGTCTAGCATTGGTATTATACTAGAAGAACCATGTGAATACGCAGGGATCAAGGACCGGTTGTTTCTTGTCTCATCGAATTTCGAGATCGACGCATAATGACAGCGATGCTGAGACAAGCGCGAGACTATTAGCCATTCAGTCCCCTGATGATATTCATGGGCGATCGGCGAACAGGCGCGATACTGTAAAAGAATGTTCTACAGACCCGGACACTCGGGTAGAATTCAGATGACCCCGATCAAACAATACGTACTCTCCTCATCGCTGAAATTTTAAAACATAGCATTAACAATATAACAATGCCTTCAGGTTTACAACGAAGAGCGGAACGAGCCTACTTCTGCCTGAATACGGAAGGGTTACAAGAAGTTTGAACATGTTGACTCTTCAGGTTTTTGAGATAGGGGAAGCGGTCGGATAGGGGTTTCCAGCTGCCTAGAAGACGATTTGAAAAGCCTACGGCAATTCTAATCGTCGCAAGCCGTGTATGGGGAGCCTTGCTACATCGGGCCGTCGAAGAAGCTACTAAGGCGTCGTCGACGACAGATGGCGACCCTCTCGCGTTATCGATTGAGTTGTGTTACAGCCGGTGGGCTCAGGCATAATAGAGTATGCGTTAGGAATCCTTAGGCAAGTGACCGCGCTCGCTATACATGCTATTATCTACCTATATTGACTGAATACCCCTGCGAAGATTCTCTCTTCGGTGTACTGGGATAAGTCGTTCTACCTATCATAGTCACGACCTTCGAATCATGCACGAAAATACGAAGCTCCTTCCGAGAAGATAGGAGTATAGCGAAGTGATTACATGCTGGTCGGGAGGTCGGCGATCATAGGCATGACCTCAGGTTAACCCCTTATTTCTTTTGAACTATCTACTAGCTGAAGCGGTCGGACATACGGGTTACAATGGCACTTGGACCAATCAGTGTTTTTCGTCTGGCCGTTCATCCCTACCGCGTCGCGTCACTGAGAATTACGTATACCTCATTGCTCCCCATCAACAACGAATTTGAAATAGAAGCATATAGATCTTCAGGGCACACCGACAATGTCCTAGAAGCGAAAGTGTTCTATCTACGCATCTACCTAGTAAGATGATGCTGTTGAACGTGGATGGAGTATGCCAAAGCAGGACTCAGGGCGGTCATCTACGTCATTAAACAGGAAAAGGATGCAAAATAATTCTCCATTGATCGTCGCCCTAGACTATCTAATACGCCAAGTGTTAAATGCCCTTTGTCCTTTTGTTACTGACGATGATTTTTTTTTTATTGTCGCGGATTCATCTGTCCTGATGAATTAAACATTCCAGACGACACATGTTCTGGGACCTATATGCCAATAGATCAGCTCTAGCTATTAATTATGAATATAAATTAATGAAACTCATAGATGTCCACATCGGAATGGGGATCCCGATGAATTGAAGTGGGAACCGCAAATTCATGAATCTTCCCCTGTCGATATTTCGAACTAGAAATGCACATTTCTGGACCCCCCGGATAATTCGAAGCGGGGAGATCGTTTACCAACCTTGGTAGTCAGGTCTGGAGAATCCTGTCTTGTGATGGACGTATATTCCAAGGGTCATCGTCAACCAGTTCATGTGGATATTTAAGAATGTCTGGTTTTGATGATACTGTCCTTTCTGTCTGTCACCCATTGCAAGTTTGTTGGGTCGCCAACAAGACCTAGGTGTGAATGCAACTCATCGCCACCCTTGCCAACCGACTGCCGTACTTCTTGATCCTTGTGCTGTTTTGCCGACGGACACTAAAGATGCCTAGACATGTATCTAAACAGTTAGCTCGCTGTACGTTTCTAGTCCGAGCCATCTATCCATCCCCTATTGCTCTGTGGTTATTCTCGGTACCCCGGCACCGGCCATAGCGACAGAGCGTAAGGGATCATTGTCGGTGTGCACGAGAATCGACAACAGGCAGATTTGACTAGGGTAGAGCAGCCCCAATCACAAGAATTTTTGGTCGTACAGCATGCTGTATCCATCAGCGCGATCCTAGTGGCGAGCTCGCCGAGGTGTCGCGATTGAGTGTCAGGGCGGTGGCTGCACATGGGGAGTCCGAATTGGCGCTGTAAGCAGCTATAGCCATCTTCTGGGACTTCCCTCGGCATCGAGATCAGGAGCTTCAGGGGTTAATATTAAGTTGAAGGCAGGGGAATTTTTCAGGGCTTGCGGCCAGTTCTACCGGCCCTTGAGATTTGTCTTGGTATACTAGGTGCTAGACCGGGTATGTCACTAGTTCAGGCGATCCCTGACCAGTCGTATTGAGTCGAGGAAAAACTCTGCAGTGGTTCGGGAAAACGCTCTGTCGGTATGAGGCTTTTAAATTTGGCCCTGCAAAGTAAGCAGCCTCTTGCCCTTGAAACGCTTCTCGATGCTAGCGAAATTTCCACGCCAAGTTGATAACAAGGGTGCTTTTCTTTCTGGTGGGGGTACACATGTTGGCAGGCTGCGAACATATGCCAGTACTAATTTTCAGTGCTTACATCTAGATTAGATCTAAGACATTGTGTCCCGCGCTGAAGACAGGGACCAACGCCTTGAGGATAGCCTCAATTTTGGTCAGAATACTTATGATGGGATAATTATTCTCTATTATGCATGAATTATGTTCAACTGCCTTAGGCTATTCATGTAAAATGATTATATGTTACGTGATTAAACTGTTATAAAAAGTTGAGGCCGGTCCCATATCTGTTGAGTTAAGTCCTGATTAATGTTGCAATCAATAAGACAACATGCTGCGTGTTTCCGAGAAGAGAAATCATCACAATTGGTATCCCCTGGCGACGCCCCGGGGAAAAACCATAGCATTGAAAGCAAGGGTATAGTACCTGGCGTCAGCACTAAAAAGGAGGATGGGATGACTGGCATTTTATAAAACAGACTAGCCGTGAACTCCACGTCAGCCAGAGAGGCTTAACTTATATAGGTAGGTAGGTTATTGAAAAATGTTTCGCATGTTGTTTCCAGCGTATATGTCACGCATACGGGAGGAATCTACAATCCTATTGTCGGTTGAGGCCTATCGTCGTGATTTTATAAGGCTTATGCTGTTTTAGGCTATAGTAATAGGACTTCTTTCGTTCCTGTAGAATCTGTGGTTCTTCATGCTGTCAGACGTTGCAGTAGGGGCAAGGGTGCGAACATCTTGTTTCCACGGTAAAGCCAAATCAATACGAACTCCGCTTAGGTACTTTAGACGAATACACAGGTGATAGATCGAACGTTTGGATAGGCAAACATGCAAGGGTAGTTATCCGATAGCTTGTAACTTCTTTCACCTCACTAGTGACGACATTCTCTTAGCTGATTATGCATATCATCTATGTCAGGGGAACTGGCAGCGAAGAGAAGTGCCTGTTACTCTACGGGGTCCGGCAATGGCTCTTCTACCGAAATACCACCAGAACCTCCCACAAGCGAACAGAGCGAGACCTGGCCCGCCTCTAGCTCTTATAGCAATATCTAAGAGCGTCGTCGTTGCATCTTTATGCTTTAAGGGGTCCGAGGTTTATCCACGGGAAATTTATGCCATCCTATCGTAGAATTTATCTCGAGTATTCTAGAATTCAGGGGGTTGGCTCCTGAAAATGTGCATACATGTGAGTGAATAATTACTTAAGCGTTCGAAAGAGGCAGGTCCGTCAAATTACAGCCACCTGCATAGGTACCAAGCAGAACATGAAACTCGCGGTCCTAGAAAATCTACGGAACTTTTGCCAATGATATTTCTTCGCTTATATTCCTTCTCGGTACTTACTTTCGTTTTTTACTTTTTGCGTAAGAATTTGCGATCCCTCTCGAGTAGCGGGGAGGAGAAAGTGTAGTATCTCAACTTTCATATGCCTACTTCAGTATTTATTAGAATGCTGAACATTTCTATCAATATCCCATGTATACTTGAATAATTAAATACCTGGGTACCTAGGCACTGCATCTCAAGTGGATATAGTGGAGTAATGATTTTCGGTAGTGGGTTTTAGTACGGTGAATACGCAGATTGGTTGATGAGTTGATTCTTGTTTCTGTCGATTAGCAGATTAGGTACTTTCCCTTACCTAAGGTGGTTTCCGGTTCACTTTCCTTTTCTGGACAACTACTGGCTCCGGGCCGTCTAGGCTCGTTAGCCGCGTCTTCCGATTCTAGTCTCGGCGTACCCGCCTGCCCGCTCGGACGTGCACTAACAGACTACCTAATCTACATACCTAGGTACATTTAAAGTAGTCCCGCAATTATGGAGAATCCACTACTTTATTAGAACCTTGGAGACCAGGATGTGATTTACAAGTCTCGATTTTACACCCATGTTGCGAGTGGAGTTCTTTGGGGGATGTCTTTCGATCGACCTCGCTACCATACCTGCAGCCAACCATGCTTGTCTCAGTTTATTTAATGTCACTGTAGCTTTATCGAGTATGAGTATGAGCACAAGCATGAACGTGAGCATGAGAAACAATGTATTGCTAATATGGACTGTTGCTTTGGACTGTAACCACCTGCGCCTATTTCGAAAATGCTAATTTGCTTCCAGCCAATGCTATGGTAGGGGTTGATACATTACTGAGGGGTAACACCCTCCTAGACAAGCCGCTGAAATCATTTGAACGATTTATCGTCACCATCCACGCCACGGAATTCAAAGTATCTGTTCCATTCGGGATCCTCCAACAAGTTGTTGACAATGGCTTTCTCAAATCCAATCAAAATCTCATTGCCTTCATCTTCACCGTTCGGGCCGCCGTTGGTCCGCGCGGGATACACGATAACGTAACCATTGTCCACTTTATCAAAGGGGTGACGGAATCCGTAAGGCTTCGCGAAACCAAAGTCCGCATCGAATGGCTTAGAATCACGCCAATCGGTCGTGATATTGCTTAGAGGCGGGAAGCTGTCCATGCGCAAGAATAGTGTAGTCTTGTCTCGAACGGCAGCAATCATATTAAGCATCGCATCTAGGTTCTCTTCCGTTGAGCTGTTCGTAAGTTGACGGTTGTACCTGCAAAACAATCACGCGCATTAGAAACGATGGTCTCGAAGCATGGGGGTGCATGCAATTATGGGACTTACCACGCTAACTTGGACAGGGGGGCTTCCGAGATAACTTCCGCTGTGGTAAATTGTGGGACGGCGCTGGTCATGCTCAATGGCACGTACACGACGTTTCCTTGAATGCGCTCTGCTATGGGCTTCTTGTGAATGCGCGTTCGCATATTGACGGCTTCTCCCCAAAGAATGTTCTTCTCTAGGTCCGCATTGTAGAAAGCAGCTCTGTGCTTAGTGAGTAGTCGCCATATGTAGGTTGTGTACGCATCGTAGCTGGAAATCCAATAGCTTCCATCTTCGGGGCTCGCTAGTTTCTTCAACTCCGCCGCCTTGCTCTTAGGCAGATGGAATAGAAGCCACTGGCCCTGTACGTGATCGGGGTGCCTTGGAGGCGAGACTGGTCCATCGACAAGTTGTGCAGGTTCAGGCTTGCTGACACTGGAGTAATCTAAGCAGGCTGGGTCCCATGGTGGGTAAGCGGGGTTCTCTGGCGATTTCCAGATGGCGGCGCAATTCTCTGCCAACTGGTATAGTTCGCCAGCCCAGCCGTTGATATCATTGCAGTAGTGGTGGTGGTGCATCATGAAAACAATACCGCCGCGGATGATGCTTGCTTTGAATGCAGAGGCCTTTGGGTTGCTTGTCGGTTGCGACTCCGGCTTTTCGCCATAGGTCATTGGAGCAACGCACCAAGTATCTAAGTTGCCAAGAGATTGTGTGGTAAAGTGGCGTTCCTCGAGGTCGGCGAAAGTAGGATATTTGCCCTCATCTTCAGGGCCGTCTAACCATTGTACATGAAATTCAACGGTGCTTTCCTTCTTCTTGTGGAAGCAAAAGCCTCCTTCGGGATGCGCCTCGACATAACCGCATAGCTGACGGCATTGGCTCAAAGTAACTTCAAGGCCGCGCTTGAGGTTCTCAATGATGGCATTGCGGTCATCGGAATCGGAAAGTTTAAAGAACAGAGCCCAGTTGGTGTAAACTTGGCCCACACAGTAATCGAGGGGGGCTAATTTAATGTATTCGTTGGCTGGGTCTTTTTCCCATCCCTTAGGATACACATCGAAGACTTGAGACTTGGGCATTTTGATTTTGGTAGTACAGAGTGTAACACAAAGTGTAGTACAAGGTGTATTGTATGTAGAATGAAGAAAAAGCAAAACTTGTCGAGCGCAGCAGACAAGATAGATAAGCTTATTAGATGAAGTCTCCTTACCGATAACTGGTAAAGGGGGATTTTTAATGAGCCCTTCTCGCCATACCTACTAAGATTCCAGACTGAGCTTCCACGCCTGCCACGCCGCCATGTAACCCCAAGGAGGCAATAATGACCGGGGAAATTTACCATAGCGGTGAAAATCCGCGCGCATTACTGGAAGAACACGTGGGGAAATATCAGAAGTTAGAGATGAGTTTCGTGTAGCCACACTCATCGTAAAATTATGTACATGGTTTTCTTTTGGGATGTTAACTAAACCATCTTGGATCATCTTGATAACCAACACTTTATTATTAACTACGCCATATACTATAGCCATGGGTTTACCCTAGGTTAGACGCAGGGGCGCGGCACAGTTCAACGGCCGTAGATCTGATTCGTGGAGAGTGAAACGGCCCCACTTCCGTTATCCGTACCCGAGCTTCTAAGGGTCGGGACGTATGTGGGCCCCGACCCGACTGGGGTCCCTGGGCCGAACGGGGGTAGCGTGGAAAAGACGGTCCTAGCGCACGCTTTTCGGGGAAGGGTGGACTCGGAGAGCACCTACCAACTTTCGTAGTGCACCTGCGCTGCAACATTACTATACTATGCAGTTCTTAGCCTACTATGTACCTACATATACTAAGAATTAGGTGCCTTAGCCTACTTTCTATTCGGGTAGGTACCTACATGCTTATGACTAAGTACCGGAAGTATCTTGAAATAGTACATAATGGAATATCATATGAAAATAATCCTCAAAAAACTTCCGCCGCGATATTTCGAAAGGAGGAAATTATTGATATCTTTGAGTAATTGGAATAAGCAAGGGAACCTCTCCGTAAACTCGCATCGTTGGTACGAATTGCATTATTGTGATCGTGGGCAATACAATGTCGACAGAAGGCTGGTCGAACCAGATAAATCTCTGTTCAGGGGGAAAATATGCACTATTCGCCTCTCGCTCAGCAGATTTTTTCCAATGCCTCCCCCCTACCCGTTCGAAAAAGTCCCTGGTCTACCGCTTTGTCGTTCCAGACTGAAGGTTCGCGCACCTGTCGTGCATAAGACTGGCGCAATCTGGAGAGGAAATTTAAAGCATGTCGCTATCTTAACAGAACACTTAATATACATGATCTGATCTTTACCCCGGACGTAGAACTCCTAGCTGACTGACCGAAGACGGAGCACTAGCGGAATGGCTCCGGATATCATAAGTTCTCTATTTCCTAGGCTACATTCTCGTGAAAATTTTTATCTTATTTTTATAATTAAGTAACACTAGTAGATGGTGACACAGATGTATCTATTCGAGTATTCAGTCAGGCATATTCGTCAACTATACTGCTATGAACAAAATCGGAGAAATTAGGGAAGATAAGTCTCTCATAATATACGCGTTTTAGGTTATTATGAACTTTTACATGAATATTATCTTACTAGGTAGGTAAAAGAAATATTTATGGTGAATAGTATGTAACATGTCACATTTCTCGCAACGGGGGTATTCGACTAGGTATTAAATAACGGGGGTAAATTTTCAGCAGGGGCGCTTTCACGGGGGTGCTACCTACGGGGGTATTCTCAACCTTCTGCTGCAGAGGATGCCTCCCCTGGTTATTACGAGAGATAGCAATGTTACCAGATAAAAAGAATTCCACATCTCCGCCAAGTTCCCACTGGGTCTCCTCTGTACATATATAACCTTCTTACATCTATGATCATCATTACACGTTAAAGCCCCTTCCCCGTCCTAGCATCTACCAGATCAAGTTTTGCGAGATCCCTTCGAGAGGGACAATTCGGACAAGATGGATGCGGCCACTCTCGAGGCGTTCCTCGATACGCCAGCCATGCCAGCTCCTGAGGGCGTGACTCCAGTTTTCGACAACCCGCCCAATCAGAACTCTCTTGGTATTACTGTTCTGACAGTTTGTCTGGTGATTTCGACGGTTTGCGTCTGCCTACGAGCGTATGCGAGAGTCTACCTGTTGAGAAAAGTTCAAGTCGAAGAGAGTGAGTTTAGTCTTTTTATAACCTGTTTTTCCATCGTATAATGTTTGTTAATCAATCGTCATTTTCAGTTTTGATTTTCTCTGCTTATGCCGTTTTCATCGCGCAAATGTACGCTGGCTATGCGCTGATCGCACAGCCGGGTTATTTTGTTCACCAATACAACCTCAAGATGAGGGACATGGTCCAGCCAACCTTCGTTAGTCTCCCCACCGATGCGCTCATCGTCCGATCCATTACTAATTCAATGCAAGACTATCTTACTCATGGGCTGCTTCTACCAAACTGTTCTCCCGCTTTTGAAGACTGCCATTCTGCTCGAATGGTGTCGTCTACTTACGCCGCCTGGTAATAGATGGAAGTCGTTCTTCTGGTTGGGATGCGTAGGCGTTATATTTATTCAAGTCAGTTTCGGGATCGCCTGCGTGATCCTGCTTAACATGCAATGCACGCCCCACGTATCCATCTGGGAGTTCTGGCGACCGGAGCGGAAGTGCTTTGACCTGATCTCCCTCCAGCTAGCTAGTGGCTCCATCCAGCTCTTCAGTGACGTCGCCATGTTGCTACTTCCCCAGAAGACTATCTGGACCTTGCAATTGAGCTGGCAGAAGAGATTGGGTGTGAGTGTTGTCTTCGGCTTGGGTGTATTGTAAGTTTTCCAATTCCTCAGCTTGAACGCAAGTCTAATATGTTGTTAAAGCGCCTGCGTTTCAGCAGCGGTTCGTCTATCTGTCACTGTCACCTTTGGCTACAACCCCGATCAGATGTATGCGCTTGGTCCTTTGGTATTCTGGGTAGATGCTGAAAGCACATGCGCTTTCTTCATCGTCTGCATGCCATGTCTTCCGAAGATTCTTAGGGAACAAGGTATCATACATAGGATCAAGAAGGTCTTAGGTATGAAGCTTACCCAACAGGGTCTGAGCTACGGTGGAGACTCCAAAGCTGCCAAGTATGGATACGGTAGCAAGTACAGCACCGGGGACTCGTATAGGAAGCTGGACGAAGAACGTGGCGGCGTTCCTCTTGGCGACATGAAGACAGAGAGCACAGAGCGACTCAGGCGTCCAGAGGATGCTGAAGGAAAGATTGTCAAGACGACCCAGGTCACCGTCCAGGTTACTGCGGATACACCTGCGGAGAATGACACCAAGTCACGAGGCAGGATCGGCGGCCAACCCGTTCATGGGAGTTGGTATAACTAACTTCACACCTTCATGCTGGGCATGTCGGTAGAGACAATTTAGTCGCGATCATTTAAAATTCATTTTCCTTAAAAAAAGGTATAATTAAAAATACACATGTATATATTTAGATAATGAAGCATCAAAAAAAATTTAGAAAAAAAAAGCACGTAGAAAAAGTCATGATATGTAGCGACTTACTATACACCGATATTTAGGTAAATGTCCTTAATATTAATGACGATGCTTCTTATTACTCTATTTTTGTGAAAATAAAGCGTCATGCCACCAGGGCTCGGTAGCGCTGCAGATTCCTGCAAAAGATTCTGCGCCACGGACTTGCATTGCTGCTAACTCATCTTCAGTTAAGTCGATGCACCGACCACTCTATGCCCCGGCTCACTTTTCCCAAAGCGGAAGAATCTACCTTCCATGGTAGGAAGCGAGCTTTATAAGACGGACATCTATACACTATCAGGTGAGAGTCGGGTATACTCAATACTGCCGATATGTCATTATTATGGAGTAGGGCATTGGTGCCCATCCTCCTCTACGTATTACGCATCGTCACATGCAGTGAATCCGGACTCCTATTAATACCCCTCTCTCTGCTCTCGTCCCTGAGTCCTCCTTCGTCTTAGACAAAGAATAATGTCTTCTGTATGGTCCTTCTATACTAATCGACTAGGTCATATGCGAAGTGTCACATAGGTTCGTTCAGTATTGCGGTTAGGACAATGCAGGCATCGAACGACATTGCCATAGTGGGGTTTGCCTACAAGCTCCCCCAGGATATTGAAGACGACTCTGCGTTCTGGGAGACCCTCGAGGGCGCGAGAAATCTTTCAAGTGGATGGCCCGAGAATCGGAGTGAGTAATTGCCCGGACTCTCTTCGACCGATCCTCCCGGCTTTCATGTGGCTTGAGACCAATATGGGTTATCACTAACCATTGACGATTTAGTGAGATCTGATGCACACCCAGACCCTAGGAATGGCCGGGTAAGTAGTCCCGACGACTTGGAACCTGCCCATTTTTTGGGCCGTGACGCACATGCAGTTTGAAGGAGAATTGAAAAAAATAACGATGTAAAACTGACAGACGAAATAGACTCACAGTTGTGGCGGGCATTTTATCCGGCAAGATCCGGCCGGCTTTGATGCACCCCTTTTTGGAATCACACCTAAAGAAGCTGCGAGTAGTAAGTTGTGTCCAATTTTCGTGTCGATAACTTCTTTTCGCTATTTTGTTCGAATTACGAAATTCGGCGATTGATAGCCAATTGCTGACCCCGAATATTTTAGTGGATCCCATACAGCGATGGACGTTAGAAGTCTCGTATCGGGCCTTTGAGAATGGTTAGTAAAGTAGTGCAAACGCTTAAACTTACCTTATGGCCGTGCTAATACCCTTCCTCACCTAGCTGGAATCCCGGTCGATAGGTTGAAAGGTTCCCGGACGGCAGTATTATCAGCTACCTGGACGGAAGATTATGTTCGAATGGCCGCCATGGACCCGGACAATTACGACAGGACGAGCGCTACCGGAGTCATGGCCAGCATCGTACCAAACAGGGTCAGCTACTTCTTTGGCATGCAGGGCCCAAGTTTCCATGTCGATACGGCTTGTTCGAGTGGACTGTCAGCATTTGACATCGCCTGTAAGCTGCTTGGAAGCGGAGATGCAGACGCAGTAAGTGGATCCCCGCGTGACTATGTTCCCGTCTCTTGCGGTATCCATTCTTTCATAGCCTGCCGCATAGACCATCCTCAGCCCTATCCCGTTTCTACCCCCGCCGTAATGTGGATTCTCTTCCGTATTGCAAATGCTTGAGTGGCTAACTCCAACTTCAAAAGGCCCTCGTGACAGCCGCCAATCTGCTCCTTGAACCGGGGGTGTATCAGATGCTTCGTAACTTGCAAATGCTATCCCCGGACAGCACAAGCAAATCATTTGACCACAAAGCAAACGGGTTCGCTCGAGGAGAAGGTGTTCTTAGCTTCGTGCTAAAGCCGGTGTCAGCTGCTCTTAGGGATGGAGATATGATCCGGGCCGTTGTCCGTGCGGTGGCGTCCAATCAAGATGGACACACTCCGTCACTAAGCCAGCCGAATCCTGTAGCCCAAGAGAATCTAATTAGGTTCGTATATGCGAAAGCAGGATTGGGGATGGCGCAAACGCGATATGTGGAAGCACACGGGACGGGTACACCGGTTGGTGACCCTATCGAGATGAAGGCGATCGGAAACGCATTCCGAAATTCTCGGAGCGTGGATGAACCGCTCTATGTGTATGTTGCCCTTCATTCTACTTCGTTGAGGCTCTTTGACTAAACGCACTACAGCGGCTCTGTGAAGTCGAATATTGGGCATCTTGAAGGCGCTAGTGGCCTCGCTGGTATCCTTAAGGCTATTCGTAAGTCAATATCGGTCTCCCTAGAAATTAACTTCTAACTTGTCTATAGTTATTCTCGAAAAGGGTGTCATTCCACCTAATGCTCTCTTCGAGAAGCTCAATCCTGCGATCGATGCCGAATTCCTTCGAGTAAAAGTGCGTATTTACGGCTCGTTTTCTTAATCGTGTCCTTTCGCCTATTGTGATTTAGCTAGTAGCTCCCGCTTACATATTTTTAGGTTCCTGATAAATGCATCCCTTGGCCTTCAACAGGTACTCGGCGTGTATCCATTAACTCGTTCGGCTTCGGGGGTTCCAACACACATGTTATCTTGGAAGATGCATTGCATTTCCTCGAGTATCATGGGCTACGGGGGCATCACTGCACCGCTACCCTCCCTGCGGTGACAAGAGTAAATGGCCCACATGCCCACGACTCGACACCCAAGACACCCAGGCAAGCAAATGGGATAAGACATTCCAGTACCGCATCCCAAGATTCGGGAATTAGCGTGTCGCTTGCGAATGGGTCTCCCCCGCCCAGCAAGAGAGAACGTGTGAATGGAATCACCCACAATGAAACCACTCAAAATGGGGTCATCGAAAACAGGGCTACTACCAACGGAATCACCCACAATGGAAGCATCCAAGAAGGAGCACTTGTCAAAGTTGCTCCTTTCCCTGGCAAGACCAAGACCTTACGTCGACATAAGCTCCTTGTCTTCTCTGCCTTTGATGAGAAGGCTGCCCAACGCGTTACAAAGGGTTACACCTCTTGGTATCGGGCCAATGAAGTCTCTTCTGACCCCGTCAAGTTGGACGCTTCCGCACACATGCTTGCCGTGCGGCGCAGTCATATGCGATGGCGTAGTTTTGCCGTTGCTAGTGCCTTGGATAAGAGCCAAACCCCATACGGCGACTTTGGAAATGAGGAAGTTTCGAAGGGGCTATCGCCGATCAAGCCTATTCGGGTCGCGTCGAATCCTACCTTGTGCTGGGTGTTTACTGGCCAAGGGGCGCAGTATGTCGATATGGGTTGGGAGTTGATCGAAGCATATACTGTCTTCGAACAGACGTTGAAGAAAGTAGATGAAGTATATAAGGGATTCGGTTCCGATTGGTCCATCTTTGGTAAGCAAGCACATGACTCCCCCTTTTTTTCGCCGTCTTATCCTACGCGCCCGCCCCCACGCCCAACACACAGGGGGTATAGATGCGCATGGCTAACCTAGAGTCCTGCTTTATTTAGATGAGCTCCGACAGAAAGAGAACATCAACAAGCCCGAGTACAGCCAGCCACTATCGACTGCTGTCCAGATAGGGCTTGTAGAATTGTTGCGGAGCTTTGGCATCACTCCGAAAGCTGTCGTTGGGCATTCGTCCGGAGAAATCGCTGCTGCGTACGTGAAAATCTTTCTTCGTTCTCATATAACCCTACCTAAACCATATGACTTCTTGTGATGTCATGGTAAGATTTCTTGCAAACATTTGAGATTCTTCGTGAGGACGAAATCTTCCGCCAACTCGGAATTTCAAAGTTGCAACGGATTGTGATCGCAACCCCCATGTCCTTACATACGAAGAGCTTTGGTCTAACATTTGTTGTATCGAAATAGCTACGCAATCGGTGCCCTTTCCCTTACGTCTGCCTGCAAGGTATCATACTTCCGTGGCCGCGAGACCGGGAAGCTACGCATTGCCAATGAGTCTTCACCGGGTGCCATGATTTCCATCAATCTCGCACCTGACCAGGTCACCGATTTCCTATCGAGGATCCACGTCGAAGGGATACAGGGAGTTGGTGTCGCATGCCAAAATAGTCCACTGAATGTTACATTATCAGGTCCCGAATCCGGAATTGACGCCGTCAAGGAACAGGCTGATCAAGAAGGTGTATTTGCTCAGAAACTGAAAACAGGTGTGGCTTATCATTCCTCGGCAATGAACTCGGTAGCGAGTGGGTATCTATCGTTGATGGGGGTACTTGAGCCCGCTGAGATACTGCCGATTCGCATGTGGTCTACAGTGACTGGCAAGCCGATTTTGCCTACCGAGTTAGCAAATGGCCAATATTGGGTTGACAATATGATCTCGCCTGTCAAATTCGCTTCCGCCGTGAGTCTCATGGCGTCGGAAGCAACGAATCTAGGGATAACGGATTGGGTCGAGGTGGGACCACATCCCGCGCTCAGGCGGTATATCCAGGACACGCTCAGTAAAGACAGAATATATTACTCAGCCGTGCTTCAACGAAACCATTCCGCGGCCCAGAAAGCCTTAGAGCTTGCGGGAATGTTATTCTGTCGCGGCCATAGCATCTCACTGACGACGGTAAACAACCAGCAAGGAAAAGAGACTACATCGACGCCTCTCCTAGTTGATTGCCCATCTTATCCGTTTGACCATTCGAATAAGTTCTGGGCCGAAGGCCGGATTAGCAAAGGTTATCGTCTCCGCAAGCCTACTAAAGGCGGGGAATTGGGACAGAAAGCGCCAGATTGGAATGCTTTGCAGCCAAGATGGAGGAATTTTCTGAGTGTTGAGACACACCCCTGGATCGGGCATCACGTCGTCAGCGACATGATACTCTACCCCGCAGCCGCTATGTTGATTGCCGCCCTCGAAGCCGTACAGGAAACTGTCCCAGCCGACAAGACCGTCGCCGGCTACTATGTGAAAGAAGCGCATTTCCTGAGTCCCGTTGTGGTTCCCGAAAATTCAGACGACAGGATCGAGACAATGATTTCTTTGCGGCCGGTCAAGAACCGTTCCCAAGGTAAGGAAGCACCGTCGAATTGGTTTGACATTAGCATCTTTGCCTATGCGAAAGAAAGTCACACTTGGACTGAAGCTTTCCGTGCTACTTTGCAGGTAGACTTTGCGTCCGACGCCAAGCAGGCAGAAAGATATGCGGTAGATGAAGCTATCCGAGGGCAGCACCGAGAGGCTCAGGAGGCATGCAATCTTCCAGTCGACGCACAAGTATTGTACGAAGATGCGTTTGAACATGGCCTGCAATACGGGGAGTCGTTCCGACTTTGCCAGGACATTAAGTGGGACAAATCAGGAGCTCGAGCGGTCACAAAAGTGCCCGTACCTGGTCACGCGAGATATGAGACAGCAAGCCCTGTGCACCCAGCGGTACTAGATACCATGTTCCATGCCTTGAGAGTAAGCGCCGGCCAGCAGCAAGCTGCCAACGTTCCGTTGAGACTCGAGGATGCATGGTTTACTTCATCTGGATGGCCGGCGCCGGGTGCGGGAAACCTGAGCTGGCTTGCCTCGTCTAAGGGGAGAAGGGACAAAGGAGCCCTTGGAGAGAGAGGTAGCGTCTCGGCTCTAGGAGATGACGACACCGTGCTAGCGAGAATAGGAAAATTAGTGACGGCTGCGATTTCCAGAGAAGATTCTGATCCCCTGGCTGAAAATGCGGGTGCTAGGCATAAGACCTTGCTATACGGAATCGAATGGGAACCCCAGCTCAGTCTATTAAGCTCGGCGCAACTCTCCGAGGTTTGCAAGGCAGACATTTTCACTCACGACCCCGACACCGCCCTGGCCGACCATCTTAAGCGTACTGCGGTACTTAATCTCACCGCCGTTCGTCACGTTAGAAACGTACCGGAGGAGAAGCGCACCAAGCTCCCGAGTACCCTCCGCCAACATATGGACTGGATGGAGCAGCATGTGCGTTCATTGCCTTCTGAAGAACGGGAAGCTGCTGAAGCTATCACGGACTCCGAGTACGAGGCCCAATTAGATCAATTTGCCGCCGATTTCCCCGACTGGACACTATATCCGCGTGTCGCGCGCGCTTTGCCGGAAATCATGGCTGGAGAGATCGATCCTCTGCAAGTCATCTTCGAATCCGAGCACGCGAGGAAGTTTTACGCCGCTCTTTTCCAACCGCTTTGCGGTGATGGAAGGCTAAGCAAATTCATCAACCTTGCCGCTCACGAAAACCCATCTCTGCGTATTCTAGAGGTTGGCGCCGGTACCGGTGGTATGACGGTGCACATCCTAAACGCGCTAAAGGAAAGGGAGAAGCGCACAGGTGCACTGTCCTTTACCGAGTTCATGTACACAGACATCACCCCGGCGTTCTTCGAACCCGCCAAGGAGCGATGGGATGCCGAGGGTCTTGGCGATCGTATGCTTTACAAGACCCTAGATATGGAGCACCCAGTCGCGGGTCAGGGGTTCAAGGAGAATTCGTATGACCTGGTAATAGGCGGAAGTTGTGTTCACGCCACGAAGCTCTTGGGTAACACACTGCCGAACCTGCGGCGCCTACTGAAGCCGGGTGGTAAACTCGTCTTACTCGAGATGACGAAACCTACGGACATTTCGTCCTGTTTCTTCGCAACACTAGCAAGTGGTTGGTGGCTTAGCCAGGAAGAGGCACGGACAAAGAACAAGAGCCCGCTTGTGAGTGAGAATGAGTGGGACGAGTACTTGAAACAGAACGGGTTTTCGGGCAATGATCTCGTGTTGAGGAACACTAGAGAAGGTGAGGCCAATATTGCTAGCGTCATTGTCAGCAGCGCTCTCGAGGAAACGAAGCAAGAGAAGATCTCATCTCCTCTTAGGCGGGTATTCGTCGTCGATCCTCAATATGAAGGCCAGAAAAATCTTGCGGACGCTATCTCTAAAGGCGAAGATATTGTTGTCCCTCTAAACCAACTCGGCGACACTTCTTTCAGCAGCAGCGACGTTGCCGTCTCGCTCGTTGAGATAGACAACCCCCTCTTATACCAACTTTCCGAGGAACAGTTTTCGCGGGTGCAAATTCTATTAAAGCAAGCGCGAAACCTTATTTGGGTCACTGCTCCTCAAGAGGGTGCGAATGACGCCCGATTCCCGCATTACGCTATCGCGCAAGGGTTCCTAAGAACGGTTAGGGCCGAGATGCCTGAGTCCCATATCGTATCTTTGTCTATCGAAGACGTCACCAGCGGCGAAACAAGGGGAGAGATTATCAACAGAACCATCGAGACAGCTTTTGGCGATTCTCCATCGGCAGAGCTCGAATACGTATTCCGCTCTGGTACGATCCATACAGCGCGTGCCATCGAGAGTATATCTAGCAACAACACACTGGAATCCCTGCTCTATCCCCGTCTCCAAGAACTCACATGGGAGGATAGTCCCGCTATAAAATTAGCGCTTGGTACCCCAGGAAGTCTCGAGTCGGTGCGCTTCCAGCAAGACGAGAGGTACGCCGAAATTCTCGACCCGCACAACATCGAGATCGAAGCAAAGTCATGGGGTCTCAGCCGTAAGGATGTTCTGGGTGCTCAGGGCAGTGTTGACGATGACCACGACGGAGGCGATATTGGCACAGATTGCTCAGGTGTGGTCACCCGCGTCGGCCAGGGTTGTGATGCGCAGGGACCGCAGCCAGGCGATCGAGTCGTCATGCTAGCGCATGGCTGTATAAGTAAATTCCCTCGCGCGCACGAAACACGCGTCTTTAAGATCCCCTCGGAATCAAGTGCCTCGTCCTTTGAGGTAGCGGCAGCAGCTCTGGAGCCTACGCTGACCGCTTATCGTGCTCTCATCGACGTGGCGAGGGTATACCAGAGCGACAAAGTTCTCGTGCATGAAGGAGCAAGCGCTACAGGGCAGATGGCGATCCAAATCGCGAAGAGAGAGGGAGCTGAGGTGTTTGTTACGACACGTGCTCCCTCGCCCGAAGAGGAAGAGGAGGAGAAACGACTTCTTACCGGCGCACTGGGAATTGACTCAGAGCATATCTTCTCGGCTAGTCAAGACAACACATCGTTCGCGACCGGAATTAAGCAGGCCACCAACGGCTACGGCGTTGATGTTATCGTTAATACATTGGCCGGTGACCAGCTCCAAGCAAGTTGGGAGTTGCTAAGTCCTGGCGGGCGTTTCGTCGACATTAGCCCCGGTGGAGGCGGCTCATTGCCAGGAGCTGGTTCTCTAGCGAGAAACACAAGCTACTCTACTGTCGACGTCATGTACCTGCCACCACACGTGACGGCAAAATTGCTGAAGGACATAGTGACGCTATTGGATGAGGGCAAGATCACGCCCCCAACGCCAGTGCGGGTATTCCCGGCAACCGAAGTAAAGGAAGCCTTCAAATTGCTGCAGGACAAAGACAATTCCGGCCGTGTTGTCGTAGTCCCACAGCCAAGTGATGTTGTTCCGCAATTTATCCTAAACCCGAACGCCTTGCAGGGTTGCAAACTAGACGAGAATGCATCGTATCTTGTTCCGGGTGGTCTCGGTGGCTTGGGCAGATCTATCCTCGCGTGGATGGCGGCCCACGGCGCTAAGCACCTAATTGTCCCCTCACGTAGCGGCGCCACCGCTCCTGCAGCAGCCAGGCTTGCAGATTCGCTCTCGTCTAGTGGCGTGCAGCTTGTCACGCCCAAATGTAATGCCGGCAACGGAGCCGAATTGGCCGCCTTACTCGAAGAAGTGAAGCAAACAATGCCCCCAATCCGCGGCGTAATTAACTGCGCTATGGTTCTCCCCAACGCCGTATTTGCCAATATGTCTTATGACCAATGGTGGTCTGCGGTGAGCGCGAAAGTGGATGTGTCATCTAACCTCCATCGCCTTTTACCGGACCATGAGAATCTAGACTTTTTTATCCATCTCTCTTCTTTGGCGGGCGTCAATGGTCAGATGGCCAGTTCGAATTATGCTGCGGGGTGCAGTTTCCAGGATGCATTGACGCGGTGCTACCCCGGAACCACGACTTTGGACATTGGTTGGATGTCGGACGTCGGCCTAATCGCCGAGACGGCCGCATACCAGAGGCAATTAAACGAATGGGATAACATGCAGAGGATCGAAGAAACCGAACTGCTCGGCATTATAGGAATGGTATGCGGGAATAAACGAGCCGAGAAGGAAGAGAGCGAAGAAAGGACAACGGAACAACAGATCCTGATAGGTGTCCGTACGCCAGCTGATTTCCTATCTAAAAACCAGCGACCGTTGCCCCCAGTCCTAGATAGGCCGTTCTTATCAACTTTTGCTAAGCACATTGACCCCACCAAGTCTTCAAGGGGCAACAAGAACAACGCGGCTTCAGGCAAAGTGGCGGCTATCGACCACGGTGCTCTGTTCCGTGTTGCTGAGGATGATAAAGCACGCGTATCTGTTGTGACATCGGCGCTTTCTGAGAAGTTAGCACGAGTGACGACTATGTCAGTCGATGATGTAGACCCGGATAGGACACTCTCGTCATATGGTATTGATAGCTTGATGGCCATCGATATACGCAATTGGCTTGGCCGAGAGTTCAGTGCCAAGTTGAGTGTGTTTGAGATTATGAGCGGAGAGAGGCCGATTAAATTGGTTGCTGAGACAGTTGTTAGGAAGAGTTCTGTAGGAAAAAGTTGAAGAGTTTAAGAGTTGGGTTGGTGGGGTTGAGACAGAGTTGGTAATGAGATGAGATTATGAAGGCGCTATGCGCTAGGTTACGTTATGTTATGGGCAAGTTCGGAATACAAATCTTACCAGTGGGATGTGGAAGGTAGCACTGGTCCTGTCTTTTCTGCTGGTTAGGAACGGTATTGGGTTTCATTTGTAAGCGGGAGCTAAGGTTTTGACTAAATCGACTAAATCGACTAAATTTTGACAGCATGGAGATGAGATAAACTTTGAAAGACGGGAAGCTTTAGGGGTACTTTTTAGACTCCGAGCCCAGGAGCTATGTGGGTTTGTCTTTTCGCTGTAATGTGCCCCACGCTATCCACTTTAGCACGGACCGCTTAGTGGGTCCTAGTAGAGCGGATCCAACCCCCCGTACAGATCAGTAGAGTTACACTAATCTGCGCTAAATTCGGAACGATCTTAAAGCTTTCAACTTAAAATATGAGTGGATTTATTAATAAATGAGAATTATAGCCAGGATGCCCTCAAACAAAGATGCAAACACTTCTAACAGTCGAACGATATAGAAAAAAGCGGTCTAAGCTTTTTTATCTCACCGCAACTGTCTACCGAGGTAGGTATTCGCAATTCTACCTAGGTAACCACCAGCAGACTCAGTGATAATATACTCAAATGTTCGAATGTTGCCCTCCTTAAAGCCGATCATAACCCCTCTCTTCACATGGAACATCAGCTCTATACCTACCTGGGTACCTACGCAATACAGATGGGATGCCGCGGTTGGTGTGTACTGGAAATCAAGAATGCCGTGCAGATATAGGTTGCCATATTACCGCACACATGATCATTCATTGGCCATAAATTAACATATGCATAGGTACTTAAGTAAAAGCAAGCGCAAACAACGAGAGGGGGGTGTCATTACATGAACTTGGAGACTTGTTGATGTGACATATCACAATGACAACAAAAGCAAAACCGAAGCTATTTAGGAAGATCATCTGTTGTCTTTTCCCACAATTTTGAGGCCACCCGCCAACCTTCACCAGCATCAGCATCATACCATTTAAAAAGAATTTTATCAGGAAACCTCCAAGTGTTTTAAATAATTTAGAAGGAAACAGAGCGGAAATCGCCCATGGTCGCGTCTTGCGCCTTCGATATGCGACTTTCTTATGAATAGTCTCACCCAAGGTGGGACTAGCGCCCGCATGGACGAAATACGCGAGCACAGACAACACAAGGCCAGATTTTGAAAAGGAAGCTGACCTCTTCATTATGCCCAAGCCCTGACCCATAAGTCCAAACCGGGATTAGATAAAGAACAGCGTACGGTGGCACTCGCTTCGCCGTCCCTACTGCAGACATCCGGTCAGGCAACCTCGATGCACCGTGACGTTTAGAAATACCTATTTCGGTGCTATTTTCTGCTTAAAATCGAGGAGGAGCTGCTCATCAGACCTAGAAGATCTCGACGTGATCTACTCGACGTTGCCTCTAGCTTTCTTTTCTTCACCTTAAAGCTAGAGGGGGAAATTTTGGTATCAAGTCGCGAAGGTAGTTTTGCACGTTCGGAAAAACCTACGATAGGATCTTCTAGGGCTCGAGATTCAACTTCTGCATCTCAACTTTCCGTCGCAGCCTTGGATGAACTTGTTGCGTGTGATTTTTCGTTAGCACGCTTCCGCTAGGTGAAAACGAGCCTACATCCGAAATAAAGGAGCTAGCGGATACGTTCTAAGCCTAAACCCCTGAAGTGGCGCTGACTATCACATCTGTTTTACCACAACAGGTTGGTATCATGACACCTGAGGAATGGTGGCGCATCAATATAAGTAGGTACCCAAGCGAGCAGGTAGGTAGATTAATTGAGGTACCTTGGGCGGTTACCATACGAATTGGTGTCTATGTAACTAACTACACAATTCCTCCAGAAAAGCATCACACCCGGGCGCTACACCTTATAAACAACAGATATTCTCAGCCCGCAGTTTCGTATACATGAGAGTTATCCCAATTAATTCATTCACCCGCGGGTATTCTTGTCATGTTTTCCAAGCACATCGTCGATACTCTCCCCTTTTGCGATGTCTTCAATAGCTTTCTCTGCAGTCGAAACGCTCTCAAAGGCCCGACCCTTACCATATCTACCCAATGATTTAGCATTCTTTGGATTATCATGACGATTCCCACGGAAGCGAGTTACTAGGCGACTCCTCTCATTCTCTTGCATGATTACGGCTGATAATTGGTGCATAACATCCCAGCCTTTCAGGATGGCTTCGAGCGCCACCTTGCGCTCTGACTCGGGTAAAGCACCAAATTCGCGTTGGGCTTGGACGATACGTGCACGGCGGAGGTACTTGAGAGGTTGTTTTCCGCGATCGACTTGTTTAGCAATGCCTTTCAAGGCATAGCCTATGGGTCCGACTAATGCCGCTATATCTTTCAGCACAAACCCCGTAAGCCCCATGCCGACGCCCGCAAGCGCACCTTTGATACCGTCTTCTCTAGCACCAAGGATTGGTAGTCGTACGAGACCAGTAAATCCATCGTAGATTCCGTAAACAGATTCGTAGCCCGCAGCCTTCAGACCTGATCGTATTCCTGTGACGCGAATAGGACGCCTCACGGTTTCGTCGCCATAGAGGCGAGGCGCATTATGAAAGCCTTGCGCTAGGGCTAAGGAAAGATCGACAGGCGCGTGAGCCAAAGCTCGACCTGTTTTCCCTACCCCTTCTTCGACATCATTCAGGTACTCTTCCTGGGCAGGTTCAAGAGGGGCTGACCCGGGTGTAATAGCCGGGAGGATCGAAGTATTTTCTACGCGATCGTTTCCGCCTACAAAAATTTGACTGCCAGCGCCTTGGCTAGGGAATGGGAATCCATCTAAATTTCCAGGCTGTGCATGCTGACTTTGCTGCTTTCGTTTTTCTTTCCGTCTTTTCTGTTCTGCTCTCTTATTTGATGTCCTAGCCAGCCGGTACGGAACGCTACCTATCCCACCAAAAACGTCGCCCACAGTTCCTATAAGCGAACCGACAATACCTGTGATAGGTTCGCCTGGTCCTTCGAAATCATTCCATTCTCTGTGACGGAGGAGGCGTAATCTCCGCCAAGATATTAGCCCCCGACTAACAGCAATATCGGCCGCTAACGCACTAAGTTTGATGCTTGTTCGTTTTACACGCCATACTGCCACGCGATCATCAAGAATCGAACATCGCACGGAACCCTTACCCGAAAGTGTCAGACTGCGGTGAAATGATTTGACAGCATTTTTGGCACCATCTCCTTCGAGATCGATGTCTCTAGCAATTTTCTGTGCGGCTTTAACCGCTTGATCCGTCATACAATATCTGATACCTTCTGCTAGCTTCTCTGCACTTAATTTTTTATATGGTATTGGCATAGGCCCGGCACCTGTAGTACCGACCATCGACCCCCAAAAGTGTTGATCACCAAAAAAAGGTACTACCATCGTTGGTTTGCCACATTTAAGTGCAATAGCCGTCGTGCCGGCGCCACCATGAATAACGCAAGCCCGAGTCCGAGGAAATAGCCAGTCATGGGGGGTATTGTCGAGCATGTAGATACTTTCGGGTACATTATCGTGGCCCAGTCCGCCCCAGCCTTTAGACACCAATGCACGAACCCCGGCGAGCTTCACAGCGTCAAAGATCATCTCGGTAAATCGATCAGCATCGTCGACTACGATAGATCCGAAACCTATATATATTGGAGTTTCGCCGTTGTCAAGAAATTTTGTAAGCTTTTCGGGCGGTTCAAATGAAGACGCGAGGTCAAGGAAGACAAAGCCAGACACGTCAATCTCCGAGCCCCAATCTTCTGGCTTAGGTACGATTCCAGGACTCCACAGGTAGGTGAATGGCACATGGAGGCGATAAGTTGCTCCTGGGGCCCATAAGGTTGATACCGGATCTAGTCCTAGCGTTTTAACTCTAAAATCGTTGACAAGGTCGCCAAGTCCTTGCCAAACCATCATCTCCACAAGTGGATAAGAGATGAAGTTGGTATATCCTGGGTCAACGTTGGATTTCTTGATAGTCGCTAACGGATGTGGGAATGCTTGGGTAGGTGTGTAGGGGAACGTGAACATGAGATGGAGGGGAATCCCCAGGGCTTCCGCACAATGGATGTGCGCAAAACTTGGGGGATTCGCAATGATAGCATCCGCGATGAATGGATCCCTCTCACCCATCATTTTAAGATTGTGAGTGTCTTTCTCATTGTCGGTTGCGTTAATACAGGCCCTCCAAAACCCTTCGAACATCTCAGCCATAGCAGCGCGCCTGCAAACAACTATTAGCAACCTAGTTACTTCAAAGCTAGAGCGAGAAAAGTTTTCCGAGCCGAAAAAAGACAAAACTAAGGCCAAGACATATTTAATACGTACCTCCGTCCAATACCCCCAGCCTTCACAGTCTCGAGCGTAGGAATCATGCCTGGATTTTTGACCATAAAGGCCATCAATTCCGACGGATCACCACCAACGGAGAAGAATTCCAGCCCAGAGTCTTTTTCAACAAAATCACGGAAGGCAGGATGCGTTGCTATTCGTACGCGATGCCCATAGTCCTCTTTTAGCACCTTCCCTATTTTTAGGAAAGGCTGTGCATCCCCCCTAGAGCCAATGACCATAATAACTATGTTCAACTTAGGCCATCTCACCTGCTTCGTATCTGCGGTGCTTGCTGACGATAATCGGGAGGATGGCCGATGACCTTCCTTTCCTTCTTCGTCTTTCTTAGGCACGACCTTCTTCACGGCGGTGCCAAGTGCCTTAGCTAGGTACCCCGTGCTGCTGGTATCATTTACCGAAATGTTCAATCGGCCATCCCTCTTGGAAACCTTACCCTTTGTTTTGTATAATTCGTTCACTACTCGGAAATGTCGATATTTATCATGAGAGGATTCGCGCTTGGGTCGTTCTTTTGGTTGACCTAGTGCTTCATCTGTCTCCCCGTTTTCAACATCGGATGAAGACGAACAAGACGTATCGTCATCCTTACTATGTTCGCAGGCCTCTCGCAGCGCTGTATCAAGCATAGAATCATCCGCCCTTACTCGCCTCATAAGAGGAAATGCCGAGAATGATGAGGGCCGACGTCGCCTCCGGCGAAGAATGTGTGGAGAATACTGTGTTAGCTTGGGGTGCGGCGTGTTGACCGGCTCCGACCTGGCCTTCTTGGGGCCTAACGCTGGATCGGGGGATTTTGTATCGCTTGGTACGCCTTCCGAAGTAGCCCTCTTGCGTGAAGTGGGTAACTCAATATCAGGAGGAACATAATTTGGGTAGGCCAAGTTGCCTTGTTGATCTCGGACAATGGTCACTTGGCGTCCGTCATGATCCACGTCGTGTAGAAGAAGTCGATTGTCTTCCAAATTGCTTTCGTGTATTGGCGCCATAGATGGCTTATCGAATTCAACTGGAGCCATGATTGCCGTTGATATTCCTTAATGGATGCTGATAGGTCATAGAGTGTTGATCCTGAAAGTGCTACCGATACGCGATACGAGGACCCATCAATTCCCTCTCTTCGGTTTACCGTCTGCAGAAGCCATCCTCATTGTCTCCTTGGAAATGGAAAGACCAACATACTAAATATGGAACGTTAATAAGCAGCGAGAGGAATGCCAGTACATATCAGGCCACAGTTAGGTTAAGGTTATTCGCCTTCAAAATGTTGTAAGGTTAAGTCTAGAGGGACGGACCCAGGGTTGTGCCTTGTTAGATACATGATTCTGATTGGAGGTACGCCAATAAGGTACGTGTAGCTGTATAATGTATGCCCAAAAAGAGCAATCAAGGCAAGGCGGGTAAAGCTAAATTTTGATGCCGACATTAGTTGAAAATTAGTTGATTTAGTGACATCACTAAAGAACACTAATGACGCCACATGTCAGGGCAGTGTAGCGTCGCCAAGACAGCAGGGGTATGTAACCGAGTATTAGGTAATATACTAACGAAGCCACATAAGCCACATTCAGTACAAGAGCAAGCCACCCCCTCAAAATAAAATCCGCATTCTCCTTCTAATAGTGGAAGAGTTGCACCAAAGGGACATGACTATGAATTTCATAAGATTTAATGCGTTCGAAATATCACTAACAATGTGTAGTTTTAAAACTTCGCCTCGATGAAATTTATACAGCAGGTGGGTATTATAGTGAGTCAACAGCATGCAGCCTCCATTTTTGGATCTGACTGTTCCCTTGAGTCTAGATTCGTTGCTATATTTCTCGTATCTTAACACCAAGAATATTCGGTAGTTAGAATATCTCACCAACCTTACCCGAATAGGAGTGAGTCAGACCAGCATGCAGGAGCTGAATGCCGTATCCGTTTTCGCAGTACCTTATCTAAACAGCACGACTTAAGAGTGCTAGTCGTTTCTTTCTTTACAACTTCATCTTTACCACCAGCGTCCTTTTTCAAGCATACTTCTTTTTCTCGTGCCATCGACTCGCATTAGCCGAAATTCACTATGGCTACCGCTACCCTCCAAACAATCCCTACCCCAATCGTCACAACGGACAAATGCTTCATACGGGCTTATGCCCCTAGCGATGCCGCACCCATGGCGGCAGCGGCAAACCATCCCGAGATCGTTGCCTACATGCGCAACCGCTTCCCTCACCCTTATACATTGGAGAGCTCCGAATTCTGGATCAACTTCTCTATAAATGCTACTCCCATAGTAAACTTCGGCATCTTCAACCTAGATGGGACCTTCGCGGGCGGTATAGGCTTAACGCCTGGTCAGGATATCGAATCCCGTACCTGGGAGGTCGGCTACTGGGTTGCTATGGATTTCTGGGGCAAGGGTATCGCGACGAGCGCTCTTATGGGATTTTCGGAATGGGCCTTTAAGGAGTTTCCCGAGCTTATCAGGCTGGAGGCCGGTGTCTTTGATGGCAATTTTGGGAGTATGAAAGTGCTGGAGCGAGTGGGTTATACGAAAGAGGGAGTAAGGAGGAAAGCTATCTATAAATACGGGAAATCCGTTGACCAAGTACTATACAGCTTGCTTAGGGAGGACCTAGAAAAATTGGAGTGAATTTGAATACCTGCTTAGGTATTTATCACCCCTACAAGCTGTTTGAAGCGGACTCCATTGTAGCCTCTAATATCGTTCAAGCACTACTTTATCGAAAAGTTGCAGGAACCTGGCGACGGGATTAATGGGAAGAGCTATTGGGCTGGCCATTGACTGGGAATGAATCCGATACCTAGGCTCATCTACGTCTAACTAGGGGATTTTACAAGTTGATTCATATTAGTTCCGAGGCGATGATTGCTCCTATTAGTTTTCTGGCGTGGTACCTAAATGTGTATGCTAAATGTTCTCTGGTGAGTTGTTATATAAGGGCTCGCTGTGTATTCGTTCGTCCTAGTTCAAGCCTCGTTAGATACTCACTAACCCTTACCAAGTACTTAGGTAGTAGTTACGCGATTCCTAGTATCTGATTAAGTAGTAACGAAAGGTACTTACACGCGCCTACCTAGTACACGGCGTTGATAGGCCAATGACTTCAACACGTTATTCCCTTGGCCCCTGAATATGCACGGAGCACGGTGGATTTTAAAGAAATGGTAAATCGCGGTTTCCTAGATAACAGCCAAAGAAACATGGTAGTGTAGGTAGGGGCGTGCACGTACGGTTCCTCAGCACTTAACAAATTAATCAAAACTTGGTGCCGTTTGGGGCCACGGATATTTATTTACAATAAATTTCCAAGTCATTTTTGTTTGCTCCGTGTTTTTACCCTCACTCACACCTATCCTTCTTTACGTCTACGCATATAGGTGGCCATAAACCTTCCCTCAAAATGTCGTCTAACAGTACCATGGAGGCAATCCCCTTCGTCACGCTGATGTGTGAGTTGTGTGGGATTGAACAACGAGGAGAAGCCGCATCCACGCTACCGCCGCTTGCAATTGAGCAAGTCGCAACAGCTGGAAACGTCATTCAGAACGGAGAGAGCGCCCAGAGTGCCCAAGATCCTACAGGTTCGTACACACAACATTAGTTAAGATCCTATTTTGTTGTATTTTTGGTGATACCATATCACTCCTTACGGAAAACTGCTTGGAATGGTTCATGCTAATCCCGATTATTAGATCACCGAGCGTTTCAGGACACCGTCCGACCCTCAGCTTCCCAAGACGGGTCGGTTACACCCTCGCACCAGCCGTACCAAGCGGACCCGTGCCCGGATTGCGGCAAAGCTAATTTCAAGACCCCCAAGACTCGTCAGCGACACATGGAAGAAGTTCACGTCGGAACCCGTTGCCATTGGCCTGGATGCAACGTCGTCACTCCCACCGAAGGGGATATGAACAGGCACCTCAAGGTTCATAACATGGAAGAAACTATCGGTGATGAAATCAGATGCAACTGGGTGGGCTGTAACAACCCTCGACGCAAGACAACTGAGTCCGTTTACCGCCACCTACGCAAGCATCAAGTCGAGGCACGAAATGCAGCTATGCAGGTTTAGGCAAATATTTTCTAAAGGAACGGCGTACTTTATGGACTTCGGCGGAATCAATTAGCTTCGGAACAGGACGTCTCTTTGACTCGATGTGTTGGGGGATTAAGGACATGAGTTGACAAGCTCAACCTCGAGGGCTAGACCAAGACCGAAAATCCATACTAATTCAGGTAGCTACCTATTCAGATAATCATTGGCCCAATTGCTTCTATACTTTTTTATTGTGACTGATATTTGTAATACTTGGAGTGATGCGTATTGATAAGATACTCATGACGTGTTGATGTGAATATCGTTGCATCATCATTGCCGTAGCCGGCCCAATTGGAATGGATAATTGGTGATTATTAACCATGCCTAACAATGATGTTTCCATTTAAGAACATGAATTTACCTTAAGGTTATCACCTCTGGCAATTTCTTACGATTTGTTTGAACGCATCAAATCGCCATGTTTCGACGCCTCACGTTACCCATCCCGAAAGGGTCACAACAATTGTTGCTGCCGACCCGTTCATTTTCCCCCGCGGCCATGTTGAGGGGTCCCCTTCTAAATACAATAAAAAATGACCATCGCGAACTCGAGTCTTATTACCCTCACATCGCTGATAACAAAAACTCCGACGAGAGAATAAGGTATCGGAATTTATTTGTGTGGGAACTAGCCCGCCAACTTGTAGCCAAAGATCTTATTGTGTACCCGGCGATGGAGGAACACTTGAGAGATGGGCGGGATGTAGCGCGAAAAAGTCGCGATCAGCATCAGGCAGTAAGTACACCAATTAGGACATCTTTTCAGCACACTTACCAGTTTTCGAATTTAGATCAAGGAACAGCTATACCGATTACAGAACTTAAAGGCGGAGGATCCGGACTTTGAATCGACGTTCCACAGCCTATCCTCCGACTTACAGCAGTATGCCAAAGAGGCCGAGGAGCGCGAATTGCCCGAACTCGAAAATAAGCTCGACGATGACTCGGTGGTACAGCTGTGCAGATCATTCGAGCGCACAAAAGAGCTAGTACCTACCCGTAGTCATCCACTGTCTCCCAAATCACCGCCATTCGAGACGGCGGCCGCGCTACTAACTGCGCCTATTGACAAGGTCGCTGACATTTTTCGAAAATTCCCTAAGCAAGATGGTCCGATGTTGTAATTAATTGGATAAAACACCCAGGGGTGCGAGTGTATAAAAGGGAATAATATAACCGGGTTGCTGTAAGCACTTTCATCGTAATCTAGTAGTAATTCATTTCCTAACTAGAGCACGATGATGTTAGTTGGGTGATCATGAAGAATGAAGGGTATTACCCGTTGGCCAAACCATTAGCCTCAAGTAGCGCAGCAAACCTCCCGCCGCATTTAGATAAATCAACTGGATTTCCCGCCTCCGCTACCTTACCCTCATCCATCACAATCACCGAGTCCATGTCCATAATACTGTCAAGTTTATGGCTTACTATGAGCATAGTACAACCTCCAAATTCGTCTTTAAGGATCTTATGGATTATCACGTCTGTCTTGGGATCAACATGACTAGTTGGCTCGTCTAACAGCAACACCTTTCCCTTCCTTAGTAACGCACGTCCAAGTGCGAAAAGCTGTTGTTGGCCTTTAGACAATGACGACGCCGTGATCTCGACGTCGAGTCCACCGCGCGCCTGAATCACAGGCCACATGCTTACGCGCTCAAGAGCGTTGATTATGTCGTTATCGGTATGTTGCGACAAAGGGTCTATGTTGAAACGCACCGTACCGACGAGAATAAGTGGATCTTGGGGAATCGTCACAAGACGGGAGCGGATCGATTCCCGTGGTATGGTCGAAATATCAAGACCATCTATTGTAATCGTACCGGATTCGATTTCGAGCAGTCGAAGGATTGTACTAATTAATGATGATTTACCGCTGTGGTGACTAATGTGTGAGCGATTGCTGACTAATCTAAAATAGGGGTTTAGAATAGGGGGAATTTACCTGCTAGTTCGACCGCAAATGCCAACCTTCTGGCCTGGCAAAATGGATAGTGTAATATCACGAAGAGCATTTGAGGTAGGGCTATGAGTAGATAGTTAGTAGGTTGTCTAAAAACGCGTATCTATTGCACGCGGTGAATTGCTTACTTATGGGACGCTGTTGCATTCCGAAACTCAATCGCCCCCTTTTCAGGCCATGTCGGCGGCGGTTCTTGGTCTTCTCCGCTCTTTTCTTCCGGTTGCACTTCCATTTCGAAATCTCTTACTCGTGCAATAGATCCTAATGAAGTCTCAAGCTGCGTCCAACCTGTTACGAGGGAGGCAAGATACGCGTTAAAGCCTGGGGTTGTTAGTATATACCTCATATCGTCGGATGTGCTGAACTTACTTAATATGTTATTCATCGACACACCTAGCGAGCCTGGGCTAGTACTCGAGCCCCTCAACCCTACTGCTAGACCTACGACCAGTACTGCCTCGGCTGCAACAATAAGGTCCAACACTAGATTTAGCCATTGCTGGATGCAGTACAACAGATAATATGGCCTCTGCGATAGATCCAGGAGTTTCCTATTAGTTTGTTGCTGCATCTCCTCCCAGCCAAATGCCCGAATGGTCTCTAGCCCCGCTAGAGTTTCGAGGAAATTGTTATACAAGGGACTTTTAGCCTCGAGATCGAGAAGACGTAGTTGCCGGGACGTTCGAAGATAAAAATGCTGAATGATTCCGATGACTAGGATAAGGAAAGGAATGGTAGCCGCCATATAAGACGAGCCACTAGCAACAAGAGCGACGGTGGCTATAGCAGAAAACAAGTCTACGACTTGCGATTAGCATAAAATTGGGAAAAGGAACTTGGGCCTCAGCCATACTAGACACTGTGATAAGCATGCCAATTGCCAATTGGCTTTCGATGAGGGTCATATCTTGACTGAATCGATTGAGTATTGTACCGTTATCCGTCGAGGAGAAAAACGATTGTGGTGCCCTATTATGTTTAGAATCTAACAATTAGAAGAAATCGAGTATCTTACCGCATAACGGTTTTCAGAAGTGTATGATGTAGCTTCCTCGCGGTTGGTGGGGATATCAAAATAAGGATTCCCCTGTAGGTCCGGTTAGTGGCGTAAAGCATCTCGGCATGGTAGGCACATACCAGACGTAACCCCCATTTCCAATAGATTCTAATATCGCGAGTATTAAATAGACGCTGATATATAACCCTAATCGGCCGCCCCCAGCTTCGGACCACCATTTAAGCCAAATTTCTAACTTGTTAGCACAAGTACACGATGTATGGGTTGAGTTGAGTGGGTTTCTTACGACTAAAAGTGGCGCAAAATACATCCAACGTTACGAAAAATACGAAAACGAGGATCTTCCATGGCCCGATCGAGTTAAAGTAGTATTTATAAACCGCAAAATCGCCGGTGGCTCTCGTCAAATCCTTAAGCTCATCCGCTTTAGAGACTTCTTCTGCCTTTTCCTCTATATCCAGTGGTTTACTAACTATTTCATTTTCGCCTAAGTCGTCTTGTTTCGATCCTTGTTTTAGGTCTACAAGGCCCTCGGCTAAGGCGCGATCGTAACTCCCCGCGAATCGCAGTCCGGTATCACCAAGGATTAACACTTGGTCAACAAGATCCAGGTATTCATCTATTAGAATTAGCACAATTACCATAGAAAAATCGAAAAAAAAAAAAAAACTCACCTGAACCAGCTAGCAGAACCGATGCTCCCAATTGCCTTAGTAAACCATCTTCGCCCAGTAGTCTCTGACCAATATCTGACTTGGTCTTGGCATCAAGGGCACTTGCCACTCCATCGAGCACAAGTATTTCACATCTACTATAGACCGCTCTGGCTAATGCGACACGAGCTTTTTGTCCTCCGCTCAATCCCGCGCCCCCATTGCCGACGACAGTATTATCCTTGGCCGGCAGTAGATTGAGGTCTTGGTCGAGCGCACATGCGCGAAGGACGGTTTGGTACCATCCCTCGTCGAAAGTGGTTGCCTCGTTGGGCATGCAGATGGCATCCTTAATGGTCGAATTTGGCAGCCATGGTGTTTGCGAACAAAAGGCTATACGTGGAGTACTTATGGTGATTGATCCATGCTCAGGAGGAACTTCCCCAAGAAGCGAAGCGATGAGGGTGCTTTTTCCAACACCCACAGGCCCAAGCAGCACGGTGAAAGACCGCTTCTTTACCCTCAAATTTATATTTTCGAGGATTATACCAGAATCAGGGGTTGGTCGCAAAGATATATTCTCGGCAGAAATCGCAACATCCTCGTTGATATCGACTACTCCGGGTTCAGCATCATTGTTAGAGCGCGGGTCTTGACAATTCCCATTAGACCCTGAAATCAATCGGTAGTCTTGTCTGGGGGGTGCGACAAGAAAATTTTGAATCCGATCATAACATCCCAGACTCGCCGATGTATTAGGAATCGCGCTAAGAAGCTTTGAAACTGGCGTCGTAAGCAAAGTGATAATGGACAAGCTCGTAAATGCTTTGGTGGTGCCTATCAAGCCTGTTCCGAGAGCGATGGCTTGACCGGCATATACCGCGAAGGTCAACGCAGGCGCCACAACGTAAGGTAAATTCTGTACCACGTTCTGCCATACGATGCTCCATCGAAAACCAGCCATACGGTGTGTCTCATCAATTCTGTATTCCTGAATTCGCTTTGTTACTATATCAGTAAAGCCCATCATTTTAATTGCTTTGATTTCACACAATGCGCTCGTAGTTACGGCAATTCTCTTCTGCACGGCTTCCATCCATACTTTCTGCTGTTCTCCTATATGCTTTGAGATTTGCTTTGCTCCAAAACTGCTGAGGACAACAATAACTATAGGCATAATACAGACCCAGCCCAATTGTACCGCGAGGAGAGTAATTCCAACCGCCACTTCAATTAGTCGAGCCCAAATTTCGTTCAAACTCTCTAGTGAGAAAGCAACGCGATCCACGTCTGTGCTCATGAGTGTTACTGCTGCTGTCTCATCGTAGATTCTGGACTGAACACATAATACACGTTCGTATATTAACAAATCCGTGGCACCGCGAAACATAGTAATAAAGCGGTTTTGATTGTGATTGTAGTGTAGTGTAAGAAACGCAAGGCCAAGGTATATAAGTGCTGCAGCACCGATAATGCCGTAACCTTTTTGACGGGAGGCTTCGTTGTCTGGTTCACCCAAGAGCTCGAGGGTGCGCGAAATGAGGAAAGGCTGCGAAAATGTGAACCCTATGAGAAAAAGGCGTGGGATAGCTGTTACGAGAAGAGGAATTCGGAACGCGCGAATGACAGCTATGGGGTACTCAAGACGCCGCTCCGGGATATGCCGAGTCGACCAAGAGGCAGTAATTTTCCGATGTAGGACATTCGAGGATAAAGATTCGTCAATTTCGTATAAATCATCAATTGCAAGGACAGTGCGAAAGCCGCGACGGAAGATCACATTCACCCACCAAAGAAGGGTGCGATTGATAATACCGCTGATCGATTCCGGTGGTAAATTTTTGTGTTTCTCTTTTAGACGATCTCCTTTACTTTGCGCCTCAAGAAATAAGAGTACAGCTTTCGTCGCGATGTTAACGGTGAACAAACTCGCCAACACCGTATTCGATCCCTTCAGCCATAGCGTTCTAACCTGCGGAAAGTCTAGTAATACCGAGAAAATGAGGTAGAGACTTAACACGCTTGATGGTCGTACAGACCTGGAATCTTCAAGCCATGATAACATAAGCACCAGAAACGCGACGACCAAGTTGATGGAGGCCGTAGCAATAGACACGCTCGTCTTCAAGGCATTATTAGCATCCCAAAGCGCCAGTAAAGAGGCCTGGACACCAAGGAATATTGCAGCGACTACTAATTTTGCCAGCCGAGTTGATCCTCCAAATGTGATGGGCTCTCTCTTAGACAAGTATCTCAATCGAGCTAAAAAGGCAAGCGAACAAGCCCCAGCTAACGGGATAGTAAGGATAGATTGTTCGAATAAAAGAGTAAAATCGAAGCCGCCGCGACAAGAGACACCCACGGCTGGACCGAAAAGAGTATCCGCTTGGGCGGTACAGTTCATTCTAATAACATTGATTATGTCGGTAGTCGTTTGTTATTGTAGGAGTGAAAAATGAGAAGCCAGGCCGCCTAATACAGATTCCAACCCCCATGTACAGCCCGGAGAACCTGTCATCAAAAAGTGGGCTTACCATTACGCCACCCCCACGAGAATATCACAAGAGCTCCAGGGCTCGTATATAGTACCTAGAAATAAAGTGTATAGCGCATTATCAGCTAAAAGTGTAGCAGGTTTCAGCGAATATAGAAGGTACCTAAGCGGGAATCATTGAGTTTCTAGGTACCCGCTGCATGGCGCTCACCAGAGCCACTATTGCTATTGTTTGAGGGCATCGTGCGCCACTTTTAAGGAGCTACGCGCTATATTTTCGGTTGGTTACGACCTATAATTACAGCATACCCTTCCAAAAACTGCTTTGAACTGGATCTACTAACCAACGGCCCACTCATCATAGGAATAAACCAACAAGACTTCCATCGCCCCCGTAACGTTGTTCTCTCTAAAATAACAATTACTGGTGGTTCGAAACCACGGAGAAACTATACAGAAATCTCCCGAGTATTTATTTTTTCAATTTTATTTGGGAAAATATTGCCGAATGACAAGGTGGTTGATTGGCGGATTTCTATGGTAGTTCAAATTATCTCTCTACACAAAAACCACGTAGTCATAACAAAGAGGCTTGATCGACAGAATACAAATGGCGTATATTTCAAATCCGGGCGGATTCTAACCAAAATCCGAGTGAATAGCCATGGGCTACTTAGCGTACCGAGGTAGCTATCCGGGATTCAGATATGACCGCCAGAACTCTCATCCCCAAGTACTTTTCTCGCCAAAACCCCGAAAATGAACAACGAAGAGAAAAAACAGTTCCATAGGTTGTTGAGTGACGAAAGCTCAGATGCCGTTGCTTCTTTTACTTTGTTAGTCATCGTTTTTCTAGTTCTGGTAGCGGTTGGCTCGGTCGACGTCGTCACTTCGAGCCGGCTTCTTTCACAGGCTTGAGATGAGATAGCTAGCCTTCGCATCCTCACGTCCACCCCAACTAAGTCGGCTCATGCTGACTCTACAAGCGCGTTGACAGGCGAGGAATTTGGCCATTGTGGTTCTAGCATTGCTGAAGCAAAGTGGTTGGGTTGTGTGTTTGATTCAAGTATGTAATACGGGACGTTTTTTTTTTCCCTTGACGTATAACTTACCGATTCTCTTTTATAAAGGTCATGGGCATGGCAGCGCCCAAACTGTTCCCACACTGAGCTTGTAGAGGAACCCCCTCGCGCACGAACTGGAAGCCCTATCTTAGCAATGAAACCTTGGAATCTGAAGAAGTATCCCGCGAAGCTTGGGAACGAGGCGACTACGTTACTCCATACGTCGACAAGGCGTGGCACTTCTTCCTCTGCATGTATTCATGGCGCAAATTTCACGAAGCATTCCAGAAGGGGATGTCTATGGATAATCGCAACGTTCGGACGTACGATGCACTGCGATGGCGTATTCCTACACAATGCCGACCTTAAACTGATTGGTACATAGAAGTGCGACTATTACTCCGGTGGATGTCAAAATATTGAAGTCACAGCGGGATTTAATAAATACGGGTGGTACTGAGTATATCACGCCTATTATTATGTTACACGATCAAGTAAATGCATATATTTCTATATTGGTAATGAAGTATGTACTTAAGTAATTCCGTATGTTTACCTACCGAGGTAGGTAAGTTCCTATATCTATAATATACATATAATAATAATTATTATAATTATTATTATTATCGTTCTTGTACCGTCTTTATAACCGTATCAGTTAAACGTACAAATTTACAGATATAAGTTACCTAGTACTGTGACAAATAGTACAGTGCAAATAAGGCCGATAGGTAATTTGTAAAAGGATTTGATGTTGTGATACATTTGCATCTTATGTCTTATGTGTTACCCCCGAATAGGATTCCAAGCTGTATCAATATTATGCAGCCACATGATTAATTAAGGCAGGCTGTATGCCCCGACCGCGCTCGCCAGCTACTCGTATGACTGAGTCTATCTGCAAGGTGCGGTGCACTGCAGGTAACAATACGCCCCATCGAGAGGCTTTGCGGCAAGTTCCTTTCCCCTAGCCGATATACTCGCAAAGTGTGACTGACAGGTGTCTACCAGGGCCATACTCCAGGTACTCTGTAGGCATTGCTTAGTAGCGGCTGGTAATCCGACATTTTCTCCCCGATGTTATTTAATTAGTTCCTACCTAGGTAGGCGGGCTACTTCTAGTAGAGCAGTAAGATAAAGTCCTTTTTATGTCAACCTCGGTTTGTGTTTATCCTCCCAGGTCGTGATTTAGCCCAGGCTCGCGGTTCCAATATCGTGTTGAAACGCCATCGTTAGGTTACCATGGCTGTCGGTTCGGGGGTGAACCCCATCAATTTAACCTTTATGACAATATGTTCTCTCACGATTGCTTACATTATTATGAGGCTGTTACAAGTCGGAAAACGGGCTGCGGGCCTACCCCCGGGCCCTCGAACTCTCCCTATAATCGGAAATCTGCATCTCATGCCCAAGTTCAAACCATACAAACAATTTACGGAGTGGGGCGAGAGATATGGTCCAATCTATTCGCTCATGGTTGGATCCAGTCCTCTTATTGTGTTGCAATCACAAGAGATTGCGAAAGAATTGCTTGATAAGCGGGGGTCAAGTTATTCTTCTCGACCAGATATGTACATCTTGTCTGACTTATGCAGTCGCGGGCTTCGACAGGTTGCAATGGTAAGTTGAGCTCGTCATATACTGTTGGTTGGCCAGTTCTAAGTATTGCTAGAAATATACTCCAACCTGGCGGCAGGTCCATCGAATCAACCACAAAATATTGAATGCCAATGCGACTCGAGCATACACACCTTACCAGACCCTCGAGAGCCGCCAGATGCTCGTGGACATATTAAACAATCCCGGCGACCATGAGAAACATATCCAGCGATACTCTAACAGCGTAACCTGTCAGATGGTATACGGCTTCCGAACAACAACATTCTCCGATCCAAAGTTGCAAAGTGTGGTTTCTATCTTCTTTGAAGTTTGCGAGCTAGCCGTTACTGTCCCGGCCCGGCTTATGGACTGCTATCCGATACTTCAAAAAATCCCTAAGTATCTCCTGCCTGCCTGTCGGAAAGCCATGAATCTCGACCGCGTCTCTATGACTCTTTTTCTCGACCGCTGGCTTGAAGGGAAGAAGAAAGCCCAGGACGGTACTGCAATGCCGTGCTTCTGCGCATCTTTAGCCCAAGCGCAAAAAGCAGAGGACTTTTCCGATGAGTTGGCGTCGTACATGGCAGGTGATATTGTCGAAGCAGGTAGTAGTACCACCTCTGATGAACTTGTCGGCTTCCTCATGGCTATGGTGACCCATCCAGATATCCAGCGGCGGGCGCAAGAAGAGCTGGATTCTGTAGTTGGAACTGACCGGCTACCCAAAATTGAGGATATGGTATCGCTTCCTTACATCCGCGGTTGCGTCAAAGAAACGCTGCGGTGGATGCCTACTTCATCGTTGTTGATACCTCATTCGCCGCTAAGGGACGATGTGTATCGGGATTATATAATTCCCGCTGGCGCATCCGTAGTCGTGAATGTTTGGGCCTTAAACAAGGACCCCAAAAGATGGCCAAATCCGCAGGTATTTAACCCTTTGCGGTTTAAGGATGACATAAGGTCGGAGCATGAGATTGCGACATCTGGCGATCCTGCGACCCTACGACATAATTATATATTCGGCGCGGGGAGGCGCCTTTGTCAGGGCATTCACATCGCCGAGCGCAGCTTATTCTTGGCTATTGCTTCTATGTTGTGGGCCTTTGATATCGAAACACCCGATATTTCCAAAATTGATACCGAGGATCTTAGAGGCGGGCTTGCTATGGTCCCCGCGCCGTTTGAATGCTATATGAAGCCTAGAGACATGCAAAGGGCGAACGTGATAAGACAGGAATGGCAACAGCTGCAGAATGAATTCCTCGACCCTGTTACTAAGCAGTGGATCAAGGTCCCTGACGGCCTGCCGTTAAGTACGTATGTGGATAATTAGGTAAGAGTCAATGGATCGTTCCCATAGATATTGACCTGAATATGTTCCTGCTTAGTACCTAGATATTCTCAGATATCTCCTAGAGACTTATGTATTGATTTCCAAATATCAACTACCTAGTATTCCCAAGAATAGGAATAATTGATGAAATAGCACAAGATTAAAAGAAGGGCAAAGGCATGACAGAGGAGTGAAATTAGCGAAAGTATTAGAGAGGCCGTAAGTATTTCAGCTCACAATTCAAATGCAAACCATATTTCTATTTCCCAGGAGACTGGAACTATTAACTTGGAACTTTTATACAAGAAAAAAAAATTCAATTATCCAAGTACCTCCCAGAAACAGGGTATGCGCAGTGTGCTAAGGCCCGGGCGGTTAAGGTAAGGCACCAAACGCCATAATGATAGCGTCCACAGTATGGTAAGCGACATACGGTAAACCCATGCTCAATCTCCCATAAGCAATGCTGAACTTATACATATCTTCCGATATACCACCTCTACTGGCCAGGACGTCGCCTGCTTCGCCCAAGAGTCGGTCTGACCTTTGATCGAACTCGCGGCCCCATCCAGACCCCTTGTTATCGCGAAGCAATTCTTGATGCCAGAGACTGTGGAGGTCGCGTATTGTAGGTGCCAAGTCTTCGCTCACACCAAGAGGTTGCTTTTTTGCCAGTTGCGCAGAGCCATCCTCGATCATGTCATACCATAATTTGAAAAATTTACCAGTTGGAGATGCTGGCAAATTAGTCTGATTCCTGGCTCTCTTGAGCCCACAGACAATCGGTTCAGCAATGGCGGCCTCTGTTATCTGGGACTTGGCTGCACGGTAAATCTCCCATGTCCTGCATTCGGAATATCAGCAACTTGATGAATATACGAATAAAAATGTAAGAGGGAGGTCATGGCGGGGAAGAGCCCAGGCAGGCTCCGCATATGCGGGTTGCACGGGAGCAATATCTACCCCTATATCCTAGATATGAGTTCCCATCGGATGTAACTCACCATTCCCAGAATTGGGGATATCGGTTTATATATAGCTCTAGTGTCTCAAAGACCCGCCTGTGACGAGCACGACAAAAGCTATAAGGTGGCGAAGTGGATGAGATGCGCCCATCCTCACGATTATGCATTCGTGCTCGATGATGGCCCCTGAATATTTCGCAGAGCATGGTCGACAGGATAGTAGATGTAATTTTTATAGTCTGCGTAATATTGTTTCCAGGTGGATACAAAAGACGGAGTAAGTTACGAGTTTCCCCAGTAAAGATGTCGGTATGAAGGTCCATTACGTCATTTGGCAGAGCAGACCCAATGAGGGAGTCCATGCCCTCATTGTCCAGCCACGCAGCACCATCACGGCACATATAAGCAGAACCAATAGTATCCAAAGCACGAGCTGCGATAACAAGATCGGGATCTAACCCATGTTCGATAGCGGCTTTCCTTGGTGTCTTAAAGGACCTCGCGTTCTCACAACCATTCATAGCGTGGAGATACGCGAGCGCAATCCTCCAGAAGCAACGGTCTTCGCCAGATTTAGTGTCTTCGAGTGTCGGCACAGATTCCCGTGCGAGAGCCTCGAAAGCGGCTAGACGGTCGTTGAATTTATTCTGACCTTTTGCCTGCAGCATTATTGCGGTTAACAAAGCCCACAAATGATATTTTATCAAGAGTTCCAGTTCAAATATGACATGGGAGAGATACAAGGAATCTCATTTATATGTGGGTCATAACAGGGAGCTTGGCCCGCGATGTAATCGGAAAAAGGGGAGACGTACCCAGTCGACACCAGTCATAGCCGAGTATACATAATCTTCTCTTAGAGTGTTTGGCTCGAAGGTGAAAGCTTGACACATCATCAAGTAGAATGGAAACTGTACGATGATCGGAGGGTCACACTCAAGGCCGGTAAGCAGTTTACCCCAGGATTTGAAGTGGTCATCTCCGCCAGCCCTTGATGCATGAAGTTGGATTGATAAATCAACCGGATCGTTGTTATCATTCGCAGCCAAGAGTATGGCAGCGCCAATCTCGAGAGTACTTTGGTATGTCAGTTCGATAGCGTCGAGATCATGCAAGCCAAAACTGGACTTCCTCTCTTTTTCAACCAATGTATGGAACTCGGCAGCAAACGGCCTAACAAGTTCCAGGACTTCTGTCCCTGGTTTATAATTTGCCAAAGCATTCTTGACCCATTGAGCGACATCAGTCGTCAATGCATAGGTCCCAATGTGTCGTCCTGTTGCTGGTCGCGGAGGACATGGCTTGACTTCGCTCTCTAGCCATACCCGCCCGGGGCAGCAATGACCCGGCCCATTTCCGTTGTTTACAACAACAGGTGAATTATCTGGACATTGATCATGAGTTGCAAGGTTGGCGTCGACACCACTTCCCTTCAGAGCAGCCTATATTTACTGTCAACGATTGTCCTCGTGCGCAGTACCTAGGTAGTGTCAGTTTTCATTGTCGCTTACCATGGCATCCCCTGTATACCTCATCTTCCGCGTATTTATCATAAACTCTGCTGCAGCCATGACGGATATTACAATAGTGAGTTATGAATCCAAGGAGCACACAATTAGTCTGTTTAGAACGATATCCGTATTTAGTAACATCATTCTGCAGGAATACCTCTTGTTACTTATACCTGGACCCCAACTGGCATTTTGCTCGTCGGGTTATTTTACCGAGCTAAGTTAGAGCCTCTGTATCCATCTAAAAGTCGCGATATCTGTGCCCCGGCGGAAGTTACACGAACCAACGGGCTCGTGCTATGGTACGTGTGCGCTATCCGTGCCGTAATTCAAGCAGGCTACTTGCACTCGTTGGTTGTCCCGACGCTTACTCGTAACACTCGCATGTAACACTTTAGATACTAATACACGAATAGAAATAACCACCGACAGCCTGCACCCAATACGACCAGGGGATTGGTTGGTTCTAGGTCGGCGACCTACCAGCCTGCCTAATCTACGGCAAGACATCTTTTCGGCTTACGTTAGACTGTTGTGCGACCCCTTTCATGGCTGCTAACTAACGTAAAATTGAAACATAAATCAATACATATATATATATATAGAAACATATGCTCAACCGTTTAATATCCTAATTTTTAACTCATACGGTTTCTAAGTAGATACTATTATTTTAAAGCAGGCTAGCTAACAAGTAATGATTAAAATACATCCTCTTCCTATCCTCCTTCGCTAGTTCTTACTAACATATCTTCTTATGCGGAACGTACGCTTTTATTTCGCCGGCTTTGAACACTGAACAGCTAATTATCTTGAAAACTGGGCGTATCTGAACATAAACTCGACATGTCTACTAAAACCGAGGTTCTTCCTACCGGCATATCTAGGCTCGCTGTCAATGCCGTAGTAATTACTACCATACTCACGGCCCTAGGTATCATCCTAGCTGTTCTACGATTCAAGCTTCGAAAAAGGGAAGCAATCGGAGTTGACGACTATGTTTTAATGGCAGCACTTGTTTTCTTATCCCTTCAACTTGCCTTTTGTTATATGAGTATGCTATTTCTTGATTACTACATCACATCGGGACGGGCATCTTTACTCCAATTGATTATGGCCCCTGGTTATACCTAGTTAACACCACCACCACATTTGGACCTAGATATGGCTGCTAATCTTCTGATAAAGTCGGCTTTCTAAGCGGAGAAGGTTGGGAAACCGAGGATTTGGTCCAACGACCAGAAAGAGTGACGTGGATTCTGAAGGTCAGTCGTCGCATTTGATCATGGGGTATAAAGTGACCAAATCGTTTTAACTCACCGCCACAGTTGATCTATTTCCCGGAGCTCAGCTATACTGTGGTGGTCGTATTGATCAAGACCTCGATCTTATACTCCTATAATCGCATATTTGGGCGCGTCAAAACGACAAGATACCATATCTACGCCCTGTTAGGGCTTACCTGGGTCTGGGGTATTGTGTTTTTCTTCATAATCATATTTCAGTGCACTCCGGTCGATAAGGCCTGGATTCCGGCTAAACCAGGGCATTGTTTTGCGACAGTTCCTTTTCTGTGGGGGAACTCCATCTCAAACTTCGTCATAGACTGGTTAATTCTTGCTGTACCTGTTTTACCGGTCCTCAGGCTGCAACTTTCTCTCACACAGAAGAGCCTTGTAGGACTGTCCTTTTTATTTGGATCATTGTAAGTCTGGCCCCTACCAAGGAACTATCAGAGCATCTACCCGCGCCCTAGACTATCTATTACTAATACTTACCATAGAGCATGCATCGCAAGCACGATCCGCTCGGTGAAGACGAGCACATTTGACGAAAGTAACCTTGGCAGTATGTTAATCAAGAGGATAAGGAGCCTCTTTCTATTCTAGGGGAGCCGAAGCTAACACGAGTATACTAGTTTCTGACTATAACGCGTCGATTTGGGTGTATATCGAGGCGCCGCTAGCTACAATATCTTGTTGTCTCCCCTTTCTAAGCCGACTCTTTGGCATCAAATCCACCCAATTCGTTAAACGAATCAAAAGCCACATCACGAAGGGCTCTGACACTGGCGCTATGCGTATTCATAGCGAAAATAGTAGCGGGCCAGCGGATATAAGCCTCGAGGACCACAAGCACCTAGTTCCGCAATCTCAGTCGATACATATGAACACCACTACTACAGTGGAGAGCCGCGTAGCGGGACAAGGCGTGCATGATATGAATTCTTATAACTTCTCCGTCGCAGCACCAGCAAGGACTTTGTCAAGAGGCGAGCCCACAACTTCCCTAGTGTGACATAGCGACGGCAGATGATTATGGACTATGATATGTAACTCGAATCATATTACTATGCGAACAAACTCGGAGGAATAGGCGCCTTATGCCTGGGTAACAAATGAAGGGCTCGGATTCAGTGGCGGCTTTAGGTGAGGCAGATAGGGTACACAACCAAGGGCCAATTGTGGATGTTGAGTTTAACGATTCTAATATATGAGCTAGGACTTACCCCATGGAGTGATCATATGGTGGTATAACTACCTAGGTAAATTTATTGTTCCCCGTTATTATTAACGAGAAGCAGAAAAAAAAAAACTTTTCGGTTATAAGGAAGAGCAGGGAGATAAGTAATGAATCTTTTGGTTATGAATTCCAATCAAGTAATGTCAATACATAATAACTCGAATACGTTCCAACTGTTCAATCTATGTTGTACCTTGAATGATCACCTGATACCTCATTCAAAAGCCTCTCTATAGCCTATCGGGCTTTGGGGGTGCGAAGAGATGGGCAATGCCTCCGAACACCGTGATGAACTTCACAATAGATTAACAGATGCTTAGTACGACGTTTCATAAATAGAGACTGACCACTTCATCAAAAAATCGGAAGTATAGAGGCAAGGCGAGGTATGTTTCCGCATCGTAGAAAGCCCTTAGTAGGTGCCAAATGTTTCCAAATTTCCCCTTCGAAAAAACATCATTGAAGAATCTGCAGGAATGAGTTGGGTCTTTGTATACCAAACATGAAGATATACTAAGCATATGGACACACTCACAAAGCCTTGTACATGCCCGCAGGGTCTGGTCTCTCCCGGAAACAGAGTCTTTCGCCTTTGAAACCCCTGACACCATGGACGACCCGACGAGGTATGAGTACCTCGGGATCTCCAGCTTTCAAAATAATCTTCTCTCCGTTGAGAGTGATTTCCAATCTCCCTTCGAGGACGCTCAGGTGCTCTGCATGATCCTACAAAGAAGCATTAGTATGTAGTCCATATGTAGTGATATCGAACGTGTCTAGGCCGTTTTTTGACCATTTCCTTTACTAACCTTGTGCCAATGGGGTGGGATATAGAGAGCTTCTTCGCCGATACTGATAGTGTCCATGGCATATCTATTGATCGAATCTTCCGGCTCGGCTTCGTCAATTTTAATTTGCATGGTAATGCCCTTCCAGTGTTAGGTACCCTTATACTTAACCTGTGTACTTGATTGTTCACTGTACCTGTCCCACCCCAAGGGTCTTTAGAAGTTTGAATTCACTCATCTTAAATAGGACCAAATACGTCTTCACAATGACCTGTTTTAAATCGCCTGATATTCAATCTATACCGGTCGGGCTTGGGAGTGAGGTTTGCAATGGGAAGGCGATCGAGTGTTAAATTGTAATTATGAACAAATAAGTTTTACGTACTTACCTGGGTATTTAAGTAGATATATACCCCTTGCTATATTATATACTTAGGTACCTACCTAGGCAGGTAGCGGGATACATTCATATGTATCATCAAGATATCAAAACGTACATGTACTTTGTAACGGAAACTTATAAAAAAAATGAATTTTGATAAATTATTAATGAAAAAAAAAAAAAAAAAAAAACATTTGATCTATTTTATCTCTTTAAGAAGTAATAATTTTAATTCCTTATAACGTTATTTACTTTAATATCATAGTACATTTAACAGATATAGGAGTAGCAACCTTTTTAGCCTAAATTAGTTTAGCGCCGACAAGCTTAATTGGGCAATGTTCAGTTTTATAGATCCGTTTTAACCTTTCAAAGTCAATCTATGCCATCTTTAAAAGGTATAAACCTCTTCGGGTCAACAAGACGATTGGCAAATTCCCCGTGTTAAATGGTAATCTCATATCCACCTTACAATATGAATTATATCTCTTTGCTGTAAACGAGGAATGAGAGGTTAGGATGAGAAGGGGTTGGGGGCGATACAAAAAGAAATTAGGAAGATAGCACCATCCATCCATCCATCCATGAAAATGTGATGGCAAAAGATCCTGGTCAACTCCAAGCCTCGCAGGTTACACAGCATAACACAGAGAAAAGCAAAAATCAGCAACACCAGCCATTCTTTTTTCGAATCCAGAAGTCAAGGTCGCTAGCACTTTATCGCTCGTATTTTTGCAATGGAATGCCTTGACTCGACTCGACTCGACTCGACTTAACTCGATGTCTATATCTTATCCTTACTTTCATACTTCAGGGTATAGCTCGTAAGGCGGACGGGCTATGCAACAACGTATCGTCATGCAACCCCGTGAAGAAACCCAAGAACGTGTTTCGATCTACGATCCTACTTGATACGACGCACCTGCATAAGTGTGGGTTTGCTCCAATCGCATTCGCTGTATCAGTCCCAAGGGGAAGGTATAAGACACTTAAGCGCCCAGTATCCCTTGCTCTTTAATCGTAGGGCATCAAGTGATTCCAAAATGATTTTCGCATGTAGATTTCCCATGGATTCCTATCTTAGATTTCTTCACGTTGTCATATATTTCAAATGCGCCATGATAATTTTTAACGATGACGATGACAATGACTGACAGGAATACGGGATCTGAATCTACGGTACGAAATGTTAGACACGGGAGTGATGCTGGTGCGTCAACCTATTTATTATCGAGCGCCGAAAACTCCGAGTCGAATGAATCACCTTCAAGGTCGCCACCCCGCGCATTCGAGAAAATAGATGCTCGCGGGGATATCGAGGTCATATATGGGCAAGAGGTCACCGATGATACCCGACAATCTTACGAGACTGGAAAAACCGGACTTTTAATCTCCAAGAAGGATTCTCGATCAACGAGTGCGACTATTCCCGTACCGAACGATGACCTCTCCGCCCGCGACGGCAAGGCAGCGAATAAAGCCCGCAGCAAGCCTAAGAAAGAAGGATTCGATGCTTGGTGGTGGTGGGAAATAGGGGCAACAGCGTTCAGTTTCATCACCGTTATCCTCGTCATCATTTTCCTTAGTCGAATCGACGGGATGCCCTTGGCCGACTGGAATCGGCGCATTCAGCCCAACACTATAATATCCATCCTCACCACCGTTATTAGATCATCTATGATGATTCCGGTAGCATCATGCATCGGCCAATACAAGTGGTGGCACTTCAGACGGCCCGAGAAACTGAAGGACCTTCAAAGCCTGGACGAGGCAAGTCGGGGGCCATGGGGCTCCCTTATGTTACTTTTCGACATCAAGCTTTGGGGGCCGACCATTGCTTTTTATCTTGGTGCAGTTACCATTCTGGCTTTAGGGATCGAACCGAGCGCCCAGCAGATCCTCGCATTTCCAACACGGCAAGCTCAATTACCCAATATCACGGCGGGGATTGGTGCAGTGACAAATTGGACGACTGAGGCCTCAGGTAAGAGCTGCTCTGGAATATGAATTGATAGGGTCCCGACTAACTTTATATCCAGCTTCCACAGACACATCATTACCATGGACCCGTTTCAAAGCCGCTGTTCTAAATGGCGGTATTGGTTCGCCTCAGCCAGCCGACTTTTACTGCCCCACACCGGCGACGCAATGTTCTTGGGACGACTTCACGACCCTAGCTCTCTGCGGCGACATAACGGATTTCTGTAATAACACAAGCGCGGTCAATGTAACGTGTTGGACTAACAACACCATAGCATCTCAATGCGGCAGCACCGAAGACGCGCAAGTATGCAACTACACCTTTCCGTTAGATTCATCTGCGCCCCCAATATATCTCGGCCATAATAGCAGTAACGTCGTACCCATGCTACTATCCGGCTTCGGAGATCAATGCAAACCGAATCTCCAGTACGGATTTTGGACGTCAGTCGAAGAAGGCGGGTTCGCGGGGACGAAGCTTGGTATTGTACGACCGCCATCAATTCAGCAAAGCTATTCCCCCGACGAAGTTGAGCTTTATCTCATCACTTGGCAATGGTGCGCAAGGACAGTTCATAACCTCACAGCTACACCCGGCGGTGTCGAGTTCCACTCTATGACCGAAGAGAATTTGGTAACGAAATCGACGGATCGAGGTTGGATCCTAGAAGCGCCATCAACTGGGTTACAGTATTACTCTTATGCGCCTAACTGGTTCGACTTCCTGGAGGATTCTTTCACCTCCGATATTCTCGCCAGTGCGCCTGATATGAAGAACCTCACGAGAAATATCGCAGATACTATCAGTAACTTAGTCACAAGCAACAATACCATTCGCAGCCAAAATCTTCGAACAGTACCGGGAAAGGCATATCATGAAGAAGTATACATCCATGTTCGTTGGTATTGGCTTATCCTCCCTATCCTCGAAACTGTCTTGACGGGTATCTTCCTTGCGGCATCTATTGCGCTTAGTCGTCATCAACCGCTATTCAAGAATTCGATCTTGTCTTATCTAGCCCACGGACTCGAGGGATGGAGGAGAGGGGAACCCGACGTGGAATACCCGGAGTCGACGGATAAGTTACAGGGTATACTGGGTGAACGGACTGCGAAACTTGATCGTGGAGGTGATGGTCAGCTAAAGTTGAGGAGGTGCGTTACTTAACCGTCGCATAGGATTGTTAGAAGCGTCGTTTCGATGAATTTAAAACCGGTACGGATCAATTGTGAATGTGTAATATTGGTTACCAATAGTAACCATGGTTCTAGAGTGATCCATTGGTAGTAGTTCCTAGTCGGCGATTAGCATTATATAGAAAGACCGTGAATGCGGGGTGATATGAAAGGCTCGATTGATTTCATTTGGACATTTGTCGCTATTGACTCGAGTCTAACTAGCTGTTCTAGCTTTTATGTTAAACTAGAATCCTTTTCGTAGGCGAGTATAAGTTCCTTCATGATGGCTGAGTGATCTGCAAAAGGAAAACACCCCACGATACGACAAACTAAGTTGCATCTGCTGTCTTCAGGTCATGATCATCTCACTACCTACACAAGTAGTTATCCTACTTCTATCTTCAGAAGATTAAGTCCGATTTTACCAAGGCTCCAATTTCTCAAAAAGCCGGCTCGTGGTGTCGCTCTATTGTAGACCTAGGCTTCGCAGTCGATCCGTTAATATGCTGAGCTGCATCTGATCTTCGCCATCTGCACCATCGGCCTTCCGGAGCTTCTCCGTCGCAGCAATCAAAGGCTCCACAAATCGTTGTCCGACAGCAGCACCCATACCCGCTGGTACGAGCTCCTTGAAGCCAGTGAAGAGTAGGTAAGCAAAGTTCGCGACCTGTAAGAGGAATATGTGATTTTGGGCCCAGAATTCCACTAGATCCTCAGCACTCGATCCATTAAGGGACAACATGTCGGGGAATAAGAAATATTGAAGCTTCTCAATGACGTCGGGCGATGAAAATTGATTTGATCGGTTCCCTTGCTTAGCAGCGATGATTTCTTCTTTAAGCCATGTGATGGCGCACGCTTTCAGGGAAGCAAACATGCAATTTTCTAATAAATCCTCTAGGATTTCTAATCGGATCTGGTCGTCGGGTTCGGCGTGGAGAAGGGAGCCAGCATAGGTGGTAGCGGCATTCCTAACTTGGATGTCTGGATGGAATACGGAGATGAGTGTTAGGTTGTGGTGATACGCCATTAGAATTGGCTCTTCTCCCCTCTTTATTAAATTGCGATGCTCGAGTCCAAGGCCGATGGCTAGCAAAGCATCAGCGATTCCAGGGCTAGAAATGATCTCCGATTGTACTTCCCTTCCGAGAAATCTTCCCAGCATTGAAGCGTGATCTGGGAAGATATGCATGTCGGGTTGTGGGCTGTCTGAACTGAAGACATCTTTTGAGAAGATCCAGTAAGCGATGAGACATACTGCCCCACCAGCGGACAGGTGAATCTCATCGGCCGATGAGAAGTCGTCGAAAGCTGCTAGAGGGTCAATGTGTACTGGACCCTCAAAGATGCTCTTCACGAACTGGCCTTCACATTTATCTAGGCCAAGATCTCGCAATAAGGCCTAGGTGATGTTAGCATGGACGAGGTAATCGGATGTGGGGAGCTGAAGGAAGCTTACAACTAAGTGCCCAACTACTGCATCACGTTTTTGCAATTCTTCATTTTCCCGGAAGGCTTCTGTTGTCGTCTTCTTGCCTGGTATTGTCTTTTGCGGGTTATAGACTTCTAACAGTCGGGGTGACCATAACATATCATGCGCATTGACAAATCGTTGTAAGATACACGTGACGAAGGCCTGCAATAATTTTCGTTGCATGGCATCTTCCTTCGGATCCTCTTGCTCAGCCTCAGGATCAGGTGCGTTCTTTGATGAGTCCCCATCCTGATCGGGGTTGACGACATTAATGCTGGATTTTCGGCTAGGTAGAGGTGGTCTCTTGCGACCTGAGAGGGAGTAGACTAGGTTGATAACCGATGCAGTCATCTCTGGCGTAGGCTGATAGGCCTCAAACACCTTCACTAGAGAGGGTCCTAGAAATCTGGAGGGGTACTTGGTCTTGATACGCTGGTGGAGAATACCTAGCATGCCAAGTAGAATGATGAACTTTCCGGGGATTTTAGAATCAGGGATGACTCCGGGATCTTGGGTATCGACGATCACTTCATCATTCCAAGCGACAGCAAGTCCCTCCAAAGCTTCCATGACCTTGATGACGACTTCGCGGGGGTTACCTAGACGAGCTACTGTCTCAAGACATCCCTCGGATCCCTCTATGTTTAGAAGCATCTGTACAAGATCCCAACCAATTTCTTGGGTGAGTTCGGCATTCTGGAGAATTTCGTCTAATGCGGGTAGGATTTCCGGAGAGGTAACATGGTACTGGAGAATGGTAAGGTACGTGAAGCGATCTTCCTTTGATGCTTCTTGTATGGCTTTGATGGACTCCGCCAATTCAGGCATCTTGTATATGTATATGTTTATTAAGAGTTTGGCGGGGTATGGTAAATTGCGATTTATCGTTAGAAAAAAGGAATATCAAAGTAGAGAAGGTGCAAGATAAGACAAGAGTGAACAAAGCGTCAGGAACGAGGCTTAGAATCTAGAATCGGACTAGCGGTTGGGGTTGACGATCTGAATGTTAGGAAAGAGCGTTGAAACGCGCCAGCGGATCTGCAATGACGTGGGTGAGGGGACATCACATGTACCTAAACAGGTCTAGGTACTTTCTCAGCTCCATCTAAATACAGGAAGGTACGAACTACAGTGTATACAGTTCCACTTAAACCGTACCACTTGCATCCTTGGAAGCCTTTAGAGTTCATCTTAGTGGATCTTACTGCGGGTAATACCCGTCTTTAACGCTTGCAAATACAGTGCGAACGAAGACTCGGTAAACTTAAAACTCGACACTTGATGCTCTTCTCTTCTTTTCATCCTTCATCAACATTCACAAAGAAAAGAACATGAACTCGAGTTTTAAACCAAGTCAGGGGTGAAGCGACGATCAATTGAATATATAGATTTCCACTAATGGATTATACCGTCATCTTATTCATTCTCTTTTTATATAATAGGAAACAGTTGGTGAATTATACGAGGTATTTCGACGATCCACCACCAATATGTAGACCGCCGAGGATTACGGCATCACTAGAAGCATCTTCACTATTGGTTCCGTAATAACCATATACTCGTTATCGATCAAAGTATATACATGCGCTGCATAATCGCTAATACTACAGACATAATCTCATGAGAACATAGTTCCTACCGAGAAGCCATTACTTCCGTCAGGTGTAAGTGCCGACCGTCATTCCCTAACTTGAGGCAAAACATCTGTCGTTTTTACGATCTTCGAAATGCCATATTTCTCAACGTAAAAGCAAAGAAATCAACGCGCAACCCAGAAGAATCGTCGATACCCGAGTCGAAGAAGATCCACCTGTAGCTGTAGTAGCAGTCGGTGACTGAATCGGAGTTTGGGATTGGGTCTGGGGTTGCGATTTTGTAGTTGTCGGCCTGGCCAGATCAATACTGTACGACTGGCTACCTGGCGTCCCGGCCGCGACTATCAAAGTTGTTAAACTAGACGGTATCGATGTCGTGTGAAGCGTGGTGGTTTCTGGATCGATCTTGACCGTAACTACTGGTACACTGGTCTGTGCCAATGTAGTTGCAGAAGTCGGATTGGCGGGGAGAGTTGAAGATGACGGTGGTGTTGATGGCTCGGGGCCTGCCGCTCCGGTGTCCTTAGAATTCACCCATGTTGCGATGAGGCATTGGGACATCAATTGATTATCGACCAGTCGTCCGTTTTGCTTCGAGGGTGTCATGCTCATAACATACGAAGTGTCGAAACTACCGGCTCCCCAACCCACTAGGCCTACAAAAACGTCCGAATTTTTGTTGATGAGAGCGTTTTGTGCGCAAAACGAGCCGAGACACTATGATGGGCTTCATTAGGAGCCGCTTATTAATTGTTTCGGAGAGTCAGTTTCGTGACTTACAGAGGCGTCCTGTGATGCTCCCGTCTCACTAATGAATCCTTTCCTCCCCTTCTCTCTTAAGAACTGTGCGATAGTGGTAAATGCATCGGTATTATCCGTTGTGCATTTGGAATGCGTCCCAGAATTGTCCTCGTCCAAGTATTTATGGATATCTAGAATCAGATCATCCGTCGTCCCATCTGGGTTCTTAATATCCAATAGTTGGTCCGCGCCACCGCTGTCGGCTAACGTCGCTGCGCTATCAAAGTTGGTCCCAGGCAACAAGATCATATGAGACGTTGCACCTGCTTCTCGAATTGCAGTGACGACCTTTTGACAAGTGCTCGCCCACACACCGACATCGAGATCGTGTGGCTCGTTCATGAGTTCGAATACGATATTTTGGTTCTTGGCATATTTCGATGCCAACTGCTTCCAGAGGCTAACGAATTGGTCGTCCGTCGGCCCGCCTTGTCCGATAATACCGCCATTCCAACGGGCAAAGTTGTGGACATCAATCATGCAGTGTGCCCCTGTTGCGAGACAAGCTTGCACCAGCTGGTCGTATCTTGCTAGGTTGCCGCTATCAAGATTGCTTCCAAGTTTGTTGTTCACCAGAAACTGCCATGATATTGCTACGTGGGTTCGTCAACACGCCGTTCTCTAGGTAGAGTATAGGGAATTAAGGATGGGCATACGTAATCTGAGGATGTTGATACTGTCGTCCTTGACGAAGTGCTGCATTTGCGCAATCCCATCGTTGTTTAATGGGAGTTGAGTCGAGCCCGTAGAGCATGACCCCTTGATCCCCAGTTAACTTAATTATCGATTCATAGTTGAATGATTCCTTACATCAATTTGACATCCAAAGTCTCCTCCGGCTATGGCGACTCCCTACAAATCCCATCAGCATTTATGCATTTATCATACAACCGCACAACTTATACGCACCAAAAACTGGACCCTGGCAAGAACAACACGAGCGGCGGCCACCAAGAAAAAAGTCTTAAAATGCATATTTAATACAGATGCCTACGAATCGAAATGAAAGTAATGATATGGCGAAGAATAAAATAAAACGAGTGAAGGTCCCGCCGACGAACGAACGTAAAGGTAAGAAACGAAAGGTAGAAAGTATAAGCGAAAGAAAAGAGCTGAGTCGTGAGGCTCAAGCAGAAGAACGTAGACGTTGATCCATCGGATCCATGATGGGTGATCCGTCTTACTCGCATCGGGGATTTAAAGAAAAAAAAAATCTATCAGCTTTGTGTAATGGGGCTAGAACAAGCCCACATCATGCTATGGATGGCAGGGCCCTCGTTGGGTGGGATTTCAGGATTTTCAAACGCGAAGTGTCTCATATTGAGATTTTGAGATCAAAATTCGGCCAGACCACCCGAGTTTTACTACCAACCTAACCAAACGGGTTAGATATATTCAAGGCCATTACCTACCTAGATAGGTACGATAACAGTCGTCACGGATGAGCCACCGCCATGTTGATACTTGGTTATACTAGATCGGGTTATGATCGTGTCGAGTTGGATGAATTCGGAAGGGTTGGTAATTTATACGTTGCAAGATACAGCAAATTTGAGATATGCACCATTCAGGAGTTCTTATATCATGTCCCTTTTTTTGTCTTCAAGTTTTTACGTACATACTTACATACGTACAGCATTGTGTAATCGAATGACGAACAAGCTCACTCGTGAGATGATTGACCTTGAAACATGCTAAAAATTTCCCAGTTTCCCAAGACATACATTTTGCGCCGCCTACCTGCGTCAATAAAAAAAATAATAACACCCAATGAAGCATCCCAGAGCATCCCGAATTCTCCGTCGTTGATCCCATGTTTTCGTCCTATTGATGAAAACAAACGCCCACCAAATCGTTGTAACGTTTGGTTACTGAAATGTTGTCTAGTTCTAAGGACCAGATAAATGTGCTAGGAATCTATGTAGCATAGTAACATGCAAGAAACGAAAGAAAAGAAATGCCCGAGAACGAATAGATATAAAATCAATCTTCCCACTCCTCGTCGTATTGGTCGATCAGCCGGTTTTCGTCGTCGCGGTTGCTTCGACCTCTTCCGGACGGCGAACCCGAGACATAATGGTAGCCTCTTCGGCCGGGGAGGAAACGAGCACAAGAAGATGTGACGATAACGAAGAAATCCTATGTTGAGCATCTTAGTTAGCCCCATTTTCTCACTTTAAATGTAGAGACTTCCATGTCGTGATAAGAGCCACTTACACAAATGAAACTCCACACGCTAGCCCAGAGCGTATAGTTAGGTAGTTGTTTCCAACCTCTTGCGTGCGCTACTGTTCGCTGGTAGAAGATACCACCAAGTAGGTACACTAGGATGGCAATGGCGAATATAATCAAGAAAATCGAACCCGGTCCCACGCTGCCAGGTGAATGCGGTTCTACACCGGCACAGGCATGTTGCGACTTGACCTTGAAGAAGTAAGAACACTCTTCAGGATCCGTAGCAATGAAAGAAACCTGCGCCACACCAGCGCCCGGATCTCTATCACAACTAAAGAATATCGTAGCCGATTTTCTCCGCTTCGGTTCGTCCGTCTCCTTAGCTGGCGTCGCAGTGGCAGTTTTCGTCGCCGACACCGAATCCTCTTCCTCTTCGCGCTCGTAGTCAGATCCCCGATAAGCCGCGCCCTCGTGGATGGAACTTCTCTCCTCAATATCGGTTTCCCTCTTCTTGCTCTTCCCGCATGGTGATCCTCCGGTATATTGTAGGATAAGCTCTTTACCCCTCGAAACCAAGGCGCCGGATTGTAGACCCAAGCTATATATATCGCCTTTAGAAGTATAGTACGCGCTGACGTTCTGCCATTTGCTTGACTCTACGCCGATGACGTCTTCAACTGGTTCCACTACGGCGCCGCATATGTTCAATGTGAAGTTGGAACCGTAGTCGTATCCCTTAGCATGGTAGTTCCCTATAGGTGCTCCATTGCTATGCGCGGGTTTCGAGCCGTCTGGGTTCGCTTGGATAGCTATATCGGCTCTTAGGTCGAAAAAGGCGCCGGACGTCGAGGTAGCTGTACAAGCTGTGGACGTGGTCGTCTTATCGGCATCGGAGGCAAGGGAAACGGAGGCGAGGGAGAGGAAGGAGAGTAGCGCCGAGCATGCCAGCGCCGACCGTGAAGAGAAGCGCATGATTACGAAACGTGTTTTACGTTGAGGTTTTGTCGTAAAGGTGTATTTTGTAATATCACGAAACGACAGATTTTTAGTGGAACGCGCTCGCTGCGCTGGGCGGGTATCGGAATGGTCTAGTTCATCGGTTAGGGGATAGTATCGCGATCCGACACAACATTCGTGATGACGGGGCTTGATGCTATTTAGCCTTCGTTTTCGGATATAATGTAACTTCTTCTCGAAGTTCGTTCCGGTCTGTACAAATCAATGTTCAAGCCAAGTTGCCGGTGTTATTCTTAGTGCACTGCCCCATCGAAATCGAACGGGACCCCTGAATGGAAGATCCTACAGTACATATGAGCCTGTGGGCCTATGAGGTAAAAGGTAAACAGGTGAGGGTGTCGGGTAAGAGCTTGAGACTAAGAGTCGGGTACGTACACGTTTTAGTTGCCGCTAGTCTCCATGATTGGTTTTCAGATGATGGGACTAAACTTATCGGGTACTAGTACTTACTACAAGTATGTATTAAGACCTTCTTGATTGGTCATAGCAACGAAGGCTTTCTTTGAGGAAATAAGTCCTACACTACCCCTGATTTTATTATATGTTTATTGATTGGTATTCTGAGTTGAACATTGGATTGCCAAAGTATGCGAACTGATGAAATGGAATATAAAGGATACTTAAAAGTCAAGACTCATGAATGAAGAGTCTAAGTACTAAGGTACCTAGAGAACCGTTGTGGAACCGTTATGCTTATTTCAAGTGGGGCATCATGTCCAATATTAAAGTTATGTAATTTTCTGGCATCCCTACAAAAGCTTAAGGAAGGTAGGTAGTAGCGAAGTTAGAATATGGTGTCACCCGGAAGCCAAGATTACCGGTAGGAACCACCTACAATACTTTTTCTCTATCATCGCACCATACGGCACGGTCAACAGCCGGTCTTCCTTCCTCATCAATTTTACGGATTGGCTCCGTGTCGAATATCCGCGTCGTGAAGGAGGCCAAGCGAAAAAGACTTCCTCTTATAAAAGGAGGTCGCTCCTGTGGGAGAATAAGACGAGACACAAATTTCAGTATCATATCTCTAACTGCATAGTTTCGAGCATGGCGCCCAAATCGAAGAAATCAGCGCCTACTCCCGCGCCTGCGCACGACGCTCATGGCTCTCATGGTTATGAATTTGGTGGCCCGTAAGTACTTTTCACAATGTGTCCTATAGACGGTTTTCGAATCCGAGGTGATTGGAGCTAATTGAAGATATTTTGCTTAGATTTGGTACCGCCGCGATCACATTCGGCCTTCCAGTTCTCCTCTACCTATTCACCTTTGCCTGTAACGATGTCTCCGGTTGTCCTGCGCCGTCGCTATTAAGCCCGAAAACTCTATCCATCGAACAATTGAAGGCCGAGGTAGGATGGCCAGAAGATGGTATCTGGGGCCTAGCTAGCTGGAGAGTCACCGGCTGGACTGCGACGTACTACCTTTTCAGTGCCCTTTTATATCGTCTTCTACCTGCTACCGAGGTTGAGGGTACAGAATTATCGGGTGGTGGCAGACTCAAGTACAGATTTAACGGTGAGAAACCCGACTAAGATCTGTATAACTTCATAGGCAATCACCAGCTAATATAGTCATTATAGGCTTCTCCTCCGCTATATTTACCCTCGTCATTTGCCTTGCTGGTACAATTGCCCAAGGTGCCGAATTCCCATTGTGGACCTTCATTGCCGATAATTATGTACAAATCCTCACCGCCAACATCATCTTTTCCTACGCCCTCGCGACCTTCGTGTATGTCCGAAGCTTTTCCGTGAAGCCGGGCAATGCCGAACTCCGACGACTTGCCCCGGGTGGTTGCTCCGGAAATCTCATCTATGACTTTTATATGGGACGAGAGCTTAACCCCCGTGTAACGCTTCCTCTCATTGGTGAGATTGACATCAAAGAATGGACCGAGTTGCGCCCGGGTATGCTTGGTTGGATTATCCTAAATTGTGCTTTTATTGCTAAGCAATACCGCACTTTCGGTTTTGTGACCGACAGTATTGTCTTCATTACTATCGTACAGGCTGTCTACGTTCTGGATTCCGTAATCATGGAACCTGCTATTCTTACGACAATCGACATCATCAATGATGGTTTCGGATTCATGTTGTCGTTTGGAGATATCGTCTGGGTTCCTTTTATGTACAGCCAACAGACGCGATACTTGTCTACATACCCATTAACGCTCGGCTGGGCGGGTACTACGGCGGTGTCCGTTGTCCTAATTGCGGCCTTCTCTATTTTCCGCCTGAGCAACTTGCAGAAGAACATTTTCCGCACTAACCCTAACGACTCACGCGTTGCTCACATCACCTACATCGAAACCAAGACCGGGTCACGACTAATGACGTCGGGTTGGTGGGGTATTGCGAGACATATCAACTACCTCGGTGATTGGTTACAGTCTTTCCCATATGCTCTCCCTACTGGCTTCGCTGGCTACGCCATTTTGTCAGCCGGCACTCAAGCTGAAGGAGCCATCAAGGCTCTTGATGGAAGGGAAATTGTACAAGGCCCTGCCAAGTATTGGGGTATGATCTTTACCTACTTCTACGTTGTCTACTTTGCTGTCTTATTGGTTCACCGTGACCTCCGAGATGATGAGAAGTGCGCGAAGAAGTATGGTGAGGACTGGGAGAAGTATAAGAGCATTGTGAAATACAGGATCGTACCTGGTATCTACTAAGTTGAGCATGTAGGATAGGATGATCTGAGAAAGGTGGATGAAGCAGGATTAATGCATCGACGGATCTTGACACTGGATCGACGAAAACGCAAAAGAAAAGTGTATAGTATAATGAGTAGGCTGTTAAACGATATTATTAGGAAAATACATTGTGTATCGAATCGATACCCCTGATCAAGACACTGGCCTGCCTACATACAGGTACCTAGCTGGTAGATAAGGGGAAGGAAGCAACCTACCCCCGATATATTTGGCAAGAACTACATTTCTAGGTATCAAATAAAAGTACGTATCTTTCGCGAGTGCCCTCTGATAAGGGATCACACTTTAAGTTTCGCTAAGCAAGTACTGAGAACGGTCCTCCAAGGAGCGTTGTTGCCTACTTAATCGGTAACCCAGCACCTGCCTCTACTTCTACAGCAACCAGCAACTGGCAATTACGATACAGCACAGCACAACAGGACGCGTTTTTTAACACTCGTCAACACCGTAAACTTTACAACCTTTTTTTTTTCTCTACACACTCGTTTTATTTCCATTTCCTTCCTCTCAACCGCGGAACCAACCTACACTGTCTAAACACCACGTTTTCAAGTTGTTAAGGTATCGAAGCAGCAGTTGCGCATTCTTGTAATAACCAGCAACTCTTTCGCTGCCCCCCAAGCACTGTCCCTTAAGCACATTCCACGCTCACGCTCACGCTCTTTCAAATTTTGTCCCCTCTCCAATCGAAGCTCTGTTCAATACACGTTCAGTTGATTCCGAGTCCAAACACAGTCGCCATGGCGGATCAAAGTCGTAAGCGCGAAGCTTCATCGGGAGATGCACATGACGACTACCCTGCAAAGAGACAAAAATCCGAGATGTCTCTATTTGCTAACCCAGTACTCCCTGTACCCAATTTGAAGTTTAGCTTCAAGGTGCCTGCACCAACCACAACAAAAAAAGGTGTAGATGACGACCCCAACGACGCAGACTACGTCGATAAGCCCAAGTCCAAGCCGAAGCTGAGCGCTGCTGAACGCCTACCGATCGGTCCTCAGCGATTGCATTTACCCCGTCAGCCTACCCTGCAGCAAGCGACTGACGAAATCTTTTCGAAGACATACAAGCTTCGCAGTAGAGATACAAAAGACCCCCCGGCTACTACAGCCACGACTTGTAACCACCCTGACCTAGTCTACCGCATGCAGCGACTAGAGGCTTCCCATAAGTCATTAGAAAGCTCCGTTGACAAAATCCGCTCCATTGAACCCAGAGCAACGCGACGAGAGTTAAACAACCTAGCCACGCTTGAACGCCAGGCCAATGCAATGGAGACAAGATTGCATGACCTGGAAGCTAGGTTCCGTGACATGAAGACTACATTTGAAGCTATGCCCAGCCACCCACAAAATAACCCCAATCGTTTGGATACTATCATTGCTACTGGTGAGCTCCCAACGAAAGAGGTCACTGAGCCTCCAGCACCTGCGCCACAAAAGCATGACGGCGACAACGATGATGTGGTATTCTTAGGACAGCGAACTAAGAATAGCACTACTCCAAGCAGTGAGGGGCCACCGCAACCGGAAGTTGTCAAGCGTGATAACTTCGTAGCTTACCTCAAGAGCCTAGACTTCCAAAGTCCCGAGGGGATGAACTCTCACGCTAACACGCCTGTTATCCTAAAAGAATATACCTTGTGCATTTTAGATAACGGAACAACATACTTCGTACGATTAGGAACCGAGGATACTTGTCTCTCTGATATGGAATTCGAGGAAGACCCCCCGGCCCCTTTGGTGCTACCCCGCGAGAATCGAGGCTACCGTGACTTGAACGAGGATGCGGATACGACCTCTCTTAATTGCTGCTGCGATTTCATCGTCGAGATCGAATATCGTGGTCTACCTTTCGGTTTGAATGGGTTCGGCAGCTCACCCCGTTATGCATATCTCTTGGGTGAGATTTACGTCCGAAAACCTGGAGTCAATGGTATGCCACCGCGTACCTTCTCAACCAACTATTTCCTCCTCATGGACGTTATTCACCCACAAAGACCGCTGTGGATTGCGTACGCCTATGAGTACATTGCTGAAAAGGTTAACACGACCAACGGAGCTACCTCTTCTACTAATCCTGGTGGCTCAGGAGGCACTAACCGAGTGCTGACAATGTACGACCTGAAACGAGACGAGGAGTTTTGTAAGGGATTCGGAATTTTCGACATGGCACGTATCGCGGATGGACTAGACAGTTTCAAACAGGCAAATGAGACGTCCCTCCCTCAACTTGACCCTTCCGATGTTGAGAAGACGCTTCGCGCCTCGGCTCGTACCGAACGCCCCGTGTTCACCCAGCCGAATCTTGCTGATTTGACGGTGGCTCTTAGTCAGACCTTATATTACGGTTAGGCAATTACTTCCGCCGCTATGAATCCTCTGTTTAGGGACTGTCTAGTTCATGATGAGTGAGATATTGTGGTATCCAAAAATCTCCGATGCGGGGGTTTAAGTTGATTATATCTCATTCAATTGCGCGGCGTTGCGATTTGGATTGACGATGACCAGGGAACGGAAAGGAATACTGAAAAGGAGAAGGGAAGCATGTGTAGGGAAGCAATGATGGAATTAGGGATGGAAACCAGATATGAGAGATGTATAGGAATGAGGGCATCATCTGGCGTTATTGGTTGTTGCATATTGATGAGAGGCGTTGCGCGTCTAGGCATAGTTCTGCTGCCAGCTCTTCATTCTCAAATGTCATGTACTTGGCACTCAGATGATTCGGGAAAGGGTTCGTCAATGGAAATTCGGTCAACTAAAAAGTTCGTCCTCCGCTGTTACGTGCTCGTCCGCCTAGCAAAGGTGAAAGTATCGTCCCCCATAGTGTCGCTCCCATAGAGGGGTTAGTGGTGCGAAGTGGTGCACTGAAGCCACTGATAGTTGACTTAGCTGCTTTACTTACCTAGGTAGCTGCCAACCCCCTAAACTAAACCGCTAGCAATTATCTAGGTACCTATAACGAGGCACGATCACTCCAAATCTCACATCCCATGAAAAAATTCAATCATGAATAAATAGACTGATTCTTTAATTCTCAATTCCATAATATCTACGCGAATCGCGAAAATAAAAAAAATTGTATAAGATCTTACACACCGCAGAACCAAACACCAGCCAAGCATGCCGCCGCGAACATCAGAACAATAACAGAAAAAAAAAAGCGTTGTCCATAATCCCCGTTATTTAAGATATACACCCCCATTTTTCTTTCCCTTTATCGTTTATGTTCGTGCCAAATCCTACAGTCATCTCCCAAATGAGTATATGTTTCTTCGTCTATTTTAGGTATTTAAGGATCTCTTCCCGTTCGCCAACGGGCATCATGTGCAGCATATCCTTTAGACCCTTAAGGGTTGAGGACTTATCTGCTCTTAGGAGATCAGATAGTTCGCGCGAAACGGCGTCGGACCTGATTTGCTCAATCTTGGCTTCAATTGTCTTCGCGTTCTCCTCGTACCAGGTTACTACCTCCTTATCGCTACGGTCAAAGTTAACGACACCAGACCAAGCGGCAAGTAGGCGGAGATGGTGCTGGCGGTGTTCTGCGGCTGCGGCGGTGCTGGTCGTGTCGGTAGTCTTGGGCGAGGCCGTAGCAGCAGCCATGCGCTTGAGGATGTGCTCTTCGTTGAGACGTCTGCGCACACGCCAGTAGAAGAAGCGACGAGTATCCTTCCACTCTAGAATTTCACGGATGGTGCCCTTGGCCTTCATACGACCAGCGCGGTCGTGCAAGTCGGCGAACTGTATGCTGATTTGCGCGTAGATTGGCAACAATTGCTTCTCGCGTTCCACCATTCTCTCCTTGACCTCTGCATGCTCCTCCTTGGACAGGTTGGTGTCGACAAATTGTTTCTTGAGCGAGGCGTAAACAGGGTCTAGGCGAGCCATGGTCTCTAATTGCTTCTCCTTCCTGTACTTGATACCGATGATACCCTCCGGTTCTAGGACACCGGCACGGGCCTCAGCATCGGCGTACATTTCCATAGCAGTGGGATTGATGGTCGGGTCGACCACGACCCATGAACCACCACGGAGCTCGCCGAAAGGTGGGATATATACGAAGATGGGCTGCTCGAACTTGACGAGGGCATCAACGATGTATGAACCGTACTTCAATACTTCGTTGTACATATCTCGTTGACCACCAGAGAAACCTCGCCAGTTCGCAAGGATCATTAGAGGAAGCTGCTCACCATAGTTGAAGTCGTTGATGGCTTGGGCGGTCTTGAACGCAGAGTTGGGGTACCAAACACCACCGGCTTCGTTGGAGACTTGCTCAACGGAGTCAGGGTTGGCGGGGTCAGCAGGAGTAATGTTCTCAACAGTGCGAGTCTCGACGGCGATGACACCCATTGGGATACCACCAAGACGAGCACGACCAACGACAACGGTACGGGCCCAACCACCGAGAGTCTCGACGAAAGAGTCCTTGTCGAAGAGACCAGACTGGAAGCCGTCCTCATCCTGCTTACCACCAATGAGCCATCTAACATCGTGAGGCTGCTTGTTGGGCGGCGTGTAGATGACCTCACGATCCCAGGTGTCGAGGCTAGGTGAAATAGGTACGGGCAAGTTACGTTGAGCGGGGACGAAAGAAAGCCACTCAACGATCTTGGAGACACCGGCAAAATCATCGTTAGCAGTCAAGTGGGACACACCATTGCGGTACATGATCTGGGTACCACCAAGCTGGAGGTTAGAGGTGTACACTTCACGACCAAGAAGGTTGTTAAGAGCCTGGGCACCAGTAAGGATGATAGGTTGACCCTCAATCTGGACGGCACGTTGGCCAAGTCGGACAAGGTAGGCACCAATACCTATGAAAAACGTTAGCAATCAACCTCAGAAACATACAACCACAATCAAACTTACCGATAGATCGACACGTAATGAGCGTAACAGTGAAGATGTCATTATAGGCTCGGCTGGTGGCACCAGCGATAAGACCAGAACCCCTCAAGCATTCAACACCAAGGCCGTCTTCGGCACCAACAATGGCGACAATCTTGTGGCGCGTCTCACCGTTTTCGGTAATCTCCTCGGTGATAACATCGCGCTTGGCACCGTCCTCGAATCGTTTCTTGGTTTCCGCATCCAAGTAAATGTACTTGAAGCCAGACTCTTGCCTCTCGGGGTCATTCCAAGCGACCTTGAAGTGCGGGATCAGCTCCTCGGCAAGACCAAGTCGAGCACCAGAGTTGGCTGAGAGGTAGATACGAGGGATACCCATGCTACGAGCCAATTCCGTGCACTTGTTGAAGAAGTGGTCCTCCTTAGGACCGAAGGAACCAATCTTGTAGGTGATGTCGTTGGCGACAATGATGAACTTACGTCCCGAAGGGTATTCAGGTGTGCGAGCATTGATGACCCATCCGACCATACCGCACGTGTTAGTACCAGGCTCACGGGAAACTTCAATCAACCTATCACGGTCATCGAGGACGAGTTCGCTGTAATCAATGCATTCGCCCTGAGCAGGCTTCTTATCGGATAAGGACGGGTGCGCTTTGGTAACTCTCGTCCAGGTATTCTCCACAGCCTGGCGGAAGAGCTCGGGGAAATCGTACACGTACTGAGTACCCATTAAGTGGGCCTTGTAACGCTTGGGCTGCAGCCAGTTCTTGGTAGGGTACGGCGAGCAGACGGGTAACAGGTGCATCGATCCGATCTTGGTGGTACCACCGATCGAGTAGAACACCATCTCACCCTTTTCGGATTTCCTTTCTACGTAGATCTCAACCTGGATAACATATCCGGAGGTGTTGGTGATGATAACACGTAGAGGGTATGGCATCCCGGTGGCCGCGTCCGTGCAGATGATACGGATCTCAACTTGTGAGACACGTAGTCGCCAAGCACGAGGACCGAATCGGTCCAAAAATCCCTGGAGAGACTGCTCGACTTCTTGGGGCTTCAGCTGGAAGACCGGGGTGAAGTTGAGGAACATGTGGTTCAAATCCGAGTTATTGTTTCCAATGATCTCGAGAGCATCGAAGATGTCGTTGATTACACGGTCAGCCTCAGAGACAAGATACTCCGCAGTTGGGATGTCATCCCGTAGGCGACCGGGTCGGATGACGGCGCGTGTGAAGTAACGCTTGTCGGTGTCAACACCTTTGCCAACAGCCTCGTAAACGTGGATGTTCTTGTTCTCCGTGAAGACCGGGGAGATCTTGAATTTGGCAAGACGGGCAAGTTCCAGCTGGAAGGCCAAGGCGGGCTCAACGTGACGGATACTGCTGTCTTCAATGAAGTCAGGCGCACGGAAAGTGTAATATCCGGGGTAGGCACCATCGTTGTGACCACAAACGAAGGTAACACGACGGACCCGGTGGTTGACGAGCTCATGCTTCAATGGGTCGATTATGCTACCAATACGCTCGAGGATGTTTTGGTCATCGTAGGACTCTACGTCACGGACGACCACGCTGATAATGTTGGTCAACTCATCCTCGATGTGCTTGGGAACAAACGATTTACGCTTCCCGCTAAGGTCAGGGATAAGTCCAGAGCGCTTCTTAGTCGGTAGTACTTCCAGGGCCTTCTGGAGCATTTCGTCGGCGTCGTCTAGGTATCGGCAAGGAACAACGACACCACGGCGGGTAGGCTCCTCTTCAGTGCGGCGGTTTAGATAAGACATGTCACTAACGGAGCTGATCCGGTTAAAGCCGCTGGCTTCCGGTGTGGGAGTACCAGGAACGGAAGGGTTGCCGGACTGGAGGGGAAGGGAGAATTCAGTCTGCCCAACCTTGCGGAAAGAGAAGTCCCAAGAGAGGAACAGAGGAACCGAATCAGTCTCGTCGTCGTGGTACTCAACCTTCTTGAAGTCGTATGCACGATAGGCTCGGCGGACATATACCTCGAGAGCAGCGGCGTTAACCCAAGGGTCTTCGTGCGCAAAGAAGGTTGACAACACGTCGATGACAGTGTACTTAGAATCGACAACCTCCTTGATGACATCAAGGTTAGGCTCTCTGTGCTCCCAGCCAGTCTCGCCGTACTTGTTTTCGACAACGGAAGAGCGCAAGATATGTTCCATCTGAGCTGTTCGCTCCTCTAGAGACGGCAATGCGCACTGAATCAGAATTTCTCGAGCCTTCAGAGACACCTTAGCCGTCTGACGCGACTCCAATTCTGTTAGCTTCCGCAAAACCGGCCTCAGGTACTTGGCAACATTGCCGACGTTGGGCTTGTTGGGGCGGTACTCTTCCAGAAGAGCAAGGATTAGGTGGTTCTTCGAGCCGACTCGGCTGTGAGACAAGACAACCTGGATAACCTTAAGGATGTCCTCCCTGTTCTCTTCACGAAGCTTGAGGATTACCTCCTCGTCCTGGCTACGACGGCCCGAGAAGCGGCCCTCAATGTCAGCGTACATTTGTAGTAGACTTCCGATGACATTTAGCTCGTGAACCTTCTGGCCGTCGGCGTAGTTGTCGAGAACTTCGAGCAGAGGCGCAATCGTTGCTCGCAGAGCGTCAGCTTCGCTGGGAGTAGTATTATCGTCGAGGAATTTCGTGACTGTTCTTGACAATGTCTTGGCAGGGAATTCAGAAGATCGAGCTTTAGCTCGGTCTACCACCTGTGTCAGTTGGGTGTCCAGCTTATGAGGCATTCTAGAATGGAGAGCAGCGTGGTGAGCTGCCCATTCGCTGAATGGAAGTTCGGGGTTTCGCAGGACTTCGACTATCTCCTTCAAGGTCTGTTGCATGATAACGGAATTGTCGTATCCTAAGAGAATGTTCTTAAGGATATTTAATGACAAGTCGAATCTCTGCGCAGGCTTGTTACCCGTAACTTGAGGAGGTCCAAATTCGGGGAGCTGCCCAAGGAAGGCTTGGGCTTGCTTGACACGGGACGGGTCATCGAGGGCGAGTATGCCAAGAATATCACCAGCCTCAATGGTGACGCCAGGCTGCTTAATCAACTGCACAATACCATCCTCCTGGGCTACCAAAGGCATGAACATCTTCATGACTTCGACCTCCGCAAATGTTTGGCCGGCTCTGACGTGTTCGCCGTTCTCAACGGTGTACTTGACAAGCTTACCAGGACTGGGCGTGCGCAGTTGAGTGGGGTCGTTCTCCTGCTCTAGGAGGCACGTCTTGCTATCAACAGAGACACGAGTGGCACCAACTTCCTCCTTCCAGTAGACGCTGTGGCTTCGGCCGTCTAGAAGAATGAGCAAACCACCGTCACTCAACGCACGAACGCCAACCGAAACTTTTGAGCCGTTGATGAAGAGATGGTAGCTGTCGATAGCTGCACGGGTGGCAGTGAATTTGTACCGATGGCCTTCATAAATGAAATCGATCGGGAACACCGTCTTCAGGATGTCCTTAGAAGGGACTTGACCCCTCTCCAGACCAGAGCGGTATTCAGCAATGACACCCTCGCTGGCAATATGGGCCTTGGTGGTAGCACCACAAACAACCGCGAGCATAGGATCCGGGCGCTCGGCGGTCAGCTTGTTAGAAATGAGCTCGTCAAGCCAACCAGTTGTGATGGTGTTCTCTTCAAAAGCTTCCGTCTCAAGAAGCTTAATCAGGTACTCAACGGTGGTTCTAAAGTCACCACGGATGCTCAATTCTTTCAATGCAACGACCATGTTTTTCCGAGAGGCAGCTCGGCTTTCTCCGTACGCGAAGATGTGACCAAATTGACTGTCCGAGAAACTGTGGATACTGGAAGCGGTACTGACTGAGAAGTAACCCCAGACATTTGCGCTACTCCTGAAGTTCAAGTCGTGCATCACACCGTTAGAAGGCTTGAAACCCTCACCAGGGTCTTCTGATGTGATTCGGCAAGCTGTGCAGTGACCACGGGGCTGCGGTCGTCGCTGAGTCTTGTCGCTCTCAGAGTTCTTGAATTCGAAGTCGATCTCGGTGGCCAGCTTAGGGTCAACACCGTAGAGCAACCGAATGTCGCTAATTCGGTGAAGGGGAATACCCATAGCAACTTGTAATTGGGCAACCGGCAGGTTAACACCGCTAACCATTTCCGTGGTAGGATGCTCGACCTGCAGACGAGGGTTCAACTCCAAGAAGTAAAACTTGTCGTCTTCGTGCGAATACAGATATTCAACCGTACCAGCGGAAACGTAACCCACAAGACGTCCGAGACGAACGGCAGCCTCTTCCATGCCCTTGAATGTCGGCGACTTAGCAATTGTGACGGGAGCCTCCTCAATAATCTTTTGGTGTCTTCGCTGAACGGAACAATCTCTGCCAAAAAGCGAAACATTGTTACCGTACTGATCAGCAAGTAATTGTACTTCCAAATGTCGGGCATTGCCCGCCAACTTCATGATGAAGATGGGCGAGCCGGGAATTTCGTTCGCAGCGGCTTTATATAATTGCTCGAAACCCTCCTCAGACATAGCTTTTCGGATACCCTTACCACCACCACCTTCGGAAGCCTTAATCATGACAGGGAATCCGATCTCCTTGGCCTTTTCTAGACCCTCTTCCCAGGAGTTAACGCATCCCTTCATGTATACGTCGTCCGCGACTGTGACGATTCCCTTGCCGTCCACCTGAACCTGGTCGACACCAGTACCGGACCACGGGATACACGGTACTCGGGCGTGTTGTGCGACAATAGTAGAAGAGATCTTGTCACCAAGAGAGCGCATCGCAGATCCCGGGGGACCAATGAAGACGATCTTCTTCGGCGACGCCGCGAGAGACTCGGGAAGTTTAGGGTTTTCGGAAGCGTGACCCCTAAGAACAATTGTTAGAATTCAATTCCCTGCCCAAAAGCGACGGAAGTCAATGTCCGAAAACTTACCATCCGGCCCACACAGCGTGGACGTTCATCCGTTCAGCAACGTCCACAATTAACTCCACGTTCGCGTAGTTGTGGTTATTTGTGCCACCAGGAACTTCCACGTAGTGGTCAGCCATTCGGATGTAATCCGCGTTGGCCGCAAGATCTTCTGGTGTTGCCATCACTGTGAATTGGATGGCCCTCTCGTCGCCGAATGTTTCGTACGCCCATTTTCGTACTGATCGGATTTCCTTGACGGCAGCAATACCGTTGTTGGCGATTAAAATCTAGACAAATCTTAGCGACTCCTGCATTTCACCAATCGTGCGATTTTCAATGGTCTTACGTTTGTGATTACGGTGTGTCCGTCGTGTGCTGCGACAAAGTCCTTTACTTTGGAGGGAGGAGCATTTTCTAGTTTGTTACCACCGATAAAATGCTCCGGCAGCTTGTGCTTTTCGGCGTAGGTGGGCTTGCCATTTGAGACAGGCACTGTCCGGTTGCCATTGACGGCAGTGCCGTTTGTTGAGGGGGCCATTATGTCTGTGGAGGAAAAGCAGGAGATTTCGGTGGTGTAGGTGATGGGAGTCGGGCTGATGAAACGGAATAAGATGGTTAAAGGGTCATCAAAGTACAACGGATGCCCGAATCGAGCTCCTCCGAGGCGCCAAAGACTCGCAATTGTGTCTTAGCGAGGAAATGGGACGGGAAATCTCGGTTGGCGGGAGATTTCGAGTGGAAAAGTACGTTTCGGTGGTTAAGTCGAAACGAAGGAGTAAGCGGGTTTATAGATAGCAAGAATTCGGCTGAGTTCGCGCAATTCCGTCTAGGTGAGGGAGGAAGAAGAGAAGAATTTCGTGCGTGTGTGAAGAAATCAGACGGAATGGTCTAATCAGAGGAGGTCTGGTTCGTGAGAAAAAAGTGTGAAGTCAGCTTGCATGGTCAAGAATTGAATAATTCGCGGGATTTGCTGAGTTCCCAATTTGATCCACTGAAGAAAAAAGAAGTTGAGGTGCACTTTCCCCCGTTCCCCGTCAATCAGGACGAAGTGGGTAGGTAAGGTACAATACGACGTACAACATCAATTAACAACAACGGTAGCAACGACGGCCCCAAAAAACTAACGGTGGGTAGGTACGCATAAAAACATATGCATGTAGACGGGTCACAAAACTTACATTGATTGCTGCGCGGTGACAATTCGGAATAATTAACCTTCAAATATGTCCAAGCATTGACTTCGCTGAGTGGATGGAAGCTTTTTAGGATAAGGTGAGGTAACGTTTGAGGATACCGACTAACGGTTGCTTGCAAGAAAAACACAAACCAAGAGTTACGTCGGGGAAAGAAGAAGTTTGGAAGTAAGAGAGGAAAGAATAGTAGTAGTAAGAAGGACGGACTTCCAATTCTAGGACAAGGAAGGGATATATGGGATATCGTAATGTATGTCCTAGAAAACAAAAAAGAGGAACGGGACTAGCACTAGTAGAGAGAAAAAAAAAAGCTGGATCATCAAGCTTGGGAGTAGCGAGGCTGATATGGCTAAAGCGAACTTAATTACAAGGTGGTGATCGACGTCTAGGTAACACCATGACCAATCGCGACCCTCCCCAGGATGTTGGGGACATCCTAGCGCCCTCCAAAGTTAGACTCTGCGTCTCGGGTCGGGTCTACTACTACTGCGGGCGCGGCGTGGGAGCGGGTACCCATGTATTTTCTATAGGCACTAAGGCGCTAAGGTAGTGTAGGTACCGGTATAGGTACCGGTCTAGGTACACGTTCCAAAGGCGTGTAGGTGTTGTAAGCCGTACAACTCAGGGCCGAATTCTCTGACAGCTCCATACAAATGGGTACCATCATAGTAAGTAAACAGGACCGAGCAAGCCTGAGCTTCCCACATGGCTGAATAAGATTTTAGACCCAATTGGGAGGCATAGAATGGATCAAGAGGCGGAACATTTCAAATTGCTTTGGCTTGAATCTGTCTTAAGTCCGGAGCAGGGAGAAAAGTTGGAGAGGGTGGCGCATTTTTGTTAGTTAGCTCGTCCTTCAAGCCTTCAAGGTAGGGTATTCCGAATAAAGACGGGTAATGCTATAATGCTATAATGCTAACGATGTCAAATTGCAGGTTGCTTTCTAGCATCCTGATCCAATGAGTTAACTGAATTTAACTGGGCAAATTAAATCCTTCATGTTTGAAGAAGACTAGAGGAAGGGAAATATTCTTGATCAGATATGATTTCAGTGTGATGGATATATCGTCTATCATTGTTCGTCAGTATACCGGAACAACGGAGTTATAGACGTAGGTAACACCTACAGATACTTACCTAGGTACCTAGGTAGTTTCCAGACTACTAATTTCCTCTGTTTCGGTTTAGATAATCGGATCTAGATCGTCTTTTGATTTCACCAATTTTATTTATTAGGCAATATCTCCTAATGTTGAATTCCCATCATTCATCCACTTGGGATGTTTTCTTCTTCATTTCACTGTTGACCGAAATACCAAACTATTAGCTGTCTGGCTGTATACTATGTAACACAATGGTGGAGACACGATACCTACAACAATAAGATCTTATTACGTTACTGCGGTGGGTTATCTCCACATATTACTTAGGTACCCGAAGCTCAACAAATCCTTCCTAATTCGGAAAGGTTTATATCGAAGACCAATACGAGATTGGTTGGGACTATTAATCTATCTTTTCTTTTATTCTGTTTTTTTCTTCCTTTTCTACGAAATAATTTCTAACTAGTATTTCTTTTATCTCCCCTTCGACCGGGCGGCCGGACGCCACCTACATTCTTTCTCATTGACTCTAAAACCGCGACTAACGCTTACTGTTGTATCACCCATCCAACGCCATCAACGCCCCGTCATCTTAATCATATTGGCCATTATACCGAACTTTTGCTTACTTACCCATGTCGTATTCGATTCAATTGTCCTATGCAAGCCCAAGTTATCCAGTTGATATCTACATCGGTGCATTTTTCTATCTTTGATCTTCCGTCTTCATTATGTCACGTTGCAGAAATGCCTACAGTATATACATTTGTATACTACTGTACGTACCTACCTATGCAGGCACAACTCGTGGATAGAGATTAAGTTTGTAACAGACGGTGCCTAAGATCCAATCTTAACGGAGCTGAACTCAATTGTTGGGGTGAACTACCACATGGATGACACTAAAAAGAGAACATTTACCCACTATTCCCTTGTAACAACCCAGTCAATCGGTTCCATTCGATATGGTTCCTGGCCACTAGGCAATTGTCGAGTTAGCGAATTAGTGAGTTATCGAGATGTGTCGCTTAAACCAGGTTGATACCGAGAACTTCCAATTTTGTGGGACACGATCTTCATTCTTTTTTTTTCTTTCCTCCTCAACCCGATTCGATTTACCGGGGGCATTTTATTGACTACCTAGGTAGATACTGGATCGATCTAGTTATCTCCCTTCGGCACTTTTCATCAATTTATTGAAACTAAATGTCTTTGTTTCTTTCCCCCTTTTTTTTCTTGTCCATATTCCATATTCCGAATTACAACTTCACGATACTTAGCGCAAGTCCCCAATATGATGTCCGGCGAGATTCGGAGCGGCCAATATTGCGTGCGTAAGCCTTGCATAAAGCCCGTCTGCACGCATGAAAGCGTAGCATCTCGATCATACACTACACACATCCCATATCTTATCATCCTACTCCTACTCCTACTCCGTATTTGGCCGGCTCTATCTGCGCCTCGTCGAGGTACCCTAGGTGTATTGCCCGCCTACCACATGGGGAATCTCCGTTAGATCTGACTAAGAAACTCCTAAAGGATCGCGGTGCCCATCCCATCCCATGTCAGCAAGTGCATTGTCGGCCACTAATTTGGTCTCATTAAACAATGCGCCGTAAGATAGACGGACACACACCCAAGCGCGTCACCTTCTTACTTGCTAGACCCCCTTGGTACGGAGCACGGTAGGTAATTGTCCCCTGCAATTTTCCCAGTCAGCGAATGTATGTAATGTAATATCTCTTCTTTCTCCAAAAACAACCTCAGCCTTATCCCGGCGCTGGACACAATCCCTGTATAACCGTTTCCCGAGCGTCATTAAGCTCATCTTGGTCTCACTAGAGATTCTAAGGATGAACCAACATCAAACACGTAACAAGCTTTGAAGCCCGAAGATGGATCCGTCCCGCTAAGCATCATGTTAAGCATCATTGTAGAATCTTCGAAGCTCTACAGATGGCGGGCTCGTCTAGTCTAATTATGACTAGCATCATGTAGGTATATGCAAGAGAAGAAAGTTGCCCAGCGAATGGAATTTTTAGCAATCGTCATTAGACGTTTAGTCTCTACCTAAAACCAGGTTCCAATTCCTCTAAGCTCGATAATCTGAAGCGAAAGATGGCCCGCCTTAATATGAGAAGAGGCCTAAATATAGACTTATTTCGCCAAGCTCATCCTTTACTACGACTTGATAGGAAAGGTTAGCTTCTAGATTGGCTACTGGGACACAGCCGTCAGCTTGCAGCTTTCGAATTATTAGAAGGTCCACCACAAATTCGACTTCGATGCAACTATGACGAATGTGAAAAAGTACCTGGTCCGCCAGATGCGGGCCACCCTCATCAAAGTCGTAGTAAGGAATTACTATGTCTAGTAACAACTAGCCCTGTCCCACCCCATTTAGGGAATTCTTGTTGACGACATGTGCAATATTTTTTTCTGGAATTCGGCAGAGCGGCCGGTGAGGGCCACGAAGATGGCAGGTCTCAAACACGTGCTGCGAGGGTTCTGGTGCCAACGTTGACACATGGGCAATTGCTCAAGGGAGGATTCAACTGGAATCTAGAGTTTTAAGCCCGTAAGCAATTTTGAGACATCAGTGTTTTGTTGTGCGATTGTCTTCGACCTGCTTCATGTCTGCCCAGCAAGTAGCTAAATTGCCTCTTAATTGAATATAGCGATGGGCCATTACCCTATAGACCTACTGATAAAGTCTGAATTTATAGTCTCAGGCACATATTTTAAGTAGTTCCCCTAACTCAGCTCCAGTGCCCTTATTCGACCTGTGCGCGTGTCTACCTAGCTAGCCAAGAAGATATTCAGATACTCGAAAATGTAAATATTATTCTCCTACGCAAGATGCCACTTCCTGAACTGGTATGGTTAAGAGCGGCATCTGTGGACCTAGCCAAGGGACCCGTTTATCCTGTCTAACTCGGTAGGCGGGAGGGATCTACTACGCCATCCCGTCCGTCTGCAAAAATCGTACGATTTTCTTGGGATCTGTATATGGCACCTGCTCAGAAAGCTTCTAGAAAATCCGGGGGGATCTCGCATATATATAGACACCCCCTTAAGAACGAGGTAACCTAAGATTATGTATTTAAATAGTGAACTCCCTCGCCGGTTACCTGTTAAGTCGCCCTTGTCATCGAATCCGGCATAGAAGAAGTACCACGTCCATACGTAGTCCCCCGAATTTGCTTACTGGCCACGGGGAGTGTAACACCTTATAAGTAGGTGTGTACGTATTTCTTGAGGCTAATTAGCCCTAAGCCTCATGATATATATCCCTAGTAGGGAGCCCGGATGTGAGCAAAGTAGATATTCCACGAGTATATATAAAGGGTCTGCAGTCTACCTACTGATGTGACCTGTGAAGTCCAATACCTGTCTGGATCTACCTAGGTACCTAGTGGTATGGCTATATAGATTCGAAGAATACCCTGTGATGCCCGAGTGCTTTCTGTGGCGTCCCTGACGAGACAGGAATAAGACATGATAGATCCCCCTTACCAAGGGCGACACCTATATTCATACAAACCGAAACGAATATCAACCCACATATTATACTTCTACACGACAACCCCTTCGAGGACACATCACACCATCACGCTTCCTCTCGTCACTATTCTATCTAATACATAGACGAGAAACCCTAAAACTTCAAAGACGTATCAATTTTTAACAAAGGGAAAATATCTTGCCGCTCAGGCTCGTATTACTACTACTACAACAGATCCAGACTCTTCGACACATCCGGTTCTTCGGTCTTTCGGTCCTCAGTCTTTTGAATCTCGTATCATCTCGGGAGCGCCGTGCACGCGCATATGTACAGAAGTTCCATTACCGCACGCAATTTCAACTCAAGGGAATCGTCTCGTCAACTAACACTGCCGGTCGCCGCCGCTACAGTCGCCGGGGGTATGTAATAAAAAAGGGGGTTGTATGGAAGGAAAGGAAAAAAAGGTTTAGCATCAGTCTGAGAAGTGTGGATGTAGGTCGAAAAATAATGCCAGCCCCTTTCCAGGTTTCCGTAACGCCCCCATGCCTGCCTCGAAACACCGTCATTCGTCCTACTGGACCGACCGAGGAGAATGCTGTGTCCGACACACCGTCCGGCCGAAAATCCCCCTTTCGCCTGAATGATGAAATAAGCAAGCACGTATGCTAGCGAAGATAGTATGCAAATCCGTCCGTAACTCGTGACGCCTCGGCTTCAATGCCTCGACGAAGGTATAATGACCACTAGTGCCTCCTATAGCACATTCGATGGTACCATTATATGCAGCGCTTGAAACAGGTACAAGAGAAGAGTAAGTGAAAAAGAATTAAAAGGGGTGACCTAGTATGTTTCCCCAAGGTCGCTCAATTTTCTCGGCCTGCCGTTAACGGATTCATTCGCCACACCACCACTAGTTCGACGGGCTGAATGCATTCCGCCGCTCTGCCGTCTAGGCATCGGGATTCCACTAGGACCCGGAATGCCACTGGCTGAGCCATCGCTATCAAACTTGCTATAAGTTCCTCGTCGACTTGGGGTTCGTTCTTCGAAGCGTTCGTCAAACTCGTCCGGGTCCATACGGCTGATACTCTGGGAATGGCTGTGTAGGCTACCGCTGAGAGAGCTTCTGGGTCTCACTCCAAGAGGCGTCCTTGCACCCGAAACGCTCGTGCGAGACATAGGACGAGCGATCTCCGAACGACTAGCTGGTCTCTCAGGTCTCGCAAAGCTCGAGACACTGGCTCGGCTGCTGGGACGTGAGATACTGATAGACGAGTCCGGGTCGTAGTTGCCGGATCGGTTTGGCAATGGACCGAACGACAGTCTTGATATACCAGAGGTACTAAGTCTGGGTGCATGCTTGCTCGTGGACTGCGTTGGTGTTTCATCCGCCACGGACGACGCGGTGGAACCAATGGTGCGCTTTCGTGATCGCATCGTAACAGTGGACGGTACTTGACTTGCGCCAATGAGCGATGATCTAGGTGATGCGCGCGGTGGTGTGTTGACAGGAGCAGGTAGCTTAGACCGCGCTGATTGAACCCGAGCCTCTAACTTCTGCATCTGAGCAGTGAGAGAGCGTACGTGAGTGAGAGACGTCGAAGCGGGTATCCTGTGAGAAGCTGCACGAGTAGTAGTGGTACGCGTGGGAGCCGGAGTGCGTGTGTTAGTAACAGAGCGCAAGCCTGGCGCCCGAACGGTGCCTGAAGCAGTGCTTCTCGCTTTCGGGGTGATGCTGCGGTCCGCCGAAGGAAGGCGTGATTTCCTTTGGGCCGCGGGCGCGGGTGTCCTCATCTTTGAGGAAGGTCTAGGAAGGGGTGCTGATGCGTCAGACATGGGTGGTGATGGAGGCTCATTGACTGTAGGCGCTCCCTTGCCTGAAGGAGGCAAAGATACTTCGTCGGGAGGTGTTGTAATAAGAGGAGAGCTTGCCATCGATCGGGGCGAATCCTCGAACGTTGGCGACTCGGGGACCGAGATATCTGTAGAGATAGTAGACAAGTGACGATTCTCTGCCTTCTTGATCTTATCTTGCATAATCTCAGCCTCGACCTTGAGGTCTGATAGTTCCTCGCGTAATCTCTGGGCTTCGATTCGTAGCTTCTCTCGTTCCTGTTCGCCCAGCTTAATCTCTTCCTCCATCATAACGGTTCTTTCGATGGCGACATTGTACTTGGACTCCAGATCTTCGAGGGACGAGGTAGTATTTCGAGCTTGCCGCTCAAAATCATCGTTGGCTACTTCTATGTCGCGTAACTTCAGCTGCAAGGTACGGTTGGAGTCACGGAGAGTCGTAATCTCCTTCTCCAACGCGTTCTGCGCCGAGTTTGCCTCGGACTTTGCTTTCTTGCATTTTTCCTAGGAGTGAATAAGTTAATATGTTGATCAGTGGATGAGGCAAGGGATGCGACAGGAAAATAAATATTATTTACTCACTTTCCACTCGTCGACTTCAAATTGTAATTCTTCTGCTTTTTGTTGGAGTTCGCGTTGTCGCTTATCGGCGGCATCTAGATCCTTCTCTAGTTCGGCTTCAAGCTCGTGACTTGATTCACGAAACTCGGCAAGTTCGTCGCCTAATAATTCATATTGCCTCTTATACCAAGCCAAAGATTCCTCCGGGGTGGCGGCCTCATTTGGGGGTGAAGATGGTGGTTCGGTCATGTTTGTTTACTTTCTTGATGGTGTGCGGTATGCGCAAATCAATCCCGCCTAAAAAAGATGTCGTCGCATCGGCGGTGAGGGGGATTATCCCAGGTATCGAAGGTTATGTCACAATTTGTCGAGATATACTACTATACGACACCTTTTTTTCAATAGTGTCGGGGTTTTAGAATGAATAGAGAAAATAATATCGTAATGTGTGACAAAAGAGATATGAAGACCGGAGGAGTAGGTCGTAAAGTAAGAAGTTGGATGATTAGGTAGTGAACGGCGGTCGTGAATGCGATATGACTATGACTTGGGAATACTGTTGTTCTATTCCTTTCAAGCATCAGCGCTACGTATTCCTCTTTGTTCCATTATACGCATCTCTTTCTATGGAAATATCTATACTGAAAAGATGTTGGTAGACCAAGACAAACTTACACGTCTGTTTTCCTGGCGGAAGAGGAGAAAAAAAGAATAAGGATCGGTGGTGATGAATTATTACGTCGCAAAAAAAAAAAACAAGGTGAGAATCGAAATATCCGTCGGGGTTAATAAGAGTATGTATCGGGGATTGTCGTTATATTCGTCGTTATCGCTAGTTTGTCGAGTTGGCCGTTTCACTTACCGTTTGTCGCTTGTCGTGTCGTCCGGCGAGGATGGACTTGGGAAGTTGTCGACGATGAACCGGATGAGTCGAAAAGATGCATGTGGGAATTGTTGTAGCGCTTTCCCTTCAAGTGTCAACATTCTCCAACCGTCTCCCCCCTTCAAACGGCAGACGAACTAATCCTATTACAGCTTAGCGCGGGACATGTGTTCCTGCCCGCTACCAGGACAACAGCCACTCGCCGTGCGTGTTATGGGGTACTTGCGTATATGTACCTATTTCTCACATGCGACCAGTGCAAATGACCCCACAACAAACCTTATGTACATAATTCATTCGATCTGGTAGGTTATAAGAGTACTTCAGATTACAAGTCTACAAACCGCATGAACAATATACCTGATTATTATTATTTAGGGTTTAAGTTTACGTCGCGCATTAAATGTTATTCAACAGCTATTATTAGATCTAAATGGGACACACTATCGAAACTCTACTAAGTAAAGGAAGTAAGGGGAATAAATCTTCAATACTAACAACAATTTCATTCTTCTTCCTCTACTTCTCTACTTCTACTTCGTACCTTCAAATATCCTAACAACGACATCAGCATCTCACCGCCTCAACCAACCAGGTATATACATTTAACTATTTTTTGTTTTTTTTTCGTTGACCTTCTAGGATCATTCAATGCGAACAGACACCTAGCTTGAGACATTTTTTATATTAACCAGAGCGGTTGATTATGCCCTGTCTAGTGTTTCAAGAATTGCCCAACTCCCCAGGCTTCCACAGAATAGATCCTCTCGACCCAAGTGCTCGGACGTTGTTAGTATCAGGGCTAGCAGGGATCCCAACCACCTTTTCTATTCAACGTTCTGCTTCTTGATTTTATTCAGCCGCCTTCAGCGAAACATACAACGAATGAGATGCACGATACTGGGCACCGAAATCGGGAGGGGGTGGCGTTCTCTACCGTCTTCGAAATTCGAACTGCTACTTTTTCTGTCTGGATGATTGTCGTTGGGTGTAAAACGAAGTGCTAATAAAAAATTGCTTCTGCGCAAACATCAAATATCCATGTTGAACCACTCAACAGCGGAGATTGGTAGAAGGTGAGTTATGAAATGGAAAGTCCCCGCTAATTCGCGCAGTGATCGGAATTTGACGAAGCGTCGAAAGATTTTCCTTTCGACTTTTGTTCGAGAATAAAGACGATGATTAAGTATACCTAGCTAAATATATCGGAGTTATTCATCCTTTAAGAATCGATTGTGGACAACTTACGTGATTGCGAATCACCCAAATATTATCAACTCTTGGGCATAGTACCATGGTTGTCAAGACTCCATTGCTAATCTTGATGGTTGAGGTTTCGCATGGGAACCCTTTCTTACTTGCTTCCGGGATGGACCGATACCTTAGGTGCGAGGACGAGGGAAGTTGATATTCCTAGTATTTCCCGTCGGGTAAAGGTCTTGGGGGAAAATTACATGCATCCGCCAACTACCGGAACTAGCCGCACGAGGCTGTCGGTATCATTGAGTATGTCTATGAATGCTTCATTTTCAATGGCCAAAATAATCAGGGCAATTGAGTCCAAACCCAAAGTCTTCATTATTGACTGTGAAACATCTTCAAGACAACCATTATGGGAAACAGCGTGTATACCCACTTCCAAGACCATTGAAGGGTCCAAGGACAATATTTGGAAGAAGGAAGGATGGTCGTTGTCGTCGTGCCGGTCAATCCGAATATCGGCGCCCAGCTCTCAACCATGGCAAGAATTATGTGTTCTACGTAGACGTTCCTCAAGAGCCTTTCTGCTGCATCGGATGGCGGCCTAGCCATAAACCTAGCTATGGGATTGATACCATTGCTTTTGGCATCTAGATGAGTTCCTAAGCATGGTAGTGCGACGCGCCAACGACTCTGTTGGCTTATATATCGGTCTCTCGTTGTCGCCAATGCCACTCATAGGAACAAGTCCATTGCTCACTCTTATGGCCGACTTGAGAGTAAACCTTGGCCTGTCGCTCTCCAAATGAGAACGGGAGCCCAGGAGTCCTTCAGCCTCGAAGGACAGCACGTTCAATGAATGATGCTTTGGGCAATCAGTATAATTGATTATAATTGCGATATCAAATCGGGCGTACGCCACTGTTCGCCTCAACTTCCAGATCTAGGTAGCTCGAAATCGCGAATTGTTGTAATAGCATGGATATTCCTCTGAGTCATATCATAACCCGGTGAATGGGTACGTTTATGTCCATCGGTGTGGGATATTTGAATTCCATCCTTATGCAGGTACCCGGCTAGGAACTGATACATCTGTCAGCTAAAATGTGCATTTTGTTACGTGGTTTTCATCCCAATACAAACCCGGCCGGTGTTCCCACGTCGCTCATAATTCGATCAAGTCGTGTCATTCTTAGGTAGGGAAGGTCTGGACGACGCCCGCCCGACCAAAGCAGTACAATGAAGGCTGCAACAAGGATTCTTTCTGCCAATGATGCATGAACGTCAGCGCCGAGTTTTGGGGTACGTGAGTCAAGGGTTGCAAAAGGAAAATCATTGACTCGCGTCATCTATGAGGCCGTAAATACGAGATGAAAAGTTGCATGTCTTATGCATCAATGATATGGCTGCCAGATATCACATACCTCGACCTCCATAATGAACAACACAACCCAGCCATAGGTGACCAATTATTATCTGAAAGTGCAGATTGAATCACACAGCCCGTATTTGCCCTCATGCGGCTGTGGTTGGGTTGGGCACACAAAATTGGACAAGTGAGGTGTTCGCAACATACCTTGCCTGCTATAACTCCAAGTTTAATATTTCGTCCCATAAGTCTATTGACTTTATTACTAATAATACGCTCTTAACAGCCATATTCTGGTGATAATGCATGAGGCTCTGAGGATTCAGCTGAAGCCGCCCGGAGATCAATACTTAACGGGGAAATCTGGGGCCTGTCTGGCTCATTATATTGACTCTTTGGCGAATCAAAATACGCCCTGTTACGTCTCGGTACTTGCGGCTACGGTGCCCACTTTTGCTACCCAAACGCCGTCTACCAGCTGGCTTTGAATCTGCAGATTTGGTCATCTAAATTCGGGGAGCTTAGACCGTGAGCGGGGACCATGCCCCTTGCCCCCGCCAATACTTCATGCACAAAGGACAAAAAAGCAATCATCGAGACCCTGATCCGTCCTCAAGGTATCGGCAGCTGAACGAAGCCATGGCTTTGAATATTAACCACCGGGTCAGCTTACGGAGTTTCTAATGCCGGATAGCTTTGCTTCTTTCTTGTTTCGGCCGCATATGTCGTGTCCACGTATGAAGTTACGGGTAACGGCATTGCATATGTTGTATAACCTGAGGTACATTGTCTAGGACTACCTAAGGCATCTCTATATTGGAGCTAAGGAGTGTTTTCATTGGGTGATATTTATTCAACTTCCATTCTGTTACATGAGTATTCATCTGAACTGCCTACCTGGGTACATTAGGTAGGCAGATACGTACATGGGATAAAGCCTTTCCAACCAATTAATCCAAAGCCACCGAGTGAGAATATTAATTAATTATTACGAATAACCCCTGTACCGTTCTACCAGCCCCAACAACAGCTGGGAAATCAAATTAGAGTCGCGATTCCGACGGCACAGATTGCTCCGAACACGCCGATGAAGCTCATAGAGCTGGTCGACGCAGCCCCTGGGACGGTTGTTGCCGGTGTAGGTTTCAAGACCTAGATTCATACATGTGTTAGTTCAAATGCATGACAAGGTATCTGGCCTATGGATGTGAGATGGCTTACCTTGTTAACCACGTGTGCAACTCCGTTGTCGAGGATGAGGTTTGCCTGTGTAATCAGTCCGCCATTGACGTAGTAACGCCCACTACGAACGCTGATAGCGAGCGTCTCGCCTTTCTGGGTGGTCAAAACAGTTCCGTCTTTCAAATCCGGTAGATAGCTGACGGTGCCAGCAACAACATGATCAGATACTAACTGCGAGGCCGAGATACTAGAGTTAGAAGCAGAGATGGCGGCGTTAGAGGGAAGAAACACTGTGACGGAAGGCGTTGTGTCTAAAGTGTTTGTCGAGTTACTGCTTGAAAGCAAATTATTGAAAGCCGTCTGACCGGTGTATTTAGATGTGCTTGATAGTGACTCTGGCATAGTGAAATAGCTATAGTCGCATGGCATGTATTAGATGGTTACTTTAGTGTTCCTAAAGGAGGGCATCTCTCTTACCCATCCGTGATGTGGAGTATGCCACCATCATACTGAATATCTCCCTTGATGACATTGGTGGTTTTCCCGAGTCCGGATGAGATCCTAAGCAATGATGTCCCGTTATCTCCTCGTCGAGAAATGGAGGATGGATTCCACCGCTTAGTGGGCGATGTTAGGTTGCGAGGCCTTGTGTCAACTACTACTCGTTGTGGCTGGTTATTCAACAACGGAGCATTGTTGTTTGTCTTGAGAATCAAGCCAGGTAGCGAGCGACTGGCAAGATCGATGCTTGTCGTTCCTTTAGCCGACTGGAATGCTGCCGTACGTCGTTGTGCCGGAGACAGATCTCGTTCTTGCAATGTTTCGTTACCCGAAGCTGAATCTAGAGGGGCAAAGACCGTCTGGACTTGGTCTGAAAGGTATAACTGCAAGGTCTCCGGGTCGGATTGAATGAAGTCCGCAAATTGCGAGGCTCCAGATGCCACGAGGGTATCTATGAGTCCAGGCAACGATTGCGATGCTGCCGACGTGGCAACGCCCAGCAGAGAAAGAGCAAGTAGCAACATCATATTGTAACAAGTTTCCTAATTACGCAAACAAAGCTTACGAGTGTTCAAAGAGTATAGTAACTTCAGAAACGAGCTATGAGGCCGGTAAGAGAAATATAGAAACTTACAACAGTCACAGAGGTCTCTTTATTTGAATCTAGGTAGGGAAATAAGTACATAGTAACACTCTCGGCCTCGGTACACATCACATTTTCATGCATGCCTGTTGCTGGATGGATTGTACCCATATTTGTACCCTGTAGGTATGATCGGACGTTTGCCTGAGTTACAATATTGAATTCATGCGCTGGTGTGGTAGGGCAGCAATACAGTTTACTATGTATATGGTGAAGCTTTCCTTATTCGTCACCCAAATATGTGATTCAAAGGGCACAACCATTTCGAGTAGACCTTGGCACCAGGATTCATCACAGCTGAGGCAGGCTCCGACTGAAGTAATTTGAATAATCAAGATGGCTGGTTCGTATTGGTATTTACATAATGATATTATGCAGACTTGCTTTTTGTCACCTTCCTTATGCCTCTTATTTCTACGCCATATCGCCGTCCTGTCTTACTAAATATCCACAGCTCGGCAACTAGGTACCTGAATAGGTACATACACCTATATTAGGGATAGTCCGGGTTGGGGACTAGTTCCACTTATTGGAAGCCTGGCATGTCTCCATTCTAATGACACTGCCGAAGGCCGACTATGGGGGTGTGATGTATATCCCTAGGGTTCGCTCTTATCTACCTACTCATTATATATATGGGTGTAATAGCAACAGAAGATGGTGGTAATGATATAATCGGGTATTCCCCCTACTAGATGGTCCCGACTTGACACCTTCCCTTTAAACTTTGTAACTATATTCAATCCAGACAGGCAAGCAAGACACAGGTTGCCCAAAATGGTTGTGCAGACGACTACACAGCTTCGCTCAACATACAACCTCTGGCAACGATTCCATTACCCTACTGATAAGGGTCCTATAGACGCTATTGCAGTACCGAAGTCGGTAGGCGACTATCTCAACTCCGCTTATGCCCTCATATTGGATTTAGCAATACTCCAATTCTGGACGATTCTCTTCGGCCTCGTTATATTCTATTACATATGGAGAAAGAAGAAGATATCGGGAGGGGATAAGGAGAAGGCTTCTTTGAGTCCTTTGGCGTATATTTTCTGGAATAAAAAAGGAGAATTCATCGACTTGATATTGGCAACAGTGATCTCGGGGAAATGGAAGCAGAGGATGGCAATACCATTACTATTCTTGATTCTCATCGCCTGGGTTGGTCAGAAGGCCGCCGGAAGCTTAGTCCCTCCACTCATCCTCCTCGGAAATGCAGCACCCGTGAATCCCAGCGCCATATACGTGCCCGACAACTCTGGAACAACTAATGCTTCACGGGCAACTCTCTTTACGTTAGAAGTACCACGATTTCTTCGCGCGTTAGGCAGCACGTCAATAGGCGACGCACTGCGCCAGAAAGTAAATATAAGCACGCCAGTACCGCTGGGACAGACGAGCAACGGCGATGACATCCAACGAATCGACTATTGGTATACTGCCACTGGAACGGATTTTGGATTACAGAAATACCCTGGTTTGACCCTTAGCGTTGCGGGTTCATGCACCACGGAGTATGGATGGCTTATGGACAGCTCTACTCTCGATGGAGGCTCTCAAGGAACGCTTGCCATAGACGATTACGATGTTTTTGGAGAGTTGATATCGGCATCTGTCTTCGATGGTCGGCAGCCGTCAGCAAGCTTTCTCCTGGGAAACTATACACAAGGCACGCTTGCTGATAGCAACACAACATGGGCAGCAGTGGTATCGTCCGTCAATAGAACGTCATTCACAGCCGGAACTGACCCGTGGTACCTTACGGCTCCTGGACAAAGCGAGACAGGCGCTGGGTACTCAGTATTGCCAGGACGCCCTGTCCTATCCTGCTGGGAGGTAATACGCAATATCCCACCCTGATCGCATAGCAATTGTAGTTACTAATTGAATGTACATATAGGACGATGTATGGTCATACGGTGGTCGTAATAGTACAATTGTCAACCTCGGGAGCGATGCACTCCCAGGTCTAGATTTAGCGGCTGATTTTCAAGGAATTCTTAGTTCCATCTTCAGTAACCCAATGATTCTGTTAGTCGGGCAGCACCTTCAAGCCTCGGCGCTACTATCGGCAACCACGGCGAACGGACAAGTGTTCAACGCCGAGGCAAGCAGTATTCACAACGATCTCGAACGACTAGTGCAAGCGGCGTATGTAGCGACCGTCAACTGCTTGACGGATTTGACTCTATATCCGGCCGGAGCCGACCGTGATTTAGCAAACATTGCTCTTGATGACACCAACCAACCCAGATCTGATGTTGCGGAATTTGTTGTCTGGAGCCCGGACGTTGCAGCCTTATCGACAGTGGTAGTAATTGTCATCCCGAGCGTTTTCGTTGGTGTCTGGCTGATTGCCACTGTGCTACTGTATGCGCCTCCAGTCAACATTGTCAACAAACTCTCGCAGAAAGACGACGTGCCAGACAAAATCCCTGCCCCACCAGGGGATGATGAAAACCGGTAAGCTCTAACCTCCCAGAACTATTACGTATCGGAACTCTCCCTAACAACCTTACACAGATCTCAAAATGATACGAAAGGGACTACACCTCCAGGAAAGGAGGTAGGACAACCAGGGACAGGTCCGAGTACCCCGGTTTGAAATCGCTATACCATAACCGCGAGGGCTCTATAGATAACTAGGCTGCAGAATATCGCACGCGACGTAATATCTAAAGAACGGGACACATTAATACGGCGGAAAAAAGAGTAGGAATCTTCTATAGTCAGTTTTGAAAGAGGAGCTACGTTGAATTAATGAATTTTATGCTAGGATATTACGGGTATTGTCATAGTTTGATAAGTAAACTGGATGCGTTAACTTTTGATATGTTGATCTATGTTGCGAATAGTTCAGTATAGCTCTTGTCGTTGTGGCGGATATGTACTTCTTTACCTACTCAGTATCAAGTTGTCCAAGGGGAAAGTCACAAGGTTGCAGAATGAAGGTCTGAAAAGTATATGCCATTTTGGGCGATGACTTCAAGGCTGTGTTATTAAATGATGAGGTAGCTATAATATAGCAGAAAAGATGGGGACGGAACAGGTTGTATGTGTAGGTACCTAGGTAGGTAGCGTAGTAAAAACAAGGTGGGGTACAGTACCTCGCTATAGGTTAGGTAATTTTAGGTACCGGGCTATCTCCGGAGTTCCGGAGTTAAAGTGGAGAAACCCGGGGACAGTCCGGAGTAGCTTAATCTTTAATAGGAAGATGAGTCGGGCAGCGTCCGAATGAGTCCGACCTTGGTAGTGGATGTGTCAGCACCTACGTACCTACTTAAGGTCCCGGATTTGGTTCGTTCTGTTCAAGCTTAGAGGAGTTCATGGTGTAATCCAAAGCGCCTGTAGGTATGCCAGGGGGATTAAGCGTGTTAAGAATAGACAGATTAATCATAACGCAAAGCTATCGGAAGGATTGTTGACTTTATGTCGAAATTAGAATTGTTATATTGGCCCAATCCACTTGCGGGCCATGAAATCGAGGCTGGTTCCTCAATCGTTTGACACAGCCGACTATTGTCCTCCATGGATTTTGATTGAATTAACCTCCGAGCTGTTATCTTTAAATGACCAGGAACGAAATCCCTTCCCACTACTCATATTTTGCTTGTGGAGCCAGGTCGGGGTTCCCTGTCGTGAAACCACCTATCTGTTAGTAGGGATAAATGACTTCATCCACACGCTCGCAACGGGGGGAATAAGGGCGGTTTCAGCTGAAAAAATTTCCTGTTGGACACAGATTTAGGTACCTAGGTAACTAACTACCTAGGTAGGTAGCCAGTATCATTTTCTAGATACATTTCTACACTAGGCTTCTCATTTCATTTCCAATAGAGGAAGAAAAAATGGAGAAAAACACACCCACTTGTTCGAAATGTCAGCCCTATCTGTGGGTCTCTCGTCACTGATCTAGTGCATGCAAGATCGCTAAAATTTCTAGATCGATCGGTTATCGAAAGCCCTGACGTTCGGGGTTTACTTCATTGGCTTACAGTGTTCCGGCTGCAGCTCCGTCAACCGAAAAGCAATGATACACTAATGCGTAATCGGCCGCAGGATCATTGATTAAGAAGTTGCTTATAAGGAAGCTAACGGGGTCATAGGTTCTTATTTGTTTTCGCTTGTTCATCGTTTGGTAAAATATTCATTACGCTATACGGTTAAACGAAAGCCTAGAACTAAGGTGGCGAGCGAATGAGGTATGAGCAACGCATATTACATCATAATGCCTGCGAAGTAATTGCTTCTGAGAAAGTGATCGCCTAGCTTTAGGACTCTTCAGCTATGTATATCACAATTAAACATTTATTATGCCATACATTATCTATTAGAATTACCATTCTCGAAACCTATAATAATGACTTTTCGTTAGCTACCTACAGGTGCTCTAGGCCTCACATTGAAATCCCATAGGGCTTTTATGTAAACCCATAGTTTTGGTGGTGTACGCAAGTTTGATCGCTAATGCAACTCGGCGTATGGCAGCTACGGGTCGAGGCTTCATCATACCGAAATGAGGCCCGTATTATAAGTTTACCGTTTAATTGTTGATGGCCGTAATTGGTATTATTTTATCATACATTCGTCTTATACGATGTGAGGGAAACATGTGCTAATCTACCTAGATAGCATAAATGACGTAGGCATATATTCATATCCAACTATAAGGCTTGCTTCTTCTTTAGGGCAACGAGGATGAATTTCCAACCAAAGATCAATTTCAATACTGCTACTTATAATTCGACATGAGGGGTGAAGGGGAGAAACGGTGAAGGACCCTGATGTACATCATAGTGGCTTTGAAATTCCAGGAGTCCGGTACCCCTTGCCAGCCCCCCCTTGTACGCAACATCGAGCTTTAGCACCCCTGTTAACAAGTTTGCCATTCTTATTACTTTCGATTTGTACATTTGACATACCTGTGAAGATCGAATTCGATAGAAGGGGCTAAGACTATAATATTTCATACTTGTTCTTATTTTGTCTACCGATTTCTCAAATTTATTTGATTACTGATCAGTAGGATAGTTGTTAGTCTTACACCCTCACTTTCTCCATACACTAGTGCGCCTCGCTCTGTGAATCATATCGCCTTGGCCTCGATATGTCCATGGCTCATCCCTTCATTATACGCCCTGACTACAGTATCATATTCGCCTCTTGAAGTTGCTTGGGTTTAAATTCCAGGATAGCATGGTCAATGTTAGTCTAAATCACATTGTTCTCATGACGATATGTTTATGATCTGTCTATTCTCAATCTCGACTTCTATCTATCTCCTCGGACTTCAAATAACACTACAATGCCTGTTAGATGATGGTCGGCGAACAAATGTTTCGTTGAATGTGGGGATTCAGGTGGTTCTTGATATTTCGGGTCACAGACTTATGCACCTTAAGTCTAATATCAGAGAACTATCTGAGTCGTGTTTCTACGACAGCACCCCTAAACCCACGGATTGTTATGAATAACCAGGATTCCTAGACGTACAATAGCTAAATATTTCTTCCTCCGCGGAAGTATCCGGTCAATACAAAGGCAATTCGATATGATTCATCTTGCTATGTACTTGTCATTCTCATATTGCCAAGTTATGAGGCTCTAAGTTCTTTGGTGTTACTGAAGTGGATTTAAAAGGGCCGCGAAGGATTCCATGATGATGACCGGAGATGGTCGAGCAAGCGAAAAGGGAACTCTGTATTCGCTACAGCCAGTCAACTTTAGCCCACAATTCTTTTAGGAATAAGCCGCCGCAATCATGGTTACCGTCGAAGTTCAACCTCCGGCGCAAGCCCAAGCAGGAGCGGTTTTGTACCCGCCACTTGTCATAAGCTCGGAGAGCGATGACGCCTACGACTTTGTACAGGTGGCACTTATCGACCCTTACGGACGCGTTCTTGAAGACCAACTGTATGGTACACTTTCAATGTCCGGTCAGAGTCTAAGTGATCGGTCTGCTTCGAGGAGCAACAGAGCTACAGAGTATTCTGTTTTCCCGGATCTTATTGTCAGCTATGCCGGGACATACTATCTTCAAGTGAGCGCTATCCGTATGGACTACGCGTCTCCCGACGGCGCAGCAGCAATCATCGCTGCTTCCACAACTACAACCCAGATTATCGTCTACGACCAATGCGTCGCTTCGGAGATCCCATGTAAGTTTGAAACATTTCCCTTATCCAACAAGATACTGGTAAATATTAACGATTCACGGTGTACAGCCCCTGACGAACAATCCCTACTACGAAGACTTCGACGTAATGGTGGATTTGGTGTCCCTCGTGCGCCTAAATGATACGGCGGATGGGTATTTTGCTGCTTCAGCGGAGTTGACCACTAGTATTTGTTGAAACTATGCCTGGGCCCGATGGGAGATGGAAATACCAGAAGAGAAAATTGGGGCGGGTTGAATTTCACACTGTCCTAGCATAGGACTTTTTCACAACTAAATATTTCTCTCTTTTCGTTAATTTGGATAGAAAAAAAGAATTACTCACTAGATCAAAAGATCCCCCCTTTTGTCACTTTCACATGCCATACAGTGACCAGATACATCTACGTACCTGGCTAAAAGAAAAGCAAAGAGAATAATCCTCGTATAGTTCGATATAAAAATTTGCTGTGATAATTTCATGGGAGCTTTATGCGGGTCCTGATAGACTTGTGGACGTTCTTCAGTGATCATTGGCTTCGGGTATCTTTCTGCCGGCAGCCACTTAGTAGCTTAGGTAGCTGACAGGCGCTATAAAGGTCTCGGACGGATGGCAGATGATGATTTGGCAAGGCAAAAGCATTCTCATTTGCATTTCCAAGTTTATAATAACGAGCCGACGAATGGATTACGATGAAGACATTGAATGGTTCAAACTTTTTACATCTTCACTACCCAATCCAAGTCGCGGGTCATCAATTTCGATATCACGAGATCGACGGCGGCGTCTGCGTGTAATATTCTAGAACGATTCGAACTTTCCGAGAGGCTTGGGCTAATTTAGTCACCGTTCACATCGTCGGACAGAATCTAAGACAACAGAACTAGTGATCTAATTGAAAATAATATTCGGAGAAGATCGGCGTTTATGAGGCTCCGAAGCGATTTCTGTAAGCCTAGAATATGCCAGATTGGCATACTATCAGAAATTGATCTAGATCATGACTTAGATCGATTCTTCTTTAGACTCATAGTTTCGTTAAAGGTTACCCTACCGTTGAGGCTGACGCTGATATTGTAGGTACATTACACAAAATATGATAAATTGCGATTAGATCGGTGATTATTACCTATAAGCCATCCATCAGCACGATGCCAAAACTACCTCCCTTATCCTATGCACTTTTATACGACGTCACGGTGGCTTTAGCGATGGGAGATTGTATTTGGTGTAATGGATTCGGTTTATCCACACCGACATATGTACAATATCGAATATATCACATGAACGGCTTCGTTGAAGGGTTCCGGTGACGATCGGGTATGATGGCCGATATAGCGTAATGAAGCATGTGATATTTAAAGCAACCGATGATCGAAGGAGCAAAACTCTCGAGGTTTCGTGGCTTCAATATCTGCCACCTTCTCCATCGGGTTGGTTTCATTCCCGATTCTGAATGTTTTCGATAGTGATTCAGATCAAGGGATTTTAGTGCGAAGCTGGACGCCATGCCAACCTTTCATCTGATCACCCAGGACGGCATTCACCATTCTTTGCTGTTTCAGCATGTTCACACCTCGAAATTTCTCCGATGTGATCTCAATCCCATACATCGACCCGCAGCCTCCTGATATGTCTTGTACCATGAGCTCTGTTGGGGCGAACTCGGCTGTCAACTTGTCCCATATCAACGATTCGGCGTCGTCTAGATAGTCGGGCTTTTCGGGTTGGGGTGACACAGTTGAGGAGGCGTTCGGGGCTGCCGCTGTATTGGAAGCGGGGGAATAAAATCGCGCAATAGTATTTCGGGAACTTTTTAAGCTATTTATTGATGGTAACACAGCCCTGGGGAGACTATTTGTCGAGGTAAATGTATGTATGAGCCGGGCGCGTCCCGATATCGTAGTAGGACCTCGTCGGACCACTGTCGCGACGAGGCGACGGCAGTGGTGACACAACATTTTGACAAATTTATTGATTATAATACTTTAAACGAGATGAGATTATCTTAAGGTGAAGTGTAGAATACAGGACCTGTTCCTGCTAATTAGGTACTTGTAATACAATATATAAGTTGAATGCGACTGGATGATGATTAAAAATAAAAATAAAAAAATAACATGGAAGCTCTCAAAATAGACAAAATATCTCCAGATTCATAAGCTAAGATAAGATTAAGTACTTAGTAAGCACCAGAGATGCCCTATTCCGACGGTCTGGGTAATCATTATCGTGAAGTTGCTGATTGGTTAGATGGGCGATGGGAATTATACATAACTCGGGACTATCCCATTGAAAAGAGTATGTAGGAAGAGAGGTTTCGTAATTGTCGGTATAAGGATTTATAGACTCTGAGATGTTAAGAAGAGTTCCGCTAACTGTGTATAAGAAACATATATCTTATTCATTTACTAATTTTGCTAATCCATAACGATGCATACATTTTGCTCATTGCTTCTTCTTTTCGCTACTATACAGGCATACCATCTCCTTAAGACTACCTTACACGTAGCGGATCGAAAATGGCACGGACTCATCAGTGTCGTACTCATCTAGGTTAGCAGCATCACCAAAGATGTGCAACGCCTCAAATTGCAGCTTGTACGAGCCTGCTGGTGCCAAAGTACCATCTGATAATCTACCATCCCATTCTAGGAATAGGGGATCGCGGGACGCATATCGATACGGCGAACCGAAGATATGTCTAGAGACATCTTCACTGGGGTCGGCATTACTGCTAAGCGATACTACCTTGATATTGATCCGTGGCGAACCAAAGGCTAACAGTGCTACGGCTACCGGGTATGTCGTGTTGAGCGTCGTATTGCCCCTGGGTAGCACAAATGACGTGTTAGCCTTGACGGGGTTGAGTTCTTGGTCTGACGAAAGCGAGAGGTAGCCCACGTCGAGGACCCGCGTGTCGTGCAAGCTACCAACTGCACCATTGTATGGGAGTGACAGACTATCGCCATTGGTACCGTTCAAGGTGATATAACCGGAGTAGACTGGCAGTCGCGACGCATTGAGAGCGGGAGGAACGATTGTCACTGAGATAATGGCTTCATCCCCGGCTGCAATGGTAACCGTAGACTCACTCAGGGTGACTTTGGCGTATTCATCCGTCAACTCAAGTCCAGGGAAGGGCTCTGGGTATATAGAGTCGGTGAATGTATAGCCCGTTGAAGCGCCGACGCTGCCAAGCTCGTACGTGACGTCTTCGTCGCCTAGGTTCGTGATGGTGAAGTTCAATGTATCGACGAAGTGGTCCGTGTCATTGAATGCGAGACTAGACTTGCTTAATAATGTGGTCGCGTACGCAGCGTCATATGCCTGAACTATACCAGCACCGATTTGCGATATGGGAGCGAGAGTTGTGAAGGTTTGGTTCCCGTCATTCAAAAATTGCGGGTTTGCCGTTGCTGACAGCAGGTTCTCGATGGTAGCGGGATCCAATGTGCCACGGACATTCGAAACGAGGGCAAAGATAGCAGCCACTAATGGACACGCCATCGAAGTACCGGAAAGAACGGCATAGGTACCAAGTGGTATCGGGTAGGTCGAGAGAATGTTTCCTCCAGGAGAAGCCAGCTGCGGCTTAACATCCAACTCAAAGGTAGGGTTCCAGCTGGTGTAAGAGCTGGCAAATCCACCAGTAGCCGAATTATTCTGGTACGTCAAGCTTTAAATTGATTAGCCATGTATTTCCGCGTCTTTATCGAAACCTTACCTGACAGGTGCCGTTTCGGGGTCAAGCATATTCAGGACAATCTTGGACCCATTCTTCAAAGCCGCGGCCCACGCTTCACCTTGAGAAGCAATTACCTAATTTCAACGTGAGTGACTGCGTAAAGGATAGCGAAATAATCATGTTTACTCACCATACCAGTACCTGCGACGTCGGGCACACCTGTGGTAGCGGGGCCAATAGCTCCGACTTCGACATTATTATAGAACAAGACGTACTTAGCACCGAATGCAGCGGCATTGGTCGCTTTCTCTACGAAGGTACAAGTGCCACGACGAATCAATACGATATATCCGGATAAGTTAGGAGTATCATCAGGGAATGGCGCACAGGCCTGAGCTGTATCTGTGATATCGTATGAAGGTGCCCAGAGTGGAAGACTGACATTAGCCCACTCGCCTGGCTCTCCGAGAGCGTAGCCAAATTGCTGTTGGGTGCCGTTGTTGATCGCGAAAAATGAATCGGTGAGAAGCAACGGAGTAACCTCAGCATCAATAGAAGCAATTGATGTGACCCTCTTTCCGTTGGAAGCCGTGCTAGCGTAGAATAGACCTGTTGCGCCATCGTTGCCAGCCGAGACCGTGCACGGGACACCGGCTTCAACGATACGGGATACAGCAACGGACCATGGATCCTCGCTCCAGCCGGAAGAGCCTCCAATCGATGCTGTAATAATGTTCGACCCGGCCTCGAATGCTTGCATGTAGGCGTCAATCAAGACATCGTTAGATGCGCTACCAGTACAGCCGAAAACCCTGAACATTCCAAGGGTGACGCCAGGCGCCGCGCCTGTGAAACCGAGCTCGTTCGCTTGAGCTGCGATAATACCTGAGACGTGAGTACCGTGTCCTCCACAGCCATCATACGGATCGGGATCGGGCTTTGGAGTATTCTCGCCGGTATAATCATCGCCAACGATGTCAGTGCCGTACGTGAATAGACAGTCGGCTTCACCGAAGCAGCCGCCCAAAGCTGGATGGGTGTAATCAACCTAAGAATTATAAGCGATCGGCGTAAATCATTTTTCGAGGATGAAAACTTACACCTGAGTCAATGATACCAATCTTGATCCCCTTCCCGGTAATGCCCTTCGCTCGAAGCTTGTCCACTTGAGTCATCAAGTGTGGGTTAAAAGTGTCATTCCCGAGTTGTCTCTTGACATTCTTCATATAGGCTTCTCCACCGTTTCGCCCCGTCCAAACAACTTCATCTTTTGGGAGAGAATACATTCGATTCGGCCATACTTGTTTGACGCTGGAGAGGGAATTGAGTTTCGCGGCTTCCTCCTCGGCGGTATGAATATCATCGAATTGAATTGACACACCCTTAAACAACTTATAATCTAGATTCATACGCGTTTTCGCCTTCGCGCCAATGTGGTTAAAGAATTCCGCCGAGTCCTAACGAGTTGCGCTCGGTTAGTACGGCACGTATTTTCCTTTCGCTCTGTGTTCAGGCTAAATACCTGCAAATCTTCAAATTCCACAATGTACGATCCGGGAATGTGCTTCGTCGCTCCCGCTATTTTCGCTTCGACTGAGAAGAAGCTCGCCGCGCTGGCGAGCAGCGGCAACAGGAAGCTGCTTCGAACCATTGTTGATGAGTCGCGTACCAATACGCCCAGCTGCAGCCAACTAGCGAACGTCTAAAAACGAAGGACCGAAGGGGGGGGGATTTGGTAACCCGACGACTCGACAAGAAAAGACTAAGAGGAGTAGGGAACAAACACATCGGATGAAAGTGGGAGACCCCCCATGGGTATTTGTAGATACCGAAGCCAAGCATTCCGGGAGAGCTGAGAACATCCAATGTCTGCCAAATTGCGGATCATCGCATGCAAGATTGGGCGTGCCATCGTGCCGCCCGCTCGCGTCGCATTGAGAAAGTAAAGACTGACGAGGATTTGATAAAACCTCCAAGCTTGGCTGGCTGGCTGGCTTGTTCGTCACTATCAGCGTTGATTTCATGGTAGTATTGGAGATGCATGATGGACAGGGGAGGCAGGTGGGTGACCATAATAGAGAGGCGACTCTATGATCTGGAGAAGCTTGGCAGGGGGGCTCACGATTAGGAATGGACCTAGATTCCGGTCGTTACTTAGGCAATGCCATGCTTGGTCGATGGTGAAATTATCCAGGTAGTTCCCCTCATAGCAGCCGTGCACACGGCCCCCAAAACTGGACAGATGGGATTAAACATATTAGGCTTGAGTAGATAGATTTCCGCTGAGCCTGAACAATACTCATTAAGTGAACCGTAAAAGTTGACGATGATCATCGAAATCATTATTTTCCGTAGTAATTACGCAGCCGCGCTCCTTTACTCTTCCCCATCAATTTTAGTAGTGATTAGAAGCAAAGAGAGTTGAACCTGGCTGGGGTGCTATCACACAATTTGTTCCTGCGCAGAGAATTTGCGGAGGCATGCCTACATGGGGTAGAACATCCCGGGTTTGCATCCACGGCACAGCGATATGATATTGAAAAGGATAAGACGAGACCAGGTGAGTCCAACATGATAATTACCTATGGGTTACATATACAAGAGTAGAAAGCTACCTCCCTAATTAGCGATAGTTTTATTTAATGCGCGCGATTGGGTACAATAATGATGGCAATGAGAGGTCATACCTAATGGACTGGGGAAGCTCGGGTTTCTAGGCATGTCACTCCTAAGATAAACACCTTGGTAGGGCTCGGCGACGGCAAAGCTTTCCGTCCATATTGGTTGTTGATATAGTGTGTCTTTTTAATGAGTAGAGTCCCGCAAAATTTGGCATGTCAATGTTACCCTTTGCGATGTCGTGCTTCTTTTGATGATAACCCCGGATTAATATAGGCGGGTTGACTTGTTGGAATGGTGGGTAGGCAATTCATTTCATCCACGAGGCATAAATGAAGCCGGCGCGACGGAATCGTCTAATTTATTTGGTTCGATGTAGTACATGGAACCTATGACGGTGAACACGTACGTCTCGTCCCATCTTAGCGGGCGGCTCTGAAATAATTATATCAAAGACTGGTGATGTGTAAAATGATGTAGAAGGGACGAAATCTCTCACCAGCAGCGGGGTGCCAGGTAGAGATCCTCCGGGCCTCTAAAGCCACAGTAATAGCGCTTAGAGATCCCAGCAATTGTCTACGAGTCGCGCCGTAGTACCATCTCGATCTCTAATAGGTACCTTTAGGGCACAGCAATAGCCATTACATAACAACTAACATGCCCCCCGGCCAGGTCTTAAATCGAGCTTCAACTTCTTCATACAAGAATTATCTGCTCAATATTAGCAGGACAGTAGGTATTCCACGCCACACCAACAACACTGGATATCTCAGATGCCATCAAATAGGATGCCTTGACATGGCGATAAGAACTAGGCGGTTAGTTCCGTGCCCTTATATTGTTGCTTGTTTGATGAAATCTTCGTAAGGGCAGAGTAGGTTACGGAACACAAGTTTCCAGAATATCATCTCAATTGCGTCGCGTCAGTAAGTCGCATCATTTTTTCTAGCAATAGCGATAGTAGAACAACTAGGAACATATTAGACCTGAAAGACAAGCATTCGCACAGACTCGCGCACTTCTAACAAAGAATGATACTGTTCCTTCGATTTTACACAACCTGATAGGCAGAATTAACGATCAAAATGCATCTCCGAATGACGAGCATGGAATCGCAAACTTGGCAATCTGGAAGAAACACAACTCTTGGTTTTTGAAGCCAAGAGCGGCGCAGACCGGCTCTCGGAATCAGCAAAAAGAGGGCCACTCAACGACCGTGCGATTTGGATTGCTTAAATCGTCGTTATGTGGTTTTTTACCAATGGATTGAAAGAATTTTCTTTCAATACTCACGACGATAACATTCTTGCTTTAGTTAGCAAAATAATAATACCTGATGGTGCTTTGGCGCGCATAGATGCATTTGAAAAACCTCGAAGGGCACTCCATTGATCTGCCGCCGTATTCAGGGACTCTAATCCATTGCGACAGGTACTTTAGAGCACTGAGAATGGCAAGCGAAGTGCACCTACTACGAGGGGCGATAGTGCTGATATGCCCTGTATGATCCCATTCCAGGCGCCCACTAAGCAGATAGACAGGCGGGTACTACGCGCTGAATTCTGGAGCTGGCGCTGCAAGTCTTCCTGTAGACACATATCGTCGGCACTCAGTGCTGTTAGCGCTGATGTAGGTACCTAACTATTCGCGAGTTAGCTGACCGTCAAATCCTATAGCATCGACAATGCAGCCTGTAAGTTATAATATCACCATTCTCTCATAATCGGTAAAAAGCAGCCGAAGTTTGGCTAATATTACAATTTGATTTTTTATAAGACCGTTCTATATCCATAATGCAAAAAAAGCCCACGCCTAGCTCTTGCTCGCCTGTCTATATCCAATAAGGCGACAAAAAACCAAGCCCGTCTATAAATATTGGGATATCTCGAGAAACCAAAAGGAAAACCAGCCGATTGCTTCAGTGTAGTCCGACCAGGACCAAGAGTCCCCCGGACACCATTATATGTATGCGAAGGAGATATTTCGAGGGAATGAGTTGAATTGTTAAAAGGAAAAAAAAAGAACATCACGCGTCATCTGTGTAGCCACTTTTTCCTTCAGTGGTAAAGGTAAGAGTCGAAAAGGATTTTCTTAATGATCGTTGACATCTTCATCTCGTCCAGGATACATGATATCTTGGATAATGACGGCCCTGATGTGGCTGTACAAGACGAAGAGGTATGTAGACAACAGACAGATAGACATTCCAGTCGCGACCCATAGTACGGACTCGTTCTTGAATTCGTTTCCAATCGAGATTGTTGCCAGAATGAAACCAGTGTTGGGGAAGACCATTGCCCACCAGCCGAGATGGAAATACTTGGGTCGCGAGCTCAGCACAGCGATAAGTGCAATACCGAACCACCAGAGCGACAGAGACCAAAGGAAGATAGCACCGATAATAGCGAAAGTCCTGATCAGGTAAACGTCGATAAATCCATCCATTTCCCGGTCGAAATTGTCAGGGAGGCCATTCGCCATTCCAATAAACGCAAGCGCGGTGAAGGCCGGTGGTCCTACGTTCATGAATAGACCGGGTCGGTGCTCGCGGTTGGGAAGACCTATTCAATCGATTAGCATATGCAGGTCGAAGAATCATTATTCAATATTTAAATTCACTTACCGGAAGACATCAAACGTCCAACCATATGAGCATACATCATGACAGCGACCGATAGACCCAGACCTTGGCAGCTCATACCCGCAATAACGATGGGTACAGAAGCAATATCAGGTTGGGTATCGGCAATGACTGAAGCGATAGTTCCTGACAGCATGATAGGGAAGATCGGTAGAATCCAAGTCGGCATCATTGTCTGTAAGCCGAAGTTGTGCTTAGCAAACACGAAGCTGTATTGTCCGACGGCCAAGATGAGAGTTACGACGACATAGCCCCAAAAGACTGTCTGGATTGCCCATTTCAACGTGGTATCATCGTCTGGAATGGCGTATCGTTCAGTACTGGTGATTAGGGTAGCAATCGATAGGAAGTATGTTGGAAAGAAGAATCCTTCACGAGGGTGCGACAGTGAGTTGTAGAAGTCGCCATGGTGAAGGAAGAATCTTGCCAGCATAAGGCATGTTAATGTGGTGAAGATAATAATGTTGACAATGTATACGAATAGACCGATCTGTCGAAGTCCAGGGAATTGGTGAGGCTGGGCAAAGATCAGTAGTGACAAGCCACCAGTGCTCATAGGCAAAGTGAACCAAGCCCATGTGAAATGGTGTAATCTTTGCCGAATTCCATACTTCGGTCGGTTCGGGTCGTTAATATCTATGTGGTTGTCATCTCCATGCCCATGGCCGCCATGTTCTAGGTCATGACCGTGGCCTTCCTTCTCATCGATGATCGAGTTGGCAGCCGACGTTGCGTGCGTCCCCGGCATCAGGCCATCGGGTCTCTTCTCATCCACGGGATATCGTATCGTTGTCGATTCTGAGTCAGGAAACGTGAAAGATGGCGCTGATGATGTTGGGTATGAGACGTTCTCCTGAGGGTAAGGAGATTGTTCTGGAGTCCGCTCCATTGTTGAGACGATTTTTTTTTTACTGTTCCTTGAGAAAATCAAAAAAGAAAAAAAGGAGAACTACACAGAGAAACGAAACAGATGAATTCGAGATTAGAGAAGCGGAAGCTAAGGAAAATAAAGGAAAAAATGGACACAACCCAAACTATAGAGTACCGGCCTCGGGATGAAATGAAGATGAATAAATATGGTTACCCAAAGAGACAAACTCTTGGTATGAGGTTAAAAGAGACTGGGCAATTACGAAGCCTTTAAGAGATTGGCACCACAGCCCCCCGGTTGGGCCGAGCCAAGAAATTGAGAAAACATCTGGAAATAGGAAACAACTAATGATAGAGGACGATGGGCTTTGCCAGGCCCCGACTCAGATAGGAGGGTCTCGATAAGGTGACCCGTCAAATCAAGCCTGGGCATGTATGACCGAGCTCCCATTGCGATCTTCAATATTGCCCAACGAGGGATATCTACTATGGTATGGATCCACAAACTCTTCGACTTTTACATATACGTACACTTCTACAAGAATTTTACACTCCCTGAGAATTCCAGGACATGGTTGAGATCCAATCTGTTTTGACCCACGTAGATACTACATTGCACTCACTCAAAGCTTTGCGTGCCCTGCTATTCATGAGATGAACTCCTAAAAAGTTAAGACAAAGTATCCACGCTTTGAAAACACCCGAAGTCGACGACGACTTCGAAAATAGAAATGATGCCAAGGCGCACCATGTAGTGATCACTATCTGCGACACATAAAAAGCCAAGGCGGAAGAGGGACAGTAAAGCAAAAGAAGTACCTTCAGATATCCCGTCCTCAACCGGAGGGCAAAAAGGCAAGGCGACCGCTTGGCACGAGGGAGATGGCCATGGAGCCTCACGGCGCCAAGCGACGACGCTATTGGACCTTACGGGCGCGATCCCGGCCGATGTTTCTTACTTGACAACGTCAAACATGAAGATGATTGAGGCCGGTGGGTCGGATCCAAACGAAATAGATCTGGCGGGTCTGCCCTAGCCTACCAGGTACGCTAGGGAACTTGCAGCTAGGGCAGTACGGTTAAAACAGGGGTAGCATGAGCCTCATAGATAACAAAGTCTTGGCTATATTTCTTGGCTTGTAGGCGCAGTGGGGGCTGCGAGAATAAGGAAATAGGGGGTGTGGTTTAGAAGGGTTTAGAAGGGTGAACAGAGCACCCGAAAACACCCGGAGCCAGTAATATAGGAGCCATAGCGTATCAGATGCTCATGTTTCATATGAATTGTTTATTATATGTTTTTTCTTCCTTTTCATGATTTGACCACGCAATGCGAACTTGCCAAGTTGTTCACCTTCGCAGTGGCGATTGCGCCTAGATTAAAAAATCAGCCCAATGTTGGCGGAGAAGAAATAGTGTCGACGCGCAATCAGTGATGAACAAGCCAAGACTTTCTTGTCTTGGGTCTTAAAATCAATAGTTGAGTTTATCAGACTCCCTGTACTTTGTAAGTAAGCATTACAATTCTACATTACTCAGAGCTCTTAAACAAGCTCTTCCAACGCTGAACACGGGGCGTGGCATTGTGGGTCGCCCAGACTTCAGAAGCCGGCGCCATTGTCGTCACTCTGAGATCCTGACGGTAGTTCATTAGCCAGGGCTGCCAGGGGAGAACTGTTTTCACATGCGAAACAGTCAAAATGGATCTCGGAACCGTCTTGGCGGCAGGTGAAGCAGCAGATATTTTTATATCATTCCAAACTTTTTATGCATACAACTACCCGTTTTATTTATTTATTTATATTTGTTATTTGTTATTCTTTGATGATTTTACCACCGCATGCTCCTAAAATCGGTCTTAGGTATTTGCATCTCATCATTTTACTGCTGATCCGGTTGTAGTTGCGCGCGGTATGACGGCCAGTCCACAATACTCCATACCCTAGCGATTTTGCCATCCATGAATTGGTAGGTGACGTGCTCGCAGAAGTTGACGGCACGACCGTTAGGTTTTGCGCCCATTAGCATTCCCACCGGTTTTCCCGTGAATTCTATTCGCGCGGCGACCCGCTGCGCCTCCTCGTCCGCGATTACGGTGTGGAGATCGAAAGTGATATCGGGGATCGCTGTGAACGCTTCCTGTATCAGAAGCCGGTAACCCTCTTCCGTTAAGGTCTTGGTGTTGTGGACCACTTGGGAATGACAGAAATTGCGCAGATCCGTCTCCATTGTTTGCGCGTTAATGCATCGGATGTACGTCCTATACGTGTCCTCCAGTTTGCTCGCGGAAAGCTTTATGCCCGAAGTAGCGCTTGGCAGCTTATACTCGCGGATGAGGTCTGGTGTGAAAGTGACACTCGGGTCTGATATATGGCGATGCATCTCGTCGCGGTCTGCTACTATAAACACCTTGGCTACTTTACCCTCGACGAACCAAATAATTTGTTGCTCCAAGAAAGAGATGGTTCTGCCAGCTGATTTGGTGCCCTCATCGTTTGCTTTTGAAAATTTGAAGTCCACGAGGACGGTGGCGCCTAGACGCTGAGAATGTCGGTCAACTGTAATCGAATCAATATTGGCCTTGAAATTGCCTGTTGATTTCATATATGTGGCGTAACTCTCAAGAGTAGAGTCTTGGCCATCCTTGGTGAAGTGAGAATTCATATATTTTGCCAAGTCTTCCCATTTCCGCTCGTTAGCACATTGAATAAGAGATTTATACGTCGCTTCGATATCGGCCATCCTAATCTTCAATTGCTTCCGACTTGACCTAATTCTTTAATAAAATTATCAGAAGTTTTAGAATATCATTGCAACTATACCTTCTGTTATTTGGCATTTATATGTTAGACAATTGACTTGCTTTAAGATGTAAAACAGGTTTATGTTGACAGGAAGGGCGCGCGGATCTGCAACTAGCCGGGCGATGCAGTGATCATAGTTACATAGTTGCTTGGCTTGAAAGTCTTGTTTATTCGTACGTCTCCCATCTTGGATTCCGAGATTTTTTCTTGATTAATTTTTACCACATTGGTCATGAGAATATCTTTCTTTCGACCGTAAGATGAAGTTTCTAATGTCTATCTCACGATATTCGAAAGATGTCGTTGACAAGCTGTCAGCAAACAAAGTGCTTAACCCTGCATCGAGCCCGACACAATGGAGACGTGACTAAAATTTTTAAAACATGTCGCAAGGATTGGCCTGAGAAACGCACGGCTCGGATGAAACGCACCGACGGGTAACCGTATAAGGATATACCATAGATCCTTCGCTCCATAAGATCAGCACAATCTACAATGCCAAGTAATAAGATGCTTAGTGAGAACTCCCTCAACATCCGAAATAAAAATAGGCAGGATGTTAGAGGTTTAAACATGTATCAATCCACAAGGTGGGACTTGAGTCTTGGAAATTGCTTTGATAGGTATCCTGCCCCTTTATTTTTGCTGTCTTATCGTACTTCGGCGATGAGGTTCAGTTTTATACATTTGCTGAACATATCGATATTTAATTGTGATAATAACATATTGTATAGGTAGATACCTAAGTAAGTGATAAATCCCCATGAATGACAACCGAAAATTTTGTTAGCCGCCCAAGTTTTAAAATTAGAGAGAAAAAGTAGCAGCTAATACTCAACCTCTATAACGAAACCCTAGTTTGGGCAGCAAAAAAAGTCAGGGGGTAATATTAATAGGCATAGCATATACTGCATTATCCTCGTCGTTCAAAGGTGGAAGCGGCTTGGGCGAAATAAAGGGGATCTACAAGATATTTTCCTAGTGTTCCTGTCGTATAGGCAATCTCTTGTTCTACTAAAGAAGCCGTAAGACGACCCGAGTTAACTGAATGCCTAAGTAAGCCAGGGAAGGCTTATCACTGATCGTCCCTGATGAACTGCTTATCCTCTAATCCTCTTTTCTATTGATATCACAACTCCTCTGTTCCTCGACTATCTGTCAAGATCAACCCTCAAAATAAAGAAAAATGGGGGGTTCCCATATGATCTTGGCTGGATCATCGAGTAATTACGTTTCTACCTGTTTCTTCCACTTGTAATTACTACTACCCCGTGTAGAATCTTCGTTGTCGACATGAACCCGGTAAATACCTACCTACCTAGGTAGGTAGGGAAAGAGGCTGACTGCAGGCTCTATTTTAGGCGCCCGCGGGGGAACTATTGTCTTATCAGTGGGCCTTTAGGCTTTGGGGGATGCCTTTTCAGTTGACGGAAGCACTGCTAATGGATCCGAATCCCCTAAGTCTACCTACTATAATCTCCAAGATGAGATCTACAGTAGTAAAGAGAATAGACAGGCAGCAGCGGGACCAGGTACGCACGAGAGCTCTTTGGAATAAACATTGACTGTTTCGATAGATTCACCTATGACTATTTAGTAAATGCTCATCTTCGTATGTTCTAGGACGCCTCTGTAGAATAGCGCGGTTCTCTGGCCTGGTTGAACTATTCGACACTGTATCGAGCGCGAAACTAACAACTCTATTTTCTTCCGCTCTCGCTGAAGGGAACCCTCATGTTATCAAGGTGGGCAACCGGGTGCGCGATGGTCTTCTTTCTAGAAATTAATGTATTTTCTCTAATGTAAGTCTTCCAATCACCTAGCTGCTTGATGATATAAAAACAATGCTGATACATTTGTGCAGAAATAGGTAACCACGCTTCGGCGGCCGCTCACCGAGTATTTCGAATAGCTTTCAGATATCCTACGTACCATGCCCCGGAATATCTCAAGTTTCCTCGCGCCTCCCCAAAACGCCTGGAAATGATGGAAAGAATCGGTACACGTATATCGGCGAGTCACAAATAATATCTATCGTATGCGAACTACGAGCCTCGGCTATGTAAGCAATAAGATGGTGGTACATTGCTACTGATATTTCCTAGAAACGCTGTTCGATATCCCCCAATTAGGGCGCCATGGTTATAGGCGTGGATTACCCTGAATCCAGGGGCCTAGCCGTGCGACCGATGCTAGGTGATGGGTATAGTGTTCCTGTTTTACCGCTAACCGGTACCTAGGTGGCCTGTGGGGAGGTATTCTTTTAGGGAGCATCAAGGCTGCTAGGTCGTCCCATGTTCATGTTCAGCTCTCGCCCTACCTAACAACTCCCCGAAGGAAACATAAGCGCTGCAGCTTAGGGATTAGGTACCAACCACATGGACGCCGGAACCCCACCGATAGGTGAAGCGTCACCCCCAAGCGAAGCGATGCCAAGCCCTGAATAGGGAGTTTGCTTAGACGCCCTGGCGCATCCAAGGAAAACGATATAACATGCAGAAACAATCAAATGAAAAAAAGAGAAGAAAAACAGACGCAAACATGCACGAAGACGAGAGTAACGCGCATTCAATGAGCACAAATTATTCTTGCTAAGTATTTACTATCGAATTAATTACAGAGAAGGGGGGGTATCAAACAAAATCTCCTATGGGCCATTGATTGCTACTCAGTTTCCGCCGGCCTCACGCTCTGCGGGTTGTGGAACACGTCATTAGGATCCCACTTCGTCTTAACCTGGCCTAGGGTGTTTAGATTGGGGCCCCAGTACGAAACTTGGGGATCCGTTAGGTTCGGGTCGACGTATCCAGGATAAGTTGTCAAAGTCTCCACGGTATTACCTTGGATCGTGTCGATGATGCCGTTGATAAAGTCCTTGGTCGCCTGGGTTAGAGTCGGGATACCGATGCCGTACCCCTGGCAGAACATGACTTTGTCTCGGTGCGAATACGCCGTGGCGTTCATGGGGATGTCGCTAATGGCGCCACCACTGGCGTCGAAGATCAGGAACCAGATAAGAGTGCCTCGGTCAGCACCGTCAATGAATTGCATGAGTTGCGTAGTCGTGTTCTGGGAAAGGACCTCGTCGGCGCGGAAAGCCAAGCTTCTAGCTGTAAAGGCACTGCGAGTTTCCGAAAGCCATAAAGCAGCGTCCTCGGCCTGTTGCGCAATAACGGCGAGCCAATCATCGATAACCACAGAAACGTTCCCAGTTGGGATCTTGTCGGGGATACCAGTAGCTTCCCATTCTTCTTGGGTGCCATAGAAGGTAGCGGTGATAATAACCCCAAGTTCGTGCAGAACAAATTCGGTACCAAATCGTCGGTCTAGGTTAGGATCCGCAATCAAAGCCTGCCATTTCTGGAAAACATCGATCATGTCGGTGTGCTTGCCAAGAGATAACGAGTATGAGTATTGGACGACATCACCGGGTTCTGGGTGTGTCTTGACGACGAACTCAGTGATGACACCAAAGCCTGCACCAGCACCCTTCAATGCCTATTGTACGTGTAAGTGTTTTATCGTTAGAAAGTTTCCTAAGTAACTTACGAAGAAAAGGTCACTATTCTCAGTTTCGCTGACTCGCTGAATAGTACCATCCGCGGTAACAACTTCTACCTCAACGACGTGGTCGAGACAAGAACCCCACATGCGACTGGACGGACCAAGTCCTCCAATAGTCGCGTGGCCGCCAATACCAACTCCAGGGCAGGTTCCATGCGCGATTGCTCGTTTACCATTGTCGTGAAGTCTACTCGTTACGTCACTGAGCCTGGTACCTCCGCCGATCGTAGCTTGCCACGTGTTGTTGTCCATGGTGAAGTTTTGGAGATTCACTAGATCGATGACAAGTTCGCCATCTGTGCCGCCCACACCTGTTTTTAATATTAGTTTCATTATTCGCAACTCAAGTTTTCTTTCGGCATTTGCGCATACCATAGTTTCTATATTCATGTCAGCAATTTTGTTGTTATTTTATCTTTTAATTGCGGGATTAGAATGTGAATGTACTGACGCGTAAGAGTGACCGCCGGATTTAGGCTGGACCTTGACGTTGTTGGCCACGGCGCATTTGATAAAGTCGGAAACATCTTGAGAATTGTCCGGCCTCGTCACAGCGATGGGCTCCACCGGAATATCGAGATTGTATCGATTGACCCATGAAATCTGATAAAGAGGATTGTCGGAATAGGCAACACAACTGTCTCGGCTGTTGCAGACGGCGTTGAGACAGTCTGATAAAGCTGTACTCGGCGCTTGCCCCATCATAATGATAACAAGTTGGAAATATGCGACCTAAAACAATGTTCTCCTAGGTGTATGTAGTTAAGTAGGTGCTTTAGGTCAAAGAAATCATGAGCCCAATCACTCGAGAATGTGAATAAGGGCCCCTTGAATATATTCCAACACAGGGGAGGAGGTCGTTTTATTGTTGGGAACCGTGACTCCCGTTGGAGTAGGAGAGAAAGGCGTATTTTCCGACTTTGTTAGAAGTCGCAGTCGAGTTGTTTTTAATATTTACACCCGCATTCCTACGCATATGATTGCTTCCAGGATTATTACATTATACCTTACATTATGCGTACTACCCCCAGCTAACCCCCGGATACTACAGATACTACTTGCCCAATAGGGATTCATGGGAACTATGACATGGGTCGCGACCGTCGGCCAAGTCCATCGCGTTAATTGCTGATCCACAGGTACCGCTTTGGTTCCCACCTTATGGGGTCACCTTTTAGCTGAAGCCACTTGATTTCAATGGGATTCGCCGTCACATTGGTTCGGCGTGGAAGCTTCCTTGGTCGTCATTGTGGCCAACAATCCAATCATATGAAGAGGCCGCCAACCTTGGATGAAAGAAGGCAAATAAAACAGGTCGGGTAGAGCACCTTAACAATAAAAATCTTGATCAACTTTTAAGCTTACGAGGACAATGACCAGCCACATAAGTCCGCTAAAAGCCATCTTTTAGGGCTTATGGCTGGCGCCACGTCAAAGAGGTTGCCGGCGATCTGGGCAAGCTGGCAGGCCAAAGCTCTGTCAAGGCTTCGGAAGATTAACTTTGGCTTGCGGGCTTGCAGCATGCTGTCATATCCATATTCATCAGCAAGATTTGATCGTCCCATTTTCTTTTTAGGCATAGCAAGGACCCTGCCAGCAGGAAAAGTTATGCTGAACCCCGTGGCGCTACCCTGGCCAATTAATGGTCCTAAATCGTCACCGGTCTGCATTCTGGGGTTTGGTTTGTTGATTCTGATTCGTCGGGTTGAGAGATGACCTCATTGGAGGTAACGTTGACATTTCCAGGATTATTAGCAAATCGAACGAGAGACGGGCCGTAGTTGAAACATAGCGGAATTACCCCTATTCGTCTTGTTCTACACATTGCATGTCTTCGTATTCACCGAAAGGAGAATAACAAGGGGAAGAAATAGGAAAGTGTATAAAAGAAGGCGGCGTAGATGCCGTTGATTCTGCAGCGACCGCGTGGAACGATGCGCCGCAGCTGACAGCTGATTGTCAATTTACCGACAAATCTAACAAAGAGCAATCAATAATTACACCAAACAAGACATGACATATGTGATATGCGAGTAATATTTTCGCCAAGACATTTTCCTGTAGAGCCGCATTTCGAGAAACACAGTGTTTTGAATGTGACCGTTATCGTGTTACTCATCAATGTGGTTGTGTAAGATTGAGTTGTGAAATGTTGAGAGCGAGTTAAGTTGCACTAAAACTAGAAGAACTGACTTGACCAAGGATTTATACCCGATTGGGCCAAAACACTTTACTCCACTGAATAAGACCCATTATTACCTAATGATAAGATTAAGGTTCGCGATGTCCAGGAAACCGATACTAAGCGCGTCGTGGAGCATCGAACCTGCCAACAGTTGCCATGTATACATGTATACAAAGGCAGCATTGTTCCACTACGTCGGTACTTGTCTCAGAGCTTAATTAGGTACATATGTAGGTACCACAGTTGGTGTTTATGCATTGGAAGAAACAAATACTTTAAACTTCCAAGGTTTTGACATTACGAAGTACCAAAATAAATGATTGGATACGGGTACACTTATATCTTTATATACTGCCTAGTCGTAACTATAGACTTATTGTAAGTATCAACATCTATCTATGTATAAATCTAGGCACAATACGTTATCTATACGCATGTAAGTAAGATGGGGCCGGTGCCTCTTAGCTAACAAATAGGGAAAGATGGACTCCATTCCTATCTTCCTCATGACCTAAATCTGCATGTACCCGGGAACGGATGCTCGCTTGACTAACAACATGGAAACTAATAGGTACTATACGTATGGAAACTGCCGTATAGGTAGGCAGTTTGGCATTAGATGGTTGGATAGTCCTTAACTCTTTTAATCAACTGAAGCTCTCCTTCTCGGCCTAACGTTTTTCACCTAAACATAAAGTTTTGTCTTTGGTATTTGGATACGCCCCGAAGTTGTACCTAGGTGTGTGTACGCATTCCAACCTATACATTTTAGGTGTCCGCTTTCTCTCCCCATCTGATCAGTTTACATTCCTTGTAAACAATCTAGACGATTGAAAAGAAAGCCATTGTTGGATCTCAACTTACTTATCTGACTAGAACCAAGTACGTGGTAAGTCTATACTGTCATCGCCTAGTGTCGGCTAAGTTTCGTATGTCGTTAATTCCATGATATCGTCACTTCAGCCCTATTGTCATGTTAAGTATAAAGTTATACATGTCCTTGTTAAACCCGATAACGACTCCTAGTTACATTTTATTAATTGTTTCGTCTTTACCTATGCTAACCGATTTATAGAACGAATTCGGATGAGTTGTAACTTGTCAACTGTCACAAATCCACGCCCTGCTGGTCAATTCATTTCCCCACAGTTCCAGGTTGTAAAAGGGAAATTACCTACATAGGTACTAATTAGGTACTACCTAGGTTATCTCCAACAAGCCGACAAGATGATTAGACGAGGAGGAGCGTTCGGGAGGGAACTCCATGGGAACTTCCCCAAGACCGTATCCCTGTAGGTAACCCCGCCCCGACCATCCCCGACGAACCTGCCCCTCCCCCACTACCTAGGTATCTAGGCACGCATCTCTTCCCCACCTTCGCTATCCTCTACGCTATCTTCATCTCCACAGCGGGTAGATGATCCCCCCAAACTCCCTATACACACCATTACGTTAGGTACCATACGTATCACGGCGCGTTGGTTCCAAGGTTTAGTCTAGACCAGAATAACCCCAATCCCCCCCTCGTAACCCCCTAATTTGATCCTATTGATCCCGTACTCCTGGACCGAAACCGCAACCTACCAGTAGCGCATGCAGTCGGTACCTAGGTACAGAGGGGTTCTCTTCGGCAAGAGATTATCCCAGGCTATTCCAAGAATATTCAAGGATGGCGCAACCAATATTTTACCTTATACTTGCGCAGCAACTGCCATTAATACCACTACTCATACTAATAATTCTCATATCTCCAGTTTAAGTTCCTTTTATAAGGGGACGAGTGCCGAGTTATATAGCACTCGAACGCGCTCACAATCTTCACCTTCCTCGTCATCTCCACCAAAACCAATAACATCTCTCCTATCTTCATCTACTCATCGGCAATATCCGACACCACATACGACAGGTCACCATCTACCCCGTTCGCTATCCACATCGAAACCGAAAATGTATACGGCATCGTCTGCCTTTTTCGAGGCATTATGGGAAGCTGGGGTTACCCATTGCTTTGTCAACCTAGGATCGGATCATCCTAGTATCATCGAGGCCATGGTAAAGGGGCAAAGGGAGAGCAAAGGCAAATTTCCAAGAATTATCACTTGCCCAAATGAGGTACGTCCCTAAACAATTCTTCATGGGCAACTTTAGTAGCGGAGGACCGGCTTCGGCTTGCATTCGCGGTACTTACCTGCTAATCGGGAAACGCTTAGCTAACATCACTATAATAGATGGTAGCAATGTCAATGGCTGATGGGTACGCGCGACTAACCGGTAAACCGCAATGTGTTATCGTTCACGTCGACGTCGGTACTCAAGGCCTAGGGGCTGCAGTCCACAATGCCAGCACTGGACGCGCACCAATTCTCGTCTTTGCGGGTCTAAGTCCCTTCACGCTAGAAGGTGAAATGCGTGGCTCGCGGACAGAGTATATCCACTGGATCCAAGATGTACCCGACCAAAAACAAATCATCGGCCAGTACTGCAGGTACGCAAGTGAAATCAAGACGGGTAAGAATATCAAGCAAATGGTAAACCGCGCCTTGCAATTTGCGACAAGCGCCCCTCAAGGACCTGTGTACTTGGTCGGCGCAAGAGAGGTAATGGAAGAAGAAATCGAACCCTACTCACTCGATCAAGGCGTTTGGGAAGCGGTAGAGTTAGGCGGGTTAACGCCGAAAGCCTCAAAGGAAATCGCCGAAGCACTGCTTGGAGCTGAAAACCCACTACTAATCACCGGATATTCGGGTCGAAATCAGAATACACCCGCTGCCCTCGTGGAATTAGCAAATTCCGTAAAGGGCCTGCGCGTACTTGACACTGGTGGTAGTGACATGTGCTTCCCCGCGTCTCATCCGGCTTGGCTCGGTCTTCGGTTTGGTATCGAGCCCGCCATAGAAAAGGCAGACGTGATCATCATAGTGGATTGCGATGTCCCGTGGATCCCTACTCTGAATAAGCCAAAGGATGGAACAAAGGTGTTCCATATTGATGTTGACCCCCTAAAGCAACTTATGCCACTCTTCTACGTACCGGCGCAACACCGATATCGTGCCGATCCATTGGTTGCCGTCGAGCAGATTACGGCTGAGGCCAAGAGTCAAGGCGCGAGTATTGACGCTGCAGTTGTCAATAGGAAATGGGAAGCTCTTCAGGCGTCGTACAAGGAACGCCTAGCCACTATCGAATCCAAGACGACCCCCACTGACGATGGCTCTTTCGGTACGGGACATCTCTGCAAGACTCTCCGTTCTCTATGTCCTCAAGATACAATCTGGGCCATTGAAGCGGTTACGAACACGGCGTTCGTGCACGATAACTTAAGACCTGAGACCCCTGGCTCGTGGATCAACTGCGGTGGAGGCGGACTAGGATGGTCTGGTGGTGGCGCGCTCGGCATTAAACTAGCAACCGATACCGAAAATGGCGGCAAGGGTAAATTCGTCGTGCAAATTGTTGGCGACGGCACGTTCCTATTCTCGGTTCCTGGTAGCGTTTACTGGGTCTCGAAACGCTACGGTATTCCCGTCTTGACCATCGTGCTGAATAACAAGGGTAAGTCCACCACAATCACTTCAAAATCTCGTGAATGAGGACTAATTGTAGATAATAGGCTGGAATGCCCCTCGCAAATCAATGCTTCTCGTGCATCCTAACGGTCTCGGTTCCAAGGCGACGAACGAGGAAATTAACATCTCGTTCGACCCCGTACCGGATTACTCGGGCATTGCTAAGGCGGCTGCCGGTGGTGATCTTTTCGCCGCGAAGGTTGATAAGGTAGCGGACCTAGAGGGTACGATTAAGGAGGCTATTAAGGCTGTCGAGGGTGGCCAGAGTGCTGTTTTGGACGTCAAGGTTCTGCTAAACTGCTGATTTTAAATCGCAATCTTCAAACCCGCTGGAGAGCTTTATAGCTATGCCTGCGTCCGCACACCGCTAAAACCCTCAATTGGGGTTCTAGGTTAATATAAGGTGTACACGTCAGACGAGGAAATTCTAGCTTGCTTGCCCAAGTTAAAGGATGCTTATGCGACGATTCTCAAACCGCAATTTAAGAGACGCGGCGGCTAAGGCATGGAATGGAGGGGTACATATCATGTCGTATTAGATTGTTGACTGTAAGAAGTTTTGGTAGTTTAAATGCATCCGAAATAATGAACTCAATGAGAAAACGTGGCTAGGCGCATTCCAGAACCGAGTTTGTTTTTATTTATGATCTGATTGGGATGACTTGTTTTGACGTATGAGTGATTTATTTCAGCACATTTGGGTTTTATTTTCTGGGATTGTGCTGTGATTACTTATTTCACACCTATATAGTCCACCAAATACTGCATTGTACAGGTGGCTTGCTATTCTAATTCTTGGATCTTTACTCCTTGCATACCCCTATCTTCACTCTTTTCGCTCCTCCAATTGCTCCTCTATATTTATTCCTATATATAATTCAGATGTCACATATATCGTCTAATCAGCAGTCTGATTACTTTAGTACCTACAATAAGCTTCGTGATGTGCCATCTCGTTGCCACATGTGATGAGTACGCAAAAGCGCTAAACTCCTTTTTACATTGAAGCACAATAGCCTCGGGCTAAAAATACCTACGGGACAATACCTAGGGCGATTCCTATTGTTTCTTCCCCACGGGGAGGGAAAATAAGCAAGGGGCGGACTTATCCCGACCCCCTCGTCAAAGGATCGTATCCCCTGGTCTCTCGCGCGTTTGCGCAGCGGTAAATTTGATTTTTTCTTTTGGAAGTTTGGGATATGCATGAAGGGTCCTCGTGCCATATCTTTTGGTGCGGCTGAATTTGAGCTATTGGTTTGTTGGACTTTGTGATTAGTGAGATGGGATGTGTATACGAGGTTTGGTGCGTGACTGAGACTTGGACTTGGTCGTTTTATTAGCTCCCTACCTGAGTTTGAGTCACCCCTCTGTCCACGTTCGTGAATGTCTTACTTCCCCTCAACTTAGGGGCTGTAGGCGGACCTATGGGATGAATCCCGGTGTGCTGGGTATAGACGTATTGAACTGACTCAGAGACACGACCTAGGGTGTATTATAGGCTAGGTGAGTTCTGCAGCACGGGGCTCCGTGGGGTTCGGGGTTTACGTTGGCGAGATTTCGTTGTCGATCAATGTATATATCTGGGGTAATGCCAAGCGGTAGAAAATGGAGGAGGACGGGTTCGGTTGGATATACCTAAGTTAGAAGTTTTGGCAGTCATGATGGGAGTTGAGTGGCGATATTGTCGTAGGTAGGTAGGTTGATGAAGAAGGGCTTGGCTATATAGGCATACTTGGAGATGTCGCTGGGATTTATTTCGAATGTTCACTGGTATATCACAGCCAATGTAGTATCTGTAGAAGGCCTGCATGAAATTACTATTGGGTGATTTAAAGCAGCCAGCCCCAATGCAGCCTCGATGTGTTGGCTGGTCTGGCTCGCGTGGTGGCATCCAGGGACTGACGATCGCTGGGAATGACACCTGCAACTAATAAGATCCATACCCAACTTCGGCTTCTTTGCCGGTTTCAATCGGCAGATGTGCGGTCGTGTTTGTGTTTCCCATGGTTTTATAATGGATGTTCATATGCAGGCGACAAGATATGGATGTTGTTTCTGACCGAATTCTGTGTCAGTTAATCATCCGGGTTACTTAGATCTAAGCCATTGAACCAGTATCTTTATACCTGCATATAACCATCTAGTTAAAAACTGACTACCTAGGTATATTTTATCTCAATTTTGGTGAAACGGCTAAGCGATACAAGCGACGATGTTTTGAGTTATGATGAATTCGTGTTACGGTCTAATTGATGTAAATATTTAGGACAACTTGATCAACTGACGAAGGAGTGGGTATTTCCTCGAGGTCTGGACCTCACACAATACCCTCGGCGTACAGTTGCCAGCCCTTTTAGGACCAACAGTTTTTATATCATCCTTCCGTCTTTGAATTTTTTGATAATTCTATTCTATAATCGCTTTATTTCGGAGGTCGTATGTATAGTATCGGATGTTACCCTGCACGTAGTCCTTGTCAATATATTTCCTAAAGAGTAAGAGATCTCCCTCTCATCTTATTTATTTCTTACTGCTCCACATCGAATGGGGAAAAAAGAGCAAACAAGCGTACGTATTCGCCTCCCGATTTCTACGGATGACAATTCGGATTTTTTTTCTTCTGCTTTGTGTTCTTAAGCGAATACTCTCCAATTGAATGCCATTGGTTGTTTAATTAACTCATATATTTTCCTTGCGTTCCTGCCCCTGACTAACGTGAGTTGTACGTACTACGTGATACGTAAATCTGACGATATTCTTGTGGTTGCCCGTTGACTCTACTTGGAGATAAGAGAGGACCACTTATGCCTCGACACGGATTCCGAATTGATATGATATGAAATTTTGCACGGTCCTTTTCAATCCATTGGTGGTGTTTCTTTAAGTACTTAGGTATGCATATTCGTTTACCAACATATCTTCCAATCATTGTACGGGTGTCATTTTCAGAAGCAACAAGATATCACATCGTTTGGTGTTTTAGGAGGCATCCAGTGGTGGTGGGGGTGCTGTGGGTTTCCAAATCCGGTGGATCGAATTGAGTCACGGGTCTCCTGTAAGTGCTGTAGGTCCTGCAGATAGCCCCTCTAACCCCCCTGTCCTATTAAGCTGCGGGTGCTAAAGGACCCTTAAGGTACGATTGGGTTGAAATACCTATTGAAACTTCACATCGTCTTCCCATGGACCAATCGTGCTGCAAGCTCGCAAACCTTAGCCTTAACAAAGTACTATACAGGCCCTATAATACAGACAAGGTACTTACAATTCGGGACCCATTCGAACTCTATATTTCACCATTGCGCCCCAAGGCTAGATTCTCTTAGCGTGAGCGGGGCTACAAATACCCAAGGTATAGAGAAAGTACCTTAATTAATATGCATACTAGGGAATTAAGGACAATAGGTACATGTGAAGAGTGGGAATGTGGAAAAAAATCTTAAATCGGACAGCTGCTTCTCCGAGCTTAAGGAGGGTCCCTCTTTTTCCCTTTAGCTTCTTAGTTACCGTTCTAGTCTCGGTTTCTTTTCTTTATTCTTTAAAAATTCCCCATTCGAGTCTTGGCCTCGACCGCTACCCATTCATATCTGGTTCGTCCGCTCGCTCATCACGCGGCTTACCTTTCCTCTTTACCATGTTATTATTACTATAGTAGCAAAGAGACTCGGCCATATCCGTCTCTCCTTAAACGTCTCCATCCTCATGCTCATGCGTGGCGAGAACAAACCCCGCCGATCACTTAGCTCTCTCTGTACTTATCTATTATCAACATGGTCCTGTTACTCTTATCTAGGCAGATCGGATAGGTCTGTTTAAGCTAAGCTAAGCTTGCGCAATCCGCCGATTTTACATAGCTAGGTAGCTCTGGGTTACCTACTAATAGGTCGACGGATAACCCGAAACGTTCGCTCTTAGACATATTCGTAGGTAGTTTATACGAAGCTATCTATATCCGTATTCCTAGATGAGAGATCATGAGTCGAGATACGTACCGCAGATTGAAGCTCAACATCGCGAAGCTTCCTCGGTTGGTTTAACGCCCGATATCTACGTTCCTTTACCGCATTCCTTACTTTTACTGGGATATAAGCGGCAACGACTCTTTGACGGACGAACTGTAACGATAACGGCCGAACCAACTCCGCCGCACAGATCGGTCTCATTGTTGCCCAATAGTAGATTAAGCTAGGTCAGCTCTTTGGTGTGAGCAAAGGGAGAAAAAAGATGGCAAGCGACCACGATCAGCGAGACGCTTCTGCGTCCCAGGTAGACCAAGAGAAACAGAAGGATACCACGCTACCAACACCGAACACCCCTCCTCCGCCCCCCATTCCTTCAGCCGACCCGAAATTAGTATTACAGGCTCGAACGCCTCCTCCACTCCATGCCGTTCCGAGTCCGTCCTCCCACGACCTCTTCAGGTTGACTCCGATTGCTGCCCTAAAGTTATTAAGTGCTGGGATCGAAGCTCTCGTACGAGTCACTGGCGATATACCTCCTACACCTCCTCCCACGAGCCCTACCATTCCTAACATGCGTGGTATGCAAAGGGAGAAGGCGGAGCTTGTCAGGTCTCTTTCCGAGAAGAGTTTGGCTCGACTACGAGAGCAAGCAGAAGCAGAAGCTCGGGCTCAAGCACCAAGCCCCGCGAGATCGAACCAACCCATCGACGGTGTTCATCTTCGACAGACGCCGAACCCTTCTCCGCCGAAGAACACACCCGAGCCCTATATCGTTATTGGTGCCAATTCGCAGCCCATCAACTTGCAACACAGCGCAATTACGCGCAAATTCTTCAGCAAACAGCCGCCTCCAATCAGTATCGAGGATTACTTGTTGCGAATACATCGATTTTGTCCCATGTCGACTGCTGTGTACCTGGCTACATCGTTCTACATTTTCCGGCTCGCTGTTGAAGAGCGAGCTATTCCTGTCACGCGAAGAAATTGTCACCGTCTACTCCTAGCCGGCTTAAGAGTAGCGATGAAGGCACTTGAAGATCTAAGTTATCCACACGCCAAAATCGCCAAGGTTGGTGGGGTGACCGAAATAGAACTCGCAAGACTCGAGATTAGCTTTTGCTTTCTGACAGGATTCGAGCTTGTCATTGGAGAAGATACCCTCAGAGGTCATTGGGAGAAGTTGAAAAAGGGTCATGGGCTAGAGGGTTTCGAGAGTCTCTTGTCGGATGATGACGCGATCCCGACGTTGAAGTTGGATGCGCCTCCGAAAGGGAATGTGACTCCTGTATCTGGCTGAATGCTTCTTAAGGAGGATTCAGGATTGCTGTGTCTACCCAGGTACCTTGGTATAAAAGGAGGGGTAATCTAGACGAGGATCCAATTGAGTTGATCAAAGATATTGTGGTGGCACACGACCGACGCCTAGATGATGATGGCTTTAACTAGAACTTGACGGGCACAATTTCTAGAGGATAGAGGATGTCGTGCAAAAATTTAAATAGTCCAAGGTATGGCTTGGCAAAGACCAATCGGGAAGCCATACGTAAGAGAGGCGCAGAGACCAACAACCTTGGTGTTGTATGTGCCTGTGGGTATAATGGGATGATGAGGTTTGCATTATATGGGTGGTAGCTATTTGTTTTGGAGCATTTATTGTAAGGCATTGTTGAGAAAGGAAAGCATATATGGACGGACTTATTCATACATGATACCCGAATCTCACCTTATGTATATAACATGCGAATATTTCGATTCTAGCATTGAGCTATATGGTTATTATGAGGAGTTTTATGAGTTTATCTTCTATTCGATTAAGACATTATGGTCAACGATTTCGAGGGGTTCAGCCCATAGTCTGGATATTAATATACCTAGCTACTCAAATGGTCACTATAATGAGGGAGTTGGAATTGGATACTAAAACTTGACTGAAGGTATCAAGAGTAAGCGGTTTGAAGTGCCTATCTAGAACTAAGATATCCCCTGTAATGGGCGCGATTGCCCTAGAAGTAACTGCCTAGGCAGGCATAGGTGGGTACCTGTAAAGCCCCGCAGCTTCTATTTAACCTGAAATGGAAGGCAATTAAGACTCTGATTTGTCAATTTTAAGCTTAACCGTCGCAAGCCGTCCCGCGGTGTTCCTTCTCATATACTTTAATACTTCTCGAGTGCTTTGATGCCGTTAACTTTCTTTAACCTTAGGCCACGTGTTATAGCTCCGTCGAAACTAGGAAAGTTAATATCGTCAATTCCAACCTCGACGCGTTTTATCCACCACACGGTTTTTAGGGGCAGCATAGGGGCTCGTGTTGGCGCGAGGTCGATTACACAAGCTACCCCGCACTCTCGATATCGCGACATCATCCCACGTTTCGATACAATCGGATACACAACAAGAGGCATAGCTACGCCGGCGAGATCCACGATGTCGAAAGCGAATATTGACGTGGAGAGAATTCTCCAGGGGAAATACCCGGCTAAGTCGCATTTGAGGCGCGTGGTAGAATATATAAGAAGCAAGATTCCCGATGCTACTGGCATCTTATATCTAGAAGGGCGCTCGGATAAACTACTAGAGGATAGTGATGAGCCTGTTCCCTTTCGGTAAGCTTGTCCCTAACAGTATTCCAGTTTTGTACTTGATTGAGTAGTATTGAGGTGCTAATTCTGACAATGACATAGACAACGAAGAGCTTTCATGTACCTAACCGGTGTCGACGAAGCCGATTGCTTCCTGATCTACGATATCGCAACCGCGCATTCGACCCTCTTCATTCCTCCTATAGACCCCGACTCCGTCATTTGGTCCGGCCTACCACTTTCTCCCCAAGAAGCACTGGCGAAATACGATGTCGACGCTGTCCTCCCGTCCACCGAGCTCAACCCGATACTCGCTAGGCTGGGGAGCCAACCTAATTCCACGGTCTTCGCTATCGCCGACCGCGTTTCCGACGCTGTTACCTTCCTCGAGTTCACCAACAAGGATTTCACAGTTCTTGGAGAAGCCGTTGACGAGTCCCGAGTTATCAAAGATGAATACGAGATCGCGCTTATCAAGAAAGCGAACGAGATTAGCGGGGCTGCTCATAAAGCTGTTCTTGAGAATGTGAAGAAGGCTAAGAATGAGTATGAGCTTGAGGGTGTATTCATTGGCACGAGTGTTAGCCAGGGAGCGAAGAAGCAGGCGTATCCTAGTATTGTTGCTAGTGGGAGGGCCGCTGCTACTTTGCATTATGTGCATAATAATAAGAATCTGGAAGGCAAGGATCTGTTGCTTTTGGATGCGGGCGCGGAGTGGAATTGCTATGCTGCTGATATTGTGAGTTTCCCCTGGAGTACTTTTTAAAATGTCTATTAGGAAGGGAAATGAATCTAACTGGATTGCAGACGAGAACCTTCCCCATTTCCGGCAGATTCACAGAACGATCTCGTGCTATATACGAGATTGTTCTGGAGATGCAAACGAAGACTATAGCTGTACTGAAGGAAGACGTATCATGGGATGAGGTACACTTATTAGCGCATGAGGTTGCCATTGACGGTTTGTTATCCCTAGGCATATTGAAGGGAGAACGAAAGGAGATTCTTGAAGCGCGAACAAGTACAGCGTTCCTACCCCACGGCTTGGGCCATTACCTGGGATTAGATACTCACGATACCGGCGGTCATCCTAACTACTCAGATCCCGACCCGATATTTAGGTACTTGAGAGTTCGAACGAATCTACCCGCTGGAAGTGTAATTACAGTTGAGCCTGGTGTAAGTTTTACGGGCGATTCTTTGGGCTTGTGGGAACTAATGAAAAGCTAGATCTACTTCTGCGAATTCATCATCAGACCATACCTCAAAGACCCGAAACACGCGAAATACATCGACGAAAAGGTATTGGATAAGTACTGGGACGTTGGTGGTGTGAGGTAAGCAATTTCATTCTACTCGCGCATATAGACTTGTGGATTGCTAACGGGTGAACCAGAATCGAGGATAACTTACTCATAACGAAGGATGGCTCTATTAATTTGACCGATGCAGTCAAGGATCCTGATGAGTTGGAAAAGATAATCTCTGGCAACTAAAATAGGTACAGAACAGATGTGAAAGTGAGAAGGAGGGGCAAAGCGCTTTTCACCATCCGACACTTGACTCATAGGTTATGCCTGAAGATGGGCACCTAGGCAGATATTGAACTTCACAATACGACAATCTCGCTGGCGCCCTCATAGTAACGCAAAATATTGAGAAAATGCCTAACGTGGCTGTGCCTGCACTGTGTTCAGCTAAAGTTTCTACGATTCGCGCTTCTACGTGCTGGCTTCTTGCGCGCCACCAATTAAATCAAGAGGTATCCGTCACGTTCGGAATCAATCGGTTGGTTATCTATTCCCTAAATTATCATTCGTTACATCTGAAATAATATCCATGATAAATAGAGCATTTCGAAACGTCCATATTGACAAGTCATACAGGAGGCCATAAGAGCCTGCTTAGCGTTACGTCAAACTTGCCGCCAGCCCGACCCTGCGCCAGCGGTGAGGAGCGGCTATTGGATATTATACAATGCCACTCAAAATACTACGTAACCATACATATTCCAAAGCACAAACCACATGGATAGCCCCGAATAGATCTAGCAACTAGGAGCAAGTGAGAAACATGACAAATTTCTGTCAGAAAACCATTCTGCTAACAGTCTAGAAATCTTCTGCGCCCAATCACTATTTTCTTCATATTTGTGTTTCGTATTGTGCGAGGCCCAAATAACTGGAACCGTGGTGCCTTATCCACCTTGGCAAAGATGGTAACGGGGAAGACTAGAGAGTGGTTCTCGAGGAAGCTGGGGAGGTCGAGCCACCATGACCCCCTCGCACCCGACCCCGGCCCCCAACAAGAAAATAATTCCCAACGAGACTCTTCAAATGAACCGGAGGCCGTAGACGGGTAGGTATGCTTTGATATTATCACTATTAGTATATTAATACTAGATAAACAGGACAGCGATCGGGGACTACGAGCAGCAGACACTGCAAATTGGTTTTCAACCAGACACCAATATCACAAGTCACTGATCCCGCACCAACCGCCCAGGATGACGTAGATGGCAACGTCGAGCGTGGCGATGCAGAAGCACGCAGTGATCCGTGGAGCGTATCTTATAGAGACGCCATCTCATCATTAACTGAAGAGGAGAGGAAAATCGTTCAAAAATATACAAATCTCAAGGAGCTCTTCGACAATGTGGAGGAAATATCCTATAAGCATGGCGATTCATTGTTTCAAAGGGGTTTAGAGAAATTGCAAAAGCCCCTACAGGTGGTCAAGAATGCTATTGATCTAGCAGATCCTCTTTTGAGCCTTGATCCCACTGCCAAAGCAGCCTCGGGGGCCGTGAAAAGCGTGGTCACTGTAAGAAACCCTTCCCTATAATAGCGTACGGGTAGCATGGAAGAGTATGGTTCATGGATGCCATGTAAACCCAGTTCTAGGCTAACGTACATCGCAGCTTGCCGTTTGTATCTGTGGCGCTAGATCTCAATTTAGTCAGCAGATTGTTGAGATGTTGGAGAATATTCCGATTATTGACCAGTGCGATACCTTGGGCCAAAGTCTCAACTCCAGTAGAGTTATTCGTGAAGTATTTTTATTATCTCCGATTATTCCTTTAGAATCAGACACTAACCACGTTCGCTAGGCCCTTGCCACGGTATATAAAGACATGATAAAATTCTACATCACTGCAATCAGAATATTCGAAAGTAGAGCAGGCGTGTTAGTTGAACAGTACCATCAAAAGATGTCGCCAATCATCAACGACTTCAATAGACACGCTCGGCAGCTTAAATTCCAAATCGACACAGTGGTAGCAACGCTTGTTAGAGATATCAAAACGATGGTACTGGATGAAAAAGGTACGAAGCCTACCCATATTTTTTTTTCTCTCTAAAAAAAACCTTTGTCCAGGTGCCAACTTATAACTTAGTCGAAAAACTTCTTGATTCTGGCAAAACCAAAGCTCGTAGCGAGTTCCATAGTGAGATGAGGAGAATAAGGACTGATGAAGCCTGCCGATGGATCGCTAGAACGTTTAGTACATGGTATGATACGCCAACTCAGCAACAAATGATCATTCTCGGAGATATGGGTTGCGGCAAAACCGTGACAATAGCCTATGTGATTGATGAATTGCTTAGGCAGAGAGATTTTCACATACCGAAACCTCTTCTATGTTTCCATTATTGCAAGGATGGTGAGACAGGGAAGGCTACTTTCATCTACTCAAGTCTCATTCTCCAACTCCTTAGTCAACAAGAAGGCTTGAAGATTGAATTCAAGAAGTGGTATGACGAAACCAAGATTTTAGGTGGCATAGACCTTACTTCATCTTTTGAGAAGCTTGGGGGGTTATTTTCAACATCCATCGAAGCTCTCGGAAGGCCTCTATTTGTGGTTCTTGATGGCCTCGACGAGTGCGATTATAATTCCCGCATTGATCTTCTTACCTTCTTCAATAATCTCTTGGAGAGAGCGCCGCATTTTAAAATATGTTTTTCTTCGCGGTTTCAAAAGGAAACCGAGGACCTGCTCAAAGTCGCATTGAAGGCCCGCGTACCAACTAAAGTTGAACGCGATGCTATTATCGTGCAGCATACTGTAGATACTAAGTTGAGGCGGCTTGAACCGGATGCTCGGAAGTTGGTGGTCGAGGAGTTGAATGAATTGGCAAAAGGAAGCGCAATCTGGGTTAGGTTATCGGTCGATCTTATTCAGAGGCGCAAAATCAGCGCTCCAGGCCCGCTAAGACGCTTCATACGTAATGAGATCTCCCACACAGCACTACCGACATTATACGACAAACTCATCACACAAGCAAGCCAATCAGACCCAGACAACAAAAGAATAATCATAAATGCATTGCAAATACTTGCCGTTGCTAAAAGACCCCTAAGCCTTACCGAGCTGAGTTGGGCCGTGGCAATAGCCGATCTTCCAGAGGAATCTCGAAAACTCCAAGACCTTCGTGAATATGTGGATGAGCAGAGAGTTTTGGACCTGCTACGTCCATTCATTTTGGGCGGGACATACACAATCCACCGAAAGATGAGGTACAATTCGTGCATCAATCTCTCAAAGAGTTGGTTCTCCAAATTCCCCCCTCGGATTGGAGTCGTTCGCCGGAAATTTCCAAGCCTTCGAAGGCAGAAGTTCGGAAGCGACGCGATCAACTAGAAGCAAACCTTTTACGCCTATGCGTTCGTTACCTCCTTCTGGATGAATTTGGTTCGGAAGAATATTATAATGCGTTTTGTAGCGATTGCTACTGGGAATACAGCCCAGAGAAGAGGCAAGAGATCGAATCGAAGTTTGGAGAGTTCTTCGATTATGCCTCCTGTTTATTGCCCCATCATTTGAAACAATCTGCAGCAGAGTGCGTTCCTAGTATTCCGGACATTGTAGAGTTAACCAAGGCGAAGTCAGACAGGGTAAAGATTTGGCCGAACAAGTGGATGCGCTCTCAATACCGTATAGTGTGGTTGTATAAATTTATGCCACTGCTGGATTCGCTTTCTCTCATGGCTATATACGGCTCTACGGAAGTGTTACAGAACCTCCTGCAAACTTGCGACATCAAAGGTCTAAAATGCGAAGCTGAGTCGGCCGAAATGGCCACGCGCACGTTACTAGAGCACGGGGATTTACCTAGTACGAAGTTGTTATTTAGGTATTGCACGCCTGAAAATGCGCCATATATTTTGGGAACTTTTTGGTGGGTATTAGGCCTTGTCGGGATAACCAAAGAAAAGGAAGGGGCCGAAAAAGCTGTTGGCCTGTTCGATCTTTCGATGGGCCCAGCAATTACCACGATAGCTCAAGGGAAGCGAACGACTGAACTCGTACGCACCGCTATTGCTTTTGACTGTCAAGAATACGTCGAAATAATATTTGATGCAGTCGCCCATTATCCGTTCATAAGACAAGACCTCCTATGCGATACACAAAGATCTGGGAAGCTTCCTTCTTGATACAAGCCGCCGAGTCACCGTATACGGATATCCTACGCTGTATGCTCAAACGAGAGGGCATCGACAGGTACCTTCGGTACTCTGGCGACAATGGGGATAATATATTCCACTATGCAGTGCGGTATGCTCGACCAGAGAATATTAAACTTTTGATTACTCACTTCGAAGGCGGCGTAAACCAGTCCAATGACAGTGGTGAGACACCTTTATGCTGGCTTGTTGGCCCTCTATGCACTTGGGGGGGGGGGGGGGGGCGTCGGAACCCAGATTGAAGTCGCAAGAATTTTATTGAAGTTAGGCGGAGCCGACGTGAGAGCGGGGCATAAGGACCACCCATAAGCTCACCCGGACGAGCCGCTTCGCATAGCAGCAAAATATGGTGATATAAAGATGTGCCGATTCTTAGTAGAAGTTGGTGGCGCAAGCCCTCGTATCGGAAACGGACAGGCTTCGTTATTAGACCCGGTCCTATCGACGTCGGGCGGCTTTTTGAAGAATTCTCCCCCCTGGGTCGAAGATAAGGAAAAGGGCCAGAAAGTCTTAGCAACGTTATGTTCGCTTGCCGGGATTGAAGGTTAAAGCGTTGAATCGGCATAGGCCAAGATTTTGGGACTCTACAGTGTTTCCAGTACAGTAGCGACCATCGATAATTATGGGGTACCTAGGTATTATTCTCGATAATAGGCACCTTTAGTATGTGCTGACATCTCTCACTTTCAGGGGTTATGGGGGCTACTTGTTGTAACAGGTTGGTGAAGTATAGCGCTTCACACCCTGTATTCTGAGTGAATAATACGGTACAAACTACAGCATATTTGCACTGTCATCTCGCTTAATCGATACGGCTTTTTGTCTCTGGAGAGTCAAGTAATTAATATACCTACCTAGGTAGGTAGTTCAACTTCCTCTGTTTCCGTTGCTGTTCCTTCAATTCGACTATAGTCCACTGAATCCACCTCTGCCTCATTTTCACGAGAAGAAACTATTGGGATTTGTTCTAATTAAATTAGCTCCCATATGGTGAGGATCCGGATTATCATCATCCATGTTTTCATGCTAGCTCTCCGCACGCCATCTTCCCAGGCGGTGATTTCATGATAGTTCTTATCATACGTGAGGTCTACCGATTTATTATTTTTTCTCTTATACTACAATTAATTATGTCCGAATATAATTCCGCTTATAATGGAGAAAACACGAGGGAATTTGCTGTTCGCAGGTTGGCGCATCGGCGTAGAGCCCCTGACGCATTCAACTTCCGCCATTCTGTACGGGTCGCACGTCATCCCATCCTGACCACTGCGATACCTAACTCGGCGCCCACTTACCACCCGCTTCCGATGTGCCTGCACATCACACCCTGTAGCGCGCCTTATCTACCTAAGTAGGACAAGCAGAGGGTTATACATGTATAACGCAATATCTCGCCCCCACTGCGTGACGCGCGATATGGGGTCGCACCCTACGATCGGAGGCGTTTTCTGGAGCGCCTCCGGAAGAGGGCCTTCGGAATGCTTAATAAGGTGATAGGGTTACCTTTTTTTCTATTTGATATGAACCTCTCTCCGTGCCTTCACCTTCCTCCTTGAGATATTGGGAGTAATGCTGTGTCTTTGAGGCTGTAGTAGTATCTACTTGCTTACCTATTCGGGTACCTAAAGACCTGACTTACACCTAATTATAGCCGGCGTATTTATTTACTTTCTACCTAAGTAAACACAGCAGTTATGTCTCAGTTGGAGTTAGGCGTGCACGGCATTACGCTGGTGCCGCAGTCGACGGGGTATGGCCTACTCATCGGGCTGGGTAAGTAAAATCGCTATCATTGTTAAAAATGTTGCTGACCAAGTTTTTTAGGTGTTGCTTTCTGTGCTGTAATTCTTGCTGCAGTCAAAATTCAGAAAGTATTCCTTTCCGAGGACTCAGGGACATCTGAAATGTTCATGGTGGCGAAGTATGGTCTCCCATGATTTCCCTTATAATTGGACTCGCTAATAGCGTTCTAGTCGGTCGGTTGGCATCGGATTGACAGCTTCAGCTGTATTTTCAAGGTAACACATTCATTCTATTTGTATCAACAAGGGCTAAATATTGGTTCCAGTTGGATGTGGATCAATGAGACCGTGTTCAGCGCTGCGATGTGTTATCGCTTTGGCCTGGCGGTGCCTCTTTGGTGGGCGACAGGATTATGCTTCCAGATTGCCTTAATGGCGGCTCTTGGTATAATTGCGAAGTTAAGAGTGCCGTACGCACACACATCCCTGGAGATCATAAAAATGAGATACGGCAAGATCGGGCACGTCGTCTTCATCATTCTAAACTTGACGAACAACGTTTTCGGCTGCGCTTCTATGATCCTCACAGGCTCACAGCTCATATATGGAATCTCTGGCATGCATTTTGTCGCGGCGACGGTTTTGATTCCCCTAGGAGGTAAGTGGAGCTATGTGCGAGTTTTTGATCACGAAGACTAACTGTCAAACAGTGGTGTTATACACAGCAGTAGGAGGTCTAAAGGCTACTTTCCTTACTGATTACCTACATACTACCGTTGCTCTGGTAATCATCATTTACTTCACGATTAGCATCTTGACACATGAAGCAATAGGAGGATTAGGAGGCCTATACGATAAGGTGGTCGCAACAGCAGCTGAAAATTACATCCCGGGCAATTTTGAGGGGTCACTCCTTACATTCAAATCCAAGGTGAGCCAATTGACCTTTATCCGGAATCCCCAGTTCTAACCCATTGACAGGATGCGATTCTGTGGGCTTTAATTTTGAAGTTCGGAAATCTGGCGCTTGTTGTCATGGATACGGCTTTTTGGCAAAAGAGCTTTGCAAGCGAAGTTTCTGCTACCGTTCCCGGCTACAATCTTGCGGCGATTTCGATCTTCGGTATACCTTGGGCGATTGGTACTGTGGTTGGTGAGTAGATTTCGCATAATTGGGGTCTTGGTGAGAATTGCTGACTCGTAGAAGGATTGACTGCGCGAGCTATTCACAACACGCCTATCTTCCCGTCATATCCGGGCGAATTCACAAGTGCCGAGGTCAACGCCGGGCTCGTAATGCCTTACACAGTGAAGGCGCTCATCGGCGAACAGGGCATCGTCGCCTTATTCGTATTGATGTTTATGGCTCTCACCTCGACCATAAGCTCTTCGTTAATTGCGGTTAGCTCTATCCTGTCATTCGACGTATACAAGACCTACATCAACCCAAAGGCGAGCGACAAGCGACTACTGCATGTGAGCCATCTGGCAGTTATCGCGCATGCTTTCTTCATTACGGGTATTTCGCTCGCGCTTAACTACGGTGGTGCCGATATGACTTGGATCGGATATTTCCGTCCTATTCTGTCTTGCCCGGGAATTATTCCTCTAGCCTTAACGCTGTGCTGGTCTGGGCAGACGCGACTCGCGGCCATTCTGTCTCCGGTGCTTGGGTTCTTCACTGGACTGGCTATATGGCTTGGTAGTGCTAAAGCCCTATATGGCAGCATCAGCCTGACAACCACCGAAGCTGGACCACCAGCATTGTACGGCGCGTGCGGGTCATTTTTCTCGCCGGCGATATACTCTTTTTTGATTTCACAATATAGGCCGTATAAATTTGATTGGCGTGAGTTCCTCCGCATTGAGCTGGCGGACGAATACCGTACGGATCCCCTCGCAATTTCTTCTGAAGAGTCAGAAGAATCGTCCATCAATGACGAGAAAAAACCTGGACGTGAAGCTAATGAAAAGAACCCCACGCCTCCTGAGCCTGTTTACCTGTCGCATGAAATCCAGACCGATGATCAAGGAGTTGCGAGAGATATTGGAAACAGCATTGCTATCACGTCTGACGCTGAGAAGAGTGCCCCACCAACGACAGCCCCACGACGAAGACACCGAAATAAAGCTGGCAAGGAAACCACACCAATTGAAGAAGTTCAACATCCATTTAGTGAAGCAACACTACAAGAACTCCGAAGGTGGTACAAGATAGCATGGGGATTCTTCATCTTCATCGTTTTGGTTACTTTCGTCGCTTGGCCGATGCCACTGTACCGCGACTACATTTTCACGAAGCCGTTTTTTAGTGGGTGGGTTGTTGTAGCCATTGCTTGGCAGTTCTTCTCGTTTTTCGCTGTTGCTATATACCCTCTTTACGATGGACGGCATGAGATTATCAAGGGCGCACGAGGTGTTTATAAGGCTTCAGGGGCGTGGTTGAAGAGGAAGGTCGGGAAGGCGTGAGATGGGAAATCTACGGGAACGCGAGGTGGTTAGAATAGAGAACATGGGAAGAGGATATCACGTACGAATAGGGCATGGCACGCCCAACCCTATTCGCATATACCTAAGTAGCTAAGTTACCGCCTATATAGAGCTTATAGACCAAGTTTAAGCTAATAGAGCACGACGAGGAGACTCATCGGTTATGTCTTGCTTTGTAGCAAATCTTGCAACAGTTTGTCGCTCTTCCATTTTTCAAGGGCCTTGGTCTTCCATTCCTCCCATCCTTCCTCTTCAGAACCAAATGTTCGTTTAAGGCCAATGAAAAGATCTATAAATATTTGATGATCGTCGTAACACGGGCCGAGAGCAAAAAACAATCTTTGCACCTTTCTGCCAGTGGTGACATAGTTGGCCAGATCACTACGGCCTCTCTCTCTGAAGATACTAGCAAATCGCAATTCATCATTAGATAGTTCGTTAGAACCATCGTAGAACTCTGCGACCGGCCACATCATACATGGGGAGGAGAAGGCATCTTCCTTTGCGACAGTTTGGCACCATTCCCAATCTATGATGCTAACGATATCGTAATCTTTATTGACGAGAATGTGGTCGCCTTTATCATCGGGATGCTTGAGGAAAAACTTCCCTTCTGACAGGATCTCTTTCCCGATATTATTTAGAATATCCAGACAAAATCGGTGCATAAGATAAACGTCTATCGGATATGTAGCCGCAATCTCACCGCTCAATATCATAGTAAGGTATGTCTCGATGACGACGCGTGCCGCCTCCAGCGAGGAGTGGAAAGGGCCCAGGGGTCCTCCACATCCTGGACGGAAGGTTGCATGCTGTGCGAAGCCCTGTATCTCGAATGCGTTTGGATCCGTCGCCGGCATTATCGATCCTATTGTATCGAACGGATGCTTCTCAATCTCAAGGAAAATGTCGACCAACTGCTGCATGACCTTTTCCTTTTGCGACGGAGTTGCCAGCTGCCAATTCAGCGGCTCCCCCTCTACCTTTTCTATCAGGATGTAGCCAACATCACCTAATGGATTTTGTGGATCGGATTCGCATGCCCAGTCGAAAACCTCTGGCAAGGGAACGCGCGTATGTTTCCGTAAGAAATTCATGGTAGCTACCTCGCTTCGAAGTATATAATCATGGACTTCCATTGGAGGGGATGATGTCTTGACCAGACGAAACCGTGCGAGCCATTTGACATTGTCTTGGAATGTAATTTCAGCATGACAATTCTGACCGCCCATCATACTCGACAGGTGCTTCGTGGACAAGTTAATAGCACAAGGGATTCCCCCTCGGAGTTGTGTTGCGCGTGCACAAAGTTTTGACTCATCTATTCGACGACTTAACTCATTCAATCGACGGATTTCGGTGACTGCATATTGGTCAGAATAGTCTTCCCAATTTTCCTAAGGACATCAGCCGTGTTGCCTAGTTTTAATGCGTATTGCATACCTCTGGTTTAGGACATTTATGACATTGGTCTTGCAGGTGAGTCCGACAAAGGTGTTTGTCGCAGAGAAGACAATCTCCCGCTCTCTGAACAGCTGGTTTTTTGCAGTTGTCCCAATCACATAGCCACAGCGACATTTCGAAAGATTTGTTGAACAAAAGTTGAGGTAAGGGGCCGCGGATGCAAGTTCAGTTTTTTTTAATGCTTCGAAGTGTCTGAATTTCCCCCAATTTTGTTCGAGGATATCTTGAGTTGTAGGGGATCTTTTTAAACCCGACAGTTTGGGTGCACGGCATTGATTGGAGGCGGTGTGGAAATTATTCCAGGCAACAACTGCTACCAAGATGATCGGGCCAAACGAGAAACGCTAGGAGCGTCGGAAAATATCATAAAATAAGACATTAATGCATTCGAGACATTAAAGCTACTATGATTAGATACATATAGTAGTTCATTTATAGTTATTTTAATCCCCCGCGTATCGTGGTGGACATTTACCTGCCCCGACGCCCGGCTACGGGACGAGACTTAAAGCTCCTCTTCATGAGTACAGCCTGCTGCGGTGGTTGCCAAGCAGCACCCGGCTTATTAGTATTAACATCATAGGTAGCATTGCTCGGCGTGACCGTCCATTGGAACGTAGAATTGCCCTGGTGGTAAGTGCTCTTCGGTGTACCTTGAGTAACGTACTCCGCTTGCACGATATCCTTCCCTGTCTTGACGTCGTAGCCTTTTATAACCCTTTCAAACAACTCAAGTGCAGCGAGAGGTTGGTAAAAGGGGACCTCGTGGCCGCTCTCGTAAATTCGCGTAAAGCTGAATTTGCCGGCTTGTTTAACTTGACCGTGGGTTATGTTGTCGCTTGTGATTAAGTCCGTGTAACCCGCATCGGCATATCCCGGCGCGGCAATCTCTTCCACTACGGCTTCTCCACCTAGCCAATTGCAGTTATAGTCGCTGTCTCCCGCATAAATGGCCACGGTAATGTTCTTCGAGATGAGGTAACGAATGGCTTCCACCGTACCCGCCTCTCGGCTATCGTCTCCGGTGTTTTCGAAAGCTTGGCCTACCACGTTGCTGCTAGTGGAAAAATTGGTATAGGCACCGATAGCTTCCTGCAGTTTTGGCGAGTTCAAGTAGTCTAGATAGAATCCGTACGGGAACGGATCCGGAGTCAATTCGCGCGAATCGCTTATTAGATGTTAGTGACTATCATACCTCCCGTAGGATACGTGGGGGGTTGTGGCGGTGGAAATTACTTACTATTCGTCTCGGCCAAGGATGTCATCGTACACAGACTCGACCATGTATGCACAGAAGCTATCAGCATCGTTACAGATCACATTGTCTTGGGTAGCATAGCAGTCTTTAAGTTTGTCGACGCAGTTACCAGGACCATAAACATTGTTGTAGAACATGGATTCGATAGACTCGTTGAAAGGAAACCAGTCATAAGTGTTTCCCGGGAAGACGGTAAAGTTGTAATAAGCCTGGTATTGAAGAAGCGGGTCAAACCACCCGTTGCCTATTAGTACCGACTGAAGCTGGATCTCCTTCGCGCCGGAGATGTTCTTCGCGTTTTGCTCTTCGATGTATTTATTAAAGATGGGACCGTAATGACCACCATAACTCTCAGTTGCGAAATGGAAAGCGTTCCGTGAGTATTGTGGGAAGGCTCCCATGAATCCCTGTAGGGTTCTGTAGAAGTTGGGAGCAGCATTGGCGGTTGAATTTGCCGTTAATGTGATATTAGGATATGAATAAGTTCCGCATGAGCCTTCGGGTGCGTAATCCGGGCATACGCCATCCGCGACAGTCACAATGTGTCCATCATTAGATTGCCATGCATCGACTGGCTTAGAGTAGGAGAATCCCACTTGGGTCGGCTGGTCAATGACTAGGAGATTGCTAACATTGGACCATGAATATTCGTTGCTCAGGACATTTCCGAACGGATCATATCGGCATGGTCCCAACTCCTCCCACAGGCCTATCATTGACGAGCTGCCAGGTCCACCATTGATCCAAACGGTCAAATCAGCCTCTTCGGGGTCCTGATTGCGAGCTTCGAAGAACCAGAAGAAAATATGCTGATCCTCTGCTACATCGACGTATCCCGAGTAGCTCTTGACATCGGGATCTAGCTCGCATATCCCGGTTGGAACCTCCTTGTACCGAACGGGAATATCCAAATGCCCGGTGACTTCTTTAAGCGACGTAGGCGGTGGAACAAACTGGGCAATCCCGTGGCTTGCCGCAGCCACGAGCAGCAGCGATCGTGTAAGCGGAGACGACATCGCGGTGGCAATTGAATTGACGTGTACGTAACGAACGGACGTAAGAGGGAAAAAGAAAAAAAATAAATTGGTGGAATGCAGGCGGCGTGGCGCCTTATAAAAAGATCGTCGACAGCCGTCACTATCACCTTGGGGTCCTTGCGTGGTTGGCATGGATTAATCTTAGCGGACCCAAGATTTTCTCCTGCCTACAATGGCCTGCAACGGAGCAATGCTTGGTAAGGGAGCTGAGGTAATGAGCTGACGCCATTGGCGGTGGAAGTTATCCTATCTGCTGAAGGTCGTGTTCGCTGGGATAGAGCCCGGGATTACGGCATCGCTGTACGGTTGCCTTACCACTCTAGCTGGAATAGGAATCTCATTTTCTTATCTGCAGTGGAATGGTCATACCGTGCGGGGGTTCCGTACATTGCTTTTTGTTGTCATACTACGCTATTTCGTGCTCCGTCTAGGGTTACAGCTCGAGATACGAGTGTTGTTTTCTCCCTGCCGTTCTACTATATCATAAGTTCATGTTATTAAAGTACCAATGCTACTTATAGGATACCAATCCCTTGCCAATTGAACATAATATAGGATTCTAAATGTCTTCCAAAGCTAGTATCTTTGTACTAGAACATAATTCGATGAGGTTACATGACATATAGCTATCTATCCGAGCGTCCTTACGCTAACCTGAAGAGGCTAGTTTATGATGAGTTTAAGTGAGCTCTGGTCCGTCGAATTAATTCCAAAATAAACAACAATTATCAAGAGAATAAAGAAGACAGAGACAAAAACGAAAATGAAGAAGGAGGGAGAAATGTAGCTCTTGAAATCATACGCAGGCATTAATGCTAAACCGGCTACTTAGGCACTTGAGTGACTTAGATCCAGGTTGAAGTCATAACAGAGAAGCCACAACAGAGAAGATCCGAAGACAAACACGCGACCGAGTACGAATTCCACGAAATCACCATCAATTCTAACCCGAAGACACAAATTTATCTACCAACTCCATTATCGTCATCTATAAGTCTAGCCTTTCCTTTTGACAATATAAATCAGATTTCGTTACCAAGTCATCCCAATCCCAAACCCGGGTTTCGTCATTACGTTATTGGCAGGGTACTCCTCCAGTGAGGAAGTCCTAGCAACACCTCTCCACTCTCAGCGGCCTCGACACGTCGTCACATAATCTATATATATATATATCATCGGGGAGAGGTCTCTTTTTTTCTTTTCCTTTCATTCCCCTTTTGTGGCTCTAAAACCCAACAGGATATATATACTAGAGTCCAAGCATACCATTCTTAGGCGCCTTCGTGGGGGGTTGTCGTGTACCTTGGCGGATACCTACCTAAGTAGGTACCTGTCTAGGTACCTAGGTAGGTACTCATCCGGTAATCAATCATAGCATCACGCCTAAGATGCCGACAACCATAGAGCCTCCTAGCAACACCGTGTTCGGTGCGAATATAGACGCGCTATTTTTACCAGAGGTACTAGTCGTTGTTGTCGTCCGAGAAGAGGTTGAAGTTGTCGAATCCTGTGATTCTTGTGTTAGCTAATCTTCATGGGTAGTAATTTTAAGTCGAGATTGAATAGATAAAGACGAGAGGAGAAGAAGAGCATAATGGTCTTACAGAAGTACTTGGATCTCTAGTGATAGTGACGGTGGCCCGCCCCGAATTAGAACGGCTTGAAGCATTAGTCCTAGTCGCACGGCTTGACGCCGTAATCAATCCCCCGGTCGAATCAATTGCGATAGTGCTCACGGTCCCTGATCGGGTTATGGTCAATGTCCTACCACCCGTACCCGAGAAATTGAACGTATTCGCGTTAGCCGTCGAGCCTGCTGTCCTAGTTCGCGTACCTGTGGATGTGAAGGTAGTCGTTACTCCACTTGATGTTCTCGTTATCACAGTCGTGTATGTGGAAGTACCCGCGGCGGAATTGCTTGCTGCAGCTGCTCTTGTGCCGGAAGATGTATTGCTTCCGGTATTGGCTCTCGTCGCTGTTAATGTTGGCCCGGTGCTAGCATTCGTAGCCGCGCGCGACACACTTGGGGTGGATGTCAGGGTGCTTGTCAACGTCGACGTAAGGGTTCTTATCCCAGAACCCGATCCACTAATGGTGCTTGTCCTAGTGCTGGTGATGGTAGATGTAAATGCCGTCACTGTTGGATCTGCAGCGGCCGATACGGTACGTGTGTTTGTACCGGGAGTCGCCAGAACATCTACCCCAGTAGTTGTGAACGTGGACGTAAATGTTGACCCCGAGCTAGTAATCGTACTAATAATAGTGGATGTGTACGTTCTCGATGTTGAGCCTCTCGGTGTACTTGTTCCTGTCGTGGTAAATGTCGACGTGCGCGTGCTTCCTGAAGTTGTATACGTCCTCGTGACAGTAGAAGTATAACGGCCAGTTCCCGATGCCGTCGCTGTCGCCGTCGCGGCTGCAGCGTTAACTCCCGTTGTTGTGAAAGTAGACGTCAACGTGCTTCCCGAAACCGTATACGTTCTTGTGGCCGTAGATGTGTACGTCCCCGTTGGAGGGTCCCCTTGGGCTATCGTCCCTGATCTCGTGAAAGTAGACGTGAAAGTACTACCCGAATTCGTAAACGTTCTCGTAATAGTCGATGGGTCCGCCGTTGTTCTTGTTCCCGTTCTTGTCAAGGTTGAGGTTAACGTGCTACCTGACCTGGTATATGTACTTGTGATGGTCGACGTATATTGACCCGTTGTGGTTACTGTTTGCAAGCCACTTAGAGTACTGGTCCTTGTTCTCGTTGTCGTCCTCGTCGAAGTAGAGGTTAACGTGCTACCCGATCTAGTAAAGGTATTTGTAATAGTCGACGTCAAGGTACTCGTTCTAGTTGACCTAGGTCCTCCGGTTGCTGTGGTGGTGAAGGTGGATGTGAAAGTACTTCCCGACGTCGTATAAGTGGAGGTATAGGTCGTTGTCACTGAAACCAATCCTGTGCTAGTAAGAGTACTACCTGATAGGGTAATGGTAAGAGTAGAAGTACTCGGGATTAGTGATGTGAATGTGCTTGTGTACGTTGAAGTATATGTGCTTCCAATGCCAGTTATGGTACTCGTTAAATAGGAAGTGAAAGAAGTATAGCCAGTAGACAGCTCTGTCGATATAGAACTTAACGTGCTATAACTAAATGTCGAAGAAGAAAAGCTCGAAGAATATGACGTATATGAACTTGAGGGGTATGAACTAGAAGGATATGAACTCGAAGAATACAAACTACTGAAACTCTCAGTGTATGTACTCAACTCCGAACTTGCTATACTAGAAACAAAACTTGAAAAGTAAGATGTGCTAAAAGCACTATTAGATGTCGAGTAAGTGCCTGAAATAGAACTGGGTATACTAGAGGAAGAAAAGATACTAGTGCTTGAATATGAGCTGTAGGCGCTATTAGAAAAGATCGACGAATATGAACTTCCCGTGAACGAAGTCGGGCCCGAATAACTCGAAATTGTATAAGTATTAGTTGTCCACGTTGCGGTGGCTGAGGAGGGGCTCATGTCAGTGTTAGTAAGACTTGAAGAGTACGGAGTCGTACCAGTACTAGTGATTACTGACCCGTGTGTATTCGAGGATCCACCGTTTCCGCCGTAGCCGAAACCTGAGGAGTCCGAAGGCACGTTTGTTCCCTGATATCCATTGCCTCTAGTGCTGTATGGACCATTACCTGTCTGCATAGCCGTGTTAGGGGGTGTCGACGTTAACACTAAGATACGGGTATGTGTAGGAAATTATCATATTAGGAGGTGGCAATGCAGGACGCAGCACAGGGCAGACTTACAGTAGCTGTCCAAGTATATGAACTGTATCCACTGGTGTATGTGCTGTACTGGATATCATAGTTAGATGTAAATAGTCCCTGTAAATGACTTGGCGACTCTGTAGAATGAATTATAGGCAGTGGTAATTGTATTGGCGATTAGAAGGCTTACGTATTCAGATACCCAAGATGTGCTTATAACTGTTTTAACAACTGTGTTTGTGACGACCTGTAATTGCGTTGGATGTTAGGATGGATTGGTGGATATGTGCCGTGGTTTCAAGGGTGGCAAAGTCTATGTTCATAAGGTTGAAGGCATGATTGTAGTAATTCGAGAGGAGGCACTGGGTTTGGAATGCTTACCACGGTCGTAAAAGCTGTCATTGTTGATGATGTCCATGTGCTCGTTGTGTAGGTGCTTAGTGACGACGGAATGGCTTGAACATCCTAATATATATATGGGGTCAGTAAAAATATATCATGGATTAAGTCAATGCCATACCGAAGTATTACTAGGTACCGTATTTCATATCGGAGAAAGAATGTTGGATGTAGGCTCACTTACAATACAATTGGCGAATCCGAAGGCTGCATATCCGTGATTAAGGAAACTGGCTATACCGGAATCGAAGGAATGCAAAGAATTGAACCCATTTTTACCTCCGTGGAAAGATCTGCCATGACCTACTTGATTCTTTATGCCATCAAACATGATACGAGTCGAACCCCGTATATGGTTGATAGCTCCTTGTATAGCGCGGCATCCACAAAGCCTAGCTATCGTATCCCGCCTCGCTACTAATTGCGTGACGAGTGTACCAATTGATTGGTGGAATGGTTGGATGGCTAATTTGAGGGAATGTATATCCCCATCGTTGAAGGATCCAGCCGCAGCAATTCTATTAGAGGTTGCCCGGATCGTGGATGTTAATGATTGTAATGTTGAGTCGAGATGGTCAATGTTGCCGCCAGCCCTTATGCTTCGTATAGCGAGGTTCACCCCATGAACCTGTTGATCTACCGAGTTGATAGCATTCACAATGGAGTTGATTCCATGTGAGCCTTGGACATTTCCCTGCCCTTGACCATGAGAAGCTATAGACCCATAGCCGGCGTTACCACCATGTCCATTGTTATTCACGTTTTTGTTCGCTGGAGACCCATTTCCATGAGCGCCGGCATTCCCGTTATGGTTGGAGCCGCCGAAGGCATGGCCTTTATTTCCACCAGCACCAACCCCATTGACTCCTCCTGGACGGCCTGCGAGCACGACTGCTATACGAATAGCGATAGGAATTAGGTAGAGGCTACGAAAGAATTTCATGATGGTTATCTTCCGAAGCGGGAGCCGCGAAGGGAATTATGAAAAGGAGAGTTGGGTTATTGCTGATCCTGACATGAGGCCTTGTAGTTAAGCCATGAAAAAAAAATAGAGAGCTTTGAAGATTAGCCAGAAAAATGGCATAAGTACGCGCATTGCGGTGACCTTACAGTTCTTAAGACACCTAGACGGGCCAACAAGGCAGCACATCTTGCTGATCAATATGGCGAATGCCATTATTGACTCGACCGACGAGGCCCATGAAACACGATCATGAATGTAAAAGGGGTACTGAATGGGCTGCATGAAAGGGGCTTCATAGGACTTGGTTATAAAGGGGGTAGGGAGAACACAAGAACACATGCCCCAGTAATAAAATTGAATAAGGTCCTCGTGATTTATGAATTGGTTCTGGCAATACATATAATGATCATACTCGGATGATGTCTGGTTTACTTAGCCGAAGCGTAGATTTCCCATGTGTACCATCATTCGAAGATCTAGAAAAGGCCAAAGCGCCGAATCAATAGGAACTAGTGATTGGTTCTAAGTAGTAGGCACTCATAGGAATATAGTTCGCGCTTTTATCTTTCTCTAAGAATGTTTATGATGTTTGTGGTGTTTCAGGCTGAGCTTGCTGGTCGTGGGAGGGTCGAATAGGGGTAGAGATCAACTGAGCCGTACTAGCAACCATCATATATAATTCATTTAGTCTTAAACTTACGACGTTTTTCATGAGCAAAATTATCCTGATCCGGTATATTTACGTACGTCTCAAGTAATTTTAAGCCAATTTGTCCGGATCTTGATGAAATACACTAGGAAAAGGTTAAGGGGAGAAGGACACCACCAAAATCGTCATATCGGCAGTGAATTGGTGTCGAATATCGGCGAGGCGGCAAGAAAGCTCCCGCATACCGCACAAATCATCCGAGGGGGTTGATTTCTGAAGGGACTGCGATGAATAGTAGCGTTCGGCTTAATTATCTCCTCTCCTTTACCTTTATTACGCTTCCGTATCCTCTCGCGCACCCTCGCGACGAACGGCCGCCAATTTTGAGTTATCCTATTTAATACTATCCATAGTCGCCTTATATCGCTCATCATATTTTGGATACGATCACTATCAAATCTACTCACTGTCGGAATTGACATCGTCGAATTAGTCATCGTTATAGAGGTACCTTATCAGTTTGACTTACATGTAACAATTAAAATACTACCAACACTGAGTCTGTGTCATAGATATATACTAAAGGGCATGTGGGACCGATCAACCCCCGACTTCCTGTCGCTACATCAATCTCAGCAAGATTCTTAGCCCACTGTTGTCGATTTCTTTATTTCGGGCACGTCGCATCTGCCCAGGCAGTTTCGCCTATATTTTTTTGGACGCCCAGTAAACGAGTGTGCAAGAGCCTCCACTTAGATATATCTATTGAGCCGGTTAATGAAACCCTATTAATCTCTATTTCTCTGATATATGACAGATAACCGATCCGTACCTTGATTATATATATTGGGCTCTTGGCAGATACGAGACTTGGCGATACGGGCCGCTATACCAACTCTGATAGGAGGTAGATATAAATTACTGATTGGGGAAGGCTACAAGGATCATACCCAGCCCGCTTCTGGAAGGTCGATTCACACATACATCACGAAGTGCCGGCAGTATGCGGTTAGCTGTACTATAGATAATATAATTGAATAGATTTCTGAATGGGTGGTGTTCACAAAGACGAGCGGGTCTCACCTTTTGCTTCCCACCATCATCAGCACCATGAACACCCTTAAGAGCCTCCTACTTGGAGCCGCAATAATTGGCACTGTTCTTGGACAATACTGCGAACACCAATGGGAAGGTAAATTTGCAGACTATAAAGTGGATGGTGTTCCGTATCTTCGAGCGGTGCAGAATGTTACTCCGCCCCCTCTAGAAATTCAACCGCTCATTGTAAATGGGCCGTCAAGTAATCGCGTCGACTTAATTTTCTTCGGTGATGGATGTACGTATATAATAATACCTCCAGAGATTTGGAAAACTCATCTTAACTTACTTGTGATAGATACCGAGGATGAGAAAGACAAATTCTTTGCCGATGCCTTGTCTATCGCGAAGAACCTTACGGATGGCCAGACATTCTTTGATGTACTCCCCGTACTGAACTTCTGGGCCGGATTTTCACCAAGTGCCGAGGTAGGCAAAGCAATGCCCGGAGTGTACAAATGACATCAATTGTACCCTCACTGACTTTTCGAAGAGTGGCGTTGGTACTGGCGGAAAACCCCTAGAGTAAGCCCCCTGATCCCCCCGATAACGCTGAGATGCTAAAAAATCATGCCAATAGCACGGTATATGGTCTCTATCGCGATGGTACAGAATTGAGAGGAGTTTACTATGACAAACCAGAGGTAGCGCGCGCCGCATGCCAATCAACCGACGCCTGCGATTATCCGATTTTGTTAGGGAACGATCCCCTATATGGAGGACTAGGGGGCACATTCACGTAATCCGCGATACCGAATCCCACTAGGCCTTTACTAATGATTATAGCGTCGTAACCGCATCTCCTATCAACGGACCCGCCATCGTCCGCCACGAGCTCGGCCACTCCATCATCGGCGTGGGCGAGGAATACGACGGTGGACAGGCCTACGAAGGCGTCAACGCGGCGAAGACCGTAAACTCGGTGCCTTGGACCCAATGGTACACCAACGCGTCCTCAGAGCCGAAGATCCAGCGGTCTAATATGCCGATACAAGCTTACCCCTGGACGTTGCTGAACACAACTAAAAGTTGGAGTCAGGGTTTCACTTCGGCTGGTTCGTATTCCTCGCATCTACTTCAAGTTAGTGTAAGTGGCATGACCGCGAGCGAAGACATACGGGTAGATATCGATGGTGACGACGCTGGTTGGAAGATAAATCCCGAGGTTGGAGTTGATCGGTATATTTATAACATACCACTTGATGGAGCACTGGCTCCAGGGGCGCATAATGTGTCAGTCTCGCTGTTGAATAAGGATATTGAGGGAACCGCGCAGCTGTGCAGTCTTGAAGTGTTGGAATATGGGGGCGAGTAAGTGATTCCTCCACCTCCTTCGGAACTCGTTGATTCTCACATTTTTGCCTAGGTTTGAATTTGATCTGGAATATTATGGATTATACCCCACGTAAGGATAGATCCACGCTACCCCCTATTTTGCTGTTACTGACATCCTGCAGATTCTCAGATACTAACAAAACCACCTACCGCCCCACCAACGACCTCTGCCTAATGCGCAATACGTACTCCGCCAACTTCTGTAGCGCTTGTATGGAAGGTCTCTGGCTATCTCTTCTCGGCAAGCTCTCCCTGGTCGACAATGTCACACAAGTCGCTCAACCAGATGGGTCCACGAACGCCACTCTTAACTTACTTCCTCTTGCGGAGCTCAGACAAGTGCCTAACCCACATCAGGAAGCGTATTCGATTCTTTGGTATGGCGCTGATGAGAACACGCCGTTGGGAGAATACACCAATAGCTCTAGTGCGCTTATCGAATCGGGTGTTGCGGAGTTTGGGGTGGAGGTTCGGTTTTGGACGGAGCAGATCAAAGTCGACAAGGCTGGTGTATTGGTGAAAAAGGAGAGGTTTACGGTGGAGTAGTCGGATCAGCTTAGGGGAATATTTTCAACGGTAGGGAGAGAAGACGTGAGGAGTAGTGAGTTAATCGATTCGCATAACAAAGACTAATTCACAATATTGTATGCTGTCTTTAAACTAGATATATGTTGAATTTCTCAGCTGCAGGCAAGTGTAAGGTGATGAGCTCATATCTTACCTGGTATTGTTCACGATGCCTGCGCATGATGTAGATATCAGGTACCTAAACGCGTTGGAACAATTAAATCGGGGATATTCATCCATTAATGATCTCTTAACCATCATATCATACCAATTACATCTGTGAAAATGCTGCCCTATGCACCAGCGATTGCTCGCGACCCTGAACCGATGTATTGGCAACCAACGCCCTTCCCATGCCGACCATGCCCGGTATTGTAAACAATAGTACACAAAAGAAAACCCCCAACTGTCACTAGATGTAGTTAGTACAATGACTCTATGTGTATAGATGACAAATGGTTTCGTACCTTAACGAGAGTCATGTTCATAACTCCCTCATTCCATTTCCTCCTCACCCATCCACGGTTGATCCCATCCATGAGCTTAATGTGGTCATAGCGACATGTTCCTGACCTAGCCCGTGAGCCGTCGCGTAACGAAGACCGCACGCCTCCGTCCCACCCCGCCACGTATTGTGCACCATAGGTAGTCCGGTAAATACCCCCAAACAAAAGAAATGGCAGAAATGAATGTTTTCGCGGTCGGAATATTTTGTGAAATCCGGTGAGTTGAGTATTTCCATGATTAAGCGTATAAATACTGTGAATTATTCCATAAGAATAAGCAACCGTAATGATCCCATCAACCCTTAAGCGAGCGCAACCCTTCGCGCAATCGGTCCCAATTGCGATAACCCGCGCCGTCGCGTATTTTGCACGGCCCCGGTTCGAAATACGAAAGTAGAATCTCGTTTCCTCTGTTTCGCACGCGCGGCGTCTTCCGAGGGGGTAACATCGTCATTAGCCATCTCCAAGAGGTCAAGGTACGATCGCTTGAGTCCGGCTAATTCAACCGGTTGGTACGGCTTGTTCCCACAGGGATACACTGGAGTCCAAGGTATCGGGGATGCGGTGGTGGGTGTGGAAATGTGAAGGCCTTGACCGACGGCCATGTTTTTGGGTGGTATGATTGCCGGCGCCGATGTCCCATCGTCCTCTTCCCCGTCGAAATAATTGCTATTGGTCTGCGGGCACGGCTTAGTCTCCGACGACGAATTAATACTATCCTTCGGAGGACTCGTCTCTCGCAATTTCGGAAACTCGGCATCGATCAAATCGTCAATGAAATCATAATCATCGCCTTCACAGTTGGTAGAAGTGTTCCTCGGTGCGCACGGAATATCCATATCATCCCACTCCGAATCTGTACCCAAGCTATTCCGCCTATCACCATTCCCATTCCCGCCAGTCTCGTCCTCATAATCCGAAACCGCCGTAATGGATCCCGGCTTACAACACCCACTCTCCGCAAACGCAGTCCAAGCGCCATTCATCCACTCAAAAAGCCGTCGTGAGCAATACGCCTTCCTATCATTCGATCTGCCCACGCCGTCGTTTCGTCCACCTCCGTTTTTTGTGCTGCGGATAGCTTGTTCCTCCAACTCGGCATCATAAAAGAAAGCGTAGTTGCCGTCAACGCTAGACCAAGTCAGGGTTCGTGGGTGTTGTAGACATTGCATATCCAACCGATTCGCCGCTTCCGCCGCCGGGTATAATCGCAACCAATTAAATAGACAATCCTGGCAAGGTTTCCATACAGGCCAGGCGATCCCTCTCTTCTTAAATCCGCTGGCGCGACGGCCTAGACGCGCGCTCTTAGCGGCGAACTGGGGTGTGTCGCAGCGGCATAAGTGTGACGTGCTGCATTTTCTCTTATCGCATGGCGGTGCTGCGATTTGTAGCGCACGGGTTTGATATATGATGTAGATGCCTTCATCGGGAAGGTCTGGGCTGGTTGCGGCGTAGCGACTGCTACTACCTGCGATGATGGAGCTGCGCAGTTGGTTGTTGACGTCGTAGGAAACGGCTACAATGGTGGCGGGACGCGAGGGTATCGCTTTGCAGGCGACGACGCTGTGTCGAGAAGTCATGATGAATCAAATAAATGTGAGTGTGAGATTCGTGAAATTTGATGTTTACGTTCGGTTCGCGGAATGATGGGTGTGAGAAATCCGTTGTAATAATCTGGGTGGTGGCAAATCACCTTGTGGAAGGCGATTCCGTGAAGATGAGGAATCAAGGATAATCAAAAGTCAGGCAAGAATGATCGAAATATGAGGATTCGATGTATTCGGGTTTTTTCTCTTGAGGTGGATTTCGTTTTATCGATTGTTTGTTCTGTTGAATGGATGGTTCCACGCCAACTCTAGAATTGCTCTGCGAGTCGCAGAAACCGTCGAATCAGATAGCGGAAAAAAGCTGAAAGAGTGAGAAAGTATTCGACTGGTGGAAATCAGATGATTAGTTTACTCCTAAGTCGATTGGGAGTGAGTTGGAATTGTAAGGTGAGAAGTAGAAAGGGTCTCCATAATAAAATGGTTGTTGCGAGTAGACACTGTGAAAGATGTCTTTGGACGGTGAAATGTATAGGTAGTGCTCGGCGTAGAAACCGTACACCAAAGCGGCTTGGTTCCCTAGACAAAAGGCCACTTCATCAAGCCAAATATTCAAGTCACTAGAAGTAAGTAGTCGTGTAGACAACTCTAGATCTTTGAACAATGACGTAGAAAGATGATTGATGCCGCTTAGAATTGTCTAGCCTCACCTTGCCGTATCAGTTTCCTGATTATTCTTGAATGCTTGATCGATTTCCCAAACTTACAGAATTAAATGTTTGCCTATATATCCGGGGCGGCTTTGAGTCAGCTCAATATTCGACTCTTTGAATCTGTCTTTGTTGTAAGAAAGACCCGTGGTTTTGACACCCAATATCGAAGGCGAATAATGAGCTATCGAGCTCCTTGATGCTATACGGCGTACGATCCAGAAACAACTTCAGCAGCTGGAAACCGTTTGCGAGGGCATTCCAGTAGTAGAGGTTATCTTATACGACTTTCCCTTCCACCCTCGTCGTGTGATTGTCGAGGCTACCTTATCATCAATTAATGAGGTGTCGAATAACTGCTCCGGGAAGGAAATGTCGGGTGACACGAACCGGGGAAGATTATTGATTGCCCTGTTCAATATCCAGGTCTCTCCAACGTGGGGGGAGACGGTACCGAGAGCTGAACCTCCAAGAGTAAAGATATGAAGAGCTGATGAGGCGTCGCGAAATGAAATAATAACCTAACAATGAACTGGACTATGACTACTCGGACGTACCACTTACAATATGGTCAGATCTAGATAATAAGATAGGTTGGAGTCATATGTAGGTACTTACAACTGCGGCAGTAACCGATCTAAGACCCCAAAAGTTCCTCCAATGACTTGTTGATGTACGGTGGGATGATTCCTAAATGATGAACTTGCAGGCTTGTGAGATGCTAAAACAATCAAAAGTGGCAAACCTGAATCTGCTCAACAAGACATTTCCAAGGATTCAGCATGGGGGAAATACGATAAGCAGACCTGTCAAACGACAAATTCGATATTTTTTTTCACAGCCATTAGAACACAGCCCAATGTACAACACCACGAATTCGGGCAAAATTCCCATACAACAAATCGGTTATCATGAAGGACACTGCCCTCTACACGTGTCATGGTGTAACACGTACCCCCCCGAACCATGACACGAGGTTGTGATTGGCTGCGTCCTTCGGCTTAGGTAAATGGCGTGGGAGGTCATCGGTCAGAGTACCTGGATTTAGGTCATAATATACGTGTTCATCGCAGAAGGCGTGTTTGTATTCCCTAGCACGAAATACATGCTAGCTCGAAGATCCCGTCCGTAGACCATAAGAGCGCAAAACCCTTCCAATGCATGCCGAAAACGAGAAACCGGATCCCATTCCATAAAGTCACACCCTCCTTAGTCGCCATCAACTTTTTAAATTTCCGTGGTAACCTTGGCCTTGGGGTTGGTGACCTTAACACCTAGTTGCTTCGCGCGCGCGATGATGTCGATTCGCTTTCGTGACGAGACGGAGTGGGCGATCCTATAGATATTGTTAGTTTCCATTGGAAGATATAAAATTTGGGAACGTACTCTGCGGCGTAGGTTCGGTTGTGCATCAATAGTAGCTCAACATCATTGGTGTTGTTGACGAGGAAGGCCTTGTGGCCGGAAGGGGTTAGGTGACGAGTCTTCTTGTTGGAACCGAAGCCGATCTATATCGCGATAATTTGCATGAGTAAATATTATTCCACCCCGAATTCAAAATATTCCCATCGTGGATATTCGTGGGATAATAGGCGTAACGTACCGAGGGCATGGTCATGTTGCCTCTGAATCGTCGTCGGACACGGTTGTCAATACCCTTAGGCTTTCGCCAGCTGGAGGCAAGGCATTTGAACCGATCGCTCTGGTGGCGGTTGAAGCTCTTGGTTCCTATAAATCCAATCCGTCAATATGTTATCCTTATATTTTTGTTTCCATAATTCATCATCGAGTATTTTTCTCCATCCTCATAATGTTTTGTTCAGATCGGGGAATGACGGGGTCGAACATACGCTTCTTAACGATCGGGACGTGCTTCTTTGCGGCAACCATCTTAAAAATATATTGTCAGTATAAATAATTCCTTGCGACAAGTAATTTAGCAATAATAGAATGGGTAAGTATTTACCTTGACTGATTTCCTACCTGGTGTCTTGATGGAGGTGGTTGTTGTGATTTGATCGTTTCTCTACCGCAAAAAAATCAATTCGGGGAGGGTACGTAGAGAGTTGGACCACAACCGAAACTTTTCCCAATGGGCCACAATCTGATTTTTGCACTAAGGGTTTTCGTTAGGGTTAGTGAAATTAATCACGTGTGGGGAGAATTGAAAGAAGGTGCAACTTTAGGTGGGGTATATATGGTGGGTCATTTAACAACAAGCCACATTCAGCCACCAGCTGTATATCGGTACGTACCTATCTTGACTCTGAGAATCCGGTAGGATAATGATGAGTATCACTTATATGAATGGTTGGAATGAGGAAAAGAGCTCATTAATGAACTATTGCCAGGATCTGCCACTGGAAACTTATTTAGAAGTTAGAACGCATCAAAGAATTGCGACGGGCTTCCATAAGCTTGTCATTATGTAGGGCTTCAGCGATAGACGATACATCATAACCTACCTGAGTACGACATATCACTTGATTTTTTCACATTTCAACTGAATATGGTATCATGGCCTATGCTTTCAACCTCACTTTGGTTAGATCATCATTGTATCTTGGGATAATACTTCCTATATTGCTAGGCCTGCTAATTCTCACGCATATAGCGTCTTCCCGAAAAGAATTGGGAGATGATCTATATGAATTACTAATCCCGTCTAATCGGAACCATCATAGAAATATAGGAATGGAGATCTATCCATAAATCTCCTTCCGCAGGGAAAGTCTTGCTAGTATTTTTTTCCCGCGGATACCACCATTTATCCTGTTTTCACCACCCATCACCCCTTATGTAGGGCTAAGTGAACCGAGTTATAAGGGAGTTATCCGTACTCCTATCGCGAATATGGATTGGCTTCATGCGTTTACAATCTGCCAAATAAACCAATCCTCATGTCTCGTAATTCATTACTGCTGTGCGCATTGAGGCTGTCCACCTTCGTCGTCATCATCCTCCCAGCCATCTCCGAATCGTGGATCACCCGAGTTTGCACCCATCTATTATAGCATTAGTATTGTCTGTTTTCTTAATATGAATGGTAGAACATACCTCATCAATATCAGCATCGTCATCGTAAGCGACATCGTCAATCTCTTCGGCCTTGATCTCCGGAGGCGGGCCTGGCAGAAGCTTCTGAAGGGATTCGTAGGCCGCATCATCCTTAAGCCATCCATCCTCAGGGAACTCTACCTTGACAACAAGGTAGAGGTCACCATTGGCATCTCCTCGTTTTTGGGGCATACCTTCTCCCTCTACTTTAAGTACCTGTCCGGGGTGTAGTACCTTACCCCGCGGGTGGGTGATCTGAATGCCTCGGCCATCAAGATGCTGAAGAACAACACGGGAAAAGCCGCAAAGAGCCTCGCTAATAGTGATGTCCAAGTCGGCGGAAAGGTCGTTTCCGATCCGGTTGAATACATCATGAGGCTCTTCGTCGAGGACGAAAACGAGGTTACCCGGTGTTTGGTCGGGGTGTTGGTCTGCTTCACCCTCTAGCACGATCCGTTCTCCCTGGCGTGAACCGCGGGGAATGTAGATTTCAAGCGGCTTTGTCTCCAGGACAGTGCGCTTGCCCTTACACTTCTTGCATCGGTCCTTCTCCTTAAAGTAATTTCCGGAACCCGAACACCTATCGCATACGGCCGATTCGCGAGTGACCAGGCCAGGTCCGACTTGTCGGAAGGCTTCTACAACACCGTGACCCTTGCAGCGGTCGCATTGCTGGGGCTTTACCTTATCCTTTCCACCGGATCCCTTACAAGTCGCGCAGACAACGTTTTTGTTGGCGGCGAACTTAACTGTCTTGCCCTTGTAGAGATCCTCTAAGGTGACGGTGTACTTGGATTCTTCATCAGGACCGCGTCTGGGCCTCCTGGGACCAGCTCCAGGACCACCCATGCCGCCACCCATGCCCATACCGAACATTTGTGCTAGGATGTCATTGATATCCACCTCTTCGCCCATACCTCCTCCTCGGGAGGGGTCGAATGCGGCCATGCCATGCTTATCGTAGAGAGCACGCTTGTCTTCGTCTCGGAGGATCTCGTAGGCTTGCGTTACAGACTTGAACTTGACTTCCGACTCTGCTCGTTGTTCTTCGGGGACCTTGTCGGGATGATGTTGAAGAGCAAGCTATTATGAGGCAATTCGGTTAGTCAGGTTTCTAGGTATATCCTATGAGGGAGTGTAGAATTTGCTTACTTTTCGGTATGCCTTCTTTATGTCGTTTGGACTCGCGTCTTTCTCGACGCCAAGGAGTTCTAAAAAAGTTGAATTAGCGATACAAGTACTATATTATTAAGAGGCTACGATTGATGCGGGTAAGTTGCTTACCATAAAGGTCGACATCGTCGCTAGCAGCACCCGGTCCAGGAGTTGCCATGGTAGGATTAGGAATTATCGTGTCGAGATGAGGAAGAAGTGATGTTTCTTTTGCAAAGATTATGCTGTAGAGACTAAGCGCATGTGGATTTCCAGTGTAGAAAATATTTGGCGGGGCAGTATTTTGTCTGTCCCTCCTCTTAGTACGTGGGTATGTATCAACCCGATGATTGATATACTAGTCACCACTGCAGATCAAAGTAAACAATTCCCTTTTATATTCTTGTATCTTTCAAAGGGAATTTGTTTAATTTTGTTTTAGTTTGGAAGTAAAAAAGTAAGTTCAAATGGTTTGAAGAAACTTTGCAAGGCTGAGTCTTGTAGCATAACAATTGATGGATTATTACCTAGGTACCTTCAGCTGCTACTTACACACCCTATAAGGCACTACGTAATTGGGGGAGTGTCTATAAACGTTACACACGTACATACCAGTCCTTTTATGCAAAGTTTTACTTGGGTGTATATGGTTATGCTTTATTCCATCTATTTATTTATTTTTTCTCTTTTTTAAAATCTAAAAGAATTTAACCTAAAATGATTTTATTCTACGCAAATAATGCTAATACTGTACCTGTATTAAAGATGTGTTTTACTCATCTGACAAATACAATTGCCAAGAGAATAGGGTCCTACATACAAACTTCAATGGTCTTGTTGCGGCGCTAAACGTGTTCCGGCGAATCGGAATTAGTTAATAAAGTTCCCAGCGCAGTACGCATCCTACGCCCTGACGTCGTCCTAGCAAATAGGCCCAACCTTAAGATCCATTGATGCCGAAGGGTCCTTTCCATGAATGGAGAAGGTTTCACTTCAAGATAAGCTTGATAAGAGGAACCGGGCTACCGGATTGCTCGCCGATATAAGTGGGTACTTACTAATCTATCCAATTAGCCACACAGCCACATTCTAATTCTATTCTCTCTCATCAATGAGAAAGGGGCTGTTCTCTCCTTCGTTACATCCCATCATCACCACAAATAATCATCAACTCGGATTTAATCAACACATGCGATTATATCCCTCATACTTATTTCACCCTTTTTCGTTATCTTAGGACTCAAGTGCACGGCTAGGTCGCTATTGGAATGCTTCGGTTAGCATCGGGGAGCACGTTTGTCACGGGTATCCAGAACCCAAGCAGATCGGTACGGCTCTTGTAGTTTCTGAGGATGTCATAAATCGCGCCAACATAGTACATATACCGGCCTCTTCCGCCACACCACTTATTATTATTGCTCGTCTGAGTCTCAACGAAGCCCTAAGACCCGGCGTCGCAATAACCCAATGTATCACAAGGGGTCTTGGTGGCCGTAACGTTCGAGAGGTATTATGACAATCTAGTCTTCTGGTCTTCTAAATTGCTCCGTAAGATTCTAAAACTGGCACATCTGTCAACACCCCCGATCCCCTTTTTCCTCGGTAAGTCGCCTCAAGAATACCTGGGTGTAGGCGTGAGTTCCCGACCATTCTATGACAGCATACCATGTGAGTTCACGGACCGAGGATGGGAGAGAGGATGACAGCTTACTGTAGGCTCATTGGTACCCGGAACGGATTTTGCTGCAGTCAAAAATAACGCTGTTGAGATTCTGTCAGTTCAAACAGAATGGCCTGTTATCAGACACGCTAGCGAACGCCACTGACGCATTGTGTATCCAAAAGTCGTCATTGCTTTGGCAGGGCTCTCTGCGTTATTCTTAAGGACTTGCAACCGTTGGATAGCATGAAAAACCTCTGCTGAGTAAGTTCCATGAAGAAACTTATGCACTCCATCGTGATAATGTTCCCAGCGATGAATCAAGCTGAGCTGCCAGTCACCCATGGGCTCGAGCCTATCGTTCTCCCCGAAATACGCGAGATCGGGAGGTGTGTATCTCATCTAAATCGACGTTCGTGTTAAGGAATCCCGACGCTCTGGTACGCCCTGCGCTCGAGAAGAACGCTGCGCTTTGAATCATCCTCGCCCCTTTCTTTTTACACCTTCAACATATACGGAGGCACGGGGACGGGGCTAGCTGAGAACCCCATGATTACGTCGTACGGACCTCCGTGGCGTCGTAACTATTTGGGTCATTTGGTGCTCGTTAGCGCTCCGACAAGATCTCGTGGTGATAAACCGCGAAGGATTCTGTGGAAGATGAGATGATATCTAAGTTAACTAGAATACTCTAGCGAACATATCTTTCTGACGAGATGAGGCCTAAACAGCATATCCGGCGACATCATTGCCAGGCATACCGCTTGTATGGATCCGAATTCATATCGGCCTTCGCGGCCACACCGTAATGCCGTCGCTCCGATGTAAGCCACATGACAAGTTCAATTGCAGTACTCGGACTCGCCAGTGTGCAGCTGCATACTCCGATGATCGTATACCAGGGCAGCTGGATTCGTCCAAAAGGAACTACTACATTCACTGCCGTCTAAGCGGCGAAACTTTCTTATGTGAGTATATTGTGATACTCTAATAAGAAATATAGTGGAATGAAGTCCTATTACCGCTCCGACTTGGCTTTCAGATCCACATATAAGTAGTCAGAATACGGCAGGGGGCGGAAATTATTGTCTCATATCGTACTGTATGCATTCCGAAGTACAGTAATGGCAAGGTACCATCGACTCCCGGAGCTGCATGGTTTTGGGTAACACATGGGAGCCGGGCTTAACCGGATACCTATATCATGGCGCAATTTACCCACGAAGACTCCGGAATTAATCAGCGACCTTAATACATTATATTTGCCTTCAGCTCGCTTCATTGGCATGTGAAATTGATACCCACGCTCCCATCCTGTATATTGCATCATTTTACATAAATACCCAAATATCCCCTTAGCTTGCTATTGAGAAAATGCCAGAGTAGGCTTTTACAATTCTGCTCTATTATACAGCTCCTAAATACGGATTCTAGCGGATCACTGGGCCTTATCTTCCAATATGTCAAACATGGTGGCAGGGCACGAGAATGGTAGCGACAATACCAACCCCGTCCCTTTGATCTACTTCATCGATATTGGACTGTCTGCGAAAGACTTCATGGATATCTTCATCTCCGGTCGGATTCTAGTCGGAACAGAAAACGAAACACCAATTCGTGAGCTAGTCACGGGTCAAACGCTACCCGATAGTCTCGAAATATTCCAAGGCAGGATCTATTGGACGAACATGGGTTGCTCGGATACTCATGATGGCTCTCTGTATAGTTGCGACATGGACGGAAAAGACATCAAAGTCGTGCTGCCGAAGGGCACAGTCCATACGGCCAAGCAGCTAGTCATTGAGCCCCTCAGTTCCAAAATATACCTTGCAGATCGCGAAGGAATGCGCGTGCTGAGATGCAACTTGGACGGGTCCGAACTCGAGGTACTGATCAAGGCAGGGGATTTAGATAAGGACGAGGATGCGTCAGATCGGAGATGGTGTGTCGGAGTCGCCGTCTGCCCCACGGAAGGGAAATTCTATTGGACTCAAAAAGGGCCCCCTAAAGGCTACGCTGGGCGGGTATTTCGAGCCAACATAGAATTACCTGCGGGAGAAACAGCTGAGAACCGAAGCGACATCGAATGCGTTTTAAATAATCTGCCCGAGCCCATTGACCTTACTATCGCAGAGATAGGAGACTACCAGTATCTATACTGGACGGATCGTGGAGAGCTACCGTTAGGAAACAGCGTCAACCGGGCCCGTCTCGATAAGTTGGCGCCGATTCAGGATAGTACCGTAAGAAGTTTTCCTAGGAAGGATTATGAGCTTCTCGTCAGGGACCTCCACGACACAATTGGTATCAAGGTGGATCTCAAGGCCGGTCACATATATGTGACGGATCTCGGTGGGGCGTTGTATCGGTTCGATTTGGATGGAGGCAACAAGAAATCGTTTTATCTTGGTCATGGAGCATACTCCGGGATCACTATTTTATACCCTTGAATACACGAATCGGCACACGACCTCGATACTACGGTCATCTTACAGTGAGTGAAGTCTCGTCAAGATACTTAAGTACTTAGGAGGTACCTAACCGCGATGGTAACGTCGATCACTAGAGCATAGTGAGACTGTACCTCAGTGTTATTTGCTTGGCATATATAAATTAAGACACCACTGTCCAAGTTGGAACGTATTGGTTAGTCCGATGTGTCTCCAGCGCTGAAGTCTACCTAGGTACGACGTAATCGTCGTGGGTGTTAATATCGTCGGCATTAGTTGTGCGTCTCCAAGCACGGACGGAACTACCCACATCACCCCCACGATCTTCTATGAGATCTGTGAAACTAGGAGTTTTTTTTCTCCTTCAGTACCCAAGTCCTTGCTGCGATTCTAGCCCCACCCTACCTGCTTCTCGCTCACATAGCACCTATGGCACCCCTATAATAACATCGGATTTAACGGAAGTTATATCAAAATCCCTACCTATATTCAATTTCACCACCGAGTGAATCAACTCAATTGTTTCTCCACGTCCCACAATCAACTTGGATAGGGACGGAACTTCGAGGCCCAATTCCTAGTTCTTACGATCATTAGTCAAACATACTCAACCTTAACAGATTCAGAGGAGACGTTGATCAGTCTCCGAATTTGACCAAAACGGCACATATGCAGAGGCAAACGGATCGCGGTCACTGGCGCCGCGACCGAGTTTTCTCTCTTCCCAGCACCTCCGGACGAATAATACTCCTGGAAAGAAGCCTATCGTAAATTTCCTTAGCAATCGCTGCCACCCAGCTACTACCATGGGTTATGATTACATACCTCCTCAAACGCTGGCTGCGGGACAAACTTATTAACCAATCCTGGGTGCCCACAATGACTTGCCCAGCTCCTCAATGTGATGACTGACTAGATACAACATAAACTAGAAAGTACCTGATGTCTTAGCCCAGGTGTTGAAGGTGTGTTACACGGTGGTGGGCTTGGATGGGGGTCACATCTAGGTGTACACAGCGTTGTTTAAACTAGCAGTGGCCTGATTACTCTATGCTCCTATGTAGATCTCTCCCTGCGACTTCTCCATGCCATCTCATTAGAAGAACTGTGTGCTTTTATACTACACAAGGCTTTGACGCCGGACGCCATATCCCATCCCACCATGATGCCAACCCCACCCAAATACGACTTTGTGGATGTGAGTTGCTACGGCGGGAAGGAGCCGAAGTGGGTACTCGGGCATCTCGGGTATCTACCAACCCATGAATGGTATCTTATAGTGGGCTCGATGTCTCTTAAGCAGCCATCCACGTTGACTGGGACCTATACGTGTACCGGCCGCTCCATCGCTAATTATACCTAGGTACCCGTCTAATCCGCCGACCAAACCTCTACATCAACAAGCCTTTCAATCAGTATAAAACTACAACTTCCGAAACTACCTAATAAAGATACCCAGATAGCCTTATAAAAATTGTAAATAATAAACATTAACACAAATCTACTCGAGTAAGTAACATTAACTAGAGTAATAATATCTGCGTGGTGTGTAAGCGTATATTTAACGTAACGTCAGGTAGTGATATTTATAGAGCAACTTCAGCAGGGTTAACTTGCATCGTAGTACCGTACCTTGGGACACAGCTACTGCATGGCATTTTTGCTTACAATGTAGTATGGGAAGACATATAACACCTATCGATCCTTACTAGATGAGGATGATGTGATAAGCATTTCAGTCAATATTAATAATTTTATGTAGGATACAAGTATACCCATCTCCTCCACGGCGAAGTCCATGATTTTAAGGGCTGGAAGGTGTCGAGGATTTAGTGAATTGTATACACCTTTATTTATCTCTCGCCTCTCTTCTCTAATCTTCCTACTAGCCGAGTGCGAATGTGGCTCTATGGGACTCAAAACTGATGGGGTCCGGCTCATATCTCTTAATCACTCCCACTTATACCGTCAACTCCTTATGATTACATACTATAATGGATTCCGACCCCTCTGATAATAGAGGACCCGAAGTCCGAGCATTCGCTATTGCTGCTATTGTGATCATAGTGGTCGCCATCGGTTTGCGTTTCTATTCGCGTAGTTTACACAAACTCGGAGAGAACCAGTCGGCTGGCTTCTGGTGGGATGATTGGTTGGTATTGATATCGGCGGTGAGTTCACGATATTATGTTAATGGGGTTTTACATGGAGGTAGACTAATGCGTTGACATGGTTAGATCGGTGCGATATGCGAATCCTCCCTCGTATTTACTATCGTGAAGAGTGGAGGAGATCGTCATACTTCAACGCTCGACCCCGAATGCTACTCGAACGTACTGAGGCTTCTCTATGCAATGTTCTTCCCATTCGATTTTTCTTTAGCCTCAGCCAAGGCGTCGGCATTATTATTCATGCGCCGCGTCTTTCCCCCGTGTGCGACGCCGACGTGGTTCAGCGTCGCCTTATGGATAGCACATGTACTGGATATTGTTTGGTACATCGGCGTCAACATCTCGAGGCTTCTATTCTGTCAACCCATTGAAAAGTTTTGGAATCCACCGTTACCTGGACATTGTGGTAGCGTGAACAACCTCTTCGTCAGTGGTGTTGTAGCAGTGTCTACCGGACGTACGGTAATCACTCTAACATCAGAAAGCGCTATTCAGCAAGATTTCACTTGTAAATTGTTATGCGCGAACCTGATTGATCTGGGTATGAAATCGCTAATATGAATACAGACGCCGTAGACATACTACTGCGGCTGTTAACCGAAGCTCCTGTTGCTATCGTTCGCGTCTCGATCCCCGCCATGTTGTCTTCAGCTTTGCATATTGGCGACACAGGAGTCGGGCGCCTTGTCAAACCTTGTCAAACCTTGTCAAAAGGTGGACTTCTGGAACCATCCGGCCCTCGAGTCGTGACTACCTAGAAGAGGTACACTCAGAGTCTAACCAATCTAACAGTGAGCCCCGTGATACGTACAAGTTTCGCGGCGTTGATGTTGAATTGCGCATATCTGGGATGGTTCGGATTCGAGGGGAAGTGCGTGACACCGGTATATCGTGGCTAGAATATGACGCAGTGGAGCCAGGACTTTCTCGTTGCGACTACTAACAAAAGATTATTGTAATCATAATCCATGACGTAGCGCACAACGAGGCCTGATCTAGGATGTAATAAAGGCGACCGTTTGGCGGGGGCTGGGGTAGGTCTAGTGTTCCGAGCGGATACTCCAGGTACCCAGATACCCGGATACCCCATAAGAGTGCCCACGTCCACGCTAATCGCCGACTCGCACGTTATAGTACTTTCAGCTCTAAACTACCTAGGTAAGCTCTACTTATTCCGAACCAAGATTAGACACCAATCAGTCAAGCGACGTCTTTAATGCTCAGTCGTTCCATGTAATCGTCGTCGGTACCAGTATTGCCGGTATCGATTGCGTACCATCACGGGCTATGAGATCTATGAAACTCGGGGGTTTTTTTCTAGTATTCGGAGATTTGTTGTGATTTTCACCCCATCTGCTCCCATATTCAATGCCACCAACGAGTAAACCAGAAGATTTTAAGCGGTCCTTACCGCTAAATGGGCTATTTCGACTACGAGAACCTGCTCCGGTCGGGCGTACCCGGCCTTGGCCGATCCAGGGGGGCTCGATTTTGATCAAAGCGATATGCATGCAGAGACAAACGACTCGCAATAATTGGCAACGGCGCGATTGCAGTTTCTCTCTTCCCAACGCTTCTGGGCGAGGCCGATCGAGTTACATACATGTAACGAAGCTCACCGTATATTTATTCGGTGACTATCACCGCGCAGTATCCATAGACCCGCTATTACTTACCCTCGAACGGTGGTCGGAACGTACAGGCACATATACTTTATCGCCGCGCTGCATCCTCTTGTGCTTTGTCTGTACCTCCCATGCGTAACTTAAGATGTGAGGAGGAAGAACGCTATTGAACCGTAGATCGACTATAAAACTCCCTTTAAACCATAACACAGCCCTTGGGAATGGTGCCGACGTCTCCCCTAACGTAGAGTCCTTCCAAGCCCAGCGCAAACAGGGAGCCGGTATCGCCACTAGCAGAGTCAGACTCCTCGCTAGGTACGGATATGATCCAAATGGATAGTGGCGAAAGTATCCAAGTAGTTTCAGAGGCGGTGGCATTGGCCTGCAGGTTAATGGGGAACCCGTATCGCTACGCAAAAAGCCCGCGTGAAATAGAGCAATGTTCGATTGGATACGAAAGGCAGCCTTGGACGTCAAGTATTAATAATACTGCTATCATGCTTATTAGACTACGTGCATCGCATCAAAATAAATGTGGTATTGCTACGAACGTACGACCATTGGCCATCGGGCACAAGTCGCTTTTGAAGGCTCAGCTCGACGCATTGTCAACTTGTTGATAATCATTCACTCGTATAAGAGAAAATAGGCTCTTGGAGATGGATGAAAATCACACCTAAGTAGCATTCAGACAACTACCGACTTCGCCTTCCGGTAATCCATTCCATTAAAAGATGTTCAGCCTCATGCTGCTACCCAATGCGTATCTCAAAAACGACCAGATCAGACATTTCTCCAAAATGTCTAGGCAAGGCTGTGATACTAGAACCAGAATATAGCTCATTAAATATAGACCAATTTTACAAGCATAATCCTACAATTAGTCGTCTTGGGTAACACTCTACGAATCATAAGGCAATGTTCATAAGTGAATGAGCCTCTTAATATGACACCTATGCTATCAAGAAAAACCATTGCTACCTAGCTAAGAGAGTTAAAGTGAAGGTTGTCTGGTGTAACATTTGTCCAAATACACTCATCTCTAAATGCGTATAAGCCATAGCGAAATGTAACCCATCCATTGAGAGGTTAGCGGCCTTTAAAATCTCCGGTCTCTTCATTCTTCAGACGTAAATATTTTACCAAGAGGAGACGTGATTCCACTCTTGCCATCTCCATCACTAGTTCTCGTCTCTTTGATCTCTCCACCATGTCCGATGCCTGCGCCCCGACCACCACAACTCCAACAGGAGACAACGGTAGCAATGATGATACAAGCCCCGAATCTCTTTGCAAATACTGTAAGAAGGTAGATTGGCCAAATGTTACAAATTGGCGGAAGTTCCGGCCCACGGAGACCAAGTCGACCTACTGCCCGAACGGAAAAAATACGAAAGTCGTACTCCACTTCACACAAAAGTCCCGCGCCCAGCTTCTCACCTCTAGTTGTCGTATTTGTTCCCTCATTGGGCATCTTGTAAACCCTGAGGTGCATGACGGCGATTTGCTGAATTCATGCCTGGAGGCTTGTCGGGATTTGGGCCGTAAAACCTCGAATTCTGGGGAGGAGACTCCGTCGACCAGATTAGCGGTCCGATCGCCCACGACTAGCGCAAAAGGGATACTAGACGGCGACGAAGAGGACTACATTCGGTATATAATGGCATATAAGTCCAAGAACAGCGAGACTGTCGGAGTCAGATCACTGGAATGTCCTCGAGTTAATTTCAATATTTTCAAAGGTGAATTAGAGCAATGCGTCAAAAACCATAAAAAGTGCCGGTCTACGGACGGAGTCAAAACGGAAGAAGCCAAGGGTCTTTGTGTCATTGATGTCAGAACGGGAAAAGTCTGCGAAGCTCCGTCAAATTGCGAATACGTTGCTTTATCCTACGTTTGGGGCGATTATCCTCAGGGTACCTCAAAATTCCTACCTGTCGTCCAAGATGCCATCACTGCCACCAAGGAACTTCATTACGGGTACCTATGGGTTGATCAATACGTAAGTCGCCGTGCTATAGCAACATACAATTCATCCGTACCGGTGGCTAATTGAAGTTTAGTGCATTAAGCAAAGCTCCCAGCATATGGACTTGATGGTCAAGCATATGGACCAGATCTATTCCAACGCCCAGTTAACGATAATCGCAGCTTTCGGCAGCAGCGCTCGTGATCACTTGCCGGGGATCGGTGACAAGCCAGTACGCTGTCAACGCCGCGCAGTAATTGGCGAGACCTGCCTGATCGAGATATCTAACGTCGGACCGGACACCGTCAAATCTAGCAAGTGGGCTACTCGAGGGTGGACTTTTCAAGAGGGGTATCTGTCCAAAAGAAGACTCGTCTTCACCGATAATGAAGTACTGTTTCTTTGCAATGAGAGATTGAGGAAGGAGACAGAGACGTCAAACAGTACAAACCTGAATGAATTCCATTCCTGGGTGGTGCCTTGGGAAAGTGATTCGCTTTGGCCGCACATCAAAGAGTATAGCAAACGAGATTTATCTAAAGATAGTGATGGTCTTAATGCCTTTCTTGGCGTAGTGAAGTACTACCAATTGAACAAGGACCGCGCCAAGGGGCAGATATCCCACATCCGGGGAATCCCGTTGCGGATGATTGAGGGACAGTTGCGTTTTGACTTCCTATGGAGACATCCTTCTATCGCTCGTCGAAGGGACTGTTTGCCTAGCTGGTCTTGGTCGGGCTGGGGTGGTGTGTGCGAGATCTTCTCTTGCGAATATGATCAATTGCACACTCAGCCCCCTCCGACAGAAGAACACGCTGCGAAGACTGAGAACCCCGTAGTCGAACGCATTGTCCGTATACATATTCCACGTAGGAACGGAACTGTTGATCTGCACACTATCATCCAGGAACACCAGGCGGGTACGTTTCGTGATACGGATCAAAAAGAGTTACGAATTACCTCATTCGTTATTCCATTAAGGTTTCGTACAGTCAATACTTCCCAGATGTATTTTCCACACCTGAATGGCTCGCCGCCCCGGGGGCCAAAGACCGTTCTGACGTTCGGTGTCAAGCCGGATGTCTTCCTCAGCTGCCCTGTGTACTTCGATAAAGAGTATAATCCCAGTGTTCACAAGGAGGGGCTGGTGTTACCAAGGAAAGGCAAATTCTACGAGAAATGCGAAGATTATACCATTATCGTCCTTGAACCAACGGCGGACGGAAAATATGAGCGAGCAGGAATCCTGAGACTAAATTATAAGGCGAAATATAAGTCAGACAGGCCGGGCAGCGGTGTGGTGGGTCGTCTCGTTGGTGAGCAAGCGAGTGATAGTTGGGCGGTTTACTTGGATAACGGCGGCGGAGTTCGAGGCTATCCGAGGAGCTACGTGCAATATGGGGTTCCAAACGACTATTTCTTTCTTGGAGGCTCAGAATGGAAAACTATATGTTTGGTTTAGAGCAGCATACGAAGCAAGCCATAGGCGTTCACGTTATTAAGGCCAACGAGGGCGAACTCTAGTAATTAGGTACCTACATAGGTAGAAAATAAATGACTAGCGCAAGATTCTGCCCCCAAATATAAGCAAAATGACGGTGCGAGAGACTGTGAGGGGTAACCAAAGCCTATTTGTCCGAGACATGCAGACTATAGTGCTGTTTTGACTGTGTAATGTACCTACTAGACCCTAGTAGCGTGATTCAATCTCCTTACCCCAACATCTCCAGGGCTATTTTCCTCCCCGCTCGATTCATTTCCTCTAGTCGTATTTCGTTTTTGGCATAGTCATAGGTACGAATGGACTACCGTGCGCCCTTGGGCAATATGGGATCCTCCAACCAGTACAAAAACAATGCCTTCCCAGACCTCAATGATGGCTATAGTGCGGGACAACCAGACTCAACCCGCCGAGTCGGCGAATACAGGGGAGAAAAGAGCAAGTAATACGCGTGATGAAGCTGGCGTAGGGAAGAAGAAACGTGTACGGAACTTCACGCCCAACGACAGGGCAGCGCACCGTGTTTTCGAGAAGTTAAGAAGAGAAGCCTTCAGGGAGAAGTTGATCGTATGTACTTCAGCCACTCTTGGAACATTAGTCATCTAACTAAATGTCATTTTCAGGAACTCGCGTCTTTTCTCCCTACCCTGTCCGAGACGGAACCAAACCGGCTATCTAAGCATATTGTTGTCCACGAGTCAATCGAGAGGCACCGTGAGCAGAATCAACATATTCAAGAACTACAACGAGAGCGAGATGAGCTTCTTGCCGAAGTGAATCGCTGGCGAGCGGCCGCTTCAACAGGCGCGACCGTTGATGTGCCACTAGAAGCCAGAACTGCACAGTCGTTCGTGTATCGCACAGTCGCAAGCGGGGATTGGGATGTGTTTCCAAATGAGGGCATCGCAGCCGCCAGTGAGGGGTTTAACTTCGATACAACGGGCGGAGTTAATGAAATTGGGAGTCCTTCAAGATCAGCGACAGGTTTGGAACGAGATCCAGCTGCATTAGTGGCTGCTGTACCACCACCAACTTCTCAGGGTTCAGTACCAACCCAAAGCGACTGGGCAACCCACTTCAATACCGTCTCTGCTCCCACGACTGCTGCTACTACGCATGTCTTATCGGATACTATACCTACTACTGTCGCCAATGAACGGATATCGCCAGACCAATCATGGCTAGAGCCCCCAAGTATGATGGGAGACGGTAGACCGTGGGATTTCGAGGTTCGGGATTTACATCTCGCACAAATGCAGCTAGAACAGACTAACGATTTTGACCCCGATCCTACATCTATCCCGCTTCTTGCTAGTCTAGAGGCATTCCACAATGCGGCAGGAGACGCGCGACCCGACCAGGCGGGATTCCCGCAAAGATTGGACCATACCCCGTTCATGGAAGAACCCCTAAGCTCTCTAGACCAGCTTTACTGGGGAACTGGATGAAGATTTGGAAGAACCAAACGCGACAAAACTACGATCACTTGAAAAGCGTAACACGACCGACGCACAAACATCAAGTTGGCCAATACCCTTTTATTCTACCTATTCTGCTCTAATATGAGCGAGCAGACAATCGCTATATCGCTACTATCCCTTTTCGGTCACGTTTACAAGACCAGGATTGAGCTATTTAAGCAGACGCCTTTATAGCATTCTCAACCTTCTCCTTGCTACGGTTCTCGCCACCAGTAAATAGCTCCAAGGCGACCTTCAGCCTCTTAGCGGTCTCCGGGTCTGCAGCAATCGCTTCATCAAGCTTCTTTCCACCATTCGCGAGGTAGTCTACATGGGCAGCCTCCTCGAGAGCTGCCTTATTGTCTGGGCTGAGGGGGTCGATGGCGAGTAGGGGCTGGAAACGGGCGGGAAGGACACGCGCGTCCTTGTACGCGTGCGCGCGCTTGGGTTCGCCTTGTCCGGGCTGGGTGGACGCGTCGTAGGGTCGAGAGGCGAGGTCGTTGAGAACGGTGTGGGAAATTGTCGCGCTGTGGCAACCCATTTCACCGGCAGCCATGGCTTCCTCGGCGGAGACGAAGCTGTTTGCGGGACGATAAGTTAGCGATGCCAAAAATGAATCACAAATAAAAGGAGTTTTAGGAGTTCCGTTACCTGGCATTCTTAACAAGGGGTTGCTCTTTGCCTGTCTCCTTGTACAGCTTCTTGTATACCTCGAGGATCTGGATAACGCGGGGAGAGTTCGGGTGTTGGGTGGCCGGATCCTTGACGTTTGGCCACAGCTTAGGGTCATCGTGTGCTTGGGTTTCTGTTGACAGTCATACATCAGCAATCTGCAAACCAAGAGCTTCAAAGTCGCTACATTCGTACCGTTGTAGTAGGGGCTGATGTACAGGCATCCAGCTTGAGAGCACGCAACTGCTTGAGGAACGCCAAATAGCGCAGTACCCAGGGTTTGGATACCCTCTTGCTGTAGAATCTTAGCAGCATTGAGCGCAGGACCGGTGCTGGGAATCTTAATGGTGAAGCGGTCGCGGCTAATTCCCGCGCGCTTGAACTCGGCGTCATATAGGCGAGCATGAGCAAGGGTGGCCTCGGTGTCGTAGGCCTTGGATGGCAGAGTTTGCAGTAGAACGCGGCCCTGAATCAAGTCGATGTTCTTCTTGCACATCAACACAGCCATGCGCGTGTAAATGGCTAGCCATCCTTGGTCCTTGAGCTCCTTGGTGACTTCCTTAAGCAGTTCGGCGTTGGATTCGTGGCCTAGTTGAATGTCCACCCAGAGTTGGTTACTAGTCTGATCGTGGAACTTGATTTTGGGCAGCATCGACTTGATGTATTCGGGGTCCATCCAATCGACATCGACGTTAACTATCGATTTACAGCACATTAGCACATGGCCTCACCATTGAAAGCCAAAATAGGTCACCAAATTAGGAGAGTTGTGATTCACTTACGCTGCTCCTCGAGCTTGTCGAGCCAAGTAATTGGTGCCATATTCGCAAACGGGGATTTCGTTGTTATATTGATTCGATACTGAGTTTACAGCGAATACCGCTGGATGGAATGAGTAGGAGGTGATGAGCTTTGTTGTTAGAGTGTAATTGTCACATTTTCAAGCTATTCTCTGAGGTCGACGTCTTCTTTAATAAATTCGAAAGCAGAGCTTCTCCAACCCGAGCAGTATCCGCTCGGAGGGGATCCTCGGGATGCATATTCTGCGAACATAACACATGACTCGATTTGGCCAATCTAGACACAATACTCAATCCATCTAGATAGCATGAGCTAAATACCTGCGCAGGTCAAGAGATTCTATATACGACTATCGATGCCTTACGAGTGCTCTTTGTGGGACTAACAAAGCCGATTTGACATTTAACGCAACGATTGTGATCTACGTGGACCAGCTTGGAGAAATTTGGTGGGTCCCCTTGGTTGCCCTGTACAGGGCATCTGTGACCTTTGGAGAAGATGATTCGGATTGGTTCAGCCGATACTCCTCATAGAAAAATATGGAAACGTGATTTACCTTCTATGGGACCCTGTACAGGTCTCTCCCTGTGCAGGTCACAAGGTGAGGGTTGGAGTTATTGGCAAGGGGTTCCTAGCCGTCATCAGCTTGCTCGGCGAATGTGGTACCGACTTAGTTCTATCGTAGTCATAGGAGATCTAACTATATCCAGCTAGATGGGTGGTGACCACGTAACTATGCACCCCAGAATCCGGGGCTACGAGACCTGTGGGGTTCCCTAGTATCGACTAACCCCTTTCCGAACTAGAACCTGGGGAAGCAAGGTATCTCCCCTCCTCGGGTCTGGGGAGAGGAGTCGTTCGATGCAAGGGGAAACAAGGCATTCTTTGTCATGTTCAGCTAGTGCTTGGAGTTAACTCGTGATAATGTACCTATGTATTTTCCAACTAAGAGCGGCGTCGAAGTGCCTATTACGAAAATGAGTATTTATATAAAGACACTTCAAGCCGCTCTGTCGGGCCTGACGATCATATACCTAATGCAGGAGCCACTTCATTCGTAGAAAAGCTCGAGGTTCAAAGAGTCATTCTATCTCAACATACTCTTCGTCGTCTTCAAAGATGGCTGACCACGCGAATGAACCCGAAGACTTGAAGGGTCAGCTCGACGTGTCTCACGTCGAACACCCTGCTCAGGATTATGCCCAGAACGTTAATGCTAGGTTTGTATAACAATTCTCGTTATTCTATGTGCTGGCTTTCTCATTGTTCACAGGATCATTAACCCACTCGCCGGCATCTCAAAGGACAATCTTCGAGTCCAAGTACGGAGTTTCTGCATCGAATACGGCTTCCAGGAAAAGGAAGACGTATTCTTCCGAGGTGCTCTAGCAGCTCAAAATCCCATCGAGGAGGACTATACGAACATTCCCGAGCTAACAGACGACGATAAAATCGCCTTAAAACGGGAGATCACGCATAAATGGCATTTACCACGACACTTGTACTACGCGATCGCGTTATGCTCCCTCGGATCCGCGCTTCAGGGATGGGATAACACGGGCGCGAACGGAGCTAACCTGTCTTTCCCGCAAGAATTCGGTATCGCGGATAACCAATGGCTGATTGGTGTCATTAACTCCGCGCCGACACTCTTCGGTCTCTGCAGCGCGTGGGCGGCTGATCCGATTAACAACTGGATCGGTAGACGAGGTACCATTTTCGTAACTGGTCTATTCTGTATCTTCCCCGTGTTAGCCCAGGCTTTTACGCACAGCTGGTGGGAATTGTTACTCTGCCGTCTGTTTATGGGATTAGGTATGGGTATTAAGATCTCGGTGATTCCGATTTATACTGCTGAGGTGTCTCCTGCTTCGATTCGTGGCGGTATGGTTACGAGTTTTCAACTTTGGGTAGGTGATCTATTCCCCGAAAATACCCCTATTACCAATTCCTCAACTTCGAGCTGTTATCTAACGCGTCTTCAATAGGTGGCTTTTGGTATCATGATTGGAATGGTCTTCAACCTCGCATTTTACCGTATCGGAGATCTAGCATGGCGATTTCAACTTGCAGCTGCGTTCGCTCCCGCGATCCCTGTTGTATTGCTAGTCTGGTGGTGTCCCGGTAAGTAAAAACACAAAAGCCACAATTTATCCCTCAAATAGCAAAGTAAACTAACCATAACCATCACAGAATCCCCCCGTTGGCTAATGAAGAAAGGACGATACCAACAAGCCTTCCGCTCCTTCTGCCGTCTTCGCAACACCGAAATGCAAGCCGCGCGCGAATTATACTACGCCCACCGACAAGTCATAGAAGAACGATCCGCCTTCGCCGGAACCACACTAGGCCGCCGAATCTGGGACTTAGTATCAGTCCCGCGTCTCCGCCGAGCCACTCTAGCCAGCGCCTGGATCGTCATCTCGCAGCAATTCTCAGGCATCAACATCATGGCATTCTACTCGTCTACCATCTTCTCCAACGCCGGGTACTCAACTCTTAGCACATTACTAGCATCATTCGGTTACGGTCTTATTATGTTCATCTTCGCCTTCCCGGCATTGTACACCATGGATACATTCGGTCGACGTAATTTATTATTATTAACATTCCCCAACATGGCGTGGTGTCTACTCGCCGCTGGCCTGTGCTTCTTTTTGTCCACCGACAACCCGGCACGCGTGCCGCTAATCGCATTCTTCATCTATCTGTTCACAGCACTATACGGGCCGGGGATGGGTCCTATGCCCTCCATTTACTTCTCCGAGGCCTTCCCCTTGTCTCACCGAGAGATTGGAGGCGCCTTCACCATCTGTATCAATAACGCCGTAGGCAGCGCGCTGAGTCTCACATTCCCCGCTCTTCTCGCTCGTGTAGGTCCTACCGCAGCTTTTGGCCTTTATGCAGGCCTCAATATGGTGGCATTCTTCGTTATTTTCCTCATAGTCCCCGAAACCAAGTAAGTTCCAGTGCACGATCTAGACACAGGAAAAAAAACTAAACTCTTTCTAGGCAACGAACCTTGGAGGAACTCGATTATATATTTGGTGTTCCTACTTCAAAACACATAGCCTATCAGATCAAGACGTGGTTGCCGTGGTGGATCAAACGTTACGTCTTCTTCCAAAGGGACGCGAAGCTGAGGCCCCTGTACCAATTGGAAGGATATTCTGCTCAGCATGACGATGAGGAGCAAACCGTATAACCTTTTTGCTATGAAAGACGGCATAGAAGCTGCAACTTTGATGTCTTGAATATTATACTATATACTGTCTATTTCATTGGGGGAGTCCTAATACATATATATACACCACTGAAATTGCCATGTGCAGAATCTTGTACAGTACCTGAAGGCAGTCCCTTGACCTTACTTCAACACTTTCCACCGTTAAAAAAGTCCCACATTGCGCCGAACCAAAGAAATTCCTGTCGATTCAGAATAGGAACAGCTCGAAGTGGTGTATGAAAAATGTTTTAGTCCAGTCCACCCGATTAGAGGATAAAAATAAGAGTCCCTAAAAATATCAGCTTCCCTTTTGACAAGTACGTTGTCAAAACTCACCTACCAAGAATTCAAAAAAAAATAAAAATATTCACTCTCCCTCCCCACTCCTGTTACATTAGTCAGCCAACACGTTTTCTCAAACCTAGCATTGAGTAATCCGTCAGAGACATAGGGTACAACTTACACTTCTCCGTTCTCTTCTGCTGATCAAACCGGCATTAGTGTCTAAAGCGAGGTAATGTCGAAGCGAAGGCTTACTTCTGCCTCCGCCTCCGCTAACTTTTCCTGGTATGCGGCCTGGAAACCGTTTAGCCCCTATTATAAGCGCCCAATATCTTCTATTTTGCTCTTACCTGGTGCTCCTCCTCGGCGGCCTGAAAAAAACGTATGTAAGCAACGAACCAAGTTTATTGATAACATGTGAGTATGCACTCTCACCTTTTCGATCTCCTTAGCCTCTTCAAGCTTCTTCCGCCAATTCTTCAATAAGGTTAATAATGCTTCCGAAAGATTGCGTACCCGAATGACGTACCACCTCCGTCTCGATCTCCTCCTGCGAAAGAGTAAGCCAGGTATCGATTTCATGACTCCAGCGGCTTACCTCCATGAGCTTTTGAAGCTCCTATTTATGTTAGTAATAAAATTTTAAGGAATCACCAAGGGTTAAGAACTAACGGCGATCTTCCTCTTGTGCTCCTGGCGACCTATGTTAACACAGCCCGATAATGTAAAGTCCGACGACTTACGAGAGCACGTTTCTTCGCACCCTATCGATGATTAGCCCTTCAGTAAGTCAATATAACCAAGAGCACACTCACTTCTGCCTTCTCAAGGCAGTGCTAGTAAATAATCCGTCAGTACATTAGAACGAATTGAGCATTGCCTTAAGTGACCAACCTCCACAGCGGACTTCTAGTACTATATGTTAACAAGAAGACTGAAGACAGGTGCGGACATCCTGAATTACCTTGGGGGGTTTCCCCCGCTATTGGCAATTAGCAAGTTCCTCGGACGAAGGTTACTTTCAACGGGAAGAGTAGAGATAGGAATTGAATTGCTCACTGGTTTCTTTTCCGGGCGCTGTGGGCGCCGGGGCGGCAAGTTCTATAAATGAAGATGAAACATACCAATTGAGTGCTCTCTTCTAATGAGTACACTCGCCATTGAGGTTATGTAACGTGTTGAAATCGTTGAAGCCTTAACTGTAACCATCGAGAGGAATCACGCAAGGTAAGGCTACTTGGGCTTCTGAAATATTAGCATTGATGTGATTTTTTTTTGGTGGTAGTTTGGGATGTGGAAGAAGTTTGGAAAAGTGTGTAAGAAGAGAAAAGGAAGAAAGGGGAGAAAATGGAGGAAGGGAAGAAAGAGGAGAAGATGTAGTAGAGGCGGGAGAGTTTCGATCTGAAACTAGATTTGAGTGATTATTCCTTCTACTTTCCCACTGGCATAACAAGTGGCATAATCAACAGAAGTCAAAATTATACTCGAAGAGTGCATGCATGAGTACATGGTCGATCGAGTACATATATGTAGTTCTTCGCACACCAGGACGTTCCTACAGGGAAAAGGGTATTCTAATAACTCCTGTACGATCACCCCTTCCCCAGCACAGTACATATGTACCTAGTTGGGTACTTACAATATATGCCCGGGGTGAATTCCAGGTATTTCAGACACGCTGGGATAGCTTGGTCTCTTCCACCTTCATAGTCACGAATCTATCGCGACACATAAGTATAAGAGAGTTCGAGTCACTTTAGCTTGTCTATGATAACCAAAGTACGGTGTGATAGATCAATAGAATTGAAAGAGCATCCCTATTCAACCGTCAAATGACCTACTATCTGCTACTGGAATCTCTTTCCCTATGTTAAAAGAAAACCTTCCTGTTTGTAAAGAGAACTGTGGGCTAGGAAACAAGATGGTGGGTTACACAAGAAGGCGTATGCAACTTCCCTACAGGGCTCAACGATATCTGGACACCTGCTAGCTAGAGCCCTGAAGATTTAAAAGCAACGTTACCTATATCTACAAATGTGGATATTGTCGCCATGGACCTCAACAGGTGAAAATTACTTATCATTTTACTTTTAGCGAGAGGCACCCACATGTAGGCAGGCAGGCAGGTTCGTTCGCGACACAGATACCAAGGTACGTACTCATGTAGGCCTGAGAGTGCCTAGATTACATCGAGTCATCCATGAGAGTAGTTGCCTGGTTGTCTAGCTCATAAGAGGACCTTGTTTACCTATTTTATCCTGCTCGTCTGCTCCTCCTAATTACACTTTTGTTTCCATTAACTTCTTCTGTTGCAATCTCTTATTACCCTACGTCTCAATACGCCTTCTCAACACACGAGAAACCATGGATACTTCATCGGAAACCCTATCGGATCATACTTCCATGCAGCTAACTCCCTCGGGACAGACCACTCCTCCACCCGGCGTCGCTGATGTTGTTTGAATTTGAAAGAGTTCAACTTCCTCGAAGCCCTCAACTTCATTAAGGAAAAACTTAGCAGTGACTTCCCACAGGATGACTGGTATACTTCGATCATACTTGCTGCCCGAATGTGTACTGTCACAAAAAAGGATACCCCTGTCTCGACCTCTACCGCTATGTCTATGTCTGTGCAACCGTATCCGGCTCATAATATCGTACCGGCGCAAAACAATATCTGGTGGTTCTCCATCAGGTTATTGGATCTCTTGTGGTCACTTCTCTGTATACTACGACCAACTCTCGCTTTAATCGTTCAACGGCTGACTATATAATTAGTCGGTGTGACAACTGGCCCTTCACCATGGAAAGACTGTAAGTTCTTTCTTTTTATTTTTTTATTATTTTTTATTATTATTTTTATAAAACAAATCTATCCAATTTCGTCGTATTGGATACCATTCTTTCCGAAGATGATTCTAATCGCTGTCAATTTAGTCCTTCCAGGCCTACACGACCATACATCCAATGGATCAGCCGACTCCATGATCGATCTTACATCTTTTAATACCACTCTTAACTCCAGCCCAGTTAAGGCCGAAGAGTACCTCCGCCAAGAGATTGGCAAACACTTCCCTATGAAGATCTCGCTGCCGAAGACTGTTACCCCCACGTTAGAAAGCAAGTCATCGAGCCATCCAGTGGGAACCACGAACGGAGTCTATACTCCCTATTACCATCAAAATTATCAAGATGATCTACAGCCTCTAATCGGAGAAAACCCGGCACTTTCCAGCGTTCCTAATCCAGCACAAACAGCATTTATAGCACGTTAAATGAGACAAGTAAGACCCCTAGATGAACTTCGTGTTTGGCTCGACGGGCTGATAATTGAAGTTGAAAAATTGGCCGGGCACGGCCGGGCGATATGGGACGAACCAGTAAAGGTTCTTGGACCTATATCAAACTTTCGCCGCGGCAAATACATCGTTGACTTACATTTCAGGAGCTTCTAAACAATACGCAACGATAGGTTTTATGGGAATATTCTTCAGGAGCAGGCATTGGACAGGGAAATTGGACACACGATGGAAATGGATTTGCTATTAATGTAAGGCAATTAGGTATTCTTATCGTTCGCAACGTATCTTTCGTTTTCTCTCATTACTTTAGGTCTAGAGGTAGTCAGTAGAAGTAGACTCCAATCAAACGCATCGGCGCAATTTGAACGCGGGTGCCCATGTGATTGTCTTCCACCATAGCTCAAGTACCTAAAGCTGAGGATTTCCAACCCAATTACCCCCTAATAATGTGAGACAATAGGCGACATAATGCCCTAGAACACCTAGGTACCTAAGTGGAGGGCGAATTGTTTACCAAAGCAAGACAATCTCATCGTGGTTTGTACCCTTGGACATTGTAATTCTAAATTGATATTATATTTATATAACTACCTAGGCAATATGAGAAGTATTGGGTAAGTTTTGTTTACGTCAATACATATCGTCGCTAACATATCGTGTCGCCCCCTTTTCCTTTTGCCCCCTTATTTTTTAGATATAGGCTGTACCTAGAACATCCCGTAGGTAATTGATTTAGCAGTCCTTAAGCTCATAACCTTTATTTTTGACCAATAGTATTACACGGTTTTCTTCGACATAGCTACCGTGCGCTGAAACTAACCCCTCCACCCTCCACTAAATCAATGGCAAAATCTGCCTTGATACTCTTAGGGTTTATTCAGTATTCACTAACCAAATCAAAAGAATACCAACCAAGGAATATATATAATACTATATACATAGGGGGATAATATATAATCAAGAATCAAAATCACACGGTGATACGCTCCAACAACAAGTTCGCGCCCGGGTGTGCTAATCTTTGCGCAGACAAGCCAAGACACCAAAATTAGGAGCACTATAAAATTCCATAGGCGACTCGTCGGGATACGGTCCGAGGGCCATGCTCCTGGCAATGTGGTCTACAGAATCAACAAAATCGAAAGCGTCAGGGAGACTTTTATCTTCCTCATAATAGTCACACTCGGTGACTTCCACGAACACCCGATCGCTAGCATGGAATACGTTGCGCGACTCTGGCTTGTCAATGTCGGCTAGAACGCAATTTGGAACTTCGAGCTTATAATCGATGACCCACAGGTAGAGAAGCATATATTCCATCTCGCTTGCGAGCTGTGCGACGTCGTGCCAATCTGCTGAATTGAACGGGCGGTCCAATTCGATCGCAAGATGGCTCGCCCCTCCAATACCCCAAAAATTGGAAAAGAAAGCGATTGAGTTGCAGTCAAACCTGAACGAGACGGGTATGTCCGGTAATATGGTACGCGGTTGGAGGAGTATTAGATCTTGATGGGGACGGATGTTAAAGTACTGAACACTGTTGCCGCGTTCGAAATATCCTATTACCTGGTGCTCCGGATCCTCAGCTTTCCAATCGACGCAACGACCCCACTTACTGCCATGCTTTTGACCGTGAGTTCTTCGAAGTTGAGACCAATATTCAGCGTTGAAGCGACGCTCCATACGCTCCCTAGATTCTTTACAGGCAGTCCATAAACCTCCGTCCTCCATATACGTTGAGAAATTCCCGTCAACCCATGATAATGAATCGGGCTTCGGCTCTATAAGCCCAGGCGCTGCGATTCGATGGATTTTGCAATCCCACCAGTCATGTATTTGAATATCGGGGGGGTAGGACTGCCGTGTAGATAGATGTTGTTGTATCCCATGTAATGGCCGCGTGAGTAGGCAATTTTTTCTTCGTCTATTTCCATGATTGAAAATGCATGCACGCCCGGTCGCATATCACGAATAGCAAAATCCCATATCAGGTCTCGAAGTTCCTTCGGAAGGAGACCGAATAAGTGAAATGATGTTGCCATGATGAGTTCAGAAAAGCCGAAAGCCGGGTTATAGCGTGAAGCCTCTTAATTCCGATAGTTTGACAAGGAGAAAGCAGAAAGACAGAGGGTACTGGCAGGCCTAATATGGATCGAACGTAAACCCCTATTTAACAGTATTGATCAATATGGCGTATTGGATTGCACCTAGGTATTTGTGCTATTAAATATCAGATGGAGGTTCAGAGCAAATAGCAAATCAATTCCAGTAATTAAATGGAATGTTGAGTTGACACACAAGGTGCCTTCTATTTATACGTCTATCAAACGTTTATTGAGGTCCAAGCCAACTGACATAAGTACGTGCCCCTATATTGAAGTTTGGCCACCACCGTAAAAAAGAAGCGCCAATTTTATTCAGTTCTATTGATATCTAGGTCATCCATATGTTTCTATTCATTTCAAAGTATTTTTTTATCCTTTTAATTAGGTAAGTTTCGACAGTTTATTTACATACTTAGATAGCTAGGTGATGGTCTTATTCTCAACCCTCTTTACCTAGCGGGTAAATATCTTGCAATTATAAATTCCCTTTATGACACCTACTAAGATGGACACCAAATCGATAAATGATATATCGTTAACAAGATACCTTAGAAGGTATATTACATGTCACTTTGTTCATTGACGTGGAGTTGATACGTCTATATACCCTAGATACGATGCGGAAGGGATCGTAAACTAGACATCTGTAAAGGAGAATAAGAAGACTTTACTCATTTAACCTCCCCTTTCAAAACCGTCTCAGCTTGTGAATAAATTCGCTCCTACTTCCTCCTAACCACATTATTATTTTCATCGACTCCCATTTTCATTACATCCGATAAGGTGGTAAACCAGCATTACGTCGCATCTGCATACTCTAAAATATAGAATACCATGGCCACTTCGGAACAAGCTACCACTCCACCAGGCGTCAGTGGTATTGACTCCCCCACAATAGAGATTGACTTTCTACAAGCCTACTATTATATCAAGAAAAAACTCGACAAGGAGTTCATATTTTGTAACTGGAATTATGTGGTAATAGAGGCTACTCGAATGTGTATCGGTCCTTGGAACAAGAAACAAAGTGCTTGCTGGGTTTTTACCAAATTGCTGGATGCGATTTGGACTTTAACATGTACGAATACCTTGACCCAATACTCGCACACCTGCTAACCACATAACAAGTTGGTCGAGTAAATGGCCCTTCACCATGGGATGATCGTAAGCATATAATTTCCTTCCTGAATACCACTCCTTTGGAAGGCTAGAAGGCTATACAAGGCTCCCCGTAAATGTTAACTTCGATTGTTAAATTCTAGTGCTCAAAGAACTCTACGTCGGTGAAAGCAACGGTGGAGAAGATTATCTACTCGACGTAGATGATTGGCGCGAAATCATTTACGTCTCAATGGAGTATATGATGCGCGAGAAGCTCAGAGAAGAATCTCCTATGAGGATTCCGACACCCGAAGACCACACACCCGACTCAGAAGCCGAACTATCAAAGCACCCAGTACGTACTCCAAATGATGTTCCTAATTATTCATGTGAGTTAATGGAAATAGTCTACCTACTAAAGAAAACGTAATGGCCTCAGTCTATTCACTGTGTATTACGCAAATGCTATGTCTACAACAGCCTTGATTGATGCACAACGTAGACTGTATGGGTCTTACAAGAGTCGGGCAGGTAGTTGGTGAGGGGGATAGTAGTGCAAATAACATTTCAATATCAATTATAGTTATCCAAGTTAGACATAGTACGTGGGTGAACTAATATTCATCAATTGAATGCGTTCTTAATAGTTGCTAAAGTTGAATGTCAGAGATTAAGATATACACATCGTCGTAACAATATCATATATGTTAGATGAAGTGGATATGAAGTCACCTTTTAATTGAGAGGATTATAATAAACGCCGCCGGGACGCACACGACGACCACTCTAAAACCTCGAAATATCCCTTCCGAACAACCAGGAGATAGCCCAGTAAAACGGCACTGTAATCTTATTCCTCACGCTCATGCTCCTCGTCAAGTAGGCCGTCCGCCATAATATCCACGCCAAGTAACCTCTTAGAGAGTCATGAGAGCTTTGATGAATAGCGGTCCAATTCCCGAGATACGTCATAGTGCCCCAATTGCGGAAGCGGAACGGCTTCTGGTCCACGTCGCCTTTGTTCAATCGTCGCGCAAGATGTGCCGCTATGCGAGAGCTAGAGTTAGCGAATACATCCCTAGATTAAAAATGATATGAATCACGGGGTGGATTTTAAGAGTCATAGTTTTATTATCTCTCACCTTGTTGACTAGCTACCTGAGCTGTAGCCGGTAAGCTTAACTCCGAAATCACCGTACAATCGCCGATACCATATACGTCGGGTAACGGAGTAGCTTTTCGCCCCTGAACATCCAGCGGTTCGGACGTCGCGGTTTGGGGTATCATATTGACACGTAGATTCGCATCCGTAACAAGTCCTCCTGTCTTTGCATCTCTTTGTAACTGCATCTCAGAATCTGACGAGGATATTTTGAAGGTCTTCGCTTCTAGTTTTTGGATAAGGGGGTTTTGCATCAGGCCCGTGCTCCATACCACGATGCCAGCACCAATCTCTTCGTCGCCGTACTCTTGGATTTTTAATTTTAGACAACCTTCGCATTCCTCATCTGGTCGGATACGTGTAAGGTGGCTATTCGCGATTGATTAGTAAACGTGCTTCCAAAGAGGGAACAGAGACGTACTGTTGAGTCTTAACTTCAATACCCTCGCGCTTGAATCGATCCATAGCATAATCCGCCAAAGATTTATCAAACATCGGGAGTACCTTAGGAGCCACATCATAAACAGTAATGCTGACGAATTTCATAAGTTCCGGGTATGTTTTCCGAAGATCGTCCTGTATCAAATCATGCAATTCAGCCGCAAATTCGATACCAGTTGGTCCGCCACCGACGATAGCAAAATGCAACAACTTTTTACGTTCCTCTTCAGTCGTAATTGGTAAAGCGGCCTTCTCGAAGCTTTGAAGAACTTTCATCCGGATTTTACGCGCATCGCCAACGTCGCGCAGGAAGTTGGCATGTTCGCGCACCCCCTCGATGCCAAATGTCTGACTGTAAGACCCAACTGCGATGACTAGTTTGTCGTATTCAACGTCGAATATATCCCCCTTGCCCTCACCATCGGGACGGTGCTTCAGCGCCAGCCGTGTTCTCGACGCGAGATCATCCGACGTATTTGCCTCTACCCGGATAGTCTTGCGCGCGAAATCTATATCATCAGCCCACCCCTGATGGAAACGGTCTAAACCGAGCCTTCTGACAGGCTCAAGCGTAGCGCGAAACTCTAACGTGCCCACTGAAGTCGAAGCGAGTAAAGGGGTGAAGACGAAGTACGAGCGAGGTGAAATCATGATACGCTCGAATTTCTTGGGATCGAGGCTTCGCGCAAACCCAAACCCAGCCCATCCTGAACCAAGTATAACGACGCGCTCCTTTCTATTCCCATTTTTCGCGACGGTTGTGGCGAAACGGAATCCTTGTGTGACACATTTCGAGGGCGTGGCTGGTCTCGTGGTCAGCAAAATAGAGCTTGTCTTGGCAACACCACTTATGCGAGGTTTTGCCATATTAGAGTAACCTGGAATACCGTAGTATATACGAAGGGAAGTGAGAGTCAAATTTTGAAGATGAGATTCAATAGTCGGGTATCTAGTAGGAGGCTGGTAGGACACAAGGGCCTTTACGGATGAAGACATGTTGAAATCGATAAAAAGTAAAAGTGACATCATACTTACGAAAATAACACGGCCTGGTGTGTCCACTTAACCTTCATTCCAGCGCTCTGGGCATATTTTTCAGCTACTAAGCGACCCTGAAGCTGAGTGAGATCCAGCTAAGGATGTAAGGGCTTGAAGAAAAAGAAATTGCGATCGAGAGAAAGTCCGGTCGGGTACCTGCCTTACCGAGGGATCCGGGATAGCCGGTCGGGATATAAGTGGGTCATGATTACCGATGACCCATAGTACCATATATTTCTCAGTTAACTCCCCCTTTTCAATCTAACCCTAGATCTTTCAACCTCTATCGTCTGGTGTCGTTGGTTTGCAAAATATTTCGAAGGCCTTCCGGTGTTCCCGGGGAAATGACTCAACTTCACTCAAGTTTCTACATTGTTATTAGCAGGTAATAGTCTAGTAGCCTTGCCTGTTGCTTACCGGTGTTATCGTTTAGCTGTTCATTAAACATTATAATACTTCCAAGTTGTGTAATGGCTTTTTATGAAGCACATGCACTATATCCCACCCAAACACTAGCACGATGCAACCGCCTCGTGAGAATGATTCCCCCATGGCGGCAGTGGTGATAAGCCGAAAGGATGAGCGTGGCGTCCCCTCTAACCCTAACTCCCCCGCACTTTGGTGCACCGCATAAGGGACTGGCCCCCTATATTTCACGATGTTCTCAGCATCACTCTGTTACACCTTATTTACCACCTTATGTAGGTACGGATAACGCACCTAGGTAGAGTACCCGACCACTTAAAAAAATGCAAGAATTCGATGTTCTAATCTGTGGCGGCGGTTCTGCTGGGCTATGCGCCGGGGTCTGGCTCGCGCGGAATGGAATATCGTTCCGCATCTTAGAGAAGAGGGACGGTCCTCTTATCATGGGCCAGGTATAATAATAAACCACCACTGGGATAATAATGAACCGCTTTCTGATCTCCTCCAGGCTGATGGTGTCCAATGCCGAACCGTGGAAATATTCGAAAGCTTCGGCCTCTCAGACGCGCTTCTAAGAGAAGCGTATCACGTCATAGAACTCGCATTCTGGGCTGCGGATGAAGGTCCTAATGGATCCGAGGAAGGTAATAGTAAGGCCAAAGGTATCAAACGAACACGTTATGCCGCCGACACCGAGCCCGGGTTAAGCCACATGCCGCACGTCCTTCTAAGCCAGGCCCGGATTAACGAGCTCCTCACCAATGAGATGGAAAGTACGGCGGGGCAGTCGTGCATTGAATATGGATGCGAAGTTCTAAGGGTAGGAGTCGACAGCACAAGAGCCGCCGACCCCTCTGCGCATTGTGTAACGGTTATGGCTTCAAAAGGTGGCGCGGAACGAGAATATAGAGCCAAATACGTTTTGGTGAGATTATTTAACCCTTCAACCCCAATCTTAATCTGACAGCCCAAAACAGGGCAGCGATGGCGCCCACAGCACCGTCCGCAAATCCCTCAGCTTCCAAATGGTCGGAGACACAAGCGACGCCATCTGGGGTGTCATGGATGTGATTCCACGGACGTCCTTCCCCGACATCCGAAAGAAAACTGTGATCAATTCGGAGGCAGGCAACCTTCTCATCCTTCCCCGCGAAGGAGATTTCATGGTCCGGTTCTATATCGAATTGCAGGGTGCCACGGCAAGAAATGTTTCTTTGGAAGAACTGCACGAGCAAGCGCGTCGTATCTTCCACCCATATACCCTAGACATCGTTGAGACGGTATGGTGGTCCGCATATCCCATCGGTCAACGTCTCGCGGACCACTTCCACAAAGATTACCGCGTATTCCTCAGCGGTGATGCATGTCACACGCACTCACCGAAAGCCGGACAGGGGATGAATGTCTCGCTCCAGGACGGGTACAACATCGGGTGGAAACTCGCTGCCATCCTTCGTGGCCAGGCCGTGCCGCAGTTGCTCGAGACCTACATATCAGAGCGCCAAAAGATTGCGACGGAATTAATTGAATTTGACCGCGATTGGACAAATCTCTTCTCGTCGACATACCGTCAGAAACACGGAATCACACCAGAACAATTCCATGAACAATTCCTCTTGGCGGGTCGATATACAGCAGGAACAGCGACCCAGTACAACGATTCGATGATAGTTTCGGCGAAAACAAGTGACGCCGCCTTGGCCACTGGATTGAAAGTTGGAATGAGGTTTCCAAGTGCGCTAGTAGTTCGTTTTTCCGACGCTCGTGCGATGCAGTTAGTCCGGGCTATGCCGACTGATTCTCGATGGCATGTTGTTGTATTTGCTGGAGATATTCGGAATCCAGATAATTTAGAACGATTGAGTTCGGTTCGTACCATACCTCTGCCTCGTTAATAGCCCCGAACTAAGTGACGAAAACTTACTAACTCAAATAACTCAGCTCTCAACTCCCTTAGGTAAACTCGTCGACACTTATACAAAACCCGGCGATGATCGTGACGCTACAATTAACCTCCTCCTCCTCCTCGCTGGAGGCCGTAAGGAGATTGAACAAAACCAAATACCGACCGTCTTCAGACCAATTATAGGAAAATGGGGAATTGCATGTAAGAAATAACTCCTCATAGCCTCAAAACATATTACCATCTACTAATTCTTCAAATAGCGCTCTTCAAAGTCTTCGTCGATGAGGAAGGCTACAACTCCCCTCATGGCCACGCATACGAGAAATACGGAATCGATTCACGCAAGGGCGCTTTGGTCGTCGTTCGACCAGATCAATGTAAATTATCTATCCGTTATCTGATCAGCTTTAACGCTAATTTATCATTAGATATTGCAAGACTATGCGCTTTGGAAGATGTCGACACGATTCATAAGTTCTTCGGCGGATTCATGGTTTAGGCAAGCGAATTCTATTATGTAGACCTCCAGGGCTGCTTTTTAGCTAGAGTGCGCTAAAGTTACAAGGAATTCAGCGCTGACTACCGCCATAATTTTAGTGGACTATAGCTCACGCCCGTAGGAAAAATATCAACCACATTAGCCCCTAAATAATAGAAATCTATAACGCCCATACCGCCCAAATCCCCTTATAATTATAGTAGATTATAAGGCGCACCTCCCTGCCGTGCCACCACATGCTGCCCATGCACCCAGCTGCCCAGCACTAACATATCAGCTAGAGCACCCCCTATAATCATTTCCGATAGCAAACGCCGACGACCGATCCATAAAGCACTAAAAATACAGCAATATTCAGCGCTAAATCCCCTGTAATCGTAGCACATCCCTGCTGAAAAATAGGTCTAAGATCTTGCCCACACATCACTCACTGTAGGTGACAATCAAGATATTTGAAGGCATCGCAAGGCTTCTCATTAATCCAGAACAGAATCACGTAGAAAATCACGACAATCAAACAATTGTGAGAACATATAAACAAGTCCATTTCTTTTTATCAAGCCCTATAAACACCCATTCTAATGCCAAACCAACCCTCAAAACAACGCAATGCAATGCAACCAGTCCAAACCCCAACTTCCAACCTCCAAGCTCAAGAATTAACCTCTGCAAACCAAGTCCTCAATAAGCCCGCCAACGCGCCAGGGAGATCCTCAAGATTATGTACAATGAGGTAGTACTGGAACGGGAACGTGTCTAGATAGTACTCCGTTTTGATCTCATCATTACCCATGAACCGGACTTTCTTGAGGTTAATGACACTCTGCTTATCTTTACTATTTGCCGTGTCGTCCATGATGATGAAAACAATCATGATACGTTCTTCCATGGCCTCACGAAGCAGGAGCTGGATCTTTTCGTGTGATGCAGATGGTGTTAGGCCGTCAGATAGGATTAATGCGAGTTGCCAGAGGTCTTCAGAGCCTCGACTCGGGTTTTGAAGACGCGCAAGTCGGAAGCGTTCGATGGTTTGTCGGACGAGGAGTTCAATATCCGTGTAGTCTTGGTCGAATGTGAATTTCTGCAACACCTTGGCACCGGCATCATGCGAGGCGAACGGTTCGGTAAACTCATGTGCCATGAAGGTATCTGCACCGAAGCCAAGGATTCCGATTTGACCAACTTCAAGCATAGTCAGGGCACGCGAGACCATAACTAGAGATTCCAACGCCAGTGCGCCGGAACTAGATTCGCCCATACTCTTACTATCGTCAACACAGAGCAGGATTTGGTAAGATCGCTTAGTCGGAATAGCTCTGCGCATCCATATCTTATCCCTCTTGTAACTAGAGGCGATATATGGAATGATGCGCTTGATGTTGAGGCGTTTACCTGTTCGGTAGGATCCAGATAGTTTTGTCGATTGGGATGGAGTTAAAATCAAACGTAATTGAGAAGTAAGGGATAATGAAAGAGGATGGGTTTTGTTTTGGAAAGACGTCCATTCTTGCATGGCCTCATCGAAATCCCTGAGTTCCATATTCGGTTCCGATAAGTGGGTAATCGACAGTTGCGTAGACGTTTCCTGGATCTCTTCCTCCACTTCTTCCGAAGGAGCTTCTCCATTCGTCGGTGGCGTTGTATTCCTATTGTAGGCACCTTGGCGAGTTGATACTCCAGTAGGTCTCTCTTCTTTCTGTGTCTCTTGCTGATCTTGATGGTCAAGAGGTTCTGAGGTATCCATCTTATCTTCATCCATTTGGCCTGCCTCGACTTCTTCCTCGGGTAGGATTCGGCTGTCCGCAGGTTGATCTTCGTCATCGATTGCCATGGATTCGTCAATTTGCTGTTTCTGCTCTTCATTTGAAGCACCCATCGCTTGGGCATCCGCAGCGGATTCGTCATTCTGGATATGCTGGAACTCTTGGATCTTGGACTCTTGTTCAGCATTTTTCGTTTGCTCCCGAGATTCTTGCTCTTGAGCTTCCTTGATCTCTCGTTGTTGTCTATGCCACTTCTCCAGAGCATCACCAAGCGCCTTGAAAGGTTGGCTAGTCGTAGAATCCTTGGTATCGTCTATATCTGCTTGAGAAGGTTGTTCTTGAGCTTTCGAAACACTGCCCTTTTTACCAGCCCAAGCTTCCTGATCGGCTGCATTCTCTCCCACCTCGCCGTCCTCTTGTTGAGTAGTGTTACTCTGAGCGTTATTGGCCTCCTCAGTTTGATTGAGATCTTGGTCCTGCCCGCTGCTCTTCACATCACTTGGCGCAGCGTTCTCGTTATCCGCGTTGACTTCATCCTTAGACGGCAATTCAGCAGTTTCGCGTTCCTCTTCCATTGGGTTCTCTGACTCCTCATCCGCCTGTCCATCTTCTTGGATATTGGCCTCGTCTTCCTTCTCGGCGCTCTCTTCGGGTTCATCTTTATCATCGCCAGGTGCCATTTCCATCTCGGCGTCTTCTCCATTCTCACTTTCCTGGTCGTCCATTCGTTTATCATTTTGTTCCTCTTGATCCACATCTGAGAGCTTATCGAGCTCATCGTCGCTAATTGATGACAAGTCGTCGTCGCTCCCATCAATATTCATATCGTCGGGAAGCGCCAGTGTATCTTGCTCTTGGACGTTTTGATCCTGCATACTGGTTTCATCCTGTGGTTTGGCGTCTTCCTCTTCTTCGGCAGCAGGATTCTCATCAGGGTTTTCGTCACCCTGCTCTTCGTCTTGTCCGGGCTCAATCTCCTGGGTATCGGGCGGCGCGTCAGCGGCTACTTGCTCATCTTTCTTCGTCTGCCCTTTCGAGTTCTCTCCTTGCTGATCCTTGTCTACGTCCTCCTCATTCTCACCATCCCACATTTTCTCATCAACAGCTGAAGGATCTAGATCATCCACTTCGCCAGATTCCTCATCCATCTCATCACCGCTCTCTTCCTCATCACCAGACTTGGAGTCTTCCTCCTTATCCTCACCGCCATCAATACTTTCGAGGTCGCCCTCGAGCTCTTGATCGGCCATATCAACAGCGTCCTTCTCGTCTTCCATTTCTTGGTTGGGTTCTTTATTGGCTTCTTGAGCTAATTCGGACAAATCTTCATCAGGCTGAATATCCTTACTAATATCCTCAGCGCCTTCTCCTTCACCAAGACCTGTACCACTCTCAAGCTGTCCAGCCTCACCAGATGTCTCGTCAGAATTTTCTTGAGGAGTGCAAAAGCCTTGAGATGCCAATTGGGTAAAGCTCTTGCTCAACTTGTAGCCAAGTTTGCAAGTACTTCTATGAACGCGAGCGTATTTTTCGACCGCGCGCTTGCATATGACTTGGTATTGATCCACGATCGGGTTGAGAACTGCCATCAAAGCTCTCAAGGCCCCCGAAGCATTATCATTGGCCAAATCGATTTGAGGCAAGACATCCAAAAGCTCCCCCATAGTCTTCTCAATTTTCTTCATGCGTAGAGCTTTTAGGGAACCAACCATAACCTCGCCATACTTGACAAGCCATCCAGGTTCCTCATCTGAAGCTGGCAACTCGGTAACCTTTTTGTTGAATTGCTCAATGGTAACTAGAATGCTATCGCAAAGGCTCTTCGTAGCATTGAGGACGACATCAAGTTGTTTGATCGCTGAATCGGTAGATATTGAATGTTCATCGATGATGGTCCATAGTCGGATTTGTTCAAGTAAGAATGCCAAGGCCGGCCATTTGTGGCTTGCATCATTCAATTCAATCCGAAATTCATTGAATATCGAATTAACGGAATTCTCCAATTGTGTTTTCTCGAGCGAGGTTACCCCACTTGGCAAAACCGGCAATGAATTCCAATTTGCAGATAAGCCATTCATTTTCTCCAACCAGCCATTAAGTAAGCTGAGAATCTCCGCATTGTTAACATTTCCGAGTTTAGCGTGCACCTCAATAAGATGTATGCCGACCTTGATTATCTGGACAAGCCAAATAGAAGCTCTCTCATGATTACCAGAGAGTATTTGAGTTGTGACTTTATTGCCAACCTTCAAGGTGCTAATGGAGGAGATATACTTCGAACTAGTCGCGAGTGCATCGTGTTGTCTAAGTGTTTTTGCCAACTCACGCCTTTGACTTAGCGAGGCATAAAGTATACCTTCAAGGAATCCGATGCTCCTGTCAACCTCGGCGATAGTCAGGTCTTCCGAATGATCTTGAGAGGCACCCCGAACTTTAGGCGCTAGATCAAGCATTTTGTGGAAATAATAATCAGTGCTTTCTAGTTCCTTGAAAGGCTGAGACAAAAATGCATCCGACGTAGCAAGCACCGTAGAGAGCGCATTTTGTCGTGATAGAACGTCGGTACTCAGGTTGTAATGAATTCCCATCTGCCGAACTCCTTTTAGAGTCTCTGCGAAGAGTTTTCGCTTACGTGACTTCAGATGTTTCACTAAGGCTTTATTCTCTTCGGTAAGGGTTCCGGGGGTCTCTTTGCGAAGCTCAAGAGCTGATGACTCGAGATTGGATAAGAAAGACTCGGTAGCCTCACCAGCATCCAAAGCGGACTCGGGGATGCGGCTTAGTTTATCCATAATGTCGGTAGTCTTCTGGACATTAGCCAATCTTCGGTAGGTATCCGTCCAGCCAGGGATGTATTGAGAGCACAGCTTAACCGCATGTGGGTCGATATGTATAACCTTCGTTTGGGTCACGACGGCGCTGGTCTCATCCAACGGTTCATCTGGCAAACCACCTTCTATGATTGGCTTCATAGGCCGGCCAAGGATATCTCTGAATTTTCGCACAACCCTAAAGAGTTTTTGGTGAGATTTGCGGGCACTCTCTCGCAACGCGACAATATTCGTATCTTTCCAACTAGCCAAGAGAAGAACATCTTTCATCTGCTTCTCAAGGGGTCCCCTTCCAGTGCGAATTGAGTTGTCGACCGCCTGAGTATAACGGGAGTAAAAGCTAATAAAGTTCTGAAGGCCATCCCTAATTAATGACATTGAAGGATAATCCTCCGTAAGCAATTCCAATTGTTTGTGAAGTTGCTTCAGTAGACCGAGCCGGCTAGCGAATTGTCCAATGGGCGCTGACGAGAAGTATGTCTCTAATTCCTTCAGTAGACTGGAGACGTGTTGTGAAATATCCTCTCCGGCTTGAGCTAGAGTCAGAGGCACGGCAATGATAGCTTGGTAAGCGATAAACCACCAAGAATTGGCATCCTCTTCGCTCTTCTTAACTTCCATGTCGAATAATTTACCCCATGTTGAAAGTTCTAGTCTTCGCCAACCAACAAGTAAGTCAGTTAGGCGATTGTACAGGGGTAATGCGCCATAGACTTTGCTCGCCCAGCCTCCGAATTGCCATTCATAAACAAAGGCATGCAGTTGCTCAACCTTGGATATTGTTCTGGCGAGCGGATCTGATTGTCCAATTTGGAGGATTTTGTCGCAAGATGACACGATATCTGCCAAAGGTTGAAGGTGGCCAATTTCGTCGACTTGCTGAAGCTGTCTAAAACGAGCACGAAATTCATTGGCCAGATTAACAAGCCTTCGCGCCTCAGGAAGATTGCCATCTGTGTAAAAGTTGTAATCAGCCGGGCACGTGTTGGAGCGTATCTCTTCCAATTTCTCGTTCAAAGCCAATAATGTGGCTGGAAGTAAATTTCGATCCGAAATAGTTAGATTAGAATCCGTCGACGCTTTTCCAGCCAAGAGTTTATTGAGACTCTTAATGCTCTCAGACGCATCTTGTGGGGTGAGGAAGATATGTTTGTGCACTTTGGCTAGTTTTATGGCCAATGCTCGGGCGTCTCCCACTTTGGGCTTTGCCATTTGGTTCAGCTCATTTTCTTCGTCAAATGTCGGGAACAATTCATCAAATGCTTCTTGTTCTGCTGCCACTTCCTCATCTAGCCCACCCCGATAACGATACCAACTTCTCTTCGACTCCTCGGCTTTTTGATCCGCTTCAAGCTTCTGGGACCATTGATCGTATAATGAATGAATTGCCTGGAAGGTATTCTGCTCAATTGTCTTCAATCCTTTCAGCCCTTCTACCGCAACTACCGTACTTGAATAGTAGAGGAACTCGAAGCTATGGGTTGCAGTTGTCTGTATAGCCGAGTTTTCTAGTTTTCCGCCAAGGAATGGTGCCAAGTTCAGCAACGATCCCGATGGGAGCTCATTCTGCGGAACTATTGAGGTAGCCTCTTGTCCTAGGTATAAGCCGAGTTCAAGACAGTGGATCATGTTGACTACCGGCAAGGTTATATCTTCATAGGCGCGGTATTTCTGTTTCAGGCGGTAACCAATTCTCGATATGTTTTCGTGGATAACATGCAACTGTTGCGTGGCCCCTTCCGATCCCGAGTAATGTTGAAGCAAGATAGAGCTAATATCCGCCTTTAGAATAATCTGTAATAGATTATTGAATTCTGCTTGTACTGAGGGTAGCTCACACTTTCGTGGTCGATATACAGCCTGAATTGCACTAGGGGCAGGTCCAAAAGCTGCAATTTCTTCCTCTACCAATTTGCAGCGTAGATTTGTAGAATGGCCCGTCGAGAACTTCTCGAAATCCTGTAGTTGTTCGAGTTTCTGCTGTAAGAATCGCGAAACTCCTTTATGATATCCTAGCTCTAGTTCAGGTCGCAATTGCGGGTCGAACGCCTTGTCGGGGACGAAAAGTTTGATCAATGCGATGGAAAATTGAACCCAAGCATTAGCAAGGTATGTACGTCGTCTAATAGAATATCTCGACCCAACCCAGCTCGCAACAGCGGGGATCAAGTGCTCAGTAGCAATACGAGAAGACTCCCACTGTCCAAATATTGCTGCATCTGGTAAAAGTCTGTTCACGTCGAATGATAAATCCTCTTTATCGAACTCGATTATGGTCTTTTCATCGATTGTAGCAGACGCCTCGCGAACCGAAGCGAATGCATCAGCTAATGATGAGTCGTAGACAGCCGTTACGTCCGAAACGAGGTACCAGAGTACCTCCCTTAGTTTATCAAGCCGATCGTCTGCAATTGCTTGCGTATTAGTACCTATCTGCCTGGCTATGATTGGCAATTCCGCTTCGAGTGAAGCAAGAGAGCTGAGGCTCGCTGAATTCACGGCATCAAGCTTTGATAAGACTCTAGCGGATAAATTCCCATCCCAATGCTGCTGGTGATTGTTTTCGCTGGAAATACACTCCATTGACAACAGAAGTTTTGACGTATCGGTAGCACTGCTGACACGCATCTGGGTGGTAAGCGGAATATTGGACAGTAAGATCATTTCGTTTGATTCTTGCAGAGGTTCGACCTGGTGCGATAAGCCATCGAGAAAAATTATCTGCCTTATGGTTTCAAACTCTTCGACCATAAATGGAGAGATCGAGGCACTGTTTTCAGTTATATTGTTAAGCAGTTGATCAATCTCAACCTTCAATGCCTCCAAAAGAGCATCCACATTTGGCTCGTCCAACCGAATAAGCTGATATGCTTTAACGAACGAATCCATGATTTTAGCGAGGTCAGATGGCGCGGCCGTAGATTGCCATTTGACCAAGTCAAACTGAGAAGCCAGTTGTTCCATACAAACGATATTATCGAGAAGCGACTCGGTTCCAATTGGAATCGGCCTCAACAATTTCCAGAGGCTTTCCATATTCAGTCCCGTAGATAACTTGAATCCGGAGACGAAGCATTCATCCAGGCCCCTGAGAATTCGTGAAGCTAATTCACGTACCTGATCATCTTCGCTGTGGGAGATGCGGCTAGATAGCATAGTTGAAGCCATACCAAGACGAGCCTGGAAGATCGCCCCATGGAAAGTGGCTGCTGTCAGATCCCGATACATATTCCACCAGCAGACCATAATGTCTCGGAAAAAGTATGATCGATCCTAAGCCTATTAGTAGGTGTAAGAAGGCCTTTAATTTCATCAGTACTTGCCTTCCATGAGCCAGGGTTTGAAAGATTGGAGCGCATAAACGAGTCGAGTTCTTCGAGAACACCAACAATAAACTTGGCCGACTTAACCGTGGGATCTTTTGCCACAGCAGCGACACTACCTGCGACAACAGAACGTTGAAGCCAGTTGTACTCTGATAATTGGCTTGATGCACGGCGGATCTCTTCGAATTCGAGTTGGAGGTGGGCATCGATAATGTCGGTATACAAGTCGTAACAAGTTGCTAACCAGAAGGGAAGGCGAGGAGAATGTCCTTGAAGCAAAGGGACAACCACCGAGTTTTGCAAAGGATGAATCGGCTAACCAATAATTAGTTGAGTTAACCAAAGCAGAAAAAAGAATAAGAGACTAACCTGCATACTTTCGAGCCCGGGAGAAACGCTCGTAGACAAAGCTGCATATAGATGGTGGATTGCTTTTTGTATATCGACCGTGAGGGGTGACTCTACAAACGAGCCAGTCACGACATGTCTAGAGGTCATATCCTCCACCGTATGGTCAAGATAGTATTCAGTGAGATCGGTTCGTCGTGGTAGTCCAGTGCGGCCTTGGTGGACATCGAACTTATCGAGTAGAGGTAAATCAATGAAGGATAAGGAGTTCTGAGCGACAGATGATACAAACGACCTGATATAGGATGTTGAATCTAACAGTTCATATCTCTTTAAACTCGACTCTACTTCAGTCACTCTACCCCGCCATACTTCCAAAGCAGAAGTATGCGGTTCGATGTAGATCTCAATAGCACGGTTCCTCATCGCCCGTGAGAGTTCTCCGTAGCGAGGGTCGACGGTCAAGAACACCCTAAAATCGGGATGAGGCTTGATAACTCGGGCCTCACCATTGGGACCGCAGTGTTCGTTGATTATTAGGAAACCCTCTGGTTCAAGCAAGGAGTTTAACCTATCGAGAACTGAAGCGCTGCAGAGGTTCGCGTTGTCAAGTACCAACCAATCTCCTTTCTGAAGGGCCTTGACGATAATACCGTCCAACCATTCAAATCTAGGGTTCGAGATATTAATAGGACGTTGAAGAACGTCGCGCGCATTAGTGAGAATAGTAGCAAGCTCCGAACCTGCCGATATTTGACTCTGAAGATTTCGAATGCAATCCACGAGATATTGACGCTCCTCTATCTGATCCTTCGTAGAACTAAGAGCATTCAACAAGTCGATTGCCGAATCTGGAACGCCTTCACCTAAAACGCTTACTGTTGACAATTGCAAGGCTTCTTGTAATTCTCTCAATGCAGTATTCAACTCGCGTATAGGGTCGGATTGTTCGAATCCACCCACGAGGTCCATAGTGTCTATATCAGCATTCATGGGGAATGTGACCAGTGATTTACCGGATGATGCAGCGATGTGTTGCAGTAGCATGGACTTTCCACTTCCCGAAGGCCCAACAAGAATACATGGGATATTCTGCTTGATGCAAATTAAGAGGGACTCTATTTCGGAGAGTCGAGGAACAATATCCATGCTAGGGAATTGTGAAGGTTGCACAAGCTGATTCCGTTGCATTAGTGCAAGCCCAACTTGAAGTGAGGAAGAACAAATGTTATGGTATAACTGGTGGCTTTTTGGTGGCGCCTCGAATATTTCGGCGAAAAGCTTGTCCACTTCGAGTCTGTCTTTCTCAGTCCGGAAACGCTGTCGAATTGCTATGCCCAGGAAGTCGTCAACACTACCAGTGCTAAGCAGAGGATCCGAAGACGTAAGCAAATGCAGCCAACGTAGGGTATCACGAAGATTAAATTCCCAAGGACTACCTTGGGCCCCGAATACTCTCTCAACAAGAATCCGTGTTTCAAGGTTTGAAATGAAGTTGATCATTCGTCGTACAATATCGGCGGAGACTTTGGGGAAGTTATGTTGTGCAATCAGTAAGAGATCCTCTTCAGTGAAGACATCAGCATACACAACAATGAAACGATTGACGAAAGAGCTAGGCAACCCCTTTCGCCCTCCACCTTGATGATGTGGGTTCTGTGCTGCGAAAAGACGAAAGTTGGGATGTCTTTTGAAGACTTGGTCAAGTTCGGAAATATAAACTTCTCCTCGATGATCGAGACAAGCGTTAAGGCCTTCTAAGACGGACTGTGAAGCCAGGTTCATCTCATCAAGAAGTACCCACTCTCCATTCTGCATAGCTCGAAGAAATGGTGCATCCCTCCATGCGAAATGACCTGCTTCAGCTCCTTCTACGGGGACATCCGTTCCAAAAAGATCCATAAGATCAGTTTGGTCGGAAAGATTAATTCTTGTCAAGGGCCGTCCACACGCTCGAGCAAGAGCACTGACCAATGTTGTTTTCCCCACACCCGGACTGCCTTCTAATAGAATAGGTTTCTGCACCTTGAGAGCACGAATAATTCTCATCGCGTTGAGCTTGGTGGTTGGTGCATGTAAGGCAAATCCGGTTTCGAAGTCCTCATTTGTGGTACGTTCAATAGAGAAATCGCCGATCCGTAGTTTATTAGCATCAATAGTTAATTGTAGCTGTGCTCGATATACCGCAGTCGCATCGCAACCAAGCAACTCGCTTAGCTTATCTAAACATCTCTGTCGCTGTGTATCCATACTCTTAGGGTCAAGTGCGATTAGCGCAGATGGATTTGCACCAAGGGTGTCAATGAAAACGGTTGCAGCACCGTGGATCATAGAAGATGCAGGATGATGACCCACGCTCTCATTGACAAACTTGACCCAAACTAGAATGTCTCTAATGGAAAATGCTGTTGAAGCCGTAGATCGAAAATTCTTCCCAAACCAATAAGAGAACTCGACGATAACCTTGGAGAAAGGTTGGAATTCAGGTCTCAACTTCGAAGATACAATTTGCAGCACATCTTCATTCTCGGAAAGGGGTGGCACCCATATTTCAGTAAACCGGTTTCGCAATGCCGGTGAAAGTTCCTTCTTGCCAAAATCACCACCAGGGTTCATAGTTGCGAGGAATTGGAAGCCGTCGGAGCCCTTGATAAATGAATCGTCGATGCCCTTTTCCGCAAGAAGTAATGTGCGTTGGGGCTCAAGAACGGAGTTTAATCTTTCCAAGACGGAATCATCGGCTAGAGAAATTTCATCTAGAAGGAAGAATTGACCATCTCGCATAGCATGGACCAAACTTCCATCTGCCCATTCGAAGAGAGCCTTGCTCTTGACTTCATTATCCGAAATTTTTCGCTGCAAGTCCAAAAGTATCAGTGATCGAGTTGACTCATCAAGAGCATGATACCTCTCTAGCAGGTCTTCTAAACCGCCTTCTACCGCTTGCCCAAGTTGTCGGAGGGTTTCAATGAGATCTTGGGTCAACAAGTCCACAATGGCACCTCGGTTCCTGATGGGTCGCTGAGATCCAATAAGATCACCAGTTTCGGTATTTTGGTGAGCGTTAACAATATGAAGTTCTTTTCCAAGAGACTCGGCAAGAAGTTGGCAAACGGTTGTTTTCCCGCAACCAGTCTCTCCAACAAGAAGCACGGGTTCATTGTGACGAAGCGCACTTGCAACTAGAACATACAAGCGCCGCATAGCATGAGTCCAAACCACCCCTTGTCCATTGTTAGGAGGTTGCGCTCGGAGATATGGAGACCTATTGATGTCGTAAAGTTCATTTTGGTCGATCTTGACTTTGAAAACAGTCTCAATGACTCTCTTGACAGCTATTCTTTCTTCCTCGTCTCGGACACGTTCCGCAAGAAGCATAAACCCGTTAGCTGCAATTTCTTCTCGGGTTTCTGCCTCTCTTAGAGCCCACCTGAAAAGATCTCTTAGTGTCGCAAAGCTATCCTTGTTTTCAAATAGTCGACTCGTCTGTCGCAATCTTGAAAGTTCCTTATACACATTGACGATTCTCTTACAGTCGGAGGGAGCAGTGTACAGACTTCGCTTCTGTAGAATGATCTCGAGCTCGTCTTCCGGTATGTCGTCAAAGTGAAGCTCAAGAAATCTGTTGCGAAAAGCGCGCGAGAGTACCTTTCGACCTCCATATAAACCAGGTGGATTTTGAGTTGCGAATAACATGAAGTTTTCGTGCGGCCGTACAATTTCCTGGGTCTCGGGGATGAGCAGTTCACGATTATCGTCAAGAAGACGATTTAATGCTTCCAGAACATCTGTGGGCGCCAGATTTAATTCATCTAGCACGATCCAGTGTCCTTGTCGAAGTGCCTGTACCAATAGCCCCTCTTGGAATCGTAACTTGCCGTCGGAATCAGAAACATAAGTTCCAAGATACTCTTGAAGGTCCGTATGTTCATGATTGTTAATTCGCACAAATTTATTGCCGCTAAAATTTGCAAGATACTCGATCATGCTCGTCTTACCCGCCGATGTAGGTCCCTGTATGAGAATTGGGAAACGTCTTGTCGATGTGGCTCTTACTAAGTTCAGGAGATTTCGCTCGATATAAGGCGTGATGATATAGTCAGTTCGTTCGATGGGGGTTTCGTCTCCCTGGAGTAACCAATATTGACGATCCTTATTCTTATTCATGAACTTAACGTATTGCTTTTCATCGTTAGGGTGCTTCGGTGGCTGCGAAAGTAATGATCTAGCACCACCTTGTTTGTCAAGAAGGTGATGGTGGATTAAGGGTACGAGTGTCTCCTCGGATGCTCTATCCAGCAGCGTAAGAAAACCCATGGAGAAGCCTTCGTACAGAGCTCGTCGAAGTCCATAGAATGGAGATACATCATTCACATAACTCAAAACACGAGTTAACGTTCGTAGACTGAAATGAGGTACTTCGTTGGCGCCATCAACCAGTCGTTTCTCCTCTGCTCGTGTTTTAGTGTTGAGATAAAGTCGGGCAATATCATCAGCAGCTTGCTCATCCTTGATACTCTTCCCACTCAGATAAGCCTTAATAATAGTGAGTAGATCCTTAAGGTCCTTGTCTGGGCTGCCTACGTAGAACTCAGTAAAGCGCGATCTAAGTCCAAGTGGAAGGTCTCGTTTGCCAATATCTGTAGCTGGGTTCATGGCACCAAATATGCGGAAATCCGGATGCGCCTTAACACGTTCGATATCACCCGTTTCTGACAATAGGATCGACGGTTCATCGTTAGGGCCAGAGGTGAGCAGATCAGCTATACTCTCTAACGTATCGGGCGAGGCTAGATTAATCTCGTCCAATAGTACCCAGTCTCCATTTCTTGCTGCTTTGACGATGTTGCCTTCAACGAAGGCGAAAGCAAAAGTACCCGAACCTCCAGAGATTTGGATATCAAATTGTTCCAAACTCTTTGAAAAAGCTTCCCAGCGCGGTTTTAGGTCGAGGAGCGACTGAAGCTTCGACTCCACCTTACGTCTCTTTGCAACTGGTCGCCCATCTGTGCCGTCATCGTCACGCGCTTCAGCTCGGCTCTGAAGTTCTCCTACGATTTTATCGAACATCTTCGGCGCTTCCCGCCAAAGTTTCGATACCTTCGTCCACTGACCTTTAGCAGTACATTTACCTATTTGTTCTAGATATTTCTGGTTCTTCGATGCAGAAATCCCAGTCGAAGCGAACAAATCCTCAAACTCTTCTTTCAGGGGTACGGCTAAACTGCGTGCATTTACCGGTTTAAAGCCACCCAAGAGATCGCCAACTTCGCTTTGCTGTGACAAATTCACAGCAACGAGTTTATGGCCAAGAGACTCGGCTAGCTGCTGAATTACTGTCGTCTTTCCAATACCGGTCTCACCGACGAGAAGTACGGGCTCGCGCAATTTGACGGCCATTGATATCTGTTCCAGCAGTCTCTTTGAGTGACTTGTGCTCGCGAACGGTTTTTTCGATTTTGTCACTCTGCCCGCGTGTTTCCTTCTGGTCAACATAACCCTCCCAACCTTGAAATTACTTGGGGTATCCTCCATTTGAGGTACATGGGCTTCGAGATAGTGTTCCATAAGCTGTTTCGAGAGATGCATCTCCTCCGCAATACAACTAACAAGAGCCGCCCGCGCCTCTGGTTTTGGGAGGCTACCACAAAAGCAATCGACCGCATCCATAAACATCCAATCTCTTGTCGCCTCGGTTACGGGCTCGTCTCCAGTTTTACAGCCTGAGGCCACCAAGGTTTCCTTTAGGCGACGGCACCACTTTAAGACGTCTCTTGGGGTAGTTGAGCGTTCTACTGTACTCCGTCCAGCACCACCCACAGATGAAAGGCTAGAAAGGCTGCAAAGTCTTCTATAGACTGACATGATCATCGGAGTATATTTGTATAATAGAGGATAACTGCCAATAATTATTTGTTCCAGTTCGGCTGGTGGAGGAATTTTCACGCTCGATAAGTGCCAGAATCGTTGACCTAGCATACTAGGAAGACTTTCTCGTCCATTCATTCCTCGAGTAGTTCGAACGGTCGCAAACAATCGGAAACTACTCGGAGCTTCTACCGTCTCTCCACGACTAGGAATCAGCAGTTTGCCATGTTCCACCAGTGGCAGCAAAGTACTCATGACCTCATTCGGAGCCCTATCCAAGTCCTCAATCAAGACCCATCGACCCTCTCGAACCGCTGTAGTGAGGACACCAGGTCTCCAGGAGAAAGAACCTGGTTTAGAGCCTGTCGAGTATAATCCAATGAGCATTTTTGCGTCTGTCTGCTCATTAAGATGTAGTGTCACCAAGCTGGACACCATGCCAAGCTCACGAGCAAGGTCATGCACAATCGATGTTTTACCAGCACCAGGAAGCCCATGCAAAAGTATCGGACCTGATTTCTGAAGGTTCTGAGCAAGACCCTCCAAGTTAGCTAATGTGGTTGGCGTGTGTACCAAACTGGATGGCGAACGAGGCACGCCATTGGGTCGTGGGAGGATTGTGGCGTTATACTGCGCAACTAGCTTAGTGAGTTGTACGGAAGGGAAATTTTCTTTATAGGGCTTCTCCAAGTCGGCTTGTAACTTGAGTCGAGATTCATCTAAGCGTTGGGCTCTTCGACGTTCGATTAGGGAGAGAAATGTATAGTCAATTTCATTTCCATCCAAATCTCCTATCAGAGACTCGTCTTCTTTGATATGTTCTCGGATAAGCTCTTCCAGTTTACAGTCTGAAGTATTAAGCTGGAGGCAGAATACCCGAATAGCAAGATACCTAACCGGCGCATAATCGTGCTTGAATAAGACTTGTATTCTAGAAGGCGGAACTAATTGACTAAATGTTGTCTTCTCGAAATTCAACAATCTCCAGAACGATACTAAAGTTAGGAGTAGGTCGCTTTCGGAGAGTGTCGGGGATTTAGGCGGATTTAATGAGTTGATCTGGAAAGGTCGTGATCCGGAATTGTGTGTAAGTGAAGTTTCACTTATATACTGTTCTAAGAAAACAGATAGATGAGGCGCAAACGGGAGGATTCTCGCAAAAGAAGCGATAATAAGGTCCTCTTGGCCTTGGTTTCGGAGTTTCAGTAGCCATCTTGCGCAAATATCGGCGAAAATACTCTCAAAGTGGATGAATATCAACCCAGTAAAGTGAGAAAGCAAAGCTGCTTCAGCGATAGCATCAAGAAAAGATGCAGGGATCTGACCACAAATTATTTCTAATAATTCGGGTGGTAATTTGGTAGACAGTTTTGGTTCAGATCTTCCACGTGAGAGCAGTTCAGATATGAAAAGTTCTCTCCGTCGGCTCACATCGATCGTGGCCATGATTGCTGTGAAGATGTGAAATTTATGGTGAAATATGTAAATAATTCCTTCACTTTTTGATCAGATCGACACTAAAAATTACTGCGATTAAAGTCAATCGCGACGGGATTTCCCTAACTTTTTTTCTGCCGTTTGTTAAAATTTAGGCGGTGAAGAAGCCGGAACGGACTTGTACGGTACCGATGTTAGCGGTGAGACCCACTATAAATTAGCATAGTACGCCGCCTAAACTTCGCTAAATTGTACCAAATTATACCGAATCGTAGGTACATCAAAAATCTTTAGAAAAGAGCATCACGAGCTTTACATCAATCCAGTCAATCCACGATTCGGTTCACTAAGAAGTCGTTCAACATGTCAGCACCTTGTAGATACGCAGTCCGAAGCTGCGCGCGATCAATTCGCACCAACAGTTCCTTCCGAACCTCGAATTCATTCCTTAAATCCACAACACCTTCAATACAGCGACGGCACGAGTCTACAGAAGCCATTTCTACGAACCCCAAGATTGCTGGTATTGTAGATCAAATCAGCCAATTGACTCTTCTTGAGACTGCCGACTTAGTTACAAGCTTAAAGGTCGAGTTTATTTAGTCAAATAGGCTTCAATATCACTAATATTCCAACTACAGTCGCGACTAAACATCCCCGATCTACCTGTTGGTGGTTTCGCTGCTGCCCCAGCTGCTGCACCCGCTGCCGCCGCAGAAGAGGCCGACGAGCCCGCACCAGCCGCCCAAGAGAAGACCCTATTCAACGTGAAGCTACAAGCATTTGACGCTGCCGCAAAGGCCAAGATTATAAAGGAGGTCAAGAACATGTTAGGGTTGAGCTTAGTGGACAGCAAGAAGTTTGTGGAGGGAGCACCTAAGATGATGAAGGAATCGGTACCTAAAGAAGAAGCCGAAAAGATCGTAGCTACGATGAAGGAACTCGGAGCCACTGTCACTATGGAATAACCCATTTGATATCACGAGGAAAATCGAACGACGCTATGTATACATGTAACCTACCCTGTATAACAATGCAAATCTCTGGACATGACTTCGGGATATTGGTCGAAAGTGGCTAATAACGGTATTATCATGGCCTTCTATATGCTCTGGTATTTGAGCCATCTCATGATCATGTCTGAGAAGGAGTATCTCGATGAGAAAGGGGCTCAGTAACAAATGGGTCCTGAATAGAGAAATCTTTGCTAAATCCCTAACTTGTTCCTAAATCCTAACAGGTGATATGACCAGCATATTTTACATGAAATCGGGACAATCCCACGTTTCAAACCCATATAACCCCCCTTAATCAGTGTAAGACAGCTACTCTTCGAGCAGATTCTTATGATTGTTATCACGACCCCTTCCCAAAACCCACACTAAGCCCATTAGCAAGCACATAAATCGTCTTCAACATAGGCGTCTCAATACCCTTCTCCCTCGCCATCCTAACCGCATTACCCACCACAGCATCAACCTCCATAGCCCTCCCCGCAAGCGCATCCGTCAACATAGAAGTCTGCACGCCAGGTAAATCCCTAACCGCCGCTCTCTTAATCTGAAAATCCACCATATCCTCATTAACATCACCATACCCATACGCCTGTGCCACCGACGCAATCTCCAGCATAACATCCTTAATGAACCGTAATCCATCTCCCATTTCACTCACTAACCTATCCCCTTCCCTCTCCTCCTTTCCCTTTTCTCTAGTACTTGTAGAACCAAGTCTCAAATCCCTATCCGCATCAATAAACTCGCGATCCCGTAATCTCGTCAAGGCGCACACCGGATTCCAAACCGCATTAACAAGCAACTTAACCCACCTCTCCCTCTGCACATCCCCATGTAACTTCGCCGTCGCCCCTCCCTGTCCCAGTAAACCCACAAACGCCCTCGCAACATCTTTATGTGCCGGTGGCGCATCAGGCGGATACGTACCAACATGCAACAACTCGACCTCACGATGTTCAACAACCCCCGGACGAACCTGCGTAGCCGGGAAATACGCCACAGCACTCAGTACCGAATTCCCAGGGAACGCAGTTACATATTCATTCTCAATCCCAATACCATTCTGAATCAACACAATCGCACTCCTCCCCTTCTCAACAACAGGAGCCAGGATCTCCGGCGTAGACGGGGTAGTGGTAAGAGCTTTAGACGTAACTATGATATACTCGAAGCACTCTCCATCCACTAACAGCTGCGCAGCTTCAGCGGGGGACCGCACGACGCGGGGTTGAAAATGGAGGTTATTACCCCACAGTTTGGAATTGATGGTGAATCCATTCCTAGCTACCTCGTCGTAATTTGACCGACAGACTGTGGTGACTTCTATCTCGCCTAGAGCTTTAGCTAAGACGTAGGCGTAGCATGCCCCAAGAGCGCCGGCCCCGAAAACCAGGACTTTCGGCATGGCGGGGTTTGAAGTGAATAGATGGGAGTGGGTAACATGTAAGGTTAAAGTATCATTAGAAAAGAAAACAAAAATAAGCTACTAAGCTTGAATTAGTGGTCGCTAAATAATATGTAGAATTAGATAAGAGCGGGCAGATATCGCGGAACAAAGCCCGGCTCAAGGATATAGTACTCCGACGCCGAGGCCGAGCCAAGTGCCGTTACTTCGGTTGCACGTACACCCGGACAAATAACACGACAGTAAATGGTAAGCAAGGGAGTCGGTAAGGTAATGTAAGACAGACATAACACATTTTGTGGTATCATGAGCAAAAGCAACCCTTCACCGACCCAATCATCAGAAGCAATACAAGACGAAGACCATTGCAAATGCATAATAACCCTTAAACACCGTTTAACGCCGTGCTCTAAGAGCGAACAACCTAACAAGTCCTACAATAGCGAGATGATTCCTCAGATGAATTGGTGTGCTTCCAATCTTCACATGCCATCTCGTAGAAACAACTCCTAGTATGAAAAACGCGATACCGATCCCCCTCAAATAGAACAAACGCCATTTTCCGGTTCCCTGATGCAAGTTTTCCCCCCCTTCCCTCAGACGCCTGTGTAATGCATGACTGCTCTCCTTTGGGGCACACAAAATACATAATCAATTTCTATCCTTTAGCAAAGAAGATTAGACCCGTTAAAAGATCACTGGTGTTGCTGCGCATTGGGTTCATCTTCGGCAAGCCATCGTTCAACACGTCGTCGCTATCGGCGTCGTTGTCGACGGATTCGTCTACGTTCATGTCGCGATGCATAGAGTGGTATGGCATCCGCACTCTGAGGCAAGTTTTGGCGTGCTTGATTCTCTCGTGCCAATGGGCTAGGCGAGCGGGGAACGGAAAGACGACCAGGATGCTCATGAGCATCAAAGCGATGGTGACGTAGCTGAAATGCCTCAAGCTCGGAATCAGAACCCACGAGAGTTGTTCTAGGACTATCGGGAGCGTCAAGGTGCTCAGGCATCGCCTCCTAACGCGATGGAGCTCCATTGGTGGTGGTGTTACCAGCGGCGGCGGCAGCGGCAGCATTAGCAGCGTCTCTTGCTCGAAGGTGATGGCACTTGCTTGCCTCAGCCTCCCGTTGAAACTCCTCCCACTCTTCTCTTCCAAGAATGTGATCATCTTCACCTAGCTCGCTTGTTTCTTCCCAAAGCTTCATTGCCTCCTCTTCAATAGATCCAGGAACAGCCCACATACTCTCACGCATACGCTTGTGTCGCTCGCGATCTTCTTCGATGCGCTGCTCGATCTGGCGCTTGTCAAGGCGGTTAGAGTTATTAGCACCATTGGCATTGCGCGAACGAGAGTCGTCGCCGTTGGCAGGTGAAGAGAAGCTAGCGTCGGCGGAGGTGTCGCGCTCTTTAAGGCAAGCTTCGATTTCGGTTACCGTCTGCTCGAGTAAGATACATTTGTTGAAAAGACCTTGAAGCACCTACAGGTTGCCGTTATTAGCAATCGACGTTAAGTAATTTGAGATGAACTTGGTAATAGTGCTCGACTTACCTTGCGGACAACTTTCACATTCGCGGCACCTGAACCGTCTTCAGGGCAAACCGCGTCGACGACTCGGAGGATGTCGCGTTGCATCATGCGTACATAGTCATTCTGTCGCTCCTTGGATGCCATCTCTAGTAGATGCTCGATGAAGTACATGATGTTGGCGCGGGTATTCATGTTAGTCTGTTGTTCAATATTAGTTAGATTGCTTCCATTAGGTTACCCTAGTTGAAAGCTTCAATGCGACCATTGAAAGTTCGACGACGTAATAAAACGGTGTTAGAAATTAGAAAACATGGATGAATTGATTCAAGGTGAAGAAATAAGTAATAACGAATATCAGATCAATCAGTTTAATCAATGAATAACCACATACCTTTTCCAGCTGTTCAAGAATGCACGAGTGCAAATCTTCATCCATGTCCTTGTACTTCAGCGCATACTGGGCAGCTTTCTGCGCCGAAGTGGTGCTCGCGTTCATGTGTTGAAGCTGCCCACTGAAGCGCATTCGAACTTCAAAAGGATCCGCAGCCATTGTCGCATCTCTGATAGTTCTATTGCTTGGGAATGGATACTAGAAGCGAAAGAAAAGTCGTGTTCTAGGATCCTAAGATGATAGAAACACGGCGTGAATGAAGTGGGAGGAAGGCTGAGAGTTCAAGGCTGTCGCTAACAAAGTTACGGCGGGACCTATGATTTTCGGCGGAAGGAGCTTCCTGCTGTTCGATAAGATAAGAACGATGCAGGCAAGTACCCGTTTGGCGCTAATACGAAAGAAGCTACGGCAAAGGGTGGTCCAAGCTCTAAGACATACTGGATCCACTTTACTCATTTTGGCAGTCTGATCAACACTGCTCGTTCCTGAAGCTGTACCACTAGTTCGGGTACTCCTAAATCGCCGATTTCCAATTTCATATCAATTATTTGCGCCATCATGCTGTACTTAGTATTATCGATTCAATTTCATTGCCATACCAAATTTTATTTTGCAATTCATTTTACTAAAAAATGATATGACTATTTCTAATCCGGCTGAATCTATGCAATATGCGCATGTGCATGTCTCGGTACACAAGATGAGTACATGTACTTAAATACATGACGGGATATTACCACGATACAGCTAGACTCTCTACTATAACACTATACCTAAATTGGTTTACGGTAAGGCTCCGATAAGGCTTAAAAGCAAGTAGCAGAACAAGGTTACTCGGTGCGACCTCGGTAAAAGAAATTGGAAACGCGACACGGGAACATGCTTTCTCTTCCCGCATCGAAGCGGTTCTTCTTCGTGTACTTCTTCTCCTTCTCCTTCTCCTTATCCCTATTATTGAACCCTTTGCTTATTTATTGGAGTGGAATGTGACAGGTGTCCTATGATGTGGTGGAACGTGGTTAATATATCTAATTTCCATCTGATTTGATCTTATTTATTTTTGAATCGTGATTCTGTGCCTTTTTCTAGAACATATTTCTTTTTTTTCCTACTCTTCCAAGCTTGGGCCTCACCCTGTCAGTCCCCTTGTTCGTCAGGTTTTTTTCAACCGAAGCACGAGAGCAAATTCGAATATAAATACCTAGATTTCTAGTTGGATACAAGAGAACCATCGATCATCTTTTAATTCGGCTTATTAGCCACAGAAAGACTCAAATATTCGTTATACGTACAACACAATACCGACAAGATGTTGGCACTTACACATCATGAACACAACGCGCCCGAGCTCACCTTGGCAGTTCTTGGCTGCGGTATGTCTTGCCTCAGATCACCATCAGCTGGCTCAGCTGGTCACAGCCAAGCAAATGATAAGCAATAACTAACATGTAACCAATTCCAGGTACCATGGGTATAGCGATCCTCTCAGGGATCTTAACCTCGCTGCAAGAAATGTCCGGGCCGCGTCCCCTACAAACCCCCTCAGGTCGCTCAACACCCGCCGACGAAGTCCCGTCCCGTCTCCCCTCGCGCTTCATCGCATGCGTACGCCGTCCCGAGTCCGCCAAGCGAGTGAAACAAGCCCTCTGGGAACACAGCTCCTCCGTAAAAGTAGTACAAAAGGAGAACGTATCCGCGGTCATGAAATCCGAAGTCATCATCCTAGCATGCAAGCCATACATGGTCGAGGACCTGCTTAACGAGCCAGGTATGTCCAAGGCATTGCACGGGAAGCTTCTCATCAGCATATGCGCCGGCATCACCGTGCCGCAGATCGAAAAGATCCTACACGGCGCTGTGCCTGAGAAGGACCCCGAAGTCGACGGACGATGCAGGATCGTGAGAGCGCTTCCCAACACGGCGAGTATGGTTCGCCAGGGCATGACGGTTGTCGCGAATAGTAATCCACCCTTGCCCCCTCAGACCTCGAGTCTCGTGACTTGGATCTTCAAGCGCATTGGCGACGTCATTTACCTCCCTGCTGAGAACATGGATGCTTCGACCGCACTCGCTGGGTCCGGCCCAGCTTTCTTTTCTCTCGTCCTTGAGGCTGCTGTTGATGGTGCCGTGGCTCTCGGTGTTCCGCGAGCAGAAGCCCAAAGAATGGCTGCCCAATCCATGAAAGGTGCTGCTGCTTTAGTAGCTAGTGGAGACCACCCTGCCCTGCTTCGTGATAGGATCAGTACGCCGGGCGGTTGCACTATTGAGGGTCTCCTAGTTCTCGAGGAGGGACGAGTACGAAGCACTGTCGCCAAGGCCGTAAAAGAAGCTGCTCATGTTGCTAGTCAGCTTGGTAAGGGCATCTAGATTAGAACGTGGTGTGAGCAAAAAGGGGGTCCGTTTTTCATGTGCATATGGGGTGGAGTTTGAGGCGTCTTAATCATAGATAGGACGTTAATTGAGATTATCAACACAACGATTGTCCATTCCGTTATCCGCATTTCTTGAATCCGTACAATACAAATATCTTTTACTCGTGGATTGATGGTCTGCTGTGATCGGTCACAGGGTGTCTTCCCACACCTCCCTCATGCGTGGACCGTAAAAGCTCCCCATTTTAATGAGAATGCAGCAAAGGTATCATGATAACTACCGGAACTCCATTGACCACACTAACAGCCGGTATCCTCCTAAATACCCCGACGCATGCTCAACCTATTCCTATACCTTCCCTGATTACTTATACATCTTCTTCCTCAACCCGGGCCTTCTTGGACGTCGAGCCCTCGGAGTGATTATCACCATCCAATTTTCTCTTGCCGTTAGCCACCACAACATCAAGGGTAACTACAGGCTTTGATTCAACGCGATCGAGGATTCGAGCATATTCCCACTCAACATTGTTTAGGGTTTCGTTTAGCTTAAGAATTCGTTCTGTGATCTCGAATTCGCCGAGAACCGACTTGTTGCGGCGATACAATCGCTGCTTGAGAAGTAAACGCCAGAGCGTATAAGCATGTTTATCGGCTTTCGATGCCGTCGGTTTCTTGGCATCGGCATCTGATTGGGGACGGACAGATTCAGGTAACTTTGACATGAGATGCATCTCAATAAGTCGCCAAAATTGACGAGGTGCGATTTTATTCTTGATTCGGAGATCCTCGAGTTTGATGATATCAACTATTCCCTCACTTGACACATCCGCTTCAGTAGGGGAGATCTGTGTGCCGTGATGTAACAACCCACCCTTCTGAGGGATAGCTACATCGGTGTTGACCTGTAAATCTAAGAATTCAGGGACGTTTTTACGCATATATTTCAGGTCGCATAAGTCACGTAAGAGATCGAAATCTTCGTTGGGGTCCTCAACCGTCACTTCTTTCGTCGCTTGAGACCTAGTCGCAGCCTCAAATATGGTGTTGTACAGAAAAGCGCCTATGCCTTTCCCTTGGAATGAAGGAAGTATAATAAATTGCGAAATCCTCATACGATGAACCATTTCGTAGTTAGGATCATCTTCATCGGGGAGATTCCATGAATCATCCGCCTCCTTGCCTGTTAATCTCGCGCCACCATATGAAAGTATTGGAGAGGCTGGTGGAGTGGGCTGTTGATACATCCAAAACTTGTAGGTTGTCGCATAGCCTTGGAATGTGTACTGAGGCTTGGAGTTGGCCTCGGAATCAAGTTCCCTCCTATAAACGAAGAAAACAGACCATCGGGGCGAGGATTTATCCGGCTCATCTTCCACGATATAGGATCCACCTTCGATGAAGAATAGGACGGTGATTTGGATTCGTCTCACTAGTTGGAATACGGCGGGATCGTCTAGAGTCCCATGCCAGATTTCATAGGTTGCTCCATCCTTGTTAAAGGTCTTAAGTAGTGTTCCGGGAGGGGCCCATGTGTCAGGGAGGGACTTCAAAGCTTGGTCGTATTCTTTCTTGGATTGGAAAGCAACTGGATATTGTTAGTTAGCCATATTGATCACGTATGCGGAGGTAAAACAAACCCCCAGGCAGGAATTCCTTTAACGTAGCTCTAACGTCGAGCGGCTCGATATCACCCACCGCAGTAAACTTTCGGGACGAGGATACGGATAGGTTTGGTCGCAAGTCCCTAGCATCGTATTGGAGGTTGACCTTTAGGCCTTTGTGACCGAATATTCGCTCATCGTCGCCAAATATGGGATATGTGAACTTCGGGTTGAATGATGCGACCGTGTCGAGTCCCGATGATGTAGGTCGCACAAGCGAGATGTTGAGCGCCTCATTGGCGTCGACCGTCCCTATAAATTCATTTAGTTATTGATATTTTTGCGACAATTACTCGAATTATAGTGACATACACTCGTCTTCCATCTTGTCAGACAAGCTTAAGGTAGAAGTAATATCGACGTAGGTTGTATCAGCGACAAGGTGTAGAGCGTCAGATTTTCAAGTTGCGAAGTTGATAGCAAGTGGATGGGAAAGTTTGGTGATCACTAGCGATTACCCGCGAATAAAAGCGAATAAAAGCGAATAATGGAATAATTAATGGAGCAATGAGAGTTATGCGATAGAAGTAGCAACTAGGCTACCTTAAACGCGCCTTCTTAAAATCTGCTTGTCGCGTCCAAATGATGGAAGCAGCGCGTGGATAGGTGGAGCGCCGTTTAGAGCACTGACCCTTTTTTAGGTAGCATCGCAGTGAAGGAGATCGTTCGGAGCCTTTTAAGTTCTAACAGTCTAAGCAATTCAGGGCCTTAGCGCCGTACGGCAGTAGGTACGTACTGAAACGAATGCACTAAATAGAAAAATCGGCAGTGACGTGCACTTGGTCCCCGCCTAAAAGCAGGTTGCGACAAGGATAATTAAGATTTTAGTGGCCGTTAACTGGAAACCGCCCTGGCAATTTGAGGCTACCGTCGCAAAAAAAGATCCATCATTATCCATTAATCCATTAATCCATGGATCCAACATCCATCTCCCCCATTCCTCTATTATAGCTGTGAGCCTCAAAAATACCAAACCTCTCTTTTTTTTTCTTTCTAATTGTTGTATTATCTAAAGTATAGGGTCGGAATAGGTATTTCAATTGTTTACCTTTTCCGGGATAACCTCCCTCGCCGCGAGGTTGTACCCCCTTATCGCCCCGGACTAAACAGACGTGTATTCAACATTAGTCAACAGTGTCGCCAATGAATCGGTAACAAGCAATTATCTTTTAGGTGCTTCCTTAAGGTGAACACAACAATCATGGCCGGAACTGGGTTGTTTCTTTTACTTGCATTAACGGTATGTTCAAATATCCATTGTACTAGATTGTATCTCCTCCGCCTAAGTAGAGATCCGAGTGCTGACGTGTCTAATTTCAGGTTGTTATGGCATTGGCGTGAGTCCTAACTTTCCCCTGGCGCAAGTCCCAAACTCGAAATCTAACGAAGATAGTTCCTTTCTCGCCGGCGCATTACCTTTATCTATGTCCTTGTCGCAATCGCAGCTTCGATTAATATCAAGTATTGGTATAGGGATACTTGTCGGTACATCCCTAATAGTGATAATACCGGAAGGTATCGAAGCCATTACCGAAGCATCAGTTCCTGTGCGTTCCCAGAATACAAGAAGCCTACATAGCTTAAGACACATATCTACAATCCAATGGACGGAAGGACGAAGTCTCAATTCGAGGGATGAACCGGATTGGAGCGGGATCGCCCCGAATGAGAACCCGGAAAAAAATACATTAGATACAAAATTGGGGGTAGTCGTTCCAAGTCAAGAACACGCCGAAGTTGATCTCCGAGTGAGGGAACCTGCAGATGAGTCAGAAACACCATCGGGCGACGAGAAAAAACCAAGCGCAGGAAGTACTCATGGCGGTGTTGAAGTTCCTACTTTCTATATTGGACTTTCCTTAATCCTAGGCTTCATTTTGATGTTCTTGATCGATCGACTACCTCGCCATGCGTCCGAGAACTTTCAACCGCCTCCACCACCAAGACATATTAGCCTTAGTAATCTAGGTGGTTCATCCCTCTCTAGAGAAGAGGAAGAGCCCGAAGGTTTCCTAGGCTCTTTGACACCCACACCGAAGCAGTCTAGAAGCCTAGCCACAACGACAGGATTAGTCATTCATGCAGCGGCGGACGGCATTGCAATGGGAGCATCGGCCACCTCGCCAGATACGAAGCTAGGTTTTATCGTATTTGTAGCCATTATGGTCCACAAGGCTCCAGCGGCTTTTGGTCTTACCTCGGTTCTGTTGAAACAAGGATTATCAAAGCGCGCGGCTCGGGGTCACTTGATTGTCTTCAGCTTAGCTTCCCCATTCGGAGCTTGGGCAACTTTCATACTCGTCAGCTTTTTAGGTGGAGGTGGTGAGGGTCAGCTGAATCAGTGGTGGACCGGAATGCTGCTCTTGTTCTCCGCAGGAACTTTCCTGTGAGTTGCAAACAAACCCCTTTTTTTCATCCCGTCTTACTAATGTCTTTAGCTATGTTGCAATGCATGCTATGCAAGAAGGCGACTCACCCAGCCACGAGGTTGGCTCGATTCCTAACGGCTACGCCGATGGTGGTCAACGAAAACACTCCCACCCTCAAATGCGAGAGACACTAGCAACGGTGATTGGCATGTTTTTACCTATTCTCACCCAATTCGGGCATCACCACTAAAGAGAATAAATAAGTTCTCGTTTTTTTTAAAAATTGCTGTTGCCACAAAACTGTAGAAGGAGTTAGGATATTGGAACTGGATGGTCGACATGTCTAAGTTGAAGACATAAAACGGCCCTGAATGTGCATCCCCCCTCGACCTACCCAACTGTTTGGGTAGGTGATTGGGGAACATGTATTACATCGAATGTTGTACGATCTTAATGAAGTCCTCATCGGATATAGGATCCGGTTTGCTAGTTTATATGCCGGATATACCCTTGGACTGTAAATAGATCATTTCGTCTTGTTGCGCACAAAAGCAGGCTCTCCTTATTGCCATAAAAACTGGCAGATTTATGAAAAGGAGATGACAAGGCATTATGTGTTGTATAATATAGCATTTTCCCTTGTCAACATATGTGGTGACTTGTAGGTCTTGGAAAGGGGTGACTATAATGATGCTCTATGTGCTGCTACTCGATTATGAAATCAAGTACCTAATCAGAAGTAACGTTCACCCAGCCCATATGAGTATACAAGTATCTAGTCGGATGTTTATCAAACAGTATCTTTTCCCGGTGCTCGGTGATTCTAGTGAAACAAATCACGAGACAGGGGGATTTCGGTGTTTGGACTATGATATTCCTCCTTTGGTGTTTCTCTTTCTCCTTCTCTCAACTAATGACGTATCAATGTTTTCAAAGTTGAGTATACGTTGAATTATCATAGTAATATTCACTTCAGCCCGATCATCGTTCAAGGTCAGGAATCAGGCCCATGGATCACTCTTAGTCCAACCATCTACACGTATGCTAATACCCATGTCACTCAAGTCACTTTAGGAATGTAACAATACCCCATCAGAATGCTTACTTCAAACTAACATCTTGTCTATTCAACCTAGCCATGTGAATGATGTTCTGGTAATGGTAACATGCTGGCTAACATAAGCATACTACTGCGCAATTATAATCCGGTTTGACTTCTATATGGACAATGCGGCGATGACGTAGTTTCGTACGAGTTAGAGATTAAATGATCCTTCATTTAATAATAATCTCAGGAGGACTACGACCACTTAAAATGAGCCCTGCAGGAAAGAGAACAAGAAAAAGCGAAAAAGCTGTCGTAGCATTTGTCAACTCCCGAGCAGGAACTTACCCTCATTCTGACTCAGCACGTATAGAATTGCTTCAATCACCTCAACTTGTCATTTTAGACGTTCGAGACCCCGGCACCCGGGCTTCTTTGGCACAATGTGGACACCAGTCAATTGTCGAGACCGATGTCATCCCGCAGCGGCGGACGGGAACACCTACTGCCTTTGCTAGCTTCTAATCGGCCAGTCCGAATTGCGAAATATGTAGTTTTCTATATATTAGGAATAGCTATGTTCGGTATTTGACCGATAGAAGCGAAAGAGACCAAAATAAGAGGGTAAAAAATTCTTAACCACTAGTTAGCGAGGTCGCCACGGCATTCCTTAGGCAAATGCGTTGGCGGGTTCTGATAAGCCGGTCGAGTTAATGAAAAGATAATAACGCGATGCGCATAACGTCGAACACATGGAACATAGTTGGATTTATCTTGGTTGTCCAAGTAGAAGCAAGCAGTAGATAGCGACACGAACATGAGGGTGACAAGCAAGGGACGGTAGAGGTAAAGAATAGCCCGTGCCGTTGTCCACATCGTACATCGTACATATGTAGAGATGTAAATCCTCGATATGAATGCATGGGAGCTTCATCGGTTGTAACGTTGAAGTGGTATGAGATGTATGCAGCCATAGCTCTTTTGCTTTCTCCGTGCTTCATATCGTTCATATCATCCGCCCATACATAGTATTCTTCATTTACCATGTTTCGTTCTCAAGCGAAGCGCAGAAGCGCCCGCGGCACCATAAAGTGGGCGTAGTGGAAACAGCCTTCCATAGATGGATAATGGTCGGTGGCCAATAGGGGATTTAGAATGTTTTTGAGAAGTACATGTACGGATTTTATCACCGAGGAGGGATTATGATGCACTGTACTCTTTCTATTCGCGTATTTTCGAAGGGTACAGTACATGTACGTATAATTAATCTTCATACATAATGCGATCTCTTTTAGTAGTCCATAGAAAGAAGAGACAGGGGGTAGGCTAATAATGTACTTTATGTAATTAGCCCCGGTCGTTAAACATAGCCGCTGTAGCAGAATTTCGAAGATGGTGCTCCATAATAATTGTCTTGTCGCTTACTTATATAGAACTAGAACGTCAAATGAAGAAGATGTTGTAGTAATTATTCCGACATGATAAGATGTTTAAAACAAAAGAATATGAGAGGAGTATGAAAATAAGACTAAGGTTATGATAACTTCAATAAGAAATGACGGATGTCATTCACTGCCGATTCCAGAAGTACATGCATATTTCAAAAGTTAAAGTAGACTAAAGTTGAGACTTTTGAGACTAGAAGATCGATAGACCCTAGCAAGACGAAACGTTTTAGACTCTGAGGGGTACAAACTAATTACGGATTTCTATGCGCGCAAACACTGTGTCAAATAGTATCAGTATAGACTTCTCTTTCTAAGAGAGGCTTAACAAAAAGCAAATTGTCTAAATTGAGTTAAATATTTATATAGAAATAGACGATTCTTAATGATGGAATAATCGAGGATAATAAAGATATCTTATATAAGCTGCACATAATACAAGTGTATAAATGTATCATGTATTTATGTACCTCCTCCCGTTCCATCAACTTACATGCATGCATGCATGCATGTACTTAATGTATGTAAGTCTGGCTACCTAGTGGCCAATACATGTATACATACAGATTAAGGCATTGTGCTGTACAATTAATACAGTATATATACAGTAGCACTAGTGTAGCACCTAACCCCCCGGCGGGAGAAACTTTATGGGTAGCGTTATGGGGGGGTAGGCACGTTCCTGCTCATCTCTCTGGCTTGTTCAGTGTGTCCAGCGTGTCTACTGGTGGTCCGCACCTGGCCCTGTTAGCCCCCTCCATTCCACTTTTTTCCCTTTTTGCAGGAAGGAAATAGTGGAAAGTGATCTTACACTTACCACACTTACCACCTGGGCAACTACCCTGCTACCATCCTCAACAGAGCTAAAGTCAGTCACCACTCTCTGGCGCTGTCACTAACTAATTGTCGTTTAACTTGAACTTTCTTTCATTACACCATCATCATCATTTCTTCTTCCATTTTAGAAGGGAGAAGAGAGAGAAAAATAAAATACAAATCACTTTCTTTTTTTTCTTTTCGGGAATTAATTCTTCATCCCTTACAAAACTTGTTGCACTGGCCAACCCAAGCTCAAAGGAAACTATTCTTGTAGTTTTGATTTTTGGGGGGAAATTCCAATTCCTGGAAATAATCAATCTCTCTCTCTCTCCCTCCGCATAACAATCCCTCTCTCTTCTATCGACGGCCCCCAGTGAAAAAACGACCTCTTTCTACCAATGCCGCATTAAACCCACTAATCACCGTTCGCTTTTCCGTCGATATCCTTCCTATCCGTCTCTTTACTCATCGTAGCCTCACTCATCCATCCATCCATCCATCCAGACAGTGTTGGTTTTACCTTCACCCTTGCTCTATATTAGCTTAGATGCTACGGCAGGTCGTTTGACCTACCAATTGTGTCTTGGGACAGGCTTGTCTCATTGATCCGGACGTATGCAGACCCATCCTTGTGCCTTTACTCCTACTCCAACATCTGCACTGCTCCACGAGTCGTCCTGGATAATAGCATTCAGACTGTTATCACCTGATGTTCATACCCATTCAAACAGTAGAAAGGATTTTGTCTTAAATTCCCATCCTAATAGCTAATGTCCATCTAGACATTACCCGTTACCCGTCTCTAGTAGATACCTCCGAACTCTGGTCGGTCGCCGACTCGACCAGCGAACATAGTAATACACCCCTAATCATCGTCAATCGTCGCGATACGCACGGATATCCGGTTTCGCTTTATACGTTAAACTGTTGAGTCAAAGATGGCGAATTACAATCCTCCGCTCAGTCTATCAGGAAGGAGAGCTAGCGCTTTAAGTTGTGGTGGCGAAGAGTTAACGCTGGACACGGCCGCTGCTGGTCCCATCATCATAAATCAAAGGATGGATAAAATGATACAGCAACCACGCCCGCGGGGCCCTCCAACGCCTAGTATGAGTACTCCTGCTCCCGACTTCGACCAACAACTCACAGGATCTCCACCACCGCCTCCTACACCAGCAGCATCGCCAGGTCCGACAGATGCGCAACCCGACTGGAGCGATGCCGCCGACGACGAAGATTTCTTCCTTTCACACGTCCGCCAACATTTCAAGAACTGTCCTGGACCACAGAGGAATCGGATTCTCGCCGATCTACTGAATATGTGTACGACACAACAACTGAGCTTTGTTCATCAGTTTGTCAGCCCTCTATTGAAGAAAGATCCTTTCACAAGTCTACCAGATGAACTATGCTTGAGGATATTGTCGTTCATAGACGACCCACAGGTACTTGCGCGAGCGTCGCAAGTGTCCAGGAGATGGAGGGATCTTCTGAGTGACGATGTGACATGGAAGAACCTATGCGTTAAGCATGATTACGGTCGTCGACTTTCCGAAGTTTCTGGACTACCACAATTCGCATCGACGAGACCCGGTGCTTTACCTCTTTCCGATCCTGAATACACCCATAGCTTTCCAGGCGCTCTTCCTGGCCCTTCCGCATTTCACGCATCTACTCGCAGCTTTGATAGCTTTTCAGAAAGCTCATCATCCGCTGGACGACCTAAACTACGGTCGTATAAGTCGCACTTCAAACAAAGATACCTTGTTGAATCCGCATGGAGGACTGGTGGACGTAATACTACAAGAACTATAACTCAAGATGGCAGAGTCGTGACTAGCCTACACTTAACCCCGAAGTATATAGTCGTCGCACTTGATAATGCGAGGATACATATCTTCGATCGGGAGGGCAATGCGCTTCGCACTCTCCAGGGTCACATTATGGGTGTTTGGGCTATGGTCCCCTGGGAAGACATTCTAGTCAGCGGTGGATGTGATCGCGATGTGCGAGTCTGGGATATGACTTCAGGGTACGTCTGATTCTTTGGAATATTAACAACATTGGGCTAACAAGCGAGCAGAAAATGCCTATTCACTCTCCGAGGTCATACATCGACTGTTCGTTGCCTTAAAATGTCGGACGCGAACACGGCGATATCTGGATCGCGCGATACCACTCTAAGAGTTTGGGATATTAGGCAAGGAGTCTGCAGGAATGTCCTTGTCGGGCATCAAGCCAGCGTTAGGTGCCTAGAAATAAAAGGAGACATTGTTGTCTCTGGCAGCTACGACTCATCGGCGAAGATATGGAGTATATCTGAAGGCAGATGTCTGCACACTCTTAGCGGTCATTTCAGCCAGATATATGCCATCGCGTTTGATGGCAACAGAGTTGTCACTGGAAGTCTCGACACCAGCGTCCGTGTCTGGGATGCCCACACAGGGTAAGTTGCCTTGTATCCAAGGATTTAACGTAATGGTACTAATTTGTGCGAAAGTGAGCCCGTCGCTGTTCTTCAGGGCCATACTTCCCTAGTCGGTCAATTACAATTACGCGGTAACACACTTGTCACAGGTGGTTCGGACGGTTCAGTTAGAGTTTGGTCTCTTGAGAAGATGTGTCCGATTCACCGACTAGCAGCGCACGATAATAGTGTCACGAGCCTTCAGTTCGACGATACACGGGTCGTAAGCGGTGGTAGTGACGGCAGGGTCAAGGTCTGGGATGTGAAGACGGGTCATCTTGTCCGTGAACTAATCACAGCCGAGTCCGTCTGGAGAGTGGTTTTTGAGGATGAAAAATGCGTGGCAGTTGCTAATAGGGGAAGCAGAGTCATGATGGAGGTAAGTTTATCTTGTGAAATGTTGAATGTGTGAATTGTGCTAATGAAGACTCAGGTTTGGTCATTCTCACCTCCTGAAGACGCATTTTGCGAAAGGCCACTTTCGTTACCTCAGAAACTCGCTGAGCCATCGCCAACGCGGCCTCTAACGGGCGATTTCCGTCGATCAACCTTAGGCCTTCCCTGTTCCGAGGATGATCCAAGCAGTAGAGATGTGGATATGAGCGATGCGGGCCCATCAACTGCGCCTCTAGTGGGAAACACAACATTCTTCCACGACGATTAATGTCCCACTTAATAGCGTACACCCTTCAAATTTATCACAATCGATATCTTGGAAATCCCAAGCGTTGTCTACGATTTCTGGTCTATCGAAGTCTTTTTTTGGTGCTGGAATAGTGCTTTGAAGTATTGCATCGTCTAGGCGTTGAAAGCATGGTGACATTTATATGTTAGCATTGGGTGCACCAATTTTTGCAAAGGGAGGTGCGGAGCGTGAATTGCGACTTGAGTGCGAGTGAGTGAGTGGTTGGGATGGGGTGAAGTTGGGGGTGAATGGCGTAATGTCATCGGGAGGCTGGCTACCTTATATTGGGCTTTTAAGAGCATCACCTACACATCATCACTTATCACTATATACACCAGGTCGATTGAATACATCTCAACTACTTGGATCCCTTTCGGCGAGAAAGAGGAAGGCGCTTCAGAATGGGATTTTTTGGTATGGGAGAAACTGGGGCGTCTGTCTTGTCTATTGATCGTTACCGCTCAATCCCCACCCTTAGGATAAGGGGATTTATTTATCTCGGTGGATAGGTGGGTGAAATGGTGTACTATCGATTGGATTAAATATGGAATGGGATGGATTGAATTCGATGGATCGAAGGATGGATATTTTATACCGCAGACAGAAAGAGACAGACAGAAAAACTCGCTTGTGTATATGCATGCTGTTAAGAGAGATGGAATGAAACAAGACGATATGCATTTCTAATACGTGAGGGCTTGATTGTGAATAGTGATTCGAGATGTAAATACTTGTAGAAGATGCTCTGAATGTCGGATCTGTCTGAGTTGTTCAGGCTGTCGAGTAATTCTAATAAGTCTGTTTGTCCTAACTTAAGCCCCCCTCAATGCCATACAGACACATTTAGGAGTTAATGCTCCTTTGTTTCCATACCTATTCTCACTTGAATTTGACTGCATATGTACATTGCTTCATCATGTCTATACCCCCTTCAGTATTTAGGGGGGACTAATATCCCATGTTCTGTAATGTAATTAGACATTTTCCTATCCGTAGATATAATACAGCCTTGAAATTCATCCTTCCATCCTTAAGCCTTGGATAAATAATTCATAGATCCCGTCTGTTCCCATTCCGGGTATATATATCAAGTTGACATAGTAGATTTACTCCTACCAATCCTCTCCCACTCCTCAGCCATAAACTTCAAATCCCTATCACCACTACCACCACCATCCCGCTCCACCCTCTCCCGCACCAACCCCCCCATCTCCCTCGCCGCGTCCTCAGATCCACTAACAGCCGCGCGTTCCATCAAGCGCAGACGCTCGGGATCTCCGGGGTCGAGTAACGACGCGTACCGATAACACACTTCAGGTGTATCATATTCATAAAACAACCTCCGCAGTATCTTCTTAGCCTGGTCAAAGTTTTTCGGCTCTTGGTTTGGAATTTGGAGTGCGATGCCGAGATATCGGGCGCCTAGGTCCCGCCATTGCCAGCGCACGGTGGGGGGCCCGGGGATTGATGCTCTTTCTGCTTCGGCGAGGAGGTGGATTCCTTGGGAGGTGCTGGGGCTTGTGTTTTCGAGGAATGCGATGATGGCTTTCAGGGTTAGGGCGTCGGGGCGGTAGTACGCGGCGTCGAAATCGTTGCCGCGGTTTGTTCCTTTGGATGGAGATGTGGATGTGGTGGGGAGTTTAGGGGAAGAGGCGAGTTTGTCTAGGCCTTCTTTTGCTGCTGCTAATTGTGGTTTGAAGATAGCGTTTGATATCACGCCGAAACGTGCCATTGTTAGGATGGAGGGTGGGTAGTTGAATGTTATCCCCGTGTGTAGGATGTGCCGGGCTATGAGATGTCCGCTGCCGCCTGAGCTCATGAGTATGAAGGCGATGTATTGTAATGTGGATAGTGGGATACGGTCGTCATTGGGGTTGGTAGAAATAGTAGTAGCTATTGCCTTTTGCCGCCAGTCGGGGCTGTTCTGGATAGCTAAGGAGACATATTGTTGACATATCTTAAAGAAGTCCTCAGGGGAAAGATGAGCCTCGTCGGCATTGGCTGGTATCAAAGGAGGATGAGCATGTGCAATCCAGAAAGGAAGTGATGGGATATCAACAGGAGTGAAATGAACTTTTGCGAAGCTATTTCGGTCGACTTTACGCTGAATATGGACAGTCCGACTGATATTAATGAAAATGTTTTCGGTATGCCGAGTAAATATCCATTGCCGAGGGATAGGTAGTTTCGGACGTGTGATACTTGTGACAAATTGGCGATATTTAGTAGCCATATCTTCATTCTATTCGTATGATTGGCTCAGTAGTTTGAGAGCTTGCTACTGGCCGAGACACTCAGCCGAATTAAGTAAAAGTGAGGCCATACACATTATAACCCCGCACGTTCCAACAGAATGTGAGCAGAACACAACTCACTATGAGTGTATCTTAGAGAAAATACATTCTAATAAAACAGGTAAAATCAATTATTTAATACTTAGATGTTTTATTTACGAATAGAAATAAAGTTAAGGTGTAGGATGGCGAACGGAATGGACAGTGTAATTAATAGCCGAAGATCTACCGGCATGATCTTGCATTAGCTTATCACCCTATCAGAGCTTCTGTTTATCTTATCGATCAACAAACAATCCAATCTTTTTTTTTTGTGAAGAAACATCCCACCACTACATTTACACCTACAACCAGCAGATCATTATACAATCATTTTTTTACGGTATATACGATTGATTGCTGGTCGCCATGTCTCCAACCACAAGGAGAAGCGCGAAAGAAGCTACAGAGGCAAAGAATACGAACGAAGATGCCCCCGAAGAAGTGATTTCATCGCGTGGAAAGCGGAAATCGACCGGAAATGATGATAACGAAAACACCACTATAAATCCTCAAAATACACCACCGAAGCGACAAAGATTAGCAGTGCGAACACGAGAAGACGAGAGTACCGGCAGTGGGCGAAAGACACATCTCGAGGTAGAAATACCTATATCCAGCAATTCAAAACCCAAGAGATCTCAGAAAAGCGCCGTGTCCGATTCACAAGGAGTCGAGGAAGACTCTGATCCCGAAGCTGAACCCTCGAGTGCCTCGAAGCAATTGGAAGATGAAGCAAGCCAGCAGTTAGCCTCACAATCAGTTGAACCCGACGCGACACCCGCTCCTAAACCCAAGGGCAAGCATGTTGTTTTTGGCGACGACGACGATGTAGAGAAATTCGTCGCTGCCGCTGCTAAGACGAAGACTGGCGACAAGGAAGGAGAAGACCAAGAAGACAGCGATGACGATGATGCCCCCGAAGCCGTATCAACACAAACCGCCGCCAAGCAAATACAAAAAGCAGCGCAAGCCGCCTCTGAAGCCGCCGATAAGTACGCGATCCTTTCTCTACCCTATTATAAATCCATACTAACCCACTTCCACAGACAAGCCGCAACCCTAAAACGCAAACGTCAAGAAAAAGACACCCTTTACAAAACCCAAGCAGCCGAACGACGAAAACGCACCCGCAGCGCCGTCGAAGTCCACCAAACGAAACCAAACTCCAAGCCCACCGCCGACCGCGGCGGTAGCGAAGACAACACAGCCGAAATCGAAGAAGCCATAACCTCCGGCCGACGCCGCGCGCACAAATTCCAACTCCCCACCATCCTCCCCCCCGAATTTCTAACCGATTCCTCCGACGAAGACGAAGACGAAGACAAAACCGCCCTCAAAAAGCGTAAAACCATTAAACCCCAATCTAAAAAAATAAACTTCGACACCCTCGGAAACGAGGGTAAGAAACCCCGCGATCAAATCGTAGGAACGACGCGATACCGCGTGTTAGCCGAACAAGCGGATCCGGGGTTAGCGCCGAGACGACGACGCGATGCGCAGAGGGCGAAGGAGAGTTTGTTGAAGAGGAGGAGGGAGGGTGTTGTGGTTAATAGGCGGAAGGGGTTTTTTGTCAAATAGGACAAGAGGGGCTGCGTGTGCAGATTTTATATCAAATGGTTATTCGATGATTCCTTATTTCGCTTTGAGGTTGCCGTGATTGTGGGGATTCGTAAAGTTAACATCGAGAATGTAGGAGGTAAGCTCGTATGAACGTTCACGCCGATCACAATTGGGACTAAAGATCCCTTGATTTACTTAAGACTATCGTCTCATTGAATTGCTATCTAACTACTGGGCAATATCTCAGCCATAGTACATCTACCAAATACATTCAATTCCATACAAGTATCACACAATACCACATATCACAATCTCCAAACAATGCAACAATTCATCTTCATAATAGAACAGTGGTTACTTGATACAGATTTCAAAGATCCGGATATTCCTCCCCGGTTGGCATCTCTTTATATACCGGAAAAAAACCGTTACAAGTCGTTAATGTACAACGCTTTGCTTTCAAAAAATGACACTCGACCAATCTTCCCTTCCTTCCTAAGCCATAGCCAAAAAGGTATACGTAGGTCTTGCAAGTGTCGCATAGTTCTCTCGTCTCGTCAAGAATAAAAACTATCGACCAACCCATAAAGCTCCCCTCTCACCCCCTTTCCACCCTTTCCCTTTGGACACCGAAAACATATTTCCAATTGATATCCACCGTAAAACAAAAAATCAGATCCCTGTATCTTAGGGCCTCCTTTTTTTCCCGACAACCAACGAAACAAACGCTGTGTAGGCGTACATAGCAATGGTGCTGATAGAAGACGATGGGTTGTATGGGGTGTATACGCAAGAAGAAAACTGTAAAATGGTATCTTTAGGTCATAAGAAACTTGACTGAAATAAGTCAAAAGGCTCGAGTGGTTCGAGGAGTAAACAAAAGAAACAAAATTTGAAGGGTGAAGCAAATCCAAAACATGTATAGGCACCTAGATAGGTAAGCCCTCAGAATAAGCAGAATATTCGTTCAAAACATGGTCCCGTAGAGGTCGTTGGTCTAATTGGGCGTCGAGGCTCCGAGAATATGTGGTTATATATAGATAGAATAGGAGGGGATTGAAAATGATACTGCCATTACGGCTCTTCGATAATTCCTTCACCGCCGGCTTCTTCTCTCCACTCACGGCTCTTATCTGTTAGCTTCTTAACACCGTTGACACGAGCAGCCCATAGGCTCTCTATCGGTGTTCGGAATGTGAATGCTCGTTGGCTACTAATGACACCAATAGCTTGTAAAACGGCTTTACGGCTGTCCCGTCCAAAGACCGCAGGGTGGCTGATCCACTCAAGACTAGCCTCGAGTTCGGAATCAAGTGCGGCAACAGTGCCAACGTCAATACCGGTCGCGTTGCTTAATGTCAACCCGTCATTCGATCGTGTCCTAGGAAGGGCCGAAAGACCATTTGCACCTGAATGAGCCGAGGCGGTTGGCGATGGGGTGTGTTTCCGATCCGGTGTAGCGGAGATAGGAGAAGCATCCGATCCAGGTTGAGGGGTGGAAGGGTTCGATTTGCCATTAGCGGGCACGGGAACGGGTGGGAGTCCTCCCTTGCCCAATCCCTTCAAGATCGAACGTGTTTCATTCAGGAGGGTGTTCGCACGGTCGTGCTGGCCTCTCGAGACCAATGTTAACGCTCGGGTAAGCATATCGGAAGTGAGTAGCTCCATTCTTCGTTGTACGATATGTGGGTGAGGTGGGATCGGAGGGTTGTTCTGCCATGAGGAAGACTTCTTCGAACTACCCGGCGCCGGTAGCATTGTGATGGTAAGTAGAGATTGCCTCGGAAGGTGCATCATAGTACCATCCCTCAGTATATCACCCCATACTAGGTCTGCCTGAATAAGAGGCAATTCTTCGACAGAAACCGCTCTCTGGTCATCAGGTTCTGCAGGTCCGCCTAGGGCTTCTAGGCCGGATACGATTGTCTCCCAAGGATCCTGAGGTAGTTGCTCTTGGGATGAATTATCGGGAAGGATAACTAGTTGAACAAGTATATCTCGTTTATCGCCGAATCTAAGGTCCCCTAGCGATGCTTCCGCATCACGACCCGTAGCACGCTTGGTGATCTGTAACGCTCCGCTGATCTTGTGGAATCTAGCAGGCGAACCTTCCGGCAACTTGAGCTTCAGTTTTACGTTCTGGTGAGATAACGACTGCATTGATCCTAGGCAGCCAGCCAAGCATTCACGTAGCATCATCCAGTCCTTGACATAGGTATACGAAGCCTTTGTCCTCGTAGAAAGCTCAATCATGGTGTCTGGCTTGTGAGTCATGCCTAGACCAAATGAGTGGATTGTGATCCTATAAATAATTAGCATCGCTGATTGTTATTTCAGTAGCAATGGGGATTATCTTACTTAGCGGCCTCAGCTCGTGAGACAACGAAATCGACACTATCAGCATCGGATGTCGAGGCGTCGCTGATGAGCATAATCGTCGCGACCGGGTTGTTATACTTGCGTTGCATGAGCAAGTCCATGGCGACATTGGCACCCTCTACGACATCCGCACGGTGACTCTTCTGTCCCACAGGCTTAATCGAAGCTAATATGTTGTTCCATCCGTGCCATGCCTTGGTAGTCATTCCGACAATGGGTACGCCGCCTCCTCCCGAGCCAAAAGTGACAAGACCCATCCGATCGCGTTCACCAAGAGTGTTGACCATAAATTTTAGAGCATCCCGAACGAGGTTAATCTTGACTCCTTGCATCGATGAAGAAATAGGTACCACGACGACGACATCAATCGGTACGTGGAATGACGAAATGGTCGAGCACTTGTTAGCGAGGCTTGTGTACTCGGTGGGAGCCGTCGTGACCGATTTGGGTCCACCGTAGGAAGAGGCCACTGATGAAACCCGCTGAGGCCGATTCGCTCTAGCCCAATCATCCTCTTCATTTTCTGATGCCTCCCGTTCATACTCAGGACTTCTAACTGGGGATCCTTCAACGGCGTTAAGGTCGAGAAGAGCTTGCTGCCAAAGCTTTAATTGGTTTCGGTTCTCAAAACGTAGATGGAACTGCGGGAGCTCAGCGACAGAGAGACTAAGCGTTAATACGTTCTCGTCAACTGCAACAGGAAATCCATCAGTTAGCTATTTCAATTACATAGGTCAGGCCACTTACCCGTACCAGTTTCGGAGACCTCATTAAGATGCTTCTTAATAAGAATAGAACCCTTTAGGGTACACCGTGTCGCTTTCCTAGGCATGCCGTTCTCATCCCATTGTTGCTGCTGTGCGGGAGGGAGATTCTTCTTTTCTTTGACGCAGATAAGCATCTCAGCGAAGAGATAACACTCCAATTCTTGCCATGAAACCTTGTCTTTACCGACCCTCAAAGTGCCGTAAAGTCGAAGCTTTCCGAATCTATATCTTATTAGCTAATTACCGCAAGATTGTGGGATAGGAACAATCGCACCTATTGAAATCCAGACCATGCCAATTATCGACCCGAGTCCGTAAGTTCTCAGTCATCTCTTCTAAAACTTCCGGCGCTTCGTATGGGTAAAAGCGTGGCTGCGAACTTCTCGCTGGCGATGGCGGCCTCTGCGCAAATGCATCTTCAACGCGCATTTGCGGTGCTGGGTTCACGGTTCCAAGATCTTCGGGATCCGGCTTCCATTTGTTGTCGGCAACTTCTACTGTGACAAGGCATGTTAAGGTCTGCTGTTGTCTCGAGCGGGTTATGGTGGGGAATTCAGATCGAACAACGACCGACGGTGGTGGTATCGGGTTGCGTGCCATAGCTCTCGGGCTACCAGGCGTCGTTTCCATGGCTTGAAGATCATAATCATGTCGGCGCGGCGGACCACTTTGCGCTGTTTCGGGGTAGCCTGTTGATGAAGCGACACCAGTCGCTTCACTATCGCTACGGCCATGTCTATGAGCGTTTGCGTAACGATCCGAACCTGATGTATCCCGACTATCTCGGCTGTCTCGAAGGTTGCCACGAGCTGCGCTCTCACGGCCATTACTGGGTGCCATACTACGACCATTAGACTCGCCGCTGTGTGGCCGGCCACTCTGAGTCTCCCAGCCGTCCCTACCATCCCTCGGCGTTGGCGTGGTTATCGACCTGCTGTCGCTCGCAGATGCCGATCGGACCATATTTGTTAATTTTTCTGTATCGAGAGGCGAAAGTTAGTACGTCGATTAGTCAACATTGCCATACAGAGTACTTACCAATATCCAGGACGTTACCTCCACGGCTTGTGTCCAGGTGTAGAGGCGCATTGCATGATGGGCAATATTGTGACTCGAATTCGCGGATAAACTCATAAAAGCAAGCTTCGTGGGAGACGTGGGAGCACGAAAACTGTAAGATCCTCTCACCACGGAGTGTGTGTTCCAGGGGCTCTTCGCAAACGGCGCATTCGCTCCCGACGAATGTCCTCTCCCTCCTCGTCCGACTTCTCTCTGCATTCATCATGCCCGACATATTGTTTTGGCGTATGGTATTATTAGAAGCGGAAGAACTTATGGAAGCACCAGAGCGATGCGACGGTGCGCGATTTGGTTGAGGCGACGGACGAAGGTTTGCTGCAGTGATGGAATGGTCTAATGATAATTCAAAAATACACAATCAGCTTGCGATTGCGCAACGGAAAGACGCAGGGCTTCTGCGTAACGGGTCACAAGGTGGGGAGGTTCCAAGCACAGAAAGAAGTAAGCGGGAAGATGAGACGAGAAAAAAAAGCAACTTACTCTTCTCGGGATAGGACGGGACACTGTGAAGACTATTCCAGTCGTCCTCCTGTCTCCGAAGAGAACGCAGAGAGCGTGACTCGGCTCCAGGCCTCCTTAGACCCAGCTCAAGCAGGTTCGAAATCTGACCTCCACGATGCTCACGATCCTTCGTACTGTTAGAGCTAGAGAATCCGTATGATTTAGACGACGATGATCGACTAAACATGGGCGACGTAAGGGCGACGGTAAATCTTCTAAGTGGGTAGGCGGTAGTAGTATAGGTAGTATATACGGATATTAGTTAATAATCCAAAGTAGATCAAGACTAGACTCGGAGTTGGTTGCGTCAAAGAGCGGAGGAGTATATAGGTTGGGCCGTTCTTTTTTCTGGTGGCTGTGACAACCGGCTGCTGAAGGACTGTTTCAAGTTGGGGGGTATTTCTTATGCTCGTAATAGTATGAGGGCTGGATAATGGACAAGCGATAGTGCGCACGAATCTGTAATAAAAGCAAGGCCCCTGAAACTGATACGTTCAACCGATTTACCAGATCGAATTCTTCATATAGATATGAATATGTAGGCGTAGTTGTAGATGAATTGAACATAAGCTTTTCGATAAATTAATTTCAAATTCGTTTGGTCGGGCTCGGGTTCGAAATCTCCAACGGAATCGTAAAAATGGTAAGATGAATGGCAGTCGAGAAAATTATTAATATGTAAGGTATAGGTGTAGGTAGCTTTTTGGGCAATAAGTTTTAATTTTGGGGGGAAATAGTCGAAGAAGTCGAGGTCGATAGGTTGATAGGATCTCGCTAAGTGGACGAGAGACTTCTTCCCTCTAGCCTGGCACCTTTAGACTATGTAGAGGGTACAGGTACAGGTACAGGACAGGACAGGATAGGATGGATACAGGAGTCTCTTCCACTTTCAAGGACCCCCAATAAGATGCGAGTTAATGGCCCAATTTTCGGTGGCCGGGACTACCAATCAGTCAATTTTTGCCAGCCCTCCCTGCAAAACTGACGAAAAGGACGTTGCCAATATGTCGTTAGGAGAAGGGGGGGAATAAAAGGGGAATCCTTCTATGTAAAGTAAGTAATAGAATAGGATAGGATAGGGAGGTGTATGTATTAGTTCCCTCCTTCAAATTGCTTTTTCTTTTTTTTCTGTTTCCTTTCCTCCCCTCCCCAGGCCTAGTCGAAACAAGGTAAGACCCTGGACTCCCAGCGTAACAGAAGAATTGAGTGGCCGACGGTACGGGACTTGAATGGTGTAAGTAATTCTTTAGCGGCCGCTAGATTATATCGCATCCGACTAAAAGTGTGCAACCCTTCATTTAATAACACTAATTAATAGTTAAGAAGGGAACGACAACCATAATGAGGAAGAATGTCGCCTGTCAAGTCGGATATTCCAAATGGTAGGAATTGCAGGAGAAGTACTGAACGACTGAGTGACTTGAAGAGGAAAGGCAAAAGGGAAAATGGGCACATAAGGGATATGTACGGTTATTGCCTGTACGTACATATTACTATCTCGTTTATTATTACAATACTACAATACATAGGTACATCCAGGTAGCACTGCACTGCTGAACTCAATCATAATCTAGTGGGATCACTTGGGTGCGGCACTCTGGAGATCCCTTCCAGGGTCATGGTGCCTTGTATTTTAGCAAGCTTAACCCCTACATTAGGTTAGGTTTGGGTGGCCCCGTTTTCCTGTAGTTGGGTACCTCGCAGTTGCCTGTCGAGACGGGGAAGGTGGACAAGGTTGTCATGCTGTAACATTGAAGGTACTCCGCACATCTTTAACATTTGGATGTACATCAATCTACATAAATCTAAAGTGATCGCATGTACCTGTCTGTATGTAATGTATGTAATGTGGAATATCTTCAGCGCTAATTGCGCAGAGATGGACCTACCTACATCAAGTACATCAGCCACTTGTCTACGTATACATCTATATATTTATTATATCCAGTTTACGTATGTGCAGTGGCTGACTCATTCCCCGCCGTTAGTAGTAGGAGATCCATTAAGCTGGGCTGGGCTGGGTACGTGCCATAAGAAATAAGAAAACGTTCTGTTCCATTCAATAAACCTGTCAAGCTTGCCGGTGGACCGGTCCGTGACAGAGCGTTGGGAAATCTGTATGTGTGTACATGTATGTCTGGATGTGAAGGTTCAAGGACCCCGAGGGGAACAGTCTAAGTGGATGAAGAACCATTATCGAGGAACCGTTCCCTCATTACCAAGAGCACTTTAAGTCCGTGCATGGTACTTGTTTAACTTAGGCATGGGACAGGAATTTTCTATATCCTTGCTGACAAGGGGGCTAGATCCTTGTCTCCAACCATATTGCAGTCCATGTCCATGGGTACCCTAAGTTAACCCCCCGCTTTACTAGGAACAACCCAGAGAGATCAGAGCGAACTACAAGTATACGCTAGTTGATTTGTACCTAAGTACTTCATTCGCTCATCATTAAACACGCTGGGTCTGTTCACTTCTATCACCAACTTGATAATTAGTGTTTACCAGAGGACTGTAACCGAATTCGTCATCTAGTAAATATCGGAATAAACTAAACTACTTACCTCCATAGTGATACCAACGGATATAAAACATAAGAGTATCATTCCATAACCCCGTTTCAAAGAGAAACCGGCTGCGAACTGTTGTTTAGCTACGCGCCAAAACGAGATGAAAGATCCGGGCGCCAATCCAAGTTAGGCCGGTTAACATCCGGCAATATCCCCGTTGCAGGTTTTTGACAATATAAAATAGCTTCTCAGCCGCTCGTTCGAGAAGTTCTAAAGCACGTCTAAAGGATCTAGGAACGCTAGAATCGCTAGAATCGATAGATCTCGAAGCGAGCATAGAAACTACACGTAAATATGTATCTGTACCAACCAAAGTTTGGGAATAGCGTCAACTCTGTCCTGCGCTAGCGCTAGGAACTTTCTGCACGTGGCCCGCCGCGGTGTTTTTGATAGCAGTACTATCAATGTTAGTGTACCCTGTTGCGAAAAGAGAACAACGAAGAAAAGTCAAAGCGATGGAAATAAGTAAACATTCGATCTTACTCTTGCCACTATTTCGTAATTTCCTATCATAAAGAGCTGAGGCGTTAAATTTTTGATTACTCCACTAGTTCTTATACCCCTTTTCTTAATCTTGACGTGGCGTCTTAATAGCAATAATAAGATCATGAACTTCTAAACGCTATGACTGAAGATTATGACGAAGATGAAGAAGAAATTTATTTCTCGGTGCTAAGCGATATGATATTATAATGAGTGTAAATGCACTTCAAAAAGAAACTTTCAGTACTTGGATACTTGGGCACTTACACACTAAAACAACATTTTTACGTACATTAATGATGCATGTACCTGTGTATACTGTATGGTATGATAATATTAGGTTATTCCACGGGGTTTATTTAACTATATCATAGCTTAATCGTAAAAAAGATAATACCAATCAAACTTTTAGATCTTATTCTTTTTTTACCTCATATTCAATATGATAATATCAATTGACATTCATCGACATCTTGATTCAAAATGCACATACCTCGCTAAATGACTGCGAAATAGGCAGTGGTAGTCAGGTTCATGCATTTTACTACCTCCACTCAATCAGCTCCATGAGACGTATCGGAATCCCGCTTTGACGGCAATGCATATGACGGCCCAATCATCAGGTGCTGATGATGGAGTATTCGACAAAAACATACCATACCCGGGATGACGCCATGTAATCCTGCGGCCGAGCTTTGCCCAGCCAATAGCAATTACAGGACTTTACAGGACTACTGAGCTACTAGCTGAGAAGAAAGCCGTATACTCAGTTAGTCAGTACACGTTCCCTCTCACACCAGCCACCCAAATCAAGAGCCAAGAAGAACTCTTACTCTCAGCCTCCTTCGAAGCGGATCACGGCAATTCGATTACCTACAATTGACAAAGCCTCTTTACTAAGCAGGGCGCGGATGGAGATTCGGACGCATCCCGACTCGTCCATATATTATAGTGACTCCCGAGACATGATAACACCAACAGCCAAAACTTTAAGACAAGCAACTCATCTCATCGTGGTACGAATGGGTTCTTGTCTGACACCTGTCGGATTACGAGCCTATCGTATCCCACTCCGCCATTGCAACGGCAGTTATGAATCTTTTGCCCTTTGGTGAGCAGCCGCTGGCGTCGTACTCGCATAATCATAAACCGCATGTGGCTGATTTGGCGAGTCACTCGCTATATGATAGGCGACATGCTAATACATAGATATCCCTCGCCGGTAAAGTGCCGCCCGGACAGACCGAATCCAAAGGATTAGAGACTTGTCTTGACATTGGACAACAAAGCCCGCTATGCCGAGTTTGTAACGGGTTGTGGTATTGGGCACAAAAGCTTTAATGTCATCATAAGTAGGTAATCCAAGCTGCGATTCGTAAGATTCCCAACGGATTTCAGTCAGCGGAGTCCCGATCTCAGCTGCTAGACTCGGAGTCGATACGGATCTTACCAGAACTAGTCATTTGTACAGGCCAATGCGATGCGCCCCTTTGATCGAGATGCCAGTGATAGAACTCAGAAAGCCCGCCTCCACCAGGCAGAAGCTCAACCCAGTTATCGGGTTTGACTAAAATATGACATCCAAAACAACACCCTAATGCCATACGCAGTACGACGTGGCGAGGCTGCTATGATGCATTTCTAGTATAATGGCTTTTCGCCCTATGGCAACGGGAGGTGTGCCAGTTAATCTATTCCAGAGGGGAGTCTCACATCAGCGTCTTATATGGAAAAGACACGCATCCCTTCCAATGATATCTTCAATACGAAACTACGGGACTATACCACTAATCAATATTTCAACTCGTTGGCTGTGGTGGGGTCACGAGACAATTCCCTCTCAGCTCATGACGACATATGTACTATTAACATGGATAGCCAGGGGACCTGCAACCATCACGGATCTCGTCACTCCGTTTAATGACTGTTCATAGCGTTTATACGGGATGCATTGGTCGAAGATGCGGCCTCTCGCTACGAAACTTCACTTTCACAAGGATAGCATCAAAGGACGGATACCAATCCATGTATACCCGGTCACCTAGTCGCTTATATTCACCCGGATTCATGCAGTCAGAGCTTCTATTATCCATCTCGTCGTCTTGGCGGCCTACGGATCCTCTTCTAATGAGCTGAAGCATCATAGGTGCATCCATACCAGCAACGCGGTTATCAAGTTGCATCTATTACCGAAATCGCAGAACCCCGTAGTCCACGTGGCGAGAGTGGCAGCGTTTCCAGATAGGCAGGTGTGTGGGATCAATTTTCGACTTTCTAAGTGGTCGGTCGAACAACCATTAACCCCTTGTCGCTATCACTTTTGATATTCAGCTGCCCAGTTTTAGGATTCATCGTTAAGACAAATCGGATAATAAATCCCGTGGCTGAATTTCCTAAATGGGGATAAGAGGGCAGAGACGACACTCAGCTGCCGAGCACTTTGCTATTCATCTATAAGATCTATGGATAGAAACAAAATCATCGACAGGGACAACCCATTACCTTGTATCAACACCACGCCGTCGGGGAGGGGCCAGAAAACCATACAGGTACTTAACTTCACTAGGTTATTAAGTACCTATATGTAGGTAAGTTATATAACGTCTCTAGGGACTTACAGCGTATCAGTCGCCTAGTCTTCACTACCTATTTGGAATACTACACTATATGCATTCGCAGAATTTGTCCCAATAGCGTGGTTTTGCGGACCAAAGCGCCTTTACGTCAGCTGCTGCATATATTTGGCCGAGAAGGGGTGTGCTCGCCGGGTAGTGCCAGTGGAATCCTTCCCCTGATACATAGCAGTGTAGATCTGCGTTAGCGTATCTCCCAAGGACACACCTAACCGTTCGGACCAATGGCGACCGCAGAATGAACTCAGCGACCACATGTGGAGGATGAATAGGTGTTGCGTTCGCATATTCACAATACGACGGTCTTGAAGGCCATTGAACTTGACTTTTCCGCCTTTTCGTTTTGCCTACTTATAAACAATATGAGTGGTTAACATCATTGATGTGCCATTAATACGACGATTGCCACCTACTATCGTCACATCATGAGTTCTATTTCAAAACACGATTGTCTATCTATGCCTATCATACTGGGTAACAGATCTCTCGATTTGAGCATCTCAAACCCTCAACTTGGTAATCCAAGATGAGTCCGGGATACCTTGTCGCATATTCCATCGGACCCTAGAAGATGTTCCTGAAACACTCAGGAACCTGCAGCAAACCAGGGATTAATATGGCGACATATGGGACGACCTACCATACTGGGAGTTTTTTCGACCTCACCAAGGCAATGTTTTTTGGATCACATAGGTCGAAACTCTTATCATCAAAAGGGGGCAAGGTGGGCATAGTACCTGGTCACCGGTCTGGGGTTCCGAACGTGGAGATTTTTATTGCTGCAAGACCCGCTCCGGCACTACTACTACACGAAACAAACATCGTATCGTTATGTATCGTTATGATATTTAATTGGGTACCTAGGTACATCTAGGTATACATCATTCGGATCTGAACTTCAAACCCTTTTAGTAATAATAGTTGAATTTCTTCACTATTTCTTTACTTATTTCAGTAGAACCTTGACAAGAAATAGCTCATAGGCGTACAGTTAGGTACCCATATGTCTAAGTATTCTATAGGATCGTTGGCCAAGCAACTTTGCTTTTTACAAACTTGAAAATATACCTGCTTTTGTTATATACGATCTATCACATTTAGTATAACCGAGTCATTCGTCTAGCACTGTAAAAGTTAAGGACTTTACTATTAATTAGATATATGGATGGGCTTATAAGCAATTATGAAGAATATATAGGCATAGTCTATTTACCTATTCCAATAAAGATAAATCATTGGGCAAAAAACTATGAGAGAGCCTCAACTGATGGCGGACGAACATTCTACTTTTCAGCAACCAAATCACTCCCCTGACGTTTCCCCTCAAATCATACAAGATCGTGTATCCAATTGGACCAAAACCGGTAACCCATATTCAAAGGCAGATCAAATGATGAATACCAAATCCGATATGATGTCTGGCTTAAGGCCAATTTCATTAAACCCTACATACCTATCGACACGGACGAAGCCCCTGATTGGGTCCGCGAGCTTACCCAGCAAATGCGGGTCTCCCGCAAAGACAAAGAAGGCTATGGTCAAAAACAAGAGGATTATGAAGCTTTTAAGAAGTTGATCCAACACGGGCGAATCGAGACCGACAAAATGGTGGCAGGGCTGCCACTCACGTGGAGAGACGTTTTAGACAAGTTTAGCATACAGTATGAGAGCGAATATACGAAGGATTTCTTAAATCTTTTCCCAAATCCAACAAAATTACTCAACCCAGTGTCATATAGGCGTTATGGATATCGCGACGGCATCCTACCTCACTTCAAGAACTATAAACATTGGGATGCTCTTCGAATGGACAACCTATATGTATAGACATGCGACATATCATTAACAGGCGTATGCTTCCCTTATTTGATTGTGGAGTCGACGCGAGGTGGCGGTACTTTTTGGGACGCGCAACGACAATGCCTCGTTTCCTGCGCAATAGCATTACAAGCTACTCACAATGCAATCTCCGACTACAAAGAGGCCGCTGTTTTTGGCGTGGTTATGGATGAAAGAAGTGTAGAGTTCTATGTTGCATGGAGACAGCATAATGCAGATTTCGATGAAGATGTTTTCCATATGGCCATGTTTTGGGTGATTGGGGTGACTGATATGATTGATACCAAAGATGGTCATGACAAGCCAGGGTTTTTTGAATGCAGTGATGTGTTGCTCAACATCCACGAGTGGGCATCAGCCGAAAAGAACCCAACGGACAGGAAGAGATTCATTCGAGATCGGCTTGTGGAGGAATTCGCAAAAGAAGAGCCGCATGCAAGACTAACTGCTAAACCTACGATCGTCATCAGAGCTTTGGACTTGAATGATGAATCGGGAGATGACAGCAGTTGTACCTAGACCTGTATCTAAACAACAGGGTATGTACCTACATTGTTGCAAAGCTGGTACTTGTAGTGGCGCACAGACTGGTTCGCCGGAACACAGAACAGATCTCGCCTCGCATGTTACCCATTCCCGTCCCGTTACTTAGTTTCGTTCACTAGAAAGGGTAATATGCTCTTCTTAATTTTAATTCTCCTGTCTAGTTTTAGCCGATCATCCGTGGATTGTGACTGTTACGATGTTACTTTGCGTCGGATCCAAGTTCGCTCACCAAGTACCCAATCTGACGGCCAAACCAGCTTTAAATGCCACAATGTACACATTGAATTCCCCAGTTAAGCAAGGCAAATATTGTCACAACTTCATAAAGCAGCTGAATTTTATTAATTTCCTCTGGACTTTCCATGTCCTTCAACTATCAGTTATATAAACCCTTTCACGAACTGTTATCCAGATCAAGCATCAATTGAGATCTAGACTACCTAGGTATTAGGGTCAAATCCTTAGAAGCCACTTCCGGGTACAGTACCATAAAAGAACTACGTTAGGTACATACTATACTTGTGGTCTCGCTGTAACATCGCCCACTGGTTCTTCTCCACCGATTCTTCCCCACAAGCTCGGTCGAGGCGCGCATAGACAATAAACATTCGTGTACTTTGAATATTCACAACTTTAGGTTTTCACAGTCGTCGTATATGCCAGTAAGAATTGACAAGACCAGCCGAGGGAAAGTATTCTCGGCCAATAGATCGATGGTACGTCTCATGACACGCCCTGACGATCAAGCAGCATGATATCAACGGGAACTGCCTAGATAGAAATCTCAGGGGTACATTGACAAGGCCAAATTCCTACCCAGCCTCTTCCAAAAGATGGCACTCCATCGATTCTACACGAAGCCAGCCACTTGACCAAAGAGAAGTATCAATCGCACACCATCTAAGCACAATTCTATGTACCTCGAAATCTGCAAGCCACCAAAGCCCCGCTTTCGTCCCAAGAGATGTGGCAATCGTGATCCTAGGACGATGAGGGGTTAAGATACCAGAAAGAGATATCGAAACGTCGGGTTTCGGAACATTATATGTCGACTGTTACAGCGGCAAGTCCCCTTACCATGACCGACCAACCGACCGACTTGACCCTTTCCACACTTAACCAACTTCTTCGAGCTGTCGCATTTATCCCATGTTGCGCTTTATGCTTAACTTTTTGTGTGTGTGTGTGTGTGTGTGTGGACGGCTCCAAGTGTGGCCCTTGCATACCCGTATCGTGGGACCCTAGTCCGTCGGTTATATACGGGGTGCTCGTCTAATACAGCTTCTCCTGTCACTTAGATTAGTGATACTATAGAAGATATTTAGAGCATTTAGCCATATAGTCTTATCTTTCGATCCCCTTGATTCATAGAAAAATATGAAACCATCCAAGAACTGTCAAACAGGGTATAGATTCCAGATGACAGCATTCAAAGAACGGAACCGAGATCGTGAAGTTTATATGATCTCCGTATTCCGTGATTTGCCTGTGCCGTGAAGAGGCATTACCGCTTGGTTGTACATGATGAATTGTAAACTTGTAAAACAGGTTTGCCCTGCCCGCCTCTTCCTTCTATTCTAGGTCATACCAACAAGTTTGCGAATATCCTCAGCCCATTACCTCACTTATGATATACGTAGCAATAAATTAATGCATCCACCAATACTCCAAGACGCCGGGTAGGTGGGATTCCGCCACTGCATAACTGAGACATTCTACTACTATAGTATCGACCGCGTCACCTACCTCCTCAACTCCAGTGGCGTCCAATTTATTGTGTGTCTATCAGGCCACATGGCGATCAAGGTATCCAGATATATTATGTACACAGAGTAATTTGTAGTATTGTGGATAACAGGCAAATACATAAGAGATGAACGACACCGCGGCTGGCGCTTATGAAACTACTAGTGGCGCTTAACTTGGGGTTCTACACCATCATCTCATAGATGATACGTAGGTAGTATCCATCTATCTATCTATCCGCGACTATCCAGGCGAATCCAATGTCTCTCTTTTCCCTCATCTGGGGCAGGAGGATCGTTCCTTTGGTCGGGACGGGGCGAGTGGGCGATTACAAGTGTGTACTTGCTCAGGACAATCTTCAAGTATGGGACATGTACCTCCTCAACCCACCTATACTTACTTGAATGTCTGCTATTGCACACAAGCATAACACCCACACGTACAACCCACTTCAGAAGGCGAACGAATCCTTCGATATACCCTCCCAATCGATGCTGTGCCCCACTCGTACCTCTCTCTCTCTTTTTTTCTTCTCTAGTAACCGGCCGGCAAAGGCTTTTTCCTTTTCTCGAAACCCCGCCGGGGTTTTACATTCGGAAACGAAGAACCTGCGGGCTCACCGCGTCCTGCCCGATCCATCTACCTCATGCCTCGTCTCGTGCTACTTCCTTGGCTTCATGTATGTACGCATGCACGATTGCCCCTCCTTTCTAGCAATTCTACGTCTCGGTCACGCTTCTAGAAGTATTTAGCTTGCTAGCTAAGTAGGTACCTACATATAGCAAGTGGGCGAACGTCGAGTAACAACGAAAACTTGCATACCTAAGGTAGGGAGGGGTTCCAGGTACAAGCCCTACTAAAAAGTCGGGCTCTGGCGGTGGAGGGGCTTTCTATGTAGGCAGTACCTAAATCATTCGCTTGCAGTGTGCAGCGAAACGGGGTCCTGCAGGCTGTGGAATGCGAGATGGTGGGTAGGTTGGGGGCCAATTTTGGAATGCAATGCGTAACCCAATCCATCCCATCCTCTTTTCTCTTCTCTTCTTTCTATTCTACCATCAACCCTCTCTCTCTGTCTCTGTAACTCAAACGTACTACCACCCCCATCGGGCCAATTAGGCCAAATAGCGAATAGCGAGAGGATGGGAAGAGAAAGCCTTGCGGTAGAAACACAACATCTAGGCATCAACATTACAAACAATTTGTAAATTGTGCAAGCTTGGATTACGCAACTTTTTGCGAGGAGGCTAAGAACCGATTATCCGATCAAAGATCAAAGCCTCACGATCTGCAGAAGCCGACACTCCCGGGATGCGAGGTCCGGTCTATTTCCCCTCCGATTCTTGTGTTTCCCAACCGAATCCGAGCGATGTCTCTCGGGGTTTAGTACGGCTACGGAATACTCTGTTATCCCGTCGGGTTTGTTCCCTTTTTTGATATTTGTTGAACTTAATGATTGCGTGGGCTTGTACGTAAGATGGATATACATGGAGATAGGTAATTTACGATAAGTACCTCATAGCGGTAGATATGACATAATTATCTGTACTATTGACTTATTACATAGAACTATTGATGACGATATAGCACAGCTATAGATGATATAAGTGGATTAACACTTGAAACGATGGCCGGACAAAAGATGCAGTCAGCTTATACGTGTCAATCAACCACGTGGGAAGCCCGCAGCACCGCACCGCCGTGGGCCTTCGGAGAGGGAATGGGGAATTGCTTACTCAACCACATATAAACTATTAGATCCCGCCATGGTCCCGCTCTCCGCCAAGAGTAACGAAATGGATATACATATTGAAAGGAATGTATACAATGCTTGAGACCCTACTAGCTCGTACGTTTCAATGTAAGGGTGGATATTTGCTGTGGAATACATATGCGTGTTGTCCCCACTGGTTATACTAATCTTAGTCATGAAGGATGAATAAGGTAGATATAGCTGAAGGGATAGCCTTTACTTCCGGATCTGCCGTCAAAGGCTAGATTCTCACGGTGCCTGGCTAAGGTGCTTAGTATGCTTCAATCGTGAGATACCCTTAGATGTTGTTGAGATGGTAAGCTAATTGTAGTTAGTTCGCGTATTTTTGCCCATTTAGTGTTGAAACTGGTTCGACTCCTTATGTAATCCTTGGGACTTGCATTCGTATCGTGTGCTGTGTAAGCATTGGATTGTTTTCTGGGCATATACAGCTCGTTTATGTCTTGGTTCCTGATCCAGCTCCGTCTGTTCAAGGGAATTTGCATACAATAACGTAATAGGATGACTTATCATTATCCTTCTCATCAAGAAGCGATTCCTGTGGGTTCAGGCCGTTCATTGCGAAAGGGAAAAGCCAAGACACCAACATCTGGTTATTGTAGATGGAACTACAATCCCGCAGGACGCCAACAGGGAAGAGGAATCTAAAGTGCTGACATACCTACCTACCTAGGTATGTCCTATACATTCCCGTGGGAACTATCAAATATTCCGAGCGGGATTTACAGTCCTCGGAGGCCGGCCCGGGGTGAGTCAGACCTAGAAGGCTCTCAGTCATGCCTATACTTCGCCGTCTGTCCTTAGTTATCCGCTTGTAGTATATCTGCTTATCCCGTTTGCTGTCTAGCTGCTATATCCTATATCCGAGCACCCGAGGTTTAGAATGCGCGTAATGTTTTTTCTAGAAGCAGCTCCACCTGTCTTCCCGAGGCCTCGTAACTCAGGACGGAAACTACCCAAGGATAATCGGCTCTTGATTCATCCGATACTGACGCGAGCGGAACAAATAGATATTAATCTTCGGGCCAATAAAGGTGAAGTTCAATAGCTGTACGGTGGAGAGCGTGGGCATCTGGAAAAACTCACGTCAGCAGCCCTACTTTCTCGCCCACTGGAGTTACGACCTGGTTCATCCTGCTGGTCCTTCATCCTAAGTATCTACATATGCAGCTGGGATGCTTGAGCCTCAAGATATCTGGACCTATACGTGTATAGCCTGTGGCTCTACCTTAGAAGTGATTGGGCTGGTGCATCGTATCCACGTTACGAAGGACGCGATCGACAGAGTGGCTCCGAGGCTCAACGGATCCTGATGTATGATGGCGGCACTGAGGTGATGCTAAAATAGATGAAACAGATGGGTAAGGGTTTGAGGACATGTAATTTCATTGGGGGCATACACTGGCAGTGATATTTCCTTCGAGCGTGGGACGCAGGGAAGTTGTCAGGTATAGTTGCCTATATGTGGGTATATAGGGCTGAAAGCTGGGGGCGAGATCTCCTTCTCCTCGGTGGAGTAGAGCGAGTAGATGATCAATCAATAAGGCGACTGCAGTAAAGTGTTTCATTCCCTTCCGTCATACCTACGTACGTGATAAGGTTATTACTTGAGGCGCAAAATAGGGAGGGAGCCTATGATTAGAAGCCAAGTAAGGCTGTGCCATACCGTTGCTTACGTGTTTTGTTCTGTAGCAGTGACCCGAGACTTTGGATCCAACAATTTCGTGGACACTGGCCATTGTCATTGTTCATAGGGCTGAAGCTTACGTCTAGGTGTAATGTAGCAAACGTGGATATCTGATTTACTTAAGAGGGTGTAGGGCTATAAGGTCGTATCTACGAAGTCGGTCCTATGTATATGAATATGTCGTGCAGATGAGCATCTTGTGTCCTACCGAGGCCCCCAACGCTTTCGGCATCTACGTGTTACGGTCTTCAATGCCGATGAGCGAGCGTGATGACGCTTTCGTTCGAATCCTTAGCGTCACCTGCTCAATGGGTAACCATCATGTGGCTAAGTGCTGAGGTTTGTGAAACACATTCAACAAGCTAAAGTCAACAATAAATCTAATCGTGTAACTTTGGGTCATATTCAACGTAGATTGACGTGGCAGCTCAATGATAGGTATCTTTGTCGCGATGCTTCGATATCGTGGGGATGAGACGGGGTAACACCAACATTGCTCCGTAATGTGTTTGGAACATACCTATTCACGATGACCTAACTTAGAACGTGACCGACAAGCTAGATAACAGCTAGTGCTTTGTAGATCATGTTCGAAGGAAGAAGACTATGTGATTTGATGAGCTCCAGTGTGCAAATGCGTGGTATAGAGGTAACGAATGAAATGGAAGCAACATTAGGCTTAGGGTAGCTCGTCGATAGTTGGTTTGCATACTTCGCTGGGCGTGGATTTGTTGCTGGGTAGTGCATTGGTATCTCAGAGTATCGTAGTAGGCCACGATGCTATCGCTACCGAGGTATATCTTCGAAAGGGAAGACACATCAAGTCCTACTCGCTTCAGAACCCTCTGCGATTAAAAAGGGGTGTAATAGGTATAAGAGGCCTATGATTGTAGGGGTAACTGCTTGCTCGATGGGTTAGATTCCTAGACGTAGAGGGTCCAATTCTTTAAGCTTAGAGCCATAATAATATGGTCACGTATCATGTAAATCGTATAATGATCTGAACACCGAGGTTTTCGTCTATCAAATTATCGACAAATGCTATGGGCATCTCTGGCGCCTATAAAATTGACAACTATACTTAGTACGACCCCGATCTACTTTTACTTTGGTGACCATTAATCACCTCCTTAATCCTCATCCCAGTTAGGGTTGGGACCCGGTGGCTTAGGTCCACCAGCTTGTCTTGCTACAATAATTTGGTCGACTGATAATACGGTTCGTGCCGCTTCTGTGGCCAACTTGATAGCCCAAGCCTTCGTAACCATGAGGTCAAGAATGCCCTCCTCTTTAGCATCTAGGGTGCCCGTGCCGTCATTGTTCTGTATTAATTATGTTAGCCTTGCTTTTAAATCGGGAATAGGAACAGAAGCTGGAAGTCTTACCTCGATATCAATACCCGTAGTCCAGCCATCCTTCTTGTTGTGTGCCGTGTAAAGTCTGCTTAGGACTTCTGTGGCATCCAGACCAGCGCTCTCTGCTATGGTCCTTGCTACAACTTCGAAGGCTTCACCGTATTTTCGGATAGAATATTGTGGTAGGCCTGAAGTCTTGTCACCAAAGTTCTGTATCCTTCCTACAAGCTGTATCTCTGTCGCACCAGCACCAGGGACTAGACGTGCGTCACGAGTAATTGCCTTTACAACGTTGACACCATCGTCGACTGCTCGCTCGACATCGTCAAGATAGTTTTGCGTAGCACCTCTGAGGACGAGAGTTGCCGTTCTCGTGACTTCATCTTCTTGTCTGAAAACTGTCACACGGTCTCCACCGATCTCGAGCGTCTCAACAACATCCACAGATCCCATCTCGTCAGGCATAGGAGCGCCTAATCTCGCAAGGGGAGTGGCACCAACGACTCGGCATACTCTTCGCAATTCAAACTTGCTTAGAATCTTGATGACGAGGATACCGTATCGGTTGAGGTAGTGCATAGCGAGTTCTCCTACGGTTGAACCAGCCACCACGACTCTTAAGCCGACATCATGTAATTCCTTGATAGCGGCCTCGAGTTGCTCCTCCTCTCCCTTGGTGAAGTCCATCATCTCCTTGGCATTGTGTAACAATACAGTACCCTTAGTTTCAGTCTGGCTGGTGTCGATGGGGCAAGAGAAAACTCCGACCTTGGCCTTGGTCGCTTTCTTGACCGATCCATTAGGTTCCTTAGGGAAAACCATACCCTTCACTACTCGGCTCTGTTCTAAGCTTCCACCCATAATCTTGACTACTCGGATGTTATCAACGTTGAAGTTGACGGGGTTCTTGGGTAGTACGGCAAGGACTGCTTCCGCGACAAGGTTGGCTAGGGTGTCTTCGGTTCCGTTTTGCTTGCTCGCTACCACCGTTCGAATCGCCTTGCTCAACTCTTCTTGGTCCCTAATGTTCTCTACCTTATCCACGACAAGTGCCTCTAAGGCTTCTAGCGCGAAGGTTTGAGCACGCTCGTAGCCTGTAACGATATCGGCTGTTTTTAAACCCATTCGTAGCAGGTCTTCGGCCTTCTTGAGGAGTTCTCCAGCGAGGACAATAACGAGGTTAGTCGCATCACCCATCTCGGCTTCTTGTTGTTGACTGGCCATAACTAAGAGCTTCGCGGCGGGGTGGACGACATCGAGTTCCTTAAGGATAGTGGCGGCGTCGGAGGTGAGAATCATCTTCTGGAGATGGTTGATGATGATCTTATTTCGGCCATAGGGTCCTAAGGAGGTTTGGACCGTAGAAGAGATCGCTCGACAAGCATCGATATTTCGTAGCACAGCTCCATCTTCTGAATCATAGCTATAAGATTATTTGTTAGAACTTCCCCTCGTTGTATGATTGTATATATTGGTCAGGATGGTGGGGGAGTAAACATACTTGTTGTAGCCTTGCTTGAACAGGCCAGCGTTTGGCGCGTTCGGCACGTTAAGCGACATATTTGCTTTGGCTATTCAGATAAACTTCTCTACTTTTTATGGTTCAAAAGAGTATAATGTTTGAAGTATTATCGTGAAATAGGCCACCGTTTAATGCTGGACAAGACTTGGTGTTGGTGGGTTTCTTTTAGTTGAAAGTTGAAGCTCCTATCAAAAAAATATTAGTGGGGCAATCAAAAGCTATGGGGGGTTATCGAGAATGTATCTAAGTACTTTTTTTTTTTAAGCTTGGTGCTTGTGCCTTCCACCTACAAACAAGCCTCGCAGCATATAAGTGGAGTGGTTAGCACACCTAACCAATCATGGCGTCACAATATCAGCCTTGTTATTTAAGTTAATGAAGGTTATTTGGTACATTGATTGTATTGGGATATTTCGTCGCGCGTTGGTTAACACCATCTCTTCTCCTTCTCTCTCTCTTTCCATCATCATCACTATAGATTTCGATTTCACTGCCGAAGAAAATCTACCTTCTTAATCCATAATATTTGTTCTCTCTCCGACAAATCTAAATATTCCTGTTGACGGTCATTTCTTGATTTTCGCATCGGTAAGCTCAGATTTGAATTGTTCTGATTGAGCCCGTCGGATATCCCTTCTTTGCCCCAAGGCGCGGCGCGACTATTAGTCGCACTTCATTGCAATCATGGCTCCCCAGAATCGTAAGTATATTTCTCTCATCATGAAAGCTTCATCTAGCGACTGCCTTAACTCTGATCTTGCGCCGAGCTTTGAACTCGACGTAATGAATCATGATTGTATCTCACCCGTCAGAACTGCTTGTTTTAACCATCGCCCCCCCAATTTCTGTATCCAAGAACCAAAAGATCCTAAAAGGCCTATGCAAGCTTCATTTGAGAGGGATTGTCGTCGCTGTACTTTCAATATTTGCATTTGAGCTCAAGCTGGGGTTAAATGGATTTGGGATGTAATGTTCGTGGTTGTGATCGCGCATCGTGAATTTTACAGGAAATATATGCTAACCGCCTCGACTCAATAGTTAATCCGCCTTCCCTCCCCCCCACCGTCGAGGAAGCCTATCGTCGCAAGTGTATCCAATTGAAGGAGCGCACCAAGGAGATCGAAGATGAGTCGAGAGCCTATCAGCTACGACTTAACAGACTCCAGCGCCAAGTACAAAAGCTACGCCTTGAGCGAGCATTCCTCCTTGAGCAAGTCGCTAAGCGCACAAGTACCAATGTGGAGGACTCTGAGGGTAGCCCAAGCCCACCGCCGACCGTAAGTACCAATCTTTTTCTCACTTATGGAATATTTTAATTGAACTTTAGATCTGACTGTATAGCAGCCTAAGGACAAGCCGTTGCGGACCAAACGTGGTCACCGGAAGCCTTCATTGCTACCAGTCAATGAGCCTGGCGGCCCCAATGCCACCTTCATCAACCAGAACCTGAATACCCTCTCCCCGAGCTCCGACGCCTTTTCCCACTCCCAACTCGATAAAGACGGTAGCGGCCGTGGTGCCACCAATGGCGTACCTAAGCGACCTAAGCGTCCCAGCAATGCCTTCGAGATATACTGCAACGACACGCGTCCTCTCCTTCAAGCTCAACATAAGGATAAGATCGCGGCGGGTGAGTTCCGTGTCGAGGAAGAGCTTGCGCGTGGATGGAAGGATCTTCCAGAGAAAGAGAAGGAAGAGTTCCAGGTCCGATACGAGCAAGAACTATCGCAATACAAGGAGGCTGTTGAGGAGTACAAACGTAGTGCCAAGGAGGCGGCGCGCTCGCGTTCCCGTGGTCGTGATAGAGACCTCCTTGCTACCAGCAACAGAATGCGAAGTGTTGGTCTGACAGGAGGATCAGGAGCTCGCGCGGCTCGTTTCGAAGAACCTCAAGATGATGAGGGAGACGAGGATCAAGATGTTGAGATGGCGGAGCCCGGTGATCCTGAACCCGCCGCCGATCAAGATACGGATCCTGAGACTGAGGTTGACGAGAACGATGGCGTTGTTGATGATTAGGATCTCGTCTTGCAATTAGCCGGTTGCCCCCCGGGCTCCTTGTCCCTCATCTTAGACGGCACCGGCAACTAGATCAACAACAATACCTGCAATTACATACACGCACCTATACCGACTCATGAAGCAAAATGGGTGTCTCATAACAGAACTCGATGGCTTCTCAGATTGGCATCACTCAAGTGATAGAAGTGATACCGCATAATCCTACGTTTACCCACGGCAAAAAGGCGTTACGGTTACGGAATTTGGTCATCGATGTACAGTATCCGGCGAGCTGGGAAAGCTCAGGTAATCAAGAAGTGAGGAAGGATTTGATACGGCATCTTGAGTTTCCGTGAAAAGGGTATCCCTTCTCAAGGGAATATGGCATTATAGGGTTAGGCACGGATGAATCAAAAAATGCGGCGCTTTTTGCGTTTTTATCATAATATGAATTTTGCTGTGGATGTGATTTGTTTGTGTTATGAAACTTCGGTGTCTGAATGATTTTGTTGTCGGGGCGATTCCCACGCGAAGTTGGGAGAATGTTACATGTAATGTATTCAAGCTAATTGTGATTCTTCGCGGGGATTAACTAATAACACCGATACAGCTCGAGCCAGGCATTATTCAGATTAATTGAGCCCTCCAACTATAACAATATACACGCATCCGTACCCAAACGCCAAAAGCTGTGAATTACAGATTGCTACCTAGAAATATTTGCTTTTGGATGGGATGCTATGCTATGCTAACCAACGCCCAAACACCGTCCATTCCTCTATTTAGGGGGTAACACGCAACCGGATTAACCCGTCTCAACATATTCCGCTAGGTAAATACATACTGAATCTGATATAAACGAGAAAAATATGTTGAGAAAGGATATTTAATCCACGCCTGCGTAGAGATCGACGACGATGTTGACGGCAGCGACTAGGATCTCGGCGGCGATGAGTATGATAACTGTAATTTTTCAAGTTAGTTATTACTACTATCATGCCGAATTTAAGATAGGAAAGGCATATATAAATAATAACGTACCAATCCACTCCAACTTCTCCCCATGTCCATGACTCAACTGATCCTTCAGCACGGCTAGTAAATCCGCAATGACATCCAATCTCTCAGTCAACAGACCAACACGTTGATCCATTTCGAGGTAGCTACGCACGGCTTGGTACACGGGCTCGAGATGGGGTTCTACCCAAAAGAGTTCGGGTGTATCGAGGACGCTGCCGTTGAGGTGGATGTTGATGCGTAGGATGAATAGCTCGCCAATTTGCATATTAATCTGCGCCCGTGAGAGCGCAATCTTGCCCGTTAGTGCAATTTGCGTCGGGATATCTTTGCATGTGTCAACTGTAGAGGCGATGAGTTCTTCGAATAGAGAAGTCTGTAGTTAGGTTAGTAGCCGACTCTATGTATAGAAGGTAGAGTAATAAAATAACGGACCTTGACGCTCTGTGCCAGCGCGTGAGATATAGCTAGCTTCGTCATATAATTCCCCTTGTCGCGCAACGTGATGAAATCATTGTATATACGCGGTTGATACTCGTTCGTATAGTAGAAGTTAAAACATTCAGTTTCCACGTCGTCCACGTCTAGCTTCTCGAGTTCGAACTTGGCGATGTCTTTGAGGAAACGCTGTTCGTGCGCTGGGGACATGCCCCATATAACTACGACGCCATAGTCGAATAGGAACACTTCGGGTGTGTGTACCTGTGTATCGAAGTTGACGTCTTGTGGCCGATGATCCGAGTGAGACCGTGAATCATGTATAGCGCTTTCGTCATCCGGATGATGGCGGTACGCGAGGTTGTTGTGCATATCCCGACCGTTGCTGAATGAGGACTCGTCGTCTTGCGAATGCATATCTTGTAAGCTTTCTCTCCTGAACGTCTCCGAGTGTTCCTCTACCGAGCCAGTTGAATGTCTCCTCTCGTACGCTTGGATCGGTCTCTCCCGTACCTCTTCCACGGCTTCCGCCCGCTCTGCCGATTTGCCGAGTGTGTAGTTATATGGTGAGTATATACACTCGTCGATTAACTTAGGATTCGCTCCCCGGTTCTTGCCCCTGCCTTTCAAGAACCGCATTAGACCATCCATCTGGTACTTCGTCGCGGTACAATAAGCCGTCACGCGTGGCAGCTTGTCTCGATCCGCCTTTCCCAGCCGCGCAGCATCTCGCCTTGCCGTGGGATCCTTTATGCGCGTGTATTGTGAATATACATCCCTTCCGCTTTCCTCGTCTGGTCCTTCCTCATCTAGCTCAGGGTTCGGTAAAAGCTTTAACTTCTGCGCGTTCTTGGAACTTCGTTGAGGTCCGATTTTGGGAATGGGACCAAGTGCCGGCGGTAGGGCGGTGAAGACGGCGCCATGGCTGTTTCGGCGGCGTAGACGGTTGTTTAGCGTCGAGAGTATGGGCGGCGGATTAGCGACACCAGTTCCTGAGGCTATCGAACCTGTAGTACGACCATGCTCAATGTTTACTGTACTCGGCGATGAGCTTAGTGAAGCGGGATCGGGGTCAATGGTTCTAGACACAGGGTTCGGATTAAAGGTTACGTTGCGCGCGCTCTTCGGTCGACCGGTATCCTGACGGAGGAGAGGAGTTCGTTCTGATGTAGGACTCGCGAAGCTCGTAGAAGGCCGAGGTGATAAAGGTGAAGTAGCCATCGCAACTTTTTCGTGGAATGTAGCTCGATGCACATAAACAAGAGCTTGTCGGACTATCACTAAGCAACCCCCAACGTGTTACGATGAAGTTCTGTGTTTGGTGTTATCGTGTTGCCATGTGAAAGAACGAGAAACTTCCGAGATCAATTGGAGATAGCTCTAAATTGTTGATATAATTACTCGGAAGACTACATAGGGCTGCAAGTAAAAATAAAAAAGAAAATAGACTTGGAAGCTTGTTTGGTGGATGAGGGATTGTGATAGGTGATGAAGGTTGAAAGTTTAGAAGGCTTAAGCCTAAGAAGTTCTAGAAACCCAATTAATTCTTGGAGCTAGCATGTAGCTCGGTAGTATGACGTTCATTGAATTGGCCATCGCTCAAAGGGAGGAAGGGAAAGAAATCAAATAAAAAAGAGGTTAGCTCCTGCTTGTCGACGTCAGATCCCTGTATTATTGCGGGGAAACTATTAAAAGTTACTTGCATGTATATCCAAGTATTATTATAGTACGTAAGTACTATTCAATACTTGCATGAGTACTACCATCTCCAACATTGAACCTAAAAGTGAGTTGCCCCAATCCGTCTTCCGCCTTCCTTCAAACAAAAACACATACCCTCATTTCCTATGCTATAGCTCCAAAAGGAGACCTGAGAAAAACTGCCCCGAACATCATTATTCTCCATATCCTAACCCCCATAATTCGTTAATAAAGACTCCTTCTAGATGCTACTGACCAGTCTAGGATCAACCTAAACAATAGTCCGGGATAATACCCGATGAACATAACCGCTAAAGACTCATTCTATCCCAGGGTATCATAAATGCCGAGATAAGAAACATTCATGCATCGATTACCTTCGTCTCAATCTTGAAACCTGCATCATCCAAACGATCAACAAACCCCTGGCCTAGGCACGAGGGAGTATATACACCTCCGTTAAGCTTGACTTCGCCCAGCAATAAAGTCCGAGCGCCTTCGCTCAGAAATGCCGCGGTCACTATGAAGATAATTAGTTAAGAAATTTCCCCGACCGTGTGAATAGGCTACTTACTGGAATACAAGGGCCCTTTGAACTCGGCCTTGCTCCAGACCTGCTTGCCACTAGGTGGCTGGGTGTCCGGCGTAGCTACCCCACGGAACTTAACATATTCTTTCTTACTTTCTTCCTTGCTTGCTCCTTCACCAGGCTGAGCAACATACTTGCGAATCAATTTCCGGAATGGTGGGCAGAACATTAGTAAGAGGCTACCAACAACGATGCTATAATGCATCGCGATGCCCCTTGCATAGTTTCTAGCTCGCGTAAATTCCCGGTATGTGAAATTCGGGCCGTGAAACTGCTTTTGCAACGAAGGTTCTTGCTGGGACAGACCCCAAGAGCGCTGTACAACTGCCGTGTTCGTTCCCGAGGTAACGGATGTCGACAAGAGGCCAAGATTGGGTATCGTGTGTAAACCTGTCCATTTTGAGAAAAGCGACGGCTTCGGCGCTAATTTCGAATTGACAACGGGAGATAGGGCATATGGCTTGTGAGATTTCTTCACGTCCTTGAAGCTGAAGATGTCGAACAGTCCGAGCAGGGTAAAAAGAGTGCCACCAGATGGTGTACCACTATGTTGCGTTAACGTCTCGTCAAATTACCCAGAGTAGATATAGACTCACTGTATCTCATGCAATTCAACTACAACATCAGCGACCGGAGCAGATAATTCGGACCGGGCAGTTGAGGCCATCGAATAAGCCAATAGATCCGAAGGCGCAGATTCGAGGGCGGATTGAGGGAACATACAAGCCCCCGAGGCCTTGGCAGTCGCTTCATATTTCTTGATCATGGTCATGTGCCAAACAGCCTCACCAGTACAGTCAAAATAGTGAGTACCAGATTCCGCGCACGCTTTAAAGGCGTGTTCTCCGTACCTCGAGTAAGGTCCGACAGTGGTGATGAGCGCAAAGGTCTTCTTGGCCAAAGTAGCAAGGTCCGCATCGTTCAGGTTACATATTTCAATCTCGGGAGGTTGACGATCAGGATTTAGAGCATTGCACTCTTTGATAACATTTTGTAGCTTTGCTTCAGAGCGGCCAGCTATGGCCCATTTTAGGTCTGTTGGGAAATGAGTTGTGATATATTCCGCAACATATAGCCCAGTATAGCCTACCAACTGTTAGTTAAGCTTTAGATATGATTGACTAATGGTAATTACCAGTTGCGCCGAATAATACCAAATCATATTGGCGAGGATGTTTCTTGAAAGACATTATCTATTAATTAGTTATAGCCTCACAGTACTCGACTTCGAAGAACAACCCCGATTAGATAGTCTTGACTCGGTGTAGATAAGCAAGGGATGCAACGCAGGGCTGAACTGAATAGAATAAGGATCTCTCTATTATAGTTTGAACTAAGAACGGGAGAAACTTAAAAAAAAAAAGAGGAAAGAAGGAAATAAAAACATCGAAATTGAAAAATAGAATACGTGGCGACTCCCTTTTCCTATTATTATTAGGGCTATAAACAGGTAGAGAAAATAGATAGATAGGACCATGACCTTTGCAATTTTGCACAACGGGGATCGGGCGGGTTTGATATTCCATTACTCATTCCCCATTTTGGCACCGCCTCTAAAAGGCCGGGGGTTACCATCAAGGAGGCTTCAAACTCGGTAGTGACCGATCGCAGTTCTAGCTACGAAAGGAATCAAGGCCGTACATGCCTCGGGCTCACATCTCCAAAAGAATGAGAGCTCCGGTGTTTCGTAGATGTCAATCCGGTTGAGAGCGCCGTAGGGTGTCGGCAACGTCCCTAATTCGGGTTAGTGTCAAGTTGCGATCATCACAAGGATCTGCTGTGGCACTCTCGCTCCGTTGGTGCAGCAAGATAAGCCAATCAAATCACAACAAATTTGTCCGTGCTTTAATCCACTTAGTCGAATCGGGGTATTTTTTGCTAGACCCCGGACGGAATTCATCTGATTGGCAAGGGATGTAGGTTTAGTCATTTAAGTCACCTGACCTTAATTCCCCTCTCCGAGTCCCGAGGTCGCGTCTTTAATATGGGTACAGATATACCTACCCAAAGTAATCTATTTGCAACCTGGTCTGTGCATTACCAAAAAAAAAAAGTTTATGTAAGCTCGCTTAGACCCTAGGAAGGACCACCACTAGATTTTACACATTCCGAGCCAAAATCAAAAATTTGTGTGTGTGTCTAGCCCAGCCGAACTAAGCCCACTCAGCAAGCATCCCAACCTTGAAATTTCTAAATTGACGAAACTTCACGTTGACCACAATCCGAAACACCGCACCTTTCCATCGTCGTCTACACCCAACGTACGATCCTCACATTAATCAGACAAGATGACGAAGCGCACAAAGAAGGTCGGTGTTACCGGCAAGTACGGTACTAGGTTAGTATTTTACGACTTCATTCGCATTTAATTTTCTAGATTTCCTCGAGCGGCCTCATCATCGTTGGTAGTCGAACATCGACCGATTTGATGGACACCACAAATTACGACAAATATCCAATTTCGAAAAAGAATAGGACGCTCGGGGAGATTGTTTTATTTCTCTTGCTAGGGATTGGGCTAACAATATTTCTCCCAAAATAGATACGGTGCCTCGCTCCGAAAGCAAGTCAAGAAGATGGAAATCACTCAACACGCCAAGTATAACTGCACTTTCTGCGGAAAGGTCACCGTCAAGCGTCACTCCGTCGGTATCTGGAACTGCAAGGCCTGTGGAAAGACCGTTGCTGGAGGCGCCTACACCGTATCGTATGTTAAAATAATACAAGCATCGCCAAGAGCTAGATACCCCCGAGCGAAGTAGAGGATGTCGGCGCTAACATATATATCGTAGAACTGCCGCCGCCGCTGCCATGCGATCAACGTTGCGACGATTGAGGGAAATCCAGGAGGTTTAAGCGCATGGTGATAAGGAGGGACGGTTATTTTCTTTGCATTTGGCTTCGGTGTACAGGAAAACGGAATTTTTCTAACGCAAACCATGGAGGGTCATGACGACGATCGATGAGTTCCTCGGTCAGCATCAATTTAAGATTGCCTATGGACCATCGATCACAACCAAATGCCAACAAGAATTACATGAACAAACATTTCCGGGTTCTTGGTGTCATACCATACGACCCGACTTTATATCGTGCCTCTTTTTATTGTGAAACCTGCTTTTTAATGCCGATTAGTGTACCTGTCTCTTAGGTATCCTATCGTCGAATACGGGTCGAACATGCGATTCTCGAGCATCGATTCGACCGACCGTATGCGTTTAATGCCTATATAAATGGCAGATTATTTGAATTGATTATAAGTACTAGGTTTCGAGAGCTGCCTAACAAGTTGGGTCGCGTCGTTGGCAGCTTTGTTCCATTCCAAACTGGAGAACATGTGAAGATATCATGACGCCAGAGTGTTCGGTGTCTATATAAGAACAAGGCTCGCGAATATAGGCCACTTCATCGCCGCCAACTCTTTTGGATGTTGGGTCGAGTTCTTTTGCGTGGATGTGTTGTCAACGTCATTACTCATGTGAGTCATCTGACTGCCTACTGGGCGGTAGACTCATCTTTGGAGTGGGATCTAAGTTGACGCATATTTCCAAGGCAGAATTCTATGAGACAAGTGTCACAACGGAAGCAACCAGCCTCAAATTATCGTCGCCCAGACAGACCAAACACTAGGCGTCGGGGATGAACTACCGACCTTATAATAATCATTATAGAAAAAAGACCCGATCTTTATAGTGCGTCTGTTCTCGCTCCGATTCTAGAGAAATCGGCTGCAAAATCCGGATCCAACTTGTTTGCTTCTCCCACCGCTCAAACCTCAATTTAGGTCAGTATATATAGGTATTTTCATTTCGTAACTACCAAATACGCTTTGATGTACATACCATAACTAACCCATACATCATCATTGGTTTACGAGCTTATACCTGGGATCGAGTTTAGTCCCTTTTCGGTAATTATTACAGACCCCGTGGTACAGATTTGGAGAACCGCCCCCTCTTGGCTTTTGAATCATTCATCACCCTACAGTATACACCATACTGTCCTAGCCGAAAGAACCGGGTTTCGAGTATTCTCCCACCCCAACAAGGTCATTACTGTTACTAGTATGAAGGATAGTTGGCCTAGGTAGGTAAGTGAGTTGGAAGCTCGATCATTTATTGTATTGAAGCGGATGAATAAAGAATGCATGGCATCATGCTAATTGATTAAGGGAAAATATTCAAATCGCATCGCATCTGGGTAGATGAGGTACCTAAGTACCGACTTCAGGTACGTCTTGTTCTTTCGATGTCACATACTACCAATTAAGAAGGACAAGTAACACTGCATTAGCCGCAACATGCCGCAACATATATGTACCTGTTCGTTCGTCAATACATGTAAGGTTAGGTACGTAAAGTTTCTTAGTAACCTCCAAGAAATCTGCTCATCTAACTCCCACTTACTACCTGCCTGCTACCTGCCTTGGGAGCGCCTACGCGATCATCCATAAGGAAGGGACCCTGTTGGCAAACTCGGCGGATCGACATTGAACTGGAAAGTCGCAGCTGCACTAAGCTGCAACTTACATGTATATGTATCGCCTACTCAGGTACATGGTACATGTACTTATGGGCCGATTGATGTCGCCAATGAACTTACTTTAAAGTAAGTACTCGTACCTTTGGCTATCTTCATCATGAAAACTTTGATTTGTTTATATTGTCATGTTATTATTTGATGTGGTTTGATTTTTATGGTCCTATAAATTCAGATTTATGGCTTTAATTGATATGTTATTGAAGCTTGAGGTGGGTTGAGCTAAAAGTTACATCAGGTATCTCCAACCAAAACCCGCCGGACGACAACGACGATACTGACTGGCTCAAGTTTTATCTTTTTGGATCATTCGTTACTCTAATTAGACTAGGGAAAGTAAGGTTGTATGTATCTATAGCAACTACCCCTTAAAGAACCAGGTAACCTGACTTACGTATGTAATGCAGCTAGGTACATGTAAGTTTAATAGTTAAGCTGGAGGAAGTCATCAGTCCCTCCATTTTCAGGACGCATGGTCGGCCTTTCTTACGAAGACATATACGTACCTCTAGTAACTTCAAATTATAGAAGTTACATCTCAACAAGCATACAGGGGTGTTTAAGAGGAACTGACGGAACTGACTTGCCTGCGCACATAGCATAGCAATCATTGTCCCACCGAGCAGGTACGAAATACCAGGTCTAAATAACACCCCTCCCACTTTCTCCCAGTTCTCCCAGTTCTCGCAGCGTCAAGGGTTCAGTTGTTGTCAGCTGATTGGGTCTAGGGCGGTTTCTAAGGTTCCAATCCTCTCCGACCAGCCAGCCAGCGCCAGCGTACTAAAGGTGGCAGCGCTAAACTCGTCAAATTCCCATGCTTTCAGGGCCCCCGTCTCCCTTCCGTTCCTTTCTTACTCTTTACGCATTGTCAATCGCCTACCATATTCCTAAATCCACACTGCCAATCCACACCCACCTTTACCACTTTACTTCCTTACCTCTATGGTTCCTTAGCATCCGCCTTGATTCAAGGCAGAGAAAATCAACCTCACATTTTAGATTTTAATAGGACAACAGCAACAAGAAAATCAAAAAGAAAGGGAAAATCGCATGTGGTTTTGAATTTGAATTATATTTGAATTTTCAAACTACATACAATAGTACCTCCAGCTATTGAACCTACCTTTTGCCTGCATTTTACTACATAAACCCATTACACCCTATTTATCTACCTACAATAGGTGCTGTGGAACAGATTAATCACCCAATCTATTACTTTATTCCCCCTCTCCCTCTATAAAAATACTGTTTCTGATGTTTGTTCAACAGCACAGTATAACAAATGACACTTTCTCCTGATCTTTAATTCCCATACAACTTGAAAGATACGTACCAAGATTACCCACATCAACACACCCAAATTCATTTCTCCCCTTGGTCTTTTTCATTACCTAGGTATATTAAAGTTCGAGCTCACGGGGCAAACTCACTATTAAATTCCGCCACATCGTGTTTTCTGTTGGACCAAGCTCGGCTTATTTTATTTGACCCAGCCCCCCCAGTCAGCACATTCATCTCTTCAAACATCAAATCGGTACCTATTAAATCTTTCGACCTTTACTTTCTCCGGGAACGCCTATTACTCTACTACTACTCTGCCACTCCAAAAATCCCACGTCAGAAGGGGGATTTTTGAAGCACCAAAACTTGGCTACCCGACACTACCAATTCTACACTAAGTACTACGCACTACTCAACTACATGCGACATACGACATAAGCACGTTTCCTATCATTCTTCTAATTCCGCCAATAGGCAAATACCTTTTTGTCCCCTTTCACCTTTACTCCTTATTTTTATTCTATTTTTCCTTTTCCTAGGTACATATGTACATGTACCTTACTTTAAGGTTTCTCCCTAGGTCAAACCCAACCCGAAGTACCTAAGTATAATACCTAGGTACTTCCTACGACGCGGGTCGCGGATTATCCTATCCCGCCACTATTACTATTCTCTGGGCCCATCTATCAATTAAGCAATTCATTCTATTCTTCCTTCCATCATTGAATTTGCTTGTTCAACCTACCCCCCTCGAGTTATTATCGACTCCCATCGCCCGCTTCGACCTTATCAATCTACTATCTCAATCCACCACCCACTTATAATTCATACAGCACACATTCGACTCATAAACCCACCCACCAACCAAAGCAGCTATTAACTAACTGCAATTCAACAACGACGAATTAAATAGTTTTGCTGCTGGACCTGCAGCAAAACTTAAATTTTTAGACTTATAGCAAGTCATTTACATGTTGTATTCTCAACATCGACAATTCATGAAATTCTGCCCTGATGGCTGATCAGTGTATCGTCTGTCTAGAAAATCTAGACGTTCAATCGTCGTCGCCGCTTGCACAGTTGCATACATCCCCGGACGATGACCCGTTGGAGGGTACTTCGTCCACTATCACAAAAGCACCGGCACGGCTATCACCTACACCACCAGAGTCTCCATTATGCAACATCACTAATATTTCTAATAACGACGGCGAGGATCATAACATTGCAGTCATTGAAGTTTGTGGCCATGCCTTGCATGACGCTTGTCTACGGGAATGGACGGGAAAGGCAAACAGCTGTCCGATCTGCCGCCAAGCATTTCACTTGGTGCACGTTTATGACAAGCTTGGAGGTAAGCCGAACACCTTCATTCTCTATAACTGCATAACTTCGAGACGGGAAACTAACTATTTTGTTATCATGTAGGCACTCAATTATCCTCATATAAGGTAGAGGATAAGAAACAAGTCGTCGAATTCGATCCTCAAGCTTGGCTTGACGATAACCCCGAAATAGAAGAGTCTAGACCGTGTCCCATCTGCCATCGAACTGACGACGAAGACGTGCTCCTCCTATGCGATAGCTGCGATGCACCATACCACACACATTGCGTGGGCCTTGACTCTGTTCCTAGGGGTCATTGGTTTTGTTTCGAGTGCGCAGACACTGGCTCAGAGCTCCTTACCGCTGAACTTCAAGGTGATGACTTCTCGGTCGCTGGCTTTTCGGATGGCCATTCTGATTACTTGCCACGCACTTCAGCTTCTATGCGACGGGCTCGACAACAAGCGCGTTCTAGCGATTGGCAAGGGGCCTGGGGTCAAATTGCAGGTCGGGTCTACGATGCATTGAACCTCGACCTTGATAACCACGATGACGACGAAGTTCTGCGGGGCTTTCGGCGAACGCAACAACGGAGCGAACAAGAGCGAAACGAGTACAGGAGATGGCAACAACGTATCAGTATCGCTAGCCGCCTTGGGGCCCATGATGTGTTCGCAAATAACCTCTCAAATGTTCTCCCCCCATCTGTTGCGCCGCGAGCTTCAACTCCTCGTCCCAGTCCCTTCGCTCCTCCGGAAGAGTCACAGGAAGAAAGACAAGCCTGGGGTGCTTTAGAGAAGGCCATGGAAGCTACTAACACTACCAATGGTGCCAGCTCAACCCCAAATCATCGAAAACGAAAGTCTCGCTCAGTGACTGCTTCCCCGGTTGAACCTCAACAGCCAGAACGTAAATTGAAACGACCACGGACAAGGAGAGCCCCCATGACAGGACATGCTTCATCGTCCTCAAGTAGGCATTCCATACAAACCAATCAACCTACATCAGCTGGATCCGGTCCGAGTTCAGCTTCAACCCAACCAAGCAGTGGTGACGCTCCGTCTTTTCTCTCTTCACTACTTAAAGAGGTGGAAATGAGTACACCTTCTGACGATGAGAACACCCGACCATTTTTCACCTTTTCCAACCCAATAGTGGATCAATCATCACCCGCTTCATCCCCTTCCCCTTCTGCTCATAGTAGTCCTCGAGCAATGTCGGCGACACCGCCACCACGCGGAATTATGGATCGACCAGGTTCGCCCCTCTCTCTAAGCTCACATATTGAGCCGATATACCCTCCTACAAATTACATGGCGAATCGAAACAATAGCGATAATAGCGACTCGGAATCAGGATCTCGTCAACACGCGCGTCGCAACCAAAATGGTCGAGCACATAGCGGCTCGCCGGGAATCCAACAACCTCGACCTCAACGTCAGCAGTCAGCAAACATTAACCGAAGTGAAAAACGCCCACAAGAGACTTCGCCTGCGCGTGTACCGTTGCCTTTTGAGATGAAGGAGAGCATAAGTGGTATTGTGAAGGACGCCCTTAAACCTCACTGGAAATCCGGACATATCACGGCGGATCAGTACGCGTCTATTAATCGTGACCTAAGCCACAAATTATACAAGGAGGTTTCGGACGATTCCCTCAACGACAATGCCCGACAACGATTCGAGAAGATTGCAACAAAAGAAGTTGCGAGAGCAGTTGCAACTCTTAAGGCATGATGATAATGACCTTAGTACCATTTTCATTCGCGGCGAAACGGGAACAGACTAGATACGGAAACTCGGACATTTTTACGCGGCGTTTTTCACGGATTATTGGGCATCATTGGGAAGTTTCGGGTGAACTATAGAGCCTTTGATCTTATCAAGATACCCATTTGCGAGGACTTGTCTGCTTTAACTGTTGAGGTGTTGGTACTCATATGCACTGCTTTTGCATACGCGGCGGCGTTTGGTATGGGGATTAAGATATATCCTCTTTAAAGAGGTATGGACGTACAATAGCATTCGCATGGGACAGGTTTGAGCTTTTATCATTTTTAACTTATTGGGGCCCTATATACACCAGGGCGTTTTTATGGAACTCACATTAGTAGGGGTATGATTGATTTTTGGGAGTGTATAAGTAGAGCATTAGATTAGGGAGGAGGAAATATCAATTCATACTCGATATTATATTGCTCTATGGAAATCTTTTTGACGCTCAATTTGTAGCAGAAAATTCTCCAGACTTCCAATTATTGATAGCAGCGTCCTACGTATCAACAGTAAATCAGGAACACATAGCGGAGCAAGTCTGCGAGACTGTTTCATAAATTCTTGCTATACTGATTCAAAGAATTATGTAATTAGGCCACGGTACCTTAGTACCAATGGGACTTGTACGACGCCACGTATGACTCAGCCCCAGGCAGCCACCGGGTCCACATATTTTTATCTTTATTTTTATTCTAGTATCGAATTTGATTTTCAAACTTCTTTCTCTTCTTCTTTTTCTTTCCTCAAGGCACCATTCCTTATCATCAGGCTTCCATATTAGTTCGAATCCCCTCGTTTTGAAGGGAATTGAACGCGTCACGATAGTCCTGACCATTTACGTGTGCCGAGAGGGAATTATTAACGCAGTCTTATTTTCGCTAGCAGTACCTGCAATTTTTTATTTGAGACTGGGTTCGCTGTTAGATAGATTCTGCTGACATTTTTTATTTATCCTGAATATTTTGGGGGGTTGTATTTGAATGGACTTTGGGTTTTACGGTGGAGTTGACTCGTAATTCTTGCATTCTGGTGTGGGATATGTGGTGCTCGTAGCCGTGTGTTCGAGTCTGTGGCTTGTTGCAAACGAGGGAATCGAACCTGTTTGCAAATTGGCGTTTGTCGGTTCAGTGGGTCGTGTTTTTTGCAAGATGAGCTAAGACGGGGCGGTATAAATACCGTGGCGCGGATACCCGTGACATCGTATTTAGTTCATAGCAAATTCGTATATATTCGTGACTATCGAACATTCATGTTTCTTTCGTAGAGAGTCGTGTATGGGTCCATTGTCTTCAGCCATCACAGTTAAGCTACAGTATGCTAGTAACCTATGAATAGTTGAGCTGAATTGACTCCGGCTCTCATAGCCTATATAATATGGTATCGAGGGTTGTGTTAGGTGTAGTTATGCCCTACGTTCATTCGCTTCCGAAATCTAAAATCTAACACTACACCTTTGACTGCTAGAATCGTCCGAGCTGTGAGATGCTCCGGAGATTGATACTCGAAGCTATTGGAAGTAATATAGACATGGAGGGAATTATATGTAAAATATCACGAAATTAGCTCAGTCTAGGCACCTGTCACACCGAAGACAGATTTGATCTTGTCTAGTTCCCCGGACTTATTCATGGACACACGAACTCTTGAGAATATCTTATAGCTTTACATCTTGGACCCTACGAGACCCGTTGAAACTTGCGATCGTAAACTCTTACTGATAATGTTGACGTCCATACTATATCAAACCATCAAGAATAGAAATAACCAAGCAACCTCGTAGCGACACGAACCCTCGCCACTCAAGACAAGTTGTACTCCCCTCACTATAAGCCCGACGTGTAACTTGATATAGCCCTATACTCGAAAATACCTCAAAATCTCAGCACCCGCGTCTCAAGCTTCTAACCCATATATCCTATTGGTTATCACACATGCACATTATATCTATCAGATTAGGCACATAGAGGAGAGTTTTTGTATTTTCATTATTTATAAACTACTCACGACACAAGCCTGCGTCGTGATAGATATACTTCCGAGCCGCTATCAAGTTCCAACCTGGGGTATTCCTCCAATTGCTTGCTGTAATATGATTTTTCGACGCCTTATTTGCTGCTTATTTCTGTTGCAAGTGCATGCTTGCTGCTTCCTTATGAGTATAAATAATCGATGCTGACGACGCTGGGGAAACTAATATATCGACCATCCATCCGAACCTATCATGCTGTTACGCTGACGGTCTCTAGCCCGTTTAGGTGGAAAAGGGATAGGAATAGGAAGAGAAGGTGTGTTATACGGGAATCCTCATGTACGACAGTTGCGTCACGTCTTAGCACCTCCACCACCCGGGGGATCTTCGTCACTGTCGGCAGATCCAGAACTCATCTTCCTAGCTTCAGCTCTGAGTGCGGCTCCTTCATTTAACTCCATCTTGTGCAGTCGCTCTCTAAGCAGTTCCTCACCTGGTGTGGCCTCGAATTCCCCTTCAGAGTCCGAGTCTGACTCTTCACGACCCGGCGACTTCTTCTCGGCAGGCAGACCTCCTTTGTTCACTATCGCAAGGGTCTCTGTAGACACCTCGGGCGTGGATCGGCGACCATAGTTCTTAAGGAAACTAGCAGGGTCGATGGGCTTGATCGTCGGGTCATACGCCGCCGGTAATCCAACAGCCACTGCGACACGGTGCGCTTCTTCGTCCTGAGTCAAGTTGGGCTCTAACTCGTATACACTACTATTCTCGCTATCGGCCTCGTGCGGTTGTCCCAAGAGCATTTGCGCATAACTTTGCCTTGAAGGATCATGCGCTCTTTTCGCCTTTTTCTTCTCACGCTTCTCGTTCGGACGTACGACAACGACAGGGACCGGCGAATATTGCAAGCAATACTTTGAAAATGAACTACGATTCACGAGGAATCCTTGGACACCGTCAAGGCTTCTACCTTTCGTACCGACAATCAACATCGACGGCTGGTAGATTTTAATCTAGCAAGATTCGAGTTAGCACTCATGCCCTACCATATCAGTAGAGACGATACGAGGAATAGGGAATACTAACAAGATGCTGAAACGTATTATGTAACTTTCCGACAGCATATTCTAAAACAAGACCAATCGCTCGGTTTTGCGTATTTTTCGACTGAATTGATTCCATCAAGGTCTTGGCATCTTCTTGGTACGCCTTATCGGTAAGGCGAAGCTGGTTTTCGATCACGCGGACGCAAACTATCTCGTCGCCATCGTCAACTAGCTCATCCAAAAGCCATTGTAAAGCGTGATCCGAGTACGAATTATCGTCTACGCCGACCATAAAGGTGCGATGTCGCCGTCGAAATTGAAAACCGGCATGTCGGTAATTGAGAGTAAACGAGATCGGGTTGTACTCAGTTGACTCGCCGAGAGGTATGTTGTCGAACGCCACATGAGACTCGAACCTTTGCGAACGAGGGGACTCGGTTAGTGTCTCGGTTGCCATCAGATTTAGGAGAAGGGAAAAAAGGAGGAAGGAATTTGCGGATAGAGGAAAGGAGAGGGATTAACGATGTAGCAGGATCGATTCCATGAATACACCCTCCTTTTGCGCGGAATTTCAACAAGAGGTAAGGAAGAAAAAAACCTTGGAAACCTTGTTAACCTAAGCTCAGGTAGCCACTTGTGCCCAGCTGCGCCCTCGTCATCTGAGGTTCCAAGTCCAGGTACATGACAAAGTATACGGGGGTTGGCGCTTTTGGGATGATGAGTGGGGGATTGTAAGTTGAGCGGGGTAGAACGGAGTAAGTCGACGAATAGCGCTTGCTTTAGAGTCGGGCACGCGAATTCGAAACCGGACTAGCTTCGATTATCCTGACCCGGAACGACATGCGACCATATTAGAAGACCCGAGTTTGTTGTTCTTATCTTCTTATTCATCTTTCTGACCACCATATCATGATCCAAAAGCAGTCGGTTGCGAATACTGTTCCTCTCTAAAAGAGCCTCATATAGCGACAGCATAGTGCATCGCATTCGATCCAACTCGACAACGCAGTCATATTTCCAGAGAAATGGGAAATCCGGTGGTGACAAAATGTCTCGGCGGGCACATGATGTAATGGGTAAGACAAAAACAAGCCTCTCAGCTTCATAGAAGCTTTCTGCCAAGAGACATAGTGGCGTCTATCGTTGCTCAACTAGTCTTGGTGGCGACGCCGTAACAATATCTCAACTGCGCATATCCTCGGGTTATATACGTCGCAGGTGAAATTATGTTTCAATGCGCTCATTCATACGTGGGTGGTGAATGTGAAAGAGAAAAAGGAAATAAAGTTAAAAGACAACGATGACTTACCTTTTATGCTTCGGTGAGGCTGCCCGAATTCGGTTCCCTGTATGCGGCTTCTTCCGACCTTGGGGCAGCGATGGATTATGAGGAGGCGCAAAAGTCACGGACGAGATGGATCCCTTTCTAGACGGAGGTCCACTACTCCCCGTACTAGAGGCTGTCTCGCCTGGAGTCGTCGCGCTAGCATCGCCCGTACTCTCGATGATTTCCTTCCCTTTGCCTTTCGAGTCATGCACAACTCGCTGTACTGGCTCGGCACGAGGGGTACTCTTTGCGCTACTCTGCGGAGTATCTACGCTGGAGAGTGGGCTGGGTTTCTTCTCAAGAGAGAAGTAATCGACTTTCTTCGATGTTGGTTGCGATTTAGGAGAAACGTCGCTCCCAGGGCTTCTAACCGTGGTCGGCAATCCTCCGGACATTTTTATTTATTCCTTCCTTTTTTTCTTGCTCCAAACAAAATGCGATGATTAAGATAGCGCTAGTACAAATACCGCCTATACCTAACTCACGTTGCCTCGGTAAGAGGGCGGAGGAGGCAGCTTCGCACCGACGGCATTGAGCGCGGATGGGGTCGAATCAGAAGCTCAAAGGGACAGCTCGGTGCTGTCCGTTCTCGAGATGGTATGATGAAGATTGCGGAGGAACAAAGAGAGAGAGCTTGGGGTCTCGAAGGATCGAATTGACAGACCACGTGGATTAACGAGGGCGATTGTCAACGACAAAAAAAAATATTGGCTGTGCGACCCGAGTTGGCTGATTGGTTGGTGGTATGTTTGTTAAATGGCAGACATATAGGTCGTGTTTCCTTCTTCTGGGCGCGCAAGGAAATGGAACTAAGTAGGAGTAACGATGACCCCCCGCTTCTGTTGTCTCTCGGCGATAATAAATGAGACAACGAAAGGTGCTGGGTGCTTGTTCCAGAAACCTCAGCTGAAATGAGTAAGTTGGTATACGGGTATACGAGTGTCGTACGTTTCGATATTAAGGTGGTACGGCTTTTGTTGCAAAGTACAGAGTAAGTCACGTTTCTATTGCGCCGGTGATGTTTCGAGTTCTCCACCTAGCCTGATCGTTTTTCTCCTTGTCTCGACTCTCTAAGCCTCGTCGAATTGCGTTTCAACGGGCGAGGTGGTTTGATGCAGTAGACGGAATCACTACCTGATTTCGATGTACACAACGAATGGTGGGGTGTGGATATAGGTAGGTAGGTAATAATATCCAAACGGTAGGGAGGATGGTACAACTGTATTGTAGATAACAACGATGGTGAGAGATGGAATTAATGGAGTTAGACGGTACGGTAGCGTTAAGCTGGCACGTCATAAAAAAAAGAGAGAAAAGATGAAGAAATGATAAAAAGGTTAAAGTTGGTCAGTTTTGTCACATCTTGAACGATGATAAAATCGAAGTCTGGATTGGGCGGCCATGGAAAGAACGGGCAAGGTTCAGTTTACATATGAGGTAAAGTAGTAAAGTAGCAAGTAGCAGGTAGCAGTAGTAAGTTACTGTTGGATAAGTAGGCTGTAGCTGCCTGGGCGAAGCTCTTTCCAGCCTTGGTACATACATTAAATGGATGGACAGGGTAGACAGGGTAGACTACAAGACCTAATATCCCTGTCATTTTTTTTTTTCACCACACTAGGGACGACTACCTTGTCTGTTTTATGTACCAATGTACCCTGTTTTAACCCTTGAAGAAGAAGGAAAAGAAAAAAAGGGAAAATAATAGTGCTAAAGCCAAGAAGCTAAACCTTGCGGCAGATGACGGTGCGTTTTCAAATTTCCTATTTTTACACGCTACAGGGAGTACAGAGTTACACACCCCCACTGCTATTGGATCTTAGGTAGCCTGCCGTACCTACGTACTTTAGTATACCCTGCCGTAATGCCGTAAAGTTCCCCCATACATGTGTACATACTTTCGAATGTTAAGCAATTCCATATGCGCATTTATGTATGATATATGCATCATCCTAGGACTAAGTACGGAATACATAATCACACTATACAAGTACATGATTGTCCTTATGTAGCTTAAACATTAAAACATCCAGTGAAAAAGGGTCGCAATAAATGTCATTATAAGGGTTATAAAGTATATGTACCGACCTACATCAGTTAATCAATCAATTCATCACTCAATCATGTAGGTAAGTACCACACGCATGCATGTAAGTCATCTTGCCTCCATTTTCAATCTAAATCCCTAAAGCGCATATTCCCATCTTCCTCTCACATTTCGAGATCATTTTCGTCTTACTTTTCCACTTTCTCCCTTTTACTTCCTCCACCATCCACCCAATTACAATTCCTCACGGCAGACACTCCAATGCGACATCAGGTCGACGTAATCGTCAGATCAGCCAGCAAAACTTATCCAAGATCGATGTCCCGTAGCCAAAAAGGGGCATTTTTAACTAAAGTCCACGTAAACTCCCGTCAACTCGACTCTTTCTTTACAGCGCGACATACGACAGGTTCGGGAAATCCATCAGGCATCTTACTCGCTCTCTCCAACTTCCAACTTGTCCTTATCATCATCATCATCATCATTATCCCTACTTACTATTATCAAAAAATAAATGTGGAGTCATACTTCTGGATAGCAACAGAACACAACATTCGAGGTGTTGTGATACTTATGTACCTTTGCATATGGAAAGAAAGGTAAGATATCCAAGTGGATAGCACAAATACCAAGCATTGAACGTTCATCCACAACATCTGCGCCTAGGAAGCCAACCGATAACTCCCAGGCAGGCGGGTTAGGGCCAAGAAGTAATATTCACCCCTCCTCGCCTTGTCTTCACTTCCAATCTTTCTTCTATTTCTTCCCTTCACTTACTGGTGGCCACATTGAGAAGGTAGCTCTAGGGACTATATGTGAGTAGGGCGGGATTGTAAATTTATTCCTATCAGGCACGCAATTTAAGCCGTCCTGGCCGTCAAGTTACGGGCTACATTAACTACCGATGTGGCTTACACATTTTTAACACATACACATATACCTAGGGATATACCTACATTGTATGGATTGTATGGATGTACCCGCGCGCACAATTTCCATTTTCACCTCCACCTCTTATTTTACCTTGGGGTACTTTTGTCCTTTTTTTACTTACTGAGGTCGAATGGTACGGTATGATGATGATAAACAAGAACAAGATCCGCAAAGTCTTCGTTCTAGCCGAGAGTCATATGTACTCCAACAGGAAAAGAACACCCAGATTGCTCCAAAAGGGTACTAAAACCGTGGGGAAAAACAACATCAAAAGGCAACAAGGCCAGCAAGACCTACGGGAGTGATACAATATCGTATTCTTGGCGAACTTGGCGCGCATACTTCGCGTAGCCAAGAAGTGTTGACGGGGCAAGGATTGCTCTCCTTTCCAACGTTTTCCACGCTGATGACACATCTGTGCAACTCCTTCTTGCGTTGCGGAAAAGATAACAAGGAAATTAGGCACGTAGCACGACAGTCGTTCTGCCTGGTCTGCCTGGGCTGGTTATAGCCACACGACATATCTCCGGATTCTTCTATTTTGCACTACTGCTGCTTACTTTCTAACCCAGCCAGCATACCCTGCTGCGTCTCTACCATACCTTAAGTACACTAGGTACCCTGCTGGCTCAGAAAGGAAAATAAAAATTCATTGGGATGGGGACTACGGACGGAATCTTGCACACCTCCGCTTTCCGACCCTCTCCACCATAACGTAGCAGTACCTGGCATTACGTCTACGCTACCGTGCGCGGGCCCCAAAGTAGTGGGAGTAGTGGGATGGAGACTGAGGAGCCAACGGGTCGAGCCGTTCCCAAAGCCAACCATCCACCACGATCGAACGCTGGCAGATGCAGTTCCCTACTTGGGCTACATTTCCCCGATTTCTCCTGTCGGATAGGGTAGATCGTGTCGCATCGGCACTGTTACCCGTCAAGAGCGACAGAGGGAAGAGGGGACAGGAACCCTACTTAGTTTCTTCTTTCTCCAAACTGCATGTTGAACTCGAAACGTCACATGGTTTCCCTTGCTAACGAGTTCCGCGAGTTTGTTAATTAACTCCGTTCGTAACGTACGCCGTATTAAAGATCGACAATATTGGGCATGTAGTGTACATACATACCTACACTACTCAGCCATACACTAGAAAATATTAAGCCCATGTTCCGCGATTTGCAAAAATTCTTTAGGTGGACACGTTTCCACTTGACTCAACAAGGCTACTCTTCCGTGTTTTGGGCGGCGAATTTTTTTTTTCTCATTTTTTCTCACATGTCAAGGACTAAGATCCCACGAAACAGATTATCCTAATGCGGCACGAGGTGAAATGATGAAATCAAAGCTCTGCTCTGACCTTGGAAACTGATAAGACTACGAACAATCAAGAATCCCTGTCTCCATGCTGGCCATGTCAGCCACATACGATGCAAGAAATCTTGGCTTTCCTGCAGCCTCGCCGAATACATCACGGATTCACGACCTCGTGGCTCCCACACGGGCTACGGCGTCGTCTAGTTATTTGCTCACATCGATCCGATATTTCCCTAAATTACAACTGTGCCCCCCTTTACGCTAGGCCTGTTGACAGGATATTTCTCACCGCACACCTATTTAAGACGCGATAACCGAACCCAATGGCCAATGCTTGTTGAAAATTTTGCGTTCGGAAACAAGAGATTAGCGAATCCTATGCCCACGGGCCTACTTCCATTTCGTAGAAAAAGGACGTCTCACCTTGACCGACTTGTGTGTTTCGATAAGCTAAACACCGTCGTCGCGCGGCCGGGATGTCTGACCGCCTTTCAGTTAATTATCTACCATCCGCCGTCCGGTCGGAACGCCAGGTATAATCATGATGGTGAGTCTTTTTCGGCATGGCTTCGGCTTGTCCGGTATCGTATCTCCACGCCGTTATTGAACTGCGTCTACTACCTACCCTGCCAGCCTTGTAGGCAATTTACGGATTAAGAGACTATATTCCTAACAACTTGATTTGTTGGGGAGCTTGGCAATTTAATTTGGCCAACAATGATTGTATACGGATCGTATTCCGTGTTCATTATCGAGTCTTGATAAGCTCAAATTTCTCTGACAGGATTTATTTCCTGTTTTCCAAGCACGTCGCTATCAATGACGAGATATGTGTTCTGATAAGTCCCGATCGATTTCAGCCGCCCCAACGGTTTTTCTCGTGCCTCCCTAGCGTCTACTTACTTAGGTATAGACGCAAAAGGTGGAATCAAACCCGATGTTGTGTACTATCTAGTGCCGGGTCGGAAATGTCCCGTACGGTACGGTACGGACCGAGTTTGTGCGCTCATCATAGCACAACTTGTCAGCCATTATGTACCTAGGTAAGTACCCCGTCGAACGAAGTAGTATCTGATGCAAGTCCCGTAGATTCTACAAATTTCGAATACGAGACTCCTCATATCCTATTGTCATGTCAAAATTTCACAGAAGCACATGTTCGGATTATTAGACATAGCTTCTTACCTACTCCCCCTCATAGCATTATGGGTACGTGTCGACCCCCAGCATCGAATGGTTCGCTATGTTTTCTCATAATTGTGAAATGTTCCGATATCACCCCACCTCTCTGGAAATTAATTGGCTAACTAGGCAATAGTCAATACTGATTGGTTAGAGAACGTCCAATACATATGTATATCATCGAAACCTCACCTCTTATAACAACCCCTCTATGTATCGTGACGTCGCCACGAATCCCATTGGTCAAATAGACTATTCAACTTTCAGAGACGTAGTTACGCCTTAGTCACACAACATTCGATGACGATGACAATGACGATGGGGACGTGTTTAAAGGACCGTTTACCTGAGGCCTCCGCATTGGTATCTCTTTTGTTGTTTGAGACTTCGAATCATACGCCGATCGATCATTTCCTCCTTTCACATAGGGTTGCTGGAGGAGATTGGGACGGCCTCACTTGAACTCTTACGAGTTTTTACTGCCACGAGTCCGTAAAGTTCGTAGGCATGTCTCATTTGAGTATTCGGGTAGGCTATGCAGACAAAATCATAGCAGAGTTGAAATTTTCAACAGGTACAGTACATCCGATTATATGTACTAAAGTACCAATGTTGAGTCCTTTGTTGTCTAAATATGCTAGCTGCCTATGCTTAATCGCCAGGCATCTTTAGTATATTTCTTCTCCGCTATCCCAGACCACCACAGCAGTCCTTAAACGTCCCGCAATTCCCCTGCCAGCATGGGTGGGGTACATCTTTCCATGGTTCAGTTTCCGGCATACAGCAACCACTCTTGAAGCAACCAAGGAACCTAGAGGAGAGTACAATGCGTGTAGCCGGTCCATGGCAAGGGAGGGAAAGCTCGCACACAAAATATTTAAATGGAAAACCCCATAGGATCAGGGGTCCGTATATCTCGGGGCAGCGACCACCGTATAACGCAAACCCGATGTATTCAAATGTTCAAATGCTGCTGTGGCACTTGAATAGTCTTGTGGGTGGTGTTACTTCTAGAGAGGCTACCAGGGGGTAGGACATGCACAATCACAGTTTCCACCTTGCGCCTACAGATACTAACGAACAGTGGTGTGCGATCATATACACTAGCGCCGCCTAGATATTGATGAAGAATTATCACGGACCGCCTCGCTGCAAGATTCCGACTAGTTTAGGCGCAAAAGGGGGCTTAGACAATAAAGACCCAACCGTGCTACTCCCCTCGAAATCCACCCCTACTTCATCTTTGTATTGGAATTGAAGACTAATAATTAGAAAATGACCATGTCACTCACTGTGTTGAGTTTCAAAAGAATCGGATTGATCAGCGAATAGGAATAACCCGATTTCACCCAGTCAAACAACTACATTTCTAACATAATACAACGTAGCTATACTATATTTCAACAACATCGGGTCCCTAATCCCTAGACCCCGAAGAAACTCTTCAGCTGCAACGCCCAAGTTTCAGCAGGAGGTTGTATAAATAGTGGACGCGTACCTGGAGATTGTAGTCCAGACCTCACTCTACCCACTTAAACTCGACGATCCCCCTCAAAACTAATGCCAGATGTACAATTAGTTTAACGACTCGTCTAGCCAACGATGAGAACACATAGCCTGACCTAATCACCCCTCGAGCTGCCTATCTAGGTCAAGGTCAGACTATACGATGCCGGCTACCCGTTCTGCCGTCGCATCCGTGCTTACGCTGTCCGGAGGTGGCGGTGCGAAACGTGATACTTGATCGAGCTGAACCAAACTTACACGTACACATACACATGTACACTAATACCTAGGAGACGACGTACTACGACGATAGTGCTACGACGTAAAACATTCAGATATATTTTCATGCATCTTGGATAATATATGAATATAAGAAATTAGTTGTAATTATCAAGATAATAATATCTCGCATTTTTATGTAGGTAAGTCAACGGTCACGTACATAAAATGATATGTAGGTGGTAACGTAAGGGAGGCTGCCATGTGGACTATATTTCCCTTTTCATATAAATTCTCCCTCTTCAAGCAGCATATGCATTTTGCATTTTCCTACATGAAGGCATGTTTCATCAGCTCTACTGCATACGAATACACCTACATATCTAGCTAAAAATTAGAAGCACTTCAGCTGTCCCCCACCAACCGCCGGACACAGTCTAGACAACCTATACCCTACATATCCCAAGCCTCTCAGCCCTGCGCGCTCCATCACATCACAACTAGCCACTAAGCTATCACCTCTACTTTAAGTCGATATGTAAGTCAATACAAAAAAACATAAGCAACACGGGTTAAACCAGGCGGGACGTGCATATAGACCTACATGCATCATACCTTACCTTGCAGGCCAATACACAAGTATACATATACATACAAATCTTAGCTAGTACCTAAATATGTAAGTCCTAACGACAGAAAAAAAAAAAAAAAAAAAACCACAAGCCAAGAAAATGGAACCCCATCTACCCCTCCGCTTCCTATCCTTGGCTCTTTCTTGGCGGAAAGCCCGACTGACTGACGGATTGTGATATAAAACAGCGTTCTGCGGAGGCTGGATGTGTGGATGTGTGTGTGTGTGGATATAGGGAGGCCTCCTACTACTACATACAACACACCTACCTACCTATCTCCAGTAATTCACCGTCACCAAAGGTGCGATGGCCCATCCCTCCCTCCACATACTTATTCCCTATATCCACAAACCCACCTACATGATTTCTTAGCCATCCGTGCACACGAAGCAAGCAAGCAAGCAAACGCGGTGACAGTTCCAACGTTACAATACAGCACAGAGAATGTGGAGAGAGCCCCGCGGTTGTCGGACTGGAACCTCGTTCGGGGGTTAGAACGGAGATGATCGACTTCTCAGCCTCTTCGGCCGGGGGACCGGTCAATCGAAGCGAACTATAGGTCCGTTCGCTTGGTCATGTGTTTATCTGTCGCTCATCATCCACGCCTAATGAATGTCCGTATATATGTAGGTACCTACCCAATATACATATGCAAGTAGATTTATCAATACGTCGATAAGTGTCGGTGATTACACATTCATTCTAAAATCCTATAATCTTGGGACACGGCACAGCATACCTGCCACATAACCACATGCATACGGCGTCTTGGCCCGGGGTGCTCAATATAGTAAACCTGGGGCAGTACCGCGTTCTGCGTTCTGCTGACCTACCCGTCCTATCTAGATCCTGCGACTCCAATCGCACATCAACAACAGCAAATTATGGATGTAGCGGAAATAACTGCGAAGCAAATAAAAGATGCTCATTTAAATTATCTGCCCGTGTGACTTACGAACGACAGGGCACACAACAGCCTTGGAAGGTCATTATTTCTGCGGCCGATGTTCCTTTGTTTTCTTTTCTCTTTGCCATCCATCCAGCCGGCCTGTCAGTCAACTCGCCTAGACTGTCTGCCTACCTCCTGTGATTTCAGAGTGACATCCGTACATATTTATCCCGTGACGCCTGTGCAATGCAAACTTGATGACGACGAAAAAATCCCCCTTGAGATTTCCGTCCTCTCAAAAATTTCTTCCTTTCTTCCCGCCCTTGCCGAAGATATACCACTTTCCGTTAAGAGAGATATCACGATGGATTGACTTTTGGGCAATCTCAGTTGTACATTCGTGACAAGTTGCGGAGATACCAGTCCACCAGTTTACGTCCCACCTTGGCTTCTGAGATGTGAATGAGGTCCTACAAAATTTCCGTTAGTATAGTCATACGATAAAAAGCTTGTCAGTTACACATAAAAGCTTGGCTTATAGGTAACTGGCAGACGAAAGGGGTATTCTCGGGGTACACATACTCCTTGCATGGCATAATCTAGGTCACTGACGTTGACCCATTCGCCTTCTAGTAGAGCGTGATCGGTCCATCGCAGCTGCTTGGTTCGCTGCTTGTTGACCAAGAGCCAAGACCGTAATTCCTCGGGTTGCACCTCTAGGAAACCAGCGAGCTTCTTAAGATCCATAGTTGTGTAGAGGCGGAGGTAGGACTTGACGGTGGGGTTCCACATGTTGGTCTTGACTTCATCCATAAAAACGGAGAGGTGGTGGTCGATTGGGTCCACGTTGGCTTCAGGGTTTTCAAAGTCAGGGGGAACTGGGGAGATGAACTTGGGGCAAGCAGCCTTGAACAACTCCTCGAAGATGGGGAGCGACTCCGGACCACCTCGTTGCAGCTTAAGTAGCTGGTCGCCATACTTCTCCCTCAGGGCAGTGTGGATGGTGTCGTCGAGACGAGTGGGCTGGAAAGCCACGCAGATGGCAATCAGAGCATACATCTGATCGTTCTTCTTGGTGATGGAATCGTATTGGGCATTCTTTTGGAAGTTCTTGGTACGCGATACGTAAACCAAGATGTGGCTGAACATGCGGATGGCATCGGCATATCGGTGCATCATCATGTAGGAGAAACCGACGTAGTAGTAGGTTGTGAAGTGGGCGGCCATAACACGGGCGAACATAGCTTTCTTGTTGAGTTCGATGTCGTCGAGCGTCTTAAGCGCGAGACTGAAGTCACCAAGCAAGCAATGAACGCGCAGCAATCCGATAATAGAGAAGTAACCGAGCATTCGGTATAGGGTCTTGGAACCGTACTCTCCAGCAACGGCAGCGGGGTCCTCGTTACGCTTCATGGCGGCGAGTTGCTCGGTGATCTGAGATCGTTGGATAAGGGAGTATAGAACATTGAGGACACTGTAGCAGCCCCAGGTGTTCGGGTTCTCGCGCAGGATCTGTCTTTCCTCTTCGTTGTCTCTTGCTTGCCTTGCGATTCTTAGTCGGTAGGAGGAAAAGGAGTTAAATTGGTAGATAAATTCGTCGATGACATCCCAAGCCCAGTAGTGCTATGAATGATACTATTAGTATATTAACTTTTTGGATATAAGGATAATAGATCAACTAACCGAGGGAGGTTCTAAATCGACAGGACCATCGGAGTTGAGGATGAAGTGGAATAAATTGCAGTATGAATCGTAGCTCTGGAACTTGACCTCGAGAGGAGCAGAGAAATCTAGAGGTTGAGCAGCGGCGACAAGTCTAGACTGGATATCATCTGCTTGTTGAGCCATGGTCAAGGAGTTGACCTGTTCCAACTCCTCCATACCATCTTCATATTGGACCTGTTCGCGGTAATCCGCCACGAGGGCCTCCTCTTCAACATCGCTGTCGTCCTCCATAGAGCGCACGGGCGCCGATCCATTTCTTAACCCGCTCATCTTGAGAGAATGTGGTGGTTAAAGATAGGGGCACGATATGGCGATGATTAGTCGGGTGGAACGTATTTTTTCGAGGTCGTGGAGGGGCTCGCCGCAATTTTTTGACCCTTGTTTTGGAGCAAAAGTCTCAGGCGAGAGGGACACGCTAAAATGGAAGATACCCCGAGGTTTTAGCGGATTAGGGCTTTTGTATGTGGCCCCTGCTTTTGCTTTTAATTCGCATTGCCCCATTGCCCCTCCTTGAACTTTTTGCGTCACCTTTATTTGGCGGGGCACAATAGATCAAAAGCTTATCGATATCATCTGCCCCGCCATCTATCAAACGAAAGTCTGCATGGCGCTTAGAAATGGAAAGTGAAGGAAGGAGGAAAGTACCGAAAGAATAAGACTCATTTCCACCTTTAAGGTTATACTATTTTAATCATACTTCTGTCGCAAAAAGCATACTAAATCTTATTCGAAAGTGAATGGAAATATTAAACTCTATTCTATTCTTCTTGCCTAAGCTTGCAGGTGCAGGTGCCGGGGTAACAAAATTAGTCACTCGCTGGAATGATTCATACTGAGTTCATTCTAAGTCGCGTTCAATTAGCAACTCCATTATTTCTATTTACAACTTGAAATAAAGATCACATATTAAAAACATTGAACCAAATCTATATTAGATTTTTACGATAAAGTCTAACTTCAATCTAATATCGTTCTTGACGAAAACTGAAACATCACCAAGATGCCTGTCGTGAGCCCAGAGAAGCTGGCTGCTCTGCAGCAACATGCAGATGATATAAGAAATGTACGCGCTCTATAATGTTTTGTTTACCAAAGAACTTATATAAACTAACATATTATAGATTTGTATTTTGGCTCATGTTGACCACGGAAAGACCTCCTTAACCGATGCGCTTCTCGCTACAAATGGCGTTATTTCACCAAAACTTGCCGGCAAGATCCGATATCTGGATTCACGGCCAGATGAACAAATCAGGGGTATCACTATGGAATCTTCCGCCATCTCATTATACTTCTCTATGCTTCGAAGACCAGCTCCTGATGCTGCACCAATACCGAAGGAGTACCTCATCAACCTAATAGATTCACCCGGTCATATCGATTTCAGCAGCGAAGTATCAACCGCATCAAGATTATGTGATGGTGCGGTAGTTCTAGTCGATGCTGTCGAGGGTGTTTGCAGTCAAACTGTTACAGTTCTTCGTCAGACATGGACGGAGAAGTTAAAACCGATTCTGGTCATCAACAAAATAGACCGATTGGTCACCGAGTTGAAGATGACGCCTGGCGAAGCTTACATTCACCTGAGCAAACTACTAGAACAGGTGAACGCTGTTCTGGGAAGTTTCTTCCAAGGAGAACGTATGGAAGAAGATCTTAACTGGCGAGAACGAATGGACGAACGAGTAGCTGCAGCTGCGGCGCGAGAGTCAAAGATAGGGGACATCGAAAGCGAGGCAGGCGATTTACAATTCGAGGAACGAGATGATGAGGAGTTATATTTTGCCCCTGAGAAGAACAACGTCATATTTAGTAGCGCTATAGACGGGTGGGCATTTACCGTCAGACAGTTCGCAAGCTTGTACGAAAAGAAGCTCGGCATAAAACGAAATATTATGGAAAAGGTATTATGGGGTGATTTCTACTTGGATCCAAAGACCAAAAAAGTTTTGGGAAGGAAACATCTAAAAGGTCGAAATTTGAAGCCGATGTTCGTCCAGTTAGTGCTTGAGCAGGTCTGGGCTGTATATCAAGCAACGACAGGTGGTGATTATGGAAAGGGGTAAGTAGATTATCTTATTTCACCTCAAAATGTTCTCAAATGAGATATTATAGGATATTAACTATGGATCAGGGATTCCTCTTTACTGGAAAAAATTACAAAGTCATTAAACATCACTCTTCCTCCCCATATCCTTCGGTCAAGGGATCCTCGGCTATTACTTACAACTGTTTTTTCGGCATGGCTACCACTTTCGACAGCTTTATTGGTATCTGTTGTCGAATCCTTACCATCACCAAAAGTCGCCCAAGCAGAACGGTTGCCTGAGCTACTGGAAGACTCGCCTGGTTCAACTCACATCGACCCTTCAGTTAAAGACGCTATGGTAAAATTTAAAACCGCGAAGTCAGACCCTGTCGTCGCATATGTCAGTAAGATGGTGTCTATTCCGGAAAGTGAACTCCCCGAGAACAAGAGGCGGACCGGTCAACTTAGCGCCGAAGAAGCGAGAGAGCTGGCCAGAAAAAAGCGAGCTGAATTTGCTCGCGCTCAAGCGTCAGAAAGCAATGGCGTGGATGATATTGCCACGGCTCTCGACAGCGCTAATCTAGACGACTTCATTCCCGCGCCTGAAGAGAAAGTAGTTGATCCAGAGCATCTAATAGGCTTCGCACGAATGTATTCCGGCACTCTATCGGTGGGCGACGAGTTATACGTTCTACCCCCGAAATTCTCTCCAGCGAATCCACATGCAACCCCCGAGCCGAAGAAAGTTACTGTAACGGCCCTATACATGCTCATGGGTCGCAATTTGGAGTCATTAAACTCCGTCCCAGCCGGTGTTGTTTTTGGTATTGGTGGTCTCGATGGCCACATACTGAAATCGGGAACCCTTTGTAGTCAACTCGAAGGCTCCGTCAACCTGGCAGGTGTCAATATGGCAGGAAAGCCTATTGTACGAGTCGCTCTTGAGCCAGTGAATCCAGCCGATTTGGACAAAATGATCCAAGGTCTCAAACTCCTGGTACAGAGTGACCCCTGTGCCGAATACGAGCAATTCGAAAGCGGCGAGCACGTATTACTTACAGCCGGCGAGTTACATTTGGAGCGTTGTTTAACCGATCTGAAGGAGAGATTCGCAAGATGTGATATTCAAGCGGGTGCGCCGATCGTACCATATAGAGAGACGATCGTGCGCGCTGAAGAGATGAGACCACCGGTGAATAAGGAATTGGGAAGAGGTGTAGTTGTGGGTGTCACGAACTCGAAACAGGTCAGCGTTACGATCCGAGTACGGCCATTACCCGCAAATGTCACGGAATTCCTGCTCAAAAACCCTGGATCTATCAAGCGTCTATACTCAGAGAAGAAGGCGCTAGACGAGTCAGAGCAAGAAAACGGGGTTGATGGGGAACAACAGATCGAAGCAGATGATGACATCACAGAAGCCGACTGTTTGACTCCTGAAGAATTGAAGAAACAACTTCAAGCTAGCTTAGAAAGTGGCAAAGGACGAGAAGGCTGGAAAGGGATTATCGACAAAATAGCAGCCTTTGGGCCTCGACGGGTTGGACCGAATTTACTCATAGACGCTACGAAGGACGGACATTTTCCGAAAGTCTTCTCCCAAGAGAAAGAGGAGGATGGTACCAGCCCAAAGGCGGGCGAAACACTTCATGCCGCCCATCTATGTGATAAGGTCACGTACGCATTCCAATTGACCATGAATCAGGGGCCATTGTGTAATGAGCCGGTACAAGGTGTGGCTGTCATAATTGAAGATATGACGGTGGCCCCCACGGAAGAAGAAACCTCAGCTCGAGACCGACTTGGTAGGCTTACGGGTGAAGTCATCAAGACTGTACAACAGTGCATCCGTCAGGGATTCTTGGATTGGTCACCACGGCTTATGCTCGCAATGTACTCATGCGAGATCCAAGCTAGCAGTAAGTCTTCTTCATAACTATGTACACCTCTCTTTAACCAGACATTTTACTAACATACAACAGCTGAGGTCCTAGGACGCGTATATGAAGTCCTAACAAGGCGCCGTGGACGTGTGCTATCCGAACAAATGAAAGAAGGAACGCCCTTTTTCACGATCCAGTCTACCATCCCAGTAGCCGAGTCCTTCGGTTTCGCAGACGAGATGCGTAAGCGGACGTCCGGTGCTGCTCAGCCCCAACTTATCTTTGCCGGGTTTGAGGTCCTGGTAGATGAAGACCCATTTTGGCAACCATTTACTGAGGATGACCTTGAGGACCTAGGCGAACTGGCTGATAGGGAGAACGTGGCAAAGAGATACATGGATGGAGTTAGACGAAGAAAGGGGTTGCTGGTAGAGGGTAGGGGGCAGAGAGTTGCGGCGGAGAAACAGAAGACGCTGAAACGGTAGAGTGAATAGAGTGAATAGGGGTGGAACTCGTTGCTCGGTTAGACAATAGTATGAGAGTGTGTGTAAGCATGCAGTACTACTGGATAGAGATGGATGTTGGTAAGAATACCTCTGAGAGCCCTTGTATTTAACACGGCATAAAAGGCACATGCAAATCATAGCGCACGAGCATTACAACCCAACCACGTGTGAAGTAAATTGTAGGATATTATAGGTAGATCACCCGCACTCCGTCAATTAGCCCAAGCGAAGGAGGGAACACGTCGTAAAGGTATCACACCCATATTGCCGCATAACTTCTACCTTATACCCACCCAATTCCCAATTTGATAGGAAACATAAGAGAGGAATCACTATATTAGGAAAATGCTCATAGAGTAACTAATCCCAATCGATGACTTTCATATCTACCATACCCTACACTTTCTCCCTTCGTCCAAAGTATATGTGGGTGGTGTAACTTGGACAGGGCTGACAAGGGGGGTTACCCAGCTAGGTATTTACCGCTCCATATACCGACACTTATATCTATATGGAGGATTTAATCTTATTATGTTATACAGGCGACTAGCTTACCGCCCTCCCATCGGTACTTGTACGTTTAATTTATTTGTGTTGGTAGTTATGGACGTATCGTATATGTAGGTGGGTAAGTTAGCCTGTGATACCCGGGTGGGCGTGGTAGATCGAAGCAAGGGAGAAGCACGAAGAGGGGTGGGAATAGGGGATTGATTGGTTGGTTTACTTGGAGATTGGGTTGTCACGTTTTAGTCTTCCTATTCTGTTCAAGATTGAATTCTTCGAAAGATAGAAGAGAGGCTGTCTGTTTAGGTGTTCGTTGTCGGATTGTTGTGATGTGATGTCATATCCATCGTGGACATTGGGTAGATTTGGGGAAATTTCCTATCACGGGCTGTTGACCTCTTTACCTGTCATATTTTATGAACTATAGCAATTTCCAAATAGACTAAACTAGAGTATGTGATATCACGAACCCGTCTCCAAGCTTCATCTTACCGCAGTTCAATGTCACGCATCTAGCCATCTCATTCGATGGATATTTGATATTCAATATTTGATTTAACAATTGCCTAACTAGCCTACCTGCGTCCCGTCAACCCATTCAAGACTGTTTCGATTCCCAAACTCCGTAAAATATGTGTGGGGATATAAAATATATATGATAAAAAATATACTTTGCTCCTCCCTGTCACCTTTTGTTCCCCGGGTATCCCAATAAACGATGTCCCCTCCATCAGCTAACAACCCCCGATCTCTCGACTTAACCCGAGAGCAAAGAAGGGAAGAGCTTCATCCTTAGATAAGCAAGCAGTCTAAGTGTCGGTTGTCTAATTATGACCTCCGTTGTTGGTGGTGGTATGTGGCGATACGTAATAATTTAGCCACTCATCTCCTGATAGGGGTGGACGAGATAGCGTAGCTGGTTATTGAAGCGGACTCTGGGGCCTGCTACTCTGTTGGTTCTGTGGGCGCAGACTAAAGGGCTGCTTGTTTCGTGTTATTCCTTGCCTGTAATTCAAGGCTTCGTCTCTTCGTCCCAACCCCATACTTGAGAGAGGTATCGTTCCATGTTAACTCGCTTCGTTCGCATTTCCACCATCCACGGGTGCTCCATCATTCTCCATGGACTTGCTCGTCGGCTAGGCTCTTTCTCGAGGCTATTGGCAAGTAGGTTAGTTTATTATAGATGTCACGATAGGGGAAATGTATAAGACTTACCAGCACTCGATGAAATACTTGAAGCTGTCAGTCCAGAAGATATTAGCATCCGGCTCATCCTTCAACTTTGGTATTGGTTGTCGGACGATGTAAGTTAACAAATCGATTAATCCCGCCTTAGGCTGCATCTCGGTTCCGTCAGCCGGGAACGGGAATCGGTGTTGAGCTACCTCAAGCAGAGTAACTCCAGTAGACCAGACGTCTGACGTAATAGTGTAGCTCTGCCCGGTAATTCGCTCGGGTGCCATGTAATAGCTTGTACCGATGAATGTGTTGGCTTCACCCTTTGTTCCGAAGTCACCCGATACACCAAAATCGCACAGCTTAACTTCACCGTTGCGGCAAAGTAGAATATTCGAAGGCTTGATATCTCGATGGATGATCTTCTTGCTGTGGAGGTATGTTAATCCTCGAAGAACACCCTCAGCAATCTTGCCAAGAACCTTCTCTCCTGTTCGGCCACCTAGTCGTTTGACTTCCTTGTAAATGCTGTCAAGAGATCCACCTTCACAGAACTCCATAGCAATGGAAATAGTAGCTGTAGAAGGATCACCGAAAACTCCATAGTATCGACAAATGTGTTCTGACGCACATTCCTTGTTGAAATTGATTTCACGGAATATTTGTTTCTTAACGTCGGGGTCTGGGTTGGTAGTAATGACCTAAGGAGTATGATGTTAGCGCTTATGCCTCCCGCAATAAAATCAAGCATCAATAGACGACATACCTTTAATGCAAATACCGTCTTTCCCCCTTTTAATTGAGCACGTGTGACTGCACCACCAGCACCTTCACCTAAACTACCTAGTTGAATGATTCTGTTTTCTGCGCTCGCAATTCTCCATCCGTTGTCGTCAAGTTCTTCAACATCGGCAGTTCTCGCTTTTTCTAAGGTAAGCTTATCAAAGCTATCCTCAAGCCCTTGCATGCTTCCGTCCCGATCCATCCCGACACCTCCCTCGCTTCGCTCGGAGTAAATAGAGCCAACGGCGGATATAGGGTCGGGCGTACCCTGTGGTCTCGAGCCGATGCCATATTGTGACGCGAAGGAGAGGGCAGAGAATTGAGATCCTGCGGAGGTGGGGTTGCTGGCTCTCCCATCGAGGGGTCCGAAACTGCCCGACCGTGAATGTGCTGCGCTGCTTTCACTGCCACCACTTGCTGATTGTCCTGGTTGAATTGAAGGTCGAGATTGTTCGTAGGGCGCGACGGTGCTGCCCATAGGAGTAGCGACATGTACGGTAAGTTGAGGGCGCGCCGGACCGCCTGCGGCAGCAGCGCCAACGGGTTTTACGTTAGGAGACGGAGGGATGGCTAAACCTAGTCTCGGTGCCCGACCGCCGCTTGGTCTGCCACCAGCCAGTGCGGGCCGAAGAGGAGCAGGAGAGGACGACATGAGGGGAATAGGTGTCGAGGCTGGCGGAGGGGTGCCGACCACTGCATCGAGGGATGATGCAGTTGAGGCCTTCATGATTAAAGGAAGTTAGCATTGCAAGCACACGAGCGCGAGCGGGGAAGCTTGCTTTGACGTAGCTAACAGCGAAAAGACGTTATGTATAGTATGGACATAAAAAGAAAACGGGGCAAAAGACTAGGAGGGGAGATGAGATGGAATTACATACGTTCTGGGTCACAGGCTCAGAGGCCTGAGCGGGATTCTCGTGGTCGGGCATGTGTGCTGCTAGTCCGGGCTTTCGATCCACAGATTGCGCAGCAAAGTCTGTGGGTGTATGCGTGTTCGTGGTGTAGTTTGCCGAGGAGGCGGTCGGGCTGCTCAAGTACAAAGAGGAAATAAAAGGGCCGAAGCTAGCTGTATGTAACAGTCCGACAACGAGACTCGTCTAGGTACGGTAATGTTCCCCCCTAGGTGCTTGTTCTAGCAGGGTACCACAGCGCCGCGCAGCTAATATATTTCGAGTGACGTATTTCCCGAATTTGTAGGATTGGTGGTGTTGTTTTTTTCAATAATAATAAAATCAAATAAGAAAAAAGGAAAAGGAAAGCAAATCCTAGCTTGATATCGTATTGGCAAAAAGAATGAAAATTTCCAAACGATCAAGTCGGATGCACGTTGGTTGAAGTTAGGTATATTTTCCTCTAGGGAAGAAATGAAATACCCAAAGCCTGTAGATGAATGATGGTCGTGTGGGATAAAGGGAGGAGTTAGGTAAGTGGTAAGTGGAGGAGGCGGTTTGCTTGGTGCTGTGTGTGCCGCGCGTAGTTGAAATTCTTCCTACCCCCCTGTAACGAGGTTCGATGCCCAGCAAGAGCCCACGTAGCTGTGCTGTGCGCCGCTGCGTACCTAGATACCTCTAGCGTTTCCCCTTGTGTTCTTTCTCTGGTTCCTCTTCTGGAAGCGGAGAAGGATTTGGTCAGGGATCTAGGACATCCAGGATATGTATGTGGAAGGGTGGATGATGAGCTAGGTCCGGATCTTTCGAGTCGTTAATGATGACCTTGGCTTTAACCAGTTGGACTTGGTCTTTCTAGGCGAGAAGCCTTGATGTATGTGGTTTTAAGGTGGCGTTTCTGGTTGCCTTTGCTTGCTTGCCAGTCTGCCAGTAAGAGTGAGACGGATTAGGTCAAGAGCTACACCAGTGCGCGCACTTTTTGCAGGGATGCTGATACAGGATACAGGCCTTTCATAAACCAGTACTAGCCAATATCGATTCCCCAGCGCCAAAAAATACCGTATGTAGATTGGGCGACAAACGACAAGCTTGGAACCCGGGGGGCAATCAATGAGTGAATCGAATCGATGTGGGATAGATTGATTGGATTATTTACTAGTCGAATGAACGGCGTATTTTCGAGGAAGATAACAAGCCAATAGTGCTTAATTCGGTATATAAATGTATATTTGTATATACCTATGTAGGTAATATATATTATGTATGGCATGTATGTGTATGTGTAGATGTAGATGTTTATGTAGAAGTGTAAGTGTAGGTACTTAAGTAGATTATACCGAATAAGTTTATATGTTGCAGCTGACGATCATGGGCGGGTAGGTACAATAAGGCACCTTCCTTGCACTTCCCTCTCTCCCTGTACTTGTCGTATCTAACTTCGGTAGGTAACTTCGATGAGGAGAGAGCTAAGGGTCGTTAAAAGACGTTAATGGTTTAGTGAGTTAATGGCTAGTGGGGCCAACTACTGTAACTGCTAAACGCTAAACAACATTGAACTGACTTAAGATTATCGCTGTTAAACGAGACCGGTCCGAACCTAGCAGGCCTAGCAGATTTAGCAGACTTAGGTACGAACAACACCAGAAAACTACTATCAAATGTGTCAGGTGCACGTTGCTGTATTGCCGTTTCGTCGTTTCGGATCTGAATACGAGACAACTTGTCTGGCGGTCAACAACAAGAAATAATGAATAATGACGAGAAACCAACGAATAATGGAATTCGTTTCATTTCTTCGAAAACAACAACAATGCTAATGCCGGGGAACCGAAGAAGGAAGAAGAAGGAGAGACATTTGCATTGGAACACATGCATATACTGTGTGTGCATGGCATGTATGTACCTATTCCCAGCCGCCCGCCCCCTAGCTCTAGATGTCCCTCATATGTGACAACCACTCAACTCTGAAAGGATCGTCATCCACATGAATGGGGAACAATCATCAGAGAAGAAAGAGTGTTCAACATGTTGCGGCGCAAGGGGTAAGCTAGAGTGGTACTGACATACATGCGGTACAGGTCTCAAGGGTCGACCGATCATCTTGGGGGTGGTGGGTGGTCCACTGGGTCCCGAGGAATCAAATCGTGGAACATTGCACCTCCAACCGAAAGACCCCTGACCCTTTCTTTGACTGACCACTTAGATACCTACCATGTAGTACTTGGCCAGGGCAGGGCAAGGGACCGGACCCCGTCTAACTAACCCATCGCATCGCATGTGTTGATCCATCCTTGGTCCCTCCCCCATTTCCACCACTCACGTCCCGCAGTTTAGACTAGTCTGTTATTGTCGAAAAAGAATGCTTTTCGAACGAACCTCAAATGCCTAGGTAATAACCTAGGTCTCATCATTGCTGACACGTCTGATTATAATGTCAGACTAGACTAGGTTTCGATGCACCCTCTACTCTTCGGAGTAGGCGAGATTATCTCAAATTTTTGTCGAAGCTCGGAACCAAGTAGGGAAGTAGTAGTGAGATGGCGGGATGGCTGGATGGTTCGTGGATGGCTTAGTGGTAAGCCCGACAATATATGTCAAGCGCCTGCGTCGTTGCAAGTACTACACATGGTGAAACTGCCCATCTAGATACTGTATGAAACCCCGACTCTTTAGGGCGAATAGGTGGCGGGGAGAAAGGCTTTACCGTCCTGTACGTACATACAGTACCTGCAATATATAATATATGATTATATTGTGTAGGTGTTTATGTAGGTAGCCTTAAGCCAAAATACCTCCCACGTCTCCCTATACCTACCCCAAATCTGTGGAACTGAAAACGCCGTAAGGGCCATTTTCCTTAGGCGGTTGGGGTCTGGGTCAACTTTGGGGTGAGACAACATAGACCCCAACTCTCGACAGCGACACGAGGCTGAAGTAGATTGGCCCGGAAGTCCATTCGAAGTTTTGCATTTTTGGGGTCTGAAGGATCGGTGGTGCCTGATCATGATATTCCCTTTTTTTTTTTTTTTTTTTTTGTCGAGAAGGCCGAACGAGAATTGATGGTAGTCCGACTCGGTGAGAAACGAAAATGCTCATCCGTACTTCTCACTGGTTGGGCCTTGACACCCTTTCCCTCATCGATACAGTTGCTTTGGTCCTTGTGATCCTCAATCATTAGAGAAATCTGTGCAAGTAAAGCGGATTTCGGCAAAGCAGCTCTGACTGTCTGGTAAGGTACATACAATTCAATGCGTACTGTACCGCACCGCATTGCATGTACGCAGGGATGGCAGATTGCTTGCCGTCTAGACCCTGTTCCAAGTCGCCAAGCACTTGGGGGAAGGAAGCATTAGCTACAGCTTAGCCGAAATCCTTTGGGGCGATTATTCAACTGGTCTGAGCTCATCACGACATAGGGCTGGAATACGTGGACTCGAGACACCTCTAGGCTCACAGGCTCATTAATGGCCGCAGATTTTGCTAGTCATGTTATTTTAAAATATGAATTGGGCTTAATTGATCGACTGATATTGTTGGGGAAGGGAGTGATTGTGAGATGGCAATTTCGCTGAATTCTTTACCAAGGGTACATGTATTTTAGAGATGTGCAAGTCAGGATTTGCATTTATCTCTAAGTACGTATCTCGGTAAATGTATGTTCATATGTACAAGAAATGCTATAAATCGGAGAGACGCTGCACTCTTGCATTGGCCAAAGTTTACCGCATTTTCTCGGTGCTATTAGACCAATGCATGGAAAAAGTAAAAGTAAAAGAGCCATGTGCATGTACGTACTGTAAATGCAGAATGAAACCACCCCATTAAATGATGAATTAGGACAGGGGGTTTGTAGATGTGGGGAAATACTAAACGCACGACCAATAAGATCTTGCGCCCTGGAATCTCGCTCCGGTACGCTAATAAACGCGCGGCTGTTAGTGTAGTGGGTCAATTCAATCTTGCTTTGCCTTGAACTTTTTTTTTCTTCGATGCATCAATCAATCACCAATCTCTGTTAGCGCCCAACCAGACGATCATTGATGCAACTTTCTTAAGAGAAATGAGAAATTCGATACCGTAATTTCAGATTACTTACGTACGCTTTGACTTTTGATCGATGTCAACATGCCATCATCCGTGACAATGGCAGACTTAGCCGCTGAATCCGAATCCGAATCGGACGATCAAATAGTAAACACATCCTCGTCTTTGCGGCGCCAGGTCAGTTCCGATGTAAGCGAGTCGGGATCCGACTCTGAATCCGACTCGCTTGACAGTGCGGCATCCCGTAAGAGACGTAGGCTATCCGCAGATTTAACTTCCCCTGCCGCCAGCCTCGCTACTTCATCCATCAATGTACCGTCTAGAATCAAGCGGAAGAATACCACTGTCGTACAAACCAAAGCGCCAGAAGATTCGGCACCTGCGGCCATTCCTGTGAACACTCCAGTCGCCGCCCCAGTGGATCATCATACCACTTTCGAATCGCTCAAGCTCAGGCCATGGCTCGTCCAGTCACTTGCCAACATGGCTATCAAGCGGCCTACGGGAATCCAAAAAGCATGTATCCCTGAGATCCTCAAGGGCCGAGATTGTATCGGAACAAGTAGGACTGGTTCGGGAAAGACAGTTGCTTTTGCTGCTCCTATTTTGCAGAAGTGGGCTGAGGATCCGAGCTCTATCTACGCTGTCGTGTTGACCGCTACTCGGGAGCTAGCCTTACAGATCTACGAGCAATTCAGGGCGATATCCTCCCCACAGTCGCTAAAGGTGATATTGGTTACTGGAGGGTCTGATATGCGCCCACAGGCCATTGCTTTAGCCCAAAGACCTCACGTGGTTATCGCAACTCCTGGCCGTCTAGCAGATCACATTCGATCTTCCGGTGAGGATACCATCGGCGGGTTACGGCGAGCGAAATTCGTGGTGCTAGATGAAGCGGATAGACTGTTGGCGGCCGGTGGCCCTGGCAGTATGTTGCCCGATATCGAAGAATGCTTAGGAGTACTTCCGCCATCGACTGAAAGGCAAACCCTCTTATTCACGGCTACTATCACGCCCGAGGTACGGTCCCTGAAGGACATGCCGCCAAAACCTGGCAAGGAACCAGCATTTGTGTGCGAGGTTGATACACAAAAACTCGCCGTCCCTACGACGTTACACCAAATGTATATCCAAGTCAACGTCACACACAAGGAATACTATTTACATGCCTTCCTCCTAACAGAGGCCAACGTTGAGAAGTCCCTTATAATATTCTGCAACCGAGCTTCCACCGCCGAGTACCTTCACCACCTCTTACGACTATTAGAACACCGCGTCACCTCTCTACACTCCAAGCTACCCCAACGCCAACGCGTCGATAATCTAGGTCGATTTCGAGCATCAGCGGCGCGTATCTTAGTCGCTACAGACATAGCTTCCAGGGGTTTGGATATTCCCGAAGTTGGTCTAGTGGTCAATTATGACGTCCCCCAAGATCCAGATGACTACATCCATCGTGTAGGACGAACAGCTAGAGCGGGTAGAAAGGGCGATGCGATCACATTCATTGGACAGCGGGACGTAGAACGTGTTCATGCTATCGAGACACGAGTTGGTACAGAGTTAGAGGAATGGAGAGAGGAAGGTGTCAACCTAGAGAGCAGGTTCATCCGTGACCACATGAAGGAAGTTGGCGAGAAGAAGAGGGAGGCGTTGTTGAATATTGAGGAACATCGCGAGGTTGGGGGCAAGAGGAAGCGAAAGAAGCTACGACTCGAATAATTGTTTTGTTCTTAAGCCATTGAATGCGGGGCGTAAGCCATTCAATAGAAGAGAATAGAAGAGTAGAAAAAAAGATTGGAGTCTTCCAACACAGTTCATAACCCAATATTCAGTATCACCATCCCACTACGTCCTACAGCTCGTGGTTCACGAAATAAATGCCACTCTAATACCAACCCCCTCGCGGTTGTCAATATAGGGAGTAGCTCGATCCGATATTATGAGAGCTAGGTGTCTGATCTCAGAAGATAGCCTTACCCGTGCTCCTTTTGTGGATTGGATGTGGGTTAGGGCATAACTCATACTTGGCGTGAAAACCCCCAAACTACCTACCTGACTAAAAATGGCCGATGAGGCTAATGCGGAGATTTTCGGGAAATACCATCGATGAGAATACGAGTACTCGCCAACCGGCTATATACCTGAAACGAGTTGACTCAACAAGGGCTTAGTAGAGCACAGTGCACTGAGCGTATGACCACGGCGCAGCACTGCACAACACAGCGCAGTACGATGAATCCAAGGACCCAGAACCCTCCTGAGAGGCCCCCAACTTCTGCCCTGTTGGCTTGGATGGACTGATCTAGAGCATGTTGGGATCAATACACGCACATGTACGGGATGATAGGTAGTTTCGGGTAGCTCGAATCCGAGCCCTTGGGACGGGTGTTTCTCCGCCCTCTATCCTCTAAGTAATACGGTCCTATGCACCCGCCATGTGGTGATCCTGCAGGAACACAAATACGATACTACCATAGACCATAGTGGTGTGTAGGTATGCACACACTATACTATACTGTTCGGACTCACATGCCTACACAGGTAAGTAGTGGACAAGTCAGTGCTCACGCACCCCCTCATGATGCCGAGGGAAACAATAGCCAATAGAATATTATGGTTCTCGTACCGACACTAGAGGTTCTAGCCGGATGATTCACTCGGCACATACACCTAAGTGGCTTGTTTGTCACTAACGCATTGTCTAGTAAATCTACTAATGCCTCCTTACTATACGGAATTCCGTTCGCTTCAGGGGAAGCCCACCGGAGCTGAGCGATTATTCAAAGGGCTAGAAGTACATACCACGTATGTATACTATCATTCCTGTGTCAGGAGAAGGAATTTTTCTAGAACAACACAGGGTCTCAGTTTCAGGTTGACGCTGAGCCCGAGAGTTTGGGATCAGCTCTCCTGACTAAGCCTCCACCACGTGGTGGAGGTGATAGTTCTGCAAGAACGGTCTTCAGCTCGTTGCTCGGCCACTTTTGAAAGGTGTCTCAAGTTTACTTAGCTCATGCATGATTCATACCGGCAGAGCGGACTGACGTTTTTATTGGGGGAAGGGGGGCAGGGGGAGGCATAAAATGTAGCTTTTGCTTATTCCTGAGTGATTTATCAATGGAAGCTTCTGAATGGTTGTCTCGTAGTATCTTACGTCTTACATTTGGTACCTACCTCTTAGGGAGCCGTAGAGAATGAGCACGAGCATGAGCATGAGGAATTAGCTCTATCATTCAGAATCATGCCTACCAGATCTAGATAGAAGATAAAGAAATTGCGTACACGAAAGATAGGACTACACCACAAGCAAAATAAACCGAAACTGTCAAGAATCCTGCGGATCATCACTTGCCTTATTACCTAAAGAAGACTTATGTAGTCGATATTGCATCTTGTTATTATGATGAACGTACCAAATGACCAAAGTACTGTAGCTGCATAGGTACCATATCGCCTATGAACCCCCTGGACGCCCTGCCTACCGTAAGGTCAGCCAATACCGGACTATTGGGTTCATCCCGTCTTTTGCTTTTTGGTACATGCAACCACCTACACCATTGTATCCCCGTTTTTTAGGATCGGTAATCTCCTAGATTACTCAGATACGTACCATGTACCTACCTCAACCCCCTTCCGACCTTATGAGGTACATACCCTCCTCGACGCAAGATTCGGCCCAGGTGCCCGGGAGGAAGGTGCCGAGATCGCTATTATGTGGATGCGAGCACTTACGAATAGGGAAATTTAACAGAAAATTTGTCAGGAAAAATCTATACATACTCACGTACATAACGTACCAAACAATATCCGCTACTCTGACATAAGAAAAGAGGATAAAAAGAGACGAACTGGTGGGTCTTCGGATTGCTTCTTAAGGCATTGACATAAGGCATACGATAGATAAGACGAAGAGAAAAGGAAATTAGCTATAGTCAGCCTCTGTAAAATATGAGCTTAGCTACCCCGACATTTACGAAAAGGAACGATATTGTGGGATAGGCATAGGAGATGCCGAGGAGATGCTATGTAAGTGGCTTTTTCGAAACGAGGCTGGGATGGATCTAATAAGTTCTGTACGGCGACCATTTATTATCCACCCTTAGGGCGTCCCCGAGCCGAAACGAAGCGATATCCCAAGACAAAGGACTATAGCCTGGGGGTACGGGAATACGGACGCCACGGAACGCCATGGCTTAACTCCACCTACGTGTCCGAGTAAAAGCGTACTAGTGGCAGTGTCACTTGAATCAAATACCGGTTACGTATTCGAGCAAAAAGCTTTCCTTCAGCTTTCGCAAAATATGAGCTGTAGAATACCTATCCAGAAAAGAAAGCAACCAAAAAGAAAAGCCTAATTTAGGTAATTAGAAATCACTCAATCGCATTAGATATCTCCATTGTCGATCTTATTCCTAGGCGGGTAACGGCACTTCGCACTTTACTGACAGTTTCTAGATATGTAATCATCGTGCTTACATATCGAGTATGTTGCTTACAACCCTCCCCTGCTTTTTGCTTTTTTCCCCTGTCGAGGTACATACTACTTCAGGTAGATATATGGTCGAAAAGATACCTTGGATTAACTAATCAAGTACATATTTGCCAAATTGGGCGTATTACATACATCTCACGCGTGCCTTGCAAGGGTCTGAGTGGACGTGGGACCTTGTCGCACTCACAGAGCCACGTGCGGAAAGACCAGGGAGTAGAAGTGGAGAGGGGATACATTGAAGGAATGAGTGTTTGGCCCCCAAGCCCACCCTCCTGTCTTGTCTTCTCTCTCTTCGGCTACGTCAAGTACCGCGGAGTTTCGTAAATCGGTCATGTACCTGACCTAGCCTGACCCATCGAAAGCGAGTACCGTGATCATTAGCTCTACTATCTACGAAGTACTCATTTCCTAGCAGCGATCCGTAGATTGATTCGATTATCTGATAATACAGCTTCGACTCCTGACGGCTTCCTACCGACATCCTCCTTCTTTATTCCGATCACGATCCATGAGATCACGATATTCGTGCAATTACCAACTAACCCGTGTTGGTTAGAATTTAGATAAAGAATGGAATGTGAGACATACATAGATAGGAATTCGGCAATGTTCTTATCCGTTGCTACACTTATATTAAGAGCGAGCCGAGTTAACCACGCGGCCAACTGTATGTCTCGTCTGCAGAGTGTCGATCCTCAAGCACGTCTTCGGGAGTACTCGGGCGGTTAGTGATGCGAGCAAATGCGCCATGAAGCTAACAAGAAACTCATGTATCACCACTATTCCAAATCCTCCAATATCTATAGCGATAGACATTACTTGCAGGCGAAGGAATCTGTACCAGAAAGGAGTGCACCAATAGTCGCGTGGGAGGTATAGTTTCTATCTCGGCATCGGCACTACACACGTGTGAGTAGGTCGCAATTTGCGTCTCCATGGCTCTTGATAACAACCTCATAAAACCAACTAAAACCGTTGGTGAAGGTGAGGGTGTGTGGATGCTGATGTCAGAGGAGAAATTGGGACTACCGCGCTGTTTGACTGGTGTTGTAACGCCAGGCACCGTGGATGCCACGTTTTTTTCGCAGCGAAAAGGAGGGTTGCACACAGCAATCCTTCGCGCTCACTACCAATTGGCGTGGCATATAACATAGCAATCTGGAATGCTGATTGGCCCACGAGGTAGAGCTGAAGGATTCGAGGTACCCTCTATTCATTATCGCATTGCTACCGCAGCGGTGCGCGCCACAGAAGCTCACCGCACCTGTGGGGGATAGGGGAATTAGATGATGCGACAATACCCCTCAAGAAGGCAACGATGTAGAAATGCGTTTGACCCCTTTCGGAACAGATTCATGTCAGCTTGCTTGCATAGATTCGAAAGGCTATCACTTCTTCAGAAGAAATTGGGTATCATCGCGGGCAAGACGTTGTATCAGATCCGCACATCCTTCAGTCAATGCTGTAACTTGACTGGCTCGTTCGTCTCCAGCTGGGAGGAGTAATGCTACGTCAGTATAGTATTCTGCAGACTCGACCACGTGTATGCAGGTTGTAGAAGCCTTCTGGAAGGTTTCTTCGAAGGTCTCAGGTTACATGAGATTATTGGTCTTTGTAACCCTCCCTAGATACCTTGGTAGGACTTTGCCGTGGAGCGTAAAATCTGAGCAGCTATTTTCCCAGGAGATGAATTAATTTAGACAATGCATGCCTATACATTCCTCCAACCGTAGAAAATATCATTCGGAGACATTTTGATTATGTGATTATTTAGAGAGTTATTAGTTTGCCCCGGCGAGGCTCCCTTACATACTATTCAGCTCGGATAATAAGTGGATGGTAAATAATGACGAGATCTCCGACGGCTTTATCGAGTCATCGGAGATATTTTGTTACCTAGCGCTGTTATGCCGTTACCAAGAGAGAGTGGACCAATTCCCGACCCGCTCCCGTTTCTTCCGGAGGGATTTTGATATAGATTGGTCTTGCGGTATTTGAGTCATGAATTAACCCGTACATCCATTAATCCCGTCATGAATCTGTAGTGCAATGCAGCATAATGATAATTCCTGAACACAGCCTTAGGGCTGTCGGGGGAGGAATCCTTCATTCAAGTCATTATCCCGTCAGCTAAGGGGCAGCTAAGGGGTATTCAGGTACGGGCAAACGGGTTAGGTTGAATCAATCCCAAGTCTGACAATATGCTAATACGGATATATCAATTGACAAATCCTTCATTGTCGTCATGGCAACGTCGATATGTATGAACCGTATGGAATTGATGCAATCTGAATGAAGTCCTTGAGTCAGGGGTATTATAGATCTAAGATATTATGCAAGAAAAGTAATTGGTCCAACAAAGCATCGTTTACGAGATGCCTCAGCCTTGGAAATTAGAAGCCATAGAATATCAACATCGAAAAAGTAAGATGATAAGAACAAGCGATATGATGAACCAATTGCCGTCGTCTGATGTAGTTGGGACTTGCCCATATGGGGATGGCCGAAGCGAACGATGACATTGGCGAAGAATTAAGAATTGGCAAAATGTTAAAAGAAGAAAAAGAATTGGCTGAGCTGAGAAAAGATCCTGGGGAAAGTAATTTCTACGTACCAAGGTCCGTGACCCCGTACCTGCCCTTGTACTTCGTTACGTATTGCCACTTCCGGCAGTTTGGTTACACGACTAAGCCGTAAACATTCGTAAAGTTACCTAGGTACTGACTCGCGTTAGGTAATAACCTTGTGAGGGACCTAAGTAACATTCAGCCCTATGAGGTACGAAGGATACAGAAGGAAGTACCTAAGCCAGGTATGTACATCCACTAAATGCCCTGAATGTCATACATAATTCCTAATAAGAATAAGCTGACAGGGGCTGCTTGGGTCTTTTTGGTGGTAAGGATTTCATAACTTAGCGTTGTGGGCTTCGTAACTGCCCAATGTACTGTACCTTTTTCTCTTTTCCCTCTTCTTCCTTCGTTACTCGCTCTACATCGTCGTTTCGAATTCGCAAATCATCCAGCAGAACAAGGCCAAGCCCATACAATATCGACATCATAGTATAGACGAAACAGGCAACATTCGAGAAGTAATTTACGAATGTCGTATCAAGGACAACAGAGAGTAGGCACAGCTTTATGCAAGACCATACCAGCTATACTATACCCAGGTACAGAGTATTCTATCAACTTCGAACAAAGGGACCCGGTATCCAATCAATCAGGGTCCGTGTTTCATAAACAAAAGACCATACAAGACGGATTCCTCTATAGTGCCGTACTTGGATGCGACGATGTGACGATGTGACGGAAATGTTATAAAGGGGTCGTATATTGCCGCATTAGGTTGGTTACGAAGACGCGAACGAACCCCCCCCCCCCGCGATCATCCACTATACCCGATTCCGAGGTAATGTACTCATGTTAGCTTGGTTATATGGATGCCTTGAGATATGCCCAGAATGCCACGGATGCTAAAGCTGCGACTACTATCACTACGAATCAACGCGACGCAACAAAGGTTACGTACGACGCAAGTGTGCAAACGGTGTGCCTGATTTCCTCGTGACGCAACTCTTCCTTTTTTCAGGGTTTTTGGTTGTGTCGCATGCATCTCTCGTCAAACAAGCTGCGCCATGTGGATGGATGGACGATGATTGCCCGCCTTGTTGTTGGCTTCGCATTTTCGCATATAATAGGAATCAAGCGATAAGTATCCGCGTGTTTCGTTCGGTCGCGAAATCTGACCGAGCGACCGTCCGCGTCTTATATGGATGCATACAAAATGCCTTACCATGAGTGTATAAGTGCCGCGACGGACGGTAGCCTAGTCTATACCTAGGTAGTCACTGATTCATGTGGATTCCATCTTAGGCGGATGGCACGGGACGGCGGTATTGCGACGGTCCCGAACTTATAATAGTGGTCTAGGAAGCGATTTCGGGGTTGGGGGAGGGAAGAAAGATGAGATTCCCGAGTCCGAATCCCTCCGCGAAGCCTTGTGACTTGACATCCTTGTGACGAGTAATTATGACAATTCTGATATTTCGCGCATAATATCATTATATATACCTAGGTACGTATTTGAAATTTTATGCATTTCGCACTTTTTATGCAGGGCTATCTTGTAAATCATCGTAAATCGTTGTAAATCAGGGCAATTTAATAATGTCGTCATGACTTACATAGTTGACGGCCAGACAGGTGAAATATTTCGCCAATCCAGCCCAGCCCAATCGTATAATTCGTACCTACATTGAATTTTGCCCAGTTAAATGGTTAATGCATGTGCCTCGGTGATGTGATCGATCCATCCATTCATTCCTCTTGCCCTGGTGCGATAAGCGATTTGAAATTGCGGGCAGCGGAGATATGCGGATTTATATGGTCCATAAGGCCATAAATGCCATTAAGAAAGGGAAGAGTCATACTATGTGTAAGTGGGATGAAACTGTCGTTGCGAATGCGATAGAAATTATGATGGAATACCATTTTCTTGTTTCTTACCAGGATCATACATGTCAAAAGGGAAGAAAAATGAATCATACCGTAGTTACCTAACAAAACTAGTTGGTTTGTCTTATGGGGATGATGGATGAAATGTAAGCCGAGTTTTTAATGATTTCGGCGTTATGGTTGGACCTTGGCCGTTGATAAATCTCCCTTTGTTCTTTTCAAACCGGCACAATTATTAATCTATGAAAATTCCCAATACCAACCAATCAAATATCAATAAACTAGGGCATTCCAAACTAGATCCGACCCGGACAACCTTGCCGGATTATAATACATTTCGCTGAACAATCCCGACCCAGATCTGATTCATCAGCAATAGATCTATTTAGTCTAAGTCGTCATTAGTAACCCATAGAAGATTAATGAAGCAAGTAGTAAGTGCCGTAAAGTAAGAATGTTGCTATTTGCTTGGTACGTGTACTACCTAGTTGGTATATTGACCTAAGCTAGGCATAAGCCAGCAAGCATTGGAAATGAGATACTACCTAATCTTATGCTTATTTTTGTGTAATAAAGGAATAAGAAAATAAATCATTAAATCATAATAAATAAATGGTATACGATACCGATGAACATGGCCATAATTTGAAGTTGCCGTGTCATTTGATGTCATGATGGTTTCGAAAATTGTGTTGCCTAAGGCTAATCCATGGGATCTCGGGTTCCTGACAAGTCGAAATCCGAGAAACCGAATGCGAATATCAACCAGTAGTAGCGTAGTACATAGTCGTAGATTATAGATTAGTTTGAAATGTGTCAGTGTGTAATGCTGTGCTGGTGCTGATGCTGTGCTATGTGAATGTACTAATGTATATTAACGGGCGAAGCCACAATTCGGTCAGCAGTCAATTCCGACTTTCCAGGTGGACCAAATTCTTTCGATAGCGTATTAAGACCTCCGCATAATACGGTTACATCTCATCCATCCTTGCTCGCAAAAGTGTGGATGGTAGGTACCCATTTGACTCCGATGACCATCGGGTGGATTAAAGCCCTGAAGTTGTTGCTACACGTAGGAAGACGGAGAGGGTCCATGTCGCAAGTTGCGATCGCAGTTAGGAGATGTATGGCGGATGTATGGTAACGGAATTATGTATGTTATCATCCATTACCCATTAATTATTATTCTTATTATTGATTAGTACATTAGTATACACAGATGCGTGCCATACGTTACAGTTGTTGCAGATGTTGTATATGTAGTGTGCAGGCGGAGTACGGACTCTTATGACTTAAGCATGGGCAAGAATTAATCAGAGGCGGTCGGCGAAGTTGGGTGACTGCGATTCGATATTTTGTGTACAGGCAAGGTCTTGGGAGAAGTCTTGGCCCGACTAATACGCATAACAATACGCACATACGTGGAGGCAGTACGGTACATTATTGCGGTGAAGAGGTTTTGGAGGGAACAACTTACGTGCATCGTGCGGTCTCGCATTTGCGTAAGAAAGCAGGAAGCAGGGGGGATAAAGTACCTGTGGACTGAGGTAAAGTTCAGCGTTGCCTGGTTGTCCTTGCTGTAACCTGCGGCATCTCGGTACGTACTTAGGTACTTCACGTAACCCCACATATTTTACATTATTAAAGTTTGTACGAGCAACTTGAAGACCAGATGAGTTCATGTTCATGGGTTAATTCATGGGTCCGTTTGTATGTACCTAAGTACCCAAATATTGAATAATCGCACCGGGGGGGGGGGGGGACAATGTACTGCCACGCGCGCCCATTACGAATGATCCGAACCCCCGTCTATCCAGTCAGTCCGTCAGTCCGTTTAAGCCCGAGCAAAAGTCCATCGTAACCCCATCGCAATTCATTACAACTCGATACAATTGTACACCCGGCTCGGGTTTGGATGGTTTGGATAACAAATACTGCCAGCACTTACTTCCCTCAGACGATCCAGTCAGCCGGATATATTACAAGTGAACGCCCCCCCTTTCGTTCCGTCCATCTCATCTACTCCGGACTTGACTTAGGAACTTAAGCTTGGACACTTCCTTACCAACTCGACTCGACTTCATTCAACCCTAACAAACAAACAGTTCGATCTATCAAGAGCCTCATTCCAATAGCTTGAGAAGATCTGAGAGATCGTGGCACGACCGAGCACGAACATCAGAATTACATACCAATCTACGAAGAGGATATCTGTCGATCTATTTATCTATATATTCATCTAGTTTCGCAAACTTGCTTTGCCTATCTAGGTAGATAATTACGCAGTTATTACAACTTTACTTTACAAGGCACGGCGAACTTGAATGGGAAGCATAAGACTTACACAAACTCCACACCGCAAAGCCTCGAATTTCGAACCAGCGGTCGGCTCGGTACCTCACAACAAGTACCAAAGTACTCAAGTACTCAAGTATTGAAGTATCAGCGTACCACTGTATCTCACGTACATCGGTACCCTGGTATCCTAGTACCCTAGTACTTTAAGAAAGAAAGAAGTCCCCCCCGCCGCCCAACGCAGAACAGCTATTACACTCCACATCCCTGCCGAAAAAAAAGTTCATCGACAGTAATTGAACATAAAAGACAAGGACTCGCTGTTTGGTCATTGCTCCTCTTGCCCTTGGCCGGACATCGGTGCCTGACTCACACAACACAACAAAAAATTATTATTGCAGCCTATTGCACCATAACTACATACACCAGAACACACAGACACGGACCATCATATCATAATACAAAATGGTTTCTGTAACCTCGTCCTCACCTTTCCACTCCCCTTCTCACCATCCACACCAACAACCCCAATCCTCACCACTACCCCGGAAGAAGACCATGTCTATTACGCAGACATACTTCCTAGCTCACAAGGCACGAGCTAAGCTCTCCAACGAGGCTGCTCGACCTGACCACAACCTTCGCCTCCTTGTTGGTCACGCCAACCTACTGGACTCCTTGATGCTCGACCTTGCCGATGCCGAGCGGGAACAAGAGAGCTGGTTCAACCAATCCGTCCGAGGAGCCACACCCAAGGCCGAAGAGAGACATGTACAATGGGCCGACAACGTTGCTATGGAAGACGACTGGGAAGCCGACTCCTCGGACTCGGACAGCGACTCGGACTCGGACGACGATGACGTAGAGATGGCAGACGCAGCACCACTACGACGGATACCTTCCAGCACAATTCTGCCACCTCCGTCCCCTCAATTACATATGATCGACGATGAGGATGACTTCGAAGATGACGACGAAGACTACGATGCCCTATCTCTTACACGATCACCATCCCACTCAGTAACATCACCACCTGAGCTCGAACACGACTCGGATTCATCCGAAGACGAAGCAATGCCACCTTCACCACCGGTGGCATCTATACCTACATTCTCAGACAAGCAGAGGGAAAGCACAGTGACGACCAAATACTACGACTCGAGGCAAGACGATGATGAGGAAGATAACAAGGCCGACTTCTACAACGAAGGATACTACCTGCCGCCGCGACATCCAGCACGAATAGTATCTACGATTTCGGTCTACTAAGGAACTACCTATCCTATTATTACAATCCTCTCCCACCTCATCATCTCTTAATGACTTTGCATCAGCATCGGGTCTGGTTATCATAATGTGTTTTCTTCATCTGCATCTGGGCGGCGTTTCAAAATACCAATAGCGGCATATGGGCATTTTTACGAGCGCGAGCGAAATTCCATTTGATTTGTATTTTCTATGTATTGTCTCGAAGTAACCATACCCCCATGGTAATGGTCTATACCATCTCAGAAGGAGGATAGTATCGGGTATCACCGCAGCCTAGCAAAGGCAGGCTGGTCTATTTCTCATTGGGGAGGATCTTGTCACCGCTCACAGCTTATTTTCTTATTGGAGGACTATTGAAAGAGTATTACCGAAAGCGGTAAAAAGGACAGGACTAGCGGGGCTACTCTCTTCGCTCCCTGGTATTCAACCCACGTATCTATATGTCTCTAGGTATGCAAAGCGAAAAAAGCAGGGTTTGAATCTCAAAGGTCGAGTGGACACAGGAAAGCCTCGCTTCACCGAATTTCAATTTTACATAGCGAAGGCTCCCAAAACTGCAATATGCAGTGGAAAGCCCCATTCAATCAAATCAGAATAAAATATGATTAGTCAAAACATTTTGTCTTGTGTGTCTTGTGTCTTTTTACGTGCAACCTGGAACCAATTGTCTCATGAATGTGTTGTTCACATGATTACATAAAAAAACAACCCCCATGGGAGTTAGGTACTAATGAATGATCTTTAGTTGATCTAATTCCTAAGTCATTTGAGTCATGTGCCAATTAACGGGAGTTGGCGGAGAGAAAGAAAAAAAATACGCGCACGGTTTAGAGGAGTCGCGATATCGGCATTTCACATTAAGACATTAAGGATAGGATGAGACGGGAACGAGAAATAAAAAATCCTGATTCATCATCAACATTCACGATGCCGAGGAGAATGCGGAATTTTCTTACTAACGCACTTTGATATTATCAAGACAATCTATCGCACTAGTAATCGAAGGCCACGGAATCCCAATTCAGTCTCCTATTATTACGTACGTATGCATTAATATCTAACGTACGTGTATACGTACCTCTCTTTCATATGAAATGTACATTATCATTCCATGTTGGTAATTAATAACCCTAGAACCTTGGATACCTATACACAAGTACAAACAGGCAACAGACAAAGAAAAGAAATAAAATAAAAAAGGGACCTCGGAGACATCATAAACCCCGCCCGTTAGTCCCGGTTTCCCGAGTTTTGGCTTTAGATCCGCTCATTCCTACGGAAATTTCATATTTCATTCCTTGGTATGCCATGGATTTGGTTAGGTACTAATCTAGGAAGCCTAGGTACACTAGAAGCAAAACGAAACGAAATGGACAATTACAAATTCAAAATCAAAGAAATGTCCGGTGACAGCTAGGCAATGGATTGATAACGTAACTAAGCAGGTAATTAATTAACAAAGGATCATAGATATACTATGCGAGAAGAAACAAGAACCGAGTGAATAGGGACCGTCTCTCCCTAGCGTGTTGAAACAAAAGGGTTTCATGAAACATGCTATGACGAATGAACTACGAATCCATACATAAATTGGTTTAATTGTTCATTGTTTGAGAATGATAGCTACTCGATGTCCATTTTCATGCATTGTACGTTTTTAGTATATTTCGTGGATTCATGTGTGCGCATTCGTGTTCTTGAAACGAAACGTCTTTAGTTAGTCAAGTCCGACGAGGGTCGGAAGGAAGATAGATTGATGGATGCAATTCTTTCTTCCCAATTGATCCTGATTCCATCATCAATCAACGATGGAGGCTTGGTTGGTTGGTCTAGATTTGATAGGGTTGCGGAGGGTTTTGAGGAATTAGTATATGTACCTAGGTATCCAATTGAATGTATAAAATGTCTATTGTGTGCTATGTGTTATGCTATGCTTTGCTGTGTTGGACATACTGGACAGGCTTAACAGGTTTAAGCTAGTGAAGACAACTTTCGCTTACCCTTGTCCGAGTCGGGTAGGGATTGCGAGCTACTTCGTTTTACTCATTCATTCTTTTGTTTTCGAGGCTTTTTTGGATGGTGGTCACCAATTGTTCTGTTCACCTGGTGCCCGTCCCGAGTACATTGACTCTTAGTGTGTGGGGGTATGGACCGTGCACAAGGCACACTTCTGTGTAGCCAAAACAAAAGCTTTGGGTTGTGACCTTATCGTCGGGTCGTCGGGTGATTATCTGATATCCTGTAGATCCACCCTTTCAAGACTGGGAGCTGCCTAGGGCTAAGTATCTTTGGTATCTTTAACATATAAAGACAAGGTTAGAGTTACATAAGGTTATGTACATAAGGTTGGCTAGGTACCGCGTGCTAATCCCGAAACAAGGCTAGTAGCAGTTTTAGTTCAAGGCGACAAAGACCCAACCGTCTGGGCTTCCCGCAACCGCGAACAACCTTTTTTTCATAGGGAAAGAAAAGGGGATCCAAATGCAAGACCGTTCACCGCCCAATCATTTCATGCCGCGACACGACCTTTAGCGTACTTAAGGCGGAAAAGAAGTATAGATTAGCTTGGGGGCTGAGCTTTATGCTACTAGCCCTGGAGTTTAGGTACATCACATTCCGATCCTTGGATACCATTGTTAGTTGCCTGCTTGTTGTGTGACATAGATATTGTCAATTCCACAATCTCGTTTACCGTCTACTTACGCGATTAATCCCCTGGATAGGCTAGGTAAAAGACACGAAGAGAAAAATGGTAGCCGGGACAAAAAAGAAATGAAGCCGGTATGTGGATTTTACTTTTCTGTTTCTGAGTTTGCCTCCGTGAAAGGCCAGGCTAGTTAACTAGTTCAACCACCTAGCGAACTAGAACCCATCTCTTCGGGTTTGAGTCATGACTTTATTGCGATACGGATCTCTTGATACCGACTTGTACCTATTAGTTATTCGGAACTTTTTTTTATTTTCTACTTGGTGCTGCCGCTCGCGGATGTCTAAGCTTTAAGTCCCTTTTGGCCTTGAACGCTACGTGGTTTTTTCTTTCCTTCCGCCGCACGGTCTAGACTCTTGCATTCTTATCCCGGACACGCGCCAACGAAAACGTCCGGGTTATCTTATGTACGGAATAGAATGAATACCTAGGTAGGTAATGCGGAAAGAGTACCGAGGAGTACCGAGGAGCACCGCTTAGGCCAAGGGGTAAGATGTAATCGTACTTAGCACCGTTATTTGTTTTAGGATAGGACCCCTACTAAGCTGAACCGTCTAAATCTCATTCGAAATGTCTTTGACGGATATGCCATCCTCGCATCCGGAGACGAATGAACTGGCGGGCACTTTGTTGTTGTATGGTACTTACCGTACATATAGAGCTAGGAGAGCTAGGTCCCCTACACCGTCAGTACCGCCTGTTCGGTATTCTTTGTATGGTAAGTACCTACAATACAGGGCCATAACACAGGGCTACCTGCACTAATGGATCTCTGCCAAATCTTGGGGAGCTGTTTAGCGAAGGTGGCGCTGTTTTGCATATGTAGCTGTAGCTTGTCAATCTTATTCCTTTCTCCTTTCGTCGTCAATTGTCCTATCATTTTCCTTCCTCAGACGAAAAAGAAATAGTGAAATCTTACTATTTCGCTCCGGAATAGGAAAGGCAGCGGAGAAGCACGAAACACTTTCTATCATTGTTAATTGATGACGATGCTGAGATAATACGTAGTATGCAGCAAAAGGACCTGGTACGATCATGGAGGGTCCAGGCGAACGAACAGACGTAACGGGCGCAACGATACAACTGGTTGGGCACATTTACCAACCACACGGCCACGCCTTTTTGCGGGCCACCCCCTGTTCGACCGCTCCCGCACACCATTTTGGTGACCCAAATCTGCGGTCAGCAGCATTTTTTCGATGGCTTAAGCTTGTCACCGCTACGTCCCTCCACGATGGGACACCGGGATTAGGAGTTAACCAATTAGAATCGTTCTTGCGAGTGCTATACCGCCGGTTGGGTTTCATCGTCTTTTCCTACTGGTCCTCGTTTAGCGATGGATAATGATTTGGGAATGACTATCGTAGTGATTGATGAGGGAGGATGACTGTACTTGGTAAATAGCCTACCTACCTACATAACCTAATGTAGTGTTATGGGATGGATGGATTATATTGCTTTGCTTCTGGCGGACTACTACTCTACTGCCACTTCCCGCCAATTTACAATATATTGGTTTGCTACAGAAAGTTCGCTATGTAAGGTATGTAAGTCAGATCGTGAATGTCGCTGTTGCTGTTGCTTTCAAACCCCGAATATTTGGAGTCTCAGATCGCGACATCGAACGAATATCATATCGCAGCTTTTTGCCTATAGATCAACGTATGATCTTGGTTGCACATATGTTTTATGGTGTAAAAGTGATTCGCACGGATAATGATTCCGTCACAGGTAGTCAATTTGATCACAATCAATAGTCACCGAGATGACACTACACAATTGTTTTCTTGCGCATCGCACTTATCTATAGTATCCCGTGAACTGTCCATTGGGAATCGGTCACATGTCCCGCGCTGCCTTGTTGTTGAGATGAGTCTTAATCCAATAGTTTAGGTAGGTTAATCGATTGCCTAACGTACAAGTCTCAAATCTAAGGCAATCTAGATTTGAGCCTTATGATCTACCTAATGTAGGCTACCTAGCCAGCCTACATGTGAGTCGGTAACTGATTGTACATACCGAACATGGGCGTAGGCGCGCAAGTAATTAAACAATTGTGCCCCGAGACAAACCGAACCCCTTTAAGGGGGCTTATCCCGTGCTTAATTCGATTGATCATCCATCGCTTAAGCTTGACGAGACATGTCTAGAGAACTCGGTGAAGATAATATTCAAATCTAGTTATTAAGAACCTTGTTGATTGGTCTCGGGACCGTGACGTGTGGCTACTACATTGTCGGTGTTCAGTCAGGTAGGCAGGGCTTGAACAAGTGTGTAGTGGATAGCTGGGTAGGTAGCTGTAGGGTCACGGACTTGTTAGGTACCTACTGTAAGTACCTACCTGGAATCGTGGATCGTGGCTAGACAAATTAGTCATCTTACCGTTGATGCGACCCCGACGTACGATACACGATACACAAGAAATTCGTCGACCGCCATAATCCGGAGGGGCGATTGAGATGCGGCCACACAGACGTGCTTCCTTGGCTGAGAGTTCATATGGAGAGGCGGTGTGGTCTTGCAAATTGGCGGGTACACGACTGCGGACGGGAGGGTAGACGGCGGGGTGCGGCGCTGATTCATACCATTGTTCGATGCCCGTGTGAATCATTGCGGGCTGGATGATGATTGGTGGAGCTTGGACATGGAGAGAATGTACGAGATATGACTGGTCGGGGGCTGAGGAAGATGTACATTGCTTTACTCTGATAGGTATTCTCCAGTTGCTTCTCGTTTCATGTGATGACTAAACTAGTTGAACTATTGGGGTAATTAGGGCTTTGGATAGGTATCTGATGCTGCCAACATAACGGCAGACAAGACACTTCATACATACGTTATTACTTGCTGTCACATTATGTGAAGACGTGGTGACCATGGTGACCATAGAGACCGTAGATAAGTTATAGACTGTAGCACGCGACCGGGCTTTGATTCAACCCCCGCTGTTGTGTACGAGTAGATCTTGATGTCGTTTTAGGGCAGGTACATGCATATGAAATGGTATTGTACACATCGTACACACAGTAAAATTGATTACTTAATTGTTTGATATACCCATACCTCCATATCTCGGGACCGTACCTCGGGATTTATCCTAGTGATACGCTTCGCGGAGTCTTTCCTCGGCCGGCCGGAGCGATATTTCAAATACTAGTAGTAATTAATTGGTCTCGAATTACACAAAATGTATACAATACATCCCACTGGGGAATTTACATGTCTTAAGCCATAAATGGTATTTTATTATCTACCGACTGCCGTTATGGAAGCCGTAACGGCAATCTGCTGACGTGATCATTCAAGCCCGGCAATGAACACATCCGACTATGGGGTAATTAGTTTACTTAACAAAGGAACCTTGGAATGTTTGTAGTCACCCCATGATAGTCCAAGACTCAAGGAGATATTATACGGGTCTCGGTGCTAAGTCCATATCGCCATTAATTGTATTACCATAGTTGCTAGGTCCGAAAGGGAGACGACGGGTTAGTAACAGATATCAATCACCCTTGTGACCTGGTTAGGATTTATGCCTAACATCTTATAACCCTGCTCATATCGGAGATAATTCATTTATATGGTGTTAATCGGACCTGACGAAGTCAAGAGTAATTGGTTTCAAATCGCGGAACGCACGGAGTCCGGATTGAGCAAATGCGCTCATGACAAGATAGTATAGAAGAATTATGTGCTCTTGATTGTTAGTGTTCCGGTCAGATGGGTCTGGATTGATACTTCGTATAATAACGCGACTATATCCTAGGTAATCGTGAGCCGAGGCTACGGCGAAGTTCGCAAATGTGGAGATTCCTCGTGGATACATCGTGGGTTAGTTATGCAAAACTCAACTTTCAATACGGTAATAAAAGGAAATTAGAAATTGAGTTCAGTTGGGCATTGTAATACCCTTGTACGCCTTGTTATAATCCATTATACAGAGTTCAATTAACTCGGTACCTACGCGGCTAGGCTTGGTCGATAAAGCACTAGGATATAGGGTTTCGGTGCTGACCAATGCGATATCCGACCGCACCGAATCTTAACATCCGAAGCCGAACCATCACCGACCGAACTGGGAAATTTTTTTTTAACGCGGAAGCGGCGAAGCAAAAGCGAGAACGAGGCGAACCAAAGTTTAATGTTAGTTACATTCATTACATCATCGCTATCTTTTTTTTTTCTTCCACCGGGATAGACGGTAACAATTTAATTAATACTGTCAAAGCGACAAGGCTAGATGTAACATTATTTCCTAAGTACCTTTTTTCATCTAATTTTTTATCGTCTACCGTAGCCCTAATTACGGAGTTAAGCATTGCGACAAGCTCCTACGTAACTGGCATCGTATCCGACATCGCGCGGACCTCGCGTACGATACATCCATCCATCCCATACCCACGTACCCATCGCATGTAAGGAGACAAGCAACCAAGCTAGTAAGCTAACTCTAGCTATACCGTACAATGCCGATCCTCGCTCGAGCTTCCCCCGGTCGTGCTCTACGTCCCTTCGTATGCCAATCGTGCCAACAGTCCCTGCGCCGGCAGCAACGGCAATTCTCCGTCTCCTCGAGCCGTGCGACAACAACTACGCCGCATCCTTCGCCCCCTACACCCCCTCCGTCCGGCTACGCACATCTTACCTCTCGCCGATTGATCAGCGTTGCCGGTCCCGACGCCCCGAAATTCCTACATGGGATCATCACACAGTCTGTGATAGACGAACCTGCGACAAGCGGCGGGAGACACAGACATAATGCGCCGCCGAGGATTGAAGCTACCATGGCCAATGCGCCTGGTTTTTATGCGGGATTCTTGAATGCGACGGGTCGTGTGTTACACGATATCTTTGTATACCGGGATACTTTGGGCTTGTACGGGACAGTTACAGCGGGAGATAACGAGGCCTTCATTGTCGAGGTAGATGCCACGCAGGTGGATACGCTGGCTAGGCATATCAAAAGATACAAGCTTCGGAGTAAGCTGCAATTTTGGGTCTTGGAAGAGGGCGAATGCGCGGCTTGGCAAGTATGGGACGATTCCTTATCCTCGTCCCTACCCCCGCCGTCTACGCCGCACCAACAGTTACAACGGCTACTCTTGGAAAAAGCTCCGTCGCGACTATCCCAACTAAAGGACAGTATCATATTGCCTGATACACGCGCGCCGGGCCTAGGGTACCGCGTGATAAGACGCGGAGAGGGAGGACTGGATTTGGACCTCAACCGAGCCGATGACGCGGCGTACCGTGTAAGGCGATATCTCCATGGCGTAGCAGAGGGCCAAGCCGAGATTTCGCGCGAGCAAGCTTTACCCCTCGAATCCAACATGGACGTTGAGGGTGGCATCGATTTCCGTAAGGGATGTTACGTCGGCCAGGAACTCACTATCCGCACCAAGCACCGAGGCGTTGTGCGTAAGCGCATACTACCATGTCTCCTATATCCGACTTCGTCCTCCCCACCTCCACCGCAGAGCTTGGAGTACAGACCCTCTATTAGCGAAGGAGACGAGAGTCAAGCTCTGTCAGCACAAGATATCCCCTCAAATCTAAGCATTGGTCGATATGGGGCAAAGGGCCGCAGTGCGGGGACTTGGTTGACAGGACTCGGGAATGTGGGGCTCGCGTTGTGTCGACTTCAGATTATGACGGATGTCGAACTACCGGGTGAAACGGCGGCCGGAGCATCGTATGACCCGAGTAAAGATGAGTTTGTCGTGAAATGGGGTGCAGAGGAACAGAGTGAGAGTGGTGCGCAGTCGGCCAAGATAAAGGCATTTGTGCCAGATTGGCTTCGTGAGAGGTTGCGTGAGAATGATGCTTCTAGTCCCGCGCATTAGAGAAGGTAGCGCTTGAGCCCTTGTTTATATGTAGAAATCAGTATATATCACAACTCTGAAGATTATGAATTCTTACGAAGATTAAGATGAACTTACGGTAGTTATCACACCACGCAAATATAAATTTGTACACCAATATAAAGATCTGACTTCTGAGCGAATTGATTCATATGTTGCGTATTAGATAGGATTCAGACATCCTACCTCTATTCTATAGTCCAAGGAGACTCTATTCTACTGAAAATCAAGGGTATCATATGCAAAGTGCGAGAATAAAATAACGAAACCATGGAGTGTTGTAGGTCCATTTCTAGCTCCCGGCGCCGTCGCCAGTAGGAATGGCAGCTGTAGCAGCTTCTTCCGCTTTCTTCTGCGCCTCCTTCTCCGCCTGAGCAGCTCTTAGCCGTGCCATCGTAGATGAGAAGTCCCCTTTCGCTCTTGGCTTACTGCCAGCGCCACTATTCGACGTAGCCGTAGAGGCGGGGGAGAATGAGAACTTCTTCGCTGTGCCCGTAGATGACGATATTGGACGTTCCTTTTTTCCATCAGCTTTTCGCTCTTCTGACATGTCGGGAATTGCTGTAGTTTGATGAACCCCATTCTTTTGCCCAGATTTCTTCTCCTTTTTCGCCGCTTTCCGTTGTCGTGCTTCTTCTAACCGTCGCTCGAGGTCGGCTATTTGGTCGTCATAACCGTCTTTGTTTGCGGTCGGGGGTTCTGGATCAATATCCATCTTGGAGTCGGGGGCACTGGTGACATCCGGCGTCCTTCCCCTGCCATTTGTATGTGCTTCTTTCTCCTTCTCACGCTCTAATTCCCTAGCCTCCGCCTCTCTCATCAATCTCTGTCGTTCTTCCATGCGTCTCTTCCCCGCCTCCATTAACCGCCGTCTTTCCGCTTCGCTCATCGCAGGACCTTCGCTTTCTCCCCTTGGTCGCTTGACAGCTCCTCGCTCGCGCGCTTCTAGATCTTCTACCATAGCACGTCTCTTAGCATCCATAGCACGGCGTTGTTCCTCGCGTAGCAGCGCAGCCGATCGTTGTGAATCGTAGGCTTCGCGCGCCGCTGGATCGGACAGGATGTCCCGCGCCCGTTCGAAGAGTTCCCATTTTTCCGCATCGAAGTTGGCGCCTGCTTTGTCGGGGTGGTATTTTAAACTTCGCTTACGCCTGTGAGGAAATATGATGTTAGTGAGTGATGTTCACAGCTAGAGATCTTAGGATGGGAGCAAGGACTTACCAAGCGCGATGGATGTCCTCTTTAGGCGTATCGGATGTGACACCTAGGAGCTCGTATAGGTCTTTCGTCGTGGCATATTCTCTGGCATAAACTAGGAGATCGGACTTATCCATCGTGTTGGTCTGGGTTATGTCGTTATCGTGGCTGGTATAGAGAAAATGATGTTTTTATTTCGAGAATGGGGCGATAAAGTCAATAGCAACCAGACTGTTGGGTCCCGCTAACAAAATAAAGTTTCTAGGCTAGCGGGAAAAGAAGTCTTGGCACTACGTGGGGCAAGCTTGGATAATTACATAAGGTACGACTATCCATATATTGTAATAGAGAAAACAGAAGATATCGTGAAATGACTTTTCAATCCTAGATCATGAACACGACACAAATAAACGTTGGAAAATGCTTAGTATACTCTGTTAATTACCCCTTTCGCGAAAAAGGAGTATCAATTAGTTTAAGTATCCCTGTCATGCGGAGGCTCTTAGATAGCCCCCTTTTTATATCCTGAGGTCCCTATAGATATTCACTCCTTTTTGTAAATCCAACACAGCGAAACCATTTGGAACCATCTCCACTACGAACTAGAGTTGCCGAATTGTAAGAAAACCATCAAGACGGCCGCGTACCTAAAACGATATCAGCAAACAGATTTGGTCCAAAGCTCTATCTTTTCAACAGGAATATACGTACGCAGCTGTTGCCCCCAAAGCTTCAAACGGTTTTGCAGCCATGGCAATTGATAATATGATCAAGAAAACGAAGACGAATAGCGTAATAACAATTAGTTTGTGGACCGAACCCGCTAGAAACTGAAGAATCCAGAGAGGGGCAATAAGCATAATGACACCGATCGCTACGATGATACCAGAAGCGAAGCTATCGATACGCTTGTCGGAGTAGTACGTGACGTAGGGGGCGTCGTGGTCTGGAGTATCCGGGTTATTCTGCTTCCATATTGAAAGTGTCCGTAGTCGGCGCGACTGATCGATAAGCTGTCGCACGGGCATCTTGTCCTTTGCAGCTATGGAAATTAGGTCTTTTTCGGCCTCCAGATACTCTTGTTCAACTTTGTTTATCGCACTATAGTCGTGATTATGATGCCAGTTTCGAATAAACTTAACCACCCGAAGTGGTGTAGATTGATATTTCTTCATCGCAGTTTGCTGCAGTATAAACTCATCTCCATTTATGTTAGCTCATGAGCCTTGAGCTTTCGACAGAACTTACTATAGTGCCGCAGCTTTTGTCTAATTTCCTCCAATAGTTCGATACGGTCTTCTTGGTCACATCTCAATGTTCCATTGTTGATATCTACCGCATCTTTATTACTATAGTTTGCATCCATTTCCGACAATTCACTCTCGAGAGCCGCTAACTCATCTTGAAGTAATAAAGCGATTCGAACGTTGAGCGTATTAAAGCGCCGAAGTACGAAGAAGTCATTGTCAGAGGCAAGAAAGTCCGAGTAGCCTCTGTAGCCGATGTGCTTCCAGGGTTTCCGCAAGATATCCTGCTCTGTTGGGGTTGAACCGCCGACTGCGGTCTCTTTGGCGGCAGCGGCAGCGGTTGAAGTTGAACATGAAGATGCATTTACTGGAGACGCCTGGTAGGTAGATTGCTTTGATGACATGAGTGAAGCCTTGGCATGATGTAGTAACTTTTGATCAGAGTGGGTTTGAATATATATTTCGGGGCTGTACTATATGTGACGGGACAAGGCTGGGAGGCCGCCCATGTGCGTCACGCAATATGCATGCATGCCCAAGCCATGCAGTTTTTTCCATGGCACAGCCACGAGGCAGACTGGTTTTCCCGATACGACGATAATATGCCCAGATGATAAACCTTGGGCTATCCCCTAAACTCTAACATCATCTTCATGTCCCTCAGGTGTTCTTCTCTCTTGGTAGAGAGCTTCATTCTCCAAATAATTTTGAACTGAAAGCGACAAAACTATTCCTACCATGGCTTATTCCTCGAACGAATACGAAGTATCTATCCCAATAAGTTTAAAGACGCTTAAGGAAGCTACTAGGGGATACATACAGGAATCCCAAACTGAGGACGGCATTCCTGACTCACCGGAGCTAGGATATCGCGAGGTTCCCGTTGAAGTGCGTCAGCGGTCGGATAGAACCATCAGAGCCGAGCCGCCACCACCCCCAGTCACCCAGAACAGCTCTACACTACAGCGTCGACGCTTGGGCCGCGGGAAGAAGCAAACAAACGGCTTCGATGGAGATAGTGGGAGTGATTCGGACGAAGGTGACCCAAAAGACGGGCGTAACGGGAACGACGGTCCTATCGCGCGACAGCGGCGACAGGCGGAAAAGTTAACCGAAGATTCTGCGCCCCCCGCTAAGGCGAGCTCTTCGTCTTCTACATTTCTGACGCCTGAGGAAGAGAAGCGCATGCGCCTACATCGTGCCTTGCAAAAAGATTCACGTATATGGCAAGGTCTCTTGGACGCTTGTGTAAAGCATAGGTCTGATGGTCCATCAGTGAGATCTGCTTTGATTTCGTACAAATTGAATCCAAACATCCCCCCGGATTCCGTAGAAAGCGATTTGGATGTTGAGGTCATTCGAAAGCAGGATGAAAGACTGCGTGATTACCTAGATGAAGCCTTGTACCACGAACTAGATGAGACGGCGAGTGACAGTGGTTCGGATTCAAGCGCAGAACAGAAAATTCTTGAGGAAGTTATCTATCAAATCGAATCGGAATTTATTTCATCGTACCTGAAGATACGCCCTCACAAGTCGGACCAGGCCTGCCGTGATGATTTATTCTCTGCTATCACTCGATTAATTAAGGCTTCGGGCCATTTACACTTCCCTTCGAATTCAGCCGAAAAGTTTGTGTCTCAACATCTCCGCTCCGACCTATTGCCTAGGAGGTATGGTTTGCTAGTTATCGATGAAATCTTCAGAGAAGAGACACGGTCCAACATACAAATCGATACCACAACCACCCCTACTCATTCTGGGCAGTCAGGAAGTTCCGTGGCAGGAGCAGTAGAAGAGTGTCGGACAGATCTATCTCTGATGAAGTCAATCGTTTCCTCACGCCAAAAAGGCCTGTTGAATCCCAAGTACACCAATTGGATATATACGTTGGCACCCCGCTCTGAAATCAAAAAATACTGCCGACAAAGACGCAGACAGATGCGAGGAAGGAAAATCAGGGGACTTTTCGAACAATTGGGACAGTCAAGTATCAGCCAGGAATTTTATGTGAAAGACGCATATGGGGGCCTTGGGCTTGTGCTGTTCAAGGGGAACCTTCCGTACTCGCTAAGTTCCGTGAATTACCAACTTTTCTGTAGCTTTGGATGGTTTAGGCCTATGAACCATGAGCGGTGGGTTCGTTACGAGCTTGATGAGTATGGCGAAATCTTCCTGGTTACCATGGACAAAGAGGTGCTAGCATTAGCTACCCCTGAAGGAGATATGTATTTTTATGATTCCGACCTGCAAAGTTGCTAGGCTGGCAGCATAATTTGTATCATAGGATCAGTATTCGGCCTTATTGTTCAACATCATCTACCTAGGTGCTCTATAGTTTTTGAATTCAATCTCTTTACCCATCCTCATGCAATCCCAACACTTCAAATGCATTCCCTCCCATAACCGCTTTCGCATTCTCACTCCCCTCTCCCAAAGCTTTCCTCACCGCCTCGGCATTCCAAGTGACGCTCTCCCACTCACCCTGCTCATCACTACTTAACGGCGGGAAGAATGGGTGATCCGTCCCGAACATCAGCCTATCGACACCACTCGCATCGATCGCGGCCTTGAGACCAACCTCCGAGTACACAACGGCATCCAGATATATCTGCTCCCGAAGAACCTGCCATATCGTCCTCCGGCCCTTCCCCGCCTTCCCTTCGCGAACCAGGTGTCCGTCATGCACGATACAACTCTCAATCCGACCCGCCAAGAACGGTAACGTACCACCGCTATGCGCAAGCAACATACGTAAATCCGGGACCTGGTCGAAAACGCCCGCTAGGTACATCCTCGCAACAGCAATCGTAGTTTCCATTGGGAAGCCTAGAGCAAGCGGGAGCACGTGTCCGTACTCCCCCGTCGCGCGGGGACCCCAGACCTCGCTTGGCAGACCATAATGTGGATGTAAGAACACGAATAACTTATTCGCCGCTAGGGCGCTGAAAACCGGTACTAAAGCTGGGTCATCGAGTCCCTTGCCTAACCCCGAGGTACCTAAGATCACGCCCCGGCAGTATTTAAGACTGCGCACGTGCCCGACGGCCGCGAGGAGGGTTTCAGGCGGCGCGGTTAGTGGTAATGTAGCGAAGAAGAATAATCTACCCGGCTCTGTCGCACACATGTCCGAAAATGCCTGGTTGATGGTTTTAGCGGTTTCCCCGGCGTCTTCCGGGGCTAGGAAGTCAAGCCAAGGGTTCGCGAGTGAGATTACTGAGATATCGATCTTATGGGTATCCATGAAATGAAGTTTTTGGCTGAGGGACGAGTAATGGGTTGTGACAGGTCGGCCTGGAAGGTGAGAGGATGTCTTGTCCGGATCATCTGATGTGATTTTATCTAGTGATTCGGCCTCAGCGGGGAGAATGATGAGGCGGGGTTCTTTGGCGCCGGCGAACTTGCGGATTAGGGGGATGCTGGTTCTTGATTCGAGGAGTTGGACGTATGCTGGAGGATACAGGTGAGTGTGGATATCTACCACACGATGTGTTGATGAGTCCATCTTGCCTGCCTTTCCTAGATATTAAATGGGATAGATTGTTGCTTCTAATGGTTGCGAATTGGTATAATTGGGTATTGTAAAGTAAATGGCCGTGGTAAAAGATGGGTGATACGCCCTTATCGTGACGCTCGTATCCTCGATATACGGTGTATTAAGTAGTTAAACGTTGATACTTGGTTACTCCCCCTTGTGTTGATGCCATGCAGTCAGTTATGAGGTATGTTATGAGGCGGAGAAGCCTTGCATAGATAGAACCAACAAAATAGACCCCCTCTCTGCATAAAACAGTTCCATCAAAGACCGGATCTTGTCTATCATGCAGATGTAGTAGTAATACCCCACATTTTGCCGAAGATGTCACCCGATTCCTCCATACGAGTCCCTAACAACCCGGTCTAAGAGCGCTTATCTTATGCATGGTCTAGTAGGAATACCTTATCTAAACAGCGGGGTTAGTAGATATAAGTATATGTAGGGAGAATCAATGCTCTTACCTCAAGTCTTTTGATGTCTTTAGTCATGAATAAGTGCGTATAAAGATATACAATTGAAGGGAAGGATATTATCTTGTAGTTCGACTCAATTCATAATATTTGTGATACCTTGATTATCTAGGCTGGTTGTACGATATAAATTCTCGGAGAGGGCAGCATATCACTGCCTATCTTCTTCGGATTCCATCTCGGAGGTGGCCGGCCTTACCCCCCCACCTCTTTTGAGCAAAAGTTGCCACTGAATCTAGCGATATCGTCTAGTACGTGGGATTATTTCCAGCGAAATCCGTTAAAAGACGCTCGTTCTAATCCGATTTATAAATATTAGTATAAAAAAAATCGAATTTGGCTTATAAGATCCAAGTAGTGCCTATCTATACGTCTTTTGATCAAAGTATCAATGGAGACAGCAGCAGTAAAGAGTGAGGGTCTTGTCATCCCGGTAGGTCGTTTGGAGTAACAATTCAATCGTACTTTTGGAAAAATAGGTAACTAAATACAGAAATATTTAGCTAATCGACTTCTCGCAATTTCTCAATGGAACTCCTGAACAGAGAAAGGAAACTGCGAATTCCATTCTCCATGGTTTCCAATCGGCGGGATTCATCTATTTGAAGGGCTTTCCTATCACATCCGCGTACCGGAAGCATGTATTCGAGACGTCAGCTAAATATTTCAGGCTTCCAGTCGAGACTAAGATGTCTCAATGCTGGACTACACCTGAAGCAAATAGGGGATATTCTGCCCCAGGTCGAGAAAAGACTACCACGTTGACCGATATTGAAGAGGTCAAGGAATTGAGGGATGCTGTACCCGACTTGAAAGAGAGTCTCGAAATTGGTCGCGAAGGCGAACCCGGTCTCCCAAACCACTGGCCCGATGAGGAGGGGGAGCTAGTAGGTTTCAAAGAGACCATGCTTGGCTTCCATAATAAATGCAAAGAGCTGCATGTTGAAGTCATGCGCGCCATCGCCGTCGGTATGGGTCTCGATGAGACGTGGTTTGATGGCTACACGGACGTTGGAGATAACACGATTCGCTTGCTTCATTATCCCGAGGTCAAAAAGAACGTCTTCACCATCAACCCAGGCCAAGTTCGCGCTGGTGCTCATAGCGACTATGGCTCCATCACTTTGCTTTTCCAGGATGCTCGGGGTGGTTTGCAGGTTCAGAGTCCTACTGGAGTCTTCGTTGATGCGAGACCCATTGAAGATACGTGTGTGGTAAATGCTGGTGATTTGTTGGCGAGGTGGAGTAATGATAAGATCAAGAGCACTATCCATCGCGTTGTGGAGCCACCAGCCGGAGATGGAGATGTTTACCCAGCAAGATACAGCATCGCGTAAGTGTATGCATGCCCTATTTTACGTGAAATGGTGAACTGACATCTTCAGATACTTCTGCAACCCCAATTTCAAGAGCTATATCGAAGCCATCCCTGGTACTTACGCGACGGAGAAGGAAAGAAAATACGAGGGAATCAACAGTGGCCAATACCTTGTCCAGAGACTCACTGCTACTTACTAGAAAACACGAATCGGGAAATCCGAGGACACGATATGTCTTGCGAATACGTTATGGTGGTGTGAAATAGTACCCAATTTGGCGATCAACAACGTTCGATGTCGTGGAGATTCCATATTGGGTCGTTGGATATTTCTTGAATTGGATTCGTAGTGTGTTTTATGCAAGTTTGAAACTGAACGAACCAACACAAGTCGTGGAGTTTTCCTTCAACGTCGTGATCGTATAGGTACTTAAACACTATAAAATCCCGGACTAAATTTACCTAAACGCCATAATGCACGACAAAAGGAGCGTGATTAGGGGATTTTCTTAGTGGAGTTACCCGCCCGAATAAACGTCATTTTAGAAGGAATAAGGAGTAAATCATCGGGTGTTGGTGGGGACGGCGTGGCACTTTCAGCGCTGATCCTACAGCCCTACTCGTGCAGCTCCCCTGCTAGCATGTTAGTACCTACAGGGCATCCCAGCGCTATTTTTGCTATCTGAAACCTTCCCGACCGCTATCAACCTTTTGATCTTATTCTTCCTCTCTTTCTTCCTTTTACTACACATTCCCTATTTTCTCGATGGGGACTCAAGATGAAGAAGATATTGTTGTTGTGTTTCATCCATGGCTTCAAGGTAAGTTTCTATAACCCTTTCTTGCCCCTGCTCTCTTTTTTGCTCTTCCCCTTTTTCGAGTCTAGAGTGAAAGGATATACGTTCTAACCATATGATGGCGAACTATAGGGGGGTGAAGATACCTTCGGCGAGAAATCCGAGTTTGCGCAACACCTTGGAGCTTTAGTCGGCGCAGCGCTTCCAAAGGTCTCTGTTCGCGCTATCACATACCCACGATATGAAACTCGCGGTGACCTACACGAGTGCGTGGCTCGCTTCCGCGACTGGCTTATGAACCAAGTAATCGACCTCGAAGTCGCCAACAACACACCCTCACCAACCGTCGACCCCTCCGTCCATGTAATCCTGATAGGGCACTCTATGGGTGGCATTGTCGCCGCCGAAACCGCTATCGGTATTTCCTCCGACCTACCCGTGGGTCAAGAACCCGACGACAACGATAGTCTTGCGACAAACCTCGGCGATTCGATTATAAGCAGCGGTCTTATGTTCCCGTATATACAGGGTGTCCTCGCATTCGATACCCCATACCTAGGCATTTCACCCGGCGTCGTAGCGCATGGTGCTGAAGGCCATTACAATAGCGCATCTGCGGCCCTGACCCAACTTTCTGGTCTGTCGAATATTTTCTGGGGGAACTATAACCAAGCCTCTGGGAGCAATGGTAAGAAACCAACTGGTGCGCTACCTGCCCCGGAACCAGAGCCGGAGAAGAAGAGGCGGGAAAGTACCGGAAGTGGTAATTGGGGATGGGGCCGCATTGCCGTGATGGCCGGCGCGGCAGGTGCGATCGCTGCCGGTGGAGCAGCTGCTTATATGAACCGCGACCAAATCGGTTCTGGATGGACGTGGGTGAGCTCACACTTAGAATTTGTAGGGTGTCTAGCCAGAGGCGCGGAATTACGGGATCGTGTAGCGCACATGGTGCGGCTGGAGAAAGAGATGGGTGTTGGGTTTGCGAACCTATATACGCGATTAGGGCGTGCGGCAGCGGCTAAGCAAGTCAGCATGGTGGGCACCGTGATGGGCAATCAGCGTACCTTTTGCAACTTACCTGCGCGACGTACAGGTGGTATGTGGTTGGAAGCTATAAATGACAAGGCAAAGGACGAAACGGGCGCTCATATGGGTAAGTTTTCTTTGTTCTCTTTTTCGATTGTCTAAGAGTCAAACAATTATGTAAGGGATGCTAATTTGTCTACGTAAAGCCATGTTTGAACCTGCGCAAAACCCGGGATACCGTAAGTTATCTGAAGACGCGAAGAATCTGATTGTGAAGTGGTCACGGAATGAGTGGTACGAATCAAGTGGACGAAAGGAAATCGAATAGACATGGATGAGGTATGATCACTAGGCATGCGGTGTACGAAGTATTGTTTTATTATACGATTTTGATACCTTGGAAGGCTATTCCTGTGATATTTAAACCTCTTGTATCGCTATTCATGAATACACTATCGCCTCGAGGGCCTTAAAACCCTGTCTATATCGTAGTATATGATCCCGACTCCGAATCTATTGTGTAGCCTTCTTGTTCTCTGCCTTCGTCGCCTTCATGACCTTTCGCCTTTGGGCCATCATGTGTGTATATAGGATATAAGCCGCTGCAATTTCATATTAGCACTCACTTTGAAATATTGCCAAAGCGGTGGGGTGTTAACTTACATGGAGGATATACCAGCGCGACATAACCAAAAAGTACCGTCGAGTATAATGGGCTAACAGCAGTCTTGGCGGGCTCAACAGCACGCCAGATGAGGTACGCCTCGCTGGAAATTCCGATGGGGTATAGTATGAAGAAAGCGTGGTATCGTAGCCAGTGGAGGGCGTAAGGTGGCTTTCCGAACGATAGAGACAGAGCGAAGTATGAGTATCGAATGATTTCGGTGGTAGCCCAGGCACCTAACATCGACGAGTAGGCTAAGCTGGAGTAGCTATCACCAGCACCCTGTCCATGTGCTAGCTCGGAGAATAGACCTGTTATACCCCATACGATGGCGTATCGGCTGAAGACTTGCATAAAAGTCGTGAAGATGGGAGCACGGACGACGCCTGTAACGTGATTGATCCGTTAGCTTCCAGGTATTCAAAAATTTGCCTTGACTGTTCGCTGTCATAGAACACGCATGTTCAATTGACAGACACAAGCTATATTGCATAGCGAAAGTAAACACAAATTAGGGTTAAGCATACCAAATAGCGAATGCAATACCTCCATACCAGCCAGAGTCTGCGTCCATTTGCAGAACTCGCCTACAGCCGGATATACATGGAGGGGGCCTCCGGTAATGTTGGCACCGACAACGCGGCCCAAGACGGTGAGCCAGAGGATGGCCGATACGGCATTGTAAAGAATCAGGTAGCCGTTCTTGATAGGTGAAGACTTCTTGACTGGTTTCGATTTGTCGGCCATCTTGACGGACGTTATTTGGAAGTGGGGGAATTATGAATTGGTGAAATAATAACGAAGGAATAAGGAATTAGGTTATGATGTCGCTCGTAGAAAAATTCAAGGAGGTAGGGAGGTAAAGCTAGCTATCCTTGTCCATTATCCTGGTCAATGCGTCAGGAGCTAGGAATTGGCTGGGACCAATGAGAATCAAGGATTAGAGGTACTTATATCACGTACCTAAGTACAGCTAGCCACTATCATTGTGGCTGATGACGTCGTCACTTGTTGAAGTTATCACTAACAACACAACATCATGAAGATAGAAAGTAGGGCTCATAGTTCTTAATTTATGGGAATAGATTCATATAATACCGCGTAAATGGTGTCGAAGGTCTCCCTGAATAGGCTATCTTCAGCAAGTGCAGAGATACGTCCTAATCCCCAACCCCCCCGGCGTTGCCTCCCACTATTACGTACTGCTTAATATATTGATCCCTCCGATACGACTTATCATCTTGTCGATTTATAACCTCGTAAAGAACCCCTTGAAGTGTAGGTGAGCAACAGAAAGGGGAGATCAATGTGGTCCGGGAATGATCATTGCTTGCTGTAGGGCATCTGCGTTGGTCAGGTTAGCTCAAAACAAGTAGCAACATGTGATATAATTCATTGTTAGATCTCATACCTCTTGACCTGTAGCGGAAATGAAAGGTTGCAACTGGGTTGTTGTTATCTCCGGGGCATGACACGACATCGGTTTCCATCATCGACGGTGAAAATCTACAATAACGGGTTATTAATATTCTTGCTCGAACTTGATCGATTTTGGAGACTTACGTTGTCCCATGCGTAATTGACTTGCCTGCCATAGCCTCCTCAGACACAAATGCTCGCGCATCTTCGGCCGGCCCGGCGGGGCGCCGCTGGACAACCCTACGAACTTCGACGGTGATGGTTCCAAGGTATGGAATAACCGCCGTTCCTTTGTTGATCCAATCACCTGTCGCATTTACGACTCGGGTATGTGTCAGTTAAACGAGTCGACTTGCAGATCAGGAGATAGAACATACTGGTGGCGATGGGGCTGAATCTGCATTTTTGAACGGTGGCAACTCCCATTGTAGTAATCACGTTCCTAATACCGTACACGACCATCGTGGCTTCATTGTCAACAAGAGAATCTTGAAGTATGAAGTCATTCGTAAGAAGGCGTCCGTCAGCCCAACATCTGATGTTTAACCCGTGTGTTACGGGATGGTTCCAACGGTATTCGTTTGTGACGTGGATGTGGATTTTGAATTCGGCGTTATCCACACATTCAACATATTTGTACTTTGTAGAAAGATATACTTGTCAGTAATTGGAGGACTTGAGATATTTCATCAGGGAAATAAGGAAAATTTCTGCGCGTAGTAGACGCGCAGCTTGTGATTGGGTCAACTCCTAGATAGAAAGGATGGAAGGCCCAAGAGCATAAAGCAAATAATAATTAAGAATCATTTCATACATACCACAACCTGTCCCTGTGCGTTGGGGTCGTCGTACTCAGCGATCTTATGTCCGTTGACTACGATACTGGCCTTAATACCAGGAACAATCGGAGAGATAGCCATGTCGAAGTTATTAGACGAGACGACTTCGGGTGACGAGTATTCTTTTTTAAAAGATGGAACTGGGCGGAGTACCTTTGTGTGTGTGTGTGTGTGTGTGGGTGTGATAGGAAAGTCGGCGTGTAGGAAGAAAAAAGGGAGCGTGAAAAATTAAACACAGGTAAGAATTAAGGGTGAATGATTTGGCGCGCAAGAAAAATTTGATGTGTGCTTCGCCGTCAAAACTAAGAAAATTGCATAGGGTATGTAGGGTCAGTGCCATGTTTTGTTGCGATTTTAAGAGCAAGAGCTCCAATGAACCACTGAGGCTCCTTCCGCTTGTAGGTGTTTGGCACTGTAAGAATCTCTACACCAATAAGGACACGAAGTTTTGACACGGAGGGATGTGGGTACTGCAATTACTGCGGAAGATAGCCTGGAGGCACTCTAGGTACGCAAACTTGATATTTCTGTAACTGCCTTTGTAAACTGTGGAAGACGCCTTGTAGATATCACATACTGGTAATTCTTCGATCGTTGATTGGCCGTTCATCAAAATTGTGTTAGGATCGACTAACACCTGTGGGAATGTTGTTATCGGACCTATATATGTAAGATATATGATTAATTTATTTAGTATGTAACATTGGATGAAGGCTAATCGGTGGATAGGGGAATATTCTCTTATATCTTTGCTGAAAGGCCTCTTTCGCTGAGGTATCAACAAGATGACTGGTTGACTGGCTGACTAACTGGTTAGCTTGCTTGTAGTTTATACACCTCAAACTGCGTTGATGGATAATACGTAGGTACTTACTTGGGTTCCGTCATTGGAAGCAACATGTATTTCCGTCAAGCTAGTACTTCTGCTTCAAGACATAACTGATGATATCATAACCAATTTGATACCTTCTCCTACCCTACCTAAACTTTTTGAATGTACATTCTGTCATCTAGCCGCAAACTATACCACTATCCTTCTTGCATTTGATCATAGTCAAGAAAGTCTTGAAATAAAGCCAAAGTATCAAACTCAGCTGCCAAATTCTCCGCCCTAGCCTCCTCTGGGTCCCTAAGCGCCAAATCCATATCAACCATGAATTTAGCACGAATTTTATCCTCGAAATCCCTCTTAACACCGTCCAATCTTCCCTCCTTGAGTTCGTTGATGATTCGTTGTGCCTCACTTCCTGTCATGCTATTGTCCCGCATAGTCATCGACAGCAAGCCTTGAACAATGATCTCGGAGATTCGGAACGGACGGCTAAAGCTTTCGTATCCGTAGATACACAAAAGCATGTAAAGACGCCATTCTGGGTCACCGGTATCTTTCAACATGGCATTCGCAAGATACAGAAGTCCCGTGTGCCATAGGATCGAATAGGTAGATGCTACCGAATAACTCCGATATTCAACGACGAGATGCTTAAGCTGACCCACCGAGGCGGCATAAACCGCATCCGGTGTGCTATCTTGTGCCGAAAAAGTTGTTAATCGTGGTCGTTGATCTACCGGTTTTCCAACGAAGGGTCGAAAAATGTCGAGAATTGCGGAATGGAGCCAGATGCTTGACTTTATTAGTACTACTCCGAAACTTGAGTTCTTCGAATACTTACTGAAGCACAGTGACATGTTGGGACCTCCCTTCTATTCGAAGTAGAGAAGGCGGAAGAGCCCCTGCCCAAGCGATGAGCTCACGGAATCCATGTTCTGCTAGAGCCATCCTAAAATGAGGAGAAGGGACGTCTCGAACAGGGTTATAAATCCATCCGACTCCATGAATGACGCGCCAGAAGCGACAGACAGCAGGGAAAATCCACCCTAAAAGGTCGCTATCATTGAGATATCCCTCAGGGATGGTATTTTCTCTTCGCTCAGGGGGTGGTTCCCCCGGAATGGGCAGTATAGGTGTTGTACTTGGGCTTTCGGAGCCCGGTTGCCGGTAGAATAATGATATAAGTCTTGTCATGTCAGCTTATGTTGAATGATATGTATAGGTATGGCCCTATTTTACTAACACGTTCCAATTGAAAGTACCCCAAGCTGCGTAGCTACGTGCGCATGCATCATCCTCGGATATCTTCTCGCTCAGGCTCGCGGATGCAGATTCCTCGGTGGAGAAAAGTCCTAAGCCCTCACCCAATTTCATAGCTTGTGTCGCGTAGTAGAGAACGGCATGGTTTCTGCCATTTCCTATAAGAGATAAACTAAGCAACACAGCGCCAGCCATGGTTAGGCAAGAACCTTGTTCTTCTTTCCACAGCCTTTCGGCTTCCTCGCAGAACTTATCGGCATATTGTATGGCGTCTTTATCGAAGGCGCTGTACATTTGCTGGAAGTAACTCAGCAGAGCTCAGTAAATCAGAGCTTCCCCATCCTACTTACACATCCTAAATACATCAAAGCATGGAAGAGGAATCTCGAACAAAATCTATTTTGCTGATTAACTAGATCAGTGATGAAGAGATAAGGACTAAAGAGTCCTAGAAGTGGATGATCAGTAGTGATATACAAGGAGACGACTCGTGCAACAAAGTCATTAGAGACCATCACATCGGTCCAAAAGCTAACCTGTAGATTACGAAGCCGTTCATCGCAATAGCCAACTTCTTGCCCGGGACTTACGGGAAGTAGAAACCGCCGACCTGCCGATGCGGCTCCAACAGGAGATGGCGAGTCGCCAGAGCTGTAGGGGTTAGTTGTAGACACGACTGCAAAAGTCCAAAGAATGGAGCAGGGTCTACTCACGTCTCATATACAGTGGCGGATGGTTTAGAGGGTCGAAGGAGATCGCTATTCGCCAAGAGAGAAGCATTGACAGGCCGTAGAGGTGGATAAGCCTTAGAATTGTTGGTCATCAACTCCAACTCTAGCACACTTCTAGCTAGGTTAAATCCTTGAGGCCCGGCTTCGGGGGATGTCGGCTCATCTGCTTCTGCATTACTCTCTCTGAAGATGGACAAGACCTCCACAGGGTCTCCATTTTCTCGCAAGAGGCTTAATAATTTGGTTGCTTGTTCTTCAGGCAATGTCTTTAGAAGCTCTAGCACTTCTAGCGTTTCGGGACCGGCTTTGGTTTTATCGATATAGAGGCAAGAGATGACCCCTCGTTTCACACAATTGGAACATCGTGGACGAACGCCATCACACTGCACCGAGTTAACTGGAAACGAAAAAGATTAAACAAATCAGATGCTTGCCTTAATCTTACGGTGTCTACAATCGGTGCAGGCACCTGGTCTCAGCCGCCGAGGACCGGCATTCGATCTCCAAAGCTCTCTCTCCTGGGGAAGAGGTGCTGACGGTAGGATTGGTGGGTACTTCCTAGGCTGCATCGCTCTAGATCGGACTTGTCTCCGGAAAGTCTAAGTGGGTGTCGTAATAGGGGGTTTGGTCTTACTAAACAAGATCGCGTACATTTGGTAGGTATCTATTAGCGATTGCGAGCGTCACGATGACGAAGTATCCCGATAAGTTTTTTTTAGCTGCTGACATAAACATTACATAGTACAGTCCCCGTCGGACCGATGGAGTCCGTACTGTTAGGTAAGCGCCAGGAAGCACCTTAGCTAAGCCAAACTCTTAGTCATAAACACTTACATAAGTGAAGATAGCTTAGTCATGAAGCTTAGTCAGTCTGATTAGTCAGGTCCTCCCCCCCTATTTCAAGCTTAGATCTCTAGACAGACAAAAGGTTTCATATAGTGACGATTTGACAAAACTGATACGTCACTTTAGAATGGATCATTGCTTTAAAATATGAGAAATATTCAGTTTTAGGACTGTCTGGGTTTTATTTTATTATCGAGATTTACAACCCTATAATATTATTTAACTTTTGATCATGGTGTAATGCGGTGAAAATATATTACTGAAAGGATAATGCGATGCTATTGGCTTGTATATCCTCTTAAAGTCTGAACATGTACCTCGCAAGGGGGCAAAGAGATCGAAGTCGTGTTAGCTGCACACGGCTTTTCAGGTAACAGTACTGGCCCGAAAGAAACATGCCAAGGTAGAAGACACCTTGTTATGTCTATATTTTCAAGAGAGCCATTGAACCTCGAAGGATTTGAAATTAACCTTGAGAGACTCGGTCGCCTTCTTCTCTGGACGGGCTACAAGTGGACTAACGTCTAGGAGCCATTCTTCACCAACTTCGTCTTCATTGGCAAGTACCCAGCATATTTCCTACAATTCAAACATTAGTGATGACTGTTAGAAACGAAATTTAGTTTACATGTGTATTGACAGCAAAGCTTCCTCGACGAAGTGATATTTCTATCCGAGTCAAGAATGGAAAAACGGATCAATCCCTTAAAAAACGTACCCGAAGTGGAATTTTTTCGATAAGATGCCCTTCTGCATCTAATACCAATCTGTACACCCATAGACTTTTGCCATGCTCGTCTCCCTCGCGTATAATCTCGATAGTGACCCCACCAACCTCGGTAGGGTCAGATTCATTCGCCGTAAGTGCCAAGGGCCCAACACTCCAATCGGCGAAGCGGTCGCATCCCACAGTACTGAGATGCGGTTTCCCAAGATAGAACTCAACACCGGTTTTAATCCACTTCTCGGGAGGGGAAACGTCGGCCGAAGATGCTCTCTTCGGTACAAGAAGGAGCCCTGCTTGGTCATATCTCTCAGTCCAATCAGACCAGAAGGTGACCCGGGCAGATTGAAATTTCTTCAAGGGGCCTGAGGTTGTGCGGGAGATAGGAGCTATGGTAATAAGATTAGTAATTACCTAGGTATGTAAAACGGTGGAACGTAATAACCATATGAAAAAGGGGTAAGGGAAAGACGATACCATTCCAAACATTTGTAGTTGGTGGCTTCCTCCAGATGTCCGTTCCCGGCGCCGCTTCGAGAACGAACGACTCTTGAATTGTACTCATGATTAGACACTAAGTTATCTTGAAATCTTTGGGTATTCCGAATAAATGAATCTTATAGCTACTCAGTTACCTATATACTTTCTACTGGCAATGAGTAGCGGCTTTCGAGGTTTAAATAAACTTCCCAGGTTCCGGGAAGTACCCCATTTTACGCATTCGGGGAAGCTTTCCCGATGATGGTCCGGCGGCCCTAAATTATTCGCCAAGAGCTACCGACGGAGTTGCCTAGTTCGTTTACTATTGGGGGTATATAACATCGCTCTAAGTTATGACTTATACTACTCAGATGCTGTTAATATCCTTTCAGCTATCATTAAAATAAGCTTGAAATATAGACGTGACAACTACGGCGGAGTTTCCTAAAGAGAGATCAATGTACTGTTTCTTTCAAAATGTCTCCACATAAAATGTAGCGGAGGTGCCTATTTCGTTCTCAGGGGATAACGAATGGATGAGGAAGATTAAAAAATTTAAAATTCAAAAGGGAGACGAACGAACGGCAGTAAAGGGAACTTAGGTAGAAAGAAATAAATCTATGAACTACATATTAATTGGTTAATTGTGGTGGCGCATGGGCGTTTGTGAATGAAATCACATTCTTAATGACCCCTTTTACTATCCACGGGCTTTAAAGGAAACTACCTGCGTACAGGAATGGGCTCTGAGATTGGGTAAGAGTGTGTACAGCAATTTTCACATTTGGAAGGTATAGAATTAACTTTATTGGAGGTGTTATTGGTGATGATGACTCACGGGGGGCTTATCAGTGTTATAGGTTGGAGTGACTCCTAACGAAACATTTGGTCAAGCCTTCTATGAAAAGGAAGCAATAGCCTTGAAACTTCCCTTCAGTGTTCTACAGAGCTTAGGTAGATGCATTTAATAGCCGGTAGCTTCCCTTACACAGATTAATAGACAGGCACCCGCCAACATATCCTCGTCATATCACCGGGGTACCTCGTACATCGTGAACTTTGTCGGCAAGAACTTTCTGTAAAGGTTGATTAAAGCAGATAACTTCCTAGGCCACCGTAGAAACTGGCAGCTACTCGTTTCATGCGTTTCACTCACAAGGCGAGAACCTCTCCCAAGATTTTGTTTGATTTATTATAAATAATCCCAAGTTTCCCCAACACCAACCCTCCCACACCAACCTGCCACCATTTCATCCTTCTTCTTCAATCAATAATATTCAATCCACAAGTACTAATCGTCAACAATGGCTTTCCCACTGGAGGCGAGACTCATGAATCTCAAGCTACTTGGACCTTGCTCCAACTGCGGTGAACCAGCATACATATTCTGCCCGGAATGCGGAATGGCGCCCGAGTACCAACCTGGTGATAAATCCGACACCTACTATTGTGACCCTGAGTGTCAATACCTGGTACGTACGAAAACACGTTCTGTTTCCTTTTTTGCCATTATTTCTCCAAGGACCTGCTTATTTAAAGTGCTAAACAACCTTTCTTTATCTCTTCACCGTAAAGCTATGGGTACGAGGTATGAGGTGTATGATCACTGACTAATATTTTTCTATACGTATAGGATGGAACTTATCACAAACCCCTCTGTGACCTCCGTAGAAAGATATGCGCGGCGGAACTAGTCTCATTGTTTGCGCGCGAGGTCTTCGAATGGTATCGAACGTGCGTTTATATGCATCCTCTAACTTCAATTGGGGCTTGCTGGGACCAAAGCACGGGTTTCCCTGACGTTGCCGTCCTTCATCTTGATTTTACCGGGGATCTACACCACCCGTGGAGTCGCGAATTCCCATCGCACAAGGGTTTCAGTTTCGAGTTCAACCAGGTTGCCGTGTTGGCTTTCCAAAGCCTACCTGCCGCAGCTCTTTTGGGCCGCATGATTCGTCATCTTCTTGAAGGTAAGCGATCAACATTCATATATGTGGCCATAGAAATTTCAGCTAACTTAAGGAAAGGAGTTGTCACCGGAGACATCAAGTTTGCCCAGGTGGATCACAAGAAGCGAGATTTCGACCTCGTTTTTGACATTGACGACGACACTGAGCCTACCAGAAACATTCCACTCGAGCCACACCACACCGTTCTCATCTTTCAACTAGGCGAGGAGCGATGGGTTATGGATATCACCGGATGCCAATTTGGAATTGAAGAAACAATTGTACCTTATCATCAGTACTTCCGAGAAGGTCGCTGCGAGATCATTGGTGAGCTAAAGCCGTACACCATGACCGAGACCACCGATCTCGACAAACCCGAGGACTTCACGTATGCACAACGTATTTTGCCTGAGACCAAGCTTAGCAAGCATCAGGGCATGCATGAGCGAGCCGCTCGCCTTCATTTAAAATCATTCATCGATGCTCACTTTTTCAACGAGACAGGCCCCGACTTCAACAAGGATTTTCTTCCTTCCCTGATGGAGAAGGGCAATGCCGTCATCAAACCCTTCGTTGCCGACCTACGATCGCATATGAGGGAGTTTTCGGACGACAAGCGTGGCAGGATTGATCCGAGCGACACGAGAGACTTGGCTGATATTGAAGATTGGCATGAGGTAATTTCGGAGGATTAAGAGTGACCAAGGCGTTGCTAGAGGTTCTCTTATGTAACATGAGGCCTTTATCGTTTATGCAAGCAAGGGATTGGTAGGTGGTGGTATGGTATGGAATCGGATATTTCGTTGACCGGCACTTTGAGATGGGCCAAATTGAATCAACTGGCTCGAGAATGGAAAGGGAACCTTCTAGATAGGCTTCGATGTGCATTAGGTCAATCCCAGTACCGAGATCATAAATAGACTTGCTGTATTAGGGCACTACATTCTATAATCAAGCTTAGATCCTCTGCGAATTTGTGCTTGCCCACACATGCTAATATTTCGCTAGTCCGCTGTGCTCCAAATTTCCGGGCCATGCTCGTTAACTGGATGAATGGGTTGATGGTACACAACTTTGTCCCTCAAGATCGACGGGACACTGGGCGACAAATTCTCTCCATCCATTTACCACAATCGCTTGATGAAGGTTAGCAGTTGATAAAAACGGGGAAATTTGGGCATTACCCGAACTTTAGGACTTCAATGTCATATTTTAGTACAGCTCTAGCCATTCCTCAGGATAAATTGGTCGTTTCTTTGAGGCCTTATTAAATATTTGTTGCCGAGCTAAAGTCACAAGTATCGGATTTTCGAGGCGCAAACATGGTTGACCCGAACGACATAAGAGACGATATCGATCATACAAAGCTAGAGGGCAAGTAGCACTCCACGAAATATGTTCCTATTCCTATCATGCAAGTGAAGTATTAGTTGATGAACGTGTAGGATTGTTCGGCCAGGATAAATCAGTTGACTCGAGCCTGGAGAGGGGATCCCCCGGTTTAAGCTTCATCGATTGGAATTTTCTCTGGAGGAGATCAACCCTAATATCCAGATCGTTGATTACGGTTCTGCTATATTTAGGTACTTCTTTTTGTAATCGAACTTTGGCCTGTTTCATGGTTGTCGTCTTTGTGCTTGCTCCATGCGCTATCATGGTTTGCAGAACGTTGGCCCAAGTTTTGAAAGCGTCTTCACGGCAAGTACAGTAGATTACTGCAGATACTAACGTTTCTATCCATACAGTGCTTATTTCGTCGCCGCCGCGAAAGACCACGTCGATATTGGGGTCAGCACCGTTTCGCATAAGAGTGGCAATCATTGACGGGTTTGCAAGCTCAGAGCAAGTGGCATCTAGCAGAAGAGACCATCCCGTAGTATCATCAATTGTCGTAACTCTCCGATTATTTTTCTCCCAGAATTTTATACGGTTTCTGGGAGTCTTATTACCATTGATAACGCATTTGATTCCACGAGGCTCCGAACCAGGCCGCACTAAGCAACCATGCGACGTCTTTCTTTTGACATATTCAATCACATCGCATTTGACTGCAAGAGAAAGGAAGCAGTCACCGAAACATTCGGTTCGTTTTGGCTCTCTAGGTCGTATTTTGAGTAAGTGGTCAAAGGTGGGGGAAATCGTCGAGTTTCGATCTAGTACGGCTATCTTTTCTAGTTCATCTAGAATCTGAACCATGCTAGAGACATTTTCTTGTGATACCTTCGATGCATATTGCATGCACTCGAGAAGCTTCTCAGGCCCTAATTTGTAATGATATGTTTTCCACATAGCCAAAGTCCCAGAACACAACTTCAAATAGGGGTCGAATGGCGTTTTAACCATACTTAAGAGCTTCTCCTGTACGTGGGGCCTTTTTAGATAGTCTTTGACAGTTTGGTGTAGGTACTGGACTTTTATCTTTTCGAGACGTGCGAATATTTCATCATACGTAAAATGGACTTGTAGAGCAAGAAGGCGACCTTCTTCCAATTTCGGTATTCCAATAAGTCCCTTACAGCGAGAGTTGAGCCGCCTTCTCATGGTTTTCACCCGACTCTGCATATCTCCGTTGGGTAGATGGGAAGTAGGTAGCTTGAGAGCAAACTCGGGGTCATCTTCATCAGCGTAAGATAGCAACAACGCCGCTGGTGTCTCTACACAAGCTAGCATTATATAGAAATACTGAGCTGTATGTTCCAGGTAGAACGGATCAAGCCCGTAAAGTATCTTGTCGTACAAATCTTCAAGGTCGGTAGGGAGGTCATCGAGACGCCGTTGTAAATCTGAAACCCTATCTCCGTACCTAATACCTTCGAGAAGTGATGTGACAACGAGGTTAACCCAAAGGAATACGCCAGAAGCTTTTTTTACGAAATTGTCAATCAGATCTGATATTTCTTGCATCTCACGCCCTTGGAGAGAGACGAAATCCTGGTCGGTCCCGAATCGAGACATGACGTATCTTTTTATGTCGTTAAATGTGAGATCCTCGAGGAAGAGACTTGGTTTGTTTTCCAAGGCGTCTTCAAAAACCGTCCAAGGTCGGCTCGCCACACAAACCTTTACTGATGGTTCTTTCGTAATTCCCTTAACGAAGTCAATTAAATCAGCGTGCTCGCCGTCGAATTCATCAAGTCCATCAATAAATAGGCAGAGCCTCCTGGTGGAGGCTATGAATGTAATTGTTTTGAGTAGGATCCTTCGGAGTTCAGATTCGCTAAAAGGTTTCGGGTCTTCATTGTAGAGACAAAGAGCCTCCCATCGTTTGGGGGAAATATGTGGTATGACTTCTGGGTAAGCTTGGATAATTTGGCTGAGGAGAGTACGGTAGAGGCCCTCTTTGGATGATTGCATATTTGTGCCAGAACCCCAAAAATAGAATGAAGCAACCAATAAAGGCCTCTCTTTGGCCCACTTGAGCAGATGCTCCGTACAGCGAAGTTCCATGCGGCCCGAAGAGGTAGCTTCACCGGATACCGTGGGTTGCGTAATGAATTTCATCAGAGTTGATATGCCAGATCCGGCTTTACCCGTAATCCAATAGAACTGCTGATCTGACTCCAGCCAGTGAGGAAAGTTAGCCCAAAGTTGCTGTTGACCTTTTTCCTCCTCAAATATCCAACGGAATGTCAATCTATGGGCATCAGGGACCGTGAAAACACGATCATGCATACCATCATAATCGAGCTTTAGAAGATACTTCTTTTCAAGGTATGATTTCCGAAGTTCATCAATTTCGAAAACGGGCGCTTCGGTGGTGAGCAGCGACTTAGCGGAGTTGTACACAACTTTGAGAAGATCACTACGAAGTTTGCGTCCTAATTCCTTGTACTCGGAAGCATCAACCTCTTTCGTGACACAGTCAATTAGCGTAGTTTCTGTCGTAAGATAATTAATCAACGTTGAGCCCAGGCCGTTTTCATGGCTTAGCGTCTGGTCAACTAATGGTAGCGCGGGGCCACTCCGACCCCTTGATAAGTCGTCTATCGCAATTTTGAGCGTTTCGGTTTTGCAACGGGACTCCATGAGCTCCTTTAAAATCGATTCTTGCATGTCTACTGACTTCGTAACACAAGCCCTAGCACGACGGGTTAGAAATATGCTTTAATACTGAGACAGGCCAAACGAACCTCAAAGAAACTGCCAGATCTAACACAATTTGATCCCTGCACCTAGAAAGTTGAGCTTCCAAAGCCGTAATTTCTTCCTTCCTCCAGATTACTTTGAAGGCGGCTACGATGGCTTTGCGCTTAGTCCATTCTGTCCGATCTCCTTCGGGGATTTTAAGTCCTTCAATGGAGTCTATGACTTTCTGGGCAGTTTTATAGCATTCCTCGGCAAGCGCAAAGGTCCTACCATTCGTCGCATCCTCGATTGGGATTAGAGGTGAGGTTTCGCCTATTTCTGTTTGTTGCAGGGTTGCCTGGAGACTTTTTGAAACTAGCCGTAGGTTGTTAAGCTCACTAACAGTCCCATTTCCAGATTGCCAGATCTTCCAAGCGAGACTGATAAACTTGGTACCAAAGTCCACAACCTGGATGATGTTAGCGGCAACACTGAGACCTAAAGCGGCCTCGGCCATTCTTGTAGAAAGGGCTAAGGATATGTGGTTAAAATTCAACAATAGTATATATGGAGCTTAGAGAATAGTTGTTGAAGGGGAAGATGGCTTGAAATATGGATAGATGCCTGTCTAGGGCAATCTATTGCCGCTGGTCGCGCACTCCGGACGCTGCAGGCTGGCTGTATGTAAGGCTCCAAGTGGCGGAGTGACGGAGTGACAATGTAGAAAATCATGTTGGGCACGGTGTATATATACGATGATGCCAAAATGAAAAAGCACATACTCTTATATAATAATATCACATAAATGGCCGTAAAAAAGTATATAAAACATACCTAGGTATTCACCTAGAGTGTAGTATTATTAGTTCCAGATGTTGCTTTCACCTTTACAGAATTTCTAAAGGTGCTGTACTTGCGTCTAGTTGCCATCTGGTTCGCGTTAATGTCCATCTGCGTTCTAAAAAGTGCACCGTGCGCAGGGGTTCATTTACGTGCACTGTACGTTTTAGGTTCCTTTTTGAGACCAAAAATGTCGACGGACGGAATTGTCAACGTCAACGTCTATTCGGACCCTGATTCGTTTGATGACGATAATCCCAGAACAGGAACTGAACAAATATAATATATGTATAGTATAGAAAGGTTCGCTATTCCTTGTTGAAGAAAGCCCAATATTCTAGCTACCATTAGTTTTGACATGAGTCACTGGTTTGGCTCTGCTCGCCTATATTGTGAAGGTAACAAATCTGGACTTGCGCAATACCCTACCGCGGCATCAGTATTTACCTAAATTGAAAGTAAATAAAGCGAAATTTCAGGAGTATCATTGGAGCTCACGTGACATACCACGCCTACCCTCTAAGTCAGTAACTACCTAGGTACAGGAGTTCCTTGTCACTCAACCCAGTAAATCCCAAAAAGCAAGATGTACTACCCAGGTATCCCATCCGATTGAGAAGAATATTGGATTGCTTGATAAAAGTTTTATACTGCAAAGTTCGTAAACTACTGACGGATTTTCATACCTAGGAGCAGACTTCACTACACAGTCTTAATAAACCGTGTGAACCCGAAGAGGCGCAGAATGAGGATTAATGATAATGAGAGCAGGGTACTTACCTAGAAAGGCAATATCAGTATAGCTGTGCTTACGTGATGATTGCATGAGAACAGAAAATCTTTAACAATATTGGTGACTAAGGAACCCAGGCCAATAGCTTCAAATGGATAAGAATTTTCCTTATTGAAGGTCTTCTGTAAGCAGATGCTGGCTTGTTCGACTAAGTCAATTGAAGCGCCCACTAGTGGAATAGATAAGTTCTATGGCTGAATGACCGTAGCAGTGCCAAACTACCATAGTATCGTCCTCCCACAGGAGTCGACAGAAATCTCGATCCAAGAGGAAACTACACCTTGCCATACAGCCGCGACACACGAAACTCTATGTATAGATAGGCATGTGCCTGAATAAGAGTGAAAAAAGCGCCGTCTGAATAGTACGCTAGTAGGAATCGAGAGGTGCTTAAGTACTAGAAAAAGCAAACATGCTGCCACATGATAGACGTATACATCTCGCTTATGCAGGCAGCAGGCTTATTAAGTCGTCTTTGACGGCAAAAGTCGGAGGTCGGCGTTATGTTGAGTTCATATATACATTTTCGGAAATTATCGGAGATTCGGGTACTTCCACACCTACGAGATTACAGGAGACGCGGAAGTGCAGTACGAACTCAGTTTGAAGTGATTATTCGCGTTGCGAAACCGAATAAACTCGAGTACTAATGTCTCTCGAAGCATGGCGCTGAATAAACGTTCGCGTAACTCGTCGTCTACCCAACACATATAAATACAAGCTATCTCCCCCTCCCCGAAATCCTTTCTCCTTCTTACACACAATGTTCTCCCGCACTTAATCTCGAGCACTTAAATCAGCAAGGATCTTATTCAAGCAAGCAATTCCATACTCCTTTCATACCTACTTTTTCCCATAGCTGCCTTCATAACACATATTGGATCAAATATTCACTTATAATTCACCTTTCAACAAAGAATCACGCATCGCAATATGTATCGCCATTTCAAAGTGTGCTTTGATCACATCCCGGCTTTCGTGATCTCTAGCGATGGGCAGTTCGGAGCTCTGGTGGAGGCTCACAAGCACGACATGGACCCCCACAAGCCTCTAGGTAAGTGCTAAGTTAAATAACTTCCTCTGAAATTGATTTTTCCTCATCATCTATTATATTTAAAGTTAATGATGTAACTAACATCTATGGCAAGGTACATGATCTAGGTCGGAAACTACTAGGCGATTTCTATTCCAAATGCGTCGGATGCGCCAGCAATTCCAGCAGCAACAACACCAATACCCTCAAGCCCCACACCTTCCCTATATCTTCCTCTGGAACCTGCACCTACAGCAGTTGCCACACATTCACTGACCGATGATGGAAATCAGGCCCAAACCCACCACCCACTACTGCTATTGAATAACCGCACCTACCTGGTCATTATTCTTAGATCAAATTATCAGCATCGGAGTGATGAAGCCGTCATTCACCGGTATTCCAGATGAGGATTCGCTGAGCTCAATCGTGATGGCCCCCCATCCCGTGCTCGTTGCCACCTTCATCACGCACTCGGGCAATTCTAAGGGTCGTTCTAGATTGCATTTATGAAGAATTGTATATCTAATTATTCAGCAACCCGCCGCTATGCTTTAGTCGTCGCCTACCCAGAACGGTGAGAAGCTGTCGCTTATATACGCCGCACATTCGCCGAGCCTTATACCTTGGCGTGGATATCGTTTGCCCTGTGAGGTAGGCCACCGGAATGAAGCAGTACTGGAATGGCGTGGAGAAGTCTACTACTTCAACGCTACACCAGTCGACCGCCTTAGGCCGTGGGAGTGATCGTTAAGCTCATCGGGAATTCGAAAAGTCTGGTTATATCTTACGGGGACTTTGATGGGATTATAGATTGGGGCTTTAAATTGTGTTTAGGGGAATTCAATGTTTCTTGATCCGGACAATTAGGCATGAGGTCTTCGAATGGTATAGAACATGCATTTTTGCATCTGGCTATAATTGAGGCTTGCTAGGACGAAAGCACGGATTTCCCCGACCTTACTGTCTTCCACCTGGATTTTACCGGGGATCTACACCATCCATTCAGTAGTGAGTTCCCGTCGCACATCCTCAATTACGCTTTCGATCAGGTTGCCCTATTAGCCTCCGTGGAGTTGGCAATTCGGAATGGGGTTTGCAAAGGGAAAGCATTATTCATGGAGATCGTTGTTGACGTGAGTGAGATAGTCGATTGTTCGTCTATGTAGCTTAGAGTACCTGTAATTTAATCTGATAGTCTTACCAACCTAGGTATCGAAGTATGATTCTCAAATGATTAATTGGTTATTGACTGGCACTGAGTGTTACCCCTTTTTCGGGCGACTGTATTACTGGGTTATCGCATATACAGGTATAGAAGATTATATATTCGTTTAGCTGCATCTTACTTTCGGTTAACCCGATATCCATTCCTTAACTAAAACTTTTCTCGCCCAAGTAATTCAATCAAACCCTTCAACTTCCAAGCTTCATTCAAACCGTCAACGCGTTAGTGAAGGTCAATTAATGCGATCAATCAATTGGGAGTATGATGAAGAATCGGATTGAAGATAGGCGATGAGCAGTTTATTTATCATACGTGGTCCTTTGTGCCGACCCTTGCCAGCCCGACCATGTCATATTTTAAAACGATATAAATTCACAGGCAGGACCAAGACCGTTTCTACTGAATCAACAACCAGACTTCTCCCTACAACTCCAGCTAGAACCCGATTCGCACCATCTCCGACTGGTTATGTACATATAGGGTCATTAAGGACAGCATTATACAATTATTTACTTGCGAAAGCCACCGGTGGTCAATTTCTACTAAGAGTAGAAGATACAGATCAAGTGAGTTTGACGAGTACTACGTGGGGTTAGGGTTCAATATTCTAATACGCTCTAGGGAAGAATCGTTCCAGATGCTGAAAAGAGGCTATATGAAGATTTAAAATGGGCTGGCTTAAGTTGGGACGAAGGTTTGGAAGTTATGTTCTTCAGCGATGCTGCTCTCGTTCTCATTCGTGATCATTATCAGGTCCCGATGTTGGTGGCCAGTATGGCCCATATAAACAGGTATTACCATTCCAAGCCATCGTCATAACTTGGTAATACTAAATCTTCTCAAGTCAGAGCGGCTAGCGTTATACGATAAGTATGCAGACCACTTACTGAATGAGGGTCGCGCATACAGATGTTTCTGTACCCCTGAGGATCTTGATCATATGAAATCAATCAGTATCCAAGAAGGCAAACCTACTGTCTATAATAGGACATGCTCACATATATCCCCCGATGTTTCAGATCGTCGAGCAGCGAATGGAGAACCACATTGCGTACGCTTCAAGTGCGATCATTGGCCTTTGGTTCAGGACTTTGTTTTCGGACGTCATATGAAACCTGAAGCAGAAGACGATTTTATCATCATTAAACGAGACGGGTATCCTACCTATCATTTCGCAAATGTTGTCGACGATCATCTAATGGAGATCACACATGTAATACGAGGAGCTGTGAGTCTTATTCTTGGCATATCTACCCTCGCATCGGTGACTCACAATGTGAATTCAAGGAGTGGCTAGTGTCCACACCTAAACATGTAGCACTTTACGAAGCTTTCGGATGGAAACCTCCTCAATTCGGTCACGTTGGATTGTTAGTAAACGAGGAAAAGCAGAAATTGAGCAAGCGTCACGGCGACGTCGACATTGCTTCGTGGCGGGATCGTGGTATCCTTCCTATCACACTGTTGAATTATGTGTTACTCCTAGGTTGGAGCCTGGGGAAGGGTGTAAAGAGACAACAGGAAGCGATGAATTTGGACGAGATGGTTAGCAAGGTGAGCAATTTCACTTGATCTTCTCGACCTTTCTAAGAAAAGATATTAACACCGAGGTATGCTAGTTCACTCTTGCCTTTACCAAGGGTAACATAACAGTCAACAACAAACACGAATATCTACAGAAAGTACATGTAAAACGCCTCACGGAATCAGTCGGCCCAGAGAAGCTATCCGACGTCTTGATTCCCGCTCTAGAAACTCGCGTCGAGAAACTCGAAGAGGAGCGAAGAGCACATTCAACCAAGGTGTCTAGGGTTGGGCCTCTTGGACCCCTCGTCCCACTGGCCCATCCCCAACAAAATCCGAATGGCAGCAGTAACGACAACGACGACGCAATCATTTCTAGAGAGTATATCAGGAAAGTTCTCCAGTCCGACATCCAAGACTATAAAGACGCCGATAGCTACGTAGATAGGACGTGGTATCTAATCTGGCAAATACCTAACGCGACGTACCGCTCCAATCTAACGGAAGAAGTAAAGTACTTGCGCTATTTCTATCTTTCCTCAGACACCCCTACATCCTCTTCCCTACCACTAGAAACCGAAGAAGCATCCAAGACCGAAAAGGGTGAAAATTCAGCTTACCCCGCAATTCGCCTCTCCGAGCTTGTCCTTACTTTAAGAGACCTCCTCCAAGAGGTGCCGGACGATCGCTGGACGAAAGAAGCCATCGAGGAAAAAATCCTACCGTTTATAAAATCCGTGCACTGCATCCCGTGCGAAGAATCCGAGCCTAACACCATTCCCACGAAACCCTGGGGGTACCATCTCCTGCGGTGGGTAATTGCTGCATCAACGCCTGGATCAGCAATGATTCCGAGCATGGTAGTACTCGGAAAGGAGGAGACTATGAGACGAGTAGAAAAGGCGCATGGGGTTTTAACATAGGTGATAAAGGAGAGAAGAGCTAAGCGACTAGAAAGGGGGAGATCTAACTTATCCACCGAGACAGGGATGGATTTTAGTGTATTGCCATAACCAAAACGAGTAGAACCACTTCACCACTTTTACGGCCAACATGACTCTTCGGTATCAGATGCCAAAGCATCATAAATACTGTATTGCTATTCTCTTTTAATCGAATCAAACCCTGTCCATCCATAAACGCCATCTAATGCTTCATATCTCATGATCAGGGGTATTTAGTCCAGCAGTTTTTTCGTGAACCGGAGTAGAGACACTAGGCTTAATCGATTCCCTTACCAAAACATGGATAATCATGTCGTCATGGTTGTGTTGTTGTTAGCACCCAAACCATTAAATATCTTAGCCTTTGTCTCAACCGCCATTAGACCCTGCTTCTCATTCATAGCAACCGAGCGACTGGTACGAGCTAATTTCTCCATCTCGACGTCGAGTTTGTTCTTACCACCCGGCTCGCCATGGAAACTTGCTCCACCCCCTCGGGCGCCTCTCTGGAACGCTAAGGTAGCCTCTCGGATCTTAGAGCCTAGATCTAACATCTGCTTGTCGCCAAAATCGCGATTCGTCAACAGAGGGTTTTGTGATAGTGTCTGTACCCAATATTTGCTCCATAGTAACTCTAGCAGATTCGAATCTAGTGTAGACTTAAAGTGTGATACCTCCAAACCGTAATATCGACTCGCGTGTGCACCAAAATCTTCCGCCTTAGCTAGGGGAACGGCTTGGCCTGACGAAGAAGATTGACCGGGGATGACGGATTCGGGGAGGGGTTTGTATTCTTCGGGATAAGTGCGAAAGGCACCAATCTCAACACGGCCAGCACTAATCGTTCGCTCGGGATCGATAACGACGGCGACGAAAGGATCATTGAATTTTTGTTGCATATGCTGGGTTCCCACATCGATACCGGATAACCAACAGCCGTATCCGGGGTGAGAATGGTACCAGCCAACAGCGTTTTCCTGGCGTGCACCTTGGTCACGCGAGAGTTGGAGATATTGGATCATGTACTCGTTGGCATCGTCTTGCGCGTTGACACGGGTTTCGGTACCCTCGACGGGAAGCCCGAAGGCATCGGTTACTACGATCGTGTCGCCGTCGGTGTATCCTTGCATTAGGCCCATGACTTCGATAGATCCGCCGGCTCGGGCATGCATAACCATCTTAACGAGGGCAACAGCGCTAATTCGTACATTTTGGAAATGGTGTGGGTTATCTTTCCATGGCTTCTTCTCGTTGATTTCGCTTTGTTGGTCGGGTGTGTAGTTGTAGAGGGCATCGCGGTGGGTATCGATGAGTTTGATGTCGTTATCCAGCTCTGCGAGTTGGACATTGTTAGCACTCATATACTAAAGTCTCAACTAGAGATGAAGGCATAGTACTAGTAGAGACATAGATAAACCTTACCCCACGATTTCAGAGCTGCCTCCATCTTGACTGCTTTACTCTACAGAGCTTCGTATCGTTACTGATCCTAGGATACACTCACTTAGAATGTGAATGTTGGTGTCGGCGTTGATAGAGGGATGTGGGTTGGTGGGGTGAAGATATGGGGAAGCTTTGATAAAGTTAAGCTATTTGATGCATAAATTTGTTTGTTACATAGCTCTTTCCTTTAACGACTTAGGCAGCAATGACGATGATCTGGGCTTATCGATAACGCTTCAAATTTCGAGCCTTGTAGCTGAAGACCCACTTTACAGTTTAATCTTCAAGATCGCGATTCAATTCTTGAAGAGGGAAAAGAAAATACCAATTGCAACAAAATGACGAGATCAACAATAGCGCGGCCGATACGGCAAGCGCTTTCGAGACCATTGGTATGTTATGCTGTTTCGGAAATATCAGAGTAACCCAGCTCACACATCGAAAGGTCCAACAACCGAGAAATGCTTTGGCTGGTATCGTGGGCGCTCGCTCACAAGCATCAGTGTATGCCTCAACCCATAACTCGATCGCACGATACCTCTAATTCGGATTCTAACTATTATATAGCGCCGATCCCGAGTCTAAATCTAAGTCCGGACCTCCTCAGCTAGTGTATGGAAATGGATTGACGATGTTGGAGGTGATCAATTGCTTATACGATTCGCAGAAACGAACTCCCGGACCCTCGCGAAGAGAACCAACCCCGACTCCCTAGAGCCGTCCAAGCTCTTTACCTCCAACCGCTACGACGAGAAACCGAATATGGTGTTCCCACGTGCGATCTACAGTTGCGATCTTTTAGTATTCCAAATCTCGAGTTTTTTTGCGACTTTGCGCTACGAGCTGCATATTATCTAAATCTCCCGGCGTTCGGACCGGTCCCCCTACCCAAAATAACGGAAAGATGGACAGTGCCAAGAAGTAATTTCATTTTCAAGAAGTCACAGGAGAACTTCGAAAGAATTACGAGGAGGAGATTGATACAGATCAGAGATGGACACCCAGAGACAGTACAGATCTGGTTGGCATATCTACAAAAGCACGCATACTATGGTATTGGTATGAAGGCGAACGTATGGGAGTTCTCTAGCCTTGGTATGTTCAAGATTCCCGATTTTATAAGGGTATGGAACTAACTCGAGACGTGACAGAAACCGGTAAGAGCCTAGATGGAGAGTCTAAATCATTACAGGAGATTGTCGCGAAGAAGATGGAGTCTTTTGGAAGAGACAAGACACTCGGGACAGTAGAGAAAGTAAAGGAATTGCTAGCAAGCGAGAGGTTCAGACATACAAAATAGATGATATGTTACCTCCACCTATTTATACAATGATGTGGTATCATACTTGACTATTGTAAAATACAAATGAATAAATACCAATCTGTAAAATTCCGCGATTTATTCCAGTTCTTAACATGATATGGTTATAACCATGTGATATCATGTGAATGGTGACAATTATTGTAGCATAGAGGAGAGGAAATAGGTGCGAAATAATGAACATCCACTCTGGTTGGCCCGAGCTTCACTTCGTCCTTTCAACAATATTTTCAATCGCCCATCTCAGCATTGATGAGAGCGAAAAACCAGCAAACCTACCAAGATATAAATGTCCTAAAGAATTATATCGTAAGTGAGTTTATATAAATCACCATTTAATTCAGATTCCGCTGTATCGTGGTAGTCTTTACTAATCGACCATGTAGGCTTTTCGTCAATTGAAAAAATCCTATGCTACAGGCCTTTAAAGGGTGAAATAGCGGAGTAGATGTCCCCAACACTCTGTTCTCGTTGTAGGCCTTTAGTCGGCTCAACGAGAAGGCGGATTTTACGCTCAGCAGTACGATCGCAAAGACGAAATGAGTCCACCACCATCACTACCAGCAATATTGGTAATGAACAAAAGGTAGCGCCAGAAAGCAAAAGGAAGAGAAATGTCATCTTCTCAGGGATCCAACCCACAGGTGTGCCTCACCTAGGCAATTACTTGGGTGCGCTACGGCAGTGGAAGCAATCACAAGATGATGTAGAAAGCTCGGGGTCTGGAGATAAACTACTCTTCTCAGTTGTGGATCTACACGCCATAACTATGCCACAAGACGCCCCCGTGTTACGTCTACGTCGACGAGAGATGCTCGCTGCGCTATTAGCTATTGGGCTTGACCCGGATAAGGGATCTACGGTATTCTATCAGAGTTCTGTCCCTCAGCACACGGAACTTATGTGGATTCTAAGCTGTACGGCATCAATGGGATATCTAGGTCGAATGACTCAATGGAAGGTCGGTCACTCTCCCTCTCTTCTTTAAGGTGGGAAATAAAGCTAAATACGCCTACACAGAGTAAACTTCAAATGGATAATAAACAGGGCTATCTTGAAGATGCTGCCATGTCCAAGCTAAAATTGGGGTTATTCTCGTATCCAGTGCTTCAAGCCGCTGACATCTTGGTACATCGCGCCACACATGTCCCTGTGGGTGAGGATCAACAGCAGCACCTGGAGTTTGCGCGGGAGTGTGTTACCAATTTCAACCATACATTCAAGGACATTCTCGTCTCACCTCAAACCATGACTAGTATGCCGTCCTACCCCCACCTATCCATTTTGCTCCTTTTATTAAACCCGAAAGCTAGAATGAAAAAAAAAAAAAAAAAAAAAAGGAGAAAAAGGAGAAAAAGCAAAGAAACTAATATTTTACAGCCCCCTCACCCCGCGTAATGTCCCTAGTGCAACCAACCAACAAAATGTCCAAATCCTCGCCAAACCACCGCTCACGGATCCTCATCACCTCCCCACCAGACGAGATCCGCTCCCGTATCATGGGCGCCGTAACCGACAGCCAAAACGGCATAACCTACGAATCCGACGAGCGACCCGGTGTGGCTAATCTACTCGAGTTGCTTTCGCAATGCGGGCCCCGCGACTCCACCGCAAAGCGACTCTCCCCTCAGGAATTAGCGATTGAATACGCAGACGCCAGTTTGAAGGATCTCAAACAAGACGTATTAAAAGCAGTATGCGCCGAGCTAGAAGGGGTTCGGGAGCGGTTTGATGATTTACTCCATCGTAAGGGTGGAAAGTGGCTGGATGAAGTCGAGGCCGAAGGAGCGGAAGAAGCGCGACGAAATGCGGAGGCGACGATGAAACTCGTTCGACATGCAGTAGGATTAGGTCCCCGACCAAGTTAGACATTCTCCGACGATATATATGACAGCTAGAGGATATTGTAGAAGGTATGTAGCAAACATGTATCATCACTAAGAATCGCACAATCCGAACCCAACCCAATCAGTCACATAGCACTGCGAATGTCATACTTCGTACCTAAAAACCAAGATTGCACACTAGTATCGCCCAGTCTATCTTTCTAGATATCTAATGTATAAAGCAATTGCTTTTCCCTTTTCCCGATCAGATAACTTTGACCGAATGTACTCAATCTGTATAATTCAGAGCAATTCCCCTACAACGCGCCCAAAATTGATTAACGGTTGAATTCGTCGGCCGTTGACCACGGAGCCTACATTCTAACATTAGTACGATATATAAAAATTAGAAATAACGTGATTGATTGGAGAGACTTACATGATGATTTTCTTAAGGAATAGCTCCTTATCCTCAGCTGTTACAAGCTCACTAGGGAACGACGGGCCCTGCAAAGCGTCTTGTAACCATTGGCGGGCGTTGACATGTTGGGTAATAAGCTTCTTCAGCGGATCGCACAGCTTGTTCAGCTCGCTTCTAGCAGCCTTACCGCCGAAGTTATGAATCAGCGCTTCTGATAACTTAGGGCCGAGATAAACTGTTGCGTTGTTTATAATGGCCCGAACACTCTCGTCTTCCGTCTTGAGAGTTAGGAACGTAGCCTAAGAGTCGCATGTTCAGTTTAGTCCCATAGCATCAAAGCAGTCAATTGGAAGAAAAAAAAAAAAAAACTTACCCAAAAATCTGCAGCCGCTTGTTTAGGTAACGGTTCGTTCCCGTTCAGTACCTTGAGGGCGAACATGAAGAGAAATTCAAGTAGATTTGCCGGTTGAGCCATGAAGATTTCGGGACACCTAACCATAATTCTCTGTGCTAGTTCTACACCATATTGTGCCAACTCAGGCTCTTCCTCGGGGGCTGTAATATTGTTAGCGTTATAATAGACGACAGGAGTCGGATCAGGGGGCCTAGAGTGAATCCATTCCAATCATGTCATCCTTGGTTCCCATTGAATATGTTAGACTGTAACTCACCTGAAAGCTGATCTAGTAGGTCGATAACCCAAGGTATGAGTTTGTTAACCACCTCCCCAATGTACTTCCTTTGATTGCTATATAACACAGATGTGACAAATGCACTTGCCAGATTTACCATAGTAGAAGCATTCTTGTGCCATCTACCTGTAGTAAACTCGGTCAACATCAGTGGTGGGAAAACAAATGGACCTGGATCGGTCTCGGAAAATCCGGCGCGAATAATGGACGATATTACTTCTACAACTTCACTACTATTTGAGAACGTGTCCTTAATCCGAGCTAGAATATTCTAAAAGAGATCAGCAATTTGTCAGGGATGTCAAAGAACTTGGCAGCAACTTACCATGATATCGAGTTGCATCTGATTAAGAGCTGAATTAATCGGCGCTTGGTTATTGTCGTTATCAGTATCAGCCTCGGCCTCAGTATCGGAGTCAACATCGATTGTATCTGCCTCTAGGCCTTTCGCCATACTAGATAGGCAACGAAGAGCTCGAAGTGCTAGTTGTAGTGATACTTCCGATGCAGGAAAAGATTCCATTTCCCGTCTAGTTTGTGCGTCAAAGGCTCTAATTGCCGCCTACATCCCGCCAGTCAGCCCAAGGTAGCATATAAATTTCATAGCATGGACCTACCGGATTGTCGGTTGGTATAAGGACACCTTCCGGTTGGGACGAGAGCTGTAAACTGATTTCGACATCCGTTACAATCATACTTAGTAGCTTTTGAGAGGCACTCGTCTTTCGGTCTTGGTCAGGAACAGCCTGTATAATCGCCGCAATGGCACCGGCAACCCTCTCTTCAGCTGACGAGTCAACACAATTGCCCCGCAACGAACCATATTGCTCGAGGAAGGTATCGAGTTCAGATGGTAGAAGCTTTCGGCAGAAAGAACAAAGCCCGTAGATCGACTTCGAAGACGATGCTACAAGGTGTCGATCGCTCATGCTGCTAAAGAGGAGGTTCAACGCAGCTGGTAGATACTCGGAGTGGACTTGAAAATAATGCGAGTACCGGTCTATCATATTGAGGCAAGTCTGTCTAGCTCGAACGGGTACCAAATTTTGCCCTACGAGAAGTGTGTCAAATAGAGGGGATCCGAATACCTTGGTCATAATCTCATCGTTTGACTCGTTTCTCCACGCACAGTCAGATAGACTGCAAAAACAGAAGGCAGCTGCCTCAAGTTCAGCCCAAGCCGATCGGGATAAGGCTTCTAGTAATTTATCGGCGAATATCGAAAGCAATGGGCTACCGACTAGAGAATAAACCATCTCTAGGAAATCGCCGACGTCTTTTCGCGCTTCCCCAAACGCGAGTTTCTCGGATGAGTCCCAAGAGTTATACACGCTAATATGCGGATATTTGATCTTCTGCGACCCTTCCGAAGCAGCTTGCATCACCTGCCATAGAGGTGGCTTATCCCATTGTGGATTCTCTGGTGAAAAATCTGGAGAGTCTGGAAGGAATTGTGCAATATTACTCCAGAATTCGAGGGCTGGAACAAAAATCCTATCATCAACACCAGGATACCCCTTTGCCCTCAGCAAACCAACGAGACTTGTGAGAAATCGTTGGGCTCTTTCATCGCTTGCATTATGTATCGCCACGATCTCGCTCAGACCGAATGCTAGCATAAATGATCCATATCGAACTGATTCATCTTCCATATCGTCACTCTCAATCAGTACTCGATACTTCTCCTGACCCCATGCGCTTTCAAAAACCACATAGAGGGATTCATAATGTTCTTTCTTGAAGAACGTCGGCCAATCCTCTAAGAGGGTGGTAAGAAGTTCAATGGTGGGGTCATACGTTTCATCGTTGGGAAGAAGGTTAATGATGGGATCGACCAATGTATGGAACTGTTCCAGAATTGGCATTCTAGCCTCGTTTCGTCCAGTATACTTGAGCCATGGCTGCAAGCAGTCCAAGGAATCTTTTATACGAGAGTTTCGGGGGTTAGAGGGGTCAAGACCATGTCCAACGAGTAACACGATATCGCCGAGACGTTGATTGAACCAATCCCGAAAGGACTTCCATTTGACGGACTTTTGATCAATTTTTTCTATTTCGTGACCTAGGAACGAAACAAACCACGTAATCGCATAGTAGCTTTCAGAGTCTAGCGACTGGACCGACTCTTGAAAGGCAGCAGGAGAATCATTGTCGACAATATCGAGCGGTAGACTACTGCGTCTCTGCAAACAATATGAGAGATGTGGTATGCATTTAGGCCACAAATGCATGTAATGAAGAAAGTAGGTGACAAGAGTGCCGCAAAGCTTCTTCAAGACGAAAGAGGGTGTTCCATCTATTATATGGCTAATAAGGAATACTATGAGTTGATGAAGTAAGGTTGTTGCATCTTCATCTGATAATCTATGACTAAATTAGTGATTAATATTCTGAATCATTCGATAGAAATGTACTTTTCAGTATTGAGCTTGACTGTGAACGTCAAAGCACCATAGAATTTGACATCCGCATCAGGCTGGCCTGTCAAGGCCTGTGCAACTTCCCATCCTCTTGGTGATTTCTGGATGGCAAGAAGAATTTCTTGAATGCGGTTGAAGGTTTCGGGTGGGATCGGTTTATACAACTCATGAACTAACTAATAGAAGGTCAGCATTGTAACTCACAGCAATTAGTGCGTATTCCATAGGTGAATAACAAATTGAAAGCTTGGAAATTCGATGCTTAGAAATGATTAAGTGTCAACTATTCTACTTATTTGAAAAGATATTTCATTAACAAGTACATAAATGGAAGATAAACTTACTCGCCCGACCTCATGTAGAGGAATAGAAGCGATAACGTTGTCCATGATAAAGTTGGTTCGTGTAGGGCATCTCGATGTGAATGATTATTCAATCGCCAAGGGATCGCAACTCGCGGATATGTGGAAAACGGAAAAACCAAGTTGGATGGGATTAACTTAATCGGCGTAGTAAGGCTGGAGGTTGGATACCTAGTCGGCGTTTTAAGGAATCTTGGAACCAATTTTAGTTGACCTAGAAGAGCTGGGAAGGTATTCTAGTGGGATTAGTCAAGTGACGGATGCTACTTCACTGTTAAAAATGAGGGCTGTAATGTACCTACAATTAGGAAATGAAAGACTGCTGGAAGTTGCCGTCCGCAATTCCTTAAGTAAATGCTTCTAGTTTTAACATACCGTGACTGCCCGATTTTTGATGGTGGGGTTTCATGTACCTTAAAAAATGTACGTCGCGTGAGCTTAATCAAGGTATATGTACTTATTTATGTATCAAATATTCGTCTAAATTGCAGTAGAATTACCTGTTTATGGCGGGGAAATTGTTACTTGAACTCCGGAAAAGTATGTTGAAAGTACCTATTGCCCCACCAAGGGCCTTCTCCATATGCCGGATAACCAAACTTCATCCCACCTTATAATGGTACTGCTCTAATCTTCACAACTTCAACAACCGACACTCACAATCCATAATACATGATAAAACCATCAACACCAACAATTGATATCCTAGATTTACAAGTTTCTAATGGATATGCTTCATTGATGCCAAATTAAACTCATTGCATTCAGCTAAGCCATTTTTATCCAATTTTATAACATATTGTGCACTTGAGTGCATATGAATTTCAACAGGAATCGACAGGATTGCGTTTGCTGATCAATGAGGTGATCTGTGAACTCCCTTCGTATCGCCACGGTTGTTGTTGATGAGAGGCTCTTTAATCCTCTCTCTTATCCATCTCTGCGGTCTATGACTTCGAAATTTACACTTCCATCACTTATTGCGATACCGAAATTCGGATCTCGACTGTGGAACATTCGAATTCCACCACCAACTATTCGTCGCCCAATATCTCGATTACAAAGCACTTTAACCACCATCAAAATGGAAAAGGTTGATACGACCGTTCGCCTTACAGAGCTTCGCAAGCTCATGGCGGAGAAAAATGTCGATGTATACAGTAGGTTAGCCAATGCATCCCGATAACGAGTCATCTGGGTCTTGGCGGCTAACTGTGATACCATTAAGTTGTCCCATCTGAGGATAGTCATGCATCTGAATACATTGCTCCTTGCGATGGTCGTCGCGCCTACATCTCCGGTTTCACCGGCTCGGCTGGTTGCGCTGTTGTTACTCATGACAAAGCTGCTCTTGCCACGGATGGTCGCTACTTTAACCAAGCTTCGCAACAACTTGATGATAACTGGGAATTGTTGAAGCAAGGCCTCGTTGACGTACCTACTTGGCAGGAATGGTCGGCAGATCAGGCTATTGGCGGGAAGGTTGTCGCCGTTGACCCAACTTTATTGACAAGTGGTGCTGCTAAGAAGCTCTCGGAGAAGATCAAAAAGAGTGGGGGCAAGGAATTGGCCCCAGTTGAATCGAATTTGGTTGATGTAGTCTGGGGGAACGATCGACCAGCTCAACCTAATGAACCAATAATAGTCCTTGCGGAAAAGTTTGTTGGCAAAGATGTGAAGACAAAGCTAGCTGACCTTCGAAAGGAGCTCGAGAAGAAAAAATCTCTAGGATTCGTTGTGTCGATGCTTGATGAGATTGCTTGGCTCTTCAACCTTCGTGGAAATGATATTCCCTATAACCCAGTCTTCTTCTCATACGCCATCGTCACTGCGGATGAAGCTACATTGTATGTTGATTCTTCCAAGCTAAATTCCGAGTGCCAGTCATATCTTGCCGAGAATGGTGTTGCTATCAAGCCGTACAAGGAGATATTCAACGACGCATCGGCACTTCGCCAATCGGCAGAGGCTAAAAGTAGCGAATCTGGCGAGGGCAAGAAATTCTTAATTTCAAATAAGGCCTCATGGGCTTTAAAGCGAGCTCTTGGTGGTGAGGATCTGGTAGAAGAAATCCGAAGTCCTATTGGTGACTCCAAAGCGGTGAAGAACGAAACCGAACTAGAAGGAATGCGACAATGCCATATTAGAGACGGCGCAGCTCTAAGTGAATTCTTTGCGTGGCTCGAACATCAATTGATAGTGAAGAAGGTGACTCTTGATGAGGTTGAAGCTGCGGATAAACTTGAGGCTTGCCGTGCGAAGCAGAAGGATTTTGTTGGACTTTCCTTCCCTACGATATCATCCACGGGTCCTAAGTGAGTCTCCCCAAACTGGTATTTTTGACCTAATTAGATATGCTGACAGTATCCGAACAGTGCCGCCGTTATTCACTATAAGCCGGAGCGGGGAAGCTGTTCAATCATTGATCCGAAGGCCGTATATCTATGTGATTCTGGAGCACAGTATCTTGACGGTACCACAGACACGACTCGCACGTTACATTTTAGTGAACCGAGCAAGGCGGAGATTGAGGCGTATACACTCGTGTTAAAGGGAAACATCGCCTTAGATAGAGCAGTATTCCCTAAAGGAACAACTGGATTCGCACTAGATGGTCTTGCGCGCCAATATTTATGGGTATGTCGGAATCATGAATCCTGGAAAATGGCAAATTCGACTAACTTTTCTACTTAGCAAAATGGACTGGATTACCGTCACGGCACTGGTCATGGTGTTGGTTCATACTTAAATGTTCACGAAGGACCAATCGGTATCGGAACAAGGGTACAATACTCGGAAGTTTCCTTATCGCCTGGTAATGTAATCTCCGATGAACCCGGGTATTATGAAGACGGCTCCTTCGGCATTCGTATCGAGAATATCGTTATGGTTAAAGAAGTGCAAACCAAGTATAAGTTTGGGGATAAACCATACCTCGGGTTTGAGCACGTTACGATGGTGCCGTATTGCCGCAAATTGATCGATTCGAGCCTTTTGACGCCAGCTGAGAAGACTTGGCTCAACGACTACAACGCCGATATTTGGAATAAGACGAAAGGATACTTCGAAAACGACGAGATAACAAAAGCATGGCTAGAGAGAGAAACGGCACCTTTTTGAATTAGAGGCTAGTTTCGATTTTCTGATGCATGCAATTCATGCGTTACTATGGATGTTGACTAGAATTGCATGAATGCAGACATTGCGAAGAATAATCCAAATGATAGCTTGAAGGCAGGATTCGTCTCCAAGGCGGCCAATATTCGCGAATTCCCTACACGCTGCTTTAGTTTCAGCTGTTGTACCAGATCAATACCATATCTCGCAGCCACCTAAATAATTCAGTTAGAGTCGAGGCGGTGGGGATGGATAGATTTAAATACATACCTGAACTATCACTACGGAAAGACCAAGAAGTAAAACGAGTGTCCGTGAGAAAATACTAATAATCACTCCAAAGACGAATCCTAGAATGCACATTTTAGCTTTGCTGACAAACCGACAATAGCCCACTTAGCCAGCCACCAAATCCAGACCTAACATACCTGTGACACTCCCACCTGAAAGCTGTTTCAAGAGCTCAGGATCCAATTTCTCCTTGACGGGTGGGCGAGTACTCATCGGCCGTGGGGTTTCTCTTGCATCTAGTCGGAGTTTAGGTTGCCTAAAGGTTGTTATGCTCGTTCCGAGTGACAGACCGACTATACCGGCACCAATGGCATGTCGAGGTATGAAGGTTCGAGAGAGTAATCTGGCAGACATATTAAAGAAACTGAAGGATACTAGCACAAAATATAACAATATAAAGACCAATTAAGTTAATTACCGCAACCTAAGAGGATTTTAGATCGGAATTTATTGGATTGGTTCACGGAGGCAGAGAGGACAGTTTTATTTTGTTTGGTAGGACTTGATGTACTATGTAAGGGGGAGCTTCGGAGACTTTTGCTAGCTACCTAGGTATTGACGTCACTAATTCGCAGCTCCTAGGTACACTGAAGGAGCCCTAAAGGCTGTTGGTTATAACCGCTAGCATCCCTGAATCACTCCACGTGGACTCCAATTTTACATAGATGCGGAGCTGTAAGACGCCGACCCAGCGTGCTCGCCCTCAACATCTTTTCCTTCTCAACCTCTTCGAAATCCTTCACTAGGTGGAACCTATCCACAGTTTGGATGCGAATTATTGAGCATTATTATTGCGATGCAATCCGATAGCTTTCTGTTGAAAGCAAAGCCTTGTGGTATCAAAAAATCAAACTGGACCATCTTCTGTCTGACTGACTCCAGAACGCCCGCTCACATTTACCTCCCTGGCCAAACCAGCAAAACGCCTGGTGTATCCGATATTTTTATCAACGAACCCTCTCTTCGTACAAGCTTCCTTCCACTGAGACGAATTCATCGGACGTCGACGGGGAAATCCCAAGAGATAATGACGCATAGCATGGTCATTTCAAGCGAAGACTAAGAAAATGACACTATAGTCATCATTCTCGCACGATCAACCCAGACCACCCCATATGCCACGTATTCGCCTCGCGAGTTGAATATCTTTTTGCATTATCGTGACTCGCTTCGCATGTATAGCACATAGATTCGTATCTTCGAAAAGATGTACGAGGAACGCTTCGGCGGCTTCTTGCAGGGCTAGGATAGCTTGCGACTGCCATCGCATACCTTCGTCGACTGGGCGCATCGATAACGCAATTTCACGAACCTGTTATTTATAGTTAGCATGATTCGATTCCGGTATTTGCGATAGGAAAGCAAGCGACATACTAGCCGAGCGAATGGCAATTTTCGTAGAAGAAGATCGGTGCTATTTTGCAATTTTCGGATCTCCCTTAATGCGACAGTTCCTGGTCTGTATCTTCTCCTTCGAGGATAGGGGATTGGGTCGCCAGCTATGAATGAGTTGATCAGCTATTGTTATTTCGAATTAGGATCGGTTTGGGAACTTACGCATTACTCCTCCTGCTCCTCCCCTAAAGGCTCCGCGGCCACCACGACCCCCTCGAGCACCTCCATGAACAGCGGGCGGCATTGTGTAACGAGTGTGTTTTGTAAAACGCTATAGGAAGACCAAGTGTGTCTTGTAGTCTCAATGCGACAATTAAACGAATACTATAGTAGTAGGTAAAGTGTCGCCGAATTGGTGATTATTAGGTCAAAAGGATTATAATAGTATTGCGAGAATCGGAATCGAATTGTCTCGAAGAATGGGTATAGTTGAATGCTGCTTGTTAAAGAAAATGAATGAACAGAGGTCAGTTCAATCGCATTGAATGAATAAATGGACAAGATTAGTAGCAGCGCATTCCTAAGAAAGAAAAAAGAGAAGAAAGGACTGAACCCGGTCAATGCGAAATAATTAATGGGAATAATAGGGAAAATCCAAGTGGCTGGGGAACTCCAAATTCGCTGCTTCCCACATCGTCAGGAAAACGCGAATTGACGCGCTACCAGCCATTTCAATTAAAATCCTTGTACGCACTAGCACAACCCCTGCACCCTGCTAACTTAGTCTTCCCCTTTAAGCGGTAATGCTCTCAAGTATGAATTTAAACATGATATTTTAATTAAAGAGAGTTTATGAAGATGATGAATAACGACACACTCAAATTTAACCATTCGCTCACTGGAAATACAACGTCAACTATCCACTGGTTTCTATCTTCCAACTTTGGTCGTTTATACATCCACCGCCAAAACATCGCTTCCCTCTTATCCCTATATCTCCCCTCCTCTATCTTCCATACCGCGGGGAAAAACTCAGGCATGATCGCAATCCCGGCTTTCGGTATTGTCTTTTCTAGTTCCCTTATCGCTCCTCGTACGCCCACTGTCTGCCATGGCTCTAGGTAAGGTTCTCGCCTCACGAGCTCGTGATCTGGAGATAGGTCTTCATCATTCAACCCTTCCTCCGCCCTCGGCTCAAACCAAAACCTCTTCTCGTCTACAGCCGAACCAATGATTGTCGGCCGCTCAGCAAAGGGCTTCATTTTTAATCCCAGGCTCTCGGGTGCACGTGGCGCTGATGCTGTATATACATTTTGCAACATGCCTATTCCCCCGATAAGAAGCAGGAACCATGTATCCGACTCGAGCCCGGCAACGCATATCAAATGAGAGACCCATAGGATGGCTAAGCCTACGAGACACCACCGCGTTTCTGGAAACGAAGTGGAGGTGGCGGTAGCTAGTGCCTCAAGGTCCCAATCCGATCCAGAGCCTATGAGTATCAGAGCATTGCGATGACCATTGCCACGTGTGAGGCAAACGGTTTTGACCTTGGACTTCTTCAGAGCAAGTTGAGACCGAGACGATAATAGGGGAGAGGGAATGCTAGAGGCGGCCGAGTGTTTGGACCGGCCTTGTTCTATGTCTGAGTTTCCCTTGTTGCTAGTAGAAACTAGCCCTGCTGGGACGGGCGGAGGAGGCTCTTTGGCTTGGTCATTTTCACGAGACCGATTCAGTCTGTCTCCAGGCCACTTCTCCAAATCCCATTGACGCAAGCCACCAGATAACAGAGCAAGCAATGTTCCCGCACAGGTTATCAAGAAGACCGACCAATTATCGTAAAGCACCCAAGGAATTATGGAGATGCCCATTTGAACGATTATTATCACACAGCCAATAATCCGGACGTGATCAATATGTAGTCTTACATCCCCTTCTAGCTCAAAAATATCGATACGGAGCGAGATGCGTGGTGGTGGGTCATCCGCGGCTATCCCGGCCTCCTTCTTATTGTCGGGGTCGTTTAGTTTCGCAGCCTCGGGCCCTGGGTTTGCCTCTACGGCGAGTTCGTGGTCTCGGAGGATCCGTTCAAGCATCCAGGAGCGGTTTGTTCGGGTGTATCCGCTGTCGCAGTTGATGAGAATAGAGCTGCCGTCTGGATCGGAGGGCATTAGCTGTTTATCACCAATAACGGAAGTGAGGGACGTGAAAGCATAGCCAACCAAGCCGAATGAAAATGCGACAGGGGTGATGTATATTCGTGGGTGGCGCTTAAGCGGCTGAATATACACGCCAAATGACTGTGCAATGGCTTTTTGGATAAGATCGCCACCGATTAGGAGAAGAAGGGAAAGGATATCGCGAGGATTGCGCCATTGACTTTATACTTCTTTGGATACGTCCATGAGACTTTCTATTATGGACGTAGTCTGGCGAATTGGTCATACATTTTGCGCGATTTTCTTTCCGGATTTGATCTCTCGTTTCACGAAAAGCTTTTCGCCTGATGTTTGATGGCGTTTGAGGCGTCCAATCGAATGCTCCAAGAATGAAGCCTCTCACGTGCGGTCTCTACATAAACGTGTCCTGGATGCATTCCGAAACCGTACCAACTCCGATCACCATAATCATATTCCTTCAACTAAGCCTTGTTATACATTGATTGAATAAACCCAGACAAGACAATAGATTCAACTGACCGAACTGACGGTAAGCTATTAAGAATCAATCGAAGTTTCGACGATTAACTGATTCCCTTTGTGCAGAGCTCGTTCAAGCAACGTTCGTTTCAATCCTTAACGTATTAAGTCGACTCGGCTTGTGGGATCAATCGCCAAAGTTTTTTGTCATTTATGCCCACGGCAACGATAGGCTCGATATTAAGGCAGATCAGGAAGTGGCCCAAAACTATATCTCCTGGTTCAAAGAGGGGTCCTTCAATGTGGACTCGGATAGGTCGCCACACGGATACGAACCACTTTCTACTGTCGCTCACCGTGGCGCAAGTTCCAACATAATGATCAACCAACTCTATCTACTTCCCCACAAATAGAATACACATAATGTAGACTATGTATTAGTCTTCTATTCCAAATTGCTTGCGGATTATATGGAGGCTGAACGCAGCTTCAAAGACGGGGATCAAACCTACTCCGAAGCTATTTTAGAAGTTTGCAACAGATATAATCCGAAGCTTAGTGACGACCCGCCGACCCCGCCGGTAACTCTGGGAGGAGGTATGGGACGATATTTGCGAAGTGCAACAACGATATTCTAAAGGAATGGAGGGGAGATTTCATCATGTGCTAACTGAGCTGGCTTTCCTTAAGTTTAGCAACGAGTGTAGGCACGTGAGATACACAATCCCCGTCATGCTTTTCGACCAAGGAGAAGCAGCACCAGGACAGAAATGGCGACCAGAATCCGTCGGTCTAGAGGATACGCAGCTCAGAGTTGAGCCAAAATTTGAGCCTACAGCTGAATCCTGGTCTAGAACTATATCTAAGGACCCTCAGCCTAAGGAGAGTGAACTTGAGTCTAAGGAATCCGAATCTAGAGAACCCATACCCAAGGAACCCGAGTCTATTAAACACTTTCAGGCATTCTTCAAGATAATCTTAATGTTCGAAACTCGAGAGCTATAGACCACTGATAGAAAGTTGGCGCAATTACTTTGAAAAGTGTATGGGCCTCTTGAAGAACCACAGGGCAAATCCCACGGAATACGAAAGACAATCCAGTATCGAGATTGCGCTAACGATACGGAAGCTGTATTCCGCCGTACAGCCCTGGATGGCGCGAAGAGCAATAACCACATAGCATGTTCGTGACGTTTTGGACGCGCATTGCTGCTGGACGATTCATCATTGAAACGAATCTCTGGGGATGAATTACCAGGTGAGATATACGATATTGATTTGGCGGTAGTCCGACAACCCGATCCCAGCGGCAAGAAGAAAGAAGTGAGACAAGTAGTGACGCTCTACGGTCTATTTAACGAAATAACCATAGCAGAAGAGAAAATCTTGCCGAAGCGAATCCTAATCCATGGAAGGCCAGGCATCGGGAAAACAACGCTCTGCAAACGTATAATGTATGAGTATTCCACGCATAAGAGCCTTAAAAGAAAATTTGATCTAGTGGTTCGGGTACCCGTCAGAAAACTTGGACAATTCGATGATCTGGCAGATCTATTATTCGCCGAGTATTTCTGTGTTTTTGTGAGAGGCCGTGAGCTGTCTAGGACCCTCAGAGAAATCATTCTAAGAGATAAGAAAAAAGACGACCAAGATAACGTTCTAATCATACTGGACGGCCTGGATGAGGCTCGGACCGAGGGCTATGCCTTGTTAAGAAAACTTATGGGGCAGCCTATGATTATCATTACGTCCAGATCTTACAATACTAGCACTCCCCCACCAGTTGACCTCCAGCTAGAAGCTTTAGGGCTCAATTCGAAGAGTGTGGAGGCATATCTAGACAACGAAGCCATGGTGCCGGCAGAGATGGCTAATGATATCCGCCAATTCCTGAAACTTTTATCGCGGAGATGGTTAGGGTACCTATCCATCTGGACTTAGTTTGCTACGGCTGGGAGGAACATCTAAGGAGGAACGCATTACAAGCCGTTTCCGAGAGTGGAAAGGACAATGGCCAACCAACAACAACAGCTCTCTACCAGGACGTTACACGTGCATTATTCCGCAAAGATATCCCTACGCTAGAGAAATACGACTATAGCGAACGGATAACAGAAGAGACCGTTGCAGCCGTTAGAGATCCGGCCCGCCTAGAGCGTGCGTTTCATGCTGAAAGTGAACTCTTAGGGGAAATAGCCATTAGCATGATGGAGAATGACCAGCTTGAGTTTACTAGGGTGGACATCACTAGAGGCATTCGGCATTGGGAAACCAGAAAAAGGTCTCAGCTGCCCTTAAGTGTAGAGAGAAACCTGTCAAAGTTGTCGCTTATTCGCTCGCCTTCTACGGGGGATCGTGGGAGATATAGCTTCATCCATCTCACGTTCCAGGAGTTCTTTGCTGCTCGATACATAGTCCAGAACCGGACATTCATGGAGGATCAATTAAGAAAGCACAAATATAATCACCACTACGAAATTGTCTGGAGATTCGTCTCTGGGCTCCTATCGAGCGCCGAAGATCTAAATCACTTCTTTGATATGTTCGACCAAGAACCACGGGACCTGGTGGGTACCCAGCATATTAATCTACTCTTGCAAAACTTCCATGAAGGCGGATCCCGAATGGAGCCAAATCGACAGAACGAGATTCGAAATAGACTGGCAGACTGGCTCCGGCTGGAGATTGATATTTCTTGGATGAGTAGACTCGGCGCTCGCATGGACTTTCCGGAGAATCTCCTATTAGATCAATTAGAACAGGCAGAGAAATCGCTAATTCGGGAATTATTATGGACAATTCGGAAACGGACGTCACTCTCGGAAAGATTCATTGGAGAAGTATATAAATGGGCTTGTAGAGCTCTCCCAGACCAACGAAAAGATTGGGATTTCAAGACCCATTTATCACTCGAGGACGTCAAAAATGGTATAGAAAACAAAAGAATCTCCTGGCCAGATAGATTGAAGCTCGATAAGACTGCCATCTCTCTCATAGAACAGATGCAAGAAGACCCACGATCGATCAGATACATAGAGAATCTATTAGTGAGGGCCAAAAATTTAGATGACACGAATGTCAAGGAGCTAAATCGTTTGCTAAGATCGGGCAACGAAGATTTGAGCGATGTAGCTGCCGAGATCCTCATGAGGCAGTCTACGCTATCACAAGAAACGGTTGATATTGCGATTGAGGTTATAATCGAGAGTGGTAGAAATTCATACGTAAATCCCAACAACGATGAATCGTTAAGGGGCCCCGAACGGTGGCACCCTTTGTCGCAACACCCCGATTTACATCGTAAGGCCGTTCCTCGATTATTAGACCACATAGAAAAATCTCCGTCTGAAGAAAGGTTCGAATCGTTTTGGTTGATGTTCTATCACGCAGCCCTAGAACCCAATGATATAGAAAGATTGGCGGCAGTTTTTCAGAAGAGCATAGAGGGGTTAAAAGGATTCAACGATAATGATAATTCGACCTCTCACAGTGGCGTAAGCCCGGAGAAAGGGCGGTGGTACCGATTGAAACTTCAATTGGCTCGGGTCTTGATGCGGTCCCCGAATCTACCAGGACATGTTCTCAATTTGTTTGTAAAGTTAATGGGCGATGCGGATATAAAAATGTTCAAAGCGGCTGAAAAAGCCTTCCAGAGACAGGACGAGCTAGGCACTGATACTTTGAAACAGCTTGGAGCCTTGTTCGCGTGTATTGATTGCAAGTGGGAAGTTGCGCGTGCTCTCCGGGGTCGTCTTAATCTTCCCTCGGAGGTACGTACATGGGCCATTAAACAGGTTGAGCAAATGCTCCAATCCAATGAATGGGTTGGGAATAAAGGACTCGTTACAACCGCTCTTCAATGCATTGAAGGCGAGTCTAATCTCTCAGAAAACTTGATAAAAAAATTGCTGGAAATTTGGCCGAATCTGAATTTCGGATCGGATTTCGATGTGTACTTGGAGGGAATGAAAACTCTAATTCAAAGGCAAAAGAGGTTAAACGACAAGGTCGTCGAGGCCTTTATTAATAGGTTCATTGGTTTTTGCGAGAAAGAAGTCTGGGAGTGGAACTTTACGGATAATGCTAGGGAGATCTCCGCTATTTGTCGCATGCCGATATTTGCAAGGCCGTTAATTAATACGATGAAGGACACGGGTTCACTCAGGGTGGTGGCGGGTGTCAGTTACGTTTTTGACTCGGAATCGGGATTGACTCCCGATGTGGCTGATTGCTTAAGGGATCTAATAAAGGATCTAATAAAGCGTGTACCGACTGCCAAATTAACAACCTTCAAATCCGAAGCCGCCGTCAAGATCCTCGCCCGTCAAACAAACCGTCCTACGCAAGATGTTATTCTCCTCCACAACTACTTCAATGAACAGTCTTCTAGTGACCTATTTAACTTCTGGAGGCACAGCCACATAGCGGAGTTCTACGGCAATATAGAGAATATTTATCATTCAACTAAGGATGACTCGAGGATAGGAAAATTACTTCGATGGTCTTTCCTGGATGATGATATCCGGATGGGCGGTGTCGCATCCGTCTATATCGATGGCGATACTATTCGGTTCTATGATTCTGGGGAACAATTGGTTTCTCGACGTCTAAAAAATGAAAATAAATTCCGAGAAATATACCGGGAAATACAAAAAGCGGCTGGAATTCCGGAGTGGGCACGCATTCGCTCCGAGAAAAAAAGTAAGATAACTGATTATTTAAGACTGCCTGACTGCCCAGGTGACGTTTTCGAGGAGTAGATACCCCCATCGGGGCGCTAGTGTTTCAAGGGGTTAAATGAATATCAAAATAATTCAATAAAGGGTCGTATTTACTTAAGGGGTCTATTATATTCAATTTGCCGCAAAAGCCAAGTCATTCAATCATCCGATAAGGCCAGATAATGCTAGTAGGCAATGCCGCCCGCCATCATCAAGCTACTTAGTACTCAACTAAACGTCTCTCAACTTTTTCCTTCTCCTCATTACACCACTGCGTATCCTTTGACGCATGTGATCTACATACCATTTTTATTGTAGAAAAGAAGAGTCGCAGGCTACGTCTTTTCTCATTCCCGACAACCGACTATTCCCACAATCGACCATGGAGCAGATGATGCCAGGCGATGGTGGCCGAAACCCACTAGAGGCTTGGTTTTGGGAGATGCCGATATGCACACGATGGTGGACAACAGCCACGGTCCTTACGAGCGCATTGGTTCAATGTCAAATGGTTACTCCATTCCAACTATTCTATAGTGTGCGCACAGTATTTCAAAAGGGAGAGGTAAAAGCATTCTATCAGTGAACTTCGGTGATGTCGGCTCGCTGACTTAATTCCGATCTACAGTATTGGCGGTTATTGACTACATTCCTATACTTCGGTCCATTCTCACTCGACCTCCTATTCCATGTTTATTTCCTCCAGAGATACGCTCGTCTTCTCGAAGAATCATCCGGTCGGTCGCCAGCCCATTTCTCGTGGCTATTGCTATACTCCACAGCCTTCCTCATCGTTCTCTCGCCACTCGTGTCTATGCCGTTCCTCGGACACCCTCTATCTTCGACATTGGTATACATCTGGTCGCGACGAAACCCCGATACGCGCTTAAGCTTTCTGGGCCTACTCACGTTCACGGCGCCTTATCTTCCATGGGTATTGATGGGCTTCAGCCTCATTATGCATGGTACGATACCTAAGGACGAGATCATGGGCGTTGTCATTGGTCACATCTGGTACTTCTTCACCGACGTATACCCTCCGATGCACAACAACTCGAGACCGTTAGATCCGCCAATGTGGTGGCGCCGACTATTCGAGCGTAGACAACAAAGGGAGGAAACAGCCAATGCGATCAATAACGAATTCGCGGTGGCGGGAGGTCCGGAACTTGCGGCGGCGGAAATTCGTTAAGCGCGCATGGAAGTAGTAGAGGCGAGCTCTACAATGGTGTTTACGACAATCATACCTTCATTTTACGGCGTTTCGGAACAGATTATGATGGCATTCAGTTATGGCGTTGCATTAGGGGCGGTACGACGGGCGTTTATGGTCAAGATGTGTCACGGCGAGATTGACAAGTTTGTGTACATACGATTCGAAAGTCAACATTCGTCATGGCAGATGGAAGAGTGGTTCGTTTCAGCCCACTGGCGCTCTCGTTTTGCCTTCAATAGGCTTTAAGTTAGACTTGCTGAAATAATACACACGTCCAACTTGGCAGCCTTATGACGATCCGACGGATGTGCTTTGACGGTCATATTCACGCAAAACCCCATCAGCTCCCGTCCTTAGGGATTTCCATATGGGGAAGATGGGTGAGTTGGGATGGTGAGAATCGTTACACATCAAGGCCGCCCCTTAGTCAGAAGCAATCCTTCACTTGAATAATACTACACGAGGTGGTAAAAACTACACTACCAGAAAAATCTTATCGATATTGATATACAAAGTGCACTCTATCTCGTGAAAAGAAGCCATTTTGGTACAATATAGAAGGATGACTAAGTGTATTCCACCAATAAAAATTAGGCCTTTGTAAATAGCGATACATTCGCCCCCAGTCCGCCCCCAAGGATGTTAGGAAAGGCTATCAAAATCATGCTAACCATGCTAACAAACCCCGCCAAAGAAAAAAAAATCGAATAATGCCGGGCGCCCGACGTCACACCTGGGCACTCTTTAGTTTGCTGGCGCCATCCCATCCCACCTAATTAGGCTTTACACATGGGAGTAGAACCATCTAAAATATTTATAGCAAGCTTCTTGTCCCGAAATTCTTTAACTTTTTGTCAAGTTACGTAAATCGCTCGAGTTTGTTGTTTTTTAGTTCCTCTACGAAATAGAGAATAAAATATCAATTCAAGATGCGAGCATACTGGTATGATAACGCTCCTGTAAGTGATATAAAGAAAAATGCCCCTCATCACATCATCGCGGGCTACTCTCGCGAAACCGCTCGCCATCACTTACATCCAACATCGCCAACTTGCAACAGACGATAGTATTAACAATATCGCAGGGCGACCAACGTCTGCCTCATGACTCCGGCAAGGATGTCGATGCAGCAGCACTAGAGCAACTCGGCGTTCTATACTACAAGTACCCAGAAGTCGCCGCGGTGGACGCGCTGGCGCAAGAACGCGGGTACAAGAACCGGGACGAGATCACCGTGTCCCCCGAAAAGATGGGCGCTGTCTACGAAGACAAAGTCAAGTCCTTCTTCCACGAGCACTTGCACGAGGATGAGGAGATCCGTTACATCCGCGACGGTCAGGGTTATTTCGATGTTCGTAGTAAGGGCGACGAGTGGGTCCGTATTCAACTTGAGAAGGACGATTTGATTATCTTGCCTCCGGGTATTTACCATCGGTTTACTACTGACGAGAAGAACGTATGTTATCACTCCTACGCCTCCCTGATTCCTACATCTTTTATAGCGGATAGTCTTGTTGGATATGGCGTCTAACATCAAATACAGTACATTCAAGCTATGCGACTCTTCAAGGACGAGCCGAAATGGACGCCACTTAACAGGTCTGGCGATCTAGATTCGAACCAATACCGCAAGGAGTACGTCTCGCAATACCTTCACTAGATTTGAGAGAATATAGTGAAGGGGTTACGAAGTTATGGGATTCATGGATGGAATGGTTTAGCGAAAGGAGTCGCAGTAAAATCCGAGTTCATTTCGAAGATGACAATTCTTTTGTTGATATAGAAAGTCCTTGAACGAACGATATTATGAATTAAAAACATATTACCTTCTAGCTTATTAGTTTATGTAACTGTCACGATATCAACGTAAGTTCGGGTTGGTAATAGCACTAAATTATGCCACTTCAGCATTCCACAGCAAGTGCAAAGGCCCGTAGTTTCTCGGCAATCAACTAAATTGCGGGGATTTCTAGTGTTGTATACGGGTATACCCCAGCTGAAACCCCAGCCAACCTTCGCTCTTGATCGCTTTTACAACTGCCGAAATCAATTTCTATATCTACGCACATACAAGCCTTTTTCTCTTTCTAAATCATGCCGTGGATTTGGGGAAGGTGATTAAGACCCGCGAAATGACGAATTGGGTATTAATCTATAGTAGAGATCATGGACTCTAGATCGGCGTCTGAAGTTGCGCATCCCTCACCGGCCGGAAGCACTACTAGTATTCCGAAGGGCAAATTACTTCTTCCCGCCAGTTGTGAACCTCCGTTGCCGAATGCACCTAGGAAGCAGCTTGTATGGATTGTAAGTCTATATTTTTACTAATCCATTAAATATTTATGCTCTCGCATGTAAGATCAAGCAATTAACCAATGAATCAAGGTCTTTGGCGGTACTGGCCATATGGGTCGCTCCCTCGTTAAATGCGCACTAGCCCGGGGCGACCTCGTCACGGATGTCGGCCGCACTTTCGAAAGTACCCCTGAGGATATGTTAGCAGCAGGCCAGCACGAGAATTGCCTCGGTCTACTCTGCGACGTACGCGCGCGACAAAGTGTTGCTCAAGTTGTCGAGCGCACTCTCGATCGTTTCGGTCGTATCGACGTTGTCGCAAATTGTTCTGGTTACGGTGTCATAGGCGCCTGTGAAGATCAGGATGAGCATGAAGTGCGCAATCAGTTCGAAACGAATTTCATGGGCACTCTGCATATTATTCAAGCCACATTGCCGTATTTTCGCCAGCAGAGCGGAGGACGGTATCTTATCTTTAGTTCGACGAGTGGCGCTCTTGGTGTACCGGGTTTGGGACCGTATTGCGCGACGAAATATGCTGTCGAGGGTCTGATTGAAGCCATGTTATATGAAATCGATTCGTTTGGTGTAAAGGCGACATTGGTGGAACCTGGACTTGTTAGACGCGATGAGCCAGATGCTCAGGCCAACCCATTGCCTACGTGGGGACATTTTCTTATTAAACCGGCGAGTGAGGCATACGGACATGCGACATCGCCTGCGTTACATGCGAAACGAATGGTGCAATGGCTTGGTGATAGGCAACCGACGAGCGCGGTCAAGTGCGCGGAATTAGTATGGCAGTTAGCACATTGCTCCTATCCGCCGCTACGCCTGGTGCTTGGAAGTTATGCCATTGAGAGTATTCGTGATCGTTTACGATCTGTTACAGAGGAGCTGGAGGATTGGAAACATCTAAATTACCCCGCAGCACCTGAAGAGGGCGGCGCTGCTGGTGCTGGTACCTCGTCGACAGCTGGAACGGGGACTGGAGCTGGAGCAGCGGCGGATAGTAAAAATGATAAAGATGAAGAGATGATTGATTCTCCGGTTGAGGTTATGGATCATGGTACTTAGGTTATTTACCTTGGAGATTTACGCCATTTGGCCCAGATATAATAGGATAGGTTTTGGGAAACGCCTATCTGTCGATCTACCTGTTTGGTATCTAGGTACTGAATTAGAGATGTGTTACCGATCTTCACTGCAAGGAATCAATTTTACGAGGCCTGTGAGTCGAACATGTTTTTCACCGTTTAGACATCCTACTTATATAACGAATTCTGGATTTATTCAGAAACCCCTATCTAGAAACATTCAAGACAGCCATTCAAAGTCACGATCTGGATTGAATTTGATATAAAGTAGCGATATACAAAAGTCGGGATTTTAATGGAACAATCCAAAGATTCTGATAGGCTAATATGACTTTAAGTATTTATTGGAATTTCTAATTATACCCATGCCAAGGCCAAACTAAGATTACCTACACCGCACAAGCCTCATAAAAACCGCCACACCATAGGAATTCTACCATTTTTGTAAATGGTTTCCGTTGTGGTTTCCGCCTTATTCTCCAACATTAAAGTTTCTGCCTACGCCGTTATCCATGTTATCCATGCAACTCCCCAGTCAAATTAGCCCACAGTCCCTCATTAAAGAAATAAAATACTTCTTTAACATAAACACGCGTCCGTGATCAATTTCTCACTCAAATTTTAAATCTTCTACTTTTTATTCAAAGTCAAGCTTGTGCTTCATTTCTGTCGTTACCAAATCTTCTATCGTTTGTTAGAAGTGAAAAGAGACGACGGAGAAAAATACAAGATAAAATCAGAGAAACTTGATTTTCTTGATTGTCTGTCAACTTGTCGCAATCGACGCGTTAATCGACTCCACAGCCCATAGCCCCGGGCGCAGCGCCGTTGCTTAACAGATAATCCATAATTTTTTTCTCTTTTCCCCTGATTTTAGTACCTAGTTCGATCTTACATACATCCCATACTTTTCTTCGCCCTAACCCTCCAAATCGACTTAGCCAACACCAATAAACTACCACGTCCTCCTTTGTCTCGTCTCCCCTTTCCCTTCCTCCCCAATCGCCGTTTTATATTCGAATCGACTCAACTGCAATAATATCGAAATATCGCAGTCATGTCGGACAAGAAAAACGAAGATTATGCCATTCGCATGCCCGAAACGGGTCCGCGAAGCCCTTACGGCGGAGAGAAAGATCCTTTTATTCCGTCTCGTCCTTCTCGAGCCGCATCTCAACAGCACCTTGCGTCGCAGATTAACAAGATTGAGAATAGCCCTGCTATCTCTATTCTCGCCTACTGTCTATCTTCAATTAGTATGACAGTTGTGAACAAATATGTCGTGTCGGGTTCGGAATGGAATTTGAACTTCTTCTACCTTGCGGTCCAGGTATGATATCTATACTCGGCGATACGGAATTCGGGTTTGCTGACGTTTAGAAAATAGTCGATCGTATGTATAGTAACAATCGAGGCTTGCAAGCAATTAGGTTTAATTAAGAACCTCGCGCCGTTCGACATCAATAAGGGAAAACGATGTATGTGTCTTGTGTCTAGTTACTTCGCTATCTTCGGAATCTTCCGTTTACTAACACAGCCACAGGGTTCCCTATCTCTCTCCTCCTAGTCGGTATGATCTACACGAGCACGAAATCGCTACAATACCTATCCGTTCCTGTGTACACTATCTTCAAGAACTTGACAATCATTGTCATCGCATATGGTGAGGTTCTATGGTTTGGTGGTAGTGTCACCCCTTTGGCCTTGCTATCGTTCGGTCTTATGGTTCTCTCTTCCGTCGTCGCCGCATGGGCCGATACCCGCAGTGCTAGTCAAACCGCTGAAGCTGCCGCTGCTCTCGCTACATTGAACGCTGGCTACGCTTGGATGGGTCTCAACGTTTTCTGCACGGCTTCCTACGTTTTGGGTATGCGTAAGGTTATCAAGAACATGAACTTTAAGGATTGGGATAGTAAGTCATCCACACTGGTCACCACAATTCTATGCATGCTAACCGTTAACAGCTATGTTCTACAACAACTTCCTTACCATCCCCGTCCTAATCGTCTGCTCCCTTATCGCCGAAGATTGGTCTAGCGAGAACTTGAACAAGAACTTCCCTCCGGAAACCCGAAACGCCCTTTTCATTGGTATGATCTACTCGGGTATGGCAGCTATCTTTATCTCATACTGCTCCGCTTGGTGTATCCGTGTCACCTCTTCTACTACGTACTCCATGGTTGGAGCTCTCAACAAGCTTCCCATCGCCGTCAGTGGTCTCGTCTTCTTTTCCGCACCTGTCACCGTTGGTAGTGTTTCTGCCATCTTCATTGGTTTTGTCAGTGGTATCGTCTATGCTTGGGCCAAGGTGCGCCAGTCGCAAGTTGCCAAGAATTCGCTGCCTACTACACAACCTACGATGAGCGCAAGTTCCCAGAGCAACCGTGATGCCGCCAACTCATAAATCAGAAAACATTGTCTTTCTACGAATCACGCGACAATGCTTCTAATAGCAAAAGCATGTGGTCTACCCATTTAGATCAATGGGCTTCGGAATAGTCGGATTCTGCGAAACGGACAAATACCTACGCAAACGTCTAACCGAATCGAATCAGCCACTTCTGCTGTATAATATCTATCCATCCCTTTCGAATTGACGGTGTCAGATGAAGGGGAGGAACCGTTGAGATTTTCAGGTATAGACTTTTTAACTTTTATAATGAGAAAACGGAGCTCTACGGATATGGGGAAAGTCATTCATCATAAGTTTTTGGACGGCGCAAGATAGGAATGAAAGAACCTCGATCCTCTTTGGCATCATTTTTGTGTTGAGGCAGCATCATCGTCGTCAATGTTAAGGACGATCAGACTCGGAAAGGTGGACGTAAATAAAGTCTTGATCTCGATTAATGCGAATTGCGAATTGCATGTTGAAGTTGGTGTTGATGGATGGGTAGGCGATTGAAATGACAGACAGACAAGGCATATCGTATATGATTGTGTGAGCTGTCTACATATTTGAGTAGTCATAATAAAGAGACCATGAAACCTAGGCAACATTCCCATCCATTAAATGAGTCAGTAGGTCTAGATATGACAATATGTTTCTTCATGGGATATATGGTGTTGACTTGATCTCCTGACTTCGAATTCGATGCCTTTCTCAACATAGAAGTACCTAGGTACCTGATTAAGGGACCTTCTTTCTATGATAACCAGTGAAACCAGCACATGCGCTAAACGCCAACTGGCACATGCGCAAATAGACCCACTCTTTTACTTTGCCGGGTGACATCACCCCCCATCATCTATTGGAGCTAGCTACCTTGTTACCAACTCAAGATCTTCAACATTTTTCAAGGCTCCAAGCTTCAAAGCTTGAACTCTTTCGGAGCCACTCAAAAGTCCGGATTTCATTGGAAGGTTACGCATTATAGGACTCACTGCTGCCTTTTATGTTTCAATTTTACTTCTTTCTCTTACACAACCACCCTGATAGACCAAGCCGAGGCTAAAGTAGTCAGGTTGCTTATTATGTCTGCGACAGTAGCCTGTTCTTATATCTAGACTATAATATCATAGCTCAACCTTGTTCTATTTCCCCTCCTACTATCCATCGTCGCCGTTGCTCGTCGTTTATTCTCGACTTCCTAATCTGGAGTTATGACAAATTTTCGAATTCAACGGATCGCGCAAATACACGATGCTTCCTTATATCAATAAGCGTAGGCCTTGTCTTCAAAGCTTCGGTCCGAAATGGGTAGATGGCGCTAACTTCGTGTAGCCTTTGAGTTGCTGTCGGGGGTCCTTGGTGCCTCTCCTGATGAGCGTAGGTTCCATCCCAATGTGATTCTTGTTCATTGATAATCAAATTGCTAAGAATTTCGAATAAACAGTAAAACTCATCTTCTCCTTCCTAATATCCTACCCGCTCGCCGGTCTCTTAAAACGTGTACCCGATGCTCGACCGCAATACAAAAACATATTTATAATAAGGTGCGAACAACATCCCAGAGGACGTCTCTTGCCGCGGTTCGGATAGATCCAGAGACTAACCGTCTACTCGATATTAGTACTGGCCTTTTCTACCTAATCGGCCTCTATTCATTATGGAGCGGCGTTCGAACCCTCTTCATATCCTCCGCCGTCACTTACGGCCTCGCCTACTATCTACGGACGTCCGCTTATATGCCATGGGTCGCCTTCGTCTTCCTCATGAGCCACATGGCTGTGAACCAGCTCACCCGCCAATTTGCCGATAACCCATCCACAATCGATATAACCGGTGCGCAAATGGTACTTGTCATGAAGTTGTCCGCTTTTGCATGGAACGTTGCAGATGGCACTTTGCCAGAAGACCAACTAAGCGACTTTCAAAAGAATAGAAGGATTGTAAAGTTGCCTACTCTATTTGACTATGCTGGATATGTGTTGTTCTTCCCGTCTCTCTTGACGGGTCCGGCTTTTGACTACAATGAATACCGAGGATGGATCGATTGTACCATGTTCGATGTTCCGGCGACTATCGACCCCGCGAAGAAACCTCCTACCAGGAAGAAGCGCAGGATACCAAGAAGTGGAACTCCTGCTATGTTGAAGCTAGCAACTGGTCTCGCTTGGATTTTCCTCTTCTTGAATTTGAGCGGCCGATACGATTACACAGTTCTACTCGGCGACCACTATCCTACTCTAGGTTTCTTGCGCCGCGTCTTCATTATGCATATGGTCGGTTTCACCGCAAGGACGAAATACTACGGCGTGTGGTCCCTGGCTGAGGGTTCGTGTGTTCTTGCTGGGTTAGGCTACAACGGTGTAGATCCCGTCACAGGCAGGGTCTCGTGGAACCGTCTGCAGAACATCAATGAGTGGGGTGTTGAGTCAGCGCAAAACAGCCGAGCGTACCTTGAGAATTGGAACATGAACACAAACAAATGGCTACGCTACTACATCTACCTACGCGTAACCCCGAGGAACAAGAAGCCCGGTTTCCGTGCCAGTATGGCTACTTTCGTGACCAGCGCTTTCTGGCATGGTTTCTACCCAGGATACTATCTTACATTCGTTCTTGCTAGTTTCGTCCAGCAGGCTGCAAAGAGTATGTTACACGAAGTCCATTTTAACTCGTCGTTCTTTCCATTCTATCAACATCTCTCCGTAGCTTCCCCGTGGTCTAGGCTAATCTAACGTTATTTAGACTTCCGCCGCTACGTCCGACCCTTCTTCCTCGACCCGGCGACGCAGAAGCCCCTGCCTACTAAGAAATATTATGACGTAGCATCGTGGTTCGCCACTCAACTAACCTTCTCTTTTGTCGTATCGCCCTTCGTTATCCTACGCCTAGACCATTCCATCTTAGCTTGGAGCCGCGTGTATTTCTACGCCATCATCACTACAGGCATTAGTATGGCATTCTTTGCCTCGCCTGCTCGCGCGCATCTCAAGAAAACACTCGAGAAGCGTAGTCCAACGCCCTCCGCTCGCGCCGCGGCAGGGGGTAAGATGTCCCGGACGACGAGCTCGGAGAGTCTGAGTGGAAGAGCTGGAGAGCCTGTTCTCGGCTTGAGTGCGGATCCAGCTAGGGATATTGATGAAGCGCTACAAGAGCTTAGGGACGAGGTTGAAAGGGTTAGGGGTGATGATGGGAAGGATGGCGTGAAAGTAAATGGGAAGGTAGAGGGGAAGAAAGCACAGTGATTTATCCTCGTCCTATTTTATTCGTGTTTCTCATCCACACGATCATCATAACGTCGCGGAGTTTAAGGTGAGGTTATAAGAGGTTAGATTGCATTGTATAGACTAGTAGGTGGTTGGAATTTTAAGTAATGTCATCCTTAATGATTTTTCGTTTGAAGATGGTATTGGAACTCGCGAGGATTGTACATATTGGAAATACTCACTAGATTGGAAGTATCTAGTCTATGGAGGGAAAGACTGAATGCCTTATAGCGGGATGGCAGAATAAGGGATGGGGTGATTATTACGCTTTGCTATACTCGTCATATGTTAAAGCGGGAAGTGTTGAAGAAAGAGAGATATGAATAGACAGATAGTCCAAGATAATCGTAATTATCCATAAATCGATCTTTGGGGTTTAGATTTGAAGGAAGTCAATCAAGTCTAGACAAATCCTAATATTGATTCTCTATTTCCTTTCATCATGGAATTTGAGGCGCTATGGTTTGATTTATATAAAAATTATGGTTTTTGGCACGATATTTGGATAGCAATCTTCTAGGGCGGTCCAGTGTTGGGCAGAAACCCATCATCTTCCCTGATTTGGTTGAAAATGACAATCCGAACCCATATCAGAATCCAGAGTAAGAGTATCAAGAGGGTTTCAAATGAGAATCATCACATTCAATCAAGCAACACAAATAAATCAAGTCAAAACTTTTTATTTCATAAAATCTCGTCATAGCAGGCGTGATTTCGTCCATCTGTATGCTAAGCTAGAACCAAGCAAGAAAGGACATCAAACATCTAAACAGAGCATAGGAATCGAAATCTTTATCAAGCGTCCTGTTGCTCCGAGATATTCCTAATGTGAATGTAATCAATCGATCGTTATCTTTCTGCTATTTTCCTCCCCACTCTCGCAGATAAGATAATTCGGTCCTCTTCCTCTTCCATCCATCCCATTCAACTCCATTCAAATAGGGGGTATCTGCCCTTTCCATCCCCGAATCTCCATTTCAAAACATGGACAGCCAAGGTGCTGTCCCAACAAGAAAGCAAATATACGCCCGTCGCTGCGTCATTAGATTCGGTTCAATCCATTATGTTCCGACTCCAAGCAAGCAATTTGGTTTTTGGGGGTATCATGTCCCATTTGTTCCCATCTAATTTCTACAAGTTATAAAACAAAAAGCAAAGTCGGACGAAGAAGTCGTAAAGGTCAAAGGTCGTAAATGTACAAGGTTTTGAGGGAATGAAGTCGAAATCGAATGCGGGTAAAAAACGATGTCAAGTGTGATATGTATATGGCGGTAAATATGAATAATTGTGAAGGAATGGTTGTAAACGAGACGTTTCTCGTAGATTTGCAAGAAAATGAGAGCATATCGGGTGTCGTCCCATGATGGTCTATCGTTGGTTGTGATCAGCCGTAAGGCTCATGAAATCGTCATTACATATTACGTAAAAAAAGTCGTAGAAAATCGTTTCAAAGGTAGAAATAGAAAAAGGGTCGAGTCGTTGATTCGGATTTTCGCGGATAGGAATTATCATCGACCTCATCATTATTGCGCCCATTTTTGTCGAACGCCAATTACAATTAGAGCAGCTACTGCTCCAAGGATCAAAAGGCCAGCGACGGCCATAAATCGATTAATATTTCTCCACCATCGAGCACTTTGATATCGTGAGTCATCGATGAGGACATGCCGTCGTGGAGGTTCTCCATGTTCTGAAGCTTGGAATTCTGTTGTGCTTTGGTCACGTTCGTCCATAGCAAGCATCGGCTTCGGAGGTAACGGTAAGAATGCTGCGACCATCCAAGCTATCATATGGGTTAGTAATTGCAATATTGTTGGCAACAGTCTTACTCACCAAACGGAAACAGAAATCCCAAAACGAATAATACCACTTGGATATTGCGTCTACCAAAAACACCACTATCGGCAGACCATGTAACGGATGGTGCATTCCATACGCTGAAACGGCTGGCTCGCGTATCTAGACGAAGATGAGGAGACCAAATGCTAGATGACTTTTTCTTTGGTCCTAATCGAACATTGCCCGTATCTAAGGCTGGTGTAATATCCATCGAACTCGGTCGTTGGTTGCGAGGGTCCCTCTCCAGTGGTCGACGGCGAGGGTTGTGGATGGTTTGTTCGTGAGCTGGAGATCCACCGCCTAATCGAGGACTCGGTGGTCGACTATCACCAGTTTCGGATACGGATACGGACCTAGAAAGAGGTGCGAGCCATCGTCTTTCTCCGCTACCATAGTAGAGCCTATACGTAGTCATTAGCATTGAAAATGTTACCTTTTTAGCGTTTAAATCTTACCTTGCCCAGCTAGGAAGAGAAGATGCCGTCAAGCTTCCAGCGCGAGAACTTGTAGATCGTAGACTCCTGTCCGATGACTGTCTAGAGAAACCCAATCGAGTTCGAGATGGTCTGTGTTCAAGCTGTTGTAGATCGGCTAACCCATCACCATGTTCATCGTGGTCTCGAACGGTTCGTATTAAAGGACTCGGCATTCCCCTGATATAAGCAGGGCTAGGACGGTCGAGGGAATCGCTTTGGGAATTCGATCTCGAATGCGATCTTCGAGTGTCTATGTTTTCTAGGCCCAAGGACGAGGAAATGCTGCGCATTTGTCTACTATCCCTACTTCCAATCGCACTGCTAACACGCTCTGGAATTGAACCTGCCGAATGAACGCGAGAGCCCGGGTCACTGCCCTCATATTCGGACATCACAGTCGAGAGCTGTGAGCTCCATAGATGCGACTCCATTCGTGCCTTTTGTTGTGCAGCGCTTGATGTTCCTACCCATGTAGATCGCGGGATAGACGAGGTAGAAGGAGTGTGGCGAAGGACGACAACGTTCGGAGTAGAACCACTGAAAAGAGACGCGGTGTCTTGGCTTACTATGCTTGAAAGCGATGAAAATGAATTGGCTCGACCTCGAAGACTTTCTCGCGATTGTTGCTTGTAGTAGCCGAAGCTTTCGGATGAAGATCTCTTGTGTGGTCTTAGGGGGGGGACGACAAGACTTTCTTGTGAGTATCGCTCGCGCAATTGTTGCAATGAACTATCGTCTGACGAATGGTAACGGTGTCCTCGAAATGGAGTCGCTGATGACGACAATGGTGACGTTTCACCGTAAACGATGTAGTTCCTGCTTCCCGGAGTATCTGTGAACCCTGGCGCAGCAGCTGACGAAGCGATCGTCTGCGCTGGAGATGATTGGCCTAGAAGCTTGTAATTTGAGCTGCTTGACGAGGGAGGCACTTCAATGCTTTCTGAATCTGGTAATGGTGGAGAACTGCGACCAATGACCTTGTAGTTCGTGGTCTCTTCAATTGTCGAATCGGTCTGCTCGGAATTAAACGACGGTTTCGTCGCAAGAGGTGAGGAAGGAGGTTCTGGTGGTGTAACTGTTTCTGGTAAAGCAGGTAAAGGAGATTCGGAAACTTCCCTTTCCTTCCCTTTTCCTTTGAGATCTGGAGTATGTGGAACTTTTCGTAGGCCACCGACCATGCGATAATTCCAAGGTGAAGATGATTCGAGTGCTTCTTCAGGTTTTTCGGCAGATGTTGAAGGGGATCCTGAAGTGTAAGGAGAAACGCTGCGCTCGGCCACGGAACTCAATGGCGAGCCGAGACGATCTTCAATAGATGCGTCAAATGAGCTACCTTCATGCGAACTGATTGTAGACACATTAGAAAGGGGAGGCGATTTCACAGTAGAATCCGACCTGTCGGAATGACGTGGGCGTGTAGATTTCAACACAATTGAGAATGTCTTGTCGGAATGAACATTGATGTAATTCTCTCGTCGCGAGAAGGACCGTTTCCGTTGTGCTGAACCTGCTGAACCTGGTTCATTATCGTGGCGCGAAGATGATGGCTGAGATTGAGGGTTAATACGTCTAATATTACTTCCATAGGATGGCCTGTTAATGACAGGGGACGACGGTGGGGCAATGTGCTGGGCACCAGCACCAGCCGAGTCAGAAGCGAGTTTCGATCCTGAAACACCTCTTCCCTGTACCCTCGCCAACGGGGAGGCGGGTGTGGAAAATGATGGTGAAGGTGACGGAGTGTCGGCGCCATAACCTTCCTTCTCATATATCGTGGATCTACTCGTCTTCGGTGTGGTAATAGGAGCCGGGTCATTAGTGGTCGTGCGTTGTGAATCGTCCTCCCCGAATTGCGGCTCTTGCGCATTTGACCTACCGCTACCTTCTCCATCACTCGGCCTTGGTGGTGAGTAAGGGACGATACGAATTTGCAGTTTATTCTTTTCCGAGTCGGTTCTTTCTTGTAAAGGCGATCTCTGTGAGTGAGAGGATGATGACGAAGAGGTTGAAGATGACATCCTTTACCGCGGGCCCGGCCCGGAGTTGTGGAAAATATCCTCGAAAATTAATTCTTTCACCTAAATCTAACAACTATAAAAGTGTTTCGACATAGGCCATAACGATTTATACTATTCGGAGTATAATTTCGTAAAACAGATAGATGGCGTATATTTCGGCGTGGTTTCGTTTCGAGTTCTGTATAATAGCGAGTGTGGAGTCCGATCGATTCGGAGATGGTGGTCACGAGTGACAAGTATTTTGCGCAATAATTAATGCTTGATGAATGGTCCGACAAGAAAAGGAAGTGGAAAGAATAAATAAAATCGTCAAAGAGTTCAAAGACACATAGATATGTAAGAGAGAGACGTGAAGTTCGTAGTAAATAGTATTATATCGGTAAAAAAGTAACAAAGAGGTCTGACAAGGAGGCGTATGGTCTAGTGTCGCATAGACAACTATAGATCTTTCGAGGAATAATAATAGAATTCTTAAGGAGCGGGACGGTCGACAAAGAGTGACCAAAAAGATAACGATTCTATGCAACTACTACATACAGACCACACACACGCATCCGCGGGGGAAAAAACGAAATCGGAGAGGAAGAGAGAGGGAGAGACGGCAGCGAAGCTGTTAGGAGGCAGACAGGAGGGTATTATTTCTTGCAATGTGCCCACAGGTTACCGAACCATGATCGATTGGCTGGTAACTTAGAGTCAGCTATCTAATGGCGGCTGCATATTACCTAGCTATGCAATGCAGCCAAAAAGGAGCGTCAGGGTTCCATCGAACGAACGTTTGTGGGCAGCATAGCGTGGTGGCAGGAAAAGAACACTTGGAAGCGAACAGGGAGAAGCTTCACGGAGCTATGGTACCAAAAATGGGTTAGGAAAAAGGCTGACATGACAAGGAGTAGTACAGGTACCCCTTGGCATCTCACCGCGTACCTGCCTATACTTGTCTGCTTGTTCAGATTTTTCCGATTTTTTTTGACGATGAAGTGATAGCCCGAATTAACGAGACGCCAATAGGCAATAATGATGTGCAAGAAGTTCCACTAGGAACTCCATAGTGTCTTTGTTGTCCAATATAATTTTGAATCCGTATCCAACGGCGGAGTCAGGATCGGTCTGCATACTGCAGGTCTCCTGCAAGTTCTGCAAGAATGGATGTAATGTGAAATGAGGTCAAAAAGAATTGTGGGCGAGGCGGTCGAGGAACCTACCACAATTGCAGCCCCAAGGCTACATCAGTGGTCAGGGGTTACCATCATCTTTCCAGCTAGCGGTTTAACAACCATTCGTAACTAATGAATCGTCTAAGAAAGTTGGTGTCGTCTCAGAAGCCGCCGCTAACAACTTCTTCATCCAGACGGAGAATTCTTATCTCTTGTTTCTGTCTGTTTCTTTGACATCTGGGCATCTGGTCGCATCATGGTCGAAATATCCCGTTCAGAGACAACCACTTGTCAAATGTATCGAAGTACATGGGTACTGTACTGACATCCGAACTCAAGAAACATTTGACAAGGGCGAAAAATCGGTGAAGAGATGTGTAAATTAAACGTTGGCCAAAGCGAGGTACAATTGGGCGAGATCTGGGGTTAGTAGTTCCAGAAAAATCAAAGATCCAGGATCCAACCGAAAACTCCGAAGCCTGTGAAGTCAGGGGGAAGGAAAATCAAGTGGAGTAATTTAGTGGGGTTAAAGACCTGAGCTAGCGCATAAAGGGGAAAGTGTAAGCATAGACCAAAATGAGAACGAGGATAATGAACGTGGCTCAGCTACCTAGGTAGTGGGTCTAGGTACTTAGTTCTATTCCAGTTTTTTAGTTTCTTCCCGTAAAAATGAATGTATTTCGTATCTTGCCTATCTAAAAGACCGAACGCGACGTAGTAATTGATTCGCGCGTGCATTTCGTGTTTTCCCTTTAATAGACCATTCATCGCCATAAATAGATAAACATCTTACTTCTACTACTATGTAATTTTTAATGCTTTAGGAATGCAACAAGAGTTCATTATGGAAGAAATGGTATTTTGTATGACGCTAAATTTTTCATACTAAGTATCAAAGTATCCTACTAGGATTGAAAATCGCTCAGAAGCCGCGAATGCTTTTTCTCCACTGAGGACTTTCTTAATACTTTGTACCTTGTAGTTTAAAGACCGTGCTTTTACAGTACTGGTGTGAACTTTCGTAACTGTATGAACTAACCTACCGGGGACCGCTGGATAAGCTAGCCGACCAAGGAACCCCTTACCTAAATTAGTTAGTATTCTAGCCTACCTAACTACGTAGTAGCTCGCTGCGGTGTGCGGACGCGTATGAACCTTGGAAATTTCATCTTTTGCAAACTTTTTCTCAGAGAATCCAAAATATTTACATGCACAACGTCCCGTCAGATTTTAAGGATTTTATCTCCTATCATCTATAATCCATACATTCTTCTAATGCAGCCTGCCTTGATACAGCGCTTGTCTTGTCTAGAAGTCGTGAAACCCCAGATTCTAGAGCCGCACGCGCTTATAGTCTTGATCTAATAGGTAAGACGAGACGAGACGTTCCGGTATTGAAAGCGCCCATGGGGTTTGGGGATTTCAGGATTTTAACGAGGTTTCCGTTCCGCATTCTTACGCCCACAAGATATGACATAAGATGAACAGGTCTTTGCCTAAATCGAATCTTACCTCATGATTCTATGCATCAACTTCAAAGTTACAGCAACCAGATTTGTCAGAATATGTTATCAATTCAGTTAAACCTAGAGGTTGAAGACTGAATATTGGTATAAGGAATTCTAACTTCTGTTGACATACTCCGTCGGAAGTCGGAGACTTAAACCACGTCAAAAGGAACTAGGTATAAAACAAGACCCCCTCTACGGGTCCTCTACGGGTCACAAGATTGCCCGCCTCTACCATACATCCATTCATGCCTAGGTATCTACCTAAAATTTAGTACCTAAAATTTAGGTACATATTAAGGCATAATCCGATCGAGCATAATAATTTCCTCCAGTGTCCCGACGATTCATTCATCCTTGTGTTCCTGGGGAACATTCTTTATGCTTTATCTATAGATTCGTCCAAGACAAAAGCTAACTGGCTAGCTCAAGCTGTCAATCTAACTGTCTGAGCCGTCAAAGGAGATAAAGCTTGAAAAGTTTGTCAGCTTTTATTGCCAATACCCAGGTGTTGGGGGTTTGATGTTTGAAACTATCAGCCCAACCAATTTTCTACTATACTACCTACTACCTACAGCACTTATTATTGTTTTTACGAGACTCGCAGATTTTAACCAAGACATAATCTGCATAAACAAATCAAATCTCGGTTGAAATACTTATCAAAATAAACCAGATTTTTATCAAATCGTCAAAGTCGTCAACAATGCCATATATACCAGAATTTATTACTCGTTACTTTGCGAAGGATGAACGTAAGTACCTTTATCCCATCATGTCCCTTACCCCTTATAGCTTATAGTGTTTCTAACCTAACCGCGGCAGCAAAACCACCTCCAATCAGCACTGAAACCGCTGTACTATTACTTGTAAGTCCTCAATCTTCCAGGGCTATCTGCAGTTAAACGCCTCTCCACTATAAGTGTAAGAGACTTGCAGCTGCAGAAAAGAAAAATAACCTTGATTTCGGAAAAATTACTGACAAGTAAATAGATAATTTACACGCTCATCTATGTGGTACCTTTCTACCTTTCACCTACAACTCGACCTTCAAGTACCCTATCGCGGGATGCTCCGACTGTCATCCGCGCGCGTGTAGCGTCTGTCTCACTGACATGTATTGCTTGCTCTGCTATTACCCTTGTGATCTTAACGTCGCAAGGCCAGGCTACCTTCACCGAGGCCTTACATGCACTTGGCTACTGGCCAGTCGGCCTAGTGGAAACAGGAAAATGTCTTTTACTCACCGCTGTCCTCTTCGCCGGGCCATTGTATGAGTATTTTGTGGTCGATGAAGAATGGAGAGAATGGTTGGCCTTGAGACCCTTGTTTGCCTTGAAAGAGTGGACAACATGGCGTAATATCGTAGCAGTAAGTTTTCCCATTCGTCTTCATTCACCCTAAGCGGCTCATTCGGAAACGTTGAAACATTTCAATACCCGATTCCCCTGTTACCATGATGAGAAACATTGGTCCGTGTTTCTGAGCAGACTCAAGACCTGTCGGATGAGGATAGATACAATAGCACTTTGTGCATCTCTGATTATCATTTCCCCTTACTCGTTTTCAAGCCACAAGTCGCAAGATAATTCCGAGTAGACGCTTACAATAAACAGGGACCTTTTACGGAAGAGGTGCTATTTCGGTCAGCTTCGGTGCCGCTTATGGTTGCGGCGCGAACACCAATGACCACTACTATTTTCTTGTCGCCGCTTGTTTTTGGGCTTGCGCATTTACACCATTTCTATGAGTTCCGCATATCGCACCCACATATACGTGTATCTTTCGCTGTCATGCGTTCTGCTATGCAGCTAACTTACACAACACTCTTCGGCGCTTATACTACCTTCTTATTCCTCCGCTCTGGTAGTGTATTGGCCGTTTTTATCGTACATGCCTTTTGCAATTGCTTAGGGCTACCACGATTTTGGGGTCGTGTCTACCCTCCTGTCATGATAGATGATAAAGGAGAGATGGTTCGTCCTTCTATTATGTGGACTGTGACTTACTACGTGCTATTGTTCGCTGGTGCGATCGGATGGTACAGGAGTTTATTCCTATTGACTGAGAGCTCAAATGCTTTAGTAAGTATGACGATATGATAATGAAAATCACGAGTTATTGCTTTATGATGATATGGGAATTTGTATGTATTTTACAGGAAAAATTGAAGATATTCCATGATTTGACGAGAAATAATCGCGTGGTTTTATTTAATGTCGTGAGGCTCATTTTACATAATGCACCATCTATCTATCAAATAACATCCATTTTGGCCATTGTAAATATCAACCTGTATCCTACATGCCACATAACCAAATCCTACAACGTAAACATTGACCACTCGTACTCGGGACTTGGTGATTTCCCTATTCATCTCGCTTTTCCCAGCGAGTACGTAGATGGAGGGTGATTTCCTAGCATAAAATGCTAGTCCTGTTTATTTGGTAAGAGAATAGTTGCGCTCGTGATCGATTTTCTTAGCAGGGCGATTCTCTTTACTCTTCCATCTTGACCATCCCCTTTCCCCGGCCTTAGTAATTGGGCCGGTATCATTAGGTTATTAAATGTGAGCTTACGAGCTCGGATAGATCTATTAGCATGACCACATCATTTTAACATCTGTAACTTAAGCAATTCGTTCTCAAGTCGGTAAATCAAGCGCCATCCCCGGCAAACTCCCAGGCATGCTAAACTCTCCTGTCCCGGAACTTCCACGATCGTTTCTACTCCTAACTCTCCTATACCTGAGATTATCCGGTAAGGGACTAGTATCGCGTCTCTGTCCCGCTGCTGCTTCCGCTTGTAATTCTCTTCGAACTTCTTCTCTTGAAACTTCCCGGCCCTTGCCTTTTCCTAGACTACTACTATTCGACGGGGCTGACGGTATACTCGTGGAAATAGGCGATAAGCCATCCGGTAGGGGTATCTCATCCGTCACACTTCCACTACTTCCACCTCTTGTATTCCGTTTCCTCGGCCAAAAACTCGGCAGAGCAATCTCCTGAAACCTAGGCTCGACAGCGCGCTCGTCAAACCAACGATGTAATCGTGCTTCCACAAGTTGCGCTATCTTCGGTACGTCCTGTAATCGCGATCTACTACCAACTAAACTTCTCACCGAGAAATCGAGTCGGTAATCGTCGAGGAATCCGAAAGTCATAGACGCCGGGGTGTGTGTAGATGGGTTCGAAGGTATGAAAGACACGCTGAGCGTGCCACTGAAGCGTACCACGCTGACAGCTAACGCGACGGGAAGAACAGCAGTTAGGCGACGCGGGTAGTTAAGTTGGATCTTAGTTTCGAGCGCAAGCGTAATCATATCGCTTAGATCAACATCCATACGAGCCTGCAACCTCGAACCCTCGCGTTTCGCTCGCAGGCCATTCGCATCGAAACGTTTCTCTCCGCTTCCACTACTTCCGCCATTTAAACTCAGACCGTCCTCGTCTACAGGTATTATGCGACAATTGCTGAAAATAGGAAAGTCTTCGCCGAGGGTTAATTCGGTGACTTTAATCTCGTCGAGAAAGTCGGGCCGGGAATCGCCGTTTAGGGCTTTGGTAAGGGAGGTTAGGATCGCGTCGTCTTGTTGTGCGTCGCTGCGGAATTGGGCGATGGTTTGCGCGATCAGCACGTTGAACCAGTCGAGGGATTCGGGTTGGTGGCTGTCGACGTTGTAGTATGTTTTGTTTAGGATAGAACCTATGGTAAGGGTCGGAGGACTTCGTAATATGCTCGACTTTTTCTTATTTAACGATGGCTGTTGTGATGGTCTTGTCGCGTTCGGTGTCGCGGATCGTAGGGTAAGAAGGGATTGTCTGTGTGCGAGAGTGCGGGATCGACGTTCGGCTGCTCGGAGAGAGGCTGTTACTTCGGGAGAGGGGGCATCGCCGAATATGAAGAATTTTATAAATGCGGCTATGAGAAGTACTACGGATATCTGACCGACAATGAGTCCTTGAGTGAACGACAATCTGTTTTTGAGTAGCCCTGTTAGTGAATTCTAGAATAGCTATGAGACGAGGGATTTGGAGTGTTGTCCTACGTCGGTTCAGGCTTCATCGGACACATCTCCGTAGCCATTTTGTTGGCAGTGTCCGATGCCAAGTTTTGAAGGTGAGTTTATGTAGTCATTGGGAAGAATAAATCAAAAAGAATTCGGAGATTTAAGAAGGATGGGAGCTTGTAACTTGACTTGACTTTTAACTTTCTAATGCTCAATTCGAAGCTGTACGGGTTAGGCCAGACCAAATTCTTTATCTTATCGGAGCGAGTAGCGGATACCTCTAGCTACACTGTATTAACCAATGAATATAAGTATCTTATACCGCAACGTCATTTAGCATCGGGACCCCTGCTTCGGTGACGATCCATCCATGTCCTGTCGCAGCTTAAGCTTAAACCTTCAGCATCTCATTTCAACCGTCAACAACTTATTTCGACGATAACGTGAAACCAACATTACAACATTATTGTACTGGAAAAGCAAGAGACCCGAGCCCAGATTCATGTGGAATTAAAAGCACCATAAGTTCGGATACATCATCTCGTTGCGCCAATCAAGATGGACGTCGTACAAGCCGTCTCCGGCTACATCTCTAAGATGGTCTCAGCCGGAGACAGCGCAACAGGAGGTCCTTCAGCAAAGATGAAGATACTCCTATTAGATAAAGATACAGTACCTATAGTATCTACTGCCATTACGCAATCTTCCTTACTCAGTCATGAGATCTATCTCACAGATCGATTGGATAATCAGAATCGAGAGAAGATGCGCCATCTCCGATGTTTGTGTTTTGTCCGACCATCACCAGATTCTATTCAATTTCTCATCGATGAGTTACGGGATCCAAAATACGGCGAATACTATCTTTATTTCAGCAATGTTGTGAAGAAATCATCATTAGAAAGGCTGGCTGAAGCGGATGACCATGAAGTCGTCAAGCAAGTTCAGGAACACTTCGCAGATTACATCATCATCAATCCTGATCTATTCTCTCTCAATCTTACTTTACCACAGCAGAGGATATGGAGTGGTAACCCAGATTTATGGAATCCGGACTCATTACAACGGACCACCGATGGATTGATGGCTGTCTTATTATCTCTCAAAAAGAAGCCGCTAATCCGGTACGAGAAAAACAGCTTACTGGCGAAGAAGCTAGCTAGTGAAGTGCGGTATCATATCACTCAAGAAGAGCAATTATTCGATTTCAGAAAGGTCGATACACCTCCCATACTCCTCATCTTGGACCGAAGAGAAGATCCTGCTACACCGCTACTCAACCAATGGACATATCAAGCTATGGTACATCAATTACTAGGAATTCACAACGGGAGAGTGAATCTAGATGACATCCCCGATATTCGACCTGAACTAAAGGAGATTGTTTTGTCGCAAGATCAGGACCCATTCTTTAAGAAGAATATGTATCTGAATTTTGGCGACTTAGGTGGAAATATCAAGGATTACGTAGAACAATATCAATCCAAGACCAAAAATAACGCCAATATCGAATCGATAACCGATATGAAGCGATTCATCGAGGAATATCCAGAATTCAGGAAGCTTTCCGGAAATGTCAGCAAACATGTCACATTGGTTTCGGAACTCAGCCGGAGAGTGGCCGCGGAGAATTTATTAGAAGTCAGTGAAGTCGAGCAGAGTTTGGCCTGTAATGACAACCATGCTACGGATCTAAGAGTAAGCCGTTAATTTATTCTGAAATCTTTGATTGATATGCTAATATGATACAGAATGTGCAAAGATTGATACAGTCTCCTTCAGTTACCCCTGACAATAAGGTCGGGCTGGTGGCGCTATATGCTCTCCGATATGAGAAACACCCTTCGAATTCACTAGCCATGCTGGTAGACCTATTATCCGCTGCCGGTGGTGTACCCGCACGGCAAGCAGATTTAGTAGCCAAACTCCTCATCTACCATCACTCCCTGCAGCAATCTCAAGCAGCCGGTGGTATCGCGGATATTTTCGAATCTGGAGGAATATTCTCAGGAGCACGTGCCATAAAGGGGCTTAAGGGTGTAGAAAATGTGTATACACAGCACTCTCCACACCTCGAAACGACACTACAGAACCTTATCAAAGGCAGACTACGAGAGCAGCAATACCCATTCACCGAAGGTGGCTCTGGTGGCTCTAACACGACGCGTGATAAACCTCAAGATATTATTGTGTTCGTGATAGGTGGCGCAACTTACGAGGAAGCTAAGACAGTAGCTGGTATCAATGCGTCATCCCCTGGTATTCGCGTCGTGTTGGGCGGTACAAGCATACATAACGCGGCTACTTTCCTAGAAGAAATTGATGACGCGGTTTCTACATGGCCGGAACCACCTCCAACTACAACAGCTGGAAGGTTGAGAAAGGAGATTGGGAGACGGTAGAGTTGGGCTATGATGTATGTGTTGGCCAAGTATCTAATAAACTTCGAATTTATTGAAGGATATCAACTATTATATGATGAATAAGATTCGGGCGACCCCAAAACACACCCACGATATTTATTGCGACTAAGTTTCGACTACTTTATATCGCCCAGTCAATGACTTGTCAAACTAACGATTTGGCCACGAAGGAACCAGTCGTCCTTTGAGTTTACGATGAGGCTGAACCTTATTTATATTTAGGTCGGAAGTATTGTCTTTTACCTTCAGTAATGAAACCATATTGATATCGCGGTCAGGCACGGTTCCATCGTGGTATAAACCTTTTCTCGCATCTACTCTCTAGTGGGCATATATAAGGCACGACAGCCCTTCCCCTCGTCCCCCTTCTCTACCCCTTGAAAATCATTCTCATCAGAAAAATCACTAGTCTTAAGACCGACACTTTCAGTCTCGTATCTGGTCTCATAGTCGACATATATACATTTTTCACCATATTCTTTATTCTTTCCCCTTATCCACCGCAAACATGAAGCTCGTCGAGCAAGCTTACAATTTGATTACTGCCACCAAGACAAAATGGGCACGGGCTCGAAAGAAGCAACCCTCAAACTGCCCTCTACTCAACAATCTGCCTCCCGAAATAATCAAGTGTATATCAGATGAGCTCTCTCCAGCTAGTCGTCTCGTCTTCTCTCAAACTTGCCGAGCGCTATACGCCATCCTAAACGGATATAGGGGCTCTGCTCATTTTGTTCGTGCGCAGTATCTAGAGTATCTCTCTCTCGTCGCCCGTGACATCCCAGAGAAATGGGTGTGTGAGATATGCACGAAACTCCATCCAATGTTGCAGGGTGATACTCCGGCTGGCCCATACGTCGTCTACTGTCCTTTCAAGTTACGCATGAGACTACCGATACTCGGATGGGGCTTTCAGCCTCACTTCCGTATCCTCGAACCGTACCATCGACATGTGCAGCTTGCGCTCAAATGCACTCGCCTGCAGCCAACTGTGTACAAGACGTACCTAAGAAAAATGTTGGCGCCATATCATAATCCTTGTCTTCAAACCCACATTTCCCCCGTGGGGCAACCAAATAGGATCCAGGCTCAGTACTCGGCTTTCCCTCGAATCGTCGAAAATTCAAACGGCGAACTTAGGTATTTAATCCTCTCGATCTGGCGTTACCATGGCGTCAATTTATGTCATAAGGATGTGGGGAACTTAGAGATTTGTCCACATATGAAGTTCTCTTCCAACCGCCAGCATAACTTTCTTTGCCCCAACGGATTTTTAGGCAGGATTCTCGCTGAAGGTTTCGGATTGCCGTCGGGTACCATGAGTTCGACTGCGACCTACGCCTGCCCCAGGTGTTCGACAGAGATCATGGTAGCTAAGCATCAGGAATATGTCGACGTATGCGTATGGAAGGATCTCGGCGCCGAATCATCGCCCTTGGACATTAGGTGGCTTATTCATACCCGAAATTTACCTTCTCTGTGTAGTAGGTCTGGCATCCAATCTCCGGAGTACTTCGCCAGTCAACGAGCCGGGATTGTTCGAAGTCTGTACCTTACAGGACCTAACTGGCCACCAATCGCGTTACCTAAACCTGGTCCCCCTCATGGAACGGCTGTGTATAGGAATACATCTAGTCGAATTGGTGTCATATTACGTCTTATGAGCTTTGCGATCATTTTGGTTACATGCCAGCGCGAGCAGCAGTTGAGGATGTTTTAGTGAAGGAAATAGGAGAAGCGGATGACTTGGCACCGCCGGCGATGCTGACGGTTGCATATTATCGCTGTGGGTTTGGGGGTGGAAGCCGCAGCGTGCAAAGGAGTCGCACCTCGACATTCCATACAGCGAGGAAGGCGAATCATAATCTACAACGCTCGACATCGTCAACATCATTACCATACCCAGATTATTTCTTCGACCGACTTCACGTCTCTCACATACGAGTGTTTGACTCTCGATCGCATGATACACATTTCCACCACACGGTTGCTAGGGTCGGGAACGAGGTGAAATACGGCAAGGAGGCAATTACTTCAATGGGAGGATAGGATGTCGTACTGGTGGTTTCTAGGGATATTTTAATTGTATGAACTTTACGTGGAATGGATGAAAGGCGCTATTGGAGTATTGGCTTTGGATCTGATTCTAGGATATTTTGACTGTGTGGGATTAGCGAAACGCTGAATCTCAAGCAGCAGCGTAATGAGATAGATGAATAGCGTTGGATAATGTGAATACTCATGTTTGACACTAATTTGGACTAATTCTACACATGTGATATCGCGTTAAGTCGCTCAACATCGTCAAGACAACCATTGTGGTCCCACAAAACATCACCGGATGCCCTTCAATCGGCCGTGCTCACCCCGCCCCTCGCTCAGAAGTGCCTCTCAATCCGTGTGTTCGGTGGCCTCGGGTTCTTTACTAAATGCTTCTTTCTCATGGACTTTCGCTAGTAGTTCGCAACATTGGGCCAAGCACATCTCAACCAACCTCCTTACCCTTGAATTTGAGGTATGCTTGATGTAGAAAACGTTTCGTTTGGCGCATAACTTTGCGATACCACACCGAAACACACTAAGTGGAGCAAGTTCCGGGTAGGGCTGGCGCGACGACGGGAACTACTGCACAACTCAAAATTAACATTTGTCCCGCTAATTGAACATGTAAAGAATATCAATGCTGGTTAATTGAATCGGATGCGGCGCGGATTGATGCTTACGTCTTAGGTCTTACTGTTGATCAACTCCTTAACCTCGGTTTCATTATTACTAATTTGTAATCATGGATGTCCAGCTAGAAAAGTCAGGAAACGGGAAAGAAAGGGAAATAACTCAACACATTTCATGATGGCAGGTAGCAGCAAGAGATCACGATTATCCGAGTCGGCGTACGCCTCACCCTACTCACATGTCGGTGCTCCGAGCCCTCATCCTAACACCGATCCTTACGCGCCACTTCGCAGTCAAGCGCTCGCGACTCTCGAAGCTATGGGTTACGACCCTGCGACTATGGTCGAACGAGGTGTCGTCTGGGCTGAAGACCAAGATCCGTTTGGCCATATGATGCATTCGCAGTATACGCATTTTTTCGGAACCTGCATCCATCGTGTAATGGAGAGTTACGATGAGTGGCTCAGCGAGGAAGAATACGACGATATGATTAACGCGAGAAACGTTGTTCCCGTTCTTCGGAGATATACCATGGATATCCGAAGACAAGTCAAGTATCCCGACTCGGTCCGTGCTTTTCCCAACCACCGGAAATCTGTAGTGGCGTTTTGTATTTACTAATCTAGAAATAGCTTATCGCGGCGTATCGTCAGGAATTAATAGAACCAACGCGGAATAGTGGTACGACTTCGCTGTTTTCTCTAAAGCAGCAAGCCATTGTGGCGGAAACCAAAGGTTCGGGGACTTATATGGATGTAAAAACTGCTCGCCCGGTTGATATTCGCACTCTTGGTGGTGGATGGTTAGCTGTGTACGAAGGATTAGCTAAGAAGTCCGAACGCGCGAATGCTCTGAAAGAGAAGTGGGATAGTGAGCATCCCAAGTCTAGGATTTAAGTGTCTACCTGCATTTTGGGGGCATCATCGCCGTCATATGTTTCAGCCACTCCCTCACATGGGGGTCTTCACTGGGTATTAATATGCCACGGCGTAGTCTAATCGAATTAGATGAAAGGATTGACGCCACTGCGGGTAGCATCGGATCTTTTGTTTCGATCAATTGCTTTTTTCTAATGCTACGAGTCGATCAAGTTAGCTAAGATGAATAGGAAATACCGAGTCGCATTATGAGGCCGTGGAGATGCCCAGAATGGATGGAATACAATGTTTGAATAAATTTTCCATGGTGACAAACTGTTGATTCTTCATGTATGCTACTAAATAAGCTACAAACAGATCGATTTGACCTAACTACCTAATTAACTCCTAAATTAATCCTCATGGCATTTAATGCCTTTGCCCAAGCCAGAAAAATACTCAAGCGCGTAAGGGGGAATAATTAATAAGGAAAGTCTGAGTATTTTATTCCACCTCGATGTAAATGATCAAATTCTCCCGTTAATATGTCCCATAATTATCAAGCAATTGTGTTGAATACACCACCTCCATGTTCTGCCCCTAATAACGTGCATGAACCCGACCAGTGCTTCTAAAAATATTTTTCATCTTGAAATATCGGTTTTTTATCTCCGAACGCCTCCCATTCCGGCCCTGTGCCGATTTTAACTCTCCTAGTGGGCTCGTGTTCTGGCATATAGATCTGAGGTACTTTAATGTCGTTTGCGATGTTGCTTCCACTTTCCAAGCTGTACGGATTGATACGCGATACAACGGGTCCAAGAAGTGCTGCCATGGCAAAGTGAGAGTCATTGTGAGCTGGTACTCGTCGCCAGTACAATATAGCAATACAGGCTAGGGCCAAGAGAGCTTGAACACCAGGTATTATCGCAAGAACGAGGATGCTGTAAGACCACTTCACGTCTAATTGTTGCGCCACACCAGGGACGACTATATTGGTGAAGTTGGAAGTAAGACCGTAATCTTCTATGGACTCGATCGCAGCAGCCGTGAAGTGCGCGACGTACCAGTTGGCCATACTCTCGGGGCTTAGGGTTGATAATGGGGCCCAGTATGACCCATTATCAAAGCTTGAGGCTTGAAAACGACCGAGAGTAGATTGTGCGTCGAGGGAACTATTGACCTCGATGTCTCCCCAGCCAATAGCACCAGCTAGAATCTGAGCTTGGGTATCAGGCATGGAGAAATCCCCATCTGTGATCCAGTCATCAGTAATCCAATCATACATCCAGCCCACAGTACTATTGCACGTGAACACAGTCGGAACCTCATTCAGAGAGAGTATAACATGGACTTGTGTACACCGTGTGCCGCAGGAAAGCGAGGTGTCTGAGATGTATGTTGCATATTTGAGGGGATTTTGGGGTATGGTAAAGTCTTGCGTTCCGTTATATCCGTCGAAGCTAATGGTAGTAGTATCTGACGAGTTGTTGATCTCGACGTTGCCCATAACGTCACACTCAGCATAATTATTGACACCTCGTCCAATGGCGTTCCATTGTGTTAAACTATTCGCTGCCCAATCTGGGTAGTTCGAGATCCCGCTTATGTAACTAGAGTTCTCGCTATTGAACGTCGAAGAGTGGTAGGATAAACCGTCAACCTCGTCAAGAAAATAGACAGCGGAGTTAATAGCACCGAGACCGTAAGCAAAGGCGGTAGAACGCTGTAGGGATAAAGTGTCCCCTGATAGTGATCCGATAAGCGTATCACGGTCAATCGTGAAGGAGAAGGACTCGATTTGCGTAAAACTGGCTGAGAATCCGTTCCCGACCGGCTCTGGGAAGTCGTGCTTGTCTGGTGAAAGCGAAATCACCGAGTAAGTAAGGCCAACGAGCGCTGTACCGACCTGGGCTGCGAGAGTAATGAAAATCCAGAAGAGACAGAATAGTCGCAACCACCAGACCACACCACTACGTCGGAAGAGTAATTTGATCGCGTTAAATTTTGAGCTATCAAGAGCGAGGGTGAGCTCAAAGACAGCAGGGTGGAAAGGTCTGGCAGCCAACATTGCCCATTTCAATACACTTGCGAGCTCGTTCAGGCTGGCGTCGATATTCAACGATAAACAAATAGTAAGTCCTGATGTCAAGGCGTTGTAAATATGCGCGGTGTCGTCGTCTAGATATGGCTTCTGATCATACTGCTTCAAGACAACAATGAAGGCAGCACAAATCACCGAAGTAAGAACCCATCGTCCAAGGAATTTTTGAAAGAGTTCGATGATTTGATGTTTGTTACTGAAGTATGTGTATCTTGGTTTCTGGTCCTCAGGGTTTTCTCTGGCTAGGATGGGTTCCTCCTTGGACTGAAGTCCTTCTTTGACGCTGGTTTGGCTCATGGTGATCTGTATGCCCGATAGGACAAGCTCCACACAAGTGCGCGCGCGTATAAGGTATGTTATGGGGTAAAACGAGGGAATCTTGGTTGAGTTGAAGATTATACCCTCTTGGGGGCCACCCAAGACCTTCCTTATATGCCATGATCAAATGCGGCTCTTATTTCTGCCTGCTACTTTAGAAGGTACTTAGTTACCTGTAAGTCGGCAGAAAGGGAACAATAGGACAGCAAAGTGCAGAAATTCAGCTTAACTCAGCTGGCCTATAGGTGGTTTTCTTAATAAATTTGTGACTGTTGATTGGTTTAGGCCCCTGGTTCCCCACTCAATAAAAAGGCATATCCTGACTATTTCTGGAAAGCTGAACTAGTGACGTGTAAGCGAATTAACCACCATCTTTTTGCGGCTGGTTGGAGGTTGGAGGTGTTTATCGCGTTCGACAGAGACCCTTGTAGGTCAGGCAGGTATCCGTAAATGCACTTTTCGATACTACCACACTTAAGTGAGCAACTATACCTGCCCACCTAAGTATTTAGTGGTTATCAAAGCGTCCCAGAAGGCGTGACTAGCGAATCTATAAGTAAAATTGCCCAAAGTAGAGCCCGATCATTCAATGAAATTTATTTGGGGGCCAAATGAGCAATGTCGGGTACCCACATCCTAGTTCTGATGACGAAAATCGCCGACCTTCGGAAAATGAAGGGTTCGTGGCGGTGATAGGAGGTAAAGCAAAAGAACAAAAAAGACCAAAAGAATCAGATATGAAAGGGAAAGGTTTGATGGAAGTCCGTTGATAGAGTGTTACACAGCATTTGTAAGCCCTTCCCCCTTTTTGACTCCAACCAATAAGATTTAAGGATTTATTACCACACCTTTCCCACGGGTTACGCGGGGGTACTTAAAATAGAGAACTTTAAATATTAATAAGCCAGGCTGCGGTCGGTGTGATGACTTAGAAGGATTTAACTCATGACTCCGTCTCGATGCCTACGGAAAGAATGCAACCATGAAAAAAATGTAGAAAATCCAAAAAAAAAATAAAAATAAAAATTAATAACGTACAACATCGGGGATTCGCTGGTCGTCACCGACCCAACTACTGGCCCGACAGTACCCGGCTTATCGATGGGAGAGCAGACGGGATCCCGAGTTTTCCAGGTCTTATGGTCGTACGTGATAGGTTAAAATGTTAGGAAGACTTATATGTCGTGAATCTTGATGGCGCGGGAAGAAAAAAGTGTGGAGGAACAAGAGGGGGCGGGGCAGTTAACACTGCCTTAAACTCCTTGAACTACCGATAAGGCGCTTCTGTTACACGATCGGAAGAGGAGTAAAAGCATCGGATATCGTACTGATTTGTCTTATGTATATCGGGGAATTTTGTATGTGCAACAGCGTTATTTATACATTTCAATGTTTTAGCCCCAGACGCCTTTACCATGCATCATGTCTCGTATCATATAAGCCACAGCCACGCCATCACATTTTCCAAACAACCCTAGGACTTCCGCCTTTTATGTCATTCCATCCATTGCCAAATGAAGGAAGTAAATTTACAGCTCCCTGGTTCGTGCTTCGGCATCTAATGTGTCAACCTCACTCCCCAACGGTGCCATGTCCCTATCGAATATTCTTCTTTCGTTTCCCTCGAGTCCCTTTAACATCGCAGCTCGTTCTTCTTGTCTATTCGTCCGTTGTACGAAGGTCAATAACCTAACACACCCCGCAGGCGTTATCCCCTCGATTCGCCTAGCTTGACCTATACTCTCGGGTCGGGCCGCTGTTAGGGCTGCTTTCTCATGTATGCTGAGTCCGAATACCGTGTTATAATCTAGATCCACAGGCAATTTCATGCTCTCATCCTTCAAGAATGCCTCACGCTCTGCTGCTTGTATCTTGACGTATGGTGCGTACCGAGCCTCGATCTCGACACGAGTCCGGATACGCGAGGTATGTTCCGCTACCGTCGGTACGAATCCGCGGAAATCATTTACGGAGACATTAGGAAGTCGCATTATGTCCAGCGCGCTACGGTGCCTTCCATCTGTCCTATTCGCGAAACCGGCTGCGTTCCACGCCTGTGGGCTGAGCTTATACGTGCCGAGAGCTTTCAACATGTCGTCTATCCTAGCTTTTTCATCGGTGTGTGCTCTCCATCGGGCATCAGATACGACACCCCATTCCCGTCCCTTTGCCGTGAGTCGTAGATCGGCGTTATCGGCGCGTGTGCTCATGCGGTATTCACTTCGGCTTGTAAACATTCGGTATGGTTCTGAGACACCCTTGGTAATGAGATCGTCGATCATAATACCGATATACCCGTCTGCGCGTGTAATTGAGGCTGGTTCAAGACCTTGTGACATGCGCCCTGCGTTGATACCAGCAATGATACCTTGGCCCGCTGCCTCTTCATAACCTGTAGTACCATTGATCTGGCCCGCAAGGAAAAGCCCTGATATAGCCTTTGTCTCGAGAGTGGACCGGAGACCACGGGGATCAACATAGTCATATTCAACCCCGTAACCAGCTTGTGTCATTTGCACGTTTTCAAGGCCACGGATAGTGCGTAGAAGCTGTTCTTGAGCTTCGGCGGGAATTGTCATTGATAAGCCATTCGGATAGATAGTATCGTTATTGAAACCTTCGGGCTCTAACCAGACAATATGCTTCTCCTTGTGACCGAATTTGATGATTTTAGATTCTAAAGAGGGACAATATCGTGGGCCCCTCACTGTTTCGCGGATATGTACCGTCTTGTCCAAGTTTGCTCTTGCTATATCGTGGGATTTATCGTTCGTATATGTAGCCCAGCATAATAGTTGATCTTGGACGGATACCCTATCATTTAAGTAACTAAATGGATCTGGGGGATCGTCTCCGGGTTGTTCCTCTAATATGTCGAAATTGATGCTTCCTCGGTGTAATCGAGGAGGTGTACCTGTCTTTAACCTGCCGAGCTTGAAACCTGCATCCTTTAGAGATTTGCTAAGACCAAACGACGCTTTCTCGCCCATCCGCCCTGCCGGATAGACGTCCAATCCAATATGTATTTCGCCGCTCAAAAAAGTTCCGGTCGTGATAATAACTGCGCCAGCGGGTAATATCTCGCCAGATTCGAGGCGCACACCAGTGATCTCCTTTTTAATTACACCACTAGCTAGGTCGGCATCTTCTCCTAGAACGATATCCGACACACTATCCGTTATAATAGACAAGTTTGGGTATGTTTGAAGTTCCTCGCGCATATGTTTCTTATAGAGGGCTCGATCGATTTGGGCGCGGGGTCCCCAGACGGCTGGGCCTTTCTTTCGATTCAAAACTTTGAATTGGACTCCGGACTTATCGATTATACGTCCAGCGACACCATCCAATGCATCGATTTCGCGAATTATCGTTCCTTTTCCGATTCCGCCGAAACTCGGATTACACGAGCAAACGCCGAGGTTGTCGAGTTTGGGAGTGACTAGGGCAGTTCGCGCTCCGGATCGTGCGGCGGCTGCGCATGCTTCTGCACCGGCATGGCCACCTCCAATTACAATAACGTCAAATGGCCTATTGCATCACGATTAGCTAGGTCTAATAACGCGCTCGAAAATTAATTTCGTACTAACCTCGCATCTTGAGCAACGGTGGCAAAATTGCTCCGATGAAGACATGACGAAGCAAGAGGCCATCGCCGGGCCACACTAATCGGCCGACTTAATCCCCTTGGTCTCCAAGCTTTCCTCATTCCTGTAGTGTTGTGATATGATGAGAGACGTTGAAAGAATTAAATTTGAGTCTCGTGGCGTTGCCGCTTCGAATTCAAAAATTCTCGATAAGAAAGGCGATAAGAGATTAAGTTTAAATGGGCAAGCGGTGTAAGTAGCCTAGCCCAATACAGTAAGCGGCTACCATTCTGCCGGGTAAACTATCTTCATCCTCATTGGCGCTATAACTTTTTAGCTTCATTCTGAAATGTGTCGCGTGTTACTCCTATTTTGTTAGTTTTCAACCCTGTGCTGTCATCCGAAACTCATGACCTAGCGAAATATTTGGATAGTCTGATTGGCTCGTGTGCAGTTTCTACGGTTTGGCGATTTCTTTTTATTAGTAAAAAGGATATTGTCCTATTAGGAAGAGCCGCTAGTGTAGCCAATGCTAAAGCCATTCATTCATTTCGGGAACTATTCAATGCTAATTAGACCACCAATCAGACAAGGCCATAGCTATTGACCACATCCGGTATGTCATCGAAGGGCGACTATCGCATGCAATTAGGACGTAAGCAATAGAGTTCGCACGAGAAGTAAGCGAGGGTGCGAAAAGCATGGTATGAAAAGTCAATAATCAACAGTAAGGTATTCGGAGTTTCGTATGCTATGCCACACATGTATTAATCGTCTATGCTGAATGAAGAACACATTTGTCATGTAGTTTTCCCAACCAACATGTATTATACACGGCTAGTACCAAAGAGCCCAGCGCAAATGGATTATCTCTTCCTAGTACTACATGGGTCTCGAAGTTTTCAATGATCGAAGCGCCATTTGGATGGATTGCGATGATATCTCATAGAGGATACTATTTAGGCTTGTCTTTGTTTTCGGACAATATCCTGACTGCATCTTTGCTGAAGACGTAGCTTAGACCGCTCCAAGCAGTTGTGGTAGCAACTAAATACCTGTCTTGATGTCAGGAGCCGTATAAATGACCAAAGAAAAGAGAATAGACTCACTGGAATGTCGACATAGCTAAACCAACATCCGCAGTTACCACAGGCGTGACCATGGTCGCCCCCATAAGACCTAATTGCAAGAATGTATTATACTTGCTAATAGTTGTAGGCCGCACCTCCGCCGATGGTAAAGAGAAATCCCAGTATCGTGCGAAGGTCTTAGGTGGTGGTAGAGAGATCCATCGGTAGTATATGGCGGCAATACCTAGGCCGACATCACGCCCAAGGATTATAGCAGCTAGCCACACTTATAAGATGTATGTTAGCAGGAAAATCTACGCCAATGAGGATAATAGTAGATGGAAAGAGACTGCCCGCGACAAGGCAATATGATATCAATCACATCACGTTCCATCCCAGTTGTCATGGCTATACAGTAACTTACCAGGCAAAGCCCCTTTCACAGCCAAACACACCGTCAACACCGTCATGAGCGTCTTATCCGCCATAGGATCAACTACACTTCCTACTACGGTCTGTAGTTTCCAGCGGCGCGCAATCCAACCATCGAGTAAGTCCGAGGCACCCGCATACGCGAACAAGCCCAGCGCCCAGCCGTGCGCATCATGCAAGATCGCATACCCAATGAAGGGCGCAGCTACCAACCTCGAAAAGGTGAGTAGGTTTGGCACCGTATAGATGTTTTCATGCGGCGTTAGCGATGTGAGAGATGCCGGTAACACCTTTGGTATCACTTTGCGGATGCCTTTGAGAGGAGTATTCGCGGCTGGTAGTGATGATGACGACGATGCGGCTTGAGGGGCTCTACGATGAGGGTTAGCTGATACGCGCTAGGATCAGAACGCTTAGCACTTGTAATGAAGCCTAGCCTCCTCGTATTTGGTGAGCGACCGTTACGGACGTAAGCTATTGAGCTCAAGGCTCGATCGAGACGGGGTGGGATGGCATGGAGAGGACAACGTACTGATCCTTACTCTTACTCCTACTGTCCTCTTTCAAGGGCCTCGTAGTCTGCGAGAGACATCTCCTAGACCAAAACCCCGGCCATATCGTAATTGCCGAGTCATCCAACTTGGACCGCAAGTCCGTTCGCCTTCTTACACGATCCCCAGGCCAATACCTAACCGCACTTAAAGCCCCATTTCCTTTTTCTGATGATGTGGCACTCAAAAAATGCATAGACCTTGCCACCAACAAACCCGACCTCGCCGATGATATTCCAAATTCGATACCTACTAAATTCGCCCTCGGACTTAAACTCGGACAAGTGCGGGAGGCCAGAGCGCCACCACCGCATAATGCCCGTGAACTCATATCGAGCGTATCATATTACGTATGAGTCGATCGTAAATGAACAGTTCCTTCGATTTTCAAAGATAGAAGTCTGATGGCAAAAGAAATAGATCAAGCTGGCTGTTCAAGATCGCACCATCGAAATTATTAGTTAGGATCAAGAGTGAATGAAATTAGAGGGTATTCACAGTTGGAAAAAGTTCTTTCCAGCACCGTGTTTAATAAGCCTTCGACGTCATTGGTCGGTATTCACCTTCCGAAGTACCGATATGCTTAGTAATAAGCATAAAAAGCAATGCGGCTAGGGAGAACCTCACTTGGTCCAAGCTTCGTCTTAAGCCACCCCCTATTTTTTACATCTTGGTAAGAGTCTAAGATTCTCGTGACGAAGGCATTCACCTCGACTGCGAGTAATCAATAATACATAACTTCTTCACAGAAATCCATAAAATTTACGTTTTTTAAGTGGTATTTATCTAAGGAAATCGACATAAATACATGATGACCTAAGTAGGTATTGACAGCAAGCCATCTTGTGTATTAAACCACGATCAAATTGATCCGAGACAACATATGTACCTAGGTAGGAACCTGGTAACAAGCCCCCCTCCCCCAAATCATGCCAAAAACACTGAATGCGACTTTTCCCTGGATTCTTTCTGTCTCAACACTCAATAGCCATTGTCTTAAGAAAATCGACCTGAAGTTGTCTTGCGGGATGAAACAGTATCGTTTCAAGAGAAAGGAAGAAAGAAATGTAGCGAAAACCGATGTTCCGCCGAGCATAATTGGAAAGCTTCAGATGCCGTACTCGTTAACACGAGTGAGAAGGTTGAGCAGTACCTCCAGTCTGCTTAAGCCGAAATTGGACGAAAATGCCAAAACACCAAGCCCCTGAAAAATCAACAGCTCATCTTATAAACATGGTTATTTAAAACCTGATATACCATAACGCCTTGCTGGGGTTCACGCTTTTCTTCATGAAAATAAAAATAATTACTCGGGCATTGGCAGGTTGTAGGATGGAAGGTCTGATAATGATGGGTTGAAGTCGACTGAGGATTGATGGGTGGATCCGGTATCGAGATGGTGATCAAGCTGGGTATCGAATCCACCGGAGTGTTGTCCGGAATTTCCAGAGTTATATATATCACTCTGCTGGCTTGAACCGCTGTGATCATACGGATCATGATGGTGATTGGAAATCGGCGCCGCAGTGGGAGCTGCCGCAGATGCCGCAGCAGACGATCCAAACATAGCTCCGTTAGAGTACGAAGATTGGTTGGATAAGTCATGACCACCAAGGTTGCCTTCGCCACTGGTGATTAATCGTGACGAAGACATCACAGAGGCATCGAGACTAGGGAGTCCTGAATAGTCGACGCCACTAACTCCATTTGATCCATGCATACTTGAGTGTCGCTGAGTTGATAAATGAGAAGTCGGCCCGACACTAGAGGACGACCGTGGTGTTATGCCATACAACGGCATACTGGTTGGTACCATGCTGCTTGTTGTCATGTTGCTCGAGTCGTAGCTATACGAAGGGGTAGAGACGGGAGTAAAGTTGGTAGGAGGGGGTAATCCCTGGTTCAAGCCGTACGATCCAGTGTATGGTGCGGAAGTCGACCAAGTTGGTTGCGTATAACCCTGAATCGTCGGCATCGACATCGATCGGATACCCGCTCCGTTCATGTTATAAGTTCCATATGGATGACTGTAGTCAATATAACCCTTGAAATGCGGCTCCGTCATCAAGATTTCGTGATCATCAACTGGAGCACGGAAGCTGCCTGATGAGATTAGAGAGGGGCGAGGTACAACCTCACTCAAAGCGGGATCCTGGCCCGGAGTCTTGAGTCGGCTGTTGATGACATCGTCGAGGCTGTAGTAAGAAACCAAATGATGTTGAATCCCCTGATAAGTGACACTAATGGTCTTCTTTACTAGGCCGTCTTGCTTGAACTGATAGGAATCGATAAGGGATCCGACAAGAGCCCGCTCTGCGTCGTTACGACAGTTCGTCGTATTGTCGAAGTTAGTTAGCGGAGCGCTAGTAGAGATCATAGCGCCACTGACGCCGCTGACCGAGTTGGCTCTCGAGTTGTTAGTCGGCTTGGTAATCCCCGTCTCTGGCTTGTTACGTTTCATTGCCCGCTTTTTCTCTCCAGGTTGGAATGGCTTGTCTAATTCTCGGTATAACAGGAAGTTACCCAAGATTCGACTCGGGCTCCAGGGAACACCATCAGTCCAGCGTTTAATTCCGGACGAATGTTCCTCGTAGATGAAGACATTGCCGCTGACAATAAGATTTGATCGTTCCCTATCGTGTGGTCTTCTGGGAACGTGAAAAAGTCGACCGGTAAGGCAAGATTCGAAGAGGATAAGAGCATCCATGGTACTCATGATATAACCTTGGAAGGTCGGAAGGAGGGGGTTTGCCGAAGCAGCACCATCCGTACCGGACATGATACCGTTTGTCGACATGACTGCCGTTGTATTTGGGCGTGCTTGACAATAGAATTCGCTCTAGAATTTGCTCTTGTTAGTTAAAATGTAATGTAAGCTTCAGCTTAATTGATGAAAGGTTTCTTGATGATAGCTAAAGGAAGTATTCGCAGGCTTCACAGGCAAAAGCAAAGTATATCTCCAGATGGACGTCTCAGCACGTGGGTTACTTGAGTTCGCTGCGTGCCTGGGTGTGAAGCAACTGTCTGTTAAAGGAGGAGAAAAGACTGTATTTTGTGTATTGGGAGAGAGTTAAGGTGTAGAAACCAGTGAGTTAAACAATATTGGTGTAAATCGTAAGCTAGAATGGAAGGTGAAATGGGGAAGAGAGTCTCGGGATTGTTCAAACTTACCAGAATATGGGTATTTATGGTTTCAACCCGATGGGCAACAAGCTTTAGCTCGACCAAAGGGTAATGGGATCTTGGGAATGTGGAAGGGAGGGAAGGCTATCTTAAAGATATCTGATTTACTTTTTCCCCGGAAAAGGGAATAAAGTAATTCTTCTCAAGTGTGAGGAAAGAGGAAGAACAGATTGATACAGTAAGCTTAGGATCTTATATATCTTACTCCCGTAGAAATAATCTACGAGAGGAAGAAAAAGAAATGGACAGATGTGCTTGTGCTCAATATAACGGGAAGAAAGCACTGATACGTGGCCGTAGTTGCAGGTGCTGATTATACCCAGACCCAGATGAACCTTGATTTGGCGGGATAAGAGGGTTAGTATTATTAGTTATTAGTGATAATAGATACCTCTGAGAGTAAAGTAGTTTCCCTCTTTTGCTGGGGCACACAGATCTGAGAAAGGCGTATCGGGACTAATGAAGACCGGCTCACGATTGACTTTGTGGCTGCCGTATCATAAGCTATGACTAGCTCTCTACCATCAAAGTAGGTGTGTTTTGATGTGGTGGTCCGAGTACTCCACTGATGCGTTTAGACTTTCATATGTTCGGGGGAATGGGGGACGGACTCCGAATCGGCGTGGTTATGGTATAAATGTTCTTGGTGATCGTTCTCGGGTGATGGCCTTGTTTTCCTGTTGAATGAGTTGGATCCTCGATAGTAAAGAATAGAAAATCAAGAAATTACTTACTTTCATTTGATGGAGTTTCGGTATTTAATTTTGGAATCTCCCAGGCCAAGTAGGCAATTTTTGTCGCCGATTACGACTAAGAACGAAAATAATTATGGACGAAGCGGCGACAAGATCAAGTCGACGTTATAACTTTTCTTTTTGTGAAATTTGTATTATTTTGGTACTAGATTGAGTTGAATAATAGTGATTTAGGGTATAATGAGGATGAAAGGAATTTGAACACATGAATAGCTTGTATGATATATGTCGGCGTCGCGATCTGGTGTCGAAAAGTATGATATACGTCGAAGATGTCCCTAGGCGGGTTTGGGTTGTAATTGATTTTGGAATTCCCTAAAAGAAATCCACGATCGCACCTGTATGGATAACGGGGAAGGTACGGGTGTTTTAAAAGGTGCAGTAGTGATATTTAGCGTAGATACAGAATAGGAAGGGGCATTGTCTCCCGGCGTAGTTTGAGGAAGGAGCGGAGGGTTGGAAAACACTCGGTGATTCCTATATAAATACGGTGAAAAATTAAGAAACAGTAGTTTCAAATTATATCAATGGGTGTAAGAATTGACCACTCTTATGGAATGATCCAGCATCTAGGCAGTGGTATCAAAATAGATGTGGTAGTGAGTGAGGGTGATAATCGCCTGCTCGATGTTGCTCTTGATGTCGATGGTGAGATTGGTAGGTGCATCTTGATTGAGCAAATACATACGTACGTAACTACCAAACTACACTAATTTGGTAAGGTATTCTTGCTAGAGTAGGCACTTCCCTATGTGGGTGAGAGATATTGGGGCATTGCAAATTCGAGGAGGAAGCCGCGTGTGGAGTACGGTAGTCCTTTCCTTACCCCCAGGTACCTACCTGCACAAGATCCCCTAAACGTAGAAGTCTAACCCTGCAATACATGTATACATCCTACCCACATGTACATATGTACACATATAGGATGTATGGGTGCATGTGCTTGTAGCTAAGTACCTATTTCACTTAAGCTATACCACTATTTTGACCGATTACATCACCATTTTACTTCAACAACATTATTACTTTTACAGTTCTCGTGGTAGAACACCTCTTTTTTTCACCATCGAACCCTTTCTCTGAGCTCGAACCCCGTCAGATCTATAACAAAGTGTCTGGATCTATGCATTATAGCGTAGAACTATATAGGCGAAACGAAGAAGTATAGTCTGATCCATAATCAATCGTTGAACTTATGTTAAATTGGCAGGTCGCCTTTTATTACTCGTTCCGTATGGACGAAATGCACCGTCTTGACCCCGTCCGAGTACTACAACCACCTCATTTTCTATTTCGACGAAGCTGATCCTAGCTTAAACTTGTTACTCGAGCTTCTTTCCTTGCTTAGGCAAAGTACGCGAGTGCTCTGTATGGATAGTATACTCAATGTAAACTAGGAGCTAGTTTGGTTTTTTTTTCTTTCCATTTTTGGATCGTTGGTGTCGTGTGGCATACGAGAATTTTCTCGGGACGGCTTTAGAAGATGGCGGGCCGAGAAAGGCGCAGATGAGATGACAGTACCAGGCAAACTAAAAATGAAAGGAGGTGTGATGGTAGGCAAAGTATCTAGGATGGACCAGGATAAGCTATTTCTGAAGATAATCATATGCCTTGATCTGCTGATTTTTATAGGGACATGATCTATCAATATGTCATATTGCGCTTTCTTTTATCGGACCGTCGCTATTAATGTTGATAATGCTGAAACTACGGCAAATATGTTCCTTAAAAACGACCCATTTTCTATCATTCTGTACTGATATCATATCATTCATGCCTATATTCTACTCAATTTGACGTTAGATGTAGTAATACTTGGATGTCTTGGGTGGTAATTACGAGACAAAATTTAGTAGTCTTGCATCGTGAGAAATTCTACAAGAACAAAATTAAGTCTAGATAATGTCAAATTGAGGCCTGAATCATATATGGCCAACCGTGAATATTCGGATAAATCGTCTCCCCTTATCATGTTAGATATCCATGACTTCTGATGTATTATGACGGATATATGATAATGCTTAGATCGGTTCCTGAGGGGACCATGTCTTGATTTCTAATCTCAATTGATTTATAACCAATATGAATTTGGTTTTTTATTTAGACATTGAAAATTGACCAATTGAGATGCGTGATGGCTTCAAACTTTTGAAGTGATCGGGACGTGATTCACGTAGTATGCGGACTGCACCGCATATGGGGGTTCCTATTTTATGATACGCTGTTTTCATAGATCTGGAGAAAATATCCCGTCGATAACTTTCTTAGATAAGTTGAAGATATTTGTCTGGAAGAATACTCTGCGTACTTTTACTGTAAGTGTGGTAATGCCACCTCTTCAGTCGGTAAAAAGAAGTAACGGCGCGGTATAAGTGACGATAGTCCCCTATTATCAGAAGATACACCATACAAGCAATATCTACTCGACTTCTCTCGTTAATTAAGTAGGATGAATATTCTTGTCGTTAAGCCCTATAAATTCTATGAATTCACAAATACAACTACTGATAGATAAGAGCAGGTGGTCATAGCTTGGTCCTTTACTCGCGGCCTCAAATTATGATTGCCTAAAGGCTTTACCGTACGAAAAAGACTTGAACTGATTAGAAATCAGATAGCTCAGCCCTAGGATAGCTGTCCAAGCGTCTCTGATCAGGACTTCCATGTGATTGAAAGTCTAGGTTTCATGTCGCTCCTTAACGCCGAGCATCGAGCCCGAAGATTTCTGACATAAAAATATACTAGTGAAAATCTAGTCCATAAGGAAGAGTTTTATAAGGTTTGTTTACGGCCTTAGCATACCACCCGGGGACTAGCCGCATAAGCTTCTCGCTTCTTTTCTTACCACGTAGCCGTTATCCGTAATGGATCGATCCGCCGTATACGGAGATCGGCGTATTTCCCCCTTTTTTTTTTCGATATGGTGATATCTAGCTAAGGAAACTACGCGCCCACTCGTATTGAGAATTGAGTGAAGAATGTCGCTAAGATGTTCTCTTAGTATTCTAGAGATCTAACTGATCGATAATCCGTACATAATAGCGGCGGGGGAATAGACTAGTCTCTTTCTTGGCCGTGTTAATCAGGCAGTCCTTGCGGAACAATGAGAAACGGAGTAAACCTTATTAGTATGCTGGAATTCTAGAATATTGATGCTCCTTTTCAAAATATGATCCTGGAGCCCTTAGATGGGACCAAACCATATTCATGCTTAAGAGTAAATGGTAAATATTGACGTACAAAAAAGGGGCACGAGATTTTAAGATATGTTGGTAACGATACTAGAGCCTCATATTTATCACTGTAAACCTACCTAGTATTAATGTGCTTAGTGGCCCGTGTCCATGCATCCTAGAGTTATATTAGTGAAATGAAACATGTGAAATCTCGGAGCCTCAGGGGAGCTTAAGGGGCGTACGGACATAATATGAGGTGATTCCCTATCTGTAACTACTGCATTTTTATTATTCGGCTTCGTCTTTAAGAGGTTCAATTCGATATAAGATTTGGATATTCCTTAAATACCTCTTATAAATGCAGGTACAAGGCCGACAAAGTGAAAACTACCTATTTAGCCCTGAACCAACCGAAAGCCCGGTAAGTCGGTTGAAGGTTGAGTATACAATGAAAGGTCTCGTGGGATGTTTCCGCGAAAATTATCTAAAACGGGAATAGATGATCACCAGTTGGACAGCTGAATGAGGAATAGTAGAACGGTGAAGCCTCAGTGGGGTGCACGGAAGAATGTCCGGACTAGTAGATTGACCAGACCGACCTGGGCACATGCTAGGACCCCGATGGCTGCTGTGAACCTTAAACAGCTACATCAAAACATGGAAATACCTTGCTCAAGCTTTTGTCGTTCATGTGAAAAATGATCAAGACTTGTTCTATGAAGATCAGCGATCTGATAAGTACTCAAGATCCAAGCGAATATTCAAGGGGAAGAAGCTGATGAATTGCTCCGGGCATCCATAATTTGGGAGTGAGCACCTATTTGTTTCGTATCTGCCTGTTCTTCCTAACATCTGTCCAAGTAGAAAAGAATATGCATTTTTGTTACTCAACCTGAAGAGGGTTCGCGACATAGCTAGTAATAACCTGCTAGTGGTTCATCGATTCCTCCGCGAGGCGTGTTTCGTTATTAGGAAGCGTTGTCTCCGTAACCGAGACTAGGGTAGGAGGTAAGACGTCCACCTTCACTTCTCTAACTTAGGGGGTGGGGGGAGACTGTCGATCACCCGTGGCGGATGATCTCGGCATTAATTTCTCACGCTTTACCCATAAATGGATTAGCATGATGGATCGGAGGCTCCAATGAGATTGACTGCATAGGTACCTGGGTACTTAAGTGGACATCAGTTCTCGAGATAGAGCCATGGTCGTTTTGACGTGGCGTATGCTTCGCCTGGTATTTCCATCGGAACAGGAATTATGTTGTGAAAGTCGGATAATTCATGGTCTTGAGATCTGTTGGTGCTGGAATCTTGAGCCGGAACTATGATGCCGAAGTCAATACCTGTAATCATTGTTTGTGTAGAATCTAGGGTATAACGAAGATAAGATTTGCTCTATGAATCAAAGATCCTCGGGAACCTCCTAAAGGAGTAATGCGCATTACCAGGCGAAGATGAAAGCGGGTATAAAACTTTAGATTGGACTTACTGATCACACCACATTCCCAATTGCGACAGGTAAGTTTTGGATTACCAGTTCCCCTCTCCTTCGTTAAGCGTCCCCTGGAGATCCGGGTTCATATTAGTTGGACAGGCAAGGTATGTGGGCTGATATTCGCTTACCATGCGCTTTCAGACAAGTTCGCACTTCCGATGTATGCGTATGCAGCGTTTGAGTGAGTATGTCGGACCATTATAATTTTGCTATGCATTAGGAGACCAGGCCTAACGCTTTTGCAATCGCGAATTAATTCCCGGGGAAACGTTGCCGAATCCCACCATTTGGACTGTACACAGATTGTACCTGCGGCCTACGAGGTTGCTTAGTCAGCTCTCCTTTTTAGTGTCGCGAGCTTGAAATATCGAACTCACATCTTTGCCACCACGACTCTTGGTCACGGTGTCTTGAGAAGGGAAATAAATTCGGAATTTATCGTTTAAATCTAACTTGGCCTTCGGTGCCGGTTTGTTCTTGCTTCCTTTCGTGCTTCTCGTCTCGTATTCTTTTAGTCCGTTGTCACCTATCATTGTTAGTCGCATGCGCTGTGCGAAAAGAAGTAGGAGAGATAGAAGTGGGGTGGTAGGTTACCTTGAGAGGCGTAGTATAGTGCTGTTAGAAGGTCCTTGTTTAATGAGCCCAAAGAAGCGGTTATGAAATCCACCTCAACGTTCTCGGTGGTGTTGAGACCAAGTGATGTGACAGCTCGACCGAGCCCACAATATCCTATGTTAAGAGGTTAGTGTTAAGGTACCGGGATCACAATTCGGTCGAACTTTACCTGTTCGTTGCCATTTATCGCCCACGTGGGTTGTCCCACTGCCCTGGTGTTAGCTGTCGGGATCGAGTAGAATAAAACGGCGGTAGGTTTAATTAAATCTCACATTGTATGGACAAATCTGTATCGGTTCGCTTCTGAAAAATCATAGTTTGGTAAGCTGTTGATTAAGCTATCTTGTAAACCCTGAGCTCGAAGGAAATAGCGGAGCTCTTCGCCGAATGGACCGAGATCGATGTTGGATGATTGTAATTTCGGATCGTCAATTTTGGGGAGGTCTATCAGAAAAACCATGTTCTCCATTACCCCGGTTTCACCCCACTGGGTCGTTCATATTAGATATCAAATATGATCATAGGTGAGTGGAGGGACGGGGAGAGGGGTAGGGCATTGACTTACGTCGTAGGGAACAAAATTTCCACTGGGTACAACTATTCGTAGATATCCAGGAAACTTTAATAACTGTAGCTTTGAATGCATACTTCCGGCTGGCATCATAGGTGGAAAACAAAATCTAATGGCCGTTCCTTTGGGTATATTATTTTTGATATCTTCTTTCTGTATGAGGTCGCCTCGTTAGAGTGGCTGTAAATCTTACGAATGGTAGTCATGATAAGATCCTACCTGGGCCTCATCTGAAGCAAAAGCAATGCAAACGAGTTTGGTCCTGGTACAGTCAATCTTGGATAACATCCATCGTTCATCCCATTGAAATGAGCCGACCACTGCGAGTTCGAGCTCGTTTTTCTGTAGTATTTCATCGATCTTAATGTCATCCTTCCGAGGATAACCGGCAGCCCATGTTTTCTTCACTGTACCCTTTGGGTAGGGAAGATGGCGAGGAACATCTTTCGTAGCCGAATGATTTGGAGATTGGACATCCAGTCTCGGTCTCTGTCTCCGATCCTGGGTGTCTGACTCCGATTCCGTAGCTTTTCGCTTTCCTAACCTTGCTAGTCGCTCTTCTTCCATCTTCTTCCTGTCAAGTCCAAGGGCTGTGAAAGAACTTGCCAGAGCGGTCGCGGGTTGTTGCGGAGCTGCTGGCGCGACTTCCAATTGTGTCCTTACGGAAGACTGCTTGCTAGGTGATTTCTCGGAATTCTTCGGAATTGGTGTATACTTAGGTTCTTTATTTAGGTCGCCATCATCTTCATCCGAACTGAGCTCGATAGGAGTTTCCATTGAGGATTTGCTGGTTTCTTGCAAGGATAAAGCAATCGCATAGCGTAATGCCGCATCATCGTCGCCATCAAAAGCATCGGACCCATCCATTTTGAAAATTGAATGGGGTTAGAATGATGCTAGTGTGATTAGCTCGATTTGTGAACTGGTGGGAGTTCGCCGTCGATGAGATGGGGGTGGAAGCGTGATGTGAAATGAACGCGTAGAAGCACGTTTGAATCACGGAGTCACGTGGCAATTCCCGACATTTGAGGTTTTGGGGTTGGTGTTACGTCAACTTGATATTACCTAATGCTAATCTATTAGGTAATCCAAAACTCAAGGTGATTATCAAGTAATCTGGATATGTTAAGGTCATCTTAGGTATTAGGTAATGAAGACTTCAAGGCGTTAGGTAATTCTGGATGTTAGGTAATGATATCTTACGTAAGTGAAAGATTAGGTCATCATTTAAAGCAATAGGAAATCTTAAGCATTAGGTAAAATGAAACCTTACGTAATGCGGAACGGCAGGAGAGTTACGTAATCTGCGATCGTGAGATTTCTCAAGACCGGAGGTAACTGATTCTAAATACTCAACCATAAATGGATTAAGATCAATCACAAAGAAATAAATTTGATGATATATCACGACCTGAAGGTCTATGGTATTAATAGCTTATGGGTCTACGGTACTCGTTAAGACCAACTGTTGGAATATACCACCAGAAAATTTTTTATGAGTTTTCCTCTGCTTCCCCATCACCTCCTAATGATCTCCTTTAAGTGCGTCCTATAGATACACTATGATCAGATCTCGATTCTGCGGTTAATAGCCGCCGTCCTTTCGAGTCATCATCTCGTAACTTGATACGAGACATGAACCGTCCGAATTTAAGCCGCCCCTTTATACCGAGTTTCCATACCACCTCCGAGCAGCGGATCTGTCCCCGTTCCATCTAGAATCCGAACCATAGATCCGACGCCGATCCTGATGAGTAATGGCGAGCCTGACATCCCAACTCCTCAATAACCGACGGAAATCGTCAGCAACTCCCCTCCCTCCCTAATGTGTCAAGCTCAATTGAACGAGGCCTAAGACCTCATATGCCATAATACATTTTCGGTTAATAAAAGTAAAAGAAAGAAAAAGAAGAGAAAAAAACGAGTATGCCGTGCCGTAGACTACCATCCCTGTATCATGCATAGATGTCGGAAATGCTCGACCATGACTATCCCTATGTATCATAGCTCAAAGAACTCCGGACCTCCTAGAAACGGAATACATAAAAGTAAAGAAAAGGAAAGGAAAGGAAGGGGGAAAAGAATGATTCATCTCGATGGATTGCGGAACCCGAAAGATATAGGGAAAATGAGACAGGGTATGATCAAGTTATGAATGATTATGGCCAAATCCATATCGATGAGGAACGTTGTATCCACTTGTGAACGCCTTTTACACCGTGCCAAATCCTTCGTCCAATGTGCTACAAAGGAAGTCAAGGTAATTAGGATAGAGTAAGAGACGGACTAGGGGAGTCAAGTTTGAGAATTCGTTTGAGGTCGTCTTCCATTGTGGCAATCCGATCAGTTCTGGCACCAGCAGATGGGCTCGACGATTGATTGTTTTGCGCATTCGCAGTTAGAATAGATGCTGGAAACATACCACGAGGTAAGCGATCGGATGGATGGGGACGGATATCAGCACGTGGTGCTCGCGTATGAGGCTTTCGGTGGTCTTGGAAAAAGTGCTGGTCGGGCGTCGGATATCCTGGAGGCGAGCGAGGACCATCGGGAGAAGCTTGACCAGTGAAGAGATATCGCTTAAGAGAATCAAGATCCTGGCTTCGAACTTCCGCAGGTGAGGCTTGAGTAGAGTTGTGGTTTGAACGAGCGGCTCGCATACGTTCTGAATAAGGAGTAGAGAAAGCTGGTCCAATAGGTCGACCGGGATGTCTATTTTGTTCTTCTGGAGACATTCCGATTAATGGTACAATGCGTCTGGCAGGGAGAGGGCGGCGTGTCTGATTAGATGCGGTTGACTTCGGGAAGGTAGAAACTTCTTTGGGTGATTCGTGTGGCGGAGAAAATGGACCGGTAGTGCTTGTGTCGGCAAGGGAAGAACTAGCCCTACGAATTTTGGCTTTCTCTTTTTCGGCTCTGTCGGCGCGAAAAATGAATTCCAAAGGAGACTCATCGGTTCGTTGAATCGAAGGAGGGCTGGGAGGACTAGCTTCATCTGAATCGGTCGTCGCGGAAGAAAGTCCTTGTTCAGGGCTTGAGTCAATTCCCATTCCGGGTGTATCGGTTTTCGATTTAGTAAGGAAGCTTGGAATAGGAAGCGATGAGGGAGCGGGTGAGGCGTGGAATGTTGAACCGGCGAAGATAGGACCCGATGCACTCTTTGTTGGAAGAGATGGACTTTCGCAGTCCGTGTTGCTTCGATCAAGCGCTGGAGTTCCATCTCTATTATTGCGCTTCTTGTTGCTCTTGCTCTTATTTTGCTGCTTAGAATTCGTCAAACTCGTGCGCTGCGACAAGACGGTCTCCGATGGGGGAGTGCTGGGGCTTGCGAGATGGATGGACCCGTATTTTGGTACATCATTCTCCGAAGCGTAGGCGGTTTGTTTAGGAGTATTGCGGTGTCGACCACCTTGGCGGCGACGGTTAGGTGTGACCTTCGATTGTTGATTTTCGGTCGACATGATTGAAAGGCATGTATTCTGAATGAAAAGACGTGGGTGAAAGTGATGAGAAGCCTGAAGAGGCTGTAGAAATAGGTAAATCGGTCGAATTCCGAGCGGTTGTAAATGAAAAAGTCGATGCGACAACGTGATGCGGGGATGAAGACGATGAGGACATATCTGTGTTGATGAGTTTGGTGTTGATCAAGGGAAGGATCTGGAGAAGAGATAGAGAGGTAGTGTGTCGTGACTTACGGCAATTTCAGTGACAAGATGTGGTCTGTGCTTTTAGGTGGCTGTGTACGTAGATATTTTACAGGGGTATGGAGCCAATGTAATGATTTTGATCAATGAATGGTTCCATTCCAGGGCAGATGATAAGGTATAAAAGCGATTAGGTACCTAAAGAATCCACTTAGATAATACTGGGGACTTTCATACCAAATCTCAACTGCTTTGTTCGATACTAATAATTACTAACGTTTAATTTGGGATAATAGACGTTGAAATTACTCATCTACAAGAAATCTGATTTAATCCTATAATATCTTAAAAGCAAGAGTTCATTTAAACCAGTGTGGATTCTAGCAAGGTGCTTGGTATCTATAATAATCACCAGGGTAATGAAAGCTCTCACATTCATATAAAGAAATAGACCCATTCAAGGACATTGATGATAGGAATCCAATGACTAAGATGAATTATTCCAACAAGATTCCAACAGTGATATGATATCGATGCGCGAAACAAGACAAATGTTAAATATATCTGAAAACTTTGTGCTATTTTATGAACTACAGCATTAGGGCCCTAAAGACAACTTCTAAATTGATACCTAGGTACGCATAGCACCCTATTTGACTAATATCTACCTAGGTAGGCCATATTCCGCGCTAAAAAAAGCCTAATAGTGCTATAAGAATAGGTACAGGTGGGTGCTCTAATGACTCTAGTGACTTCCAATGGTATTATGCTAGGGAGTGAACCCCTAAAGAAAAGGAGTAGAATGCGACAATACAATGAGGCGTGGCGTTAAAATTGGCGAGATACATGTACCTTCCTAAGGGGATTTGCTGGAAGTGATGCCAAGAAACTTAGGAAAGTCGGAGGGGCAACTTGCAGCTGCCAGTACCTAGGTAGGTTACCTAATCCTATGGTCCCGCAACCTTGAAGGCACTAGCAACCTACCTACGTAGCTGCCTCAATCACTTACATAGATATTTACGAACAACACTTTTACGAGATAGGAACAATCTACTTGATTCTCGACGTGATAAAGGGATCGTGTTCTCTTAATCCCCAGGACACCAGCATATTACCGAAATACAAAAGCCATTCGACGATCTTAAATTTTAACTTGGCCGTTCCTCTCCCCCGCGATCTGAGCGTTACCCAAATAACGTAAACGACTCCGAAACATCCATTCGATTTTCTATCTAACAAAAATTAAGCAAGATGGCGGACGTTGATATGACAGATGCCCCTAGTGGATCTACTTCCGCTGTTGCTAAGAAGGAACGTAAAGGCGGTGATGCCGACACCAAGAACGATGCCAAGAAACGCTTCGAAGTCAAGAAGGTATGATCAGATCCGAACATTCGTCACCGACGACTTACCTATGCTAATATATGAGGTGTAGTGGAATGCTGTGGCCCTATGGGCTTGGGACATAGTTGTCGACAATTGCGCTATATGCCGAAACCACATCATGGACCTCTGTATCGAATGCCAGGCCAACCAAGCGTCTGCTGCGAGTGAGGAGTGTACTGTGGCGTGGGGTATTTGCAACGTAAGCTATTCCTATTCTTTCCTATCTCATTACCTCGCTAACTAACAAATATGTAGCATGCATTCCATTTCCACTGTATCTCACGATGGCTTAAAGCCCGACAAGTTTGCCCGCTAGACAACCGAGACTGGGAATTCCAAAAGTACGGTCGTTAGGATAGAAGATTACATCCACTTGGGAGCAGGAGCATACGCATATGGACAACACCAACGATTGCACCGTACCTATATCGTCGACATCATAGCCTCGAGATCGGGAACCACTTTACGTCACATACTCGAGGTTTGGGTGGTATTCGTGGTAGGGTGACAGGCTAGAGTAGGTTACTCATTATTCGGACTACATATTCTTTTCGCAGTTTTCATCTGCCTATTCCCATAAAATCCATAGCTACGCCCCCAAGATACGAATAAACGAATCCTTATTTCGTAAACAATTTCCCATCGATGACTATATTCTGTTGCGTACTCGTAATTGCTGGCTGGCCACCAACGGGTAGCCATTTAACAGGATGTTGCTTGAAGAAAGGCCATGGAGGAACGATTAGGAGGAAGGTAAGCGCTGTACCACCGAGACCGATTTTAAGTGCCAAAACGATATCTTGTAGGAAGAAGCCGACGAAGAAGGAAATTCCCTATTTAATATGATTAGTTAGCAATTTTCCGGGTAGAAGAGAGAAGGAATAAAGAGTTTTATACCCCGACGATTGATAGAACAACAGTTGCTAAGATCTCGGCCAACTTCTGACCTTCAAAGTCCTGTAAACGTGTCAATAGTGTCATTCGTCAAGTAAGCTATAGATTTGGTAAGGAATCACGGACAATTTGACCATCCACAGCATCTCTCACTTGTTCCAAGAGTTGATCCGCCATATTCAGTATTTCGAATGACTCGTTTATTGGTTGGGAAGGATCTAGGTACGGCGTATCGTGAGGTGATTGTAATCTTGAATTTGAAGATGGTGTAACTATTTTGAAGCTGTATTATTCGAGAAGGCCTATCTGTCAAGAAGTACCCTGTTGCGGCTATTCAGTCGACGTGGTACCCCGTAGATGGTATCCAATCAGGTAATAGCTGGGATAGCACTAAATTTGAATCGCGCACAAGGGGCATTCAGGTGTGTGAGTACGTACCCAGGTACTTAAAAATGTAAGCATGAGCCTCATTTATCTTTGTTCCTCTAACCGGCAAGCCACATGAACACCTAACCTCGGAAGTATCATCAACATCATACGAGCGCTAATCACGGCTTTCACAGCAAATACCTTTTTTTTAAGGTCACTTTGTGGTCTGTTTTCTTGTTTGACTTAGAAGACATAGTTTGCTAATGCATCAGTAAAAATCTAGGGGTATTGAGTTTATCTGTTAAATGGAATCATGATCTACTCGCTCCCAATTTGCCAATTTAGGCTTCCGACCTTCCACCCTTAATACCTAGGATGTATATTAGATATACTTAAGCTGACTCATACTTTATCTTGATACAAAAGATGCTAGTAACCTTCTGAAATGCATGTGAATCCTCTACCGTTACCTAGCTAAGTACCTCATACTATCGCACAAAGGAAGCAATCAAAGCCTATTAAGATTGCAGTTGAGAGAGAGAAGAAAAGAGACAAATAATGTTGCTGCAGTTTAACATTGTAAAAGGGGTACGTACTAAAGTACCTAGATGAAAGTGGGGGTTGTGGATCCTTGGGTCGAGATTTCCTGCAGGAATTTTCGCCTCTTAACGTCGATTACCTACTATTTGGTTGGTTGGCTAGACCCGTCAATAGCCTAATAATTTTTTTCTTAGCGTAGGGCCAGAGCTTGGACGAATCATGAAAAATTTAGTTACTTCTGATCTGACTTTCTATCTTTTCTTTCAACTTTTTATCACATCCCTACTTTTTACACGAAAACATCAAACCGTTCTTTATAGGTCGTAGGAAAATCTAAATCAGTCTGCTTCTTCTAATAAGTGACTACTTGATCGTTTAGACATATCGCCTCAAACGAGTCTACTCTTCAATTTTCAATTCAGAACGTCCTCATATATACAACCTCCTTCACCATCATTTGTCGATCCAGACGCCGATCGCGACGAACACAACAACAACAATCCTTTCTACACGATAAATCGATAGTTATCCAGCAAGCTCCGACTGGATGTGAAGCTGCGCAAAGTCGATAAACACTTCCAGTAAACGCCATTTACCGACATCTCTGAGGAGCTTACGAGCTGCGCTATTTCTTTTAGCACGTCGAGCTCTTCACTGCGGTATATACCGCCACCCTTTTACAAACCACCAAATTGGCGGGCCTCAACTCTTACCAGTTCACATCCCCCCGACCGCTCCTCGGCCCTCTTTGCTGGGTCTACGGCGGCGTCAACAAGAAACCACCGTAACTTGACCGACGCTAATACGATTTTGACGCAATTACCTTCTCATTCACGATTCCGCGTGTACTTTACTTTAGACCCAGGGAATCCGATTACGGCATTCCTTTAATACTGGCTCCCATATTACACCAGGTCTACTTTTTGCAGTCGGCGTGCTGCCACGCCTGCTGCAAAATACTGATGCTGCTAGGCTGAGTGCGTCTCGCAGTATGCACGCCTTCCCATAAGTGTTTCGCGGAAGGCTTTTTTTATTTAGAGCGTTGCATTCGGAATAATTGGACCGTATTGAGGTTCACTGCACCAGCATCTTGGGGATTATCAAATTCAGGGCAATCAGCTTATTCGGGTATTACTACGGATTTATAGACGAGAGTAGCATCTTTACAAAATGTCTGACCACGACGAGACCACCGCTGGTTCGGGTTATAACACCCCGGTCCCCGAATTGGACGATCACCGTCATCAACTCTCAACACAGAGACCTGACCGCCCTCGACGTGGTACCGTTGATACGATATTTGGATCCCGTCAGCATTTACAACCGACTGGTCCTTATTCGCCCTCCGATGTACGAGTGCGAGATTTTGAGGAGGCGATAGTCGATGATGAGGATGGAAATGCGTCTCCAATGGCATCCCGAAGCCGTAGGCCTACGTTCGAGTCGACGAACGAACAGCATCGTGCTGTTTCTCCCCCGAACTCTGTCAAGGCTTTTGCTGAAGCCCGCCGTCGTGAACGTGCTATGTCGACAGTAGATGTTCGGAACCCAAGGCAGGAGGAAGGCGACGCTCTTCATCGCACTTATTCCTCCAGAAGCCAAGCTAGTCATACTAGCCAACGCTCTGGACGAAGCAGGCCGGATACGTTCATCGCCGATGATGGAGCTAGTATGGCAACGAACAAGACCGCTGAGGAAGATGTGTGTTTTCCCATGCAAGAAGAACATCGCCGGGACCAACTGCACATCGATTTCGACTACTTGGAGGAATTTATCGCATCGGAATATACCGCACGGACGCGAAGGGAAAGTGCCGCTGGTGAGGGAGGTATTAGAGTATTCCCTATGCTGAGGCCCGATTCGGTGATATCAGAGCCTACTCCCATGATCACAGTCGACGGTGATTTTGTCAACGTTCCGTCTGGCTCTTCCGAGGTCGACCCTGAGAAGTCGTTGCAGCTAGAAGATGCAGAAGAGGCACGGGAGGCGGGCCACAAGCCAATTGATAAAGAGGCTCATCGAGATAGCAACCGATTTGGTTTCTTTTCCTCTGCAGAACCGGATACCATTGATGCTTCTACGCTCGGAAGTCTTTTCTTATCCGATGGGGAGCTACGTCGTCTCTTCACACTTCCTCCCGATCAGCCAGATGGTGTCTGGTGGTTGAATGTCAATCGCCCCACCGAAGAGGAAGTCCGTGTCCTATGCAAAGCCTTTGGAGTTCACCCCTTGACGGCGGAAGATATTACAACTCAAGAGGCCCGTGAGAAGATTGAAATCTTCCCATCATATTACTTTGCCTCTTTCCGATCTTTCAACGTCATCGAAGACCAAGAATGTCCTGACTACGAACCTTACAACATTTACGTAGTTGTCTTCCGTGAGGGCACTCTTAGCTTCAGCTTTTCTCCCAATAGGCATGCTTCTCAGGTCCGAAAGAGAATCTCTAGTCTCAAAGATTACGTATCTTTGAGTAGCGACTGGATTTGCTATGCTTTGATGTAAGTTTGGATCTCAATTCAAACATTTTTCCACAAATAAATGCTAACAAAATATCCAGCGATAATATCGTCGATTCATTCGCTCCCGCCCTTCATCGGGTTGAACAGCTTACGGAGGGCATCGAGGATCAAGTCTTTGTCGCCCGTCCTGATGATATGCATAGATTCCTACGTAGGTTAGGTGCTGTGCGCAAGAGTACACTTGCCCTCATGCGTGGATTAGGGGGTAAGGCCGATATCCTGAAGGGTTTTACAAAGCGCTGCAACGAGGACTACAAAGTCACACCGCGCATGGATATAGGCATGTATCTTGGTGATATCCAAGATCACGTCGTGACCATGATGACCAACCTGACCCATTTCGAAAAGATCTTGTCTCGCGCCCACAGCAATTACCTTGCACAACTCACAATTGATAGTATCATGCAAGGGACCCAAACCAATCAGGGTCTAAGCAAGATCACCTTCTTGGCCAGCATTATCGTTCCACTCAATGTGGTTACAGGTTTGTTTGGTATGAATGTCAAAGTCCCTTTTATGGACGTTGATAATACCAACGCATTCTTCACCATATTGGGATGCCTCATGGGTTTTTGCACTCTGTGTCTCATCATCGCGCGGAAGATGAAGCTTATATAGTGTACGGCACGTCAACCACGTCGGTATTGACAAGGTGCACTTGAAGAGGTATCTGAGTTGGAGTTCGTCTTTCCTGACATACTTGTACTTCTCACATTGTACAAAGTAGTTAGGTGGCATTGGTCAGAGTGATGACTCAGCAGGGCAACATGGTCCAGTAATCTCGTATATAGCTATCGTCGGACCTTAATAGGAGGAATATCATATGGTGGATTCGGAATGCTTCATATACCTATCATAGCATAGCTCAGCGATTATCATCAATGTGAAATTTCTTAATTTCTATACCACAGGAGATCATTTCCCTACGAACCCAGCCTGTGATGCATTTCGACACTGTCGTGCAACGGTTTCCAAGACCTGTGTACTCAAACGCAAAAGCACGCATGACTAAAAACATCAGGAACATGAATTCCCAGTATAGGGGCCTGTAATGAACGCAAGAAAGGGGTTGCGAAATATTTAATATGTTCAAATGCCCTTTTCCCTCAAGACTCCGTCCCTTCTATCTCGCCAACTTCAATTGTAGAACTCCATAAAGCAGCCTAAACGGGTATCTATTCGTATGTTTTCGAGGAACCTTTCCTCCTTACCCATTTGCCGTTGAATATTCAAACCGCCCCAACTTGTGATCCAATATCTCAAGGTAGGCTCATAGTATCAATACATCATACGCACAGCGTCTTCTGCAACTGGATGATTCGTTGTTGTACCTTTATTCTCTGTTCCTTCATCACCTCTCTAAACGCCGTAACTAACATAAGTACAGCTAAAGGTGGTGAACCGGGAATATCGAACTCTTGTGATGAAGTATGGCTCGATAGAAACGAATCCACGGCATTGTGTTGGTTCTCAATCATGTTTGAGCATAATTGCGCGGTTGAAACGAGTTGGATATCGTTTGGCGTCGTCATGTTGGATGCTTGGGATTCCAGTCTGTTGAGCACTGCTTCGTAAATGTTGAAGAGTAATGTATGGCAGACGATGACGAGATGGCAGATAACCCTTCTGGGAGGATCATAGTTCGATTGGCTAGTGGGGCTGTATGACCTTTGTTGTGGCCCGAAATATGAATTTCCTTCATAGAGGTCCATTGAAGATGGTGTAGAAACGGAGGAGGCAAATTTAGGTGTATGTGGGGTAACGTTGATTTTGAAATAATTTATAATATTGAGTAGTTCGTCCGAAGCAGAAGAGATGTGATGTAGTGTTTCGCTGAATTTTTGGAATGATGGTCTGGAACTCGAATAGGGGGTTCGATCGTATTGTAAACGAGACAGGCGCATACTTAGTTGCGAAAGTCGCATGATGACAATTTCCGGTGCATTCTCTTCGAGTGTCATTTTGGGGTGGCCTTCGTCAGGCCTCTCATGATTGTCTGGCGGCTGAGTGGCATTGAGATTGTGACTGAGTCCATGGAGCTGCCCCAACAAGTTGGTCGATGCTAACTGTAGTGCTGCATCGCTAGTAGAAATTTTCCCATCATCTTGCTTAACAGAATGCCAGGAAATGGAGTCTATGAAGGGATCAGACAAGCCAGTGACAGAATTGATTTGAGGAGTATTAAGGGCGTCCCAGTTAAAAGCTGGCAGGTTCGGATCATCATCACTCCAAGTTAATCGGGTATCATCCCAATTCAAAGACTCTGGGCTGTCCCATGTGTATGAAGGTACCTCTATGGGTACATTTTCCATCGGGATTTCTTTTAAATTTGGTTGCATGTTTGCCCTAGCCTCCTCATTACTGTGAATGTCGCTATGAGTATTGCTAATTCCGGATTGGGATTTGACCGTTCGGTGATGGGATAGCTTTGGATTCGGTGATGTTGCAGGTGTCTTTACTGGGGAATTAAGGTGTGCAGTAATCTTGGAAGGAATGCTTTCTTCGATCCATCCGTATATGCTTGGCCGGCCTTTTGGTAGGCACGAGCTATATACACATTGTACACGTTTGGAATGGCACCTATTACACGTCCCAGTCTTACTATTTCCGGATCGTGTACATCGAAGCTTTTGTTTATGGCAACGGTCGCACTTCAAATATCAATGATTAGTAACTACTTTTTTGAATGGTAGTTCTCTGGCCTGAAAATCGTATGTACTTGGGTAGATTTCAGGGGCAATCTATCATAATATGAAATGAATTAGGGCTTCTAATAAAAAGCTGTGACATACTGATTGACGCATTGGTGTCGTTGCTGCCATTGTGCTCGGAGTTAAAGTTGTCGTTTTCTGTAACACCGATATGATTAAGAAAAGGGGTGTCACGTGATATATAAGGGAGAAATCGAATTGACCTAGAGAAAAACTATATGATAATTTCGACTCAAAAAGGCCAAAAGGGGTTTTATGTGAAACATTAGAATATGTTAGATATAATAATGTTGGTGTTGGATCCTCACTTTCGACGCAATATTACATGACGAGGGTTTATGGACTTTACTTGGACCTAAGCCATACGCGCGCTTTCGGATATAGTTTACTTTTTATTTCAAAGAGGTTCCAACATCATCTCTAGTGCCAAGACTTATAAGTCCAACGGTTCATTTCCGTGTTGTCTCACGAACCCAACATGCTAGGATTGATGAAGACATGACTGCATATGTAAGTTCAAGGCGCTGATATAACTCGCAGCAAAGTTTCTACGTTAATCTCTGAGTTGTAAGTGTAGAAAAAGGTCTTACTATACCTTATTTCCTTTGACAGATGAGGTTATACACTTACGCGGCCTTGTTGTTGGACTTGGTCTACTCTAATGAGTTCAATTAAGGTAACATGCCTATATTTGCACACTGGATTCCTTCAGGATGTTTCCTTCTCGTTTTGTAAATTTGGGCATGGAGATTGCCCCCCTCTTAACCTTTACAATAGGGATCTTTAATGATTCGTGCCGAATTTTCGTCTTGCCTTCGCCTTTACTCAAAGATAGGCAAGTATAGTCGGCAGATCGTTACTTGGTCTGCTAGGTAAGACTCTTTATCGATGATCTTTCCCTTCAAAACCCGGATTTGGGATCTTCCTAGATATCAAAAGTCTGCGAATGGGTTTATCTTTTCGATAGAACCTACCACGTTTTCTTACAAAAGTACGATACAGAATCATCTCGAGGAATGGTAACATTTTAGACACATGTGGACTAGCGTAAATACGATTATAAGGTGGGTTACTTTAGATTGGCATGCTGTGCCGCTTCATGCCTCGTAATTATTGGATCACTACGACTGTTGGCTGTATCGCTTCGGACCGCACATGCAACGTCGTAGGGAATAAAAAGTTATGGAAAGCTTAATTATATAGTCAGCCTCTGGCGTATGTGCGTTTATTCACCATCAAGCATAAAAGTGGTGATCCCCTCAAATTCCGTCTCCTAAAAGCTACGGGAGTAGCCTAAGTAGCTTAAGTAATGTAGGAATCTTACCCGGCTGATATATATATATATATACATAACATTAAGTACTAACAATAAGCAGCCCACCAATCCTAGCACTTCCTGAAAAATTCCACCCCGTTGTGATGATACAAATAAGACTGTTCGGGACCGGAAGAGGGTCTCAGTCCTCGCTAAGCTGTATGAATCCCTGGAGTCTAAGGATCCTTACCATCTAGGTATGGTGAATATCGGATTTTAACTCATGTCCGAAGCGTGCTGACACTGGAGTTGCTTTAGACATCATTGAGAATTCTAACATGCATGCTGTTTTGACCTTAGTATCTAATGGGTCGTATCCTTAATAACGAACTCGGCCGAGGGGTTTCTTTTCTTATTCGGGCGCTGCTTCTACCGACCGGTCCGATGGTCAAGGTTACCTACTTGATGTAACATATCTAATGTTGGTAGTCTAAATGAAATGACCAGGGTTATGAGATTAGAGCTGTTGCTTGGGTTTAGAAGCCTTTATGCTAGGGTACCTAGGTACACACTTGGACAGCCTCTCACTAAATTATGGGAGCATGACGCTAAGCCCTACGCGCTTTTTAGTGCGTGTAATGGCTAAACTAGCGAACCCCGCTCGTTAAATCAGTAGCGCCAATAGCGCCCGAGTTCCTCTATAACTTCAGGTGGGTATAGCGCCCTATCGCGAACAAATTTCCTACAGCCATAACGGATTGAATATCTAAATACGTCTATACATTGCTTTTATAAATGCACTCGATTTAACTCATCAATAAGTTTGCTAGACTTTGCAGCGTAGGTTCACACTCGATTAGCAGGTGTTGATTTAGGGCAGCTACCTAGTAAGGGCAGTTAGTTTGGTTCCAAAATGGACAATATTACGGGTCAATTCGCTATATCATCGGGCATGGATATGCGCTGTAATGCCCTATACTTACAGTGAGAATTAGCGTATCTAGAGCGTACCGTCCGCTGTAATTTGGCGGGCACTTATAGGCCGGTAGCGCATACGTTCCGGGAGGCATCGAAGTGTGGAATGCAATCGCAGCCCGTAGTCCGAGCGAGATTTTGTAAAATATAACTGGTTACGAGGTGAATATTATTAAATTTTAAACGTTGGAATTAATCTAGAACCCACTGGGTGTAATAGACTTCTGGAACTCGGAAGGAAACCGGAGTAAGAAGCAACTATTACGGTAGCTTCGGCATTATCCACAGCAGAATCAGTTCTCTTAGTCTTAATGACCAAAGATAAATACAAAACATAAGATATCATGATTAATATTTATGCCTTACTCGAAAATATTCCCTACAACTACCAAGATTAAAAAAGGTTGTACGCTAAATAAAAGGAAATGAATTTAGTTCTAATCGCTTGAGATTAGTAGTACTTAAATATCAAGCATGAGAATGTTCTCGGAGTCAAACCCATCTACTACGTATACGAAATCCGCCGTTGCCTTCAGACTTTTAGTTCGAGACATCATAATACAGAGTGTCGAATGATGGTGATGAAGTACGATGTGGATCACGCCGACTCCCCATGCTTATCGGAGTGAACGGCTCCATTTTCCACTTTATTTCCTTTCGTTCTTAGATCTTGCCAACCCATACCCCATAGTACGATAATGCATGCGGCGGCTACTCCAGCAACTAAATAAAACACTCGGTCGATACTGACAACGTAGGCAATAAGGACCCCAGGGAGATCATCACCCTGCACAATGGCACGAAATCCAGTAGCCCCTGCACTGATGACTGCCGCCGCATCGGTGTGTGGTGCATTGTCTTGTAGCTGAAACTTTAAACTAGAGTTGAAAATCACATTACACACAACCAAGACGATAGCTGGACCTAGTGACTGGGCGAAGATGACGAGGACCATACCGGTGGCAAGTTCCTCTTCTCCAACGGCGGCTTGGATCGATATGATAGCCTTCGTAGGTGATTAATGTTAGCTGCTTTGTGTGATCTAAACAGTATGCTTATCGACGTACCAGTTGCATGCTGAGTCCTACTACAGCTATTGGAATGATAAAACCAATCTTCTGCACTAGAACCTAGTAAGCGACTTTTCCATTTGGTATTGACGTACTAGAAGTCTCAGAACTCACACATAACTCCAGAGAGACCAGCCATTAAAAGCTGCGGTACAATTGTAGGCAAAAGATATACGCCACTTAACATAGCTGTCACATTGTTGATAGCCTGGAAGTAAATGGGAAGAAAGAACGTTGCACCATAAACAGCCGAAATCATGAAAGCTTGGTAGAGCGCCGATGCCCATACCACTGTCTGTTTGAGCATTGAGTGCGGGAGCAGCGCATCATCTCCTTTGTATCAATTCCAAAGGAGCCATACGATAAAAGTCGCACCAGGTCCACAGAATAGTCCTATGACAGTAGAAGACCTCCATGGGTATTGATTCCCTCCATATTGAAGAGCAAGTAAGAGTTGAAGTATGGAAGGCGCAAAGAGAGCGAATCAAATAAGGTCTAGGTAATGGTGTAATCTCAATAAAACCACTAAAGCCTTCGGTTTTGGTATTTGTTCGGGAATCCGCACTAGAAGTATGACCAGTGCAGTAAAAGCTCCAACCGGTAAGTTAACATAGAAGCCTAGCGCCTACGTCAGATTACCACTCATACTAACGAATGAATGGGCTTGAAAAGCACTAACACCACCTCCCACGAGAGGTCCTGCTACAAGACCAAACTGCATCACTATGGTAACGATTGGGTGAGCATGGAGACACCTGACGTGACTTAGAAGAAAACTTACAACCCATAGTCAGACCGATGAGTGCTAATTCTACACGTTAGTGATTATCGAATTCTTACATGTTCTAATGTCTGGGCAAGCCCCTAGGCGGGTTCACTTACCAGGGCGCTTCTCGAGAGGCGCGCAGCTCGAAATGATGGTTATGGCACCGTTTGTGATACCAGCTGCACCGAATCCAGCAACGGCGCGTCCGACTATCAACATATCGGATGAGACGGCGGCGCCGTATAAAATGGAACCGATCTCGAATATCGCGAAGAACGACAAAAGGGACCACTTTATGACCACTTTAGTAAAGAGACTGGCTATGGTCCATATCCCAGTGTGCGTTGTTAATACGAACCTTGGTGTTGAAGTGCGTATATACTTTTCCTGTGAGCGGTTGTGGAGCGGCACTGTAACGGCTCTTAGAACAACATCTCTTAATGGAATGATGGAATCCACAAACCTGCCAAACTGATATGCACTGGCATCCCACCTAACGTCTAGAAGCGAATTAAAAGTGTCGGTAATACGTGGGATTGCCTTGATGTCGGCGAGTTAGCCAAAAGCTGTGCGAAAAGTCTCGACGAAGAGATTACTAACAGTGCTAACGACCATCGTATCCAAAAGCATTAGGAAGCAGGCAAGTGCCACGCTCGCGACAATCGAAGTTAGTTTGATGCCGGTTACATATTCGTTTGCGTTCTCGTGGTGATTATCTGACTTGCTTAAGTCCTCCTTGGAACCCGTCGGTGGCGTCTTCTTTGATGGTAGCACCTCAACATTGCGCTCGATCGATGAGGTGTGAGAGATAGGTATTAAATCCGACATTCTCGTGGCCTTTCTCGCACTGCTGTATATTCGCCTTGGACATTTGTGCCAGGAGTGTAGAAGGAGAGCCTACCTACTTCGTAGAAATAAATGGTACAAAAGCTAGCTAAGTTCATTTGATGTAGCCCTTGCTTGATATCTAGGTTGGCTCAAGCCGGACCTGTAAGGGGCGTCTCAAACAATGATAAAATTAGCTAATAAACACATGGCGTAGACTTCCTTTGACAGTATTATGCCGCCGTACGATACTGTGTTACTAAGACCTCCGAGCTTATCCCATAGTCTGATTAGACAGTAAATCTCATGCTGATCGCACGGCTGATACTTCTTACTGCCATCCACCCTCCAAGTCTGTATGGGTTCTTTTGCTCTTTTCTTTCTGCTGAGGAGCGTCAGGCAGACCTTGGAACCAACACAGATGTGTAGCACTAGGTATCATCAGTGGAATAATGGATTGAAATATCTGCAAACCTTAGGAAGGATACTACAGTGTACCTTTCATGTAGTTCGCCCCTCGCTCCTAGGATAGGGTTGGACAAGGAGTGGGGCCGGGAGTGCAGGTAGCCGAAAGGGAAAGGTGACGAGACAATAGTTAGCTTCTAGTCAAGCGCAAAGGAACTCTCTTGTCTAAGAAAACGTGTAAGCTCCAAGGTACTCATCATTGTAAGGTATCTCGAGTCTCGGTGCTGGTCGTTCTACTTCTAAACCTTCACTCTCACTAGCCAGATGAATAGAGAATAGGCACGACAAGTTCCACCCGGCGCTTGGTGGTATATGTGGGGGGAGAACACAGTTGGCACCATCTATAGATTTGGATATTTCATGAGATAATAAAATGTACAATAGCGATCTTAACGAGCAGGTGGGTTACGATTTGAGAATTTTCAAGTTCGAAGCCGTGGGTAAAAGGAGATTGCTAAATAGACCAACGCCAGCCACTAGTTTATGAGTACAAATTTGCCAATGCACCTAGAGTCCTATTAGATGGTCACATTTAAAGCTGACAACATCACCCGTAACCTGTGTGAGAACCTGGGGAAGCCGTAATGGGCTGTTAGTATTTCAGCATCAGCAATATCCCCCTCCATCCGTGCGCTGATGCTTCTGTGAACCCCTGTATATTTAAAGAAGTTTGGCTACAAAACCCTACAGACGAGATGAATATGAATACAGTTTTCCACTATGTCTTGGTCCTTGACACGAAGGTTGATCCCTTCGAGTACATGGGTGGAGCGTCCCAGGAACTGTATCATTTTAAGAGGCCAAGCCGAGCTCTCATGGCCGCGAAGAGACCACCGGACTTACGGTGAGTGGTGGCACTGCCATTAGTGCGTATAGTTTAAGTAAATGTATTTCGGTCTACCGGGCTGCAATACTGGAAGACCTACCGGACACTGTTGCATGAGCGCTGCTGACTCCTCGGGTGGAAAACTTGGCCTATGACTTTTATGCCGCAGCCAATTAAGGGCATGTAGAAATGTCTCACACGACTTCTGTCAGTTCAGGTTCGAGCCGACAAAGGTAAAAGGAGGCAAATTTTGTTTTATGCGCGGGTACCATCTGCATAGGGTAGGGCTTCTGTTCTTTAACATGGGGATACCGACTGAGAATTATGTTGCGCGGAACTGAGCTTATATCTAATTTGTAGCTTCAATTATTTCACGTTTTCCTACTTCAATAGAGCGACCAAAACTCGCCCCTCGCCCCTAACACACATGCATCAAATCGCTAACGAAAGAATCGGCCACTATATCCACTCCAATTACGTCCGTGGCTGTCTGTATGCTATCTACAAAGCTTCGAATGGCAAGAGTTAAAGATATGCAAGGGTGATACGGCCATTCATATTTTAAAAAGATTTTCCTTGACTCGAGAGCCAACAATGCACTTAACTCCACCTCCCAATGTTAATCAGGAGTCCTAGGAGGAAAGGGATATGGACTTTATCGCTCTTTGTCCTATTTAACCTGCGTTCCTCCCTTGCTTTCGAATCCAGGGCCCACTAAACTCGGTTGGTCAACCCTACCCGTGTACCAGGTATATTGGGACTAGGAGCTTATAAGCTGACTGTCTTACAGTCCAACCAACCAACAACTAGTAGTAGGTCATTGTCATTGCAAAAAAATGAACCCGCACCGCTCTACTCCCAACTTTTCAATCGAGATTCGTCACGTACACTCAACATTCTACCATCGCTGCCATGGAAACTCTCTCTACCTTGCTATCGTGGCAGAGCATTGTTGCTACCATCATCCTCTACTATGTGACACTTGCGCTATACCGGCTGTATTTACACCCCCTAGCGCGATTCCCTGGCCCTAAACTCGCGGCGGCGACGCGATTGTACGAAGGTTACTATGATCTTTACCAAAGCGGCCAGTATACCTTCAAAATAGCAGAACTGCATAAACAGTACGGTGAGGAAGTGGCTGACCCTCGAGTACCGCACCGTCATTACTCACACCTAGAATAGGCCCAATAATTCGTATTAGCCCCTACGAGCTTCATGTGAATGATGCAGCTTTCTTTGACATTCTCTATAATCGCCAAGAAGGAGTATGGCATAAGTATGATTGGTCGGTGGATGCTTTCGCGACTAAAGGCGCCACCATCTGGACGGCCGACCATACCATCCACAAGAACCGCCGTTTACCATTAAATCCATTCTTCTCAAAGGTCAAGGTGTCAAAGCAGCAGGAAATGATCATGAAACATGTCAATGCGCTTTTTGGCAGATTGTCGGGCTTTGCCGCGTCTCAGAAGACTGTAGATCTTGGCGCCGCATTTACTGCTTTCGTACGAGACGTTGTTAACGAGTATATATTCGGAAAACATTATAATGATATTGGAAAGGAGGACTTTGATGCCGGTATGGTGGTCGCCGCTCAGGCCGGTGGTCTTTTGTGGCGTACCACCAAGTTTATACGGTTCTTTGGTCCCCTTATGCGGTCCATCCCGCCGCAGTGGATCATGGCGATCTCCGACCCCATCACGAAGGAATTCTTCCGCTTTATGATGGTAAGTTTCGATAAGTAGAATGCGTGTCTTGTTCAATACCTAATACGAATCATGTGTGTATAGATCTCTATGAATGACACCAAGAACTTCATGAAGGCGGCAGTATCCCAAGACGATCATGGACCACGTACATTGGTCCATGAAATCGTGCAATCCAAGCTTCCACCCCCGGAGAAGTCATTTGAACGAATTTTTGAGGAAATGTCCACCACAACAGGGGCTGGCTTTGAGACGACGGCTGCTGTTATACGAATTGCGGCTTTTCACATCTACAGCGATCCCAAGATCCTCCAAAAGCTACGAGCCGAGCTTGCTTCTGTCCCCGATTATGACTGGAAGACGCTAGAGAAGCTTCCTTACTTGACGGCCATCATCATGGAAGCTATGCGTCTAGCTCCAGCCATAGCTACTCGAAGTTCTCGTATTGCCCAGGATAAAGACCTCGTTTATGCAGGTTGGCGGATACCAGCCGGTACACCTGTCGGAATGACCATACACTTACTCCACCAGAATGAGGAAGAATATCCGGAACCCGAACGCTTCAATCCAGATCGATTTATGGATCCTAACCCATGGCAGCTAGGTAACAGGACATTTGTGCCCTTTGGAAAAGGAAAGCGTAATTGCATTGGAATGCAGTAAGTACCTTCTACGATATATGACGAATTATTTAGACTAATGTCTTGATTCAGTCTTGCCTGGGCCGAAATGTATCTCCTGCTTGGCAACATAGTGCAGCGCTTCGAATTCAAGTTTCCCGCAACAAAGGCAGAGGATTTTTATGTCACAAATGACAATTTTGCCCTCGTCACCCCATCCATGGGAGTTGTCCCCGCTCTTGTTACCGAAATTTAGGTATGATATTGGCGGAGTTTTGGGAAAGGGGGCCTGTTAAAAGGGTTATTGAGTCATTGTTACACGTTTATTTAGGTAAGGGGAAATATATAATTATAGGGAGTCATGCGCTGAAGACCACTGTAACTACAGGTGTATCATCCACTATAAATTTTGTGATTGGGTTGATAGTGCTTACCCCCTATAAATAGAGCACCCTACTAAAGCGCCCTATAATTACAGCGCTGTTCAATTAGGTAAGCCGAATAACCCGCTGTAACTATAGGCCCTAAGCTCACCTGGGCAGTAAGTCTCGACCTACGTAGGTACCTAGGTATACCTAAATTACAGCACACCTCTCACTGCGCATCTTAACACTCCACTAAAACCCACTATAACCACAGCGCTCATAGCCCTATAACTTTAGCCATGGCGGCGCGAAACTCTACGACCCTATTAGGCGGCTTTCAGTCCGGCGATATAATTTTTGCAGCCTTTAATCTGATCATCACTTCGATCGACCACCCACATACCTAGGTAATTAGCAGAAAACTCGGTTTATCGGATGGAAATGGAGCCAACCCCTACGGTAGTGCGGATGCACCCAGGTAGGTATGACATTATAATCCGATACAACGCCGATTTATACCTGGGTCCGGAACGGGCGCGCGGTTTGTGTGCTGTACCCGACTTGCATTACTCCGCGACTCAATGCTCAACTACCTACTACGCCCTGTAATTTTAGGGAATGCAGATAGCGTGTACACATTGGTAGAGTTCTGCCAGATTTATTGGCTGGATCGAGGCTCTAGTCTCCACTATTGGCTCTCTCATTGGTTCAAAGGGCTACCAGTAATCCGTAAGAGTAAGTTGCACTAAGTACCTTGATTTGATGATTTGAGGGTCTGCTAAACCTCACAGCCTAGCTCTTGGAATGTAGGTAAACTTGAAGTATTGAGCGGAAACCCGTATCATCATTGATAATAAGTCACGAAATGAGATTTAAAAGTAGGGGGTATATATTCGTAATTAGCTATCTAGGTAGGTAGCTTGCGGCATCAAAGTGAAGCTCCATAGACTATAACCGGCGACCCTTGCTGTGCCTTTCTCCTAACCCTTTGCCCAGCTAGCTATAGCAGTTGTTACTGACTTTCTTCGTTCATACTTTCCCCGATGACCTCTGACTTCCTACATAGGGTATACTGAAATTACATCGTAGGGATCAGATTCGGAAGAACCTGCCATGTCTTCATGTGCTGAAGTTTTAGTGCGGCTAGTTAGCTCTATATCTGAATCCTCCGATATGGTGTCGTCAGGATCGTCTACCATCTCAGCCTTCTTCTCGAGCGCCTTGCGTGAAAGTAGGACTACATCTCGAGCGCTAGAAAGCTGCTTCATACTCGGGTAATCTGGTGTTTGCTTCGTGTACTGGAAAGCAGCAGCGGTGAGCTTGGCGCTACGAAAGAACGGAAAGCCCCAGTGTCCTACATGCGATATCGCATGTATGAGGATTGTGAGGTCGATAGTTCGGATAAAATAGGGATCATCGTCCTTCTGGCGCTTTGATAGGCGAGTCATGTTTGATTGCGCCCTAGCTCTGAATGAGTCTCCGATCTGGTCGAATTATTTGCAATAAAAGCCTTGGCCAGAGAACTGATGCTTCACCAAAGAGAATAGATCATCAATACTCTTATGGCCTCCGATGTTTTGGGAGACCACAGTCTGCCATGTCTCAAAGAAGCGGCTTTCGTCATCGTAGTTGATTACTTTCCATGTCCGGGTGTCTCTGGTGCGCAATATGTTAACGTATTGGATGCATATCGCGAGTATCCCGAGATTTCCCATCCACATGTTCTGGTTAACCAGGCACTTGAGGTTATCCGAAAAATTTCTTGCGGGAAAAGGGTCGGGAACCCTCGAGCCGTCGTCTAGGTTGATTCGTCTATTCTCGATATTGTCGTATGCGAGTTGGTATTTGGGGCCCATGAAATCCTCGTATAGGCAACCGTACATCCGGGGAAATACGTGATAGAGGGAGTGGAAAGCTTCTCTCTCGCTTCGTCGTGGATTCTTTGACGGCTCCTTGCCATCCACCCTTACATGGTTTGGAGTGTGTTGTCCTATAAGGAGAGGTCTGAGTGGGTCTTCCGCCCACTCCTTTCTCAGTGATTGAGGCCACTCTGCTGAAAGGTTCATATCCTTTTTATCCTTCAAAGCTTGCGCAACGAGCCCCATGAAGCTACGATACGTCACAGGAGGCTTGTTTTGATTCATCCACTCAGCCGACGAATCCATCATCTCCTTAATATATCTTTCCTCGTTCTTCCAGATGGTTTTCATGATTCATGAAAACTCAGCTGGTTCGCCTAGCTCTGGTGCAGCAGTTCTACTTCCGCCGTTGGCGTTACTATGTACGTCATGTTTTGCGCGCTTCGCTGGGTTCGTCTTGCGCCGAGAAATCTGTTGTCGATGTTGGTCGGACTCACTCGCTTCTCCACTCTCGTATTCCTCATCATCGGAAGGACGTAAAATCTGCTTACGCTTTTCCGGGCGTGCAATCTCACTAGGAGATAAGGGACAAAGGTCTGCCGACCCGACGTCTTTTTGCATTGTGTCGTATGGAACTAGTTCGGCTAGTGGGAGGCTTATTTTTGCTGGAATCCCTAATTCACGTACCGTTCCGGCCAGGCGTGTTGATTCGCAATGTGGTTAGCAGTTTAACTATTGACCCTCACAATCGCCGTTACGTTTCACCTGGTTTTGGAGGATTTGCTGAAAGAAAAAGGTGAACCTGAAAGCAGATTTCATACCGGCGTATTAAAAGAAAGGAAAAGATTTTTTTTAAAAAAAAAAAATTGGAAGAGGTAAATAACAGTACGGTAGATTAGGGCAACGGCGATTTAGCGCGCACCTGCAGTAAGAACGCTGCACGGTACGCACTACTACCATGTGCATTTACACACATATATATCTACCTACCTAGGTAGGTAGGTACGCGTCAAACAACCACCAGGGTAATCCGCAGGAACATTAGTTGTCTAGGCTTGTTCTAGGTAAGCCATACTGATTATTCAAGAATTGCATGTAGTTTTGTGGGCTCCTGAGATCGGTTTGATTCAGGCGTAGAGGAGTAACGACTTGCGAGTTTGGCACCTACCTAGGTATTCAAGTAATTACCTAGGCAAGTACGCAAACATATGAGCCTTCAAGTGCTTCTAAAACTAAAAACTGTCTCCTTCAGTAACAAGCTCGTGGATATACGAGCGCAAATATTCCATGGCCTATGCTCTCGATGGATCACGTACCTCTCCTCAATTTCTACACCCACCCAAGTGTTTTTCTCTACCAATCATTAACGGCATATAAAACCATAACAAAACGTCAAAATTCGCACTATTCCGAAACCACCTGCAGTCTAACTACCTAAGTATTCTCAAAATATCGATTTTTTACGGCGGTCCAATAAGGTATAAACTGCCAATGCGCCAAAATGCCATGTGAATATACAGTATGGTGGTGTACTGTACTATGTCACTATAATTACAGGGAATTATATACTGAAATCCCCTATAAATACAGGGAGCTACAGTAGTATATACACTATATTTATGGTGGTTGAATTTATAGTACTTACGCCTCTATAAATACAACACATTACAACACTCCACTAAAATACGCTATAATTATAACGCTCTTTAGGGGGTACCTATATAGTGCTATATTTTATAATAACTTGAACCCTATAAAACACCATATTTACAACATATTCCAATGAAGTTTCAATAGAATGCTATAACTTGCTATAACTACAATACTCTACACCCTATAGAACCCTATAAATATAACACATTATAACATTTAATTGAAATACACTATAAATACACTATAGATGTGCTATAATTATAAAGATATGAGCATTGTAATACCCTATAATTACAACGCACTTTAGCACTCTACTAAAATCCCCTATAATTACAGCACTTAAAGCCCTGTAAATTTAATAATGACGGTGCGAAATGCTACCATATTGTAAGATTCTATTGTGTTTTGGCGCAATGGCAGTTCTTATTAAGTTGGCGCACGGTATATACGCTGTATTCTCGCGCATTGGCGGTTTATTGAAAACAGCGTATGGTATAGTAACTTGTTAAAAATTGTAGAGTTGATTCGATATTAAATCGACATTGAACTTTACCTCTGGCATTCTTCCTAGCTATGATCCAATATACTAGCTCAGAACCTGTCAAACATGTATTGATACGGATTGCGTCGCTTATGAATATTGGTATAGAACGCGCAAGATATGTCCTTCCGTCCATAATGCACTCCAGTCTAAGGCCCTTGAGCCCAAAGACCCAGAGGGAAAGAAGTACGAAGCCTATATATCAAACAACTTCGGCGAAACATTGCCTCAGAGTGCGCAGGTGTGGAGTGGGCTCATGAGAGTTCGCAGACGGTGCCGTTTGGGTTATGCTTGGCCTATTTTTGAACATGGAAAAGGCATTTTTTGACGGCAACGACTTGCACGCACTCATGGAGCGCATCGTAAATATCGAGTTCAAAATATGCCACGATATGCTGGGGATGGTTCACAGGCTTGAATCTATGACGGGCTTGGTGCGATCCAAAAACCCAATTCAAGATACCATACCGGAGCCGGACTAAGTCCGCCAAGTCTAAGTAGAATTGGCAGAGTCATGGATGTTAACATAGCATTTTTCGAGCGTGCGAGGCCATCGATGGGCTTGGAACTCCCCGCCGCCATACACGTAAAGATAGCTAGCGTCCCGCCAATAGACATCTCCGCATACTTTGAAGATGGCTCCCGTAAGAAACTATCCGTACTCTATACGCTGGTTACCAGGGATGTATGGGGTTGTTGAATATGGTCTCCAACTAAAATTCTCAAGGAGATTATCCACAGCTACCTAGGTACATCAAAAAGGAAGGTCCATGGCTCCTGAGATCAGAATAGCGTCCTGACATTGACTTATATGCACTACACAATATTAAAGAGCTACACTAGACTTACCGGCGCCCCCCCTACACCCCCCAAGTCTTTCCTTAGGTAGCTAAAGCTTTTCTTCTTTTTCTTTTTCCTTTTTTTCTCATTATTTATGAAAAATGCTGTGGGTAGGGGAGGCACGGGTGTGTTTGGGATTTTTCATACAGGCGCAGTTGCCACTTGTTAGTGTGTAAGTGGGGTCACCATTGTAACCTTAAGGAAGTATACGCAGGCTAAGCATTGCATAAAGTTATAAATAAATGAAGATATTTCGTAGATACTTATGTTTCGGGGTACTAGAGCCTCAATATTAGGTAGCACCTTCCTAGGTTCTGCTTCGGCATGGCGTTCCGGTGTGGCGCCCCACCGGTAATGCGGAGTACTAGTTTGGTCCGTACTCGATACTGCCGCTCCGAGAAATGAGTGGACCGTGCTTTCCTGAAACGCCCCTCCCCCTCGCCCCTGCAGCCGGATTTCATTTTATCGCGTTCGATTACAAACACCCGGGTCTTTGGTACATTTCCATTGTCCTATGTCATTCTGGGGGCATCTTCTCTCATAACATAAAGTCCCCATTGAATAAGACGGCCGCCGAAATTTGCAACAATATGGGATCTCCTAATTGCGAAGTACCAGGGGCAGGAACTCGCCCAGAAATTGAGGGAATGTTGGCCCGACGTTTTTGCTCGGACACCAGCTGAACGACGCCTTTGCTCTGCCCTTGATATCGTGAGATGGGTGGCTAGCATTGTGGCTGAGGATGAATCCTGCTCGCTGGATCTATTTTGTCCTTTGCAGATTATCCTCCTCGCCTTGATTGATTTCCCAATTGTGGAATATACCAACACTGACACAAACTCCCAAATCCATTCCGAAATTGCCTCCTGTGTCGGCCACCTCGTCCGTGATCCATATGACGGCAGTATGCCTGACCTTCTCGATATCCTAGAAAGCCCGCTGATGAAAAACAACTTTTGGGCACAGCCTTGCAACCTCTTGTATAAGTCTACGGTGTTAGAGCAACGCGACGGAACTATACATCCAATTAAAATCCCACCACAAAACATCGCCAAGGAAGGCTTGATAATCTTCGACGACCCTGCTAGATTAGCACAAACTGTTGAATGGAAACTAGGAAGAATTCAACTTCGCGATCAAGGAGCCTACCGATGTTACGTCCCATCACCCCCAGAGTTCCTTCGCTTCCGCTGGAACAACTCGGCATGGGTCGCACAGAACAGTGGAAAAGAGGCTCGCGACATTTTGCAGAAGTTGGAAATACGAACCAATGATACCTTGGATGAGGGTGGCCACCTTACGTTTCCCGCTATGATTATTCAATATCGCTTGATCTGTATAGCCAAGATCCCCGAGCCTGGAGAGGAACCCACGGCTACACAGATATTCATGAATGATGGCCATAGATTCTTCGGCCAACATGGAATCTGTGGAAGTCGGTTTTGGTCGCCCAATGCACCTGGAAGCTATTATTTAATATATCACAAATTGAATAAGTCTTCTACTGTTGCTAACGACCCTCTCTCTGAGCCGGCGAAACAGGACGAGGTACGTCGTGGGAGAAGAGGCCGTGGCAAGAACAGGGCTTCTAGTTCCACTCCCTTCAAAGCCGAATCTCTACCCGCCAGGCCGGAGTCCTATATCCCCTATTACGATCAAGCACATCAACCCCATGAAGAACGATCGCCATCTCGACATCCTCCTCGCGCGCGCGAGCACCATCGTCCTCGTGGCCGTGGCTATAGACCGAGGCCTTACCAAGACGTCCGCCGATTGCGAGATCATTCTCGAAGTCTCCGATATAGAGACGACCCCCGGGCCCGAGGCCGCTCAAGAAGCCCTAAATCTAGAAGCGACATCCGTCGCTAGGGCCGCTCACGATCACCCATGAAACCTTGCAGGTCTGGATGCCACCACCTCTGTATCAATACCAAAGAGGAAGTCGGGAACTAGGTAATTTCCGTTACCATAATTGTGTGGTGGCAATTTGGAGGATTTTGGGAGTAAATCTGCTGTTGCGCAGGCTTTGGAGCACTCGTAGACCTAGTTTACAACTTTTGCCTAAGAGAGGGCTTCACCGTGGATGGCGGAAATATACCACGGAAATGTATGAGAATAGGAAAAGGCACCTTAGTGTAGATATGTGTTAAACGATGATACTGAGATTACCCCGCCGTCGCCGCCGCCCACGGTTGACCCGCTGTGCTAATAGTGAAGAGATCGAACATGCATTAGAGATATGTATTGACCTAATGAAGGGTCGACGCGGTGCGTATCGACGGTCAAATATACAAAATACATGTCCCTATCTATTAAATTAATTTTATATTCATCGTTCGACTTATGGCAGGAGTAACTACCTAGAATATCCTTTGAGGGGACCCTTTGCTTCCACCTATGTTCTACAATGCCTAGCAGCAACTAGTATCCAGACGTGCTATCTCTGAGTATTTAGCACTAAGGTAGAGCATCGTGAGTAGGAATCGCTATTTAGCCCGGGGTAGACTCGGAATGAGATACAGACGTGATTTCATTTCAACTGACTCTTGACTAGCTCTCAGACGCCTTATGATTCCCGGGCACAACCAATACTTCATTTAACCATGTTTCGAGTCAAAGACATACTAGGAAGTATCCGTTTCTCTAGAGGTAAGTTACTAGCTTCCAGGTTCGAGAACCCCTTTTTGAAAATCACAATATTATTAATCCATAAAACAGAAGCAAGGGGGTATTCCAAGGTACCATCACCATCGAACGTTTCCGCCTAGTGAGTAGAGCATTGTGGAATGCGAGTGCTCGGTAGAAGCAAAAGGACAACCTGAGGGTCCTAGTAGTGGACTCCTTTCGAGGATTCGAGGAATAGGCAGCAAGGGATACGAAAATCCAAGCCTCCAAAATGACATATAGAAATGTAGGGGCAGTTACAGCCAAGCTCGACGCCAATGATGATGACAGGAGGAACTGGAAGGAACGAGAATCGGATTCGCCAAAGGCAACCGTTTTCGATTGGACACGATTGGACATAATGAATGGATTCTTCAATTTCAAATCGAGGCGGTGTAGCAAAAGTTTCCCTTATACTACGTTACTCTTAACCCGGACACCCTTTGAAATGAGTCAAGATAGGGGAATAGAACTATATGAGGCTGACAAATTCAATCGTACTCGTATGCGAATAGACGGGATCACGCCAGCGCAGTCGTCTCAGCTCTGCGGCGTAGTTTCTCGGGTGGCTTACCAAACCGAGCAGGCGGTGCGAAGGCCGATATTCAAATTCGGAATCGGAACAATGATCGGAGGAAAGAGTTTGCGGATTTCTTGATCGGAAATACGGAAGACGGGTTTGGTTGAGGGTTAGAAAGTGTCTGCCTATTCTATGATCCAAATATTCGTTCTCGTTTCTCGTCAAAAGTCTGGTAACGACCAAAAAAAGTCAGTCAAATCCTTTACATGGGGTTTTCAACTCAGCTCGCTAAAATTATCCCGAACGCGCAACCTTGAAGCGCGCAGCGTTTCCGCGAAACGAACTTTCTTCGAATGTTGTATTCCGAGAACGAATTTGTATAACTTCTGGTTCGTGTAACCGAATTTTAAGACCAAACCCCGACACGCTATACTGGTTATAGATTGATAGAGTTGTCAGGAATGTCAGTAATGGGGGAATGTGCGTCAGATGTTAACTATCAACCCATTTTGGGGGACCTCAACTACTCTTGGCGATTCAGACGTGGGTTCCTCTCAAAATATCTTCTAATGAGGTTACTTTCGGGCTTACATCATAGCTTCCGCGATTACAGCTGGCAGCTGAGCCACGATTTTTGGATAATAAGCACAAAATCGAAATATGACTATCATACCTTTAGGTAATGTATGAAGGCGTGTTGAATCCATATTGGTCGATGAAAATATTCATAACTTGATGTCTGTTGATGGAAGAAGAAAAAAAAGAAAAAAGAAATAAAATGATGGAGGCTGCCGGAACAACTTGGGGCTTATCTCACTGTACGACCATCGTAAGAGAACCCCCGCAATACAAGTACCTTTAAAATTTCCAGTACATACCTTGCGACATTACTGATCTATCTTACCTAGGTACTTACAGAAATAAGTGTAATAATTCCAAATTTTAGGCCCAAGGTGCCGTCTTGCTTATGGATCTTTTGAATACCACGTGGATTTGCTTTTCGTATGAAAATCATAGCTTCACCGTTGTGTTATGTCGGATTGAATGGTACCTTGATTCAGCGGATAGAAAAATTAGCATGTATTACCTACCTAGAGTTATGCAGCAGTGACTCAGCCCCTAATCTCCAAAATGGTCTGTAAGTAAGATCTACATAAAAACCTATCAGTAAAGAGATCAGAAGGATGAGATACTCCATACCTACTGGAAGAAGTCTAAATTTCGCGGTTCGTCCTGATGAGAAAAGGGGGAAGGTTCCGTGATAATTGTCAGCAATGGAAAAACCGGATCGTCGGGTTACACAATCTTAACTGGCGGGGAGGGTCTTGTCTGGGGAGTCGCGTGGCAACTCAGCCAGGGGTAGAAAAGAGCCATTGCTTTTTGTTATCCCGTGTAAGCGAGGGGAAATAAAAAGTCCCATGTCTTGTGCAACATGATTAAAATTGCAACCGAATTTAGTTTCTTATTGGATGATATCCGAGCGCGTTGTCTGCCGAAAAAAAGGCGAGTCTTAACGATACGTTTGCATTTCGACACTGACGCATGTATACAAAACACGTAATTACATTTGTCTCATATTTGCGAAGAAAAGTTCAAGAATATAATTGATCTTAGGTAATATATATCGGCACTATATCTATTTCATGTCGTACAAAGTAAGAATAGCGGGCATAAACGTTACGTGATTGATAGATCATTTATGCGCCCAAGAGAGATGACATGCTTGTCGTCCAGTCGGATTTTAAGAGTGCCGTCACCATTAGGATATCAAGAACCAATGATAGAACCACATAAGCATACCTAGGTAGTATGGATGTATGTATATTTGCCCGGTTTAATTTTATGCATCAATCTATAAAAAACCATTTTGTAATATGACTCTATAACGTTTCGGTTTCGCATTCGGGAAACATTAAAGATAACCATACATTGAATACCGAGATATTTGAAACGAGCAAGCCATCGGCACCAATTAATATGTGCTATTCATAATCCGAGGCTGATGTGAATGCCTCGTAATGGCTGGAACTTTTCATTTGATCTAATTAGATCTTCATAGGTACTTAATTGATACATGTATGCAGACACTTCAAATTGGTAGTACTCCGATAGGTATATAGCGTCACATTGACATATGCCCGCGCGCTTCTAAGGTAGTACGAGATAACTAACAAGTTCTAGCGGTCTGTGTTGGTAATACAATGGAGACAAGAACATGGTTGTAAGTGTAGTTTGTGTCACAGAAAAATCTCAGCCAACTCAACAATTGGTGCTGTGACGTGGAGACTTGGGCCATGCTTGGTTGCACAAGAGGATTAACAAGTTTTTGTTAAGATATTAAACGCGGGACGGTGTAGAATAACATTACACCCTTGTATGGCTAGGTATCTAGGTACGAGTAAGAAATGAGGAAATAAGAAAAGTAAAAATAAAAATAAAGATGGGAAATTATATTGTTGATATCAGTAACCATAGATGACCTGGGTAGAATATTGTACTTCAAACCATTTTCCGTCATGACGAGTTTTCGGAAACGTCCCGTGTCAACATACCCCAGGTAAGATACTTCTATGGGGTACCTGGCTAAGTGACCATTCAACAGCCGCGGGAGGATTGTCGAATCCTACGCTTTTTTAATATGTGTAACACGATAGAATACAAGGTGAGTAAATGCGGTGGCGCAAGGCATAAAAGGTGAATAATTGTGGACATCTCGGGGTTCAGTCGGTTCCGACGCCACAAGAACAGAAAGACGGAAATACGGTATAATTCTGTGTAACACCAATGTATACATGTAGCGCCTAAATATGCGCCTAAGTATGCGCCAATGTAACGAATTTAGCGCTAAATCCCCCTTCAGCATCCTTCAAATAAAGATGAAAGGTTGCCTAGCTCGCGAGTTCGCGTCTATCACTTCCGACAAAATTGCGAGGGTATTTTGGGGGGCGTTTCGGGACCGGACGCTGACGTATTTAGTTACACATACCAACTTTTCCGTATTATTTTCCAGGAAACTATATCTATATCTTTCCGTTATACTGAGTATCTCAATTATGGTATGGTTTATAGGATAATAAGCGACTCATTTGACATAATATTGGTTGTTTTAAGGTTGTAGCTTGTTTCGTATGTCAACCAAGTCAGAAATCATATCAGATCTTGGTGGGGAGCGGAAGTCCTCCGCAGATGAGGGTTCAATTAATAGATACCTTCATGGCCTCCATGCGGTTCCTATCGGGGTAACTTACCAAAATATCTAATAGTATATTCGTATGTATGTTTCGTAAGTGATCTAATCATGATCTTAAATGGTCGGCGATTTTTTATGAGACCCATGTGGCAGGAATGTTGTCGTAGGTGGCTTGATGATGAGCCAAATAAAAGGGAAAACGCCTTGGCTTGCTCTAGACTTCTCATTTGCCGATCCATGCTGACTCCAAACAGCCTAGCCTGTCTGCCCCGAGGACAACCCCGGACTCTATTACGGTAGAATGGTCTGGATCAATATCTAGGTCTTTTTGAATTTGGCGTTTTCATCTCTATAGGTCATGATACCTTTAACACCCTTCGAGAATGTTAAAAACATGTGACTGCACAACTTTCAACTTTGCAATCGCCAATCATAGAAGAATCGGATGCTCTATTTTTTCCAACCACGTGTTTTCATCACAGATCGGCTAGCTCTTCCCTTTGGCCTAGCCATTCATCATTTAGACTCATAAAGTAGTAGATGTCGCTTAGGTAGTCTTGGGAAGATATCAACAATACCCCTTAAATCCCCACATGACGCCTTAACACTTCCCAACCCCTAAGCCTTCAGTATCCATATCAAAGGAGTATCTCGTTCGGTCTCAAGTTAACTACAAATACGCCGTTTCTAATCTTAACGGAAAACAATTTCAAGTCAGCACTTGTTTTCGCTAAAACGTATAGATACTTCCTCATATTCGTGTCAAGTAAACAATGTATCATGATATGGAAGCCTAGCCACGCCACGAGGATAGGTAAATCCCTGATGAGAATGAGGAGCAGCAATAGTAGCTGAATGTACCGTAGGATGAATCAACAATGCCGATATGCGCATGGCGAATGCAAAAAACCTTCCTATTCGATGGTTCCACACCATTGGATCGGTACTGGATGCACACCTTATCAATTGTAGTAAGCCCGAAGCTAAGAGCGGGAAACATACTGTCGAATTATGTTCGCGAAGATTTATAAAATGTATATATTCGTATCTATATTATAGGAATACGAATGGAATGGCCACCTGATCCCCGACCATGACTCTTATTTTGGTTCGTATTCATATAGATTGTTTCGGGTTATAGACTGCGCCCTCACCGGCCAGATTATCTTGTAAAACTTAATTTAAGTCAGTAAAATGGCTGGTGAAATAGTTTAAACGTATAGGTAAGCTAAGATCGGATCAGTTCCATATAACGTAAGTCCAATGTAGTATTAGACGGAAATTCCGCCTAGAATGATTATTTTGCATTAAAATGCGGCTGACAGACCAATGTTATCATAAGTATCCTTAACTTACTTACTAGTCAATACTTTCTTCAGCTAGCCGCGTAAGTCTATCCGTAAATCAACGTTGTGTCACCATACGTTTTATAGAAGGCTTTGAATTTGTGTAAGGATTGGATGAAAAAGCATGAAATGACAAGGCGAATGATTGCGACGATGTCAGTGACGATATCCCGACCGCCGGCATTGACAGGTTCCGCTGGCATTTATTACTTTGGCTGACAAATGAGGAGTCGATACCGTTGCCTCGAGATTGTTCTTTGCAACCCCCATACCGTTGTATAAATCCATCACCGTGGGCAACGCCACGTGAAAGGTCGTGTAACCGGACACAGACCGGAAGTAATGAAATATTGTCGATTAAAAGGTGTGGGTGGTATACCTAGAGAGTGGACAGCATGATCGTGGCGTCTGCAGTACGCAGGTCTGGGGCTTCGAGAGATCCACAAATCTTCGTTTTTTTCTATTATACCTAAGTGACCGGTGTCATGGCAGGGAACCTTTGTAAAGTTAACCACACCTCTTTTAGATGTCCGATAGTTGAAACGGACACCACGAGGGGAAAACCATCATAGGACTCAAGATATATGTTTGTTTCAGAATATTTTTGGAAATGGTCAATTTCCCCAATTCCGAATGCGAATATCGATGTCGACCTATAGATAGAGCGTTGATATCAGGTTGAAGATACCTAGGTGGGTCTAAAGTCCGAGCACGTGGTATGCTATCATGTTCTCAAACGCCCATAGCTACCTAGATATGTAGGTATCATGGAATGTACTCCTGCGGGGAATTGGGATTATTAGGAGTGTACTTACATGTATTTAAGTGGTAGCGATAGTTTCAAGGGCATTTATTGCTCGAAGAGTGGGTGGTTGTAGTGAATACTAGACCCTGAAGAATCATAAAGTATCGGGTACAAGATGACATCCCATGCAATGTCATAAGTAGGTATGTAACCAAATAGGCGCGGAAGTCGGCCGAATTTGAAATCGCGGTCGTACGAGAGAATAATTAGAGGCTTCCAAAAGTTCATCTTAAGTTGTCGAATCAAGCTTCGAAAGTGTCGGGTCCCACCCCCAACTCCAACTCCTCCAATGCAGTTCCCGAGCCCCACCAAAAGCCGCCATTTCGTTCGGAGCCGTCGACGGGTACTAAGGTACTGCGCACGTACCCATCAGGTATATGTACCTTTTTTTGGTATGGCTCTTTCTCGGCTCTATTTCCCCCTGCTAACACAGCCCTACAGGGCGAAGGGGGGCGTACAAAGAACTTCCCTTGTCAGCGTTATGGTCTGTATGACCGATTTGTTCGTTCGACACCCCCCAGTAGACTTTTTTTATTTTTTTAACCCGCCATCACACCTTGTGCAACCCGGGCGAGAGAGTCATTCAGGAGACGAATAATATTCTATACATGCTAGGATTGTACAGCTGACAGCATGCAGATCAAAAGATATTGGTTCCTTACCTAGATTCGGTTTCATTTTGTCATGTATTCGTAATGCCGATAGGTTCCTACAAGTGTCGCGGTGAAATTTGCACCCCGCTGCCATCTGTCAGGAACTGGTGGGAAATGATTTTTAGGGGAATTCCTTGGCGTTGCTATACTTGTCCCCTTATCGACCATGGCTCGCTTCCTGTGACGTATGCATATATATAGAATGGATAGGTGTATATGTATGCATCTAGATGCAGATGGATTATGCGTGGATGTCGAAGCGAAGCTTTGTTGTGCAAGATTATGGGTACAGTTTCCCGTCTGGAACTGCACATCGCATAGCTATCCTTGCAGGATCTGAGCTGGAAATTCTTTATATTCCACGGGAGCCCACCCCCAGTCCTACCTTCGAGGTAAATCGACCTCAAAGATAACCTATTTTGTTGCACGTCGCCTTGAAGGTCACATCATATCTGACAGGTTCGTTTTCTCATAACTCGGCTAACCCAACTTCGGGCACGCATGATGTAATATGATAGCTTTTTTGATCCACTCACACGCCTTATAGATTCCAACGTTCAAAATGGTCGGTGTTCCTGGAAAATACAAAGGTTGTAATACCTGCCGAGCTCGACGAGTCGCATGCGACAACGGAAAACCGTTTTGTAAGAAGTGTACGGATTATGGCCGTGAATGCGGTGGATACGAAAGGGAGGTCAGTAACTAAAATCCTTGGCTGTTAATCCGGATCGGCCCAAGGAGTAGTCTACTCCCGAAAAATAGGAATCCCGAGTCAGCTTCCCCTTGATCCTACTGCCGACCATGCATCTCTAGTGATTTATGCGAAACTGCAGAATCGGATACTGACATTTGAGTGTGAATTAGACGGTTTTCATTGTCGGCACGCCGGACGATAAGGGAAGGTGTTCTTCCCATCCACCACGGAACCAGGGTAGCAAGAAGGCGAAGGGCAACGAAGTCAAACAAGCCGAAAAGCTAACTTTCACCGCGACCGAACCCTATCAACCTGCGTGGGTTGACATGATCTCGTTATCGTCAACTGCTGGATTACATCACGTTCGGCTTTTCGCTGTCCAAACAAATCTTAGCTCCGCCGTTCGAAATGGTAGTGGGTCACCACGAAGGAACGAGGTCTTGTTGTCTTTAGGTGGCCCTCGCAGCTTAAGCATGAGTCCGACGTTTAGCCCCGAAACTTTCAAATTGAAGTCTCATTGTCTCGTCCATTTACCGCCGAGAAGTAGTAACAATAGGCAAATGGCCAATAGCGATTCGGAGGGGTTGTGTATATTTTTATATGAGGTATGACGATAATGGTGATATCTAGTTCGTTGTTGTTGCTGATTTTTCGTTGTAGCAAAATTCTTCGGCGGCTTACAGTGGTGAACCGCCTTGGAAAGATCCTGCCGTCTTAGCTGACCAGATTCGCGAACGGGGTCCGACCGCTTATCAATCTTTTCCAGACCATCACTTTTTCGCTCGGGTGTACCGACCTAACGCCGTAAGCACTCAACCACGCTGGAATCCCCAATAGCTAACAATTCAATAGATTTGGGCGGCTTTATTAAATCGGCAACCAACCTTCCTCTGTTCGCCTGAATGGACAGTCGTGCCTTGGGAACGTCATCCAAGAACCCCGCTTGACGATCTTCTCGACATCGTCGTCCTGTTACCGTCGATATATTCGAGAGCCGATCGTATAACACCGTTGGAAGCGAAAGTTGCTCGTCGTATGAAAGCCAGGGACCTTTTATATAACTGTCTTAACATCGAAAGGCAATTTGATATTTGGTATAGCATGGTACATCAAAGGGTTGATGAGATGGGATCCCCGCTTTACTGGATAGTCGACGCAATGACCAGTGGTGCATACGTGCCCTTTTCCGACGCGTTTAACTTCCCTACGCCATTAATGGGATTAATTCATGTCTACTATTGGGCTGTTCTTATTGGTTTCCACCAATGTATGTATACGCTGTTGAACGTCATCTTCGAAACCGAGAATGAGAGCCCTTCCGGACCAAACATGCTATCGGATATACCACCTGGGATAGATTTCCAACGATATCAGCCGGATCAGTCAAGAATCCTCGCAGCCAACGTTTGTCGAAGCTTGGATTTTGCTCTTCAGACCACGGGACAACCGGATCTCCTAGCTGCACCGTTTTGTGTTGTGAACGAATTTTATCATGGGCTTAATCAGTTTGGAGATGGTAATTTGGAACGATTATGGTGTGCTGGATTCAAGAGTAGAATGGAAGTAAAAAGTCGTGAAGTGAATTCATGGTTGGAGGAAAAGAAATGGGTTGAAATCAGGCAGTTTGGATAAGTTAGTTAGTTGAGTACGGATGGATAGATGGCGGCATTAGCGGGGATATACCAGATATAACGGCAAGGTAGGAAAATTGGAGTATGGATTTTCAATAAACAACTTCATTCTGTATAAGTGATATTAGAACCCACGAACAGTGAAGTCTTAAAAATAGACTTGAAATATGGAAATTGTTTTGATACTTCGAGTTTGTAAATTGTAAATATCCTTGGTCGCTTCATGCCGAGGTGATAAACATTTGAAGCTACTGTAAATAAAGTTTAGGTACTAACTATATCAAGTAGGTGGGAATAAAAGTCGCTTAACCCTTTTTAGTCTTATCTTATCCGACAGCTTAATCTGTGGCGTGGTAGGTAGTGGCTAGAGCTTACATCGGGGTAGACCCATAGTGGCTCGAGCTTCAGGCGTCGGTGTTTTAGCGTTTAGCTGCAGGGAGCTTCGTAACTCTGGCAGCCTTGTTCGATGTTGTATTCCTTGTGTATTCCGCAGACCTCACTGAAATCATCAACCAACTTTGAGCTTCACCTTAATTCTCAACTCACGCCATTTTTCACACCCGTTTCTAATTATTTTCGCTTCACCCATTTTGACGTATTAAATCATGGCGTCAGGCTACGATAGAGCTCTTTCCGGTATGTTCCCCTCAGTAATATTTACAACGTCAAAGTAGCTTAGCTAACTCAACTTGTCTACAGTGTTCAGGTTCGTATCTAACGCGATCGTCTCCCGGAACTTAACTTTTAACGATTATATAGTCCGGATGGACACGTTTTCCAGGTCGAATATGCCGGTGAAGCCGTAAAACGAGGTACGCACCCGTTCTAGGTCGCTCATTGTAACGGAACCGTCTAACTCGATGCTAGGAACTTGCGCTGTCGGTGTGAAGGGTGCAGATATCGTTGTCCTCGGTTGTGAGAAGAGATCAGCAATGAAGTTACAAGACACGCGCATTACTCCTTCCAAGATCGGTCTTATCGACACCCACGTTTGCCTCGCCTTCGCCGGTTTGAACGCCGACGCTCGAATTCTAGTCGACAAGGCACGTCTAGAAGCCCAATCGCATCGTCTAACCGTCGAAGATCCCGTCTCAATCGAATACATTACCAAATATGTCGCCGGTGTGCAACAGAGATACACACAGAGTGGTGGTGTTCGACCTTTCGGCATTAGTACCATGATCGTGGGCTTCGACAAGGGTAGCAAAGTACCACGACTCTACCAAACCGAACCGAGTGGTATCTATTCAGCATGGTATGTTTCCCTTGAGTTCTAGAATACTACGGCGCGATAATCCTTATGCTAATGTGTTTTTGTACAGGAAAGCAAACGCTATCGGTCGTTCTAGCAAGACCGTACGAGAATTCCTCGAGCGCAACTACAAGGAGGATATGGATCGCGAAGCCACCATCCGATTAGCCATAAAGTCCTTACTAGAGGTTGTCCAAACAGGTGCGAAGAACATTGAGATTGCCATCATGGCTCCTGGCAAGTCCGTCGAAATGCTGCCTGTCGAAGATATTGAGGGATACGTCAAGAACATCGAGCAAGAAAAGCAGGAAGAGGCGGCCAAGAAGAAGACCGGCCGAACACCAGGTACTGGCAGCGCAGCCATCTTAACAAGAGAACGGGAAGGTGGCAGTGATTAAACATGAGATAGCCGCATGTTGTAGCTGGAGTTCTTGGGCTTCCTTGAAAGGAAAAAGGGATTCGTAGAGGATATGATCACATTAGCAACTTGTACACTACCAACACAAGCATGCATTGTTCCTCAATTTCTTGTTCCTTGTGATTTTGTTCTCCCCTTAAAAGTCTAAATGTGTGGTATCATGTGAAATGCATCGCTTCGCAACCTGTAATCATCCCTCCCTGCCTTTTGCCTTGATTTGCTCTCATCAACCCAATTTATCCGCATCGGTTTGGATGTCAAAAATCGATCTGTTTTGACTATCCTTCACCCGATCGTCTTTTAGCATACGATTATTTACTCGGGCATCTTCTCCTTCTACAGTCAACGCGGGCTTAGGTATAACGGCTTCGATAACGAAATGGTTGTCGCAGTGGGGGCAATATTCATCGGCTTCTTCGAATTCTTGGGCGTCTTTGCGGAAACACTTTTTACACTTTTTGCAGGCAAAGGTCATCTCGAAGGTTTGTAGTAATTGATGCGATTCCTGCTCATGATGACATTCTGCGCAATCAAACCATTTTCGGCCTATATGGGTAAGGTTAGTGCGATGTCGAAGGATATTCCGAAAACTAAAGATGTCGAAAGTATGTGTTGTAGAGGGGCGAGGAGCTTGGGAACGTACAGCACGGCGAGCGGATCGCAACTTGGGCGTTTAATACGTGCTTGCTGCGAGATGATTAGACTATATATGAGAGCCAAAGTCTAAATGTCGCAAACTTACCACATGTTGTTTTTAAGCGACAATATAAGGAGTGTATTAATAAATATTTCCGGTAGTTTACGAATAGAGAGCAGACGTAGAGAGTGATGTTAGTCGCAAGCCTAGAAACCCGAAATTTTGGCAATGGAAGTTCCTAATCAGTCTCCTTATCCACCAGTGGAGTACGCTAATTACCTTATGCGGGGTATCATTCATACAACAAGTTCAGGGCTATTAGCGCTGCTAAGTCCACTAGAACCCTCTGAACTACCACCCTACAAACCTATCGTTCACAACTCTTCCGAAACTTCTTTTACTACGAGTAAGTCGACAATAAACGTCAATTACTATTTCCTCAGCGATTCTTTTTGTTTGAAGTCAATCAATATGGGTCCAGGAATAAAAGTCGTATCGTTAGTCGCCCAATCAAGCCGCGTTCGAGAAAACGAGAATACCGGATTCTAACCCTTGTCCTCGGCATCGAAGTAAAAACACGACACAAGCAAAGCGTATATCCGTGAATATCACAATAGATCAATTGCGATCAATTATACCTAATTCCACCGTCATCTTTGAATATTATTTTAGCCGTTTCATAGATATCCTCCGACAATCCTCAAAAAACGCCAACCATTTCTACTTGTTGGCCTCTTGACACGTCCATCGTACCCTAAACGTTCGAAACTCGACTTCCGTTTCCAGTTACACGGCAAACAAACCCAATTTCAAATGTATTTAGATACATGTTATCGAAAACTAATAAATTATAGGCCACAATGAAGCAATCGGGAAGGCAGGTGTTAGAATTAGGTTCCGCTCCGATTTAGTCCTCTCCTAGCGGCCGATCTTCCGACAACATTCGGAGCGGGGTGGGTCAACAAGTCGCATGTATCAACCAAATAAGAGAATGAATAAAGCTTGATATGAAGAGCTCGTCGATCAATGGCTCAGCTAAATCCCGAAGTAGGAATCTATTTAACGTACTAAATCTTTTGAGCCGAATACAACGTAACCACCAAAACAAGATGACCTTCGAATTCCGGATTACCACGGTTGAAAATTTATATTTCCTCCGACATCCTACGGTTTGACGCTTTGCCCAGATAGGACATTTTTCTTTCGGCAAGGAGAGCCTCTCCACCGGAATGGCAAAGCTCATCAGCACACTGAAGGATGCCCTGGAATGCATGAGATAACAGACCAAGCGATAGTAGTAAAATAAGAACTATATTTCTTAGGCAGCTACAAGGCCTAGATACCTCGATACAACGTTCAACATCAACACACATAACAACTCTCCTACTCCAGTAGTATCTTGTATATTTCATTAGGTTTAGCGGTAGGCAAAACTCCAATACAAGAGATGGTAAAGTCTTGTGTTTCTTGTATTACAAGTTCGGTTTACCCGCTCGGACACCGGATCGAAGAGGGGCCACTCTCACGCTGCTCAGCTAGACGAACTAAAATCAATGCAAGATACCACAGCATAAGTGCAACGCAATCCAGATTTTCAAGCAAGGCTCTACCGATATCTGTATGTGGATATATATTTATTTATCCACTCCTAGTCAACTAACAGGGAAAAAGGGGGGCGTAGCTGTTAGGGGAATCAAGCTACTAATTCTTCCGTAGATATGAGCCCTGATTTATAATCGTGTTACTGATGGATTTATAAGCCGCTCCAATACTAACGTAGATAGTTATCATTTTACTTCTTTCTCTGCAGATCAAATATTTGACTCGGTATGATGAACCAATGTTATCAGAGATTCAATTCGATGTATGTTTTAGTGAGGCACTTCATCTCATTCCTGCTAAACCCCTCAACCAATCAGATATGAAGTACTATCCGTTAATACCCTATATAGGCAAGAGATTTTAGTTACGTAGCATCCTTGAATCGAAGTGGATCATATTCCTGCGGTGGGGATCGTCCAGAGATCATGAATATAGTTATGATACGTTCATGTATCTATGTTTTTAATAGTTCAGCAACGCGGCCATCTCGAATGACCTCTCACGAACTCGGTCTTTAGGAATAATACGTGCCTAACCTCCGAATATCAAGTAGGAGATGGTTGTGTCGGGCTTTAAGTTCGGTTATACCCAGTAAAAACCGACGTCCAGGTACTCAACTGTAGGTAGGCGTACACATCCTCATCGTGCCCTATGGAGAGAAGTGTACGTATGATTATATAACCATGCTAGAGCTATATATTTGAGGTGTCCCCATAGTGCTTAACCTGAAATCCCGTCCGAGCTCTTCTTGTTGTGATTTTGTTCTCATACTTTCAACAAGGCCCGATATTCATCTATAGAATCAAGAACCCATCCATGTTTAGCCGCCTAAATCATATCCTCCAAAAATTCCTTCACATATCCTCAATGGCGAAGTCTTACGATACAAATACCACTTCTGACGAACTTATTAAAGATTTTGGTAACGAAATCAAGGGCAAGATTATTCTAGTTACAGGGGTCACTCCTGGTGGCCTCGGAGCTGTGTATGCCGAGTTCGTCTCAAAGGGTCAACCAGCCCTAATTATTCTTGCAAGCCGCAATCTCGAAAATCTTGAAAAAGTAGTAGAGAAAATTAACGCAACATCTCCTGGTGTTAAAACCCGTCTTCTACAGCTTGATTTAGGTTCCTTCGTCAGAGTACGAGAAGCTGCTGATGCTGTAAATTCGTGGGACGATGTACCCAAAATCGACGTCGTGGTTAACAATGCTGGTCTCATGGCAACAGATTACTTCTTGACCACCGACGGATTCGAGAGCCAATTTGGTACTAACCATCTAGGCCATTTTCTCTTTACCAATTTGATCATGAAGAAAATTCTTGCCTCCAAGGCTCCTCGGATTGTGAATATCACAAGTGACGGCCATCGACTTAATCCTATTAGGTGGGATGACTATAACTTCGATGTTTGTCTTCCTAGCATAGCTTTTTCTTGTTGTATATTCATTTCAATCGTCCCACTAACCCTGATATAGGACGGCAAAACATACAGCAAGTGGCACGCCTATGGCCAGTCAAAAACTGCCAATATGTTGATGGCTGTATCACTCGCCGAGAAATTAGGAAAAAGAGGATTATTGGCATTTTCGGTACATCCAGGGACAGTTGAAGGCACCAGCCTCGGTGCATACTGCAACTGGGAGGTAGATTACCCAGCTTTGAGTAGGGTTCCTCTATTATGCTCTTGACAGACTACTTAGTGCTAACTAGTTTCAGTGGCCGCTGACAAGGCTCTTGGAAACCCTCAAGGATGGGCTACATCATTCACATTCAAGTCCCAACAGCGGGGTGTCGCGTCACACATATTCGCCTCTTTTGCCCCTAATCTGAAGGGTATGTATTTGAAGAAAGCGTGGAAGGCGAGTACTAATTCGAGCGTAGAACACAACGGGAAGTACATCCTTGATTCAAGAATTGGTGATCCTTGGAAGGACACGATTAAACCTTGGGCTACGAGTAGTTTGGAAGCAGAAAGACTTTGGAAGTTGAGCGAGAAGCTTGTTGATCAAGAATTTAGCTATTAAGTTTGTTGCCGATGGTATTCTCCTGTCAAAGCCAGAGGTTAACACAAATCAGCTTATTGATGAGATAAATTTGGAGAAACACAGCGGTTGAAACAAAACAGACGTGATGAATCCGTATTCTCATTATTCAGCCCTCATGTTCCCGTCTCTCATTACGATCAAGCCCAATCAGGACAGTCCATCCCACGACACCCTCATTAGACCTAGGCGTAAACTAACCTACCAAAGAGCCACCCCACCAAGACGTCTCTTAGACCTGTTATTTATTTATTATTCGAATCTCGGTACTAGGCTAAGTGGTTGCGACGATTGAGACGGGCGATGCTCTTGTCCCTATGCCTGAGTACGACTCCGTCCTCGGTATGTAGGATTCATATCCTGAAGCAGCACTAGCTCTTGAAGCAATTGAATCTTCCGAAGCTAAACCGCCATGGTCCTCGATGTACGCCGTGTCGGCCAGCAGTGACGTTGGTACCGAAGTGTCGACCACCAAAATTCTTGGAGTAGAAGAAGGGCATTGTTTTTTATGTTATGTGTATGTTACTTGCTAGGTTGTCAGCTTAGAAAAAGGTGATATTTTGGCAAAGGCTGATAGTCTGGGGTATATCTTACTGTGTGTGTCTCGTCGAGGTTCTTGTATAGGATAGAGTTGGCGGTTCTTAGGATTCGAAGATTTAACTCAAGATAGTCTACTTTTTCAAAAGCTTTTAAGCTACTTATACCAGTTTTAACTTGGTAAATTATTCGTAGAAAATACTTGATAATGATATGAAGAAATACTTGAACTCGAACGAAGAATTGTAGACTTACACGCACTACGTCATATGTGGAACAATAGATCTGGGCAGTGACTACATATGTATGTGGGTACCGAAACAGGGATCAAAAGGGCTTGGCAGATTTAGCATAACGCCACGGCATTTGCCACAACCCAAAGCCACTCTGCCGCTTAGATGACTCAGCCATGCCGCATCGATTTTGATTACTTAGCGCTGTTTACTTTCGGCCTTCTCCACTCTCACCACGAGATATCTGACAACCGGCAGCTAAAAACATAAGACGCGTTACAACTACGCGATGTCCTAATTCCTTGAGGTAATTGCAATCAGATTCCTTATATATATTTCTCAGAACGGACTAAACCCGTCAGAAGCTCTTTATTGGCACTGAAAGCGAAGCTATGAATCGGTTAACAGTTTCGATAGATGTGCCGTTCATGACGGCTAGCTGTCTACCACCATCACTATGTTTTGACTCAAGATTGCGGCTTAATTTGAAGTCGTCAATATCCTAGGTAATTCAATCAGTCAAAACCAGATTATAAATCAGCCGTTATTCAACACTAGAAATTCCCACCAATGTAGAAAAGCCCTCATGACGCCCAGGTCTAATCAGCCAACTCGCTCGCCACCATGGCCTGCTCCCTATCGCTACCTAGCCCGTCCCTTTGAGGCAGCAGCGGCATCTAACTGGATTCGATGAAGTCATCCGCCAAGCGAAGCGTCTCGACGCCCGCACTGCTGAGCTGTTCTCAGTCTCTGTATGCCATGATAGGATGACTTTTCAAGTCCGGCTATCAGGCGTAGTAATCATTATTCCACGCCTTTATTAAGCCTTGTGACGCTTTGATACTGCTAACCGCCAATTAGCTTCTTGGCCACTCCAGGCACGCAGACTAGACCGGTGAATCTGAAGGCGCCACAATGTTTAGCATAAAAGAAGTAGGATTCCGAAAATAACACATCGAGATAGTATTTGGTCTCCTTTGCCTATCCCATGGGGAGGCTCATCTGTTTTAGCGGGGAGTCGAAGCACGTGCGGGTACCAATCACGGCTCAAAAGGCTCCGATGGATAAAAAACCGATTCCTGGACTTTCGATCCAGCCTCCGCACTTTATCTCGAGCCGGGCCGTCGGGCTTGCTATTTTCCACCTACTAGGATACGCGCATGGATAGTAGCCGCCTGAAAATAAGACCGCCATACGGGAACCATTGCGGTGTGTATGCCGTCTGGTTCGAAAGACTAAAAAATATAGAAAAGAGTAACGGCGATGAGCTATAATACCCATGATCGTCGCTTCACTAACGTAAAAATTCCCCTACCAAATGCTTCTCAGCATCCGACGTATCAAAATTAACAATCAGTTGTTCCCAAGTAGTAATAACTTTCGTCAATATGAAGTTCTTCATCACAGCATTAGGTCTCGTTAGCCTCGCAACGGCTCAAGAGTACTCCCCAACACCAACAACATGCGTCGTTAACAATGCGACATACCCGAAATCAGCGAAACTTCCGGACCCGTTCCTTCTCGCTGATGGTAAACGACTCGGAACAAAGGACGAGTGGGCCTGTAAGCGAGCCGAGATACGAGATCAAATCCAACGTTTTGAACTCGGCCCGAAACCCCCCAAACCGACAGTCTCCGCTACGGCTTCCAGTGGCAAGATCAACATCGTCAGTTCCGAAGGCGGAAAATCGGCATCGTTTTCCGTTTCGCTAAAGCTACCTAGCGGAACGGGTCCATTCCCGGCTGTCATCGCTTTCGAGAGTTCATCCATCCCCGTCCCCGCTGGCGTCGCAACTATAACATTCCCTAATCATGATGTGGCCGCTGATGACCCACACGGAAAGGGAAAATTCTTTGATCTATATGGTTCATCGCACACTGCAGGTTCCCTGATAGCTTGGGCTTGGGGCGTTAGCCGAGTCATCGATGCATTAGAACAACTAGGACCTGATACCACTAAGATCGATACCAAGCGACTCGCTGTGACGGGATGCTCTCGTAATGGCAAGGGAGCGCTGATTGCAGGTGCTTTTGATGATCGCATTGCCTTGACAATCCCTCAAGAAGGTGGTAGCGGAGGGCCGGGGTGTTGGCGCATCGTGGCCGACTTCAAAAAGAATGGAACCAGAACGGAAGACGCGACACAGATTATCACTGGTGATTCGTGGTTTTCAACGGCGTTCGCTGAATATGCTCCCGACACCACAGTCCTGCCTTATGACCACCATATGCTTATGGCCCTAGTAGCACCTCGAGCGCTCCTTGTTATCGAGAATTCAGGTATCGACTACCTCGGACCTATTAGCACGTATGGCTGTTCAATTGCCGCCCGCATGGTGTACACAAGTCTAGGGGCCGAGGACGCGATAGGATTATCTCAAGCCGCTCATGGAACCTCGCACTGTTCGATGCCTAGCTCGCAAAACCCAGAGGTTGCTGCTTTCTACAACAAATACCTCCTCGGACAGACTGACGTGGAAACCGACGTGGTCAAGACAGATGGAAAGTTCACTTGGTATGCGCCACAGTGGATTGATTGGACTACTGCGACGTTGGCGTAGGTGAATAGGAGATGGAATGATTTTCGACATAGATGAGACGATTTTTTGAATTGATCAATGTCCGAGAGCGAAGACTTGCTTTTGTGATGACGAGTATTGCTATCAAATTCAGGCCAAAGCAGGCCACTCATAAATTGTTATGTGATAATCGGTGCAGCTCTGAAGTACAAGGATTGCGAGATGTCCCAAGGGATGCCCCAAGGAACCTGTGCCGGGAGCCATAGTAAGGGATACCCCAGATTAACTAGCCATGGTAAATTACGCCATCGCTTATCATGGCACATTTAACTGGCTCTTCAACCGCCACTATCCTGGAGAACTCCGATTGTTTGGTGATTCGGACCTAGAGTTTACATGAACTCCGAGCACAAAATATGAGGGGTATGGCGTACTTCATCACCCAGCCACAACGCGGTAAAGTCTCTCGTAACGGCTACTCATCACCGAATCCAGGATACCTAGGTAATACGTAATTAGCCTAGTAGCCAGTGGTCTTGAGATATCTTAGCGTACGGAAGCATCCGATCAAGCCCCTCCGGAATCTCGCCCCGCCCACGACCAAGGTAGGTGCCGGACCCGACATAACGGGTCAGTTAGAAATAAAGTAGGAGTACGGGCCGGTAGGAGCAAACATCATCATCATGTAACTCTCCGTGACGATGAAGAAGAACAAAGCACAGTTCGTTTCGTGTGTCCTGCCTCATAATGAATACATTGAAGCCACGTAATAGGATACCCGCTCCACTCCAAAGTAGCCGGAATGCGCCTTGATTCCCCATGATCTATCGTACTCTCGAGCCTCGCTCCCTTTATTGAGCACGTAAATCTTCGGTCCTATTCACCATATTGGCAGTATCGGTGAACTATCCCCCAAAAGAAAAAGGGGGAACAACCAAGGTACAGTATTTTTTTATAAATATGAAATATTTCCCATCGAGTAAGTTCATTCATTCACTTCACTATCCAGCAGTCAATCAGTCACTACTACTTCCATTCTTTCAAAACAAGAGTCTCTAGACGATCATTCTTTTACAAACTTAACTTCAACTACTTTCATTTCACATTATCAACACATCTTTTTACCAACTACCACCACTACCAACAGAAATCATGCTTTTCAAGGCCATCACCGTCACAGCTCTTGCGGCTCTCTCCCTAGGTTTACCTGCGCCTCAGCTTGGTGGCGGCAACAGTGGTCTCGATCAAAGTGGTCAGAGCGCCGCCGGTCAAATCCCGGATCAGGGTCGGGGACAAGGTCAGGGACAAGGCTTCGTCCTCGGAGGCTTCGGTGGTGGCGCCGGCAAGCTCGCAGACCAGAGCGGAGCCGAAACCGTGCCCCCCTTCATCCCCCATTTCACCTCAACCTCTACCATCACCGGCCTCGCAACTCCCACCGACTACATCAAGAGGGCCGCAGTCACTCCTAGCGGCATTCCCAGTGGCCTCCCTCCGCTCCCTCCATTCATTTCGTCTCTTTACATCTCCATCCCCACCTCTTTCCCTCCTATCACCGCCGGTTTACCTACTAGCCTCTTCGGTAGCTTCCCAACCGACTTCCCTTCTGGCGCCCCTACCGGTTACCCCACCCCCCCTTCCGTTCCTCACGTCAGCGGCTCGGTACAATCTGGACTCCCCGAGGTACCCGTCCCCACCAGCTGGGCTGTTTAGATCTCTACCTAGAGCTTTCCTGTACCTTCTTTCCTAGTCAACATGGCTTAGAAGGTCATAAACCTCAATGCTAGAGTTAAGGACGAATACGAGAAACCGAACTCCGATCTCAAGATGCGAATGTGGGACGATCTCGACGAATATTAGGTGGATTTACTGTCGGCGAACTCACGGTTTTCCTTTCTTATTTCTCCCTTGATGTATGATGGATCAGCACGGGAGGTTTTTGGTCATGAATCTGCGATTTATGTTTCCTTGATTATTGTATAGCAGTAGTACTGGGTTGCTGCTGGATGAAAAAATGGGGTTATCAGTGTTATCTAGAGCTTGCTCATCTATGAGAGCACTAATCTTCTGTTGCGGGCCAACGTCAAACTAAATAAATATTGCCCTCTATTTTCCTGTCTACCTACCGCAGTTTGTTGATGTATTTCTTGTGATCGTACCTTTCTATCTAGTGTGACGTCGCCATCTCAAGTAAGCGATGGAACACGGGAGAAGAACAGTTAAGGGTAAGAATTAAAACGGCTTTCCTTAGCCTTGTATCCACTATATATGTTAGCTCACAATAAAGGGATTCCAAGATAGATAATTTAATTATCAATAGGCAGATTACATATATAGAAATCATATCATCCAAATCGCTATGCATTCTGCCCTGTGCCGTATCCTACATATATTCTACTTCCTTTTTCCTTACTATGTTTAAGATCCGGCTTAACAGACAGTAAGATTTAGAATATCTTCGATCGTTGTTGGTAGTAGCTGATTCATAGTGCGTCCTGCGATGCGATAAGGGCTGCCTCGAATGCCTCAGCGAACGCGACACAATCCGCGAAGGAGTTGTATAAGGGAGCAGGAGCGACACGAACAACATTCGGCTGTCGCTCATCAACTATGACGCCACTCTTTTGGAATTCCTTCATTACGGGATGTAAAAGGTTATCCGCCAGCAAGATACTCAACTGGGCCCCACGCTGTTCTGGATCGGATGGCGTGATGACCCTGAAGAGTTGCTTCGCATCTTCCGAAAGGAATGATATGGAGTGTTCGAGAAATGCCGTGAGTTTCTTGGACTTCTCCCGTAAGGTAGATACACCGCCGGCAAGCTCGATGACCTCAAGGGATGCGCTTAGACTGGTGATGTCGAGAATGCTAGGGTTGCTTAGCTGGAATCCGGCAGCACCCTTTACGGGATGGAATCTAGGATCCATTTGGAACCGAGTTCCCTTGTCATTACCCCACCAGCCGGAGAGTCGCTTTCCATATCCACGTTCGGGTTGTTCGTCGGTAAGAGTTGTCGTTACGAGACTATTCCGTGAATTGATGAACATGCCTCCGATACAGCCAGGTCCACCGTTGAGGTATTTGTAGGTACACCAAGCCGCCGCATCTACATCCCAGTCGTGTAAACTAAGGGGTACATTGCCAACTGCGTGGGCCAAATCCCAGATGACGAAGATATCGTGCTTGTGCGCAAACGCGGTGATGGTTGGGATATCCAACAATTGCCCAGTATAATATTGTATACCAGGCAGTAGGATCAGGGCCGTGTCGGACGCATGTTTCGAGATGATGGATTGAATATCGTAGGTGGTGATCAAGTTATCTTCTGAATAAGGCGACTCTATCGTCACCATGGAAGTGTTGGGTGAAAGGCCATGATGGCGGATCTGACTCAATACGGCATACTATCACGTCTCAGCGAAACGAACATATCTGCCGCCAAACGGGCAATCCCCTTACATGATCGCTCGGGAAGGCCTTGCTCTCCAGGATAATCTTGTGTCTACCCTTTGGATCTGGTCGATAGAACGCTGACATTAACAGGTGTAAGTTTGCCGTCAAGGTCTGCATAACTGCAACCTCCGATTCGTCCGCCCCGACGATTGGGGACATTAATTTGGCAGCTCGGGCATCGGCATCAAGCCACGTCGGCAGAGGAGAGTCGTCTAATGGTTTAAAGTGACCTTGAACACCTTGGGTTGACCATGTCTGTAGATATTGATTGATGCGAGTTGCCGTTCGTTTGGGTTGCAATCCAAGGGAGTTCCCGCAAAGGTATGTACATGGTGTTGTCGTTTCATCGGCTAGGGCGGGATCGTTGCGATCTACGGAAGCTCAGTATCTCTCGCTTGGTGGAAGCCGGAAAAGGCAGTTCACCTTTTTGTTGTTGTTCTTGCTGCTGCGGCTGCTGTTCTAGTGTCTTTCGTTTGATTTCAGCCTTGGTGGGGATGTGAAACTCGTCCCTCAAATGACGGAGCTCATCTTCCCCATCGAGGATTTCAGCCTGAGCACGAAGATTCTCGAACCGAGATTGGTCGGTTGAGGTACTCATTCTAGGTATTCAAGGATGATAAAAGTACCTATGTAGAAAGTAGATGGGGGTACGTAAAATATAGAATACGTAAGGATAGAAGAAGGTAAGGTCGCTTTGTTCTAAATTTGATGAAATTTGTTAGGGCGCAGACTATTTCCCGCCGGAGAGTTGTTCAAAGAATAATTATTATCGCGGTTGTTTTTTTCTCAAAGTATGTAGTAGAGTGGTAGTGGTAGTGGTGAGTTACTTCCCGTCAGCCCGACCTTGAACCTTCTTGTTTTACCTTTTTTTTTCTCTCCCCCCTCTGTCCTTCCTTCTGATCCAATAACCCCGCGATCTCTTAGCACTTGCTGATGATACAAGGATGTACGTACCTTTTTTCTACTCCAACACTTACGGCAATGAATAGCCTTGATACCTATTACGGTAGGTGGGGCTAATAAATAGCGGGACTGGAGTAATCGATGCAAGTAATTACGTAGTTACATACAAATATCTTCAATCGCCTCATCAATTAAGAAAAAAGTAACCTTTAGTCAAGATCCATTTAAAAAGACAAATCGATTCTACTTCTTTACGAAATAAAAATCATTCGAAATATCCGAAACGTATCCTGACTCGACAAGAATTCGCGTAGCACAAATTGCTCGACAAGCTTCGTCAAGCTTTCTTGGACAGATCGGATATATTACCATCGAGCAAGTCAAGCATGTTAAGCATTGGAGAAGCATTGGAGACATGAGGATGGTGTCAGTTGCTATATCACCACTGCAGTGCAACGACGGGTCGACTTCTTTTTTTCATTTCAACCTGAAGAGAAAAGAAGCGAAAGAAGCTTGCGGAAGTTGTTACGGCTAGGTAGGTAAATTGAAATAATACGAACTCTCCATCAATCATCATCTATCACCATTAATCGCCATCGATCGCTTACCATACTTTTTGCCAATGAATATTTCAATTGCGTGGCCTTTCTCCATCGCCCGTCGGCAGATCCAACGCTAGGTAGATGGATCGTTGCAACCCTTTTATGATGAAAACACCAGTAGAGCGGTTCCAGCCGAAGCCTGCCAAATTCTTTGCATATCACGGCCCGTCCCTGGAATTAATGAATGCCACATGCCCTTGATGCGTTGATGCGTTGGGCTATCCTTATACGAATCTGGTTAAATGTTGGGGTTGGTTTAAACCTCCGAGGAGCCCCTGAGTTGAGAGAAGATGCATGTATATGATCTCGGATCATACCGTGAGATCGTAACGTTAAAATTGGTTATGCCGAAGAGGCTCCTATTAGCTGTGTGTACAGTACTAAGCTGCGTACTGTGTAGATTTTGGCTGATCGAAAAGATGAGATAGAGTAGCAGGGTGGCTGAACAAAGTCTTCCAAGATCCGGGGAAATTTTCTTCGTGTTGATGTTTAATTGTTCCACAATCGTGGCGGTGCTTATCTTCTACCTTGAAGCTCCCAAGGTCAGGGGTAGAAAAGATAATAGCCCAGCAATCCAGATCAATGTGGTTAGTTTGTGTGACTCCAGCTTTGATGTGCGTAGAATCGTTGATAGGACTACGACAGGGCGAAAACGTGGAAAATGGGTTTAAAAATAGCCTTAGCCTGGACCGTAATCACCGATCGATGACTGATTCTTGCTACTATGAAATTCTAGAACGGATACCCCGTCTCCGTATTTCCGTAATCTTTTTTATCATGTGGACTTTACCGTATCGTCTTTACCTAAGTATTATACTGCATTATTTTCAAAATCATCGTCTCTTTTGATGTCTCTTTCGAGGTTATTATTACGAAGTTATTTAGTAAAAAATGAGAGAGTTAAAGCAAGCGACGTGCTTAAGGATGTCTTAAAACTATCATCCCTGAAATTGCGGCAGAACTAACCGGCATGATGTTAGCTTACATGTACATAATTAATTACCTGGATACCTAGCTGAACGAACGAACATCTAACACAACTCCCTATCCTGGACGCGGCGATGGCAACACAATGATTGTCTCTGCAGTGTCACATCACACAAGAGTAAGAAAAAAAAACACAACCCGGAAAAGAAAAAAAAAATTGCAATGGTCCACGCAAGGTCTCCGCAAAAAAAGGAGACAAATTATCATTCATTTTCAAGATCTCTACCGGTTCTCATGACGTTGTTTTCGGAGGTTATGTCGCCATGAAAACTGAAGGAGGCCCCAGAAGGCCCTAAGTGGAATGAATGCGCCGTTGGACCACTGACCTCACGACAAGTTTAGTAATGAGAAAGGTAAACCCTGGGATTAACAATATGCACCGGCAGGCCAAGAGACAGTCTTCGAACTATCACGAGGCCGTGCAAGTCGGCTGGCGTCAAATCGGCTGACCTCGTGCTTCTCCATTGGGCTTGATAGACGCTTGCTATCAAGTAATATGGGGGTAATAGAAAAGCAGAATCGTAGAACTTTTACGTTGTGGTTCCTGGACGACACTGTCGAAATCGCGGGGCAAGTGGATCTTTAACCAAGTCACCCGAGAGGTGCAGAGCCGGGGCTACCACGCTATGCCCTATGGAGGTATGGTAAAGGGTTGTAAAGGGCTGGTAACGGAGCAAAAAGGCCCTAAAGGCTGGTAAGAACTTGGTACGCCGCTGCTGAGAATTTCCGATTTACGTACGAGGTACCTAAGTATTGTACAAGAAGATACATCCGGTAATGTATCTCTTCCAGTGGATATCATACAGTACTTCAATGTTCCAATCATGGATGCTTCCAGGTTTGTACAGCACTCCATTACAGCACCTACAGTACCTACACACCCCCATACCCATACCTACCCATACCCGTATCCATACCTAGCACGCATTGGATACATCAACATTTTCCAACGTTGGAATCTCGGACCCCTTTCTACAACTTCCTGAATTATCGTGGAACCAATTCCATTCGAATGACCTTTCATCATCCTTGAACACAATAGCGATAGTTATTGCAACATACATGAACTCATCGGATTAGACACTTACGCAACGGCCGCTGTCGGTCTTACAAGAGGCGGTAAGAACTTACACCGTCCGTATATCCATCTTTTTGTCAATTCAGTCTAAGACGTTATTTGCATAGGCCCGACAACGATGAATCTCTATTTCCTATTAGGAGACCACCCGGAGTAAATAATCATCCCTATTCGACGATTTATACCTCTTTAGTCAATACTTGACGTCTCACCATACTGTAAAGTACGGCAAATACATAGTTAGAGATACAGACAAGAGGTGAATTGGCGATTGATAGACAAGATCAACCTACATGTGTAAACAAACACACCAACGATATGCTAGACCTTGACTCCGGTCAAACAAATGTTTTGCATACCAAGCAACCTTCCCTGTCTCCTTAACTATATGGAGAAGATGATCCTATTGCTATTCGTGTAACATGTAAGTAATTCGAGCGGGTTTACTTACCGGATTGGTTGAACATGGTTTAAATTTGGTACCTAATGAATAACTAAGAAATGTTGAGCAAGTTGTTATAATTGATGTTGTTGATGATGTATACTTCATTATTCGTACCGAATGACCAAAATACGTGAAACGTCAGGTGATGGTTATGCCTGTAGGTACCTATCATCAAGGTACCTAAGATACCTAGGTACCTGGGTAACCTCTAAATCCCATCGACGGATTGTTCAATCTACCTCGAATAGCCGTCGGTACTTGATACGATCAAATAGTCAACCAAATTCGCCCAAGTTTGTAAAGAAGAAGGAAAAAAAATTCAGACCGTTGGATCGCATAAGAGATCCATCACGATCCACTAAACCCCCGTCCAAGGCGACATGTGATGCTGAAGTTGTTTTTTCTTCCTTTGCCAAAGAGTTCTAGCCGTCGCACCGCGTGGCCGTTTCCCCCCTTGTAAAAGGTAATTCGGGTCACCGCAAGTAATGTACCTATGTACCGTACCATATAATTCAAGGCGATCCGGTACTCCCAGCTGTACGGATTTTCAGGTACCCAGACTGTTGGGCCAATGAAATTGCCGCCCACAACCCGTTCTAGTTAGCTGCATCATTAGCCTCTCGTTTCGTTCCATTTGCGTTCACCGTGATGAAAGAATCTTCGATTTTGTATTCTTCTTCCATTTGTCCCTTCCCATTTCAATTGGACTTATTTTAAAAAAAGTTTCTGTTACCGTATTAAACCCAGTATCGTATGTAATCACGATGTATACTATGTACTCCTCATACTTGGGAAGTTCCTACTGGTAGCAACAGGGATGATCCGTTGCAAATATGGAAATTGCTATACGTATAATGCAGTAAATGCAGTACGATTGCGAAAACGTTGTTTTTCCATGTGTAATAGTCGACAACGGGCTTTCCTTTCCTTGATTTTCTAATGTACTATATATAAGAAGCAGTTGACTCCCCTTTTCTTCTTAAACTTCACGATCGTCAGTCAGTCAGTCAAGTCAACTCAGACAGACAGCAGCCAGCTTGTCAATCAAGTTGATCAATCTACCTTTATCTTTATCTACGTATCTACATACCTAACCCGTGTCAATCCATTACCAATTGGCATTGGTTATGGACGAAACCATAAATTAAAATCTGAATCGTATTCTCGGTTTAGCCAGTTTCACCTCGTTCTATTTGTTATTACATTTTGCATTTTGCATTCCTAAAGTACAGTACTTCTTCCTATCTAGAAAGAGTACACAGTACTATAATTATCCTTATCTTTAGAACTTGTGGATTCTTTTTCAATTCTTTCGGTCTCGCCTACAGCGTTAGCTCCAGTTTCTCCAGTTCTTGCCGCCCTGTCGTTATCTACCTAGGTATCCATCTATCATTGCCGCCGTCATCGTATACCAGACGCCGCAACAGGGCTGTGCATATCTCCCGCTGATTATTATCCTTCTTCTTTTCCTTCCCCTTCCCCTTACCTACTACATATATACATACATAATACGTATATCGTACCGGTATATACCCCAGATCCTGCGTCATCCACGAAACTCTACTCTACGACCTTGACATATCTACAAGCACATACATATACAACATCTACATACCATCTTCTATCCCAACTACCGAAAAATAATCAGGGCAAAGAACCTAAATTTTGGTTTTATTCGGGAAATAGCCCTTTATTGCGCTATTTACAAATTTGTCCACGATATTCTGAAGCTTATCGAGGACTTGCATCATCTTTATTAAGGTACTACCTCTTATTCTTTTTTTCGTCTTGCAGCTTAATTCGGCAACCAATCGTCCCTTTTGACCAACCACAAACCACCACCAATATTGTTGTCGTTTTCTTTTCTCTTATTGCATATACCAACATTCTTCGCTCGCCCCCTTTTCTCTAGCCGAATTATATCTCTCCAACACATCTTGCTCACCCGAGGGTAGATCTTGCAGCTCACTTTTTAAGTTGACCAGTCTTATATTGACTTAATTGTGGACCTGTGCGCCCCCCCTTAAGTCAGTACTTCGGAGGAAGTTCCTCTGACGCTGTGACGGTACAGTACAGTACGTCTCTTTTCAATGTTCAGCCTGTTTATGTTATTAGTTTCCTTCCTTATCAGGGACACAAGCATTAAAACATAGGAAACTTACCCCTACCCGAAGTGTCGAGCGGTGAACAAGATTCCATACTACCCCCAAGTCTATACAATTCGAGACACGATAACGGCATTTCGTATTTTCCTTTTCCATGTATACATTTTCAGTGCTGTACTGAGTTCGCCTCTTGTATCTTACAGGGTATTTACCGTCCCTATCACGTCCCTATCAATATCAATTTGGGATTTTTCTAAATTCCCCTGTCGGTTTTCTCTCTTAATCACTATCCTTCACTCACTTACTATATACCGTGTTAATTTCCTAATTCGGCTTACCCGTTGTACATCAACATCAATATCGACCTTGGGTAGTTCCCAGTACCTAACAAGAACAGATACTCATTATACACCGCAATCACGCCTTCCGCACTATCATTTGAATCCGAACATCTTCTCTTATATGAGATGATCTTGTTCATCAAACATATAAATCTCCATCTTTCCCGCCAAGATGGTCTCTCATTTTCCCCTATCCATCCGTCTTCTCCTATCTTGTGTTTAAGTCCTGGGCCACTTAGCTCCCACTCTTTATCATCATGGTGGTTAAGATGTTGACGATTCAGACGACTGACCTTCCTTTGGATAGATTCCCTGATTATACGGATCCCATTGAGTCATTCGAAGTTTTTGAACCTAAAACTCAGATCATGACGACAAACGGGTTGGCTCCGTCTCCTTCTCCTGCCCCAGCTAATAAGCTGTTGGGTAAGGTTCAAAATGCAGACTCGCCCTCACGACATCCTTCACCTCAACCTACCCACTTCTCAGTACCCCTGGGAAGTCTTGGCACCAATGGACACAGGGTTCTACGCTCTGCCACGGTAGGATATATCGCACCAGAGTTTAAGGGACGTGATGAGCAAATAAAACAAGGTTAGTGAAAAACGTCCCTCGCAAATTTACAGTCCTTTTTCTAACACGTAATAGTTAAGGAAAAGATCCTTAAGCAAGGTTGGATCCCAGAATCACATCTTGACGAACAAGTCTCATGGTTCTACAATGAACTTGGTATCGACGATGTCTACTTCCAGATGGAGAATGTTGAAGTCATCGCGACTCACATTACCTCCATGTATGCTGCCAAGGTTGCCGCATACGCTCGTGTAGACAAACGTGAAGAGATCCGTTTGGATATGGAAGCCACCGACCACGCCATCTATATCGATACTAGTGTTCCCGGTCAGAGTTCGTTACATGGTCCACGATTCGAAAACAGGCTTGAAGCCAAATACCTGGACAATGCCGACCCCAACAAGCGCTTCCGTGTCGAGACATTCCGATCTCCTGGTACCATCTCCAACGACCCCTCTTCTAAGGCCTCTCTGCGATGCTATTTCGTATACCAATGTCAATTCGTGGACCCGAACCCCGAGCCGGGCGAGACGCGTCTAGAAATCATCAGCGATCGGATGTTCTTGACTAAAGCGACTAAAAATACCAAGCAAATTTACGACGACATTATCAAACTTGCCGTTTCTAGGACCGGACCTGTCATCGAAGTATTCGATATCGAGGGCACTGAAGAGAAGCGTCTCGTCATGGCTTTCCGTTCTCGTACCGCCCGGGGTATCTTCAGCGCTATGAGCGACCTTTACCACTACTATGGTGTAACTAGCACCAGGAAGTACGTGGAACAATTCTCTAACGGTATCACGGTCATGAGTATTTACTTGAAGCCGGCCACAAATCTTGACTCCAAGCCTATGCCGATTGAACAATCAATCCATCAGATCACCAAAGAGATTTCTCTCCTTTACTGCATACCCCAGAACAAGCTTCACTCCCTATTTGCGTCGGGCGCACTAAGCTTGCAAGAGACCGTATATGGCCACTGTGTCTGGGTATTCGTTCAACACTTCCTCAACCGTCTTGGTACAGAATACGTGTCAATTAAGCAGGCCTTAGATCCGAAAAACCCGGCACATGTGGAAATCCTTTCCAAATTGAAGCGTCGTCTTCGTACCGAAACCTTTACGCCAGATTACATCCTTGAGATCATTTCTTCATACCCCAACTTGGTCCGGACGCTGTATGCCGCATTCGCAAGTGTCCATCTGAGTGTCGGTCCCGGCTTTGAGAAAAGCATCATTGCACCGACTCCCTCCGTCGAAGTCTTATCCGATGCCCGCCTTAAGCAGGAAATTACCCGAGAAGTGTCTAATGAACACGAAGAAATGGTAATGACGGCTTTCCGCATTTTCAACAATGCCATCATGAAGACCAACTACTTCACACCCACAAAAGTGGCTCTCAGCTTTCGATTGGACCCGACATTCCTGCCTGAGGTTGAGTATCCCAGGCCGTTATACGGCATGTTCCTCGTGATTAGTGCTGAAGCCCGTGGTTTTCACCTTCGCTTCAAGGATGTTGCTCGAGGCGGAATCCGTATTGTCAAATCCCGTAGCAAGGAGGCGTACGGTATAAATGCACGAAACCTCTTCGATGAGAACTATGCACTTGCGAGCACTCAACAGCGCAAGAACAAGGATATCCCCGAAGGTGGCTCAAAGGGTGTGATACTCCTTGATGCCAAGCAGCAGGATCGTGCGCGGGAAGCATTCGAGAAGTATATTGATAGTATCTTGGATCTTCTACTTCCCGCCGAAACTCCTGGTATCAAGAACCCTATTGTGGATCTTTACCGCAAGGAAGAAATTCTTTTCTTGGGTCCGGATGAGAACACTGCCGACCTTGTTGATTGGGCTACGGAACATGCGCGCTTCCGTGGTGCACCATGGTGGAAGTCGTTCTTCACTGGCAAGTCGCCTAAGCTCGGTGGTATCCCCCACGACGAATATGGTATGACGACATTATCCGTCCGTGAATACGTCAAGGGTATCTACCGGAAGATGAACCTAGACCCATCCCAAGTGAGGAAGATGCAGACTGGAGGCCCTGATGGTGACTTGGGAAGTAACGAGATTCTTCTCAGTAATGAGAAGTACACGGCTATCGTTGATGGATCTGGTGTACTCGTTGACCCCAACGGTATTGACAAGGAAGAACTCATTCGATTAGCCAAGAAGCGTGTTATGATTTCGCAATTTGATCTCTCCAAGCTATCCAAGGATGGATTCAGAGTCTTATGCGACGATAGCAACATTACCTTACCGACTGGTGAGGTCGTCCCTAACGGTACACCCTTCCGCAACTTCTACCATCTCAGAGATTCTGGCTTAACCGACTGCTTCGTCCCGTGTGGTGGTCGTCCCGAGTCCATTGACCTTTCTACCGTGTCCAAATTGATTAAAGACGGCAGGACAACTATCCCCTACATTGTTGAGGGAGCCAACTTATTCATTACTCAAGATGCGAAATTGCGTCTGGAGAAGGCTGGCTGCATCCTCTTCAAGGACGCCTCTGCCAACAAGGGTGGTGTGACGTCATCATCACTTGAAGTCCTCGCTTCCCTCAGCTTTGATGATGAGGGTTTCGTTGAGAACATGTGCCATAACTCTAAGGGAGAAGCACCTGAGTTCTACAAGGCATACGTCAAACAAGTACAGGCCACAATCTGCGAAAACGCCCGCCTAGAATTTGAGGCGATCTGGCGAGAACACGAACAAACTGGTGTACCAAGGTCCGTGCTTTCCGACACGCTTTCTCTAGCCATCACCACACTAGATGAGGAGCTACAAAAATCGGATCTCTGGGAGAATCCTAAGATCCGAAGATCTGTTCTTGCAGATGCTCTACCCAAGTTGCTTATCGACAAGATTGGTCTAGACACTATTATCAGCCGTGTACCCGACTCGTATCTTCGTGCAATTTTCGGAAGTTATCTCGCTTCCCGCTTCGTATATGAATTTGGCAGCAGCCCTAGCCAATTTGCATTCTATGATTTGTAAGTTACCAACACACTTTACCAACCTTTCAATTACTGAGCCGAAGCTAACCGAATTTCACAGCATGTCCAAGAGGATGGCTAAGATCCAATAATGGACTGAAACCACCTAAGCATCTGCATATTTCGGGAAGAGAAAAAAAGGTGAAAAAAGAAAATGGGAATACAAAATACAAACATTGCATATCTTCATTGGGCGAAAGTGGTAATTTCCAAAGGCGTAGTATTATACGAGTCGACGATGAGTAAAGTGAGTTAAGTTGACAGAGAGGATGGATTGATGACTCATGAATTGTTTTCTTTCGTTTTTTTTCATGGTATAAGGATCGGGAAATAAGAATTTTAATAGATAGGGCTGGTTAAGAAAAGTATCCCTAGAGATACAGTTTCGGATTATCTGACTCTTTTCATTATTGGGTGTTTATCAATTGGTGAATTGCAATCGTTAGTTGGGATGGCGACACTTGAGAATTGGGAGTAGTGACAAGATGCTGAACTATATCGCCTGAAAGTATGAGTTGACATTCCGAACCTACACACACAGGTTTAGCATTATTTTCAAGTTCATAGAATCGAAGCAGTAGCCGTCCTGTCGGATTGAGTTGCCTATGTATTATTCCATGCCGACGTATCCGACCGTGTTGAATTCTGGTGTTACGTGACGCATCGGGAACTACAATTTCCGACCAACGAAATATCTCGATACCGCCGCGGCAGGGACCTGAGAAACGAGATCTTCATTAGCTAGGTAATATTCCTGAGCCCATCTTTTTATAATACAGAATCCGACGCCTGCCATGAATTGCTTGCTATGGTACAACTATATACAAAGGCATTGAAGCGGGGGAAGACCAAGAGGTGAGAGATCGGGTGAAATCATACCGTAAAGAGGCCTAAGGTCATGATTGATCCTTAACTTCCGTTATCATCGTTATCATCTAGAGCCGTTTAGGTTGTTCACCGTCTACCCAAACCCCATTTGTAGATCCTATCCTGTATTTCTTCCCAAGTCATTTGCTTCGTAGGGTTGTATGATGAGTCTTGCGCCTCTTGTATTACCACGGTTGGAGCACCGCTTCCCTTGCCTTTATTCTGTACTAATCCTCCTGTAACTTGTTTTGCCACCCGGCGTAGGTCGTGGATGGTGAGACTTTCTATCTTTCGACACATCTCTTGGACCGGCACTTTGCGGCCATGGACTTGTACTTGTCTGCCTAGGTCTTCTAACTCGACCATTCGGCTCTCAAGATTCATTAAAAGGCTAGAGCGTAGCTGATTCTTGGCGCGATTTACTTCGACTTGACCAAGGGCAGAGAATCCGGTATCTATCGTAAGCGCTCTTAACTCCTGGCACATAGCATCGAGCATGTCACGTGTACGACCAGCAACACACTGCGCAGAGATGCCGAATAATCCGGAATCTGTGTAGGAGTGGTTGAAGGCGATACAAGACTCGACCCAAGAATATTGGTTGAGTACGTTGGTGTATAATCTCGAGTACATACCCTTACCCGGTCCACCGGCCGAGAAGGATCCGCCGCCGCCGAGAAGCGTGTTAAGTGTTGCTAAAGCGTAGATATCGTCCGATGCAACGGGCAATCCTTCAAAGGCAAGATGAATATGGGTGTAAAGTGGTTGGTTGTGCATGGGGGCGGTTTGCGGTGGGAGGGCGACGAAACCACCGGTGTAGTGTGAGGGCATAGTGAGTTGTTCTAGAGTTGGCGAGTTTGCCGATGTGGAAAGAACAGAGGCTTGCTGGCTTGCCGAAGTCGAGAGATTTTTGACAAAGGGTACTTTTGATAGTATATTAGATGATTGTGACGAAGATGAGGTCGAGGACGCGGATGCGGAGGAGATTGACGAGGCTGAGGCATCAGTTGCATCTGATGATAATGAATCTATGGATGTTTCCGATCCTGACCGAGATAGAATCGGTTGTTCAGAGCCTTGCATATCTCCGAAGAAATTTATAGCTAATTGCACGGCTTCTGAATGCGGAATACCGGCAAACGCAACAACTGTTCTTTCGGGACGGTAGAATGTATCTCTGTATGTTTGAATAGTCGATCTATTGATCTCTGGTATTCGCTCCCTTGGGCATAGTAGAGGATTACCAAGGGTGTTGTCCTTGAAAGCCGCCATATGTACTAATTCGGGTATAATAAGTTCGGGGTTCTTCCATATTTCTGTAATCTCGTATAGGGCGGTCCCTAGCTCGGCATTTACTTCTTCGTCGGTAATTCGAGGATTTCGTATCGTGTCGGCGAGTAATTCGGTTGCCTTCGGAACAGCAGAGTTGAAAGTGGCGGCCTGGTACATTATAGACTCTCTCGAGGAAACACATTGTATATTTCCTCCTAGAGATTCTACCACCTCTTGTACATCTTCAGCGCTTTTGGTCTCTGTCGAATGGAAGGCTAATCGATCGACAATATGGCTTACTCCGCTTAAGTATTTATTCTCGAATCTCGATCCACCTTCGATGTAAACTCCCACACCGGAAAAGGAGCCCGGGAGAGCTTCCGAAGCCACTCGGACGCCATTCGGTAGCGTTGTTATTTGGTCAAGCTCTGTCGGTTCCTAGGAATTGTCAGTCAGTTTACATATTCGGATCCGAGTAAATCGGACGATATATACCTTTGGACTTGGCACATTGACTGTAGCTAATTTGCGAGTCTGAATTGGTCGAAATGCCTTTAGAGATGTTTGCGCAGAAGAGGTAAGACCTCTAGTCAAATATCGGGAGGTGCAAGCGCGAAACATACTGAAGGCATTGGATTTGCGACAGATTGACGACGATTTAGAGAAAAAGTCAAGGAAATGCGGCGCCTGTGACGACAGAAAAGTTTAGAGAGTTAACGCCGCTTATCTTATCAATCGCCCTGCCGAGACGGTGTTGTTATTAAGCACAACGCACACCGCCTGCCAATTTCACACAACTCTGAATTCTGCCAAATGCCCCTCCATTGACTTCCCACCTTCTCAAAGTTGAACGCTGTGATTATCGTGTAAATCAAATCACAATGGGGTCTAAAATATAGCCTTATGATTGAACATGTTGTTCTCACACCAACTTAGAAAATAATAGGCCCATTATAAGCCATCTAATTCCAACGAAAAGGCCGATAATCCCATAATGTCCGGACCAACACATCTCGAGCCCTCAGAGCTGGGCACCAAAGAATAGTACGCTCTACCTCCCCTCCTTTCTCCCCCCCATCCTGCAAACCACCGAATCTAACCCCCTGAAGTTGGGACAACCTCTACACAGCCGAAATAACAAACCACACCCACAACCCCTCCGACATTGGTACCGTATGGTTTGACGATTCCGACGCCGAATCCAAACTCATCGACTTCCTATCCGACCCTCCACACTCCCTCGATCTCGGCCTCGATTCCTCCCCGAACAAAACCACATTCCTAGACCTAGGCACAGGTAACGGATCCCTGCTCTTCGGTCTACGCGATGCGGGATGGACAGGGCGTATGCTAGGCGTAGATTACTCCCGTCAAAGCGTAGAATTCGCGCGTCGCATCGCAGAGTCCCGGAAGAAGCTCGCCGATGAATCAGAGGAAGGACTTAACAACGAGGCAGAACCAATCGAGTTTGCCGAACACGATATCCTACGAACACCTTCATCTGCCCTTTTAAGCGCTGGAAAAGGCTGGGATGTCGTCCTAGATAAAGGGACTTTTGATGCTATATCATTATCCTCCGAAACTGACCCCACGACCGGCCGTCGGGTAAGTGAGTCTTATCGAGAGAAAATAATACCGCTTGTACGCGGCGACGGTGGTTTATTCCTCGTTACTAGTTGCAATTGGACCGAGGCCGAGTTACTGAGTTGGTTTGAAGGCTCTCGGGATGACGAGACAAGGGAGTGGCGTTTCGAAGAGGTTGGTAGGATCGAATATCCCACTTTCAACTTTGGTGGTGTCAAGGGGCAAACCATTAGCAGTATATGTTTTAGAAAAGTCAGAAATGCTGGAAGCTAACAATTGGTTACTTCCATGGGATGTAGGCGTGGGTTAGGCTAGATGAAAACAAGATACCCTCAATTAGTAAAATTATAGTAAAATCACAACAAAATGCAAGTCAGACACCACAACACTATTTGATCGAGATCTATTAAACTCATGTTTTTTTCGTCTTTTTTATCTTACAATTACCAGACAATCATTCTGTCGGGCATTCATTTGATAGCACCTTTTGGGGCTTTTGGCCCTTTCATCCTCTATAGGAGCTTGTACAACTTCCAAGTCCCTTACAAAAGGGGGTTTCTTAATGCCGAGTAGAACACAAAACCTCCAAAAAATGCATGTCATGACCGTGTGCGTGCCTCCCTTTTACCATACGTCTTCTACTCTACGAACCCTCGAAATCTAAGGTTCTTCAAGGGACCCCCTTTCGACGAATAGGCGTTTAGACAATTCGGGATGGCTATCTCGCGAGAGGTGCAACTAAGACACTCTAATACCTGGCCGTATGGTGGGAAGATTTCTCTTTTTTATGATTCATCTACGGCGATGTATTCATAGGTTCTCCAGACATTCCCGGAATGCCCGCTACTGCGGTGGTAGCAAAGTAACGAACATCCACATCATCATCCTTTTGTAGCTTCTCCAGATTTGGAAGAAGGCGTTGCTGGATCAGTTCAGTGGCACGAGGAGATGGTGTAGTGGGTGTCGTTCCGGCCTTTTCTAAGCTGTAGATAGTACCCTCTTCTGGAAGTCGTTTTAGGACATCGATAAGTACCGAGTATGTCTTCGCCACGTTAAAACGGATGTTAGGGATATCATCCTCAACTAGTTTTTCTAACATAGGAAGAATAGAGTTTCCGATAACATCCAGGCTAACGACAGTAGCCAGAGTCTATGATTGATTAGGATTCGTATTAATTCTAGGTGTAGCAAGATTACTTACCGAGATTGCAAAGCATGTTGTCATGCGGTAGAGATAGTTAGGATGAGTGCCCATGGCCATCACCTTAGGGATGATTGTTTGACTCGCCCACTCAACGCCGAAGACTTCGGTGAGCTTCTTTAGGTTGTGAGTTGCTGCTTCGCGAATAGAGAAGACAGTGTCCCCAAGCCAACCCATGCATAGCGTGCTCAACTTATCATCGAAGAACTTAACTCCGAGCTGACTCGCGAGGAGAGGAATATACTCGATAATAGCAAGTCGTACTCTCCATTGCTTGTCTTCCGCGAGCTGTACGATTGCGGGTAGAAGGGATTGAGAGAGAAGATCGATGCCGATAACTAAAGAATGTTAGTACCACATACCTCTTGATGTGTCATAGATAAATACCTTGGTTGACCAACTCGAGCTTCGAGATGATATGTAGGCGGACCTCGGGGAATTCATCCTTCAACATCTGCAAGAACATAGGGAGAAGATGATCAATAGTCCTAGAGAATATCAGATTAGTCATCGGAGTTAGAGAGCCGAGGTAAAGTAGCTTCGACTTACTCTTGCTTGCCTAGAATTGGTGCTAGACCACTGATTTGCGTTCCTAGGGCAGCACGGACATGCTGAGAGGTGTCAGAAACAAGGTCCTCGATGGAGCTCATGATTTCGTTAAGGAGAGTAGTCCTGTCGAGCAAGTTGCAGAAACCAGGGATTTGTCCGGCGATAGCAGTTCGGACTTCTGCTTCGTTATCCTTCAACAATTTGACAAACGCAGGTACTAGGTCTCGAGAGACCACCTCTTCATCCACAGCCTTCGCGATCTATAATTTGTTGTTAGTTTCTGTCGGCTAAGACGCGAAGTGACAGCGCATACCTTCTCGAACCTATCGGCGATCATATATCGAACCCTCCAGCTCTTATCCTCTATCAAGTTTCGTAACGATGTAAGTAAGACACCGTGGCTGCCTTGTTGTTCCTTAGGTACGACTTCGGCAATAGAGATAAGGATTTCCACCGTCAATAATCGCACACTATCTTGATCATCTTGCGCGAGATGCTGGAAAAGGGGTATCATTTCTTCGACTACGATAGCCGCGGGCATTTCCTTGACGAACTTGGACATGTTGGTAGCGGATTGTCTTCGTACCATAGGTGTCTCATCGTGTACGAGTTGACCAAATTGTTGGCGAAGCTGTTCTTGGACAGGCGGGGATACCTTCTTGTAAGGGGTTGTGAAAAGGCCACATCCAGATACTTTAGATGTGAACCAGTCTGCCTTGGAAAGTCGGATGGTAAGTGGGATGAAGTATTCTTCGACTTGTTGAGGCGATAGATCGTTGCAAATCTTGTTAAGGGACTCGACAGCCTGCAAAGAAACAATAGTTAGTAGATGGCGGTATGTATTTTGATATGTGATTTAGACGGACCTTATCCCGAACGACGGGTTCTTCGATGGCAGCGAGGTTCTCAAGAGGGGAAAGGAGGACATGGCCATATTGAGGACCACCAACGTATTCGATGAAGCTTCCTAGCTCCTCACTTAGGGCGACGAGAACTTCATCCTCATCCTCGACAGACTCTGATAGTAATATTAGACCTATGTTATTGTTTCCAAGGCAGAAATCGCTAAACTAACCATCTAAAAAGGGAATGAGTTCGTCACGAGTGCGCTCGGCACCTAAAGCGAGCGCAATTGTCGATAGACGGTGGATGGCGTTCAATCGGAGTAGGACATCGTCGTGCTAGAAGAAAAACAAAGTCAGTGGTTCAGGGTTGACGTACTAGCGTGTTGGTTGGGTCACCGCCTTACCTTTAGTTCATCTATGAGAACAGCGATGGGGTAAAGCTCATCATTCGCATTTGGCGCGTCAGCCATGATGAGGTATGGTTATGCAGTAGTAGATATGAGGGGTTCTAGTAGAGGTTGAAGTCGGAAAATGAAAGTCGACTGGGTGCGCTGCTGATCGCGTGGGTTGGTTTGGTGGAGTGATGCAATGAGTTAGGTCGATGTCGGGTCAATTTGGCGACTTTTGGGGGGGTGGGAGAGAGAGCAGAATGGGGCCGGCCGGACAAAGATCGACGTTCGCTCGTACTCCGAAACCAAAGAATAGAAAAGAAGAGAGAGAAATAATATTAGACGCGTAGAGGAAGATAGTTTTTTTTTTTATCTATCGTATCTACACAAGAAGTCTCTTCGTCGTGGATTTGTTCTTCAAGATTAGATCATCGAGGGGTATCATCAGTGAGGTTCGCTTTTGGTGGGTGGATTCTGTTGTGATCAAGAAAGAAAGTTGCTTTTGGTGGAAATAGGTTTAACGCGGGCTGAAGCTTAGGTACTTTCCTATTATCTATCATACCTGAGATGGGCTTGGCTTTTATTTGGGTTTGGTTGGCTTGGCTTGGCTTGTGAGATAACAAGGGGGCTGTTGCCTTCCACAAAGCTACCTAGGTGGCCCTAAAAACATGTGGCTTAGGCACCTACTAACACCTACAAAGGTACCCGTGGACATCATCAGGGACATTTCAAAGGGAGACAAGGGAAATCTCTGCCACGATTGCCCCACACTTTACACTACTTTACTCTGAGTCTGGTCCTTCCATCATTACATACATGCACTTCCCCGCTTCGGGCTGGTACCTATTGCAAGTACCAAAGATTTTGTTATGCACCCCTGAATTTTCTTAACTTTATCAGCTTCGTTCAATAGTTGCTAGACTATTCATATTCCTCGATTTCTTTATTATATCCGAGGAAGTTAAAATTATGAGGAACTAGTTGAATTGTCATTCTTTTAAAATAAACATATTCTTCGCTCGGTTTATTTAGGAAGTCAAACGAAGGTATCTTCAAATTTCTAGCTTGTGAGGTCAAGAAGCAGGCTGTGATGTCACTCCGGAGCTCCAATACAGTTGGACGGGCGATTTATATTATCTGACGACTTCGAGTAAAACCTGGCTTGCGGAACGAAACGAGGAAAATCTAGATATAGACATCTGATTGGCCCAATTTCAAACCGTCTATCCTTCTTTGGTGAAGAAAAGGTCATCTATCAGATAAGTGTGACCTTGTGCTGTGCTTATGAGCTATCACAATATGATTTGTACAATACAATACCAGTATCGGTTTGTGGCATTACTAAAAATACATTATTTTCTTCTACCCATTTCCCGATATCCTTCAAAATTATTTGGCGATGAGTTGATGAATTTTTATAGTATAGAAGTATAGGCGTGTAACTGTCATGCATTATTTATTAACTTCAATATTGGAAAGAAACGAGATTATACAAGGACGTTCATAAAGTTCAGATGAGTCTTTATTGCTCTCTTGGCAAGAATAAAGATACTGTGAAGCCCAGCCAGTATCACAATGGATTCGGGTGTGGCTTTTATAAGTGGAAATACATGAATCTGTTCGCCTCCAATATTGTACAAGTATAAGTACACTTGTATACCTAAAGCAAAGATGACATAATCAAATGGGATACGTACCGTGATAAGCTTTAACCCCTGTACTCGAAGAATCATTTAACCCACTACTGCGTAAATTCATGGTGGGGTTAAAGTAAGAACAGCGTGCAACCCAATCGATTTTCTGAAATCGCGAGTGACTCAAATTGATCCCAACTCCCTTCAACCACGAATTGCGCAAACCTCTTCGGCAAATAGGTTCTTCTCAACCCTTCTAAGGGTAAGATATCGACATGCCTACCATATCAGTTGATAAATATGACCTCTTCGAGGCCCTAGGTCAAAAGTACGTGGGCATTTGTTCTAAAACGACCCTGAAATCACCCCGCTAACCTCACGATCATCTAGGTACACGACTCCCGAGTTTGAGGAACTCTGCTTCGAATTTGGCATTGAGTTGGATGAGGATACCGAGAATGAGGAGAGACCTATCGTAAATGGCGTCCAAGAACCTCCCCAACTAAAAATCGAAATCCCCGCCAACCGATATGACATGCTCTGCTTCGAGGGCATTGCCCTTATGCTTAATATCTTCCGGGGAAAACAACCCACGCCTAACTTCCGACTAGTCCAACCAGCGAGCGGCGATCTACAAACCATTACCGTTCTCGAGGATACTATGAAGGTGCGGCCGTTGGTTGGTGGCGCGATCTTGCGCAATGTCAAGTTCACTCAGAAGAACTATGACTCCTTCATCGCCCTACAAGACAAGTTACACCAAAATCTTGCCCGACAACGTACCTTGGTCGCCATTGGTACTCACGATCTAGACACTATCAAAGGTCCCTTCACATACGAAGCACGACCGCCGAAGGATATCAGCTTCGTACCACTCAACCAGACCAAACAGATGAACGGGGAGGAATTGATGGAGTTCTACGACAAGGATAGGCATCTAGGCCGATACCTACACATCGTCCGGGATAAGCCTGTCTACCCTGTTATTTACGACGCAAACCGAGTTGTCTGCTCACTGCCGCCCATTATCAACAGTGACCACTCGAAGATCACACTTAACAGTAAGAACGTCTTCATAGAGTGTACAGCGACAGACAAGACGAAGCTAGAGATCGTCGTCAATATGATAGTAGCCATGTTCTCTGTCTACGCCGCCGAACCCTTCACAGTCGAGCCAGTCAAGGTTATATCCGACCATAACGGACAAACCCGAATAACACCTAACCTATCATCACGCACTTCCACCGTCGAGATCGATTACCTTAATGGTTGCCTTGGCCTCTCCCAATCCGCAGAGAGTATCTGCAACCTTCTCACAAAGATGGCTCTGACCGCCAAGCCTTTAAGCCAAGATCCGACGGGTGTAATCGAGGTCACGATACCACCGACACGCGCTGACATCCTTCAAAGATGTGATATCATGGAAGACTTAGGTATCGCATATGGTTTCAACAAACTACCCCGAATATCCGTTACCAAGACCGTCGGCGCGCCTCTAGCTCTGAACAAGCTAGCTGACATCGTACGCCAAGAATGTGCTATGTCGGGCTGGTCCGAAGTCATGCCCCTCATTCTCTGCAGCCACGACGAAAATTTCGCCTGGCTCAATCGCAAAGACGACGGTCGTACCGCCGTCCGCCTCGCCAACCCCAAGACCGCCGAATATCAAGTAGTCCGCACATCCCTCATCCCGGGTCTTCTCAAGACCATCCGCGAGAACAAAGGTCACAGCGTACCTTTCCGCGTCTTCGAAACCTCCGACGTAGTCTTCAAGGACCCAAATGCCGAGCGTCGCGCCCGCAACGAGCGTCATTTCGCCGCCGCGTGGTACGGTAAGGCATCGGGTTTCGAGGAAGTCCACGGTCTACTCGATCGTGTTATGTCTATGCTCCGCCAAGCCTTCCTCACACACGAGGAGGGACTAACCGAAAACCCCAATAAGAAAATCGACTTCGAAGTCAAGCCCGTCCCGCAGAAACGCGATGGGTATTGGCTTGAACCCGTCGACGATGAGCCCACTTTCTTCCCTGGTCGTGCGGCTGCTGTGTATGCTCGTCTAGGCGGGAAGACGGCGCGGATTGGCGAGTTTGGCATTTTACATCCCTCAGTACTAGAAAACTTCGAACTCAAGTATCCTGTTAGCACGCTTGAGGTGAACCTTGAGGTCTTCTTATAAGGCGGGTGCGAAGATAGTTCGTAGCGAAGGTCAAAGGGAATCGATATCAAAGCGAGAAAAAGTGATGTAAAGCTAGAAGGCTTAAAGTAAGATCGTCTGCTTACTGTTTACCTACTAGAGGCAAAAAGGAGGGAGACCAGACGTACGATGTCGTTGATGTGGCCCGAGATTAGGTAAAAACCACCTGAATCATTAGATAGAGCGGAGGGTTCACTTCGCTAGGCATAATCGAAATTCTAGGCAAAATCTTGTGATTTCTGGTTTCTGTTGAATGACTCCCGCTATGGTTCTAACATCGCAGTGAAAATATTGAGTCACCGTAGGCCCCCCTATCTAAAGAAAGCATGACAAGGCAGCGCAAGAGCGGAAAACCTGCTAACCGTCCCCATTCCTGTGCTACACGGTACCACTTCTAGACTCACTAGCAGGACAACACTACATGGTTGAATGTCGCTAAATGGCGACGTGTCTCTTTTCATAACGCATAAAACAATAATTCTTACAATGCCCAATGTCCAAAGTTATCCATGCTGTCCCTTCTTATGCTCATGATCATTATCGTGATTAAGACCGTATCGTCTCAACCCATTTCTACGGAGCCTTTCTCACTACTCGTCGACATATCCGCCAGTTCCTGTTCTCCCTTTCTCCCGCTTCCACTCGCACTAGCATCGTTATTGCTAACATGATTATTTGTAGCATTAGGAGGACCGAAGAACCCCCGCCCGATATCTAAACCGGCGACTCCGTCTCTAATCTTAGCGAAGTTTGTCGCGAAAGCACCAGGTGTATCGGCGCTAGCGCTATGCTTCAGGCTAGCTGGGTTATTAACTGCCCTTTGCTCAGGTGTTAACGCTTCGTGCGCTGACTCTACACCAGTCAGCACACTCTTACTCATAGGTAAGCCAGGTTGGGGACTGCTTGGTGGCCTTGGCGATCTCCTATCCCCGTTGCTAGGAGGGTTAGTGAAAGCACCTGGCATAGACGTCGGGACACTTAAAGCGTATCCCCCTAGCCTCTCATCTCTCGCCGCAGCTGAGTCAAGATACTCGTTCATCTCCGCATCCGTCCTTCCGAAAAGCTGGTGCCACCATCGCACATCGGACAGTTTAGGAAAGAGGAGTCTCTCTCGACCACTTTGTCGGTCGTCGATCGTAGCATCGTAATCTCGGTTAACGAATTCGGGTTTCCGAGATAAGAAATAGTCCCATACGGACCTCGTCCTTTCAGTCGCATTGGAGTCTTTTCGGGCTTTCTCGTTATTCCATAGGAATGTACCATACTGTCCTGCGTAGAGGTGGTAAAGAAGCCGCCTTAAAAATCGTTCATTAAACTCAAAGCGATTAGGATGTTGCCGTAGGAGTTGATAGGTAGCGTCGAGGAATTGATGGAAAACAGGGGATATCTCGTTTGGTCGGGTGACTTCGTTAGCCTCTGGAGAGCCAGCAGCTGGTTTCTTGGATTGTGATGGTTCATCGGGCGGCGAGCTGACGCCATCGTTATCCGAATCGGCGTTACTTTCGTTATTGCGACTCTTGAAAAAGCGCTTCGCACTGGCAAGGGCGTTTTCAAAAGCTTCACCAGCACGACCATCCGATTCGCCCGGTTGTATCGCCGAACCGGCCAAGGCATCCCGTTCAACAACAAACCATTTTTCGTGATTGAGAGGACCGGAACGTTGTTGGAACATGTGTCCAAATGATAACCAGTCCTTCTCAATTAACACAATGAAACCTTCGATTGTGCGATAATAAGGGTCCAACATCAGCTGTGATAGGGCTGATAGTTGGCTTGTGCGATCCCATCCGTCAGAACAGTGAATTAAGACATGCGAATGCCTTATTCCCACCTGACGCGCGATCAGGGCTGACCCATCGAGAATACCGGTAATATGTTTAAGCCAACCACTCTTCGCCAATAATTCGCGATTCGGAGGAAGCCGAGAAATGTCGCCATCTTTGAGAGCATCTATGACAGTATTTAGAGACTCTCTCATAACATGAATATTCTCGATATTCAAGTAGGCCTTTTTGGCAAATTTATAATATTCCATATTCTCCGATCCCTTTCCCATAGCCTGCATTACGACAGCGTTGATAGTCGGTCGAGCATCTACAATAAGATTACTCTGTTGCGCGCCGTATATCCTTCGCTTGCCGTCATTCGAATCGACACTATCGTCGTTCCCAGCAATAAGTTCATCTTCAAGATGTTCGGTATCCGAAGTTTCCGAATCTATACCTTCCCCTCGAAGATCTATTTGACTTGAAGCCGGACTCGGTTCTGCTGTTTCTACCACGGGAGCATCTATTCCATTAAACTCAACAGTAGCCGAAGCAGAAAAGCATGCACTGACTAATTTCTCGTCTTGTATGCTGCGATTCCCTCTAAACCCTACCATGGGCTGAGAGCTTCTTGTAATCGAGCAATTATTCAAGGAGTGGAGATAGGTAAGGACGGGTATGCGCTGTCTAGATCGGTAGGAGCCGGCGTATTTAATAACATTGTCGGATATTTTAGACGGAACGACGAGAATGCCGGGGTATGTCGGAGAAAAGGTATAATCCTTATTGATTAGAGAGATCCTCCATCCTCTATCAACAGATTTGGTACTAATACCTTGCCTTCGAAACTCGGCTCTCGGGTCGTACAAATTCCACCCGTTGAATGGTTTCTCTATCTTTAAGGGTTGGTAGCTGAAGGCATATAACTTTTCTATTGTCCCAAGCCGACATGTCCGGTTTCGAATATACTCGAAAGCCTCTCGTGCGTGCGTTTCATCGTGGAAACCGAAGTTTATAAAGGTGAAATCACGACATCGTAGTCTTATTGCGGAGGGTCGGCCCGTTATGCTAGGACATGGTCGGAAGATACAGTTGGCGATAATGGGGTAGGCAATGTAAGATTCGCGGGCTTTGGGAGCATTCGGTTGGGACGGGACACCATCAGGTAGTATATTAGGGAAGACGAATATGATATGATGTTCTGTAAGATGTAGTTCGCCTGATTGTTTCTCGCCTCCTCTTATGGCATCAACATTGGGTATCTGTCAGAGTGGAATTAGCGATGATCCCTGAAGAAACGGAGAAAGCGGAAGAAGTATATACCTTCTTAATATGCATCTTGAAAACGGTAAAAGTCTAGAATTACATTCGAAGAGTCAAATGTTGAGTTGCACGTGTTGTCGCATTTGTCCAGCGTAGCAATAGGCATAAGACAAGCACGCGAAAAGTCGCAGGTGCCCGAGAGAGCCCTTCTAGGCTTATTGTTGGAAGATGATTCAAAACGACTACAGTGCAGTGGATGTGGATGAAAGGGATGCCAAGTGATTTCTTAGAGAATGATTATGGATAATGTGGATTTCATGGACATTTCTTTGGATGGTAATAGAATATTAAAGCTTGAAGGACCACACCACGGTGTATTTCAAGTTGGTAAAGCATCATATGTTAGAAGTTTTGATGGTCACATTAATCAGGTGAATCAAATCCAGCGGTTTAAGTCCACTGTCCACTGTTCGTTCGTGCTGAAATGTACCTAAAGTTAAAGTTTCTAGCGGCGGGGCAGCGGGGACCCATGTCAACTTGTACATACCTAAGTACGTATCGCTCTTACCTTACCAGAATGAGGTTTGCATATGTAAGGCGAGGCTGAAGAAGCTTTGTATCACATATCGGGGAAATAATTGTGGCTGATACCGACGTCACACCTCATTTATCAATTTGAACGGTACAGAGGTACAGAGGTACACATGCACGAGCCCATATAAACTGGGATGCGAGGTTAAGTGGGTTCTAGATTGTTTGGTCGCATCGCATCGCTACAATTCTCTTATCTAATCAGTCGTTCAACTTTACAGCACACAAATCTGAACCCTAAGCCGAAAAAATTCAGGGCCAAAAATACTGCCAGTGCATTCACCCACTACCCACTGCTAAGCAACAATCCCACCAACCGACCCGAAATTTCGTGAGAGCCACCTCAATCCAACCCGGCAGCTAAACGAACTTCCTCTCCTCAAACTTCCTAACCCAACGACCAATTCTTCAGTCAATCATCAGATTAAACCGTCAAGATGGCTGTCCCGGGTACTCAAATGTAAGTACTAATATTTCAATTCAAACAATTAAAACGACTCTGTTATCGCCAATTACGACGTATCTCGACTGCCCCTCGTTGGCTGCCAAAAATATAAAATATTTCACGATACCTTCATATTATTTCCCCGTCTAATATTAACAATTTACTAATATCCTTTCTTCAACAGTTCCAAGCGCAGAAAGTTCGTCGCCGATGGTGTCTTCTACGCCGAGCTAAACGAATTCTTCCAGCGCGAGCTGGCCGAGGAGGGTTACTCCGGCGTCGAGGTGCGCGTCACACCCACGGTGACCGACATCATCATCCGCGCGACACACACCCAAGAAGTCCTCGGTGAGCAGGGCCGCCGCATCCGCGAGTTGACCTCCCTCATCCAGAAGCGCTTCAAGTTCCCCGAGAACTCCGTCTCCCTGTACGCCGCCAAGGTCCAGAACCGTGGTTTGTCCGCCGTCGCCCAGTGCGAGTCTCTCCGCTACAAGCTTCTCAACGGTCTCGCCGTCCGTCGTGCCTGCTATGGTGTCCTACGCTTTATTATGGAGTCGGGCGCCAAGGGTTGCGAGGTCGTCGTCTCCGGTAAGCTACGTGCTGCCCGTGCCAAGTCCATGAAGTTCACCGACGGCTTCATGATCCACTCTGGTCAACCCGCCCGCGACTTCATTGACAGCGCCACCCGCCACGTCCTTCTCCGTCAAGGTGTGCTCGGTATCAAGGTCAAGATCATGCGCGGCTCCGACCCCGAGGGCAAGGCCGGTCCCTCCAAGTCTCTCCCTGACGCCGTCACCATCATCGAGCCCAAGGAGGAGTCTAGCATTGTCACGCCCATGAGCCAAGACTACGGCGCTAAGGCCGCCCAGATTCAGGCTCAGGCCGAGGCTGCTCGTGCCGCCGAGGAAGGTGGTGAGGAGGCCGCTCCCGCTGAGGAATAGGTTTGAGCAGCCGGTGCTGGGCTCCTCAACCAAACGGTGGTAGTCAAGGAAAGAAAGGACGGACGAACGGATGGATGGATGACATGTTTACGAAGGGATACTTGATTCTTCGAGGGCAAGAGAAAAAAATTCTTCGGCGTCTTTGAACATATCATTTGCATTGCTGGAACGGGAACTTAGGAATGCTCTCTATCGTCGATGCTAGGCTAGCTAGAAACGACGTTTATTAGACGGTCGTTGACCGCAATTTAGCAATCGTCACAATATCGGGGCGTTTTGGTGATGTGTCATTCGTAATATGATTAAGTGAAACATTGTTTCCGCGACACGTAAAGATATGCCATCTCTAGTTATGCATCTAGTGACATGTTCGATCACTCTGGTTGGAAGATACCTACGTAATGGCGTATGCGACTTGCATTGCTCAAATACCTGTGGTTTGTGCTTTCAGTCGCAAGTATCAGACTATTGCAGATACAATTCAAGCCGCTACGGGAATAAAGGTACGGAGATGACGTGCCTTAGCTACTTACTATCTCCATTCATACCTAAGTACCTAAATGTCCTGCCCGAGGGGAGTTCAACAGCATCCATATAATGCCATTAATTCAACCTCCCATTCGCCCATCGATCCATCCCAGATCATCCTAACAGCAATGTAGACAGGACATGCACATCATTCTCTCTTCCACACGTGGTAATCGTACAATAGGACAAACAGATAATTCCTCTCGAAAATTTCAGTTATTGGGGATCAGCAGCTCGCTGCTGTCTCTCGCATCCCTTAAAAGAACCGGAATCGGAACCCTCGATTCCACGCCGTAATGTGCCGGAAAGGTACTTCCAAAAGTAACCCAAGTCCCCCCGGAACGCCACGGTAGTGAGAGGAATCCCAACCAAGAACCTAAAACATGATATTGCCCTTCTATACTCCTTTGGTGAATCCCAAATAAAACCTCACCGTCAATGAAGAGAGATACGTTGCCATTATACACCCTAAGTTCCGATTCGGAACGAGCAACGTAAAGTCCATGATATCAATCGTGTCCACCTGTGGGATTGAACGTTCTAATGCTGCCTCCCGGTTAAGGAGATCGTCGAATAAGAAAATATACAATGCGGTCTTGATGTTGATGGGGATTTCTAAGATATGCTAATCTTCGACGAATACCGACATCGTTCATCGCTCAGACGATTTTCGGTTTTGTAACTCGATCGATTCGTGGGTTTTCGGGGGGTGTAGGCTACCGTTTCTCCTCGATGAAGATTCGTCGTCGCTATCTTCGGTGAGATCGTTGAGGCCGTATTCACCTACTTGTTGTTCGAGGTCGTAAGATCGCATTAGACCTTCTCTATCGGAATGTCCTCGGCTTCCTACGCTTATCCGTGAGCCCGTACTGCGTCGAGCTTGCATACTAAGACGAGTTTGAAGACTCGAGATCATGTCCGTACCAGTAGCATCAGTGCTTTGCCCCGCCAACATGTTCAACCCGTTAGGATCACGTCGCGAAAGGTTTAGCAGATAAACACCCGTAAATGTTACAAGGAATCCACAGAGGAGAGAGAGCGTGTTAACGACGTCGGTGGTATTAAACCCGGAGAAGAGGATAAACGAGGCGCAAAGAGTAGCGGTAGTGAATGTCACATAGTAAAGAGGATTAACTCTGTAAAAAAGGTTAGCTTCGTCTGTAGTCTGTCGAGTTTTAGATCGTCCTACATTTGCGTGCTAAATTGGCTGAGTGCCTTGTTAAAGTAATTCATCTGGGTGAGAATACAAAGTGCCGTAAGGACCATGAAGACATATGTCGAAGCGTGAACGAATTGGTTATTTCCTGCGAAGGTGAGTTTAAGCGCAATGCCAAAGGCCTTTACGGACATGACCGAAACGGAACCGACGGTGGAGCAAATCGAGAGATAGATCAGAGGGTTCTTTTTGCCATGGAGAGGGGCAATCTTGTAGATCATAACACCTGCGAAGATAGCTACGACGGCGCAATATAGAAGGAAACCTGGCGCCTATTAGTTGATGTTTGGGCAATGGGACGGCGCGATCCGTTATAGCTCAACTTACCCGGTCGAAGCGCAAGTTCAAGAATGTGGTCGATAGTCTTGATATCCTCATCGGGAGGCGCATGAAGAACGATAATAATGGCGCCCAGCAGGCAGATAGCGCAACCGAGCTTGCCCAGAGTTCCCAGCTCTTCCTTCAAGAAGTATGATCCTAGAACAGCACCGATGAGAACGGAAAGAGCGCCGAGGGGTGTAACTAGAATAGCCGGAGCGAAAGCGTATGCGGCGAAGTTGCAAATTTCTCCGATGACCACTATAATGAATTATATCAGCATATTCCGTATATCGCATGGTTTCTAGTAGTTAAGACTAACTAGTTCCGATTCCAGCCCACCATAATGGATTCCTAAGATAGATAAAGCCATCACCGGAGAAGCCATGCTTTTCTTCCGATTGTATTAACCCCTACTATGCATTAGAATGGATTTTCCTTATATATGATCGAACGATGACTCGGGTATTTTTTCTTTATTGCGGTACCTTTTTTGTTATTACAAAACTCGTGCCTATGGAAGAGAAAAACATTAGTTTATATGCCCTCGTGATGTATTCGGCTATTCGGACCCAATGGAACTTACCAATGGCTAAACTTGAGGATATAGCTAATGCTAATCCGATGTATCTATCAAGGAATCCAAATTAGTACATCGCCATCAATGTTGATTATAATCAAAGGACACGCGAGTGGTGGTAGCGACCATCGGATTTCGAGGGGGTATTCGTACTTTTCATCTAACATCATCATGAAAGTAGATTATGGGCTGCGATTCCTATCGCAGCGTATCGTGAAAATGGTCGAAACGGGGAAGAATAAAAATGGATTCGTCGCAATCGTAGATAGATAGCTCGCGCCTGGCGAGGGCAGCAGTAACAACGAAATGTTGGGTCAAGGTCAGGTGTTGGTTATGCGCCTCGATCAGCAGAAATGCCACGAATACCCGAAAGAAACGAAACGTTCGAATCGGTCGCGCCCAGTCCAAATAAAAAAGCCCGGTGGCTGACGGTCGCACTTAAAAAGCGTCGCTTAGTAGTAGATGGAATCCGTAAAGTACATTGGGGGGTGGGTCACTAAGTTGGAACAAGACGAGGGAGTGTGTATGTGACTTTTGAATGATTGTATTGTGAATGTGTAGGAAGTGCGAAATAGGTGAAATAGGATATTTGGCGATAGGGAGATGTAGAAAATCCAAGTAAGGTTGGGATTAAGATTTCGAGTTGGACTTTTTGGCCTCGTGGTCACTACTTTAGTTATGGGAGGAGAGACTGGATATGGAGGTATGAAAGCTTTCCTTGCTAGGAACATTGAAACGGCAATTACTTGGTACTTGCAAGCTGTACTGTAAAGTGGGAGGGTTTCAGAGGTTCGATGTTTCCAATAAGGTACAGAAAGGTACATCATTGTCAGGTTGGTTAACCGCTAGAGGAGAGCGCTAAATCATGCCAAGTACCCCGGCTTTGCCGTAGAACAGGGACATCATCGTCCGTTTACTGGAATTAGAGATGCGCTAAACGGAATTCTTGCCCCGTAATTTAACATTGGTATGCACTTAGCCTGACAAAACGATCGTCTAAGTGGTACCTATCTACGTAACCTCTTGTTAAACTTTTCCTGCTAAATAAGATACATGACATACATTCGAAGTTTATAAAGAAAATGAATAGACAAAAGGAGGGAAAACCGATATTCATAGTGTCATAAATCAAAAACAATTCAAACTTGAACATGAATAAAGACAGAGACTACATTATGTATACACATGTACACGTCCATATGTATGTACAGACTCAAATCGAGTACAAAGCAAGATCTTGAATGTACCTCGCCGTATCTTAAAACTTTCTCTAAAAAAGAATTTGGTCCAATTCTCCTAAAAGGTTCAAAAAGACCCACCATGATGAGGCTGTGCCTCCCCTTGCACCCGCAGAACACGTACGCAAGGTCCTCGACTTGCCCAGTGATCCGTCCAGGGGTATACAGATAGATGTACCTATGTACTGTAACACACGGTTCCGACCGTACTCTTCTTTGGGAATCGTACTGAATTCTAAAACATCCCTATTCCCTGCTCCCTTGCAATTTTTTGTCTTGTTATCCCGTTCCTGGCAGCTGATCACCAACTAATCCGATCGATTCTTTCATTAATTGTAACGCCATTTGGCGTCTGGCGTCCTATCGGTATAGTTAACTGCCGATGCCATTTTATGAATGTCGTACATAGTACACCGTGTTTTCTATCCTATTCTCGTATTACAAGATAGAGGATGTGCTTCCATGCCTCTTACGTAGAATAATACCCATGTCAAAATGTCTACAACATGCTGACAGCAGGCTAAGAAGACGTTTGTTTGTGAGATACGACAAACTACATAAGCTAACAAGCACCGCTAAGCCAGCCTCAAAATTAGAGATGACGAAGTCTCCCCACTCATAGTCTAGCCAAGTACTTACGCGGGTAGCTTACAATGATTTTTATTCGCAAATTAGACCAAATCGGGTGTCGATGGTGGCATGTCCCTCCAGATGTATCCGTAGCCAGGTATTTAATTCTCATTAAATGGCTGGGTACATAGAAATGTATATGCAAGACTCAATATTATCCATAAACCAAATTGAAAAGCAAAGCATAATGTGTATTGCTACCAGATTGACGGGCGCATTACTAATGGTTCCTTCGTAGGGGACTTCTCGACCGAGCTAAAGCAATACACAAATACGTCCGTCGTCGTGTCTAGTCAGCTTTGCTAAAAGAGTCAGACTGGACAGATCTAACTCTACTCCTAGCCTAAGCTATCGTCCACTACTATCTCCGCCGCCCAAAAGCAACAATAACATAAAATTCTCACCCTTTTATGGTCAACCACGTGATATGAATACCTAGGTAACCACGCCGCAACGCCCCCCTGATGATATCCTTGACCGGAGATTTGTAATTTTCCCTTTTCCGAAACTCCTAAACATATCCGGGGTCCTAGTATCTTCTGGTCACAGCGTACGCCTATCCTGCTGTGTGAATAGCCGTTGAACACCGTGGGTATCAGAAAACACCGAAAATCAAACGAAAATTAAAGAGGTAGAGGTAGAAGCAGAAGTTGTCGGTAACACCGTCGTCTCGTCTCGTGAGGGAAACTGTTGTTGGCGACTTTTACAAGGTGCCCATTCCCAATGAAAACTTACCATCCGGGAAGCCAGAATCGTTATCCGGTCTCTCGTAGCTACATAGTTAGTATTCTGAAGTTGGTTTATACCCCGGCGGGGAAGAAAATCATTCATCTGTGAGTTGATTGCAAGTATGCAAATTCCACATCAGCTCGTTAGTGGTGCAATTGGATGTGTTGGTGTACGTCGAAAGAAAAAGGACGAGGGTAAAAGGGGGTTAGGTAGGAAGTATTCGTAAGAAATTAAGAGGGGCGACGGCGCTTGACATCTGCTACAAGTTAGCAAGCAATCAAAAATGATGACATGGTGGTTTAGTAGCTTACCGTTATGTTCAATTTCATCCTCAAAAAAGTCAGTATCTGACCTAGGGCGTTTTCCAGAGGACGGTGACACTTGTACTGTCCCCTTAGCCACTGTGTTGGATGCTGTCTTAGAAGTTGTAGTAGGTTCGTTCCTGGCGTCCTCATTTTCAGACTCCCAAGTAATTTCGTCATCAACCGGTACTTGGAGGGTTGCCGTTGCACTCGAGCCGTTGGTAGATGGACCGTCATTGGAGGGGTTACCATTTGCGCTCGTATACTCCTCTCCGTCATCGTCCGAGTAGTCAATCTCGTCGTTGTCATCGCCGTTTAGGGTTACGGTGGCACTGGTAGCCTCGGAGTTGGCAACATCGCCATCATCGGTTTTGTTCGTGACGTCAGACTCTTTACGAGTCTCTTGCGCATGGTCGTTCGGCGACGCATTTGTATGTTGATCTTCAAATCGGTTAGAGTTAGTCAATGTCCTCAAATCTTTAGTTGGTCGGATCTCGAGTATATGAAATGACTTCTCTGTTGGAGAAGGTGTGGGGAGGGAAGCGTTGCGTTGTCCTTTGTTTTGCTGAGGAGCCGAGTAGGTCTGACAACCAATGCTCGTATATATTGGTTTTGAAGTATCAAGGCGCCAGCTTGCGTCTAGTCTTTCAAGATCAATCTCGAAGCAGGCGTTGCATTGACAATCACTCGTCTGTCTGCAGTGGAGGGGAAATGATGTGTTGAAAGAAGGTTGAGTATTACCCTGCTTCAGCGACGAAAGATCTAATTCGTCATCAGAATAGTCGATTAAACCGTCGGCCGTAGTTCCGTCAGCGTCTGCACCGCTATCCTTTTCGGTGTTCTCCTCAGGGTTTTCTTCGTGGTCTTCTTCATGGTTCTCTTCGGCGTTTTCGATTTGCTCGGTCGATCCCTCATTATTGCCTCCTACGACTGAGGCATGTGCCGAGGGCGAATTTGGTTCATTATCCGCAAATTCTTCCGCATTACCATGCTGTTCCCCGTTCTCATCTTCCACATGGTCACCCTCTTCACATAACTCTTCATCTTCGTCGTTACGAAGTGGCGAGTATGAGGTGTGATCCTGCTCCTCGCCTTCTTCACCATCGGGTTGGACGTAGGAACCTTGATCATCATAACCACCAAGTTGGTCTTGGTCGTCATCGTGGACGGGTGTCGCTTCTCGATAAACGGCGATTTCGGAAAGACCGCGGCCAGCATTCGCACTATCTAAAAGTGCCACAAGACGTTTGTGGCAGTGAGGTCTTACCATAAGATACGTATATAGATCTGGTGCCTGCTCCGCATTGTCATTCTTAACGAGCTTGTCATATAGACTAAGGATATCACCGAATGTGAAATCTTCAAGCATATCACTCGACGAAGACTAAAAAGAAAAGTCAGCTTAGATCGATTCTGCATAAGGGCAATAGTTGATACATACCTCGGAAAATTCCAGCCCCAATCCATCTACATGCATCACCAATTCATCGAGAACCGACACTTCGTCTGCAATAACTTCGCGCAAACTCGCTAAGAACTTGCTGAGAGGTAATTCCAAGGCGAACATATCACGTAGAAAATATTGGTTAGGATCATCATCTTTGGACTTAGCAAAGAGCCTATAATCCGTCTGACCATATGAAATGAACATCTCGTGACGTGTAGCAATAGAAAGGGGGTGTTCTACGTGGGGAACGACGGCGTGAGAAGCTTCCCCGTCCTCACCAACGCTTGCTGCTTCATGGCCCTCATCGTCTGAGTCGTAACCAACTGACTGACCGTTTACTTCATCGGCGTTGGGAGCTTGGGACCCGTCTTCTCCAGGGGCCTGATCAACAGGATCTTGGTCATTAGTGGGCTGAGTATATGAATCACCACCTAGCTGATGTTCAGAACCCCCAAAATTAGGCGAACGGCGTTGATTCGCTTGTTCATCATCTTCTCCATCAAACTCAGATTGATGAGGTGAGACGACTGAAGCAGATTGCTCTTCTTGCTCGACACTATCGCCTTGTATGTACCCAACCTCGGGTACTTCATTGTTGCTAGCTTGATCTTGGACATCATCGTAAGTTTCATGGATAGAGTGACTTCGACTAACGCCTCTGTCTAACTCCTCATTACTATGACCTTGTGCACTTTGGTCATCAGTGACGGTTTGGTCGGCGGGCACTTGAATGCCGATATCTAGGGCATCATCTTGTTGCTCATCAACCACATTTGAGGCTTGAACTTCCGACTTATTTTCGTCATCATGACTATTACCAAGGGTCTTTGTGTCGTCTTCTTTATTTTTGGATAATCCGAAATCTTGGGTGTTTACACCATCAATAAGAGCCGTACCATCTTGAAGTAAGCTTTCCGTAATCGCGATTTCATTAGCATCGACTTGGGGCTGTTCTACTTCATGGGGTTGGCTAGTTGAGTAAGCGGGTGTTTCCAACCAGCTAGCTTCGCCTTGGCCAACATTTCCAACGTCAGTGCTGCTGACGTTGGTATTATCGACATAGTCGATTTCGGCAGCTGTCTCGAAGGATCCATCTTGGGGTACGTCTTGTTGCCATATATTCTCATCAGGATCACCTAGATCGATCTCGATATCGTTAGCAGTCGTTGCTGCTTCGTTATGATCAATATCACCGGCATCAATCATGCCGTAAGAGGCATCATCTCCTTCGGCCATCAACTCGTCTCTTGTATCGGTATTAAAATTTTGCATCTCTTGAACTTGATCAAAATCTGCGAGTTCTAGGTCTTCATCAACTTGTCCGACCGCGAAATCCAGATCAATGTCAATATCTTCTCCAAATCCAGGATGACCAAAATCGGTCGTTATCTCCATTTCTTCTCCAGGCATTGTGCATAGATTGCTCTAGTGTGAAATTTGCTAGTTTGTGAAGGGGTGTGGTGGTTAAATAGTACAGAACACTGAAGAACAAAAGCCTCGGCGTGCTTAAATTGATACCACAGGGGGGAATGCCAATGATTTCTTGTGTGAAGGGGGGGGGTAGGGTGACAGAGGGAGGGTAAATGTTTAATATGTGTTATTGGGTGGAATTTGTGTTGTGGGAAGTTTGCATTGAACAAAGCAACTGATCAGGCGAGAGTAAAGAAAGTCTAATTCCGGAAAGAAAAAGACCGGACAACTTTACTTGTTTAAATAATTAACTAGCACCCGCCGTAAATCTGCCGTGTTTCTTCTGTATATGCTTTGTGGGAGTGTTCTGCGTGGTAAACGTGGTCGGGGGTTTGGCCGAATCCAATAATAATTGACGCTGACCTTCTTGATATTCTTCGTGATTTTGTGGTGTTTTACGCTTATTCGTGTTGGTTCCTCGATCAAGTGTGCAAGACACAAGATTGTTTCGATAGTTTGGCAGAAGAACACAAAGAAATCATTTGTGATAATTAAGTAGGTATTCACGTATCGGAAATTTAATCTTGTTCTGGGATGGATTGCTGTGGATATGACGCGAGGCGTGTCTCGGTTGGGTAGGAAGTTGATAGGAATAGGTACCAGGCAGGCACACGAGAAATCCTAATCAGTGGACGGAAAACGCGTTCGGGGATAGAGTAGTGGCGTGCCGATTTATCGCGTCGAAATGGTCGATGATCAACTATTATTGCTGTCGCTCAAGCGTCAAGTGTTGAAGGAGGTAGAAGGGTAGTCGGGAGTGATTGTGTGAGGGAATGAACGCAGTTTAAGTAACGTTCGCAAAATGTAAAATGTATCGATCGTGCTTCCTGAGAAAATACAAACGTCAATAGAAAAATTACGCACGAGATGAAAGGTTCGGACTGATGGTTCGAAAAAAAAGATTATTTGGACAAATGAGTCAAATTTGATGGAATAGAATGAAATGAAACGTCAGAAGAATCTGATATGAAGCAGTTCCAAGCTGATGATGATCATTCTAAAGGTGCTGCAGGCTAAAATAAATCCGGGAAATATTAGGTAACCTTAGTTTGAAAGGAAGGACCCCACTTGTCCGTCGCTCTAGCGCAGCTGCCAGATCGCTCAGTGGCAAGGTACAAGGTTACCTTTTCGTAATTGCGGTACGATACGGTACGGTACGGATAATCATCGGTAGATTACATAACAAAAGGTCCAAGTTTAAACATGTGGCTTGACAGGGGACACCGTTCTTGTGGATCCTATTGAAGCACCACATTTTCTTAGGTGAATTGGCTTGATCGTAGGACAGCAGCTAGCCTCATTACAATATACAATTCTAATCGGTGGGACAATTTGATTTCCCATACAACACATCTTTGAACCCACCGAATCTTCACGACCATATAGGTCCAATACATACAAGATGGTAATGCTCTGCCTTATGAATTAATTCGAAATATTATATGTTTAGCCTCCTAACTTGTATTAGGTTGTCCTAGCTGCTTCCATCTGTACTCGAGGCGGCAAAGCTGTCCTCTCGAGGCAGTTTCGTGAGATGCCCAGATCGCGAATCGAAGCCCTCCTAGCGTCCTTCCCAAAGCTTGCCGATTCCGGTACTCAACACACCACCGTCGAGCAAGACAATGTTCGCTTCGTCTATCAACCCCTTGACGAACTCTACATGGTCCTCATTACCAACCGCCAATCCAACATCCTGCAAGACATTGACTCCCTCCACCTCTTCGCACAAGTGGTTACTAGCACATGTAGAAGCTTGGACGAACGTGAAATAGTAAAGAATGCCTACGAATTACTCAGCGCCTTCGATGAACTGGTTTCACTTGGCTACCGGGAAAACCTCACAATTAGCCAGATCAAAACTTTCTTAGAAATGGAAAGCCATGAGGAACGCATCCAAGAAATCATTGCACGAGTATGTTATTTATCTTCGAGTATTGCTCATTACATTGCTGACATCCACATAGAACAAGGAACTAGAGGCAACCGAGGAGCGCAAACGAAAGGCCAAGCAACTCGAATTACAACGAAAGGAGTCCGCGAGAAGTGGCCGTCCTGGTGCGCCACGAACACCCGTCTATCCGACTTACACACCACCTACTCGACCGACACCTGCGGATACGTACGATACTTACGAAGCCGAGAAGAACAAGTCGCATAAGTATGATACGCCTTGGCCATATACCGCTATTTTAAGCTAACGAGGGGACAGGACAACTGTGATGAAGGGTAAGGGAATGCAGCTAGGCAAGAAATCGAAGACTACAGATATGTTCGAGCGTGTCCGAGGAGATATGGGAGCCGAAGTCGAAGAAACACCTCTCGTATCCACCGCTCCCACCCCAGCTGCCGAACCTGCTGCTCCACGAATTTCTTCCACTCTCGACCGCGATGCGATCCACATCACTATCAACGAAGCTATTACCGCGAAATTATCTAGGGAAGGTTCGCTCAACTCTCTAGCCGTCAGCGGTGATCTTAGCCTCAGAATCTCGGATCCCAGCTTGACAAAAGTTAAGCTTCACCTCGCAGCGAATGCCTCCCACGGTGCCCAATTCCGTACTCACCCCAACGTCGATCGTGGCCTTTTCACAAGCTCCAAGACTATCCAGATGAGCAATGTTGCTCGTGGTTTCCCTGTTAACAATGCTGTTGGTGTCCTAAGATGGCGAGCTACTCCGAAAACCGATGACACGAGCGCCCTACCCATTAGCTTCACTGTCTGGGTAAACAAGGGCTCGGAGGGTAACTTCACGATAACTGTCGAGTATGAACTTACCGGAGGCGACACGCTCAAAGATGTTTCGGTAGTCATCCCATATGCTACCAGCGAGCCGTCTGTATCTAGCTTCGATGCTACCTACGAAGTAACAGGAGATAGTCTCGAATGGACTATCGGAACTGTCAGTGATGATAACGCGAATGGCTCATTTGAATTTGATGCCCAAGCAGATGATGAAAACGAATTCTTCCCCATGCAAGTACGATTCTCAAAGACCACACCCTTTATCGATGTTGACGTAAGTTCGCCCACAATCTATACAGTTCAGTATCAGATACTAATAGACGTCACAGGTCTCATCGGTGGTTTTAGTAGAGGAAAATGAAGATGTGACTTTCTCCAAAGACATTAAGTCGGTCGCTGATTCTTACTTGGTCGAATAAAAGGACTTCTACTTGAGAACCGGGAGTTTGTCTATGTAGCATGGCGTAATAGCTGCTAAAAGGGGGTTGAGTGGATGATATATAGAATTATGATCTCAAATAGAGCATTCTAATGGATTGTGAATGATGACATCAATTGTATTTCCAATGCATAAATAATCTATCTAAATGTATGAGTTGTCGAAAAATTCGATGATTTCGTCGCTTTGACCGGTGCCCTTGAGATTCCATAGGTACTCTTAAAAACACAGTTTAATGTGCTGTAGAAGATGTAGAAGATACTGTATCTAGTGCAATTGTTACAGCAATTTAAGCCACTAAACATCCCCGCAGGTACTAAGCCAGTCCGTTTTCGCGCACTGTATACCTGTTTAGTTACCTGTAGTTTGCACAAAATCGCAAGACAAACGCACCTAAAACACAACAACGGCAACCACCACGTAAGTGGAAGCCTCTTGAGTGACAACAACAAGATCATCAATATATAAGAATAAACTCACAAGATGGTCATAGAAATTTCACACCTCACCAAGTCACTAATTGTCGTGCGCGATCATGACTACACCAATTGAGCTGACGCTTCTTAGCGAATCGCGGCTTGATCCTAAGCCGCACAACGGCCTCCTCACTTACAATCCCAACATCGAGCTCTTTGCAGGTGCAGCTGGATCTAAAACCCTACAGGTATGGCGCTCAAATGGTCAGATCGTGACAAAAAGTAGCCAGCGCGGCGAAAAAGATAGCGTCGAGGCTCTACATTGGAAAGCAGATGGTAGGTTATTCTCATATTGACAGGGACTTGTGCGCATGCTAACACGCGCATCGCAGGTCAATTTCTTGCAGTGGGATGGAGCGATGGAGTTGTAAGGTTATTGGGTCTCGAAACCAGCAAGGCTGTTCATCAGATGCCAATATGCGAGGCAGGTAAATCTCGAATTACCTGTGTGGGCTGGTCTCGTAACAATACGAGAAAACACTCGGATTCCACTTCCCTATCATCGACCATACCCTTAGAGGGCCTAACAGCTCACGGCCTTTTCCCCAGTGGCAAGAAATCCACCGCAGACCTTCCTCGAGAACTTACGTTTCTCGAAGTTGAAACTGCTCTGCCCAAGCTCAGTCCTTTACCTGCATCAGGAGGTTCGGGGTAAGTTCCGACGCGAAATTTACCACGGCTACTTGCTAATAGGATTCAGTGATGATTCGTTCGTATTTACCACGAGAGCATCGCTGGAGTTTCTATTCCAGCCCTTCTCGCCTCATGACAGCGATAGAGTCGACGTCATGATCGTTGGTACAAATGACGGGCGCATACATGTCAGCATCTACGATTCTTTTATCATTGGAACATTCCAATACGATTTACCGCAGCTTTCTGGGAAGAGTGCGCCTCTACAATTATGCCACCACGTGTCTCATCCAGATCTATCGACACATATGCTAATGTTCAAACCATCCGGAGAGGCCAAAACAGCAACGATGTACCTCGTTCCCATAGATCTCACCTTTATCCACTCATCGCCAGAGAATCTCTCTCTCCTAGCCTCAAAAACCACCACCCTACAAAAACTTTTGAGATATATCAAGCAAGTGCAGATGCACATGATGCACGAGTGGCAGTCTACTCGCGAGCTTCCAACTCGATTTTTAAATAGCATTAATGAGACTTTGAAGGAATCGGGAAACTATGGCGAAATGGCCATCGGTCAAGCTCTGTATCATTCAGTCGTGACAGGACACACATTTCCAGAAGTTCACGAATGGCTCGTTGACCAATTGGCGGAACGGGTATGTGTTCCCGATGCTATCACCTAATTTAGATCGCGACTACTAACGCATCACTCTAGGGCCATAAACGATGGGATAAGGCTGTTGTATCAGGTCTTCAGGCGCTACGAAGTCTTATCCATGAGAACTTTCTCCCAGCCCTCGAGCGAATTGGTATCATTCTCAGCCGTCTCCTCGGTATCACCCGTTATCATGAGTCCAAAGCCGAAATTGGTTTTAGCAGCGCACAGATTACTAGAATTATGGATATCGTCTCCTGCTTAATGCTAGTAGGCAATAAAATCCTCTTGGTTGTCATGGAAGAACTGGAACTTTTCCAAACTTTCTCAATCTGGCTTCGACATGAGATCGATAGGCTCGCATCTTCTTCGTCGACAGATGAATTATCCGAAAAAGAGGCAACGATGGAACACGGGAAGATTTTGGCCTACATTCAACAGTATATGCCCGCGAGTCCCTTGCAGCACCATCTCAGCAAGGTCCCCGTGGATAGTTCGGATAAAGGTCGCCAACAAGCTGAAAGTGGAAGCTCTCTCTTAGAACTGCTTAGCAAGCAGCTTAAGAAGCAGGACAGTGGACAGCCCGACGAAAATTCTTTCTCACAGGTCGAGTTCTTGTGCGGTTATTTAGACACCAAAGCCGATGCTATCTTCACAGGCATCGCAGAAGCAGAAAAGCGGAGCGTGCGATTTGGTCAACCAAACGCCATCCAACTAGAAAACGAAGTCTCAAATTTTGACGTCACGGTGTCTGCCATTCCAAGTTCGGTAAGATTGTGAGCATGTTGGTCATTTTGTTTCAGTTTAATGCTGACTATCCATGCTAGGACACATCGCAGACATCAACGTATACTGCTCTCACGACGGAAAAAGATGAATATAGCGGTATGAATCATCATTTGTTATTTTATTTGAGTCTTAAATACTAATTTATTTGATAGTATATGTATTTCGAACGAATATGAATGTGCAGAATGGCATTAGTGGCTCTACCACAACTGAGGTTTCATGCTTGGTGCTTGGTGATGGAAAAGTGTTCGATCTAAAATTCCTGCACGATGACTGCTTACTTGTTTTATGGGCTCCAAAAGGTAATTGAAGCGAACGCCACCAGATTTCAACCCCCACTAACTTTGAACAGACCAACCACTGCGGATTATCAGAATTCCACATAAGTCCGAGGACATGGGCTATCGACCGTACAACTCGGGAAGTAAAATAACCCCCCACGTACTCAATAACAACCAAGTAACTAGCCTATCCAAGAACATGATAGTTCCTTGCGAACCCAACTTCGTACCGGCACACATGGAAGTAAAGGGGGCAAGCTCTGAGCGTGGTAAGATACCTCCGAGGGTATGTTTATTGGGGAACGACTCTCAAACATACAAAGTCTTCGCTTTACCGGAAGACCTACTAACAGAGTCCGAAAAAGCAAAATGAATTAATGAAAGGGGGTGGGCGTCGCGTCGCCATGCATATCTCGACAATATATGGCTCCGATGTCCGCTCCATCTGGTACCTAAGTATGGTGTAGCATAATGTCAACCACTAGAGCCACCCAATACTTTAATTATTTTCACGAAAAAGAAAATTGCCAAGAAATAAAGAGAAAACCAGATATTGTATAGGTACCTCCATAGGTACTTAGATGCTAATGTGGTTGATTTAAGAACTATGGGTATACCCCTTTATGGCTTCCTAGCCCACACCACCTTACACGGAAGACGGCCTCCTCTAGCTGCCAACTCCTCGTGAAGTTCTTCTGTGAATTCTTTCAATGAATCAGATTCTCCTAGAATCCATTAGTAACTCTCATCATGCGCTTTTACATCACCAACACTTACCCTTCGCAGCCTTATAAATAGCATTCCCAGCCGATGTCATAGAAGTCATACCCTTCCCAACAATTTCGGGATCATCACAACCCGCGCCATACACCGCGTCGATTGTTACTTCTTGTATATCTATCAAACCCGCCTTCTCTAGCGCAGGTCGGATGCGAGCCGTATAGCCGTACCCCACACCTAGCATATCGAAAAGCGTCTTCGTAACATCCATTAGTTGATCCATCACCGGACCATTAGGGCGGACCTGATTTAAGTCGGACTCAAAAAATTCAATCCAGCCGCCTGGTTTCACAAGTTTGACGAGTCTTTCGATGCACTCTTCCACCGTGCTAACCTTTCCAGCACCGATGAGCGTTGAACGCTGGTGTACATAGTCAAAGGTAGATGTCCAATCTTCGGGCCAATCTTGCGTTATGGATTGTACTTGCAGTGTGATACCTGGTTGTGCCTGTTTTGGGAAGAATTTCGGGTTAATGTCCGTTCCGATATATTCGTGTTGCGCACCGAGAGATGCTTGAAGTCTACGGAGCCACAAGCCATCTGCGCAGCCGGAGTCAAGGATACGAAGGCCGGGTTGTGAGAAATCAACTGGGGCGAATACCAACTTGTTATCTGAAGCGTATGTTAGTACGTCGTGTTGGTCCGCCAATCTTTGCAGCTCGCCCTCGTGGCCTTCTAGAATATATCGTTCCTCGCCGTGTGATGGCATGATGAGAAATGCAGAATCAATTAACCCAGTGTAGTAATAATACAGACGTTACTCACGCAGAACATATCCGAAAACGTAGGACTCTCACCTAGACAGACACGAGTGGATACTGGGGTATCTCAGTCAGCGTAGATCATCAAGCATGCAAGCCTGTGGCACAGCACAGCGTTGATCGTAAAGTGTTCTTGGTTCGATCCCAAGAACCAGCATTAGGTACCTTAAGTCGTTATTCAATACCACTCTCCAACATATGTAGTGAGGAAATACTACGAGCCATGGCATGAATTATTATGCCCATGAATTGACTGCGAGGACCCTTGCTCCAGCCATCCGATTCCTTCGTTAGGCAATTCACAGCGGCATTTAAAAATGGTGATCTTTAGCTCGATTCGATCCAGCCAGTATATCCTATCTAACACAGCTATCAACATTCTAGAGACTCCTCATTAAGTCAGAAATAGTCCAGGCGGAATGACAGCCCTATGGTCGTCAAATATGATTAGGACTTCTATGTCTAAATGTAGTGTAGATTCTAACTCCCTATTACGACTTTCTTCCTGTCTTCGCCCACTCTCTAAGGACGTTTTTCTGAATTTTGCCAGTGCTAGTCTTCGGAAGTTCGTTGACGATCTCAACCTCTCTAGGGATCATGAATTTGCTAATCGCACTTTGATTACGAGCCCAATCAATCATGTCCTGAGGTTCTAACGTCCTGCCTTCCTTAATGGTTAAGTATGCCTTCGGTCTTTCGCCCCAGTGAGAGTCTGCTACCGCAACAACCCCGGCTTCTAACACATCGGGGTGCTGTACAAGCATAGCTTCAAGAGCGACAGAGGATATATTTTCTCCGCCTATAAGAAACCACCATTAGTCCTTTCTCACGAGTTACGAGGTTTTGCGGCAATTGGGTGGGGTAAAAACCTACCACTTATAATAATATCCTTCGATCGATCTTGGATCTGTGCGCTACCATCTGGACGCCAGACAGCCAAATCACCGGAATGAAGGGCGCCACCCGCGAAAAGCTTCTTCGTAGCTCCCGCATCTTTAAAATAGCCCTTACAGCAAATATTCCCGAAGAAAACAATTTCGCCTAGCTCCTTTCCATCCTTAGCCACGTCAATGAGAGTTCCATCGGGTTGATCAGGTTTAATGATGCGGATCGGAAGACTCGTTATGAAGCCATGTCCCTGCCGAGCCATCCTAGCATACTTCTCAGCCCTCGGAAGGGTTTCCCATTCCGGCATGTGATAACCCTTGGTTATTGGGCCATAGGTTTCCGTTAGGCCATAGACATGCACGGGGTGTAGGTTTAGATTAGTCTGCAGCCACGTTAGAGATATCTTTCGGTGAATATGTTCAACCCATACCATTTGTTCAAATAAGTGCGCTGTCGGAGGGCTTGCAGCTACTGTAACACGAACACGCTGCGGTAACCTTTCCGCTTCCTTCGAAGCACAGAGTAAAGTATTCACCGTCGGCGCCGCATTAAAATGAGTAACACCTTCCTCCTTTAGGAGTTTCCATATTAATGAATAGTCGATCTTCCTGAGACAGTAATGTGTACCTCTGACAGCAGTCACCGCCCATCTGCATGTCTTAAATGAGTATTCAATTCATGCGAGACGCTTCATTGGAAGTTACTTACGGGAATGTCCACCCCATGGCATGAAACCTTGAATCGGATTGTTAGCTATAAAGTGCGCTGAAAACCCCACAATTAAGGGCATTCTCACATAGGTAATGTCCAAAGATATTTGCATCGTCCTTGATCATAATTCAATCCGGATTCCACTACATTAGCCATCGCCGCAAGATACGAACCTCTGTTCGTATAAACACATCCTTTAGGCCGCGAAGTAGTTCCTGATGTGAATGGAATGGCAATCATATCATCTTCGTGAGTCTGTGCGTGATGAAGGCCACCCCACCCGTGACCTCCCTGTACTTGATCGTATTTCAACCCTTCAAGTACAGCATCGTCAAATGGCCCACAAAGTTCGCCTTCTGTCGCATCGGTATCCTTAATTTATTAATTAGAGATTGGAGATAGGATATATGATCACATTCAACTTACAAGGTCGACGATGAAGGGTACATGTGGGTGACCCTTCTTAAATTCATCTAGTAACGATACATACTCATCATCAACAATGATGGAATCTACTTCAGCGAAGTCGAATATATAAGTAATATCTTCCGGTTTGAGTCTTGCGTTTGTAAATGTTAATATTTTAACGTGTCAGCGGATGGATTCTATTGAGACACTCACCGGTAATTTACAGGCACAATGACCGCCCCAGCAGCGATTATACCAAATATTGATTCAAGGAAAGCGGGTGTATTGGTGGCTAACACGCCAATTCGTTTATAGCCATGCTTTTGGAGGTAATACGCTAACCCTCTGGCGCGATCCGCAAACTCGCGATATGATCTCCGAAGTACTTTATCATTGGCGGTGACGTGATAAATAGCTTGAGCATCTGGTTCAATAGCAGCCGCCCGTTCTAAGAAAATAGTCGGGGACAATTGATGAATGTGATAACTATGATCAACTCCGACTGGTGATTTGGGAGTGGCTGGACCTAGATGACTGAGAATGTTCCTTAATCGCGATGTCGGTGTAGACATATTGAAGATAGCGCCGCCCCCAAAAACAAGGATCGTCGATGAATTCTCGACCTAGTAGGGTCTAGACTGAAATGACCTGTCTTTAATGAAGAGGGTGTATGGTTATTCCTACAGGTATTGCAATTATATAGTAACACAATGCGGAGAAAAGATGATACAGGAGACACAAGATTGGTCTTTTATGTATTACACAGTAATTGCGATCTCCCCTGTTAAGCGATGTTTACCTAGGTTGAAACAAGTACCTAAGTACATAGGTGGATAAGGAAGACGATAAATTGCGGGGATACTAGGCTAACCGGGTTAACCCCATACTATCCCCGGTCCAAATCCCGCTTTCGGCTAAGCCATGCCTAGTTAGTAAGAATGAGTTCCACATTTCCGGCGTAGCGGATTGAGCAATGCCGGACTGCCCGGAGTGATTAATATATAAACCAGGGGCACTTTACAATTCATCCGAACTCGCTCATGTTTTCGCTTCCGTTTCTTTTGAACGATTGTCTCGGCGTGGGTCTTATATTTATAGGAAGGCTGGCACGCATTGGCGAAGTTCCCTACCACTCCGTGACCCACAACCAGGGGTCATCGCCAAGTGTCCAGGACAAAGCCTAAGATTTCTAAATCCGAACAACTAGATTACAATTTATATATCTAATTGGGTTTTTGAGCAACGCAAATCCAAGCAGACATCTCTATAACACCCGTCTTCTTTTCCTCATCGGTTAATTGTCTCCGTATCTCCTGATCCCAACGACCTCTTTCCTCAGAGTTCCATTCTTCCCAAATCTTGGCTGTCCACATAGGTGAGCTTAATGTCTCTACGATCACTTCTTCAGATTCAAATACCCAATTTGGATTAGCCTCAGACATTTTGATATGCTCGTTGGGAAAGCCTCCAGCTTCCATGATGTTGAAAACCTTCTTCTTCGTGGTCCATTCAGGCTCCATATACATGGGTTTGAAAGTTGTTTCAGGTTTGATAGCATCAACAACCCCTTGAAGTAGATCTGCGGCCCTCCGAACCTTCCACGTCGTAACAACGGCATATCCACCAGGCTTCAGCACGCGATACATCTCGGCAGCACCTGCAACTGGATCTTTGAGAGCAAAAATTCCCAAATTCATAATGACGGCGTCGAATTCGCCATCCATGAATCGAGAAAGGTCTTGCGAGTCTTGAACATATGCTTCAGCAGTTGTCCAGTCAAGTCCGGCTTTATTCACCATAAATGATTCGATCATAGCAGGCGCCAAGTCGATGCCAGTAACCCGCGGTGGAGGGGAAATTGGTAGCCCAGGGACAGAGATGTCGGGTGAAGGAGATAGCAAGAGTTTAGTCACGATCCCTGGCCCAGCCGCGGAGTCTAAAATGTGGCTTGATGAAGTATAGCTTGATAACGGCAAGCATGACAGGACTGCAGCTGCTAAACGTGTAGCAGTAGCTCCCGCATTCCTTTCATACGCTGATGCATTCTGCTGAAAATGCGATTTGATGGAAATTTTGGCGGCCATTTTAGCGGCGGATACTAGTCTTGAACGAGGGAATGAGTGGTTAGATTTGCGGCCTAATAAGTTATAAACTCGGCTTTTACACAATGATGATATTCGTAGCATCTTTGGTGGCAGGTACGTAATGATTTTATACAAAATAAGTAGAATGGTGGATCGCGTCGGGTACATATAACCTGACGGAGTGTCCCCGGAAAGTCTCCGAGCTACCCCTATTCATACGGAGACATTAAATATGAAAAGTTGCGACTCAATCTACCTATCTCTCCATCAGGAATAATTCTTCTATCATTTCGCATGTGCTGTAACCTAGCGAAAGTATTTTGGAAACATCACATGGATCGCGATCTATTCCTTAACGTTAGGAAATGCAAGACTAAAGTATCCGGAATGTGGCCCGTTATCAACCCTCCGACTCCAACAGTAACTCCCGAGAAATATTCCTAAACTCGTAACTTCATCAAATTATCAAGTGTTGTTCTTGTTTTTCTTGGCGTATTATTCATTACATTACGTATCGGAACTGAGCAGGTAATTAGCGAAGTACGAATTTCTCTTAATCAGAAGACTTACATAAGGATTCTCAAGGTCTGTACAGTCCTGTGCTCCCATCTCTCTACCATTTTTTACTATATCATCTTCTGTGATTCCTAGTTCGTTCATCTGCTTATCTCTGCGGTTGTTTCGCATGTTAAGGATAACTCTCCACTGGAATATGATTAACATCTGTACGCCTAAACATACAGCACAACCGATGCTTCCCGGGATATATCGAGGCTATACATTATTAGAATTTGGCTTCAGATGTTAACAAAGTTCACTTACCGCGTCCTTTGCTTGGAAAATTTGCGAGCCAGCCATATTTCCAATACAATAACCCAAGAACGTTATTGTGGAAACGACAGTACGCTTTGTCCGTCCGGCAACATTTGACGTAACTAATGACCATGCAAAGAATGTAGCAGTTATGAATGTGCACGTCATGAAGACTGCTCCCCACTTCGTCCATTTATATCGGGGTTCATTGGGAAGGACAGCTAGAAGGATAAACCCAATAATTGCAGGAATTGTAGAGATCATCATAACCCACCTAGCATACACTTGATTAGATCGCACTCTTGTTGGGATATTTCGTACTTACATGCGAAGGTTCTTCTTTTTAGTAACCAAGACTCCAACTGCGAGAAAGTAAAGCACTGCGAAAATACATTTCGGAATGTTCAGGAGGAGCACTTCCAAATTGGCTACCAGTGAAGTTAGTTACAGTATCCAAATCGTAAAAAATCGCGTACTTACTAAAGCCAAATGTTGTGTTCAATATCGCCGAAAATGTCGACAATGCCCCATTAGGGACTGCTCCCACAAAAGCGTTAATTCCGGCAAACCAAAACTACAAATCATTAGAATCAATAGTACCTAAATCCAAGACGATCCGTGATAAAAATACCGTTGGGTCCACCAAGCACTCTCTAGCCTGTCCCCATTTCCAATCCTTCATACCTGTTCGATCGTGACCAGTGTTATTAGCCATCACACGGGCGATGGCTATCTTTTTTTCGTCCGTCGATAGCCAATGTACTTCGGATGGTGTTCCAAGGAAAAGGAGGCATAGTAACCCAGCCAGTATGGTGAAGCCGCCCAGAAACTAAGAAATCATTAGACCATTTTCAATAATTTTATCCAGTATATCCCCACTTACAAAGGATATATATCTCCAAGCCTGAAAATCGGGGTTCTTATCGGTGACAGACCCAATCCCATATATTACCGAGTCAGTGATGATACTAACTCCAGCATACCCGGTTTGAAATACTAAGGCTCTGGAAGGGTGTTCTCGTGTGGTATACCATGTCCCAACAACCAAAAGAAACCCAGGGCTTATACAGCATTCGAATATTCCCTGGAGAGCGCGAAGGGTGATGAGATGGGTAAAGTTCTGTGAAAATCCAATACACAGTACCACTAACCCCCAGCCGATAATATATAGCGAAAGAACCCGTCCCATTGAATATCGCTGTAATAGAACGATAGATGGGAATTCGAAGCACATATATGTGAGGTAGAAAACCGTAGTGAGCCATGAGTATTGCTGCCCAACAAGACCTGTATCTTCACGCAAGCCAAATGTCGCCTGTGTACCAACACAGGCTTTATCAACTGACTGAAGACCATGGCAAAGCCACATACTGTGTAATCCAAATATTAGAATCTATTTCCGCTGGTTCTGAAAACATGCCAAATAGGGGTTTCACTCACAGAGGGAGGAGATATCTGTCCACTTTTCGCCTCAGAAGTTTGAATTCTCCATCAGTATAATCAGATGGCAGATCTTGACTTTCGCTTGGAGTGATAATGTCGTCGTGCGAGAATTTGACTTTTTCGCTTTTCTCCATTTTGGTCAATAACAGCGGACTCTTGAGTGTCCCAGATTAATATCTAACGGTGCCACTGGAAAGAGTTCATTAGATTGATAGCACTTACTGTATATCTTATTATAATGGTTTTTTCGTAGCTACTTATAATGAGTATCAGAGTATATCGGATCGAGATGAGCTGGATCCGTAGAAGGTAATGATTCTCGGTTTCAAAAATTACAACATAGAAGTCGTCACTATGGTTAGAGGTTTCTTCCGTTGGGCATTGATTGGAGTCAAATCGAAAATGAAAAAGAAAAGGTACGACGTTAACAAGCTCTTCGGAACATTTCCCGAGCCTTGATATATCCTATGAACTTAAGCATCAGAATTATGGACTTATATATACACTATCTAGCGGAATATTGAACGAATTAAAAGGGCTACATCATGAATGAATCCCGACGAGAATTTGGTTACAACCCCCTTTCCTTCCACAACATTATCTCGAATTCTAGTTCATAAGCCACAATTGCTCGGCAGTTATATCAAATCCTGGGGTTTTGACGTGCGATGCGAATGTCTCAATCTTCAAAACAAATTTACCGGGATATGCCATGTGTGTCAAAATAAAATACTGGTGCCAACAGAGACAATGGCATGGCGGGAATCGGAGTAGAGTATATACCGAATATATCAGAATCTGTACAAGGAATTAAAATGTCTGGCTTTTAGGGTCTCGACTTCTAAGATAGACAACCTTGATACTGCCCTTCCACGTCAACTTACCTCAGGGCTGGGCGAATAAGGGCATATGCAATATGCTTGTATGGCTTGAGAAGAGTTTCAGATCTAGAATCGTAGACGATAACATGCCTAGTTACATGGAGTTCGGCTTGCGAGGCAAAAGCAAAGGGAATTTTAGGTAACTCAGTATGTCCAGGAGACCGAATGCCGGAATAGCAGACCATTCAAAACCCGATAGATTATGAATGTGTGCCGGTGAGGATCATGATCCCTCTGCATCTACATTTCATGTAGCTACCCGTCCTCACGTTGCCCTGTGATAGGTTAGAATCAACCTTTATCATTGACGTTAAATTTGCTTGGCATGGCTTAAACCGAAAAGAAAACAACGTGGTTGCATCTTTGACTTCTGAATTGACTTCTGTCATACTATTCTAGAACTTGAGAAAAACGTCATAGTCCTCTTTATCGTGCTGCACTATGCTTAGGATGGCTCGATGTACGACGACGAAAGTCTTATCCTCAAGATAACTTCTGCAAGGCATTTAGCTATGGGGCTTAGGGGAAAATCTGATATAGTGAGCTCAAATCCGCTAGGGATATTGCTTAACCCTTGATCAATACCTTCATCGTGTCTCATCGGTGGCCATTCCTACGCGCAACGGTGGCGCATAGGAAAACCGAGTACAATCCTTAGAAGGAGGGAGAAAAATTAGCATGCAAGTGAGAATGGATATCATGCAGCGGAGGAGGGCTGCTGTGCGAGTCAGTGAGAGACATTCCGGAGTTACTCTTCTGAGACTGACTTTAGCGAATATCATGACATCTTGCTTCCACAATCCTACATACCGAGAATATCTTGCAGATTCTAAGTGGTCGTGATATAGATCAATCTACCGACTTAAATCCGTTGCTCTTAACTTATCGAATTATCGTCAACTTCTTTTCGTTAGTCCTCGTCTCAGAATATGATACACTCTTGATAGGATTTCTTGATGTTACATCATTGAAGTGATGCCCCGCCAAAATCTTAAGGTAAGGGAATGGTTCATCATACGAGTAGATTGTACCGTAGAAGAGTCGGAAAATACAGTCAGTGGAGGGCTTCGTAAGGTTTGGGGGTGTGAGCCCCCTCCATTATCAAGAATCTGATGGATAACAAATTCCTCATTCCACACAGGATAGGCCTCAATTGGGTTATTTCAGCCTTGAATATGTCTGAGGAGTTCCAGTCCCAGACCTAGAGTAAATCGCTACCCGGTGCCCGGTATCCGGTGTTCGGATGGTGTCCTCCCTTACGTGTAACTAGAACCCATCCCATAGGCCTAGGACTAGAACTCTGTGAAACTCTGACGACGAGGATTGTGGACTTCTAGAACTGGTTTGCTTTTACCCCATGTTCGAAAAGGGTTGGTGACAATTTTTCGTACGTGAAGTGGCTGCGGCCTCTTGACTTCCGTAATGTTAATGTTCACAAGACAGCAATTCAAAGGCGCCAATCGGACAACAACGTACCCAAAAGATGATAGCTGTGGCTAATCGCCGACCTCCCGGGGTTGAGAGCAAAGGGTACCCTCCATTTCCGGCTCCATGTCGACAAGCCGAAGGCTTGCCCAGGAAATAAAAAAAAAAATAAAAAAGCCAAGAAAAATATGATGATATGGAACGATATTTTATATGAACATATGTAATGAATATATACAATAAGATCTGCAAACTTACAGTGTATCTAAAGATTATATACAATTAGTGTATAATTAATACAATTAAGACTTGACTGCTAGCTGCGGCGCGCTTGATGCTAGTAGACTTTGAATAGTCTCAAGCGCACTAAGCTCGACACCCAGGTCAGATTGACCATCAAAACCACCAGTGTACCATTGTACACCGCATGTAGAGTTGTCATAACCACTACAACTTGATGCAGCTCCCGTGGCACTTGCCTGAAGCAAGGCCTCAATATCCGTCTTCATGCTAGGGACCAAGACTGCAGTCTTCCCTAGCCAACGTGACAAACTAGCCTTGAAGCTAGTTTGGTCAATGTTGCACGACGAGTCCGGTTCGCACTTTTGCTCAAACATTATGTTGGTCGCGTTGGGATCAGGAGTGAAGAATTTGCTCTGTGCTGCCTTGACTAGACCTTGCACTCTTGACTCCCAAGTCGCATCACCGCCAGTGAAGTTGTACATATGCGCAGCGCCGTGGAGGTATGTTGCGATGTTATAGGTCCATTCGTCCTGATTTATCCCAGTACAGTTCGCGCCCTTGTCGTCACCTGCACCGTCGAAAACGTGGAAATCGGCACTGACAAAACCGACGCTCGTGGACCAATCCCAGACTTTGGTAGCCCAGTCGCCGAAAGTCTGGTTTCCAGTGTGCCGCGCAAGCCGAGCTGCAGTCTGGAAGAATCCACCATTGGATACGGAGTTTTTATAGTAATATCCGTCGGCCGTCTCGGTATATTGCCACTTAAGTCCACCACCGCAAGTCGCGCTATCTTTATTCCACCGTGTCACGAAATCTTCGAAAGCATGTGTGCCGATGGCCTGCCAAGAGTTGGCGCAATCATCGGCGGCACCAGTTGTGGATGCTGCACATGGTAAGGCTTCGAAGCCATATTCCATAGCAGTAAGCGCATTGTATACCCAGTAAACCTGATCGTCATTCGCCTCGTAGTTCTTCTGCTCGGGTGGGACGAAGTCAAAATTGGGACCGAGGTTCTTCGAAAGAGAGTCTAGGAGATCGGCTTTGTATGTGGTATCGCCCGTGTAAACGGTGTAGTCCATCAATCCATTCCATGCAGATCCCGAAAGCCACCAAAACCACGGTTGTGGTTGTTTGAACTGTCCCGCAGTTGAGCTAGGGTCATGATAAACATAAAGACCCTTCGCAACTTTGGCCGCAATGTCTTTAATGGAAGCCTGATCGTCTACATTGAGATCTAACGCAGAAACAATTGAAGCAAACCCAACAACCGCTGCAATAATGGATATTTTCGTCATTTTAACGACTGACTATATGAAATATTATGCCCGCAAATAAAAGAATGAATTGCCAGCAACAAAATGCCGACCAAAGCTTACCTGGAATTCCTTCATGTTAATATATAGAGAGGGCCCCTTTCTGAAGCAACGTTGCTCATTCACGGCGTACACTGTCAGCAGCCTGCAGGCGCGCGCCGAATGGATGTCGATCATTGTCGCCTTGTAGCGAGTCAACAAGGAATCCTCAGCCACCAAAGGATAGAAAAAGGAAGTTCGGACAATTCGTTTATCAAGGGGATACCATACAAGAATGGCTGAGCCAATGAAACGAACGCGACCCCCAATATCCTCAAACAACCTAATCTATTTTCAGTTAAGAGTAATAAAAAATAGGAACTGCTGCTTTTAGCATCTGACGCCTTTCAGGTACAACATCGTCAGATGAATACTTAGGTAATCGCCACAACAAGTCTTTAGTCTCCTTAATTTCTTCTAAAGAGGATGTAAAATTCTGCTATGCGCCTAGTTTTCTTTGTTTAGGTACAATTTTCGGATCTCGGATCTTTAGGCGTGGTGTCGTAAGCGCAGTAGACGCACGCAAATCCAACGTGAATCCATCCGTCTCCCCATCGATACTTTGGTACTTCTACGTACACACCTATACTTAGTATCGTATGTACCTCGATAGATTCCCTAATATCTCGGTGAAATATGCATGTATAACTCGACATTAAGAAAAGATAGCGGCAATTCCGTGGCTTTGTGCGCCAAGAGGTGGGATTAAAAAGAAAAGGGGCTCTCCTGCAGTGAACCCGGGGAAATCTTACAATCCTGGCTCCAATCGGAATACTGTACTGTATGTATACGCCAAGAATTATGAGGGCGCTATCTTTTTTCAAGTTCCGAATTCCGGGTTCACGAGGGCCTATCCTTGCCCTAAGAATTTCAAACTCGCACATTGATTCGATTTCCTCATCTCTAAATAGTCGACGATTATTTTTCTCACGACGGTTACCTTTTTATAAGTACAACTTATACGGATATAGCGGGAATAGCATATTAAAAAGATGCGCCGAAGGATACCAGACGCAATCGAGGCTAACTCTGTCAGGCGGTTTGAAAAGGTGGGCAGGTACTGTAAGCCAAATCGATTTATTTTAACGGATGCAGTATTCCGGATTTTCGGAGTCTAGCTTCTATCCATCCGGCCTTCCTACAGCTATAGAATCGAGACCGAAGGAAAAAGCAGGGAGAGAAGTATATTTTCAGGCAATTGACGATTAATCTACATTGAAGGTTTTCGAATTACTACGGAATCTCGACATTTAATTACTACTGATTGTTGCTCCTTACCACTTAGGCACCTCTATCGTTATTGATGTCAGCTGAATATCAATAAAATGATGCACCCAATATCGAGTCCAACATACTATCTAAATATCAACGACACATGAGATATCAAATAGACTCGCATTATTCGGTATAATTCATCGGGTATAGAGTGACCCGACAACCTGGTTGAAAGACCTCGCTTAAAAATCGAGGCTCGTTACCCGTATTGCCATGATGATGACTATCATAGTATAGGTCAGGGGTTTACGTTAGCGACGTATTATAGCTGCTATAGCTCCCCCGCATTCCCCAGATTGCTAGCCAATTTGGAATGTTTACCCCAAATGCCTAGAAATCTAACAGGACTAGGGGATCATGTTAAAGAGATTAGACTTGATATTTCGGTGAGGTTTATGCCGAGGTGACAACTCGATAGAATACAAATAAACGCCCATATGGAGGAATTAAAGTATACCCCTAGAATGAGGGATCAGAGGTTCGAGGATATCTTCGTGGTTAATCCATTATGGCGCCTTTCTTACTACTATCCCTATTGCCGGCATTAGCCTTGGCGGCAATCGATAGGTGAGAAGTCAACCAAAAAAGAAGCACATTCGCAATTAACTAACCAACATGACAAAAGACGCGCTGTAGTCTCTCGTTTCAATGTCGTTCGTTCAAAAATTCCAGAGGAGATAACGAACCAAACGACGCCTCTTCAGGTTGGCAATGGAGATTTCGCTTTCAATGTGGATAATACTGGCATGCAAACATTTATACCCTTCAATACTTTGTCAAGTTGGGGGTGGCATAATGATTCCTTGCCGACAAACGGGTAGGCGCTTCTCCAAATGAATCATTGAGTCTTGATAAACTAATTGATTTGATAGCGAGAAATTGAGCGATTATCACGGCGTGGAGGTGTTAACCCATGATAAAAACGTCTCCTACGATCTTGAAGACCCGAATCTACCCGAAGTATCGAAATGGCTTACTGCGAACCCCAATCGCGTCAATCTGGGCCGTATCGGGTTAAAATACAAGGGCGATACTCTTGCGCAGTCACTAATCACGGACCCGCGACAAGAGTTAGACGTATGGAACGGCGTTATCACGTCAACTTTCAAGGTTGATGGACAAGACGTAAAAGTGGTGACTCAAGGGGATTTTGAAACCAATGCTGTCACTTTCCAAATTGAATCGGATCTCATCTCATCTGGAGATTTACAAGTTGAACTCGATTTCCCTTACCCTCCGAAGCATAACGTAACGTCATCTTCCGACTTCGAAATATTCATGGGATCTTATGACTTCCCTTTGAATCATACCACTTCAATTGTGACTGACCTCAAGGGACCCCGCAATGGTATTGCTCATATACACCATGAAATGCAGGAGACTACTTATTATGCCAATCTACGGTGGCCCTGCAGGTCTCCCTTATCGCTAACGCGCAACGAACCTCAAGGCTCCAGCAAGGTGACCGCGCATCGATACACACTCGCTCCTACGGCGTCTTCCCACCAGCATAATGCTCCCACATCAATTTCATTCACTGCCCAATTCTCCCTTGATCTGGAATTACCCGCTTCTCCGTCAACGATACAGAGGCGCAACCCTTTGGCTTGGAATAAATATTGGAGTGAAGGAGGCTTCGTCGATCTCACCGAGTCATCTAACCCAAATGCTACCGAACTTCAACGACGTATCATAATGACTCAATACTATATGAGGGTGAACAGTGCGGCAACGGGACAGATACCTCAAGAAAGCGGTCTTGTTTATAATGGATGGTGGGGAAAATTCCATCTCGAAATGGTGGTTTGGCACTGCGCTCACTGGGCTACGTGGGGCCGACAGCAATATTTCGATAATATCTTCCCTGCGATGTATGAGACTCTAATGCCCACTTCCAAAGCTAGAACTCAGCGTATGGGATGGGATGGAGCTAGATGGCCCAAGATGACCGAACTTGGGACTGGAGGAATCGCCCCAGGCGAAACTCGTGCATATTTGATGTGGCAGCAACCCCATCCTATGTATTTGGCAAAACTCGCTTATCAAGCCAAGCCAACTCGTCGAACCCTGGAAGAATGGGATCGAGTTGTAACTGCAACGGCTGACTATATGGCTTCTTTTGCCTGGTTTAATGAAACAACAGGTCATTACGATCTTGGACCACCATCAAAAGGTGTTACGGAAAACTCTTTTCCGCTGGAGACCCGCAACCTAGCGTATGAAATTGCGTATTGGAGATGGGGTTTGGATGCGGCGGCGGATTGGAAGAGGAGACTTGGACAGACTGTTCCTGGGCAATGGAGTACCGTCGCAGAGAAATTAGCTCCCCCGCCGCAGATCGATGGCATGTATATCCCCTGGGAAGGTTCCGGATTGAATAGTTCGTGGTGGGAAGACCCGAGTCTTAGCAAAGACCCCCGCAGTGTCATCATGTTACAGGGAATTCTTCCGGATACGCCTGCTGTAAGTCTTTTAACCCGAAACTCGCCTCCAACGCACAAGCAACTAACTTAAAGACTCAAGGTTGATCCTGAAGTTGGTCTGAGAACTTCGAATAAGATGTGGGAAGTTTGGACCGATACCAATATCCGAGGTTGGGGACGATCCGTTCTCGCAATCAACTCAGCTCGTGTAGGGAATCCTGAGCGCGCCATCCACCACATGACAAACTATGGCTACTGGCCTTTCGATGATGCTGGTATGCCTACTCGATCCGGACCTAGTAAGTACCTATCTTATTGGCCCCCATTCCAGATGCAAGGATTTTATCGCGGTTTCTAACTATACTTGTGCAATTTAGACCCTTCGCCACCGCCATATTTCCCAGGTGGTGGCAGTTTCCTCTATGCGATCGGATATATGGTTGCAGGTTGGGAAGGCTCCGAAGGTGACGCGCCAGGATTTCCGAAGGATGGGACTTGGGTTGTCAAACATGAAGGCCTTCTCAAAGCCCTCTAATTTTATAATTCAGATGAATAATAACCTTAATTAATTTTCATGAATTGCGGAGCTTCAGCCGTCGAGTCGTTATTGACGCAAGGCCTTCCTACAGGCCTTCAAGGTTCTATGGTGAACTCCAGGACGGCGATGCACTACTACAATGGCGTCCTGAAACCCGCCAACAAACCAGAATATACTAATTCTACTTGATACGACCTAGTTTCCCATTGCGAAATGGATCTCTTGAGTAATTAGATGCATGACGTAGGAATATGAAAAAGAGACTTAATGGTGACATCACGATCGCGACATCAAGGTATTTACTTTTCGCCATATTCTTAACAGCAGCCTTTCTAAAATAAATAAACCCATTTCATCTCCTTCAGTAATCAACACAAATTCAAAACTCCTATCGACAATAGCTATCCTGCACGGTGAAATTACCAAGATGTCTAAAGAAGGCGGAGATCTCAACCAAATGGCCAAGGATGGCACAAGCAGTAAGTCAGACTCTAGTTCCCTTGTGTGTTCCGTTGATCAACTGAACCACCCATTTACACGAGACGATCACAGTTCCCGGCGACGCAGGAAAACAGAATATACTTCCATCAGTACCAAACCCGGATCAGAAGTTGCGAGATACATCGGGAGGCATCGGGGGGTCGTCGTTACATAGTGCCGCCGATAATCCGATCGGGGCAGAAAAGAACATTGATGATAATGCCGTAACTGCCAGTGGGGGCGCCGTTCCGCAATCAACCGCAGCTAAACCTAGTGGTAGCGGAGGGAAGGAACGAGAGCCGGAGAGGTTCAAAACTTACTAGAATAGGAAATCGTCTCAGTTTATAATAGTTGCCGCGCTATGGTTTATTTGAGAAGAAATATAGGGGAAAGTGAAATCAAAAGAAGAAATTGAATCTCAATCCAATAGACAAGTCGATCTATATACCTGTGCGTCCTGTGCCTGAATGTACCCAAGCTATTGCGTTGTCGCATCCGTCAATATATATGCAGCTTAATACCATTTCGGCACGCCGCTGTAAAGTGTCGGGTAGGATACAGTAAAAGTTAACTACTTCGCCGAGAGAGAAAGAATTTAGGGCACAGACAGCCCTCTTGTGGGCTACTACCCAGCAGTTGGTAGCGCGCTGGGGGGCATGGTGCTTCTATATATTAGAAGGGTTAGCGCAGAGTTCAGGGGCAAGTTTCTGGATTTATTTAACAGTTAAGCCCCCCCACGAGAAAATAAAGGGTTTCCACAGAGGCAGTGTCAACAATTGCGCTTTGTGCGATGTGTAAGTATAGAAATTACACTAAATAATATATCTCAAATGATATCATGCATGATAGTCGCATGCCATGTCAGATTTTCCCAAAAACGCCCGAAATATGCGACACGAATATGAAATAATGGGATACCGAAGGTGGTTACCCAAGAATTCTTTCCGGAGGAGATATTCCCACCATAGATAGGTGTCCTTCCCTTCAGGTTTTGAAATTACGACCAGCCCAAGAAGTTGAGAAGGTTGTTTCGTGGGTCACCATTAGCCTCGACCTGTAGGGCCTTCTTCCTTGCCTGTTCAACTTCGGGAGTGTTTTGTTGCGAAAATATACGGTCCATGGTACCAGCCTCACGATTCAATTGTGAACGCACGTAAGTACCAACCGTGTAAGCTATTTTGAATGTCAGTATAGATAAAACAGATGAAGTTAAATATAGGGGATAGTAAGAAGAGTAAATGAAGACGTGGGGTTGCACTAACCAGCTCCCAATACCACTAAACTGGGTAAAATCCTCGAGGATACAGGGCCAAGCTTAGGTGCCACAGGTGCGGTAACTCTAGCGGCTGCGTGCATGGTGTGTGGGCGTAAACCTTGCGGATGAGTGATAGCCATGGTTTTGATTGGTTGTTTCGGAAATTTGTGATGCGGCGGTCTTAATAGTGAGTAGTGTAGGTACATGCAATGCTATAACTAGAACCCGTGTGGTTGGTTTGGCGTTGATTTAAGTTGCACGGATGTAATAAAAGGTTGTATAAACTTGATTGTGGTGAAACATACTCCACGACGATAGACTCGACGGCGACATTATAAGCTTCTTGATTTCCGTCATATTCGTTGTTGTTTCTTCCGCGTTCAAGTCGTGTAAGTCGAGAAGTTATTAGACGTGGGATGATTCTACTTCGTCGATCACGATACAATGGGGTGATGGTGGTGTTGCGGGCGATACCGAAGCGCTGACGGCTTAGACAAATTCAGTATAGCTTAGGCCCCCCAACGCCAGCGCCTCATATAGTGGCCAGACCTCGGCCGGAATCGAGCTAAAATACAATCATTTCTTCGTTCTGCGAAAATGTTCATGACCCGTTTGATTCGTTGTGCCGGTTCATTATCGCTACCAGCATGGCTTTTACCGTAATTTTGTCGCCGAAGGCCTATTTCATCTGTTCATCTCGAGTTAAGTGATCACTATTGAGGGAATCGGTGGGTTGAGAAGTAATCATCAAACGATTAATTGGTTCTCTATCCGTCCAAGCGAAATAGGTAAGCATCCGACAATTTTGACAAGTTTCCGCCATTCAATTTCACCTTCTAGGTTTAGGTAAGCACAGAAAAAAGAAATAGAATCCCGGTTTACCGGTACCTAGGTAAGTAATGATAATGAATAAATATTCATGTAATCGCATCTGTATTGGGTCAAGCCTCATAATAACTTAAGGAATCATATTAGTAATAGAGCGGTAATAGAGATTCACACTCTCATTCCAATCTTTCCATCTTCATTCTTTCTTCAATATTTCCAAGTTCCGTGTTATCACACACTTCAGGAAGTCATAATTCATAAGAAGTGCAAAGCTGAACATAGAAAATCTCTAAGCTTAGTCCGATTCTATCCAGGAAATCACTCTCATGCCTTGAGGTGAGGAGCCTAAGCAAATAGCTCGGGATACTCAGCCTTAATCAGATCGGCGCCCTGTAGATATTCAAGTTAGCTTGTTATTTTATACCAGGAACGAACTCGAAGATACATACCTTCTCAGCAATCATATAAACCGAATTCTGAATACGACAGTCGGGAATAACAGGAATTACAGACGCATCGATAACGCGCAGGTTATCAACACCGAAGACCTTAAGCTTGCCATCAACGACACCTTCTCCAATATCTTTAGCCATGCGGGTAGTTCCGCAAGGGTGGAATCCGGTCTGTGAGCGCTCAAGGATAAGTTTATCCATCGCCGCGTCTGAGGTACGAGGCATCGGCCAGGGGTAATCTTCACGAATCATGTCGCGCATACCTTCACCATTCATCAACACATCGTCTACCCAACGGATACCCTCGCGCATAGCTAGGATATCCAAATCCTTAGCGAAGAAGTTGAGATTGATCTTGGGTTGTACTAGTGGGTCCGCGCTGTTTAGCTCCACTGTACCAGACCGGCTTTGTGGGCGTAACAGATCAACAATGACCGTGAGGTAGTCCCCGGTGGGTGGTGTAGGGATGTGCCACTGGAAGGCGTCGCTAAACATTGGGACGAAGTCAATCTCAAAGTGAGGCTGTCCTGCTGGTCCGAATGGATCTAATCCTCCGTTGGCTTCTTTGGCTGCCACATACTCAGGGTACTTCATTAAGCGCTCGTCGATGCGTGGGAGACCAACCAACTCAAGGAGACCTGAAGTGTAAGGGCCTTGGTTCTTCCAACGGTAGGCACTGACGGCAGCATCATGCTCAAGACCTGCTCTAAGAAGATGATGGTCTAGACCGGTTCCATTTTCAAGACGGAAGACATGAGGAAGAATAGGGTGATCCAATAGGTTTTGACCCACGTGAGGTGAGTCGACAACTGTCTCGATGTTGAACTTGGAGAGTTCAGCCTTAGGACCGATACCGCTAAGCATAAGCAGCTTTGGGCTTTCAAATACACCAGACGAGACGATAGTTTCGTACTTGGATGTAAAACTATGTGTTTCACCAGTGGGTAGGATTATTTCCACACTGGAGCACTTCTTCGTAGTGGGGTCGATAAGCAAGCGCTTAGAGTTGGTACCTGAGAGTACAGTGACATTGGTCTTGCCCTCGAGGTACATCCAACTTGAAGAACGCTTTCCGTTGTAGATACTGTTTGTACATTTCCAGAGGCCTCGCATGGTACCATTATGGACATCGTCGGTTAATTCGCCACCCTTGCTTGTCCAAGCCTTAGTCAAGGCATCTCGGAAGGGTTGAATCTCAGGCACCATATCAGAATGGGACACTGGAATAGGGCCGCCAGCACCAATGTACTTCAGCTCTTCGCTGAAGAGATTCTTGTCGTCATAGTACGTAGCCGGCTTGTACAAGTATTTACGGATGTTATCCCATTTCCACTCGTCGCCGCCATAGGGAGCCCAATCATCAAAGGTACCGGCCGAACCGGGGATCCAAGTGTAATAATTGAGACAACTAGAACCACCGAGGGTTTTACCACGGGTATTGGGCTTCTCGACACGAGTGTACTCGGGACGGTCGATCATGGTGGTCTTGTATGCCCAGTCATATTTGCTGTCGCGTAGTTCGAAGGCTCGGGCGGGGGTCGTGATTGCGTCAATATCTTTCGGGTTGCTGATACCAGCTTCGATAACGAGGACTCGAACGTTAGGAGATTCGGCTAGACGACCAGCTACGGCGCAACCGGCAGTACCTCCTAGAGATGGCGTTAGTTGAAGCATCGATGGTTAGTCTGATGCCTTTACGATAGACATACCTCCGACGACGATGAAGTCAAACTGTTCGATGGACTTGACTTGGTTACCCATGTTTGATGTTTCGATTGTTGATATTTGATGCAGATTTAAATGCTGACGGCGATGTAGTTTCTATTGAGGCGACGAACAAGTCTAAAAACTTTCTCAAGATGATGGCGGAAAGATGATACAGTGACGATGGATTCTAGTCGAGAATAGGATCTTTCTGTGCTTAGTCGATGATGTTTAGATTGAAGTTGATGATAGAGATGATAGTTATAGTTGTGCTGATGGTTGTGATGATGATGGATGGAAAACACTTTCAGAATGCCTGAGATATCAACTCCTTTTATCCCCAAGACATGAGGGACTTTCACAACCCCCATATCAATCCGAGTATAGTTGTTCATATGGGGTATACGCATAGGTTCATAGGTACTATGAGTAAGCATTGATAGATGCCTCCAAATCAAGGGCATTCCGAAGCGCCATAATGCATTGTGTTACTCAGGACATGTATACTTCTAGGTTTCTATTTGCTAGTTTTCATGTCGGTCTATCAAATTAAGAATAGCCCCTAGTGTATTCCTTGTATGATAGCCTGATCGGGAAGACTGTGCAAGCCTCTACGAATGCGAGTCCACCCCGAACATAACATCGGAGAAGTAAGCTTAGGATTAATTCCATAAGCCCCCGAAAATATCCGGTAACTCAAAATTGACGTCTTCAATCTCCATAATCAATTTTTCCATAGTATAGAAGCTTAAAACTAGAAGTATAGACGAACCCGAGCGAGTTTACTCCATAGACCCAGATGCCGAACTAAATGCGACCCCCTTAACGGCCGTCTTACAGTGTCAGAAAAGCAGCTTCGGTGAAAAACCGGGATTCCGACAGGACCCAACCGCGACGTCACCATTCAATAAACACCGAAAATTAACATGATAAAAATTTGAAGTCATGAATACTCTTTAAATTGCACTTTTTACTCAAAAATGGAGTATAGTAAGATCCGATGCGCATATTTACTCCCGCAGACTCGATGTTTAGTGCTGACGCCAGCGGGATAGGCGTTTATTGGTACTGTGTCTAGATTTTTACTCATTTAGGGGTTTGAAAGACTTGAAAAAAAAGTTTTAATTGAATTGATAGGTTGAAAAGCCACTATGCTGGTTTTTAAGTGGTTTGGGAACTCAACGTAGCTTCGTCGCGACGGGACTTATGATCATTCCAAGTCTGTTCAGGAACCTCTAGGTTTCTACAGAAACGGCGGCCAATAAAAAGATTTCCATGATTTAATGTGAAATAATATGCTTTTTCTATGCTATAATGCCGTTCATACGTTTCCCTTAGGTAAGTGATAGACAGGAATTCTGTAATCCCGCGGAGTCTATGCGCCTCGGTATCAAACATCTGGGCTTCTTACAGCGTTTCGACGATACCAAAGTACCAAGATAAACCGCCATTTATTACAATTTATTGATTTTATGTCGCCTCCCTAAGTAGATCTAGCTATTTGTTGTCATTTTTCTGTCCTTTTTTCTACTGTATATGTTGCTTGTTGAATGCTAGTATGGACACCGGGGTTCCTTCGGCATCCGATTTTAGTATTATCGTTAGATATCATGCCGCGCATTCTTGCTCATATGACGGATCTTTTCGCCATACTATCAAAATGTTAGGCAAATAAGCCATGAAGGACTTTAGCATTGACTCACACGATAGAATATGAATGGGATTGGTATGAAGCATACGGCAATGCCACCAAGAAGGGAATTACCAGGCCCAATGCCGAGTTGCTCAAACAATTGTCTCGCCTAGTGGAGTCATTAGTAAGTTTCAAACCAACACAGCCATGGCTTCTCTAACTTACGAATAGCGGGAATGCTGCACCGAATGAAGCTCGAAATAGGGCGTTGCCGGCGAAAATGGATGCAACATAAGCGGGATACGAAATTCCCAAATAATTGAAAACCGTGTTGAACAATGTAACGACGCCAACTGTGAAGAAGCCGGAACCTATAATGGGCAGAATCCAATGGACGCTTCCTCGTGCCGTCCAACCATACCAGAAGAGACATATCGGAAGCGAAACTGCGCCGACTATCGTAGGTGGGAGTACCATCTCAGGTTTGAAGGAAGGTTGGGCGAATTTCGGCACTATACCATACCGAATCCAGAGCAAAAATATGGGTACGGTAACAAGAGCACCGATGAAGATACCCAGAAAAGCTAAGCCTTGCTCGCCAGTCCCGAATCCATAAATCTCGCCGAACACAAGGGGAAATGACTCAAACCAAAGGAAGAGAACTCCATATAGCAGCGCCGAATACAAGTCCATGAAGAAAACAATAGGTTCCGAGAACGTAAGTGTGAATGCCCTACCAAGGACAATCAAATGGTCTTTGATTGTGTGATTGGCGGCGTCGATTTCGGACTGGCTTCTAAACCGATTATCACCGGTAAGTTTTCTCAATCTCTTCGCTCTTCTATACAGAATATTGGCCGCGCTAGTCTCAGGTAGCAAGAAAAACATCAAGATAATCACCAACGAGCATAACCAGGTGAATATCCATATTGTCCATCGCCAGCCCTTAGCCGGTGCCGCAAATCCACCAATTATTGGACCAAAGACGGGACCGAGAACACCGAACGACGAAAATATACAGATTCCATAGGCAGCGCGGGCGGGATCATACATGTCGACAATTGTGGCTCCGCCAGTTGCTAAAGGAGGGCTGCCGACAAAGCCTGTTAACACTCGGAAGATGAGGAACATAGGCATGTTTACTGCGAAACCGGTTGGAAGTTGGAGTAGGATGAAGGTGAGGAATGTCCAGAAATAAAGGGGTCCGCGTCCGAGTCGAGGAATTTCGGACATTGGAGACCAAAGCATAGGGCCCAGTCCATAACCACTGCCAGAAGCAATAAAAATTAGCGATATTGTCAACTTGGAAGTATAATGGGTCCTCGTTTTCTTATTCCTTTCCTAGTATGAGGGGATCTTACAGAGTGAAGAGGGAGAGACCTAGTGTTGCGACGATCTCACTGGTATCGAGATCTTCCATGATACTTGGTATACCAGGAACGTAAATTGAACTGGCAATGTAGAAAGAGAAATTAAGGATGCACATTATGGACATAATTAAAAGTTTCCAGCTACTGGACCAGTTTTGGGGGTTCTGTATCCCATATTAGTTTCGAAGGTCGTCCTCTACAAGTCCAAGCTATTGGAAACACTTACTTCTGGGTCATCAGGCCCGTACCAATCCACAAGGTATACACCTTGGCCATCGTCGACGATATTATTCGCACCCGGCTCCTGATATTTGGAATGCTGTGGATTATTGATTTGTTCTCTTGGGGGTGTTGGTGTTGACCCTGTACTCGGTAAGAACTTCTTCCACGATGACGGATCAATCTCATCAGGATATTGCAATAGTTTTCTTCTAGATAAGAATCGTACGAAAAGACCAAACTCAGTATCACGGAGTTGAGTAGCCATGATCATGTACAAGACAAAACGGTCTTCTAGGTGTTAGGCTTCTTCGCCTAGGAAAACAAGTCCTAAAAGAACATACGGTCTTAAATAATTAAAATTACCTAGGTACTCTACCAACCCTGGAATACTTTAAAGTCATTCATAAGCGAATAGATCTATGCTCATTTTTCTTATTAGTTTGATAATACAAGATATTACCTACAGCCTAAGCCAGGGCATAGCGAAACAAAAGGTATCTTGGACAACCACAATGTTGGTATTCAATATCCTTGTATGGTGAATAGCGTTGGCTGTCTCTGGTGATTGAATGCAAGATTCGGAGTTTGTATGGAGCTATAGGGTCTAACTCCGGAGTTGCTACTGGAGGTTACGGCGGATAAAAGCCCTAAGATCTTATCAGATGCTGGATATAAAGAATGCCCGCATCTAAACAGCGTCAATATTGGTGATATATTGGATACGTATGATTCAATTATATCAAGCACTCTGTTGACTGGATTGACTACACGGATATAGATTGTGAGGGGATGGTCGTAAGGCCTCGGGTTGGAGTGGCGAACATCGGAGTTATATGCTATTGTTGCACAAAATGTACCTCGTCATGACGATGGTGGCTGCAGACAGTGCGCACACTCGCCGGAGGGAAGAAAAAAAATACCATAACCACACAATCGTCCGATTTATTCTGCGAAAACTCTTGTCTCCTAGTTATCCAAAATATCATTCCCAAGCTACAGCGATTCTTCTAGCCAATGCTATATTTTATATTTTGTCTTCCGACTCATCTGCAAGCAGTGCTTGTGCTCATGACGGGGTAACGAACGCGTTACTTAATCGAGGGGGTTGGGACTGCATACGTAAAAGTGGTTGTGGCTGATGAGGCATTGTAATTCCATCTGGGTGCGTAGGTAGGAATACGCTTAAGACTTTTAGTACATTAAAACTAACACTTGTATAGGCATCAAGGACTTTCTTAAATAGTAGCAGGCTTTAATCGAGGTCATTAAGTTATGCTTTAACAACTAAGATGATGCGGGTTCTTCCAGAGGCTTAGATTACACTGTTACGTCAGCAGCCGGTTTATTCCGTACAAATCCCGGGGAATTCCCTGTAACATACCTGGAAAAGATCGTCCCTTGACGACTTAATTAGGGAAAGACCTCACAAACCTTACCACACCATGGATCGCGGCTGTGTCACCGAGAGGCTGCGGCGCAGCAATTGACTCGCAGGGTTTAATCGAAATTAGGGATACTACCTCTCTTTCAGCTTCCTTGAATAGATGTTATCGATTAGATGACTGTCCAATGGAAGTTTGTTGAGGTTAACCCCAGGGTATCATCCCGGGTAAAGGATCTACAATGTAGGAACACAATCTCGCAGCTTGGCCCGAATTCCGTGCTATCCTGCCCTACCTTGCCTTATTGGCGTCGTTCCGCCTGTCTACGCGACACAACTACCTGTTTGCTATTGTCACTAGTATTGTCTAAGCTAAGCATATATACTAGAGAGGTCTTGCTCTTCTTATTTGGGGGTTTGGTCCTAGGTTTCATCTTTCGCGCCGACAAAACGGGATAGAAAACAATTAGAACATCATGGGTCGCTCAACGGTATTCGCCCAGGGGCTTGTCGCGCTCGCAACTCTAAGCGCGGCATCTCCTGTGCCCATTTCAATAACTTCATCAAAAAGAGCCGCAACCAACTCAACGGGTAGCATTTCGTGGGGTCCTTGCTCAGACCAATTTCCGTCCAACCTCACATGTGCGACTTACACCGTGCCTTTAGATTGGTCGGATCCGAATGGTAACGAGACGATAGAATTGGGCATGGTGCGCGCCGAAGCCAAGGACAAAGACAACCGAATCGGTTATCTGTTCGTGAATCCCGGTGGCCCGGGTGGTCAAGCCACTAGCCTGCTCGCTTCGCTCGCTCAAGAACCCGACCGCCTAGATTCTCGTATCTTGGACCGCTTCGATATCGTCGGGCTCGACCCACGCGGTGTTGGCATCAGCACTCCTGTGCAATGCGACCCCGCCGCTTTCAATAAGCGCGTGGCTTACTTCCCCGAGACTCAGGACCAGTTCGACGATCTCGTCGCATACAACAAAGGTCTAGCCGAGAGCTGCCGCGCTAAGACCGGTCGTCTGATTGATTTCGTTGACACCATCAGCGCCGTCAAAGACCACGAAGCCGTCCGCAAGGCACTTGGCGACGAGAAGATCAGTTTATTGGGTCTATCGTACGGCACGCAACTCTTCAGCCAATACGCCGAGCTGTTCCCGGATAACATTCGTGCTTTGGTACTCGACGGGAATCTGCAGCATTCCCAAAGCGAGTCTTCAAACTTGCTCATCGAAAGCAACACATACGAGACCACTCTCAAGCAATTTTTCTCCTGGTGCGCCAACGCCTCTGAAGATGAATGCCCACTTTCTGGCCAAGACGTGCAAGCCAAGTATGAAAGCGTCCTCGCCAAGGCTACTAAGTCACCCATCCCAGCTTCAGGTTGCAACAACACAGACTGTCGTTCTGACGTGACATCCGAAGACCTACGCTTCAACCTCCAGGGTTACCTGATCTCAACCGGATCGTGGTCATCTCTCGCCCAAGCCCTCATCAAAGCCGACGACGGCGATGCAACCTTAGTCTCGCAGGCACAAGGTTTAGCTGTCGGTGACGCATACGAGGACTCATCGTTATATGCTGGCACCGCAATCGCATGCCAGGACTGGGACCACGCCTCAACATCGCTCGCCGATGTCCAAGCCAAAGCCACCCTTGGATCTTCGCTCTCGCCTCTAACTGGTGGCGCGTGCCAAAGCTACAAGATTCAAACATCATGTATCGGATGGCCGGCTCCCTTATCTAATCCGACGAAGAGGGTTACTTATAAGGGAGATACCAAAATCCTCATGGCGCAGTCTACTTATGATCCCTCGACGAGCTATGCGTGGGGTGTAGGGCTTCATGCTGAGATCGGACCTGATCGATCTGTATTCCTGACGCGTCGTGGCTCCGGACATACGAGTTACTTGCTAGGTGGCAATACGACGGCTGCGATCAATACGTATCTCTTAGATTTAACACTGCCAGATCCAGGTACGGTGCTTGAGTCGTAAGCGAGACCAAGACGTGTGTATTAGTATGTGCTATCATAGAAGGCAAACAAGCGAGCGAGTTCAAAACTTCGTAGTATATAGAAGAATTGTTAAAGTATATATTCATTTCTTATGATTTTGAGCTATGATTCTTAGAATTCTAAGGTACGATGGGAAGGCATTGTACACCAATTTAAAATGTGACTTTGACGTGGGCTTTCTAGTGCCTACTTTACCTATACTGCCCTTTCGTGTAACGTGTCCTCCATGCCTCACGAGTGAACTTATGCCTGTGGAAGAAGGCGTTGAGAAATTCCTTCAAACATTAAAAACCAAAGCACCAAAGTCCTCACTCATCTGCGGCCGCAAGGTAGGCTCAAACAGCACCTATCCATAGACATCCTACACTCCCGCTTTGCTATTCCTTTCCAACGCTCCCGAAACCAGCCGCGACCCTTCCTACCCTGCCAAGAAAGTCCGGTCACACACCTCATGCTATGCTCAGCGTACTGTTAGTCATTAGATAGTATTAAACGAAGCCTATCACAGCACACTCGGAACAAAATAAGCTAATAATGAAATAGTCCTTCGCATTTGGTATCACCGAGTATAATTCCTATCTACGGCATGCGCCTGATGTACCAACGGAGAAAGAAAAACGAGGCGTGAGCCAAAGCCCTCATACACATGCCGGTGCGAGCCAAACATTTCCTGGCCTCAAGGTCATGACGCGTGCGAAAGGCCAGCAATTCTTTTTTCATCTTCCTCGAATTTCGCACGCAAACTCACTCGAGCTTTCTGCCTCAACTTGATTTTATCTATAATTACATGGATGCCTCTAAACCTTCCCTCATCCCTTCGGAGAAATATTACTGCCATCATCTACTTGCCGGAGAATCATTGACTCTGCTGCAGTATACCTTGAGTTGACTCAATATCACTTATGGCTTCGTTAAAGACGTTAGTAACAGAGTACAATACTCTCATACGGTTACTCTCGCCTCTAGTCTTCCAGAGATCATTCATCATCTCTCGGAAGATCTGCTGCAATTGCTCGATAGTGCAGCCTGATGTACGTTCAGTAATCTGTTCCAGGAAATCTCGCCCAGCAGCCTCATCTAATTCAACTTGTTGTGAACTGGGTTGTCCTCGCTGTGATAATACCTGAGACTGCGACGACTCGTCGGGAGCCGGATCATTCAACAGATTTGCCATGCTTGGGGCATGCGAAGGTTTCCCGCCCGCCGCCGATACTTGACTATATGATGCATCGGAAATTCTAGGCGGGAGTTGGTATCCTTGTAAGCCATGCATTTGCGTGTGGATCCATTCGCCATCACTAGACGTCAACTGACTTGCTTCAGGAACCGGCTGAGTATCAGCAAGGCTATTTTCAATAAGGCTAGATTGGTCATGATGAACACCATTAGTCACATGCGTACTAAAGCCAGATGATCGATTGGAAGGATCTGACGTCTTAGTGGGCGATGCCTCATTCACCAATGCCGATGGTGATACTCCCGGGGGAATGGATTGCACAGCTGATACTTGAGAAAATCGGTTTGTCCCTGAGCCTCCTAACGTTGCTCGCGTGGAGGTATGGATAGACCGAGCCTCTGTGGGAGGCCACTGAGAAGGCGGTTGCATAGATAAGTTCGGTCCGGGAAGCGGTGGATTATCGATCATAGGCACATCTTCGTTTACCGCTCGAGATGGGGCCGATATACCATTTGTTGTAATAAGCGCTGAGCTCTCCCCATTAGTGACAGCTTCCTCGTCGATAACCTGGAACTGTGCTGTGGTGGTATGTAGCTTAGGTGAACCAGCCTCCGGAGCTGTGCCATTAGCGGCATCAAATTGTTGCTGCTGGTTTTTTTTGCGAGCCTCGCGTATTCGTTTGTATTCTTTTTGACGGAATTGTTCTCTTCTCCATTCAGCTTCAAAATCAAATCTGAGACGAAGTTTGTCGGCAATGTCAGTAACGTCCACGTTACAATTAGTAACGAGTTCATTGGCTTTAAACCAGTTGGACTGATCGCCAAAATTCTTCGCATCATGTTCAAATGTGGAAACATCTTTCAGAAATGCTTCCGGGGTAACATAGTAAGCATTTGCAAGTCTGGTCTCTATCGTGACTGAGTCCAAGTTGTAGTAAAATTTGCCTGTCGCAGTCTCGAGAAGTCCAGGAGATCCTTCCTTATCCGTTGCAAGTTCGTAAGGACGCGGCGGAGCATTTGCCACGTCAGGTCTAACATAATTCGGATCTGCTTCTTTGAAGAGGTACGAATATTGCGATTCAGCTATTATCGGAAATCGGAACTGTCGGTATTTGCGCTTTATTTGATCCATGATAGGTTGTAAGTGTATCTTCATGACATTAAGTACGCGTCGATATTTTTGATTCTCCTCTTTAATCTCCCTCAATGTGAGTTGCTTGGGAGGAGGTGGGGGTGCGACAGGAAGCACTTCTAGTACTCTTCTCTTTCGGTTCACGGGATCAGGGAAATCCTTGGGTAATCTTCTTATGTGTGAGATTATTCTTCCGAAAAATTCTTTCCGTTTATCCTACAAGATGTTAGTTTCAGCCACTCGACTCAATTTTCGTATCGAGCTTACCTTAGCTGGACGTGCAATCTCCACGAAATTTGTCTTTGACAGCCCAAAGAGATCACGCTTGAGATCATGACTTAACTCTTCTAGTTTAGTCTCCGCCGTTCCCACAACCATGATAGAGTCGGTTGGTTGTATCGTTCTTATCATGGACATGAATGCAGTGAGTGCTGGCCCCGCCAATGATTCATACCATATATCAACATTAGGGATGAAGATGACACTGGGTTTCTGACGCCTTGCCTCGGCAAAAAGTCCGAAAAGTACTTGTTCAACAGGCTATCGACAAATTAGTTATCAATTATTATTTATTATCGTAGGCGGGTCTGCCCGAAAAAAAGTTGAATGACTTACTAAGGGATCACCCAATATGTTGGCTAGATCGAAGTTTTGCACGTGCACACCCTCAAGATAATGGAGGATGGCGGCGCTTATGTAAACTTGCCCCATCCCTTCAGGGCCGCAAATAAGAAGTCGCGGTCGGTAAACACGGAATTTGTGGAACTCTTGCTGCAGATTCTCTCGGTTGAATCCGAAATCTTCATCATTGTAAGGTTCGAACATAGCTTCATCCAATGCTGTTACCTTCTTTTTGCGTGGCAGGACACTATCCAATACCTCAGTAATAGACTTGAACTGATCCCGAAGAAGTGGTTCAACAGGCTTTGGGAATGGAGAGGCTCCTGAGATGGCAGATCTTTCTGATGAGGGGATAATCTTGTTCTTGGAAAGCATGAAATCTGTCATATGTATGGTGATCTTCTCAGGATCGACAATGAGCTTCTCTTGGGACATGTATATCTGCGGATATGTTCTTTGAATGGCGTTGAGAGCTGCTTCTGTACACATGGCACGTAAGTCAGCACCGCCGTATCCCTTTGTCTCCTTTGCTAGGGACATTTTGAAATCATCGGTGAGACCCCAATCCTTGGTATGAATATCGATAATCGATTTACGGCCGCTAACATCAGGTAAGGGGAAATAAAATTCTCGGTCGAAACGTCCTGGTCGCCGCAAAGCCGGGTCCACACTATCGGGTCGATTGGTAGCACCAATCACAATTACTTGACCGCGACCATCCATACCATCCATCAAGGCGAGCAAGGTTGAAACGATGGACGCATGAATCTGTTCCTGTTTGCTAGATCGGACAGGAGCGAGACCGTCAATTTCATCAAAGAAAATAATGCTTGGTTGCGTTTTTCGTGCTTCCTCAAAAAGAAGTCGCAACTGTTTCTCGGCTTCACCAACCCATTTGCTAAGGGCATCCGCGCCTTTTCGCATGTAGAACGTGATTTTCTTACCGCCAATGCCAACCGTATTGGCAAGGGCTCGAGCAAGTAGAGTCTTTCCTGTTCCTGGAGGACCGTGGAATAATACACCTCTGGGGGGGGTAACGTGGAATTTGGTGAAGAGTTCCGGGTAGAGCAACGGCAGCTGAACCATTTCTTTGAGTTGATCAATATGGCCTTGTAAACCACCAACATGACTAAAATCAACATTCATGTCTACACCAAGCGGGTCTGCATCGGCGAGGGCTTTGGGATTCTTAATCTTGCCGACGTTCGGCGCAGCTGCCAGACTACCCTCAAAATTCCCAAGTCCGGCCCCGGGATTAGGGTTTGCCGAGGTTGGTGTCATAGCGACCATCCCACCCGGAGCAGCACGCATATTCACTTCATCGTCACTGCTGTCGGAATCAACATTACCTGCAGCACCTGTACCCCAAGGTCCGCCGTGTAGGGCAGCACCAAGACCGATACCTCCTAATGCGCCAGCAGTTGTATGAAGGTTATGATCCCATCCGCCGCCACCATTTGCGCGTCGGCGTCGCGCCGGCGTCGCAGCAGTCGCATCGTCATCGTCATCATCCTCTTGCTCAACTGGGAATGCATTAAGTGGTGCGATTGCGTAATTGACAGGTTGGCCTCTACGTCTTCTTGTTTCTTTTCTCTTTTCAAAAATAATCTTCGGTGAGCGACGTTCTCTTCGTGAACGAGAATCTTGTCGAAGATCTTTAAGTTCTTCCGCCACTTCATTTTCATCGACTTCATCTTCATCGTTACTTTCGCCTAGCCGTTGCGATCTTCTGACGGACCTTCTTCCTTTGCCCCTCGACGATCTTCTACCTCGCGCACTTGGACTAGAAATGTCATCGTCAGCACCGTCGTCTTGGTTGGCATCCGAGCCGTTCTCAATTTCTTCTCCCGAATCATTTCCAGGTTCAAAATCGCTACTAGGTTCTTGTAAAGATTTTCTGAATCGAGATTTACGGGTCAGCCGACGAGATCTTGTAGCCGGCTTGGCATAATCGGCGGGGGTATCCTCATCAGCAGCCGCGACTTGATTAGCTCTTGCGCCTCGCGTCTTTCGCGTGATAGGGATATCGTCATCGTCATCATCAATATCCATGTTATCATTCGGCTCAACCGTTTCAACCAGTTCATCTTGACCTTGGTTAACAACTTCACCGATTGCATCTTCCTGGCCGACGTTCTCTTCAGCTATGTCGGCGTCGGCATCAGCATCAGCATCAACATCTTGAGCGACGTCCTGGGCGACTTCGACAACAGCTGGAGCATCCTCTACTTGGGTATCCTCCTCCAAGACAGGTGGTGGTACAGGTTTCTTAATACCTTTCCCACTACGAGTTGGTCGTGCAGCTCGTGCTAAGACTTCCGGACTCTTACTCTTGGAGCCTCGAGCTGGTCTTGCATGTTTCCCAGAAATCGTCAACTCGACCAATTCAGCATCATCTCTGTCAACTGTGCGAGCTCTAGTAATTCTTCGAGCACCAATCGGAGCATGCGTGGTAGAATTTGTACGTGTTTTACGTGCCGAAGCAGGAACCCGAAGTGTTATCAACTTCCTTTGACGAGGGGACTTCTTAGGTGGATCCTTAATAAGGTCATACTTTTCTTCATCCGAATCACGGACTAATTCCTCGTCCTCTTCGGAACTCTCTTTATAACTTTGGTGCTTTGTAGCTGCCTTTCTGATACGTCTGCCGGTATTCTCGTTTATGGGCGGTTCTTCATCTTCTTCATCGTCTTCAGCGAACGATCCCTCTTGATCACTTTCATCGAGGTCATCATCATCATCCTCGATATCAGATCCACGATATTTGCCTCTTTTTCGGACACCAGGCTTGGTAACTCTATGAGAGCGTGACTTCTTTTGCGAACGCGGACGATCGGCATCGGGTTCGAAATTTTCGTCATCCGAATCAGATTTGGTAGGATCGAAGTCAAGAATGTCCCGCTTTCGTTTGCCAGCCATGTTGAAGGCTTGTCTTTAGACAACGAGTCGTGTGGGCTAAAATTGAAGTAGTTAGTATGGATTGTTTAAGTACAAAGAGTCATATGGGTCAATCTCGAGGCGAACGGAGACCTCTGGGCAGACTCCATACAAATGCTACGGCTTTCCACAATGCGACCAGGGCGAAGCCAAGGTATGATACAATCGCGACAAGTACAACTCGAAAGGACCACAAGAGAATGGGAGGGTATCACTTACAAAAACAATGCCAAATGCAGGAGTCCAAGACTCCGACAAACAAAAGGGGGAAACGAGGAAATACCCTAGCTATTGTTCGAAGTCAGCAAGCACATTAACGGCTTCGATACCAAACAAAGGTGACCGGGGAAACGCACCTTATTTATAGTCGTCTCAGGAGAGATGGACTGAAATGAAAGATCGCACTATCGGGCAACCTTTGTCGTGATGCGGACGCACCCGAGAGTCACCCGAGAAGGTTATAACCGGAGTTACCACAAGAACACACCCGCCACCATTCACGCGGAAATGCGCCCAAGGCTTAGGAAGGTAGCAGCAGGCTTCGTGCGTTGAGGCGACAGCATACGATTACGCGTATGAATAGTTCGGGAAGGGGGACGCGACTTGTTCTTATTCGATATCGTTGTTCCTTTTTATGAGAAGAAACGCCTATGTTATTTCGTCAGACCCAAGAATCGACAGGTAACGTTTTGGCGATCCTGCAGTCATTGCATCGTGGAGCCAACTCAATAGACACGCACCATAACAACGCGACAGGGTCGGAAGGGTAGGACATACAAATTTGATATTCACTATCCGTTGACTGGTTTTTGGGATTCGGAAATTAGGAACGGGAAGGACTTTAATTGAATTGAATGACTATTTAGTAAGAATTAGACGAGGATGTTTTGCAGACAAATATATGCAAAAATAATTTTTATGAGGCAATGACAATGAGTAAGAGTCGCAGGCTGCTGATGAGCATTGGAAAACACGAAATCTTTGGATGAAATGACCGATCGGGAGGACAATGTGCTGGACGCAAATGGTGTGATGGAAGAAAACAAAATATTGCGTGAAAGACGCAAATCCGAATGAAGAGTGAAGGAAGCTCTGGCACTTGGGGGGGGATTTAGTAAGGATTTAGGTAGGAGGTAGTCACTAGTCGGCGCGCGTTTCTACGCTTCTGCACAGGCGGATAGGGGCACGGACCACTGCAAAACATTAATAGATCCACAATTAACAATACATCGGCCAATTAAATTCCGTTTGCTGGGAATCATCCGACATGTCCTACCAAAAATTGTCAAAACAACTCCAACCCCGACAGCTCCAATGATCCATCCATCTTCACTCCCATTTTTCAACATCGAATCTAAATATTTTCAAGACTCCATATTCATCCTATGTATCATACCAAAACATAACATTTATGACATTTTCTTAGGTCGCTTACACTTTTAGTGCACAATTGACAATTTTTCGATACCTTCACGACCAGTGACAAGTATATATGTGATCAAACGTGAAATGCAAGTCGACCATCTTCGACATCAATATATCTAAATGTCTATCCCCAGATTTGCATCATATCGACGGCGCTACCATGCGGCTCAAAACTTAAGGTCAGCCCTATGAGCCCGTTGGAAGGGGTCAGGAGCCGTGGTTACGTGGGTACAGCACTTTAGAAAGTATGGCCCAATATTTTTCTTGGCCCTCCTGCCAGCGCCGGGCTCCGATGGTGGATAAAGGGGGGCCTAAGGCAGCAACCTTAAATCCCGTTTGCTCTTAATATTAGTAATCATGACCGAATTTGGATGAGGACGACCGCGTGCCTCTTCATACAGTGCGAGAATTCCTTATACACTATTTATCTTGAAATTCCAGCTCTGTCTTGAGAGAAGCCGTATTGCCGTGATGCCGTACACCCGATTTTTTATGGAGCTCTTTTCAGAATTGTGAAGCCTCATTATTCGTATCATACACCGACCGTAAAAAGGTATCAATTTGAAAAGTCCAAGATTTATCATGCTTGCTGCCGCTATGCATTGAAGCGTACGTATATACAATTCCATTCTAGATACCGAGGAGATAAAGCTAGCTATGATTCAAATTGTTTCAGGCAACTTAAATATCTATCTGCTGTGATTCTACTGGAGGATCTTTTCTCTCCACTTCCCCACGATCCAATCGCCACGGATATCGGTTACAATAAGATGGTTCGCGACCCTCAAGGCAGCCCTATACCCTCCGCGATCCATTCTTGGCATCTGAGCTTCTGACCACATGCATTATCTATAACATTGGGAAGTAAACATTAATCTCTCAATGACATCCCGAAATCTTCGGTCGCTAGAATATCCATCATTTCGTATTTAGAATCCCCTACTATAGTATCTAATTATTTCCTCCATTCCATTAAAGCAACATAATAATGCCCTTGATGAGGAGTATTTACGAACGAACTGAAGATGTCCGATAAATCATTGAAGTTCCTCAAATTTGTTTCAGACGAAGAAACACAAGGGAACGCTCTTCACTTCCTTCAGGCAGCGAACTAAGATGTACCCAACCTTGATCACTAACCAGGATAGCGACCGACCTGACCAGAATGCCTGCGTAGATATGTCTTGGCTACGTGCTACGGCTGCACGGCACCGTTGATTTTAATAGGGCTGACCGGCTAAGTCCCACTTGCAACAAAAGATCATTCGCAGGGTGACTAATAGTAAAGCTTCTAGCCTCAGTCACACACCGTCTCTTTTTCTCGAATCTCTGGGTTGTGGGATCCTTCATCCGAGGGTCTATTGGCTATGACGATAGATAAGACATGCGTCAATTCTTCACCCAATGCCGTCTAACCGAAGACCATTGTTTCGTACAGTGCACATGCTAATCAGCTGCCTTCCTAGCTAATTGATCCGTTTGCTTCAGCCGCTAACTTTTCACTGTGCTGTGAAAACATGTATATATATATAACACCAATTTCAGGCAACAAGATTTTTTCTTGGATTTCTGAGACTTGTGTTTTCTTGATCTAATCAGGTAAATAATTTGCACCAGGCGTGCGACACTTGACACCCTGGAGGGCATTCTTTTACTCATTCTTCAACAAAGCTACCTACTTCTCACAAGCTTTACTTAAGCTTGTAGTAAAACGTAGCTAACAATCGATACCTACCACATACCTCTACCTACTACATAAATATCTAATCCGAGCTTGTCGTTTTGCCAACGGCCTGATAATCACGACCTCACAAGCTCTGTGGTTCTTTGGTCTTTGGAATTGACCCTTTAATTCTACACCAATTCCACAACTCACACCCTACCCACGTCGACGTCGATCTACGTACCCCAATTCCACCATGTCTCCGTCTCGAGCTGAGTCACCTGCCCCACCCACCCTTGGGGGCTCTACACACCAGCGTCAACACAGCTTCGACTCCTACTTCTCAGACAACTCCGACAAATCAGACAAAGAAAAGGTCATTATTTGCTCTCCCCTCTCGCAACTCCTCACCAGTTGCTTCAAGTCTAACATTCCACAGACTACACATGGAAGTAGCCGATTCGACTACCGCCGAGCATTCACCCACCATCATCATTCGTCGGACAAACAGACCAACCCGCCCTCGAAACCGCATTCCCCCACGGTGAATGTGTACACCCACTGTGGTCGTCACACCGACCAATACCTCCTTGGCGGGTGGTCCAACCTCATCAAGGGCCCCTTCAAGAGAGAGAAAGACTAGACGACAATTGACTTTCGACTTTCCGATTGGAGCATGGCGTTTTTTTGAGGCGTGTGGGGAGTGATGCTGCGGTTTGTCGTCTGTTTGATACAGAGCGCATAATGCAGCCGCAGCATTGGGGGTTAATTGGTTATGACGGCGCAACAAGGCGAACTGCGTGGGACGAGATATGACCAAAATAATACCTACTTGGCTCATCAATTGATCCTCTAATTCGACGATAAATGAGACATGGATAGATGATTGGAGCACAAAATTTATTATTTTCATCAAATATCTCTTTTCCGTGATGTATCCGTGTCTTTCGTTCTAATAATCCCTTCGATTGTCTGTACCTAACTAAGCTTTAAGGCCTCGATACCGGACACGTCCTAAGACATCGTGGGAGTGGGGTGCTTGACGTTACTAAGCGTTGAGCACTCCTCATCTCTTCCCAATAGCTTGGTGTAATGATATTCTTAGGCCTTCCATCCCATGGTGGCCAAGCCGTAATATCAACCGGCTACCTACCGATTTCACGATACTTGGCGTCTCCTTCTACACTACCAAATCCAATTGTCAAGCTTTATACTATAAGCAATCATTCAATATCAGTAACTGATCTTAAGATATCGTCGTAAGTGAGCCTGTCTAGTGTTATGGCTTGTTAGGTCATTTCCTAGGTAAGGGGTTTCTATTGCGGTCTAACAATCTTCTATGAGCATAGCGAAACACCCTTTAGAGACGAAGACACTGCACATTCACCACAATCTAGACTCATCTGCAGGTCTATTGATACGTCCCAACGAGCAACACTATGCGAAGCTATACTTACTTACTTACTTAGGTAGGCAGGGATGAAAAAACGGGAGCCAAGCTGTCGGGAGGAATTAAGTTGGAGATATACGCAGCCAACCGCTGCTACACACCGACCCATGCATCGATCCTATGCTACACAGATATTGATATCCGAAGACCGGGTTCAATTCACCGTCTTGGTATCTTGGGCTTAAGTAAACTCTGGAGTTGCGATGAATCCCTGGCTCTTAAGCTGGACGTCGGTCCGCGTAAAATATATTTGGCGCGTGACACGGATTTCCCGAGCACCTATGCGATCATTTGGACCTAGTTATAGAATTTCTTCTAAAACGATAGTATCATGTTAGCGATAGCCCTTCTATACGATGGTAAAACAAAGATCGAGGGAATTTATCATAGGTAGTAAAAGCCTACTAAGGAAGTACGTTGCACCCACACGACCAGTGCGGATCTCCCGCGAAGAACGACGAGCCGTACCTCGTCCTATACCACTTAGAGCTTAAGAATAAGCATGTCCCTCAGTCATCAAAGTACGGCCGATTGCAATTGATCGGCGAATTTCACCTCCACGCTGTGATCTAGTCCCTAGTGTATCGGTATCTTACATATCAATGGGTGATTAGCTCATTCACCTGGTATAAGTAACTCAGCTCTTAAAGCCGCTAGCCGTGGCTCCTATCCTAGAATGCTCCATTGCATCCGTCGTGATACCTGTGCCTAAACAAGGAACAAGCAGGTCCGAGGCTCGGAGAACATATTGAGGTGTATTTCAGCAAGGACGTTGGCAGGGTGAGTCACACTCCTAACAAAGGAGTCGCGAAGATGGTCGAGGGTTATATCAGGTACACCAACACTAAGAAACGTACGCTAGAGTAACAATAATTGCGCGTACTCAGGCTAGAAGTTCCAATTGGAAGCTTTTGAAGCAATAGCCTCGGATGGAATATGTCGTATATATATGACGTTGTGCTCCTAGAACACACGAAGTGGACACCCACGAAGCGACGAGCATATCAAAACCGACCTACCGGTGTCGAGCCGTGACACTTCACTGGTGGGACTTGGTTTTTGCGACCGAGTGGCTGGGATACGCCCACTTCGTTTGATTCTTAGGTCAGGTGTAAATACGTTTTTCTCGGCCCCTCGTTGCACAACTAAGTCGACTAAGCTGGTTTCGAGTTGAATCCATGATCCCGACCCCTGGGATGAAAACAACGTTTATAGTAGATAAAGCCTAGATCAGAGTCGCCGGTATGTGGGGTAAGCACCACATATCGGTATAGATTTGTTTGGGGGGTTGTGAAGCGTGGTAGCACGATGACTCATGTGTGACTTGAGATCTAGGAAACAGCTCAATCAGTTCCCTGATACTTCAATCGCCTAACTCGACAGAATGCCACTAGATGGCCTAAATTTCCCGAGAGGGAAGCGGTGAAGCCCTCACGCTAAGAGACGTAGGTTTATTAGGTTGGAATAGAAGTTGTAATCACGCCGATGTGATCTTGCATGTTCGTGTGGCGAGAGCGTCCGTAACCAACAGGGCGAGAAGCCGTAGCACATCTATGTTCCCCCAAAAGCAGTTCTTATGACCTCTAATGTCGTGTACCTAGGGGAATATCCGACTCCCCTACGTTCGCGACGTTACGGTCTTGGTACATTCAATTCCTAGATACTATGAAGTAGGAAATCCATGCCTTATGCTATGGGAACATCGGAACCAAGACTTTTCTAGAAAAACAAGTTATCAATTTCACTTGTAAGCTCCCTAAGCACAAAACAGAGCATGAATTTCCAATTTGTAATGGAATTTCGATATATACGATGCGGGAACGTTACCGGTGAGTGTTGCCCTTCTCTCGATTTAATATGAAGTACATCGCTAGATCAGATATCAAACAATCCAGGCTCGTTCCAAGGCAAGACAGTTTATGCGAACGTCGGGGGGCAAGATAAGAGTGGGATTCATATCGGTCCCGTCTTTTGTCGTTAAACATTTCCCCTCTTTAGCCGCTGCTCTACGATGATGGCTGGCTGAACTCATGTTGTGTAACGAAGAAAAAGTCGGGGTCTCTGGATTCAACCGAAGATGATACATCAAGTATTTAAAGCAGTCATTGTGGTACGCATTGATCTTGTTGCTACGCTGCCGGCAATGCAAAGCGGTGAGGAGGTTTAGTTATTTGAGGACTATCCCGCACGAACTTGGAACTATCACCGTAACTTCTACTACGTCGGCTCTGGTCGCATATCGCCAAGTATGGAAGATCTCCCCCGTTGCTGGACGCGGAGTAGATTTTTAGTGATTGCTGATTTGTCTCCAAGGTAGAGCCTTAGGTTACAATGGGTAGGCTAGGTACTCATGGGATTCGGATTGTAACGAACTCACTCTTGGGACTAGGACCTTCTTATTAGGGCAAGAGGAATTATCCTTGCCCATCGTCCTCAGCTGTCGATGAAAACACAAACCTCGATTCTTGGGTTTTGTTGAATTGATGTTCCCTTTTAGAAGGGAAAAATACTGAAATTTGCTTACCTACATCCTACATGTACCTAGCACGATAAGAATAAAGTATATTACGATGTGTTCTCTTTAAATTCCCATCATCTTGAATGTCGCGTAGGATGAGGATGATGCAATTAACTCTTAATTAATAAAATTACCCCGGATTTTGTCCATACGAAGTATAAAGGAGGGATTCATAGTAGACCTTGTTCTGAATTAAGAAGTGAAAAAAATAGGGGCTCAATACCGGGTCATACGCTAATAATAATAACAGTAATAAGATGAACGTGGGGAAAAAAGGGGGGCCCTCCACGGATGGATCTTAACAGCTATGTATGTACATACTAAAAAGGATGTCTGTTTATGCTGGCGCCATTTTCTAATTTGCATCTTAGCGATTCGTCATAAGAATTGGAAACTGTTGGTCTTTGCTTCGTTTAATAGATCGTCAGATCGATGATCCTATCTTGGTGGACCTAGTTTGACGATAGTGGAAACTAAATGATGAATTTGAAAACAACATCATTAAAGACGCATCTCGATAGAAGGGGACTGTGCTGCTTTTTGTACGACATTGAACACTTCATCGATCATTGCCCAGGTGATGTATACCGAACTAGTACCCCCCGTATTTATGCTGTATGTACCTACCCCTAAGACCCCTAATGCAGACATCTTACAGGGACTACCTGAGATCAATGGTGCTGTAAGTTGGTTTATTGCAGGGCTAAAATTCCGGCTACTGTGTATTTAATTCTCGGCTTTGAATGAAGTTGGTACAGGGTTATAACGCCGCTATACATAGCGAACATCCTTAATGATCCAACGATCTAAGGGCTTTTTTTCATCGTCGCTATTTTCTCAGCGGCTTATCCACAGTCGTCATCCGGCATGTCATTATGTTTCTATTGAATATTGGAAGGTAGGATTGGGTTGACAGTGTAAATTGTGCAAATTTCTCGTACACTTCTACTCACATAATTATTAATCACCGACCTAAATGAGTAATTTAGAGCGTCGATCGCGGATAAGAATTGGTTCTTAATGCTAGGGAATATTCCTCTTGTATTATTCAAGGTTGCGAAATGAATGATCTGCGCTGGTCCCGTCATTCCTAAATATTATATCCATAAGGTACAATATAATGGTACTTATAGAGAATAAGATATATCTAAGACAAGGGTTTTGAATTGTATAGTAGCCATAACCGTGAAATGTACTTTGCTGCCGATCTATCAAGATATCTTCTGTTCCCCGGCGCTGTTAACCGCTGATCTAGGTTAATTAAGGGAAGCCCCAACAATATTTCTTATAAGAGTATGTATGGTACCTATTTGGATCGCTTAGGTGCGTCGCCGATGCATTCGCAGTTGCCGAGTCGGTGTCACCGCCCGTCTTGCTATTCTTTCTTTGAAGGTATGCCATGTAAATGATGTGAGGGAGTTTACATAATTGCAAGTAAAAATGTATTGTTAAATGTTGAAAGAGATCTTCAATCAACTTGAAGCGTATCGACATCGAAAAGGGTCGAAAGACGAAGATAAGCACCACAGTGCATTTTCTAGAAATCCCTGGTTAGATACTTGACCTATGGTATGACAGAAATCATCTACCTATCATCTAAATTTGTACAATCAAGCCGCGAGCCTCCACGTACGAGAGTCACGTCATTCCCCTGGATAGTTAGATACCTGGGTACCTTGATACATAACGAGTAGGTAGTCATGTCCACCGAGATTCAACTCCATTGTAAGAAGTTGATTACACTATTCGTCATGTTTAAACATCTGAAATACCATAGTAAAATCTTCTCGAAGCTCACTAGGGAAAACCCACCGAATCCTCTCTCCACACGCCGAGATAAGTTCTCGCATCATTAGGATTTCTTGGACAAAAGCAATCGAACCATGGATGCAGAACGATGTACATACGGCGAATTCTCCCCGGGAGCTCCATCAGTTTATGTATATGTGGATTGTACTGTACCCGCCGCGTCATGCTGTAAAGCATTCCCCGATTCCTTGTCGTGCTTGTCTAGCGCGACATGGGTATAACTAATGGTTGTCTCTCAGCGGCTTTTTTGTCTCATCAACAATCCCGCTAGGATGGAGTTGTTAATTGGCGGATGAAAGCAGTTTTAGTGCCCAGGTAGGTAGCTAATGTCTAGGGGAGAGCCCTGTAATCTTGAGATAGCGCGCGGTCGGTCGCGGTACTTGACCCTTTAAGGGAAATACGTATCTGCTACGCTACCGCATACGACACAAACAACAACAAAAATAATAATAGGGGTGTCCTGTTTTTTTTTACGCTTTACGCTTGCTAGCGTGCCCCCCCTATTTATCTTGGGCTATATGTGTGTATGTATTCCCTCTCGTATGCGTATGTATATGTATAGGTATGTATTCGGTGAATGAACAAGGTGAAATTCGGTACAGCCACTGAAAAGAGGGATGTCGTTATATTGGAATAGGCGGTGTTAAATCGTGTTGTAATATGTCATGCAGTTTGAGTCACCTACATATAATATCAGCCCATATCTTTGTATGTGCTGGATCGAGCTACGGATAGAAATTCATGCGCGTGTCGCGGCTTTTTGATATGAAATTTCATCCTCTTCTTTTTGTTCAATAGGTTGTGTGTTTGTATTTGTGTATCATTTTTGAAGTAAGTACATTTTTATCTGATGCAGATAATGACTGGCTGACAATTAGAAAAAGTGATGAATGATTGTATGGTTGTTCATGATAGAATATCCATTCACATTGGAAATGTTGGATGTCGCTGTTACTGTAGGTCCGCCTAATGTACCTAGGTACCTAATTAAATTTAATGCTAAAGGAAGTACCCGCTATCGTGGGTTAAATACCTAGATACATTCATGGATTTATGGTTTCTTCTGTACCCCCTTTTTTTCGTGTGTACGGCTAGATCCATACAGCAGGTACATAACACATAGGCACTAAAAAAGAAGCAGGTACTCGCTGTGGACCTCTTTCTCGTACCGACTACATGTACCTAACCCCCCGGCTAACATCGAACTGTAAGACCTGCAGCAACCGACAGACCATTACACGGGTCTGGCTTTGGCTATGACCCACCGCCCCCCAAATACGTGCATCCACAGTAGGTACCTAAAGTAGAATTGGATCCAACGCTACAATAACGCTATGCGCTACCACTAATATCCTATCCAAGTATGTATCTGCTAATCCGCTAGCGTACCGTCCCCTGGTACCTATCTGCCTGCCTACAACCTCTACTAGGTACCCGTACCTGGGTGCTAAGAAAGGCCTAGCAAGCCTGGCAGGTCCAGCACCAGCAACATGGCAAGCACTAGGGAGGTGAATTGTTACTGTTGACACTACACAGAAAGAACAGAATTCAAACCTCAACTTCCAAACTTCTTTCCCTTTCCATCCCAATGCACATCTGAATAACGTCAACTCTCTTTCCTCTCTCCCCTTTACACCTTACACCTTATCTCCCCTTCTTCCTGCCCTTTAGTCATATTCTCTATTTATTTGACTACATAGTACATAGCGTTATTCAGAAATTGCCCTCTGTTTTCTTGTCATCATCCCGCGATTTCCCCCCTTTCGTCCAGGTCCCTTTTTTCTCTACCATCCCTTTTTCATCTACAGTCGTCTTGTCCTGTCTTCGAAGCCGTTTTCCCTTGGGTGTTTGCTTGCTTTAGCCTGCCTAATACTATCAAAAATAGGTGGCTTTCACATCTTTTTGTCGAAAAACTAGAAACACCAAAAAACACGAGATTATTTTTTCCTCTCTTCCTTTCTAGGCCGATAACACGGGTAAAGGGTTATTGTAACAAACCTCTTCGCCCATGTCCTCCTACTAGAGTTTCGTCTATTCCTCTTCGTGTCAATCGTGGCACAGAGATCTTTTATCGAAATCGATTCGGCCGTTCTCCCAGCTTAGTTGTCGTGAGATACTCGGCATCTAAGTTGACGGGGTTGTCTGCGGTAATAGTAGGCTTCTTTCTGGAGAGCATCACTCGTTTTTCCCTGGTCGCAGGCGCCCTTCCTATTTTCCTCTTTTAAGACTTACCATCGTTAACGACGTCCTTCGATCCTCGTTCATCACTCGGTCGATATCTCTACACGGCCGAGCATATTAATTATTGGGTGTCGATAAACTAAAAAGTATTTATATTTTTATTAGTGTCGTGCCTACATTATTGTTATTTTGGATGGCGTCGGGTTTTGGAGCCGAATTCCAACCAGCTCCACAACCCATCTATTTGATTCGAATTATCATCTAGTGATCATCATTTACTAACATGAGAATGGCTAGTAATTACCTCTACATCCCGCTTACGAAACCCGACTCTCTCGTTCGAGCTTCGTTCCATACCCGATAGATAAAACAGGCGAATCGTATCTTTTCGCTCGTAGGCCCCATACCGCCGATAATTTAGGCCTTAATCCTGTGAATATGGCTGCGCTGGTCCAAACGTATCCTCAGCAAAGTGGAACAGTGACATTGCTTCAGACCAGACCCAGCTCAGCTTCGGGAATCATGGCACCACCGTCAGGAACACAGCCTAACCAGGCGTACATGAACAGTAATCAAAGGAACAGTTATCACGGCTTGTCTGGTAATGTTGGAGGTGGACCGACTGTCTATCGTGGCAACACGTCAGCCCCGGTCCAACCATATGCCTTCACGGCTACACCGAATCTGGCTAATGGTGGACAATGGCAACAACAACAATACGGGGCCTACCGTTCATCACCAGGTGTACAAACTATGCAGATGGATCCGAATGCTGCACAACGCTCTCGCTATGCCACAAACTCGTCCGGGAACAACGCCAATGGTCTAGTGAATACGCCTGCAGGAATTTCATCAGATGATTCTCGAATCATGTCCTCGTCTGGATCTCGACCTCAGTTGGCTGTGAATACTTCGTCTCAACCGACTTTTGCGCAGGTTGCTGCTGCGAAAGCAACGCCTGAGCGATATAGGCGACCATCTCCTAGGTATACAGATTCATCTCCTAGTGTCATGCAGACACCGCAACCGCAGGGTTCAGCCATGCCATCAGGCTCTGGTATGGCTACTGTCGTCCATCTTTATAATCCCAGAGCTATGCCAGATCGAAAAGCAGGGATGCCTAGAAATACCGGAGCCCTTGCCAGTAGACCTCACAGCGCTTATGGTGCAATGGCTGGTGTGGCGATGGATGATATGCATCTGTACCGACATCCTACCGAAGAAGAAGCTAAGAGATTTCGGCGGCGTAGTATACACTCAATCAATTCTTCCGATTATCCCAACCCCCTGACCCCGCAGGATTTCAAGCAAGCGGAGGAATCATTCCGCCTAGAAGCGCTAGCCGCGTCGAGGAAGCAGGGTAGCTTAGATAAGGAACTGAAAAATGTTGCTCGGGGTGGTTCCAATCTTTCTCCCAGCGGTCCCGTAGAGAAGAACAAGATGCATGCCATTAATGGCAGTTCAGAAAGTCTTGTTTCTAGCGGGAGCAGTAATTCTAGACCATCTTCGGTGAGTATTTCCCCATGAAAATCTTGAAGATCCAAGGATTCCCCAACCGATTGTCCAATCAAATGGAAGCGAGATGGTACCTATTGCCTCACTGAAAGATACTAACTGAATATGCTATAACAGTCTGCCAATCGAAACCCGAATGCATTTGCCCCCACGGGCAGCCCCGCCTCAACCTCCACTTCTACAGACAAGAAGTCTGGCCAAGATCAATCCAAGCCGGTAACCATACCGCCTCGCGGCTCATCAACTGATGTCGGCAAACGAACTATTAATCCATCCCCTTTGTCGAAGCCGGCAACTATGGCTCCCGAGTCTTCTTCCGATGACTCGGCAACGCCCGCTAATGCGGCGGAGTCGGCTCCAACTAAAGCTTCAGCGGCATCTTCTAGTCTGGCCGATAGTCCCGCGGCTAAAAGGCTCGCTGCGATTAATGAGAAGGGTGGAAAGTCAAAGAGTAAGTCGTCGCGACTTAGACGGGCTTTCTCTTTTGGAAGCGCCGCCGAGCTCAGGAAGGTTACTGGACAAGATGTATCTCCTGACCCGGTCAAAATGTCGCAAAATGAACCCACGAGATTGCACAAGGATCCTAGGCCCGAAGACCTTTACGAAGAAGAACAGGCTCGAATTGCGCAGAGACAAGAAGAGAGTGGAATCGGAAGCAGCATTTACTCGGGCACCAAGCTATTTGCAGGATCGACTGATAACCTATCAATCTCCTCCACGGCTTCTTCGGCCTCGATTATGCTCCGTAAGATGGGACGTGGGATGAAGAAAGGTGGTAGATCGTTGGTTGGATTATTCCGACCCAAATCAATTGTTGGTGGCCCTAACGAGGACCTCAAAGCCCCCGAAGCTTCTCAAGCTACTGTATCGATGGTCACAGTCGAAGCGGAACGCGAAAGGGTCAATGTCAACGCCAACCCCCATTCCCAACAGGCTGGTGGTACCGGCTTTCCTCATCTGGAGAACAATTCGGTGGATGCACCTGTAGTGGAAGGATTGCCCACTGATCGTCTAGGAAGTTCGGGTACTGATAACTCGGGCGCAAGGAAGAGCATTGTTGGTGGTGAGAAGGAAAGAGCTGAGGTGCTTGCGACAATCCGAAAGGGAATTTTGAAGAGTAAGTGAATTTATGAATCCTGTGAGGCATTTCTTACTAATCATCCTATAGCTCGCAGCAATTCCCCAAGCCCATCCCCGCGTGGAAACGAAACCAGAGGCCCGACTTTTGAACTCCCCACGATTCCCAATATTTCCAACTCTCCTAGCTCTAGCGCCCCTAGCACCCCGAATGAGGAAGTCCAAGGTCACAAGCGAAGCGAATCCGTTGCTATCGGTAGTGAAGACTACTTCGTTTCGGCACTTCGCCTTCGTCAAGACACTAAGAGCGCTCCAACAACACCTCAAGGTACCTCCGGCAAACGATCTGCTACCTTCAGCCCTCGAATTGTCTTTTACGACACATGGCCGAGTGGAGAATATGATCGCCGTGGCGAAATCGCAACATGCAACCGCCTCACGCCGATGTTGGCCCAACAAATCAAGGAGGAATTGAACACCTTTAAGATGGTGAGTTTAAATAACACTATTTAAATTACTATGAGGATCCATACTAATAATCAACTACAGGAGATGGAAGTCCATGAAACGTCCAAGATTTATACGCACTTTTTCTAATCACGATGACAAGCGCTACACTACGAAATCTTACAGCAAAAATGATTCCATTCTCGATTAAAGGCCCGTAGACCTGCAATCATGTATTTGACACCGTTAGAGTCCATGGCGTTTGCACACGGTCAGCATAGTAAGGTGTCACGGCGTTTTCGAATTTAAAATTATCTTGCTATTTTTTTCCCGAGCACAAAAAGTATTCCTGATCGTTGTTATAATATCCAACACTACCGGTGATAATAGGGACCGCGGTGGCTCTATTACGGACATCCATGACCTTTGTCAAACATTTGCAGCCGGCAACCAATCCGGATCACAGTTCCGTTCGCCCTTAAAATCAGTCCACAACTTTTACGGTCTTGTTAATAGGGGATGTGTTATACACACGTACGAAAATACTTGGTCTGGTGTGTCGAGAGGGAAACACTGTCACTGGGCGGATATGTCTTGGCTTTCCACTACGCTTCCCTTCCCTTTTTCTCGTGTTCCTTGGACAGCAGGGAATGTCACAGCACTAAGGGTTAGCACGTGAAGATTGGGGAGAAAAAGGCCGAATCGGTCGGGAAAAGTCATACAAATCCCGCCAGTGGAATATCAAAAACTACGGCATCTATCTTATATCTCCCTTGCCTACCTATCTAGCATTTAAATTTCCCCCTCGCCTTGGACGATGCAGCTGAGCAAGGTCAACATTTTGGAACCGAGCATAGACGTATGTATCTAACAGGGTGTTGCATCATCATAATTTCTAGACAAAGGACATGAAGACAGTTACCATCTGAAAGTTCGGGCGAGAGAGAAGAGAGGAACAACTACATTTTGTCTTATCATCGTTCACGACCTTGCGAAAGAGAGACCATGACGACGTTTGCTCTAGGGATGGAAGTAATGTACTATTAATGGAGATTTGAGCAACTACGTATTTCTGACAGGGTAAAGAGTGAATATCAATCAATGTCAATATCTAAACTGTTAATAATGCTATTATCCGATTTAATTGTTCAACTTGGTACTTGATATTGACTGACCGCTTTCCTCTAGCTACATATATGAATACGAATAAATAACGACGATCACGTCAAAAAATCATGAAATAAAAAGGGACGAAAGAAAAAGGACCGGAAGTATTCGACCGCACGACCCTGTTTTCTATCGCAACATTGAATGCTTGAATGCTTATTTCTCCAGGGTCCTCCGTTAGCGAATGTGCCCCCTTCTTCCCCCGATCTAGCCATGGGGGGTAAGGTGGTTTGCCAAGACGTTGCAATGGACCAAGCGCGATCTACCTTACCATACCTTGATTGTATAGGTACGCCGACATCTAATACGAGAAGTAGAAGGTACATAATGAGGCGCAGCGCATCGTTAGACTTGTTTTCTTTCCTCGTCGCCAAGACTTTATCCACGCGAAACTTTGAAGCAAAAGGCTATAAAACTAGCAGGCCTCGTGGGGTTTCCATGCAAGGCTGACCACCGAGATTTTTAAATCTGAGATCGTTTTAGGGGTCGCACTGCTTGCTGTATGCAGTTGATGTAGACTATACATAATATGTCAATATGACGTGTCTATGAGAGTATTTTAAGTTGTTTTTGACTCTAAAAACGTATCGGCGTCTAATTCTAGAATGTCTATAGAAACTTAAGTCTTCAATTAGACCTTAGACTAACATTTTACACGTGGAAAGTTCAGTTTCTGAGATTACGTAATAGTAACTATGCTTCTGAATTACCTTTGCCCCACCATAACTTTTTTTCGTAGAATTTCTTAACGAGCTGAACTACTGCCACGAGAACTTTATTCTGTAACACGCTTCAACTATAAATTGAACGAAGTCGCTATCTTCATCCTGGATTTGGTGCGGAGGGTGCGCGTACGCTGGAATATTCCCGGCTTCGGCTGGAAGTTACTGGCCCGGAACTACGTCGCAATGGCATCCAGTACCATAGATGGAAAGACGGCCACGACCAAGGCCAAATTACATGGGAGAGCTTTTTATGAGAGTATAGGAAGTCCCAAATTTGTACTTGCGCCTATGGTCGACCAGTCCGAGTTCGTACGTCCTCTATATTGCTAAACCCAGTTCTTTGAAAGTACTGAGTACTGATAACTGTTCGAGATGTAGGCTTGGCGCATGCTCACTCGATCATTCCTCACACCAGCCGAAAACTCCAAACTTTTAGCCTACACACCCATGTTTCACGCCCGATTATTCGAAGAAACAGCAAAGTATAGAGAGTCACATTTCGAGGCAACTCAACCTTTGAAGACCACATCCGCACCTATAAACTCCGAACAACCCTCCCAACCCGCACCTTTTCTCGATGGCAACCCCGCATTCGATCGTCCTCTCTTCGTACAGTTCTGCGCCAACGATCCCGAGCACTTGCTAGGTGCTGCAAAATTAGCCGCGCCTTATTGCGACGCCATTGACCTGAATTTGGGCTGTCCGCAGGGTATTGCGCGCAAGGGTCACTATGGCGCTTTCTTACAAGAGGACCAAGAGCTTATTTACAAGCTGATAAACACTCTCCACAACAACCTACCCATACCCGTCACAGCCAAAATACGAATATTGGAGACTCGAGAAGATACTCTGGCCTACGCTAAGAACGTGTTGGCCGCGGGCGCAAGTATTATTACCGTACACGGAAGAAGACGAGAACAAAAAGGACATATAACCGGCGTGGCGGATTGGGAGTATCTACGCTATTTAAGAGAAAATCTGCCAAAAGAAACCGTCATATTTGCCAATGGAAACATACTTCAACACGGTGATCTAGAGCGATGTCTTGAAGCCACCGGTGCCGACGCCGTCATGAGCGCGGAGGGCAACCTAAGCGATCCAGCTATATTTGCGCAATTACCGGTGCCGGGCCAGGAAACGCGGGAATACTGGCGGGATAAAGACGGTAAAGGTGGTTATCGAGTAGATGCTGTTTTCAGACGATACATGGATATCATACATAAATACGTTCTTCAAAACGACCCGCCCACACGGAAACCCTTATTCGTTGTCGGAGATGACGAGAGTTGGCTGTCCGAGGGCAAGGCGGAAGATGCGGAGCAAGAAGAAGGGCCCGCTCGCAAAAAGCGGAAGAAGGATAGTGGTAACGGCGGTGGTGGGAAACATGAAAAGTGTACTTCGCCAAACATCGTTGCAATACGCCCCCACCTGTTCCACCTCCTAAGACATTTTATATCGAAGCATACAGATATACGCGATGCGCTCGCGAGATGCCACGTCGGCGATATCCCGGCTGTTGAGAAGGTTCTAGATATGGTAGAGCGGCGTGTCGCGGAGGGGCTTATTGAATATGAGAATACTGGTGGTAAGAGTGTAGAGGAAGAATTAGAACCGACATCGAAAGGCGCAGAGAACAAAGCCTCAGCAGATCCGTCGCCAGATGACGCGGACTTCGACCCAGAGAGCTCAGTGGCTACAGTCAAGAAGTGCAAGAGGCCCTGGTGGGTTGCGCAGCCTATCGTCCGGCCGTTGCCTAAAGAAGCATTAGCCAATGGAAGTATAAGGCTAAGTAAGAAGGAGAAGAAGAAACAGGAAGAATTGGCGGCAGCGGCAATAGCTGAGGATACGGCTTCAGCCTTGGTGAGGGGAGAGGTACCTATCGAAGAGGAACTACCGAGGCCAGATGGTAAGACCGGGATCAAGGAACCGATTATGGATATTAAGAGACCGACACAAACGGCTGATGAACTTGTTTGTGGATAGCGGTGTTTAAATGAGGTGCCAACTTATATCTTAAAATACTATTATCTCTTTCTAGATTGTCTGCACAGAACTAATAGCCAAAGAACGAACCAAGCAGGCCCATTTGGTTCCTTCCCGCCCATCACAAGGGGGCTTTGCTTGTAAGGATCTCACAGTGGGTGGACATTAAATAGTATTTTGGCAAACTTACCTCGCTGATGAACCCGACCTATCGGAAACAATAAGATATAACATGAATTAAGAAAATGCGGCCCTTGCTCCCCTTATCGTCAAACCACTTCCACCCTATCATCTAGAATTATATAGATTTAGTGAATATTATTACGTTATGGCTCCTAGTGCGTCTATACCAGTAGGGATTCGTGTAGCCCCGTTGTTGTTATTTACTAAAGTTTAGGATCTATTTGCCTTCATTACAACCCCTATTCAGGATTATTTATATCGATCCAGTAATCTGATACAATACCCACTTTTGGTAGCCAGACCCCTTCTATACTCTCGCCAAGCTTATACCTTTCCATAGTTTCGATGCAGTCCATAAAACAACTCACATCCAGAGCATTCATGTGCCTCATATCTTTCTGTAAAATGAGTTTGGTCCTAGTTAAGGGCGTCAAGCCATCGTTGGCTTCCGAGTCAACATCCGCCCGTCCCGTCTTCAGTAAGACATACACAGTCTTCCGGATACGATGAGCAATCAGGTGATCTTGCCACTCATCGTTGTTCAATATCACCCAATGTAAAGGACTCTGCCCGAAGGCATCCTTTAGATTCGCATTCGCTTTTCCCGAATTGAGAAGAACCTCTACATTCCCATGATGACCACACTCAGCCGCGTATGATAGAGGCGTTCGACCGTAGCAATCCCCCAAGTTAACAGCAATGCCCTTACAAGAGAAAAGGGTATATATAAACTCCCGGTAAGGTTGTTCAGCCGCGTAAGAGAGAGGCGTACGACCTAATTTATCCCTCGAATTAATATCGACTTTCTTAGTTTCAAGCAACAAATTTATGACCCAACCTGGGCCGTGTTCGGCGGCATATGAGAGAGGAGTTCGACCAAGAGCATCCCTATAATCTTTTTGGACCCTTTCAGAGCGTACTAAAGCTTGTAGGATGTCTTGATACTTCCCCTCGCTGAAGCGGTTGATGTGCGAATTTCGGAGGTCTTTACATAGATGTGTCAACACAGCGTGATCCTTATCGCCCACAATATTGAGACCAATGCTTTCTTCTGAACACAACCATTGAACTACATTGACAGATCCATTATTAATAGCATGGAACAATGGTGTCTGGCCTCCATCATCTAGCTGGTTGAAGGTGTTTTTTCCTAATACCTGCAACACGATCTTCATGGCTGTGGCAGAGTCGAGTTGTGCTAACTGGGCCAGCAGGCTCACTGAGGGGTCAAAGTATCGATTGTCCCCCGGTTTAGAAAAGTATGCTTCGTCTCGTTCGTTAAGTTCAACGACTAAGCCTTGTTCCAGAAATACCTCAAGGCCAAGGTATCGCGCAACTTCGCAATGGCCATATGCTAATGCAACACATAAAGGGTATCCCCCCTGAACATTCAAGTGGTCCGTTCTACCTGGGCAGTGTTTAACCAGGTGAATCAAGTTTTGAGATGCTAGAACAAATAATATATTCGCATCGGGTCGGGAATAAGCGCCCCCACGAAAATATAGAAGGTCGCGCAAGCCGATCCATTGTGTTGATATAACATGTTGCATCCAAATTGACTGCTGTACTCCAAGAGACTCTGCTTCGTTAGAATGGAATAGGGTGTTATCGATAGCGTACCAGAGAAACGGATATGTCTCTCCTATTCGACCTTTCAGCTGGGGATCGAGACCAGAGATGTAGCGCGACCCGTCTTTCCTGAAAAGATAGATAGCTTTAGGCATGTTAGGGACTAGAACAGATTGTACCTGATTAAAACGGGCCTGTTTCATAGCTTCTTGACTTTCACCCATGAATCCGGCGCCTAGATCGGGCCAGAATTGCCGAATTCCGTTCTCCTGGGTCAGAAAAAAGTCCCGAATTGATTCATGAATGAATTGTATCCAACCTCCTTGCAGTTCATCCGTAATTTCTTCAACCAAACCCTTCGACGAGCTGATAATATAGCGGCGTATGGTTTCTCCTGATATCGAATTGCCTGGCGGGGTTTTATAGTTAAGCCCAGAATGGATGGCGAAATAGAGCTCTCTTGAGGTTAATCGACGCGCGGACATAACTAGCTGGATACAAAGAAGCATAGCTCCCCAATCTTCTGAATCGCGGGTCAGCATATCGTAGATTAGCTCCATAAGTTCTGACGGTAATCTACAAAGTAAATCGTTTAGAGCTTCTGTTTTCCCCGAATCGAAGGCCGCGTTCAACATTGGAATGACCAGAACCACCCAGAGAAAGACTCCAGATGCCTTTTCGAGGATATGATCATTGATCTCTTGCCTTGATACTAATGATGAATCATCTATAAGATTGGTTTCGATGTATTGTTTCATGTCAAGCTGATGACCACCGTTTCGCTCGATTATTAAATACAACCCTCTACCAATCGATATGTTGGGATAATGTCGACTCAAAAAGCATACGTTAAGGCGGACACCAGCCTCAGAAGCTTGGTCGCCAAGGCCTCGGAAGAATTGGATCATGCTTCGAGTCTGCGCTTCGGGACACTCGTCTAAAGCGTCGACGTAACACGCGACATGTTGGCCTCTTAGTTTGCCAATAGCGCGCGAAATGACATTCTTTAAACTTTGCTCTTGCCAACCGTTTCGTTCGACCATTCCGGGGTCTCGAAAGTTGAGGTCATAAAATGCTTGAGCAATATCTGGGAATGCGGAAAGAAGTTGGAATAACATACTCCGATATAGCCCAGACAGCGCCCGCTCGTACTCGTGCCCGCGTGCATTGAAGAAAAATGAAATCGGCTTCGCACGCGGCATTTGTTTGACTGAGTTAGTGAGCATATAATTCGTGAGTATTGATTTCCCCACACCAGGCTTCCCCCTAATCCAGAAGAATCCCTTATGAATGTGAAATTTTCCTGGATCGACCCAGGTTCTGTATGTGGGGGTCTCCAGAATCCATCTGCAAGTCTTCGGGGTAGGTTGCTGTAGATTCTGCTGGCGAGTATGCATCTGATCAAACGACAACGTTCCTAAGATGCGGGTGATAAATTGACCACGGTCGTCGGTCAGCCTATCGCGAGGGCGATCTTTGCGATACACGTCGAATTCGTCACCTGTCCAGATGTATGTGTCACCATTATGAACCCGAGCATTCCCGTCTATATTCTGCTTGTGGATTGAATGAGGTTCTTTCCTCGACATTGAGGCCAAAGCTGCACAGCAGCGTTAGCTATTGCAATTTTTGCGAGTTTTTGTGAAGGTTGGGCATCGGGAACCACCTTGAGTGAATGGGTTGAATGCTTGGATAGATGAATGATCATGGTGAGGCTGAGCTTCAGTGTAACCAGAGAATAAGCAACTAGCCAATTTTGTTCCTAAACTCAGCCAATAGCATAGGCATATAGTCTTCCATTAGAAAATGAAGGGCGATAGGTACCTAGGTAGATACTAAGGCAGAATAAGACTCGGGTCCTAACATTAGACACCTACGGTAAGTTCTCCAGCGCCTCTTAAGATGCTCCCCTATATCCCGTACAGCCTGAGTAATAAAAAATGGGTTCTAAAGGAAATGACTGAGGCCTTCGGTATCGTTTCAGTGTTAAGTACAGGTATCAAGAGGATTAGTAGGATTCAAATCGGATAGTGGTTTGGTCAGATTCCCGAACCCTCCAAGTACAGCCGAGAACACTCGATCTCTGACTCACGCGATGGGGAGAAGCCTCGCGAGTTTATGAACATCCGCAATTCAGTAACTCATCGGCAACAACTGATAGACTTAGAGCGGATACTCGGACTACTCCAGGAATCAGATAAGTTATCTCGAAAGTTTCAATTGTCGCAGGGCCAAGATGAATCCCATCCAACAATTAGCGCTGTGCCAATACAAGAAATTTACTTTCCTTAGACAAAATAATCCAGGATGTGATCGCGCAGCGAAAGCGGCGTAAGGCTGGCAATGTGAAAATAGCACGCTACATGCTGCGTGCCGCACAGCAGAGATCATGCGGCCCAACTCGTCAAAAGTGTCACGTCTTTGATTAATTTGCTACAGCAGCTTTTCCCAATGCCCGGAAAGGAGTTGACACTAGCCAAGGAGGAAGTAAAGCAGCTCAGCTCAACTATTTCTGGCCAGGGGTCTACTATACGATGCCTGCAGCAACTCGTGCAAGGTATCGATAGCGACTTTAAGAAAGCAATCGACTCTGTCGCGATACAAGGCCATCGATACGGAGATCAGTTCACAGAAAAAGGCGCGCGTATTCAGAATGGAGACACGTTCACTAGAGCGTTGGAAGGGGCCATTGACGCTGGTTCTCTGCCGGTTGGACCAAGCATGACTTTCGCATATCAGAGAGCAGGTGGCTCTTCAAGGATTCGGAATGGAGATGTCTATGTAGACAAGGACGATTTTTGGTCATAGGGATTTGAACGAGATAATCATGCTTGTATTTGTGAAGGAGTTCGGAGATTCTCTCTCGGACTAAATCTCTGAAAAGCAAAAGTTCGTCAAGCCACAGAAGCCCCGCCATAACAAATGGATGTCCGTGCAGTGGCCCAACTCCGAGTTGTGAACCGAGGTTCCGAGGCACGCTCATTTTGCTTACGAAAGCTCTTCCTTCAATGGGTCGAGGTAAGCTTCAAGAAAAATCGAATGATGCTTTTTTTTCTTTTCTTTCTTAAATAGAATTGTATAAGTTGGAATATAACATTAGCCATTTATTTGAAATTGGCATCCATTTACTTCGGTGATTTATCATGGTAAGACTACATCATGCTCTATCCCGTCTCAGTCAGCCACAAAAACGCCTCTAGATCCCCAATAAGAATGTAGTATGCTAATCTTTTCTGCTTTTTTGATAAGGTTTCCGTAGGAAAGCTCGCGCTTGTCGCTGTTCTAGTCGGGCTTTCTGCCTTTGGCTTCCGTGCTACTATAGTCCCTATGAGCACAACTGGCATAGGCAAGGTGTTAAACGAAGTTTCAGGCCGAAGTCCCGATGGTATCGTTGCTGATCTACTTGGTGCCCCCACGCCCTTTAAGCGGGTGTACACGGGGTCCCCTCAGCTTGATTCAATACTTGCGCTGCTAGTAAGCTTCTTTGCAGCGCTAGTTGACGATCATGGCGCTGGCTGGGAAGTCACGGCTTTCTACACCTGGGCTATGGCACAATTCGTCGCTGGTTGGACTTTGCTCGTGCTGGAAAGCCGACGATCCGGAAACCGCGGACGTATTGTGAGTTGGATTGGCATATTCGGGTTTTTCATCCAGACTTTGACCTGGACGTTTACCGTGCCTCTGTACCTTGCTATACACTTACTCACGTCACCTACCGCCAATCTAGCCAGTAAGAATGGCAAGAGCGTGGGAGATGCTGCGCGTCGGAGTCTGGTCGTTTATGGATGGGACCTTGTCCTGATTCCTTTAGCTGTGACTGTGGCGTTCATTGTGCCTGCTATTTTCATGAGCATTCCTTCGATTCTGGACCAGACTGCTGCAACCCACTACAATCTTATCGCGTTTTGGCAGGTATTCCCAGTGGTATGTCTATTATGAACCGTCCCTCTCACCAACTACAGTCAGACCCTTGTTTGGAAAGCTAACCGTATGTACCATGACAGTGGACCACGCTGATTATCAATGTCCTCTCCAATGTATTCCACTACTCACTCGGAGAGATTAGTCCAAAGGACGCTGAAGGCAAGCCCACTACACCTGGGAAGGGCTTTTTGACGGCCGTGTCAAGCGTGTACAGATTCGGCTTAACAGCCAGTGTCGTAACTCACGTACCTATCCTACTCGTCTCCCTACTACCTGCCTCTCTACGTTCAACCCTTATTTCTACGTTCCCCGACTACGCCTCCCTCCTTTCGCAAGTCACCTTCGCGCGTACATTTGTGCCATTGCCGCCCTCTGCGGCGCCGACTATAAACCCTGCTGACTATGCACCGGGTGACCTCGCCGCTCCAATTACTCACTTCCTTCAATACGACTTATACGTTGGCACTGGAGCTCTCTTGCTATGGGCTCTGTATATAAATCTCACGACACCCGGGCGCTCGGCGGTTAAGTCTATCGGTACATTCGCCTTCTGGACAATCGCCGGTGGCCCCGCAGCGGGCGCTTTCGCGCTACTCTGGGACCGTGACGAGGTTGTCAAAGAGGGCGAGAGTAATGCCCGGAAGAGGAAGTAAGAGTCAATGCTTCGGGGTCTTAGAAAGCATAGAGTTTACGCTCTATCCGTGTCGGGTTTCTAAAATTGCGTGTCGTAGATGCGAGATAATGGGCGAACTTCAAGACGCGTAGGTATCGTTTGTATAAGTACTAGATCAATTGTAGGGTATAAATATAGAAGATCTCCGCATAGCTCGAGTTGGGGTGGTTGTTAGGTATTTATTGGGTATCTGGTGGTCGATGAAGGTATTGGGGTTAAACAAAGAACTCGGTTTTGACCCTGCTGATGTAAATGGGAATTCCAATAGTTGAACCTGAGAATTTCGGACAATAGGTTGTCAATTAACCAGCCAACCAATCATTCAATCGTCTCAGCCCTCAATTCTTTCAGTCGACCTTTACTCGCGAGATACGCAGCACCCGAATCAGCCCACACCTCGTAGCTAACTACCTTATGCTGATCATCAAACTTCAGCGCATATGCAAAGACCTCATCCCAACTCTCTTCCGTCTCAGTCCATGTAAACCTCGCAGTACCCTTAACCGCGACGCGATTCTCCACAGCGTCGACGATGTAGTCCGCAAATTGCATGTCCTCATAACTTAGAAATTTCACGAGGGTCTCAAAGTACTTGCGTACGCCCCCAGGTCCCCGGAATTCCCGTCCGAGGAAAGGCGCGAGCTCCTTCAGGCCATGTTCGTAGGCGAGGATGTCGGGGGACCAGGAGAAGTAACTTAGGATTTCGTCTGGTGATTTCTTTTGCGCGAAGGTATCGCAGAAAGATTTCGCGGCTTCGAGGAGGTCGGCTCGTTTGTGGTGGGGCATGATGATAGAAATGAAATGTGAGAGAGGGACGTACCTTGTCCGTGCTTGTTCGGTTGTGATATAATACGTCATCGGCGTTAAAATCGAATGAGCTCGGACCACCACCAGCTGAGGCACCACGTCGTCTTATGTAAATCAAGGTGTGCCCGACTTCAACTCTTCACACCCACACGACGCATCAGATCAAGCGGGTTCGTGTCAATCCAACCACATCCAACTCTTATTTCCTCATCAGACCCATCGCGAATGCTGTCGGCTATAGTATTGAATTACTTGCTTGATAAGGCTTAGGGATTTTCCCTAGTCTAAGGCAGTTGGCTCGAGGCGACGCTAACTAGCTCGAGTAAATGTTATACACCGCTACTATACACAACTATATATTGATATCAAATAGGCATGAAATGGTGGAGTATAGCGAAACGAGGATCCTCTCGAGTTACACAAAGTCTATCTGTGACTCTCTAGAGGGCTGTTCTAGACTTCTCATGTGGTCTAGTCTATCTATAGATACTAGACGTATAGAGTATGATTATCAATCAACTCTTTACCTCGCGTTATATATACCGTCTTGGGGGATTCAGTAGTGGTGCCGCGTTGATGTTATCTTTGGATCCCTAGATGTGAGTATACCGTGTGGTTCAACCGACCATGCCGAAGTCATAGCCTGCTTCTGGGACTTGTCCTAGATATGGACATGGCGGTAAATAGTATCTCACTTTTGTTGTGGAGTTTTGGGGCGATGATAGAGCATTTAAGTCTAAGGGTTTGGCGTTTGAAGTCGCTTTCTTCTATCTCGTGCAACCATCTTCATGGATCCATTCTCTGTTACTGCTAGCGCTGCTGGTCTAGTTTCCCTCGGGATAACTGTCTCAGATGGACTCGTTCAGTATTGCAGAACATATCAATCTCGAGAAGCTGAGCTCGCTCAACTAACGCAACATGCCGAACATCTTCGTTCCTTCCTCAATATCATCGAGACCCAGTGCCCCGGGTCACAGGATTCTAGTGGAAATCTTCAACACTCGTTACGGAATTGTAGGGACGCTTGTACTGCCTGTATAGAGGACTTTGAACGGCTTAATGCCAAGTATGCCCACGCCCGGAGTTCCATGGATTTTTGGGGACAAGGTCGGACCCTGGCACGGAGAATTCGATATCCATTTGATAAAGAAAAGTTTGAGAGACTAAGGTCCCAACTTCAGGAATTCAATACTAGATTGTTATGCCATTTACAGTTGGCGAATATGTAAGGATATTATGCTCATGTCTTGTCTTTACGCTAACATCGTTGTAAGTGACCTTACACAAGACTTGAAAAGGGCAACTGTCTCTGACGTGGCACGTCTCGAATCAACTATTCAATCCGTCGGCAGTCAACTCTTATCCTCGGCCTCGGTATTAGCGCCTTCTATAAGTGATGCGATACAAGTTCATCTAGAAGGAGTCAGCCATTCCGTTCAAGCCGGACTATCCAATCAGTCTGTATCAATAACAGGGGGCCAAGAAAGACAGACATCGGCTCTCATCCAACATTTAGACCGGTGTTTCGAGCTTCAACAGAAGCAAATACATGATATACTGGAAAGTATGATGCAGGCCCCAATAGTACACCCTACTATAAGTGACCGAATATCACAGCTAGAGGAATCAAATTCCGATTTAAACTATGCCGCAATGTCCCCTTTTCCTATGGCAACTCATGAGTTTATCGGTGCATTCTGTACCTGTTCGGCTGCCCACAAAGCCCAGGCAAGCAGGTCAAACTTAAGACTACGACACTCGGGCGTCAAACATCAAAGAGGATGTATAAGTTTTAATAACAGGGAAGAAAATAACATTACTTGGAGTTTTAGGTTTCTTCAATGCAGGATTACTACATTATGGTATTTCGAATACACTCAGGGGTCATGGTTTCGTGGGCTCCGTATAAGCCCAAGCCTCACATTTCGAGCTACCGTCCCAAGGTGTTCCCCAGCTTTTCGAGAAATCTACTCCACTATGTGGGAAATGAAATTGGCGAACACGGAAATGGAATTAGAATCTGTTGCCAAGAGTTGTTTACTCCGATTACAGCAGATTTTCGCGAGTGGAAGAGCACACCCGACGGACGTAGTTTATGGAGATTTTAACCTGCTACACGTAAGTGTCTTCTGAAGCTTTTGATACCAACGCTAATGATTATTACCCCAGCTTTCTGCAAGTGTTATGGATCTAAATGATAGTATTAAGAACTCGTGGGCAATTATCTTACGATTCTTGGGTGCCTTGATAGAGATGGGTGTGCCACTTAACGACATAAATACCCGTGGAAGGTAAGACGCAACTTCACCTCTTTACGGAGTGGAAGCTAACGGGATTATCCTTTAGAACCCCTCTAGATTTCAAGTTGACGGGAGTGTCACATGAATCAGACCGAGGTCCCATCATAAACGGTCTTTTAAATATGAATGCTGAAATCTCAACTTTAAGATATGTGTCAGAGTATATAAGCACTCTAAGATTTGTAAACCCGTGCCTTAGCGACCGTAAGTTCCTCAAGTTCGCAAGTCTGGTAGAAGCTGATTATTGAAGCTCTGGGCTGTAAAAAGCTGACGTATATGGTTTTTCGTCGATCGGAACCCGAAATTATACCCTTACTTCGCGCCGATCGGTTTTTAATGTATGAACTTACTGGTTTAGGCCAAACACCGCTTCATCTCGCCGTTCTTTGGCAAAAGGGGCTTTCAACCTTAATCGAGTACGGTGGTGAAGTGGTTCGGAATATAATAAATATTAGAGACACATGGGGGATGTCTGCTCTCGATTACGCAGTGCATCTCGAAGAAGCTGACTCTGTCCAATTGTTATGCGACGCTGGGGCAAGTGTGACATCGTCCACTTGCAGATACTGCAAAAAGAATGCGGCCCAATATCCGAGGATGTCAGATGTTTTGATTGAAGCATTCTCCCGACAACGAAAAGAGCTATTAAGTTTTGCCTTAGGGGTACTCCCGGCTGAATACATCGAGAAGCTTGAGCTATGGGAATACGTCCATAGGGATGCTCCTTTGGATGGCAAAGCGTTCGACGTCACCGAGGCCTTAAAGCACTTAAACATATCCATTCCTACCATTTTTGATGGTATAGAACCAGGATCCCAGTACCATTGGATTTGGGTTGAAGCTTGCACAGCTCAGAAACTGTGGGATGCTGGGTTTCACGATATCAACAGTACTTTCCGTGGATATACTCCTCTAATGACCACAATCCACCATGCTATGTCCGAAGCACAGTTCCTGGAATGCATATGCTGGTATAAGGAACATGGCGTCAATATCTACGCTCCAATTCCTACTCCTAGTAGGGATTATCGCACTTTCGATGATACTGTGTCTGAGCCAACCTACTCGCTTGCGCACTACCTATCGGATATCTCCGGCTATCTCGACTTCTATGGTAGAAAGGTGGAAAAGGCCTCTTGTATACCGCGGCTTATCGAGCACAATATTACCGACACTTGCGAATGCTACTGTACGACAAAGGGTTGCACCCTGGTCTCAAAATATGTCAAAGGTTACTTCCGGTGGTTTGATGAAATCGATTTAAACGAGGAAATGTATCTGGCGCGCTTAGTGAATGAATTTGGAGCCGCTTCTAGCCACCCATCCGCGATGGAAGCGATCCGTTCCATGTCTTTTACGAAGCTTGGGATGAAGCACACATGCTGTGGATACCGACACCACCACGAAGGTTGGAAAGACATCTTAAAGAACGGATTATTGGAACTCATGGACCATGAAGAAATAGAAGAAATCCGGGATGAAGATCGATCCTCGTCTGTATTACTAAATGCGCTAATGCGGGAGTTCGATAACAAATTCCAGGAGTTGGGTCTGCCACTGGTAGACTTCGTGAAGCAGTATTGGTGGCCTAGGGTGAAGGAAGTAAAAACAGCGGATGATCTACGATCTAAAGAATACCTGCAAGCAGTGAGAGAGATTGGGGTCATACTAGAGGGAGTAGAAGATAAGGAGGAAGAGTAACGTATTAAGGACCTTTGCTAGTACCAGCCCTTTTCTGCGAGCACGTGAGGTAGTCTCATGTCGTCTTCGAGCGCGACCCAATCATTATATTACAAGAGAAGACTGGCGACGAGTAGCCAGTACTGAAGTCGGTACCTAGTCTTAAAATTCATTCCACTCGTAGGTATTGGTACCTCAATATGGTTTGGAAGAGGTGGCTTTCGGTCGGATCGTATGCAACTCATTTTGGCTACCGAATTCGGCATCAGGTAATCTTTCAAAAGAACCTTCTTCATAGCTAGTAATCGTCTCTGTTCCACTTCTCGCAGTACGGAGGAAGCTTCGGGAACGACCGGATGGACCTGACCCACCAATCGTCACAATGCTGCGCCGATTACCCTTGTTCTGACTGCTGCGGTCTAGCTTTGAGCTGGAGATGCCGAATGCTCGGCCAAGCATGGGAATGAGGGGTCTTAAGGGAGGGATGGATGCGGATACCATACCTACGGCCGGTTCGACGATAGACCAAATATTCAGCCTGTTTATCTCCACTGGTAGCGCTATCAGCTTTTATTGCACCCACTAGCGAAGATACAGTTAAACTCACCGGGATCAGTCCCATCTACCCGCCCTGACACTATGTCGACACTAGCCTTTAATTTGATGACGCTGAAGATGATCACAAGGCCGCCAAGTAAGAATATAACAGCGATTCCAATCTTGTCACCTATTTTTATTCGTAAATGGTAAACTTCGTACATAGGAAGGCCGAGGAAGGCGACGCCCGTGACTATGTTGAAGACGGTGTTCCATAGAAAGATGATCCACCTATCGATGCATTTCCCTGGAAGGCTGGTTATAACCCACGCCTTTTGAATAGGAATGCACTGTAAGATAAAAAGAAGTGTGCTAGATATAAACCAGGCCTCGGTGATGACCCCGAGAACGGCGACACCACTCTTTACTACTCGGGTAGGGAAGATGCGGTAATACATGATTAGGGCACTGAGTTTAATGGTGGTGATGAGGGAAATGTAAACGATTTCACCTATCCACTTGCCCTTGAGGAGTTTAGTTAGTCTGGTGTCCAAAATTGAGCACGAATTTATTCGACTTAGGATGCGAAGCAGAGAGAAAACTGTCAAGAGGTAGAAGAGGGGAAGACATACATATAATCCTCTCTGAAAGATTTGTCCGTTAGGGTCCATGGACATAACCGTTTCTAGATGTCTACCGAAGCCGCCATACAAGATACAGTAGGTGGCGATCGCGAAGATAGCCCAGGCCAGAGGCTGTCATACAGGGAGGGAAGTCAGCTCAACACCTGCGCTCATATTGATTGAAGGAAATGTAGGAGGTAGGTAAGCGGCGTACCAAGGCAATGGCCATAAACCAGTCCTCCCAACCTAATCGGATCTTAAGATACATACGGACCCAGAATCTTAAAGCGACGACAACTGTAGTTAGGACAAGAACTGCCGATAAGGCGCGAATCGTCATCGGACTTTCATTGTATGCAAGGTAGTCCGCAGTCTGGCGGTTACTCAATTGCGCCATCGATACCTGCTGGAACCTGAAAACTTTTATCGTCAGAATCGGAGACAGGACAGTTTTGTTACAACAATGACTATTTCTGGCGATAAATTACCTTTGAAATCTTTTGAAAAAAGCACCATTCCCTATTTGTTAGAAAGGAGTTCGGTCGGGATGACTAGAACCTATATACATGCGCGTCCCTGTAAATAGAAAAGCATTTTGGTAGTAACGGTTCATGATAATGGTCTTTGGAGGCGGCACAGTAAAGATTAAAGACCATAATGACACGCTGGAGGATGGAGGGTACATGTTACAGAATAGTCCTATATCTCATAGAAGGCTATTTGTGTGACCTGAGATGGTATGGACAAATCCAAGGCCGCCGACACTCAGGTAGAAATGTTTCAAGAATCCATCCTTGAACACATACGAAGTTGAGATAGCCTATTCTTACGTACGCTGCTAGTACGACGGAGGCCGCTTCCACCTTCTCGGGATCGTGATATGCAGCGGGTAGGAAATTACGTGGTATTTAAGTTACACAAACCAACCAGGAGGTCGAGGCATGGGGGGGTATCGATCAGCAATACCGGCAATGCATCTGATGGTTTCCAGCTGGACGTTGTGATTGTCGATTGGCCATCAACAACGGGGGTCGGCCCTTTGCCGAACATACCCGTGCTGAACCATTGCCTGCTTACCTGTTGTGTCACACACCATAAATGACTTTTTAAACGAATCGCATGTTCAGGCCAGATGTAGTAGGTGATTATAATTTCAAACGAAGTACTTTGCGTATTTTCTTCTATTTTATACCGGGCGGCTGTTAATGTTGTTAATTGTTAAGTTTCTGTTGTCAGGCTATCAGGTTATGGTTAAAATTATACTTCAGTCTAGAGAAAAAAGCTTCCCGAAGCCTTACCTAGAATGACTTAGAGCCCCTATCCGAGACAGCGGTAACTCTGTGCGGGATGCGCCGAATCTAACTTAAATTAACTAGTCTGTACTACCTATGTACCTGTAGGGTTAACCGAGCTCAGTCAGACGGATAGGTACACCAATCTTTACTTCATTGAACAATGTTGTACTACCTTCAGTCACTATAGGATTTGCTTTTTCAACAATATAAAAGGCTGGGAGTGTGTATCACAAATGCTACCAAAAGGGTTGCGGGGTCAGGTTTCGTTTGTCTTCCTCTCGCTATTTGCTACACGCCCTAACAACTCTGAGATGAGGGTATAGCAAAGCAGGTATCTTATAGCGCATCTTGCAGCCTTGTCACACTGGAGAGTCTCTCCCGTTACTTTTACTATCCTTTGATAGCTCTTCATGGAAGAACAACCTCCATGGCGGGGTAGTGTTAGTCTGGATCCTTACCCCTCAGCGGTGGGCTTCATGTCTGGCTATACATTGATAACCGCCCCCTGGGGGTTGCGAACCCCTCCAAACGTCATGAAGATTCGTATGCTGCTGCCGAGGCTCTGAGTGATGAAGAGCGATTGGACTCGCTCAACCAAGTTTATATTCCGCGTCCACTCGTATTGCGCTTAGGGCCCACGAGTTCTCAGCGGGGTTAGATCATGCATGACTACTAATAATAGGGAAGAGGGAGGGTTTAAAGGGAGTTTGATGTTAATGTCTTGGGATGAGTACCTAGGTAAAGTGAATGACTATGGATTAGATGTAACCTAAAATGGTCTGAAAATCATTAACGCCGGCGTAGGTGATGGCGCCTTGATTTTGCTGGTTGCCATGAGAGCGTACTTTAGCCGAGGGCCGGAATTTGGAAAGACCACCAATACTCACAGCATGAGAGAGCATCCAACCTTCAATTCTACCGGAAGCAATACGAGGAGCCAAGAAAATATATTATCTCCATAGTCTTCCGTGGTCTCGACCTTCTAGGGGCCTAGGGTTGCTTCTAAGACCATTGCTGGAGAAACAAATTAATTCAATGGATTTCTACGAAAACTTCCTCTTCGTAATAATTTCGCCTGTTCCGCTCACCCAGTCGTCGATAAATCAATGCGTCGACTTGAAAAATGAATTGTTACGCATTAATGAGAGCCCTTCTACTTGGGCTATTTTTTCAGTATGTTTGCGCGGCCCCAATTGCGGACTCCTCTAGCATAAGAGCTATATACCTATTCAAAGATGTGTTGAAATCAAACACCACAGCCATAAAGACGTCCGGCTTCAACACACTCGTGATCTTCGGCGTCGGTATCCTCGAAAATGGCGACATTATGTACTACTCGAACACACCGGGAAGCAAAGACACTCTTATTGCATCCAACGGTGGATACGTCGGTGGTGACGCACTCGCCGAAAAAGTTAGCGGGTTTAAGAAAGGCGATGAGACGGGGATCAACCGGGTCGAGATTTCGATGAACTCGCAACATGTTCTCGATCTCATGCGCACCCCTGGTCCCGGCGCGACGACACCTCTTTACCGTAACTTTGCAGCGCTCAAAGCGGCATGGAGTCTCGATGCTGTTAACAACGATGACGAATCTATTTACGATGCTTCTAGCACTGTTGCTTTTGCCAAGATGCTTGGAGAGGCGGGGTACAAATACACCATCGCGCCTTATACCAACACGCGCCACTGGGCTTCCGTCACGACACAGGCAAACAGTGGCCTTAAAGAGCCGGATCTGCTGCTGGATAGAGTGTACCTACAGTGCTATGATGGTGGGGCTGGAAATGATCCTGGAAGCTGGCAGAGTACGCTTGGCATGAAGGTCGTACCACTTATATGGGTAACGAACGACTCGAAACCATCACAAGGCACGACTGCTTCTCAAGCTCGTTCTAGATTTTCCAGTTGGAATTCTCGAAGCACGATTGCTGGAGGGGGATATTGGAATGATTACGATATCGAGAAGATGGGATTGTCGTATACTGCGTATGGAGACGTTTTGAAAAGTATTTTTCCGTAAAAGCTTAGTGGGATACAATGAAATCCAGTACCTTATGACCAGAATATTGAAAAGAGGGGATTATAATGAAAAGGCTATATTCAATGCGTGATATTGAAGGCGAGCGGATAGTTCCCTTGATACTTAGGTACCTAGCCCGTCAAATATTGATTTGAATGGGGGTGGCGTTGAGTGTTGTTCAATAGTAAAGGATATCTTCGTTGTTATCACCATCTTCACTCCACTTGAAAAATGCCCTTTTAACATTGTCCGCCCCTTTTTCTGCGTAACCTGGGCCTGGTTGTGCTGGCGGTTTCACAGCTGGGTCTCCTGCAATCCACGCTACAGGGACTTTGCCTGTTCCGCGATACAGGCGATTGAGCTCTTGTACATCAGCTGGAGCAAATGCTCGCCCGAAGATGACAGCGCGCGGTGGCCTGCTATAGTCATGGGTGCCGATATGGTTAGAACTGGGTGTCTTGGGCCCGCGACCAGCAAGAAGGTCGCCGAGATGAGCCTTCGCATCTTCGTATGAGTTGATAAAATGGATAACTATCATTGTTTGGTCAACACCATTACTCGCAACAAGGAGGAATCTCAAGAATACGAACCTTCGATCTCGGGTAGAATGAGTGACGTAACTTTCTCCCCGACCTCTAGAGTCTTGCCGCATAAGACGACGGGGGTCGACGTTATGGTAGCCATGAGTATCTGCTAGCTTGTTAAGGTATCCTTATTCTTTGGTTCGTCGTGATCGCCTCACATATCTTCATCGTATTTTTCTTGCAATATATACCAAAATATTCTTGGCTGACTGACAAATCTTACCCATTATTACCCCACTGATGCTCTTCGAAGCTTATAAATCGTAGTTGGACTAGTCTTCACTAGTTCGAGTTGAGTAGGAAATAGAACAAGCTCGTAACATTCGTAAAATGCTACTGTCATAAAATCCGCAACACAGCAGGAAAGGGGTAACAGCTACTACGGATGTAACTAAGCCCGGCGCCGAAGTACCGGTCGGTTATGGCCTTCACAATAATAACAGCTCAGAATAGTACGTCTCGTCCAATAGTCATGCCATGCTCAGAAATGAGTTGACTCAGGGCCCCGAAAAATCCCCTTCTAGCATTTAATCATCGGATCTATTGTAATTAACCCACCTTGGAAAAGCCTATTCGTATCTGAAAATGCTGTAGGTACCTAGGTAGGTAGGCGACCTCACCTTTTCTCATGAATTTTAAACCACCTTTAGGAATATAGACCCATATAGAACGCCTTCGGATTGGATCGAGAAGGGGTGTGTTCGGACTTAAGACGGCGTTCTATTTGCATTAAATCCGAAGTATGAAGACGAAGGCGCGAAACAAGGATGTCCGGTCGCATTTTGTAATTTGTTAATTCCTTCCAATAAGCCTTCAGATATTCAATCGTATCGCAAATTTCCTGAGCGTATATACGAACACATATTTCCTAAGATTCGCCATCGACTACTATCATCAGAGCAATGACATGAGAGAGAAATTAGCATCTAGCGACACAGGTCGCCGTCAAGTGAGCCTAATTAATCCCAAGACCTAGGTCTGTAGTGTGGGTTCGAGGTAGTTTATTCAATCGGCCAGGACTACGATCGTTTTCGTCATTCGAACGGTCAACGCGGATAGAATTGTCGACATTCTAGGCTTTAATGCCTTAGGGGAAGATACTCGACCGAAGATTCAGGATACAGATTCGATATCTACAATCAGTTAACGCGCCATTCTGCCAATTCTTTCGTAAATGCACTCACCCCCTGTCAATAAGGACTCCAGCCCTATTTCTCCCAGGCAATCGTTGAAATTCTAAATTCGTCGGCGATGCCCTACTTATTAGGACCTTTATGATGTCGGCGCTGTGGACCTACGAGGTCGGCATCGCTAATTCTCGTGAAAGGCTATTATACCGCTGAGAATTGTATACTTAGGTATTTTGGTTTTTAATAGGATTCAGCAACGACTAATGCTGACACTGGAGCGGTGAGAACTGGCACGACTCTTCAGGTCACACAACAGATCAGAGCACGGACGCAGGTGTAAGCGATGTGGCTGAAAGACGCCATCCCCGCACTAGATATTGTGAATCTTCACATCATTCTTCAACCATAGCTTCTAGATATAGTTGTGAGCCCAACTTCTTGTTTCGCCTCCCGCTAGAGCTTCGGGAGGAAATATATTTCCAGCTTCTCCGTATCGACGAAACCGTCAATGACACCTCTTTCATACGATCCACCCTTTCGTCGCCAACCTTACTGGATGGTGTTTCTTGGCAGAGAACTGGTATTCTTTGCGTTTCCAAACAAATCAGCGAGGAAGCTCTGAACATATTATATGGACGTAACGTTTTCGTTATTGTTCTCCACCACTACGCCTTCAGCCTCGGCAAAATCGGGGTTCTCAATATATAACGTATCCGCTCCATAGGAATCATCGTAGAAACCAGTGCAGTGGAGTACTTGGGACCGGTGAAATTTGATTCTCGTCTATGGGATCCCCTCCTTGCCAATCTCACCCAACTTTCTATAATTGTGGGGGAACCAAAAGGAAGGGTGGACTCCCACTGTGATGATTTCGTCCCCTGGCTAGAACCGATTTTACAATACCTCGCCGAGAAAATTACGAAGACAACCGCGGTCGGGATCGATCACGACAATCAAAGAGACACCAGCGACCTCGTACGTGAATGTTTCGGCTCTGGCTATGAGAAAATACGAACAAGGATTGGAGATAAGCTTTTTGGAAGGCAGACGCCCTTTAGCGAATCTTGATTGCTTTCTCAAATCTATGTACATCTGAGATGTTGGTGATAGTTTAGGCTTTGCGATGTTAATGAAGACTCTGCCTGGACCGGTTTAACTGGCTACGTATGTTCGAATTGTAATTTACTTGCGGTGTTGCTTACTGATATTCGCCTAGCCATATCTAGGTCAGGATTGGGCAAATACGAATAAGAGTCTAAAGCCTCTCACTGCCAAGGATTGATATCATGTCGGGCCAATCTTATTAACCATTAATCTATAGATGTTGAATCATTAGTACATACCCCCGCCTCTCTTCCGCGCTTACTTGCCGTCCGCCGTTGAGGCGGATTATAATACAAACATCACTAAGTTAGCTTTACGAGCAATGAACCACCTAAGAATCTCCTTCCCAAACTGCCTCGAAGATGCAGCTTTTCTGATCACCAGGGAATTGATACTTGGCTTGATACTTCAACCTCTCATCCGCCTCCTGAAATAGAGCAGCGTACTCCTTGGCGGTCCTCTCCTTAGAGTTGAATGCACCCATCATCTGTAGATCCATTTGCCGTACTAACTTATCCTCAAGGAGCGACTCTCCTCGCTCAGCACCTGGCATGAGGAACTCCGAGACGAGAACTCGAGCACCCGGCTTTAAAGCCGGCACGAGCGCCCTTATGATGGACACGGCCTCAGTGCGGGGCCAGTTGTGGAACACTTTCCGAAACAAATATACATCTCCTCCATGTAATGGTTGTGGGGAGAAGAAATCGTGTTCTTGATAGCTTAGATTCGGAGGCAGATCGGGGTCGCTTTTTGCTGCCGAGATAGCTTTTGGGTGATCTTGTACCGTCACAGTGAATTCCGGGTAGGTGTGTGCCAAGACGCGGGAGATGTGGCCAGCTATTTGTCATGAGATAGTTAGCTACCTGAGTTTTGGGGATTAAAGGGGGTGTATGAGAAGGAATTCACAAACAGCCACCGCCAACATCGACAACTACAGCTTTCGGCCCGAGCTTCTCAACCCAGGGATATATCTCAATGTCAAGTTGCTGTGGTCTACCCGCTAATCCGTTATCGTTGCCCGATAGACCAGCCATACCACGATCGAATCTATCTTGGCGCTCGGCGTCTTTACTCAGCCATTGGAAGAACGTATCGTTCGTTCCGTAAGCCTCGTTTACAGCGCATTCGCTAAGCTTCTCACTTTGCGGCCACTTCTTGCACGCTGCCGGTATAGAAATCTCAGCATTTGCGCAATTGACCGTGACGAAAAGGAGAAAGGCGCAGAACTTAGGGTCGCGCACCATAGCGGCCGATATGGCTGTATGCGCGACAACACCAGGCGAAGGTTCACGGAAGATAAAGTTGGTTGTGGCGTAGCGAATGAATCGCGTCAATTTGTCTTCAGAAAGACTGCTCTTCAATGCTAGCTCGGCGATGGTCGCCGTCCCATCAAGTGGGATAAGCCCTGGAATATTAAATTCAAGAAGCGCGCCGAGTGAGGATATATCATGGTACTATGTTCCGTACCCACATATAAGTAAGGAGGTTTAGGCGAGAAGCTGTGAGGTAGACCTACGATAAACGCCATAAGGGATAACATTTTTGAAGGTCCCAACACGAGAGCCTCAAGTTCATAGGCGGCATCTAGGAGTTCCCGGCTAGCCTTCACATTGATAGCCTCGAAATTTGGTCCCTTTACCACATCATTTACGGTCGGAGATGCAAAACCTTGACTTTTGAGGCCAAGTGAAAGTTGCGCAGAGGTACGAGCAATCGTCTCGCTTAGTTGTTCTATCGTATGAGCCGCCATTGTTTCTCGAAGTTTCAAACACGATATTGTCGATTTTCTCTTTTCGAGCTCTACACCACCACAGAGAGCCCCCTAAATCGAGCCGTACATGTTCCACTTATATACACGCATTTTCCACGGACATAAGAATTCTACGGAACCAACACATTCATGATTCCGGTGCGGTAATTCTGAAAACCCTTTCAATTTCAATGGGGCCGATATGCACGTATCTATATGGCGGCAGCTGACTTCGGGATATGAATGAGTCGTATTTTATGAAGCTCACATATGCAGTGTCACAGAACTGCGCGACAAAGCCATTATCGCATATTTCAACTATCACGCGAAACTTCCAAGACGAAAATAGTGGAAGTTCTAGGCAATATTGGTTACATTCGCAACATCGCCATTAAATCGCCGATGGGTACTCAAGTATGTGCAATAATCTTTTGCTCGTCTTGTAGTACACTCCAGTTGATGAAAATATCCCTGAATCAAAGCACCTCGACACTCCGTTAACCCCCCGAAACTGAACCTACCCAGCTGCTCCAGACCCCGAAAATATCACATCCGGTAAGAACTATAGCCAATATCCAGAGCATGCGTATATTCTTAAACGCCCCTTTGTCGATTCATTTCGCTTGGCGTATATGTCAGATATTCTTAATACCTTCGGTAGAGAAATCATCGGGCCAAGACGATGAGAGCTTATACATACCGGAGTAATGACCCCAATTTAATAAGGCGTATATCACTGGGTACTTACCTAGGTAGATATCCGCGGGGCCCGTAGTGATCGCACAAAGTTACTCCAAATGATAACCACTGTCACCAAGAACGCAAGGCTGCACTACAGTTACAAGGCAATATATTGCACTATAGGTAGGGTATAAAATACAATACTGGCATTTCCGCTTCGACCCCTCTTATTTATTGATAATTGAGGCCTCTATCCGCGACTTGACCACGTCAGTCTGCCATGTTACGTATGGGGTTTAATGTAACCCTTACTGTTCCAACAACCACATCTCGGCTCACGCCTTTGGGGAATACCCGTATGAGTAATGCATTACCTCTTGAATTGAACCCAACATGAAACTCGGCGATTTAGAAGCTTTTCTCTCAAGCCTACGGATATCCGAAGATATTGGCCGCTAGTTGAACTGAAGCAACTTTTAACCATATGATCAGAATTTTGGATCACATTATGAAACGCATACAGTCCAATTATGCCCGTTAAGACGCCACACATGGAGTTCCGTGTTATCTTCACAAATTATTACCCCATCAACCCCCTTTCTCGTCTCTTAACCCAATCTCATCCTTTGAGGAACTTCCGTAGCACCGACTGTGGAAGCCTCAGTCGAGTAAGCCGGGGGTAGCCTCGTATATTCCATAAAATCCTCTATTGGCAAAACTGCTACGAGGAATAAACCCACCAATCCGATTACGAGTCTATGTATTATTAGGTGGCATAGCGCAGCCGCGCGAACCTTTCCGGTAGAAATACAGTGAATGATACCCTGATCGCCACTAGAAGGTGTCAAACTGAGCAGGTCTCTGCGACTAGAGCACACGCAAGACTAGCATTGTTTGGAAGCATCATGCTTAGCATGATATGGAGGGAATTCGTTTCACTCAAAGGGGGCTGAAGGTGCGAATAGTCCTTCGCAGAAATACACCCGGTAAGTTAGAATATGACGTCTTATAACCCATGGTGACTGAGTTCTGGTTATGATGTTACACAACAGACGTAATCTTACTGCATTGCGCCTCCAGGTAGTAGTCATACCTTAATCTAAGAACTAGAGGCTATATAAATATCGAGATGCTTAGATTTAGGTAAGAAAGACACATTTTCTAAACTTCATTCTCTGGGTTGAAAGGTGTAAGAAAAGGGTGATAAGAGGAATCACTTATGATAATGCTGACAAGAAACTTGACTGCTGGGAAGAATAGAAGTTAAGTACCTAGATAACACCGAAAGGCATGCCATACCTGGGGAGATGGGTTTATGATATTGGAAAACATTCAGTCCCAGTAATCAACGCAAGATCCGCCGAGTTGGGGGTGCAATCTGTGTGCCGGTAGCCCAATTAACATGAACTCCTAAGTAAATTAGGCACAACACACGTTAGTGGCTTCAGCAAGTAAAAGCGTACTAGGTCTATTTATTTATGCTTTTAATAGAATTATTTGAATTATATATTATAGAATCCATCCTCAATCCTCGATTGCTTCCCAATTTAGTTATCTCCGGTTTTGTAAGTGCCAAGCCCGTCTGTGTTACCGGAGCCGGTCCGGGACCTATTAATACCGATAACTCCGATCCGATTCACGGGACACCAAACTCCGGAGGATGAACTCCTGATAAGTGTACAATATGAACATGTATATATCCAACGTGAGCGTTTTCATCGAGGCGATAGTCTCACAGGGACACGTTTCTTTCTCATCTTTGAATCATAACTACGATGACTACGAGATATGCCAAGGATCAGCCACACGGCTTCACTAACCGTATCGAGAGGGTGGCTATTGTCGGGGTAAATCAAGCCTCTGACGCAATTCTAATCTATTGAAACAGTTGTGGCTGATTAATAATAGGCCGGCGGTCAGATAGGAAAGGTCCTAGCCGAACATCTCCTAAAGAACGAAAAGCATGTCGTGACGGTTATTACACGACCTAGCAGCACAAATAAGTTACCTGAGGGCCTTCAAGTCTCTCGAGTTGATTACACTGGCGAAGATGACACGGCGTTGGTCGAAGTGCTTCGGGGTCAGCAAGTCTTGATCATCTCCATGTCCGTTCATGCGCCGCGGGACAGTGTCAGCAAGCTCGTACACGCAGCCGCTAAAGCTGCCGTGCCATACGTTATGCCCAATTGGTTCGGCCACGATGCCAACAACGACGCCCTTTGCAACGATAGTATTCTAAGCTTGATCCGCGACAATAGTCTCTCCGAGATCAAGAGCCTCGGAGTTAGTTCGTATTTGTTACTCGTGTGTAACCTTGTATGTGAAAATATTTCTGCTTTAGACTCCTGCATCCTTACTCAAATATGCACCGACTAACATCTTTCTTCAAAGTGGTACGAATTCAGCCTAGGCGGGGGCCCAGATCGATTCGGTTTCGACTTCAACAAGCGTACCTTCGTCGAATTCGGCGACGGAAATATATCGATCAACACGACAACTTGGTCACAGTGCGGGCGCGCCGTGGCAAGCCTCCTAAGCTTAAAAGAACTCCCCGAAGACGAAACAGACCAGTCGCCGACGTTGTCCCAGTTCCGAAACAACTGCATTTACATATCAAGCTTCCGCCTCACGCAGCGTGATATGTTTAAGAGCGTGAAACGTACAACAAACACCACAGATGCTGATTGGACCATTACTCGCGAGTCGGCCGAGCAGCGGTGGAGAGAGGGTCGTGAGGCTGTCAAACAAGGAGACTGGAAGCCCTTTGTTAAGGTTCTATATAGTCGCATATTTTTCCCTAACGGCGGTGGGGATTATCAGTCTAAGCGGGGTCTCGATAATACAATTCTTAACTTGCCTGTGGAGGATTTAGATGAAGCCACAGCGATTGGTATCCAAATGGGGATGAGTGGCGATGTGCCCTTCTCACATTGAGAGAAGAGTCATACCGTATTTCGGGTTTCTACTATCTAGACATGTCGTTGCCATTTATAAGTACCTAGGTATGTACCCGTTTTTACATGTCGTTATGACTGGTACAGTGTTATTTGTACTATCCATAACCTATTAAGGAGTAGTACTCGAGTTTCCGCAACACATCAAAAATGAAGCCAAAAAATTGTGATGATGTTCAAAATAAACTGCTGTCAACCAACTTCTTATCCCTTGAGTATCTAGAAAGGCATCACGTAATTCCGAAAACGGGGATCGATGTGGTTAGTCACACGGCACCTATTACTCACGCATAGGTGCCTAATCTTTATAATTCTTCCCAACATTCATATTCAGTACAGATTTCAAGAAAACTTGCCTTAAGTTTACTGACCGGTCCTTCAACTTCATTGATGGACCTCGCCATAGAAGTCTTTGTTAGATATTCGATCAGTTTCATTCTCCATGCAGTTCTTAAAGCGGATACGCTGGTGGCGCCGGGAGTTGAGGCAGACCCGTCTGGGTAAGAATTCTGAAGGAAATCTTATCATCATCTACCCCAAACCACCCGGATCGGTTACCCCGCCTCCTTATATCTTGAAGCTACCAGACGAAATTCTCTACAACATATTCGAAAACCTCACTGACGTAATATCATGGCGAACATGGAGGCCGACCAATATTTCATCAAAGGTTCTTCTAGATCTAACAGCTGTCTTACTCGTCTGTCGCCGTTTCAACCAAATAGCCGACCCCTTACTATACCAATCGGCTGCGTTCGATATAATGCCTCGTTGGAATTTTTCTATTCGCCATTTCAAATACTACCGCTGCATGAAACTACATTCAAGCCGTGCCAAAAGCTGCCAATACCTTTGGTTGTATGTCCATCGTAAGCAGATTGGTCTTACTTCGAAGGATATGTACATGCTTGAGATCTCGGACAGCTTGATAAGTTCACTTTCGAACGTACGTACCCTAAATATAGACGGGTCGATCACTAGAAAGGAAGAATGGGATATTCCTTCGCGAGTCACTGAGTATATGCTGCGGTTGGAGAATTTGACACTGAAACGTGGAAAATGGTCCGAAATTTTCGAATTTATCGAGGGATCCGATCTCCCAATTTTAAAGAGGTTGATAATTGTTGGCTATCGCGACCAAAGCGGGAAAACTATGGTTAGAAAGGTACCTAGGTAGTTTGTGGAATGATTTATGCCATCCATCAAACGGTTGCTAACAAACAATTATAGGATAAAATTGGCAAAGCACCAATTACTGAATTATACGTACTGGAATTCCTCGGCGGCCGCGAATGTCTAAAGAATCTATTAAGATGGCCTCGGGCGCTCGAAACCTTTGAGTTCCAGTTGATGGATTCCTGGGTTCAGGGGGATACCATGCTATTTGAGACACTTTGGGAGATGTTACTTTCCCACATAGAGTCAATTCGCCATATTCACATACATTGGCTGGATATGATACATCCGGAGTCTAGTGTCTTCCACGCGCACACGTTCACTAATTTGGTGTATCTTGAATTACACCTCGACAACATTCGTTGGGAATTAGATATCGCAGTCGAGGCATTATTCGGCGGGTCACTGCGCACTTTGGTGTTGAATTGCTTGTATCCAAGATACCGTAGTACATCCCTACTCAACCCTAAGTGGATTGATTGGCTGGGGGAATTTGTTAGGGAAGTGGGTATACTAACGGCAGGCTCGAGAAGAGAAATCGTCTTGAAGAATACGGGGAGAAAATGGAGTCCTTTTCTACCTAAAAGGATGATGAGGCATAACGGATCCCTTAGAAACGGCCTCCGGCATATTGGCTATATTGCGGAGGCAGTAGATGTAAAATATTCGTATGAAGTGGGGGTTGTTGACTGATGTTCCCCATGCCCATTAAGCAACTCCCTTTCTAGCTACATTGTTCGATATAATCAGTTAAAGGGTCGATATGGTGGCCAACTTGGCGGATGTCAGATGAAGCTGACACAATTCCTTGAAATATCAACTAACTCAAAGAGCCAATTTCGCCCCAATCCCACTCTTCTTCCCGAACATCTTCCTGACATCACTAACAAGCAATTCTGGCTTCTCAAATGCGGCGAAATGACCTCCTTCCTCATGTCGCTTCTCGTATACTACTGGTCCCACTACATCATCTGAGGTTAGCAATGATTCCCAAGTCAAAAAGGACCCCCACCAAGCGCCTTACAGAAGGATCCATATAAGACGATTAGGTCACTTACAGGTTCTCCCCCACGAACTTGGCAGCACAACTACATCCTTAGGAAAATACGAAATTCCCAACGGAACCCCTCCATTCCATCTAACAGCCTCTCCCATGTCGGCACCACTCGCACCACGATGCGTCTCTTCATAATAAATCCTACTACTCGCATCCGCCCCAGCCACGCTAAACGCATACACACTAACCCAAGTCAAGACTTCCTCATCAGTCCATGGATAGTCATCCGTCCAATCGCGCAGCTTCTCATACACCCAAGCTAGTAGCGCGACTGGGCTATCAGCTAACCCGAAGCCCAGCGTGTGCGGCTTACTCCCTTGGATCCGCGCGTACCCCTGGCCCTCGCCGCGAAACGACGCCGTGCGTGCAAGTCCCGCCTTCTCATGCGCTGAGTACCATCCCAGCGCGTACTGGAGACATAAACCCGGCGCTTTCAGCACGCTCGGGGGTTGCGCGAGGATGAAATTTACATGCGATCCGAGTACGTGTGCTGGGTACCGCGACCCTATGATTCGGGTGATAGGGAACCCCCAATCGCCGCCTTGTGTCGCGTAGCGTTCGTAGCCCACTATGATGATCGGAGTTAGTGATATTTCTTGGAAGAAATAACACCCAACATCATACGATGGGGAAATTCCGACCACGAATACCGGGTCAAAAAAAGATTATTGATTTTACGTACGTCGTAACATCAGTTTATGGCACACCTCCGCATACTGCGGTGTCGCAAACCCGGGCTTTGAAGTCCCCTGCGAGAACCCGAAATTCGGCAACGACGGTGCGACGACATGGAACGCCGGTTCCTCGTCCTTATCCTCACCACCTGCCGTTAAAAGCGGAAGGATTTTAGATACCTCCAGAAAACTTCCGGGCCCTTTTATACATCGTCAAATTCGGGTTAACCAGGGGGCGGTGAGGGGTAAAAACTCACACCCATGAACAAACAACAACGGAATAGCATCCGCCCTCTCGCTACGCTTATGCACGAAATGAATCTTTAAATCATATTCGTGCCCGGTAACACCGATCTTTGTAGTAAATTGGGGTAGTGTATCGTTAAGTTCGGCTTCGACGCGACGCCAATCGAAGTCCTTCTCCCAAGTCCGGGTGAGCCGTTTTATGTCGTCGAGAGGCGTGCCATAAGCCCAGTTATTTGTAAAATCCGTCTCTTTGGGAAATGTTGTCTGTGCGAGCTTTGTCTTAAGCAACTCGAGCTTGTCGTCCGATACCGCAATTCGGTATGGCTCAATCGCTTCTGTGGTGGAATTACTCATGGTCGCTTATCGGTTCTGCAGATATTATTTACTAGAGTGTTAAGTGTAAAGACGGTATATAAAAGATATATGTGCAAACGGACGTGCGGATAGCCGGGCTGTGAAGTTGCGGACCAGGGATCTGCGCGCCAAGCAGAACGCAAAGATATGTGCCAAAGTAGGTAGAAGATGGCTCGTTCTCTTTGGATCTGCCGCCGTGCTACCGACTATGTCGATTTTAATTATGTCATTACTATCGTATTCGTAACACATTCAGCAGGAGGGCAGAAGACACCCGAGTTTATATACGCCGTGTATGTAGTATAGATATAGGCACCCAAATATCCAGAGAAGATGACGTCGATGTTAACGTAGGCGAATTTTATCACCTAAACAAAGTATTTTGCAATATTTGAATCCTTAACAGGGATTTTAAGGTGGTATTTTCCCCTGATCTTAGCGCTATAACTGAAGAAACCCTCGCAAGGTATTACTATTAGAAGACTAGTATTCCTTCATTTTATACTATTGGTAGATATTATACGAATTCTAATGAGCCGCTATGTTACAATTATCCCATGATATGCGAATGTAACCGAAGCGATAGCACCTAAACATTACTCGATTGAAATGCGTTCAAAATGCCATATTTTGATTTTTGATGGTATAATCTATCTTCTGCTTGCTTGCTCGCCGCTGTGCCAATTTCAGTCTGGTTGGTATATTGTACAACTAAGCCTGGCAAATTAATGCATTGCTAAAACACCAAAACAGATGCAAGCCGTAGGAAACCATAGGCATAATACTAAAAACATGGGTTGGAGTTATTGGCCATTTTAACCCCTTATCCTATTCTCATTACACCTCTACCTTTACCTCACCTCCTCCTTGATCCCAAGGGACGCTCTTAAAATTGGCGAATAAAGCGGATACGGACTGGATGAACTGCATTTGATCCCCCTTTCCGTAGGTAGCTCTTGCGTCTCCAACGAGTTGCAGCTCCCAAAACGAGTCCTTCGTTTGACTTTCTGCCTTGACTTTCTAGGCTTCTAACCTCTATCCCTACTATCTCGTCTAGCGCGAGGCGGTGGTGATCGCGACCTTGATCTGCTTGGACTGTAACTATATCGTCTTCTCTTCACATCGACAGGAGTAGGCGATCGACTATCCTCATATCTAGGCCTCTTTCGGGGTGCGCTACTAACGGAACTTGTGTTTCTTCGTCTTCTTATAGGTGATGGTGACCTTCCTGAGGGGCGACCTCGTTTTGGGGGCGGAGATCGGGATCGGGAGTAACTTGAACCCCGACGCGGTCGGCGGGGAGGACTAACGGAATATGAATTCCGTCTTGCCGGTGCTTTGCGTGGCGGCGGGCTACGGCTCAATGAATGTTTCACTGCAGCTTTTCGTGGTGGGGGGCTGCGGCTTCTTGATGGTGTGTATGAACGAGATCGTGTGGAACCACGGTCTCTACTGAACGAACGAGGTCTGCCACGACCTTGTTTCGGTGGGGTTACTGATCTGTAGCGAGAATAGCTAGAATCCCGACGGCCACGTGGCGGTGGGCTACGAGAATCCGAAAATCTCTTATTGGTTCGTCCTGGGGACGGGCTTCGGGAAGATGAGTACGAACGAGACCGTGAACGACTTCGGCTATACGATGGTGATCTGCCTCGTCGTGGTGGCGTTCGTGATAGCGAACGGCCTCTATCAAGAGCTCTTCGTGGTGGTGTTCGTGACCTAGATCCAGATCGAGATGAATAGGATGAACCAGTGTATGAGGAATAACTAGAAACTGAATCGGAATCGGAATCTTCATCGGCGGGAGGTGCAGGAAGAGCTGGCTTTGGCATATTTGCAAGGTATTCTCTCATCTCCTCCGTTAGAGCACCCATACCAATACTCGTAAAGTAATTGATCGAGAATCGTACATTACGTGCATTGTCGCGGGGAAAGAGACCAGTAAAGCTATCCTGTAGAGCTTCATCTCGCGTCCGCGCTTGCAATTTCTTCATGCCAAGCTCTTCAGAAATTTCCTGGAATAGAATCTTGATGAAGATTCGACTCGCCGATGTTGTCTCCTCTTCGTTTAGGTGAATAACGGACAAGGCGTGCCAGCCGATGGCGTCCGAACCGAATAAGTGTCCAAAAAACCTCGCAATATTTCGCAATCGATTCGTCTCGTATCGATGAATTGTTTCGTAGTATTTCTCGAAGCTCTGAGTAAAAAGATCGCACCATAGACGATTGATCTTCGCGAATCTCTCTCCAATCAAGCCGAAGAATTTAGAATAAGTCTTCTCTTGACTGCAGCATTCCACCACCATAGACGGTAACTCGGGTTCTTGGCCAGCTGGTAGATTGACCTTCATAAGCTTGTGAACACATTCCTCGGGGTCCATGCTGCTCATAATCGTGAGATAAATCGTCTTGCGGAGATTCACCAAATCGGTATTAGACTGGTCCTTAATTTCCATCGCCTTCTGTTCCTCATCCTCTTCTTCAGAACTCTCATCTTCATCATCGTCGCCTTCTTCGTCATCGCTTCCCTCTCCCAGAATCTCAGCTCGTAATCTCTTATAAGCCGCTTCATTATCCTCCCATTCCGGATCAAATTTGAAGATATTAAGTCCGTCCTGTACGTCAAGCTCGGCGCTGAGTTCGACTCGGTGTGTGATTTGATCTTCTTCCTCAATCAAGTCCAATTCCTCTTTGATAGCCGGATTATCCTTGAACTTGTCCTTTCGCACCTGGAATAGGACCTCGATCATAAATTGCACGCGCTTATCAATATCGGCCTCGTGTAGGATATTCCTGAATTGGTCGAAGACAATGTTTGCGATAGCAGGGCTCATCTCCTCCAGATGCTGACCCACTTCCTTCGTTAAACCGACTGCAATTTCCACGCTATCATCCGTCGGTTTTTGCAGTAGAAGGATCAACATCTGAGCAGCCAGCATCTCATGAACGACCTGCTGGTTGACCAAATGCGCAATAAACATAGTCGAAGACAAGCAAACCGCCTTGTCATTCCGCTTAAACGCCTTCCTGAACTGCATGACCAATCTCTTAACCAGCAGCTCGCCGACCTGGGGCAGTTTCGTATTGACAATCGCCGCCATCGCCGCTAGCACGGGCGTGAACGGCAAACTGGCAGCCTGCGCTTTCATAATACTCCTGCAGAACAGACCCCTTCCCCTAACCAAGTTCTCCTGGAACAGTTCCGGGACGATGTGTTTGATATTCGAGACATTGACCTTGTTGATCAGACCATTGATACTTTTCTTCAACGCCTCCCAAGCCATGCGCTGGTATTCTTTGCTCGTCTTATCCGTGATCTGAGCCTGTAGCGCGCGCAGACGCGCCGGCGGAATGTACGTGCCTCCCGATCGCATATTTAATAGCTTCTCGTACTCGGCTTTCGCGGCTGCCTGCTTCTCTTCCTCGGTTGGCATTTTGGGGGGCGTGCGCTGACGAGGTGGCGAGCGTTGGCGTGGAGGGGGAGAACGACGGCCGCGATCGCGTGCAGGTCGATATTTATCGCCGCCATCTCGAGGTCGACCGCGATCATTGTCGCGACGTGGAGATCGAGGGATAGGAACTTGGTTTGGCGACCGCTCGCCTAGGTGGCGCGTCTCGACTTCCGCCATGGTCGGTTGACCACCACGGTCGATTAACTCTTATCTATCAATTTTGTAGAGTTTTCTAATTCGGAATATCATCCACAGGTTTTATTAGATTCCTCGTTGTTGATAGAACTCCCCAATAGAAAAAAAGAAATGGTCTTTGACGATGGAAAAAGATGAATTAGGCAAGGCGAAAGACTGAACGTGACGAAAGTTTCAACGAGGCTGGCCAAGCTTTTTAATAAGTAGGTCTTGTACAACAAATCATGATTGGTTCTTTTATGCATGTACCCACGTATCATAGTGCAGCTAAGTAACTCAAGCCACGACCAATGAGTCGCCAGCCACAATCCACTTCCAATGGTCGGCGGTTCCTGAACTAAATTCTTAATTCGTGTCGCGCCTCGTCCGACGGGAGATTTTCTAGCCAGGTCATCCACCTCGCCGACACCTATACCAATCCACGAAGACGAACCGACGAAGTAATACAACCCGAATTAACAGTTCATTCACCACATTCCTTTCTAAACCAATAACATATCTAATCACTACTCCATAATCAACCATGGTACGTAGCGCAACCCCACTCATTCTCACTTTCTCTGCGCACCGAATGTCTATGTATGACGGTTACTAACCTTCAACCACCTCACAGCTCGGCACGCTCGTCGGCCTCGCCATGCTCGTGGCTGCCTCCGTCGTATTCATCTACTACTCGCTGTGGACGTTGGCAATGGTACAAACCCCTTTTTCTACCTCTCCCCATTCCCCCCTTTCCCTGTGCCTAATACCATGAACCAATTCTCTAACACTATATAGCCATTCGTCGACTCCGACCACCCACTCCACAACTTCTTCCCACCACGAGTCTGGGCCATCCGCATACCCGTGATCCTAATCCTCCTCGGTTCCGCTGTCGTGGGCTCCTTCCTCAGCGTCGTCATGATCCGTAGTAACCGAAAGAAGGCCGCCAAGGCTAAGGCTGCTGCTGCTAAGAAGAAGGCGTAAAAGAGGTACTGAAACTTTATACTATGATCACCCAATTTACACAATATTAGGAACTGTGGAAACGTGTACCGTGTACGTCATGTGAGACTAGGAATCGGAGTGGGAGGAGGCTCAGTGATTAAGAGGAGCTATACTGTAAGATATCGCTCTGAATCGGATACCCGATTTACTACGAAAACCACGATAAAGCAATGCCAAAAATGATCATATATCTCAAGCAGTCTACGTTTAGAGCGAAAAGAAATGTGAAAATGCCGAGGCGACTTGATGGTATCTAATTGAGTTGTGTTCAACTCTCTAATTGACGAGACTATGCATCTCATATGTGTCTCGGTAATGCAACATGACTTATGCAATAACTCCGATCCCAAGCCATTCCGTCCTATCCCATCCAAATCCCAAACCAAGGGTTAAGCGAGGGTTCGACAATATTGTCTTTCCGTAAGGTGGCTTAAGCTATATTTAGCAGCCTTATTACGGAAGTGTGTGCGCAGTCTGAACTTCCATCCAACTCCGTGTTGAACCAAGACGCCTCGTTGCTAGCATCCCAAAATCAACTCCTCGCAAATTGGTAGTTAACTCAAACTCTCTGGTCCGCAAAATCGAGCACCTCACAATCATCCTCGAAGAATCCGTCTTCGTCAGCTTCTGGCGACCTATTCCCCCCTCTCCGACGTCGGGTTGTGACTACGATTTGTTCGTCATTCTCACCAACCTGCAAGACTCGTTCCATAGCCGACGCAGGCAAAGCTCGGTGATCATCAACGCTACTAACAATATCTTCGTCAATCAAGTTCGCCAATCCCGTATTTACCATAACTCCATTGATCGCCTGTCCGAAAGCCCAAGGTTCATCTGATGAAGCCTTAGCTTGGTGACGCTCGCTGTATGTAGGCTGATCCCCCAACGTTGAAGCGCCGAGAAGACGTGATACGGAATGTACAAGATCCTTAGTGGATTCATCGTCGTATATGTATAAACCCACCCGTCTATCGGTGTGAAATGGCTGATAAGGCGCACTAGATTCTATTTCGGCTTGCGGAATGGAAGCCTCTGGACTATAGTCAGAGTCAATAGGTTGTTCTCGAGGATTGAAAATCAATGTGGTGCCTCCCGAATGATCCTGGTTAATCGCCTCAAGATCTTCGATAGGGTCGATGATCTGCTTGATAAACGGCGCAATCAGATCGTCAGGTAAATTCTTCAGCTTGAAATCCCTGTACCGATTGTTGCGATGAGAGCGTAATCTATCCTTTCCAGTTGCTGGCTTCCTGCTTTTATCAGGGAATGTCCTAACCAAACCGTCCCCTAAAACGAAAAGAGTATGGTATTTCTTTCCGGTGAGCCATGTTGCACAGAATGGGCCTGGCAACATGTTTCCAGGTGGTAAACTGACGCGGTTCTCGCCTGTGTGACGAAGGTGGTTGATAGCAGTCCCTGCATTACCTAGAGAATGGCTAATTCCTGCAGCAAGTACCTTGCCTCCATAACTAGCATGATCCATAATAGTAGGAGTCGTCTGTGAGTTCGAGCTGCTTCGTCGCTGGCGAGAGGTCAAAGTACGGGTTACATCGTAAGCGGAGCTAAGCGCGTTTGACGCCATCGAAACCGCCGACTGAGCATTTTCGGAGCTTTTGGGTGATCCATCCTCGACCCTGACCCGGCGACGGGGAGGTGGCCAGGCATACGCACTTGGTGGCATATCTAGCAAGTGAACGGTGCCCCTCTCGGTCACCATTGCGACTCGTTCACCATTCGGCCTCGCCCATGAAACATCCACTATTCGAGCAACAGTCATCCTCGAAAATTGTGCAACCTGCCTTACTCGGGTTGCGTGTCCGTTGTTTGGCTGCGAATTCTGTAGCGCCGAAGATTTCGTGTATTGAATACGCATCAAATCCCACACTGTCTGCACATCTCCTTTGCTGCTGGCGGTAAAGAGTGATAAGCCAGTCGGGGAGAAAGATAGAAAACTGCAGCCTAGTGGCGCTTTGAAGGTAGTGACGTGATGAATAGTACTCGAGTTTGATAAGCCGTGCAGGTCCAAGATTGACACAAGACCTGGTTCCTTCGTCACGGGTTGGCCAGGAATTCCATACGTGGGAGGGAATTGAGAGCCATCCGACCTTCCCGGATATGCCCCATTCCAGGGCGGAGAGCCCATTTGATGTGGGCGAGATTGTGTTTGCTGGCCTGGCTTAGACCAGTAATTCTTCCAGATCTGAGCTGACTGTTTCGTAACCCATCGAGCTCCTTGTAGGAAATCCTGAGTCGTTTCTCTCATAAAACGATTCATCATATGGTCGGGCATAGGCTGATCAACGTCTGAACTCTCGTTCGGCAAAATCGGAGGAGCGAGTGTTGATAAACCGGGTGCTTTGCCTTCCAGCGGCACCGGGATGAATGGATTCAATGACTTCTGATGCGATGACGCCGGAGGGCAATACGCCAACCATCTACCACTGAGAGACACAATAGGCATCTGTGGGCGCTTGCCGGTTGGAAGTGGGCTCGAGCTCCTTTCTTTTTCAACGTTCGAGTCGCCATTTAGGCTCGTCCACAACTTTCCGACACAATAGAACTGATGTCCGGCGGCGTCTTGGTCAAGGTCTACCTGTCGGTAAATCCAACACTCACCCGTAAGTCCGGAAGAGACTACAATACTCCCTGCGTCCGCACGGATCTGAAAAGCACCGGCTGGTGGAGGACTTCGGAAGATCGGATTCGTGACAAGAGTCTTAATAGGAGTTTTTGGTGCCTGCAAAAGCACATCAACTAGCTTATTCGTCGCCAAGGAGTACACCTCTACAGTGGTTTGATAAGCATCGATGATTGGGAGAGCTTTTCCGACGTTGACTTGCCGCTGGTTACTATCGGATTGGGGCGTACGAATGCCGTCCAATCGGGGACTAGGTGATCCGTCGGAATGGGGATCAACGGCTATCTCGGGCCCACTTTGGGGTACCACCGGGCCGTGGATGACGAGGGCAATTAAAGGGAAGATGCCATATGGATCAGGTGCACCATTCCATGGTAGAATTTTTGCATCGTATACACCACCTCGTAGCCCTTTCAAGCTAGCAAGTGGCTCTACTGCATGTTTTCCAACGCCGTAAATGTCGATGCCGCCTTCATACCCCGCAAGCACAACGTTGTCACTACCTGAGGCCTGAGCTCCTTCTGGGCTCGGGAGTATGTCAAACCCAAAGTAGAAACCCCTCTCGCCAGGCTTCAAACCAGTTTTAGGATTCAGATCAAAATCGATATCTGGAGCTCCATAAAAGTGGGCTTGGGGTTGATGTGGTAGTGGCGGATGAGATCCAACGCGCGGGGCAGGAAATGGGGAATGCATTGAACTTCTTCGCACCCCCGGAGGTGACGATGCTTGAGAACGAATATCATTCGTGGGATAATGCGCGTCTAACTGAAAGCTTAGAGGTCGTCTGATACTGTTTGGAGGGGATGCAGAATAAGCGTTGTTATTAGCAAAGTGCTGACGCTGCGGATTCCAAGTGTATGGTATCGAACGTTGATCTTCGTAGGACGAAGGTTGAGTCGGTGGAGAGTCACCCATAATGCTTATCAAGTTTGAGGGTGAACCCGCTAAGGGTCCCATCAATCGCGCCCATTCATGAGCGCTCGGTGCTGTACTAGCAGATACCGACGTTGTAGAAACCGCATCTAACAATGGAGAGATCGCCACGTTACCGTTTGTAGGGATCGATGCGGGAGTTGCAGGCTTCAGATCAGGAGACTGGACCAGAGGAGAGTCCAAACGCAGAGACTCATCTTTGGCATTATTGCCATTACTAAGTAACAGTCAGCGTTGTTGACGCCATTTTCGAGTTGGACCGAAACCCAAGCAACCAGAAGCAAACGGACAACAAAACAAGCACTACTACAAAGATAATGAATAAATGATTCAGAAATGGACATACGTGAACTTAGCACCATGTCTGGTCACCGCCGCGACAACCCCGCCGCTATCTTTAACATTCTTATCCTTCTTCTTTGAACCTGGCGCATCACCTTCCGTAAGCTTTTTGTTCCGTTTATTACGAATCTTCCTCCCCACGGAGGAAGACGAGTTCGGGGAGGTATCGCGGGTGGACGAACCGGGCATAGGGTGGTGCTAGCAGATAGCTGGGGCAGTTTCCTGCTCGCCAGCGGAAGAGCTCAAAGATGAGCTCTATTCACAAGGCAGAGTTCGCAAACGAATTATATCGCGGGCAAGGTACGAAAGAGACGATAGAATATAGGAAGAGTCAGAATAGTTTTCTTATCGCAAATAAAGGTGATTGTCGGATTTGGGTATAGTATTAAGATCCGAGAAGTTGATTCGATGAAGGAGTCGGAAGGACAAAGCAACACAAGCGCGTTGTACGCGATCGACGCTGGGGAACGAGTCGAAGCTAGGGTTTAAGAGGGGGAAACACAAAGAACAGGCAAACGCAGGTAGCCGAACAAGAGTGAAAGACGGCTTATGGTATTAATTACAAGATGGTAATAGTAGTAGTAATAGGTATTTTCATAAAGAGTCGTCGATGAAGAGGGACAGGGACATATGACAGCACTGCTGTATAAGGTAGTTATTCACAAGAGGATATCGAAATCTATGAGAGAGAAGTTTGGTTTCCGCTTTGATTATCAAAAGAGAGAAAGGTCGAGAAGATGATGAACATAGTATAGAGAAGACTTGACTTGAGTTAACTTGACATGAGAGAAGAGTTGAGTTGAAGGACCTGAGGACCCGGGAGAGAAGGAGGGTCAGGAACCAGGATACGATGTATGACTCGTCGGAGAGAGAGAGAAGAGGCACGTCCCTATCGGCTCCCTCGTCCCTCCAAAGAAAGTGAGGGAAGACTGGAAAGAGTACAAGAGCATGGGGTGGTAAAGGCGGGGCAGCTACCTAACGGGTAGCGTAGCGCGTAGGTACCTATCAATATGTACCTAGCGTTAAGGTACAACCGCTATCAATGTAACAAGACTTGCCTATCGCATTGGAAATCGCATAGGAAATGGGGGGAGATGGGGGGGAACGGAGAGGGGAATGTACCCATACAGGGCCGTACAACCCCTACAACCCTTACCAACTCCATAGTGGGACGGGGCTTCGTTGGGGGACAAATAGAACAAATGACCCGACAGGGGTAAGTTCTACGTGTAAGTCACTAATGTCACTAATCTAGTAAGTTCTAGCCTGTAGATAGGCGCGATAGGCACATGTGGAGGGGCACTTAGAACAGCCTGGGGGGTCTCAGGAGCAAGGAACATGGTTGCCGCAAGCATGGTTTGAAAGGGTGTTGGGTATGTACTTTCCAACTAATGTACCTTTATTAATATGTGTATTATGTAAGTTACATAATTCCATAGTTTAGTTTATGTTAAGTATGTATATCTAAGCATAAAAATATGTAATTCATAGGACTATATAAGCGCTAGACTTCCAAGTATTAAATTACAACTCATTTCTGACAGCCAAAATTATTTACTCAAAGGAAGACGTCTCGATACGATCCAGTTGTCCCTCAAATTACATATCAATATTTATCTATCCTCAGATACGCCTTAAGAAGTCGTAGAGTCGTATCGTATATGTACAATACCTAGGCAGACATTATTTACAATGCAGTACATAATTTAGATCCACTAATAAGGTACCACGAATGGATAAACCGGGAATGTAACCGATCCAGTTGAGCTATGCACATGCACAATCAGCTGGAGCCCCTCGCTATTCCTAGCTTGGGAATGGATCAAGCCGAGTTTAAGACAGCTGGAAGCTTGATGTGAAGGTGCGAGGATGATGCGCTGTAGCTTGCCCTGTGCTGTGTCGAGCTGAGCTGGAATTTGTTTATTGTCTCTAAGCTTCAATGCAATTCATTATTCTTTCACGTTGTATGTGTACCTGATCTTATGAACAACAACAAGAATCAAAAGACCGATGACGACAAATAACGTGGATGCATTCATGTGAATTCCATTATCAAGCGAGTACAATGTTACGTCATCGGCTCTTTGAATCATAAACTCCGAACAAATCATTCAAAAAGGTACAGCAAGGAATCATCAAAGAAGCGAACGAAACTCTATATGTATGAATGTATGAATGTATGAATGAAGTGGCTTTGAGGTCACAGATGAGATATTCAAACGATTCTAATAATTCTAATAAGGCAATTCATATTTGGATTACTCCGAATGATTTCATCACGAGACTTGTCATCATCATCGTAATCTATAAGCCCCGTCACGCCTAGCCTGCCACCTGGCTGAAAGCTCCCCACGTTCATTTCTCACCTGCCCATCGTGATCTACCTAGGTATTTTCCTATTGTCTAAGATTCGTAGATGGAGGGGTAATTACCAAGTCAGCTGATAACTATCCGAAGATCCAAACCACGAGAGCTATGTTTTTCTCTGTTTGCTATTTCTACAACAAACATCGTAAAGAATTCAAGGTGTGCTGACGCCTTATTTTATATAAGCAATCTTAGATTGTCATCCATTTTTTTATTCAGGGATGCATGTGGATTTGAAGAATAAGCTTAGAGTTTCTATCGTGACGAAACCCATATTATTGCGCCATCGCATCAAATGCTAGGTAGTTTTTCTGCTGGGTTTCATTAGTAACCAGTTGCTTAGCTCAAGCATCACTCATATTCGAAGGGAAATGCGTAATAATCAATCACATCCGGTAGGGAAATAATACACAGAAGATAGCAACTCACTTATGCAAGTAGACCTCATAGTATTGATACTTCAAATTACCCTCCACATCTTTCAGCACCGCACGTCCCGCCCAAGAAATAGCTTGCTTCTCGCCATTTTTCGTGATTAGATCCAAAGAACCATGAAGCATATACTCAACATAAGCTCCATCTCCGGTTCCCCCAAATGAAGCAGGAAACACCTTCTCCGGGGTATGTCTTCGTTGTTCCACATGTTCCCACATGCCTTGGCGGAATTTCCGAAGTCCTATCAAAAGTTACCATGTCAGCTTTCTCTTAACATCTTAATATCGAACTATGTGGGGGATACGCTATGTAGATATTATACCTTCAGTTCCCTTAGCCGATTTGTCGCCTATAATAATTACGGCATCGGGTAGGAAATATCCCAACCACTCTTCATTCTTTGTTGGGTCATCAGATGTCTCGTAGAATCTCGATACAAATTCTTGGACTCTCTCATCGATCGCGCGATCAGACGGAAATGCAGGTATGTAATTGTTGGGAAAGGAGGCCATCGCGAATATATATCCGTTAGGCTTGAGTATTCTAGGCGGGAAAAGATGAAACATGTACCTACCTAGGTAAAAAAAAAAAAAAAAAAAAGAATTTGTAGCGCCTTTCCGGAACCAAACAAAAAACGCCACGGTCGGATTTAGCTTCAACTTGCATGAGGTACAGAGGGGTTACTGTGGTAAGCGGAGAGTGAGTACCTAGGTAGCTTTATAAGCACAGCATGGTATGACAATTCCCTAGGTAGACAGTCAACACAAGTAGCCAAATCATTAGCACCCAGGAAGATAATTTCTCCCTTGATAAATATGTAGATATGACCGGTAAATCTTGGTTTTAAAGGCGGTCGCACTATTACGAAAAGGATGAGTAGTATCACTGGATTTCAACCAATATAAGTAAGGTATCGATCGATTGGCTATCTTAGACTTCTGTATAGGACAGTACGCCACACGCAAGTGTATGGCAAATGGCAACTGTGATTATTCGTCCCGGATCTCGCCCTAGATATCTCCTTCGGTTTCTGCCTTTTCTTGATAAAGCATTGCGGTCTGTAATATTTGTCGGGTCTTCCGATCTTGGTATCCTCATTGTGGCAGCCGAGAAAAGGAGTTTAAGCCCGCAAGCAAACACGATGAACATAGATATGAAGGCAATATCGACTCTGTGGCTAGGGTATCGAAAGTTGCGCAATACACAGCTCCAGCGTTTTAAACCGGTCGTATTCCGAGCCCGGTAGGCCACATATTTCCAACACTCATAGCTCGACATCTTAAGACCTATCGTGCTAGCATAAACAATGCTCTAATGAGCTAAGGGCCTTGGGTTGAGCCGCTAAATACAACAAATTTGGCCATTTTTCAGAACGGCCTGCCGTCTCCTGGGGTATAATGGGTACAAAAACCCTTTCGGCCGATAGGTTGGAAATGTGTTTTAGGATACAAAATGGAATTGATTGTGGGAAAACAAGAAATTGTTCGACGAAAGAACCTCTAGATTCGTGGGCTCTCGTGATGTATGAGGTAATATTCGGTTCTGATGAACTCTCTAGCCTGCTAGGACCTTGACTACCTTCTCGTGTAGGACTATACCGAAAGACTGTGGTTCCGAGTCCAAGGGATCTTAGATTTGTGATTACCCCCCGAAAATAACTACCTAGGTAGGTGGTGTTTTGGGAAGGTTGTAAAGTAGAATAGGAAATACCAAGAATTAGTAAAAAACGGCTGGGGTATATCGTTCGGAAATAGGTGCGCGGGGATTCTATGATCCCTAGAAGTTGCACGAATGTGCCATTATAGGTGCTATAAAGAGCTCGCCAGTTACATCTTAACACCCCGAGATGTCACCTCTCCTCTTCCCCCAATGTTGAGGAGGATACGACAATCAGGACAGTACCATTTTGTCGTACGAGCCGGTATCTCGGCTAGTCCCACACACTCAAGATGGAACCATTCTTGCTTGCAATTCTGTACGGTGGGTTTGGTCAGTGTACTGCTGCGTGTTTTCTTAATCGGACGTGCTGGGGTTGCAGTCATCTCTGCTGCGCTCACATCAACGTTATCGCACTGTATCATAGTGCCAAAGCTAACCCTATTGCAGAGGCAGTATCGTGGTTCATCTGGATCGATGACATTGCCATCATCATCCACTTCTACCTCGACTTCCTGCTCAGCCTGCTGACTTGTACCTCTCTCCTTCTTTGGGTTGCCACGAGCTTTCTTGCGAGGCGCTGCCTTGCGCTTCCCTATAGCGCTAGTGCCACCCAAGTTTGTGGTCACAACACCAGGGGCAGGTCGCTTGGTTCGCTTACTAGGTTGCCGAGGTTCGGGTGCCGGTGTATTTCGAGCGGTGCTAGCGCGTCGAGGCCGTTCCGCTGCAAGGGTAGCAGGCGGCTCTTGGCTCGCCGCTTTACCACGTGAAGTAGGCCGACGAGACGGTGCTGGCTGCGATTCTGGCGCAGGCGCAGGTGCAGGAGTACTCGTTGGAGTATTGCTCCTAGAACTCGACTGTTTAGGGTTAGCTGGAAGCGGGGCAGGGGGTTGTTGCAAGTTCTGTCTGGTTTCTCGTTTAGGTACTTCTCGGGCGGGAGGGGGGACGGAAATAGGGGCTACGGATGTCTTGGAAGACATTGGTACGGGCGTCTCCGCAGGCGGTTTGACAGGCACCGTCGTAGTAACACCTGATGGTGGTGCTGGGCTGGTGGTCGATGATGAAGCAGCGGACCTTGTGGTCACCATAGAGGAGTCGGAGGGAACTGGAACAGGGGGTGGTACCGGTGTCTTCGTAGTAGCAACCTGAGGCATTCTACCTAGGTGCGGTATAGGGATTGGTGTTTCCGTAGTAGGTACGCTAGCTCCGGGAGGCGGAGGCGGTACCGACGGTGGCCTAGGAGTGAGCTGCGGCAACGGGACCGGAGTCTCAGTCTTGGTCCTCTTCAGTTGAGGCCTCTCGGATTGGTTTGATTGATTGTTTGTTAGGGAATTTGTCACTCCTTCAGGTTTTTCCGATATAGGAGTTTCCGACATCGAATTGCGCTTCCGTTTCCGGCTCGTTTTCGCTTTGTTGGTGGATTTGCCTTGATTTTGGCCTTGGTTCTGGTTCTGGTTCTGACCTTGGCTCTGGCTCTGGCCTGCCTCGGGTGGTTTGTCCGGTGCGCTACCAGCAGCGGACGGGGAGGTATCGTGGCTGAGAAACATGCGAGCAGCTTCCTCCATCTTCCTAGCTGATTCTTCTGCTTCCTCGGCGGCGATTCTTGCCAGAGATTCACGTTTCAGCTTCTTGGCCTCATTCAACTTCATACCGCGGTTGCTTAACTGTACCTCGTCTGCTGTCAGAGCTTCAGCGCTAATTGCACCTTCGGGGGGATGCTGGGTTCCAGACTCAGCATCGACTACCGGAGCAGGTATTGCTGCATCAAAGGGCTTTCCCTCATCCTCGGCCTGCTTCTGGGCGGCTCGATAGGCCTCCACACCACGACCCAGGTTCTTCAATTCGCGAGCTATCATTGTATCGCTCGGGTTCCAGACAGCATTCTTCTTCATGCGCTTGCGTAGTTTTGCGAGCTCGTATGGTGTAAGTTGGAGCCACGGTGCGTCGGTACTACCGGGCACCGCATTGTCCGGTGGCGGCTGGAGTTGCGCTAGAGCAGAACTCGTAGACATCATGGGTGTCACATCCGCCCTATTAGTTGACGAACGAGGTGGTCGTGGTGTTTTGGGAAGTTTCTGCTTAAGAGGCTTCGGTGACTTTGGGGGTTTGACCACCTTGATGCGAGCCGACGGTGTTGTAACCCGTCTAGGAGGGGATGCAGGTATCTCTTCCTCCTCGTCTTCGTCGCCAGCGTCGGAGCTCTCATCGCTCATAGAACTATATGCGTTGAAGTCGATCTCGTAGGGCGCGAGAACTTCACCCGGAACTGTGATTCGAGGCGGTCTCTGTATTTTCTGTCCATTGCTGTCAAGCCGGAGGGTGATTTTGGGAGCGCGCACCATCTGCGGGGACTTAACCTGAGTAGGACTCTTCTGTTCCTCGGCGGTAGGGAAATTATCGCGCATTGCTTGAAGCTTTGCATGGATAGTCTTAGCCCTAAAGTAGTGTTTAACTACGTTCTCGTGAATTCTAACCGCTTCGGCATGGGAAAAGATACGGGAGCTGACAGCACGGTTCATATTCTCGGATATCTCTTTACGCAGCGCAACAGGTGCGGGACGTTGATCGGTCGGCAAGGTTGGCAACTTTGTCCATGTCGTAGTGAGCTCATTCACAGTCGTAGAAGCTTCGAAGTATGCTTCGTCAAGCTTGCCGATGAGAGTAAGGGATCGCATCATGTCGGATGGGAGGTACTCGGTAAAATCGAGGAAATCGGTAACGGTAGCTTGAGCGTCGGGGTCGGCGCGCATGTTGAGCGATCCAATGCCATTGTTCGAGGTATCTAGCGGCGGAATAGCTTGCGTCAAAGGTGCAGTATCCTTATTCGTCGGCGAGAGATCGCCGTCAAAGTCTCCACCTTTATCGCCGTTTGCTTCTATCGTCGCCATGGTCGCAACGTAGAGTGGAGAGAAATATTAATAACCCTGGAGGGATGGGAAAGCTATATCATTGAAAAGAAGTGGAGTGCGAAACTTAGTAAAGTAGAGGATTGAGAGAAGAAACGAACGTGATTGAATGTCATATGATGAAGTTACAAAGCATCAAAGTTCGCGTCTTGGGTCGTCCGTCGTATGGTGGTGTTGAATAAATTGAGGTTGTCGCGTCAAGGTTTGGGGGTCAAAGCTTCTAGATTGGTGCCTTGGCACTAAGGTTCCCTAACGGCGATTGATTGCAGCGACCGTTTTACAGTGCAAATTCAATTGAGTTGGAAGGGAGATTCTACGGTGTGGAGATGGGATGGTCGGTAAAATACCGGATGAATTTTTCGGCATAGTTTGCAGGAGAGAGTTAAAGCGGCGTGTGGCTTGCTACATCTAAGACGTATGTGGCTTGTACCCCGCACTCAACTCCTTAAAAGTACCTAGGTACATCAAAATAACCTCATTCACTCAACTGATCGACAGTGAGATAAATTCCTTTTTCATTAAATCGCAATACATTTAGATGATATATAACTCATATTTCCGTTGGAAATATCTATATTTACTACTAATCCTCCTCCACATCCTCGTCATTCACTCAAACAACAAAATATAGCCGCCTGTTTTCCTCGAATCATCCATAACTCAACATATACATAATTCTCTCCTCTTGGCCCGTTTCTCCAACATCAAACCAATAACAATTACCTTCCGTCCGATGTATACCAAAATTATACCTAACCCATGCCTCTCAGCCGCGTATCCTTTCAATTCTCCTGACGCTAAAGCTGGGGATGCCGAGCTTGGCGGCTGAATGGGCGCAGACACTAGTGAGCGGGTCCAGATTCTCTTACACATAATACTACCCCTATTAATCAGTAAGGTCATGGGTATCAACTTCAACATACTATGGATTTGCTATGAATGCACGGCCCTGGTATGAAGCTCCGGCAGTTGTCAAAATGGTTACGAGGCCGAGCCCTAGAAAATATCGAAAGAAAAGGGACGGCCTGTATCACACATTTCTGTTTCTTGGGAGCACAAGTTTCTTAGTGAATGTGTGTTGAGTAAGCATTCGACGACCGCAAACATGCTGGGTATCGTTGCGTCCCTTACCCTTCTACTACTATCGGTAGAGGGTGTATCTAGCACATCTCCCGACAAGCAAGACTACAGCAGACGTCCGATCATCCTAGAAAAATCTGGCGGGTTTACAGTGGGAGGTAAAGTTATTCATAGTCCTATCTTCCCCAACTGGACCCTTTCATGCGACCACGGATATCTGGAATATTTTATTCCATGGAGACCACGAACGACGAGTATCGTTATGTGGCATAGCTCTACTACCCAAGTCTGGCAAAATCGATGGGATGGTGGTGAAGGCTTCAAGGACAAATTTTTACGTCGTCGGTATCCCGTCTATCTCTGGGACGGACCTCGGGTAGGACGTGCTAATTGGGCTTGCGAACCATATAACTACGCCCCGTAAGAATCCGTGAATAATACCCAGGAAATGCTTGTGTTTTGCTAATAGATATCAATGGAAAGATTGTACACAGATCAGGGTAATTTCTTCGCTTGGAATTTTGGTCCCTCGTATCCGAATTTTTGGCCAGGCGTACAGTTTCCTACCAAGGATCGCGAGGCGTGGCATCAGGCGACCGGCTCTCGCTATGTTGAGTTCGATTCAAACAAAAATGTATACCTGCAATCGGAAGCAGCTGCCATCGCGGCAGATTCCGGGAAACTCGGCGATAGTATTGTATATCTCACCAACTCAGCTGCTGGCCTCCGTGCTCAAATGACTGTGGCCAAAAGTAACACAACCAACATTAAAGCCATTGTAGCCTACGAAGCTTACGGCTGTATATTTCCCGACAACGTCAATATCACGACTGGAGAACCATTCGGGCCTATGGTTGTTCCCCTCGAAGATTTCAAGAAGCTAGCAAAGCTTACGGCTATTCAGTTTATATGGGGAGACCACCGAAGCGAGAACTATACATTTGTTCAACAGACGAGACTCGCAGCCAAGCTCATTAATCAGTATGGCGGGAATGCTGAAGTCTTTTTTCTAGCGAAAGATGGAGGCCTTCGCGGGAATACTCACACTGCATTCGCGGATATGAACAACGATGAAGTAGCCGGGCTTCTTGAGGATTTCCTCGAAGATAATGAACTAGATAGTTTCCAGGGAGATACGGACGATGATGCTAGTGATCCTTACTACAGATAGATAAGGGTCGCTAAAACTTACGAGCTTTGGAGGTCGATGGCGTGGTATGAACTGAGAGTGAGTTCTTCATTAGTCAGGGGAGTTGAAAATTCTCATTATAGACACGCTTAATATACTACGTTAAAAGGACAGAGTCTCACAGCTTATAAGTTATCTCCAACTCACAAACCGGATGCCACAAGTCAAGACGATCGAGAAATGCATGTGCATGCATCTACAACTAACATGCTTGACTAGCTAGCATCTCTCCAGCCTACTTTTATGCTCCATACCCCTGGGCATCCACCGAAAGAATGGCGAGGCAATCATAGCCCATCCCGAATTCTATTAAGACATATGTTTCCACCAGCAGTCTCCAACCCTACAGCATTGCGAGAGTTATGCCCTTTTTATTTTTGTCCGGTAGGATAGATAATAGTACATGTCGTTATACACGAGATTTTTGTGAAGTAGTAATCGAAAATGAGTCAAATGAATAGCGAATAATAAGTTTTTCGAAATAGATGGCAGGTGGTAGGATAGTGAGGACGAGCTTGCCTTACCTCAACCAATGGTTGCCGATTGTCGCAGACGTACATATATTCCCCACCAGACGCCTTCTTCTTCCTTCCTCAAAAATCATCAATACAAAGAGTAAGTTATCGCATTCAAGGAAATAGCGACCTGGTAAACTCTAATCCTCGCACGTGGACTGTTTTAAATGGGCATATTGAATTAGTCGCGCGAGTTTGTGGCGCTTTCCTGTGAGACATCGAAAGAACCTATCCAATCGCATGGACCGACGATGACAAACAACTGCAGAAACAGGCATCCGCAAGGCTTGCACAGATTACGTACATCTGAGCAATATAAAATATTTAGTCGTTCAATCCAACCTTTGTTTTATTCACCATAGAACCTCAAAGTCTATAACTTCCACAAGTTCGGGTATTAAAGTCCAAGGCTTATGCAAACATCGCAGTTGCGACCAATAGTGGCGACGACTTCATCCCAAGGGCAGCATCACGGGGATATTCAGATCACTCCTTCTTCGAAGTAAAGGTTAGTGACTTATTGTTGATGCTGGATATCATACTTTTAAACCGGTGACAGACTATGACAAGCAACAACCACCGGAAACGCGATACAAACAGCATTGCTGTCACTAAAACAACAAGCTTGTACCATGCCCTTCAATCAATACCTCCTGCTTCTAATACGCTATCAAAACCCGTGCTAATAAACTTATAGGTCTCTAAGACATGCCCCAATCTGGGTTGGGCGGCGCTACTCAGGCGTCTGCATATGAATCGCCTGAATTTTCTGATATGCAGGTGGGAGATGTTTCTGAGGAAGGCTTGCAATTCTGCCCCTGGAAGCTCATTCGAGTTTATCCACATCAATATGTAGGCAGGGGTAGACAAGGAGAGGTAAGTGCGTCGTCTAGAGCTTCCAGCGGAAAGAAATTCTTAAACTGCTTTAGGTAGGATCGTTTTTCAAGGCTACCATGTTCGAGGGACGTTCCTGGGACTTGTAAGTACACACATCCTACGTGCATGGATTTGTCAATTCGCACTGCAAGTATGTTCGAATGCTAATAATGTTAATAGCTTTTTCCTGCTGGACCCTGGTGCGAATGGCAGAGATCCTCTCCTTCTAGTTCCGAGTACCCAGTTTGAGGAATATCTTGACGAGGCCAATGTCCAACTAGGGGCACGATTGTCTATTCCCAAGGGAGGGGCAGGTGCGGATTTCTTCGTCACTTTTGACACCCTAAATGCACCTCGACCTCGCTATCTTGGTCGTATTGGTAGTGAAGGGGCCGTTGAGGCGCTAAAAATTCGGATCGCCAAGCTTCCCAAGGATGACCTCACTCAACTTGATTCTGCTTCCCTCCGTCGCTACAGGGATAAGATGAACTGGATATATGGCACTTTCAAGTCGTCAAAAAATAAGAAAGACCCAGAGGTGGCTCGAATTAAGAGGGTCGATCGTCAGAAGGGTTATGGACGGATGGTCAAGCGAGCACAGCGATATCTTGGCCTTCGAGACCGTACTGCCTACCGATCTAACCCAGGTCTGTTCTCCTGTTCTCCAGCCTCCTCCGTCGCATGCGACACTCGATCTTGAATGAGACTAACAACTCGTTAAGGAACCTTAGCGCTAAATTGGAATGTGAATATGGAAGTTCCCTTCAAGACTAACTCTTTGCGATTCATCTGTGTTGACGTTGAAGCATGGGAAACCGCAAATGACGTAATCACTGAGGTGGGATTAGCGATCCTTGACACTGAAGATACGATGAAGATTCCGCCCGGTGAAGATGGTCGCAATTGGTTTCCATTAATTAAATCACGCCATTTCAGAATCCGAGAGCATGTCAATAAGGTCAACTACAAATTCATCCACGGATGCCCTCATTTGTTTGATTTCGGGTATGTATCGGTTCTTCATTGAAAATGATATGCAAGCTTATATTTCTTTTAGTGAATCCGAGTTCGTCAGTGCCCAAGACACTGCCAAGAAGGTTGGGTCAATCATCGGGGATAATGAATCTCAGGATAAACGACCTGTTGTCATGGTTGGGCATGATATTGCTCAGGATTTGAAGTATCTCCTGAAAATCGGGTACAATCTCTGGTGTGTGCCACAGATTCTTGACGAGATGGATACGAAGTCGATGTTTCAACGCTGGGAAGGATCACCTGACGGTCGTGGTCTCGCCCATGTCTGCGAAGAATTGGGAATCCCAGGCCGAAACTTCCACAATGCCGGCAATGATGCGACGTACACATTGCGAGCTATGATCGTTATGGCGGTACGACAAATATTCGGAAACTCTGCGAAAGTGATGGAGAAGATGGCGGAGAAGACGACAGAGAAGGTACAAGAGAAGCCAGGAGAGAAAACTGCCAGGGAGTTCAAGTAAGTGTTCATCTGTATTAATTCCATCAGCATACTATGTAGATTTAATGCTAATATCAATCCTCATAGCTACAGTGAGTGGAGCGACGGAGAAATGGACGATGGTGGCCTACCTCAAAAGACGCCAGAGCCTACACCGCAGCCTGGTTATATTGCTAGCAAGTAAACCCATGAAGATGCGCCCAAGCATTACTAACATTCGTCCAATAGGCTCGATGGCCCAACTTTCATTATGGTAAATCCTACCTCCAGCCATGACTTGGTTTTGGTCTCATGGCTTCGAGTTTCGGTTTGATTACATGAGAAGTTTCCTTTAGCAACGATGAATTCGTCATCCCTGCTTTATTCGAATTTGCGGATAGCTTGAGGCTCATTTCCTGATTTATCATTTCCATGCTGGTTTGCTATGATTTCGAGAAGAGACTTTACCCCTGAGATAGGGGTGTATGTGTATTATGAGTACAATACACGATATCGATGAGATACAACCCAATGCAATGATTTTCCTCTAACCGATGCCCTAAACGCCGTCGCTCCGTGCATGCTGCGGTATTATACATTTTACATCTTAGCCATAGCTATTGTCATATTTTCGTGCGATATGGCTCGATAGGTACTAGCTATTCTTTTCTAACATTTCTTTCGCTTCGTTGACCTTTGTAGCTAGATATGGACTTCCGCCTCGGTCGGGGTGGTTTAGAAGCATGAGTGTTCGGTGGGCTTTTCGGACTTTTTCTTTCGTGATCGCTCGCTCACTAGGACAATTAGGTTAGTAGGTTGATTTTGCTGTAGGCTTGAAAATTGGTTCGTACTTGAGAGATAGTATTAGAGAGGCTTCTTTTTTGGTCATTCGTGGCTCGAAACCACCCTTATAAAAGGCTTTTCCTAATGCTCCGACGCCGCCCCGCGAACGCCGCCATGCGACAAGTCCTGCACGACCCTATCCTCCGTGTTAGTCAAGGTCTAGCGCATGAATAAGATGAAAGAAGCATACTAGGAATGCAGCGACAGCGACACCAGTTCCAATAGCAAGTGCTGAGGCCATGATGGGAGTAACAGTGGGTTAACTTGAGAATTAACGATGGTTCGAGTATGAGGTCAATCACGACGATTTGAGAAAGCGATTCTTTTTAATGCGCACGGACCTGATAAATGTCGGCCCCGATTATTTGAGTTCCGTCGCCACACACACTGGTCTTATCGATAAGATTATCGACTGCACCAAAAAGAAATTTCATCCGTGCCTATTAGAACGCCGATTAAAGTAAATGACCCACTGAAATTTTCGGCGTGAAGTTTTTGGAGGGGCGGTAACAACTATCACAACCATTTGTTCCCTTGCCTTTTTCAACTACACAATACATCGTCGCGAAGTTACTCGAGCTAGGTCTCATCTGCCGTCAAGATGAGGTAAGTTTCATTCCAAATATTTTGGTTCTTTCAATCACGCGGAAGCCCTAGAGGAACTACGAAATTTGTGTTCTACGAGACTTGAAATCTGGAATATTGTTACGAAGCTTGGAATTTTTTCGAAGCGGATTATTTTTGAAAACTGAGTTTTCGCTAATGGAATACTGTCTACAGAATCGAGACGTGTTACTTCTGCAGTAGGCCCGCCTACCCGGGCAAGGGAATAGTAAGTTTTCCCCTTCCTTCTCAACGTCCGCTTAAGAAAAGCGAAAATCCAGCTATGTCCAACGATGATCAAGCCAAGTACCTAACCACAATATACAGACATTCTGCCGCAACGACGCTAAACAATTTCGTTTCTGCCGATCTAAATGCCACAAAAACTTCGTCATGAAGCGCAACCCGCGCAAACTAAAATGGACAAAGGCCTTCCGAAAAGCAGCAGGCAAAGAAATGACAGTCGACTCAACCCTACAATTCGCCGCTCGTCGCAACGTCCCCGTACGCTACGACCGCGACCTCGTCACCAAGACTCTGCGCGCTATGGACCGCGTCGCCGAGATCCGACAGAAGCGCGAGCGCGTATTCGCCAAGCGACGTCTAGCCGGCCGTCGGGCTCGCGAGTTAGCTTCTGATCGCAAGTTAGTAGAAACGCACGGCCATCTACTACCCAAGATGCGCGGAAGCGAGAAGAGGAGATTGGCGGAAGAACAGGGACTCGCGCCCGAGGAAATCGAGGAGTTGGAACAGACTACGAATATGCCGATGGAGAAGAGCCGCGTCTTTGGAAAGGAGAAGTTACGACAGAAGGTACGTGTCGATGGAGGTGTCGAGATTTTAGGTCAGGCTGTCGAGGGTATGGATATGGACTCCGATTAAGAGAGCTTATCATACGTGGGACGGCCTACATAGTGGGAAGGTCAGGAACATCACGAGAGGTGTATATGATGGAGACGCCAGAAAAAAACCTACGGATCGTGGCGTTCGCGCGTGGATTGCTTGCCATTTTATCTCTTCTGCATGTTTTGGCGTTGGTGGACTTAACCATAGGTTTCTGGTTCCTTTCCGCAAAATTAAAGACCTTGACACCCTCAAATTTGACCGTGGGCGCCCATGTGCTTCGGTTAGGTTGTCACGTGCTCATCTGATCATGGTTTCACTTTTGTTGCTATGGTGCATATTAGAGACTACGATTATATTTACGGAACATATTGAGTCCTAGTATTAAGATAGGATATATGATTCCTTATATGTTGAAAGTACCGCCTGGGTAGGTATCAAGCTGACTACATCAATGTCACCGTGATAGATTTTCCAGCCCAGATTATCTCCCTCATTAGATTCATTAGATCTCGCTAAACCAGAACATATAGGTGGATGATTATTCATTACGACGTCCTGCTGTCTAAGAAGGTAAGGTTTCGGGCTTTCGTCCTCGTCCTGGTCCATGCATATAATAGATCCTCGATGGCTGTGGTAGGGACTCTCGAATGTCCTGGAGAATATGAGCATCGAGTGCTTCGCGCCGTTTTCGTTCCTGCTCTCGGTCATATGGTTCTTCGCTCTCTGTTAATGTCCAGTTTCCTGCACCTCCTCGTCCCGAGAGCCCAGCTCTAGGTGCTTGCTGTGTTGAAGGTGAGGTGGTGGTTGTGGGAGTAGTGGGACTTATAGTTGCTGTAGCTGTTGGTGAGGCAGGACTCTCAACGAAATTGCCCGCGCCACCGCGACCTGAACGGGAATATCCTGTCATACCACCGGCGTTGTTACTAACCACGGGTGCAGCTTGTGCGGGGACATCTGCTGGGTCGGTAGGCGGTTCATCATGAGGAATATGTTTTTGCGCTTCAAGATCCTGGGGAGTTATTAGTCACACATTACCTTTTTCGACATATGAAAAGTCTCTCTAGGATTAACAAACCTCGGGCTGTCGCTTCGTAGCTTCATCGATATCCTTCTGGGAATAGAAGTTCCCGGCACCGCCCCGCCCACTACGGCGGTACACATCTGCCATATCATGTGTATGTACCACAGCGTATGATAATTCTGGGTACGTACTTTCGTATTTGATGATTAAGATGTATGTTTCCTCCTTACTAGATACGAATGATGTGAACGTGTTACGGGTAGGATGCAATGATTCGTCCGTTTGGTTTACCTAGGTAAGGTGCATAACCAACCCAAGTTGCCAGATTGAGGATTGTGGGCAGCCAGGCTACCTAGGTATACTACAACTTGAATGTTCCCTTTAGAGAATCAAATCAATTGCTTTAGACGCCCACCCGCGGACAAATTAATTAAATTCGACCGCGCGCGTAAATTGATGTGGGGTGATAGGCAATCAAATTTACTTGCTTGCGCGCTTAAGAGAGATTTGATGTTATATGGAAGAATTAGATTTTGCTATTTTTTAATGTATTGCAAGTTGGCTCTTTTTCTTTTGGATGCTAGGTAGGTACTTCTGTAGCTGGTAAAATAAAGAAATCCGACCTATTGGGAAACGGATACCTGCTTTGAGCCACTGAAGTTTAGTACTAGTTTTGTGTAACTTACCTAACTGATGTTCCGGTAGATAGGAGATAACGTCATGGAGGGGCCCTGTAAACTTATTCTCCGACTTGTCCCTATTGGGATGCATGTACTTTTATAGAAACAGGATTGTCTTATTAACAGAAGTACATCTTTCTTCAACATTGATTACTATAATAACCCAAATCTATATCTACCATTAATCTAAATTTCTGGAAATACTATTCCCTTCCTCTGCATTAGTAATTACTATTCTTTGCTTTCCCATATTAGTTTTCTGTAAGGCTCGGGTTCGTCCTACAGCGGAAAGTCGCCGGTAATAAGAGATGGAATGCTGCCTCAAGTTGTTACGTCAATATGCAAAATGATCTGTCATTTCTAATAGTACCTAGGTATGCGTTCGTAAAAAACGGTAGAAATGCCTCGGTAGCCACAGAAAGATACCGACCGTGAAACGCCTGCGCCTCTAAACGGGGATCAGGATTCAGGTACCAAGCCTTACAACTATCAATGTGCTCCGCTGAAGCACTCAAAACAGGTTTGTACCTGCATCTAATCGAATGAAGCAGCGGCCAGATCATAATGTACCCGAATTTAAGGGTCCTGAGCCCAAATTTTTGGGTGCTTCGTATTGGTCCCGTTAGATTTAAGCAAGTTTTGGATGCATGTGCTATGTGTTAGGTATACTTGGAAATACGTGCGTCCAGAAATCATATGTAAGTCAGCAAAGCGTGGGAATTCATTACGCGGCTCTGCGACTTGCTATGTACTTAGGTATTAGGTACTTAATAGTGTACTTAAACACGTTGTTCCGTCAGCTCCAGCGTATACAAGGGAGACAAGACAGCAGGTAGATCAGACATTTAAGTGGTTTAACGAATACCGATTTAAATGTCAATTTTTAGCAAAATGATACGCAGGCGGGTAAGGCGGGTAGGGCGGTGTTGATCCTCTGAACAGCCGCTTGTCTTTTGAAATGGTGGTGCTACAAACGGACTGCTGGTAATGAATTGGATTTAGTTCCGGCAGGGTCCGTCTTGAATATCCCCCTTGTCTTGAGACCCATATTTGAATTCCAGGTTCGATAACTTGAAATCGTGAAACATCGTAATAATTTCCTGATTTATGGAGTAGAATGTTTTCGTACACTTTTAACGACGGGAACGCGGAAAATAGAAATAGAAAGCAGGAAAGACATTCTCCCGCCCCCCCTTGAAAAGTACTTGGGTGTAAGTACTAGGTAGGACACGACGACAACTCGCGGCCCGCTGTCAGCTGTTATCCTTGCGTCATCCTGATGAGGTATAGTATGAGTTTCGCAGAGTCACTTGATTCTTTAAGCCTGCGGTTAGGCTGCCATATGATCATGATTTAAATGAAATTCCTCCTTTGAATGATGTCAGATAATAGAATGAGTCTGGAAATTATAGCTAACGAAGTACCCAGTTAGCTCATATGGCGACATCGTAATGCCACAGTCATTTCTAACGAAGTGGCTTTTTGATAGCGTTGAATGTAACGGACACACCAGGCTAGTGTAACTAGTGGTCATGAATACCTAGGTACGTGACCTGGAGGGTGAATGGAATGATTCCCCTCTCTTATCGCTAGGCTCGGTGAGAGACGTGCCGGTGGGACAGAAAATATTGTGGCCTCCGATTCGAACATGAGCGGGTTACGCCCTGACTTTTCCCGGACGCACTGGCAATACCAGGTATTATATCTAGTGCGTCCAGGCGAAATAGATTGAAAACTCCAAATTGAAGGGAGTTGTGTAATGTGACAGCTTAGCCATTCAACCGTGTCGGTGCTCGCGACCGGCAAATATGCTGATCAAACAAGATTGGTGTATTGGAATCTCACTGGATTATAAACCTGTGTAATAAGATTATGAATAATCTCTCATGACTGTCCCTTGTCGACCTGAATCATAACAGCTGAAGAGGAATACACCGAAATGAATTCGACTATACCTTCAATGTAGTTTGAATTAAGAGCCTCGACGAAAGGGTGTAAGTCGTCGGTCAACTGAACGAACTGTAGTCTTGGCATTGAAGTACCCCAGCTTATCATTGATCTTCATTGTCACATCTCATTCGCCAATGATGAGATTATCGCAAGCTAGCCATGCAACAACAGATAACGAATCACAACAGCCGGAGAATTACAAGGAAAGAAAAAAAAAATTATAGTGACAATGCCGAATTTTTGTCCCGTGGTCTATCGCCATGATACCTTTTCAACGTCTAGTCAGTGGCGAAAAAAGATCATATAGTAGACAACTAATTTTATTAGGTCGGAATTATAATGTTTGGTGTAAAAGTGGCTAGACTATCGTGGTGGCGGACGCTATGGTTCACTCAGGAAGGAGGAAACGAGGCCACGATCTAGAAAATCATGGGCTCTTCGAAGAAAAAAAAATCATCATAATCAGTCGTTTGTGACCAGTCCTTAGTAGTCTGGACCGCCATATGTCTTGGCCATCTGTATCAAAGAACTGTCGGAGGATTAGTCCTGAAAGTGCATGACTTGACCCCGAGTACTAAGCTGAACTTCTTTGGTAAGAAATTCGAAGATTTTTTTTTTCTCCCCTTGCTTCATTCGTGTCGGACATTGTCGCCCAATCGCTCAACAGTGTCTCATTCGATGAGTACGTTCGAAACTCATAGAAGAGCTTGGGGTTTAATCTAGCGGGAAGTTGATTTGATAGGCACTGCAAGTCGTTGAAGTCCGAACGAGGGCTGGAGGGGTGGCTTTCCTTCGACGTCCCAATTCGGATACGTGTATGTAGTAGTGTGGTCACGACCCCTCCAATGAAACGGACACGACAGGATGGACAGGATGGTATAAGAGGAGGTTGAGGCGTGAGAATAGTAATTTTCTCCAAATTCTGCCACCTGCCGGCCGCACAAGTGGGAGCTCATGCGCGAAAGTACATACCTGTATCCGGAAAAGTAAAGTAACCTGCTGATCTCGTGGAGTTTTTAATTCGTTCAAATGTTGCTAAACCATTTCTATTTTATCTATCTTGGGTATGAGTTAAGAACCGGCGATACGACGGCGACCTGGTTTCTTGTGACCCAAGCAAACTACTAAGTTGACCTTCCTCCATATTAGTAAACAGAATGATAACCTCCTGCCTTAGTAGGATATCGACAGGATTTAAATGGTAATAAGAAGAAACTCGGGGGATCTGATTAGAAACACATTACCTAGGTAGATTAATAAATAAATATGTACAGTAGATTGAGGGTTTGATAACTCTGGCCTGATACGGTTCAGTGGGTTGAAATAAAAATACAGTGACCCCTTTTTAAAGATACTGTGTTTTTGTATAGAGTCTCCACCTTAACTAATAAGTAATGCCACTGTATTCGTCCATGTAATCAACTTAACTCCACTTCTAATTCCCCCTACTAGTTCCCCCTTCCCCCTTCGTGTTAACCCCTCGAACCTAAATAATTCCCCAAAGCTCTTAGACTTGCATCTTAAGCTTCTGTCGATCTTTATGCAATTCCGCTTTTATTTATTTTCTTTCTCGTACGAATTATTTGGAACGGATTATTATTTTATTAAGAGAATGTGGATGAATAATAGTCTTTAAACTTATCAGATAAGCACAGAAAGTGTAAAGGATTCTTTGAAACTAAGCAAGGCAGAGAGAAAAAGTATCGAAATACCGCATATTCAGCCAGATATTCTTAGTAGCTACCTAAGTGTAGCTAGCTGCTAAAAAACAGTCAGGGGTATACCCTACCCACCAGGTGACGCGCTTACGATCGTAGCGTTGATCCGCGTAGTCCGGGGTCGAAAACCGATGGTCCTTGAATCAATTTATAGTACCGGCCCGGTCACAAGCTTGTTACTTGCCGGAGAGTTCCTTGTCTTGAAGCGTCGCGAACTGATCAACACGTATAGAATTATTGATACGAGGTATAGGGGAACAGCACAACTTGGAATCTATCCTTATAGGAAGAAACATTTCTACTATACCATTCGATAACCTGAAAACATCATTGGAACTTGGAAATTATCTCCCATAACGCTTATGTAAACGAATACCTGTGGGACCCATTACGACTCTAATGATGGTAGATGAGGGTACTTCTAAAGAGACACCCTATATGTATCTAGGCATATAAATGTACAAATTCGACCAATCCTTGTATCCTCTTCCCTTTCGTTACGCGTACCCCCTCGTTGAAGCAATCCGACAGGGAGTTGCTCCAACAATATTATTATCTAATTCGGGGAACGAATGAAGGTAGGTTTTAGACATCCTATCTGCCTATGCATCGCAGAATGCGAAGAGCTTTTCCTTAATACATGGAATTATTCGTGAATAAAATCTTTAATATGCCACGTTATACCGCCACTTGTCCATTAAAGATGAGATGTGCACGACAGGCTGCAGTTGTCGCTATATGATAGGCAAGTTCCTTAGATTCTGCATACGGGAATTCCCTATCTACTATGAAGGTTAGCTGAAGAATTAATACCAAGGCTACGAAATAGGTAGCTTAACCCGTACTTATGCCCCAACGTGTTAATAACTAGAACTCCGAATTCATAGTAGCTCGAATTATTTCCCCGGCTCCGTGATCTTTACCACAAACCTCCTAGCTTGCTAGCTCGGACAGGGAGCTTGCTAACTTCCATTCAAGCTATACACGTGCTAGAGGAATGTAGGCTGCCGATTTCCTCCTCTTATTTTTACAGATTCGAACGTGGAAGTCAGATGTGTCTAACACAGGCTACCTCTAATAATCGGCCATATTTTTTTTTCTTCTTCAATGATTCACATATAGTTTCTAATAGAAAGACGCTATGATCAGATGAATAGTCAGTCAAATTGTTACACGTCTAAATAGTCTTAACTTTTATGCTGTTCATCTGTTTATCGCCTATTCCATCGCCTATGCAGGTACACACGATACCACCCGAATTGAGTAATTCATCAGGAATCTTCCAATTGTACCTTGCCAAGCGATATTTGCTATTTATTTTCATAACCATTGGGATGTTTTTAGCCTACTAGTTCTTATTAATTCCTTTGTTGATTCGTCTATACGGGATACTGCTTAACCCTTTCCCAGTTACAAGTCAGAAACGAATCCCAACATTATTTTCTTTGTGATTCATTTCGGCCGACTGTCGAGTGTTCGTTAGCCCTGACTAGACTAAATAAAAAAGAATTATTATCAAGCAAAATTGTTGTCTACAATCTTACACACGTTTTTTATGCCACCTCATTGTTCCAAGATTGAAGTTGTGCCTGACTTTGAACCCTTGACCTAAACTTGAAGCCTGTCCACTTAGACTAAGATACCAGAGACTACGCTAGGTACACTGCCATTCAAAGGTACAAGGTATACTAATATACCAATATACTTCTGTTTTCGTACCTACCTGGCTAGTCATAAATACAGGGGTATCCACCACTTGACGTGCAGCGCGTGCGTTGTAGCGTATGTACTATGTATCTTTCCAATGCACTCTTGTGGATTCTACCCAGATAAAAAAGGACGGGGGAAGAAATAAGAAGATGGGGGGCAAATGAAATGGGGGAGGGGGGAAAATAATAGAAAAAGGTGGAAGCCAAAGAGAAGAGGAAGAGGAGGGAAAAGAGGGAAGAAAATCCCAAGAAAAATAACAATTGATTGAATCGAATCCACCACCCATGATTACCACACCACACAACCACATAAACAGCAGACCACATGCACACTTCTTTTTCGTCTTTTCCGCTTTATTAATGCCTTTCCTTAGTCGCCTACCAACTTCTATTTGGTCTAGGATTTAATTGTGTACATACATGGTAGATGTATACAAGTACCCATCATACCTACAAACGGTACACCTGTAATGTACATGTAAGTCAGAAGGAATCATAAATGTACATACATAACACACATGGAGGGCATGCCATGGCATAGCATAGCGTAGGAATACTTTATGAAGATACCTAAGTAGATACATTCATGTGTAAGCATGAGCTAGGAAGGAAGGCGCAGCGCAAGTCAAGCCATTTTTTCCCTAATATTGTTCAGGTCCGTCGTCCACCTGACGAAAGTAAAACCACCTCGGATGTATCTTTGTATCGTACCGCCGTCTTGTACTTTCTACATTCTATCCATAAAGTATACATTTTTCCTACGTTCTGTACCTGCCTAAACGCACATACTTCGGTAGGTACGGGAGACGGGGTACTGACTGACTGGTACTGGAGCTGCTCTTTCGTACTTTGAATCCATAAAATTTTATTTTTTTGTGCAATTGGACCGACCTTTGTTGCTTCCAATCCATCTTCAATTCCCCCTCAAAGGGTTAAAGAACAAAAACAAGAAAATAAAAAAAATTATTATTATCTGTTATCGGCCGGCTTTTTTTCTCCCTCTCTCTCCCAACGTCCGCCCTCCTACTCCTCCTCCACCACTACCACCACCATCTTTTTTTGACCCTGACCAATACATCTCATAATCCACCCACCATCTTTTGCCGACGAACACCTCTTTGCTTTGCTTTTTTGCTTCCTTTTTGCTTGCCCAATTCTTACTACCACTTCTTCAACGACCAAGTGAGACAAGAGCTATAGCAAAAAAATTAAAACGGATCATCTTGCAAAAAGGCGAAATATTTTGTCGTTCTGCTATTTACGTGTTCGGCAATGGCCTCTTCCAAGGTAATAACCAACAAGTTGCACTAATTACCTACCTTGATTGCTTGCCTACCTTACCAATCTACCTACCTACCTACCGTAACCCGCTATAGCTTGTCCCCAGATGTTTCCCAGAAAAAAAAAAAGAGCAGTCATGCTGATCACCTGAGTCCTCTCATGACAGGAAATGCAAACATCAACGAGGCCATTGACCCAACACCGTCAATCTATCTCTTCGGGCTCTGCGTCTTCCTTGGGCGCTACGAGACCATTGTCCCATTCGCGCAACAACTCCCACAATTACTCCGCTTTGTCCGGCGCTCTCAATGCCACCCACCGCGTAACACGTCGAAAGAGTATGACCAACACTGCTGCCAACGTCGCTGCCGTCGCAGCTGCTCTCGAAGAGGCTGGTGATAAGGTCGGCCCTTTACCCATTGGCGTTAGTTCTCGTCGGGGCACCATGTCTAAACCCGCCGCCGCTCGATCTGCCATCGTGGGCAGCTTACCCTCACCTCCCGCGAGCTTGCCGACACACAGATTCTCTCTAGGTATGAAGCCCGAAGGTGCGGAGAACGCGATCGACGACGATTCGAACGATATGTCGGCGGATGAGGAGGGGGACGCGGGGCTCCACAAAGCTCGCATTAGGCGAGCTAGTGACGGCCAACCCCTAACAAAGGAGGGTAGGAAGATCAACCGAATTGAACTGCGCTGCGATAAGTGTGGTAAAGGATACAAGCATAGCAGCTGCTTGACCAAGCATTTGTTGGTGCCCATTTTCTTGTCCACTGCCTCTCTCATGCATTCACTTGCCCAGGCCGCTGGATGATGTCCCACCCAACCTCAAAGAAACAAGGATGGACTGGCCAGAAAGAGACCTTCCCATATGCCCCGGGTAATTGAACGTGAACCTTTGTTGACGAATTGCTTGCCAGGTGGGAACATACCCCCGAGTGGTCCCTCACGTCCAAGCTGCTTATATCCAAGCACCAACAAGTTCAACTGCTCGAGGCGGCCTCGGTTCTCGTCGCGATGAATACCAACGATGCAACAACACCTCCAGACTCCGCCAAAGATTTCGCCAGCGATCCTGAATCAGCATCACCTACTGCTTCGGGATATTCAGAATTACATGACGATCGTAGCTCGGCCGACACAACACCGCCGCCGCACCCGGAGGCTCTCGGTATGACTAACACCCTAGCTTATCGATCAGCACCCAAGAGGAATAGCAGTGGAAGTGGATATTCGCGATCTTTCCAATCGGCCGTGTCAGGGTCATTCTTCCCAGGCAGCATCCCGAATGGAAATGGATTTGGCCATATGCGACACGCAAGCTCGGATCGTCGCCCTCCTTCATCGGGTATGAACAGCACCGGTCAGGATGATCGTGATCTCGCAGCCGCCGTGGAGTTACTCAGCTGTAGTTTTGGAAGTAACCCAGGTTCCCGAGATACCAGGTTACCTGAGGACGCACCCCCTGTACCGCCACTACCAGCACAATACCTTGATCATGCAGCATTCGCCAGCACAAGCTTCATAAATAGTTTCCCCTCGGGACAAATGCCGGAAAGCTTCACTCGAGGTGAACTTCGACATAACGAAGATGTAAAGATGGAAGATAGCGAAAGTAGCGTCATGGACGATGACGAAGGCGAAAGACGCTCGAGAGCGCGAAGCAGCGAGGAAGACGACGATATGATGTTTGGCCGTATGGAGGATTAAACATAGGATCGCTCACTTTCGACGAGACGAGACGACATGAAACGAACGAACCATGGATAGCTATTGTTTTTCTTTTGTTACCAACCACACCGTATATCAAATTCTGTAAACGAGGTACGAGGTGGTTCGCTCCGCCACCGCATTCTCAGCACCGAAGAATGGAGGGCTCCAGATAGGGGAAACTCCGGGGGGCACTCTCCAAGAGGTTAAAGTGAGGATCGGAGGGAGCGTCGAGCGAACACCCAACCCATCAACAAATCGAACTTTCTAAGGAGGGAGGCAAAGGTTAAGGATGGATTTCATGGAGCAAGGAGTGTGGTATCTGATAATGGAACCGAGAACACCCGTTTGTTTATGAATGAAAACCGATCCATAAAGATATATCTTTTCTTCTGACTTTACTACCTAGTAGATGCCTGATCATGTTAGGTACATAAACATTTTTGATTATTTACTCACGATAGGGTTTGTATAATATCATGGGAATCCTGGAGGGTAGGAATGGAGAAGAGATTGCCAAGATTTATTTTCCATCAGATTTTATTCGTATGTATGTACAAGCGAGTTGCGGAGCTGCGGAGTCGATGATGCCAACGATCTTGGTGATCTGCATGTGAATGCATATTGGTAACGATGGTTGAACAAAGGAAACCACACGGCGGAGGGGCGAACCGTATGTATAAGATATATTTGGAGATGAACCATCTAGGAGTTTAGATGGTCACACAAGAAGTAAATAAATAAGAAAAGAAAGATCAAGTAAGAAATCAAAAAAGAGATGAAAATTTTCAAGACCATCGATGATCGAGGATTGAGGGCCCGGTCTCCTTTTTGAGAAGCGAGGTTTGCTGTCGATCAGCCCAGCGTTAGTGGGGTTATTGTTGGTAAACGAAGGTCTGAGAGACGAGGAGTAGTGGGAGTGAGAGGAGGATAGACGTCACTGGTGCGGTGCTATTAGCAGTCAGGTAGTGGTGCTAGGTACATCATTGCTTCCAGAGGTTCGATTTTTTTCTCATTTCCCCACACCTAAATCGGGACAGAATAGGCAGCTCTCTCCCCCAATTTCCCCGCTATTTGTTATACCTAGGCAGCTAAGGTAGGTGCAAAGTTGCAGTGATTTATTGTGGTGGCAGGTAGCTTTTTTAAGCTTTTACCTTCAGTAGCTCCAGTGATAGAAGCTACCCTACCTTTTGCCTCTAGCTAGCTACCCAGGCAGCTAACTACATCATCTTCTCACCAAAATAATCAATAATGTAATTGTGGCAGCTTACAATCTTACCACCACCACCATTACCATTACACCTATCTCACAGCTTACCACGTTCTTGGCACGCGAGCCCATCATCAACAAGCTCAATTCCCCAACCGAGATACCAACCTTTTCCATCTCATCTGTGTGCACTCATAGTGCTACATTTTAATACCGATCTCCCTTTTATTTCCGGGGAATCCCTACCTCCTTGACTAAACACCACTCAGGTGATCTTAAGAGTTCTTTTTTACCTAGAGTACAAACAAGCAAACAATCACAGAAAAAAAAGATGCGAACTAGAAAACAGACCCGCGCGGAGGCTGCGGAAGAAAGCACCGATATAACACCACCACCGACAACTTCGTCATCATCGCCTTTTACGGTTGTGACTATCACCAAGAATGAAGGCCCTATAGTATCGCTTTCGCGAAAACGCGGCGGTGATGGTGCTAGTAGTGGCGGTCTTGGTGCTTTCGGTGAAGTCCGATCTAAACTTCCACCGCCGATTCAATTCCCCCTCGTCGCGGTTCTGAGCTTGTCACTCGCGACGTTGGGATATTCCTTAACCTGGCGATATTCGAAGGCTCCGCTGGTACCTCATGCGAGGATATTGAGTACTTGGACCGATTTTGGGACGTTGGTGGGTTGGAGAATGTAAGTCACTCCTTTAGAGTTGTTTTTGCGTAGGTGTGAAAATGCTGGTGGTGTTGATGTCAGTGACGTAATTGTAATGGGGCGTTTTTTGCTTACGGTTTGGTGTTTTTCAGATTTGAGCTCGCGTTGGCATGGTACGGCAATTATGATGGCTACGATATTACCGCGCTGAATATTTTGTCGAACGGCCCTCTCGTAAGTAGATCTGTCACTCGCGCGATGATTCGGGGCCTCGAGCTCGGTGCCTTATTGCACGATTGAAAGAGAACTTACTGATTAACAACACCCACAGCTCTACCTTCTATACTCATTCTACAGCTCGCCCCCTAGTGCGCTCCTCCTAACTCTCACTATCGAGACACTCGCGACATATATTCCCTTCCGTCTTCTTCGCCCACTCTCCGTCGCACACGCCGACCCTAGTCATGCCCCCAACGCCGAGATCACCACCGACCGACCCATCGCGCTACTCACCACGCTCCTCGCGGGCGCTATCTACAGCGTGTCCCTATTCTTCGCGTACGCGACATACCTACCCAACTACCTCGTCGTATACTTCGCAAACCTACCATCCATCGAAGCCGCACACGCAGTCACATACATCAACTTCCTCCCCGTAACCCTAGTCCTCGGGTTCGCAGCACGCGCGTTTATATTCGCACCCCCCGCAGTCCCAACTTCCGAAGGGCCTCACCACAATATCAAGACAGAAAAAGAAGGTTACGAAAATGGAAGCGCGGAGGTAGTTAAATTCGACCCTGTCAAAGCGACCCTGGCTGAAACAATCCGTTGGAATTTCTGGGGTTGGAGTGCGCAGACTAAGGTTGTTATTCGCCGCTCCGCATTGTTATGCTTTGTTGCGGGTGTGGATACGTATTTGCAGACGCGTCTTACTATTGATGGTGTTGAGTCGGCGGGTGCGGTTGCGTGGAGTAGTGTTTGGGTGCTGGCTGCGGCGGTGACGGGGTTGGCGTTGGGTGTTGTGGGGAGTGTGTAGGGTGATTGGCGTTGCTAGGGGGTGTAGTGATGGTGAGATGATAGTTGAGATGAAGTACGCTCGTCTTCATCAATCAGCAGGGTCAGTGATACGATAAATAGTAAAATTGCAGGAAAACATGAAGTGAGGGAGGGGAAGAGGAGTACGGGGCCAAGGATGGCGTATCTAAGGACACGGTGGTATACGGTGTTGGTGGAACAGGATGTGTCAGCTAAACAAAGGAGCTATACTAGTCTTTTTTTCTTAGTTTAATGTTTATTTGCTGCTATTTGCTGAATGGAAGTCCTCTACAACGCTAGGGCTAGTGTGCTGTATTGTAATTGGTGTTGGTGTAAGAGCTCGGTTTTGGGAATGATATTGTGCAATTCGCCCTCCTAAAACCCCAAGGAGTATCGCCCAAACAGCACGTAATAGCATATTCAATTTTGGACATCCTTTTGACAGTCTTAAAAGGACTAATCAAACGGTTAGGTAAACTTGACATCCTATATTCGCTTCATTACGTTACCCCAACATTAGTAGCCGAATAGCGTATTACCGCAATTGGCAATGGGTCTACACTGTGATTGGTCCGTTTCGAAATAGGGGGGCTCACACACGGGAATAAAGTTCATCAATATTGAATCCAGACTTGCCCAGGTAGTGTCCAATTGTATTGCAATGATCGAATAAAATTGCGCTATGTAGAATGAAAGCCTCCTCTTGCCCCCTACTTAACGAATATTGTGGATGATCGAAGTCTCTTGCAGAAATAATCCCCCCTAGGCTAACCCATTCGCGTCAAAGCATCTCTTTATAGCAATGTTTATCCAACCTAGATTTATCCACATAGGCATAGACTATACTTGCAGCACGGCCTATAAATCAGTCAGTACGAGTACGCAACAACTATAAGATATGGATTAAACCGACTCCATTTGGCGCTCAACAAGTTGTGACTTTTCGACAGCTGGCGTTGCGGTAGCGACGCAAGCTAAGGCAATAAGGCATACGCTGGTAAGCTTCATGGTTGGGGTGGTATTGGATGTTTGTATAGGCCTTAAGTCTTGTCTTGTCTGCGGATAGGAAGAATGGATGAGTATACGAAGACAGTAGACTAAAAAATATAGAATTAGCAAATGAGAAAGTCAGCAATATTTATAAGCCACCTAGGACGATCAATTCCATTCTGGTTGATTCCTGGTCAGTAAATATTTGGTGGATTCGTCCTCCAAATTCTTGTCGTGTGCGGCACAGTTAATTTTTTACATTACGATCAACTCATATATCATGTACCTAGCCACTAAACTCATATTAAGATTCATAAAGTTTTACAGTGCATCAACTCACTTCAAAATGAAGAAACCAGCGCGGAAATCGCCTCTGATACCCAATGTCTATGGTTATCTCCGTGTGGGCCCACTATATGTCGGAGAACGGCCCGCGATCAAGCAAAGATAGCCGGAGCCGGAACGCCCCGAAATCGGATGTAAGTCGGCAAGTCACGCCTTATACTCGGTACCGTACAGTAATTTGAGGACTAGAGTCCAAAGAAAGATGGGTACACTAATACCGAATGCCAGGCTTGAATGATTGGATTGTGAACAGTCAATTTGATGGTTTCTAAAGAGTAATTGGGAATTCATCGCATAAATCATCGGGGTGATCTATTTCGTAGTGTACATGTTCTCAGTTGAGCATAAATTTCTCGAAGTAACCCAGATACTCTCAAACTAGCGAAATTAACGCAAATGTGTATCATTTACCACTCTTCCCCGAACCTGCACCTCCCGAATTACTCTTCATCCGACTCATCTTCTTCCTTCCCGGTCCCCTAGCCTAGCTCTTGCATTCCTCCCATACTCATCATAATCCCCCTTGTACTCCTCCTCGAAGTAATCCTCGATATTGACACCGAGTTGGACCTTGATCCCATTCGCTAGGGTCTCATGGGGTAGATTCTGAACTGATTCGTGTAGGCGTTCAAAGGTAAACTTATGCATATCTACGAGCAGATCCTGCGGGAGAAGCTCGAATGGGATGTAAAAGTAATCACCCTCCATAGAAAGCCCGATGCTTAATTCGGCAGCCAAAAAAACGGCGCATTCCGCTGTCTTCGAGGGCATCGCGCCATATGTTAACGAGATCTCGGCCGAGGTTTGGCTTGCGGTAATCCGGCGTATCTTTAAACGGACGCATGATATAGTTTTGAAATTGGATGGCCTCAATGAAATCGCCAAAGGAGAAAGCTTTAATCAAATTCTCATGAAAATCGGGAGGGGGATTGGTTCTTTCGCCAAATCCATGCTGTCCCTCTTCACGCATAATATGTTTCACGTAGATCCACTCGATGAACAAGCTAATGGTATCTTCAGTGGCAAACAATGACAGTTCGATACAACGCGTGGCTTTTTTGCGTCGCTGGTTGAGTTTTTGTTGGCAATATCGAGAGTAGTGGGCGAGTAGGTGTGTATGCACTGCATATTCCTTTCCCGAGGGAATCTTGATTGTGACGATGTCGCTACACTCGCTAACGATAAAATCAGTATGATGGTGAGCAATCTGTTATTATATTGACTCACCTAGGGGCAGGGTTATGCTCCAGCCTCTTGTACGGCGGAGGCATGATGAGTCCTCTTGCTTCTCGAATGCCTTCCTGATTATTGACAAGTATTTTTCTGGCGCACAAGTGTGTGGAAGATATCTAGTTAGGGATACTGTTGATGCTCTGCGAGTTGTGGATAGGTAGGGTGGACGATACGCGGTGATAAAGAGGGTGACTGGAATGTGCTTAAGGTATAGCTGCTGTAATCAATTGCCAAATTTCTTTTTAGGTTCTACCTGATATTCGTGGCAAGAGTAATACCTAGCGAGGAGGGATTCTTAACTGGCTGTACTTGATAGTAATGGTGTAACCCAGGAGTGACTTGTCAACCTTAGACTATGGATTGGTAAGTCGTTGTTTTTTCGATAGAAGTGATTTGAAGTGGCGAAGGCTTGGGCTTCAATATTTAGGTTTCCTATCGCGAATGAAGTTGACTGGTGGAGCCTAGAGTGTGTTGAGGTGATACTGTTAAAATATCGATGTTTCGTGGTGAAAATTCTGGCCGAGTTTACTGAATCTTCAAAGACCTAGTCCGTACCTTCTAACGTCCGTGTTAGTTCCAAGTACTTGCTTCCTTGGGTGTATGAGTGCGTGGAAATCCTTATGGGAGGGCCAACTCACGGTTATGGGTAAGTGCGACGAAGGACTTAGCTGTCGAAGAAGGCCGACACGGAAGCGGTGAATATTCTGAAGACCGGTATCTAATCTTGTTGTCTTAGTGGTGATCAAAATCCTCGCGAGGATGCTGTGGAGAGGAGAGGCGAAATTCATGCGTTAATGGTGTAGTAATATTGATGAGGTTGAGGGAATGCGAATTGGGAGGTGGGAGGAAGCCGAGGAGATGTAGCGAAAAAGTAGGAGTACGTAGGTAGGGAATAATAGGCTACGAAAGAGGGAAGGTATTAATGAAAGTAATATCTTAATTGGTAGCCCCAGCCCCCCGGAATGAATCAGAAGTAACTAGGAAAGAGGGTCTTCTATGCTAGGTTATAGGGAAGCTGCCGTCGAAGGTGTAGCACGTCAACTTGACTGCGTGGTGGTTCCCTTCGGTACTCTTATCTATGAGGAAGTAGTTACTACCCATAGCCCCCCGTAACCATCAACGGGTATCGCATGGCTAAGCAATAGAACTATCTAGCCTATAGTATATGCCTACGTTAAATCGAATTTTGAAGATGAATGTAGAGAAGGGAATTAATACCTAAAAAGGGACACCGGCTTTTCGTCCAGTATCCCCTTGAGATCCAACAAATTTCAACGTGCTCGAAGTAGTCCCTAAAATCGATCAATCTATTGCGCTACACGGGGGTCTCATACTCAATTCTGAATCTTTTGATACACCTTGTGGAATATTAGCTGGAAGGGCTAGTCTGTTCTAAATGTCAGCTATGTCCTGTAAATGGACGCTTGCGTAAGATATGTTAACGAGAAAATTGGCGCAGCTGACGCTACAGGAGAGCTTGGAGCCCTACTTGAATAATGAACTCCTTCTTTTCCGAGGGAACGCACGACCCAGAGTGGTGCAAGGGAGACAAAAGGCACCGATTTAGAATACCACAATTTGGGTGTGTTCACTGAAGAGCCAAAGGACCAATTAGAGCTTAACGATTATATATCCTCTGATTCAAAACTGATATTGGGAATGAATACTCACGTCTTGCAACATCATCTCCTCATCGTCACTTGGGTGTGCTACCACCTTTTTTAACCACGGTCAATTACAATATAGAAATGTGATGATTCAATTTCCACTTCCGAAAAACGAGTATATTTGCTTAATCTTCTCTAGATAATTTTCTGCTATCGCTTGGAGAGTTCCATTAGATGCTAGGGAAGTCCACCTAGTAATCCGCCGCGTAGATTAGCAGACCTAGAGTTAAGCGATAAATTCACGGGCATGGTTTATCGTTTCTTACAAGAAGGCGTACTAAACTTGTAAATAATCCATAACATCCAACGACATATTCCAGTATTTGCCACTTGCAGTTCTAGTCTTTTAGCCACAATTCTAGCGCTCGCGTGCCGATGTGAAGCATTCCGTTAAGAAGCGAACGGAAGGGGTTGATATTGCCTGGCTAACTCTCGTTACGTGCCGATTTCCGCTCGTACTTTGTCACTGTTGATGAACTCGCACCTCCCAAATAATTTTTCCCATCGGACAGCCTGCTCGGCTGCTGTCCCGGTGTCTTCATCCCCGCTCTTGTCAATAGTGATAGGCATGTTATGATGAGGCCCCCCAAGCAGCTGCAATGATAGCTTATTGGGGAATTCGCCCTTCAAATCACCCATAGTCGCATTGGCAAAAGCAGCAGGCCATCTGTCCTCAGGAACGCCAGAGGTAACAAATTTGACTATTTTTGTGCTTATTGCCTTCGATAATTGAAGTTGCTTTTCTGAATTATCTGCTCGTTCCAGGTGCTGGGCATTTAGTACATACGGTATGTCGCTTAGATGCGCGACACGCCACATTTGCACTCCCATCATCTCGAAGGATGGTGCGTATCGCGTCGAGTTATGTTCATATAGATGCATATGTGACTTTTCTACGCCGCCGTTCCTGACGTATTGCCATGCAAATTCAAGAATGGGACACGTAAACCAGAGATCGCGATTGAGCTGCGCTGCGCGATAATATTGGGGCGAAATAGACCCATCATAGTCCAGTCGGACCATGCCCTCGAAGTCTTCAATAGGGTAAAGTTCAAGAAGTCTTGCCTTCGTGGGTTCAGACAGGGCATAGAGCCAGAGCCCGAAAGTATCCAGGACTTCTTGGTCAGTTGAGATGGTTGGTGCTGCGTACCATGCTCCATCATTGGATACCCAAGAAGCAATAATTGGGATCCCCCTGGTAAATTTACCAGCGCGGACAAGTCGGGAAGGACGGTCAGTGAGGATATCACCATCATACATAGGGTAAAAGAAAGCTTCCCCAAAGGGTGGGCGAGCAGCACGGGCAGTTGAAACAGAGATGTTTGCTAATGTCTCGATGGAGACTTTTCGTAAACAATTCAGGGTTTCGACTGACTGGCTATCATTCTCAACACATCCTACTTCACGAGCAACGGCAGCCGTATTGTTGGCTACCAAATCGGATTTGGTATTGAAGTTTAGTCCGGGACTACCTGACATCATTCTATCGGCCAGCCTTAAGTCAGCACAGGAACAACACAACGGAGCGAAACTCTTACATGGCTTGTTGAAATGGGACGCCGCGCTTGCCCTCGTAAGAAGCCAGGTGCAAACTAATGTCGGCGGCCCCCACGCTCTGGCCAACAGCCGTCACTGTTATGCGTCGTTAGCATGGGCCGAAAATCCTGAATTATCCGATTACCTTTATCTGGGTCACCCCCAAACGCTTCGATATTGTCGCGGACCCCTGTTCCACGGGTCAATAAAGATACGTAGCACGATTGCAACAATAGGTATCTGACGTACATTCTAATGCTCTTCGCTGATCATGCAAACCGGCATTTGTCTGCTTGGCATCGATTAACGCCTTGCTGATCGCAAATCCAAAAACTATAGCAGATAGTTAGCTTGTTGAGATGTAAAAAAAAATCAATGACTTACAACCGAGACGGTAATTAATGGCAACAAAGATCAACGGCTGTCCATCCGCCACTGCCTGCTTCACTAGGCCGTCGGGCTTGTAAAGGATTTCCGAAGCAGAGCCTAGGGCATGACCCCCTTTAACTCGTAGAAACACATCAGCGAGGCCTCATCCTGCGAGTTGGGGCATGGTATAAAAAGCCGACAAGACTCGCGCAGCCTATAGGCGATGACCTACCACCGTGGATCCATACCATTACTGGTAGTTTAGCATCCGGTTTAGTATCACCCGGTCGAGCAACCCGCAAGCTCAGGCAATTTTCGCTGATATTGGCGACACGGCTCGTAAATGGAAACACATCACCCAACCCCTGGGGACACCAAGCTCCAGGCCGAGTGGCGTCGATGGTAGATCCCTTCAGGGGCTGCACTGCAATAGGCGGAGCGAAGCGCCGTACGCCAGAGGTATCCTCCCCGTAAAAGATGTTTTGGAAATGCTCAACCTCATGCTCCCGACTGCCTACGTATTTGATATCTTTAGCCAAGTCAATCACCACCGGTGGAGATTCATGTGAAAACGGGAGAATAACGCCGTATTCATCCTTCAAATGCAATAACCTATCCTGGGACAGCCCAAGATACACAGCAGTTAAACCAAGGAGAAATGCGCCCAAGCCAAAAGACAATGAGAAAACTCGGCCAGCCATAGCGAAATATAGATGAAAATAAAACAGGGTACTAATACGATGATATTTAGTCAAGAAGTAATAGTTGTTAAGGTGGTGAGCAGGCAACTCTAGATTTTGGGATGTGAACCCCCCCTTGAAAAGACAATTAAAAGCATGAGCTCTTGTGCTCAGGGCTGAGAGAAAGGGAAAGACGATTTCCTTCGTAAATGAAGTACCTATGTACAACCCGGATGTGATGGTGGGGGTCAACTATGGTAGGAGGTTGGCTTCCCTTCTCTGGATTACACAACATCTGTCGCATCCACGTCACCGTGTGTGTAACACAAAGCAGGCTCCTCAATACGCGCCCGTTAATTGTGCATGCCTGCAATGTACATATCACAATTAATACATAGGTACCTCCATAGGTACCTATGTACCTTGTAGCATTATGCTACGCGCACGTCTTGCCGCGAAGGGGTGATTGTTCAACAGCCAAGTATTGAATCCATAAGCTCGACATTATCAAGTCCAACAATATTTGAAATACAACAATCTTCTACAGAAATCGTGAAGTAGTAACTATTTAAACCACCATCTTAGCCTTGGAATCTCAATACATCATCTATTATAAAAGAGAGTACTTCATTCGACCATAGAATCTAGAGGCCTTGTAGTATTGATCTCAGAAGTTCGTGAAATTTCAGTACGAGCCACAATACCTTGTATGTTCCGGTATTGCTCTTCCTCAACGTCCGCAGAGCCGGCTGTTACGACTGTCCCAGAAACTCCTCGCCAGGGGCGATCATCATAGGAGTGCTTCCCTGACGGCCGGAACCCTAATTCTAGGGTGAACGGTTCCCTACTGTTGGATGATGTCTTGGTGTTTGTGCGATCAACAGATAGCAATGTCCATTTTCTAGAAACTATTGTGCGTAAGACTGGATAGGAACGGCCCCACAGGTTGCCCACCACCGGTCCTAACGTCGGCATGCAGCATACAATTATCGCAATGTTGGCTTCTATCTCGGACCATAGGATGAATAGAGTGAAATCGGCGATGAAGTCCGGATTAGTTTCCTTGTCATAAGATGTCACAAGGTAGATGTACATTCGTGCTATACCGGCGCCAATTGTGCTAGCAAGAGGTAAGACTCTGATCTGTAATTAGGGGCTACAAATGGGAGGACTCACAATAGACCAACCATGAATATACTCGTTATACCAATCTTTTTCTTAGTAGGCATATGGAGTTTCCATATCATTGGGACAGGCATAAACATGATGATGAAATCCGTAACTATGTCTGTCGCTGTAAAGACGGTGAGTAGGGTGAGAGTGTTGGCGCACTGAGTCAAAAAGATCCCAATAGGGGCCCAATTCCATGTCCAGCGAGTGCCGCACTGAAAGACAGTGGCGAAGAAGAATGCCAGGAACCAGGCTATTAGAACGCCAACCATGACCCAGCAAAACACCACGACCTGTCTAGCACGATTAAATATTCGTTTCCAAAGAAATACGAATGACAACTTAATCAGCCCAAAGGCAACCTTTTCTGTCGTCTGGAAGGCATATTTGTATTTCTGCGCCAAGTGCTCTAGATCCGTGGTAACAGGCCAATTGTTCTCAATAGGAGAATGCCCCGTAATAGCGCCTTGAACAGTGCCGGCGATGAAGATACCATTCAACGCAAGGATGAAGACCTAATATATCCTGTCAACGTTGATTTAGACAGTGACAGGTGATGGACCTTACTAGGCTTGCCAAAGCTAGCCAATCATCAGCGCTAAGACCAGCTCGACACAATCGTCTCGAATAGAACCTGGCCACAACTGCCACTATTGTTAACACGCAGAAGAATGAGGCCATAACTATAAGACCTATACGATCGTTTGCTTGGTGAAGCCGTGCCGTGTAAGCCATTATTCTGGCTGGAGTAATCCTCTATTAAATTGGACTATGCTACTGGAGAATGGAAGAGTAATGGAGTAGACAGGAATGGCAAAGAAAACGGTTGCCAACTGTAGTACTGATTGACTGGGCATCTAATAGAATCTAGAGGCTACAGTGTATGGATACTAAGGATTACAAGGTGTGTTACACCATTGCAACTGACCCCCTATTAGACGCCGTAACCTATGGTGTAGTAGCACAAACACCTAAACAGCCTACTGTAATGACCAGAATACGACTGAGCTTTTTACTCAGAACCTATCGTAAGAAATAACCCAATTCGCTTAATCAACGAATCCTCTTAGCATAAGCGGATTGGTCAGAACCAACGCTCACGGGTTAGAATAACGCCGTATCGAATACCGTCATACAAGGAATATGCAGGCTGTGGTGGATTAATGTAAAAAATAAAGTAAAATTGGAAGATCTTTTATGTCTTGCATCTGTAAAAGAAACAACACCGTCTTCATCATCCGATTGGGCGCCACTTCATCCATCTACGCACCCTGGAGTCTAGGTGGTACACCGACTCTCCACACAACCATTACGAGTCGTAGGATGCCACGGAAATAATCTTGGCATCTTACCTAGGTACTCTGAAAGAGGAGAAGTCTTGGTGATCTTCTATCTAGTAACGCTGGATTGTTTCTATCTACCAAAATATGCTTCTACGGACTACAAGCTAACCATTATATTCAACTCTGGGTTTGTTAGAGACCTTGACGTATCCCCAATTGAGCATACATTTCAAACAAGTGCCACCCCTACTGCGGTATGGATGTCTGCTCGAATCGCGTAGAGCACGTCGGGCTCCTAGCCGATGTGGATGGGGATAACGATAACGGCCGATATTCTCAGCCGTCAACTCGCACACGCCTTATCCAAAGGCCCAGGTTGTTTCTAGTTATATTGTCAATCTCAACCCTTCTGAATGTTGTGCTTTTTGTTGTTTCTCTACACCTAGTATTCAAAAGTGAGCCTCCGTCCAAATACGCGAATCTCCAGCGCAACAACGAAGAACCCTATGTCCGTGTGACACGGTATAGTTCCGAAAACGAAACCCTTCAAGACGAGTTATGGCACAACATCAACGTTGACTACGGCGTAGTCGCGTTATCTGATCAATGGGCGGCTGAGCATGGCCTTAGAACGGCCCAAAGATTTCCATGGGATCAGAGCAAAGGGATATACATTTTGCACGCTTTTCATAATCTGCACTGTCTTAAAATCGTCCACATCTCTCTGGCAGAGTACAGGCGTGGAGCTCCTCAATCTCGCGACCAGCATCATATCAATCACTGCTTAGATGCCTTGCGCAGGCAGATAATATGTGATGCCGACGACACACCGCGGGCTACTGAGCATCGGAAAGAGGTGGTCAGTGGGCTTTTGCAGCATCGCAAGTGTCGTAGTTGGGAAGAACTGGAGGCTTTTGCAAAGCGGCACACGGCGTGTTATAAGCGTCCCGAAGACCCGAAAAGGGCCAAGGGAAGACCTATCCTGGAGAGATTCAAGCATTGCCCTCCAGACAGCGGGTACGTTGTCATAGATGATTATATGTCCCCAGACGAATTTATGGTGGGGCTACCAGAGGAGTCGTTGGAAAGTATCTAAAGGCCTGTCCTCTCTTTTCGTTCGGTTCGCATAGCACTATATTTCGAGTACTTTGTGATATGGTCACTTATTCCTGGGTACTGGTCAATTGTTCATCTTCGCGATTGACGCAACGCTCCATGCTTAATATGTTGTCTAGGGGGTACATAAACTTCTCCGAACATCTTTACATGTCTGTAGGGTCAATTGCGTGGTAGCTCACTCGAACGAGATTCGATGGATACTAGGAGTATCAAATGAATGTGGATAATGCTAGGCTAAAAACAATATTTCAACGATTGTCCTTATTCCCGTACCAACATATTTAATACCTAAGTTGTCCATAGTAAAGGTTCTCTCTCTCTCCTTCTCAGCATTGGAGCTTCTATGAGAATTGATTCAACTTTAGAAATATTCATCCTACCACAAGTTATTCCTTTAAATAATTCCGCAGGTGCGTGATCCCATATTGTAGAATCACTTAGAGGCGGTACGCTTCTTGAAGGCTTCTGACACGTCAAGTTCAGCCTCTCCCCGTTTGAAGCCCTCTGACATATCAACTTCAGGCTCTTCTCTCTTGAATGCTTCTGAAACGTCTAGTTCAGTTTCTTCGCGTTGCACGATACCAACGCCACCGATATCTAAGTAGTTAGCATGTATAAGTGAGTGCACCCGATATATCATGACTCACGAGCAGTAGGAGCTGTGTTAGCCATGATGGTAAACTGGAGAATAATGGCGTAGAACTTGAGGTATTGCATTTTGTTTGGAAAACTATCGATATTGTGTAGGTTGGGCTGTTTGGGGGAGAATTTTCTACTCGATCAAGAATTGTAGGGAGAGGGCTTTCTTGGGGCGCTTTAAATAAGTAACCATGCTGTACATGTCTAGATATATCTTCACGTTATAGATTTACATTGTGTGGTACTTAAGCGTGAATTCCAAAGGGCAATGGCGTAGTAGTGAGTGGTACCTAATGTATGGAAGTTATGGTGTGTGATAGGATAAAGAAGCTCAGTTACACCACAAGGAATATCGGCATGCCACCGAATTTGCCTGGATCCTTTCGGCAAGTTAAAAAGCACATGCATAGCCCATCGCCACCGGATGCATGGTTTAGGACTTCTGCGTGTTGGCTGAGGGCGGGCCATTGTATGTAACACAGATGGTAAGCTTTAGACTTTCCAGGCAATTTTATGCGATGCCTGGGTTGTAATATTGTTGTCTTGCATGTGGTTGATCATGAGTCTCAAAAGTTAAGGGGCGGGACGTATATCGCCCAAACAACACGAGATATCTCTCATCTTTGTGTTACAAGTCGGATAGAGACCATACAAAGAAACTATTAATAAAATAAGCCCGCGATTCTTGTAGAACGTCAGATAGGGCTTCGATTCCTAGTCGTTATGCCTATGTGCCTGTGTCTTTGGGAGAATTAATACACTCCCGCTACCTCGATTGCCTATGACTTCGAACATAGAAGGATAGTGCGCCTCAAACAAAACAATGCATAGATATAATCTACTAACAAATGAGGCCGAAGAAGGCGATTCAGAGAGGCCGCTTCCAAATTCCTTGCTATCATTTAGATGGGGATTGGCGGTATCAGCTCGTGCTCATCACCTGCTCATCACTGTTGGTATCGTTGCTGCTGTATCGACAGGATTCATTGCTGGTATCTTATTTCCGATGAGTGTAAACCAATTGCAGGAGGACAGTGTGTCGGGGGATACGGCAGCACGTATACCGCTTCCAATTGTTGAGCAGGCATTTACCTATTCATCTCCATTTTCTCAGGAGCCCTCAAAGGCTGAGGGATCTGAAGTGATGTCGGAACCGATTTGGGATGCGTTGATACCGAGTAAGTCGCCGCGAACATAGCTTCGAGATCTGATATTTGACTAAATGATGCTCATGTAGATGGGCTTGGCTACTTTAGGGATGGTTATATTGCCCCCCAGCCATGCATACCCACCGTATTCCACCAGCTGCATTGTCTATATATTCTGCGACGCGCTTACTACTCACAATCCGACGCTCTCCAAGAATTCGATTTTGGGAAGAACCGGACTCGCCATGCAGCGCATTGCTTCGATTATCTTTTGCAGAGCTTGACGTGTTCGGCTGATTCCACTGTCGAGCCGGCCCTAGGCGGGGAGCATGAATTCTTGGGAAGCGGGTTTCAGCGCCAGTGTCGCGATTTTACTACTTTGAAGGAGTTTGTAGAGAAGTGGAGGGTGTTTAATGCCAGTGGCTTTTTAGCAGTCGGCCTAGACCACGGGCATGCCCATATTCAGAGTACACCGTAATACAAAGGATTAAAGAGTAGGAGTATATGAGGCAATGAAAAGGGGAGACTTGGTGGGAGTGATGTTCTTATCAAGAATAGGTTGACGAAAAGACTTAGCTCTGAAATGAGCCCGGAGTATTAGGCTGCGAGGCGTCTAGATTTAGCATCTATGGTGTCGTTTAGCTAGAGAAGTCATTGAAGTGATTCCCTCACGATTATCTTCAATTTACTCGTATCTCGTATCTACATGGAAGCATTCATCGTGCGTGGTTCCTCTTTAGGTTATCGATGTAGTTCATAGGACCAGGTAATCAAGCTATCAACTTGGCTCATCATTATAGGTATTACTTCTTGAAGAACTGCCAAAGAAATTAGCAACGTATCAAATAAATGCGTGTTGGAAGTAGGAATTACCTCAGCGGCTTCTTCAGGAGTCACGTTGGACGGTTCTGATATGCTCTTATCAATAAGACCTAGCGTAGCTCTAGCCCCTTTCATCTGCCACCACAATTCTCTCCTATCACCACCTAGCTCACCCGACAGCAAGCGCTTCTTCAAGTCGTTCAAGAACGAATTATATAAGGCTGGCATCTCCCACCTAACCATTGTATCTCTAAACACGCCGAGATTTTCAACGGCTCTATCGTATCCACTATCACCAAGGCTGTTCGTGATAAGTGAACGGATGATGTTGCCCATCTGCTTCGCAGCATTCTCAATCTGGGATTCTTCATCGGCGTATTGCACCATCTGCTTGAACTCGGGGATAGCATTCTCGGGGCTGATCTTCGTGCGTTTGTTCTCGGGTTGACTGAGGAGGGCATCAACATCGAGTCCTGAAATCGGCTCGGGCTTGTGTCCTTTCTCTCTTCTGCCTTTGGCTTTCGGTGGGACTACGTGGATGTTAGTCTAGTACTAAAGCCCTATTGATCGACAGATGGAATAATACCTTTCTTGACGTTAGCTTCCGCTATTAGGTCTTCTAGCTTTGATTTAGCTTTGACAATTAGGTCCTCGGGCGGGTTTGAGTATTTAAATAGGATGGGTGGAACAGGAGGGAGGGGTTGATCTGGATAAATCGCGCGATGCCGAACAACTTGGTTGATACGATGAAGTGGAGGACAGAATGAATCTTCCACGGCGGCATATTCCTGAGTGCGGTTCCTTGGAAAAGTTAGCTCGATGGGGAATTTTTCGGAGACTTAGGATACTAACCCCTCTTCATCTTTTAAACAGGTAGATATGTCCATAGCGTCGACATAGTCATTCATGGCGTCTGTGAGCTCGGCGCTGGGTAGGAGGCGATGATCTTCATGTTTTACGTTGCCTGTGACCGTAATCACCTTGTCAAGTGGGGGAAATTGGTAATTTCTGACGTCTTCGGCGAAAGGTAGCGGAACATCATACAAGCATTCAAAATCTGGTTCGATGTGAGGCGCTAGGAGAATTAAAGAGGGTTCCTTTCCATCCTTCGTCACAATTCGTGCGACAGCGTAGGAATCAAGTTCTAGGAGCGCGTGGATGAATGACGAGAGCTTTAACGCTGCTGCATCGTTAAGTTTCTGGGGAATTGTTTGGCATGTCTCTCCCATATTGAAAAATGGTTCGTACTAAAAGGGGTTAGAAAAATAAGAGACCCCAGGCATCAGGATTCACTTACCTTTTCTTGGTGTATGAAGCCCAAGATAGTGAAGCATTTCGTGGTCTCAATTTTGGTAATGTTGTATTCAGATTCGCTGATGTGAACGGCTGTCCTTCCATATTCATAACCCTTGGCCAACGATTCAAACTCCACATCTCGTTTGCCTCCAGGGGCCTCAGGGTCATTGACCTTATATGTTCGCGCATTTTTCACAGCGGAAAATGTGCTGGTGGGTTCTACACCTTCCATCTCATCACCTTCGGGAGCTTGAGAAGGGCCAACATCGGCTGACATGACTACTCGACTAGCTGGCGGTATCGTCGCTTTGTGGGTCTTGAAATATCGTTCAACACTGATACTCATAGCATCTTTATGTTCTTCGGGATTTCCAAGAGTGAGTTCTCCGTCGTATGTCTTATACGGTCTAACAGACTTTAACCTTGGTTGATCGAGTTCAGCAATGGCTTCTGCCATCGTACCGTATATCCCATCACACTTATCGACAAGATCTCGCAGGACCTTTTCATTCTCTCTCTTCCGATCTGTCTTGTCCTCTTCCTTGACGCCGAATTCGCGGTCATCAAAGTCCACACCCCTAGTCATAGATTAGTAAAGTATCTCGGATTGCTTTACAAAGCACTTACAAGACCACGAGTTCGATGCCACAACCTTTGATCTTGGCGGCTATGTCATCGGTATCATCTGGATCAACAGACCCTTCACCATTCGTGACCAATATGATTTTCCTTTTATACTTGAGCTTCTTAGTAAACTTCTCAATCATTTCAATAGCAACTACTATAGCTGAGACAGAGTCGCCAGCTTCAGTATCGCTAGGCTTTATAAGGCCCTGTAGACTGTGCAAGCTGGTTAAGTTCATGGGACCAAGCTCTTGTAAAATGGAGATATTTTCGTAGCTTTCCCCTTGCTCTTCATATAAGGGATTATTTGTTTCATCGGTTCTTACTCCGACGACTCCAACGGTCCAAGTTTTTCGTGATGCGGCAACGGTCGTGGAGATCTTGTCCCATACGTAGCGCGTACCCCAATCAAGATCTGATTCCACTCTTCCATTGTGACAATCACCCATCGATGACGCGAGGTCAACGATGTAGACTGTAGCCTCCTTATCCGCCATTATCGCAAAGGTTGTATAAATGAATGAGTGAGAAACGAGTGAGAAGTGGGATGGAAATTAGGTGAAAGGATATCAAGACATTTTGGTATCTTATCCTTAGCGTTAGGAGGAAATGAATGACATTAAGAAGGTTAAAAAATTGTTAAAATGTTATCGGAATTGACTTATCAATCTATTAAGACAAGGCATCTGCCTAGAAGCTAAAAGTATCTTCGTATATCTGCCTGGCACCTTACATGTTAATTGTTGAAATTAGTTACCCCTGTAGCGCGTTTCGTTTGCTAACAGGCAGTCGCGCAGCCACCTGACCGCCTCTATATGCGCCTAACTATCCGGAACCAATCAGAACCCATACATGGTCCAAGCTCCTCTGTCTAGGGTACCTAGGGTGTACCTAAATCGCACGATCGCGGGGCTAAAACACACCATGATTTTAGAACGTCATTATAATCAATCGATTTTACGATTTTAATAAAACTGCCGAAGCTTCCTCCTCAACGCCTATGAATTTCCTAGCTATCTAAATCACTTTAAAGTTCTGTATATATTTTCTCAGTTTTAAATCGCAACACTTGGAAACCTGTCTTCATAATGGGTGATGGTTCAATCCTCTTTTCCTTAGCACCGTACCATGTCTTATCGTAGGTCCAACAATACTCTAGCGAAGACAAGCTTTCAAAGTTCACAGCTAATTTCACAACAGCTACGGTACACTATTAGGAACGCAGGTGTTCCATGTAAGTGACATGTTGCTCAATTATTCCATCCGATAAACCTATCCATCTTCGATTAGCCGAATAGCCTTTCGACATTACCTCCTAGTAACCGAATCGAACCAATTGACCAACTAAATACCAATCGAATAGACTTTCATCAATTCCATAGCCTCCTTTAAAGTACTCGAAAGACCCCAATTCGCTATATTACAGCGCGCTGTTTTCCCTGCATATTTCGGTATCCAAGCCGCCGTTCCCGCCGTCCTCGCCCTTACATATCCGGGTAGCAAAAGCTCCATACACGGTCTCGGGGTACCTTCGAGTTTCGCCGGTGTACTTCACGAGTCGAACCGCTGGGGTGTTTTATTGCCTCTCGGAACGGCATTTGCGGCAGGACTTTTCAACTTAGTCTACCTACTCCCCGAGACGAACAAGATTACCGCCCTGAGACGACAGCAAGGTAGGCACTACACATACAAAAACCTAGGTAGGGTATAGGGCCTGTCGCTAATACGAAGTAATGGCGCAGAAGAAAAAGATGGCAAAGCGAGTTACGACAAACCACCGCATTCGAAGGAAATGACAGCACTGAATAAGCAATTCGGTCAGATCCACGGCATTTCGTCGCTGGTCAATTTGATCACCATAATTGCGACCGTTGTCTATGGTTTCAATCTATCCTCAAGACTCAAGTAAATCAGTAGATGAGGGTATGTTTGTAACAGGGTCAATCTACGCCTACCTACTAGAATGAATTACGTGTACATGACACCAAGAAATACGAAACCATCAAAAGCTGTCAATCAAACAGTAAACTGCGAAAATCACCCGTAAACCGTTAATTTATTAAAACTGTCTACGTAGCAAAAGACACAACAAATTGCCCGTAAAATGCATGAAATTTCCAGGATAACCCAGATTCCCAGCGACATACAAATATGTGAAATCCCCACTGTCCGGGTATGTAACGCAAAAAAATACGCCGTCTAAAACAGTCCGAAACAGCAGACGTATCCAGATACGCCCCCCGATTTCGTTTCGTTGATCCCTGGGTATAATGCATACAAAGGGGATAGATAATGCCTGCCAATCAACTAATCAAATTGCCCATTTCCTCCATGAACACCTGTAACTTCCTTAGGTAGGTAGGAAAAGTTGAGTAGAGTTGCTGGTTTAGATTTGTCCGGCTAGAGCGAGTAACTCCCTCTTAGCATTCGCTAGCTTGCGCGCTCTCGTCTCGCCGTCTTCTACTACAGCCGGCGATGCGGGTAAGGCAGCTGCGCGCTGGAGTGAACTGTGTAGTGAGCGCGGGAGTGGCTTCATGGCTAATTGCGCTGCGACATCGAGTTCGCCCGTTGGCGCGGCGTACTCCCGCTCCAAGGGTGGGATTGGGTAGTTAGTGCCGATCATTGAGTTGCTGATTTTCGCCGCGGTGCTAGGTGTGATTGTGGGGGTTTCTTCCTCGGTTTCGGAGGATGAGGTTGAGGTTGTAGGGGACGGACTCGCTTCTGGGAAGTAGCTTGATGAGACTTCCGCTGGTTGTGTGGTGGTGAGGAGGCTCCGTCCCTTTGCGGAGGCCTGCGAGGAGGATGTGGGAGCTTTGGGGAAGGTCACGCGGTCTTCCGTCACGATGGTGAGGGTCTTTCCAGATGCAGACATGGTGATGAAGATGTTCTATGAGTATAGGTAGATAAATGGGTAGGTAGAAGATAGCAGTCAGACGTTTAGATTGTTGTTTACTTATAGTGAGCAAGCAAGGTCAAGTTCAGATAAGTTATGTATATGTGGTTGAATTTTAGAAGACGTCTTTCCTCCCGCTTTGACAGGTATTTAGCTGATTAGCTCAGATCGAGTTACAGATTTGAAATAGTTGAGAAAACAAAGGAAGAAAACCGAAAAGAAAGATGAGGGCACGAGACACATATGTATACATCTGGTCTCTGGAGATAGGAGGTAAGCAAACTCAGAGAAAGAAGAGAATAATCCATCGGCTTTCCATCTCATCCACTTACATGGAACCCCCACTCTGTATCCTGTCTTCGGAAGATGGATCTACTTGCCTACTGTGTACTAATAACGTGCATTCCTTTTTAGTGTATATGGATGCATTCACCGCCGTGGTTTTGCTCGACATACCTAGGTATAAACCCATGTTACCAACAAAATGGCTTGCAGTAGTAGGAAGCACAAGCAAACAAGGGTTCGGTTCATTCGTCAGCGGTGAATTATTTAGTATCCGTATACTCAGTGGTATTAGTATTACCTAGGCTGCTAGGTATATTATTGCTTCGTACACCTCGCTAGACTGCAGTCAGGGTCCTCGGCCCCACTCTCCTTTGCTGGGACCCTAAGCAAAAGCACACCATGATGCATAGCAGCATGGTATCGTGAAATGTTGTAATGTTGTAATCTGGATGAGGCGGCGCCAATGGACGGTTGAGGTGGGTTTTGATTAGGTGGGTGGTTGGCAAGGCGGGTTTCGTATTGGATCATCCCTTTCGGAGGGTGGACCGCTTCGACTCGCCATTCTTCGTAACTTTGAAGGTTGCAAATTCAACGTCGGTCTGTTGATCTTCTACTATTATTGTAGAACAACTGTTCAGTTTTAATGAAATTTTTGATAGCTGTATAGTGTTGGCGAGCGGGAAAAGTGATATTTTCCAAAGACAAATCATACAATCTCTTGTTGAGAGGACACGTGAGCATTTCCTTAGTAGATATGACCATTGAAATTACGAGAGCAGCACGGAGTTTGTCTAAGCGAGGTCATGAACCCAAGTCCGTACGTTGGTATTACTCATTTGGCAATAGGCCGACCGTGTTAATTCTTATTCATAAATAACAAGCCACTGACTCTATAGACTTTGTGCTTGGCCGCTGTAGTATGTAGTGCTTCGAAAATGCAACGTTTTCTTATTTATGTAGTAATAGCCGTTTACATGACAAGGATAGTCCGTGGTAGTTAGGAAGGTAGATCATCTCCTGAGTTCTTGGAGTAGAATACTCCGAAGGGTAGCAAAATGTCCAGTTAGTTAGTGTTGGCTTATATGATCCAATAAACAGTTTGCGTCACAGCACCAATAGTCATCTGAAAAGGGAACGCCTCCGTATGCTGTCCGCCATCATCATCGGTCAAAGTCCTTGTCGGGTGTCCGGTATTTGTGGGGCTGAAGGATCGTGGGATGCATAGCAAGGCCGCATAAGTGTGGACTCTTCCGACAGCACACATAATAGTTGATGCAGGCCTTTATCTTCTATTAACCTGGGTAGGAATTTGTTGGCCACCTGAAAGGCTATTTTGTTGAATAAATCATTGGCGTTTTTCATAATGGATCTATTCAAGATCAACTGCCTTATTCTTGCGTATTGAGACACCCCCCGCACTATACCATTATACGAGGACGAATAGATTACACGATCGAGCTTTATTGTTCCGGGTTGGCGCTGCATAACTGCGTCATACTGCAGTAGAGCGCTGACTTATCTGACGACTTAAATACGCATGTGAACGCATTTAGCGAACACCATCCGGTGATTAAATATTAGATCTTCTCTACCTTTGCTTTGTCTTTTGGCGCTTCGCTACGTCGCTCGTCCGAGCCATGTTTGGTGATGCCGATGGCGCTTTGTATGCAGTTAGGCTAGGTATATGAGCACCAATTTGCTTCTTGTACAACTTGTACTCGGGGTATTTTTCGGCACTGATCAATTCTGTGAGCCAGGTCGATCCCTGAAAAATCATAAGTAGGACTACAACGCCAATTCCCGTCCAGTTGTAGAGGGACTTGCTTGCGTAACAACCCCATTGGTACAACAAGATCCAGATCGTTTGTTCGGCTGCAAAGTTAGGATGTCTGCAGTATGCCCACAAGCCGGAAGTGATAAAACCTCGGTCTAGATCTTCTTGTGTGAAACCGCATCCGCGCGGGATTTTCGCAGTCTGCTGATACTGCTTCTTCGCTGCTTGGTAGTCTAATATTTGTTAGCAGCGATCTAAATAAGTATTGTGAGACTGCCTACCCCATTGTTGTTGGTCGCTGAACCACTCGGAGAGGACAAGTCCAAGTTCGACAGCCGTAAAACCTAGGTCCACAGCCGTGGCCTCGTGCTCAAATTTTGAAGCTAGCAAGACAATATAGGTCGGTGCCGCCAGAAAGAAGAGTAGTATGCTCTGGATGAACGAGATGAAAGTTGCATTGAATAATGAAAATAGTACCGGATGTACTTTGCTTCGGATTATCGCCCTGCATGCCGCGTTAGGGTGCTTGATCAAAGTGGGAGTATCAAAGAATTATACCATCTGTAGTCCTCTGACCCAATATCATAGCCTCCCTTCCGCCAATAATTAAAAGTCAATCGAGCCTTGTGAATATTAGCTACAGCGAACCGAAAGAGCAAGACTACCTTATTCCTTCACATACGCTCCATATAACACTCCATAACAATATTAGATCTACCCGCTGACTTGGAAGATTATTTAGGTGCGACCAGGCAGCAAAATGGGCATTGTATATTGTAGGTAACAAACTCCACATGCGATCGACTTGGGAATAGTTGCGATTAACTTCGGCAGCAACTAGGAATATGGCACCGAGGAATATGGAAAATCCAAGCCCTGATATAAACGGGTTGGTAGTCTTATATAGTTCGACGAGAGAATCGTGGTTCGATACGGTGTCAACGATCTTTCTAGGTAGTTCGTACAGTTGTGGTAGGTAGGGCTCAACCACCTGGGAGTAGTCGGCGCAATCTTCGAACGCATTCACCCATGGTAAAGCCATATCGTATTTTCGAGTTGTTGATGGAAATCGAAGGTACGGTTAGGAGAAGGTGACATCAACTTGTCGCCAAAACAATTCAAATTATTAGAGGACGTCATGACTTTGTTCAAGAACAGCTTTCAGCATGCGAGCATCGAAGCTTGGGATTAATGGCACGGGCCACTCTTGGTCCTAGCTTCTAAAGCGGGTCCAGGGGGCTGAGGGGCACTCTGTAATAGTATCACAACGCTAACCTCGAGGGCTTTAGCTGCAGTAAGCTAGGCGCCAATCAAGCACTAGCCCAACTAAATAATCCAGGATGTTTACGGGGAAGCTTCAACATAGAAAAATAAAAAATAAAAGTTCAGAAGGCACGCGATGTTAATCTTAGAAACTGAAAATATATAGCAAACCTATAAATTTTCAACTTCAAAGTTATCGTCTTAGCTAGCGCATCTGAATCAAAACTAGAGAAACCCCCAACTCACAGCACTCCGACGATGAAATAACCATGGAACGTGATCTCTCAAGTAACCGTCTGCTGTTCTCACTCACGCGTGACGGCGTTCCTTATGAAGCATTCGCCTAGCTACGTACGTCGTGTCGGATGGGCATATAGAGTAGTAGCCTTGCGATATTGCGACTATCGACTCATTATACGACGTAAATCAACCATGCGAGTTCTCTGTGTCGCTGAGAAGCCGTCTATCGCGAAAGCTGTTGCTGGGCATCTATCAGGCAATCAGGTTACAGTTGTTAGTTGCAAATCCAAGTTAACATGGATGTCTGCCAAATACCAAGTTTCTAACCCCAGCATAGCACAATACGCCAGAAAAATACATCAAGAACTATGTCTTTGATTATGACTTCGGAAGGCCTTGGGATCACTGTCAAGTTACTATGACCTCTGTACTTGGCCATATCACATCCGCTGTCTTCCCTGCCGACTATAAGAATTGGGAATTTCCTCCCCCAGAACGGCTGTTCGATGCGCCCGTGAATATCATCACTTCCGAGGTGGGTATTCCAACATCCAATATGCAGCAACTATCAATTCTCTAATGGTGCGATTCGTAGGACAAAACGAAGGTGGCAGAAAATATCGAAAAGCAAGCACGCTATGCCAATGCGTTATGCATTTGGACAGACTGTGATCGAGAAGGAGAACACATAGGCTATGAGATCTGTGAAGCCGCCAGGAAAGGCAACAGGACTCTAGATATTAAGAGGGCCAAATTCAGCAATATCGAGAGAGCGTCAGTGGTCTACCGACTTGTCAGTATCGAATAAATAACTAACGAAACCCAGACATATCTTAAATGCATCCCGCAATCTCATCGATCTTGATTTGAGGCAAGTCAATGCTGTTGCCTCTCGTATTGAATTAGACCTTAGGATAGGGTATGCGTTCACTCGTTTCTTGACTACGAATCTTAGGACGCTGGGAGGACCTTTTCAAAAGCTCATGCTAAGCTATGGTTTGTTATCTCGAACCCATTATACTGGATTCTTCTAACTTCGCAGGATCCTGCCAATTTCCAACTCTCGGGTTTGTGGTAGACCGATACTTCAAAGTGAGAAATTTCAAGCCAGAGCAGTTCTGGAGCATCAAGGTCATGCATAAACGAGAAGGCATTGATGTCCACTTTAGTTGGTCTCGAAATCGCCTCTTCGATAGGGCATCTGTGGTCATCTTCTATGAGAGGTGTCTGGCGGCCAAGAAAGCCAAGGTAGTTAAGGTTCAAGAGAAACCTACGAAGAAATGGAAGCCCTTGCCGTTGACTACAGTCGAATTGCAGAAGATGGCTACGATATTTCTACACATGACTGGTCAGCAGGCAATGGAGGCCGCAGAAAGTCTCTACAACAAGGGATTCATCAGCTATCCGAGAACAGAAACCGATCGTTTCGATCCCGGTATGAATTTGCGTACACTGGTTCAAAAGCAAACCCAGTCGAACTCCTGGGGCGAATTTGCGCAGAACTTGACCGATGGTGGATTTCAACAGCCACGGCAAGGACGTAACGACGACAAAGCACATCCTCCAATTCACCCAATCACATATGTGGAACCAACAGCTCTCAACGATAGGGAAAAGAAGGTCTATGAATTCGTCGTTCGGCGATTTCTAGCCTGCTGTGCAGAGGATGCTAAAGGTGTGGCTACAGATGTGGACATCTTATATAGAGAGGAGTCCTTCCATGCTCATGGCGTTGTTGTCTTGGAACGAAACTATTTAGATGTTTACATTTATGACAAGTGGACCGGTACCGTCCAACTTCCCAAATTCACCGTCGGGGAGCTCTTCGAACCCACCGAAGCTCTTATGACAGAAGGCAAGACAGCGCCCCCCAATTACCTGACTGAGGCAGATTTAATTGCTCTTATGGATGCCAATGGCATTGGGACAGATGCTACTATGGCAGAACACATCCAGAAGATCCAAGAGAGAGACTACGTTCGTACCGTACCACGAAATTCAAGGTCAGCAGGCAACGACGACGAGGGAGAAGACGCCCCACCAGCACGAGGTGGGCGTGGAGGTCGTGGTGGGCACGGTGGTCGTGGCCGAGGAGGGCGCGGTGGAGGATCTACAACCGGTGGGCGAGGAGGGGTGATGGAGTTCATCCCAACCCAACTGGGAGTAGCTTTAATCGAAGGGTTCGACAGGATGAATTTTGAGACCAGTCTCGGGAAACCATTTCTACGAAAGGAGATGGAACTAAAAATGAAAGCCATCTGCGAGGGTCTTACGACTAAGGAGGACGTCCTGAACGAGAGTATTCAGCAATATCGTCAAGTCTACTTGCAATCGAAGCAGAAGTTGACAGTGCTCAAAGCGGTAAGTTCTAATATTAGTATATCTCTCATCCAGGGGCGAATTGCTAACCCAACACTTAAGGCCTGTCGGCAGTATGTCTTCCAACAGAATGGCGGCTGAAAGTGAAGATCGACTTAGTTTTGCCGATTAGTATGGCTAAGGTCTCATTGGGTTGATTCTACGAAAGTCGCTCATGTTCTAATACTAAGTAGCAACGCATACGCAAACAACACAAACTTTTCTGCGGACCGAATCCTAATCCTTGGTGGAAGATAACGGGTGGTTGAGGCAAATACGCCGCACAGCCTTCCTTGATCTTTACTCCGAGCATCGGCGCTTTTCATTACTCAGACTGATGACGCTCGGCCTAAGGGTATACTTAGGCAAAATGATCTCCGACGATGGGCTAAACTAATCTAGGACGCGTGCGAAACACCCATTTGCGAATTGGATGAAACTTAAACGCAGGATCCAATTCTCTCAGTTGGCGTCTATACGGGTCCATCTTCGTGCGTGCGCTCCTCCATGGTATCGCGAAATTACGGAGCAAGTCATACCTTACCTACATAGCTGTAACACCCGGCGCATCCCCACCTAAGCTAGAGAATATGTCGTCGGATCGCGTTATCCTAAAACGTGGGGGATTCGTACTGGATGATGGGTTATTCTCGCGAAACTCTTCTAGCGGGGTAGTTGAGAGCTCTACAATGTTGAGTTGCGACACAAAATACGACCCCTCTTTGGATACCACCATTCACGATCGCGTACTACCCGACATTGAGTACCATTCTCTATTCTATCACATTCCTGACTGCCGGGTAACCGTGCTGGGATTTACCTTCAACAGCGACAACGATTCAGTTGTTGGTGATTCAGAACAATTGAACAATTGACATATGTCTGGGCATCGTGATCAATTCATAGGCAATTGTTCCAATGGCGATTCATAGCCACCATAGAATTACCCAGCGCTTCCTGGTATCCTAGGGCTATAGAAAGCCACTCGTTCCCGAAAAGAAAGCCGTCGGGACACTGATAGCCCCGGTATTCCGTTGCGTCGTTTCGTCACTGGGTTGGCACTACCTGCGAGCTAGCTGAAGATTGGTGGGATGGAGTAAAAGTAATCGTGCATCACGATGGCGATTTTCAACCAATCACATCGAAGCGCAGGTACAACGTGAGGAATTCCTGGGACCATGGCTTTCGAAATTCGGGAATCATGTGGTACCACAGTTCGACCTATCCGGTTGCGCATTTTCCAATTCAATTCAATGACTTTCCGGGAGTGTGCGCAGTGTCAAACAATTAACAAGCTAGCAAGAAGTCCAGGCCAGCACGAAATTCGTTCATACGTAGGTACACGAAACACCAACATAGCCGATTAAGAGGGGAAGTTGAGGCTGCACATGGAAACAATGTTGGGGAGGTGTATTGTGTCTCGATTCGATTGACGGGAATGAAAATTCCCAGCCTTCTTTCTTTTTTACACTGACCAAGAATCAATCCCGATATCATTGGACCGAGGGAAGGTTGTAATGCGAAGCTGTGCCTAGCTGCGGGCGATTGTGCTTTGCACATTGATAATGCGGACTTCCAGTCTCGGCTGGGTCTATATGGTAATGGCTTGTTGGATAGAGATAGTGCCATTCCATCCCTTGCCATGCGAGATAACCGGGGTGGACAAATAGATAGATGCCGTTCGGCTCAATGGCGGTTTTCAGTATCAAGCCATTCCCCCAAAGCGGACTGCCATACATAGACCCCACGAGTTTTCCTTATGTGGGACCCCCCCCAGAGATTCAGTATCTGCACGATGATAGAGATGGGGATGGGAGATGGGGGGATATTTCCAAGGAAGTGCATTTTTCAACAACTTCACCTTACTGTATCTATCCATGGTCTTTTTCACTACTACATAAGGTACATAAGGTATTAAAATAACTGGTGCGTACCTAATTGTTCAGGTAAGCAGTAGAACTTAGGGCAAATCCGAAAACATGTGGCCACACGTCATACCACGCATGTCTTCGGGTTCTAGGTCCTAGAGTAAGCTGCATCTTTCGGGAATGTACCGAGGGTTCCATTACATTACATGTACATCACCACAAAACAGGGCCAGGCACCAAAGGGAGAGTACATACAAAGTACCTATCCGGGTAGACAAGACAACAAAGAAATCTGCGAGGTGGCTGAATACCTCACTGTTAGGTAAGTGTATATGAACACCTACCTAATGAATAAACCTGTCAAAGATCTACCTTTATGTCGATAGATACCGAAATATTGAACACATCATCGTTTCATGAGTCAAGCTGTCATTGCTTAGCTCTAAGGCGTTGAATAGAAGGGAATTAATTAGGTCATTCATTACCTATGGTAACCCTGTCTTGTCACAATGATAAGACCCCAATACGGACACGATACTCCTACTCTCTCGCCACAGTAAAACATGGGGATCACACCTAGAGATGATTTTTTACTTGTTTAAGTATTACTACATACTACACACATGCGTAGCATAGCCTTCTTTTAGACCTAAAGTAGGGTTGGGTTGGTAATGATGGCATTGCTAAGAAAATGTATTTATGTATTCTTCTTGTTAGTTCAGCGTACGTAAGGCTCCTCCCTCCTCCATAGGACTCAAGGAATAGGTACCTAGCTTAGCAGCTTGGAGACTATATGTATGGATGTAAGAGTTGAAAGTTCTTGTTTTTAGCGATTCTTATCTGGATTAGTATCAGAAATACGTTACATAAATCCATATGCATGCATTAGGTATTATGTATACCATATTATGTAGTATAGATGTTTGATGTTTGACTTCAGGAACGAAGAAGGAGGAATGGGATTCAACTTTAAGGAAGAGCGAGTAGTCCTTTCATTATGTGTCTAGGTAATATGTAGGTACCTCCTTACAAGATGGATACAAGATACGTACTCCAAACAAACCTTCGCAATGCGTATTGGTGTACCCAATTTCCTTTATTAGACGCACCACCGCTAGTTCGCTAGGACCACTCCCTGCTCAAAGCGTCCAAGCAATCAGGTGCTAGTATTAACCCCTGTGCGCCGTGCGTCGCCTGCTGACCCTGCTGAACAACAACACGCCCCCCCTGACCACGACCCGGTACGGACTAGTTACAGGTACCTAGGTACGAACCAGTTACGGTCTGCAGTACAGAGTACCTACGTACAACCAGTAGAACCTTCCGCTGTCTCATTGTTGTTAGCGAGAGTTATTATTATTACTTTAGTAGGTCGCAGCCGTCGCTCGCCGCTCTTCCTACCTGTTGATCTTTCCTGCTCGTCAAGGAAATATCAACAACAACAGAAATCAACATCACCGCATCTTTTTGCACTCCCTTCAGAGTCATCTTTTGTCACAGTAAAGATAATCGCGTTAGCCTAGCCAACTTGTTCCCACTTCAATCTTTTTTGTTTTCGCTCTTTTGACGAAAACAAATTAACAAAACTGTTCGCCATATTGTAATCGCCTACTTCGGACCTTGTCTTTGTAAGTGACTCACCCTGACTCTATCCCACGACTTCATTCCTTCTACTATATCTTCGGCTTCATCAATATTCATTACAAGACGCGTATTACATACCAATTCTACCATTCCAAACCAACAATTATCTAACCTCGGCGTCGCTTGACTTGATAGACTCGTCTCGAAGTATTCAAGAACCCAAAATGGCAACCATGGCATTGGCTACTGCTCGCGATATCCCTATGACCTCCCATCTCGGCCGAGACAACTTAACTGCTGTAGCGGCCAACAGGAGCGTCCCTGTGACACGAACTCATTCCCTACCGACTCCCCCCAATTCCATATCACCTACGCTACCGCCCCATGGCCTCAAGGCCCAGCTGCAAAAGGCGAGACTCGACTCTATTGATTCCGACTTAGATCTTCACGAAGGTCACGAACGCAGCCCCGTCGGTTCGCCGGCCTTTGAGTCTGCAGGAGCTATCACTCCGGCTCTACTAGCCAAATTTCATCTCCCGGAGATCCTCCTGAACCACGGACCCTTGGCAATTCGTTACATCATGGGTTATCTCACGACCTCGGTGCCCGGTTTCGCGGGAATTCCTCCGCCGAAGGCAAGAAGACTAGTTGTGGCAGCGCTGGAAGGACGTGGACAAGGACACGGTGTCGAAGGTGGAGGAGTGGATGGCGATGTGGAATTCCAAAAGGTCGGATGGGGCCGATGGGACGCCAAGCGACGCGGTGAAGCAACTCGACTATCCGCGGGCGAAGCCAACTCAGGCTCCTACCCGACTAGCATACCAATCTCGAAAGGCGCAGGATGGAATGGCGACCGATCCCGACTCAATACACGTGCCACTAGCAATGGGAATTCGGCGGCCTTCTCTCACGACGATCGAGATGCAAATATGATGGAGAACGAGGCAGATAAGATGTCCCTCGACTCTCTAGATGGGCCTGCTTCGGCCTCGTGCTCCTCGGCGCCCGATAATGAGGACATGATCATGAATGATGACCCCGAGGACGCTACCGACGACGAAGACTGGGCAGCAGTAGGTGCTGCCGCGTTACGAGCGGCGTCATACTCCAGTCCGAACGAAGCCCGCCAAGGTGCAAACCAATCTTCTTCACGTGTATATAACTCTTCCGGATTCCGATCATTCTCCGGTACTTCCGGTATGCTTAGAGAACCTCGTCTCGATAACATCGACCTAGACGCACTAGCGGCTTCGTCTGATGCGCAAGAGCGCGAGGCTATCCAAGCACTTTTACAACTCGGTTCTGTATAAATAATCTAGCATGGACGGCGTTTGTCAGGAGACGCCCCGGTTCGGGCGGGATTGGTTTGGTTTGGTTGGCTGGACTGGCTGGGCTGGTTATCGTCGTTGTCCCTTTCTCTGGTCGAGGCGTACATTTGTCATACCGATCATCTCTATTATCGCCTTGCGACTTCTTTTTTTCATCTTCCGACATCCGGCGTCTGGCATCTCGGGAATAATCATCATAGGTATCCCATTATTTCCTATCCAGGGAGATCACGGTTTTATTCCCGGAACATTCCTCCCTGTCGATGGTATCATTTGCATGGCATTTCTCTCAACCCTGGAGGTGGGTCGCATCTCCGCGGTTGTGAGCGGTTCGGAGTTTTGTCATTTCGACTTCCTTTGTTTTTCATCCCGTTATTACACGAATTCACGAATTATAACGGCGAGCTTATCCCGATTCACCTTCATCAGGGAACTAGCCGTCACCAATTTCGAGGAAATATCCGGTTAACCTTGAGCCTGTGGATATTCTCCTTTGTGCGCTCGGTCCCAGATACCCTCTTATGGCACCTAAATCTTCGCTTGCACATTATACCCCCATTGCGACGTACATATAATCGATTTTTAATTACACCTCATTTTCCGCTGGCAGAAAATATCCACTATCATCAACACCCCCTGCCTTCAACAGCAATTTGCAGGGGAGAAGAAATTCACAACTCCGATATAATCAGCGGACTTCGGAACAAACGCCCTTGCGTCATTATTATTTTAGCAAGGACCGGGCGCGCTATTATCATATTTTAATTTTAAGGGCGACATTTTAACGCTCTCGATGAGGGTTAGGGGAGGAGACATGAGGGGGAAGTTAACTTGAGTTGATACGAATATGCTGGATAAGGAAGAAAAAAAAATAGCTAGCCAAATTGTCGGCGACGCTATTTTAGTTGGTAGTGGTACTAGGTAGTGTGGAGAATAAGGGGTTCGAGTGGATATCTTTGTAAAGTGGTTATCGCTCAACGCCATTATATCCATCCATCTATTGTAAGGGCTAAGAAGAGGGTTCTCCACAATGTTTTTTGCTCGGCCGGTACAGAAAAGTAAAAAAGCCAAAAAGAGACGAGGAGAAAAGGATAGCTAATAGCTCCTGAGAGGAATTAAGTTGGATTTGCAGATTTCTAGCTCTTCGGTACTTCATCACCACTCAACAACAAATGAGCATAAATCGTCCAACCCAATAATCATATCTTGTGTCTTGTGTGCTATGTATTGGAGATATCGTGAAATGCTTCAGGGCTTGAGCCCCAGTGTTCGCTTACAATATATCTAGTCTGTTTGGTGTCTTTAGTTTGCTCTTGGGTCGTCTTTCAGGTCAGCATTTATGGGTACTAGCTGAGGAAAATCTTCGAAAATCCTCCGCATACTACCTAAAATAATTAGGGTCGTCGTCGACTAGCGGGCTACTTAGACAGGTGGGACGGTTGACTGACGCCAACTACTTATAGGATATCGTACCGATGATCACGAGACTAATTGCCTAAGTAAAGCAGCTTAGGAATTGGAGATAGGAAGCTTGGAGCTATGACGTAGATAGAGCAGAGGGAATTATTGCTCGTGTTTGATAGTTTGTGCGAGATGATAAGGGTTAACTAACTACCTAGGCTAACTAAATAGGTTGGAAAGGGGGGAGTGAGGAGATGCTATCCTCGGATAGTCGTCGGCTAGCCCCTCATATTAGGCGGCTCTTACACCTGGTGTAGATGTATTGGTGATCACTTCTAGTGGTGGATCGTGGGTATTAGGTATAAGATAAGCACAGTCATCCGGATGTAGATCCATAGGGCTTACCTGATGATCGTATAGTACGGAGCTGAAAGACGACGGACTTATGGGGCATATAAGACTCCGATGCGACGTAGTCCATACGGCTTGAGGGTTGATAATTTGGGAGGGTACGATATCGGCGCGGATGAGCCTTTTGATGATACTACCTACTTAATATAAGGATGAGGGCTACGTGGATTTTCCGCCATAATATATTTTGCAAAAGGAGGTATTTCTTATCGGAGTGGAGGTACTATCTCATTGCCGCGTGATAACCCGTCAAGCAAGGGTATTGTCATCATCTTTAAGGTCGATAGAGTATAACCCACCGCATGTAAAAGTGTCCCTATCTAGTGTTGATAAGGTAAAGAGCATGCATGTAAGTGGCTTCTATTTGCCAACAGTTGGGTGATAAGGTGAGACCAAGAACTCGGCCGAATGTGTGTAACGTCGAGCTCGTCCGCTAGTAGCATTTTAAAACGAAGGTTATTCTTACGAGCTGAAGTTAGTTCTTCATATACGACAACTCAAATTTTTGCCTAGGTGTAAAGGATATGCCTTCAGTCATCTCAAGTTGGTAGTGTAAGCTAAACCATCGTTGGGCTACAGCCTTACGCTGCAGGGAAACGTCTGATTGCTCTCAACACTAAACAACCTACGTTAACTCAAATCTAAATCGCAACACGATAAAACGGTTCAAGGTTGTTATAAGCTCATTAGCTTGTAAGATCTGAAGTCATTTTCTCTAATTATCCAGCGTCGTCTAGTGTTCGGTTGGGCGCATGTAACATTGGTTTAAGTATGAACATCTGGCGCATCCGAGCTGTAAGGGATAAACTAGAGCACATGAGCACAGCACTGATATATTGATGGTTAGTCAATTAGTGTCAAAGGGAGAGAATAAACTCATGGATTTATGCTTTCCGCGATGCCTTGGCGGCGGCGCGCGGAAAGCCAAGATGCCAAGAATATCTATCCACTTAAGGTTAACTGTTCGAAATCAGCTACTTGGCCGTTTTCCGTCAGACGATTCTAAGCTTCAACGGTGAGGAAATAGTGCCAATTTTCCAATCATATTCTAACATCGGACCGGAGTTTGTTCGACTCCGTTGAAAAGACCCGAAACTCGCCATGATATCCAATGCTGTATTTTACGCCTATTTGCGGCTTAAACACAGTGAAAAAAGACAGTATTCACTGGTCGAGGACTCGAGCATAATCAAAGTTAGCCGCTTGCGTTTTAGGTAGGCCTAGAGGCTGATGTTGACCAATGACGAAATAGTGATGAGCAGGATCCTGTCGTATAATTGATGCAAACAAAGAGCGTCGAAAAGCATAACAAAACGCTAAATATCATCATCTGACCTGTAGGCTATTAGTAACCGATACAAGGAGCCTTCGGTCGCAAAATTGGCAAAACGCGTGCCACAAGGGAAGGATGGGTATTGGTGCGGCCTAGGCACGCTGAGTCAGATCTTGGAGCCAAGTAGAATCGGTGAAAATTGACAAAATTTACACCTGATAAAGACTGGGCAAATAATGAGGAGAATAGTCGTGCTATCTTATAGTGCAGGTGATGCGAAAACTTCACCGAATGGCGAATGGTAATCAAGTTGGACAAGATATTCTGCGTGTTCGTTCTCTTGGACGCGGCGTGCGGTTGTCAAATCTTCAATCCTAGAATAGGAAGAGACAAGTCCAACTACCGCATCCTGTCATCATTGACTACCTAGGTAGGTAGGTTAGGATGTCTTGACCTAGGTACTCGGGAAATTGTTGTGTAACAGAAGCCAATCTGCTTCCATTGATATTCTCCTAGAATACCCAACAAATTGTGTAGTTTGGTGGTCTTCCAGTAGCCCGAACCCAGGTCAAACGTACCAAAGGTACCCCTTAAGACACGGACAAAGTATCTAGTAGATAGGTCGTTTGGCCATAGATCTGTTGCCGTGTTGCCGACTTAGAAGAAAGGTAGAATGCGTAGCCAAGAACTTGGCGGGCGGAGAGGAAGACCAAGGCTTGGCCAAGGGCGGAGTGTCGACTATCCTCTTAGAGTGAACACCATATCAATTATACCAAGAGATACCAAGACTTCTCTTCCGCTGTCATATTATCGCCAATATCTTGTTGTAAAAGTGTGTAGTTTATAATGCCGGGAAAAGAGATGTTACATGGTCGAACAAGATGGTGTAAAGTGTTGTCCTTTTTTATTGTCCTATTTCTTCCAATCTGCCGCAGAATCCGAATTCAATTCGACTTGGAAAATAGAAAACTCTAAAAGAGACGGTGGCTATAGGAGAAACACGATAGTAAAACAACGTAGAATTGAATAAGATGGTGTGTGCAAATCAAGAACGAAGACGGAGTCACGGGTAACGGATAAGAAAGAAAGGAGCTGATTATATTACTACGGGAAAATGTCATTTAACACGGCTAGGTAACTTCCTAAGATGATTCGGAAATTCTTATTAGGTAGTTGCATTTGGATGTAGTACTTTAGTACGTAACAAGGAAATGATCACTGGGATCACTCACTACGGCAGCTGCGATTGAAAGTGGAAAAATGCGTATAGAGCCGTAAAAGAGAAAGGAACAATCCAACGCGAAAAACGGATGTTGCTAAGAAAGTGGGCGCAGTCGAGGTCTCGGCGCAGGAGGAACCGGCGGCCAAGGTTTTTCCAAGCAACCACAAGCATTTCTGAGCAGATATGTCGAGACAGTCAGCAAGTGCCAAGACACGCCAAGCTCTTGGCGGAATCTTGGCACGGAAGTCACTACTGAGGAGGGGTGACTCGTACATGGCAGTCATTACCAGTCGTCACCCACATTAACTCACTAACTCGAAGTCACTCTCGGCGTGTGGTACTTAGCTCGTTTGCCCCCATCTCCTTTTAACCAATCACTAACAACCGACCGCAACACCCAAGACCCATTGCCAAGACTTTCCGCCTCGATATCGCCAAGTTCAAACGTCCATAATAAGGAGCAAGCACGACACGCGATTTACATAAACTGATCATTCCTCTCCTCGACGAATATTACCTTCTTCTCCTTTGCTCTTTTAGGAATCGAATCGTGGTATATTATCGTTGTCTTTGGTTCGAAGAAGCACAATTTCTTATGCTCTTTTGATTCCACGGTATTCTACGGAAACCAACCAAAGAGAAACATTTCCGTTTTATGTTTAGTCCCACCCGTTTTAAGAAATAAAAAAAAACCGCTTAGTCATATGTTATCATTGACGGTTGGGGCACCTAAGAAAGTTACCTAGGTACCTATTTTCCACACCTTAAAAAAAATACAAAGCTTATTTTTTTATCCAAAGTTCCTCCGAGAATTCACAATCACGTGAACTTCAGTCGGATTTATCTACTATTTATCTCCGAAGGTCCTCCAAGTCCATTCGACATCACGTGATACCCCTTTCTTAATAGTCTTCGAGATAGCTCGAATCCCTCGCAAACAATGTCAGCAAACCCCGACGGCAACCCGATGCAATCGGGTGGTGAAAGTTCCGCTTCCAATGGTACTACTCCCGCGCCATCAACCGCTACGACAGCTACCTCGCAGTCGAGTGCGCCAGCCTCCGACGATTCGCTCCAGTGTCGATGGGTTGGTTGCAGTGAGAAGTTCAACTCCGCTGAAATACTTTATGTAAGTTTCTCACCACGCCATCGATAGCGATTTTCTTGGCTTGTTTTCCTCCCCGGACTTATCAATTGACATTCGTTCATAGGAACACATCTGCGAGAAGCATGTCGGTCGCAAGAGCACCAACAACCTCAACCTCACTTGTCAGTGGAACCAGTGCAAGACAACCACGGTCAAGCGTGACCATATAACCTCTCACATCCGCGTCCACGTGCCCCTCAAGCCCCATAAGTGCGACTTCTGTGGCAAGTCCTTCAAGCGTCCTCAGGACTTGAAGAAGCACGTCAAGGTGTGTGACACTCCCTGGTTTCTCGTCAAGGATGCCGTACTATCTTTCTGTAAACTCTCTGACACGTTATTGTAGACACACGCGGATGACTCTGTTCTGGTTCGCTCGCCAGATCAGCCCATGAACGGTGGCTACCGCCCCCAGGGCAAAGGTATGTTTCTGCCCAATTGGGCATTTTCCAGTTCCTCATTATGAGGCTAATTCGCCTCGCAGCTCCTTCTAGCTACTATGATCATAATGGTCAGATGCGTACTAACTCGGCCGCCTTCGGTCAGCCGCCCCACCCCGCCGCACACCCCAGTAGCTACTATCAGCACCATCCTCAACCCTCCTTTGGGGGCCCGGTGTACTACCAGCCTATGGGCGGCCGCGGGGATCATATGGGTTACCAGGCTTCTGCGGACTACGACAACCGTAAGCGCACCTATGACGTGCTGAACGAGTTCTTCGGCGACGCCAAGCGTAGACAGCTTGACCCGAACTCATACGCCCAGGTTGGCCAGAGACTTATGCCGCTACATGGAGCACTTCCGCTTCACTCGGGTTCTATGGGTGCTGAATATCTCCCGGCTCCTGGTGTCATGGCTGTCGATGGGCAAGGCCACGGGCCTTACCAGCAACACTATTCCCTTCCGTCTATGTCGAATGTCCGTACCAAGAGTGACCTTGTCCAAATAGATCAACTTTTGGAGCAGATGCAGAGTACAGTATACGAGAACTCTAACACTGCTGCTGCTGCCGGAGTCCATCAGCCAGGTTCCCACTACTTGCCTCTTAACTTCCGCCACAGCCAGTCACCACCACACTCTGCGGCGGCTCCTCAGTCTGCTATGGGTAACGGAGGTTATTCAGCTGCTCATGTACCTTCGCCTTTGACGACAGTCTCTTCCACGCACTCGAATGGAACTCCTGCAGTGACGCCGCCTTCAAGTTCTATGTCGTACACCTCTGGACATTCTCCCAGCGCTTCGTCGTCAAACCAGTCGCCTTCCACACGACATAGCTCGACTGCATCGACGCTCTACCCGGTATTGCCTCCTACCACATCTGGCTACCCGGGCCAATCAGCCACATCGACTCTAGGCCCCAACTTTGACACGGACCCTCGTCGACGCTACTCAAACAGCATGCTCCAGCGTGCGAATACAGCTCATCGTCCAGAGCCTTTGTCCACAACACCTCGCGCATCTGAGCCTCCGTCTGCGGCAATCTCGGCGGTTAGTTCTCCGTCGGCCGAGTCTGAAGCTAGTGCCGAGGCTCGTGAGGACCAAGTGTATGAACAGTGGCTCGAGAATATTCGTGTGATCGAATACTTGCGCGAGTACGTTATTGACCGCATCAAGCGCAAGGACTTTGAGGATGAGAGTGGCTCGGAGGGTATGGTTGGATCGCCGGCAGCTGCTAGTGATATGGACGTCGATTCTTCACCAACTCGCCCGCCGTCTCAGCCTGCGTACCCAGCACTACCACTATAGAATGGCGGTTTGATGGAATGGGAGAACGAAGAGCAGTTCTGGGAATGGTTCGTTTGATGCTAGGGATCCTACAAATCGGGGTAGGAATTGGGAGGTGTTGGATGAACAAGGTCTATTTAGTGAAGGTGAAGAGTTTTAACGACTAAATACATATCAGCATTAGGTTCACAGCAACACGAATATGAATATGAATACATACAATTATTGTAAGGTGTACAGGCCCGATATTGTGCTCAATCTTAGCGGTACAGACAATACCGACGACAAAGACAGACTATTACATGTGTGCAACTGCGACAGTATGCAATCACGAGTATCTTCCCGCCGTCCGTCACCTGTGCGTTCTTCGCACGCTCTTAGAAAAATCCTGTGGCCTATGGCGCGTGGTACCTGCTAACTCGTAGCCTGTAGCGGGCCCGCAGCCGCAGCCGCAGCTGCAACTGGGACTGCGACCGGGACTACGCTCGTCCATGGTTCCAGCGGGCGTCATCACCATCCTCACTGCCTTTATCCTCAGTACTAGCTTCTGACTCATCATAGTAGCCCCTCGCCAGAATTCTTTTCCCTCCCATACCTATGCCCCGCCCCCCTGCTTCTCGACCTTCTGACTACACCCGTGGTCGTACGATGACTCGGTTCCGCACCCCTCGCGCATTTTGCGCACAAAGGGCATTGGTGTTTCTTGCACATATGCGAGGATATGTGCTTCTCGTGCAGGTGCGGCATCTATTCTTCTTGCGCATGTGCGACATCCATGTTGCTTGCATATATAAGCTACGCGCCCCTCTTTGTGGTCCGCCTGACCGTTGTCTCTGACGGTGTCACACTTCCAACGGCCTATCACACTTCCAGCGACCGTTCTTCGTCACGAAGCCGCGGAATAATGCGTCCGTACTCTCCAAGTCGTTGAATAGAGGAAACGGGTTGGAGGGAAGCCATCATGAAGGCGTAAGCAGAGCATGGTTGTAACTGTGGAGTTTGATGCACCTGGGGCACAGGGCCAAAGGGCGGCGTCGTAGGCTTGCTCTGCTCACGGTGAACTAGTAGTTCCCAGAGACAGGCCCCTAAATAGGAGCCAGACTAGTGTCTGTCTACCGGATTCACTCCGTTGAGATCTAATCCTGTGTTGGAATGAGTGAGGGATCATTTACCTCCTTCGCCCCCCTTCCCCACCCTTGTCTCTCATTTCCCTCTTCCTCTGTTTTTTTTTTCTTTTTTTTCAACGGTTTTTATTGGTTTTTTGTTGTTCTATTATTATTATTATTATTTTTTATTTTTTTTTTCAGATTTTCGACACCACGTATCACTTTCGCTTGTGGGTCCAAGAGAGATTAGGAAAGGAGATAGAGAACCTCACATTCGAATCGCTAGAACCGATTCCTCAAGTCATGGGTCAACTTCCGTTTTCTACAGGAGTTACGGTGATGATGCGATCAGTGCTTCACCTAGCCGACGATGTGTAGTAGTCTCGGAAACGACGAATACCCTCGGGAGTCTCGCTCCCGACGAAGAGGAAGTTGAATTTACCCGGATAGGTCACCCAACTTCGCGTTGGCGCGCACTATCAAGGCTCAAGGGCGATGAAAACATCCCGATCGCACCCCGCTAGCATGTCGTTGTCGATGCGGCCCCCACCGATTGTGACGGGTACTCACGACGCCAAGCCAAGAGTCTTGTCAGTTTGACTGGCTTGCTACCACCCCTTGCTGTTGGGAACAGGGATGCGGGGACGCAGTCTCGGTACTACGATGGCAGATTGCTGTCAGCGATGTTAGTTGAGGCCGTCATAATAAATGAGAGCAGGTGCTTGGAATGAGATTAATAAATGATGCGCACTTACGATGACTATTGGTGCCGCTTATGTTGCTCGTCTTGACGGCGCTCAATCTTTTCCTACCCCCAGTGAGACAGGGTGCTGAGGGAGAGGATGTGAGAATCGCCTATGTCGGACCCTGTGCAACCAGACCACAGTTCCGTCTCCTCTGGGCTGGGGTGGTGATCGACGGACCATTCCAAGAAACACCGACAATCAGAAGCTTGAAATGCATGCGGGTTTCGTTCTCCAGCTTCCGATCACCACCGGTGATCGACTTGACCTCACTGAGGTCTAGTGACACAGAGTCTGTAACCGTGTAGGGATTGGAAATCAGAGGCGATTCCATTTATTATTAGAAGAATAATATTCTCATGAGACCAGAAAGAAAGGATAAAGAAGGAACTTGAAGGTGGAAATGCCCAAGCAGAAGACATTGAAGTGTGTGGCCACCCGCATAATATGTGTAGGTGATGAAGGGTTGATGTTTTCGCGTCGTTTATTTTTGTGGCAAACGACAAGTGCTATAGGGATTAGGGCAGAAGTTATGGTTTTCTTCAGGGAATAGTAGGAATTTTTTGGTGCCGCTACATGTTGTGAAGGGACGGTGAGATGATGTTAGGGCTTGCCATAGATGCCTCATCTCTAAGGTCGGCTGCAGTCTTACGAACGAGAGAGACAGAGGCAGAGACGAGGGAAGGTAGAGAGGTGGGAATGTAGAGAGAGAGAGAGGGAGAGGGAGGGAGGTAGAGAAGTGGAAGGGTGGGGAGATGGAGAGAGGCAGAGAGAGAAATGAAGAAAGAGATGGAGAGGAAGATGTAAGGAGAAGGAAAAGGAAAAAGGGAGAGAGGAAATTAAATAGCCCGTCTAGACGAAAACCACAAGCAGGTAGAAACCCTTAGAGTTTCTATCACCTTCCTTTTGAAAATTCCGTGTGATTCTACAGGAAAGGGGATTCCGGTAGGTACCTCGTGTAGAAGCTACGGAGGATGTAGCTACGGGGGGTTGGTACATAGATCTCTAGGGGTGTTACGGGGGTCCGCCCCGTACCTCTTAGGTCACCGAGACTTCCAAAATGCTCATGACAACTAAAGTTCGTGATGACCCGCGGTACTACAGCATAGGCCTACTACATCTCGCATACATCTAGGAAATGTACACCCAAGTATAACGAGGGTCATGACCTACCTCCTTCCCTAGCTCTGCGGTTGTCGGCGAGGATCCCCGTATTTTAAGTATTTTTTTGCTCGCATTTTACGGAGCACTTACTTGTTATGAAACTAGTGCTACAACAACCAGGTACTGTGAGGAAGGAGATAAAATAATTTAGAAGGAATTATTGTGTTGTGTTGTGTAAAAGTTGGGCTGCGAGATACCTAGGGCTAAGTCAACGTACCTACCCACCTGTGCAGGTAGTCATCTAGGGACGCAGGACAGTCCTCTATAGATATATCAATGCCCAGTCATTATTCTATGTCATACCAACCATTTATGCCATTTCCAATTCTTACAGATCAAGTAATGCGTTGACTTAGTACTCAATAACAGAGCTAGACCTCGTTACACAATGTCATGTTACACGAAGGCAACAACAGGGCTCACGAACTACCAAACAGACGTTCATAAGTCATAAAGTATCTAATATTATTTCTAATTTTATTCTTGGTATCATTCGTTTACTGATATAAACGGTGACTATATTACGCTTAGTCTCTCGAAGCTAAATAAAAAAAATTCCATGCCTCCTTCGTTTACTAATGCTCGATAACCTTCTATATGATATTTCGTGAGCTAACTGGGACAGAGGGGGATTGTTCATATACTCAGATAATGTCGTATGCGGAAGGAAAAAGAGTGAACAGTAAAAGAATAGAATCTTTAAAAAAAAAGATCAGAGGTCCGAAATAGATGGCGTTATATGTGGAAGATCCTCACTCCACATCCCCATCTCCATCTCCCTACTGTATGGTTCCTTAGATTAAGCACAGAGTCCAAATTCGCTTTTCATACGCCAACAATTGAAAGCATGGTAGTAATTCAGTCTTTCCAAACTATTTCAGCTTTGCCGTTCTTATCGCTCCTATATAGAAGGTATCGGAAGTGCTCGGTGAAGAAGACGAGGGTATAATTAATCTATGCAGCGGGACGCTTCGAAGCGGAGTGGTGAGGATTACCTGGGTCGGCAGTCATGACACGTTTATAATCATGAAAGAACCAAACCCATCGCCTTAGTGTACGTGTAAATTAGTATGTTGAGTGTTGAGGGAGATTCGATGAATATCCAGGAAGATTATCCCGGAGAATTATTTTCGGAGGCAGAGGCTTCTTCGCGACATCTACTACACATACACCAGCCACCCAAACTACCACGAGCCCATTCTCTACGTTGTTGCACAGGTAGGTCTACATCGCAGTAGTGGTTAAGAATCTCCTCTCCAGCTTTAATGCCACCCGGTGCATTATCGACAATTCTCGTCTCTCGTGCCTTCAACACCATACGACCACCCCAATCCCAGGTGACGTTTGGGTTGCAATCATGATTCGCAAGGCACCAGAAAGGATGAACGGCAGCGACATCAGGCCGTCCATCCCTTAGGTTCTTACGCGCAGACGCAGTACCACGGAATTTGCTATAAAGTGTATTGAATACCCATACATCAAAAGTAGCAAGAGTGGTGTAGATATCAATATCCATTTTCTCGAGAATATGAAACGGAGTCTCAATATTATACGTAAAAGAAAACGGTAGAGTCCAGTCTGGAGGTGGACCGGCTTTGGGGGATAAATCGATTTCATTGGTTTGGGAGGACACAAAATCTCCCCAAATGTACTTGACTTGGTTAACATCAAGGGGATGAACTTGTTGGTGAGCCGCCATAGCTAGAACACGGGCGAGCAATAGGAGATGGAGGGTTTCGTCGGCTTCCTTTGCATCAGGGTCTTTCGCGATGGAATCGACATCTTTGTCGCAGACCGCCGGGTGGTAGAGTTCCTGGGCCCGCTCAAAACAGTACTGGTCGCAAAATACAGTATCGTAGCATTCCGGACAATTAATAGCAGTGGATTCACTTCCTAAAGCTGGGAGTTCGCCGCTGCAAGCATCACACACGGGTTCCTTTAGGCGATTATTGGCTGTCACTAGCGAGTACTCCACAAGAACATCTTCTCCAGGGGCGATATTGTCCTTGGCGAATACGCCGAGTTGGCTGCATGTCGGGATTATGTCATATCCATCTGTGCGACTTGAACATCCTAATAATACGGGCAACTCCGCGACTTGGACTGTACATTTAGGAGCCATTGTTGCTAATTCGGCGTTGAGGAAATCGAGGGACTCTTCCGAAAACCGATCGGGTTCGTAAATGTTCCATGGGTAGACTTCCCTGCGTACCATACCCCAATCTGGTAGATCATTCACGCCGGAGATCGGTTTTCGCGTTCTGCGCTCGGCGACGGTTTGTATATAACTCCGCGTATTAAGAAGCTCTTGATTATCCGGCGCAATAGCAAGTCCACGTTCGCAGAAGTTCCAAGCACTTTTTAGACAGCCACATAGTAGAAGACTCAAGGCTAAAATTTGATAACAACGAATAGATGCAAGCGACGCAAGGGCAGGAATATCCTTTGCGCCATCATCTAGATCGGGTAGACGAGATACACTTCCAGTTAGAGAGCCATAGTCTAGAACTGCTAAGAAGGGTCCATCTGTATACGCCGTCAAAGATTCGGTTGCTTGTTCGTGGTATTCAAAGCTTTCATCTCTGACTTCGTCAGTTAATAATAAAGCACGATAAGCATCGCCGGCAGCCAAGTCGGGGTAGGCTAGATCGGCGTATACTAATGCGCGCTTTATGTAAATAACTAGATCGTATGGACGAGCCAACAGATCATCGGTCAGTGATTGGCGTTGGCGTAAAAGCGACTCGACCCGAGTGTCGACCTCCTCTTCGGACTCGTCCATTACTTAGGCACCGCTAGTGCTGTTTTCCCTTTCTTTTTCTTCTCTTCTCTCTTTTATACCGGGTACGCACACGCACGCACGCAAGCAAGGAGTTCGCGATGTACCGTGTAAGGCGGGGGGCAAGGTGAGCGATGGTGTGTGGGGGGCGGTCCGCACTTTTTCTGATCAGGGGCACGTCATGCTAGCTGCCGGTCGAATCTATCGTACCCCAGTTGAAGTGGCAGTTTTGGCCACACGGGATCAGCGCAGCGAGTACAAGGTGCGACGCTTGTCTAGAAATCTAGAAATCTAGAACTTTAGAACTTTAGAACTTCTTTGGGAATCAAGATTCTCGAAAATGAACAGTAGTTTATTATATTTGGGTCGTTGATCGTCGGGGCGCGTTCTCGTTCTCGGTCTAGTTCCCGTTCACTTTCCGTTCACTCGGTTTTTTATTTTTATCTTTTTTTTGCGATCGAACTTCTTCAAAGGAGTGAAGGGAGGGGCGAGGAGGGGAGGATCCGCTGATGAATGAATGGTTTGCCGATTGATATATGTAAATGTATATGTTAAGTATATACATATGTGTATATGACTTGTCAAAGAAATCAAATCGACATCAAGGCGGGGTTGTCTAGAAGTAGAAGAACTATAACAGAAAAAAAAATAAAAAATGGCGAGGACCAGATTAGTCTAAAGTTACTCCTCTGAGGATATTCTTTTGCTACCACATAAAAAAAGTTGCACAAGTCCGACACAAGAACCCCTCCAAAAGTTGTGTGTGCCTGCCCAAGCCTAGAAGAAAGTGGCACGACCCTTAAGGTGGAGACCGCCTTAAGGAAAATCTGGATGGAACGATCAACGAAGGACCCTTGGTGCTTCTAAATTCAGGGTCCACTGGAGACTACCATTCAGTACCACATGTCGTTAATTGGGTACCCGGGTACCTAACTATGTACAAATTAGGTGCGTTTTAGAAGCCCTGGAGGCCTAGTTGGGACCCTGCCTGCGGGGCAACTACCTAGGTACCTAGGTACAACGGATAGCTTAAATTAGGTAGGGACATTGTGGCTTGATATCGAATTGAATAGGGACCGAGGACCTTTGTGGCTGAAAGAATACATCAATGAATTATGTTTTGAGTTATGTAAATCTTTTATTAAATGATTACTTACATGTATAATGCATGTTTATTATTTCCGACTTAGACACTGCTATAATACGTGGTTATGCATATACGTTCATATAGTTGAGACTGACATAATATTGAGATTATGTTTCGAGTTTCAAAAACAGCAACCAAGAAAAAAAAGCAAAAAAGCAAACTTCAGCTCTCCATCCTTCATTTTTTTTTACTCTCCGACAATTCCGGTGAATCAACAATGGTTTTATCAAAGTCAGTTAATTCAATGGTGAATGGTGCGATTTAAACTACTGCAACGGTTCCCTGCAATGCAACTCTCTAGTTCATGACATCCCTAATAGGCTCCACCCTCTGCGTGTTTCTTCCGTCCTCTTATCGCGTGAGGCTCTAATGTGCCTAAACGGTTGAAGAAAAAGTAAGCAACAAACATTTGCAGCAGTGTTAAGTCTAACCCAATATGCATTAGGTAATATGTGTTGAAAATATCAAGTGTGATAGGCCATGTAGATAAGACGATGTTTGAGAAGCGGGATGAAGGAAGGAATTGAAAAGTGTTGAAAAGAGAGGGATAAAAAACTCATAGTAAAAAAAAAAAAGATCAGGGGGTTCCTTTTTGATTTACCTAAAGGAGAATTATGCGTCTAGAACGGACAGTACTTAAATTAATACACCACCCTCTATTCAACATTGGATGTAGCTTAAATGTAGTTAGTTACAATGTAGGTGGGATGGATCGATGTTCTAGTCTCATACTTAGACTCTTATTAATGGGAAAATCAAAATCGCATTGGTAGAATAATAGGAATTGATATGCTTCCAACTTCTATTCGCGTAAAAATACGATTTTGGTGGATGGGTGACATTGTTATTTCAATGACTACAAGACTACGATTCGGAATCAATGTTGAAATGCTTATTGATGAGCATTTTACTATATTTTCAATAACGAGTTAAGCGCTGAAAATAAAGCGACCAGTATACCTAATCGACACTCCCTAACATTCCAATATAATATGGTGTACGCGTACTGCAACGTCGAATGCACCAGTCATAAGACTTGGTGATAATCGATTCGTAAGTAACCGTTGAGATTTCATAGTACACCGCTACAAACGGATTGGAAAGCACATAAATTAACCCTGTACAATTGCAACACATTCCCTACCGGGAGTTGGATCCCAACGCCATTGATACTGTGATATACTACTATTACAATAGGTATTTATTCGGGCTTCTTGCTGGCAGCTCCCTCCTTGACCATTCCTTCACAACCTGTTGCTTGGCCTAGCTTTTGTTCGACCTGTCCGTATCCTTGCGTTGGATCGCGGTTTTCGCCGGCAGCTTTCATGGCGTCTACTGCGTGAGCCTTGGCTTGCTCTCCGGATGTTGTCCAGGCTTGGGAACCTGTTACACTACCAATGGTAGACTACAATTTGTTAATATGCACAAAGATTATGGTACATTAAAAAAAGTTTATTATCATTGGTCAGGCTTACCTCTGTGGCTCCCTTGATGTATTCGGCGTGGCCACCGATGAGCGAGGGTTGTTGGTTGTTTCCCGAAGACATAGCCTTTTTATATTAAGTAATTCCAAATGAGTTTGTTACTTTGGATATATGATGGTTTCCGAATTAGAAAACAGATATTTTTGAAGATTGTTTATATAATAAATTCTAAAGAATCTACCACATCAATTATTCGAGGAAGCTATCTTTATATAAAGCCCAGTGCTTATTCGAATTCTCTCGAGTTCGTGACGTCAGTGGTTTTTAATGACACAATTGCGTTACACAGACGGGAATATCTTACCTTAAAGTGTGGGGGCTATCGAGGAATCTGGGGAAAGATCGAAGAAGTTCTCACGGGAGAAAAACGTCTTGGCATCGAGGATCCATGCAACCAATCGCTTCTTTTCAATTGATCAAAAATGGAAGGCATTGCGTAGTATGTAATCAATTCCAATAACGGATAGTTGGTGGGTAGAGAGGCTGGAGTAATGTTGTAATGTTACGGCCTCGAAAAATATAACCTTGTCCCGGTCGCTTATAGATCTAAGAGCGGAGGCGTCCAGCGAAGACAACAAGAAATACGGTTCAAGTTTGAGTAGTATTTAGCCGTGGAGAAGAAAAGGGAACGGTCGTTTCAGAAGGGACCGAAAAGGAACTATAAGAGAATGGTGATGTCAAGATACTTTAATCGAGAGTTGAGAGACTTTTAGACTCGTTAAAGGCTTAGGTAACTTTCTAGCTTCTAATAAACTTAATTTCACTTACCAAAACACAAACATCTCTCTACTTGTTCTAGTCATCTCGAGAAATATCTAAAATATTATTGTTCTATACCATTCAAAATGTCAACTGCAATCGGACTACAGACTCCATTACTGGCGCCTCTATTGCGTAAGTTCTAACTATTGACTCCGTTTAAATCAGACAATCGCAGCGGACTTACACTAACATGTATTGCTTATGTCATGACAGCTATAACTGGCACCTTCGCGCTACCCTTTTCCGCATACTTCACCTTTCTAAGCTACCGAGTTGTCGCCCATCGGCTCTCAGACAAACACTACCTTGGCGACAACTCATCTAAGGATGGCAACCCAAACAACAAATTATACTTGGCTACCCGAAGCCACCAAAATTTCCTCGAGAACGTACCGCTAGCTCTTACCCTCGCAGCATTCGCCGAGCTGAACGGCGGAAACCGAAGGACCCTTACCGCCATTCTTAGTGCTCTCTTGACATTCCGAATCTTGCATGTTGAATTGGGTCTTATCAATGGAATGGGAATTGGTCGACCGATTGGTTATTGGGGTTCTCTGGCCACGATTGGAACTCTAGGTGCTTATGCTGCCTACCTCGTGAAGGGTTATTGGGGTCTCTGAGGCGTTAAGTGATTGAAGAAGTCGACTCCTGATAGATATCGGGTTGAAAAAGATCGAGAAAGTACTAGGGGACATATCAATATTCATATGCCACTGTAGCTACATCCTTAATAAGCAAATAAATCATCTTGAATTGATGTAGAATTTGGTGTTTGTCGATTTTAATTCCTTGGGCAATAAAATAATTCTATGTGACAGTTCATTACAGGCCTTTCAGCGGCCTAGCGTATGATCTTTAGGGCATTTAGAAGGCGACCCCTGCTTTTCTTGGCGCGCTTAGTGTCATCGATGGCCCAAGCTCAAAAAGTTCCCTAGCGCTTTCTTACGATCGCCGAGCATCTTCAACATTTCCATGTAACAATTTTATTTTTCGTCGCATTTCCCCTACGAACAAGTACGAATAAACCATAGTTTAATTGTTGCAATACGCGCTTCAATAAACCATGGCTCAAGAACAATTAATAGACGAAGACTATGCCTCCGAAGAAGACTCTGATTTCGCGCCCGACGCGGCACCTCAAGGAGACGGCGCGGAAGCCTCCGAATCCGAAGATGAAGAAGTCCAATTAGTCGCAGTGCCGAATCGAAAACGCAGTGCTGACGCAGCCGCCGGCGACGAAGATTTCGGAAATTCAGGTGATGAGGCGATAATACAAAGAGGGAAGAAACGGCAAAAGAAGAGTAAACGAAAAGATGGCTCTGCGGAAGATGACGAAGGCGGCGAGGGTGGGCTGATTAAGACCCGGAGTATGCGAGCGAACGAGAAGGCAGAGAAGAAAACACGCGTCGTTAATGGGCCGGTTACCGTTGATGTTGATGATTTATGGGCGAAGATGACGGCGGACCCGGTGATACCTTCTAAGACGGACGCGGAGAAGGAAAACCAGCGGCCGACACAAGACGAGAGCTTAGATGCATCGTCTAAAGGCATACGGGACAAATCACAGACAGAAAAACCTGGTCCTGGCGAGCCGGGGGCTATGATCAAGATAAAACGTACATACAACTTCGCTGGAAAGGTTCACACGGAAGAGAAATTGGTACCACGCGATTCGGCTGAAGCAACACTGTACCTCGCCTCTCAAGATCCGAAGGCGGCTGCAGAAGCCGAAGCCGAAGATGGCCAACCTAGACGGAAACCTCGAAAAGCATTCCGGTCTATCTTCGAGCCGGTAATTGAAGGCATATCACAACGCGCGGATCTAAACCTCGGCATGACCGCGCGATTAAAACTACGTGAACAAGCCAAGGCTAAGAAGTTGAATGTGGTGGAGAAGAGTCGTATGGACTGGGCAGGCTTCGTCGACAAGGAGGGCATCAAGGATGAGCTCGAATTGGCTGGCAAGTCCAAAGAGTCTTTTGTTAACAGGCAAGACTTCTTGGCCCGTGTTGCAGCGAATAAGGATGAGGAGGCAAGGAGAGCTAGGATTGCAGGTCGTGTGTGAGAGAGTAGAGAATAGTTTCACCTCTAAGCCACACCGGCCTGCCAACCTGCTTTACATTGGATTGGAGAAATCTGTCATTTCGACGGGAAGGCTACGTATATGGATCCCACCGCTTTACTGGGCTTATGTGTCACAAGCCTTCATACTTAGGTATGTCTGATCCGTGATGCAGGTTGGACCAGAGATAGATGCGGGAATCCACCGTAGTTTCCTGTCCGTCCTAAACCCACCCCTCGGATCTGTCCAGAAAAGCCATTCATGCAGGCGTCGGCTTTGCCCTGTCTGGGTGGGGGGAAGGGCTGAGTTGTTCGTGTACTACACCAGCCACCAGACGCGCGAGATCGTCGATTTGATGAAGATCCTTCATCGGAGGATACGGTACGGCATCGAATCGCTTGCCTGCATCATTAGCTCATCCGAAGATGGCCGTAACATGCCGTTACCCAGAGATTAGTTCCAATTTAAAATCAAGACTAATTAGGATTTTGAAGAACAACTAATAATGAACTTCGTTCTCCGACCATGAAGAAATTCGCGAGTATTCTAGTGTGTCTGGTGTTTAACCTTTTCTCAAGACATAGCTGCGCAGCTGCGATAGCTTCTAGATTGTCTAACTGGTAGGATAGAATTTCCAAAATGTCAAGATACTAGTAAATACCAGAATAACCTAACAATCTACGAGGTAGCGAAGAATAAATACAGATGACTATGGCGTCGCTCATCACATTCACTACATCAAACTGATATAGTGGAGTAGCCCCTGTAAATTGCTTCTATAATTGGTAGGAGCTTGGACCATCACTCTCCAAAAATCCACAGTTTTGGAAGCGAGAAACCCCCACTGTGACGAAGGTCTGCCCCTCCAAGCTGAAGGAGCTCTCACTTTGGGTTGTACCTTCACAATTGTACCTCATTTTAACATTGACAACTTTACTTTGGTAGCCTGATCCCTTTACTCCACAAATAAACCTCAACTATAACTACAACGAAATACAGAATCGCGTAAGAAGCCATGGCGACACCAACATCCCTCCCCAACGAGCCTTTCCCACGGCCAGACCAGCTCTCTCAAGCCACAACCTCGCACCGACAAGGCGCCTTCGTGATATCATCCCGCAAACTTCCCATCTCCAAAGCCGGGCCCATCGACGCCATGGAAAAAGCGCTAGGTATCCCAGTTCCAGAGATGATATTTGGCGACAACGTAGTAGCTATACGACACGTCCCAACCGGTTGGGGAATCGAGTTCAACGCCTTCGATGCGCTAGATGCCGTCGACAAGACCGATAAAAAAATGCTCCAGGTCGCGTATGCGAAGAGTTGGTCCGCGAGCCGCGAGCAGACGAGTGCGGGAATAAAAGATGTGGTTAAACCGTATGATTGGAGTTATAGCACTGAATATCGAGGGACTGTGACTTCGTCGTCGTCGTCGCTGCTGCCACCTCCACCTCCAGAGTACACACCAAACAGCGAAGAAGGTACAAAAGAGCAAGAGAAAATAGAAAACAAACATCCATTTACGCCTACATCTAAACCGATCCCAATCGAACTTCTCAAACGTCGCGACCCGATTCTTTTCTTCGATGAGGTAATGCTATACGAAAGCGAGCTAGACGACAACGGTATCAGCGTTCTCAGCGTCAAAGTACGCGTGCATGAGCATCGCATGTTACTCCTCGCCCGATTATACATGCGACTCGATAACGTCGTCGTGCGGATTCGGGATACGCGTGTCTATGTCGATTTCGATGCTGAGGAAGTCATGCGTGAGTATACTGTTAAAGAGGCTGGATTTGAAGAAGTTAAGACGGTACGTTCCATATTTTGTCTGTTGATTTTGATATGCTTCGGTGGTCTGGAGGTTTAGAATGAGAATTGCTGAACTGACTTAATACAGAAACTCCGGATGACGGGCTTAGCTCCAGATGCCGTGACCGTGGCTTTGCGAGATGCGAATAATATCGCTGAGTTGCTTCCCACGGTTGGCCAGACGCTGGAAAGCGTGGCTCTAAAATCATAAGACATTAGAAAAACAACTGAGCGTATCTTTCTCATCGAAAGGCGGATTGTGAAAGATGTGATGGTTAGGTGTAACAATAGCCGGTTTTACGAATTTTACGAAATGCATGGAATGGGCGTTTATCGGAAGAGTATGATTTTATACGTTATGACTATTATCTGGTTTCTGGCACAAAGCGTGGTTGATGGTCACATTATCATCACGGCTACGAGGTATTTAAAAGAAACTGCGCAATAGATGTGCGAAGCAAATAAACTGGATGGTTAATATTGATGAATTGAGGTATCAAGCTATCATCCCCTCCGTCCCGAGAGCATGAGACTGATTCTCCAAGCAACTTTTCGTATCGTAGTCGTGAAATTCGACTAATTGACTACACCACACCACACAACGCCAGAAGCTCAAGCAAGATGCATGTAGAAAGCATCGCGTGTCATGAAGCATAACCCCGTCCATACTCCTCATCCCCACCCGCCCTGGGTAACCACTTCCTCCCTTCCATCAAGAATAAAATTTCGAAGCAAAGTAATGAATGATTTTAACGCGCATCTCGTGGAGAACTGCTTTGTGTCATCTCCTCATAGTCTAGTTGCCACTTATCCACCTCCTGGAACTTGCGTGCTGCGTTCTTCAGCTCCTCGCCTATGCGCATCACCATAGCCTGGCTACTTTCACCAACTGTAGGGTCGATATCAATATCAATATCATCGTTACCCTCGTCCTCTTCTGCCGAGTTTTCTTCATTCTCGCCAGCGTCTTCGTTTTCTTTATCCGAAGTTCGTCCGTAGGTGATTGTGGCACGTCTGTTAGTGCTAGGTGTCTTCTGCTGTTGTTGCTTTGCCTTGCCACGCGAGGCGGGTCTGCTCTTCACCGCAGCATTCTGATTCCTCGAGGTTCCCGGCCGAGAGGTTGGTCGCGCTGGATGTCGTCGCGAGCGCACGTCCATGTATGAGAGCTCATCATCGTCTCCTAGACCAGAGATATCTACTTCAGCATCCTCGTCCTCGTCGTCACCAGCTCTAGCATTCCTACGACGTCGACGCGGTAATAAATCGGCTAGGTCCGCCGTCATGACTTTTGCTTCCTCTTTGGAAGCTGCTGCTGCACGTTTGTTCTTGGCAGCTCGACGGGGTGGAGAGGGTTCGCGGTAGTTGGGAGAGTAGGTTAGGGATGGTGGAGACGACATGTCGGAGACATTGTCATCAGGGACTGGGGTCCTTCGGAGCGCGGAGACAGGGCGTTTTGTACGACCTCTTGCTAATGATTGTAGAGGGGGCCAAATCTCCGAATCTCCTGCGGACGAACTACTGCTTAAAGGAGGGGCCATAAGTTCCTCGTCCATAATAGGGGTTGCTGGCCTACTGCTACTTTGTCGAGGCAGAGGGGTGGAGGGAGGAGAAGACAGGATTGAATCCGAGTGTGCTACTGCTACCTCCTCGGCAGGCACTCTCTCTTCGAATGGGGAGGATCGCGGGCGGCGCTCGTGCCCCTCCGAAGACTTTCTCTTGCGTGGGTTTGCGCGTGATGAGATTTGCGGTGATCCTTGACCGGCCTCTGTTTCTCCAGAGCGCCTCTTCGAACGATTCAATGGGGTGGACTCAGCTTCAGGCGCAAATCCATCCTCATCAACATCCTCTTCGTCATCTTCTTCCGATTCCGGCTCTGGTTCGGGCTCTGATCTTTGAGGGCGCGGCTTTTGCGCTGTACCCAGGATACTAGGTTCTCGTGCTCTTCTCCTGAACACACCAATGTTGAAGGTCGAACTAAGACCCGGAGTATTGGGACCTGTTCGGCTGCTTGGTCGAATGTAACCGTCTTCCCTACTTAGAAAACTTCCGGCGCGGGGTCGACGCTTGAATAAACTGGCGGACATAGAGGACGTGTCCGCAGATCGTTGTGCGCTCGCTGGACCCGCTGTATCAAATGTGGTATTCAAATCATCGAAATCGGCATCGTCTAGGTCTAATCCTGACATATCTGCCATTCTCCTCTGTTGCGGGGTCCCGGCCGCTTTGCGCCCAAGCTCAATTGAAAGATCCGATTGCTCAGCAGATTCGTTTGTTCGGTTGCTGGCAGTTGATGTTATATTTTCCAGGCGTTCCATTGCAGAGTCGCGACGATTTCGCGCGTCTTCCAATGCCTTGGCCTGGTGTAGAGTTGTTGATCGCGTGCGGGTAGTGGTTGTCTTCTCTTCCATTGATTCCCGCTTCTTTTTTGCCTTTTCCTTCTCGCGATCGCTCACATCATAAATATCGGAACCTGGATCAGTAGGATTTGGTAGTGTCGTTGCGGGTTCTGGACTTGTCGCTTTTGGAACTGTTCGAGTCAATGCGACGCGGGTTCTTTTGGGTCGCGGCATGGTTAATAAAATTGAATGATTGTTGTGGTGTTATGTGAAATTGATTGGTTGATAAATGAGAATTCTTTTTTTCTTCTTCCGTTGTAAGAATCACCTATCTATCACCGCATGGTAGATAGGTAGTGAGGGTTACGATCCTGAAGTTAGAATATTAGAAATATTAATCGAGTTGAGTTGAGTTGATGGATGTGGGAGGTTGGAGGCGTGTAGCGTGGGAGGAGTGGAGTGGGTAAGAAAATGAGCTTGACGCGTTGAGGCGCGTTTCCATGTTTGGACATTGGCCCATAAAATAACAGGTATCCACAATGTCGACCCAACCAATCATCGACCGCCTAGATAATCTAGGTACGACAATGACTTTATTTATCTTAGTTACCTAATCTACTTCACCTTCTTATTATTTTTTCATCAATCACCTATCACTACAGCTACCACATCGAATTATCAAATTCATAGACACTCGCAAGCATCGACTTACACACGAAGCCGCTAAAAAAACAGAAAGCGTTCTATTCTTAAGTCTATCTAGGTACCCGAAATCAATGACCAGAGTGTCTGAGTGTCTAACATGCCAGTTCTAATAATAGAGCCATCTTTCTTCCTTCTAGATTGTTCGGACTTCCCATGTTACTCCACAGAAAACCCTCCTAGATGCGTATTGATGTTGTGTACCTATTGACATTATTTCCTTAGTGTCCCTGCCCAGACCGAGCCGGATCATAGTCATGAAAATCATAATAATCATAGTTAAATCCATCTTCGGCTTCCTCTTCCTCTTCATCGTTTTCGGGCTCCGGGGCCGGGGGCGGAGGCGGGTGCGCTTGACCGGCTACATTGTGTTGGTACCTCTCCTGGGTACTCTGAGACGCCTCACAATGATGCTCACAGACGGTCATGCCAGGTACCACAGGGTTGCTGCAATACACGCATAGCCCGGTCGCAAACCTTCTCACCTCTGACCGGTGGCGTGTTATCTCATGCTGTATTCGATGGTAATGGCAGAGCTGTGTACTGTCGCCCGCCGGGTTAGAGCAACCCCCACGTGTGCACAACCCCTGTCTCAACCTATCGGTACGTTGTATTCTTTCCTGCCGTTGACGCTGTACTTGATACACTTCGCATCTAGTTAATCCAGGTACCGCCGGTCGTGGACATGAAACATAGATGCCTTCCGCCCTCTGCCTTGCCATCTCTCGAGCATTTTGCTCTCGCATGCTGTCGAGATGGAATTGACAAAATCTCCGGCTACCAGCACACACTGAGTTCATACAACGTTCACATTGTCCAGCAGCTCGGCGAGCAGTCCGTTGGGCAGTCCGTTGAGCCGTCCGCCGACAAACCGGGCAGTTCGCCGGATTATTGCATTGGTGTCTACGCTGCATGTTGAAATAGGTAGGACCGTAAAGGGTACTCGTTAAGGTAATTGAAGATATCTGCAGATTTGGTCTAGAGTCTCAATCGTAATTCGCTTTTTCCTGTATTGAGGATTGCAGGGTGAAGGAAAGATATTGCAAGTTGAGAGAATTTCTTATTGAACATATACAAAATCTACAGCAATCCTGTCACCTGGACCTGAATCACGGCTTCGTGGATTGGCCAGGAAAATCTAATATTTAAAAGAGTCAGATTCTCAATCCATTATTATGAATATTGGCTGGTTCTAGTAAGAATACTCTTAATCCACCACTCAACCACGACAGCAGGGTTCGGATGAGTTATCCCTATGCGAATCGTTAGGTGGGTGGTATGCTGCTAAGTGTCTGTTTTCCAGCTCAGGAGGTGCATATTGTATTGGTCATCCCTAGTCAGCTCTACGAGTTGGCTTAGTGAGTTTGCTTGTAATTAACCTCCCCTACCAACGACCGGAAGTGTATCCTCGCTGATACCTCAACCCGACATTCTTCTGATATTTCGATAGTTAGTGATGGAAATTCCCCGTAAAGCCACCGTTCTGGCGGCGGGGAAAGTTGGGTTATTCTTCACATATAAAAAGGATATTTCACAACCACTCCTCGCATAAGTTCCTGATGGCGACTTGTTGAACGCGAATGCGTAACCGGCGCCTGCTGGGTGCAGCCAATTTGCCTTGACTATGGTTACAGTAGCGTATATCATCATGGTTTTCAGTCCCGAGAGTAGTGGAGTGTATCGTCGGCGAATGCAGAATCGATCTAATATAAGACCGTCGTGTGTATTGACATGACGAATAGGCAAAATGGGTTTGGGGAGGGATCTATGTGCATTGAATGGGGTTCCCATCCATACTTTGCCTCTATCCATCATTCCTATTACGCGGGCTACGACAACCGGGTCGAGTACCGAATCTATGTGAGGTGCGTGGTAATGAATTTCCGACGGACTGAGCTCGTGCATCTTGAAAGTCACTTAAGGATTAGTCGCAAAGGTGAAGTAGCCAGTGAGATCGAGGACGGTTCGTGGCTAGTCCTCATTCTCTAAATCATATCCTATGATTGTCTCGGGTGGCATATTGAAGTTCTCAGTGTCACCATGCGAAGCGTAAGGATGTAGATACTAGTAATTCCGACCAAACTAATAATCAAAAGTTCGGATGTTTATTACGATTCAAGCAACAAAATGAACTTAAGAGTTAAAAGGTCATAGAGGAAACTCGGCAGGAATTTTGAGGCCAGATGCTCAATGTTTAACGAGGGAAAGACTTCCATCTTTAATTTTGAGATCATTGGAAGGAGAAAACTTACTGAAAACATGCATGATAAGTATGTTGATCCAAACCGAACCCATGTCGTTCCAAGCTTCTCTTCTTTAATCAAAGCTATTAAAGCAACTAATAATCAGTGTCAAAGGGGAGTTGCAATCTTAATATATCGAGTGGACAACTAGTCAAGGCGCCACATCAACTATTCCACTGTATCTACAACCCGTACCAAGCAATGGCTGCTATCAATTCAAACTAATTAATCATAAGTTATATCGTATTCATTGCGCACGAAATCAAAGGGCCAAGATCTACATTATAAGTAATCATGGAAGAATCCTAGAGCAACCCGATAACCCCTTTCATACCCGGCCCTCACTTTGTCGTCTTTAAGGTTAGCGCGAGCGCTCATAAAGCCGTGAACCTGATTCCCGAATATCTCGGCGTGATTAGGGACCGTGAGGCTCTCTTCGTACTTCTTGACATCTTCGGCGTTTTCCTCACCAGAGGCTAATACCATCATCGGGATTTTGACATTCGCGGCGTCACCTGCATCTATCATAGCAGGAGACGTCTGGACTGCCGCTTTGAAAAGCACGTTTTCTTCACCAGTAAGCATACTAGTCAACTTTCCTCCCCAACAGTAACCTATGACACCCCATGACTTAATATTAGGGTTATTCTTTTCAGCTGCTTCTAGAAAACCTCGAACTCTAGGTAGATGTTTTGGCCACTATAAAATGACGTTAGTACCTATAAGAGAAACACCAAAGTCATGAATATATACATACTAAAGCACCATCCTCAAACCATTTTCCTAATTTGGCCTTTTTATCGTCATCTGTCGGTGGGTACCACTCGATCCTGGCCGGATTTCCGTTGAAGAAATCAGGCACATATACTTGGTACTTCTTCTCAGTGTCTCCCTCCGCGAGGATATCTGCCCCTTGAATAGTCTGCGGGAAGAAACCAAAGACATCGTAGACTGATAGTATTGCCTTTTCCGAGTCCGCCGGGCCAGTCACGTCTGAATATTGAGGCTGTCTTAGAAGGCTTTTCCTCCTTACTCGAAAGGGATCATCTATATAATTTACTTACAAGTCTTGGTACCATTGAGTTCGATATACGTGCCTTTAGGCTCGTACCCTTCAACGACAACGGGTGGGATTCTGTGGATACCATATTTATTAGTTTTACATCCTCAATAATTTTCAATAATTTCAGAGTTAAATATCTTACCGACAACAAGCCTCGCTATGTTTTGACATGGTCAGGCGATCAACTCAGACGCCGCTTGAAAGTTTCAGCGTTGTATAGGCTTTTAAGGGGGGATGTCATAGGTATTCAAAAGTACCTTACAGAAATCCTTCGGCCTTCGGAATTCTTACTAGTTTATAGTGGAATCGTGCATTATCTCCGGGTTCTGGGGAGCGATTACGTACGTCTGTTGGATTATTACTAACTACTTAGGTTATAGATCATATGGGTCTACAAGACCCACAGGGAATGGTATAGTCATCGTCATAGTGATTAGGTAGGTTAAGGAGAATCGTTGTGTCCCTTTCCCTGAGAGGGAATTCTATTTTATATGAAGTCCCCTAGTTGTGTACTTCATGGGCACAATTATTTACTTAGCTGCCTTAATTTGATGGGTCACTTCAGAAAAGGGGCTTCGCGAACTTGTGAAGTGTTACAATTGAGGGGGCTGTGCCGTAGAATTTGGGTGGCCAAGCACGGTGGAATTCGCCCACCTAACTGCTAGAAAAACCTAATCACTACACATATAGCGAAAGGGATTGCGTACATCCTAGTTCAATCACTGCTGGTATAATGAACCCAAGTGTTTCGCTACAGCAAATTCAGCGAAGCCTCTTTTAACCCCTATTCTATTTTCAAGGTGATCAAAAGCCCTATATGTCTGATATTCATCGATGGGTGTGATTGAATATTCAGCGGGTCAGTAGATTGGAAATGAATCAACCTATTAGTTTAGATACGCAAACATTAACCTAGATATCTTCATGCCTTGCTGTCTCCCGTAGAATCCAGTCGACCACTTCCTGTGGCTTAGTGACGGTAGGACAGTGACCAGCCTTAATTGACGTAACATCGACTTTGTTGCCGCTCTCCCTTTCGATTGTATCGATCCCGAGCCTCTGAAACTTAGGTAGGATAGTCTCATCCTCTTCACAGAGCAGGTACGACACTGGCGCGTCTTTATACCCAGCGTGGGTCAATTCATTGGTGAAACTGACAGCTGAATGAACCTCGAACTTGTTGACACACACGATCCTTTCCGCGCGATCGGGGATATCCGAAAATACCGAGTCGGCTACAGCCGATGGATCAACATAGTAGAGGTATCCGTTCTCCTGTTTTTGTGGAGTTTAGTCATAAATCCGGCAATTACGAGATAGGGGAGACGGACATCAACTCCAAAATCAATATGATTGCTTTGAGGCTGTTGTGATAGAAGATCTGTGGATGATTTTCCAAGAGCCGGGACTAGCGCCGTCTTATACAGGAACCTGACGACACCCCCCTTTTTGCCTTGCTCTTGTCTCTCCTTCTTCGTGAGGCCCTTGGTGCTCTGAGAAGCCGGGATACCCCCATAGGAATGGGAAAGGAGAATGACTATACCATTTATAGTTAGCATATTCCATGGCTGGGCGGATCGGTAGTATTAAGAGACTTATGGGCCCGAGAATTGGAGATAGTTGCCTACCATCTTTACCCTCATCCGCGAGGGCTTCTATTTCTTTGGCGATTAAGGCAGCATCATCGTACATAGTTGCCGCCGGCCCCTTTCTGGGCCCTGCCTTTGGGGCGACCGTAGTCAATTGCAAGGCTTTAATTTCATAGCCTCTTTGCGTAATGATTTCAAGTATGTTGTCATAAAATCCCGGAGGCGCAAAGGAGCCGGTGACTAGCACGATTGTTGGCTTCGGCATCTTGGGAATATACACTTAGATATAGGTATAAGATGAAGGTTTTGGGTGCGTAGTAAATCGACGAGAATGTGTGCACGCATCGCTCGCACCCTTTTATAGGCAGCTACGATATTTCTGGATTCTAGGCATTGCGGATGCTCCGACCAATCCTTTCGCTCATTATTAATCTATACTGATATGTCTCCGATATCAACGTTTCCGTGCCTCTTTTGATCGACCCTTAATCGTGCTATTTCGACCAGTTTTGCGGGGGTACTAACCAGGGTAGCAAAGCTATTCTAGCCATATTCGGTATCCATGGGGAACCATGATACGCTTGAATACGCTTGAAACAGAGATTCAAGCTAAAGCTCAACTTCCGAGGTTAACTTTCTCGATGTGGGTTCACATAACCGGTTCGAGTCATAGTATTATATATGGACGATTGATATGATCGGGACGGCGTATTTAGTCGACTACACACGTAACCTATCTCGCCTAATATACCACTGTAGTTGTTCCTTCGAGGTAATATCACTTCGGTGCTATCCGATAGGTCAGCTCCACATTCAGATTGACGCAAATCCTGCTTACACGGACTGATTAGTGAGCCATATCAGTAAGGCGAGACTCGGGAATTATGTAACATAAGCCGTGGAAGCAAGTTAGTAAAGATACCTAATATTTAGTATTAAGTAGGAAACTATTATCGCATGAGTTTTGCCAGCGCCAAATAGGTATTTCAAGCTCCTTCTATAATCATAAAGATTTACTCATGGACTCGATTTCCATCCACTATACCTGGGTCATGTGTACCCTACACAAGACCTGGCATTCGACGAAAGACCTCTGCTGGCCTAGTACCTACCTACTTAGGTAAGCTGGAAAGCCTACTATTTGGATTTCATGAGTTGTATGAATTTGTTCCATCCCTTATGGAAAAGTCCTATAGTAAGTACCTGCGTGTTTAGGTACATGGGTTTAAACGGAAGACTGTCGCGCATCGGGTAGATCCCTTAGAAAAAACACGGCTAGAACCCTATCATCAATAAAAAAGCCGCAAGACTCACCGAATGTCTGTATGTAGCCGATTGAAATAAGAAAGAAACAATTTGTAGGATGAGGGGGCCTAAACTCCTTAAAACGGTGGCTGCATCAGCCATCACACGCCGAGCGCTGGTGGCGTCAATATATAAATTAGCCCTTGCGATCACGGAAGAGGCTTAAAGAGGCTGGCTGAGCTTGGAACCGAGATGAGAAACGAACGCCACCGTGCAGGTAAACTAGTAGTCGTACAACAGAAACAACTTATATTATAGGTGGACGATGTACTTGACACTACCTATGTTGCGGTTTAGATATTAGATGCCACCCCAATTTATCCAATGGCTTTGGAAATTTCCCCATTGAGGATATGAGGAGAAGATGTGCCAAAATATACGCACTATCGTTGCCGCCAATTGTCCCCTAGAGTGATTATTTGAAGGGGTTCACAAGACAAGGCATCCTCGTCGTATCGGCCGCCCAGTTTAATATATCCCAAACTCCGAGGAGTTGACAGCCAGTGTCAATAAAAGGCCAATCGGATCGTTCAGGATACACACTTGCTTTTTTTAAAGATGCGGTGAATTGTCGAATCTCTAGCAATATGTCTAAGAGCTCGGACTTTTACGTCGGCTATCCAATTATGAGCGAATTTACTTAGCATTACAACAGCCACGGGTGCCTACCTAGGTGTGTTGTATAATAAGCAAAAATAGGTAGCGTAGGGAGTATCTTTGTTCTCGATTCAATGTTCTCCCTCGCGTTTACATCCTCATTTCTAAACTTACGTGCTTCTAGAGAATCGATAAGCAATACATAGTCTTACAATCTTACAATCTTCCACGATGACATCAGTAACGTTAAAAGGCATCGAAGGTCGTGAGATCACTGGTAGGTTCCCTATCCTACAGGACTTGGATGTACTGTGTTCTGCGTCTAATTTGATACCTAGTCCAAACGGGGCTATTCATCAATAATGAATATGTAACCGCTACAAACGGCGCTACACTTGAGGTGGAGAATCCAAGCACAGCTACTCGCCTCGCAACAGTAGCCGCCGCACAGAGTGAAGACATCGACCGCGCCGTCCAGTCCTCCGAGAAAGCTTTTGGCTCTTGGAAGAAGGTTGACCCGACCGTCAGAAGAGATCTATTGAATAAGTTAGCAGATCTCATCGAGCGAGATGCTCCAATCATAGCCTCCCTGGAAGCGCTCGAATCTGGAATGCTCTACAGGAATTGTCTTGCCTCTAATATTCCTGTCGCAACTGGGAACCTTCGCTACTTTGCAGGTTGGGCCGACAAAATCGACGGTCTTAGTTTGCCAATTCCGCAGGGAGTTGCATATACCCGACGGGAGCCAATTGGGGTATGCGCTGCCATCGTCCCATGGAATACTTCGTAAGACCTTCAATACTTCATTTTTTACACATGGTTAGAGATGTTTCTAACAGTTGTTTAGGATGATATTCTTTTGGAAGTTGTCGGTGGCCATTGCAGCTGGCAATACACTGATTATGAAGACATCCGAACAGACTCCACTCTGGGGTCAAAAGGTCGCAGAATTGATTAAAGAGGCCGGCTTTCCCCCAGGAGTCATAAACATCTTGACTGGCTTTGGTAACATTGCCGGACAAGCTCTATCGGAACATCCTCGAATCAGGAAGATTGCTTTCACCGGAAGCACGGCTACCGGCCGTAAAATCATGCAAGCAGCCGCCCGCACCAACCTGAAGAAGGTAACTCTGGAATTAGGGGGTAAAGGACCGACCATCATATTCGACGATGCCAACTTCGACAACGCGGTGTTTTGGGCAACTCTAGGCATTACTCATAGTAATGCGCAGTTGTGCCTAGCTGGGAGTCGCATCTATGTCCAAGACACGATCTACGAGAAATTCCTCGTAGAGTTCAGCAAACGTAGCCGCGATGCGGTTCACGGTGATCCCCTATTGGCGGACACTACCAAGGGAGCAGTATCCAGCAAAGCCCACCTCGATAAAATTCTATCGTACGTAGAGAGGGGCAAGGCAGATGGGTTGAGGCTCCTCCATGGAGGGAACAAGCTTTCTGGAGATGGGTACTATGTCGCTAATACGGCGTTCGCGGATGTTGATCAGAGCCACGCTATCATGCGGGAGGAGATCTTCGGACCTGTGGCAGGAATCGCACCCTTCAAGACCGAGGAGGAGGCTATTGAGAAGGCCAATGACTCTGAATACGGTCTTAATGCTGCTGTCTTCACGAACAATGTCAACCGGGCAATGAGAGTCAGCAATGCGATTGAAGCGGGCACAGTAACCGTTAATTCTTGGGGTCGACCCAACGCCAACACGCCGTTTGGTGGTGTCAAGCAAAGCGGCTTCGGGAGAGATTCCGGTCACGAGGCTTTGGAAAGTTGGCTTGTGACGAAGACCATCAAGTATGCTGTTCTGGAGTGAAGGGAGGAAATTAGTTGATAGTCTCAAAGGCACTCGAGCTCGTATTAACCGCTGTGAGGGCCTAGAAGTTAGACCCAAAATACCGTTAATAGCAGGGCATTTATAGTGGAAGTTACTGACCTAAATGCCTAAGCTAGCACCTAAATAGTACAGACGCTTTCCTAATGAGGTAGTATGCCAACTTTCCATTGGTTGTTATGAATCGTGGTGGGTGCCCATTACGTAGTTTTTATGGTTCTGAATTTTGCATCTCTACATGTCTTGGACTTCACGGACTTGATGTCGTTTGCCATTTTTTTAAAATGCAATTCACTCTTATAACTTGATATGCGGATCAACTAAGTATAGATAACAGTAAACCCTTTGTATTTGAGTTAAGGAAGATGGTATGCTTAAGCTGACATTTTGCCCTACGTTACGCCTACCGTTAGCTACAAGTCGCTGATGGCGTGGGTGGACGGTGGATTATGGTTGTTTTATCCTCCTACAAGCTCATTACTTCACGATCTTCTTTGCAGATGAAAGCTCTATAATTATGACTATGATTCATTTTATAGCCCTTATTAAGGAGAAAATAACATATCTCATAGTTTATTTAAGGAAACTAAATCTTGAAAAAGTTATTGCGAATTGAAAGAGAAAAGTACCTTCATGTACCTACCTAGATACTGTAGGTAGCCTAGATCGGGTATAATTAGGATACCCCAGTACAACAAAATTACCGTAATAGGAAATAAGGGCACGGCTTAGTTTTTATCGATAAGCGTGATGATCCAGAAATTTCACGATTTTTTGAAAGTGGGAACGAGCTTGAATTCCTCAAACTTCTGTTCAATTAATAGATAATAATCTATTCGACGCTGATTTCGCAGGAGTCGCAGGATGCGTTCCTTTCTTACGGCGCCTATATGTCCGTCTTGTCTATTTGCCACGAGAATTCGAGCTACGCAAATACCAACCCGATCATGGACTACGCAAAGATTATTCTCGGGTCGAGCGAGAACGAGCCCCTCCAGGATGGTCTTGTCCGATCGTGTCGCCCGTCGCCCGGAACGAGATGCGTCCGACCGTAGTGACAGGAAGCCTCGAAGAAGGTCGGAAGGACCTTTTGGTGGTATGAATCAGACATCCGCCCGCATACGTGAACCTACATCAAGAACGGCCCCTCGACGGAGCGAAAGTAGAGATGGCGGGGATAGAAGGAGTGGTAAAAAGGACGACCGACGAACTAAGGCGATGAAGATGCAGAGCTCTTTAGCAACAATATCATATGGTCACAGGGCGCGAACGAAAGAGGGTATAGCTGAAGTAGAGTCATTCGACCGATTCGACCTTTTGCCTTCAATTAAAGAAGCCATGTCAAATGATGTGCTAAAGGGTATGGTGGACTTGAAGCCAACTCCGATCCAACGAATTGCGATTCCGGCGATATTAGGTCAGAATATGGGACGGAGGGCACCTCGACCAAAAGGCAATACAGAGAGACAAGAATTTTTATTGGCAGCGGAAACGGGCTCGGGAAAGACTCTAGCCTACCTGCTGCCCGTAATTGACGCCCTCAAGAAAGCCGAAGCAGCTGACCCCGCGATCGCTGCTTACAAAGAATATTTCACCCAACAATTGGCGGCCATGAAGGAACCTGGTTACACCGGTCCACGGGAATTTGACCCCCATCCGACTGCTGCGCGACCCAAAGTCGTCGTATTAGTGCCGACAGCTGAGCTAGTCGACCAAGTAGGAAGTGTGGCTAAAGCTCTGTCACATATCGTTAAATTCAAAGCCAGTCTTTTTTCCGCCAATATTTCCGCCAAGGTCATCAACGCGAGCATGTTTTCGCCCACAGGAATTGACCTTATTGTGGCTACACCACATTTATTAGCATCAATAGCCGACTCCGACCCAAATATCCTCTCAAGGGTTAGTCATTTAGTAGTTGATGAAGCAGATTCCCTTTTCGACCGGAGTTTCTCGCCTGTAACTACTTCCATTTTAGAGCGTGCTTTACCATCCATGAAGCAACTCATTCTCTGCTCCGCTACTATTCCCAAACGACTTGATAACTATCTAGCCACGGAGTTTCCGGATATGGTCCGACTTACCACACCAAATCTCCATGCTATTCCACGACGTGTGCAGCTCGGTGTTATCGACGTGTCGAAGGACCCTTACCGGAATAACAAGGACCTGGCTTGCGCAGATGCTATATGGTCCATTGGAAAAGACGCTGCGAGGCACGAAAGTGGAGTTCCCGGAGAAATAGATGTCAAGCGCATCATGGTGTTTGTAAACGAGCGCGAAAAGACCCAGGAAGTCGCTGAGTACCTGGTATCCAAGGGCATTGATGCCGTTGCGCTTCACCGAGATACCTCAGAGCAGCGGCAATCGGAGATGTTGGATTCGTTCACAACTACCGAGCCTATGAAGACCAAGGCAGATGAAGCCGTAGTACCAGCACCCGGAAAGGGACGAAGGAGCCTACCTAACACGAAAGTCATCGTAGCCACAGATCTAGCTTCGAGGGGTATCGATACTCTGGCGGTTCGACATGTGATACTGTACGATGTACCGCATAATACTATCGACTTTATCCACCGTTTGGGTCGCGCCGGTCGTATGGGTAGGAGAGGACGAGGAGTAGTACTGGTGGGCAGGGACGATCGTAAGGATATCGTCGCCGAAGTTAGGGAGAGTATGTTCATGGGCCAGGCTCTCATATAGGCAGGACGGCTGTATAAACGTAAGAAGTGTACAGTATTGTATCAAGGAACCTGTATATCAACTCTACGAAATATCAAAAAATCTCCAAGACAATCCCCCCGCTCATAGTGCTTTGTGAATGTGTTGCGCGTGACAGCATACCCAACGAATTCAATGAACCAGAAAGCACACATTCGTTAACGAGGTAGTAAGGGGGGTTCCATGTGCACGCCTGTTGGCTGCAAATGCTTAGAGCCCCTTATGCCTTTGATTGACGAGGGCTTCTCAATCACGTCGATGTCTCGAGGGACCTGACTCTTTCATATGCACGGCGGCAATCAAACGTAGGTAGCGTGAAGGCAAGTTATGTTCAAGGATAGAGACTTTCTTCTTGAATAGGTATCTATTCTAGGTGAGAGGGCTTACTAGGTTATTTAGTACGTTGCTACCTTCACTACCTCGTGGTATTCCCTGGAAACCAGATACGTTTCAGCGTGGATGATCGACAACATCATATCAAAATTCTACCAACGCGTGTCGTCATCAATGTTATTTTCATTAGACGAAGAAATTACAAATTTTCATCCAAGTAATTTTTGTTTCCATTGGCGCTACCCACCACATTAGAGGTTAAAAGGAGGTCATTATCAGGGGAAGATGAGCTGACGCTAGCGGTTACCTATCGAGTAAGCAGTTCATGGGTAGAAAGGGGTTTCTCGTAATCATCTTAGTTACTCGTCGAATAGTAACTTAGTGATACATATACTACCAATTTTAGGTCTATTGCTCCTCGCTTTACTGTAGCTAGGGTTATCCTAACGCAATATACCTGATGAGAGAATGTAAGTCTCTATATAAACTTAACATCAGCAAGACGACACGCGCTCGAAGCCGAGCGACAAGATGCATTAACGATGGCTCTTATTGTGCCTCGCTTGCACGTTCGTTTCTTTAAGCGCTAATATAGAATGATTTCCTCTATTATCGATATCAAACTGATAGAACTAGCATGATTTGATATCGTTAACAAACATATGAAAGGAAGCAGTCTTCAAGTCCTACTCTAAGTAGCTGTCTTGGACCCTTACATCGCCCACTTCGCGTACTATTTTGCAACTTCGCGGCGAGAAGGTAGACTATTGTCTTGAGCGGGTCCCCATTAATTATCCCTTTCTACTTTTGCTCTAAGCTCGTGCCATATTGCAAGCTGAGATATTTTTTGAAGAATGTAAGCCGCCTGTCCCATTGATAGTTGTAAAATGGTCACCGCTTATTGTCTTAATTAAGGGACGGCACGAAAGAAGTGGCCCATGTGTGGAGCTTAATAGGGGTCTACAGAACCCTGGGCTCGCCGATGGGGCTTGAACCAAGGGTCCTAGGTACATATAGCAGCCATAGTTACTAGTTCGCTACTTAGTTCTGATGGTAAGTTGTGATCAGAGACTTCGACCTCGCCCTAGTTCTACGTAGTTGTCTTACCCAGTCCAGCGGGTTGGGGTCAAGTAGAAGATGGGATGAATACCGAGACACCAAATCTATCACATGAAAACTTAATGCTCTTAGGGACATACTATGTAAATAATAGTGACAGGCGGCTCCCCCGTAGTTTGAGTGTGTTTGGTCTGAGCGAATTGGATTACGAACCGATGGGCAGAGTCCTATTAAGTATATCTAAGTCTCTGTTAGCGGCACAGCCGTTGGTACAGTGATTAATCGCTACAAAGATTCCCTAAGATTACTATGTCATCTTAGCTTGGTCTTATAAACATAGCATGTCTTAACAATTCCCTTACTAGGTATCTCATACAATTGATGTACAGGACGCTGGTTTCTGGATCAATAACCAACCTCAATTAGATTCTGTTCGGCGACTTTATTTAGATGTTTAGAACTCGTCGGAAAGTAATAAGAGATGTGCTAATTGCCATTTTCAGCCATAACGTTGCGTGTAATAGTAGTTTCTATGAATGATCGCTGGAGGCGCAGACCCAGACAATTACGCCAGCCATGTCAGCCATAATGAAGATCTTGGCGGTAAAATGGAGGCTGGCGCAATACGAAAGCATTAGTGAACAAGACGAGCTTTGATACTCGTCTCAGTTATGTACAAGGTAAGGTAAATCCAGGGTCTAGCTTTTTAACAGGCCCCCAACAATGCTAGTTTTAAGTGCTTCAAACAGATCGCCTATTCGAGCTCCCAAGGCATACTAGCATCAACATCTAGACGTAAGCTGAAACCCGGCCAATTAGCGACCAATAGCTGTTAGCGAAATGGGTCCCCAGCAAGTCTTTCCAGTGGTTTCTTTTTGGGCGAATAGTGGCTACTAGTGCTCATGACCTGTCAATTAGTTACCTCATGTTATTCAGCTAAACAATTGTTTAACGATCCACCAGAGCTACGAGAAACAAATGCGATTTTTGCTTTGTAGGACATCATACTTCCCCCGGATACGTAATTGACTCCTTTGCTCAGTCGACCTAGATTTGATATCGTTGAATTACCACTTCAGTGAGTTGCTGCGATTAGCACAGGGAAAACTCTCGGCGGTGGTGAGCACAGAGCCCTACCCGCTTACGTGCTGTTCTTTTGCGATCAGGAACTTCGATCACCGCAAATCATTGCGGACCCCAGCGTAAATCCCGGCAATACTTGACATTTTCCAGCAAGCGCTTTTAACCATCAAGATAGAATTTCCGAAGGTTTGTCTCATGGCCTGTACTGAAACCGATCTGCGCTTAAAGAGTTAAGGAGCTGCTGGCCTTGGTCTCTTATGTCAAGTGACGAGACCACGTTAATAATAGTGACTACCAATCGCATGAAACTAGAAGGAATTGTTTTCAGATGAAATCGGATATACGAGGTAGCTACAGAGTAGTATTGGTGCTGTAATGCTAACTCCGAGACGAGAATCTAGCCTACTTCGTCGCGATCGCGGTTAGCTATCCGTATTCGATTTGTTGACTTAAGCTTATTGAGTCTGCATAGTGACTGTATTCTGAATGGTAGAAAATTCCAATTTGATACGTATTAGCGACGTTTCAATGAGTACTGGGGTTGGTGAGAACTGGGATTATTCCCGAACAAAGATGCCAAGGTCGGAGGTTACATTTTGACGGGGGTAGAAAAAAGGGGAATGTTACTGTACGCGGAGATTCGAAATTCTTCAGCCAATACTGAGATATTCCGACTCCGAAGCCAAGGTGAATCCCCAATCAGAGATTGCCATAGGATTGCTACTTAACGTTGATCAATGATTGGCTCAAGGAGAGGAAATCTCGTCAATCAGGACTTACTATTTTCGGCCGTCTTGGCATGAGCTTGTCTCAGTCTGCGGGTCTTCCCCTTGCCCATCGGGGTCTGAGGGTCCAATAAGAGATCAAGGAAATTTACTTCGAAGCCTCGATCTCCATATTCTAGATGTCACACCCTGCCTCATATCTTGCTGAAACGTCGCGAATTCCTGCCTACACCTTTTTCGTGAGACTGAGACTAAATGCCGCTGAGAACTTCCACCCATCATGGCCAAGAGGAAGAATTCAGCACGAGTAGTGCGACGGCCTTGCTGTTTTACACCCTGTGCCTTACCCTTTGCGAAATAAGGCGTAATGAGGCTCGAGCCGCTTCGGTTACCAGTTAAGCTTAATGTCGTCATGAATTTGTTGGAATTGGAGAGTATCATCGTGGATGGGGATGCAACTTAGTCGCCAGGGGAAGTCGGTATGTGGGCATGTAGCTGGTCATGTAGATGCGTATAAGTAGCCAAGAAACTCGCGATATCTCAAGTGAATTTTTTCTTCTTCATCCCATTCTCAACAATCAAAGCATTTCTCCTCATTTGTCTTCATTCCATTTTCTTCATTCTTCTTCGTGTTCATACCCTGGTGGCTGAACTCTCTTAATAACACTCATTATCTAAATCCTGTGGATATTCATTTCGATCACTCCCTTCACTAGCCAATTCGCCTTTTTCTACAACCAAAAAACCAGTCAAAATGAAGTTCCTCCACATCCTCGTCCTTGCTACCTCGGCTACTGCCTTGGTCATGCCCCGCCACCACGCTGGTAAGAAGGCTGGTGCAAACAGTGAGTTGACTATCCACTTCGAGCATTCGACTCATACTAATGAATACCTTTAGACGGCAACGCTGTGGCTGCTGCTGGTGGCAACGCCAACAACGCAAACGCCAATGCTAATGTGAATGCTGCTGCCGCGGCGATCAACGGCGGCGCCAAGAACAAGTAAGTTGCAGAGTCTCCGAAGACAAACTCCGAAGCTGGTAACTAACCTGGAACGCTTTAGCAACAACAACAAGAGACACCACGCCGGAAAGAAGGCTAAGGGCAACAATGCCAACGCTGCTAACGCCGCTGCGGCTAACAACAAGCGACACCATGCTGGCAAGAAGGCAAAGGGTAACGCCAACGCCGCCAATGCCAATGCCAATGCCAATGCCGCCAATGCTAACGGCAACGCCAATGCTGCTAACGCGAACGCTGCCAATGCGAACGCTAACACCAACAACGCGAATGCCAACGCGAACAACAAGCGACACCACGCCGGCAAGAAGGCCAAGAACGGTGGCAACGCCGCGAACGCGAATGCCAACAACTAAGAGGTTTAATATGGTGGCACTGCCAGGCTAGAAATATAAGGGCTGGTGATGTCTGGTTCTAAACTGGAGCGTAACCTACTCAACTGTACTGTACTCCTTGGGATATCGATAGGATGCGCATAGATTTAGCGTATGAGCACGGTGTACATATACCTATGGAATGAAGACTATGAGCGAGAATACCCTTTCTTTTGAGATTTGAAGTCTTTCGTCGTGAACTTGTGTTTTCTATAATTGCGGTGATACTGGTTTTGAGAATTGCCATGGTTACGAGAGTAAGTCGTCGCATGAGATCGAACATAAGGATTTGTGAGAAATAAGTGTTGGTATGTACGGGGAAAGAATAATGTAAGAGGACTTCTAAATAGGCTATTGGTAAGTTAAGTTGAAATTTGTTCTACTCAATTTGCAGTCAGCACCTAAAATCGAGCGACTCGTTCCCGGATTTTGCTTTTTAGGGCTGTAAATCCATCTGACATTTCTGTATGCAATCTCATTCCTACGCGAACCGTAAGCACTATGGTTCTAGGCACGGTATGAATGAAAGAGGATGAAACTTATTGCCCGATCCGATGATTAAATCCTTTGCTTTAAGATCGAAGAAGGAGCCGTCTTCTCCATGCCGTAAGGCACTGTGGATAGTCTCATCGTAACTAATGGTAGAATCACTAATAGGTTTGATCAACAGGGGGTTTCGTTAGTTCAATATGATGAGAACTGAGTGGCTTGCCCAGGTTCCTGGTATATGTTTTTGACTAAACTTATTCATTAATATCCACTCCTTCTTATTAGCTATGAGAGTGAAATCGAAGGCCGAAAGTCATCATGAATTCTTCCAGTTTCAGTGGTGAGATATTTAATTTCGGCCGAGATATCCAAGATGGATTACGTAGATGGCGGAAAAGTGGGACGGGGGAAATGCGTGTTGCACGTGATCGGCACACGTGATATGCATTGACCTCTTCTACTTAGAATACGCGACTAAACCCAAAACGTAAATACCTCGGCTACTTTCCATTTCTTAGTCCATCGATGGACTTGATACCTTAAGTAACCTCTACACTCGAGTCATCTCATTCCAATACTATTCTTTGCGGCTTACTGCTCAGATTCTCCATTTTAGAACACATAGGTGTAATCTAGAAGGATTTCAAGTTAATCCAGAATTATCTCTACGTTAGTGGATGGACAACGGAGTTAATGTCCGTCGGAGCTGATAACTCATCTTCTGTTTCCCCCCGGTTGCCCAATTGGAGTCTAGAACACCCGTATGGAGTCAATCATTGAAATATCTCAATAGAAATCAATGTCTTTAGAGGTCATATATGTGGCCCGCCATGGGGTAAGGAGATAAGGGTCCTAACTACAAGACCTTAACATATTCTATCGAGACAATACCCCTTCCAGTTATGAGACTATTCCGTCTTGGACCTTTGATACTTGGCGGAAGCCACCTAGACGCTATTTGATCAAAGATATGCTAACTTTCACCAGTTCCGTTCTCAATGGATGGTTGACCCGTCCACCGGCACCTACACCTCTCCAATCCGATCTCCAACTGGATTAGCCACTGACCCAGCTCTCACGTCTCATGGTGTTGACCAGGCAAATGAGTTAGCGGCACACCTACTAGGAGTTAATCCTCCGATAGATCAGATTTATTCTAGTCCTTATTATCGATGTATACAGACTATTCAGCCATTTATACGGAATTTCAGACGTGCCCAGATGCAATCGTCTGGAAATGTCTCAGAGGAGCCACCTCCAAAGATCCGTGTAGACTTTGGGCTTAGTGAATGGTATGGGTTAGCACATTTCGAGCATCCTTCATCTGCACCCCTGAATGAGCTGCAGGCTTTTTTTCCTGAACTCGATGCAAGCTACGGATCTAGCTCCGCGCCGTCGCGTCATGGGGAATCTCTACCTCAGTTACATGATCGGGTGGCAAGGGTAATCGACACAATCATTAGACGCACCGATCAGGAGGGCCATAGAGCCATACTAGTGTCTACTCATGCTGCAGTGGTGATCGCGCTTGGACGGGTTCTTACTGGACAAATGGACCATGACTTTAGTGCGTTTACTTGCGGACTTAGTATGTACAAACGACGAGGATCCAGCACCACACAAGCATCCGCAAACTCTGCCGATAAGACGGGAGCTAACGCTATGATCCCGACGGCGCGGGACAAAGGGCGGATCGAAGTACCAAGATCCAAATCCCATCTAGATATCGATTCTGCAAGTGATGTCGATCTCCATCCACACGACTCAAAGTGGTCCGATCTAGGATCACCAAGGAGGGACAAATCCGGACTCTACGGAGGATGGACTTGTGTAAAGGACTCCGACTGTAGTTTTCTTCGTTCTGGCGAGGAAAGGGGATGGTAAGCACTCCGCTAATTTGCTTCTTCGCGCGACCTTATTTTGTAGTTAACTAGGAAATGGCAGGAAATTCTCAGGTGACGAGTCATTCATCGAGGAAGATGACAATGGAGTGTGGCCATCAACCGTGGCCTCTCGTGCGAGTACTGCCGTTAATAAGGCAGGGATAGAAAGACGCAGCAGCAGCCACAATAACCCAGTACTCGGAAATTCTAAACTATGATCGATCTTAGAGCTCTAGGCATGCAGGTCAGCCTGCCGGCTCCAATAGTATAATCTGCAATCTGCGCACGGATGAAGTTCTTGACCAACCATTCGGCTGGTTTCCGATCTTCGATTTAGCGCAGAATACCTCGGTCACATATTTAAAACTGTTTGTTACCATCACCGACTCCCTTAGCAATAACTTCATATACCCGATTTCAATAGTAACAGTCCTACTCGTCGCACAAAGCTTTTATGAGGCTCTTTGACGTTTTAGTGTAACTCTAGCATGAAACAATCGTTACTGTGACAAGATTGACGGCGTTCTTAGACTGGTACTACCGACTAAGAATAGTCAACCTGTCATCTGACTTGTTTCAGGTCCCATGGAGCCTCAAAAACTATTGAAACTTCCTTCACTACTCCCTCAGGTCGTCGAGCAAAGTACAAATGTACTTTCTGGCCACAGGAGGGGTGTCAATCATTGCGACGAAGACGCCTTTCTACGCAGCTAGACAGTTGAGACCGAGTCTTAGATATTGACTTGTCAGTGAGGTCAGTACTCTTGGAAAATGATATGTCACAAAAGTGAGAATTGTTCAGTAAACCGGTTCTTTACTAGTAGAATAATATGGACTGTCGTATTTCGCCGGCATATACTAGTTTAACTAATGTACGGATCAGCTCCCAGATCTCAACTACTATTCCGATTACTGAGATATTCATCGGAACTCAACTCGGACGGGCCATTAGTCTATGTACACTCCTGACAAATGAGGATAAAACCGCCGTTAGTCTCGGATGACTCCTAGGAACAGTACTCTAGCTTCACGGCTACAGAACCCTGGAGATCAGCCTGGAGAATTCATGTCAGTAAGTAAAATACCTAGTGTCAATAATGTCTTAGTCGTCATCCTGGCGGTCGGGTCCCTTGCCGTCCAATGAGTTCGCCGAACTGGTGAAAACCCCCGAAAGCCCCTAATGTCATTGTTTCCGCCGTCTATCCCTCAACACCTCCAGCCCCTATATATACCACTTATTTTCTTGTTGCTTCATTGGTTGAAAAATGTGCTAAAAAGACGGGATGCAAAAGGAAAAACAGGACATAACATGTAAGACTCACATCAACCTGAATGTCGATTCGGGGCATCTGTTGTTTGATCTGAAGACAAATCAAAAAAGTCCCCTGCCCCATCTAACTTAAGCCTTGAGCCATTATGATGACATTGATGTCAGGGTAAGTCTGGTACGCGATTAGATTTCCGTATATGGCGTTTACCATTTGCCGAATTGGGCAACAGGGTAATAAGTTGAAAAACAGGGGGTAGTAATAAAAAAAAGAAAAAAAAAGAGAGAAGGCTGTAGTAATGATTTCTAAAGATATCGGCCATTGATATTCTCGACGGTTCGGGAAGTTAAGTCACAAGCTTGTCGAGTCCTGCGCGGTGCTAGGTGTTACTGCAACTTCGCTGCAGATTTATTTCCGACAGGGGACACAATCCACATAATCCTCTGGGCGGCTCGTCTACCACCCTACAACGCCCTCTTCCGTCTTCTCAAGCTCTCGAGTGGCTCACTTCGCAGTTAGCGCCCAGCCTGTTCTGCATGAATATTCTAATTTGGCAAGATACTACTTCGCATGCATAATTACAATGAACTGTTGGCTCTTAAGCGCAGGCGAGCCAGGTTACTTAAGAAATCTGTATCTGCAAGGAATGGCTGGTCTAGTTTAGGTAAAGATCATCCCTGGTAGCCACCCTTTGCCGACAGTCAGCCTGTGTTATACCGGCCCGAGAGCTGATGAGTCTCGACCACATCAAACCCCTACGACGTTAGCATCCAATAAGATCGACCGCAGCCCTCATCATCGCGCTTGCGCAGAGGGAAAAAGCATTCTTTGCCGCGCGAGCATTGTGGCTTCAGGCCGCATTAGTATTCCATAATTCGGCTCGGCTTCTCGGAGAGGGCTAAGCCTCGCCCACAAAGCGGGAAAACTAAACTCTCCGTTCTCTTAAGAGGCTGGCAGGATGGCTGGGTTACTTTCGCAGGCTACCCGACAATCCTCATCACAGACTGACAGCGCATCCAGCATTGTTCGGTCCTCTCCTTTCACATTTCGTTCAGCGCATAACCGGCCCGCGCACCTCCACCCCCTCTTCGGTTTACTTCCCCTAGACTGTACCTAATGCTTCTATTGGTCGGCTGGTACCGACTGTCTGGAAACCTCTGAGGGTTGCTCAGGGTTTCCAACGAATAGGCCGTCGGGATTCATGGGATGCTGGTCACAGTGTTAAAATATCGGTAATTGAGCCTGTCAGACCAGAAAATAGAAGCATGCATAATTGCTTTGTTTCCTTCTCGGGCGGGTGGAGACGAGCGTAGTCGCCAGAGGAGTGCAGACGTAGACGATCTCTATACCGCTAGTGTTGAAGACGCAACATTTTGTCACCTGCATCTTCCTTTCCGTCGCTCTGTCTGTTTAGCAGTCTAGCTAGTAGGTATTTCCCGTAGCGGTCATGTTTCTCTCATGCACGATCGGCCACCATAGAGCCTTGATTGCATAGAGCGTTGAAACAGTGTGTCAGGGTGTCCGGGTTTACGTCGAGGGTAGCTTTCCCAGACCTTGAGCAGCCCTTGCGCCGTGGCCCGTCCATTCAAGCACCGCGAAATTTGGGGTTGGATGGGCTTCCTCCGCTTAGGTATACCGCCACATACATTAAGCGTTGTCATTTTCCATGTCATCCGTTTCCCATTCCTACCCTACCACCTCGGCCAGCCTATCTCCGTCTAGTTTAGACCCCTACAATTTACATACACAAAAAAGTGACCTATTCTCTTTCATTGTGGTTCATGTCTCTCATATCGCCACCAATCTCCTAACTAGCAAAGACCAGAACGACTAGAACGAATCTACTCAGATTATACCAAAGTATTCTTCGAGACAAATAGGCGTACTTATCAAATCAAGCCGTGTTATATATCGGTACGCCAAGAAACAGGTAGCAGCAATAGTCGTTTTTAAAGACACCCGGGGCGTGTTTGCTATTCCCGAGGCTGCTTGTCTGCAGGAGGTGACACTACTCTTCAGTAGACTTGGCCCTATGTGTCGGGACGTGTTGGTCTATATTAAACACAGGGGTATTTGACTGACCCTTAGCCTCCACTTGCTCGTCCCTCTACATTGATACAGAAGTCATAAATACTCCTGCTCCCTTCACAATTCGCTCCATTACTAGCGTCCTTCGTCAACTAGGCCTTTTGATCGAGCTATTTGCCCTTGCTTTCACTCAGGCTATCTTCGATTCTGATTTTCTTGTTAATGGCATGTTAATTCAATACCTACTTCCGACAACGACTTGGCAAATATGGAACCTACGACTATTCAACAGAGGGGAAACCTAGGATCTTCACTCCCATTCCGTACACTAAAGCCTCATTCATCTCAACTGAATATTGGCCGATTCCCAAACACACGTTACGAGAATGTGGACAACACAATCCGCGTAACGGATTTCTCAGAAGCGCCTTTTTCTCCCATAAGTGAAAGGTCTAGTTCTTTCTCCCAAGCTTCGACCGCGGAAACCTGGGACTTAGCATCAACCGAGCCATCTTCCCCTCGGTCTCCAAGGACGAAGCACGAATTTGATGACATCCCTCGGCTTGGATCCATATCTCCCCACGCAGAGGTCCTTAAGCGGAAATGCGATAGCGCGGATGAGGGTAGTAAGAGAATCAAACTACAACCCCTGCATCTACCGAGCGTTTCGCGCCTTCATCTACTCCCACCACGCGACAACAAGAGCCGTCGCTTCATCCAACCGCATTATGTCAAGAGAGCTTTGCAAACTCCTAACTCTAGCCCTGAACCCAGGAATGAGTATACTCTTTCGGAAAAGGCATCGGATCCTATAATCCAATGGCTCAACGTCAGGAGACGAGAATCCAGCGATACAAAGCAGCCCCTCTCGGAACCACGAGGGCTAGTAGATATTTCCCTCAATATTAACTTGGACGTTGACGAGACACCACCGCCGTGTTTCTATCGCGAGAAACAGAAATATACCTCACAGTCCCGACAACAGCAACAACAACAGCAACCCACACCACTCTTGGGAGAAAAAGGAAAGGCCAAAAGGAAGAGAAAAGGAAACCAAACTAAATCATCGCATAACAATATCAAGTACACGGCAGAGGAAGGTGATTTTATCCGCTACAACAAGTACGAGATGAAATACTCGTGGGCCGACAACCAGAAACTGTTCGTGGAGACGTTTCCTATGCGCGACCCAGAGAAGGATCGACGCACCCAGGGCGTTCAAGGCGTCCACTATCGTGACAACCAACACGTACCCGTTCTTGTAGATGGAGGACGACGGCTTGTGTTTAACGAATATGGACACGTAAAGGCACGAGTCGCGCAAGTTAGACAACAGCGTGACGACAAACCGTACTTCAGCCTTGTATACTTATACCCTGAACGAGCCTTGAATTATCCTTGGGTGGCAGACAAATTCAAGAAGATGGCTGCCGAATTAGGTGAGTTCGGAACATTTCTTTTCGATGGAAGTCGGGGGGTATACTAACATAAATCTTATAGTTAAGGAACGTATCCCACAAAGGGAAGCCGCCAAACGTGATGCTATTGCGCGAGGCGTCTGGAAAGAAAAACTTGGTAATGGCGAGTGTGCATGCTGCCATAAGCCAGACCGAGAGAGGGATAATCACAAGCGCTACGTCCCCGGACGAGACGAAAGCTCTTTTGTTATGCCAACGCCCCTGAAAAACGAGGTCGAACCCGATTCGAACACGACGTTCAACTCGAATCCTCTACAAAATCGCAGGCATACATTATACATGCTTCAAAACGAGCTTACTCAAATAACGACTGAGAATGAACGACGATTACTTCAAGCGAGAAACAGCATGTCGAAATAAAATCTGACGTGATATGTTTATTCTATACCCTTCAACATATTGCATTACTTTACTTCGACTACTCAAATATACTTTTACCTGTACCTATTTACACCTACCTATCTATCAACGAGTATAGTCTATATCAACTCCACTATACATCTATACCACACTATAAAATCGACCATTTTTTACTACATATACAACCAATAACGCGACGGACGAAATCTAGTTAGCATACACGATACAACGGAGGACGACTAACACAACGAAACAGCATCCTGCTTAACCCAGGACGCACGGGAGAGGACTTGGCGGCAAAGAGTGGAGTTAGGGGGGAAAACGGGAGGCTTGGCTGAGTGACACCGGCGCCAGGGAATGGGACCGAGTTGTGATTTCTTCGGATTGGACTGATTACAATGGAGTATTGATTATTGACACGGGAGCGGACGGAACCGAACTGAACTGACTTTTGATTTGATTGTCTGACACGGGTCTACGGATTAATGAATTGAGGACATGGAACATGGATTGAATGTATTACTATCTTACTATTAACTTACCACCTATATACCTCCTTTTCTTTTGTTTTATTAGGTATTTTTTGTTACTATTTTATATTTTACCTACTTTACTAGAAATTCCACATTTTTTAGGCAAGGTGTTTATTACTATTCCTTCGGTGTACGGATATTTCTACATATCGTGCTTCTATTCTGGGACTCTTTGATTCCTACGGATCGTGTTTACTGTTATTTTACTACAACTATTCATGTACTTCGGATCGACGGATAGGATGGGGTGGATGGGAAGGACGACCAGTTGGTTGGATAAACTTGGTCGGTTGCCAGTAGGAAGAAGAAAAAAGGGTCTTGTTTGTAGCAATGGACAGTAACGCAAACATACATACATCCTCTCTGTTAGGTACGCAAGCCGCAATTAAGGGAAGCAAGTTTTTTTTTTCCTCTTCCTATCGTGGCGAACCAGGAAACAATAACGGCATAATCCTTTTGAGGCGTATACACAAATTGAGTTGGTTTTCTGCCATGTGATTTGTCAGTTTCCTTGGCTTACCTACATCTTACAGCATCATATTCGGTATAATCGTCCACATGTTGGTAGTCAGGCGCCTTATTAAACACCCCCCTACCCTAGCGTATACCTAGGTAGGCAGTCCGGCCACGCAGATATTAGGATCTAACGTCGTACGTACGGGTACCATCATACGGTGTAGGCCGGGAGCCCCAGCCCCCGTTTCGAAACAATCAGCCAGGAGAGAAAAGAAATGTTGGGAATGCAATCGTACGTGATTTCGTCAGAGACTGGCCCGACACGCCAGCTGTGCTACGCTATGTTACAACAATTCGAAGTTTAGGCCCTAAGTTTGCCTGACGGTGTGTTACCGCACCAATGGAAAATGCCAATGCTCAAGTGGGAATATTTATCTCCTCTCATCAGTTGTTCGTAGATACATAGGAATTCACATGGATTAGGTGTTAGACTCGAGGAGAGGGAGACCAGGGCGGCGAAAGCAGACAAATGTTTGCTTAAACCCTGCCTCCTAGGACTCGGCAAAAGACGAGACCCCTAACCCCCCTTTTTTATCCCTAGCGGAACTTCATATGCTCGTAACGTCTCGGCCAAGGGATTAACGCCGATGACTAGTGCTATAGAATCGGATTCTGCTGCAGATCCAACCGTCTACGTTCCACAAACCCAACTATTCGCAGGTATTAGCGTAGAATCGTGATGTCTATTGTTCCACCGAATTGACGCGCGGTACCATTTTTTTTATAACTAAACCGAATCTTCATAATGACACCCTTTTACAAGCGATCGGTCGTGAAATTATCTCGGGGTCTGCCGATGTATGTGATGAATTTGCTTCCCTCGGCCTTATCGCTGAAAGCCGCATCATCGTCGTCGTTATCTAGGTCATATTCCTCGAGGTCCGAAGCATTGCGAGTTCGGAAGGAATATGGATTCTGACCGAACTCATCATCTGAAGCAACTTCTTCATCGGGATAGTCCGCTGCATAATAGTTCTCCGCTGTTCGTGGGTTAGCCAATCAGAAAGGTAGCAGAGCGCCATTTTGGAAAACAGGGCATACCGTTCTCATCGTCTTCATCTTCAGCCCACTCATCTTCGCTGTCTCCACCGTCTCCATAGAAAAATTCGAGATCAGGCTCATCGTCGAATACGAGAACTCCAACACTTTGCGGCGGAGCATGTTCCATCTTGCTCGCGGGGACACGTTCATAGGTCTCAATGATGTAATCACTATCGTCGCTATCGCTAATGTAAGCATCAGTGTCCATCATGTCCACGTCCGTCGAAGCTTGTGCTGCTTCAGGATGGCGCTCTGCGTATCGTTTGGTCGGTTTCGGTTTGTATTTAGGTTGAGCTTTGCTGGGTGTTTGTTGTTTCTTCTCGGCTTCGGCCTGCTGGAGGTTAAGGCCGATTTGCTCCATCGCGTATGCATTCATCTCAGCTGCTAGCTTATCCATATCGGCGTCCCATCGGTTCGTCATCGATTTCGGTAGGTCAGCCTGGTACTTCTGGGTCTCTTCCTTCTTTTTCGCATATTTTGCTAGGCCGGGTTTCTTAAACTTCCGGGGTTCCTGCTTATCAACTTCCATTCGTTCAGACGCCGTAGGCGCTGAGCCAGATGTTGGGGCGACTCCATTGGTGATCGCTTGGTGATATTTCTGGAGGGGTCTCGCCGAGATCTTTTTAATCTTTCGCTCAACGAACAGCGCAGTAGCAGAGCGCTTCTTCGAAATTCCTGCACTAGATCGGCTAGAATTTGAAGAGCCCCCAAGCATAATATCCTTTCTCGACATGTGGAAGCGTCGCGGTTCGGAAGCGATAGCGTCGGAGCTGGTGGTGGGTCGGGTAGGGGAGATATTTGCGGATTCGTTATCGAGGCCATTATCACCAGTTCCATCATTGAGTATGATGTCAGGGGTTGTAGGGCTCTGGAATGCCGGGTTCCGTGTGCGCGATCCGGATGTGTGGATGATAGGCTTGTGGGATTCGGAAGGAATGTTCTCGGCGAATTGGGGGCGCTCTTCTTGTCGTTGGTAGACAAAGGCGTCGCTTCGGTGTCTTTTAGTCTCCTGAACACCTAAGGAAAAGGTCAGTTATTAGTATCTCTACCCGACGCTACATATTTATGAATTTGCGACAACTTACGGAGAAAAGACACGGGCGCCTCTTCGGTAGCTTTTCGCTTCACGCGAATTAACTGCGGCGGCATCGCCATGATGATTGTCGCAACTGAAATTTGGGTCTAGATAGAGGTCTCGGTTGCTTGTACAAGGTCGAAGACGAACTAACATTCGACGTTGGTCGTTGTTTAAGAAATGTCTTGTCGAATTGTTCCAAGATTATTCGACGTGGGGTTAAGTTTAAGCTATTGAACCTCATCTACAGTAGAAGTTGCACTCACTGGACCCCACTCTAGACCAGCTGCAGGTGCCCAAAGAAGCGCCTAACCCGCCCTATCATAGGCCCACCCTTTGACAGGAGCGCGCTATAATTACAGCGCATACAGCACTACGGGAAGGTGCTAATCAGTCACGAAGAAGATAAAAGGCAATTTGCACGGTCGGAGACAGTGCAAATAAACTTAGAAAATACAACATCATTTACACTTGAGCGTGTCTGCAAATCCCGCCTTCAAGAACGACAAGATTCATAATCATTTATCTATGGCCCCTACATACTAAATAGTTTCGGAGTACAGAGAGAATTCCCAGGCCATCGAATAATTCTTAATGGCTAGAGTCCGAACCTAGAACATCGGCTCTTGGTCATGCTTCTCCGCTTGTAATTGGGTACTGACAGCGACAGCCGCATTGCAACCACTTGATATTGCCCCCGGAGTAACTTTGTACGGAGTGATGCAATCGCCAGCGGCAAACACGCCCCTCACGCTTGTTTGATGCATTGGTGCATCGGCCACAATATCCCCCATAGGCGTGAGCGCGAGGCCAAGTTGGCTAACAAAAGCCCCTTGGACACTCGTCTGAGGACTGTGGGCCAGGAACTTCTCTTCCTTCTTGGTGCCGTCTTCAAATTCCACGATCGCTGAGTTCCCTTCGGCATTATTCAAGAGCCGCTTGATTGGCCGAGGCTCGACTTTGAATTTCGAACTGCCGGTAGTGCTGAGCTGTGCCGCTAGGTCGTTGTTACCATGGGTGTATAAGGTTACACTATCGCTAAGCTGAGCCGCATTCTCTGCCATATGGATGACGAGAGCAGGGATAACAACAGGGAATACAGCTAGGACTCCCGAGGACGACGAGCCACGATCTTCATAGCCGTGGCAAAACAAGCAATGGAAGCTGATAGCTTAATATCAGTATTCAGCTTGCATTGAGACTAAAAAACCTTACATTTTCTTTGTCCATAACCAGTCGTATCCATCAATGTCAGGATAAGTGTCAGCCGATCCGACAGCCAGCAACAACTTGCGAAAGTGCCATTCCTTCCCATTGCCATCCCAAACCACGAACTGGGAGTCGCTCTGCTTCTCAACTTTGGATACCGCAGTATCAGAAAATTGGATCGTGGAATAGTTAGCTAGGATATCTCCCCTAGCTGTAGCACGAAATTCCTTGGGGTCTTTGTTCTCCCAAGTCGGAACCATGTGTATCTGGGTCGCTTTGACATTCCGGTAACTCCCGGAGTCGAATACGACGGCAGTATGTAGTTGGCGTGCTAGAGTGCCGGCAGCAGTCAAACCAGCAGGTCCTCCCCCAATAATTGCAACGTCAATAGGCTCCATTGCGAAGAACTAATTCGAAAATCGCTCTTCAATTGAGAATGTAAGTTGTAAGACAATCTGGATGAACTAAAGAAGCAACACATCATATAAATACCTAGGTATACCCCTAACGAGGTAATGATCCGATACTCTAGCTGTGCCGCATCTTTGTATGCCACTGGGTTAGATTTGTAGAATACTATACGCCGCATATCCCTAGGGAGGTTTGCGTTGCGAGGGCTGGATTTTCCCCCTTGCTTCAGCGTTAAATGCACCAACCAATGCACCAACCAACTGTGCCGCATCTTTTTTCTACATGGTCTAAACTTCACTGTCGCCTTTTGATGTACGAATCTGTGTAATCATCAACTATGTCAGCTTAACTGTAAGACCCATAAGATATTATACCGCCCGGCAGAAATGTGGAGAGCTGTCTAGTACTTGTGGATCTTAACCGGTAATGATCGACCTTATCGATATCAATCCGTTCATTCCCCGGGGGCTGCCGCGGTTGCTGGAACTAAACCTAGCACGGACATCTAACCTGAAGGACCTTTTGCTCCGTTTACCATCACTTTATTCTTCTTCTTCTCAAATACAACAAATAGTTAACTGGTACATCATTATTTTATCGCCATTTCATAACTTCAATCATAACAACCAACCTATGATATGGTTGACACTTGGACTTATTATATCACTCATAGATCGAGTCAATGACGGAAGACCCTTTTTCTGCATCTCGCTCTCTCTCCACTTCTCCATTCATCTCCAGTCATCTCCATCCATGAGCATAAGCTGCTTTTCTACCCTTGGTCCGTGGCCCTTGTCCCGCAGGATTAGCGCTGTAGGATTTAAAGCGCTATTATGAGAACCTTATTTCAGCTCGATTCATATCATACAACTCTCCAAGGTCCATCGGGCTCTTGGAATGTTTCTCTTCGTGTTGCCTTTGGGTTGCAAATACCACATCATATCCTATGAAGTCTAGATGGACTAGCAGCTTACCATCGCACGTGGAAGCCGATATCTCTCAATGGTCGCTTTATTACCGTACACCTCTAGGTTTCTATGTTCTGCGAGTTGGAGGTCGCTCGGGCCCATAAGTACATACATACGTCCATCGTACATTAATTAATGTACCTTGATCTCGCCAACGCTGGTTAGTCCCAGTGGCAACGACTAATTGGAACGATCCAGACAGGCGTAAAACATGCGTCAGGACGACGCATATTGTCTGAATAAGGGTCATCATACCACAGGTATCTAGGTAGGTAGCGATGTAGGTAGGTTCCGTCTCGTATGATATCTACCAACTACAGCCCGGGTATTACCCATATACCGAAGCTATCTTTTCTACATTTCCATCTTCATTTCCCTCGAAGGATCTAGTTTTGTCACACTACTTTATCTATCTCTCAACGGTTTCTTCTGTTGTCAGCCATATACATTCATACTCATCAGTTTTTTTCCTATTAGCTATCAATTGATTGCATCTTGTCAGTTTAATATACGCCGGGCCCCTTAGTTGCCCAACGAACAACAAACGGCATACTAAAGCTACCTACATGAATCATGCTAGCCTATTCATTCGTGTTCTAGGTCAAATACGGACCCCAAAACAAGAGTGAGATTATAGTTGACTCAACCCAAAGAATTTCGCAAAAGTGCAACTTCGGATTGTACTATCAGTTGTGTTATCGTTGTCTCGAGAGTTGCTGAGCTCTCACCCAACATATTACGCAGTTCTAGGTTCGTGCAACAACTACCAAACAAAGCCATCGAATAAGCAACATATTGGCATAATCGATGGCCTCGAAGGATTATTCAAAAATTCTAGCCTCCATTTAATTTCCATGGACGCAACCATCGATCCTAAACTCGTCGAACCGACCATCTTGCACTCGGTCGATCCTCGACAAACCTCACTCAAGCATGAACTCGTGATTATCCATACCTCAGCATCTATTTCGCCCGGCATGTCTCGCCAGAAAGTACCTATTACCTTTACATACCAAAAGAAGGGAACAACCCCTCCCATCTTCGTGGCAGGGTCGTTTTCGGATCCACCATGGCATCCTCAAGAGATGGACGTTTCTATTGACCAACGCGGATGTCACCGGTTCACTAAACAAGTCTTGGTTGACGATGGGTCTGAAATACAGTACAAATTTCGAATAGGATTGGGAAATTGGTGGGCTTTGGACGATAATGCGGATACAGGTAAATACCCCCTTTGCCTAACTCAGCCTTCAGGGTTGCGTCAATCTCGTATACTAACAAGTTTGCAAGTTCTGGATAACTGCGGGAATACGAACAATATTCTTAGGGTCTCAATCAACAGACCTAGAGAAGTTGATACAAAGGCGCCGAACCCTCGTATCAATGAGATAAAGGGGTCTTCTACGAATAGTGGCACTCGGACTCCTGATTTCGCAAGGACGGCCGCCGAGGTGTCTGATTCAGCCCGTATTATAGATCCCGAGACTCCCGAAGCGGAGATGTCAGACGGAGAGGCGGGGGGATTAGGCACCCGACGTCTATCCAACACTCCGATTAGCCAAGTTGCAGAAACAGCTATGGAGGTAGCTACTATTGCTGCGACGTTGGATGTCGATAGTTCGGATTTGGATGAAGAAACTGACGATGAGGATTGCTCGTGTCCTGTGTTTTCGCACGAATTTATGGGGCCCGCCGATCATAATAAAGAAACGTCTGGAGATGATGGCGACCATGCTCGCGCTACTAGGGGTCGCTTAGGAAGCAAGACCGCCATGGATTTCGGCGAGTCAGCTATTGAATTTGATGATGTAGATTTCGACAACCCTAATTTGGAGGCATTCCCTTCGAATAATCGCGAGTCAATCTTGGCTGCGGTGCGGCGTATCTCGACAAGCATAGATGCCGATCGGTCAGTTGTACCAGGATTGTCGCCGTCACCTATCATTCCTATCTTCCGGAACTATAGGGCTGTTAACTCACTTGAGAATTCTGGTGTAACACCAAGTTCTTTAGATACACCCCCAGAAGAGAAGCGGAACCTTCGTCCTAACAATGCAGTGAGGCGCTCCGGCTCAGCTCGTGGTAATGCCAGAGCGGCATCTACGAGCTCTCTAAGGTCAATTGTTGAAGATGATGAACATCACAACGGCAAATCCACAGAAGCAGAGAAGCTTAAAAATCCATTCATTCAGCACCCCGGGCCTTCTTGGGGTTCTCCTGAGCCTGCCATAATTGACGATGAAAATGATGAAGGCATTGCTATGAATAACGAATTTAGGCGAAGAGCTAGAGATCCTGAAGATCCTACACCATTAGTTGACCTTCAACCCACAACGTCCAACAATAACGATGCAAACATTCTAGACCCTGGCCTGAACAAGTCTAGCCCGGTACCGGACGGCGATGTGGATGCTTCGGCTGAGGACGAGGATCATCCACTTCCTACCCAAAACAAACCCCTCGAAGATAACCCCACCATTTCTACACGTCGTCTGCCAGGCAGCTATGAAAGCGACAGTACGTCTAATAAAGAAGATAGCACATGGGAAGCAAAATCAACATCCGTTGACATCGGAAATCAGGCAGATGTGCGGAAGCGAACGGCTGACAGGCCAGTCACACCTCCTTCGACGAATTATTTCCAGGACTCTCACAAGCCTGCCGATTGGATCGATGTGTGCCTCCGAGTTGTATTCGTTAAGTGGATTGGAGGCCTCGCCTCCTGGTTATATCGTCGTAGGCACAGAGCGTAAGCTGCTTCCGACCCCTACATATTGATATTCTGCTCAGCCTGGCTCTAACACAAACCCAGGCTTATGGCGGCTGGCACAGCGGCTGTCGTCGTTGGTATTGGTGTGTTATGGCAGAACCCGATACGTCTGTAGTCGCTGTTGGAGCCGTGAGATGAGGCACAACTGGTATTGGTGTAGACCGCTTGGGATAGACGCTTCTGAAGGCAATTTCGAGTTTATCACCCTATGGCCCCTAGTCATAAAGACATCCCCCTAAGGCGTACTCGGCCAGGACCCGACTTGCTGTTGGTCGGCCCGTTTGTATATTGACCTAGTATGGATAGGATAGAATGGTGTATCCAATAACAAGTATGTGTTATTCCAACTACCGATGTGGATGTGACGTTCGGCCCGACGTTTTACACCCGCCTATTCGGGCCAACCGTTTCATTAGCAGTATTGTACTCGGCAACATCGAAGATTTGTCGGGTCGACTAATGTCCTACAGTTCTTACCGCCCGTTAGCCATAGCGTAGCCGCGCGACCGACCCCCGATAGGACAATCATTTATATATTATCCAATCTACTCAATACGTAATTTACAGCAATAAGGCAATGTCATATGTTCTGTTTCCATCCCCTCGGGACGGAATTTCTGATGTCAGGTACAAATATAGTAATGTGTAGAGTGTAGACCATGTATGTATGTAGGTGGTTTCCTACAATGCGACCCAACACTTGCATCGGAGTATCGTGTAACCAACGAACGAACTGATGGAACGGGAGATGGAGAAATTTACGGCGACCAAATCCCTAGGGAATCCCCGAAATTAGAGTAGACAAGGCAACCTGCTATGCGGTTTTATGGCGTAGAAAGTGTGTTGTTGCTTACTGTGTAGGTAGGTTGATGATATCCCGCGAGAATGGTTCGGCCCTATGGGGCGGAAGATTGGGTAGGGTGTATGTCTATCGGGACTGCCTCGTTATGCTGGGAGCCCTATGATTGTGTTACCTGTTACCTGGTAGGTGTTGGTAGCAAGGATAGGCTCAAAGTAGATCGTCGACTCAATATATTACCTAACTGATTCTATAGCAAGTTAAAGCGCTTGAGGCCTGATTTGATGAGTGGAGGAACCAGGAGCCTGGAACTAAGTTGATATACTGTCCGGCGAATGGGGCTTTATGAATTAAGTAGTCAAGGAAGCCATCGTCGAATCACCAATAGTAACCATGTTTGAAATTTCGCGTAGTAATTAGGTAGTATTTTCTAGACCTACACAATGATACCCCTATACTCGTACAAGCCCGTCTATCATCGATCTAGTTAGACTTTTCTAATATGATCCAATCATAAGCATAAGTGCGCGATATCCGCACTTCACTACCAGACTTTCGGACCGAATGTCTCTCCCGGCGGGAGCACAACCTGTACAGCCTCGCCCTTATAATCCAATGTGCCCGTGACAACCTCATTGCCCCACCAGCGCGGGGCATCTATACCATTCAACGTAAACGCGAAAAACACTGCCAACGTGCCAAGAGCGAGGCCTAGATCAAGTCCAGCTGAGGTCAAGTAATTCAACCTACTCCACCACCTATGATATCGCCTCTTGATCACAAATTGGAAGACATAGCCAACAGCACCCCAGGAGAGGTAATTGAGGGGTGTGGCGGGGGGTATAGCACCGGCACCGCCGAAGATTAGGGGCGCCATGAGGTATTTCGCGGGTGACTTGGGCCAACGCTTTGCTGCGATCCAGAAGACGACGGGTGCTGCAGCACCGAGGACGAAGAAGAATAGGAGGCCAGAGTAGATCTGACCAGGGGAGAAGACGCGGGAGGGACCTATGAGACCCCAGATTACAGAAGCTACATGGTATTAACACGGGCTAAGAGTGGTATAGAGGGATACCAGGGACGAGAAAGAGAGGGAGTAGGAAGTACCTGAGAAGAAAACGCGACCACCCGGGCAGGTGAAGCGCTGAGGTTGTGTTAGATCACAGGCACCTTCAATGTTGTTGAGCGCAAAGTTGAGAACGGCGATTTGGATGAAGCATGAAAAGGTTGTGGCGACCACTTGGGCTTGAAACATGGTTTTAGGTGGGATCTTCATGTAATGACCGAATTTCAAATCGGAGACAAATGACAGAGCTTGCGACCTAGAGGAACTTAGTAAGGCGTTGCAAAGTACTGTGAGAATACGTCTATGACACTTACATTGTGATGTAGCCATAGGTTTTAAACCTACAAATAATACGTTAGCAGTGCATTGAGAAGAGATTCAGGGGGTATGAACTCACAGCATAAGAGCTAAGGGCTTTCCATTCTGAATGTATCCGTACACGAATTCGGTCAGTACATTAAGACCGATCTGGTGATTCGTAACGGCCTGAATGATACCAATAGGTAGCGAGAACACGAACGAGATGCCTACAGCCAGCAAGAAAGCCCACCAGGTCAAATTCGTCGGGTACGCTAGGACTGAAACAAATGCGAGTGCCAGAACCTATATAACGATTTAGTAATAAAATTCCCAGATTACTAATATTTGGGATAACGAACGATTCCAAACAATGAGAAGTACCACCATTCAGGTGCTTCTTCATACTTCTGCATGAGCTTCATGTGTACTAAGAATCAGATTAGCATTGATGCATAGCGTAATAAATCTCTTTCATAAGCAAGAGGGGATTTCAGAATTCAATGTACATACTATCAGGTTTCTCGTTGGTGCTATTTTTATATTGAGCCCATATGGTTTTCCCATGATGTAGATAGGTGTAGACAACTAAGGCGGTGATGGCCGCAAATGATAACCCGTACGAGATGGCGAAGGTTGTGCTATGCCTTGATAAGCTAAATCCGTAAGGACGTCGCGAAGGGGACCAAACCTGATAAAAACTGGCGAGTATGCCTTGTATGCTTCCTCATCCAAGGTGAAGTCGGAGGTCAATATCTTCGAGACATTATATAAGGCGCCTGTATTGTCGTACGTGGAAGAGTCTGCCATAGGGAGATACTGGTCATACCACGTTCCTGTGTAATGGAAGAAGATATTAAGAATAATATAGAAGATCACGACGCCAAGCGTAGTGTTCGCAATGGCATGCCTAAAGATTCAGAGGTCAATGGATGTTTTTCAAGAAGCTGGTACGACTCGGATTGAACGAACCATGGAAACATTAGAGGCGACCCAGCATATCCTGCGATCTGTGCCCAGTCAAATGTGATGGGCAGCAGAGAAAGACCAGTTGTACCGCCAAACAATTGATTAATCACAGGACTATTAGGAGCCATCCACGTTGCGAAAGCGAATACACTTAGGAATTGCGCGAAATATCCCGGGATGAAATAATAGATAGCGGAAATAAGCGTTATGAGACCAAACCATCTATATCTTGGCATACGTCCACCGATGATAGATGGGTCTGGTGCTTGGTGTTTCTCGTACATGGCGTTCATTAGGGCGACAGCAACTAAGTTCCCAGGCCATATCATAGAGGCCGGGTAGACTATAAGGTGTTAATCATGTTGGCCGAAAGTTAAGAGCTATGTACACTCACCTAGGAACTTTCGCATCATGCCCGCGATCCCATATCCTAATGACTGGGTTGAGATAGTGAGGATAAGTTGAAACACTATTCCGAAATTTTGCTTATAGAACACAAGCTGCGCGAGAATAATATCAGTAGCGTAGGCTACGGAGAAAGATACGCTAGCCATGACCACGATAATCGAATGTTCCTTGATGTTAAAAGGTCCTGGGTTCAAATCGCATCTCATACCAAGCATTCTGATCTGTCGATCGGGTACTACCCTTTCCCAAGCACGACCAAGAGGCCAAGCGACAATCTGGGCGATGAGTGCTCCTAGGCCAATTGAAGGTTGCCTCAAGGAGAAGAGAGTATTCGTCGATGCGCCGATAAGAACCAGGGTCAACCCGATTGCCCAAGCTCGAAGAGTATTGCATGGTAGGTCCTCATCGTAGTTACGCACGGCGGCTCTAACCTCTTCGTATGGCGAATTTTCCTCGTTTGATTTATGAGCAGTTTCCTCATCGAACGAAGCTAAACTCCCAGAGTCCATTCGATGCAATTCTATACCCTCCTCACCAGGAAGGTTAGGATCTAATAAATGTTCGCGTTCTTCGCCCTCTTCGTAGTCATTGTCGTTTCGGGCGCTGGAATCAGCCCATTCAGAAAGGCGGTGTTTTATGCCATTGGCACCGGTATTATCCGTCTTATCAATAGAACCTTCATCTAGTCCCTCCGACTGGCTTTCTATCTCGAATGTATCGTCGTCGATTTCCCACCCATGAGAGGAATCGCTATCATCTTCTATCCTCTTACTAGCAGCCGTACCAGACGGCCCAGAAGATGTGCCAGCCATTTCCGATATTTGAAATAGTAATTCGGCTTATAACTTCAAATCATGAAAAGACTTGAAGGGTTGAGATCGAGATAGCGACGTTACACAAAGTACGAATGAGGGGGATTTCCGTACTCCGGCTGTGGCGTACACGGAAAGTCCGTGGAGATAGAAGCAACTGATGAGCCATGAACTTGCTACGTTCAACAAGCCATTGTTAATTGAGTTTCTCCAATATCGACTTAGGTGGGATGAATTATCGCCGATGTTATTTAGAAGATGGGTTAGTTAATGGTTGAGATGATTTGAGTGGATTTTATGTGTCGTCCCCTTCAACCACCAGGAGTAATACAGCGAAGGTTGAAACGTGTTCAAAGCCTCGTTAGTTTGCGTTCTTACCTAGGTAGGGCCTAGATCTCCAATGGATTGAATCCGTTAATTGAGGTATTTCAGTATTACGTTTAGATATCATAAGATGGAGTCAAGCAAGCTTTATCAGATGAAGTTAATGAAAATTATAAAATTATAAAATAAGAGCTAGGTAGTTGTTGTTTTAAGATGAGACTTGCTAAAGGATCTAGGGGAGGTACCCCCAAATTTAGATCACTCTGTCGCATGGCATTAAACCAGGTGCTTGGTACCGCTACAATACCCCCTGGCTGCAGAGCCCAATGCCGCTTGCCGCTTTCCGTCGCAGTAGCGCGGATACCACTTTATCATACTATCGAGTATTATTTAACTGTCTTAATAGCTTCATAATAAAGCTAAACGAGGATATTCTAATAAATGACCATTCGCCATTTGCCATTCGCTAAGAAATATGATTTCTCAACAACTTCCAAATTCGCATTATTTTATGTCAGAATACTAAATTCAGATGGACTAACTAATTAAACGCAGTTCAGAAACACTGATATTCAAGAAATCTCAGGCTATCCTGGTCATGGCAAAGAATGCGCCGAGTCGTTGTCACAGGGCTCGGCGCCATTACACCCCTCGGCGTTGGTATCCGACATACATGGAATAGGCTCATCGCAGGACACTCCGGGATCGTAAGCGTCGCGAACTTCGAGCCACAGAAACGATGGCGCGACCTTACCAGTACCGTGGCCGGTATTGTTCCAAAGTCAAGTACTGGTGAAAACCAGTGGCGACCCGATGACTGGTTAACCGCTTCAGACCAACGGCGCATGTCTACATTCACTCAATATGCAATAGCCGCTACGGAAATGGCCCTTGAGGATGCTGCGTGGAAGCCACAAAAGCAAAAGGACCTAGAATCAACTGGGGTCTGTCTAGGAAGCGGCATCGGTAATTTGGATGATATGTACAACACCAGCATTGCATACGAGCAGGGTGTGAGTCTAGTCATATACTCTATTAAAGGGATCTCATTTACTAAACATCTACTATAGGGCTACAAGAAAGTATCACCACTGTTCGTGCCAAAGATTCTCATCAATCTGGCAGCGGGACATGTAGCTATGAAATATGGGTTTCAAGGACCTAACCATGCTGCAACTACGGCTTGTACTACAGGCGCCCATTCTCTAGGGGACGCCTCGCGCTTTATTGCATTTGGAGACGCCGACATTATGGTGGCGGGAGGGGCAGAGTCATGCATCCACCCTCTCACCTTTGCGGGATTCGGAAGATCTCGTTCACTATCTACCGCTTTTAATCACGATCCGCCATCAAGCTGTCGACCGTTCGACCGGCAACGAAATGGATTTGTCGTCGCGGAAGGTGCAGCAGTTGTCGTTCTAGAGGAATTCGAACACGCCAAGGCCAGAGGCGCTCGTATATACGCCGAATTAAAGGGGTATGGATGTAGTGGTGATGCTCATCATATGACGGCTCCCCGCGAAGATGGGTCGGGGGCATTTCTTTCTATGAAGAAAGCCCTAGAGCATGCAAAGATTAAACCCCACCAAGTCGATTATATCAATGCGCACGCCACTAGTACGCCTGTAGGAGACGTGGCGGAAGCCCTTGCTATTCATTCGTTAATGATGGGCGAGGAAGGACATTCTAACGAAACCCGAATTGCAGTGAGCAGCACTAAAGGCTCTCTCGGACATCTACTTGGAGCATCTGGGGCTATTGAAGCTATATTTGCAATTTTGGCTATCACTGAGGTCAGTCTCATTCAATCACTTCCTTAATATCTCATATTAAGTGTATATTACTAACTTCTTCGCAGAATACGCTTCCTCCGACACTGAATTTAGTCGATCCCGATGTGGGACCCAAGTTCAATTATGTTCCTCTTGAAGCTCAGCAAAAGGAAGTCAACGTCGCCGTATCGAACAGTTTCGGCTTTGGGGGCACCAATGCGACATTGGTATTCTCTCGATTCGGTTAATTTTCACAGACTTTATTGTAAGATACAACCATAATTGCATATAGAAGCATATATACTATAAAATGACGAACTCATGATCTATGTTCAATTTCACGTCTATAAGTCAAGTTGATATCCAATTCTTATAGTGGTCATCTTTAGGGAGTTACAAGTAGTGCTGTACCCGTACCCACCCTCTATAACCCCTGTAGCGGATCCCGCATTGGGACAGGGGTCCAAGCTCTAGCGATTTTTTCTAAATTTTCATCATTTTTCTCTGACGCGGGCATGTCAATGACGTGAACACCTACACCCAAACTACCTAGGTATACAAAGCAATTCTCGACTTTCCCATGCCGACACTCGCATATACCCTTGTATTCTCGAAACCACGATAGCAAATGGCGTGTCGAAGCTGCAGACGGCAGCTCGCCCTGCTAATTCGACAAGCAGCCACTACAACAGAAATCCAAAATGCTACCACGATACGACAGCTAGTTGTCGCCGGTACCCCCCGACTTGACCGGAGGAGGAATTTCAGCAGTACTCCCCGCCAACTAGGTTTCAAGGATGCTATGCGACGAGTATTCCAACGAACAGCCGAACCATATAAAGTCGTCCAAGCGACCGAAGACATATACAAAGCATGCGCTCGCGAAGCAGCATACAAAATCTCCGAAAAGGACAGGAAAGCCGGAACAATACCCAAGACAACAGAGGGCGAGGATATAGGAGAGGGAAGTACGATGTGGCATGAAGGTAATTGACTCTCTCTTGCCACTCAATTCCCTACTTATAGTCATTCATAATACGTTGCTAACACATTCGTCACCCCTCTAGACTTCAAACTCCCCCCCACCTTCAGCACCTGGTCGCAAGTCACCATGCTACACATGTACCTGGCCTTCGCACGCCTCCGCGACCTCGAACCCGACGCAGCACGGTCCTGGCAACAACAACTCGTAGACCATTTCTTCTTCGACGCGGAAGCGAAAATGGATCTCGAGCACGGCATATCGTCTCGCGGGCTACGACACAAATACCTAAAAGACCTTTTCATACAATGGCGTGGGGTCATCGCAGCATACGATGAAGGCGTTACGAAGGGCGATCCGGTGCTCGCTGCCGCAGTGTGGAGGAATGTGTTTAAGGCACGTGAGGATGTGGATTTGAGGTATCTGGCGGCGGTTGTTAGTTGGATGCGCTTGTGTCTGAAGATGCTCGATCAGATACCTGATGAGGCCTTGTTTATTCAGGCTCAGGCTGTGTATAAGTGGCCTGCGAAGAATGAGTTGACGCTTGTGGATAAGCCAGCAAAACAGCTAGAAGGATTAGGGACGACGCCGCCAATCCATAAGGTCGCGGCATAAAATGGGATCATGGGCGGGTGTATGATTATCTAGGGATGTGACGACGGCGCATGAATCTTAGAGGTATAAAAGCTGGTCCAGCGTATCATCACTCTACGGACACTGCGTATACCGCCCTGTAAAAAAGCGGCATGAAAAGACGAGTCTCAAAAAGAGACCTCATAATGTACATAACATATATCACCACATAGATCGTAAAAGTCAACTCCAATTACCTCTTCAATCCGTCCTCTCCCACATCTCAAACTCATACTGCGTACCATTCTCCTCCTGAATACCAGGCGGTACTATCTCCCCAGTCCAAGTATCCAATTCCTCCTTCGACCTCTTCACCCACCCATTCCCATTTTCCTTCTCGTCCAGCTTAAGCGGGAGAAACGTATCACACTCAAAATCCGTCAAAACCCTCGTCAACAACACCCTCCTCGCCTCCCTCAACTCCAGCGCAGCACCATAAATCTGCGCACCTCCGATAACAAACGCGCGCGCGACAGCCGTAGACTTGATATACTCAATAGCCTGTTCCAGCGAAGCCACTTTCACCGGTCCTTCTTCCGCCTCCTCTTTTTCTATGGTAGTATGCGACCGACTAACCACGATATTCAGCCGTCCCTTCAACGGGCGGAATTTAGTCGGTATGCTATCCCAAGTCTTGCGGCCCATGATCACCGCATTTAAACTCAGCCCTGCTAATGGGGGGGATGGCGGCAGACGCTTGGTGACGCGCGCGAAGTAAGCCATTTCCTTCTTAAGCCCAGTCCAGGGTAGTGTGCCGTTGCGGCCGATGCCCATGGTGCGCGTTGCGGCTACGATGAGCGTGAGTTCGGGTGGGAGGGGCATTTCTGAGTTTGAGGTTGAGGTTGAGGACATTGGCGTTGTTTATCTTAGATGTTCTCGAGGAAGTCTATTTAAAGCTGGGAAGTATTGAAAGTGAGATGTAGGATGTCAATTGCAAATTTTTGGTAGATTGAAGAGTGAGGTTGATAATTTGCAGTGGTAAATTGGGGATGGAGAGCCACTAACAAACAAAATTTTAGTGGTAATCCGCTATGCTATAGCGAACACCTGCCCCTTACTTCCAGGTCTCATGTTCGCCCAAATTTGAAGCATATTTTATCCAAAGCCCTATCATTTTCAAGATTCATGAAACAAGATTTATTTAAATTTAGAATAAGACATGATAATATATATTCCCGTATAGTAGCCGGTGATACATGAGACAATTCGTATATGAGGATCAAATTCAGAATTTCCTCGCTTGTCCTTTAGACCACCTTCACATAGGTCCAAGCAGACCACCCTCAAATATAGTCATTCGACCAGTGTCATTAGGACATCGGCTCTTTAAGCAGCGGCGGCGGCAACCCGTACTTGCTCTTTCTCATGCTCCTTAAGCCGCTGTTCCTCCTCCAACCTTCTTTGCTCCTCCCTCTTCATCGCCTCCTGAATACGCACGCGTTCCGGTACCAGTCCCTCCCTAGGCGACGTGATCTTCCACCCCTTCAACAACTCCTTACCTCCTACCGCAGCCATCGTCTTTTGCTCTACCAAACTATATTCCTCGCCCCTTTCCCTATCAAATTGGAACGGCTCCACCAGACTCACAGGCGGATTCGTAATAATACGTACGTTGCGCTTAGCATTACTCGTCGCGCTGTGCATCATGAGAGGGTGTAACAGGTACACATCCCCCACATTTCCCGTGGCCTCCACGAATTCGTCATCTGCGCAGGACTGTGCGATATTGGCGTACCATTCCAAATTCCTCTCTCGCGGGAAGTCGGGATGTGCTCGGGGAACCACTGTGATAGTGTCAGTACTCATAGCTCACCCAGGAACTATAAATCTCTCCTAGAAATATAAATCTCTCCTAGAAACAAAAGTCCCCACGAAAAACCAAAAGGAATAAAATAACATACTCCTCGGCGAAACCCCCTCCGGATGTTCAAACATCTGTCTCGCAACCCTCTCAATCGCGGGCGGACAAATCATAGTCCCACCGCCCTCCGTTACAATATCTGTAAACAGTGGAATAACCAACAAAGCCTGTTCAGGACTATCCAAATAATGCACAAAGAAATCACCATCAACATGCCAATTCACCAACTCCTTCGGCGGTACCGGTCTCCCCTCTCTTTCCGCCGTGCCCAAGTTAACAATCAATGAATCCCGCCACTGACGAGCCGCAGGCGCGATCCTATCTTCCCCACCGCATAACTCGCATATCGCGGCCCAGGCCTTAGGAGCGAATGCGCTGGCGTCGAAGACCCGGTGCGAGGGCATGTTGGTGCGTTCTTTGGTCCAGGTACGTTTGTCGGTGGGTGACATGCCTAGGCGTGTCCATACCCCATCAGTTACCGTGGCGGCTTGTTCGCGCGTGAAGCAGTTGGTGAGTTTGAGGTAGCCGTTCGCTAGGAAGAAGGCTTTTTGTTCGTCGGTTAGAGGGGCTGGTGGGGATGCCATATTGAATGAGAGTGAGTGAAAGGTAGATGAGCTAGTAGGACCGTGTTACCAGTCTACTTCAATCGAGTAGTAAGAAATAGAAAAATATATTCCTTATAAGTGGAAAATACTTGAATGAAGACAAATGGGAAGAAATATGAAGACAATCTTTCTCCTACCGTGATTCCTACCTTGACTTTATAAGGTTAGAAAATTCGTATCAGTCCACTACGCACCATCACGAGTGACGATATGCATCACGGCCTCAAAAGAGGCCGTCGAATCAATACGCACAATCCAACTCCCCTCTCCAGAGTGGTAGCTAAATAGTTACGCGGGGAAATCGGCATATCGAGCCGTCATTCCCAATAGCGGGAGCGGTTTCGGAGATGTATTGGAGAATTCGGTTACCGTTCGTTGGGCCGACAATGTTGCCCCGAAATTTGGAGTCGAATAAGACACTAATGATGGTGATGAATAATCTTCCAAGTAGACGAGAAGTGGATTCGCAATGTAGTATAAATTTTCGTCTGAGATATCTCCCCATCTATATGGTGAGTCTTGATCTGTCTATACTCGTAGTTATGTAATACCATAATAGAGCACCAAATCTATAAAATATTGAAGTCAAATCGTAGAATGTAGATGGAAAAATTACCGTTATGACGTCGCACCTCGAAGGTCGCTTAGCTTGTCGGCGTAATAGGCGGGGACGGCGACCGCATCAGCGGCCTCCCAATGTTCCTTTTTGTTAACTCCGGTGAGTACGGCTAGAGTACCACCCAGTTTTCCCTCAACACCGAATTGAATGTCCGTATTCAATCTGTCGCCGACCATACACGTTCTCGCTCGATCCAATTGAAACTTGCCCTCAATTGCGTCCATCATAGCTTGACTAGGCTTTCCCAAGGCAATCGGAGTCTGTCCGGTCATGTTCACAATGGGAATGGAGATCGACCCGGCGCCGGGGAAGAAGGTGTGACTCATTGGTAAGGTGCTGTCGAGATTGGTAGCGAGGAACGTAGCACCACGGCGGATATACTGGAATGCCATAGACAGCTTCAAGTAATTAATGTGGAAATCCAATCCCGCAAGTACAACACCGACATCCGGGTCCAGCAGCGAGCCATCGGCTAGGCCATTGAAATCCTCAGGCGTTATGTCACGGCGGAGGGCTGGATCGGTGCCGCCGATGAAAGGTATACCTTCGGTGCGTAGCTCAGTTTCAATACCACTCTCGCCAATAACAAATACCTTGTTGGGCGCGGGTAGTTTCAAGATGCGTGAAATGTAGATGGCTGATGAGTAAGCGGATGCGAAGATCTCTTCGACGTTGCTCGGGATACCCATAGCCGTCAACTTCTTTTGGTAATCCGGGCGGGCTTTTGTGGAGTTGTTCGTCACGAATACAATTCGTTTTCCTAGACCAACTTAGTCGCCGCCTCCTAGGTCGTATCTCGGGTTTAGGTGTGTTCGGCCTACCCTTAGATCTCAACATCTCTAATGTCTCAACGATACCCTCAAAGAGGTGGTCACCAGACCATAAGACTCCTACATATTTTCAGTCTTAGGTACCCTCTTAGGAATTGAATAGACAATCTAACCATCGCAATCGAGTAAAAAGACCTATAAAAATGAGTGAGATTTGTGGCTATGAGTAATGGGTTCCCCTGAAAATAACGCACGTCGAATTTATCAAGAAACTCATTGATGGCGGCAGAATCACCGGTTAGATATTTGGGTGATTGTAGCATATTTCGTCTTCTATGGCTCAATCTCGATATTGTGAAGTCACAGCTCTATGTTCAAAGATGTTGGTGAGATATTGCTATGTTTCGTTGGTGTTGCTGTCGATTTGTTGTGTAAGTGTGTAAGTTGAAAGGGGGATTAAGGTTCTAAGATGAATAGTTCCGGTGTTTGACTTCAAACACCTTCGGGGTCCGTTCCCGGTGCCGCCCGCTGAACGCCCGTCTTTTAGCGCTTAGCGACACGGGTATAGTGAACCTTCTTACACTAATTATTTCCCAACATTTATATACCGTATTTTCAACTTCAATATCTTATATGTTCAGATTGGGTTAATGACTTGTACGGAAATATTTTTAGTCTGTAACCTAGAACGACTCTATTTATTAGAATAGAATCCAGGGAAATCAAAATCGTACCACTACGATGCAATACCTCCCACGCAAGGTACCCGATAATCCCGGATCTACAAAGCAGCATTGCAGTACCGAGTAGGTAGCTTCTGCAAGTTTTCCTAGTCAACCCACGCTGCGAATTTATCAAACCGCCACTAGAATCATGAACTAATATTGTCGTCGGTTTGATAAGGTTTAATAGAATATCATGTTCTGTTAAGATCGGTCAAGTCCATCATTTTTACTACACCTTTCCGTCATGTTATACAGTTACCCGACGAAGATACAATATGAATTAGGTAGAGAGTACCGACAAACGACGTCATGTGGCGAGTAACCCTAGGATTTCATTACATGCTGCATTGAAACCCTACCGGAAAAATAACGTGCCTGGCATTTTTGGAGAAGATCGCATGTGAAGTTATCGCAGGAAATGGTTGGTTTGTAAGGCTATACCGCCATACCTAGGTAACCAAGGTGACGAATTAAGAAGCATTCAAGTACAACTCGACAGGACGCCCGATTTTATTGACACCAAAAAAAGATGAGTTGTTAAGTAACCACTCGGATGATAGCCTTTGGACGGGTTGCTGAATATAGTGAAATTCCCTCGCCAATTAACACAGAATCGTATAATGCCGTACCGAAAAGACTGCATTGTGTGTTACCTTCGTTTAAAAGTTTTGGGTATCTGAGGCAGGCTACCGTCGGGTGGTTACATAGAGTAATAACGTTATCATCCAGAAAACTTTCAAAATGGGTTGAGTGAGGTAGAATATGGATGATGACTTCTGCAGTAGGCTCGGGTCGATCTATCTAAGAAGTGGTCCACTATATTTCAACCCGGGCGCTAAAGGATGGAGCTAATCCAAAAGCGGGTCATTATCTTTGACCTTTAGAAACTCTTCGAATTTCTTCATCGTCATCATCCTAAACATCATGGAAAATGGAGTAACTCTGTAGGGGAAATAAGAGAGAAAAAAAAAAGGAAAGTTGGTTGGTATATGTAGTGGGGTTTCATGCATTGTAGATAGATTAATAAGGCTCATTGTGAGTGGGCGGCGGTTTTGTAACCCCGAATCGGTACCATTGTACATGTACAGTACTATGGTATTGTGTACGTACATCTATAAGTAGCGTAGGATGTAAATGTTCAAGATGTTCAATGTTGCGCAGAACCCCCACTTATCCACTATCAAATGCTACGGATCAATGACCCGCTTATCTGAACAAGCCTCTTCCCTGTCCCGCCCCTCCGGTCCATCCAAGATCAGTAAGCCCTACGTCAATCAACCCTTGAACACCCCGCTATACTTTTTTACTTTTTTATTTCTTTTTGTATCCAACCAAGGCCGAATGTTGACAGAAACAACCTAATTCATCACAACAAATCTTCCAACACATGCAAATAAGATCAGAGACATAGTCGAAATAGAAACTGCCTCTATTTGTCTCTTCTCAAACTTATCCTACTCCTATTCTATCTTCCATAGGTAGCTTAGCAAAGATTCCGATATCTCATATACCTCCAATCATATATCGTCATCATCTTCATGAGTCTAGTCGATTTGACAGGTACCTCTTATGCTACCTTAGTATCAAGCCCAATCACGAAATAACCGACTATTCAACGCCAAGGTACCTAGCGGATTAGCCACTCATAACGAGTGGATACACGCCTACAAACGAAGGATACTTTTGTATTCGATATTGACCCTCTAGGCTCGGGCATCGTGAACATCCATACATCCATCCCACGGAAACAAATCTATTTGAGATTCGTCTTCCCTTCTTTAAAAATCCACTTATACGTACTCAACATTCGACGATCACGAAAACTCATCCTTCCGTCTTATCAATCCATACATTAACTTAACCAGGTACTCATCATCAGCACTTATTAATAAGTTTACCCAAGTTTAGGTAGGTAAAGGTACCATACCCTAGCCAGCTATTTTTTTTATTCAAAAAATCACTCTACATATCAAGCTATCCTTCTACCCCACCATCATTGCTCACCGCAAACAACAACTCAGCATATCCTTCTAAACTTTTATAATCCTGTCGTCATATCCTTGACTCATTTATAATACATACTCATATATATCTATCTACCTAGGAAATTTAGGAGTCCACGACAAGACGATTGACCATGCCGGGAAAACAACCCAATTTATTCGCCTTCAACGACGTTGAAGCTCTTGCGCCAGCTCTACGATCCTACATCATCACATGTCAAAACGCCGGAATTACGCGCCATGGCGTATTTAAAGTTGCCGTTTCTGGCGGTTCCCTACCCAACACACTCGCAAAAGCTCTCCTTGCGCCCCCTAAATCCGACGACCTGGCAGTAAAATTCGACAAGTGGGAGATATTCTTTGCCGACGAAAGAGCCGTACCCCTCGACCACGAGGACAGCAATTACGGATTAATCAAGATGGAGCTATTGGACAAGATTCCCCCTGAGTTGGGACAACCTACCATACACCCAATCGACACCCAGTACCTAGATGATACACAAGAGCTAGCCGATCAATACGAGAAGACGCTAGTCAACTCATTCGCTAAAGGGGACTCCGTCAAACTTCCTATTTTCGACCTACTGCTTCTGGGCTCTGGTCCCGATGGCCACACCTGCAGTTTGTTCCCGGGCCACCCTCTTCTCCGCGAAACGGATGCTTGGGTGGCGCCTATTGAGGATTCTCCCAAGCCGCCACCCCGACGGATTACGTTAACGTTGCCTGTCGTCACCCACGCTGTTAAGGTCGCTTTCGTCGCTACTGGTGCTGCAAAGAAGGCTATCATGAAGGAAATATTCGAGCAAGGAAACGGTCTCCCCTGCGCTCTAGTCAACGAAGCAACAGGAGAACGATGCAGTTGGTTCACAGACAACGCCGCTGTAGAAGGCGTCAGTTTTCCTCGACGTGGATTCCTATAGGAATGAGCTGTGGCAATGGGGAGGGGATACGCTTAGCTGGTGTTACTTAGCGCGTCTAGGAAATTGGGAAGAAAAAGGCGCACGAGGAATCTCACAAGTCCGCGAGCGACTAATTAATGTTGCATGATTCGATTGACGACGTTTATTGATCCAAGTTAGAGATTTACGATGGGTACGAGGCAAACATTGAGATGTGCGCATTAATTGTATTGTCACTTAATGGAGGCGCGATAGGGCGCTTCCTTTCAGACAGACAGACATGAATCTGATACCAAATCACGAATGAATTTAGAGCTGTGGCGTTGATACAAACATACTCTCATGTGTTTACCTTAGAGCCTTTTCTGAGTAAAAACAGACTCGGAATATCGACTGTCCGTAATATTTGAGGAGTCGTGGCATATATCAACTCGTTCGTCTCGTCCTTTACACTATTACTCGTATCAATACCTTCCACTGGATTTCTATTAACCGCTTACTTCTAGCTTCGTAAAACAACTTGGTTTGTTGGTATAAATTGTTTGAAAATGCTAATATGACTTCGCTCACCCCAAGGCCAGTTTATATGCTTTAAAACGCTCAACTTCTCAACAAAACCTAGACAACGGCGTCAACCGTGTCTATCTCTTCCCTTATTATAGATCATCTTATTCCACTCAAGCCCCCCTGAACCCCTACCAGATAGTTTAGCGCCCCTCCAACTTCTTCTCCCTAACAAACGCCGCCGCTGCTAGCGCACTAACCGCCATAATCGCGACGGGGGCATAAGCCCACTGTACAGCAACCGCATAACACGCCCTGACTACCTCCGCAACCGCCGGTTCAAGCCCACGGATATAATCCAGACTCTGGCGAACTCCTTCCTCGATCTCTTTCGCCCTACCACCGTCCGCACCTAGAGATTCAGCGAGGCCGGTGCGGAGGACTTGTTGCAGGACAGCGGTGGATGTGCTGATGCCGAGAGATGAGCCGAGAGAGCGGAAGAGGTATGAGCACGCGATGGCGACGGCGACGTCGGGGGTTGATGTGTTAGCGATTATGGCGATTAGGGTTGTTGTTATTGCTGTCGTAGTATTAGCTTCCCAACACTCTCATCTTCTACTGGGGATTACAAGAAAAGGGGGCAAGGAAATATTTCAACATACACATCCCGGACCCATAAGCCAGAATACAAGAACCCAAAACAACCCCCAGTGTTGATTTCGCTACTGCGCCTGTGAACATCACCATTGGCACCACACTCAAAACCATAATCCCATACCCGAACATCGTGAGCCAATAATATTTCCCCGTCCGGCGCATCAACAACCCTCCCGACAATGAACCCGCCAGCCCAAAGAACGTGCTAGGCAAGAACAAGAGTCCTGACACAGTCGCCGACAACCCCATAGCAGCCTGGAAGAACAGCGCAAGGAAGAACGGCACACTAATCTGCGCCGCGACACCGAACAAATTCGCTCCATACGCTGCAAGCAATGGGGGATCCATGATGATATGCCCAGGCGCAAAGGGCTCCGCCGCGACTTTCGTCTCAATCAGCAAAAACAGACCAAACAACAACGGCGTCAGCGCCAACGGCACAACGGTCCAGCTCCTATCCCAACCCTCATTACTCCCATTATCCAGTCCAAACAACAGCGCAAAAACCGCCGCAACCAACACAAACGCGCCCAAGAAATCAATCCTAAGCACCTTAGCAGTCCAATGACTATGATCGATCCTCGGCAAATTTAGCACGAAGAATACGGCGAGCCACGCAACCATGGCGATGGGGAACTGTCCGGCAAACGCCCACCGCCATCCAATACTATCAGCGACAAGCCCACCGATAGGTGCGCCGGAGGACATACCGCTCGCGAACACGATATTAATATACCCCTGCCAAACGCCCCTATCCCTAAGCGCGACAATATCCGTCATAAGAATCGTAACCACGGCATTCATCCCCCCACCTCCGACCCCCGCCACCGCGCGCGAGATACATAACTGCAGTATATCCCGCGATAGACCACACCCCAGACATCCGATACCAAACACAGCGTAAGCAAAAAGTAGGGCTTCCTTACGCCCGAAAATATCGGATAACCGTCCGTAGAGCGGTTGGAAGGCGGTTAGGGTGAGGAAGTACGATGTTGATATCCAACTTGTGGAGTTTAATGCGTTGAGGTCGCTGCCGATTTTTCCGTAGGTGGCTATTGTGAGGGTTTGGTCCATTGCTACGAGGAAGATCTGATTTCATTCAGTACCTAAGCGACTTAGTTGTGGTTCATGAGGGTTCACTTACACCAATGGCTAATGCCGGCAACAGCGCCTTCATGTTAACTTTCAATTTTGGCGCATCCTCTTTCGGCGCGTCGCCGTCGGAGTCGCTGGTTTGGCCGTTTTCTACGTCTTCTGTGGCACTTATGCTCACGACTGATTTACTGGAGTCTGGAAATGTGCCATTGGAATTCACTTGCACGCCGTTGCTGACATTGGAGGTATTCGGCCTAAGTAGCGGTGCCGTCTCCGCCGTCTCTTCGGCGTGGATAGGGGTTTCGGAGGTCATTAGTATGAAATTTTTACTATATACACGAGATACCCTCCGAGCACAATGAAGAGAGGAATTGAATTAAATCACTTCCTCTCACCCTCACCGCCAACAATAAAAGAAATCATTACCCCTCCGAGAGGCGGAGGTTATTGCAGAATCCTCACACATCTCTCTCCATCTATAAGCCAACGGGTCCCGCATCTCCACACCGTCACATAATTGGCGGGGTTCGATTCGTTATCTCTAATTTCTGATTGATAATCCAATCCAACGGCAAGACTATGACTGATGCAGATAGATGTATATGCAGGTTGGTGATAAGGTTGGCTATACTATTCCCGACTCATAGTTTAGGATTGATATCTTAAATAATCTTCAACTCAACTTGTAAGACGTCAACACTCGCTTAAACTACACTCATTAATGCTGGAACACTTATGAGGTACACCTACGGTTTAGTTAAGGTTAACTTGGAGAATCAGTGAGACCGTAATTCGGGTAGATAAATTGCCCACTGAACACCTTTTGCTTTTCCCTCTTTTTTGTCTTTCAACTATCTTAGACTACCTACATGTACTCATACGATGGACCACGTACCCAAGTACTTAACGGCATGCAGTGTACGGCAATCACGATAATATCGTATCGGTATTGCATGCAGACAGTTCTCAAATTAGTAGCAACCTCGGTTCATAAGATGGTCAGCTAATGCACGTAGCCGCGGGAGATGTTCGTATGGATTTTAAATTGTGCAGATGGATTGATGGATCAAAGCAAGATAGGATGGATAGATGGATGGATGGATGGAATCCAGGCGTGTGGAATTTGTGTGATGCACTATCTCGGGTAATTACAGCACCTATCCGATGATACCTAGCTGCCTACAGACTGTACTGTACATATAGGAGTGGATGATGAGTGGATGCTACGGAGTACAGTAGGTACCTAACTGTGAGACACTGGGACTAAAAAGATCCAGGTATTTCCCAGGGGTCTATTTCACCTTCAAGTCAGGGGTCTGCCTCTCTTCAAGATCCCTTCATATTTCCATGTGGTAATAATAATAATCATATGTATATGTGTCAATGACAAATTCAACCTTGTATGCAAACAGAATTCAAAATAATTACCTAAATTTCTTAATTGTTGTGTAAATTCTATCATGTATGCCTAATGTACATGTCATAGACAATCAATCAGTCAATCAATCAATCCCCAACCCCCTATTTTCAATGCACATGCAATAGTTCCCATCACACCGGCACCGTGATCTCTTAGGGCTAGTAGTCAGTTGTAGTGGACCCGGAAACTCGATCCAGATCCCCGAAACAGCTTTATTAGTTTGGTCCGGTCCAAATTTTTTTATCAATGCCCCTGACAATCAAAGAGAAATTGACATCACAAATAGTAGATCATCGAATATAATTCAAGTTTTTCTCTTCAACTGAGAATGAATATTCTCACCTTCAGATAATCGACTCTAGTTGAAAGCTACAAAGTACTGAAGCCCTTGTAACTTCATTGCATAAAGCTGACTCTTCCAACTCCTTAGACTCTGAAGCTCTAACGTCTGGGAAGCTCATCCCGATCACGGTCTGTGCGATAGATTTCCTCCGATGCATACATGTATGTACGTTTGTACCTACCTGCATATAATATAATATAGGCGCAGCAATTCGGTGTGCGAGCACTCGCAAGACCGACTCCATTAGACCGGATGTACATACCACCTACATAATAGCATGTAAGGTGAAATAAATATCGGATTTCTCAAGATTTGATAGGTCAAATACGTCAACGAATTTCCGGTTCTCCCGAGCTTCATAGGCCATATGCACGTGAAGCTCTGATAGGATCCCCCAAGCCGGGAGAGAAATGCGACCTACTGATTCCTGTTGTGCTCCCCACTGGCCCGTCCCATGCGAGAAACGGCATGACCCATGCTAGAGGGCAACGAACCATCCGGTTCTAGTTGAGTGCTTAGCCCGGTAAAACCCACATCGTCCGTTGTAGTGTAGTATAAGTCAACTCGACGCGTTTTGACTGATGGCACAGCCTCAACTATTTCGAGCCATACACGCAAAGTACGTTGTGTATGGTCTCATCTGGTCGTTGTCTCTTCCGAAAACGCGTGTCCTTGTCAATTGCATCCAATCAAGTGGTAGGATTTCCCAAATTAGACCTGTGTTGAGATATCTCATATGTAAATGCAGGTAGCCGTTTGCGATGACAGGATCGCCCTGCCATCTATTTTTCGGTATCTTGCTCAACTGTTCAAGTTCTTCCAAACATTTTCCGTTCAAGCGAACGACCCCAAACCCTAAATAACACTTGTTAATGTCAATTGATGGCATCGCTTAGCTGACAATAAGAGACATAAGAAGAAAAAGACGCGATCGGTACCCACTCTATAGTCCTATCAATCGTTAGCTCTAGTTGATCACCATCCTTTTTAGGATATACCTGTGGCTGAAACGTCCGTTCAGGGGTCTATCTCCACGAGGGGCTAACGCGACGTGCAGATTCGCTGTTCGGCCCTGTTCTTGAAGGGAGGCCAGAGGATTCGCATATTGCAGTGCCAATGATACGTAACAAGTCGAGCAGGCCTCCCACAAAAAAACAAGGCCCCTAAGAGTCTAGGGCTATCTCCGACTCGCCCAAGTCCACTCCATAACCTTGCTTATTTTCTCTTGGCTAACTCCCGTTGAAGTCTCGCAGCAAAATCTGAAAGAGAACGCTGGGGGTCCCCATGCATGCAGAGAGCCTTTTTCACCCCTTGACTCGTCGAATATTCTCTTATGTGGATCCTTCTAACTTGGTACCTGCATCAAGTGCGTTGTCATTCCTAGGCCGAGCCGTAGAACAGGATCAAGTCAAGGATGCTAGCAGAAAGCTTGGTGAACCCACGCCCCCATTTGACGGGATATCACTTAATACATCTGCAACCCTGATTGTGCCCCCCCGTCTCTTCTCCCTCGACCTTATCGGACGAAATGGTCAGGCAGCGTGAACAACCATTCAATCTTTCGTCATTCTGGTATCACAGCGTTCTCTCGTTTCGTCTTCCCAACACTCTCTCCCTATCAAACCCCTTAATTCAGCCGATAGTAGCTCGTAATGGATCGTCCTACCCTCCAGACCCCCAAGTCGGGTCGTTCGCGTTTCTCAAAAGCGTTGCCTGCCCCTCCGCCCGAACTAGATGATGACAGGCCGCTGACAGCTTCTCGCGAACCTTTACCTTCGGTCTTTTCGCCATTCCCACCCAGGAAGGATAGTGTTAGTGTGAAAACCAGCGTCAGCGCGACTACCAGCCCAAGTGGCGTATCAAATTTGATCAACTCTCCTTTACCGGCACTGCCTCCCACTAATACAATGGCGACCTCTACTATGCAAACGCAGACGAGGACGATTCCGAGGAAACCAGTAGGACTGCCATCAAATCCTGCCCCGCAAGCCGGGGCGGCGGCGGCTGCTGCTGCTGCTGCTGCCAAGTCAAAGAAGATGAAGCGGGTTTCTTCAATATCGAGTTTGTTGTCGGCGTATTCTAACACATCGTCGGATTCTGTGCAAAGGTCGTCGCAAGGTAGTATCTACACAAAGGATAGTGAACCATCAAATTCACCGGAAAGAGAAGGGATGAATGATGCGCAACCACCATTAGCAAAGAATTTGTCGGTACTTCCAAGTAATCCTTATGTTGATGAGGTGTCGAGGATAACAGATGAGATGAGAGCTGCCTCGCTGCCTCCCCCACCTCCACCTTTAAAGGACCCGGCTCGTCCTAGCACACCTGTGAGCGCCCGGTCAACGGACCCGTTCGCGGCTTATCGGTCGGGCGACCACGACGGAGGTGCGTCGGCATCCCCATCAAATCTTGTCGGTAGCTCGCCCCAGCAACGGGAAATCTGGCGTCGTCGCGCATCATCCAAAGACGGAAACATCCTCGTCCCGGAGCTCAAGTTATCTGTTTCCCATGGCTCTACTGCATCCACTTCTCAACCACCCAATCCTGAGCTTCTTCCACCCCCGCCACCCGTAAAAAACAACAATAGCAACACCACTTCTCCATTACCACCTAGGAGTGCCTCGCTACCTGGAAGGAATATTCGACCAACCAAACAACCTGAACCACGAGAAGAAGAGGATATGAATAAGCTTCAGAAAAAGCTCAAAGAGCTTACTACTCGAGGTGAGACTGCCAAAGGCACTAAAAATCCTAAGGATGAGTCGATAAAAATTGGTGGGCACACCGAGACATCGATACCTGAAGGATTAAATGAGACTATGACTAACCCGATGTTTGCGATTAAAGGCCAGGCAGAAGAACCCGCGAAGATCTCGTACACTTGGGTCGATAGGGCAGCGAAGGAGTTAGACAAAATAGTACCCGAGGAACCTGAGACGTCTTCGGAATCTCCCCCAATGGAGTCCGCTGAAAAGTCAATCTCGCGCCGCCCGGTCGGAGCTTCTGTGCCCAGCCAGCCGAGTCAACAGATTCAGCCCAGCCAGTTCCAGCAGAACCAGTCAAGTCAACAGAAGCATCCTACTCAGCCCAGTCAGCCAGAAATCCATAAGAAAGTAAGCTCAACGGATCTGCGACCACAGAATCTTGGACTCCCGCGATTCCCGCGACCCTCTCAGAGCAACACTTCCCTTCGCTCTCCTGCAGCTTCTCCGGCTTCTCAGAATGTTTCAGAGACGGTAAAGTCTCAGCAGCCCACCCCACCCGCCGGCACTATGCCTCTCATGTTACCTACCGACTCGAATGAACCGATCAAGAAGCCCGAACTCTTCAACATGGTGACCGCCTTAAACGAGCCTACTATCTCGCCCTCCGTTTCGGCCGACTCGATGGGTACTCGTAAGCCGACACGTAAGGTATCGAAGGATGTTAACACCACCGCCCTTAGCGACATTGGCGAATCCGCAGAGCACATCACTCCCGAGCAAGCGGAAAGAATCAACGAAGCTCTTTCCCGCTTCCCGCGTCAATCTGAAGAAGTTTCCCATCCGCCTGATGCTGTATGGCCGGCCGCGCCCATCTCCTCGAAGCACCATAACTGCTACGTTCGTCACGTCCGATGGGTCCCGGTTAAGAACTTGAATTACCCACTCGCGTGCCAGACATGCGGTGTCCAGGACACGGGTTCACGCAAGACATGCGCCTGGTGTAATTTGCGTGTTTGCTTCAAGTGCCATGAGCGACTTATGGGCCCTTACAAGGCCGACTTGAAGCTCCTGATGGAGAATATGGAGACCGATCAACACGATGACAAGCGTCGTGAGAAGGGAAAGCAAGTGGAGATGTCATAGTTTACCGCCTTTTCCCCTGTTTAGTCTCCTGGTACTGCTATGGTGTTTTAAGATGTCACAGTTCATCAACCTAGCAACTCACCTCTTTTGATTTTGATTTCGCCGAACTCCGGATTACTTGCGTCTTCACCCACCATTCTATTCAGGGCTCCGCGAACACCAGAATTTGGTGAGATGCCGGGAGACTGCGCAAAAAATCTCTTCTTTTTCTTTTGTTTTTTTGACGCTGGATGGATCAGTCTCAGAAATGACGACAACAAAAGGAATTTGCATCTGGAAATAGGCGTTTACTGGTACAATGATACCACTTCTTCGTATGATGTATATACAACAGGGAAAGGGAATTCCTATGCCGTGGATTTGCACTTTTGAAAACCATCGAGTTTTCATAGGGACTAGGGAAAGGAAGGATGATGAAAATGGCATAATGGATTTTCCAGGCTAGAAGCCGGACACAATGATACCTCGATGCGATAGATAAATCCTCAAATGAGTTTTATTTGTAAACTCTTTTTTCCGTTCTTATTATATGAAGATGAACTGTTTTAATGTTTGCTTGACCCATAACTCCTTCTGGTTTGTTTTATTTAGCGTGACGATCAATCTTAAACCACGCCATTACACCGCTATACATGCAAATTGTTATGTACATGTACATAACATCTAGATGGGGAGGAAGGTGAAGGTGAAGTATGTCATTTATGTAGTCGAACCATATAAAATGGGCTCTTAAGTGGTAGCAGCCACGACCAACCAACCACAGTCACGTAGGTACAGCTTATGCACCTTTATAGTGGCCCGGGTATTAAATGATAGGTAACTTCAGCCCTATAGATAGAACTCTTAGCTTTAAGCTCCAGTCTATCCAGGGCTAGGAAATAGGTACACCTATCAACCACTATAATTTCTCTCCACCGCAACTCAATTGGAATTAGTCGCGTGCACGGTCAACAATTCAACAAAAGGACCCCTGGGGAATCTCTGACCGCAACATCAAACATTCAAATCAAAGAAACTTTTGTCTTAGGCGCAATTGAAACATGTCATCCTCAACTGGTTTGAGCCGAACACGCTCACTTCGTAAACCTACCGCGGGTAGTAACGAGACGACTACTAGAGATGGTCCCTCGACGCGTAGCGAGGCGAGGAATACCTCGCCGAGTAGACTACCGGTGAAGCCCACAATGACAACAAGATCCGCAGCAGCAGCTTCAAGTAGCACGACGACATCACGAACTAGGACGACATCCTCGACTATAGGAAGACCTCTTTCGGGTGTTTATAGCAAAGCACCATCTACACGCACAGATTACAGCGGAAATGCTGGAACAAGACCCCTGGGTAGAGCGGCCTCTACACGGCAAGCCTCCTCTTCTACGACAACAACGACAGGAAGCTCAAAGGCTTCGATAACCCGATCTACAACTACTGCCGGTAACCGACCGAGGTCATCCGGCGGACCACCACCCACATCTAACAATCGACTTATGGGACACACACGATCAAGATCCAACGTAACGAGTCTAACAACCGCAACGACTCTGCGCCCCGTGTCCCAAGTATCTTCCGCATCCTCGGGCATCACAAGTCCAACAACTAGCACGATAAGCTCCTCGAGCAATTCCAAACCAACAACCCGTTCGCAAACACACGCGCGCGTGAAATCCCAACCTCCTCAATCCACCACTGCTCCTACACACCACCTGACCAGCCGCCCCGCCTTCAATACACACCAACAACATTACAGCCCCGCGAAATCGCTCGCTCCCAAGCCCTTGACAAGCACCTACCTGGCACCCCCCTCACCCTCCAAGCTCCCCGCCAACGTCGCCATATCCGCCGAGACTAGTCGTTTACAAACCGAACTCCTACAACTCTCCCTCCTCCGCCGCGACGCCCCCGCCGTTACTTCGGAATGGCACGCAAGCGCGCGTTCCAAGCTAGAAATCCGCTTCTCACGCCTCTCCGTAGACCACGACTCCCTCCAAGCCCAAGAACGGCGGCGCGTTGAGGCGCAAAACATATCCACACTCTCCCGCTGGGGCCAAGCCTCTTCCCAAAACCAATTAGGACTAGAAGAGAAAGTGCAAATCCTAGATGAAGTCCTAAACGGAATATGGCAACTCGGGGAATCAGGTGGACGGTATCAACGCGTGGTCTCTGATTTCGAGGTCTGGGCTGATCGCATGGCTTCTATAATCACCGCCCAACGGAGCGGGAATTTGGATGTCCTGGTTGATGGCGAGGAAGTGAGATTCCTGGGCGAGTTAGATCGGTCTTGGAAACGGGATTGTACTAGTTTACAACGTAAACTTGAAGGCTGGCACTCCGCACTACGAGAACTAGGCGACGTCGACGACGCAGACGCGGATAAAGGCTCCGGTTTAGTCAGAGTCCTAGATGGCTGCCGCGCGCTGGTCCGCGATATGTTGGCGGAACTCGCAGTCATGGACGGCATTGAGAGAGACGCAGCGAGAACCGAAGATGAGTGGATCGAGAGTATGAATAAAGCCATCGAGGACGAAGACGACGATACGCCGGCCGCGCGGGCGTATGTGCCGCTTTGGAAGTTAGCAGCATGATAAACGCATGCTTGCTTACCCGTGTACACATACCTGTATATCTACCTACACCTACCCCTATCTCCATATACCTCAGCCTCGGGATACGGCCAGAGGAAATACGATAATGATATGAATAATGATAATAAATAAGAATGAGCAACACGGATAGTATGGGAATGGAATGGCATGTGACAAGATTACCTTCTCATTCGACATCGATAGCTTAGAGTAATACTTGAGTCTCTAAAATAATAATAATATGACGGACATCTGTCCAGGTGAAGCGAGGTATTGGAAATATGAATAATATGACATTCGTAATTCAAAACAAGCCTGTGAGTCCCTAACCCAGAAGAAGTCAAACGCGATACCATTGGTCTTCGTACAACTTTCTTAACCATACACACGTTCATTCAAAATCAGTGCTTCTAAGACTAGACTCAGTTCATACTCAATAGAAACGCAACTCGAACGCATCATCCACTCCCTACCACTTTCGCAACACCCACTTCAAGTCCCTCAACCTTCCCTCAACCCCTACCAACAACTCACCGATAATTCAACTCCGGATTCGCCCTAAAATTACACCTACACCTGCACTCGGGGACCGGACATTCAACATGTCTCGCGAACCACAACCTAGCATGATCTAGATGCAGTACATGCTCACATTTCAAACAAAACGTCGGAAATCTCGCAGCAACTCTAACCTGCGGATCAGGCGACGCTTCGGGTCGATCCGAGCGCGGGACACCGACAATTTCCAGACACACGACACATCGCGGCAGATGGCGTCCGCAGTTCGGACAACTGACACCGGCGCTGACGAGCGTGGGCGTTAGCGGGTTAGTCTGACCCTTTGAGGAGGGCATCGGTGCGCCGGCTCCGGTTTTAGAAAGTTCGTACTCCGCATCGCAGAATACGCAGCGAAGAGCAATTTGCCGGGAAGGGGGAGTAATGGTGGGGACACCGCCTCGTTTACTCTTCTTCGTGCTTTCTACTTCGAATTTGGTTCGTTGCATAAAAGCCTTGTGTCGCTGGAGATAGGCTCTATATGCGTTACGCCATGTGCGACATCGGTAATCGTTGATATATCGTGGGGCGCATATCGATAGGACCAGAGTAGCAGTCTGTACATCGTTGAACTTCTCGATGTACTTCGCAAATATGTCGACCAGCTTGTCTGTAATCCCCGTGAATACAATTCCTTCGATGTCACCTGTTTCTATCGCCTTGTTAAGCTCTTTATTGAGCCATTGAGTAAGCTTAGTATCGTCAAAATACCTTAGCGCTACAAATGTGCGCTCACGGAGTGGAAGTGACTCCTGATTTGCAATATTTTCCCAATCGTTCGTTGCAATAAGTGATGATATCGCACGAAGGTACGGGTCGGTTTTAGAAGCAACAGCGTCATCGAAATCCAGTTGATCCTTTCCTAGGCTTTTGTTACCTGGGCCTTTGAGTTGCAGCGCTAAGGAGACGAATAAGAGCTCCGGGTATTCAGTGCCAGCTCGTTTAAGAAGCTGAACAGCCCCTTGAAAATCGCCCCCAAACAGGGCTCGAGCAGTTGCCATGGTATACCACGATGAGTTCCTCTCGGAAGGCTGCATTTTCGCATAATCGCTAAAATGAGCTTCGGGCGATCTACCCCATCCACAAATGCGCAGCGCCATTTCGCGGTGTGCTCTCTTTTTCGTCCCGACACCATTATACGTTGCCTGTCTGGACCTTTTATTTATTTCCTGTAGGCAACGATCCCATGCTAAATCATCTGGTTGTCTTGTCCCCTCCGCCAATCTGACAGAGTAATCATGCCCTATACATTCGTTAATTAGTGTCTCAAACAAGAGCTACTTGCATAACGGACCTAGATCCCCCGTCCACACATTACAAACTCCTAAGTAGCCCAAGTCAATGCCTTGTGCTACCATTCCCATATCATTGGTAGCCCCATCGGCTCCTATAAAAAATTGTCAGCGTCATAATAATAAAAACATCTTCGAAATGAGAACACCCACCAGCAACCCAATCCCATAATTCCTTTAGCCAAGGATCGTCAGATACTATATCCCTATTTGCGGTATAGTCAAATAGATATTTCTCTTTAGAGCGGAGAAGCATAGCATGGTCAAGAATAACCTGTGCTTCTTTAGGAAACCCTTTCGTGTTCAATGTTGATACAAGTAACCTTTCATGTAGCTGACGATTTGATGGTAGACCATTGCCTTTTATGGATAAGTCGGTTAATGACTGGTCAAGTTCTTTTATAGCTGGCTGCGCCTGCGCCTTATCTGACTGTTGTTTTGAGGTTTCCAAAGCTTCCTTAGAATATTTTCTTAGATTTCGCAACTTCTCTGCTATTTTTGAAGTGTTGGCTAAAGGCTCCGGTAGCTTTTCGGTGCTTGCCTCCGAATCGCAAATGGGATCAGCCGTAGGTGCGGAAAATAATAGTGCATGCTGTATTATCGAATTGACAGGCTCTTTATTACTTCCGAATAGGGGCTTATCTTTGAATGCCTGGTCGACGTTTAGTGGGCCTACCATCTCGGGATATTGTGTCGGTTCGAATTGCATCAAGGTATGATAGCTGCTGCCTCCTAAATTAATCAGCGCTGTTTAATAACCAACGGAATCCGGATCAATTACCTTCAAGTCCACGATGAGGTGCTCGCCAAGGTACCATCTTATATATATGTTCCGAAGTATAAGATGGCTTTTCCAGAATATCAAAGGCACCATTGGCACGTAAGACTATTGCTCGCGGCGTAAGCGCAGGAGAGTCAAGGTTGACCCAGTCGAATGAAACGATTTTGTCATCTTTTCGGTCTTTCGAATATTCCATATCTAGCTCATATGATTTCCTGACTTCGAGGAGTTCTGGGCTATCCTTTCGCACCTCAGCGGGAATATATTCTTTCTTGATATCCAAGACCTTGAGCTGGCCGGTTCTGGACAAGACAGCTATTAAGCCACTACGATCCCTACAGAACCGTAGCGACCTTATCAACGAGCCCCTATCTTGGAAGTTAGCATCTTTCACATCAATCGCCCTTTCAACATTGAGGGAAGCTCCCCAGGGCAAATCGTCTGTATCGACGGCATCGAGATAGAAGCGGGACGAAGACTGCCGTGAAGTTGCGCGACGATCCCATATCACCAGACCTGGCTTATCCAGAGAAGATGAAGCGAAGTAGTTTTGGTCCGAATAATCAATTGCCAAATTGTTGTTACACTTAGTCTGGTAATTGATCACTGCACCTTGTGGATCTTTTAAATCGTCAGCAGGTTCTAGTAGGTGTATCATGGGGGAAAATATCTACCTCGGAGATCATATATACGAATTCCCTGATTTTTTATCCCGGCAACAAGCACTTGTGGACTGTCTTCGAAGAACTTCGTACTTGATATAGAAATACTAGCTTCTAGTCCAATCCGCGGATTCATGGAGCCTTCAAGTGATGCCCATGAAACACTAGGATCTAACGTCGCGATTCGAGTTACATCGAATATCTTTAGACATTGATCATTTCGCACTCGTTCTAGTCCCACAGCTAGTAAAGCTCCCGTGTTGAAAGCTACCGCCTGACAAGTACGAGTGATCCTAATGGGGAGCTCCAAATGAGAACTTGGATCGCCATGGAGGTTTATGAGCTCCACGGCACCACTCGCCGTTCCGATGGCAACAAGCCCAGGATAAGCGGGTGACCAGTCATACGTGGTCAGTGGAGGAATTTCGTCATATTTCGATGACTTCTCATGATGAAAAGTTCCTGGTTGTGCAAGGCCTGTGGGTTCATAGAGTTGTACGACCCGATGCTGCAAGTTAACGTGTAGAAAGGTGTCATAGGCTGGATTTGGTGACCATTTGATTAAGCCCGGTTCTGGTCTATCCATTTTCGAAGATGAGTACTGCGACATTGTTCCAGAATCCTATATAAGCCCATTTAGGGTGCATACATCCGCCGCAGGCCGCTTCATAGGCTGGGAGGCACCAATATGGAGGCTGGTTACGTGAATTGAGGGAGCTCGACAGAAGCCATATTTCGGTAGACCTCACATATCTCGAACTAGATGATGGAAGTGGTGATTGTATTCCCTCTAAGCTCGAATTTAGGAATAATGGAAATAGTAGTATCTTAATATTTGATATTATAAGTTTGAAATGCTCAATGTGTCCTCATTGAAAGTGGTTGTCTTTAATAAAGTGCACTGTGAAGTGTCGGCGTGCGGGAGCTCGAGTTAATCACCAGCTATCGATAGAAGCTATAACCCCGCTAACTCTCATCCATTGACCAATCAAATCCCACGTACATACGAAAAACCCCTGTAGAATTCAGCTAGGCCGAACTTATACAATTCGTACACACAAAGGACTGCTGATAATATTTGCACGCTTGAATATTGGAAAAGGAAAAGTGAAGATAATGCTATCGTGACAAACTTCTAGAGTTCACTTGGCTTCAATGTTATCTGTCAGTCAGATTGGTGAATATATGGATATATGAATAGCCGGTTTAAGCGGGTACTATGGCGGTACTTGCATGCCTTATCTAGATGCATATCAGAAGTCCCCACCTAAAAGTTCAATTTTCTGCGAGTTCTAGCGTTGAATTTCAATTCCAACCAACTAAAACATCGACACTTCCAGCAACGACCTTGAACCAACTCAACGGTAAAATACGTAAAATACAACAGACACAATGAGTTCTAAAAGAAAGTTCGCCGACTATGAAGGCGACTCCGCCGACAAAGAAAAGCCTCGCGAGCGCATCCCAGGATACCATGTACCCAACAAGAAGGCCAGGAAGAAGAATCCGAAGAAGGGTAAAGTGAAGCCGAGTAGCATAAACTGGGTCAAGAAGCGAGCGCGAACAATCGAGAGGCGATTCAAAACGGGTCAAAATATGCCTGCGAATATTCAGAATGATCTAGAGAGAGAGTTGGCGCATCATCAGCAAAAGATTGAAGAAATTGCCGACGAGAAGAGGAGGAAACAGATGATCAAGAAGTACCACATGGTTCGCTTTTTTGGTAAGCCTGTCAATCCACACCATACAGCAGAACGAGCGATCGGATCTAACAATGCGTAATAGAGAGGAAGAAGGCAGACCGACTCGCGAAGCAAATTAAATCCCAGCTCAAGAGAGCTACAGACGAGAAAGAAATCGAAAAGCTGCAAGCGGATTTGCACAAGGCCGAGATCGATAGTATCTATACGAGGTTTTTCCCGCACCGAGAGCGCTATATCAGTTTATACCCCGTGGCATCATTAGGCCTCTCGTCGAATGGTGATGATGAGAAGCCAGAAGATGCCAGTTCTGCAGCACAAGCTCTACACTCCGAACGACCGCCGTTATGGAGGCTCATAGAGAAGACATATGAGAAGGGTATTCCGGAATTAATCAAAATAAGAGAGCGCAAGTTGGAAAAGGAACCGAAGAGCAAGCGCTCCAACGAAAAACCCTCAAAGGAACCCATTTCTACGAAACCTAGCAATTCCAAAGCGAAAAGTTCGGACACGCCAGCTTCTACAAGCACTCAAAATGAAAATAGAAAAGCTCGGCGAGCTAAGCAAAGGGCTGCTGCGGATTCGGATAACGATAGTGAGGGTGGCTTCTTCGAGGAGGAATAAAGGGGATCTCGGAGCGAGGCAAATTATCATGATACCCAATTATAAAATAGCAACCAAATCCATGAGACAGTGAACGTCGTAATTGAAGGTTTTACTCAGGACGACCTGGAGGTATCCTTGCGGCCTGAGTGACTACATATATGACTGTACTCAACCCCCTTGCCTGGTATACGTGCCATGGGTGCACTGCGAATTTGACACATACTTCCTCATTATTCATAAGGCCCAGTAATAGAAAAATAAGAATAAAAATATGAAGCCAACATGAGGCCATCTTCATTCAAGGAATCTTGACTTGCTACTATTGAAGTATTAGGTAATCATTTTATGACCTTAAGAAGTATAATATCGATTACATAAGCCAACCCAAATCAATTCGTTGCCTACGACCGGGACACATCCATTCATCCCACCAAATACAACAAACAACATTCAACACCAGCTTTTCTATCCCTCCCAAGAAGGGGAAAAGCTGCGCAACATGTGTACACGATGACATCCGAAGCAGCGTCGCCGAAGAGGCGACATATACTCTCATCCTTAAACCAAGACCGACGATCGGCATCTCCTAAAATGGACGAAGAAATCCGTACGTCACCAGAAGCCCCACCAACAGAGCCGCATCCTGATATCGAACAGGATGAGGCAGAGGAGGCTACTACAGAAACAAGGGAGAGGAAACGGACTTCGCGATTCCGATTTAAATCAGAGAAAAGTTCCCGATCCCGACGCCACCGATCACACGATCGCGACCGTGACCATAATGACGCCGACCATGAAGACGGCACCTCCCATCGCCGGCACCGTCACCACCACAGACACCACCGCCATAAACGGCGACGTACCCACTCCCCCTCTCCCCTTAAAGAACCCCAACGAGACCCCTTCGAGCCCCCACCCCTAGGCTCCGAAGCCGCCTTCCGTGAATCCCTCTTCGATGCCATGGCCGACGACGAAGGAGCCGCGTATTGGGAATCCGTATATGGGCAACCTGTGCATATATACTCGCCCACGCGCCCGGCGGCTGATGGTAGTGGGGCGCTTGAGCAGATGAGTGAGGATGAGTACGCGGCGTATGTGCGGCAGAAGATGTGGGAGAAGACGCATCAGGGGTTATTGGAGGAACGGGCTCGAAGGGAAGAGAGGAAGAAAGAAAAAGAGGAGCAGGAGGAGGAGAAGAGGCGGTTGACTAGGGAGATGGAAAGGAGTTTGAGACGAGGCGAGGAGAGACGGCGGAAGAGGGGATGGAGGGAGAGGTGGGTTGAGTATGGGGAGAAGTGGAATGTGTGGGATGGTACGCTGGAGGGTATTGCTTGGCCAGTTAAGAGTGGGTTGAGAGAGGACGTCGGCGCTGATGCGGTGAGGGACTTCTTCGTCTTGGGAATTGATCCTACGGAAGTAGGCGAGGCGGAGTTCCTAGCTAAGCTGAAGGAAGAAAGGGTTCGATGGCATCCAGACAAGATCCAGCAGAAGCTTGGAGGAAAGGTGGATGATGCGATTATGCGTGATGTTACAGCAGTTTTCCAGATCGTGGATAAGCTGTGGTCTGATACCCGGGCTAAGAAGTTGTGAGGTCTTCACGATCAAAGACTAGGTAAAAACACCTAGAGTAATAGTGATACATTTCTGCCTCCTAAATGTATAGGACCCTAACGCAATACAAGTCAATAGGGACTTGGGGCTATCCTAGATACTCTATGAACATGAACAACATCAGAAGAAGCACTATTTGCTTAGATTTATTTTATTTTATATTTTATTTCTATTTGATATGCACAAAAGTAGGCTCGAGGTTATAAGAGTACCACACCTAGGGATCCTCGACTCGAAAATGCGCCACAACTCCCAAATGATCCGTAATCCACGGCTTCTCAAAGCCCAAACTCACAACCCGCTCTCTCTGAGCCGGATCACTCAACTCAACATCCCTACCAAACCGCTCAAAACTCAATAACTTCACCCGTCCCGCGAAGTACACCTTATCCATCCTAGAACACCCAAACCTCTCCCTCAACGTCGTCGTAGCCTGCTGACCCCAAGTATACCCCTCCTCACTATCTTCCTTGCCACCAAGTTCCAAATACGCATCTTTCAGCCCATTATCCTCATGCAGCGTCCGATCAAACGGCTGTATAGCATTAAAATCCCCCGCCGCCACCGCGCCAAAGACATTCTCATCATGCATATACTTAACCACGACCTGCATCTGCGGGGGACGAAACGGCGGCTCGAAAGCTAGGGACTCGAGATGCGTATTGCACAGCCTAACCGTCTTACCACCACCAAGCACTATATCGACGAAGAACGCATCGCGCTGCATACGGGTCTTGGCGTAGTGCACGCGGAAGCAGTTCGTGATATCCAAACGTCGGTCCACTAGCGTCGTGGTCCCGTATCTAGCCGCCCAATTCGAGTCATCGATATCCGTCACGTAATACTTTTCCCGAATCCACGGTTTCTCTCCTACCGTCGTAAGGTCCTGTGCGATACTTTCTTGCAAATAGATAACAGCGGCGGTTGTAGGTGGTAGTTTACTAGTAAGACCCTCGAGGTGCGCCAATGCGATGTCCATGCGTTCCTTAGCCAGCGGTAGCATGAAGTCGACATTCCAGCTATACAAAGCGAGCTGTGTGATACCAAATCCAGATTCATTTTGCGTATTTCCCGAAGCTTCCATGGGCTGCCATGCCTGCTTGTCGCTATCATATGCGAAGTACGACTGCGGGTGCGGCTCATCCGGCTTCCACTTCACGGAATCCATTGGTTTGACGGATTCTTGTGTTTCTTTGATTGCTTTTTGGATTAACTCGTCCATGATGAAAAAATGGCATGTGCGTGTGGGATGATATAGGTTTCTTCTAACTAAACTTAGATGTTTGCTTGCTTTTCGAAACATGGATATGTAGTTGTTAAAGTTAATAAGTGAAGTGAGATTGTTTCGTATAGGTGATAAATCATATAGACCATTATAGTGGGGCGAGTATATCGTTATACCCAAATACCATATTACGATATAGAGTATATTACCTTATGGGCCTTTAGACTTCCCATGTCATATTAGACATTGGAATAGTTAGTTCTGTTTGTTTCTGCTTGTTTTGCAGTGTTATGCTACGTAGGATACGATATGTAACTGAGATATCTATTGTCAATTCTAGGGGTATCAAGACATAGGGAAAAGGGACTAGAAAAGATGGCATCAGCCGAAAAGCCTTTCAAGCATCCTTCTCGAAAGCATCATTAAGATAAACCACAAAGGTCTCTCGTATCCTCTCCGGTCCCATATTTCTAACGCCCTCAAGTCCAATACCGCCTCGATGTAAGCCTATGTAAGCCCTTCGTAAGCGTTGAAGTTGAGGTAATCCGACTTTCTTCCCAGCTGGTAATTCTACCACAAGATCATCGCCGTCTTTACCGTTTCCCTTAGGTATTCTGACATCATCTCCGCCGTCGTCTCCTTGCTGGTCTAATACCTTTTTGACGATATCCTGTGTCTCACGGTCGAGGATGTATAGGTAATCTCCACCGGCATCTCTACTTCGTTGGACGGTAGCTTGATTCGGTTTCACCACTTTCCGAGATTCGCCCGCAATAGTCTCCCACATATTCGAAAACACTTGCTTCGCTTGCTCCTCATCGTCTTCCCAGATAAGCGTGAATAGTGGGCTATCCCATCTAGTCATAGGATTCGGCTCCTCATGCCGAAAAACCAGGTTCTCCCAGTTCTCCGGCTCGTAGGGTCCCTCTTCATCCACTTCCTCTTCCTGTCTTTTTTCCCCATTTTCACCCTCGGGGTTCTGTTGTTGATCCCGCCGCCTCAGTCTCTCTTCATTAACACTCTTAGCCCTCTCCTTCGAGCACCCAATCTGCAGCACACAACTCGGCGTGCGCATATTCTTCGCCTCGCAATAAAGCTGGTACCGCCAGCCCTTTATATAATTCAACCCATCAAGTATAACAATATCACGATCGCTGGTCATCGCGCGCTTAGTAGCGCCGTAGATCGTAGCCCGCGCATCTTTCTCCGAGGCATTAGCGGATCGCACGTGTGCTGCCGGTGTCGCTGGTGATAAATCGTATACCGATCGCGAGATTGAAAGGGTCTGGTCGGATATTAGGTGAAGTCGGTATTTGGCTTGTGGTGCTGTTGGTGTTGTCGCTACGGCTTGTTGGATGCGCTCAGAGAGGTAGCTGTGTAACTGTTTCGCGCGTGTGGTTTTGCCGGACGTGGGGAAGCCCGTTATGATGATTAGCTGGTCTTTTGTTAGAATACCCTTTCAAGTTATTAATTTGATGGTTTTGGATGTATAGACATACAGGCATCCTGATTATATAAAAGCAGAATAATGGCAGGTTTGTTCGAAGAAATTTAAAAAGGAATCAAGGTTGAGCTCATTTTCAGGTCTGTTAAAATTTCTAAGGCCGCAAGTACCCCGCGATGTTAAGGTTCAGTGGATACCCCTCACTAACCGGGTACGCTAGAGTAGCGGCACGTCACTAATTCTTAGCGAATCCGGGGCGCTGGAAACCCCTTGTAATTAAGCAAGTAATAGATTTTTCAGAACCAACATTAAAATACAACTTCATTTATATAAATCTATAGGTACAAGAATCATATCATCATAATATACTTTAAATATCCATCATAATCCTTTAAAAATCCAGACCAGAAACTCCCTTGTTATATACTCTTTAAACAGCGAGATAATTGAAGCTTATCTATATCCGCCCATCTCATAACTAGTCTCGTCGTGTCGTCCGTTTTGTTGATAACTACTAGACGTTGATGCGACACGTTCACCTTTCGGAACGGTCTTTAATGTCATCCCGATACCCTCGACAATGATAACAACAATCATCTCCATAAGGACGGACATTCCAAGCAGGATATCGGCGTTGCCCTTCAGTTGGTTGAAGGAGGGATTGTTTCCAAATACTGATATCGCCGAGTAGACCAATCGGACAAGAATAAAAGGAAGAGAAAGTCCTACAGCTAGGACTAGTCGTTTCTCGCCGGATTCCACGTATGAGATCTGTTGCGCGACGAATAAAGTAGCGAGGACTAGTAGTGCGAACGAAGCGATCGTAAGGCCTATGCCCGCTTGCGATAAAGATGATACTGTGTACTGGCCCGTCTTGGCGACATTTTGGCCGGCCTGAGTACCACCGATTATACCCAAGATTAGACCCACCAACGTCAGGGTTTGAACGAGGCGTAATCTGTTCACGGTTATAAATGCCGTTGTCGATTTTTGGATGCTTGCGAGGGCACGCCCGATTAAGCCAAGTTGGGTCAAGATTAACGGGGATAGGCCGACGCTTTGTAGGGTTACTGCTCCGATCTGCAGGCTAACGTTGGTGGGATCTGAGATGGTGGCTAGTTGTAGCGATGCTCCGACAATACGGGCGAGCGAGAGAATGATAAGGTAGAACCATCCTGCGTTGCGGCCGAAGCCGTGGCGTATTGCTAACCATATAGCGACAAATAATGAGAATAAGAAAACAATCAGTTGAGCGATTGAGATGCTATCTCGCTCGGTTAAAGCCATCTTGGGGTGCTTGAGGTTGGAGACGAGTATAAGTGTTGTTGTTATAGCGGTTGTTACTGATGAAATAGTATTATAGGAATGAATTGCTTTGAATACAAGATGCTCTCTTCGAAATACAGAATTTACCTACCTATCCAACGTCGATATATATATTTATCAAAGACATACTGAGCTGAAGCCTCACTTCGTTTTCCATGAAACTCTGTGGCTTCCTCTGAAAATTTTAACGAAACCGAGTGCGAAGGAATTCAGCCTCTCTTCAGGCATTTCTTAGTCCCCTGTAAGTTCTATGCGAGCTTTGCGGGCTACCTGTAAGAGTCATGGTAGCGCGAATGGCTGACGAAGCACGCTAATTGACTGGGCCCCCAAAAGCTTTGCCAAGCCGGTACTAGTCTGCTGTAAAATCGGCAGCGAGTCCCGTCTGTAATCTTGATAGCGCCTAATCCGGCTATAAATTTCGACACGAAACATACCCCAAGTCCCTCTGTACGAAACCGAGCCCTTCAATCTCCACATAACATCACGGTGAGAGCGAGCTTGTCTAAGAAGTCATTTCTAGTCCTATGTCCACCCACCATCGAGAATGGTAAGAATAATCTGATTCTTATCGTAGTGCGGATGATGAAGCCGAATCATTACTTCTATTTTGTTTTTGACTATTAGAAGGCACCCAGGTTGGCCATAGGTAATGCAGGTTGGCCGCCCAATGGGTAAGGCAGCATTTTGACCAATGGCGCTGCCGAAGGTCAGCTTGATGCCTAGGTACATAAGGCTCGCCCTCATTCATCCTGGTGCTTTCGACGATGATATTACCGTTTCTTTCCAAACCTCACCATTCCCTAAGGGCGTACCGCAGTATGAGGCTCAGAAGAGAATCCCTTACCCGTCTACGTTGCTAGCAATGACGATAACGCAACATCGTCACGACACGTCGACTTGCCGAAACCCACCTTCATCCCGGTCACGCGAAATCTAATCGTCGCTCTAAAGCATCTGCGCCTTGATAACAAGCCAAGACTTATGTGGATCGATGCACTTTGCATTAACCAAGAAAATGACGTCGAGAAAGGGTCCCATGTTAGAATGATGGCCGAGATCTATCGTGTTGCTAGCCGGGTGGTCGTCTGGCTTGGGCCGGAAGAAAACGATAGCAACCGCGCTATGGAACTGATAGAATATCTTGGATCACAAACGACATTCAATTACTTGCATATGCGACTCAAACCTTCGGAGGTGTGCACTGACCCAACCCTGTGTGACCGGGACGTTCCATTACCCTTTAATGAGGGCGAGCTCGCCGCGATCTACTGCTTAATATCACGACAATGGTTTGAAAGATTATGGGTTCGGCAAGAAATATGGTCGGCTAACAAGGATGCAATAACGAGGTGTGGGTCTCAGCAACTCATATGGACATGTTTTCGTCAGGGTTTGTTCTGCTTCCTGATGAGGTGTGCTGAGGATGTTAAGAACAACGTATGGTCGAAGTTTGGAGGACTCGTCTTAGCTCATTTGAACGTAGAATTGATCGGCATACGTTTGGTCTTCGGGACTCTACATTGCAAAGACCCGCGGGACCGAATTTACGCAATTTCGGCTATGCTTCCCGATGAGGAGCAGGCGTTCATACCTCACCCAAACTATAGCCAACCCTTTGTTGAGCTATACACTCATGCCATATTGCAATGGATAGGATTTTATAATAGCCTTAACATTCTACACGTGTGCGAGCTTCAAAATAAGCCGTCTTGGCCAAGCTGGGTTCCTAATTGGTCGATACACTCGAGAATGCCTGTCAAAATCTCTCCGCAACACGCATCCTCTCAGCTGCGATGTTGGCACCAGCAACCCCAGCCTGGAACGCTCCGAGTTAAGGGTATATCGGGGTTTGTCATCGATAGACATCATAAGCTTCAATTAAATCGATACTTGAGTGGTGGGGGCACATTCAACTTGCTGCGTGAAATATTACGGGGGTTAGGTCCGATTGAACGGGATAGCATCGAAAGATACGCCCGGACTTTTAGTATGGGCCAAGTCTCCGATATGTGCAAACCCCCTATTGGAGGTCGACTGTGCTTTGATATAGTAGCAGGAGTTGTTCGTCTTTTAATGTCCGATTACGAATTCGACGACTTGTTTGAATACGATTACTCTGGAGGGGATAACACGCTATCGGCTAAAGATCCCGATGGAGTTTTTAACGTTTTAATACAGTTTTGCAAAGAGTTGGATGGCCTACTGATCTTCCAGGGTGGAACCAGCGGCATAGGAATTGGGTCCCAATTAGCAAAATCTGGCGACGAGGTATGTGTTATCGTTGGTTGCAACTGTCCTTTGCTGCTGCGACCTATAAGCAATGGTCAATACAAACTTGTAGGTCCATGTTTCGTGGACGACCTTAAATGGGGTGAAGCCATTCTCGGTCCGTCACCCAAGGGTATTCGGCCGGTTTTTGCGGATACCGATACCGATTCCCATGTTCCCGCGTTCATGGATTCTGTCTCGGGTGCGGTATCTTTCGAAGATCCGCGGTTGAAATCGCTGCCGATAGACCTAAGTGATTTTCGCCGAAAGCTATCGAAGAACCCTTGGGCTAAGATCGATGTAGATCCAGATCTATTGGGGGTAGAATTACAGTGCTTTGATCTTGTGTAGCTTAGTAACTATCTCTCAGTCTTATTATTTACGAAGAATTCTTTCATTAAAAACATAATTTGTGGGACGAGGTCTTGAGTCTAACGACTCCTGGTCGTATATTCCCATGGCGTATAAAAAAAGAGCCCTTTTTGTATAATTAAATAGTAGTACCTAATATCTCCGGGTATCGCCAAACGCCACGCAATGCAACGAAGTCCCCCTATCTCTACCAACTATCAAAATTTCCAAACCCACCAACCTTCGGTTTTTTCTTAACCGGCTCATCCCAAGTATCCATATCCTCTTCAATAATCTCATCTTCCTCAACACCCTGCCGTGATTTCATCGCAGCTTGGAGATATTTCCCCACATTCTTCCCTCCAGCACCGGTCCCGCGATCCACCGTGCCGTCCGGCCGGACCCGTTTGCCCGTCCACGTCATACGATCGTCCTCTGTTCCTCCCGAGCGCTCCACTAACTCTTTCGCTTCGGCGACTTTATCGCGCTCAGCTTTTTGCTTGAGGAACTCGTCGAAGGGGTCGAGGTACACGACTACGTCTTTGATGACGATTTTATTTAGGGGTCTGTCTGAGCCGTCTGTGGGCGCGGCTTCCATTTTACTGAGGACTTCTGTACCACCTACAACCTTTCCAAAGATCGTGTGTTTGCGGTCGAGGTGCTTGACAGCTCGGTATGTGATAAAGAATTGGCTTGAATTTGTGTTCTTCCCCTTATTCGCCATACTCAGTATCCCGCGGGTGTCATGGGTTAGGGGTCCGTCGAATTCATCTTGGAAATTCTTGCCCCATATACTGGTGCCCCCTCGTCCGGTACCTGACGGGTCGCCACCTTGGATCATGAAGTTCTTGATGTTACGGTGGAATGCGACGCCCTTGTAGTATCCCTTTTGGGCTAGTCGCGTGAAATTCCAGACTGCCCTCGGCGCGTACTCAGTCTGTAGTTCGATATTTAAATCTCCGAGATTGGTCTCGATTCGTGCGTAGCCTTTTATCTTGACCCTCTTCGGTTTTAACATATATTCCTCATCTGTGAGTGTAGCTCGCTCGCCACTGGTTTCAGGAGTCAATCCTGTACTGGTGAAACTCGCAGCTGCTCTACCTGTTGTATACGCCGCCGCATTATAGGCTGGTTTCTTGTCCTGGATCATCGATGTCCGGACAGGGTTGGCTGTCCCGGCCTTTGTGACCGCCTTGGATGAACGATTGACGTCACCACGAGCCTCACGCTCCTTCCTGGCCTTCTCAACGGCTTCCTTCGCTCTTAAGACCTTGTCGCCTACCCTGCCCAAAGCATTAATATTAACATTGCCTTCTTTCCTCTCTTCCTCTTGTTCTTTCGTTAAGAGTGCATCTCCGCCGTCCTTTAGATGTTGGAATTGGCTTAAGTCTCGGCTTGCAGCGTTCTGTGGATCTTGAAGCGTGATAATATCCGAGCGACCAAATTCCGCATCGTCAACTAGATCTCGCCACATTTTCGCCTTGATATTCATTCTCTCGACCGTTTCCCAAGCAAAAACGTTCGCATATGTCCCATGTCGGATCGCAACGATATGAGTATTATCGGTGAACACTTTGAAGGTGACGGGATCGATTAAATCTCCCTTCCCATCACTCCCTAGGCCATCTGCTCCTTTCGTATCGGCGTCTGCATTGCGCGCAAAATTGAGCTTAATCAGGTCGCGTGCCGCAAGGGGCTCCCCATTTACGGGATTGGTATCGTGATTCTCGAGCCATTTCGATATGACCTCGACATCGAATATTGTTCCGTCGGAGGTGCAAACAGGGTTTTTGAAGGGTTGAAGACTGGCGGCGCAAAAGTTGAATGGTAGTCGTCGAAAAGATGCGCCGTTAGCACCAGTTCGTGAGCCTGTACTCGCGGAATATGCGTCGGAAGAGGACCACTCGGAATGTGTGATATATAGCTTGTCCGTACCTTTCCCCATGGTTCATATGTACAGGTGTAGATACCTGTACTTTGCAATGCGACCAAAGGTTGTAGAATGACGAATGAATAAATAATTAGAAAGAATGAAGCTTCCCCCAAATAATTAGAGTTAGCGAGGTTCGATGCTACAACTCTTATCTTATCGTACCTAATCCTAGTTCATTTTTAACTCCCGACATCCCGTGATTGGCTAAAATTGGATTCGCAAGCCGTAATTCTAGGCCAGAAACACTGCCCAGGCCAAGGTTGCTACTGTTCTGTTTCCAATCACAATCAATTGCTGAGAGGCGCAACGCAAGCAACATCAAATACGTATTTTTAGGACAACTCATCTTCAGCCTGCTTATCTTAGGTGTACTAGCCTTGTTCCATAATCATTCCTAATGCTTCAAAGGGCTTCCGACCTTCTTTAGCCTAGCCTCGAGCTCCGATCGAATTTGCGTTTGTCCGTACGAAGCGCATCCAGTATCCGGAATAGTGAGGACAGATCTATTTGCTAAGGCTGCCTTGCGCGGCGACAACATAAGTCAACGCAACGAAGATGAAGAGTTGGTTATCTACTTTAGGCCTTTTAGGCTTGTCTATATCGACGGCTTGGGCATTGGAAGTACAGCTAGTATGAGGCCTCCATCATCTCTAAGCTCTAAGTTATATACTTAAACTAACATTTGTCTCACGAAGGACGCTACGGAAGAGAATCAGCAGAAATGTGCTGGTATGACATACTACCTATATCGAATCTTACGCGACCCTCACTGATCCGCGATGTTTAGGCATGTATAGTAAAAGCGCATGGGGTGGTCCGATAGAACCTTTCATCGAAACGGTATTCCCGGAAACCGCTGTCGAAGGCGACCAAGACCCGATCGTCAGTCTAATCATATTCGAATGGAAAGACCAGGATTTGATTGGTGTCTACCCGAATCCTGATGCGTTTCAAGTACGATATTCGATATCTCCGTATTATGACCAAGGCTGATTATATAACTAGAAAGAGTTGATCTGCCGCGAGGAGACCGTCCAGGCTGGCCTGTGTAACAATACCGAGATTGGCGAATGGATTTTATCTCCTAACGCGACTGACAAATCCGAGAACCTGATCGTGACCCAAGCCATAAAGCTCAAATCCGCGCCCTCTATCAAGTACCCTATTAAGAAGACCGGTTACTTCTGTGTTGCGGCGTATGGACTTAATACCGATGAGTTTATGGGTGTTGTCGAATTCCGAGAGGCATATGGCGAACTTCCTGCTACTCAGATCCCTAAGTTACCCTTTTACGGCGGGATAACTATTCTCTACGCCGTCGTTGCTGTGTATGTTTTGAAGCTCACCTATGCTAGCCTACTCACTAACTCCAATCAGGTTCTGGGGTTTCCTCTACTACCAGCACAGATACGACATATGTAAGCTATTTGAACCAAAGCTTTCTTTTTCTGCTCTAACCTAGTTACAGTACCTGTACAGAACTACATCACTGCTATCCTCGTCTTCCTAGTTGTAGAAATGCTCATGACATGGGGATTCTATGGTAACACAACCACTCTACCCCTTAATAACCCAGCTGCTAATATGCCATAGATTATCTGAATAGGAACGGTTCCAACATTGGAGCTAAGGTTCTCCTTGTGGTAGTAGCCGTTCTCAATGCCTTCCGTAATTCCTTCTCCTTTTTCCTACTACTTATCGTATGTATGGGTTATGGAGTTGTGAAACCTTCTCTAGGAAAGACGATGGTCTATGTTAGGTGGTTAGCAATCGCTCATTTCCTTTTCGGATTGGGTTATGCTATTACCAGTTTACTAGTTTCACCCGACACAGCTAGTAAGAATCCCTCCGCCAACGACCTAGAGCACATTTATTCTAACATAATCTTAGGTCCCTGGCTCCTTCTCATCGTACTCCCATTGGCTGGTACTTTGACCGCCTTCTACGTGTGGACGCTCAACTCGCTCAACTTCACTCTTAAGGATTTGCGCGAACGCAAGCAAACCGTCAAAGAATCCATGTACAAGAAGCTTTGGTGGTGTATCCTAATCAGCATTCTCGTCACCTTCGGCTTTTTCTTCTTCAACTCCTTTTCTTTCGCCTCCGCCTCCGATCCTGATTACGTTCCCTTCCACTGGAAGTCGAGATGGTTCGTTATTGACGGATGGCCAAACTTGGTTTATCTTGCTGATGTGGCCTGGATCGCGTATGTGTGGAGACCCACAGCAAACAACAGGCGGTTCGCGATGAGTGATGAAATTGCTCAAGATGAGGATGGTGGATTTGAATTTGCTGATGTTGGCGCTCCGGATGATTCGGATGATGACGAAGAAGCGCACATTGGTTCCAAGATCAACAACACCCGTTCAGCACCAGCAACTGGCTCTACCCCTACTCAGACATCACAAAGCAGAGCCCCAGCTAAGCCCGAGACACCTCGGGATTCCTTCGATGGCGAGACGATATTCGCAGTTGGTGAAGATGGAGATAAATTCAGTGATGACGAAGCTGATGGTGGCGAGGGATCGAACTTGGTCGGCGGAAGAAAATAGTATTCAAGATCTATCCCAAAACCATCATAATCAAAGGGAAAAGAAATAGGCGAGGCAAGGGTGGTATCAACTGTATTTGGGTCACGCACTTTCGTTACCGTTGTACTATTATAGACGTCGATTGCATGGCGTTGGATGCTACTGTATTGCTCCCTAGTGTAGGTCTAGTATCGAGGTATGGAATTAAACCGGCATGATTAGGTTGTTAGGCCTGCTTCTCGCGGTGCATTATTACGAGGTAGTAAAGGGTACGAAAAAGAGATATTTGTAACTGTATTCTTGATCGGTATTGAGATGTTGAGTCTAATGGTATACATCTTGGTTATATGTGGTAGATTTTGTGAAGTGGATGAGTTGAATGCCATGGTCTACCTAATGATTTCATATATATCAAAAGATTTAAATCATTCAATCAAGCACTCACATCCCCACCAAACCCAACCGGTCTCCTCCTACCCCCGTTCTCAGGCAAAATAGCCAGGACTTTATACACTTTCCCCATACCCCCCGGCCCCCGATCAACAAGACGTTTCCACGAGCGCTCTAACTCCTCGACTTTCTTTTTCTTCTCTTCCCCATCTTCTCCCCCAGCTCCAGCAGTTAACAGTTTCTTAGCCAACATATCAGCGCGCTGCTTCACACCCATAGATTCCAAGAAAAAAGCTTGGTCTACAGGTCCATGGATCTCGACACCTGGGCTTGCTAGAGCAGCGGCTTCGGCTAGGGCGCCGAAATCCACGTCTGCGCTTAGATCGACGAGACCTGGGGCTGAGAAGGGGGAGACATGTCGGTGGTGGTGGATTCCGCGGAGGGAGTTGGATGGGATTGTAGATGAGGGGCCGTAGTCGAGGATTAGGGCTGCGCCTGAGGGGTTGGGTTTGGGAGGTGTCTGGGGAAGAGGAGGGGATATTCCGGATTTGGAGGAGGTGGTGGGAGTTGAGGATGGAGGGTTAGGACCCCCGATGCGTACGGCGAAGTCGGAGGCGTAGAGTGAGGCGTCGGGACATATTTCGATAAGTGCGCCTGGGGTGGATTTCAGGGCTTGGTAGCGAGGAGAGGATTCGGGGAGGTATTGTGCGTGTCGTGTTACGGATGGGCTGAGAGTTAGTTGGAATTCGGGGACGGGCTCGTGTTGTTGTGATTTCGGTGTTCGCAGGTCATCGTGTGTAGTGCCTTTGGGAGTAGGCGAGACAACCATTTCCCGCCATTGCCGTGTTGGAGAAGTGCTAGTAGTTCTGGTCGACGAATTTGGGGGTGGGGATGACGGTGGTGGCTGATTTGGTGGTACGTCAACCACCTGAAAAGCGTGGATAGGTAGTGCGTCAAAAAATTCATGGGCCACGATAAAAGGGGTTCTGTTGGGGTCCTGCGGGATGGCCTTGATACTGTCGGTCCATACAATAGGCAGCCCGGAGTATTTAGATGTACTATGCCACCCTATTTTAGACTCCGTCGTCACAGCGTCTTCACCACAGAGTAAATTCTTCTGCGTAGTTCGTAACTCTTTACTAGCTTCCACCAAATAAATGGTTTCTATGCTGGATGCCATTTCTTTGAAGTTCTTCATCGTCTATCATAGAATTAGCGGAATGTGACATTATGAGTAGAGTTTTACATGAATTTACTGACTCGCAGCATATCATCCATGAGTGTTCCCCGGCCAGGTCCAACTTCAATGAGCTCTACGCCCCTTTTCGGTCGACCTTGAGACATCCATTCTGCTACGAACCAGATACCGACAAGTTCGCCGAAGATCTGTGATATCTCTGGTGAGGTAATGAAATCGCCTTTTTGTCCAAACTGATCACGATCTTTTTCTATAGCCCCCGTGTAGTATCCGCCAATGTCCGATGTAAGGCACATGCGCATAAAGCTTGCTAGGGGAATAGGTCCAGTTGTCTATATAAAATTAGTATCAAATTTTATTACCAGATATTTTTACACTTACGTTTATAGCTTCAGTCAATTGTTTTGCTAAAGGTGTTGACCATTTTCTTTCCTCCCTGTATGCTGGTGTGGCTATGAAGCTCCTATAGCTTTGCTTTAAAATTTGTGGTTTGTGAGATCGTGGTAGACTTCTCAGCCCACTCTGGGCTGTCTTTAGCACAATTTGTCTCATTTTAAAGACCATGGAAGAACAAATATTATCGACCCATCATGAATTTACAAATGTCTAATTTGTATAAAACCATTAATAGTACAAAATGTCGATAGTTAGATTGAGTTCTAAGCTGTCTTCTCAATTGAGATAAAGCATCGGAGCTTTAAATTTTAGTCCCGATCTATCCCCCGAACATCAAAATTACGTAGCTGCAACCCTCCACCGTAGTAGTTGCTTCCTGTATTTACAACTAACAATAATTAAGAAACCGACGATTAAACCTTGGACTCTATCAATTTCAATCACCCAAACGATTCTCTTCTTCCTCATTTTACTACTTTGGATATATAAAAGCATGACGCCCTAAACAGAGCTGCCCGCCTCCCATACATAGCCGCCTAGCTCTCACCTCCCAATCATCTCAACAACAAAACCCCCATGGCGAGCAAATCGCGATGGGCCGACACGGCCGAAGACGCCGCCCTCGAAGCCAAACTCAAGCACGAAAAAGAAGAAAAGAAACGCATAAAAGCCGAAAAAGCACGTAAAGCAGAACAGGAGCGACTCGAAGCCGAAGCAACGAAACGACAAGCCTTACAAGACCAACAACAACAGCAACAAGACGACCGACCACCTGCCAAGCGACGGAAAGTAACACCTGAACCAGAAAACGAGAATAGTATTAAGCTGTTGCGCTTTGAGGGAGGAACTTGGAGCAAGTCGCGCAGTGTCGAGAATTATGATAAACTGAATGATATTGAGGAGGGTGCGTACGGGTGGGTAGCGCGTGCGAAGGAGATAAAAACGGGGAAAGTAGTCGCGTTGAAGCGTCTTAAGATCGATCCGACCGACACCGCAGGACTACCCGAGACAGGCCTACGAGAAATACAAATCCTAAAAGATTGCTCGCATCGCAATGTAGTCGAGCTGCGGGAGGTGGTAGTCGGGGACGATACATCGCGCATTGAGAACGTGTTTCTAGTCCTCGAATTCTTGGAACACGATCTCATGTCCGTACTTAGCGATATGCCGGAACCGTTCCTGGCTTCGGAAGTTAAGACTTTGTTGCTGCAGCTCGCGAGCGGTGTTGAGTATTTACATGATCGCTGGATATTGCATCGGGACTTGAAGACCTCAAATTTACTCCTGAATAACCGCGGCCAGCTTAAGATTGCGGATTTTGGCATGGCGCGTTATGTTGGGGACCCCCCGCCCGCGAAACTTACCCAACTCGTTGTTACATTATGGTACCGCGCCCCTGAACTATTACTAGGCACAAAGACATACGACTCCGCTGTTGATATGTGGAGTGTGGGATGCATATTTGGCGAACTACTAGCGCGCGAGCCGCTACTACAAGGCAAAAACGAAGTCGACGAACTTGCGAAAATCTTCGAGCTTTGCGGCATACCCACCGACGAGTCCTGGCCTGGCTTCCGTCGCCTGCCTAATGCCCGGCACCTTCGTTTACCTAAAACTGGTACTAACACCGGCCCTATCATCCGTGCCCGGTTTCCAATGTTAACGACGGCTGGGTGCGCATTACTTAGTAGTCTACTATCATTAGATCCAGACAGACGCCCCACAGCAAAGGAAATGCTACAGCATGGGTTCTTCCGGCAAGATCCTAAGCCCAAGCACGAAGCTATGTTCCCGACATTCCCTAGTAAAGCTGGCCAGGAGCGAAGACGCAGAAGGTCGACACCAAATGCTCCTGGAAGGGGGCAAAAGGCGGCAGATCTGGGTAATGTGGATTTCAGCGGAATATTCGCGTCAAGAGAAAAGGAAGAACGGGGCGCCGGGTTCTCCTTGAGGATGGTATAAATATTGGCATATCCAGATCAAATAAAATAAGCACCACGATAAACACTATTGGTTTATAAGCAAGCGTGAAGTTATCTTTGAACCTGACTAGGCGTGTTATTGTGTCATTAAGAGCTATATAGATGGTGACGATAGATAAAAACAACCCTTTCCGATGCCATAAATATTCTAAATAATAAATGTCACCATTTTCGATCCGTCGCCAGAAAGATTTCCACCCTTCCCCTATCGGCCCTTGCAATTGCAATAGATCTCGTATCAAAAAACGCCAGTGCATGATGTATTGTCCTGATTTGAAATTCCCAGATTATACCGTTGTGTTTATAAATGTCTGCATTAAGATGTGATGCTGTATCTCGCGCGTATCTCTCAAATATGTGCAATCAGAAATTAACCGTCTCCTCGTCCAATTTTTCACTTCACGTTAGAAATGTGGTGGGATTGTAGACTACAGTAATGCAGCGAATCCCGTCACGTACCACGTGAAACTGAGGATGGTGATGATGCTCATCGAGACAGCGAATCCTATGGCTTGGCGCTCGGCATCTCCTAATGCACCGCTGCAGGTTGCACACTTCCACTCGCCGAGGTCTTGGTACGGCCTGGAGGTGTACAGACCGAATTGGAGACCGTCGAATGGTGCGAGGTAACCGGCTTCGGCGGTCGCATCGGCGGAAGAGTCCGAGTCGTGGATCAATAATGTGTATTGAGCAACTAACAACGGGCTGGCAATTGCACTTTCGGAGTACTTTTCGGTATCCCAAGTGAAAGTAGCAGTTGGCTCGAATGTCATGTTCTGAGTCAGTGTCCATGTTGCGGAGGCCGTGGAGCATGATACTAGGACATCGATAGCGGTCGGGGTTCCTTGTAGGGAAGTGTAGTTCCAAACCCAGGTAATCGGGGTCGGGTCTCCGATTCGGTAGAGCGTTGTTCCCGCAGTGGTGGCGGGTGTGATCATAGCGACACCACCGGCGCCATCTTGCGGGTCAAACGTTGAATGTGTGGCTTTAGACGTGCTATTACCCGTACCCGTAGCCGTGTTCTGACCAGCTTTGTTGGTTGGTGTGCCTGAGGCCGTGTTAAGGTTGGTCTGAGCGTTGTCAGAACTGCTGGTTTTATCGTCCGTCGAACTCTCCGTCTTCTTAGGGTCGCTGCTAGATTTCGTTGGCGTGGCATCGGCTGCTTTTAACGTTGTCAGCACTTATTTTCTAACTTCAATCTCATCTTCAAAAATACATACATGATGATGAGCTATCATCTTGCCGTACTACCAGCGAATCTACATCCGGTAGCCAACCCGGCCATGCTGATACCAGAGGGTTTAAAGCGAGGGCAACGGTCAATATTTGACCAATACTCCGTGCTCCCTTCATTTTGGTGTCTTAAAATGATGGAATGTGAATGAATAGAAGATGGGTGGGTGTGACAGTCGTTTGACTCCTTGCAGACGATTACAGGGGACAAAACGCCACAAACAAGTAAACACACTCGAAACCCCGACGACGATAATTCCTTCGACTCTTTCGAACCGGTTTTAGTCGTTTACGTTGTTGTTTGTTGACCGATTCTCGTTACGATCTCGTGTGTTCAACCTGCTACTTTTCTTCCTCCCGTTGTTGATGCGACGTGTGTGGGTTGCCGAGAAAAAGCAACAAAAGACCAAATCAATGCAATAGATCAAACAATTCGGACTTCCCCCAATTGAGTAGTAGGTGGAACTGTCTATTACTTTTTAATTACCAAGCGAGTGTTATGAATAAACAGGCAGATAGCCAGTTATTAAAGCGAATGACAATATTAAAACGATGAGAACGGTTTATCAATTCATCGAGGGAGGATTGATGATGATGAGGGTTGAGGAAAAAAGAAGGGGGAAGGGATGAAAGAGTGTGGTAGTGGTAGGTACGAGGAAAATAATAGGTAGCTAGACCACAACCATCGCTGGCTTGCTTACAATAAACAGGGGTTATTCGACATTTTTCCCAGCTAATGCCTTTGGAGTAGAAGATTCGATTGGCCAGGGCCGAACCATGAACACGAAGTGTTGGCAGCGGCGGTAGGCACCGTAACACGGGACGCTGTTCCATAATGGGTTTAGGGGGCTCGGCAGGTGCGGTAATCGGGTTACATTTTCAATGCCTGCAGAGTGTAATGGGTACATGGTTGCCAGCGAGATCTGCTATAATAATTGGTGTAGAAGCAAAGTACCCGGGAAATCCAGCTGGGCTAGAACCTGAAATCCGAACAATGATTACCACTGTAATAGCCAAATCGAGTACTTATGATATACCCCAGTTGCCTTGGAATCTGACAGCATCATTTTTCTTTTAATTGCAGATCGTAGACGGTGACGTTTAAGTTATTTATTCTGTTTATTCGAAATTGTAGCATTTAAAATACTTGATGCATTTCGTACATTTAACACCATTTCAGAATTAATTATGGTATGCCACCATCATGTCTAACGCCCGTCACGTTTAGTTGGGATGGGTACAAAAGATCGGGTGACATGCACCTCTCCAGCGCCATACGAGGACCCACTACAAAACGTTAGTTGCTTTTTCTAACTCCCCAACCTAAAAATAGGCCGGTTTTCTCTCTTCAAATACCCGCGACAGAAAAGACTTCGCAAAAACATCATATAGGTTTACGACTGACTGACTGACTCAGATTGTGTCTTTCTCTTTACTTTTATACATAATCCCAGCCAGAGCGAACCATCCACTCATCGATTTCTTTCTCTATTTCTAACTGGGAATACAAGAATTAAGTACTCGGTCGACAATCATTCGTGCCGCCTTACGAAATACCTATATGCTGAACTTTGATCCAACATCTTCGCCGAAACATACATCAATGTTCAAGCAAAGCAATGCGGACGCAAGGCGAAAGTATTATAGTAACCAACCAATCTTATTTCGAATTCTGTTATGCTCTAGGAATGGATTTTGATGTCTCGAGTGAGCTAAATCCATGTCTAACTCTGATTCATTCAGCCTCAACATTCAGTGCTTAGGGGCGCTAGAGTTTACCTACCAACTCTCCGCCTATAGTGGATTTAGGGGAGCACTAACCGTAATCCCACCAGCCTAACTAGAGCTATCAGAACAATCCTCCCCCATATGTCAAAAGAAATGGTCAAGACATCAACGCAGAATTTGATCCTATCTTACGACACTGTGATAATACTCAAACTATTTATATTCAATTCGTAAGAACCATTCCGTATAGAAGAGTATATGAAGCGGGTAAGTAACAAATCTTTACATACCTAATCGCAAGTCGCTAATGGCCTAGGCCATCAGCTGAACATGGAACACCTGACAATCCCGATCTTAGATACAATGCAGGCTCCTGATACTGCTCGCCTAAGCCCCCGTATCAAACGACCTACTGCCTCTACGATAAACCATTTGGTATATTGGTATGTCCCGTTGATTAATCCACTTAGAGTTGCGTAGTTGATGAGTCAATGAGGCATTGAATTCCCTACATATCAAAAGGCATAGGTCGTTTAACGCCGCTAGCCTATTTCAATGATAAGATTGCATTCCATGAGAGGAGGTGATCCGTGTTGGATTTAGATCGGGAAAGGAAAACATCTATAAAATAAAACTATTCAAATGTTCACATATCACTAATTAACAGGGATTCATACATTCGATTCTCGTCCTATTTCGACTATTTAACCCCAAGAAAAGTTCTCGTAAAGTGGTGCAATAAGACGTACCTTGACATGCGACGGAAGAGAACGGTTGTTCATATTCATAAAGATCCTGATCATGTCGATCCAAATTATCCCTTTGGTTTTTTACGGTGACACTGTTATGCGAGGATTAGTTTGGTTCTTAGAGCTGACTACTGAGGTTTGATTGCTTGCTAATCCAACGGTTATCATATATGTTGGCTTCTTGATGTTTCTTTATTGTAATTCCTGGCGGGTTCATGGCAGCATATTTGTATGGGTTTTCATTTAAAGGGCGGAGTCGTGGAGTTACTGATACCCCGATCCAAATTGTGTTTTGATTGTCGGAGTGTATAGTTGTTTTCTGTGTGATAGCTTCGAGGCCACATTAGTCAATCAATTCTTCACTAGGTAGCTTTCTTATAATTGATGAAATTGCCTAAGATGCAGCTAGTGTATACTCCAATTCTTGTGAGGGTTCACATGTCATTCATCCCTTTCGCCATGTGTGTATTGTTATTGGGCTTAATAATCCTTGTAGACCCCCTTGTTCCTGACCCCCCACGCTAGACCCGACGCCGTGGTACCAGATCTCGCTTAAAGCTTCCGATCTGTAATCTATATTTGGAACATGGAACAAGTGGTTTTAGTTGCAGACTCGACTACTTTAAACAATTGCCTTGACATATTATTGATTTCCTAATTTATATGAAATGATTAATGTAATCTATATTATATATACAAAAGAGCTGCAATTTTGTTCATGATTAATATAGGATGTTGCTCATGAACCGAAAGGTATGGGTGGACAGGTGTTATTATCCGAAACGAGTTTTGGTGGTATCATCCATTTATTCATACGGTATCTGGGTACTCCTGTCAATTGTAATGACAATTTGGCTCCTACGTGGGGAGTAGCGCTTCAACAACACACTGTTCGGAATTGGATGGCGAAAACATGCTCTTTACATCAGCCTTGCTCAAGTGTTAATATGGAATAAGATCATGGTCATTGGTGCCACCTTAATTACATATATAAGAACGCATCATTTCTACATGTATGCGTCTGTGCCTGATTATGATAGTTTTTAAAAGTATATATTTGATAACTAATCCTAACTCTATCCATTCTTTGCAACCTTGACTTGCATGACGAAGTCGAATTATTAGTTTTACACAGCACATATATATAACCAGTAAATTTTTGCAGCTTGTTCGCAAGTCAGACAAAATTACAATCATTACAGCGTGGAAAAGGGAATGCTCTGGATGCGCCACAATACACATATGAGTAAAGTACTGGCGTGTACATGAGTACGTACCTAGATACTTTACACGGCTTGGCGGCACCCACAAGCAATCAGCACAGGCCACGTTCTACAATTGAATCTGCAAGCTTATCAGCCACGACGCCTCGTTCTGGTCCTTATACGGTATAGGTCTTTTTAGATTCCCCACATCGGCAGATCCCACCTACCTGTCAGCTCTTTTGCTTCTCGTTCATTCCGAGCGAGCAACTCAAAAACGTTGGAACGATTCCGCGAAAGTAACCAAAATACCACATTCATCACTCATCCATCACGTAAATTGAAGCCGATCTCGCGTACAATACAACGATCGATCACTACCCTTTCACTTTATCAATATTAACTCTTTTAATACACCACTACTACCACACACTGTTTTTCTTCTTTTTCTTTCTCATCTTCCATTTGAACGTTCCCACCAGCGCGACCCCTCACTCGTCCGTCACCTGTCGCGCGGCGCCGTACCTGGTCGGGTCGACTTTCTAGTCCAACACAACCATCTACCACTCCAATAGTGGTCATGCAAGAAGGTCGAGTTCAATATGACACAAGACAAGATGAAGCTAGAAGATTGTAAGTACTTTTTCTTTTTTTTCTTCCAAAATGAATTGCCTAGCTCTAATGCGACCGTGGTGGAATTGGGCGCGAGGCTGGGCCTCATCGTGACGTGATCAGACCTAACGATCTTTGGCAGGGCTGGACGATCTATGTGTGCGATTCATCATAAACCTCCCACGTGAGGACCTCTCTTCCGTCGCACGCATATGCTTCCAGATTGAAGAAGCACAATGGTTCTACGAAGATTTCATACGACCCCTGGATCCCTCCCTACCTTCCATGTCGCTTCGAACCTTCAGCCTTAAGATGTTCCAACATTGTCCCCTCCTCGCATCCTTTTCGACCGAAAGCCATATAAAAGCCTTTGAAGAGTTCCTACAGTACAAAACAAGAGTCCCTGTCAGAGGGGCAATTATGCTCAATGATGCCATGGATGCTGCTGTTCTTGTACGAGGATATAGGAAAGGATCGAGGTGGAGTTTCCCGCGCGGTAAGATCAATAAGGACGAAGATGATCTAGACTGCGCCATTCGTGAGGTTTATGAAGAGACGGGATATGATCTCCGAGTCGCCGGCTTGGTTGACAAGAATGAGCCGGTCTACCCGCTCGAAGTCACTATGCATGACCAGCAGGTAAGGCTCTACGTGTTCCGCGGCGTACCGGAGGATACCGTCTTTGAGACCCGAACGAGGAAGGAAATCGGAGGAATCAAGTGGTACAAAGTGGAGGAATTACCGGCCTATCGCAAGAAGAGGGGTGCCGGGAAAGCTCATAGAGCTACTAGTCCTACTCATGAGAAGTTCTATATGGTTGCTCCCTTCATGGTTCAGCTACGTCAATGGGTGCTGAAGCAAAGGAAAGCCGACCAGAGCAGAATTGGTGATTCTACCATCCATCATCATCCTCAACCCTTGTACGACGATCAAACCGATGACAATGTCGCACCGGAGCCGTACAACGCGACGCCAGGCCTAGAAGCTCGCCCCGAATTTATGGACAGCGCAACTAAGGAATTGCAACGATTGCTAAAGATCAAGCCCCCTACGCAAGGACTACAAATCCTATCTCCAAGTGCGGACCAGCATACGGGGCAGACTCTTTTGTCTCTTCTGCAGCCCAAATTCGAGAGCGACGAACAGGTGCCTGGACAACCCCAAGCGGCTGTTCCCGAGGCCCCATTGGATCATATACCAACGGGGGTTCCTACGGCACAAACCCAGCGTCAACGAGTGCCTGTTCCTACATACGGAGCACCACCCCAGTTCCCACTTCAAGGGAACCCGAATGCAGGTTACGCGCCGCAGCATCGAGCTCGGCCGTTTGTGAATGTCACAACCGAAGTTCCTCATCCACCAACCTATGCGGAACAACCCCATCTGTTCCAGAACCAGCCTGTGCAACTAGTACACCCACAGCCATTGCCACCTCAGGTTCGGAAGGCAGTACTCCTACGTGGGATGGTTGCTTCACCACAAACGGGAGAGCCTCCTGCCGCTCGCTCAGAACCCTCCGGCCCAGCACAAGAAAACCAAATTGGTTTCCAAAATCAGCAGCCATACCATCATCATGCGCATGTTGCTCAGACCGAGAAGCAAATGCACCCTCAGCCGAATACGCATCCGGCGAACCTGTTGAATATTCTTAGGGGGAATTCAGCACAAAGGGATGCAAACCAACGTCTCGGACCGGAATCACCCGGTCAAGTTTTGGGCATACCAGCTGAGCACCAACAACACCAACAACACCAACAACACCAGCAGCATCATCATCATCATCAAGTCCCTGTTCCAGATCATGGGTTTGCTAGCCAGTATGGTGCTTCGGTCATGCCTTCAACATTTAACAATATCCCAGTGAATAGTAATCACGGAGCTGCTGCCTCAAGCTCAAACCAGCGGCCTGTACGCCCCACCGACAAGCATCGCGCGGGCCTGCTCGATATCTTCAAGAAGACCGACCCGGCGGTCTCCCAAGTCCAAGTCGACGGGCAAGGCGGAAGTCGACGTTCTTCCCAGTTAAGTGAAGTTGACAAAAAGCAATGGCCTAGTCGATCCCCTACGGTTGCTAGTACTTTACGAAATGCAGCTCAGGAGAATGGTCGCCCTATACAGATGAACCCGGAGACGAACCTTCCGTACCGGGCGCTTACTATACTGGCTCGTCCCCAACCTGGCAAGTCGCCGAGTGAGAATGCATCTGTTTCGGCTCGAAGCGCGGCGGATATAGCTCGTTACGGTAGTGTCGGATCGCAGCCTAGTCCTCGCGCTTCGTTCAATGGGGCTTCTCCTGCTGGTGCCAATGCGTCGCCATTGCCTCATCATATGTTACTGCAGAAGGCTCAACAATTGAATCAATTGTCAGCCAAAACTTACGCAGCCCAGTCGCAACCCTCCCATTCTTATCCTTATGGTGCTGCCCAAGGTGCTCAACCTAATCAACTGAACCCGTTATCGATGTTCCCTAATCCCCCGTCCGCGTCCTCGCTACCGATTCCTGGTGGTGCCCAATTCAGACAGGATGCGAGTGCTGAACAGAAGAACACACTTCTTTCGCTCTTCGGAAAATCAAAAGCGAATGTCGAACAAACCAAGGGTAAGGGGATTGCTACGGGCGAGCAGTATGGGCATGGACCTGCTCCCGGAGTTGGCCTTGGGCCGCGATCTCGGTTGGGCTCAGTGGCCTCTAGTGGAGGCGTAGGAGAGATTCCGGGATCGCTCCCGGCTACTTCGAGACGTGGGAGTTATTCTCCCATGTCTCCGGAAGATAGGGATTTCTTGTTGAACTTCCTTGAGAATGCGTCTATCAGTGCGAGGCGTTAAGGCGTTAGGGGTTTGTGGTATTCCTTTTTTCATTATTCGGAGATGTTCATAAACTAGGGGGTCATGGGGCGGTTTTTACAGTTATATGAACACATCTCGGTGTAAAAGGGAAAGGGGGGCCTTAATCTTGGGGAGAGGTCTTCGTGGAATACAAGGGGATGGCATAATAGGTAAAAGAAGGGTTGACCTAGTTGTTATTGTTGTTCGGTTCGGCTGGCGATAGTTAACTAGTAGTATACCCCTCTTGGTTGGTGCTGGTTCTCATGTAGGGGAGCGCTTTTCGCATCAAATCAAATCAATCAATCAATCATAATGGTATTAAATCCTTCGGGTTAAGTTGCTAGGGTTTGTTTATTGTTGTGGTGATGGATGTGGTATCTATGGTGACTCATGAGTGCTATACGTTGTTCTGGGTAGCCCCGACTAGAACTTGGCTGTGGTAACCAGGGGGTTATTAGCTATAATTTTAGTCTTATACCTATTCCACCTATCCATTATGAAATTTGTCTATATAGTATCGTTTATACGCTTTTTATAGAGGTATACCTCGGTACTTGGTGATTTGTTTACGGAGGTGTAAGTGCTAGCAACGGTAGGCAGGTACGACGTGCATACGTTAGCGGACGTTGAAACAGGGATTAGGCAGGTAAGGGGAGTTTAGGTATCTCCCGAGTGCCCCACCAACGGTACCTAGCCCATCCAGTCATAGGTACATGCACAGTGACCTTAGGTACATCCCTCATACATCATCATAACCAGAACGCGTGCTTCGTGTCCTCCTCTCCCACGATAAACATCTTTTAAGCAAACATTTATTTTAATTCGATTTTTTACTTAAGGAAATTTAGCTTCTGCGGGGTGATCGATCACGATACAACGAGTTGCATCCCCTAAGAGTGCTGTCGATCTTTCAATATGGCGCGGTTAGCTCAGGCGCCCATCACACCTAGACGTGCTATATCCAACCCGGATTCGCTACCGGATCTTAACCGTCTGCTTGATCGCTTGCAAGAGAATATCCTCCACGCTGATGCGGAACGGGAGAGACGACTACGTACTAGTGAATATGAGCGTAGTAAAGCTAGAGTCGTACGTACTTCTCCCTTTCACTTATCATAATAACTAGGCAAAGAAAAGACTGAAACACTAACTTATAGAACCCCTCATAGAATATCGACTACGCCCGATCACTCCTCACGAGGTTAGAACAAGATGCGCTGGCTATCAAGGTGCACTCGCGCCGGCAGGAGGTACAAGCCGATTTAAACCAGAAGCGGGATCTTCTCGAGCAGGTCACGGAACGGTTCCGCGAGTTGGAGGAAATTAGTGTGGATAGTGATGAGGATAGTTCTGAAGGAGAGGATCTGTTGGGTGATATTATTGATACACCGAGCGAGAGCGTTGAGTCGGCTGAAGCAGCAGACCAGCGGGAGGTAGATTATGACGATACTAGGGATGAGGTGGAAGAAGAGCGACAAGAGGCAGAAGTAGAAGCAGACGAGTCGACCGTTATCCCCGAGCCGCAAACAACCGCACCGTCTTCACAACCAGCACCCCCGACTACAACAACAAACCCACCCCAACCGACAGCCCCAGGCACAAGTACATCACAAACCCTCCGCCCACGCGGAGCCGCCTCCCAACAACCCCCTACAACCGACAAAGCCGAAACCACAGCCCTCCGCACACAACTCTTCGGCGACCGCACCACATCTTCCCCCTCCCTAACAACCACCAACCCCAACGCAACCGCAACCGCAACCACAGAAGCAATAATCGACCACCAACGCGCGGAACAAGATAAACTCACCGAGTCCATGGTATCGATGGCGCGCGCTTTAAAGCAATCCTCACAACGCTTTGCTACATCACTACAAGAAGACCAGGATGTGTTGCAAGCCGCGGGACGTGGATTGGATCGAAATGAGCGTGGATTGGGTGCTGTGGCTGGACGGATGGGTGTGTTGAAGCGCGCTACGGAAGGGAAGGGGTGGTGGGGAAGGGTGTTGCTGTATGTGTGGATTGCGGGGTTGGCCGTGCTGGCGGTGTTGGTTGTATTTGTTTTTCCTAAGTTGAGATTTTAGGAATGATGGTAGTGAAAAGAGGTTGTGTGTTTCGTTGTTGAGATATACCAAAATTGAGGGAGTGAAACAAGGGAAAGACGAGTTCATGATATCACGAAATCCGTTCTCGATGCATTTACACAGCCAGGCGATCTGGACGGACGGACGGATGGATGGAGAAAGGGGGAATGGTTGTTAGGCGTTAAGCTAGATACTCCCTTGTATAGGAAACTCAGAATCGCATTATAAGCGCCCCCTTTTGATTAAGGGCTAAAATAAGAGTTGAGTGGTATCTAACTAAATCAGCGCAATGAAATGGGCAATAGGGTATTCATAAAGGCCCCAGGACTCAAGGGCCACCATAGATCAGAGCCCAGATGTTCCAACCCAGACACATTTATCAAATCATCCTTCCTAATCCAGAATTACTCCTTGAATTCCTCCCTCGTCCTTCTCTGGGTTGAAGATAGCGTCTACGAATGGGCGGATCTCTTTCTGGCGGAGTTCTAGCTCGGCACTAACGAGCTTCTCGAGATTGTCGGCCTCCTCTTTCTTAAGCTCTCCCTTAGTCTTCGGCTTCCGTTCGTGGTCGTCTTCTATGACTATCGGGATATTACGGGCTGCTCCGGGACCATTGAGGGGAGTGTCCTTGGTAACCGTGTTCTTCAGGCGCTTGTGGTCACGGGTTAGGGAAGAGGCATCTCCATTGTCTAGACGCTGTCGCTTCTCCTTTCCAGTTTGTTGGATGATGTCTTCGATGAGAAGCTTACGCTTAGGACTTGCAGTTAGGTCGATTACCTCGGTGGGTTGGACCTGTGGCTTCTTGTTTGATTGAGGCTCCGCGGGAAGGTCCGGACCTGTGCTAGTATCAAGAGTGGGGATGGTCTTGTCTTGAGGCGATGGGTTGGCGATGATGCCTACCGGCTTTCCACCGGTCTATGAGCATCATTAATACGCCTGAAACATCGGCATGGAATACTAAAGTAATATTGGACTTACGGGAGGTTGGTATTGGAACTTTCCCTCAAGCACAGTACCCGCTTTAGCAATACGATCATCCCAGTGCAAACCAGTCTTCTGGCGGAAGAATTCCTTGAACTCGGCGAACTCGCGCGAGAAGCGCTTCGCAGTCTGACTAGGGCGATAAATGCCTGGGTGGCTGTCGCGCGGCTTCTTGTAGAATTTGGCCGCGAAGTGATAGAGGTGCGGTTTCGCGTTGGATTCGAAAAGCTGTTTACAGGTATTACTATCCCAGCTCAAACAGAGTGCTGATAAAATGCGGGAAGGGGCGGGTAGGCACTTACATAAAGCACATATCTCTCGACATGTTCCTCACCCTGGCGGGTCAAGAGGACTTCGTAAGAGAAGTAAGTCGAGTCTCGATAGATATGGTTGGTAGCTTATACTATTATCAGCTTTCGTCTTTCTCATCGTTCTGTCCACGGATAATATTTTGAATAATGTGACTTACTAGTATTGACGAAATCCACTGCCTTTTCCATGGCCTTCTGTGCCTTCTCTTCGCGTCGCTTCTTAGCGTTTGCCTTCTTCTCGTCTTCCTTGAGCGAGTACGGTGTCTCCTTCACTATTTTGATGTGTTAGTACGAGAAAGTTTGTCTTTTTACGTCAAAACGTAGAAACTGTCTATAATTGCAAGTATATCTCCTCATAAGGGTTGAACCATCTAGCAAAATAATGCCCAAACGAAGCACAACAAAATAGTAAAAATATACTTACGGTGTCGCTTCTTGGTAAGGCAGTCCTCGAACCAGTCCTTAGTAACAATGTGCGTCTTCTTGTACTGCAGTGCTGCCTTAACAGCAGAAACCCTATCCTTGAATTGCTTAGGGGTGGCGAGGAGATGCGTCACATCGGCATCCACGATGTTGGAATAGGTGGCGCCGTTGTATGAGCACCAACGCTCGACACTCTCGGAGCTCCACTCATCGCCAAGGTGGCCGGCGATGGCTACGGTGCAGTTTTTGAGGGTTGTTACCGCTTTTTCACCTTTACGAGGCGCCATCGTGGTTGAAGTTGGGGATCTAGAGAAAGGGAGATGTTTAGTGTTAAATATGATATTTGAGGTTGGGTGATGGTCCTGTCACGGATAGAAGAGATGTTTTGAGGTAGGATAAGGAGGTAGCTCACTCGGATATGGAAACTGGTTCCTTTCTCACCCCGAGGCCATTCACTGTTTCCGGTGAAGGAGTGTAAATAAGGGAAAGAACGTTCCCCATCTTTGGATCCTTATCACTGGGGAGGTTGCTACCCTGAATAGCTCGAATATACACCGGGAGGCAGCAACGTGAGTGGTGAAGATACCACAAGTAGACGTGCTTTCCGATAGAACCCCGTAATTTCCAAATAAAGAACAAATCACCCCAATTACTCGCTTTTTTTTGGCAATTTCCTATCGTTTCAAAGAGAGTAAGTCTGACTTGGTTGTCTTCGAGGACTAAACACGGGCACCTGCCCTCCAAATCCACACTCAAACTCGATAAATATTTGCCAACGACGAATTGAACATAACTTAATTGACCAAAAATTAGCATTACGACATAAGTGTATGGCATAACAAAACTTACGCAGCAATGGAATAACAAGACCTCTGGACCTGCGCTAAACTTGGAAATATAACTCATCAATAATCAATCCACGACCATCACAAGGCACTCATAAAACCACATAATCTAGAAATCAAGCTTCTTATTCTCATGGGTATCATTAAAAGCACGTTTCACCTCATAAAATTTTCCCTCCCTATATCCTTCCGCTTCACAATCGCTTCCCCTAACGCCGCTTAGATCACCAATCTTCCTCCCAGACACCTCAATCTTCACTAACGATATTCTCTACGTCCAATCCGTATGCGGAGATCGATATACCATTCCCCTCCCTAGAAGAACGTACTCTTTTTCTTCTGCGGCTTGCCACTATCCGCACTTCCCACCCTCCTACGCCCTGAGCTCGGACCCGCTTGTCCCTGTCCATAGCCATACCCGTATCCGGGTGAGCCTGGCGAGCTCCCCACACCGTGGAACCACCCGCCAAAACCACTACCACCATGGGGTCTGGGTTCAGCACTTAACGGTCTGGGAGGCGGGATGGGAACGTTCAATTGCGGTATGCTTTGCTGCTGGCGTGGGGGAAGGTTAGGTTTAGGTCCGAAGTCCTGCCCTTGCATACCGAACTCCTTGCGCAAGCGTTCCGTCTCCTTGGCGACTTCGATATCTCGGCGCTTGCGTTCTTTTTCCTCTTCTTCGAGCATCTTCTTAATGCGCCTTTGTTCCGCACGGTCTCGTTTGTCGCGCTCGCGCTCTTCTTGTTGGACTAGCGCTTGTAGACGCTTTGTCTCTGCGTCGAGGGGAGGGGTAGGTTGTTGCGTAATGGGTGATGTGGTCTTCGCAGGAGGTACGTTTCCCATCGCACTAGTCATGTAGTGCGTTGGAGAAGTGGACGTGGTGGGAGTTGGTCGCGAGTTCTTGCGTTTATTAGGTACGCCGGCAATGTTGAAAGAGTCGCGACTAGGGAAGAGGTAGATTTCGCGAATAACCTCGGCACTGAGTAGGAGCACAACCTCAAGACCCTTGCGATCCTCTAAATCTACCCTTTGTAGGTTTGGCTCGTAGATTGTGACACTGGGTTCCTTGCCGCTCTTATATAACGCTATGGTGATATCTGGGTCCTTGCTCTTCTTGCCTCCTACTGATGTACCGGTCATATAACACGTCATGTCTTTCGAAAACTTGCTGTCTCGCTTCCATTTAAACATGATCTTAGGCGTCAAACTACTTGCGACAGGGTCGCTTTGTTGTCGATCGAGTTTAGACATCGATGGCATTCGGAAGCTTTGCTGCGGCATTTCGAATTCCCATGATTCCTTCCCTGTCCATGTGCTCTTCTCGGCCTTCACTGGTACTTGTTGTTCGGGGTTGTAGAGTTGTATTGTGAAACCGTCGGGTATTATAGGCACAGGTGGAAGCGGGGCACCGTTCTGTTGTCTGACCTCGGCGGCAGAAAGGGAGGGTTGTTGTAGTTCGGGTTCGATTAAGACCTCTGCGAATATGACGTCCTGAACGCCAGCGTCTCCTAAGGCCACGGCATATTTGTTCTTTGACTGGGGTAAGTCCGGATCGATTTTTTGAAGCGAGTATTCAGCTGCGGCTTCGGAGCCATTTTGTGTGAAGTATATGAGGTTTAAGAGAGGATTGTTAGACGTATGTCTAAAGTAAAACGTCGGTAGATTTTCGTCGAGCATCTTGAATTCGTTAAGAAGTTGTTCGTAGTTGGTATTCATAAATGTTCAAAGGCGACTCTCTCGGAGGTAGGTACAAAAGGGTAAATCGCCAAGAGTCGCCCGCTTTCAAGTTGAATGATGTATGATGTATGCAGGTATGCTCAGGTGAGAGAAAAACTAAGGAAGAAAATCAAAATCTAAATATTGTCTCGAAGTAGATCGCAGCTGACATAAACCAGAATGCGTAAGGTTGGGAAGTAGCAGGTGGGTAGGGCCAGGGGGTGACGAACCAAGAGCTAGGCGCGGGATCTACACGGTGTGCATGGCGTCGATATCGAGGCTGAGCTACTAAAATAATGGACGCATTCCAAGGTTTAATTGTAAGACCCAAAAAGGCCAAGATGATGATGTACGCACGTAGTTGTTTTCAAATTAATGCGAATCTATTGGACGAAGAAACAAACAAACAGAAATAAAAAAGTACTCAATGCTAAATCCTACACCGTATGTGGATATATACAAAAGACTCGGGGAAGTTGAGATGGGATGAAGACTAAAAGGTTTAATTATCGCGAAACAAATGGCAAGTCCATCTCATTGTCGTCATGTGCTTTTTTTGTTTGCAGTTCGCGCGACTTCCTAGTGGACCTTAGCATCACACCAGCGGACCAGGCACCCACTATTCGGTAACTTACAGGGGACTATCCCGCTGTTCGGTAGTGGGGCTACCCGGATGAAGGAACGGGTAAAGGAATACCGAGCCACAGGGCTTGTAGGCTGTGTGACTCTCAGCTCAGACACAGCCAATCCAACCGCTTTCCGCTGATTATTAACACAATCTCGGAAACTCAACTCAGCCAACTCAGCTTCAACATAATCAACGCGCGTCTGCTCATCACTTAATTTGATCTTCATCACCATACATGGTAGTTCAAGACCAACAACGCACTTGTAGAAAATCAATGAATTTTTAATGGTTTGTCAAGTAATGGAAACAATACCAACACATTCACTCCACAAGAAATCATCCATCATATCCACAGAAAAAAAGAATAAGTCGGTCAAACTCACATAATGCTTCCACAGTTGCGAGGCGTCGAGATTCTATAAGCCTCATGTTGCGAGTTTGTCATGTAAGACAAAAAAAAACTAGGCTTAGACTAAGCTGATGAGAACATCCTTTACCAACCATAAAAAATCCACCTCGCTTATATAATTCGTTCAGCAACTCAAAAGAGGCATTCGGCGTATGAATAGACTGAAATAAATCAGGTTTAGTCTATATAATACTTAATCGTTATCATCTACTTCTCTATATCGATCATTCGTATGGCAATGAATATCCTCTCCCTCCTTGTCCTCCTAAAATGAAAATATAGGTATAGATGCTGAAAACTTTGATCTCCCAACGCCAAACAAGATGTGAATTTCCCTCGTACAAGACACCAGATGAACGAGGAATACATCGTTGGGTCAGCGACGCTAGTACAAGCGTGGTTTGAAATACATATAAGAGACTGCTGTGTACAGTACAGAGTGAAATACCGCCTTAAACGCGGTATGGTCATCCTCCCTTGAGGATACTGCTGTACCAGAACAATTCTCTGAACAGATGATTTGAATAAGAATCCATATACCAGGACTGTATTTTTTGTAAGATAAGTAAAGGAAGTAGATTTGTTGAATAAGTTTTTTTTGACATTAGAGAACCTGATCAATCACCGGTATGTGGTTTGCTGGGTAGCACTTATTTCGCCCGGTATCGCCGGCATGACAGGAACTTCTCCCCTTTCCTTGGCCCTCGAACCAGCTCTCTTCGCCCGACCTGCTTGTTGATTGACCCAGCTAGTTATAGATCGGAACCGAGCCGGTCGATCCTCACTCGTAGTTGTATAAACCGTCTCCCTTCTATCACCTTCCCGACTCATCCACGATTCTCGCGCGGCTGGAGTATCCGGAATCTGAGGGACCGGGGGCTTCTCTACCGTCTGTGGTGGTATAATGATATCACCGTCTCCAAACCCGGATGAAATCGATGACAATTCGCTAGCTCGGTTCCCCGCTCGTTTTGGTACATTATACATTTCCGGTGGATCATGGATAACATCCGCTTCGGTATAGTATGGTTGAGACATTTGTGACCTCAAGGTCAAGTCGACATTGCTGTTGTTTACAGCGGCTCCGTTACCCGGTTGGTATTGATCAATAATGCTTGCGAGTGCCGGATTTTCGTTCATTGGTCGTTGAAGGGTTCCAGTTCCAGAAACTGAGGACGCTGAGCGGTTAAGGCTACCTGGTCCTGGTAAATACGGTTTTCCAGGACCATAGTAAGTGCCTGATTGAATAGTACCATATTCGCCCTTTTCGTAGAGAGGAGGTGCCTCATTGGCCATGTACATCGTACGGCCATCCCAGGTGCCTTCCGTTGGTTCCTTGCGTCTTCCGTAAAGCTTTCCAATAAAACCCATACCACGGCCGCCGCTGAAGCTTTGACCTTTTGATCGTTTTAAAACCCTGTAGACAATCCAGCCAATGAAGCAGAACAAGATAAAGGCGCCTTCGTTATTTACATTAGCCTTCGAATTTTAATAAGAACAACAATTACTCACCAATAGCTCCAGCAGCAATGAGGAGGTGCTCTGCCGTGGAATCTAAGCCACCTCGGGACGAGTCCTTGTCTCCGTGGTATTTATGCTTGCCCCCATCGTTATCGTTATTATCATCGTCTGCCATACTAAATTCGGGCTTCTCATATATCGACGATGTCGGAGCTGTCGCCGTCTCGATAGATGTTGGCGTGGGTATTGACTGGACACTTGTAGTAGTAAGAAATGATGGCAACGCAGTATTTACATCGCCTTCTTCCTTTTTATCGGTTGTTGGGTTGAGAACCAGTCCCGGTTTGGTGAGAGTCGCGGGCAACTATTAGTAACCAATTAGTTTATACTCCTTCACATTAAATCAACATTAGAGCATACCACAACTGGTAATGAAGGAGACGGTGCTTGCGGCACAGGAACCGTCACGATTTGTGGCTGAGATGTGACTTTGCTCGGTGGTAGCGCAGTTAAAGTGACGAAAGACCCAGAGGAACTTGCCCCAGTTGGCTGTGGCGGTGGTGGAGGAGGGGGAAGGCCTTCATCTTCCTCATCATCGCTGAAATCGCTGACACTGTCGTTGTCTTCGTCGCTCAAATCACCAAGTCCATCACTATCGTCCGAATCGTCATCGAGTTCACCAAAATTACGTGCTCCATTATCGTTGTCTCCGCGCCCGCCGGAACCACCGTCTTCATCCCGACCTCTGCTAACCAGCCTTGGCTTCAAGCCTCGCCCATCGGAAGAGTTGTCTTCGGTATTTCTATACCTCAGACTACCGTGTCGCTGAAACTTGGACCTCCGATCCATATCCTGCGACCTCTGCTTCCATGGTCGAATTTTCCGAGGTTGTCGTTTGCTGTTGGATGGCGGCATGTTATAATTTGTAAGTAATTTTCTTGTGCAAATGCTCTGCATCCAAGCACCTGTCTCGGTTTCTTCATAACATGGCCGGTAGGCAAACAGCAAAACGAACGACAATTAGTATTAAAAATCACCCAAGAAAAAAGTATTCGGCTGGGCAGACCGGGAGCGACAGGACGGAATGAAAATGAATACCAAGAACCCAAGCCTAGGGGTTGACGAATCGAAATACAAGAAGGCCCGCCTTGAGGAAAAAAAGAGAGGAAAAGAAGGACAGAAAAAATGGGAAGAAGAGCCAAGAATATTGGTGGTACGAAGTAGCGAGAGAAGAAAGTGTAGCTTCAGAAAGGCGTATCAAATTCAAGGAGAAGGTATCTTCGGAGACTTAACCCCAGCTAGTGCAACATGTCTCAGGGATGCGATGGAGGCCCCTTCAACCACCCCTGGATAGCTCAACCCCGGTCGATATGGACTCTTCCATGTGTGGGAATGGTTCTCACCCACGCTCAGGAACTGAACGGAACCTTCACTAGAAGAGGTTTAGCTTTTCAATATCACTATTGGGTAAGGCTATCGTGACGTGAAGTCCAAGTTTTGTTGATGATATTTGACATGCTACATCACTCGATGGTCGTATAAATTCGGTGGCCGCTACAGCAATAAAAGCTACCGTACCAAGGTAGCTCAGATAGAAATAGGACCATTAACGTCCAATCGTTTTAGAAACTGCAATCTGTGAACGTAAGTTGTGGGTTAATCTAGACTAATTGAATCGTGGTAGCGTCAGCTCTCTAGAGTCGACGAATTGTTTGTTGTTTGAGGCTGAACAAGAACAGCCGAGGAAAGTCAGGTGTGGCTACGTTAACGGCCATATCTCACCTATTGGCATCCAATGACGATTGATAGAGTAGTGCAGCGAAACTTCAGGCGGTTTCGCTGGTGTCATTAGGGGTAGAATTTGTCAACTGTGAGCGCTAAAAGAGACTCAAGTCGTGTTCGGGCACTGCATAGACTTGAAGTTAATGTTGTCACAAGATGGCCAGGACATCCTGTCTCAGGCAGGGATTGTTTGCGGGGAGCGCCGGGTTTCAACAAGGGTCTCGACCCACGGCACCCAACTTGATACAGATCAGCGTCTTGCCTTTCTCTCTCGTAGCGGACTGTGCTCGGCTGCTGCGAGAGTGTAGTCTTCCGAGCATGTGCAGGAATCTTGCACATTGTCACGAGATAGCTAAATGTAAGAAGAGTCTTACTATATCGCTCTTAATTGCCTTATGAGAGAATAATCCGGTCGAGATCAAATAGTCAACAATTAAAAACGTAATTATCCCTAGTGGCTCTAGGCAATTTCGTAGCGAGGATGGGATAGATGACCGGCGTTTCGAGACGAATGAGGTGGTCCCGCAACCAACGCGCGTTCGCATGCGAGGTTTTCGAGAGAAATACTCAGGTAGGTAAGGTACGTCCTTGGCAAAATACGTAGATATCTAGAATTGTTAGAGGTCTCGGCGCCAACCCGAGCCAAGTGATGACAAGCGATCGCAAGCTTTTCCTTCTCGAAAGGGATCTGGCTTAGAACTCATTCGAGGAGATGAATTTGCTGATCTTGGCTTGGAAATCGGCTGTATCCCGATCAACCTTGTCCATAGTAATGTTTATTTCTTAATAATTGATCAGATTAATTCATCGATTGGATATTATAGAATCCATATTGATACATTCAAAATAGGACACCGCCATTTCTAGGGTAATGCTTGCGAATTGTTATCTTTTCGCCAATGAAGGAAAAAGTTGAAGTGATTTGAGAGGAAGAGGGGCTTGGCGAGAGAAGAAAAGTGAAGGGCACCTTCTAGGTACATGATTAGGGGCTTCACTCCCCGGAGTTCTTCCGCAGTCATAGGCAGGCAGACCCTGGGATTCTCACGCCGGTTACCGAGCACTAAACCTCGTCTTCTTCGCCTCAATTCCAAGCTGCCCCTTGAACTTTAACCCGGACTTGCCTATTTAGGGTTTCCCTTCCTCTTCATTCATTATCAACTCAGCCATGATGATCTGATTTGAGTGCCGAGGTTTTTCTTTAACTAAGTAAACCAGAAAGTCATCGCAACTGTATCAACCTCGGTGTTCCAATCCAGCCTCTGTCTCCCGCTACGATGTTGGTAATCGTACATCAACCAAGTTGACCCCCACTTTTCCATGACCACAGCATGTCCAGATCCGTTCTTCCTGTAGTACAAAAGTCCGCATTTCGTAACGCCACTTGGAGGCAAGTTATTGCCTTCTTGAGACTCGAAGTTTCGACCGGTATAACCGAGAATAGCGCGGATCTCGCCTAGTGTTGGTATGCCTCCTGAGCCGTCTGCCGTCTGCAAGTATTCGGTTTTCTCAGCCACGGCTTCGGGTGTCATGCTTAGTAACTGGCCGATGGTCACAAAGACACAATTGTCGGTCATATCGTTTGGGTTAGAGACAGGCATTTTGCAGATGAGCTGTAAATCAACGTCACTGTATGCAACGAAATTGTAAGTTTCCCGAGCGAAAAGCAATTACCATGAAGCCACCTAACCCCCATCCTAAATACTATACGCTCGAGTCGAAGGAAGCCTAACGCTCAGCCTTACTTCTGCCACCATGAGATTTGTATATGTTGAAAAGAGACGGGGTGGTTGGGAAAGTGTCCTCATTCGTTCAACCATTTTGAAGCTACAGCTATCATGCATACCTAGGTAGTATAGTAGCTTGGCAGGCATTTTAGGTACAAAGATCTTGACAATTTGCGCTACATCAGATTCAAGATCTATAATTGTTTGATAGACTCTCCTTGAGTGGTACAATGTCAGGAAGTCTACTCGGGACTCACTAGTGAGTTTAAATACATATTATTATTTAAATCTAATTTAGGTTGTATAAGTGTGACTATTCACAATTATACTTCACGACACGGATCTTATAGGGATGACCCTCCCCGGAGTTATACCGGGTACCTTAGATAAAGGTACATTAGTATGGCGACAGCTGCAAAGCTAAACAGCTAGGAAAGTCCATCCGGTGAACTTCTTAGATCGACACGAACCTTATCTAATAAGTACCTCAAAATCCTGGGTTGGCTTATCACGGCCCCTGGTTATTCTGAGTTGTCACATAACTTTTTATATTCTTATATAGATAATATCTCTCAGCCAAAATTGATTATAAAATATTCCCTTTTAATACCCCAAAGAAAAAACTCGGAATAATTCTGTATACACTGGTAGCGATGGTTTAGGAATACATCTAGTGTTACCTGACATTCAATTCCAAAGATACGACCCTATATTACTACTTCGTTTAAGTCGGCAGATTCCGCCGAATCGGATTATTGTCGAAATGCCAGTCAAAGTATCTCTCCTTACAGAGGCAGACATACCAGGTGCCGTATCTGCAATTCAGTGAGTACACCATCTCTTTATTCCTCCTACCTGTCGGCAAGTAACCTTCCGAAGCAATGGAACGATAGGCGGAGGTGTCGCGTGTAACCTGGGGTTGCTGCTAGGGTGCTAAGGTGAAGGGTACTGTGGACTGCGGCTGATAAGTTTCCCTCAGCTCCTTATTGTTCATGCTAACTAACCCTTCTACTACCCCAAAGACAAGCTTTTGCCGATGATCCGTATAACAATTGGGTCTTCAACAGATCTACGGTACGTAGGTCCCTCTCTTGGCTAAGTTGTCCTTGGTTGCGATAGGCTGGATTCTGTAGCTGGCCTTCTTGTCGCACCCGTCTGTACGCCAAGATCTGTTTCAAGGGCGTGGAGGTACAGGATACGCAACAAGGTCATTAATATTCCTCCTCGTCTGCAACCCACCATCCACCCTTGTGCCGTTACGAAAAATGTAGCTCTCGGGAATCTATTGCCTTACCAGTTGATCGTTTCGCCTATTGGAGAGCTGAGGTTTTTTTTTAACATTGATTGGTCTCCATGTTCGATACTAATACTACCTATTAGTTCAACCAGCAACGTAACGCGGCCTCTCTTGGCATTCGATGTCGATGGGGTATGCGTAATGGCCTCTTCTACGTCGCTAAAGAAGAAGGCAGCGATGAAGTTTTAGGTGTCGCTTGTTGGCTAAAACCGCAACCGGCGAATCACCAATCTACTTGGCACGATTGGGCCGAAGGTTGGCGACTGTGGCTTAGCCAGGTCGGAATGAATCTGTACTACGGCCGGGGAGGTCTCAACGTGAAGGTGAGTTCAAACCGATTGATTGATGCGATCCCGAACGCGGGCAAAAAGCCTCGGCTTAAAGACAAGCCTTTTGATCTACCGACTTGGCTGCATATCGTGGACATTCCAAATCATACATCATTGCCCGTGGTAGAGCAGGGTGATGGTTCGGAACAGGAGGCTTGTCCTGGGAAGATACAGAGCCCCGCTTTGTCCTTCGCCAACGCGGGCGCATGCTGGTTTCAGTACCTGTGTCAGCCGCCGATCAGGACCAAACTTCCCTTTGCCGAATACCCATCTTGAATTTGACATCACCACATTCTTCAAAGGGCTGCTAACTTGAAATGAATTATCTAGCGGTACTACATATGGAAAGAAGCCCAGGCTAAAGCCCAATCATCCGTCTGGACCGACCCGCGGGGTTACTATTTTCTCAACATAATGGTTGTACTACCTAAGGCCCAGAACATGGGAATAGGACGGCTTATGATGGAGACCGTAACAGACCAGGCCGACGCCGAGGGCATGAAGTGTTACCTCGAATCTAGTCGGGACGTGCCTAATATGCAGATCTACGGTCGCTTTGGCTTCAAATTCGCGAAGGAGCTTGAATGCGATGATAACGGCACTGGCATTAAGCTTTATGCCATGGTTAGGGAACCCAACGCCAAGCCGCAGATGAATTGATCGTACCTGGTTTGGTGGCCTTGGTTATCAAACCCGGGCTGTGATTACGGTTTGGGCAATGATATCGTGCACGAGCTTATATATACCGAACCGACGTTATTCATTGGCACGTGGAAATACCCAACTAGTTAGATCAACTAGTACAGCTGATTAATGTCGGAACAAGACAGGCTCTATCACTACATTTATCGACGTCGATCGAATGCTTTACATGTAGCGGAAATACCCGTCTTCCCCTACTGACTTGCTATCGGAACAAATCGGAGCCTCATGTGAATATCAAATTCAATGTTTTTAGAGCCCTCAAAACCATCATTCCTTGCTCCGTATGTATAACCGAGGTTAGCTATGGAAAAAGTAGCAAGAAGTAAGGTGGAATACGTGTTTAGTAGTGAGTTTGGACACACGCATCTTGCCGCAAGCCAACGTACCAGTAACAGGCATAGCGCACCAGACAAAGAAGTACAGAGCATTATCTCAGCGTTGAATATTACTATTCATACAAACGGGAACCTCCCCAGCCCGCTTCACGTTCCGCCCCGTCTATCCTAGGTACCTAGTCTACTCGGCCTATTTTCTCGAAGGCATAAGGCGCCCTCTGTACATATTGTATGATGTATGTTAGTGTGGTATGGGGCCGCCACTTGCATATGCCCCTTTTGATAAAGAAACCTTATTCTTTCGTATCCGTTCTTGTAATATCGTGCCTGGCACTGCCCTCTCTCCGAAACTCCGTGAAGACAAAATATAAACGGTCAATGGGGTCATGGATGTATACGATAAACAAACAAATCCAGTTGCCTCCAATCTAACCAGCGATTTTTAACCTAAATAGGTGAAAATCGTCTAGTAAAATTAGATATTATCTAATAGAGGCATTTACTCTCGGGAAACATCCCGTCCGTAAACCTTAGCCTTGACCCAGTCAAGAGCGACGAGGACACGGTTGCGAGCTATAAAGTCGTTAGTATTTATGTTCGCTAATAATTCTAGTTTAGGGTTTACATACTGCTGAAGCACATGCTCAGATAGGCACTCCTCCAGAAGAGATAGGTGAGCTTGCCGCCAGTAGCGACGTTTCCGTTCAACCAGGCAACATCAGCGACAGCCTTTTCGCTGCCAATGTAGGCCAAACTACCTTGGTGAGAGTAGTGGAAAGGCTTGACATCCTTAATACGGCGTAGCTGCTTCTCGATGCTTTCAATTTCCTGTGTCTTGGCAGCGGTGTCGCCAGGCTTGAGATTTAAGCTGGCGCTAAGATCATGGACTTGCTGTTCCAAGGCTTCGGTCTTGGCCATGTTGTTAAATAGTCTAGCTAAGAAGGCACCTTCTTGGGAAGCGACCTGGGCAGTTGGGGCGTATCCGGCAACGGCGCAATCACCAACAGCCCAGATATCCCTGGCTCCTTGGACGACTAGGTATTCGTTAACGGCAAGACCTCGCCTCGAGTCCTTCTGAGCGGGAATTTGCGATAAGAGATCTCTGACCACAGGACGCACAGTGTTTCCAGTAGCCCATACGAGAAGACCGTAGGGGATAGTAATCGTAGACTTCTTTCCATCGGGTCCCGTAACTTCGGCTTCGACCGTCCTATCGGTCACCTTTTTAACCATGGTCTTAGTCATGATGGTAATGTCTTCCTCCTTGAAGGTACTCTCAGTGTAGTCAATGAGTTGCTTGCTGAACATGGGTAAAACATTGGGTAGAGCCTCGATAAGAGTCACCTTGAAGCGGGGAGCGATCTCGGGGATAAGCTTCTGGATATCCTCATCGAAGAAATCTCGCAACTCTCCAGCGAACTCAACACCGGTAGGACCACCACCGACGACTACCATGTGAAGCAGACGGTCAACCTCCTCCGCTTCCTGGTCCTTGAAAGCAGCGGTTTCAACACAATCCATGATCTTGGTACGAATAGCTTGGGCATCTCGGATCTCCTTTAAGAAGCAGCTGTGTTCGCGGACACCAGGAATACCGAAAGTAGCGTTCTCGGCACCTACGCCAATAACGAGCATATCGTACGGAACTTCGGTTTCGTGCACTTTTCCTTTGATGTCACTGTTATCCGTGATCTTGACAACCTTCTTATCAACATCAATGTGGGTAGCTTCGGCTTCGTAAAACTTCACAGCAGCTTTCTTGTGACGTAAGATCTGGCGCACAGGTTCCATAATGGATCGATGTTCGATGTTTCCGGTGGTACACGAGGGCAATAGAGGGGTAAAGAGGAAGTAGTTTCGAGGTGAGATAACGACGACATTGTAATTGGCAGTATCTAATTTCTTGAGTAAAGCGACTGAACCCCAACCGGTACCTAAGGATCCAATTTGTTAGACGACATAGGAATCACAATTGACCTTAATTGGGCACTAACCAAGGATAACCAATGTCTTCTTTTCAGGATCAGGAGCGAATTGCTCTTCCGGATTACGATCTAAGTAACCATCATAGATAACAGCACCAACGCCGGCAAGGAGGGACAAGTAGGTGAAGCGCCATAACCATTTAATTGTAGTACGAATCCTGCGCGGCTTCTTAACGGGAGCTGCGTCGGCATAAGATCTTATGAATTGGCGAGGTACAACTATCGCTCTTGTTCGTGTCCTTGCGATAACGGTAGAAGAGGTTAACTTTCGTGGGCATGACGTCGTACTAAAGCTCAGGGCCGGCGCATTTGAATGCACAGACAGCTGTCTGGCCGGACCAGTAAGCCTACTTAAGGCCCTCGTGGACGACGCCATCGGAACCTCGTAGCTATCGTAGACGAGGGGGATGGGCGTGTGCGATAGGTACGGATACTTGGGGAAGTAAAGAAAATAATCACAAAAAGGTTTTGGTGGACCAAGAGTTTATCTGTAGGGTCAATAAAAATTGCTTGCGCAAAAATGGTCAGCAAAGACTCATCGTCAATTGGCACTAAACTGTTAACTGACTAGAAAAAAAGGACAGACATGGAAGATGAGGAAATTTTAGGTGGATCGGTCAGAAAAAAAAAGTGACTAGAGTGACTAAAAGTAACCTTTGCTTTGTTACTTTTCTAGGAAACAAGCTTGGGACGGGGACGCTACGGTCAAGACACCGAGGAAACCGCTTGTGAAGTCCGGGCAGGGGTCTTGAAAAGATGCAGGAGCATTAGATAGACCCGGGAACTCGGAATGTCGTTATCTATACGGGATTGAAAAAGACTAGACCAAATCGAGATAATATTAACTTCAAATCGATTAGTGCTTCTAGCCCTATTTCATTAAGAATAAGTAAAATTGAGGTATTTTAGTATTTTTAAACATCTAGACCTGCCTCTCTCAAGCATCCTCAGCTTGTAACATTTAAATATCTCGGATGCCCTATTATGGTATAACACGCGGCATTTTCTCATTTTACTGTAATGAATTTTCACCGCCCTGAAAGCCTAGTTTGTTGAGACTACAAGGCGTATTCTCCGATGTTGATATAAAATGACAATTGGTTATTGGAGGAGTCTCAGCCAGAATTGTATGGCCAACCGGACTTATAAAGCGGGGGACCGGTCGCCTTGGGTATCACTCCCAATGGCGATCTTCTATTTCCAAGTCCTGCTCTGCAAATGTTGTAATGTTTTTGAAACATTTCCGTCAAGTTGACCTCGGGCTCTAGACGCCCAATTAGTGTCGTCTCAACTCTTGACCAGACTTACAAAATGATGAGCATATGCCATCTGCGAAATACCCGGCTTAACCAATCAGGTTACAGGCTTCCTGCGTTGATCTACATGTGATGTCTACACTTCAACTCATGGTATGCGCACGTTCAAGCCCGCCATGTAGTTCCTAATAGATATTTTAGAACTACTCTTCATCCTCGGCAAAGCTCTAGAATCAAACGGGCCAAGGTAACCGTTCGTCCAATCCTTACTCATGATACCATGGACATTTAAGATGCATGATTCATCGCATTTCCATTCATCAACAAGTAAGAAACTAAATGGATACGTTAATTAATAAATAACCATACGGTTTTGAGTTTTAGCAATCAATATTGCTCTGACGGTTTCTCTTCTCTTTGTAGAGTACTTAAGGGTTAGGATTGTTAACTTACAATATCTCATTGGGAAAACCCTAGGAATATTTAATTAGACGAATGTATTAAGAATAACTTGATGCTCTAGGTATTACTCAGTTATAACTCTCTAGTTGTTAATCGACCACAATAAGAAATTGGGATTTTTTCTATTAGCTAAAGAGTTGAAGAGATGATATAGTATCACCAAATTGTCCAACCACTGATATATCACTGCAGCGTGGGGGCTGAAATCATCCAGTAGCTAACTTGGAGATAGAATCAACTTTCACATTCTCCACTTCAAAATCTAATTTACCACTAGCATTTTCCATTTCTAAACCATAATCCGGGTCTATATCATACAATTTTTTGAAAGGGATAATATTCCCAGCCTTCAGATTGAAACTTGCGGATCTTCAAGGCTCAGATAACGTCTTCTTCCCCTCTCAAGCCACATACGCACAATATTAACTCCCATCTAATCATCTCAACGATAGCCAACTCCGATATTGCCCGTCACCCATAACCAAACAACCATGGCATCCGCAGTAGTAAAGTCCTTCACACTAATTTTCTACGCGCCGCCTTCTGCGGTACAAGCCGTACGTCCGTTCCCTTCTTCCTTCTTCCCCAGCTCCGATATATGCACCATCTCCCTCATCTTCCCCTATACACCCACCTCTTCCATAACTAACACCCCGCAGTGCAAAAAAGCCATCTTCGCCGCAGGAGCAGGTCAATATCCCGGTCCGGGTAACTACACTGAATGCTGCTGGCAGACATCCGGAACAGGGCAATTCCGACCGGGCGCGGCCGCGAACCCGCATATCGGGACCGCAGGTGGGGAACTGGAAGAGACGCCCGAAGTGCGCGTAGAAACTCTGGTCGTTGGTGAGGATGTAGTTAAGAGCGTTGTGACTGCTCTAAAGGGGTAAGTTTTTCTGCATCTCAATTCTGTCCGTGTTGGTGGCATAACCCGTAAGCTGATAAATGTGTACTAGAGCACACCCGTATGAGGAGCCGGCATACCATGTTATTAAACTGGAGGACTATTGAGTAGGTACGGTCGAATCACAAGAGACGGGAAGATACTTCAGCATGGTTTCAACTTCATCATCTCATAAAAGCAGATATCATACCAAAAAGGAGGTTATCATGAGATTATTTGCCTCTTGATAGGATCTAGGGGTATCTTAATGAATACTGACTATATTCCAAAACGAAGACACAAATTACTACCACTAAAACTACATTACACATCGTTAATCATAGTTCACATACCGAGTAATATTTCTTGTTTCATTTCATTCAATATTTCTTCCATTTCTTCTTTCTTCTCTTTTATCTAACGCCCTACCACTTCCCTCCGCAGCACTGCTACCCCAACTACTCCCTCCCTTCCTCTACCATACTACCAGCCGCCACAACAGCAACAGCTAACAGCAGCAAAAACTTTGAATTCGTAGTAATTCGTTGACGTATCCGAAAATAAAAGGGAGTAAAAAGGTTTCGGATAAACCTATATAAATACAAACAAACAAAGCGCAAACAAACAAAGCGCAAACAAACCAGGTATCCATCCTACCTCCCTCCCCGCCGAAGGATAAAAAATGATGAAAAACACAACTACCTGCCGTTCGTTGGCGTCGACGCCGGCATCTCGCCGTATCTTCCTCTGTGTCTCGTTGTGTCGTATGCGTTTATTACGCGGGTTTGACTCTCGTCTGCTTGTGAAAAGGCATATCCGCGTTGTTTCCTCATCCGCTGCACTTGCCGTACTTTTCTGATCGCCTTCTGGAACTGCTCCATCCTGTTTATTTTGTTAGCTTGTGATTTGTAATAAGATTTGGCTAAAAGTGAAAACGTACCTAGGACGGTAATCCTGGATGTTATACTTCTGAATTTCTTGTATGTGGTGGTACGTTTGAGGATAATACATCCTCTTAGCGTACTTCCAACAGAAATCCCGAAATAGACATAGGATGGGCAGAGTGACTGTTTGCAGCCAGAAGACGGGGTTTGTGAAGAGTTTTGGCACCAGTCCGTGGTATTCCTTGGAGAAACCAATAATAGGAGCAACGGTACCGTAGACGGCGACGAATATGTACCAAATCGCCATACTACCCGGGATAGCCATAACGTGATATTTCGTCCAGTTATTTGTCACTAACGCAGCTTTTCCAAGAACAGTAGCAAGGGTAGATGCATACAATGCGGTTCCCCAAACCCAATGACCGGCTGTTGTACCGTCACCGAGGATAAGGTCGCTGTACCAGATAAGCTCGGAGAAAATATATAGGACGATAGAGTGGTATACGGCGCTTGCAATCCAAGAGGCGAATGTGCTAACTTTGAAGAACTGGTTTTGTTGTCCCAGAGTGTAAAGTTGTGGATAACGGTCCAGCAAGCGTGCGGAAATAAACTGGTCTAGGATACCCATAACCAGAGGAGGTAACACAGTGTAGAATACGTTGTAGAAGGATAGCGTCCATGATTCGTAGATAATGGCTCCGGAAAAGACGTTTTGAAATGTGTACTGTCAATATGTTAGTCGGGTTGTCAACAGCGAATTGTGCATGTACAGAAATAACTATTAGTAATGAGGTTAACATACCCAGAATTGTGTCATGTATAGCGTGATATTCTTGTAAAAGGAGAAGAGAATGGTTTTACTGATACGTTGGTAACTCCAAGCGCCATGTACGAGGGTGAGTTTGCGGAGAAATCGGAACTGGGCAATTGAAATATCGGCCGATCGTGCAGCCTGAAGACCTTCAACACCTGAGATACCGACTCCGATATGGGCAGCCTGAATCATAGAAACATCGTTGGCTCCATCGCCAATAGCGAGGAGGATTTCCGGTGAAAATTTCTTGACCATTTTTACAACCAAAGCTTTCTGTAGCGGCGAAACACGGCAACAGATGACTGCTTTGCACATCACGGCTAGATCGTAGAAGAGCTTCTCCATTTCTCCCTCCAAAGCGTAAGTGAGCGATTTTCCATCGATGACAAGAGCCAAAGTGTCCATTTCAACTGATCCATCTGCGTTATTCCGGATGGCGTCAAGCTTCTTCTGAATATTATCTCGCGTTGCCGTGGCATCTTCTTCGTTCACAATCAAAAGCATCATGTCTTCGCTCAATAACTTAGAACTCATGCCGATGTTGATAGCCGTTTCTTGACGATCTCCAGTCAAAACCCAAACCTTGATATTCGCTTGCTGTAGTGTGTGAATAGTCTCGGGTACACCATCTTGAAGACGATCCTCAATAGCAGTCGCACCCAATAGATAAAAATCATGCTCGATAAGCTCAGCTGCCTTGTCTAATTCGTCGGCTCGGTTACCACCCACAGTGGTCTGGGCCTTTTCGAAGATAGAATGCCACTCTTGGAATTCCTGCTCAGGAATTTCTCGCATTGACAAACACAGGGTTCGAAGACCCTCAGAAGCATACTCCTCTAGGTGAAGTAGAGTTTGCTCAACGTGGGGATTATCGTCGTTCAGGCGCTCGAGGATGACGGTATCCGCACCCTTACAGTATAGTCGAATCTTCCCGTCGGGGCATCGGTATATCGTTGACATTCGCTTTCTCGTAGAATTGAATTCACAGACAGCTAGAAGCTCATATTCGTATTCCTTGCCTTCGACCTCGATGATAACGGATCGCGGTTTACGCGCAACAAACGTGTACCCCATAGTCAGAGCACCTTGAACTAAGGCACCCTCATCGGGCGACGCAGCTTGGTACTTAATCTTACCGCCTTTCTCCTCGTCTCGCTCCGGAATAACGGTATGACAGGTCGAAAGGAGGGCCAAGAAATGGTGGATTGCCTCGGCGCTTTGATCGGATTTTAGGTTCTCACGTAGTCGCTTAAAGTCGTGGATTCCAACTTCTACACCGTCCTGCACCGTAGCTCTTCGATCTTCTGGTACTTCGTCCGCATACTGTATTCCACTTATCGTGCACTGCTTGAACTCCATCATATTGCAAGTCAGGGTTCCCGTCTTGTCCGAAAATACGTAGCCAACCATGCCCAACTCTTCGACTAAACTGGACGTCCGGCAGTTCGCAGGTGTATCCGTCTTATCATAGTAGATATCCAGGTCGTCGTTAATCAGAATACCATGCCAATACTTGACCATCTCGACGGTAACGAACAACGAGATAGGGACTAGCGAAGAGAACAAAATCCAATAGGTAACGAGATCTTTAAAGATCGCTTGTACGACGTCTCCGGGTTTCTCAAGAGAATCCGGTTTTAGGTAAGCGATCGAGTCACGTCGAACTGACCGGAAAACGATCTCTCCCACCGTCGATACGACACTGAGAACGAGGAGGATACCAACCAACGCAAGGACCAAAGTGTTTAGTTGTCGTTCAACCTTGGTTCGCTTGATTGGAGCCGCGGTGGCATTACGCATAAGTTTCGTTTCGTGTCCAGTGAAGACCACAATACCATGGATCCAGGGAGTATTTCTCAAAGTAGCACCTCGCAATAACAGCTGTTCCGGATTGAGAGGTAGCTCCTTTTCTCCACCGCCAGCCTGCATAGTCAAGGTTGCCTCGTATGTGTATAAACTACTATTCGGTTGTTCGGAACGGATCCTACCCCCTAACCTACTCAATTCCGTCGGACTAACCATAGTAGATGTCTCGGGCAACGCCTGCTTAATTTTCAGGTTAGTCTCACCATCAAGGTTGGCAGTTTCGATATAGCATAAGCCTTCTGGTTCGGAGCTTGCAAGCAGGACAATATCGGCCGGAAATGGTTCCTCCGATTCGACCCGGACAATATCCCCTACCGCCACGTTGATCCATTTCGTCTCTTCAAAGGTTGATCCTCGCAAGACTCTAGCTTTCGAGTTGTTGAGAGCGTTGTCAGCTTGCTTCCTCCTATAATCCTCTACTAATTCCTTCCCTGCAGATACTAACAACACAACAACGAGTGGACCGATCGTAGTATATTGATTCGTCGGAGATAGATTAGGAATTTGTTGCAATGCCGCCGTGAATAAGAAGAAAACGTTGGCGGACTTAGAAAATTGTTCGAATAAGAATTTGGGTAAGAATGTGGCGACGTTGTACTTCGCGGTAGAGACGTGGTTGTCGACGTATTTATTCGCTTGGTTCGCCGGGGGATTATTCAAATGAATAATACGGGGGCCGAGAGTAGACGGATCCGGTTTCCCTCCTCCGAATCCAAACCTAAAATTCTTTAACTCGAACTTTTTATTTTGTTTTGCCGGTTGCCCAATATTCGAATCCGATCGTCCATGTCCCGGCTCCGTTAAGGGGAGATCCATCTCCGAATAACCCTTCTGTCCCATTCCGAGCATTTTCCTAGCCCTGCCCAAGAATCCTCCTCCCAACCCAAGCACACTATTACGATTCCGCGCATTGGCACGACCTGACGTGTCGTCCCCTGCGTTCAACGCTCCTCCATGCTGATAATATGATTGACCGTCGTCAGGGTAATCGTCATAATCGTCTGCGTATCTTTGGTAGTTATGTAAATCGGATGATTGGCTATATTGTCTATCGGAATCGACTAGGTATGGCGGTCGAGGGCCCGAAGCGCCGGCGCCGGGCGGAGGGTTTTTTACAGACGGATGGGTGGTTTGGGTACCGCCGACGAAGTCATCGTAGGATACAGATGGTCGAGCCGGATGTTCGTCGGTCACCGGTCGCCCTTGTCCACCATAGGAAGAATGATCATCGAGATCGAGTAATAGATCATTTCTAGAACTGGAGGTGCCTCCTGGAGGCGCCCTTCCAGCCATGTCGCGAAGGGGTGTATGTTACAAAGGGAGCAAGATTGGAGACATGCGGAACGCGATGAATGAACAGTATTTTTGCGAAATTAGGTCTGCTCAGGTTTGCATTTAGTAATCCTATACTCTATCATTCGTATATGATTTCCATAGGGATGATTCTGTAGTGGGTTCGTTACTAGTCTGTTGTATTATGCAGGAGTAGATGAATACGAGATGGCTGAGCTCGTAGGCGGCGAAGAATGTAAAGCATCAAACTACCAGGTCGATGAAAGTTCTAGATGGCGACGAGGGAGGGTAATGAAAGAGAAAAACCAGAAGTGGTCGCAATTGTGATAGACTCGAAGGTCAGATGCTGACAGGTCGTGGGGATTATCGTGAATACGATGCAAGGCAATAGAATCAGAGTGTCTTTTTTTTTTGGCTGGCAATTCTACCGGTACAAGGTCTAAGGTCCAAAGGTCGAAACGCAGAAATGCAAAAAGGGTAGCATTCAACATTCAAGGACCAAGCAAACCAAGCAAGCCCGAAGCATCAGCATAAGTGGATAAGTGGAACCGAACTCCCGTGTTCCTGTGCTACGTATCTAAGTACCCTACGTACCACCGTGTGCGACTGTTAATTCTCTCTGCACAGCCTTCCGTTAATAACCAGTAAAATCCGACCGTGGGGTGTGGGTAGTACAGGCACCAGTCAAATTCACACTTTTAGTTGGCAGCACCAGCAGAATTACAGGGATCTCAGCCAGCCCTGATACCCGTTCCTACGGGTACAACTTTACATCTGGATAGGACAGGCGAATAAATGTACATCTAGCTGACGAGGCTAGTTCCAAATAAGGACTAGTGTACTAGACTACCCCTGTGAAGTACTCTACGTAGCTTACGTGTGTACATCTACAGTCTCACTATTACCTAACGTCCTACTCTCAAGACAATAGAAATACTTAGGGAGGGTACAGGATATACCTAGCGCCTCTTGCCTCATAACTGTCTGAATAAGAATATTCGACGTAATGTTTTAAAGAACTCGTCCGGTGTAGCACCAACAATATGTCACTCACTCACTTTAAAAGGGAGACATAACCTTACCAACCCTCCATTCACGAGACATTTCAAAGTTGGTGAAGAAGAGGGGGGAAAGTAAAGAAAAAAAGAAAAAGTCGGCATCCATCAATTCAATGGACTTTGCCAAGAATTAATGTCACCTTTCATTGATCCTATTTTAAACATCAATTCAGGGGCTCAGAGGCTTTTCCATCGTGGCGCCTCCGACCGCAGTCAGTACCAACTATTGCGTGTCTACATACGTCTTTCTTTTGACCATACTGTGCAATAGAGTAGCATTTGCCGAAAGACCAGCGGGTGGGGAGGTTTATAGGTTATTTTTTTCTCTCTTTTCCCCTTAATATAGGTTGGTTTGTTCGTATCACTTAGCCACCATAATGTGATAATGTGGTCTCTATCTGATGCTAGGGATTCATAGACCCTTGGCATTGTTCTTAGCTAACATGCATTTCATCATGAATTCCTACCAAAAGGAGCCATTATCATGCGAGCCAAAATTTCTCAGGCTAGTCAGATATTACACAGTATAGAATTCAACCCTCCCCCTTATTGATCGTGAATATCGAGCAAACCATACAATACGCGCACTATACTACAATTTCAAGATAATCATCTACTAGTGTCCAATGTTAGTAGTATTTGCAGCTACGGATCTACTGGAGCTTCTACAACGCAGCCTTGAGGTCATCTCCTAGAACACTCTTGACAAAATCCCCAATGAACTTATTAATCTCATCAGGTCGCTCAACCATAAGCCAATGGTCAGCACCCATAATAACATCCTTCTTCAAGCCCGCCTCAAAGTACTTCTCCTGGCCATCCGCCAAGCGAGGCGGCAACGCCTTATCCTTCTCCGCCATAACCAGCGCAGCCGGGATCTTGATCTTAAACTCGGTATCCTTAGCCAGCGCAACATCGTCATCACCATTCAGATCACGCGTGCGGTACCAATTAAAGGGCCCATTGAACCCATGGCGCGAGTGCTCCTTAACGTAATGATCGATATCCGCAGCGCTGACGATGGGGGATTGTCCGATGTTCTCGAGGTTTTCCTCGACGATGCCGATGTTGATCGCGGTGGGACCTTTGCCGTCTGGTGTTCTGCCGCCGAAGAAGCCGTTCATGAGACCGCGGATACGCTCGGGTGATTTGTTCATGATGGCCTCGCCGACTGGACTGGCGAATTGGAGTTGATACGTGAAATTGGGTAACTTTTTCACGATTTCCTCTAGGGACATTTTGATTGGCGATGGGGGCATGTAAGGTACGCATATACTGAAGATTCCGCGGATCAATTCGGGGTAGTATGCGTACACACGCCTATAGTAGATTGGGTCAGTGCATAATCCATATCTAAGTGTTACACGGGATTATATGGAGTAGTTTGTGTGGTTGCGCAAGTAAGGGAATAGGGGGTTTGGGACTGATAAATCCAGCAAAGAGCAATTAAGACTAACCAAACGAAAAACCCGCCCCAGTCGTGGCCACCGAGGATAATAGGTTCATCGCTATGAGCCTTGATGATGCCTGCCATATGGGCGGCCATGTTCTTGAGGGTGTACTCCTCAAGTGCCGTGGGGGCAGAGGTCTGCCCATATCCCAACATGTCCGGGACAATAACCTGCAAGCCTAGAGACTGGAGGTAAGGGACTTGGTATCGCCATCCGTAACTAAGATCCGGCCTATTGACATTTGTGAGCGATAAACGGACTTTCCTGGATAGAGAAATACTAACCAGCCGTGGAGGAGAAGAACAGTGGCAGCCGGCTTGCCCTGCGGTTTAGCTAGGACATAATAATATTTAATATCCCCGAAGGAGATGAACTTATGTTCAACCCTAGGGTCATTTGGGACCAATGCATCGAGTGCCATGGTGTCCTTTGATCGAGGGACTTCTTATGATGATGAGTTGGTGCCTGACTACCTAGGTAAGGAACACCACTTCTACATAAGTGGATGGGAAAACACGAAAGTAAGGAGAATCCGGGCCCGGCTGCCTATTTATACAATTTACTCCGAGAGCCGGTCTGTAGTTCGTCCGATTCTTGACCCTACTTAATCCTTGGGAAACTTCCGAAAAGGGCAACAGACGACGCGGGCACTAAATGTGACTAAATGCTCCGTCTATGTTTCCCGTATGTCCCACACATTCCCGCCTTCCGATGCTATAACTAAATTTTAATGAATTGTCTGACGCCAGCAAAATTCGACCGGTGTTGGTACCCCCAATAGGCGAATAGAAGCCCACCATTGTTTCATTGGATCTTGTTCTACTATGTAGTCCGTTAAATTGTACGATACCAGATAGCCTTTCAAATGGTTACGTCTAATACGGTAAACAACATAATCATACACGGATGCTATAGGTAGGCATCTTTAGCCATTGGTAGTACAATTAAATCTTCGACATACATAATGCATAACCACTAGTCCGCCAATCGGTAGGTTTTGCGATCTCGAACGGAAAAGGCGGGGGGACGAAGACGTACAGTATCATCGTAAGGAGGTATGGAATTACCTATGCAATTAGTAAAAGCCGAGGCTCTTATAAGCTAGGTCCCACCTAAGGAAGGGATACGCCAATCCCGCGTATATACTCAAGGAAAATTGCTGGTGTCGGCATAACGGCGGCGCGGAGCTGCCGGGACACGGTCCTAATCGATTTGCGAAATCCGGTCAAAGATGGGATTGGATGGTAACCGGAGCATGCATGTAATATCTCGACTGCTAACCCGACATATAATCATGCATTCCTACCTGGATGGTCTCAATATTGAATACAAAACCTTAGCATTGCATTGGGTAGCTAGGGATTCTTAGCGATACGGGGAACATGTATCGTTGGGTCTCGACGGATTTAAATAGCCTAGGAGTCCTAGTAGTCTGTTCAATATCCTCTGGTATCATAGGCGAAATGCGGACATGGTGCAAAAATGTATGCATATATTCGACTATCACTTTTATTCATGGTTAGTTCCGAGACCTCGAAACTTACAGCAATAAACCCCAGACCATAGAACAGTACCGTGTGAAAATAAAAACCGAAAACGCCTGTATTTCCAGCCAGCCATCGCCAGCGCTTAAATAGAATGTGGAAGAAAACCAAATCCAAACCAAAGGTGGCGACCTTCAGTAAATTACTGTATCTTCGACCTCCTCTATCATGACGTCGTCTGCCCTGTCAGGCTCTTTCTCATGATGACCGACCTTACCGGTACGTGAAGGGGGGCGATTAGCAGTAGCAGGAGTGGGATTAGATGGTGGAGGATTGTCAGTAGGGTGCTCATCATTAGTTTTACTACCCACAGTATTCTTGGGTTCAAGCGGAGGGGGTTCGGTTGGGATACCCAACGCTTTGAGTTTTCGCTCTTTTCGCAGATTGAATTCGTCAACCTCTTTATCGATGATATCCTCGGTATCTCGGATTTGGTTCTTTATGATGCGATCTTGTTCGTCCGTGGGATCCCATGGTAGGTAATACTATTGCTCTAATTAGCAGATGTACTGGCGCACAGGCTGGGTTTCGCATACTATCTTGGGTTCGCTCCTCGTCTCCAAAAAGCGTGCCATCGCGAGCATATTGGAATGCTTTGTTTTCATCTAGGCTTTTTGTTAGCCAGGGTTGTCGCGCAAACAGCGAAGAACTGCCTTACAACTCGCTCGTCAAACTTGATCTGTTCCTCCTCTCGTATAGCCTTGAGCTTCGCTAGTTTCTCTTCTCTATGCTTATCATCCTCGGCTCTTTGTTGATGAACTCTTGCCTGCTGTCGTCGCTCAATTTCTTGGCGTCTCTTTTGCTGCGAGCTAGAAGTGGTTTGACTTAGTGTGCTTAGCAAACCACCAAATAACCGCTTTCCGCGCTTTCTCTCTTCCTGACGCGCATTCTCGCGACGGTCTGTAGTAGATTGCTTCGATGTGGGCGACGCTTTAGTAGTTTCGCGCCCTTTTGAGTCTTCCTCTAATCGAGTTCTTTTCGGAGACTGTGAAGCCTTGCTATCGTCCGGGGAATGCGACGATGCTTTTCGCTTCTGTGAGCCACCTCGTTCGTGTTCTGGTTCAGCGTTGCTCGTCTCGCGCTCTGGACTACGACCATTAGGAGGGCTATCTTAACAATTAGCGAATTGCGACCAATAAGAATTGAGGGGATGGGGTTGTCTCTCACGTGTCGTTGGCCGACATGGTGTCGATTTCCTCAAGCTAGAATTGAACAGTGAGCATATGTGGGTAGAAAGAAGATATAAATGAGTATCGCGATGAGTGATACAATGCAGTATATTAAGATTAAACAGTATCCGGTGCTGATCTGAGTGAAATAAAGATTGAAGTATCGCAAGGCTGAGGATGTAGAGGAAACTGAATGTGGACAGAGCGCCAAGTACGACAATCAGAGTTGGATCTAAAATGGCAAGGGTAGGTACCTAGGTACCCACTTATAGAATATTATGCAATCTTGCATAAATAAGTGTGCTATCGCCCCCACCTTTATACCTTAGCAATATGCTTATTGCTAAGAAAGTTCAACCTCGCGCCAAACAAAGAAATCTCCAGAAAATAAGTGGCAAGGCTGAGAAATCGTCTATTGTTGACTAACAACGACTGATACAACAATCCTCTACGTGTCGTCGCGTGTTTCTTTCTTTCACAGCATCCATTCTTTCCCGAAACACTCAACCTTCTCAACGCCAACATGTCTCGCCATCATCCGTAAGTACTACCAGCTGTTCTCCCTCCAAGTAGCTAGCTAACACTTCATTATACAGCGATCTTGTGATGTGCCGCAAGCAATCTGGCATCGCCATCGGCCGACTCTGCGACAAATGTGACGGAAAATGCCCCGTATGCGATTCCTACGTCCGACCGACCACCCTCGTACGCATCTGCGATGAATGCAGCTTCGGCAACTACCAGAACAAGTGTGTCGTGTGCGGTGGCGAAGGCATATCTGACGCGTTCTACTGCTTCGAGTGTACGCGGTTGGAGAAGGACAGAGACGGGTGTCCAAAGATTATAAATCTGGGTAGTTCAAGAACAGACGTGAGTCATTCCTTTCCGACAGTAGTTTACCTCGCTGTTCAATATGCTGACTTGCTTCGCAGTTATTCTACCAAAAGAAAACAAATCGGACGGGGTACTAGCCCCCATGATGCCCGGGTCTGGGCGGTGGAGATTTTAGGTCATTGGTGTTTTACGAAAATATTACTGTTGGGCTCACACCCGAACAGAAAAAGGGATCGTACTTTGATATCAGCATTTGGCCGGCGTTTTGAGGTTATGGCAGGTTAGCCCATAGGCGGAATTTACATGTGACTACTCCTGATATCCAATCTGAATTGATTCTTTATTAAAGTCCGACGACTCATAAAAGTAAGGTTCGTAAAGGATGCTTGCTTGCTTGCCCGATCTGTCCCTGAGTGATGATTATCTACAAGAAATTGATGTACAGAACGCCTCAAATTATAAAATCCATCTAGTCAGCTAAATGTAGCTGACCTTAACGCCCATACCAGCTGTTGATTTCACCTTATTCCATCCTGTACCGAGGATCCTCTGAACCCGCTCGCGAATGCTTCTTCTTCCAAACATAACAAGTATACTAATGACGAAAGCAACCAATCTCATGAGCAACATCGGGTTAGCTTTGAATGTTGCCCCCATCTGTTCAATAACGTTGCGAAGATTTGCTAGAATCATCGCAGCCCGTGCAGTAAGGCTAGAGGGTGCTGTAGCCTTCTTCCCTTTCGATACGGGTGACTTGGGTGGCCTTGATAGCGCAGATCCACTAGAAACGCTCCGAGGTTTACTCCGGGGCGCGGGAGTACTCCGAGTTTGCTCGATACCGTAATCAACCTCGCTACCTTCACGTTTAGCCCTCTCTTCATCTAATCGACGTCGTTCTCTCGCTTCGTTTTCTGCTCGCAACCTTCTTGCCTCTTCTATATCCTTTTGTAACTGCTCCTCTTGTTTCTGCTGTTCTTCTCGTTCTTTCCGTTCGGACTGTTGCTGCTCCTCTTGTAAACTCTGGAGAGCCTGTAAGAAAGCATCTCTTCGTTCCTCATCTAGTACCGCGCTGACGCTAATGAACTCCCTAGCGTAGTCCCATTCGTTGTTGCGTAGCAAAACATGTAGCGTGTATAGTTCTAGGATCTTAACTCTAGCATTAAGATCACGAGGAGTATCAGCACCACTGGCACCTTTCGATGATCTTCGATTCCTTGACGACAGCCGTGGAGACCTAGTGGCCTCGAGTTGCTTAGATATATCAAGGTTCGGTGTGCTCGACGCAGCCAAATAATTCTCCAGCCGCTTCTGATTTACAATTTGCGTCTTAGCATGAGCAAGCAGGAGCGTCGCCCTAGAGCTGGTTAGTACCTATCAACATATAACAGTAGGTCCAGGCAAGATTTGGCCGTTGTATAGTTAGGTCATGCAGGCCTAACTACACCGCCTAAAAAGAAAACCACCTACAGATTTATGACGACATCAGAATCAACCTCTCCTTCCACACCGTGATATCCGAACTGCACAACCTCTTCCCAGACATCGCCATCTCGAACTTTTTTACATAGGGTCCGCCATTCCTGGGTGCCGAAGGCGTCTTTTCCTTCGTCGGAATCCAGCTCTAAAATGGCATTCAGAATCGTCAGATACAAGCTCCACACCTTTATCCTTGTCGACTTTGAAGCTCGAGCGACAGGGGCCGGTTCGGTTAATCCATTGACATCGGATGTTTCGGTGGTTGGGGTGATTAATGGTAGGACCGTTGATAAGGCTTCCGGCAATCGACGCGTGAGAAATAATTGTGATGCTTGTCGATAGGCTTTGGAGATGTTATTCGACGATGGGCGGGCTGACGTTGAGGAAGCTAACGACGATATTGAATTTGAGAGTACATGAGATGAGAAGCTCTCGGAGACCGTTGGGCTCAACGTGGCGGTATAAGATCCATCGAACGACATGTTTGCGAAAACTTAGGCAATTCAGGTAAGAATTGGTCTAAATATTAGCTTCAACGTGAATGAAGGGAGATTAACAATTAGAAATCATAGTAGTAAAAATGTATGGACGTGTCAACATGAACATTGTTGTAGTTGGAGTTCCTAGAAAGCTGCACATGCAGGAACAACAATGGCATGTGGGACCTGACGCTACGAAGCCGAAGTTCGCGTTGTCTGGTATGCGGGAAGGTTGGACTTGCTAAAAGACGTACTCTTTTCGGTGATTACGGCATGTTGTGCCTCGGCTTATCGGCGACACGTTAGGTAGACTCCACCGGACCTAACAAGGAAGTTGCATTAGCCCCTGTGTCGCTTACCTAATTAAAAAAAGACTCAATACGTCGACCAATCAGAGCTTTCCTGTTTTCCCTAATGCACCCCGGTTGCTACCCCCACCAACCTAACCTCATGTCTCTTCAACGTTCTATCCTTAAGACTTCATGTGCAATATCGTTGCTGCCTCAGACTTCACGTTCGTTACTTCTGACTGACTGAATTCTCAATAATTACATGTTAATTGGCCAATGTGAACACCTTACATAAATAAAACGACGGTCGAAGACAACTCCTTAACGTAACGTGTAGCCTCAGATCTGAAAAAGATACCATGACAAAGTCCTCATACAGGCTACATGAGCAAGCCATATGGATGACCAACATCCGATTCAAAATGAAGATAAAAACATCAAAGGATTGTTTTGGGGATTTCTGGTAGTAATTACCCCAGGTCTCAGCATGGTGTTCTTATGCTAACATCACGATACAGAAATACAAATAGTCGCGATCTCCTATTCATAAGTTAGGGTAGTCGCGAAGCCATGTATATATCCGTGCATTTCACTATTACAACAACGCTCTTTCCCTGCCTTATTGATTGTTATGGAGAGGTTTGCTTTAGTGAGGTGATTGTATTTGATAAACCATTGCCATGGTGATTCTAGGTTGCAAGTTATTTTACAGTGCTACACCTTTTCCTGCGCCGAATTTTTTTTCTCAATAAAAAAAACGCCGACCCTTTTTTGATCTTCCCAGAGTTTATATGCGCCGCTTTTCTACTACGTTTATAAATAACGAGGCTATCTTCGCCGATTTTTTTTGAGCATAATTCATACCGAAATCATGGAGGTCGATAGGAGAAATTTCTTCTGGCTCTTGCCTACTATGCTATCTGAAGCACAGAAAGCACGATTCGTCGCGATTGACATTGAGATGAGCGGCATCGCTTTTACGCAGGATCGAGGCGGCGTCAGACGTTCTTTCCAAGATTCCTATACCAAAATCAAAGAAGCAGCAGAGGAATTCCAATTATTACAGATTGGGTTCACCTTCTTTCATTGCGACGAAAAACTTTGTAGGATTTCCACCCCACGACAAAATATGATAACTAACATGTGAATTTCCAGCCGGATACAGAACGCGCACATTCAACTGCCATGTTTCCCCGTTATTTCCTATCGCGTATTTCCCCAACTATTTGACCCGGCAACTGGATAGAAAATTTAGTGTTTCAGCACGATCTTACAGTTTTCTCCGACAACACAATTTTGATTTTAGCCATGCGTTAGATAATGGCGTCTATTATTTAAATCGTGAAGAACAGAGGGCTGCGAAAAACATATGCATATCCACAACCAATAAGCAACACATTGACCCCCTAACGCTTGACGAGAATTACCAAAATTTTTATAAGCATACCAGGGCGGCAATCGAAAAATTTATCAACTTACACCCCCAACCGGTATGTCTCCCTCTATGATAAAATAGCAAATCCAAAAGCTAACATATCCTAGAGTGGTACACCAACTATCATAAAAAATCCCAACGGAGGCGACCTCACCAAACTGCAGACTCGTCTAATACATCAGCTCGTTCGTGATGAATATCCACTTTGTTCAGCTGAAGTAGTGAACACGGGAAGTTTGACGGGATGCGTGTCTATTAACTTAATAGAAAGGGCCGAGAAACCCGAGGTTCGTGATACACCACCCAGCTACGGCATTCATATTAGTTACTAAGCTAACACTACTTGAACCAGTGGGAGTTGGAGAACCTCGAGGCAGCCCAGAAACTATCTGGTAGGTGCTCTAATACGCTACACATTTGTCTGCTTGCTCTAACGTTTTAGGACTACAAATTCTGTTGGAAGCGTTGGCGGGCGGATCCTTTGCTGAGAGGGTGAACCGTAAATGGGTATACCACGACAACCCTGGTACGGGGCCCATAAAAGAATTGAATAAACAATTCGACTTCTACCAGTGTGAAGCCAGTCTAAAGGAGTCTCGGCCAATTCTAATTGGACACAACATATTCCAAGATCTTGCCTTCATCTATCAAACCTTCTTCGAACCACTACCACCTGGGTTCGGGGACTTTCTAACTAAGGTCCATGGGCTCTTTCCCCGAATCGCAGATACGAAATTCATGTACCAATCAAACAACCATATCACGATACGGAACCAGTCTCTAGAAGGGCTTCACAACTACTACGCGAAAATACAACATCCCATAATCGTTAGTTGGCGAGAACCTGGCAGCAGCGGGGCCGCCGCTCATAATGCCGGCTTTGACAGTAAGTTTTCAAATCCCTTTTCATTCCTCGAAAATATTTTTCTAATTCAATCTAGGCGAAATGACGGCGATCCTATTCCTGAAGCAGACGCGCGCTCTTCTAACAGCGGAGGGGCGCATGAACAACGCGCCGAACGGTCAGATCGCGAAGAGCGAGGGCGAGAAAAAGGTCATCAGCCTCCTCGATGTGGAAGAACCTGAAATGCTGGAAGCCCTACGGGGATGGAACGCTCTCTTCGAAGACGAGACGGACTCCAAGGAACCGGTTGTAACCGAGAAGAAGGTACCGGCCCATAAGGGCGATCTATCGATGGTACCAAGGGAGAGGCACCCAAGTGGTGACCTCAATATAATCCCCGCTTGGACGGACCCTTTCTGGAGGACCTACGGCAACAGGACATCCATCGCAGGGGTGGGCCATGTGACCTTCACACGGCCCCTCCTGTATGGTGGATGTGTGGAGGATTAATGCCAGGAGAGACGGAGGTGGAGGATAGGCAGGAGTGTACATAGTGACTTGAAAGCATGGTGAGTCATGTAACTACCTGCACAGTACAATATAGTACATTGCCTTTACAATGGGTTTCGTTGTATATTACAAGAGGCTCTATGTCCTAATTTCCACCCATTCTATCGGTCTGCCATCATATTCCTTACTGAGTGGAAGTAGTCAGAGGGTAGCTTTGCCTTTAACTCCTCCTTCGTAAGCCAGTTAAAATCTCGAAGGCCGAACCTATTACCATTCAAGTCTGCTTGACCGGCCATAATCCTTCCCTTCAGAAAGAACACCTTTTCGCCCCTCTGCTTAAGAGATGTGTCTTCGTTGAATTCCGGATGTGTTACCATATGGGCAACTGGCACACGACCCACCAACCAGGTGTTCATGTTTACGCCTGCTGCGTATTCTAGGGCTCTTGCTGCGGTCTGTAGATATGTTTAGTATTTATTCTCGGTCTGGTAGATATTTCCAGAGTTTGACAAACCTCATGTAAATGTTCGTCTGTTGGCACATCCTCCGTCGGGAAATGCCATTTCCCATCGCTGCCTTGAACAATCAAGTAGAGTGTTCGGTCAAGTTTGCGATCTAACCTCCTTATATCATTTGTCTTGTCTGCCTCAGTAATCCGGTCCATTGGTCGTTCAACGGGAACAATTTCATCCGGTTGAGCTTCCTCGCCATCTTCAGTCACACGGTTCTCAGCATCCTTAAGTAGGATATCCCGTATCCTTCCCTCATCGCTTAGTGTACTTCCTACTAATAACTCGTCGTTCCAAGCATTACGTCCCTGGGCATAATATCGTCCCAATTCCTTCGCTGCTATTCGACCCCGCTCCTCGAATTTGATTCTCCAGTCTAGATCGGACGCTGTGTCCTTCTTGAAGAAGAGGGTATGTCTGAAAGGTAAAACTAATCGTTCGTTCAAGCGTTTCTGGTAGAAGTAGAAGGCGTTCTCAAACGGTGTGAGAGCTCGGGTGAGCAAGGGCGCTCGGGTTAGAATAACCCCGGACTTTATGCGGTATTCTGATCTACGGGATGCGGTAAAGGGAGGATGTGGTTGTGATTCGGTGGGTTTCAGGTGGTGAGCTTCGGCTGCCGCAGCTGCCTCGGCGCCGGTTGAGTATGTTCGGAATTGTGTAATTCTGCAGCTGGCGCATATACTGGATTGTCCTTCCAGTAGTTATTAGTATTAAGCGAGTACATGTGAAGTAGATATTGGGAGGATTTACTTCGTAATAAAGCAGCGGCAGCATTGCCTCCTCTACTTGAAGCAGCCATATTTGTATGTAGCTTTTGCAGGACCTCTTCCGGTGTCAATGGCAGAGGTTCCGCAGTTGCTTAAAGTCGTTTTTTGATGTCGCGCGACGAATCTTCAGATATTGAACTTTTTTCGAAGACCCCTGTCTGGTTCAAGTGGGAACTGGGTCTTGTGTACAAGCCACATTACTATCTTATCATTGCTTTTTGTGGCTTGAGGATGTGTCATTAAATCGATGGATCCAATAGAGTTGGACGGATCCGTACATATGTACGTACCCAGGTAGCGGAAGTGGGCGGCTGAAGTAATTGATTGGTGGCTGGAATGAAAGGTGGGGGCCCTTTAGTGGATGGCCGTCGTCATCTTGTCTGGGGAAATCGACCTGCCGAAGTACTTAGCAACAAGAACTTCGTCCGTTTCAACTTTCAAGTTGCAACACAAACTTCCTTCAATACATAATGTCATTCGGTTTCCGATTCGTACCGCCACCCCCTTCGAATGTATCCGTCACTCGTTGATCAACAATAGATTACGTCCCTATCCTTGCGAATAAGCTAGCATGCTATCGCACGACAATTCTTCGTAGTTGTTCGTTCGCATCCAACCTCGAGTAATTTCCATTTTCCAATGGGAGCCGCCGACTGCTCAGATGATTTGTGTACGGCGTCGGGCCTAGCCACGCCCTCGGCCTTGTCGACAACGATATCTCTCGCTCCTTTCATAATCACATTTGTGGCTGTATCCATTTTGGTCTCGCAAAAGATCTTCCCATATCTGGCCCGAGTCCAGAATTCGCGCGATGGCGAAGACCACTTCCTCCCTTCCGATGCCCCTCCTGCACTTCAACAAGCCCATGCCGAGCATGGTGCAAAATCCTTACGAAGACGAGTAGCAGAGATCGCTTTTTCTACGACAGTTGGGTTAGCAGTTGTCTTGGGCGAATTGATTTTGTGTGAAATATCCGAATTAGTTAATCCATATGCGCGGGCGCTGGCTCTGAGAGTCACTGTTCCGACCCTTTTGTTCCTCCTCATCGTTCTAATTCCCTTTCTCGAATTCCAATCCTTGATTTCTCGCTCAGGATGGTCTTTTCAGCGTACATCCAAGGGACATATACCTAGGGCTGCTTGGATACTTCAATTTGTGGTGTTTGGCATTTGGTTATTCGCTTTTTGGTCGCTTGGAAATCTTGTCCCAGTAGGAAGCGAGGCGGTGCGACCCAGTGCTAAGATGGAAAGAGTGCGAGTCGAACCTGAATTCTCAGCTAGCCTAGCACGCGCTTGCCTTGAGCGACTTGGTGTTGTTGGGATTTCACTTATGGCCTTGTTGTCTGGTTTCGCCTCGGTTTCGTCGCCGTGGCATACATTTGGCAGCCGCGCATCTCGACGCCCTGTCACAGAGGCGGATGTTGCTCGCAAGCAAGCAGGCCTTGACGCAACAAACGAGATGTTACTTTCAAAACGACACCGCCTACAAAGCTTACTACGTAAAGTAGCTGAGACTTCCCCAGGAGATAAACGCGGGTTCGTCACAAAGGTCATTGGCTCCATTCGTGGTGGGGGTGATGCCGCGGAAATTCGCACATTACGTCTTGAAATTGCTGGTCTCGAAGCTATGGAGGCAAATCTGTCTTCATCATTGTCTATGCTGCGATCTCGGCAAGCCAATTCAGCCCGTGCTGCGACGTTTTCTGGAAAACTTCTGCTTATGCCCACTTACGTATTCAGCGTGTATTGTGTCTACCGCATTATAGCGACCACCCTGACTACTTTGCGACGTCTCTATTATCCAACAGCTTCATTTTCCTCCTCGGATCCCATCAATCGATTCCTAGGTCTCTTAGCCAAACACTGGGATCCAAAACTTGACCAAATCGCTTGGGCTAGGCAAATTTCGTTTTTATTATCCGGTGTCATTCTTGCAGCAAGCGCGAGAAGTGCAATTCAAACATTCCATCTTTTCGCCAAGTGGACTCCCGGACTCTTATACCAAGCCCAGGCGAATTTAGCTCTTCTAATCGGGCAGATCAGCGCTATTTACGTGATCTCTGCCGCACTACTTTTGCGAAGTAATCTTCCTAAGGACGTAGGAAGTGCGGTAGGCGATGCCCTTGAAAGTGCTCTGGAGCCGGGTTTTGTGGATAGATGGTTTGAAGGTTGGTTCCTGCTAGCAAGCATAGCAACAGCAGGAGGTATCTGGCTAGGCGGGAAGATCAACGAGTGGAGTGAGGGTGAATGGGACGATATTGGCATGGAAGAGATGGGTCAGAAACGATCATAACATACAACAAACTTACATCAATGACACAAGTTATCAATACTCTCAGGCCATTGAACGACTACATCGTGGCAATAACACAACAGTGACGAAGAATATACGACATAGTGTCGGTCTAGAATATCAATACTGGGTTTAAAAAGACAACGCATCCTGATGGCGAAGATACAAGCCACCCGCTACCTATGGAACTATCTAATCTACAAAGCATAGATGCTAGCTTTCTCCGCCATGCTCCGTACGTCGGTTCACATCAACTAAGTGTGTATCCAATAAGGGGAGGGAAGACGTATATCCCGCGACCTAGGTCACCAATCCATGGATAACCACACGACTAAATCCAAGAACTTGCCTCAAGGCGGGTTCATTTTCACGAATATAGGCTGATTCGTCCGGGGCGTTCTAGGTAGCCTGGCTGGCCTAGATGACTCAACCGGCCGAGCCGCTGAATTCGGCGGCGTGCGCGCTCCATATTGCCTGAGCAATTGCCCTACTTGTCTTCTAGCCTTTTCTATTAGTTGATCTGCGTCGTCCTGATCCGGCCACTCTGGTCTCGCATTCTTGCAAATTTCCAGGGGGCACCTCCTATACCACCCTTGCTTAGCGTCTGCAACTTCGAATGGATGTTTCCCGTTCGGATCCCCAGTTAAGGCTGCCTCGCCATTTTCGAGGAGCAGACTCTGAACCCAACTTTCTTCTAGTAGATAAGTCGCATACTGAAGAGGGGTGTATCTAAAGCCCCGGGGGTTAGGATTTGCACCTCTTTCGAGGAGCATTTTCAGAAGCTGGCCGGTAACCGACCCATCACTCCGACCGTGCCCCTCATGAGGATTAGAGGGTCTAAGGGCAGTGAACACAATTCCAGGTTCATTAATAAAGTCGGCGCCGACTTCTATGAATAATTCGAGGAAGTCCAGGCGTTTCCATAATACGCATAGTTGAAGAAGCGTCACCCGTTCCGATCTAATTGGCGTTCGAGGAAGTCTTTCGTCGATGTCTGAATTAATCGAAAATTTATTCGACCAAACGGCACGCTTCGCTTCGGGCGTGAGGCCGTCGAACGGTTGACCTTTGAGGTAGTTCCGCGCCAATTCCGGCCACCTAAGCAACATAAGCGCGGCTATAATGCTTGTCATCTCATGGCCCTTTTTGTTCGCTCTAATAGGAATTTGTGTTTCTGGGGGTTCAATATATGCACATAGTGTTCCCCACTCCAAATATCGCCTACGTAAGTTCCCGTTTGTGAGAGCTTTCAGATGCATACTGCCGGGAATGAGGCAGTTTATCACCGATTTCCACACCGGTCGATGTTCGACGATGAGGCTTCGGCGGTCTCTTAATGCTAGGTCGGTCATCTCAAGACAGTGTTCCTCGTATCGACTAGGGCATCTCTGGTGGCGATTTAAATTCAAGCCGAATTGTTGTAAACCATCGAACATAGTTTGAACCTCTAGAGTGCGAATTTGGACATCCGTCAGAGCAAATTCCTTCGCAGGCCTTGGTCCAAGAGGCTCCTTCGCCGGTGCGAAAAGAAATTCCCTCACCGTATAATGAGCAATACTGACTTTTTGGTGCGGGAGAACTTCGTCATCGCGCCGAAACACAGTCGGGAGCTTTTTCTTCAAGTCCGTTACCTTAATAAGACAACCGAGTGTGTCCCTTAGCGTTCCAACGGAATACATATGCATCGCGCCGTATCGGACGTTATGCAAACACGCCTGTACCAATACCTCAGCACATTTGATGTTGGCGGTGTTGCTACATATTAGAACAAGAGCCGTGTGAGCGAAGTCGCGTTGCTCACGCGGTATGTCGTTGAGAATTCTCTCATACGTGTCAAACAAAGTCTCTGGCAGATCTGCAAGGGTCTCCCGTATCCCATCCTCATCCGTATAATTGTTGCGATTGATGATATCGAGCTGGCATGCAACCCACCGAAACCTAAGCTAGGCATTAGTAGCCACTCTCCAAGGCTGCTTCACGCAAACACTCACATCCCTCTGGCATTTCTTGCTAGTTGCTCCTCTACTTCCTCTCTAAAATCTTTCGACCACCAGCAGAGTTTCTCGTTCCTGTTGAGTTGCTTGCGGACGTATGTTCGTATCGCCTTCATGACGTCGCCATTCTCCATTGTGATAGGTGTGTAAGGGATGCGGCCATCTATCATTCTATCTGCTATCTGGTCCACTTCCATCGAATTGGTGTCACGGTCTCTTCCCTCTTCAACCATAGTCATTTTGTCTTTTATGTCTGGTTCTTCGCGACTTGTCATCAGTAATGAGACATGGTCGAAAGATTCGTCCGTTCCGATTTTAATTAGCACATCAAGCAACCTTTCCCGCGGCCTTCTACTCTCGTCGATAGCATCGACCACCAAATAAACTCGCTTGCCTCGCTGTGCGATTTGCCGTGAGATGGCTAGGAAACAGTCGAGAAGACTTGCGATAGTAAAATCCCCCTTGTGTCTTAATTCTTCTAGTTTTTGGGGGATAAAACGGCCGGCCTGTCTACTCAAATCGCTAACTATCCAACGCAAAAGGTGCATTGTCTCGTCTTGGTTCCGCTCGTTATGGCAGTAGTAATATGAATAGCCGATGGAACAGCAATGCGTCGCAATGGTATCAATGAGGTACGAGGCAAGAACTGTTTTTCCCGCTCCAGGAATTCCGTAGATCCAAATGAATCGCCGGTAACCGCTGGCATCAATTGAACCTCCGTCGAGCCACTGTTTCCATCCCTCGGTTTCGGTCATCCATTCACAAGTCCCGACCTCCCGCTTATTGCATTGCTCGCTGTGGAATTCGCGCATGTCGATTTTGGCTGGCTGGACCCAAGCCAGGATAGTTCTCTTCGCATTTTCTATTTCATAATTTAGCGAGGTTAGAAGGGACCCCGTGTAAATCACAGATATCTAGGTCTTACCGTCTAAATTCGCCTCTATACTCTTCATACTACAACTAAGGGTATTGAGATTCATCCTATTTCGACAAGTCAGCCAGCGAATTAGAAGGCCTAATATTGCTCTACCCACGCAGTATCAGTCTGTATTGCCAGGCTGAGTTGTGATTTGTGCCTCTCGAGTTCGTCCCGTAGCTCCTCGGCCTTCGTTTGATGAATCGACGACCACTTAATCGTGTGGCTAAGGGCATTCGGGGGCGCTTGAGTGAGGATGGGGACATTGATGCCCTCCATTCTCCGTCTCCTATTCCCACCAGCTTCAGGAGGCATTCAAGCTCACTGAGCGTGTGCTGACACTGGTCAAGGGATTGCGAAATATTTCTGTTGTCGGTAGTTCCTTCACCATCTTCGCTAAGAGTTATGTCGAGAGTCTCTAGGATGCCCTTTAACGTATTTGCCCCTAGGGTAATATCCCTAACGACCTTAGGAGCATTCTTCACACTTTTCAGGAATTCCGTGAAGCTATTAGCGACTCTAGTACTCAAATCAATGACACCGGGTATAAGGATCATCGGTTCAGCCATGATGTTCGATAGGAGTCCGGTAAAATATGTTGATATGTAACACAACGATGAAGATGGATAGAAGGCGATATTCGATTGAGGAAGAAGTGATTACTTATAGCCCGGTATTCCACTTGTGTGCTATCTGGAACGCTTATCTAGAGACAAATACTTGCTGGAAACAAGAGGCACAATCCGTAAAGTTTCATGCTGAAAAGCGATGGCTGTGAAATATGTGCTTGGATCTAGCTACGATGGCACACGCGGATATATGGTTATCCCTATCTAACAGCTTTTACAAGCGAAGCTATTGATCGATAAATACCAATCTACGTAGAGCAAAGCCTTACAGTTTAATACCTAATAGAGATAGGATTGTAACTGCCATCTTTTGTGCCCCTTCGTCACGATACTTCGCAAATAAACATGCCATCTAGGTATGGGAGTGGCATCTCTATGGCATACACGGGATATCAGCAAGCACGGATACGCCAGATTTTCACCAGGGATATTAGATTTCTATAGCTAACAGTATTATATATATTCATCTAACTGTTTTCGCGCATGCTTGGGAATAGTTTTGTATTTTGATGTAGAACTTACCCTTGGGCCAGAGATATCATCTTAATCACTCCGAATAGTACACCTCATGTTTTAACGGATATCTACCATGCTTTAATCTGTAATATGAGCGGCGTAAGGTGATACGTGTTTGTTTTCGTAAGTGGTACACCTTTCGATCTTGATTATTGGCCATATCCGCGTTATGGGTCTATATGGTGTACCCTTCATGAGAGCAGAGTGGATACTGTGCAACTTGAAGATAGAAGAAAGGCGGAAAGGAACCATATAAGGTTCTACTAAAATAATTCAAGACCTAAATCTAGAGGGTAGTTATTCAAGATAATCGTATAAGTGTATAGTAGATTCGGGTAGTTCCTGTATTTCACGAATTCATCCAATGTGGGCTCAAGTATAAGCTAACTTTAGAACAAATCGAACAACCATCCGAGTTCCTGCAGAATGTGCGGGTTAGGGCACTTTGGCGGAGTGGTTAACGCGATGCCCTGCTATATCCGAGTATTCGGTAACAGCGAAGGCATTCCCTTCGGGGGCGTGTGTTCGAATCACACAGGTGTCGATCGAATTTTTATTTTTGTCCGAAAGTACCTTTCATCTCATTTAGATGTATCATTTTTGAGATATCTGATCGGTTTTCGGTTTCTTGAAAGCCCCAATGCAGCCCTCACCGGACTTCCCCAAACAGACACCCGAGATCGTTTTCTTCAAACCAGCGACGGTCTTTTTTCCACGCATAAACTATTATGTCTCTTCCCACACGTGCACAATTTTCAACCTGCGTCGGAGTGCCCCAACCAGAAACCACTGTTCCAAAGCTGACAAGATGCGCTCCGAATTGAATCGCTGTGCGGAAAGCAAATTCTTCGCTCACCGCGCCATACCCGTCCACGAATCCTTGGACCATCCATAGACCGGCCGAGATATCCTTATACAGTTTTAACTGGTATAACTCGCCGATCATCTGGCCCACATCGAGGTTTCGTTTCCCTATTTGCGCCATCTCCCAGTCGATAACGAATATCGGCACGTCCACGCCCTCTTGTATGGGACCGCTAGGTAAGAGAATGCTAGTTCTACCGTTAGAAGAGCTCTTGAATGTACGTAACAACATTGAATATGGTAGCACTTACTTCCCCGACCAGAAATCGCCATGAATAACCTGCAACTCGCTCTCATTTTTTAACTCCGCGGCAGTCGCATCCCTAATTTCATCGAAGACACCTTCCACTTCACTTAAAATAGAGGGAAACAGCTTAATCCGATCTAGCAACCACGTGAAATTAATGGTATGCTTTAGCAGCTGCAGTTCCGTATTCTCGGCAACCACGGCGCGCAAGTCCGGCTGTTGCGCCGCCCAATCGTGGAAGTCGCGGAGCCATCGCCCCAGCGCCTTCCCCAACTGTATGCTCTGGCGCTTCGTCGCTTCCGAGTCGGACCCGGCTCCGGCCGCATACGTTTTAAGTGCATAAGATTTTAGGTTACTCCCACTTTCTAGATACTCTTGGACCTGCGTGTTGTTACCGGCGTCAAAATGGTAAAATTTCGGCGTTCGGACTAGGAAGTTGTAAGGATCAATGGAATCGGCCTTGCCTACGATGGTGAAGGCGGATAGCGCACGTAGGCATTCTTCTTCGATTCGCTGTGATGTGTTAGTAGTTAGGTTACACGAATTTACGCTGATCTCGGAGTTTTCGTACACAGCGGGCTAGGGTTATCTTGAAGCTTGGATTATTCGCGATATATTCCTCGGAATGTTTTACGAGAACCTCTTTTGTTCCGTCATCGAGAGGCTGCGATAGGGTTGCGCGATATATAAAATTGGCTGTACCACCCGACAATATATCGAGAGATGATGATTCGTAGGGAGTTCCCTTGAGGCTTGCGAGTACTTTGGATGTAATATTTTCGGAGTTTGTTGACGCCATATTTAATATCCTGGTTTCTTTGCGGATGTGCTGATGAGGGGAACAATTTTAGTCAATGTAGGCTGGGTTAGTGACCATTCTTCAAGACATCGCTGACGAGCACCTGCTATTATCTTTAAATATAAAATCTCCGATGCATCCTAATATCATTTTCATCATCATTATTTTTCCGCCTACGATGGCTAGGCGATCTAAGAGTAAGCAGCCACAATCATTATGATGCAGTTGTAGCCTAGATTGGATCAACCTGCATCGGCCAATGACTCAAGTGCGAGACGCGAGCAATACGAGTGGTGAATTTCTGCATATTGAGCATGTTAGCGCATCTGCGCGCATGCGATGAGTCTATGTTCGCATTTAATTTCTGTATTCGTGATTTGTTGATCTAGGAGATCTTCACGATTTTCAGCACAACTAGTGGCAATAATGATAGATACTCTATCAACAAAGGGAAAGAGGGAAAACAGATGGGGTGACTACTAATATTTACATTTATTTACGGACACGATAAATGCATATCATTGCTATAAGCGAATATAAAGTTCCAAGTTTAGAGATTGGAAAATATCAAAACATACCGCCGACGTGACGGCCAGGTTTGATTGTAGAAATGGAAATTAGTTAATAAACACCTTCTTTATGGCAATACGCGAGGTATGGCACACAATGAAAATGGAAATATCAAAAATTACACGATCTACGATCCACGAGGGATAATAGAGGAGGATCAACACCGCGCTGTGCAATGCAGGTCTTCCCTCTTGAATACAGGAATGCTTGAGCTCCCAGATTCATCGCAAGGTAAGTATACCAAGGGGAAGAGACGAAAAGAACCAAAACAAATGGAGGAAAGCCAGATATTTATACAAATTCTGGGAGCGGTGAAGCGGTTGCCAAGGTGCACACGGACCGCAACAAAATGGCAGAATAAACTTGTTAGCGCCCAATGAGAGAATAAGGTATTGTGGAGACATAGCTTAAAAGTATCTCGCTAGGAAATTAGTATCGGAAATCCACCTGCTCTTTGACAATTCTTCACATTGCACTGAACTGCCCTTTGATTATTCGACGAACAATATTGAAAGCTCCCACTGTTCTGATTTATTTAATTATCTCAAACGCGTATTGGAATGTGGGATAATAAAGTAATTATCCAGTGAGACAAGTGCTGCTTTCCCATTCACATTCTACAGCTGTTTGCTGTCCTTCGCCAGATGTCGTCACATTGTGGAAAAGAATAATACGAGCCAATAAAACCTAGGTCAGGGGTGAGCTGGTCGGCACCTCAAACACCCAATTGTTTCGTTTCCTGTTTGTTACATCCTCCTTCTTCTCCCATTGGTTTATCGCCTCCCAATCCTGACCATAGGGTCCAATTCTTGGGGTTTGAACTGCTTAACCTTTGGTACCAACTTCGTTCATCTACAGGTTATGAACGAGTTATGAGGCAACAGCTGCGAGTGAGATAAACCGATCGCCGTTGGTGGGTTGGCTTTTCCACGCGAGAATGTCCGGGGTTGTGGTGAACTGATGATAGCCAAGAAATTTTCGCTTGCCGGGGTCTAAACAAGTCGAAATGAGCCAGAATGGCAAGCTTGATCTGAATTAGGAAATGCAAGGACTCCTTAACCTTCTCGCTTGCAGAGGGAATTAAGTAAAAAATGTTTCCCGTAGAGTGTTTCCCTCATTAACTCTCGTCCTGCTTGCTACCTTCACCACGTTGTCCACCTTGGTCACCACCTCATTGGGTTCCTCCTGGATCTCAAGTTACCATCGTCATTTCCGACATGGCTTGAATCTTTCTTGTGATTACTACACGACCAGAAATAGAAGCTGTGCTTCGTTCTATTTAACATTCATTCCCGACTCGTTATTTCGCATTGACTGCTTTTTAGTGATTTAATTGCTTCCTATCGGAGCGCCACGGACGCCTCTTCCAATTTATTCTCTTTTTAACATATAATTTCGGTGTTGGGTGGTTGTTTCAGCCTTCTATCTATCGATCTGCCCCCATCCGGTCCGGGCCTGTTGGTTAACCCTCTCACAACTTCGCGTCTCGCGCCATTACCACGCTACTCAAACAGGCTGGCGCCAAGGTCACCTCACCTAGGACTATATACTATATGAAGTATAGTCTACCCCGTGGCACATATTATCCAATTTCCGCTTTCTTGATTTTGGACCCGGCAACCGTTGGTGCATAATTCGGACTTAGAAGGGAAAGGAATTATAGCGATTATCTTCCACAGCGTCTGATGTCAATATCGGCGTAAAAGATCTATTTATCGAAAATCGTCGATCTTAAAGCAAGTTGCTATAGGAAAGTGGGAAGCGAAAAGCTACGATATTTAACTATATCGTCCAAGAAACGCAGTGGCCTTGACACACGCGACACCTCATTGGGTGTGATTGTGGTCTTGCCGTCATTCACAGTATCCTGACACAGATCGCGTTTCGGCTTGTCGGTTCACTCGATTAAGCTAGACCTAAGCTGTATCTGAATTCTGGGCTGGGACGTCAGTGGATATTCTAGAAGGATAGTTGCCTTGTAGATCTTCTTCAGTACTTCAAACAAATCTCGCGGGCTGTCGCTTTTGACAACTGGTCAATAACAACCTTGCGCTAGAAAACAATCTCTTGCGCAAGGAATCTTCATTAAAGATGGCGTCGAGTCGGTCACAGTCGCGACGGCGACTTCTGGACTTTTTATTGCTGTTAGCTGTGGCCTCAACGTCTTCGGCTCTCAACTTATCGCAGTTCCAGGTTATCACATCGAGTCAAATACCGAAACGTTGTATCCGCGCCTACCAAACCGAGATAGCGGGTTGTACAAGGAACGACTTTACGAATGGAAGACAATGTTCGTCGAGTTGTGTGAAAGGATTACAGGCAACAACAGATCTTATTGGCGATGCTTGCGGAGATCTCAATGTTACCCCGAATTCGTTGCTTGGAATCGTGTTATTGGGGAACTTAGTGGAGGTGTTATGTCCCGGATATCAAACCACAACGGTGACCAAGACAGTCAAGCCGTCATTGACATCAGGGTTTTCAACAATAGTCCCTGCGCCTACCATTACATCAGTGGATACCAACACAAATGCCAATACTAAGACAACCAAAACGTCACAAAAGGCAACTCAAACTAATGAGGCATCAACGACAGTACAACAAACAAGTCAAGAAACTCAACCAGCGCCAACCACGAGTGCGAACCAAGACACATCATCGCCTTCAAATACCGATGCTACTCAAACACAAGATACGGCGCAATCCAGTGCGACTAATCAGCCGGCACAGTCATCGTCTTCATCTGACGATGACTCGGATACACCAACACCTTTTATAGGTGGTAGTCCATTCGATCCTGCGCCTATTCAAAGCTCAGGCAATACTTTACATCTGGGCTTCTGTATAGAAACCTTCATGGCCACCATCTTCAGTGCTATCTTATTGTTACGGTAGCATTATGCATAAGCACGGCTATTAGAGGATGTATGGATGTATACCTAGGTTATGTACGAGTATTGGTAATGTTTAAAATAAGGATCGAAGCGGAGGGAATAACTAGTTCGAATCACGAGAGGATTGGGTTGATACCTTGGTGAAGCACTGTATGAGATGGGTGGTGTGAAAGGATGGATGGCTGGAAACAACTGTAATGTTGAACGTTTTTTGATACCAAACAAGCGAGGGTTCTTGGGTTGGATCTCGCTGTTTTGTACAATAGAAACCCCCAAACTACCTACCTAGACAACTTAGAAACGAAGAGATGTCATAAGAACAAAATAACTCACTCAACTCTTGAAATGAAAATGCTAGTGATCTTGTCCCGAGTTGCCGAATATCGGGATAGATGCATGTTAGTTAAAACCCATAATGGTTTAGCGAGGTCGGAAGAATAGAAGGCGGTGAGATTCTGCCAATCTGCCTAAACTGCTATTGGTTAAAGGTGTACAGTAGCCCACTCCGAGCCGGAGTGCCGAGGTAAGGGACTCGTAATACAATTTAGGTGCATGTCACTGCTGTTACTGCGCTGAATATGTTACATGCTATTACTACTACGCCTTGTAATCAACAACGCTGGCGTTTCTTCAACACCTACCATATGGTTGTATGAAGAATCGGGTAGTGGTGAAATTTGCTTTTTCCTTTGCTTGAAATAATAAATTTATTCTTTTTATTGTTTCATCCTATTATATCTCAAGCGTTCTCGCGCTTTGTTAGATTCTAGATTGCGGTCATTGGTCGATCTATTATCCATCGATCGATCTGTCTTATACCATTACCATTAGCATCTCCCCCCTTTTATCGATAGCGGAGCATCATCGTCGCATTGCATTAATCTACATTGTGCATTTTGACTTATACAGCTCATCTACTATCTACACATATATACAATCAACCCACAAGACTCGATCTATCCAAAATGAGCTCCACCGAAGCCGTCGTCCCCTCCACAGCGGACCTACCATCCGGGGACCCAATCCCCTCCGCCAGCGCCGCACCGCCATCCAAACCGCGCCCGTTCCCAATCCGCGACGTCATCGCCGCGGCGCCCTCCAACATCGATGCTTTCCTAGCGCACGTACAGCGCTGTCTTCAGACACCCTCCGGCATCGACACAACCCTCCTCTTCCTATGCTACGCCTCGCGCCTCTCAGCCGGTATCCTCGAATCCGTCTCGCGCCCCGCGATCAAGCGCTCCGCGCAACAACTCCTCGCCCTCGCCGCTAGTCTCCCGCCCTCTGCTACTTTGGTGTTTACTAGCAAGACGTTTCCGTCGCATGGCGTGACGGTGATCCTGGAGTTGGCGAAGAGGTTGAGGGCTTTTAGTGCGATGTTGAGTGAGGTGCGCACGTTTATGCGGTTGTGGGGGCTGTTGAATATGTACTTCTGGCTAAGACGGCTTGTGCTGGAACGGAGAGCTAGGAAGGCTGCGCAGAAGGAGGGTGTGGAGGTGAAGAAGACGGATGCTGTTGAGACGACAATTTCTTGGTTCCAGCTTTCTACTTGCATCGTCTTTCAGGCGCTCGAGAATGGCGCGTATCTCTCGTCTAAGGGCGTTTTGGGTTGGTCTCCGACGACCCAGCGCCGTGCCTCATTATGGAGCGCCCGTTTTTGGGCTGCGTTTGTGGGAGTTGAGGTCGGAAGACTGTTCTATGAGTCGCATAAACGCGGATCGCGCACTAGGGCTGAGAAATTCGGTGATGGAAAGACAGCGGCCGAAGTCGAGGCGGAAGAAACTGAATGGGCAAGTACATGGCGCAGGACTGTGACGAGGAATTTGGCCTGGGCCCCGCTTACCCTGCATTGGAGCACGGAGGGTGGATTACTAGATGATTTGGCGGTGGGGGCGCTGGCATGTGTGCCGGGCGTTCTCGGGATTAGGGATTTGTGGAGGAGAACGGCGGAGTAAAGCTCATCTTGAACGTATGGTGTTTAATAGTGTAGGATTTGGGTGAAAGGTTGGGGAATATAGGTTTAAGACCTATATCTGAGACGTGATGTAGGTCTCGAAGGAGCAGGCCATTGTCACTGGCTTCTTTACATCGAAGCATTAGGAAGATAAAACTTCCTACATTTGGGGTTAGAAGGCTTTCATCTTTATATTGCTACGTAAAGCGGATTTCATAGCACGTATAGACCACCAAAATGCCCGGCCGAATATTGCGTTGGCTCTTGATAGGGGCTACAATAGAGGCCTATACATTTTTTTTTTTAAAAAAAAATGACCTCGGCCAAATACAACGATAAATAAAGTGGAAGTCAATTATATCTATCACATTTAACTTTTGAATCTATTAAATTTTCAAAGTAGGTTGAAAGCTAGAAGTATAACTTCAGCAGGAACAGCACTATAAATGTGGGCCACGTGATCACCGGAGCAAGAATTTCTCAGTGAGTCAAATCTAAACCGATCAATAACTTTCAACAAATTCAATTATACAATCAAATATTCCATTACGATAGCGAAAAGGGACCTCTCGAACCACATCGAAAGCGCCCTATATTATTTTGAAAAACTTATCCGAAGTGGTGGATTTGACCCGATGACGACAACGGCAGCACCTCCGGCCGAGACGGCGGGGTTGTCTCGGCCGTGTAATCGGTGCAAGGAACAGGAAGGCACGATAGATCTTCGGGGCGCCGAGGTGGTATGCAAGTACGTACCTGACTTCACCAGCTATACACCGAGATATATATCTATTTCTCCTCTTCATTTAATCATCTATTTATATGCTAATGTCTTACAAGGTCTTGCTTCGCATACTACGTCACCACCAAAGCCGTCAAGCGGCTCGAGGTACTTCAGAGGGAAACCGCTAGTCCTATTCCTCCCCGTGGCAGTAACGGGCCAAAGAGTCAGAGACGGACTCAACGTTATTTAATCGCATTATCGTGCGGACCTTCATCTACAGCATTGTTACATGTTCTATTTGAGAACCTCAAACAGCAGCGTGCTCGAGGACGGAAGGTTGCGCGGTTTGAATATGTCGCTGCGCACATCATTGATGACACTTCATCCACCCCAGATAGTGCGGAAGATTTATTATCATCATACCGCGCGCAATTTCCAGACTTAAATCTCGTATCTATCCCTTTGAGTTCTGCTCTTGATCTCACGTCTATCAACTGGGTCTCTCTCCCTTCCCCCACCACTTCCCTAGACTCCGCCCCCACTCCACCCCAACGCTTATCTCAAATCCTACATCATCTTCCCTCCACCACTTCTCGTGCTGATGTCCGACGTTTCCTAACACGGCATCTACTCGTCGCCGCCGCCGTATCCCATAACTGCGACGCCTTACTCTTAGGCCACAGCACGACATCCTTAGCAGAGCTAACACTATCCGAAGCCGCCAAGGGCCGTGGATTCTCACTCCCTTTTCTCGTCAACGATGGCTCCATACCTCTCCCGGCCAATCTAGACCTATATACAAGTCTAGGGACAAGTACAAACAGCCCAGTCAGCAACGAGTCTAAACCTACTCCCGCTACAACATCCACAACCCTACCAATATACAGTCCCCTCCGAGAACTCTTCCGCAAGGAACTTATAACTTATCTGCGCGATAACGCTCACCCTCTCGCAGAGCTCCTACATCTCCTTCCGTCCACTGATACCTCTTCCGCCACAAATACTGCCACTACCGCTCCAGCAGTAGTATCCCACCGCGATCTAAGCATCGACGAGGTACTCTTGCGCTACTTCGCCGACGTCGAGACTAATTACCCATCCGTCGTCGCCAACGTAGTACGCACGACAGGGAAGCTACTACGCCGACCTAACGATACCAACTTCAATGATGGAGATGGGGAGGTAGAGTCCTGCGGGCTATGCGGAACGGCGTTAGATGAGCTAGGAGATGAGCGTTGGAAGGGGGAGATCGGCGAAAGAGAGCAAGAGGAGATGGCCGACGGCAACGATGATGGAGTAAAGAAGCCAAAATCGAAATTATGTTATGGGTGTGAAAGATCAGTACACGGATAGCATATAGCACTTATCACCTAACAATAAAATAAACCAAAACTTGAAAATGAATATTTATTCACCGACACCTTTTGGTTTGAACTCCTATCTACCTCCCATATATGAGGAAGCTACTTCAGTGACAGCATATATGTAATTTGACTTTTCCGTGTCTAAGAGTACTCCGAACCTAGCATTTTCGAGTATTTATAGGTAGTTAGGTCCATTGTCGATCCGCAATCCCCTCTATAACGGATTCATTGTAGTCACCGACTGGTATTGCAATCATGATACGAATATTCAAGTGGATCTCGCGGAAGATCCTACTTTCTAGACCATACCCTCATCTTTATTCCTCCCCTGATCATTTGTGCCGTCGCTGTCTCATTTAACTTGGCTTAGTTTAGTAGCCTCAAGCTTTGCCTAGTGGCGAAGCCGGTAATATCCTCTTCTCGATCTTGCGCACGAGCTTGTTCGTCTGTTCTGCCAAACTTAGAGTTAAGATGGTATGCGGTAATATTCGGGCCAAATGGGGTAAAAAGCCTTTGTATATAGCAAAGAAACCTTCAGTCCTGATCGTTTTGCCTAGGCAGTCAAAGACACCCTTATATAAGTTGCCGTTTTGGTTATATAGTCGGGACATAATTGTGTCTGGTTAACCCGTTAGTAGCAAATTCATATGAACGGGCCTCGGTGGCTAGAAATGTTACAGAGGCGGAAATAGGCAAGATGACGTACCGGGCGGATGCATAAAACAACACACGACGAATCCCGACACCGTACTACTTGCCAAATGCAACGGCGCGCCCTCCTCCATCCCCAAATGCCTGACCAACCGTCTCTTCGCAAAGAAATATGTTGGCAACTGCACCGAACTACCAAAACCCGTCCTTATCATCGCCGCACCGACACCACGGTATAATCCACCAAAGCCCTCGGCTTTATAAATCTGCGAAAGGCCATCGAACGCATTGCGATAATTATGCTGCGTTCCCACAGGCAAGAAAGGCGAGAAACTTTGTAACCTCGTCTTGACTAAGAAAAACGGGCTACCCGCCGCGGCTCCGATGATACCGGACGATGCGCCGCAGAACATGTTAATACCCAGGTTTTGCTTGGTACCGTCTTTGAGAAGTAGCGTGGCAAGACCATTGCGCATTGGCTCGTAAAAACCGAGTCGACATCCGTTCAGCAGGACTTGGTAGACGTATGCGCATCCAATACCCCGATATATGCCGCGCAGACCCTCGTTCCGTACGATGACGCCGACGCCGTGGAAGGGCCCACGGTAGTGGTGTGGTTGGTGGCCTTTCGTTTGGAGTTCGCCTTGAAGCTGCATTCTGTAGCATTGTTCCGTGTCAGCCAAGAGCTTCTTTCCAGATTTTCCCATGATCACAATTCGACATATGATATAGGTATAGACCCGAGTCATGCGAAACTGCGTTGTTATACGCGATCCACCAAAAGCCATGTGCACGAAGGGATGAACGAACGAACGAAACAAAGGTATGCGTACCGAATCTTAACCGTCTCGAAGGGATGTGTTGCCGTGACAGCTCCGACGGCAGCTATACCGCCGGCCACGAAGGCACTGCAGATCTCGGAGTTAGCCTTTTTCGAAGCTTTAACAAAGAGTTATAACTCGACAACCCTACATACCCAGCAGTAGTCGACATGATGCCCTCGTCCCAAGTACTCCGTTTACTCGCTCCCCGTCCAACTCGGAATTGCTCTCGTCTCGAGAACCTATCTCCCCCGGTAGAATTATGTCGTCGTGGTCGAAAGTCTTTGGCAAGTCACCAGAATTGTCTTGCACGGTAGTGGTGGAAATTGACTCGGCGCAACGAGAAAAAAAAGGGAACCCGAGACCGTTACCGCACATGCAAGTTAGATCGATTGAATCGGTATTTGATTCTAGCTAGGTAGCTACCTCGCTAAGCTGTGTTCCCGAAGTACTGGGTTTCAATTTGCCGAGTAGCTTGTGTGTGGTGGGGAGGAGTACGATAGAACCGAGCAGTCGGGTGGATTGCCTGCCGTATAGGAAGGGCGGGATGATGAAAGAGAAGAGAATTAGGAGCTATGAATACATGGTTTATTCATTTTACAGTATTAAGTAAGATAGGGCTAGTTGATTAAATAGTTAGGCTGGTTCTTGTTCGTGTCTGACAGCTAACAATGAATCCATTGAAGACAAAATATATTAGTGACTTCTATTCTGCGTGTAATAAAATAAAGGTATAAGCTCCGAGGATTGCCGATCCGCGGTTGGTTCCTTCGATTTTAATCAATACTCCGAGCTCGCTGATCCCACAATTATACTAAAAGAACTTAAAAGAGCTAAATTAAAGGTGGTAATTTCCTAAATTTCCTAAATTATCATTAGCAGATGTGTGCATGCGACCTAGCAAGGTACATTAGCTTTCTTTAGCCATGCGTCTCTTTTCGCGTACCTTCCCCACTACGAGCTTGTTGTACGGACTTAACGGGACACAAGTACGACCGTCTCGATTAGTAAGCTTATCGTATAGGGCTGTCTCACGAGTTGTCATCGAAGTCATCGAGTGTAATCGAAACCATGTAACCCACATATACCTGATGTTGGGTCATTCACACACTTCATTTTTCAAAAAGCGATAAGGCCCAACGGTGTAAGTCAGGTCGAGTGTCAATTCATTGTTATGTCCGATTCAACCTTGATATCATTGATGCCGTTCAGCATATACCAGACTCCCTTATACCGTGGCCGATCCCTCCCCGCGCGCGCCTAGCCTCGGAATGCATTCTATACTTTACACCGCCCATGGACACATGCTTCGTAGAACCATAGATATATCCTACCAAAAAAAAGGAAAACAAAAAAGATGACATATAGCTCGTGAGAAAAGCGCCCAGAGCCTCCAACTTCAAGCGCTTGTGAAAATGCGAGTCCTTAGTCCCCGGGGAGAATAACTTCTCTGCCCTATATCATCAAAACTCCTAGTACCACGCCGAGCTTCCATGCGTATGGTAGATGTAAATAACGGATCCGACATGTAGGATCTTGTGATTCAACTCTCACTTCGTTCATCGAATAGGGGACTCGGTACATGGGGCGATACGCAGTTACCGTTAATGCGAAAACAAGTATCGCCCATCACTCTCTTTTGACAATCCTTCTCATTCGTGATGACCTATAAATCTCCAACGTGGGCTATGAACTACATGGGAACTACCATCCTATGTCTCGACGACGGGATGTGTTATCTTCAAACTTAGCGACGTATTCGCAAAGTCTGAGTTCCCTGGTAGTAATTAGCTGTGTAGTTCCATCCAAGATGAACCTATACTACCTCTTCAAATCATCAAGATGAACCGACGGCTAACTTAGGCAACAAGTAGAAGAGCTGTAGACGCCCTATGATCTCTCAACTCCTGCTTGTGCTGCTGCGTCTAGACTACTCATGCCATTTCGCCTAGTGCTCTCTTGGCTCACTCGTGAAGGGTTACCATCGAAAACCCAAGGACCTGCGTCATTACGGGGGGTAATTGGGCCTTCGGTGGCGTTGGTCAAGGGATTATTGTTTGGCGAAGGCGTTCGGTTTGTTGCGGATCGGTCGCCGCTAATACGAGGCGTTGCGTTCGGTATTGGAACGGGTTCCGTTACGGTATGCCTCGTTGAGACGGCTTGTGAGACTGCAGCAACTGTGGCAGGATCGAGTTGCATCGTCATCTCGCCTACGTCACCATCGCTGGATGATTGCTGTGCATCACCGTTGCTATTCACCGGTGAAGGGACCGATGATGCGGCATCGTCATTCGATTGTGACGCGGGGCCAACGGATTTTTCTTCCTGGATGTCATCCACGCCTGAATCTAACTGCTGCCATTCATCTGACGGCTCGTCCACTTCGGCGTCTAGGTCGGCGGTAGCTCGGCAGTTTGGGCATATAAAAATTGGCCACGATGGTCCATTTAACATCTCGCGGATACATTTATAATGCCATGTATGGGAGCAAGGAGCAACGAAAAGAGACTGGCAAGGCTGTGAGGCAAAGATATTAATATGGCTATGTCTCCGAACATAACACTTAGGGATGGAATCGTGTAACATACTGCAATTGCGTTCAGACAAATAGAGCAATCTTGCGCATGGGCGGAAGTTGCCGCTGTCGAAGTCAAATCTCGTAGGCGCTTGTGTGTTGCCATACTAATATATCGTTAGTCCTATACCCATATAAAATAGAAGACACGCAACGTGGAAACTAGGGTGAGGGTCGGAGATCCGAATCTTGCGGAAAGCGTCCCGGTAGGACGAGAGGACTGTTGGTGAAACGTACTTGAAGGTGTTTGGCTTTGATTGCCAACCTCTGTTAAGTTCTATGCGCATCTTTACGCATCGATATATCATCTCCTCTCCGCCCTTGAAATCGATTCCTAGTTGTACTATATCGCCATCGTTGATCGGAAACGGCTTCGACTCGGTACCCGGAGCACTTAGGCGGATATGATTCAAAAACGTACCAGAGGAACTCTTAACATCTTTAATGAACCATTTTCCCTTTTCGAACCAGAACTCGCAGTGCCGACGACTCACGACCTTGCTCTTAAAGCCCACCGGAGCGGCGGAGGGCGTGTTGATCGGCACAGGAGCGTGGTTCTCCCTCTCCGAGTATCGACCGACCTTAATGGTTTCCTTTCCTGTAGGTAACGTACGCGAAATCGGAGTAAACGAGAGGGAAGGTCGATTTGATCGTGCATCGTAAAATGCGGAGAAGCGTATGGTCGGTAACACATCGTGGGCGAGATCGCCCGTCGTTGCTGATCGTGTTCTCGTCATATCTGCGTCGGATGATTGGTCTAGGTTTTCGGGATGAGTGTTCGGATCGGATCGTGAATTTAGTAAGGCTTCAGAGGCAGCCTCAGAAAATTTGCTAGTCCGGCGACGGTGAGTCCTGCTCGAATCGTTGGTTGTTGTGTGTGCGTCTGCTGTTGTATTGAGTGGGTCCGAGTCGACCTCACGAGGCACGGCGGAGCCCGAGGGGTGACCGGAGTTGGTGGGGGACGAAGTGGACGGGATTGATGTGTCGTGGGGAGTGGTTCTGTTGTGATGAACAAGGCTGGCGGTGTCGCGCGACAAAAGATGAAGGTGAATTAAACCTCGAAGCCTGCTGCCTCGACCCGGAGATGAAGGAGGAGCCGGTGGAGCGGTTGTAGAAGGTGCGAGAGGCGGGAAAAGGCCCGTTGGTGGCGGCGAAGGCTGTGTGAACATTTATTATGGTTTTTATGTGGGAGTCCAGTTGAAGGGGAATCGGATGGGGCTTATAGGAAGAAGATCCTCCCAAGGTCCAAGGGCCGGCCGTATGATTGACGAACGGTAGACCGTTGTTTTAACTAGTATAAAACCGAAAACAATTTACGACGAATCGTAACGGAAGAAATTTCCAACATCAATTTCAAGTGGAGGAAAATAGGGCTCGTTTCTCCCAATTATTTCTCTTTTACTCAAGTATTTTGCGCAGGAAATCGAAATCGAGTAACGGTAAAACGTAGGAGTGGTTACTGATATCTGAAAAAGGACCCTTTCGCAGTGGGCAGTGTGGGGAAACTGAACTTGGGGGGTATTTCGGTCCCCTCGAGGTCTTATGGTTCGCAGGACGCGATGCGGAGTCGGGTGATCACTTGTCTAGGCCAGGCCAAACGTGGAACCAGGTAGTTGTTTGCATTAAGTGTTGATCTCCAGTTTAGGATGTGTAGGTTTGTGTATATGCGATTGTTGTTGTTGTTCTTCTTTTTTCTTAATTATTAACTACGGTCCTAGTTGTCGATAGCAAGAGAGTTACGCTGTTGTAGAACAAAATACAATGGAAAAGTAGGAAGGAATACAAGAAAAAAGAATGGATCGGACATGGACGAGAATGCATGTATTATTCCATGTACAAAGTGGAATTACCAGGAACATTTGAAATTTTAAAAAAAACTTAACTAGAACATTTAATCAACCAAGGCCGAGAAAAAAACTGGCAGGTCTTACTTCAAGAACTGACGACATTGCTGTTTCTCTATTGATTAAGGTACTGTCTTACATGAAGTATCTAAGTACCGTAATGGTACAGTACAGTATCTACAATTATAGAGGTATGTACAATACTTACAAACATATTATTTATACGTTGGCAGCTTCACACAATTTACTTCAAATGCTGTAGGCAATTGTAGGTAATACATAGGCATTCATGGGATAGCCGTTACAATTCTGACAATAATATACCTAAGTTGGCTTATGGGTAAATTTTAGAAACATACCATGCCAGATGAGGGAACGTAATTGCAACCACTATTACTTTCTACCCTAGTTTTAGGTACCTTTAATGCCTACAACGCCTACATTACCTACCTCATTGGTACGTTATGTACATCATACCATCATACGCTACATATGTAGGTAACCTTGGAGGCTAAGGGCTTTCGATAAAGAAAATCCGTACGTACATGTAAAAAATAGGTACATGAAAATCCTACGTGTACTACCTGGGGTAGACACCTAGTTGTAAGCAAGTACAAGTATAGGTACAGGTACAAATACACCAAAATTACTATCCATTATCTGCCTTTCGTACGTCATAGGATCACCTCGCCCTCCTCATTCTCCTCGCCTACTTTGCCGCGGTCGAATAGGATGTAGTCAATAGATAATAACTAATATGCCATTCTAAAAGCCTGCATGCCTTCTCTGCAACATCATGGAGCTAGAAACATGCAACTGGGGCGAAAAATTTCAAAAAAAAGTTGACCCGAAGCCACCAAACAGTAGTGCGTGGTATATTATGTGTTAGTCTTATTTACGGAAAACCTATGGCTGCTTGCGATTCGTGGCCTGTCAATGGTGGGGTTTCAACTGGAGTCAACTAAAAAAGCTACGATGTCTCAAACCATCTCCGCTTGGCGGTGGAGGAATATTTCTGTACCATCATGTTAGGCGTACCGAGGATTCGGAGAACCCAGCAAGCCTCCTAACCTAGCAGCCTAGGAGAAACCGGACAAGACTAATAAAAGCCCTTTGTTTCGCCCTCGGCCGCTTCAGAATATTCTATAAGCACTACGTAACTGACACAATATTCGGGCCAACCTTGTCTTTCCGGTTAGCTCGGTTTACTTATTTGCTTTATTAGTGACTTCGTTACCTAGTTGGTAGGATCGCAATCTTGAAAGTTTTAGGAGCTTTGAAATCCGTAATGTTTATGCGCAATAGTACCTATTAATAAGGGCATCGCAAATCCTAACATAGCATTAATTGTTCCATGATGCTAGATAACAAAGTATTCGCCTAGAAACACGCACCTCTTGCGTTAGGTATTATCCACAATGTCTTCACTCATTCCCCAGGTGCTCAAATGAATCGATTTGCTCGACTCCTGCTCGACTCTGAATTCGCGCAATCCGCGAGGTGAAAAGGAATTAGCATAGCCACCGTAACGCCTTTGCCACCGGACCCTGAAATCCCTTAAACCATTTCAATGACGATGAAAACTTAAGTCTATGCCATGACGGTTAGACAGAGGGAAGGGAGAGAACACCCCCTTATTTTGCGGTTTTCTGCTTCTTTGCCTTGGGCTTCTTCTCCACTTCTTCCTCGTCAGCCATTTCCTCGTCCCCATCTTCATCCTGTCCACCATCAACATCACTCTCTCCACTTCCAGAACCGGACGATTCGTGAGCCGAATCGTATTCCTCGGCCACATCACTTTCACTTTCGGCCTGGAAATCTTCGTCGACGCTCTCTTCATCCTCGTCAGCTGAACCGCGATCCGCTCTGGCGCCGACTACCTCCTCTTCAGATTCGTCCATGGCTTCCTCGCGGAGGGCTGCAGCTAGTAGATTGGCGTCTTCGTCGATCTCGTTCTTAACGCGTAGACCCTTCAATTTGAAGAAACTTTCGAGCGCCTTCAGATCTTCCCTGTTAATGTTGCTGAACTGATGTGACGGCCCGCCGCTCTTCATATGAACTGCGATATCAAAAGTCGACAACGCGGAGACTGCGCCGCTAACACGGGAGAAAACAATTGAGGATGTTTGATCGTAGGATACGTAGGTCGCAGGCTTTGGCACGAACATGAAAGCCTTTTCGAGACAGTACAAGAATCCTTCGGCCGCCTTGATGGAGCACTTGATACCGAATTGATTTCGGTGCGTCATGAAATCCTTGGCCGGGGAAGTGATCTTCTTGTTGGCAAGACCCTTGAAAATGTAGGTAATGACCTGGTGTAATGGTTGTTCGTAGTGTGGTTGTAAGCGGTCCTTGTACTGCTCATTTAGCTGCTCTTCGGTGAGGTTGAGATCAATAGTCACTTCCTCGTCCTTCTTGGCTTGCATAACGATGAACGGATATCTCGTTTGTCCCTGGCGCAGGGGTGGGTCGAGTCCTATACACAACATAAAGTGTAGTTCGTCTGGCTTCGGAAGGACCATAAACTTCTTGATAGCCTCGTACTGAATCTTGTAATCGTAAGTCTTACCACGGAGGCGGAAAGACGCCTCGTACATATCGATATCGAAACGACCACTACAAAATAGTGAGTAAAGCTCATAATTTAAGTTAAGAAATAAGACGAACCGTGGTGTAAGGTGCAAGACTTCCAAGAACGTAGCGATCGCATCGCCTGCAGTCTCACCAATCTCGGCCTTGTCCATAAGAGTCTCATAAAATAGAGTCGCGGCATTCTTCTCCTCTTCTGCGCCGCTTCCCGCTTCTTCTCCTTCCGTCTCTTTACGAGTGGTTGTACCGGGAATGTAAAAACGCATTTCTACAAGCTGATCTTTGCCCGCGCCAGACTTCTTTCCACGACCTCGCGCACCACCCAAGTGTCCATTTGTGCCTGTATCATCTTCATTCGAAGCGGCAAACTCGACGGCGACTTCGTTGCGACCAGCAAGGTTGGTGTTGGAAATTTCGGAGTATGGGATCTCGAATGAGGGCTTGTTCTGGACGTTAAATACGAGTTCGGCCTTGCTAAATTCTGTCTTTCCCCAATTCCAGCCTCGTAGTGCGTGCTCCTTCGGGTCAAGATTTATGCTGTACCAATTCTTGAAGATCTTGCTCAAGCGCTCTAGGTCCTATGATGATAGAGATGGTCAATTATGGTTGCTATGATTAAATAGCTTGATATTTTGGTTTCTCTCACTTCCTGTTGAAAACCATCAAGGTGAACGAGCTCTGAAGATCGCTTCAGAATTTTGACTTCGTAGCCTTTCGCGGCTCGACTCCATTGCGCATAAGCGATATCGCCGCGATCGAGAGTGAATGTGTTGCCGCCTGCTGAGGGTTTCCAGCCCAGACCGTTCTCGGCGAATCTGCACTTGCCGGACTCCTTGGAGAGATCCAGGAAGATATTATCAAAATTCTCACTGTCGGTTCGTTCTAATTAGTTAAATGAATCGCAAGATGGCTTAAGGCCCTACTTACAAAGCCGCCATATTGATGATCAGAGTGGTGAAATGTTAGGCTTTTGATGAATCGGACTGCAAATGCGGCGACAGCTAAAAAACTGTCTGTTGGGTTTTAAGAGGAAAAAGTTCAGAAAGCAGCGCGTCGACGCGGTACCTAAAGCTAAGCTACTTAGTATGGAACTTTGAACTTTTTGGCGTAAATTGAACACGTGATCCAGTTAGGTGAGCTTACCTAGGTAACCAAGGACGTGATGTGGTAGGTGCGTTTTACACTGAAATGTTCACATTCTGGGGGGGAGGCGTAGAACCCCACCTGCCCTAAAGTTGCTTTGAATTCAGGGGACGATAGTGGACCTTCTGTCCTGCAAAAAAGGGCAGTGTTGCTGCAGAGCGTATTAGATTCAATGGGGAGGTACCTAGGTACATCAGCTAGGCTTCAAGTTTCAATCCTTTAATCAGATCAGCCTACCTTCACTGCCTCATAACCTCACCTAATACTATAGGTATCTTTATAATTGCTACAACTTTTCCCCCCTTATCGCATTAGGTTTTCTCTTCTTCATTGAGCTGTATGCTCTTCAATTAAATACTTGTTCCTTATCTTATTAACCCTTCTATTGTCTACGGCCAATCATGTCTGGTCGCTTCGTTCGAGCGTCCAAATACCGTACGTTTTCCTAAGCGCTCCCTGTGTCAGGACAAACGTGCGACTGCGACCATCTAAGCTAACCCTCAGCTCAGGACATGTCTTCGGCAAATCTACACGCAAAGAGTTCTGCTATGACAATCTACGTATAAGTCGAAATGCTTGGGATACCAACTTGGTTAAGGTCTGAATCCCTTCTATCTATTCAATGATATTACTTTGCAAGTTAGGGGCTGACAATGTTGGTCGCAATAGGCCAATCCAGAGTATCTCTCCGTCAATTGGGAAGCCAGTGGCGGAGGTGCTTTCGCTGTTATCCCCTTAGGCGAAAAGGGCAAGGTCCCCGACGTTATTCCTCTGTTCCGTGGCCATACTGCTGCCGTTCTCGATACCGACTGGTGCGCACGCGACCCTTCGAGTGGCTGACTCCCCTATTTCGAAAGACTTTAACCTAATCTTGCTAAAGGAACCCTTTTAATGATCGTCTAGTCGCATCAGCTTCCGAGGATGGCAAAGTGATGTTATGGCAAGTGCCCCAGGGCTTTACCTTGTTGACGGACGCCGAAGAACCAGCTGATGTGTCTCCTGTCGCCAAACTGACTGGTCATTCGAGAAAGGTTGGCCAGGTCCTGTTCAACCCCGCCGCCGAGAATATCCTTGCTTCTGCATCTGGCGACCTCACGATTAAAATATGGGATATTGGTGCTGGCTCCCCCGTTCATACGCTGAAGCACCCGGATATTGTCCAAAGTCTGTCCTGGAATGCCAGTGGTACGATGCTAGTTACAACATCGAGGGACAAGAAATTGCGTGTATGGGATGTACGACAGGAGCGCCCTGCGCATGAAGGTCCCGGCCACGAGGGTGCCAAGAACAGCCGGACCGTGTGGCTTGGAGAACAAAACAGATTTGCTACAACTGGTTTCTCGAGAATGAGTGATCGTCAACTTGCCCTTTGGGAGCCTGGCAACAATACTCCTATTGGCGGGTTCAAAACTCTTGACAGTATTTCTGGCGTTTGCATGCCTTTCTGGGGTAAGCTGGTTTTTAACATATACCTGCAGGCATAACTAACAATTATCTAGACGACGGCTGTAACTGTTTGTACCTCGCTGGAAAGGGGTAAGTTTTACCACTGCTTTGATTCAGAATGTGGGTAGCTAATCTGGGACTGTATTAGTGATGGTAATATCCGCTACTTCGAGTACGAGAATGACAAATTCGAGTTCCTCTCGGAGTACAAGTCTGTGGATCCCCAGAGAGGTATTGCCTTCGTTCCCAAGCGCGGAGTTAATGTGAGTTGTCATATTCAAGTTTATACTACAGGCCCGACGATTAACACTTCATAGGTTCACGAGAATGAGGTTATGAGAGCCTACAAGACTGTTAATGATGCATACATCGAGCCAATCTCCTTTACTGTACCCCGCCGTGCTGAAACGTTCCAATCGGATATTTTCCCACCAGCTGCCGGCATCAAACCCGGCGTTAGTGCCAGCGATTGGCTTTCAGGCAAGAGCGGCCTACCCCCGAAGATTGATTTTGAAAGTATCTACGAGGGCAATGCTCCTGTCGAAGTCCCAGCTGACTATAAACCGCCTGCTTCTACCCCTGCTCCTGCTCCTGCTCCTGCTCCTGCCCCCGTATCTAAGCCCGCCCCTAAGAAAGAACCGGAGTCAACGCCGGCACCACCTCCCACGATCAAGGAACAGAACCGCTCTATGGCATCGATCGCTTCCAAGTACGACGACAACGACGAAGGAGATGATGATGAGACTTCTAGTTTCGAAGAAATTTCAAAGCCAGTACAACGTAGCGCAATACCAGCAAAATCCGAACCGAAACCCCCTTCTCCGACCAAGACCACATCAGCAGCACCACCAAAAGCCTTACCATCCCTCAAATCGCCAACGTATGCGCCAGCGGCCTCTACGGCAGTTCCCGCGTCGCCTGGCGGCTCGGGTGTTGAGACAACCTTGGAACAAATCAAACATCTATTGGAGACTCAAACAAAGATGATTAGTGTGCAAGGTCAACAGATCAACCATCTGACAACCGAGGTGGACGGTCTAAAGAAGAAAGTGGGATCTGGATCACAGGATCAGAGTGAGCGCATTCGGCAGCTAGAACTCGAGTTAGAAGAGTTGAAGTCATGATGTGCACCATGGTTGTGTAGGAATATAGTGGTGGTAATTTAGAAGTGGCGCTCTGGGGTTGCGCAGTCAATTCAATGGATAACGATCTTGATGAGGGTTGTACGTACAGTTAGTCTTAAAACGTCTTGTACTAGGGGATATGTCGACGTTCCTCAAATTCCCTGGTGAGGCGCGTTTGCATTTATACCTATCAAACAACAGAATTGTTCGCTCATGAGAGCAGGTGAGGTGAATACTTTGGAGTATATACCTATCATGTTATTATCAAGCAGGTCTTTTTACACATACAATTCTTGGAGCGATATTTGATGGATGGCTATGTGATTTTTGTCTATTTTTTTGAACTCCCTTGTTTAGCGTTCCATGCTACACAGTCATCGAACTTGACTCCTGTGCCACCAAAGCAATCTAGTGCGCTACCTATTGTTAGGTCCACTTTTCCATTGCTCAGTTTCTTGACCAATTCTAGGTCGTCGAGATTTCTCCCGCCACCGGCATACGTTACAGGTATGCTACACCATTCGGCAAGTCTCTCAACGAGTTTCTCGTCAATGCCTTTCTGTAAACCCTCGTTGTCGGCGGCGTGGATGAGAAATTCGGAGCAATATGGTTCCAGAGATTTTATAGATTCTGCACAAGTAGCATTAGACCTCCGAGTCATAGTTATAATATTCTTCATTAGATATAATGATGGGAGTAGATGTTAATATACCTTGGTTCACTTCCATATCTGTAATAGTTTGCCATTTATTCATGGCTACATACCACTTATCATCGCCTCTCCGTCTGCAGCTGAGGTCGATGACGAGATGATCTTTTTGTCCACCGAGCGCAGCCAGCACAGAGTCCAGGCGCTCCTGACTGAATTTGCCTTCCGGGAAGAGGAAAGATGTGATGATGACCTACTAGACTTCTCGATCAGAAATATTACATAATAGAATCGATGGCTCTTTGAAATAATTGTTTCGAAGTTCCTCCAATATAGGTTACACATACCTTACTGGCACCCCGCTCCATCCACAAAGCAGCATTTTTGTCATTTATGCCACCACCAACTTGGAGATGGCCTGGCCACGCAGCAAGAGCTTCCTTTGCAGCGTCTTCATTCCCAGGCCCTAGCATAATAACGTGCGCACCCTCAAGCTCATTGTCACGGTACAAACCAGCGAAATGGCCAGCGGAATGTTGCGAGACATAATTCGTCTTAAGCTCGGCGGTGGAGCTATTCAGGGTTCCGCCCACAATCTGCTTGACCTGGCCGGCGTGCAGGTCTATGCACGGTCGAAATCGCGCCATCGTCTTTGACAAGTTGGAGAAAGTTTCAATCCACGTTTCTGTCATTAAATCTGTAGCGGGGCTTTTAGTTGACGTATTACGAGGCCATGGTGGGGTGGCATTTAGTGGCAGGGGCTGTGTGTCATTTATCCTTTTTGATTGGTCTGAGGGTGCGGAAGGCTGCATGTACCTAAGTATCCATCCCATACCCCTAGCCCCACTAAATTTTTGCTTTTTCGACTTCAACGCGGTGACTTTTTCTCAGTTTCACATAAATCTGACCTTTTCAGCCTGCCAACCTCAAGATGGCTTCAGTTCTCGGAAAACGTAAATCGCATGATAATAAATCAGAGTCATCGTTCTCACATGAAGCTGCTCAGGCTATATTTAGACGACATTTCGAGGAGCAATTTGCTCCATTAGAACCCTCAAAGCCCGTTGTGAAGGCGACGCAACCTTCCGAGTTAGAAGATTTGCGTTCTGATTCAGAGGATGGGGCGTCTGACGACTCCTGGGATGGTGTATCGGGTTCAGGGGAGGACTCAGAGCCAGAAGCTCTCGATGAGGCAGCCGAAATCGTGGAAGTAGTCGAGCACACGAGCACCACTCCGGCACTCTCTAACGACCCCCTTTCTAAACGTGAAAGTAAAGCATACCTCTCTTCGCGTGTACCATCTTCGTCTATAGATCCAAATGCGCCATCTTCAACAACAACAACAACAACAAAACGCAAAGCCGCTGGGGACGAAGATGCTCCTTCGCTACTAAAGAACGATTTGGCCCTGCAACGTCTATTATCGGAATCTCATCTTTTTTCGGGGAGTCAGAACGGCGGCAGCACCGAACATGCGGGTCGGAATCGCCATCTAGCTACGGATATGCGGTTAGCGGCGCTTGGGTCGAAAGCTAGCATTTTCAAACAGGAAAAAATGCCTATGTCGCATCGCAAGGGGATTACGGCAGCTGCGGCAACGCGTGAGTCTAAGCGGCGGAAGGAAGCTCGAGAAAATGGTATTATTCTAGAACGACCTGCGGGAGGTGCTGCGAAAGGGAAGCCCAAAATGAGAAAGAGGGAAAGGGCTGTGGATGCACCTGCAGTGGGAAGGATGAGGAACGGGATGTTGAAATTAAGCAAGAAGGATATTACGGAAATCCAGGGAGATGATAGGAGATCCGGGAGTAAAGGTGATAGAAAACGGAGAAGGAGGTGAGAGGATGTTAGGGCTGTTCATGATATGCTATTGGGTGACCCAATTGGCTGGATATTCCTGGTGCAGTTGTGAAGGGGAAACCGCACAACAACAACGCCGGGCGGTGTTGATTTATTTAGGTGCCTGCCATCCAAGATGCAAACACTACCCCACCGACCATAATTACAACAAATTTTCCCACTGCCCGTTCAACCAAATTGTTCTCTTCCCGCTTTCATCTCTTTTTCACCCACCGTTTTACGCCGAGTCCTGCGCGCCAAATTGGTGGTTCTAGTTATCGCGCCAAAAAAGCAAGTAACCATTCTTAAAACCAATCTTCATTGCCGATCATCACTACTAAGAACACATTAAAGTCGATATGACTCCCTCAACTCGCCCTCGGACGACCCCCGACGAGACCAACTCCAAATTCGCTGAGACTGTCGCGCAACTACAAGCAAGGCTTGATGAGGTGTTCTCTAAGTGTCGTAAGAAGCTTATAGAGGGCCACGCCGCTTCCACCAGTAACTACTATATGCTAGAGTATGCCATAGAGGAGGTTATTGACCTGCGAACCGAAGTCGACAAGTTGCGTGGCGAGCTCGCCGAAGCCCACAAACTCATCGAAGATCTTCAGCTCGAGCTGAAGGGAGTCAAGACCGAACGTGCCAGTCACAACATAGACCATGTCCCCATCCTTAACCAGCTGATCTCGCACGACCAATTGTATATTTGGTCTCGCGCGATGTCACTGAAATTCAAGATAGACGGTCGTACTATCGGAGACCAAGAAGGGCAGTTCTACTACATCATCTCTCGCCTTGGCTGGAAGCTTCTATCCCTCGTCCTTCCGCACGTCGACATTGGCGCCAGTTTGGACACCATCATCGCTGTACTGCGTGAGCATGTCCCACTCCGCTAAGATATCCGACTATCTTGAGGTCATCTAGATAGACGAGTACCGTGAATTCTGCTCAGCTTCCCACATCCGCAACTTCCCCATGCATATCGCTTTTACGAAAAGATCGTTCCTCAGTCGGCCTTCTGGCATTTGGTTGACACGTAATCGCACATACGACTATTTCGTTTGTTGACTTTGAAATCCGAAGATCACGGAACTGGTAAGTCATCGTCCTATTCCACTATTGCGTATCATCTACCGTCTATGTTCTTGAAAACTAACAAATTCCTACCAGGTTATTCGGAACGAGCTTTCAACGACGGAAGTAGGGAAGACGAGGGACATGAGACGGAGTCGGACATTTGCCACGGCTTCTTAGCTGTCAGGCTGATTTCGTGGTAATAGTAGTACAGGATCTCTTGAAGATCGCACAACTACGTATAAACAATCAATTACCCACATATGTAAACCCATTCCTTCCATTGTTGTGAAAACTTAAATATTTGGTCGAGTCATACAGAAAGGCATTTTATTACACTTAATCAAATCACAATGAAGACTAATTGAGATGTGTACATCAATATTTAATTGAATTTCAAAGTTTGTACGACTTGTCCTTCATATGACCTTGTCTTCCAATACTTCAAAGGGTCGCCGCCGACCCTAAAAACCCTGGTATCATCTCCCATAGCTCCCCTACTGCCAGCCGCCACGAAAATGTCAAGTGACAAATAAAAAGAAAAGCGAAAAAAATGAGAGAAGGCGAATATATATACAAATGCACGAATCGCGCCCCGTCGACTTCCATCTCTTTTTCGCCGTCCATGCCAGTCAGTCCACTGGACCCCCTCGAGACATAAAAACAGCTAGCCTCCTTCCGTCAGGCTCCAGCCGACCTGAGTCTATCAAATGCTTCGTTTTTTTGGTATCCCTCGTGCTAAAATGAAATCAGAACAAATAAACGTCCTACAACGCGAATGGTGAGAAACAAGACTCTTCTAGTCCATACTTATAGAATGAAGTCTCCAAATCTAGTCGCAATATGCCATGCAAAATCGAACCGCTAATCTCGAGTTGGCAATTGACAAAATACAACGGTAGTCCCATCGTGACACATGCCGCAATAAAAAAAAAATAAAAAAAGTGATTACATCGCCCCCGCTGGCGTGCTCATTGTCATGGGCATGCTCAGTGTTTGTAAGGGATTAAAGGATGACTGATTCATCCCACCTGTAGCAAGACCATTGCCAGCAGATGCCGACGTGGTGACGGAACTCAGAGAGGTAGGAATGTAACCAGATTCCGAGTTTGGCGAGGCTTCCTCCAGCGAACCGAGCTGGTCCTCGCCGGAATAGTCTTCCTCATCCTCGCCAGACAGGTTCAACCCGCCGTCGACACCTTCACTACGGTCGTGTGTTCGCTTGTGTCTGTGATGATTATGTTAGCCCAAGCTTCTTCGATTGAACTTGTCGCTCCTCGTGATGAGTTGATGTTGGTACTATTGCACGCTTCTCATGTTGTGAATTGATTCGGATATTGATTGATTTCGGTCTGATTGCATATCGCACAAACATCGTTGCTCATCACAGGATCTTCAAGTTGACAAAAGAAACATAATTCAAAAAAAGAATTGGGGTCATACTGTGCTAGGTTGTCGGATCTAGAGAATGCCTTGCTACAATAGGGGCAGATGTAGGGTCTTTCTTGGGTATGTGTTCTCACGTGTCTAAATATATGGTCAGATACACAACGGTGCACCACACAAGTTACAAAAGAAAATAATTGATCTTACCGCTTCAGGTGCTCGAGGCGCTTGAAGAGGCGGCCACACGTGGGAATCGGGCATGAATGCGACTTTTGGGGATAGGGACCCAGTTCCATAACAGTGGCGGAGCGCGCTCGGCGCACTACATTAGGTCCAGGTTGCATCACTCGCTGTTCGCTCATTGAGCCGTCACCGTTTAGGTCCTCGTTGGTAAACTGAGGGAACTCTTGTCGCTGAAGAGACATGGGGTTAAGAGCAGGGCTGCCTTCTACCGTTGACAATGGAGTGCCGTGTCGCGACATCTCCATATGTTGCTGGTTGGTAAGAGAAATTGTTGAGTTGCTGTAAGAGAGGCCAGGAGGCGAATTGCCCTGGGACTCATCGCCTTCAGCAACAGGACCAACTGATGCGGAAACCGATCTCCTCAAGTCTGAAGGTCGGTGAGCAGCTACTTGAGCTTGAGCAGTGGCTGCTGCGATCGCCGATATGGAAGGAGGGATGGATGAACGCCGTCTTCTCTGTTTGTATGTCGGCGATCCTTCGATTACAGAGTAGACGTTGTTAGAGCCATAAGGACGCGAAAACTGAGGCCCGGCTAGATTAGAGGGTGGTAGCTGCATCATACCGTTCAAACCGCTGACACCACTGAGGTGGTCGGGAATTGCCGTGTACAAACCAGTCTCCTCGTTAGCAATGTAGGCGGGTTCGGCACCAATTCCTAAAGCTTGTTGAGGAGGGGTGATCGGCTCGAAAGAAATACCTCGGTTGCTGTAATCCTCGTAGTGAGAAGACACGAACGAAGGGGCAGGCGAGTATTCAAGACCATACGCAGGCATTGAAGCATGACGTTGGTGGCTATGAGCCATAGGAACACCGTTCTGGTTGTATTGAACGCGGCTGAAATCAGGCTCCCTCTTTACCACTTGGGGGACCTGTTGGGGCATAGCCGGTGCCATTGTCATCGTGTTGTATGAAACCATGGCGTCCATCCCATCCGCTAAAGGGGCCATCGACTGAGGCATCATTTGCGGGGGAGGCATGGGATCCATTGCCCTCATCACCGGGGATGGGGCTTGGGACTGAGAAAAAGCCACTTGTTGGGCACTGAAAGACGAAGAATTCGCTTGTTGGGCTTTTGTTAATTGCTCGTAGAGCGATTGAGATGAATCGTATTGGAACGATAGAGCAGGCTCACTGACGGCCATAGTAGTAGCCTCCTGGCCCATCTTTTCTCTCTTCAAATCTCTTTCGAGGGCATCGAGGAAAAGACGGTCATGCGGTACGCTATACCAATAAAAGACCTTTTGCTTCTTTTGTGTTCGAATGCAATTGTTCTTGTACAGGAAATCCAAAAAGGGGCTCTTGGGTTCCTCCAAAGAAGCATCCGTGCCGGATTTCAAATTTCGAAGGTCCGAGAAGATACCTTCTTCAAACTTCTTCGAGTTCTTCACGGGACGACCGAAAGCTTGGAATCGAAAAGAAAGGCATCGCACAATGTCGGTACCCGAAATGTGAAATAGATTGTTCCATAATACACAAGAGACGTATTCGCCTGTCGGTAGTAGGAATCGTCGGATGTATTGATCAGGTTGCCAGTCAACAGGGGCCGAAATAAGGAAATATTTTACTATTAGCGGTCAGTAACGGATAACGGTAACGGTGCTGAAATTGAGTTCGGATGTGGATCCGGTTGCGAATAATCAAGACATACAATTATCAACTTGTTGTAATGCCACTTGCGCATCATGCGGTAAGGCTTGCTGAGCCTCGGTGCTGAGCATGAAAGTCTCAGGCTTTTGTGGTGCTGACGCCGCCATTGCTGCTTGTTGTGAGTACATGATGCACCACACAACTGCCTCCGAAATGGCACCGGAGTCAAACGGTTTTTTTGCCGCTTGCAATAAGCAGTAACTGGTCCGTGTCGGCTATTAAGGTTGGTTGTATGAATAACAGTAGAAAATCGTTTCGTATTAGCTCGTTTGCTTTATAGTCGTTTCCAGACGTCAATCTCAAGGTGAATCTTCAAGGCGCTGCCTTTTCCTTCCTTCGGAGGACGATTCGCCGGATAATAGCCTTGGGTTCGGTGTCGTTGAATTTTGGTGTCGAGTCCAGCCCGTACAACGTGTTCTTTTTTTCGCTTTATCTTTCTTTCGTAGACGATATTAAAGCCTCGCTTTGCCTCTGGCTAAAGTCAAGCCTCGTCACGGTCAACCTTCTAGGCAACTTTGCGTTTTTTTAAAGGATATGGAAACGTCCCGACCGCTTCTTTCCGAAGTCGTTTATTGCGAACCGTGCAGCGCGTGCGATGGCGTGGTAAGATCCAATGCGTAGATTTAAATTATTCCCGGTTCCTTCTTATTTTGAGGAGCTTCCGCCAAGGCCGCAATGGAAAAACCGACAATTCCGAATTGGATTAAATCTTGTTTATTTAAGCGAGGACAAGAAGCACGAGTGTTGTGATGCCAATAGACGAAATAGAGGGGGAAAAAATAATAATCAACAAGATGCTCCCGAGGATCAAACAAGATGGACAGAACGTGGGTAGTAGGTCTAATGTGCGACGATTGAAGTCTAGTGGGTGGGCTGCGGTTGTGCCAGACAGTCGGGTCTACTACGCTCGTTATCGATGAGAAGAGAAAGAGTCTCGCGGCCGCGGAGTTAAAGAATAACACAGTGAAGTCCTTTCGCGTGCGGGCACGTTGATGGGATCTTCTAAGTGAGAGAGAGAGGGGGGGGGTGGTTTGATGGAGTGTGTAATTGCCCTGCAACACGAGGGGGAGAGACGGCGAGGCGAGAAAAAAGAGGGAGAAGGGAAAAAAGAGAGATAGAGAAGGAGGGGGAAGTTCTGAATAGAACAAATGATCTTACGAAGAAGATTCAAGTAGGTAGGGTTGAAAAGAAGGAAACAGTCGAAGAGGATGAGGAGTTCGGGGGGGTTTAATGATTTCCGCTGGCTGGGGTTGTGTCTCTCTCTACCCAGTAATCATCCAGGGACTATGCCAGGTTCAGGTTCAGTCTACCTCTCTTCTCTCGCTCGCCTGTCTACTGGGCAAGTGGGCAAGTGGGCTAGCTTACCAGGTCTGGGCCGGTGCGGTCGGGTAGGAGAGAAGAGATTTAGAGTGGAGTGGGCGGAGAAAGAAAAAAATGGACAAGCCCTGGAGACTATCCAAGTCTGTTCAAAATGGGCTAATGCAAATAAACCGACTATGCCGCTCTAAACCATAAACGGAAAGGTACTCGTGCCAATGGTATACGCTTGCCTGTATTCGGAAGTATCTCTTTAATCTATCCTCTGGTTTAATCTCTACATCCTCTACATCCTCTCTACCTCCATTGTGGTACCTAATGCAGGGAATCCCAGAGCGAGATTGGACACGACATTCCGCGCCCAGCTTTTTTTTTTTTTTTTCTTTTACTGCACAATGTTATTTTCAACGGGCGGTTCCTAGGTACATGAACATGTACCTATCTACACCTATTACAGAGCATTGTATGTACCCTCGATGATGCGCGTTCTTTATTATTATTATTTTCTTCTAGGGACCTTTGCAGCCCCCATCCTCGATATTCATATTCATATCCCATCGATCAGTCCATCCTTACACCCTCATTAAAGAAACGTGGCTGCTCGAAGGAATTTATTATGTTAGAAGTTGTTAAAGATTGTTTCGATAATATAGATTCGGAAGTAGAACAAAATAAAAAGTAGGAGCCACATACATGGCTTCTTTCCCGGGTTGAAGACCACAATTATTCATCATACATAAGTGGCAAGAGACAGGGCCGTTACAAGGGAAGGGCCGAGGCGCACAGAAGAGAAGTCGCGCGAACCTTAAGAAACCACGAGGTACCTAGCTTTACTCGTGCGCTTACATCAAAACGGTAAACTCAATTCTTGAAGCCGTTAAAAGTCGGGCCAAGCCGATTGAGTTCAACTAAAATGCATATAAAATACCTAGGTATAAAAAGTCCAAACGCTTTTTAATAAATACGTCTCTGTTAAGTTTACCCACATAATGCATATATCCCTTTTTCAGGTTCATCTTCATTATAACACGACGCGATAATATGTCCTCTACGTACGAGTACGATATACCACCCTACATACCACCTAACATATATAAATACGAACCCGATGGTTACTATCCGTACATGTATGTAAGTGAGGTAATACAGAGATAGGGTCAGTCAGCCAGCCCTTTGCCCCCTTTTGCATTTTTTAACAGGCACAACGCGGACAGAAAGCAATCTCAAGATGCAGTAGCTTGGTCCAGCCTTGTTTTCCCTGAACCGAAAGGATTCCCCCTTTTTCGGCATATGGCTAACTATAACATCGTGCGAGTCTTAGAAGAAAATACGGAAATCGTTCACCATTTCTTACTTAGGTATAGCTCATCATTCATGCATGCGTACTTCCCTACATACATAACAGACATAACCACACTTGTCCGAGGACCAAGCACCTGCATTTTCCCCATCGGTAACATCTGTTAAAGAATGAGGGTACGACGATCTTCGTGCGACCTCGCTCGCCTCGCTCAAAATCCTCTCTCACTCGGGGAATATTTCTTGCTATCCACAAGTGGGCAGGGATGTCTTCACTGAATAGACGGGTGAGTGTTACCTTGGGATCCGGTTGCAAGGGTCATTTTACGTGGACTTCTACACACGGTCCTTCTCTTTTACCCACCATCTCATGGGTCATTCGGAGTTCCTCGACTGTCCTAGTAATGGATCTATGCACATATTCGCTAGTCCGCCAGGTTTGCACAGGCCCTCTGAGAACCTAGCTTAGCACCTTTTTCTCTTATCTGCATTTAGGGGGTTGTGAAATCAAACTCCCACGATAATCATCCGAAGTGTACATGTATGTCACTGTTTTCTTTGCACTTCTTCATCACATACATGACAGATTAGACCTTAGTCGTACAGGGAATAGGTCTAGGATATGGGGAACAAGCATATATATACATTTTATAAAGATAAGTGTAAAAATAAACACATATAAATAATACCTAGTAAGGTGAGGTTTGTCCCCAAGAACGAACAAATCAAACCACCAATCTTCTAAATCGGCTTCTAGTGTATGTGCTACTCTACAAAGTACCAACTTACACGGTCTAGATGAATAGGGGGTTCGCCAAAAAGTTAAGGCAGCGAGTATCACGAATCTGCTCCAACTATGGCAGAGTGACATGGCATACTACCATATTTTATTAAAACTACGAATTCACTACGACATATTTCTTAATTTGTACGCAACCTAATATATTGAGGTACTTATATGTATCTCTTAGATCTTTATCTACCTAGGTATACACCTAGGTAGGTAAATTCGTAGGAAGTATTTTGGTTGGATCCCCCTTTGCATGTCATGTCACGAAAGACGGGGATGTATCCAACAAAGAATGCCATAAAACACTCCCGATCCTGTTCAACAGCCGTGTTGTCTCTGAGTTGGTTCGTCATAATTCTTTTCGCTGTACTTCCCTAGCTACTTTGTTCGATGTGTAAAGTCTTAGACACTTTACAGTTAGAATCCAATTGGGGCTATGGGTCAGCAAGTAATCTCCGTATGCTGGTACATCGCGGATGACGAGAACAAGGTAGCTCAGCAGGGGGAATAGTGCAAAAAGGATCTATCACCGCCTATTACAATCTTCGGTTGCGCGCGCAGTCCAAGTACCGAATCCTTTCCTTTTTCTTGCTGATAACTGAATTCTTCATTTACCACGTAAATACACTACTTGATAGTGTAATTAGGAATCGCTGACAAAACTCTTGGGTAGAAGATATTCTGTAGTCTAACGTCGAGAACTACAGCTAATAATTATTAGGGAACGTACTAATAATGTTCCTAGCGTACCTAATGCACACGTTTCTTAGTACACTACCTATGTAGCCATTCTCATCGCTGCTTTAAGTGGGACAAATACAAATACATTCACTATCATATTGTTTTTGTTCTAATTCTTGTTTCTGTCCCACGTTTTCTAGTTCACCTGCTTGCTTAATTGTTTAAAGTTGCCTCTTGGCGCATGAATTCTCATAATCGCATTTACAATTAGCGTCTTGTTCCTATCGAGAACTACCTAGGAAAAATAGGGGGCCATGGTTCCAAGGTTATTTGTTGCAGGCACGCTCTACTTTGGTACGGAATAATAGCATTGGGGCATTGGGCACGTACCTGCGCAATCCATGATCGGTTCAGGTTCAAGCTCAAGCTATTCCCCTGTCAAATAAAATGCCAAGAAGGAAAGACCGCTGGATGGTACCATTGATACCCTTGGAACGCGGATCCCATCCCTCAAATCCCTGTGAACTTCTTTCTAACCTCCCTGTAAATCTGAAACACGCCTGGCGCATTGCTTCAGAAAAACAGCTGGGTGCCAGATATCGGCGCTAATCTATCCTTTTCTTGGGTCCCGAAGTCCTCTCCATCCATTTCTCCCACCTTCACTCTTTTTTGCGATTGCTTCCATCCGGTCCAATCAGCAATTAGCAACTTCTATCCAACAACGGGACCCTAACATCTTCTAACCAACCACCATTCATCATCCTGTCATCGAATAGCCAGTTGGAATGTGAGAATAAGGCAATGGGAAGCTTTTTGTCCAAAACTGCAGGGAATCGTATTCCTCCGCATTCATGCACAAGGGGTATTATATGCGCGAGATCGAATACGCGTGCATCTAGGAGGTTCACCAAATCAAGTCCTAACTGACTTATGTATCCTTCGAGGACGATATTCGAGGAATATCCTATCTTCTCAAACATGACGATAGTTGATCTTGTTGTGATGCTCGAAGATTTCTGTCTGAACTAGACAAGCCTCCGA